ACCGCAACATCCGTACCGCAACATCCGTACCGCAACATCCGTACCGCAACATCCGTACCGCAACATCCGTACCGCAACATCCGTACCGCAATATCCGTACCGCAACATCCGTACCGCAACAACCGTACCGCAACATCCGTACCGCAACAACCGTACCGCAACATCCGTACCGCAACATCCATCCCTGGTTATGCAGAATTGACTTCAGAACTTTATGATTTGGTAACAAAGTCTAAATCTTCTCCTATTAATGCAATTGATTGGACACGTTCTGCTCATTTAAAATTCAATTATCTTCGTAAAGTCCTCATTTCTGCACCAATCCTTCAATCATTGAACTTAAAACAACCCATCACTTTACATTGTGATGCCTCTGATGTATCCTGGGCTGGAGTATTACAAAATATTGATGACAAAAATATTCCTCACTTAGTTCTGTGTTATAGTGGAAAATTTCATCTTTCAGAAAAGAACTATACTATTTACGAAAAAGAACTATTTGCCATTTACAATACGTTAATTCAAGTTCAATCTTTATTAATAGGATACACGGGGGTAATCCACATTTATACAGACAATAAAGCATTATCACAAGTGCTTGATAAACCATTGTCTAATTCCCATTTTGTGAACCGTTTATATAAATGGCTAAATTTTTTACGAAACTTTAATTACGAAATTCATCATATCTCCGGATCTAGTAATGTAATTGCTGATGCTTTGACACGTTGTTATGATGAAAAAGCAATTCCAAAATCACATTTTGCTGTAGAAGAAGTAATTAAATCCCTTAAATCTAAACTTCCAGACTTATCCACGGGGGAGGAAACTATGATAAATAGTTTGGCAACAAGTGCAAGCTATATTAATGATTACACAAAATCAGATGAAGATTTTATGTATAAGAAAATCTATTTGAAAGACATTAAGTACTTCTTATATTATAGAAAAGTACCTCCACGGTATGATTCTAATGACCATTTAAGAAAGAAATTTATTTTTAGAGCCCATGAATTCTATATTCATCAGGACATCATGTACAAGATTGGGAAGGATGGTCAATTTTCACGCAAAGTTCTCTTTTTACACAAAGATGTAGTTGAAATATTCAAATTAGTTCATGATAAAAGAGGCCACTTAAAATTAGACAATGCCTTTAAAGTAATAAACCAATCTGCATTTATTCCTAACTTATACAAAAGACTAAAAAAGTATATTGACAGTTGTGATATTTGTCAAAAATACACTAGTACTCATAATGAAAGAGACCCATTGTATCTCCACTTACCCGCAGGCCCTTGGCATACTATAGTATGTGATACTGTAAAAATTAATGGAAAATCCTTAGTTGTAGCAAGGGATGAATTTACAGGATGGTCTGAAGCTATTGTTCTAACCAAATTAACTGGTGAAAACGTGGCAGATTTTATATTCTCTAGTTTTATCGCTAGAGTTGGTTATTTTGATGTGTTTAAAACTGATAATGGTCCAGAATTTCGCAACCAATTTGTAGCTACCATGTTAAAGAAATATGGTGTGAAACATAAATTTCTGATACAATATCATCCTCAAGGCAATGGAATGTCAGAGAGAGGACATCAGAGTTTTATCAATTTCTTTAAAAAATTACCTGATATAACAGATTGGGAAAAGTTTTTACCATGTGCTCTTTGGGTTGATCGAACCAATGTAAGATCTAGAACTGGTTTTAGCAGTCAATACCTAGTTTATGGTTTCCAAGGATATTCAGATTTGAATACAATAACCTCATTAAAACCGGAAACTAAACTTTATTCTGAAGATGAACTATTCAAATTTAGGTTTAAACAATTATATTTTAAAGAAATTCAACTTCCTTCTGCTTATTATACTCAAGAAAGACAAAGAACTCAACATAAATTAAAGTTTGATACTAAACATGAGTTGACTAACCAAATTAGAGTAGGAGATTTAGTTTTAGTATGGGATAAACCAACACCCGTGAGCATGTTACATAGTAAAAAACTTGATCCACGTTGGTCAGGACCATACTTAGTAAACAATGTAAACAATAACATTTATAAACTAAAATCCTTAAGTGGATTACCTTTAAACCGTCAATTCACTAGAGAAATGTTGAAAAAATACATTAGTAGAAATTAAGAAATGAAAGAATATATATAAAACAGGATTTGTCTTATAAAATGTATATTTCATTTGGAATTCACTAAATTGAAAGTAAATTAAAAATAATCAAAATCAAATCCAAATGTCAACTACCTTTCAAAATAAACGCAAATTAGATCAACTCAATGAGTATACACGTACCACTATATCCAAGAAATGTCCTAAATCTAAATTTCCATTTTACCCAGATAACATAGACCCACAAATCATTTTAAAAGACGTAACATTAGATGGTAATTATTCTAATTATGTTGAGGAGGATGAATCTGAAATTGAAGATACAAATTATTCTCCTGGAAAATTTGGTCAATATATTTCTCAAAGTGATAAAGTTGGTGGTAGTGAGTTGAAAAATAATGATACCAATAAAAGTGTTGATTCTTTAACTGATGAAGTTGTTAATTCTCAAAGTGAAAAAGTTGGTGATATTCAAGGTAAAGTAGTTGGTGATATTCAAGGTAAAGTAGTTGGTGATAATCAAGCTAAAGTCGATATCAAAATAATGGTTAAGGATCTAATCATAACTGTTAAAGCTACTGAAATTGAAATAAAAAACTAAAAGGGGGGAGAATTTGTCACCCAAAACTAATATTGGTAACAAAATAACCAAATTGGACATAAATCAGAGTATAATACATTGTTCTAAATGTCGTGATTTTTTATATTATTATTTTTATATATAAATTTTTATTAGTTTTTGAAGTATATAAATACTTCTCAATATTTACAAATTTTTATAGTTTTTATATTTTTAGAGATTAAGAATAAATATTTTCATTTTATCGAGAAACTACTATATTTAAGAGAAATGAATCTCTACTAAATTCTTTCATTCAAGATCATTCATCATTATAATTCAGAATGTATTTAAGACAAGTGAACGAATTGTATTAGAAAGTTCTCGTTTCGACATAATTTAAATTTATGTATTTCGTAATAAGTGTAATGCGACTTAAGATTGAAGAAAAGTCTAAAATCTACGTCGAACTTGTCACTAACTTAAGACAAATAAATTACCGTGTGACAATACTCATAATAATAATATTAGTTTCTCCATTTTTATTTATAGTTAACAAGTTTAAATAAAGATTAAAAGAACAAAACTTAATTTGAATTTTAAGTTTATTTTAAACTCATATTGTTATTAACCTTCGTATGTTAATATCAATGAAAAAACAATGAAACAGTAATAAAACGTGTTGAATAAAGATAATAAAGAAGTGAGTCCAATTAAATATTATTATAAAATTTAATATTTTTTGCAAGATTGTTTCAAATTTAAAATCTCCGCATTTGAAAATTATTTTTTATTTATTAATACTAATATTACTATATTGTATTTTAAAACAATAAAAGAACTTTAAACTTTTCATTTAATTAACATAAATTATATATACTTTATATATAATGAAAAAACAAATTTTAAAGTCATTTAATTAAAACATTTATCTAACATTTCGTTTTAATTTAATTTAATCTGTAATTTATATGTGCATTATATTTTTAATTATTATTTGAAACACAATTTAATAATTTATCCAAATATAGAAATATGATACAAAATTTTTTATTAAATAGTATATATTTTAAATATTTAATATTTATTAAATGACTAAATAAATTTATAGTCAAAAGAATAAATTTTAGACGTGGTCGACCAAATTTTCAGTTTTTTTTTAAGAAATAAAACATGATAGAGGTTTTGTATATAAATTTTAAAACGACGACTATTAATTTTTAAGTAAAACGTTTTATTCAGTATTCAAAGTTTTTTAAGCTACTAAAATTAGTTTCAAATATTATATTATATTGAATAAAGATAAAGTATAAATAAATATCATTCATTTATTTGAAATTCATAATATTCTGATGAAAATTCTTTTGTGTATTTTAGTTTGTAATTTTCGTATTTTAATTTTAATATTTGTCTAAATTTTTTTTCAATAGATTTTTTTTTTTAATTCTATTGTTTCTTTTCTTTCTTTTTGTTTCAAAGGTTATGAAATACATTTTAAAATTTGTTAATTTATTTCAATGATCAACATATTTCAATTAATTTCAAATTAATATATAAAGGTCATGATTTAGCTAATAAATTTTTTAAAGTAATACCTCTGTTTTATTCATTCATTTCAACAACTACTTTAGATATTTAAAATTTTTTTATAATCAACTACTAAACAATATGAAATTTTCAGTTTTAATTTTTGCTTCAGCAGTTTTAGCTTCACCAGAATTTTTATTCAAAAGAGCAAATACTTGTGATACTCAATCATGTATTGATGCAAGTAAAATTATATCTGATAAATGTGATAATAAAGGAGATCAAACTTTAACTTGTATTTGTAATTTAAACAATGATGATTATTGGAATAAAGTATCACAATGTGCAAAAGATTGTGCTCAATCTCAAGGTGGTGATTATAGTCCTGATGCATTAAAACAATTATATTGTCAAGCTGCTCAATATTTATCATCTTATTCTTTGGCATTTCCAACTAGTGCTCCATCAGCTCAAAGTTTTGATGCTTCAGAATTAGCTGCTTTTTCAATAGATTCATCAAATACAAAAGATGCTTCATCAGCTATTCAAGCTATTCTTAATACACTTTCAGCATTATCTGCATCTGAAGCTACAGCTTCATCAACTAGTGGTGGTTCTTCTTCTTCTGGTTCAGGTTCAGGTTCAAGAGGTGGTGTTGCTGCTTCAACTACTTCTCAATCAGGTTCTGGTTCAAGTTCAAATACTGCTAATGCTGCTTCATCTTCAAATTCAAGATCAAGTTCAGGTTCAAGTTCAGGATCAAGTTCAGCTGCCAGTTCAAGCTCTCCAGCTTCTTCAAGTTCAAGAACTTCAAATGTTGCTGCAACTATTGGAGGAGGTTCATTAATTTCATTAATTATTTTATCATTATTATGAGGTGGTTTATAAGTTATTTATTAGTTTAAGTATCATAAAAAATAAATTTAGTTCTTGTTTTCGTTGAAACAATTAATCATGTAATTTTAAAGTATCATTAACTTTGAAACCTTGAAAAGTACGAGATCTGACTTAAGTCAATCACTTTGAATTGAGCATTGTAAAACACCCTTTAAAATTTATTTGTAATAATAAACAACTACAAAAAAAATATTAAATATTCATTTTTGTGTTTCAAATAAATTATTTCCAAATTTGGTTATATAATTGAAATAAAAAAAAAATTAGTGAATTCTTAAATAAACACAAATAATTTTCAATAAAAGTCATTGAAAAAAAAGAAACAGGAGATTTAAAGACCATATTCATTAAAATTCAATCAACTTGTTCAAATGCAACTTGATCTATAACTGTCATGTTTATTTGAATTGAAAATCAAATAAAATTACCAAAATTTTTAACGCGTTAATATTATTATAATTAATTATTTATATACGAAATAGCGTAAATTATTTTATTTTGTTTATTTATTTTTTTCTTAGTTCTACTCCTTAAAACAAAACAAATACCCCCTTCAAATCTTTTCTAGTAAATTTCAATTTTAATTCTGTTTATGGTAATTAAATAAGAATATAATATTTATTCTTCGAAAATTTATACATTTTGCAACCTCGAATATTTACGATATTTAACAATGTATTAATATTATGAACATTTATTTAAATACCCCAATAACTTCATTAATTTTTTAGGAATGAAATTGGAAAACAATTATACAGCATAATCATCATTTTCATTTCATAATCATTCATATGTTATTTCTATTTTTCATACTACAATATACATTATGTTCAAACATTGCTGCTTATTGGGGTCAAAATGCAGGTAGTAACCAACAATCATTAGGTCATTATTGTTCACTGTCACCAGCAAATATTATTATTTTATCTTTTTTAAATAATTTTCCTCAAATTGGTTTAAATTTTGCAAATCAATGTTCACAAACTTATGGAGATGGACTTCTACATTGTTCACAAATTGCTCAAGATATAAAGAGTTGTCAAAATCAAGGTAAAATTATTTTACTTTCATTAGGTGGAGCTACTGGAAATTATGGTTTTACATCAGATTCACAAGCTGAAACATTTGCAACTACTTTATGGAATAAATTTGGAGGTGGTTCAGATAATGAAAGACCATTTGATGATGCTATAGTAGATGGTTTTGATTTTGATATTGAAAATAAACAACAAACTGGTTATGTTGCTTTAGCTAATCAATTAAAAAATTATTTTGCAACTTCTTCTAAAAAATATTATTTATCAGCAGCTCCTCAATGTCCTTATCCTGATGAATCTGTTGGAGATTTAATGTCACAAGTTGATTTGGATTTTGCATTTATACAATTTTATAACAATTATTGTTCAATTGATAAACAATTTAATTGGGATACTTGGACTCAATATGCTAGTAATAAAAACATTAAATTATATTTAGGTATTGCTGGCTCTTCATCTTCTGCTGGCTCAGGTTATGTTGATCTTTCAAGTGTTCAAAATGCTATCTCAAGTATTAAAAAAGATTCTTCATTTGGTGGTGTTTCAATATGGGATATTTCATCAATTCCTGATACTTTTATTCAAGGTATCAATCAAGCTTTACAAGGAAGTGGAGTAGTAAATACTTTATTAACAAGTTCAACTTCAAATTCAATTATATCAACAATTCCAATAGCATCTTCTTTACCTATTGCATCTTCATCATTAATAGCATCTGCATCGCCAATTGCTTCAACAACTACTGGTGGTTTGGCAAATTGGTGGAACAATTTATTCAATTCTCCAACTACTTCAACCCCTTCTTATGTACCAACTAGTACTTCATCATCATTTAATTGGTTTCAAACACCTGGTACATCAACAGCTGTTATACCAACAACAACAGCAGCGGCAATTGTACCAGCAACAACAGCGGCTCCAGCTCCAGCGACAACCTCCAAATTCAATTGGTTTGGTTTATTTGGTACAGCTTCAACTTCAACTCAAAATGTTGCTGCTGTAGAAGTTACAACCTATGTAACAATTACAACCACTGTTTCTCCATCATATATTAAAAGAGATAACATCAATATAGACTCTTCAGAAGCTACATCATTTCATCCAGGATACCTTATATTTATGACTTTTGTAACATTTATTTTTGTTTTATAGTAATATATATTTTTTCTATAAATTCATAGCATCACTCCAATCTGGAAAAATATTTGCTAAATCTAAATTATTCATAAAATCTAATGAACCATTATTATTATTGTTATTACTATTATTATTATTATTATTCTCTTCTTCTGTTATTAAATTCAGAATTTGCATTGATTCTTTTGTCTTTTGTTGTCCGATATTACCATAATCATGCATTTTATGCCTCAAATCATCATCTTGATAATCTGATATTTTTCCAAATGTTTCTCTTAATTTTTGCAATGTTTCAATCCAATTTTTACCCAAACCCCAAGATTTCAGCCAACTTTTCAAAGTTTCTAAACAATAATCAGCCATTTTTTGATATTTTTTAGTAACGTCATAATCAAAATGTTGATCCAATACTTTTGATGGATAAGCTGCTATATATAAACTTGTAGATGCTGTTGTAAAAACTTGAAACCCAGTGAATGGAGCAATTACCATTAAATTCATTGGTTTTAAAGATTTTGTAATCAGATTTAATTTATCTAAAGTATCAAAAATTTGTATAGCTAAATTTTTCCACCAACCAGTTGGAAATGAAGTAGGTGATGAATAAAAATATTCACGATTCAAAAAAATCCGACATAAAAAGAATAAACCATGAAAATAAGCAAAATCAGCAGCTGAACCATCTGCAATGTGTGCTTGTATATTAAATTCATTAAACTTTAAATTATTTGGTAAACATTTTTCAAACTTATCTAATTCTTTAGTTAGTTTATAAAATGGTGATAATTCATCCCATGGTGCAACTCGTTCTAATTTACCACCAGTTTCACCAACCCAAATCGATATACTTCTCCAAGATTCAAATAAATATATCATATGACCACAACAAGAAATATCTTTAATTAAACCGTTATTAATACTTGATTCCAATTCTTCTCTATAATATTGATTTTTATTCATTGTTCCAAATATAAAAGATTTTTCATCACAAGGTAATTTTATATGAATATCTTTAATGTTTATACAAGATTTACTACTTCTTCCACTAGCATTACATCTATCCATCATATAAGAACTCCACATAGCTCTTCGTTTAACTTCTTTTTCCAAAAATGTTTCTTCAACTACCGATTCTACTTCTTCATCTAAACCTAGAACCATAGCCATTCTTACTGCTAGTCCACTATACATATGACTTCTTAGTGCATTACCTTCCCCCCACTCATGACTACTTAGTATACATAAAGCTTGAACTCTACTCAATGAAGGATTATCAAAATTTTCCAGTATTAATTTTCTTGCATGCCATCCAAAATAATTTGATGCATTCGAAGCTGAATTTATATTCAAAACATTTGTAAATACTGGTTGGAATGATTGTGCTGTTGATTCATTAAATTCACCATAAATTTTGGGTAGTTCAGGATGAAGTCTAGCACATAATGCAAGTATAGCTAATAAAACAACTGGATCTGGTTGTAATGAAGAAGTTTTTGGAGGATTATCTATAAATGTATTTGAATTGAATAAATCTGATCTTAAAAAAGTTAAAAATGAAGGTTTATGAAATAATGGGAATATACCTTTATATTGATTTTCAAAAAAAATTGTTACAACTTCAATTATTAAATTTTTATCTGGTAATAATACTGACTGATTATAATTTATTGGTTTTATAAAATTTTGATTCATTAATTTTTTTTTTTTCAATTGTGAAGTTTTTAATGTATAAGTACATTTTAAATTCAATGAAGTACATCTTTGACAACTTGATAAATCACAATTATTTAAACATTTTAATTTACTTTCTCTACACGAATTACATGCAACTGCAGCCCTTTTGATTTTAGTAGTAGCTTTCATTTGATGATCTGAAGATGTTGTTCTAGATTGTTATATTTTATTCATATTCATTGAATAATTAATTTAGTAATATGTCAAGTTTGAATTGAAAATTTAGATAACCAAAAACCAAAATTATTCAAAAATATATTGCAGCCACAATACTTAATTGAGTTTGTTAGGATGTACAAAAAGCGCGCGATATCGAAAGTATTAAAGATTAATTATTATTACATTTTAAGACCTACTAAATATCTATATTCAATACTTTGATACTAAATATTTAAAAGTATTCTACTCATCAATTATTTTAAGGTATAAACCTTATTAATGTCAAGACATCCATTCCATAAAAGATTAATTAAAGAATTCAAAGAAATTTCAACTAATAGATTACCTGGAATAAAATTAATATCAAATGATGATAATTTAACAAATTTTACATTTCAAATGAATATTAAAGATAATCCAATATATTCAGAAGATGAAAATTATTATCTTTCAATTAAAATAACTCTGGATTATCCTATTGATTCACCCTCGGTTAAATTTATAAAATTAAAACCAACAGATAAAATTGTTTTACATAATCATGTATATTCAAATGGTCATTTATGTATTCTGATATTAGGAGAGGATTGGACTCCAGCTTGTACTATTGAATCAATATTATTAAGTATTCAAAGTATGTTACAAAGAAATACAACTAAGGAACGTCCACCAGATGATACTCAATATATAAAACATGCACCTATAGATCCAAAAGATTCTAATTTTATTTATCATGATGATAATGTATAATAGATTTTCTTCCTAACTATTACTTGCTAATGCAAGCGAGGATTATGACAGCGACTGAATAGAAGTAAGAATAGCAATGGTAGTACAATAAATATAAAAGTATATATTAGGAGAACTGATATTTATTCTTTACTTAATTAAGTTTACGTTTCTTATTATCTAAACTAATAACTTCTTCTAATCTTTTACGCATTGAATTTTCTCTTAATCTAGCAGCTTGTTCCATAGCTTCTAATTCCATAATTCTGGTTCTGTATAAATCATTTACCAATTCAAGTTCAGATATTCTAGTTTTTAATATAGTAACTTCATTATGAGAATTATATTGTGAATTGTTGTTGTTGTTGTTGTTATTATTATTGTTATTGTTATCATTGTTGTTATTATTATTGTTGTCACTATTATTATTATTATTGTTAAAATCTTTTTGATCATTACCTTCAGAAGCATTATTCTTTTCTTTTTCTGATTGTTGATCATTTGAACGGTTCTCCGTTTTTGATGATTGATCTTGTTGAAATCCTGAAGCTACTTGATATAATGGTGGTAAAGTTGGAGTTGAAGATCTTGAAGCAACTGCTTGAAATGCAGGAGATTTTTTATTTAAAGCAGGTAATTTTGGAGGAGTATTAGTATTAACACTTGAAAAAATTGAAGAAGTTGAACCATTTGATAAATTATCAGATTTATTTAATAATGATATTCCATTATTATAAGAATTATTAGAAGATTTAAAAGTAGCACTTGGACCTAATTCATTTGATAAATTTTCCAATACACCAGCAGCAGCAGCAGTTGAAATTGGTTCATTTCTAACAGCTGATGAAGATGTGGTTGATAATAATAATGGAGAAGTAATTCTTCTTAATCCTGGAGCAAATTGAGTTGGTGTAGATGATGGATAATGTAATGGTACTTGATGTAATACATGATTTGGTAAATGTATTGGATGATGATGACTATTATGTTGTTGATGATGTTGACTAATATTATGAGGTTGATGTTGCTGTTGCTGTTGTTGTTGTTGTTGATGGGAAGTAACAGGTAATATTGGTGTTAAATCGGAATTTTTAAATTTTTTCAATTTTGGAGATTTTTTACCTACTGAATTATTAATAGTAGTAGTAGTAGTACTATTATTATTATTACTAGTTTTTGATTTTAATTCTGGAGTATTTGATACAGATGATTTATTTGATATAGAAGGACTATTTTGTGATTGTTGATTAATATTATTATTATTATTACCTCCATTTTGTTTAACTCTATTTCTTGATTTTATAGTATCAGTTTTTAAACTTATTGGTCTTGGTCTTCCATGTAATTTTAAAAATAATCCACAAGCATTACATAATACTTGACCAGTTTCATCTCTTCTCCATAGAGGAGTAGTTTGAGTTTGACAATTACGACAAATTGGACTTGACATATTATTTTTATTACTCGAATCTTGTTGATGATGTTGTTGTTGTTGTGGTGTTGGTGGTGGTTGCTGTGATGATGGTAAGGATGTATTGATACTATTTTCATCTTCACTTTTAACTTTTGAAGGAGGAGTTGGAGGTAAATTTTGATTATTAATTATTTCACCAGTTTTGAAAAATGATTTTTGTTTAATATTTGATAAATTAATATGTTCATTTTTTAAATTATAAATATTTCCTTCACTTTGAGATAATTTTTGTTTTATATCCATTGATTGTTGTTGTTGTTGATTTGGTGGTGGTGGTTGTTGTTGAGAATTATTTGATAAAATTGAATTTGTTGAGGAAGATTTTGATGAGATTGTAGTATTATTATTTGCACTTGTTGGAGGACTATTTAATTGAACACTAGATGGACGATGTTGAACTTCAATTATTGCCATTTTTTCAAAAAACTTCTGAAGCTATATATATATATATATTAATTAATCAATGATATTAAGTATAATACAAATAAATTCAAAATTAAAGTTGAAATCAAAACAATTTGAAACTTGAAGAAAATATAAACAACCAAAATATTAAAAAACGAATGAAATTAAAATTCTTTATTATTCTTCTCTTTAAATTTTAATTAAAAATTAATGAATCCATATAATATATCAATGAAATATGACTGATTAATAGATTGATAATTTGATAATTTGATTGAATGAAAAAGATGAAAAAAAAAAACAAAACAAAATGAAATGATATAAAAATAAAAAAATGAAATGAAAATTTTATTATAATAGAATAGATGAATTATTATTTGTTATCTAATCTTTGAAAAATTTTTCAAAGAACAGAAAAAAAAAAAAAAAATTTTTTTATTTAATTTTAAATTTTAAATTTAAATTTATTTATCAGATAAATAAAAGATAGAGATAAATAGATAAATAGAGATAGATAGAGAGATAGATAGATAGAAATAGATAACAATTTATTTAATACATATAATTTTATATTTAGCAAACTAAACAGGTGATTACATATTTATTTATAACCTTTGTTACTACTTATTGATAGATTAGTTAATACTTTGTATTCATTTGATAATATATATAATCAATACTTTTTAATAATTATTGTATTTATCAAAACTTATCAATTTAATCTATTATTTATTAATTGTTATACTATTCCAATATTTAAATCTTCTCTCTCTCTCTTGTATTTGAAATAAATTAATAATAATTAATATACAGGTTTTACATATTTGATAATAATAAATAGAATTTAAGAAATTAAAGGGTTAAAAAGTTAAATTATTTATATAGTAGTGTATTGTTTTCAAAACTTTATTTTTATTTAGTTTATAATTCTAATTTAATTTAATTTAAACTTTTATTTACCAACATCCATACTGCAACAATCTATTATCACCGGTATATAATTATGAGTTTATCCTTAGCGTGCATTGTTTACGAATTATACTTTAATTATCTATGTTGGAAATAATGGAATACCATATTACTGTATTTATTTATAATGAATATAACAACTTATGGATAGGAATAATTTGTTGTCAAATTAGAAGAGTTATTTGATAATTAATATATACTTAGTTATAGTTTAATCTTTATATTCTAAAAAAAGAAAATTACTATCTTTCATGAGCTTAATTTTGTTGATTTTGTCGTTTTTAAATGTCTAATAATACCTTTAGAAATCAAAGTTGATTATATTCAATATTTATAAAAATGATTGACTACTTGTAATTAATAAATTTTCTATTATTGAATAATTTTGACTCTTAATGATGCCAATAACTTACAAGTTTTGAGATCAAATTCTTTAATAAAAAAACTTTTTAAAAATTTGTACCAATTTGCAACCAAATTACAAAAAAAAGCTAACATGAATAAGATAAGTAGAAACGAATAATTTTATTTAATGAGAACTAATATAGTAAATGAGTTAGTTATGTCGAGTCACTGTTTAATTAACTCTCCAGTTTTTGCTAACTATCTTTCGAATTAATCTTACAAACAAATAACTTGAATGATACATTAGATAAGTATTTCTCAAACCTCCCTACTTTACAATAAAAATTAATTAGGAATAAGTCAGCTTTTTTGTCAACCAACCTCAGTTGAGTTCTCAATTCGAATTCATACTGATAAATGAATTGTACTGATAAAATTCGAAGATATATATCGGATTCAATATATTATAATGATTATATCAATTTTCAAAATACTCTATTTTACTTTCGTGTGACTTTAAGGAACTATAACATATATTAATTTACGGGGATCGGAACTATTTAAAATTAAAATTCACAAGATATGTCAACTTTGCAAACCTAAATTAAAACTACTAAATAGATACCTCATGAAATTCATACCTTCAAGATTATCGTCACATACCTACTCTTTTTGTACACATGAATTTAAGTAAATCTGTTTCAATCAAATTAGAAATAATTTTATATTTATTTATTTGTTCTGTTTGTTTTTTAAAATTTAATTTTATTCGATCGTATATTTTGATCTCCCCCCTTTTAAATTTTTATAGTCTACACAATTTCAATAAATTTTTTTTCATTTTTATTTCTATTTATAGAATTTCATGTAAATTCAATTGTTTACATTAATAATTTCTATATTAAATCAAATAAATAGATAAAATAATCCTAGATTATAGATTCTGGTTATAGATTGGAAGATATATATATTAATTGATTTATAAATCTTAATATTGATAGTTTTTTTACACAACTCTGAATAAATAATAAAAAGTTGTTTTAAAAAGTATTAAAATGTTTTATTCAGCCTCTTTTCAAAAGATAATCCAAATTATTAATATTATGTATCATATAGAGTTATTTAAGATTTAAAGTTATGGAATTATAGAAACTATTACTTCTTAATTCTGACTTTATTCACTCAAAAATAATCTATTGATTCAATATTAATTATTTTTTTCAAGACATATTACTATACTATTATAATATTAAATATTAGAGCTAATTCTATAATAGCTTCAAGTGAGTAATGAAGTTATAGTTATAGTTAAATTTATTATTGTTACTTATCTATTACTTCTTTAATTTATTTCCAGTTTTTGTTAACGAATTTTTCTTTTTTATGTGTGTAAGAGACTATAACTAAAGTTTTAATTATTTCAATAATAAATAATAAATAATAATAATAGTTTTTTTTTTTCTCTTTGATTTTGATAAAAAAATAACAACAACATTTTTTTATATTAACAACCATTTGATTAATTATTTAATAAGTTAAATTTAATTAATCAATCAATCAATCAATCAATCGATCAATTATCTATCAATCATTTCAGATAAAGTCTCTTTTTATCATTAATTTACCGATCTTTATTTTAATTTTATTATATTACAATCATTTGATTTTTTAAATAATTTTTATAAATTAATAAAAGAACAAAGATATACATATATATATTCTTTTAAGTCACATTTTCATTCAAATAATAATTATACATACATAAATTTATAAAATGGTTAACGGTCCAGCTGAACTTCGTAGAAAATTAGTCATTGTTGGTGATGGTGCTTGTGGTAAAACTTGTTTATTAATTGTATTTTCAAAAGGTACTTTTCCAGAAGTTTATGTTCCAACTGTTTTTGAAAATTATGTTGCTGATGTTGAAGTTGATGGTAGAAAAGTTGAATTAGCTCTTTGGGATACTGCCGGTCAAGAAGATTATGATAGATTAAGACCTTTATCATATCCAGATTCAAATGTTATTTTAATTTGTTTTTCAGTTGATTCACCAGATTCTTTAGATAATGTTTTAGAAAAATGGATTTCAGAAGTTTTACATTTTTGTCAAGGTGTACCAATTATTTTAGTTGGTTGTAAATCAGATTTAAGAGATGATCCTCATACTATTGAAGCTTTAAGACAACAACAACAACAACCAGTTTCAACTTCAGAAGGTCAAGCTGTTGCTCAAAGAATTGGTGCTGCTGATTATTTAGAATGTTCTGCAAAAACTGGTAGAGGTGTTAGAGAAGTTTTTGAAGCAGCTACAAGAGCTTCATTAAAAACTAAAGATAAAAAGGAAAAGAAAAAGAAATGTGTTGTATTATAAGTAAAATAAATTAATAATAGTAATAATCATCAATCATAGTAATAAATTATTATCTTTTTCTTTTTATATTATATATAGTTTTTAGTTTTTGAATTTTTAATGGCATTCTTTAAAGTAAAGTAAATATTGAACTAATTTGATGTAAAGTTGGTTCGGTTCAATTCCAATCGACTAAAATTATAATTTTTTCGAATAAATTATCTACAAAAATTAATTTTTGTGTTGTACTTACGTGTTTTGAATTGAAAAAAAAAAAACATAACTACAACAACTAATTAATCAAGTCTCAACATACTTATAACAACTAAAAATGGGGTCGTTGAGATCATTCATTAAAGCTGTTAGAAAAGCAAAGACAATTGCTGATGAAAGAGCAGTCATTCAAAAGGAATCAGCAGCAATAAGAACATCATTCAGAGATGTTTCACTTGATCATACTACAAGGAGAATTAATATATCTAAATTACTTTATCTTTATATAATGGGAGAAAAAACTCATTTTGGTCAAGTTGAATGTCTTAAATTATTAGCATCACCAAGATTTGCTGATAAAAGATTAGGTTATTTAGCTTGTATGCTAATTTTAGATGAAAATCAAGAGGTACTTACATTATTAACAAATTCATTGGATAATGATATGCAACATCCAAATGCTTATATAGTGGGATTAGCACTTTGTTGTCTTGGAAATATTGCATCACCTGAATTAGCAAGAGATTTATATCAAAATGTAGAGACTATAATGGATTCAAAGAATAATTTTTTAAAGAAAAAAGCATGTTTTGTTGCAGCAAAATTAGTTGAAAAAGAACCAGATTTATCTGAATTTTTCTTACCAAAAGCATTGGAATTAATAAATGAAAAAAATTCATCAGTATTATTAGGATCTTTAAGATTAATTCAAGCCTTGTATGCAATTGGAGAAACTGATGTAACTTCAACATTACCTAAAATTGTAAATCATTTAAAAAGAGTTTCAACAAGTGGATATCAACCAGATTATGATGTAATGGGAACTACTGATCCTTTTCTACAAGTGAGTCTATTAGAAACAATTAGAATCCTTGGTGGTAATTCAGAAGAAATTAATGATATATTGACTCAAGTAGCTTCATTGGATAGTGGCAAGAATGCAGCAAATGCAATATTATATGAATGTGTTAAAACTATCTTTGCAATTGATGCTGATCAATCATTAAAAATTTTGGGTGTTAATATTCTAGGTAAATTTTTATCAACAAAAGATAATAATACAAGATATGTGGCATTAGATACATTATTAAGTATTGTGAATATAGAACCATTAGCAGTTCAAAGACATAGAGCTACTATCGTTAGTTGTTTAACTGATGGTGATATTTCAATAAGAAGAAGAGCATTAGAATTAGCATTTGGTATAATAAATGAACAAAATATAAGAGTTGTTACTAGAGAAGTTTTAACATTTTTATCCAGCTGTACGGATCAGGAGTTAAAGCTGTATGTTACATCTCAACTTACCATTGCAGCTAACAAATATTCTCCAAATGACAAATGGCATTTTGACACATTAATTAGAATTTTAGAGAGTGGAGGGAATTCTTTAACTCAAGATATCATATCAAATATTCTTGCATTAATTCTACAGTGTGATGACCAAGAATTGAAAAAACATGTTGTTTCCAAATTATATGAATCTAGTTTGAAAGATAATAATCAATATGGTTTAGTTTTAATTAGTATTTGGTCATTAGGTGAATATGGTGAGTTAATTTTAGGAAATGAAGTAACAGAATCAAACATTACGGATTTATTTGAAACCATCTTGGAAAATTCTACTTTCTCGAGCAATGAGATCATTCAATTAACAATATTCATTCTCACGGCTGTACTTAAATTATCTATTAAATTTAAGAATTCAAAAGTAATTGAAAGATTACGAAATATAATAAATTCCAAAACTTATGATTCAAATTTAGAAATTCAAACTAGAGCTGTTGAGTATCAGGAAATATTTGGTCAAGATTCTAGTTTAAAGAGAGGATTATTAGCAAGAATGCCAGCACCACCTGTAAAACAAAGAGAAGCCTTAAAATTGCATAATAATAACAGCAATAACAATCATACCAATACTAATAAAAAATTTGATTCAAGCATTGGTGAAACTCAAAATAATTTACTCGATTTAATTGATACAGATGATTTACCAACAACATCACAAGAAAATGACGTGTTATCAGATATATTTGGAGATAATTCAGTAACAAAAGCATCACCGTCATCATCATCACATGTCAATGAAATTAATGCATTTGAGAATTCAAATTTAAAAGTCTCATTTATACCCAAAAAGTTTTCAAATGGTGAAGCAATAATTGAAGCAATTGTTTCATCAAATAAATTAATCAATCAATTTCAATTATTAATTGCAGTTCCAAAATCTCAAAAATTAACAATAACCTCAACTTCTGGTGATACTTTAAATTTAGGACAAAAAATTCATCAAAATTTAAAAATTGTTGGTAAAGAAGGTTCAAAAATTAAACTTAGAGTTAAATTAAAATATAATTACAATAATGAATCAATTGAAGATCAATTTGATTTTAGTGGATTTAATGAAACTTTATAATTTATTAATGAAACATTCAATAAATAAAATTAGAATTTTTTTTTTTTAAAACAAAATCAAAAATAAAGTTTTATTTTTTTTTGTTTGTATATTTGAAAATATTTAACCCATTTTGCATCAATAACTATAGAAATTTTTTTGCTAGAAGTTTCAATTGATACACAATAAAAAAATTATTTCAGCAAATTTATATTTGATTGGCTCTTGTAGTAGTTTAAGTTTTTCTACTTGTTTATTCTAAAATTATTATCAATTATAAAACATCAATCAAAAAATATGTTTAAAAAATCAATTCAATTGGGTTTACCAAGAAGAACAACTATCAACACAAATTTACAATTTGTAAGAAGAATTTCAGCAGATATTAATAATGGTCAAGCTGGTCAAAAAACTTGGCCAAATATAGAAAGTTTTGTAAATACTTTCCGTAGAGAAGGTTATAGTTTAATTGGTTGGGGTGTAGCATTAAGTGCAATATTATTTTGGGGACCATATTTAACTGTTAAAGGTTCAAAAGCAGTAGATCATGTACCACATGATACTGGTGCTCAAGTTAAATTAGAAAAAATTGGATTTAATGATTATAAACCAGTAGTTGATATTCCACAAACTTATGTCAAACCAGATAAAGATGTTGATGATGAAGCTGAAGACGTTGATGTTGAAGATGAAGATTAAATTAATTAAAAGAAGATGCACATTCAGCTGCAGGTTGGACTTTATGAAACATCCCTAATCGCAAAGCAGACAAGTTTAAAATTAATATTTCTTAACTGAATTTATTAACTATATAAACTATTTCATGCATTAAATATATTTAATAAAGAACCAATTCTATTAAATCTAACAATATTTTTAACTTGCCTATTTTGTAAAATTTGTAAAGTTTGTAATTCAGAATCTAATAAATATTCTTCTTCATGACCTTGAACATCTTTACGATTACATTTATCTAATAAAATTTTATTTTCTTGAATAAATTCATTTATAATATTAATAACTTCTGCCATATCAAAGATTAAACAATTTATTAAATTTTCATATGATTGAAACTCTTTATATCTGAATAAATAAAAAGTCTTTGAGGCAGCTCTATCTGCACTTCTTGGAATTTCTTGTATTTCGATAATATTAGCTTTTATTAATTGATAAATTTCATTTCTTACGGTTTTTTCTTTTAATAAAACTTGTTGTGATATAGCTTTTTCATCAGCTAATTTCAATTGTTTTATACATCGCAAAATTCTAAATGCTTGATCATGTAATGTTGATTTTATAATTGCTTCAAAGTTGTATCGTTGAACCATTTTGGATGTGTGATAAAATGAAACACTATATCTACCTGGTGAAGTTTCAATTAATAACTTTGCAGTTACTAATAACTGTAGATGTTGTTTAATTGTCGACAATTTTTCGTCTTCATCTTCATGATTATGACCATTTTCTAACTTTATTTTCTTTGTTGGTGGTCCATCAATATCTTCATTATCTTCTTTATACGTTACAATTGAGTTTTTTATATTAATATTTTTTGTTAAATATTTTGAAACATCTTTTACTGAAAAAGTAATTTTATTATCAGAAACTAAATTTCTTTCTTGATTAATTTTAAATTCTTCAACATCTCCTGGTAAATTAAGTAAATCAGATATTTCAATAAAAGGATGTGTTAAATCGGGACTATTGGATTCAATACTTTTCAAACCAGCTTCATAAATTTTAGAAGTAATTAATCCAATTCTTGAAAATGCTAATTTTGTATATGAATCTGTTCTTGAATGTTTTTGATACCTTGATAAATTAAATGTTAATATTAGTTCAGGATTTAATTTTTTATAACCATATTCTGAAATATATATATCTTCATTTGGTTGAGTTTCCAATAATTTAATTAATTTTTCTTTACATATACTTTTAACTTCTGCCACTCTTTTAACTTCAGATATTGTTGCAGATCTTGGAGTATTATTCATAGTATCATCATAAATATTTTGCCAAATATCATTAATATCATTATAATCATAATCTTTTAAAATTTTTAACCAATGATCATTAAATAATTTTATAAACAATTTTTCTTTTTTAATTCTAATTTCATCATTAAATTGTTTTAAATAATCTTCAAGTTTTATATGACCTAATTCCAAGATATTTTGTATAATTTCAGCTTCTTCATTTCCATATTCTTGAGTTATATAATTTAAAATATCTCCACTATGAATTAATTTTAATATACCAATTTCATTAAATGAATAATATGTAATTTTTTTAATTTGATCAGTCCAAAAATTTATACAACTTAATTGAATTAATGATACTAATGAAGATTTTATTGATTTTAAAGTTAAATTTGTTTTAATACTTAATTCTTTTGAAGTTAATCTACCATTTGAAATTAAAGTAATAATTATTTTTGATGCAATTTCTCCTAAATGATTTAAAGCTATTATAGAATATAAATAAGATTTTGGAGACTGAGCTTTTACTATTTCAAAATTGTCATCATCCATTACTTGGTTGTAATAATGAATACTTTTAAAATTTAAATTATAAAATCTTAATAATTCGTATATTCATTGTCATAATAAAAAATTTATTTTAGAGCTGAGAGATATTTTTGATTTTGTGTTGGTAGTAATGTCTTAAAGAGGATTACTGACTCTCGTACCAAAGTAGTACGAAATTTTAATAAATTTCTTTCGCGATAATCCTATGCCTCAGGTCCAAACCGCACCAACGTTGTTTTTTTTATTTTGTTAGAACTAATAAAACATTTAATAATAATTGATATTTGTTTCAGATTATATTTAAAAGGGAGTCAAAAAAAAATCATATTTCCAAAGGAATGGAGTAAAGGATTACAAATAAATCATTTATTTTCTTAAATCTAAATTATTTAATATATTGTTTATAATTATTGTTAATACTATAAAATATTATTATTATTATTATCAATATACATAAAGAATAGTTGACTAATTGACATATACGTAATAAATAAATAAATAATTTTACTTAGTTCTTGGTAGTAGTAGTCATTTATTGATTTTCAGTTTTTTAATTTTGATAATACCAAATTCTATTTTAAATTTGTAGTTTACTGTGTAATTAAAATTTAAATTGTTATGAATGAATATATACCCATCTAAAAATAAATGATATATTTTGGATTTTCCCAATGAATCATTTCTCAAAGTGATGACTTAATGAACATAATTCCCTACTACAATAACTTTTATTATTACTATCATTAATTATCTTAAATTATGTAATAGTAATATAACTATACATTAACTCTTCCTCTCTCTCTTTAAATTCTATATTATAATAATTTATTAGTCTTCATATTTACATATATTAAAAATCATTATCTTATCAATAAGGAAAAAAAAAATAAAATATAAAATATAAAATAATTATTTCTTTAATTTATTTATTTACAACCAAATTTATTAACAAATTTAATTTGTATTTTACATAATTCATTATCATCATTTCCTATTCCATTTAACTTGTCATTGAATTCAAATCAAATCAAGTTATAAATCAAAGTTATATAAAATTTTAATTTTATAGTTTTTTGTTATTTTATCATAACAAATATTTATATACTACTACACTTTTTTTATTATCATTAAAAAGGTTGTAATCAATCCTAAAAACCTTTACCTTCATTTCATTAAGTTTAATTAATTGATTCATTAATTAGTATTAACTTCAAAAGAAATTAAAAGTATCAATCAATATATTGTATTTTTAATTTCAATTGATAATTCCCCTGGTGTGTAATTTTGGAAATCCTTATACACGTCAATTTAATTTAAAAAATTTATTGCCAATTTATCAACAAATAGATATAAATTATAGGCTCATTTTCATCAATCAATAAATCATTATTATAATCAATAAGCTTATCATGCTAATACGGAACTTGTAATATTCATTTCTACATCAAAAATTTTATTTGCCACAATTTCTTATTTTCAATCTTTTCCTTTTTTTTTATATTGATTTAATACTCAAAATATTGAAATGTCTGATTATAAAATTCAATCTGATGCTGTTGCTAAAAAGCAAACTGCTAAATTAACTCAAGTTTTAATAAATTTTTTCACAAAAGCTGCTCAAATTATATTGGATTCAAGGTCTGAACCAAAACTACATAGTACATCACCATCACCGTATAATGAAGAAGAAATTAATCAAAAAATTAATAAATGGTTTAATCTTCATATGATCTCATCAACTAAAGAAGATTTAAAATTATGGAAAAGTTCAGATTTAAATTCAATTCCTCCAATGATTATTGAAACTTATTTGGATTTAAGACAATTACCTTCTAATCAAACTTTAGTTTTATTTGATGATGAAAAACATCCATGGACTGTTGCTAAATCAAATGGTAAAAAACAAGAAGTAGTTTTAGAAAGATGGTTAATAGAATTTGATCAGAAACAATCAAATCAATTAATAGATGAATTACCTACTATATATAAACAAGCTATTGTATTATTTAGAACAATTTATGGATATTCAAGATTAATGCCATCTTATAAATTAAAAAAAAAGCAATCGAATAAATTACCATTAGGAAATAAAATCTTAGATGGTAACCAACCAATAAGTTCAAAAGGTAGAATTGGTTTATCAAAATCAATAATTGAATTAAATGAATCACATACTACACAAAAGTTTTTCACACCAATAAATACAAGTTTAGGTATATTAAAAATTTCAATTGCTTATAGAAATCATTATGATTTTGGATTACATGAACATGAAGAAGTATTATCAGTTCATTTTACAAAACATGATGAAGATGTTAAAAATAATATGTCATCATTATCGCCTTGTTCATCTTTAAATTCATCAAAAGATCATAATATACTGTATTTAAAAGAAATGTCTACTTCACCAAAAAGATCTTCACCACCAATTACTCAAAGAGTTCCCATACAACCAATACCAAATCAACAACAATCTTCAAATATTCAACAATCTACTTCATTAGAAAGAAAGATTTCAATAACAAGTAGTAAATCAATATCAAATGCTTCATTAGCTGCATTTTTAAGAAATCCAAGAAGTAATGCACCATCAACAAATAATATACCAATTGTAAATAATAATTCTTATAGTACTTCATTTCCAAGATCTATAAGTTCATCAACTGGTAATGATGATTCTATTTTTCAGAATCCGGATTCAAATAATAATACACCAAGATTTTCATCATCATTTGGATCAAGAGCAAGTAGAAGATTTAGTAATACTAGTATACGTCAACAAACTCCACTGTCTGATTATTTTAATCAAAGTAATAATAGTGTTGATGCAGCGTTAAGTGGATTATATATGGATGATGATATAAATGATTTTGTTAGAATGATTGATAGTAAATCAGATTTAAAATTATCTGGAGGTAGTAATAATACTAATGAATCTTTTAAAAACAAACCAATAAAAGAAATTCATAATGATGAAGATGAAGATGAAGAAGGTCAAGAATTACAAAAATATCAACATTTAAGAGATAAATATTCACAATTGGGAGATAGTGTTAATGCTGGTGTTAAAGATGATTTGTTATTTCCAATGAGTGATATGAATTCTAAATAGAGTTACATCATACTTTATAATATATTACCTGCAATCATTTAATTCTTGGTGTAGTCTGTTTTTTCAAAATATATTTCTTTGATTATAATGATGCAAAACTTGATTATTAAATCATGCTTTTTAATATTACAAAATAATTGTAATTTTGATTACTTTTACTTCGAATTTTGTATATACGGCAAAGTTAGTTTTACTTTCAAAATTTGTATAAACGGCAATAGACAGTTTCAATTAATCTAATAAAATAAAATTGGAGTTTTATTAATTGTTCTATTTATTACTCCTTAACTAATATCGAAATTAAAACAACAACATTGATTTATATTTAATATTATTTATTATTTATTATGTATTATTAATTATTGTTATATACTAGACTATATTTTAAATTACTATCTAATTTAAAATCTAATAAATATTTGTTAGCCAATTTGAAATAAAAAATCAACAATCAACAACCAATTGTTTTATAATCGTGATTATTATTTTTATCATTATTATTATTATTACCATTTATTATATCTCTTCATTATATCTCATTTAGTTGAAACATCAACAATCAAAATGCATTCCAATTGTTTCTAAAAATTATCTTTAATTTAATTTAATCAGTTCCATCACCATCTTGACCTGGATTACATGATTTATAACCCAAGAAAGTTAATAATCTCCAAACACCAAAAGCTAATACTGCACCTAAAATTGGACCAACCCAATAAATCCAATGATAATTTGGGAAAGATCTTGCAGCAATACATGGACCAAAACTTCTTGCAGGATTTAAACCAGCACCAGTATAATAAACACAAACTAAATGACCTAAAAATAATGAAATACCAATAACTAATGGTGCCATAAAAGTAGCTCTTGATTTTTCAACAGCCATCATTAAAACAGTAAAACATAAAATAAAAGTACCAAAAGCTTCTAAAAATACTCCTCTTGATCTTGAAGCATCACCACCTAAACCATTAGTAAAAGCAATTTCACCAGGAGTCATAGCAGAAGCAGCACCAGCAGCAGCCATACCAGCAATCATTTGAGCAATCATCATAATAACCCCTCTAATTGGAGGAACAGCTTGAGCTAATATTAAAGTTAAAGTAACAGCAGGATTTAAATTACCACCAGAAACTCTAAAAAACATAAAAACACCCATCATAACACTAAAACCAAAACCAAAAGAAATCATTAATAATTGTTGAGGATTTGAACCTTGACCAGGTTTTGGAATAGTTGGATCTTGATTTGCAATTTGAGCAATAACAAAAGCAGTCCATAAAAATATAAATGTACCAAAAAATTCACCTAAAAATGCAATTAAATGATTTTTAAAAGCAGAATTAGTATATTGTTCATCATATTCTGGTTCATATAATGGAATTTGAGCTTCAATTTCATTTGGTGATAATTCAGGAGTTTGACTTTCTTGTTCTTTCATTTTCTAATTAATTGAATTGAATTGAAGTTGAATTATGATATAAATAAATAAATATATGATATATAATTGATTTGATTAACATATAATAATTAAACAAATAGAAAAAGTTTGAAATAAAAACGGGGATTATAATTTTATATTTATATTATTCTATAAGAATTATAAATTATAAATAAAAATAAATAAAATAAAAATATAAATGGAAACGTGAAAACTTAAAAAAAGTATATTAAATATAAAAAAAATATATAAATTACACAAAATAAGTTTATAAACAATATTAAGTATGGGATCTTATATAACATTTTTAAAGTTACAAAAAACAGAATTAAATTAAAAATAACACAAAAAATTAAAATAAAAAAAAAAAGAAATTTAAAATTTAAAATAAATTTATATTTAATCATTTAATAAATTAATAAAATTTTATTAATATTATTATGTATAAGCAAACATTAAGAATAATTGAAAATAATACAACGATAATAACTTCAACTTCAATGAAATAATAACAGATATCAAATAATTCAGAATTTCAATTATTTTATAAGGCCAATTGATTTATTAATACTTTTTCTTCTCAACTCTTATTATATTTCAAGTTCAATAGAAATTTAAAATTTAAATTAAAAGAATAATAAAATATTTAATATCTAAGTGAATGAAATATAAGTTTAATAACATACATAACAATAAGAAGAAGTATAAGAATAACAAATATGAGAAGTACATATATTTATAAATTACTCTAAGTATTACAAAAAGGTATTTTAAAAGAGTTTAAAGAATATTTAAGTCAAATTCATTATAATCAAATTCATTATAAAAAAAATGGGATAAATAATATGAAATTATGGAAATATGTCAAATAATTATTATGAAATATTATAAATGGTATAAAATTATAATAAAATATTATTATTATTAATACTTTAGTAGTATTTTGACACTGTTAAAGAAAGAAATTGGAATAGTTATTTGAAAAAGGTTACATAAATTTAAACAATTCAATTAGTCATTTAATAAATCAAAAAAGTTACAGCCATTAAAATTTAATATAATTTAATTGTTAAATGTTGTAAATAAACTTTATAATATTTATCAAAACCTTAGATCCATTTTCTGAATTAAGTTAAATTTAATCAAAATCTAAATTTTTTTTAAAAACTTATAATAAACATATAATTGAACCAATTTTAAGTTTATATTTTGACATATCATCGATTTAAAAAGGGTTAGAAATATTATATAACTTAATTATTCATATTAATTGGAATATTTATATCATCTATTGTTTTTAGTTTATAAGAAAGAGACGTTTTATAATTTTTGGGGAGATTAAAAAGTAGTAGAAAAAAAATTTTGTAACTGAAATTTTCTTCATTTTTGTAACTAAAAAAAATCCAAAATATCCTAAAACTATTTTACTAATATTTTAAGTTTTAATATTAATTGCATAGAATAATAAAAATTTCTTTCTTTATTTTTTGTAAATCTTTTTTTATTTTTTCAATTTTTTTTTATTGTTAATTTTGGTCTATACTAATTACATTAACTTCATTAACCAATTCTTATAATAATATTTTTTTTTTTAATTCTTCACACCATACATAATTATATCCAAAAATTTTATAAGGTCTAAGTTTCATTTGAATATATTTAAGTTTAGTATAAAATTGTTTAATCAAATTAACTAAATTTTAAACTCGTAAAACTCTTTTTAGTTATAGTTTAGTTTATTATTATAAATTTTAAATATAATATTTTAAATACAATTCATATTAATATATTATATTATGTATATCAATTGAATAAACTAAAAAGTTATTTTTAGTAACCTTTTGTTTTCTAGATTTACTAAATAATTTAAATTTGAAATTATTTAAATTTAATTTAATTGAAATTTCAGAATTTTAATTCTGATATATTTATTTTCCTTAAATATTATTATTTGAATTAAATAAAAAAATAATTTAATAAAATATATTCTAACCAATACATATACATAATATGTACGTTATTGAGTTTTAATATTTATAATTTATATTAATTGAGTTAGTCGTTGAATAAATTATTACCTAATTGATTCAAATTTTAATGAGATGCGTCTTTAAGTTCAAATATTATAAATTTCTTTTGTCAACGTTAAGCATCAATCACTTAATCAAGACCAAAATTCAAGAACCAATGATAATATTGGGAATTATCTCTTCTCTTTCTTCATCAATTAGTATGTGGTCATTCGATAAAGTCTCAAGTATAAAAAGTAAAAATTTAATATTTAAATTTTAATGTTACATAATAAAAAAAATTTCAATAATGTTATTACCCCAATTTTTTTAGGTTTAATTCCACTCGAAATATCGGACATCATATAGATAAACTAATTTAATCATATGTTGATCTTAAAAAAGTAACTTACAACGGACCGGAATTTTTGAATCGAACGTATATGGAGAACGAAAATTCAGTATTAAAAAATATAATTTAGTTTTCTGATTGTTAATAAATTTATACTCAAAAGTATATACATTTGTCGACATCAGTATGTTTATTAAGAAGTATAAAGCAATAAGCCACTTCAACAATTCTATGTCAAAGGTGATCAATTCTGAAATTCAATTTCATTCTCGAATGGTATTCAAACGGCTTTTGATCTACTTTGTGGAAGACAATTTTTTTTGTCCATATGATTTTTGTGTACACAAAGCTGACCTTGCTTTGTGGCAAGCTCATACATAAATCCAAATTCTTCTATATATGCATGTATAATTTATAAAATGTATTTGGATTAACCAATTTCCGATTGTACAAAATTAAATCGAACTTTTTTTGAAAATAGTTGTATCCAGGCTGTATACCTATAAACTTTCAATTAAACACAATAAAACATTCGCTTGCTGAAAGTTTTTCGTAAAGGATATGTAAAACTTTTTGTGCAATTTGTACGAAAAGATTTACAGAAGGATCCTAATTCTCACCTGAAACTCTTCATTAACTCCTAACTTTTATTTAGTTTTCTGGACCAAAGTGAGGCACATTATTTCATGACTAAACAAAATACTTAATTCCTATTTGTTGCTAATTTTAGAAAAACTTTAACTTTACTGTTATTTGTTCGGATAAAATTAAATAATATTTTTAAAAATTTATTTTACGAATGCAATAGTTCCGTGTGTCAAAAACCGCTGTATGTCATAGTTTAAGATTTACGTCATTACCAAAGTATCACAATTATGCGACAATGTAAATGTTTTGACACCAACTGGTTCTTAATTTTTTTAAACTAAAAATAATTAATTATATAATAATAAGATCATTAATATAAATCAAAGAAATATTAAATCCATTAATACAGGGTATTTTAAACAGATATAATTTTACCCTATTTAATTAGTCATTAATCACATGTCTAATTGAGTAATAGTCAAGTAATGAGTAATAACTTTTCATCACCAATTAATAATAAATCCAACAAACTACGAAATAATCATCAAAAGCAACAGCGTAAATCACATTATTTAATAAATCAATCAAATAAAAATAACAATAGCTACAGTAATACATCATTAAGCTTAAACCATAATATTACGTATAACAATTCAAGTCTAAATCAATCAATCAATCAAACTACTAATCAATTCAAAGCAAAAGATGCAGATGAAGTAATAAATTGGATTGATGATTTAAAACAAAGATATCAAAATTTAAAAATTAAACAACAAAACGAATTTAAAATTTTACAAGATGAACAAAAATCTGAAATTGAAAATTTAAAAAGAAAAGAAAACTTAAGAAAGAAATATTTTAATGATGAATTTAATAAATTAGGTCAATTTTTACAAGATAAAGAATTAAAAGAAAATGAATTAATTGAACAATCAAGAATTAGAAATCTACGGAAGAATGAAGAAAGTTTTGATCATAATAATAATGAATCACGGCATCTAGCTGACGAGTTTTCACTGAATCAATACGATGAATATGACGAAGATGAAGTTGAAGAAGAAGAAGAAGAAGAAGAAGAAGAAGAAGAAGAAGAAGAAGAAGAAGAAGAACTTCACATACCACAGCCGATAAGTACTAGTGGCTTAACCTCCAATTATAAAGATCAAGGTCAAAATGTTGAAGAAGCTATAGAAATCTTATCAGAATCAGAATCTGAAGTAGATCAAGAATTAGAAGAAGAGGAAGAAGATGTGGAACAAGCTTACGATGAGGATGATGAAGTCAATACAAATAATTTTTTCAGTCCACAAAACTTATACAACTTAGATCATAATAATATGGCTCCTTTTAGTAACAGTCTACAATATGCACAACAAGCAATTGATCATAGAAAAATAAATCCATACGGAAGTGGCTATGGGTATGTGGAAGACCAAGCGGAGGAAGAGCTGGAAGAAGACGAAGAAGATGATGAAGACGAAGACGAAGATGAAGACGAAGACGAAGGGGAAGTAGAAGAATTGATAGAAGAAGAAGAAGAATTGATAGAAGACGATGAAGAACATGAAGATAACGAAGACCAACTTATGCTAGAAGATAATGCCTATCATGTAAAAGCAAATCAAAATTACCAAAACCTAGACGATAGTATTGACATCGAAGAAGAATCTAGATCAGATATATATGACGAGCTGGATGAAGAACCCAATAGCGATGATAGAAAATTTATTAATGATGAAGATGAAGATGAAGAAGTGGAAGACCAATACAATCCAGATTTGAATTTTGCAAACTCAGGTGAAAATCACAACCAAGAAAATATTATAAGTTTGGATAATAATGCACTTCTGCATGAACAAAAAAGTGATGGAATTCAAGAAAATGAAGTTGAAGTAAATGAGTCAGAAGTTGAGGCAGAAGATTGGGATGGCATAGCCGAAGATGATTATAGTGATGAGGTAGAAGACCTAAGTGAACAAGAAATTGAGGTAGAAGATCAAAGTGAGAAAGAACAAGATAGAGAACACCAAAATAGCTCAGTTTATGATCAAAGTGATGATGATGATGATGATGTAAGATCATCACCTGAGCAACTGGAAAGACCTTCTAATTTTGACTCCCAAGCTGAAGATTATGCAGATGAAGAAAAAGAAGATGATACTGATGATAGACCAAAATTATCTGCCCATACTTATAATACTTTAATGCAATTTGCTTCTAGTGCTTTAGGTGAAAGGAACATACATAATTTTAAAGGGACTCATTCTCAATCAGGATATATGGCAGATTCTGAATTTACTGATAATAATTTAGCAAGATATAACTCCATAAAAGAGGATGAAGAATTAAATTCTGACTCTGATTCAAATCTCAATGAAAATGATTATAGACCTGAAGATTTTGCTCCCTTACCAGATGCGTTTTATGCTCATGAATTAAGCAACCAAAAAATTTGGATTAACGATTTAGATGATAATAGATCTGATGCTTCATTAGCTGATGAAAGTCAATTTGAATCTATGAAAAGTGATTATCATCAATCAAATGTGAGAGGTTTTCAACCTTCAAATGTTGAATATGAACTGAAGCCAATATATGAGAGAAAGGAAGAAGAAGAGGAAGAAGAAGAGGAAGAAGAAGAGGAAGAAGAAGAGGAAGAAGAAGAAGATGTCGAAATGGAGACTGCTACTGAAGACGCTATTGCCTCAACTTTGGAAGAATCAAATATAGCAGAGTCTGCAGATGAAGGACCACCCATCCCAGTATTCAAATCAATTGAAGAAGAAGAACCTGAAATTACTTTACAAAAATTAAAGGAAACTGAATTAAAATACAATATTAAAATAAACGCTGTTGAAGATTTAGAAAGAAGTATACGATCATCATCATCCGAAACCACGAATGAAACAATTGATCAAATTATTAAAAGAGCAATTGACTCAATTTCAGTCCCTGTTTTAGAGAGCATTGATGATCAAGTCGAGGAATATTCCACTCTTACTGAAGATTCAGACTCATCACCAGTGGAGGATGGCTCAGATATAATTGAAGTAGATGAAAACGAATTTAATAAGAATAAGGATGAAGAAACAGAGTCATCAAACACCGATCATGAGAAGAATTTTGCTGAAATTGATATTGATGATAATTTGGAAAATACCGAAATAGAGATCTACCCACCAGAATTAGATACTTTAAACGAGTCAGAAGAAGTGGATACTGCAAGAAAAGCTGCTGATCACGAAAACTCAACAACAGATCAAGTTGATAAAGATATTTTGGAGCAGTCAATAGGAGAAATTGAACAAATTGAAGCACCTGATTTGGATTCGGTACTTGATAACTCCATTATGGATGTGAACGAAAGTTTTGTCGAACAAGCTTCAACAATGGAAAGTAACAATGATGTTTCAGTCTTTAAAGAGGATCGAAATGTAATACAAATGGAGGATAATGTACCTTATGAAGCAGATAGTTCTGACGAATCAAAAACTGCACCAGCTGGAGATTCATCATCATATGATAACAACTTATTGCATCGCAATTTGACCACAGACTTCAAGTCAAGTTTTGTCTCACTGAATGGTCTTAATGTACATAAGAAACTAATGAATATATTCCCCAATGTCGGAAGTTTTAAGGATAAAATTCAATCGGGTTTATCAGAAGCAAATATATTGAAACTGATTGAAGAAAATGTGACTAATGAAGTAAAGAACACATTGGAAAATGCAGAAGATTTCATTGAAACAATGGATGTCGCTAAAAGTACTAATCAAGATGCCATAGATGTTGATGACAAAGTGAAAGAATTTTCAGAGCATACTATTGATAAGATCAAAGAAGTAGATGCTACAAAATTAATTAATGAAGTTAGAGAATCTGGATCAAGATTAGTTGAAGAAGTTAAAGAAACGTCAGAAAGTTTTGTCAATGACATCAAAGAAATCCGGTCCAATATATATGAAACAGCTGGAGATTTTGTTGAAAATATTGATCATTTTGAAAACAACGGTGAAGATGCAATGGATGTTGATGAAAAAGTTAAGGAAATTGCAAACCATGCTGTTGATAAAATAAGAGAAGTGGATGTTGCAAAAGTTGGTAAAAAAGTTAAAAAAGCTGGTTTACAATTAGCTGAAGAAGTTAAAGAAGCTGAAGAAGGTCTTGTTAAAGACGTCAGAGAAACTGGTTCCAAAATGTTAGAAACAGCGGAAGACTTTGTTGAAAAAATGGATGTTTTCGAAAGTAAAGATGAAAATGCAATTGATGTTGATGAAAGAGTGAAAGATTTTGTAGAACTTGCAGTTGCAAAATTGAAAAAAGTTGATGTTTCTGAAAAAAGTAAAGAAGCAAGAAATTTTGCTGAAAATCTTGTGGATCAAGTTGAAGATGTTGGTACCAATATACTAGAAACAGCGGAAAAATTTGTTGAAGATATGGATATTCTTGAAAGCAACGATGAAAATGCTATAGATGTTGATGAAAAGGTTAAGCAAATCGCAAACCATGCTGTTGATAAAATAAGAGAAGTAGATGTTGCAAAAATTGGTAAACAAATTAAAGTAGCTGGTTCACAATTAACTGGAGAAGTTAAAGAAGTAGAAAAAGGTCTTGTTAAAGACGTCCGAGAACTTGGCTCCTATTTAGTTGAAGAAGTTGAAGAAACGGCAAAAGGGTTTGTTGAAGAAGTGAAAAAAACTGGGTCCAATTTATATGAAACGGCCAAAGAATTTGTTGAAAAAGTGGATGTTTTTGAGAGTAACGATGAAGCTGCCATAGATGTTGATGAGAAAGTGAAAGATTTTGCAGAGCATGCTGTTGGGAAATTAAAAGAAGTTGATTTCTCTCAAAGAAGTGAAGAAGCAAGAAAATTTACAGAAAATCTTGTGGACCAAGTTGAAGATGTTGGTAACAATGTACTAGAAACGGCAGAAGCATTTGTTGAAGAGATGGATGCTCTAGAAAGCACCGATGAAGATGCAATTAATGTTGATAAGAAAGTCCAAGATCTTGCAGATCATGCTATTGATAGGTTGAAAGAGGTAGATGTTGCAAAATTAAGTAAGGAAGTCAAAGAAGCTGGATCAAATCTAGCTGAAGAAGTTAAAGAGAGAATAGATGGTTTTGTTGGTGAAGTAAAAAAATCTGGATCCAACCTATATGAAACAGCAGAAAATTTTGTTGAAGAAATGGATACTTTTGAATGCAATGATGAAGATGCTATAAATATTGATGAAAAAGTCAAAGAGATTGCAGAGCATGCTTTCGATAAAATAAAAGAAGTAGATATTTCCAGATTGAGCAAAGAAGTTAAAGAATCTGGTTCACAATTAGCTGGAAAATTTGAAGAAACGGCAAAAGGTTTTGCTGAAGAGGTAAAAGAAGCTGGACTTGATGTATATGAAATGGCTGAAGATTTCGTTGAGAAAATCAATAATTCGGAAAGCAATGACGAAGATGCTATAGACGTTGATGAAAAAGTTGAAGAGCTTACGGAACATGCTATTGGTAAAATTAAAGAAGTTGATGTTGCAAAATTGAGTAAAGAAATCAAAGAATCTGGATCAGATTATATTGAAAAAGTTAAAGAAACTGCACATAATTTTGCGGAAGAAGTTAAAGATGTCGGGATCAATTTATTGGGAACTGCAGAAAATTTTGAGGAAGATTTAAATAACTTTGAAAGCAATGATGAAGATGCTATAGACGTCGACAAGAGGGTTGTCAACATACTTCAGAACAAATTTGATCAAACTAAAGTTAATGCATCGCATATTCTTGAAAGGACTAAAGAAATAGTCCCAACAATTGTAAATCGATTTGGGCAAACATTTGGACAAGTTACGGGAGCTACAAACTCAATTTTTAAAAATCTCAGGGACTTGAATAAAATTGACAGCAAGGGCGTTAAAGAAACTAAATCAAAATTTAACTTCCCTGAAATGCCATTTAATAAATTCAAGCGATACTTAACCGACAGAATACCTATTCATGATACTAAGGAAAAATTATCTGAGTTGGAATCAGAATCTTCGGAAGATGAAGACGGATTTGACACTATTACAGCTGAAATTTCATATACACGTCCATCTAAAAGAAGAAGAAGAAAAAGAAGGATGATTAGATCAGGAATTGAAACTTCAGAGATTTTTTCTCTCACTGACTTAGATAATGAAAAGTTGAAGAATGAAGAATTGAATGAAACAAATATAAATGATGAAGTTTTAGTTGAAAATCAAATAATTGAGGAAGAAGAAGTCATTATTGAAAGAACACCCCTTGGGTCTCCATTAGTAAATTCATTTAAAGAAATAAAAACAACTATTGATGAACTTAACGAAAAAATTAAAACAGAGGTCGAGGAAATTAAAATAAAAACAATTGATGAAAGTACAACTCTGGTAGGATCATCTACTGATACTGACTTAAAAGTATCTAAGAAAAGGAAAAGATCAAATAGACGGAAGATACTTGGTTTAGATTTAGAAGAAATTGAACAATTTGAATCTAGGAGTTTAAGAAACGGTCATAAATTTGGAACCAATGATCAAAATATTAATAGACCCAATTATGGCAATATAAATTTTTCGAGTGGAGAGGTACCATATTTACATCAAGATTCAGTTGAGGGATCAGATCATCCGGCTTCAAGAACAAGATCCAAATCACCTATGAAAAGACTGTTCGATGATATTGATTCAGTCCTTGATAATAGTAGTCCTACTAGAAAAGTTAGAAAAATATCAGATCTGATCACTGCTCCATACAATTCAGATGAAGAAAGAGGTCGATCAAGAGAAAAATGATGAAGTAATGATATTATATGTAATAAATAAATATTATGATGTTTAATGTATAATTGTATATATATGATCAAACAAGAACTTTATGCAAATAATCTATGCAAGATATTTCATTCCTAATTCAAATGTTCCAAAAAAGACCATACTTGTTATAAATGATCTTGTTACAGAAATACCTAAACCTCTATAAGAAATTTTCATTGGTTCCTTTTTTTTATCTTCTATAATTTCTCCCATTGAAATTCCATGTTGTTTACTTAATATACTTTTAACTACTTCATTTTGAATTAAAGATTTTGCAGTATCTACTGGAAATATAATAATCCAACTTAAAACTCCTGATAAACCTCCAGCTATTAATATTGCAAATGGTGAAGATTGTGTACCACTTAATAATAATTTAACCAGTTCATAAAAACTATAATATATTCCTGTAGAAACTGAATCTCTAAGTAAATGTAATTTAAATCCAGAATATAATCCTAATAAACCTTTATATTTTATTATATTACGCATTATTTGAATAGTTGATGTATTATTTAATTTTGCTCCAACTTTATTACCAACTAATTTTTCTAATTGTGCATAAACTTTTATAAATTCAAAAGGACAAGCAAATATCGAAACACAACCTCCTGCAATTAAACCTGATAAAAAACAAACAGGTAGATTCCTTATAAAAGGATGGTCTTCTTTAATATCACGATAAAATGAATTATTAAATAAACCATTATAAATATATGGTTTAGTATATGAATAAATTGAAACACTTAATGATTTTGAAAATGAAGTTGATATTAATGGAGCCCAAACACCTCTAAAAAATCCTTTAATACCTTCTTTTGCAAATGTCTTTTTAATACAATCATAATAACTTGTAAATTCTTTATGAGTTTGCATTCTTACTTTAATTGTATCTAATGGGAAACCAACAAATGTAGATACTAATGAAGATCCATATGCAATTATACTTGATCGTAGATATAATAAATCTTTTGGGAATATATGAATTGCATTTTTATGGTCTATATCACCAGTAATAGCAGGTATGGTTCCTCCATTTCTTTGCATCAAGTCCTCTATCAAGATAGTATTTTTCTTTTCGATTGAATTGTTCAAACTATAAATTGAAATCAAAAGTAATTTTGATTAGATCCGATATCTATGAAATTTATTATCTCGCGCAACTAAATAAAATTAAATTTATGCAGGTTTTGTATTTTTATGTATTTGGATACTAAATTTTGTTTTTCCGAAGATGAATAGATAAATCATTTACAAAACAATAATATATATACAAAGATTATGAGTAGACTCGTTACTCAAATAAAGAGACTTTTTCTATGACTTAACGATGAAAAAAGTTCATTCTATTATATTATACAGTTTCTCTTTCAAATGAGAAAATTCCAATAAATGGTTCTATATCATCAGGTCTTCCTTCAGGACATGGACCTTTAAATATTAGAGTCGGTATTTCTTCTTCTAAATTATTACCGTCTATTTCAACTTCATTAGTTTCATTAGTTTTATTATTATTATTTTCTTTTGCCATTAATGCATCATCTTTTATTGTTATTTTTGTAAAATCTATTCTTAACATTCCTTCCTCATCAATTACTACATATAATTTATATTTTTGATCAATTAAATCATTGCTATTATTATAATGTATTAAACCTTTTGTACTTCCTGTTATTAATCCCATAGTTGAACCAATACCCATAATATTTGCACCACCAATCCTCATATATAATCCACTTAATCCAAATGGAGAACAATGAATTTCTAAATCACATTCATTCGCATATTGAAAAGTTACTTGTTGATCTGATATCAATGGATTTGATGTTGATGAAGTTGTTGATGTCATTAAGTGAATTATTTGAATTGAATGTGAATCAATGAATCTTTAATTAGGTTTATGATTAAATGATTTTGAGCCTTCAATTTATATACTCATCCCACCTTATTTTCCAGTTATAACAAAGTATAAATTCTTAATGTTCTAATCTATTTTCAATAAGTTCAGATTATATTGATTATTGATATATTTGGATGAAATGTTTAGTTATAATTCCATATTATTTTATAAGTTATACTAAAAATACAAAAATAATTTATTCTTAAATTTACGAAGTAAAACTAAAAACATATAAAAATTATATGCATTACTTCACCAGATATTTAAATGTAAACGCCCTCTAATTTATAGTTTAAATCGAATTTTTGGTATATTTCATAATAAAACTCAAGCACACATTCTATGCTGCTCTCCACTAAGCCCATTTCTAATTTATTGAATCCAATCTTTGGTTATATAATTGATGATTTAACAATTGTTTATTATTCATTAGTTAAAAATCCTAATGAAACCTAAAGTAGTGTAAGTACCATTATTATAAACTATAACTTCAATGTCGCAACAAAAAATATGACAAAGAATATTTCAATTTTTTGCAACATATTTCATCCCAATTTACAGCAAAATTTAGAACATTCAGTTATATAATAGAATTTAAATTGATAATTATATAAATGTGTAACACTAAGCTGTAAAAAGGGCGTGTAAAAATACTTTTAACGTGTTGTTTATTGACTCTTTAAGTATCATAAATGAAAGTCAATTGACTTATTTTTTGTACATGTAATCAATTGAAAAGTTTCTTGTAATAAGTATACTAAATACAATTTATACATCTTATAATAGCTTACTTACTTCTATTCGTGTTATATGATTGATCTTTTTTATACCCGCTAATAATTGTTTACTTAATGATTTCAAGTAATTGGTAGCATTTTAGGATTAAAAGTAGCCTCGGTAGAATTTAATTTTTTTTAAGACAATTTATTTATAAGGTATAATTAAAGAAAGGACATCAAAAAAGACGGTTACATTTTCTAAATCTAAATACTACCAAACATAAAAATTTGAATTCTGATGTTGTTATCAAGAGTTGATAACAATTGTAAGCTACTGTAGTTGTTAATAATGAAATGAAGGAATATTTCTTTCCACTATAAAGATTAAAAAATAAATAGATTAATAGATTATAATAGTAAGTAAATAAATTAATCTAACCGTTATTAAATCTAGTATTAACTGGGTAGTGTAGATTTGATAAAATATTAAAATTTAAATAAAATGTAAAAAAAAGATAAAAGAGAATAAATTAAATTATTTTTTATGTGGGGAAAAAAAAAAATAAATATGTATGAAGATTTGTACCGATGTTAATATTAAATAGATTCCTATTAATTTTATCATTAAAATTAAGGAGAATTAAATCTTTAATTAATAATAGATCAATTCAATCTACAACAGTTAAAGTTAATAATCTATTACTTCTATAATTTGATCATTCATTAATCGACATTAATTAATAGTTATTCGAGTATATAAGTCAAACCTCGCTCTAAAAATTAAATAGAGGGAGAGCGAAAAATTAAAAATAAAAATTAAAAAATTAAAAAAATTAAAATTCACAAGCTTAATAAATTAATTTCTATTATTATAATTCTTACTCCATATTTCAAAATTCCTTTATTTATATATAAAATAATATTTCATTTTTTTACTTTTTTTATATTTGCCATTTTTTTTTCCATTTCATTTATTTATATTTTCATTAGAATTTTATAATTTTATTTACAACCAACAATTACAATTTATATATATAATCAAATTATAATCATTCCATATTATACTTATTCATTATTCAAATATAATTTATCAAATTACTTATAAAAAATAATCAAATTTAAAAACATATATACATATATAATTAAAAACAATGGGAGGTCATATTAAAAATAATAATAAAAAAGATATTTTATCTAAACATCCTGATGATGTTGTTATTGTAGCAGCTTATAGAACTGCTATTGGTAAAGGTTTTAAAGGTTCTTTTAAATCTGTTGGTTCAGAATATATTTTAACTGAATTTTTAAAAGAATTTTTAGCTAAAACTAAAGTTGATCCAAATTTAATTGAAGATGTTGCAATGGGTAATGTTTTAAATCAAGCTATTGGTGCTACTGAACATAGAGGTGCTTGTTTGGCTGCTGGTATTCCTTATACTAGTGCTTTTATTGGTATAAATAGATTTTGTTCTTCAGGTTTAATGGCTATATCTGATATTGCAAATAAAATTGCTGTTGGAGAAATTGATTGTGGTATTGGCGGTGGTATTGAATCTATGTCACAATATTATAAATCAACTATTCCTCAAATAGATCCTCATTTAGGTGAAGATGAACATGTTGCTTCATGTTTAATTCCAATGGGTATAACAAATGAAAATGTTGCAAATAAATATAATATTTCAAGAGAAAAACAAGATGAATTTAGTGCAAATTCTTATAATAAAGCTGAAAATGCTATTTCTAGTGGTGCTTTTAAAGATGAAATTTTACCAATTAAATCAATTATAAGAACTGAAGATGAAAATGGTAATATTACTGAAAAAGAAATATTAGTTGATACTGATGAAGGTCCAAGAAAGGGAGTTAGTGCTTCTGGTTTAGGTAAATTACCACCTGCATTTGGAGGTACTACAACTGCTGGTAATGCTTCACAAATTAGTGATGGTGCTGCTGCTGTTTTATTAATGAAAAGATCATTAGCTGAATCAAAAGGTTATCCAATTGTTGCTAAATTTGTTGCAGCAGTTGCAGTTGGTGTTCCACCAGAAATTATGGGTGTTGGTCCAGCTTTTGCTATACCAGAAGTTTTATCAAGAAGTGGTTTAAAAGTTGATGATATTGATGTATTTGAAATTAATGAAGCTTTTGCAGCTCAATGTCTTTATAGTGCAGAACAATGTAATGTTCCACAAGATAAATTAAATATAAATGGTGGTGCAATTGCTTTAGGTCATCCATTAGGTGTTACTGGTGCAAGACAATATGCTACAATTTTAAGATTATTAAAACAAGGTCAAATTGGTTTAACTTCTATGTGTATTGGTACTGGTATGGGTGCAGCTTCAATTTTAGTTAAAGAATAGATTTATTTATTTAGTTTTAATGTAAATAATAAAATATTAAACAATATATTATTACAAAAAGAATTCATTAAAGAATTTAATCATTTTTTTCTCTGAAGAATGTTTAAGTAAAACATCAAACTATCTTTAATTTATTACTATTATAATTACAAACAATAAGAATTGACTATTTAAAATAAACATTTGAAGTCTTTCTTTCAACTATTGGTTCCATTGTATTTGAATTGTCATATTCATCTTTTTCAATTGGATGATGAGCTCTATGTGGGAAATATACAACATTTACTGGTGGTAAATAATAATGAGATGAAATTGGAAAATATTTATATCCATCAATTGAATTTAAATCTATTGATGATGATTGATTTATTGAATAAGATGATGATGATGAAAGATTTAAATGATTTGAATTTTCTTTTTGAAATCTTGTAATTGAATCATTTTTCTTCTTGCTATCATCCATTGGTGAATTTTGATCATTACCACCATTGTTGTTATGGTTATTGTTATTGTAATTCTTATTATTGTTGTAACTCATTCCATAATCATTTCGTTCATCATTTGTTCTACCAGTATTGCTATAATGATCTTCATCATTTGAATCATTTTCTGCCATACCTGAATCTAAATCTTGGTCATGATCATTATCATGATCGTGGTCTTGATCATGTTCATTATCATTTAACCCATTACTATGATCTTCTTCTTCTTTAATATTTGATTCTGCAGCTAACTGGAAACTTTTTTTAGAATTAAATTGACGACATTTGATCAATAAATCTTTCCTTTCAGCATAAAAACTTGGATTTCTACCTCTCACTATAATTGGTTCACTAATTAATTCAGTTAAAAGAAACTCATTATTATTATTGTTACCACCATTTGAACCATTTTTATTGATCTCTGTTGGATCAATATCATCAACATAATCATCATAATAAATATCTGCCACTATACAACTTAATTTTATTTTTAAATGATAATAATTTTGAAAAGTTAGATTACCATTATTAGGAGTTGCGTTTTTAAATTGTAATTTTTTAACCATAAAATATTTATCTAATTCATTATTTTCAATTATACTTTCATTATTAAAAACTATTATATGTTCTTGAGATCCTATAGCTAAAGGTGAAATTATATCCTCTTTAGATTCATAATAATTTAATTTTTTATTTTCTTTATCTTTATCCTTTTCAATATCTTTTGGTTCATTTCTTATAATTATTGGAACATTTTTGGAATTTGATATATTTGTAGTTGCTAATATTTCAATTTTAAAATATTTTATAACTCTTGTTGTTGTATATCCATATTCACTTGTTTGTAATTTTAACAATTTAAAATCTTTTGTAACTCCATTTAATTTCATATTCATTAATAATTGAATATAATTTCTTCTATAACATGATACAACTTTTGGATCTTCTATTTGCGGACTGTCATGTTCAATTTTTATCATTTTATTTTTCTGAAGTTCATTTTTGGTGAAAATATAATTATTATTATCAGTATCATTAGTGAAAAATCTACCATTAAGAAACCCATTAAAGTCAACACTTATTTCATTATTATTATTATCAATAATTTTATAATCATTTATACTAGTTACACCTGATTGAGTAAAATCAAGTAATTTCTTCATTTTAAATGGCTTGTAATCAATTTGAAAATCAAATATTTGTTTACTATCTCGTTTTCTTCCCTTTGGTTTCTTCTTTTTAATAATATCTTCTTGTAGTTGAGGAGACTGGGATTGTCTATGTTCTTGCAGTTGATGATTCTGCAGCTGGTGTTGCTGCTGTTGTCTTTGAATTAATTGATGAGGTTGCGATTGTTGTTGGAATTGTTGCTGATTCTGCATTTGTTGTTGTTGTAACTGGTGTAGTTGTTGGTGTTGGTTTTGTTGTTGATTTTGCGGCTGGTTTTGTTGTTGTTGTTGTTGTTGTTGTTGTTGTTGATCAAATTGATAGGGTATTTGAGATTGTGAATTAAACCAATCAGATTCAAATTCTTCATAATTTCTTTGATTATAATTCATTTGTTGTGGGAAAGGAGAAGGAGAATGTAGTAATGGAGTCGTACCATCTGGATGAAATCGTTGTGATTGTTGTTGTTGTTGCGGAGGTTGCAGTTGTAGTTGTTGACCTCCTTGTTGTTGAGATAGTTGTTGCTGTAGTTGATTTGGCAATGATTGTGAATAAAGTTGTTGATATATAGGATTATGAAAATTAGTATAATGTTGTTGATTCATCATATTAATATTTGATTGATCAAATTGCAAATTATATGAATTATAATGATTTAAATGAGAAAATGGTTGATCAATCTCTTCATTAATTGGTTTATTAATAAAATTATTACTATTTAAAAAATCTTGATAACTTGTTGATATTGGTAAATTAATTGATTCATTATCATCTGTAATATTTTCATTTTTATTGAGACTTAATCTTTGATTATTATTTGTATCATTGTTGAGATCATTATCGTTATTAATATTATTATTGGATTTAATATTTGCTGAAGTTGAACTTTGTTGTTGTTGTTGTTGTTGTTGTTGTTGTTGTTGTTGTTGTTGTTGTTGTTGTTGTTGTTGTTGTTGCTGTAAATTTTGTTGTAAATTTTGTAAAGTCTCAGGTAAAAATAAAGAAGCTAAATCTTCAGTTCTATCACTTTTACTTGTTGAATTCATAATTGCATTATTATCACTATTAGTGAGATAATTTAAAATTAAATTTCCCAATTTGATTCAAGTAGTTGTGATTGAAATATATATATAATTGTTGATCTTGAATTTGGAATTATCAATAAATACAAAAAATAATATTTTTTCTTTTTGTAATATTTTATATTTTTGTTTTGTATTTTTATTTTTTATATTTTGTGTTATTTTCTTTTTTGTTAATAAAATAAAAAATTGTCTCTGTTTCTCAATATTTTGAATTTTTAGTTTTCAAAATTTTCAACAACTAAACGTTAGCACTTTTAATTAGTTAGAAATTTTAGTTTGAAATTGAGTAAATGTTTTATTGTTTTATTGATTATTGGGAGATTTGATTCAAAATTTTTGTATGGAAGTAGAAAATCAATAACAATTTGAATTTAATTTTAGAAATTAATTCTTCAGTTGTTTAAGTTAAAAGTGTCTATTGTAATGAAAATGAAGTAATTATTGTACTAATAAAAAGTTTGTGAAATAATTAATGAGTTTTTTATTTGAAATTGTCCTTAATTTCAATTGGAATGAATTGAAATGAAATTTTAATCTAAACTAAAATTAATAAAACTCTTGATATTCTTAATTCTTTTGATTTTATATTTATATAAATTTAATGACAAACAAACTTATTTATATTTATAAATTTTGTGATTAAGCTTTAAATTAATATACCCTCTTTTACTTTCTTTATCTTTTTCTTAAAAATGTAAAAACGAACTGTCTATATCTCAATCCTTTAATTGTAGAACGAAATAAACCTTAAAACCTCTTAAAAAATTAAAATTGTATAAAAAATTCGGAAATATACTTCTTAAGAAATTAATTATCAACAAAGAAACAATTATCAAAAGGAATTAAAGCAAATGTGTAGTAGAAAAGTTTAAATGTGTTTGATGAAAAAGTGAACAAGCAAGTAACTTTAAACTTTCAATATTTCAATAAAGTTTTTGAATGATATTTTTGTTAGAAAAAAAATAAATGATTTGACAAATTTCCTGTTTTTTCTTTAAAACAAGTTTTAGGGGGTTGAAGTTTAAATTTTTGATTTTTCTTAAATTTGAATTTGAGTTTGAATTGGAATTGGAATGGAACTTTGAGAATGATATATCTTTGTTTATTTTAAATGAACGCAATTGCTTTTATTTTTTTCAAAAAAATAAAATAAAACCTATTGAAAAGATCTTTTTGATAATTATTTATAAATTTAGTAATAAATTATTATAAATATATAGTTGATGATTTTTCCTCTTCTTTTTATTTTTTCAATTGAGAATTAACAATTGAATTTTCAAAATAAACCTGAAATATTTAATTAAATTTGATGATATTATTATTGTTTATTTTGTACTTAATCTTTTACTTGGCTCTTGTTTAAAATTATTTTTATTTTTTTATTTTTCAATTTTTTAAACTTTTTTATTAAAATAAAATTAAACTTTTTAACTTTTTAAATTTTAAAACTTAAATATAATTATTTATTTTTTAAGATTATTATAATTATTAAAATGAATTCTTAAAATATTTTTATAGAATTTATTGACAAGTTTAATTATCTTGAACTGTTTTCAAGATAATTTTATATATATCTATAATGTTGATCTTAATAAGTGATTTGTTTCAGATTTTATTCTATTAAAATTTTGTTCTTATTAAGTCAATTTTGATATAATAAAATTGTACGTTCTAAATTATTATTTTATTGTGTAATGAAATTAATTTTTTGATTAGTTTGTAACCTTGTGATTTCTACTGATGAACTGAAATTGAATATATGAAAATTTTATGAAATAGTTGGGTAACAAAATTAAGAAAAACCTAGGTATTAATGCTGGTTGAGTTAAATAAAAATTTGTATGCTTTATTTTTTAAAATATATAATTGAATAAATAAATTGAATACGATATTTATGTAGAAATTGTTATTGTTAAATAATGAGTATAAAATATTTAATTACCTACTTTATTTTTTAGTATTTGAATGCTCTATTGATTCCACTTTGTTTCCTTTATAAAATTAAATTAATAAAGATTCAATTTGGTAAATAAGGCGGTCAATTCTTAAAGATTAATCAATAAAGGAGAACTAAGAAATGAAAAACTGATAACTGCAAAATTTATTGACAAAAAAGTCAAGGCAAACAAGTGATTATCAAAATATCTTAGAAGATAGAAACTTCGTATATTTTATTTATAAATGATATGATCGATGTGTCAAAATTATACTCAAGAACTATATATTGGTTCAAGAAATTATTTGATTGATCATGTATTGTTTTCAATAACATTATTAAAGAATAATAATATGTGAAATCTGAATATACATTTTTTTCTTGAGCCATGGCACTTTTTTCTTATTTTAAATTTTTTAGGAAAAATGATTTAATGTTCTGATTTTTAAACTAAATTTTAACTACGAACTAACTTTTAGTGCTTACTTTAATCGATTTCAACGTAAAGCAATATGAATGGAATTTGAGGCAAAATAAGTCCGTTGGGTTCATTTTCTACAAAACTAACCAATCCCTCTTACTGTTATAAACTAACAGATCAATTCAAGCCAAGTTGGAATTCGAGTCAGAGTTGGTGAATATGATCATAATTTGATATTAGGGAGAACAAATGCTATATCTGATATCTTTGAAATATATCAATTTACAGGACCAAATATTATGCTTAAAATCTAAAACAAAGTGAGACAAAAGAAGTTTATTTGTTATATGCAAAAGTACTTATTTAATAATTATATATCACTAAGTTACAAAATTATAAAACAAATCATAAAAAATTGATATAAATGACTTTGCTATCATTTATCTTGTCAGAAATGTAAGTAGACTTTAACAATTTCTTGATGGTAATTAATTAAGAGATCTCGGATCTTTCAAAATTAAATCAAAGATCTAAAAGATATAAATAATTTGAAATAAAAACGAGGCAGAAAGATCTTTCACTTGCATAAAATTGCAGATCAAACTTCTTTAAATTTTTTTTTTTTTTTTTTNCAGATCAAACTTCTTAAATTTTTTTTTTTTTTTTTTTCTTTTTCTCTTCTTTTCCTCTTTTTTTCATCTTTTTCGTTAATTATAATTATTAAATAAATCTTTGCTAATACAAACCATTGAAGTTCACTAAGTAATTATTCAATTTGGTTAGGAATAAAATCAGTTATACCTACATTAATTTTGGCTATCCAATGAAGACTAAAAACCAGTTAAATTTTACGAAGAAATAAATTTCATAATTATAAATACACTTTTGTTTTGCGGATAATTATAAAAAACTATACACAAAACTTTAAAACCTAAAAACTTAATATTAAAACTATAAATAAATCATCAACTCTAATTTAAATATTTAAGGATTTTTGAAACTTAAATAATACACATATCCGTACAATACTTACAACAAGCTCTAATGCAATACATAATTTAAAGTGTATTATTAATTTCTTTAATTATACCTTAGAGCAAACTATAACAATTTTCGGGGCTCAATTTAAAAATTGTGTAAGAGATGTTATTTAATTTGTTTAATTAAAACACTAAAACATTATAAGGAGAAGGAGGCTAATGTGAAATAATGAGAGCCTATTCCAATATTTGTCTAAAGAGTTGATATTTTTTATGAGGCATTTAGTAAGACTTTAGTAATAATTCAGAATTGAAAAATATAATGAGGAGGCGGTAATTCTTCATTCAAGCTAGTTGTAAAATTATATTGATGAAATAGATACTACAATAGTAAATAAATGTTTAAATTCAATGATCAAATATTAAATTTCGAAAAAAGAAAAAAAAATAATTTGCTATACTAATTCGTAATTTTCTCCTTATTATAATCTGTCATTAGTAAAGAATATGGCTTGAATTATATAATATATCTACGCCCCATTGAGATATTATAATTCATTATCATCTCACGCCTTTCAACGCAGTTGATAACCGTTAGATTGATCTGAATGATGTCATCCGAGAGTTGTCATTGCTAACTTAAAGTGTTGGAATTTGTTTCAACTTTGGTGGAGTTTCGGAATTTTTTGGCTAATCATTATAAAAAATAAGTTTTCAATATAAACCAAGAATTAAATCTTAGTAAAAAAGCTTTTAATTGTAGTCGGCTAAATCTACAGTTACGTTTAATTGAAAAGTTTAAATTTTAAATGAAATTGGTCCCACTTTAATTTAGAATCCTAATCATCTTAGTTAATTTAAATTTGCTTAATGTTTGTTCCTCATCATCTTTGAAATTCCTTGCTTCTAACAAAATTGTAAAAAATTATATATTAACAATCAATATCAATCTCGAGTAAATGGTGGAAAATGAACTTGACTCAAGTAGAATCAAAAAATTCTCCTCACCCCTTAATGCAACTCACAATTAAGGTATTACATTTATACTTTATTATATTATGACAAATTTTAAAATTTTAAAGTTTGTTTTATTTGCAAACAAGAAGTAATAATCAACGATTATAATTCAAGGTAATAAATATTTTTATTTGTGTAGACAATGTTTCAAATGTTTAGAAATTTGCAGACTAACCGCTTTGCATTGTTACATGAGTGCAGTTTTTTTTTATTTCAATCAGTTTTCCATAAATGTTAATTTAATGGAAATATGCCAGAAGTGTACTTGGATATTGCATTAAATTTTCCCCTATTGATGATGTAGACTTACTTTTCACCGATTTACCGTGCTTAATTTATTTTTATCTTTTTGATCTAAAGTTTCTCGTCAAAGTTTTTTGTTCCTCCATATTCAAACGATTGATGATTTAACAATTTTTATCATATTTACAAAAACACGTTCAATACAAATATAATAAATACCAAGTTGTAAAGTACTCTTTCATAATGCTTCAACTTTAAACTTTATTTTGAAGAAAGTATATTCATTTTTCTTATCAATGTTTTTTATCAAGATAATGCAATGAAACTCTAATTTATGAAATCAAAGTTTTTGAGCAAAAAGTGTGATAAGAATTTTCTTAGAATTAGATGGGATAAATTTTGAAAGAACGTTTATCCCTTGCATGAAAATTAAAAAAGGTTTAGAATCTTAATTGAAACTTAATTTTGTAGTTCATGACAAATTTTCAGATGCAAAATATAAAAGTATCTTTTTCTTCATATAATAGATTTTAATAAATGTATAAAAACCTTAAAGTATATAACCATCACTTTTCCATCATCAAACCTTAAATACGTAATTGGAAAACATTTATATTTTACGTAATTGCAACCAAAATATAAATTATACACTCTCTAGCCAGTGGCTAATTTATTTCAAACAGTATTAAATAAAAGTACAGAATCTATTAATGAATACTTGGAAGTGAGCGTTACTTAGTTGATAATGGTACATCTATTAGCTCAAATGAGAAATAATTGTGATAATTTAATTAAAACAAATTTTCGGTATAATTAACTTCAAAAATCTTTTATAGTGTGTGGAAACTCTATAACACTAGTCTTCAGGTTTAAGAAGAGCCTATATACGTCGGATTAATTAACATACTAACTAAAACAATCTTTTAGTTTAAAAATTAATTTATTAGAGGGGGTTACGTATTTTTGACTGCAAAATTATTTTCAAATTTTATTTAAAATTCTAAATTTAGATCACTTGACAAAAAAAAAAAAATATTAATAATAATAATAATAATAATAATAATAAAGAAGAAGTAAATTAAAAAAAATTACTAAAACTAAAATTCAAATTAAAAGGAGTTAAAAAATTCATTGAAGATCAATAATTTAATAAAAAAAGCATGGCACGGCATTATTCAATTAAAATTCAGATTTAATTGAAATTAAAATCTCACATTTTATTAAATTTATTTATTATGCATATAGAACAATTTGTTTGTGTAATTTTTGGAAAATTAATTCATGATTTGACAAATTATTTAAATTTATGACATTGCAAAATATTTAAGACAAATGAGTTTAATTATATCAAATATATACTAATACTTATAGATACATAACTATAGCTAATACTATGTTTTGTCTCAAAAATATCTAAATTGATTTTATATTTAAATTTAATTTATTAGATCTGAATCATGAGCTTTAGATTAAGATCTGTTGATAAGCGAATGAATGAAATCAATCTAATCTTATAATGTTGATCGTTTTATTTTGTTTGTTTTGAATCAGTAAATAAAAAAATTCTATTTTTAAATTTTAATAATACAAAATCAATTACTATTATGAAAATATATAAATATTTTTATTTAATCATTAATACATTATTCGAAGAGTAATAATAATTCAAAAGGTTAATATATAAATATATATATATCAAATACATCATTTATGAAATATTGAATATATAATAAATTATTATATTTTGGAATTAGTTATTAAATTATCATAAGTTAAAATAATAATCAAATTAAATTAGCAATAACTTAATCAATTACATCATTAATTCTCAACCATACTTTTATCATTATATCAAACAAATTTTTATTTACAACAACTAATTTGATCAAGTTCACTATTTATCGTTATCATAATAGAATAGCATTTAATTCATTAATAGTCATTTCATTCAATTAACACCTAATATTTTATTTTTAATTTTCAATTTATAATACATAATTTTTCATGAGTCAAGAAGAAACATCATTATATTATGGTAGAACTGTTAATAAAGTTTATAATCAAGAATTTATAATAGATAGAAGATTTAAAATTATAAAAGAATTAGGTCATGGAGCTTATGGTATTGTATGTTCTGCAAAATATGATGATGGATCAAATTCAAATTTTAATAATTTAAATACAAATTCTAGTAATAATTCAAACAATAATAATAATGATTCATCAAATTTATCATCATCTGCAGATGGATCATATGTTGCAATTAAAAAAATTATAAATATTTTTAATAAAAAAATACTATGTAAAAGAGCATTAAGAGAAATTAAATTATTACAATTTTTTAGAGGTCATAAAAATATAACATGTCTTTATGATTTAGATATTATACCAAATCCTTTAAGTGGAGAATTTAATGAAATTTATCTTTATGAAGAATTAATGGAATGTGATATGCATCAAATTATAAGATCTGGTCAATCATTAACTGATCTGCATTATCAATCATTTATTTATCAAATTTTATGTGGATTAAAATATATTCATTCTGCTGATGTACTACATAGAGATTTAAAACCTGGGAATTTATTAGTTAATGCAGATTGTGAATTAAAAATTTGTGATTTTGGTTTAGCAAGAGGATTTTCTGAAGATTTTGAACAAAATCAAGGATTTATGACTGAATATGTTGCAACAAGATGGTATAGAGCTCCTGAAATTATGTTAAGTTTTACAAATTATACAAAAGCAATTGATGTTTGGTCAGTTGGTTGTATATTGGCAGAATTATTAGGTGGTAAACCCATATTTAGAGGTAAAGATTATGTTGATCAATTAAATCAAATTTTATTAATTTTGGGAACACCATCTGAAGAAACATTAAATAAAATTGGATCAACAAGAGCTCAAAATTATGTAAGATCATTACCATTTATGAAAAAGATAAGTTTTGAAAATTTATTTCCCAATGCAAATCCATTAGCTTTAGATTTATTAGAAAAAATGTTAACATTAGATCCAAATGAAAGAATAAGTGTTTCTGAAGCATTAAATCATAAATATTTAGAAGTATGGCATGATCCAAGAGATGAACCAGAATGTCAAGTTAAATTTGATTTTAAAACTTTTGAAATGTTTGAAGAATTTAATGAAATGAAACAATTAATTATTGAAGAAGTTAAAAATTTTCGAGAGTTCGTAAGAAAACCAATAGAAGAACAACAACAAATTCAATTACAAATACAGATACAACAACGTCAAAGACAAGAAAAAGAAACACTAGAAAAACATCATCAACAACAACAACAACAACAAAATAAAGAAATGATTGATATAACATCAAGAATAGATAATCAAAGAGAAGAAGATTATCCTAAACCACAAGAATTGAATGATTTTTCATATCAAAGCTTGGAAAATAATTATCAACCAAATTTAATGAATGATATAGATTTTCATAATTCTTCTTTAGGACAAGATTATTATAGATTAGAAGAAGAATTAGGATTTGGATTAGATGGGAATGTCTTTGAAAATTTTCAATCAAATTAATGGAACATTAAAAATTAAATATATAGTTAGATTAAACTTTAAATAAATAATTATAATATATATATTAACTTTTATGTAAATATATTATATTTAAATATATCACCATTTTTACAAAAACACCAAAATGAGTATTTATCTAACGCAAAATTATCAATTTTACCATCTGGTATTAAAGTGGATAAATCAATTGTAACTAAAGGTATTGCAATTGAAGGTACGTACTTATCATTAATTATTGGTGATATAATTGTACCATATTGAGAATATTTCTTTTGTGGATCTTTTTTATTTCTAATATCTAATAATTGTTTGTATAAAGATATCACCAAGTCAATTTGATTTGCATTTGGTGTTGCTCTTTGTTTATTTTCATCATCTTGTAAAACAGTAGTTAAATTTATATTTTTTGTATTTAACAAATTAGTTAATGAAGGATTTTTAAAAATTGGATCTTCAGATTTATTTCTTCTATGCATTGATCTTGTTTGTGGTAATGGACTTGGACTATGAGTTATTATGGGTATACTGTTTTTCTTTTCGTGTATTGATCTTCTACTTTCTCTTGGTTTCAGATGATGTTGATGATGATGTTGATGATGATTAGATGATTGTGGAGGTTTTTTAACTTTCGGAATTGATTTATAATCAAATTCCCAGACAAAAATTTTACCATCATTACCACAACTTATTAATCTATACATTGATGAAGAATCATCATTATCTTTGAGGAATTGTATTGATTTTACCATATTTGTATGACCTTTAAATCTACATACAATTTGTATAGATTTTATAATTGGTGGATATTTGATTTCTTGGTTCTCAAAAGAATTTATACTGTTTATTGTACCACTTCTTGATCTACCTTGTTGTCTCTTTAATAATCCATTTGCATTGTAATAAGTCATTTTAAATACTTCAATTAAATCTCCCTTCCCCACAATACTGAAAAATTTATAATCTGGACTAAATTTTAAATCATTTATACCACTATTGAAATAATTTGATACGATATCAGTTACAATACTATTATTGTTATTGTAATCATTGAGATTTAAAGTAAACATTAAATCAATAAATTTCACAAATCCATCAGCTGATGCAAAAGCTATTATTAATGGTTGTAAATCCGAATTCTGATTAGATTTTTCAATAAACATAGTTGACGCAATTGAAGTTATTGGTTTATGACTTATTTTAAAATGACCAATTACTTGATCATCACATACTGTAGCAAATGGACTTAGATCAAATTTTTTGAAAAAAGTAACATATTCATCTTTACCACTTATACTTTTCTCATAGTTTAAATCTTTACCTTCTGGATTTATTATTGCAACTTCACCATTTGAAAAACCTACCACTATTAAGTAATCGTAAATATTATGATTTATAACATGCAATGAAGAAACTCCAATTATTTCTAATGATTCTTCTAGTATATTAGAATTAAATGTGAAATTTCTCAATTTTAAAGTTTTTGGTTTAATTATTGTAATAATACCGGAATGAAAACCTAAAACAATTATTGGTTCTTCATGTAGTGTAAATGCAATTAAAGATGTTATGATTGAAGATTCATCAAATTTGATTCTTAGCAATGGTTTTTCTATTATTTTGGTGAAATTTTCAGTTTTCTTTTCTATAGTTTGTTCAAATTTTGAAGTTTCAGATAATCCAAAAATATTTAGCACATTTACATTTGAAGATATTAATAACTTGTCACTTGCATTTAAACCTTCTGCATTGTAATCCAATATTTTAGATTCATCTTGTAGGTTCAAGTAATTCTCATCATTTTTCAAGAATAACTTATTCAAATTATTTGATAATTTATTAAATGGATTTTTTGATTGAAATTTTCTTTGATTTATATCAATGATGGTAGTAATAGATCCCGGGTTTAAATTTGGATTTCTAAAAGGATCTTGAGTTAATGGATTTACATTAGCTCCAATATGCATATTACCTTCTTGAGCTTTTTCAATCAGTTTTATTATATCATTAAAATTATGAACTACATGACGTGGTAATGAAACATAAGTTGTTGATTCGAATGGTCCCATTGGAGGTCTTGCGATGTTTAAGTAGTTATGATCCAAATGTAATTTCTTAATAGTTTTACCATTCGATATTGGCCATGATATTTCTTTTATATATTGGGGTATATTTTGTAATTTATAGTATGTGTTATCATTTAATTCTGAATAGCCAGGACAAACTGAATTTAGATATATTGAAACATTAGAAGCTGGTGTATTTAGTTGCTGTGACATGTTATATCATGAGAATAGATAAGAACTATAAGTGAATTGAGTACTTAGACTTTGACCGCTTGAATTGTTAATAATATATTGAAATTCCGCTTATTATAGAAAGTGAATTTTTGTGTTACTTTTTATTTTTTTTTTATTTTTTCAATTTTGAAATTTTTTTTTTCAAATTAATTTTATAACCACCATATTTGTAGAATCAATCTTAGATACAACAACCACAAATATGTTTAGATTAATACAGAGACAAGCTATAATACCCAATATAATACCTTTAAGATCAAGTCTAATTAGATTCAATTCAACTTTTCCACCAACACAACAACCACAATCACAACAATCCCAACAATCAAAAGATACCAAAATAAATATAGATGATTTATTAAAAAATTCAATACCTGAATTATCTTTTAAAGATTCAATAACAGAAAGATTTGGATTTGAAACAAATAGACAACAAACTCCAAGAGAAGTTGCAAAGGGAATAAAAGAATTTGGAACTAATGCTGGAAGATCAATAGATGTAAATTATAATAATTTATCAAGAACTTTTGTACAAATCAAAAGATTAAATAATGAAAATAAAATAAGATATTTACAAAAAATTCAATCAAGATATATTAGACCTGCAAAATATAAGAAACAATTGAAAAGAGAATGGTGGAGAAGAAAATTTTCTTCTGGTTTTAAAGACTTATTGGCTCAAGTTAATGATGCAAGAAGAAGAGGTTATTAAACAAATGTATAAAGAACAGTCAATATTTTTTATTTTTTTGAATAATTAATGTATATACGGAATGAATAAAAATAAAATTAAAAATGCAAATACTCAACTCAACAAACTTAAGTTTTAACATCTGGTTCTTCTTTACCCAAATATTCTTTAAATTTTAATAAATTCAATACAAATTCAATATCCTTTTTGAAAAATTCATCAACTTTTGTTTGATAAATTGATTTATCATTTGAATGTTTTTCTAAATATAATCTTACTGTTGCTCCTGATGAACCAGTACCTGATAATCTAACAATAAATCTTAAACCATTTTCAAATTTTATAAATAATCCTTGATTTGATGATACTGAACCATCTAAATCAGTATATGAAAAATTACCTGCTTCTTTTATAATATAACCTGGTTTTAATTCATCACCTGGTTTGGATTCATCAACTATTTTAGTTAATAATTTAACTAAATCATTTGCACCTTCACTTGAAACATTTTCATAATCGTATCTGGTAAAAAAAGTTCTACCATATTTTTCCCAAAATTTATTTTGAACAATTTCAATAGATGTTTCACTTTCTGGATTTTGTAAATTATATTCAGCTAATACATTTAACCATGCAACAATAGCCCATAAACCATCTTTTTCTCTTATATGATTTGATCCAGTACCAAAACTTTCTTCTCCACATATACTTAATTTATTATTATCAAATAATGAACAGAAAAATTTCCAACCAGTTGGTACTTCATAACAATGTAATCCTTTATCTTTTGCAACTAAATCAATTGCACCTGAAGTTGGCATTGATCTTGCTAATCCATAAATTCCCTTTTTAAAATAAGGAATTGAATCAGCATATTCTGAAATAATAGCAACTGAATCACCTGGTGAAACAAATGTACCAGCACCATAAATCATATTTCTATCACCATCACCATCTGATGCAGCACCAAATGCAATATTTTCTTTATCAACTCTTTCAACTAATGTAGAAGCATAAGTTAAATTTGGATCAGGATGTAAGCCACCAAAATCTTCTAAAGGTTTAAAATTTTGTATAGAAGATTCTGGTAATCCCAATTCTTCAACAAAAATTTTATAACCATAAGGTCCTGTAACACCATTTAATGCATCAAATAATACTTTAAAACCGTTTTTAGTTTCTTTATCAATAAAAGATTTAATTAATTTAAAATCAAAAATATCTTTTAACATTTCAACATAATCTTTAGTTGAATCAATTACATCAACTTCAATTGGTCCAATTTTTTGTTCACCAACTTTAGAAATATCAACTTTTGGTAATTTAATAATTTTATAATTAGTTAATGTTTTAGAAATTTCATAAATTTTATTTGTAATTGATTCTGGAGCAGGACCTCCATTACCTAAATTATATTTTATACCTAAATCATTTTTTGGTCCACCAGGATTATGACTTGCAGTTAATATAATACCACCAGTTGCTTTTAAAATTCTAATAATATGAGAAGTAGCAGGTGTTGATAATATACCATTTTCTCCAACAATTATTTTTTTAACTTTATTTGCTGCAGCAATTTCAATAATTAATTGAATAACATGATCATTATAATATCTACCATCCCCTCCAATTACTAAGGTTGAATTTTCTGCTCCTTCAGGAATAGCATCTAATATAGATTGAATGAAATTTTCAGTATAATGATCTTGTTTGAAAACAGTTACTTTTTTTCTTAATCCAGAAGTACCAGGTTTTTGATCTTGAAATGGTTTTGTTTCAATTGTTTCTACTTTATAATCTGACATTATGGATCAATTGATTCAATTTATGAGTACTCAATTGGTTGTAAGTAGAAAGAATAAGTATAGTTTAAATAAATATTTCTCAGTTTAATTAAATTGTATAAATTGTTGAAGTTATATTTTTCAAAATAATAAAAATAAAAATATAATTGTACCTCTAAATTTTCTATTTTGTGATAAAATGTCAATTTAATTTTCAATATTGAGAGAAGTATAATGAATAAATATGTTTTATTAGTTAATTAATTGACTTTAATAGAGTTAGATCCGTGAATATATTTATTATCAAATCGAATGAATTGTAATTAAATAAATAATAACGAGATTAAGTTGATTTAAAATATACTTAACCCACTTTCTTCTTCTCCCCCCTCAATTTTATTTTAAATTGCACTATTAAAATAAATTTACCCAATTAATTAATATAGTTTATACTAAATCACCCTGAATATAATTAATCTATCTTAATACTACTCACTATAAAAGGGGTAATTTATCAAATTATTACATAATATAGAGCAATCAGTTTAAAATGAAACACACTCTCTAGCTAATGAATAAAGAAACCTCAAGACTATTCATTTTGATTGAATTATACTAGTGAAGAGAACTTGTAGATTAAGAATACTTTTTGGTAACAAATGGAATAGAATAAGAAGTACTATACAATTGTATTTATCATGTGGCTAATGCAAATTACTTAAATTAAAAGTCTAGTAGATACTTTTGAAAAAATGCGGATTATGGAAGCTAATCAAAGTAACTCTTTACTCTGATTCATGACGAGAACTTAAGATGAGATTATTTACTAAGAGGTACCTGTTCACTTAGCAAATGATGACAAGTCAAATGCAATGATTATCTCTAATGTTTTAATTTTTCAAACTCTCTAAGTTTACGAATTATAAATTCATTGAGTCGTTTGCGAGTGAGGAAGAACTCTACTGGTATTGTCATCAATTATAGAGCTCATTCGTGGTGATAAGTTGAACACATCAAATTAAGAACAGTATTAATTACCTTTTTCTCTCTCTCTTAAAAAATAAATTAAAATATTTCAAAACACGTCAAAATGTATACAATCACAAATAAATAAAAAATCATTCACCATAATAATGAGTGATTTAAATATTTTCATAACATCAGATTTAACATCATCAGAAAGAAGAATATCACCACAATGGAATTTAAAATATTTAAAATTAAAATTAGAACAAATAACAGGAATTGAACCAAAAAATCAATTAATTCAATATTTTCCAAATAAATATTCAAATGAATTTATAAAAATAGAGTCACAACCAAATGAACAAGAAGAAGATACGCTATTATCAAACCTAAATATAAAAAATTATAGTAGATTACATATAATAGATTTAGATCCAAATTCAACAACAAATCAAATAAGCTCAACTATATCACCATCAATACAAAATCAAAAAAATCAAGAACAAGAAGAATTTAAATTATCAGAGGAAGAATATCAAAAAAGATCAAATACTGTATTATCATGGAAACAACAACAAAAATTAGGCAGATTCGATCCTGATTATGAAATTATGCAAAATAAAATTAATCACGAAAATCAAGAACAATTACAAAAAATTAAAGTTGGATTAAGATGTAGAATTATAAATATAGAAGGTGAAAGAAGAGGTTTAGTAAAATTTGTTGGTAAGATTGAAGATTTAGATAAAGGTAAAAATGATTGGGTTGGTATAGAATTTGATGAACCAGTTGGTAAAAATAATGGTGATATTGATGGTATACAAATTTTTATATGTAAGCCAAAACATGGTAGTTTTGTCAAACCAAAACAAGTTGAGATAGGCGATTTCCCCGAATTAAATCCATTTGACGATATGGATGAAGATGAAGATATGAATGAAGAATTGTAAGTAAAAATTGTATAAAATTGAATTTTTGATATTAAAAGTTGTTGTACTAAAAAAAAATTATAAAGCCGAGTCTAAAACTCCGATCAAACAAAATTATTTATTTTTTTTCACTCAATTTTTAGTAGTTTTAATCCAAACAACAACTCCAATAATACTTATAATCAATACCACTGACAACTCGCTCCCTAATATATAATACAATGGCATTTGAAAAAATATATGAATACGTAGATAAAGATACATTTCAGAAATATTTTAGATTAACAATAGTAATATGTGCATATTTAATTTTCAGAAAGTATTATTCACAATGGGCTTCCAAAAAGCAAAATGAAAATCAATTAAAACAAGATGAACAAGAAAAATTAGAAAAACCTGCAAAAGAAGCAAAAGCTCAAGAAGAAATTGCTGAAAATTTAGAAAAAGAAGCTAATGAATTTGGTTGGGGTAAAAAGACTAGAAAAAATGTTAAAATCACTGAAGCTGTATTAGAACAAATCGCTACTGAAACAAGACAAAGACATCAAACTGCTTATAATGCACAAGAAGATCATGATATTGAAGATTTATTAGAAGATTGAATTGTTCAAAATAAATTAGTTAATTAATAAACAGACCCATAATATTTAATAAAATTATAAATCATTGTAAAATACGCGCGTGAATTTTTAGCACTAACTAATAAAAATATATATTTTTTTCTAGATGCCATCTCTCTATTACTTTAGATTTGAAAAATTAATTAATATTGAAGTAAAGGTTGTATTTTAAATCAAATTAAAATATATTACATCTAGTTACAAGATAATGGCAGGTGATCCATTTTTATCTGATCCATCAAAGAAAAGAAAACGTAATAGAAATACATCAACAACCACCAATAAGAGATCAAGGTCATCAACACCACAAATATCATCAAGATCAAATCATAATATACAACAAGATGAAGAAATATCAAGTGATAGTGATATAGAAGATGATGATATACTAAATAATCAGCCTGAAGGAAGACAAGATGAAGATTTATCATCAGATGAAGAATTTGAAAATGAAACAGCAACAGATAAGAGAAGAAGATTAGCAAAACAATATCTTGAAAATTTAAAAAATGAAGAAATTCAAAATGAAGAATTTGATGCACAAGATTTAGATGATGAAATTTTATCAAGAAGATTACAAATTGATGTTGCAGAAACTAAAGGTCATGTATATAAATTTTGGGGTGATAAAATTGCACAACAATTAGATGATAATGATAATAATCATATTAAATTAATTACAACAAGAATTGGATCAAAAAATTTAACAAATATGTGTATATATTATCCTTATCTATATACAGTTTCTAAAGATATTGAAATAATAAAATGGGATATAAGTACCACTAGTAAAAATATAAATAAAAAACCAACAAGAATAAAACATACAAAAGGAGGTCCTAAATTTTTTAATTTAAATACATCACAACAAAAATTAAATCATCATTGGGAACAAATAAATTGCATAGCAGCATCACCAGATGGGAAATATATAGTGACGGGTGGATCAGATTCAAGATTAATTATATGGTCAAGTGAAAATTTAGTATGTTTAAAAGTATTAGAAACAAGATCTTCAGTAAATTCAATAACTTTTAAAAGAAATAGTGATCAATTATTTGCAGCATGTTCAGATTTGAGAATTCGAACTTTTTCAATAAATCAATTTACTCAATTGGAAGTATTATATGGACATCAAGATAATATAACTGATATTTCATCATTGGCAAGAGAAACTTGTGTATCTGTGGGAAGTAGAGATAAAACTGCAATGTTTTGGAAAGTTGCAGAAGAAACAAGATTAACATTTAGAGGTGGTGATTCAATAGAAAAGAAACATCCAAAAAATCAACAACAACAAAAATCAAAACAAATTAATGATAATAATGATAACGACAACAAAAACAAAAACAATAATAATGAACCATTTCATAATGAAGGATCAATAGATGTAGTAAGTATGATTGATGAATCTCATTTTGTAACAGGTTCAGATAATGGAAATATAGCATTATGGTCATTAGCTAAAAAGAAAGCTCAAACAACTAAAAGATTATCTCATGGATTACAACCACAATTTAAACCACAAGAAGCAAGTGCTGAAACATCAATAGATTTAGCAACTCAACAAATTCCAGAACCTCAACCATATTGGATTACAGCAATACATGCACCAGCATATAGTAATATTTTTTTAAGTGGATCATTTGGAGGAACAGTTAAAATTTGGAAATTAGATGAAACTTTAAGATCATTTAATTTAATTGGAGAAATTGAAAATTTAAAAGGATTTGTTGTTAAAATTGATAGTGTTGAAATATCAGAATTAAAAAAATTAAAAATTTTTGTTTTATTAAGTAAAGAACATAAATTTGGTAGATGGTTTAATAAATTACCAGGAGGTAGAAATGCATTAGTAAGTTTTACATTTGATATATAGATTAAATTAATATTAAAGTAGTAAAACTTTCTTCAACATATAAAATATTTGTAATATATATTTTTTCCAATTAACTAAATTATTTTTATTTCTACATTTCAGGTTCATCATCTCCACCTTCTTCTGGTCCATCATCTTCTCCACCACTAAAATATTGTTCTGCATTATAGTCATCATCTTCTTCATCTTCAAATTCTTCATCAACTTCTTCTTCTTCTTCACTTGGTAAATCTTCACCATCTTCTTTCAATTTATTATCAACTTCATTATTTAATTTATTTAAAAATTGATCTTTTATAGCTTGAGCTTTTGCTTCAGAATCTAGATCTTCTTGTTTTGATTCACTTAAATATTCTTTTAATCCTCCATTTGATGAAAATTTTGATAATGATAAATATTTATTTTTATTTTTATTTGATATCCCCATTACTGAATATAATTCTTCTGGGAAAAATTGTAATTGATAAGGATGTTCTTGGATTGTTCTACCAATTTTTTGTACTTTTTTATATCTATCACTATATCTTTCAATACCATCTTCACTTGTATTATTTAGTATTTGTTTTGAATTACTTGTAGTTGTAGATTGTAGTTTTGGTTCGTCTTCGTCTCCGTCTTTTTTATTGATTTGATTTTGATCCAATTTACCTGTATAAAATGGACCATCTGATACTAATTTATTAAAATTTATTGAATGTTTTGCTGCTAATATTTCAATTTCTGATGGTTTACCATTAACTGGTAATATATATTGTGGTTTTTCTGTAATTTGTCCTGATGAGGCAACATCTGCATAGTCTAACCCAAACGGTAGTAGGACTCTACCATTTCCTTTATTGCCTCCTCCTCTGAATGACATTGTGAATATGAAAAGAATTAATTATATAATGTATATGTTATATCATATGTGATGTGTTTAAATGAAAGTAACAATAAAATAATATGATTTTGTGCTTTGAAAATTTATTTTTTATTGTAAGAGAGAAGAGAATTTTAAATTTAATTTACTTTGTTTACATAGAAGAAATTTATTATAACGGAATCTTTGCGGTGGGTTGATGCAGCATCGACCTATGTATGGGGCGAGAACTCAACCGTAAAGATTCAAATATGAGTCGAGCTGACGATAGCATGAAATTACGCTACCAAAATATTTTACTTAAAGAATTCTTCATCATCAGTCTTGACATCCAATTTATTTATACTATGGGCGTTAATTTGAATTCGGAACTAATCTGGAGCTTCTTGGAACTTTAAAGGTTTAAGGTAATTTGGTTTTCAATTCATTCGTTTGTGAATTGATTGTTTTTCGGAATAATTTGCTCCACAATTTTTATAAAAAACGGTGTTTCATGAAAGCTGCTGGCAAAGATACTTTAAAGTAATTAAATAAAGAACACCACTCACACAAATAATTAAAGTAAGTGTCAATATTTTACAAGCTTGTCAATTCAAATTCTAATTTTCAATTTTTATCATTTTATGTCAAGACCAAAAAATTGAAATCCAAATCGGGTTAAAAAGTAAACAAAAAATATATATACTACCAATCAATTAGGCAATGCTCATATAATAAATGATTAAATTATGAAATATGTATGCAAGTGATTTATTTATGAACTTAAAATCTGTAGATGTCCTTCATTAATATTATAATATAACATTTTACCAATACTATTACTACCCATTTTTAACATGCCATCATCAATAGCTCCATCTACAATATCTTCAACATTTCAAACCAACTCCAATTTTACAAATAGTATGATAGACAATACATCAACCAGCATATATCCTGATTCAGCAGATGGTACTTTAGTTATAATGATAGTGCGAGCCAAACATTTACCTAATAGAAGGAAATTAGATAAACAATCACCGTATGTTGTAATAAGGCTTGGTACAACTGCTAAAAAGACAAAATCAGATTTTAGAGCAGGACAAACTCCAGAATGGACTCATGAAATTAGATTTGATTTAACTAGAGATAGAAAACCTATACTAAAAGTGGATTTATTAGATGAGACCAAAAATGATCCGACACCCATTGGGAGTTGTGAAATTGACGCATCAGTTGTTTTCACTCAACCATCAAATGAACAGAAGGGGAAATATATTTATGATAAATGGTATGATTTAACTTATAATGAGAAAAGAGCTGGAATGCTATATTTAGAAATGACATTTTACCCAAGTGCACCGGTTTTACCCCCCAAAATTCATCCCAATGAAGAGTTTGAATATACAACTAGTCACTCATATGAAGATTACCATTCACAATTATCCTCGTCACCATCCAAAATAGATCATAATGCAATTCAAGATGTTTTTGTATCACTGGGTAATTCAAATTCAAGTAAAAAATCTTCAATTTTTCTGAAAACCAGTCAATATTTTACAAATTCAATGGAATCAAATAGTAATTCAAGTCATGAACCTTCCTCAAATGAAGTATTTGTACAAATACCAAATAGAGATAATCTGAAAAGCCCCAATAAATATAAAGCAAAATTTTCAATTTCAAAATTCAAAGATAAATTCCAATCTAAACAACCTATTTGGGGAAACAATTTTAAAAATGATATTTCAAATGGTTATAAAAGAGATATATCACCAATAAGTGCATATGGTTCAAATGACATAGATGATTTAGAGCAAGAAATTTCAAGAAGTCAAATTGGATATGGGAAAACTAATGATAATGAAGACGACGAGGATATACGATTTGTCTCTCCACCAACTCCACCACAACATCAATCTCCAACTCATTCACAAACCCATTTATCACCACCTTCAAAATCAGTACCACAAAATCATCAAAAACCATTACCTTCACCACCAAGAAGAAAACCACCAACATCCTCCATATCAATGTCTAAAATTGATTTTAAAAATAGCACAGCAATTCCATTTTCAGCAGATTCAATAGGTGTAGATGATGAAGATGATTTTCAAAACAGTCATTTACCCACCAAAGTATATCTTCTAGACGAACCGGTAAAGTCATTAACTTACAATGCCAAAAATGGATCAAGAAGTCCTGAAATAAAAACCAAGAAAGAAAATGATGAAATTGATCCACAATATTATGCACCAACACCAAGTGAACACTTTAATAGAAAAATGAGATTTGAAAACGGTGGTATAACAAAAGATGATTTAAAAATTGATATGAGAACTAATAAAACAGGATATATTGGTAATGGTAAATTTAGTCCAAGTGTTTTCCAAAAAGCATCTACTACCAATCCCATGGTTAGAGGTAGATCATTCAATATTTATGATGACAGTGATGATGAAGATGAAAATGCTAAACCTGCTGTACCACCAAAGATCCCAAATGGATTAAATGCAATGGAATATTTTATACTAGAAAAAGATAAAGTAATGAAAGACTTTCAAGGTAGAAGAGCATGAACATTTAAAATAAAGAACAATAAATTTGTAAGTAATTTAATAAAACTTTATATATTTTTTTATTCAGAATAATAATACAAAATCAAGGAGAAGTAACGGGAATCATATAAAGTATAGAAAAGAATGGTTATTTTTATAGCTTTGTTCAACTCTCTTATAATAAAGCTGCAACTAAAGCCAATAAACCAGCAGCAACACTAACACCATGTACATAAGCTCCATCTTCACTTGTTTCAACTGAAACTGTAATAAGTTCTGATATTGTTTCAAAAACAACATCTTCTTCAACTTCAGTATCAATTTCTAATTCTTCAGTTGTTAATGATTCATATTCTGATTCAGCAGTAATGGTAGAATTATTATAACCTGCATTTTTGTTTTGTTCTGGAGCTTCAGTTGCTTTTGCAGCAGCTAACACTTTGGATTCTAAAGCTAATGACGAATAATATTCGTCAACTAATGATTGAACTGCTTGAACAGATGAAATTGATGCAGCTTCAACTGATGCAATCGATGCAGCTTCAACTGCTGCAATTGATGCTAAACGTTCAGCTTCTAAACTTGCACTTTCTTCTGGTGTATATAAAGTTTTAGTAATTGTGACTGTTGTAGTAACAGTGGTATCAATATCTTCAGATTTAATTAAAGTAGCTGATAAAATAGCTGATAAAATGAATTTTGAAAATAGCATTATTAGTCTTTTTTAGTTAAGTGGTAATTGGAAATGAATGTATAAAAAACTAATAGATTTGTAAAATTTGAAGATAAATTATAAAAGTATAAAAAATTTAATGAAAGACTAGGGTTAGTTTAATTTAGATAGTTATATTGTTGATATTTTTAAATAGGATATCTTAAATGAGTGTAGTTTGTAATAGATGATCTATTTATTTGTTTTTATAGAAAATCTTTCATATAATTGTTGAATGAATGGATTAGTTAATGAATTCTAATGTAATTGATAAATGAATATAGGTATCAAAAAAAATTTTTGACACTTTTCTTTTAATTAGGAATTGCATTTGATTTTAAAGTAATAATGATAACTGATTTTTTGTTTACTTTTGCAATAAAAAGTTTAAAAAATTATTAAAATAAATTATTATTTTAATTTGTAACAAAATTTTTAAAAGTTAAAATATTTAAAATAAGCTTAATTTGGTATTTAGCGTAACTTTTAGGAGAGTTCATACAATTATAATAAATTATTATTCGAAATCAAAGAGTCTAGACCTTATGATTGATGTTTATTGATGTCGAGAATACTCTCGTAAGATCATAAAGTGGTCAAACACGAAAATTTTAATTATTGAATGATTAATTTAAATATTGATTATATTAAAATTTTCAGCCATATTTGTATTTGAATATACATGTAACTCTTGTGACTACATAAGACAGCTATTGTTTTGATAGAAATTCGTTTAATTTTTAGAATACATTTTTCGAATATAGACTAAATGTTTAAAAGTTCTTAAAATCTTAAAGTCAAAAATTGTAAAGAATCAATAGTTTAATTTAAGTTATACATAAATTTACATAAATTAGGAAATATATTAACTTGATTGGGTCCAATTTTGTTTTTAATTCGTGTTTTAAATTTATTAATTTTTCTTTTTTCTTGTTTTATAAAAAATTTAAGTTATTGTGCAGTACATATTTGTAATTACTAATATAATATACAGGTTATGCATATAATTAAAAAATATTTACGAATTATATATAATTATAATTATATACAGTTATTTAAATAAGAAGAAAAAAATTCACTCTACTAAAAAAGTTTAATATTTACTAAAGACTTTAAAATTTTTAGCCCGGTTCAACATTCAACTAAATTGTTTTTGAGCAGCTCACCAATGAAGAAACTAAATTAATCTGTGTCATGCTTACAATACTAATTTATAGTGACTAACCATGAATATGCGATAGAAAACTTGATTTAATTTTGAACCTTTACTTTATATATTACCTACGCGAGATATTCAACTTTTGTTAGCTTAATAGTATGAAAAATAAACATAAAGAAGAGGAAACTAAAGTATATTTTTCATGTAAAATCATGTGTATTGAAGTTTAAAAGATCGTGTATAAAAAATCTAGAATATTTAACGGAAACATATTGAAATAGGTTTTGTGTTTCAGCAATAATTGTCGATACTAGTTACAATTAGTTTCAAACCACTTAAGTACACCAATTCTTTTAAATAGTTCAAACAGCTTTTTGAGGTGAGAACAGAAAAAAACTACTAAATCTTTCTACTCTTAATTTCTCAATTGTCAACCGAATTGTTACAAAGTTCACGTAAACTGTTCAGACCGTGAGTGTCGAGTTTTGTTGGTGCAACTGAGTTTGGTCTTATCATTTTTATTGTTGAATTCTCTTCACAATTATAAAAGATTTACGCAGTACCTACAATGAACTTTTGAACAAATGAAAATACAATAACTTTTATTTTAATTATAATACAATTTTATACTACCTCATTCAATTGTTGAATTTCTTTTAGTTCTTCTTCAGTAACTTTTGGTTCTTCTTCAATTGTTGCATCTTCCATTTCAACTTCTGTTATATTTTTTTCTCCTAAATCTTTTGTGTCATCATTATAAAATTCCAGTTTATTTTCAACTCTTTTATCTTCTTGCGTTTGTGATCCACCTTTTGTATCTATTACTTCTGGCAAATCTTCATCAATATCACCTAAATCTTCCATATCTAGTGGAACTTCTTGCATTTGTACTGATGGTGCATGTTTTGTGTGATCTAAATTACTAATAACTTGTGTTAATAATTTATTTAAATATTCTTTTGAATTGGCATTGTTCATATTTGAAGATCTTACATCTAGTTCATATGTCGGAGCATAATATTCATAATATCCATTATATGGAAGTTCCTTAGGTAGTATAACTCCATTACATATACCTGTTTCAAAAGCCCAAGTTCTAGCAACATTTCGTATTGTATATCCACCACCACCTAATACCATCATTGGTAAGCCCAAAGATCTTACAAAACTAACACAATTTGCATGACCCCTCATTGAAAGATTAAAAGGTCCTAATCTATCTCCACTTAGGGAATCTCCACCACATTGTAAAACAATAGCTGATGGTTGATACCATTCAACTATTTTACTTATTATTGGTTCAAATATAGATTTATAAGAAGCATCATCAATTCCATCTCTTAAAGGTATATTAACTGAGTGATATTTTCCTTTTCCTATACCTATATCACCAACGTTACCGGTACCTGGGAAAAATTCACCAAATTTATGAAATGAACAAGTCATAACTCTATCATTTGTATAAAATGCTTCTTCAACCCCATCTCCATGATGAACATCAGTATCTATATATAATACTCTTGGATGTTTTCTTAATAGTTCTATAATAGCCAAAACAATATCATTTGTATAACAAAACCCAGAAGCTTCTGATTTTTTAGCGTGATGTAGACCACCAGCATAATTTATAACAATATCTGCATTCCCATTATTTAATCTTGCAGCTCCTTCCATTGAACCACCACATGATATTTTACAAAATTCATTTAACCCATCAAACACTGGACAGTCTTCTCCAACATTGAAAATTTGTGCTTCACGAGGGAATAAATGTAAATTATCTGGTGTAACTCTATCTATGAAATCGATATATTCATCTGAATGAAATTGGGTTAATTCTAAATTTGTGGCTGGTTGAGCTCTATATATCTCCATTTTTTTATTTAATTCATAATTCATTATTAAAGAGTGAGTCATTCTTATCCTATGTGGTTTCATACAATGTCCTGTACCATAAAAGTAATTTCCTACATCTTGATCATAGAAATATGCTACTCTTCTATTATCTGGTTTAACATTTAATTCTTCAAACGGTAGTTCAGCGTACATGATGTATAATCTCGATTTTTGATTGAAATTCTAGTTTGGTTTTGGGTATATAAATAGATACGTCTATGACGTCTAGTTGTTGTTTATGTAGTAATTTAATTGAATTTGCACCTACAATTATTAAAATAATATTTCAAATATTTTATTAATCGGTTATTTGAAAATTAAGTACAATTAATAAGAGTGCGGCTTTATAAATTATTTGTACAATATCGAATACTATTTGAATAGATGGAAAATCCAAATCATTATTTTCAAAAAGTCTATAAATTTTGTTATATAAAATATTGTCTATCATTTTAAAAATTTTTTTATTGATTCTTTTTATCAATTCTTCCACATTCATCTAATTTATAAATACCAAATAAATAAGCTAATCTTGTAACAACTAAATCAATAGCCATTTCAATTGAATCTCTTGCAATATCAATCTTTGATCCATCAATTTCTTGCCAATTTACTGCTACTTCTTTCATTTTCATATTTTGTAACTCTCCTAATAATAATACTTCAACATCAAAAATCCATCTTTCTGTATGCATATGAGGAAATATTCCCTTTATAGCTTTTGTATTGAACATTTTAAAACCACATTGAGTATCTTGAATCTTTCTAATACCAAATATGTAAACTAATGTGTGTAATCCATACATTAAGAAATTTCTAATCATTGATCTTTTCACAACTGCATCTGTATTTACCATATGTGCTCTTGATCCAATTGCTATAGCTGCTTCATTTGAATTTGTAGACTCCAAAAATTCTAATAATTTTGAAATATCTGAGAATTGAGTTGCTCCATCTGCATCTGCAAATAAAGAGTATTTACCTTGTGAATGTAAAATACCATGAGTTACTGCTCCACCTTTACCTCTATTTTTAGCCAATTGAATTACTTTCATGATATGTGGTTCCAAGTTGTGTTGATTTGCCAATTTAATTGCATATTTACTAGTTCCATCAGATGATCCATCATCAACAATTAGAATTTCATAATCATTATGATGATATTTTTCAAGATATTCAATTGATTCATCCAACATTTTCCCCAATCTTTTTGTTTCATTATAACACGGTATCACAACGCTAACTTTATATTTTGGATTTGATGTTGAGCTTGTAGATGAAAGTCTTGAAGATAATTGATACGATTTGTTAAGTTGATCATTTGTTTTGTATGTTGATTCACTTTCAATTGGTAATCTTGGTCTATGTGAAAACAAGATGATTACTCCATATGCTAGTAGTATTATAAGTATTACTATCAATAGTATGTATAAATACATTTTTAAGATTTTTGATCAATGTAATTGAATTGAATTGTATAATAAAATAATAATAATAATATGTCAAAAAATTTATGTTTCGAATTTTCTCTTGAAAAATTTAATCAGTGTTTTTACAAAATTAAGAAATAATTAGAAAACAACGCACAAAATTATAATCCTACTTCACACTACAAATTAACAGTTTTAACAAATTCAAAGATTTGATTCACGTGTTTGGTTTAAATCTATAACTTTTAAATCGACTCAGTAGTTGATAAATATATATTTAGTCATCTTCGGTAATTTATTGATATTTGCTTGTTAATGTCAAAAATTTCATTAAGATCCGACTCAAGATAAGCACCAAATGTTGAAATATCTGTGTGATTGTAATTATAAAACTCTATAATTTCACTAATATCAGATGTAAATTTGATTTCATAATTAGTTACAGAATCTGTGAATTTGTATCCATCTTCACTCTTTTTATCTTGTGTTTCAAAAGTTTGTGATAAATCATATTGAAAATTGAGTCTTAAAAATTTATAGGAAGTTTGAAGTCTGCTAATGATAACTGCTTTATGCAACAAGTATAACCAGCTTCTTTTGGTTTCATGCGTCATGGGTTTTTTTCTTGATAGAGAAACTTTCAAATCATAATTGTAATCTGTAAGGAAATACATAGTTCTCCTAAATTATGAATTTCTTTAATTTCTTCACCATTGGAAAATCCAGTTTGAGCGGGTTTTCTCAACAAAACTGAATTATTGAAATTTGTGCCAATTGAAATACTATAATCTAGAAATTCTGTAAATGGTATAATTTGCTTAATTACTTTATCACCAAAGACTTGGTCTTTATAGTGCTCCAACAAGTCGTGAGCATCCATGTAAGTGTTCTTATCAATGCAATTTCTAAATTTGAACAGATGCGGAATTGAAAGTGATGGCGAACAATAGAGCGATTCTCTCACTCCAGTACGTTTTTTGAAAATAGTTCCAAGTTCCCAACTTAGCTCAACAAACTTTTGATCGTCTTTTTCAACACTCTCCAACATCTTAGACAACCACAAAGCTACACAGCCCTTAAGTATATACATTTGCAATGCAGCACCTGATAGTCCCGAGTTTGCTGATTCTCGTTTTTGTCTCAACTTAGCCAATGCTTCCTCGATAGCAATTTGTTTTTCCCTTTCTTTCATTTTGAATTCTTTTGTCTCTGAGTTCTTTCTTTGGTGTCTTTCTTTTTTTCCACGTTGAAACTCACTTTTACCTTGTTGTCGTGCTTCAAAGTCCGCTTTAGCTCTTTCACGCTCTCTTTCACGTTCTCTTTCCCATTCTTTTTGTCTTTTTTCCTCCTCCTCCTTCTCTGCTCTTCTTCTTCTCTCTTCTTCTACATTTCTTCTTCTGTCTTCCTCTTCAGCTTTTCGTTTTCTTTCATTCTCTTCAGCTTTTCGTTTTTTTTCCTCTTCTTCTTCAGCACTTTTGGATCGACTGCCCGAGTTATTTGCAGAAGATGAGGGGCCTGATGTCTTTGAGCCAGAAGTCAAATATTTAAAAACAATCTCATATGCTGTAGTAATAAGTTTATATTTTTCATGGTATAATCTATTTCTAGTCTTATCAGGATGATATTTCAAAGATAATTTTCGAAACGATTTGGTAATTTGATTGATTGGAGTCGCCGCCGTAACTTCTAAAAGTTGATAATGTTCCAATGTTGGAAATTTGATGGACATTACTTCATGAAGTAGAATTAAAGCCAGTGGCTAAAAAGATGAACTTTGGTCATTCTATTTTAATCTAAACGTAAAATGCAAAAGGCTCAATATGTTTCAAATTTCACAATTCTTCTAGCTTTAGATGGAATATAATTGAAGAAATTGGTTAGATGGATGACCAAGCAGTCAATCTATTTCAAGCTGAACGTAAAAAACATAAGGTTCAATTTTGTTTCAAATTTCACAATTCTTCTAGCTTTAGATTTTGTGTCACATTTGACTTTGTAAATTTAAAAAACATTTGAACCAGTGCATTAATTACATGTAGAGTTACAGCTAAAACGTTCTAATGTATATTTTATATAGTTTTATTTAAAAGTCAAGCATGAAATTATCAATTATCAGATATTAGTTTATTAAAAAAAAAAATTTTAAAACTTAATTAAACTGTCTTAAATGATTATACGTTCAGTATTAATTTCATAAATTTTCAATAAGGATTCATCTATCAATTCTTTTAATTCTTGATCTTTACACTCATCTGATGAATTATTGATTATTTCAAACATCTGCTTAACATTTGGTTTAAATTCAATTTCAAATTTATTAATATTCTGAATTGTTGTATAACCATGAGGATTTAATACTTTTCCCCTTTGTGAAGATTGATTAATATTAAATTGAGTATTTGATTTTAGACTTAGCCATGATTTTGATTTTTTTTTTCTAATAAATGGTTCTTTACCCAGACTCATTATTTTTTTGGTTAATACTTCTGATATTGGTTTTTTAACTGATAATGATAATCTTAAATCATAATTTCTATCTGGTAAACAAATGAATAAATCAGCTATTCTTTCTTTTTCTATACCTGACCATTCTGCTTCCTCATCTTCAAGACTTTTAGATATCGATATATTGTTATACCAAATATTTTTTGTAGTAAAATTGTGATATATGGTTTCTTCGCATCCCAAACTTATAGTTTTATCATCATCTTCTCTATCTTCTGCTCTGGTCAACTTTTTAATTGAATCAATCCAAGTTTCTTCTTCTACTGCCATAGTAAATTTAAACAGACTTGTTAATTTTTCACATGGAGCTTGACATGAAAAACTTCTATCTAATGAACCTTTTGAAATAATACTTCCAAGTCTCCAATCTAGAGTCACAAACCCTCTATCTTGAATTTTGACTTTTTTGTAACTTGCATTTAACCAATTTGATATATCTGTAGATAAGTTACTCATAAATACTGGAGTTTTGTGGTTTCAAAGCTTCCTTCATGGATTTTAGATAGTCTAGTCATTTTCCATTTATTATATTACAAAAAAGAAACGGCTGTCATTATTTTGTTTAGGTTATTATAACAATGAAGTTGAGATGTAATAATTTAATATAATCCTAATTTGTGAGAAGAATTTCCTAATTTGTTTCATAATTTTTTTTAGTTTCATGTATTAATATGTATATTTACTTAATTTACGAAAAAAAAATCATCTAACAATACAGAAGAGAAACACATCTTATATTTTATTTTCAAAATGTTGATATTTTTTCATTCAAATTAAATGCTTCGGTCAATGGACCATTTAAAATATTCAGTAATTCTTCAAATACGTTTGCTTCTTCTGAATGATACTGTTTTAATAAATTACCAATATTGTTATCAAGAATATCCAATCTAAGTTCAAATTTGTTAGGATTTTTTATACTAAAATGACCATGTCTATTTTTTTTTAAACTGTTACCCTCATGGACCTTAGTCGTGACAAATTTAGTAGAAATTGATTGACAACTCCAATGAGATATCTTTTTACTTCTTTGGAATCTTGGTTTATTTTCTTCCATTATTTTTGATAATTCTTCGTCAGGCATTGGGACTATTTTACATAGTGTAATCCTTATATCGTATTTGAAACTTGGAATATGTATTACACAGTCAAGGAGATTTTTTTTCAAGGAAGCTTTATAAACTCCCTCGTCATTTAGGTAAGCAGCAATATTTGGAAATTCATTTTTTTTTTCCATCTTGGCTGTATAGATCAAGTCAGTTTTTTCGAAATCTTGCAACCTAATAATTTTGCTAATTTCTTCATTCTCTTCATCTACTAGTTTATCCAAGTATTCTCTACATTTATCCCAGCTAGGTTTGAAAATTTTCATTTCAAATTTACTATAATTGTTCCTTCTCACGATGCAAGTTTTGTTCTTTCTGATCCTAATGCCAGATTCTTTATTGATAATTTGACCTAATTTTAGTTTCAATTCATAATCTTCAAATTCATCATTTGTGAAATCTTTGAGTTTATTGATATTATTAAGTAGCCAATGTACTACAACTTTTGTAAAACTTTCATCCATGATTGTAAATGCGTATGTTCTACTAAATTCTGAATTTATTTTATGTTATTTCTTTAAGTAATTATTAAGTAATTAATTTTTGCAATGACAAACAACAAATTTTTAAAAAAACTGTTTTTGTCCTATGTAATTGATTAAAGTTAGGTAAAATTAATGAGTAAGTAAGGGATGAAAATTACAGATTTAATTTGAGATTTATAGTTTAATCAAAAAGGATAAAATACAGTAAATAGAACATGTTAGTCAGTACATTAGAATTACACAAAAACTATAAATTGTGTCATTTTCTCAAAATTTATAATGCTAATTTAGTTACTCTATTATTAATGATCCTTGCATTATTTAAAAATACTTCAACTAATTCTTCTAATCTAAAAGTATCAGTACCAGAAATAATTTTATCAATACTTTGAAATAATTCTAAAGTATCAGCTTCCATTTCAACTTCATATTTTGTTTCATAATTTATAATTTTTTTACCTGATTTATTTTTAAATTCTTTTGGTATCATAACTTTTGTTAAATCAAATTGAGTTATTGTTGATGGATGAGTAAAAGAAGTTCGTTTTTTTTCACGAGATAATTGGGGTTGATTTTTAGTTCTTATTGATTCTATATTACCTTCTGGTACTGGAATTTCTAATGATAATGATAATCTTAAATCATACATTGATTGAGGATTATGAATATATAAATCTCCAATTCTTTCCTTTTGTATTGCTATATATCTTGGTGGATCTAATAAATTATCTTTTGAAATTCTAATTCTTCTTAAATGTTCACCTTTTTGACCAATTTGATAAAATGAATCAGTTTTATCACTTTCTAACATATTAAATTTTTTTTTTAAATGTTCTTGATTTCCATTTCTTTTAAGTTCTTCTTGATGAATTTTTTCTAATTCATCAAATAATTTTCTTATATCTTTAAATGCAATTTCTTCAACTTCCATATCAAATTTAATATTTGATTGATCAGTATATATACATTCAGTTATAACATTTGCATTGACTCTATTACCTGTTCTTTTATCAATAATCTTACCAAATTTTAATTCTAATTCAACATTTTTCCTATTCTTGTCTTCTATATTTGAAAAATTGGCATATATCCATTCTGATATTGTTCTTATGATTGAACTTGGCGGTATCACTCCCGTTATACTACATTTCAAATCAACATATCTTGTAGAATTATAATTTAATACAGATTTTGAAGATAATCTTGTAATTGACTCTCCATTGTCTATTATTTCATCTTGTCCATTACTATTATATTTGTTTTGCTGATTAGGTGGTATCCATTTTTGAGCCCATATAGGTGGTGAATCGTATCTTTTAGGTTTATTTGATTTTTTTATCCTCTGTATTTTAGTTAAATCATCATCATCTGTCTCTATTATTGATTTTTTCTTTTCAATTTTTGGTAGTATTTCTTCTTGAGTTTGTTGTGATTCTTGATGTGGTGGTAGTGGTAATGATTGATGACCATTAGATTTTTTAAGTTCAACATCTGAAGATTTTGATTCAGGTTCAGGTTCTGGATTTGTTATATTCGCTATACTATTTCTTTTTGATGTCATAGGACTAGACATAGAACTTGAATTCCCACTTCCATAATGTGTAGGTAATGGTCGACTTGATATATTTGGCGAATTAAAATTACTATTACTAGAAATACTTGGTTTTCTAAATGAATTATCATTTTGTACTTGTGTTGATTTTTCTGCTGGTGATTCATCTTGTGCTGCATCGTTCAACATACTCGTTATTGAATGTCTTTGATGTACTGATTGAGTTGATGATCGATTTGATGATGATATTGGTACTGATGATACATTTGTATGATGAGGTTGTTGTACTGGTTGGGGTTGTGGTTGTGATTGATTTATTTGAGGAGATTGAGTAATATTTGAAGTTTGTGGTGAAATGGATTGATGAGATTCATTTGGATTCTGTGGTGGATCGTCATTTAATATCGAACCAACGTTCATTGTTAATTAGTAAATATATTGTTATAATTCTGACTATTAATTTGATAGTTAACTTCTGAATATATTTTTTTTTCTAATTTTCGTAAATGAAAAAAAATTTAGTATATTTTAGTTATTGTAGCACGGATTTATTGAACCACTATATAAAAGTATTGCAAAATTTATGGCTGCAAATTTTCTTACATAAAGTAAAACAACATTTTAATAAATACTTTTCAATTTTTTTTTTATTGTTTTTATATGATGAATATACAAGGAATAGATAAATACTATACATACATACATAAAAAGTTTTTCATATCAATTTATAAAAAAGAACTTTCGAAATCACTTCTTTTTAACCACTTTTTTTCTTTTTATAATTTAGCACTTTCTAAATTTTTATTTAATCTATCAGCAACTGCATCAATAAATTCTTCAGTTGTAACATAACTTGATCTATCAGTTTTACCTTGAGCTAATGCTAAATCTTTTGTCATTTTACCATCTTGAGCAACAGTATCAATAACAGCTTTTTCTAAATCTTCACCAAATTTTACAACTTTTGGAGTATTATCAATTTTACCTCTTTGAATTAAACCTCTTGTCCATGCAAAAATTGATGCAATTGAATTTGTTGAAGTTTCTTTACCTTGTTGATGTTGTCTATAATGTCTTGTTACTGTACCATGAGCAGCTTCTGATTCAAATGCTTTTCCATCTGGTGTCATTAATACTGAAGTCATTAAACCTAATGAACCAAAACCTTGTGCAACTATATCAGATTGAACATCACCATCATAATTTTTCATTGCAATTATATAACCACCTTTTGATTTTAACATTTGTGCAACCATATCATCAATTAATCTATGTTCATACCATATTCCAATTTTATCCATTTCTTGTTTATATTTAGTTGCATATAAATTTTCAAAAATATCTTTAAATTTACCATCATATCTTTTTAAAATTGTATTTTTTGTAGAAGAAAATAAATTTAATTTTCTGTCAATTGCTAATTTGAAAGAACTTTCAGCAAAATCAGTAATTGATTTATCAGTATTATACATTGACATACCAACACCTGGTCCATCAAAATCATAAACTGGATATTCTATAATTTCACCACCATCTTTAGGTTTAAATACTAATTTTAATTCACCAGCTTTTGGTATAACAATATCAGTAGCTTTATATTGATCACCAAATGCATGTCTACCAATTATAATAGGTTTTTCCCAAGTTGGTACAATTCTTGGAATATTTTCAATTACAATTGGTTCTCTAAAAACTGTACCACCTAAAATATTTCTTAAAGTACCATTTGGTGATAACCACATTTTTTTTAAATGAAATTCTTCAACTCTTTGTTCATCAGGTGTTATAGTAGCACATTTTATACCAACACCATATTTTAATATAGCATTTGCAGCATCTATTGTAACTTGATCATCAGTTTCATCTCTATATTCAATACCTAAATCATAATATTTCAAATCAATATCTAAATATGGAAAAATTAATTTATCTTTAATAAATTGCCAAATAATTCTTGTCATTTCATCACCATCCATTTCAACAATTGGATTTTTAACTTTAATTTTATTTGAGTCTGACATGATTGAATGATTTTTGTTTATAATGAATAAATTAAATTAAATTAAATTATGATAAAAGTAGTTTTTAATACAATAAATTGATCTGTTGTTATACAATAAATTATAAATTCAAGATTATACGAACTATGTATGTTAATTGAAATTGAATAATTTATGAAATTATTTTCACAAGTCAAATAAATATTTATTATAAATTTGATAGAAATAGAAAATTTTTTTTAAATATGGAAATATATGGAAATATAAATATAATAATATATAATAATAATAATATATTATAATATAAATATATAATATAAATAATATAAATATCGGGTAAATTAATAAGTTAAAATAATATTAAATTAGTAAATAATTATATTATCTGATTTAAAACATATTATAAATCATTTAAATGAAGATGTTGAGGTTGTTTATCAACATATGATCTCTATTTGAAATGTGTAATATGTTATTGGTAGTTGTGTAATAATGATTAAGTAATTAAATATAGTGTGGTATTAAATTTTCAACTTTTATTTAAGAAGTATAAATAAAAATAAAAAATTAAACTTTAAAAAAGGTGGGGTTGAAATATACTAAACAATATACAACCTTTATATACAGGAAAATCAAATCCCTTTATTTTAATTTAAAAAATAGAAGATTAAATAATAATTTTTAATTAATTCCGGGAATTTAAATTGATCTTAAGTTAAAATGATTGAATTGGTTTATGTTTGTTGAAAAGGGTCAGTAATTTTGTCTCAAGTTTTCAAAAATGTTGTTGCAAGTAATCGATCAATTAAATCTTAACAAAATAATTCCACATACCAATTAACAAAAGATTACATGGCTTCAATTAAATAATTATTGTATAATGATAATTTTTAGACAAATATTAGATCAAAAATTTTTTGATTTATATTGTTCTGAAATATATTGTTTATAAAATTTATTTAAACTTGAAAAGAAAGATCTCGGTTGATTCTAATCTTTCTAAAATTGTTGAAATTTTCTTCAAGTCAATATAATTTCATTTTAAGAAGTCAATTAAACATTTGAAAGATTTGTCTCGGACTTCTATATACTCTTTCCTTTTTAAAGAAAGTATTTCCATTCAAATATTTGAAAAATATTTGAAAAATATTTCAATTAAAATTTTTATTAATGTAAAAATCAAAAAACATAAGATTTTAGATTTTTAATACCGTCAAATTTTACCGTTTTTGTGATTTATTTAAAAATAATGATTTATTTTTTATTTTTATTTTTTATTGTGTGTTTGATCGACATTTATTTGTAATAAAATTGTTCCGAATTTTACCTAAAGTAATAAAAGTTTAAATTAGTTCCGATTTCTTCCCCTCCTATTTGTCTGAAAATTAAATTTGGTCTCGACATACTTAAGAAATAAATTTTGATCTATCTATATAGATTTTTTAATTTTTAAAATTTTTTAGTTGTTTTCTTTTGACTCTCTTGATCCTTTATAACATTTTCAAATAAATAGTAATACAAATTCATATCTCATACTCAATCAACATTTTAATTTATATAAAATTGTTGAAGTTCAAATCTTGGTAATTGTAATTAGTTCCACATTATAATAATGATGAACTTAAATTGTGAAGACAACAAATTCTTAATGTTGAGCATTTTTAAGTATTATTACAATAATACTCAAAATATTGCAGGCTTTTTGTTAATGTTATACAAAATTTAATGCAACATGGAATTTACTTTTTTTCTGCTACATTTTAAAATTAAATTATTGTTTCATAAATCTATTTTGTACCTTACTTACAATAATAAATTTATAGAATTTTCGTTTTAAATTAATGTCAAAATTTTATATAAAGATTTTTGATTTTTCAATCGATTCATATATTGAACATTTTTACTACTTAAATGTATGTCCTCTAGTGATGGATCGGAAATGTACATAATTAATAATTATATAATTATTTATGGTACTTGTATAATATTGTTGTTATCTATTTGATATTATTTAAATTATTTACAAAATAATAATTTATTTATTTATTTATTTTATTACAACTGTCAACTATTAATAAAAATTAAATTTGTATATTTTGTATTTTTTTACAACCAAATTATAATTGTTTTATTAACTTACTACATTCATTCCTTTACAACCAACTAAATATATACTTTCTTTATCATTTTCACTCTTCATACTGATTCAATGGATTTCATAAAATAATGGATCAACAAAATCATTTATTTGATAATAATAAAATAAAAGATCAACGACAAATAAATGATATAAATTTTGATAATCAACAACAAAACAATGACGTAATTATTGCAAGTCCTTCATTAAAAAGACTTAATAAATTGAGAAATAATTTACAACAATCAAATCAACGTCAACAACAACAACAATCACCAGATCTAAGTATATTCTTACAACCTCACACATCAACTAATACTTCAACAAAGACTTTATTAAATTTAAAAAAAACTAGATCTTTTGAAGGACAATCTTCAACAAGTAATTCATCTTCAAAAATTAACCATAAATACTCAAATCAATTAAACCCGAATCAAATAAATGAAGTTAGGTTTTCCAAAACTGTTCCATCAACACCTAAAATTGATTTTGAATTAATGGCTAAAAAGAAATCATTAAATAAATTGAACATTAGATCTCATGTTTTTAAACATGGAATTTTAAGTCCAGGTATATCAACTAAAAAAAATTATCGTAATCAAAATTTTATAACTGACGAAAGTGATGATGAATTAACCTCATTACATACCTCAAAAACGAATGAATCATATGGCTCAACAAGTTTTATTGGAAGATTAACAACTCCTTTTCAAACTTTGAGAAATTATTACAATGATTTCACTACAATTGATTGGGTTAAGGCATACTTGAATGGAAATAAATTTAATTATTCTTTGGAGAAGAATAGATGGATAAATAATAATGACTTTACTAATGGAAACGATAATGAATCTTACGAAACTAATGAAATAATGGGAAATACTAACAAAATTCCTTTTTTACAAAAACAATATTACATATTAGGTAAATGGATATTAATTATATTAATTGGGTTAACATTTTCAATAATTGCATTTGTAATAGATAAATTTGAAATTTTATTAATTGGTTTTAAACACGGGTATTGTAAATCAAATTGGTTTGCAAGTCAAATATCATGTTGTTCTGACATAATAAATGAAGATACTAGTAGGATTCATAGTCCGTTTAAACCATCTGAGAGGTGTGACAATTGGGTTAGTTGGTCAATTTTTTTCAACAATTATCGGTTTAGTGATAAATTTAGAATAGATTATATAATCTATGTCTTACTATCTATTACCTTAGCTTGTGTTGCTTGTTTAGTTACCTTAACTACTAAAATCATAGGAGGATTGGAAGATGAAAATGCAACAAGTAATAACAATGAAGCTAACAACGAGGAAGAACATCAGCATCAACAAAATCCAATTAAACCAAGAGTGATATATACAGCAACTGGTTCGGGAGTACCAGAAGTTAAAACCATATTATCCGGATTTGTTATACGTCGATTTCTTGGTGTTTATACATTATTTGCTAAAACTATAGCGCTTATTTTAGCTATTGCATCTGGTATGTCATTAGGTAAAGAAGGTCCTTATGTTCATTTAGCAACTTGTGTTGGGAATATTATTTCAAGATATTTTCCATATATTTATGAAAATGATTTATTTGAAAAAGAATTATTATCTGCAAGTGCATCTGCTGGTGTTGCATTGGCTTTTGGATCTCCATTAGGTGGTGTATTATTCATATTAGAAGAAATTAATAATTATTTACCAAATCATCAATTATTTCAAGTATTCTTTTGTGCTATTATATCAACTTTGTTTTTGAAATTCCTAAATCCTTATGGAACTGGTAAAACTGTTTTATTTGAATTAGAGTACTATTCTGATTGGAGACCGATTGAACTATTGTTTTTTGTTATAATTGGTATATCTGGTGGGATATTTGGTGCTGCATTTGTTAAATTTATCAATTGGTGGCCTAAAAAATTCAGAACTTTAAAATTAATAAAAGATAAACCATTATTTGAAGTGTTTTTAGTTGCTACTTTAACTGGATTAATAACATTTTGGAATCCATATACAAAGCAAGCATCCGCTGAGTTGGTTTTAGATTTAGCTACTTCATGCTCTGGAAGAGAATTAGATAGATCATTATGTCCAACTACAAGCGAACAGTTTTTCAAAGAATTAGGTTCTTTGTCATTAGCTTTTGGTATGAAAGTTATACTAACGTTTATTACGTTTGGTTTAAAATTACCTTGTGGTATATATGTTCCTTCAATGGTAGCTGGTGCGTTATATGGAAGAATATTTGCAATGATAATACAATGGATTGGTTTCATATTTAAAAAAGAAGTAAATACAGTAAGTACCTTTGATATTATTTGTCTACCAAATTCAAAAGATTGTGTTGATATGGGTATATATGCTATGATATCAGCAGGTGCATTTATGGCAGGTGTAACAAGAATGAATATTACTATTGTTACGATTTTATTTGAATTAACATCATCATATACTTATGTATTACCTATATCAATAGCTATCGCAGTTGCAAATTGGTCAGGTGGATTATTGGAGAAAAATTCATTATATGAATCCTTACTAATTAGTAATGACTATCCATTTATGTCACCAGCAACTGATCCAATAGATCCAAATTTGAAAAGTATAGATATTATAAATAATGATTTATTACCTATAAAATCAACTAATCATTTAATCGATAACAAGAAACTTTTCATTGATTTAACAGATTCAAACTATGTGTCAATAACAGTTTTACAGAGCAAATTAATAATGTTAGCAAATCAATGTTTGTTAGATGGTTGTATACCATTGATTAAAAATCAAGTATGTATTGGATTGATTTATTTCTCAGAATTGGAAATCTGCCTAGACAAGATTAATTCTTTCATTGAAGAGTATGATATAAGGTATGAAATATATTGTAAACTAATTCAAGGTAATAACACCCAAATTAAAAATGTATCTGATGATTATTTTTCATATGGTTCAAATCAACAAGAAACTGAATTTGATATGATTTTAAATGAATTAACTGACTTAACTTCTATTGTTGATTCTTCCCCAATTTTTATAAATTATGATAGTGAATTAGCATTAGCTAATTTAATTTTTGATGGAATTGGTAATCGAGTTATTGTATTATTGAAAAATGGGAAATATTATGGAGTTTTACATAAAAAGGTATTGATTGATTATTTGAGAAGAGCTGAAAATACAACATAGATATAAAATATTGATTGATGAAACTATAGACTTGAAATCATTTTCTTTTCAATTTAGTGGAAACATAAAAATTAATCAATAATTGAGGAAATAAACTTAAATTTAAAGGTAAAATATCATAGTCAATTTCTGGTACTTCGTTTAATTCATAATCGTTTAGAATTTCAGACAGTTTAACCTCACATTTTGAAGATTTAATTTTATTAATTTCAATTTCATCATATTCGAATTTTTGATATTTTTTCAATTGTTCAAAATAAGTTAAATGAGCTTCATATAAAAAATTGATTATTTTCATGAATTCAGAACTGTTAAGTAAATTAAATTTTAAGAATATTACTAATGAAAGTTCCATCAATTTAGAATTTAATTTTGGATCATTTTGAAAAAATTGTAATAACATCTTGGAATAATTATTTGATATAATTTCTTTAGGTTTGAAAGTATATGATTCTATATAACCTGAATAGTTATTCAAAATATGCATAAAATTAGAAACAATATCCTTAGTGTTTGAATTTTCAATAGACATTATTTGTGTTCTTAATAACTTATTTGATTCTTCATTTGGTTCATTGTTTTCTTGATTTTCATCCCCAAACAAAAAAGTGAATGAGTGAGTTTGATTCTTCAAATACATAATCAAGTAGTCTAAGTACAAAATAAATTTCTCATCAACAAAATAATTGAATTTAGTTCCTTTGTTTTTCAAGCATTTGATACTTTTATAATGCTCAGTATTCCCTTTGCTATAAAGTTGAAATTTTTTCGTAGAATATTGAAAAAACAAATCATTATCGAAAAATTCATCCATTACTTTCGTTGTATGATATTGATCCATAATTTTCAAAGCTGATAAGATAAAGTCATCAAATTCATTCCAAAAATTGCATTCATTCATTTTATCAAAATCATACTTTTTTTCATAAATTGTGAAATATGCATTTCTTACTTTTTCACAACTACATTCTAAAGTTAATATTATAGTCTTCAACAATTCTTCATCATTATTTGGTTCTTTTTCTTCTTCCTTTTTAGGAAATAATGATTTGAAATACAATTCAACCAAATACTCATATAATTTGATTTTATCAATCAAATATTCACAAACTGCATTAGAATTATTACTCAATTTTATAAATTCTAAATAATTCTTATATCCACAAATTTTAAAATCATTATATAATAAATTCAAAATAATATAATGCAAATTATTTGTGTTTTCAACTTTATGATTTATACCATTTTCTAAAAACCATTGATTAAACAATTTGATGTTATTATAATAAATTTTTAAAATTTCAGTAATTAATTTATTCAAATATGGAATTTGATAATCCTTTAAATTTTTGTAAATTGTGAAATTATTTAAATAGTTATTGAAAATTTCAAAACTTGAATAAATTAGTAAGTTTAATTTATTGTTCTCTTCATACTGATCTGGTTCATTTTCATCTTTGTTTTCTATACTTCTTCTTTTTAAGCATTCAATTAAATTCTGAATGAAAAAATCAATTAAATCAAATAATTGTTTATTATTACATTGTACAGTTGAAAGTTTTTCTAAAAAATCAATTGATACTAATTGAGTAGTAATTGAGTGTTTTTTTGTTGTGTACATTTCTGAGTTTTGAAGATTTTTTAAATTTTTGATTAATTCATTAGTTGATTGTTCAACTTCTACTAACGAAGCATTTCTTGTATTGCACTAATACATATGTTAATATTTAGCTCATCTATTAAAAAGTTTCTATACATACAATATTTTGATAGTTCCTAATTGGCAAATCCATTTTCTTCAATTGATAACCTAATAAAGCTACTTCGCCACTATGTAAATCCATTTCACAATCTTTGTCATTTGTTGAGCTATATTTAACATTAATGTTTGTGAAATTATTTGTTTCATTCAATTGTTTTAATTTTTTCCTCTTAAATTTACTCAAGTGATGCATTTTGTATTAGTTTTCAAAACTCTAAGTTTCAAAATTAGAGATAATCAACTCAATTACTTAAGAAGAAATTGAAGTTTAGATAATATTTTAATATTAAAAAAATCTGAAACATAACATAAAACAAATTATTTTTAGAACTTAATAATATTCATGTAGATTACGTAAAATTAAGCGGTTCTTACGTAATCAGAGATCTCTACATAAATATTATTTTAATTTACGACCTAATTAATTTGTTTCAACAATTGTTTCATTTCGAATTCACAAATTATGAAACATTTGGTAATATTATTTTATCAATCAAAGAAGTTTTTAATTTGAAATAAAAAAATTATAAAAAGTTGCTCAATTCTATAATTAAAATTCTTTACACCACTCAAATTTTTCGAATATTACACATAACACTCAATTTTCTTACAATGTATACTTATAATAAATTTGGTTCAAGATCATCAACTGCAGGTATAAACAAACCATCTTCAACTACATCTTCAACTTCATTATCATCATTAAACTCGTCAACTACAAAAAAAGAATTCAAAGTCAAAAAAGAAAATGATAAATCTTCAAGTTCAAATTTGCAACCAATAAATTATAATAATCATTATATTCACACGGGAGAAATTGCTACAAACTTTATTAGAAATGTTATTAACCCATTGGATGGTTATCCCAAATTGCAAAAGTTACATCAATTGAAAAGAGAACAAATTGCAAAACATGCAGTAAAACCATTTGGTGTTAGATGTCCAGCCAATGAAATAGTCTCAACATTAAATAAATGGGTTGATGATTATAATTTAAAATTTGATGTTATTATGATTGGAGCATTAGTTGAAAATCAATTTGTTTTACCAATTTTAGAAAAATTACCATTGAATAAATTATGTTCAAAACCTGGTTTTTTATTTATATGGGCAACAACTCAAAAAATTCAAGAATTAACCATTTTATTGAATAATGAAAATTTCAATAAGAAATTTAGAAGATCAGAAGAATTGGTATTTTTACCAATAAATGAAACCAGTCCATATTATCCAAATAATTCAAATATAACAAACCAAGATTTTAATTTATTTGAAAAACAACAATGGCATTGTTGGATGTGTATTACTGGTACTGTTAGAAGATCAATTGATAATGATTTAATTCATTGTAATATTGATACTGACTTACAAATTGAAAATTATGAAAATACTTTAAAAAGAGGTAGAGAAGCTTGTCCAAATCAAATTTATCAAGTTGCTGAAAATTTTTCAAATTCAAATAGAAGATTACATATAATTCCTTCAACTTTAGGTTTAGATACTCATGTTAAATTACGTCCTGGTTGGGTTATTATAGGTCCTGATGTTTTATTAAATAATTTTGATCCAATTGCTTATAATGATGAATTAAATTTGAAATCAGTTATTAAATATAAACAAAATATCAACAACAATAACAATAATAAATCTCAAAGTGCTGATGGTATGGTAATTGGTGGATCAAGTAGTAATTCAGTTCAATATTTGGTTCCTCAAACTGATGAAATAGAAGAATTAAGACCAAAAAGTCCAGTAAATCAAAGTAAAGGTGGTAACTAATTAGTAGTTAGTATTTATATTTTATAATATATATAAGTTATAACTTAAATCATTTTTTGTAAATCAGATAAATTGATGAATGTTGGATAGGAACTTTTTATCAGCATCGTAGACTCTGAGTGAGCTGAGTAAGGTTTTCATCATTAACAAAAAGATTAAAAACTTTGAATTATCACATACTCATTATTGTAGCAATGTATAGTGTATTTAATATATGAAAGGTTAAAAAACAAAATTGTGAATTAATAATGAAAACTTTTTGTTAATGTCAAGATGCTTGAAAAAAAAACAAAAAATTAAATCTTAGCTTTTCAATCCGGGTAATTTATTGCCTTGAAGTTTGGCTGCAAAATATTTCAATCACAGAATTTAAAATTACAAGCTATACAATCAAACAAGTTAGATATAATTAAAATTAATATTTATTAAGATATAATCACTTTCATAAACAATTTGATAAAGCCAATTATAATAAATCATTTTTCATACTACTTCAAATTAAAATGTGAATTAAATTAAAATTAAAAGAATAAAATAGCAGCAAAATAAGCTAAAGAAGCTCCAGCAATTAAATTTGCAGCCTCTGCAACTGCAGTAGTTGTTCTAGTTGCAATACCAGTAGCATTACCTGCACCTGTTGGACCAGCTCCAGTTTCAGTTGCATTTCCAGTCGCAATTGCAGTTCCTGTTTCAGTACCTGTTTCACCTGTGCCAGTTTCAGTTTCAGTATGATGAGCAGCTCCAGTTTCTGTAGCATTCTGACCCGTTTCAATTGTAGTTCCAGTCTCATGACCAGTTTCATGTTGAGTTTCTGTGGCATTGACTTGTACTGTGTGGATTTGTCCACCAGTATGTTCAGTAGGATGTTCAGTTCCTGGTGTAGCTTCAGTCGGAGTCTGTTCACCAGCTGGAGGTTGAGTAACAGTTGTTTCTAAAGTATTTGTAATAGTTGTATCACCTGCTGGTGTACCTTCATTTGGGGCAGTACCAATGGTAACTGTTGGAATTGCAGTATTTGCTCCTGCTGCTCCTGGAGTATCATTTATAACAGTTGTTGTAAAACCAACAAGAACAGTAGTGGCTGCAGAAATTGTTGTTGCATATAAAGCGACTGATGTTAAAATTGTAAAACGCATGTTGAATTGATTAGTTTCTTTTTGAAATTGTCAATAATGTTCTTGTATCTTGAATCAAATACAATGAAAAAAGAAAATTGATCTTGTAATTGAAAAACTTGAAATAAGTTGGCATCTTTGTTATTATATATAAAATGTACCAATATGTCAAACTTTTCATACTCCTTAAAAATTTTGAAAATTTTGAATACATACACGAGAATATATAAACTGGAAATTATAAGGTCGAACTTAATTCGCATAATAATGCAGTCACTTGGAGTTAGCTCGTTTGGTTGTCAAATCAATTTTCATTATTATTTATTAGGCCATATAACAAGGCTATGAAAGTAGCAATAGTCATTTACATTATTGCTTCATTTTTCAGTGGAGTACTTTAATATTTGGATGCAAAAAATTGTGAGCTAATCATGTTTCAGAAAAAAAAAAGCTACTTTCTAATCTTTTGAGTAAAGTCGTGAATACTCATTTATTACTCATTCTGGCTAGATAGCCTTACTTTAAATTCTGTTTATGTGTAATCCGATGAATAGATAATCGTACATTCAACCAATCCTATACAACAATTCTTTCTAAAAATAAATTTATACCAAAAAGCAATTTAATGTAATCTAAAGTAATGCTAAAGCAGCTACATATAATAAAGCACCAGAACTCATATACTTTATAGCATCATTAGATGATCCTGAAGTTTCTGAATTTGTAGATCCACTTCTTGTTGAGGCTGAACTAGTACTTTCACTTCTCGTACTTGTACCACTAGAATTCTCCGAAGTTTGTGAGCTTTGTGAATTTTGACTCTGACTCTCAGTTGAAGATTCACTGCTAGTTTCACTTAATTGAGAAGATATAGATGAAGTATTATCACCACCAGCTCCAACAACTGAACCAGCTCCTGAGGTAATACCTTGACCGACAGATGCACCACCAGAAGTGGCAGTGCTAAATGCCCCGACTGCTCCTGAAGTTGCTGTACTATATGCCCCTACTGCTCCTGAAGTTGCTGTACCAAAAGCTCCAACAGCTCCAGATGTAACTGTATTTATTACTCCTGCAACACCTGAAGCAGCATCATCTGCAATGTCACGTAAAACATTCTTTTCTTGTACTAAATTTTTGTTGTCTAGTATAGATGCTAAAGCAAAAGGACTAATTGCTAATATTGTGGTTGATCTCATATTTGTAGTATCGTATGAATTATGGAAGACGAAAGCTAATTAAATTGGTAAACTCCAAAAACATCGTTATAGCTTATTTTTAAATGATATTCCACTTCTTATTTATAGTCTCAATAATAACAATTAACCACACGATAACAATGTGCTTACGTATTTGACGAGATACTCTGAAGATCATTCAAATCTTTATTTACTTGGTCAACGTCATATGATGTATTTTCATTAGCTTTATTAAATATGTATTGCTAAAAACAAAGAAAAATGCATCGTATGTAAAATAATTGCACAAAAACTCTATTGGAAAAGTCTTAAGGGGTAGGTTCATAAGAATTCAGCCTTTTGTTTTCATTTATAAAATTGGGTCAATCAAGATCACTTTAAATTGTGATTGAATGCTATTGTATGAAACTGAAATACTTGATTTATAGTTTCTGCATTGCATTGTCGAATGACAAAGTTTCCACTATTTTAAGAGTTCCGTAAGCTAAGTATAACCGTCTCCGCTTATATAGTGATTTTGATTTTATGATGGAGTAATTGATCAGTTTGATAAGTGAAATTTCTCATAATGTCACCTACAGGATGAAAAAACAACAATCGTACGAAATTTTGGACCCATGGTTCTAATCCTTCTTGGGTTGATATATTTTTAATTCAACTGTACAGCCTCTTTGTTCTTTAAAAAAATTGGCGTTTATGTGAGACATGCCCAAGTCATTCCAAGTTTATTGTAAAAAATATACAAGACTTTTGTCCTAACTGTGATTTCAATTACTTTTCAAATTTCAGCAAGTCCAGTTTCATTATAACTATAAAACTGTTGAAAAATGATCTTTAAAATAGTTTTATGAAACTAATATTAAAAAATTGTAAACAATTTTTGGTAGCTTCCATTCGAAGTCTTCCAAAAGAACGCGCACTTACTCTTTAAGCAATACAAGAAATTCGATTATATAGTTGCAATAGAAAAGTCTAGAATTACATGCATCAAATTACTACTTTTGTACAAGTAAATTAAGTCAATTCACAATTCTCATAGCCCAATTGTACAAGCACAATCTAATGATATAATAAAATGAAATTTTGTTGAAAGAGATAAAATAATGAATCTGAAAAAACATTCTTTAGAAGATGACGATGATTCAAGTGATGAAGAAAATATTAAAGATTTCAGATCGGGTAAAAGAATTAAACTAGACTCTTTATTAGAAGATTTAAAATTAAATGAGGACAAAAATTCAACTCATCCATTCATAAATAACAAAGAAAAGGACAAAGACAAAGATAAGGATAAATCAAAACGGGATTATGTTATACCTAAATATAGCGGAGGGATCTTTAAAAAACCTTCAAATCCACAATCTTATACTTCATCTCAATTGGATTCATATATAAATGATAAAATAGTTGATCATTTTCAAAATATAATAACTTCATCTTTAAAAATCATACGTTGGTATAATTATAAATTTTTAGTTGTATTTAGACTACAAAAATGGTTCATTAAATTATTCAATCGATTTGTTAAAAAGTACAATCTTAAAAATAATTCATCAATTAGGCCATTTAAAAGTTATGATCAAATAATTGCTTTAATTCATGAAAAGTTCATTACATGGAATGATTTAAAAAATATAATTGATGAAGAGAATAAGTTAGAAATGAAGAGACTATATATAAAAGAAGAAAATAGGAAAACTCAAAAAGATAAAGCTAATATAGAAAAAGAAACTGCAGCTTATAAAAATTTAGGTTATAATTATTGGGATAACTTGAAGTTTGACAAGGATCTAGACATGCTAGATGCTGATGAACTTGACAAACCGGAACCAAAAGTTGTCGAATTAGGTGATGTATCTGATGATAACGATGTACAAATGAATGATGATGATGAAGCACAGACGAGAAATGGTGCAGATGCCAACTATGGTTCATATTATCATTCAAGTTGATTGGTAAATTTGTGTCTGAATATTCTTTCTTTATCTAGGTTTCTGAAAAAAATGGTCATTTTGTGATTTTACCCCAAATTAATAGATTTTTGCATTACATTATCATGGATTATTCGATTAAGAAAAGAACTTTACTCTAAATTACAAGTGCTCATTGGTAGAACCTAGAAACTGAAATCTAAGTATCTAAAACTTTCATATACCTCTTGTTTTCTACTTCTTTTGCTGTAATTTATGTTTATTCTTTATCTTATCTAATATGAACCAAATAAGATCTCAAAAAAATTTCTTTTTATTAAATCGTTGCACAAAATGGAAGCATCTATTAAAATTTATTTTACTTCAATCAATTTAACTATTATAATTATTAGTCCAAACAGGAAGAGAGTAATGAGTTCAATATTCAAACTACCTAATGAAATAATATTAGAAATACTACGATATTTGGACACCAAAGAAATAGATGATCTAATCACACAATTTTATAAATTACAATCAGCAAAACCAATTTTAAAACTACTATATCAAAGATTATTTAGTGGAAAACTACATATAATTAATGAGGAGCCAAGATTACAATTTCATCATGATTACGAATTAACGATAGATAATTTCAAAGACAAATTAATAGAGTGTAATAATGAAATTAGTTTTGAAAATTGTATATTCAAAAAAGTAAGACCAAATATTATTGAATTTAAATTTACAAGACAACAAAGTGATTATAGAAGATTTATACATGATTTGAATCAATTCCATGAATTAATAGAATCAACTGACTCAAATATACGGCAGTATTTTAACAAATCATTGCAAATCAATATATTTATAGATTCCAATTTAGTATTTATGGAAAACCCAGATACTTTCAAATCAATCATTATTAAACTACTTCTAGAATTAAGTAAAAATGAATTTGCCTCAAAGATTCAAAATTTTACAATAAAGTCTAGTGAAATAGGAAGTTTATATGTAGCTCACTGGTCACAATTATTTAAATATTTCACGAATTTAACTATTTTAAATTTAGAAGATAATTTTCTAAAAAGTAATTATGAACAATATTTAGATGTTTGGGGAATGCTGCAAAAATTTCCAAATACTTTAACTCAGTTGAATTTAGATAGAAATATGTTTACATATATTTCAAAAGATTTTTTAATAAATTTACCTTCAAGTTTAGCGATATTATCAATGAATCAAAATGAAATTGAAATAATTGAACCATGTGAGTTGGGGGATGCATTACCTAATCTACGTAACTGGTTGTTAAATTATACTAAGCTATGTGTTATAAGTCCTTCAATGTTTAAAAAATGTAATTCAGGTTTTATTTTAGAGATCAAATCAACTTATTTACCCGATTCGGACTTGCAAAAATTACATTTGATTGCAAAAGATAGAGGTTTTAAAGTATTGATATAATAATGTGGATCGATCCGACCATAAGTAGTTACTAAATGTATAAATTTTGGTGTAAATTAAAATGTTGAATATAAAACTGGCTGCAAAAAAATGTGGAAGTTTTTCCACGGCTTTATCCTAATTTTTTATTTTTAGTGTTGTACGATAATTTTGAACCTTTTTCTTTTTTTCACTCTTTTAGTCTGACAAAAATTTAATATTTGGACCGATCTAACAAGCAATACCTTTATTTATTAAGGTTTGGAGACATATGCATAATTTTAATAGACTAATATGATATTGATGAGGAGACAGTTGAGTACTACTGGCTTTATACCGAGAAGTTTTATCAAAGGATTTGTGAAACCTCGTGTAAATTGCATTAAACAAATACCTAGAACAAATTTCAAGCATGCATCAATACTACTAAATCAACTACGATTTAATTCAACCACCTCAAAATCTACAACACCTTCAATCAACAATACTTCAAATGATACGGTAACTAGTACTATACCCATAGATGAAGCAGTACGGAAAGAAGATTCACACCTATTCAAAGATATAATAAAGTTATTAAGACTAGCCAAACCAGAATCTACTTTATTAGTATTTGCATTAATATGTCTAGCAATTTCAGCGGCAACTTCAATGTCAATACCTTTAATTATTGGTAAAATAATGGATACAGCAAAACCATTGGGCTTTAATAAAGATGATGATGACAAAGATAAAGAAAATACAAAACAAGATTCAAATTCAGATGATACATTAATATTTGGACTTACGTCGACACAATTTTATTCCTCATTAGGAGTTTTATTTTTAATTGGATCAGCTGCAAATTTTGGTAGAGTTTATTTATTAAGAACAGTTGGAGAAAAATTAGTTGCAAGATTAAGATCAAGATTATTTTCCAAAATATTAGCTCAAGATGCTTATTTTTTCGATATTGGACCAAATAAAACTGGTATGAAAACTGGTGATTTAATTTCAAGAATTGCTAATGACACTCAAATTATTTCTAAAACTTTAAGTTCAAATATAAGTGATGGAATGAGAAGTATTATTTCGGGTGTAGTTGGGATTTCAATGATGTGTTATGTATCTTGGAAATTAACTTTATGTATGAGTTTAATGTTTCCTCCTTTAATTCTTATGTCATTCTTTTATGGACGTAAAATTAAAGCATTATCAAAATTAATTCAAGAAAATATTGGTGCTTTAACTAAAGTTACTGAAGAAAAACTTAATGGGGTTAAAATTATTCAATCATTTGCTCAACAACAATCAATTGTTCATGGATATAACAAGGAAATTAAAAACATTTTTGATAGTTCATTAAGAGAAGGTAAATTATCTGGTATATATTTTTCAGTTAATGGATTTATTGGAAATGTTACGATGATTGGATTATTAATTATAGGTACTAGGTTAATTGGAATGGGTGAATTAACAATTGGTGATTTGTCAAGTTTTATGATGTACGCTGTTTATACTGGTAGTTCAGTATTTGGATTAGGTAATTTTTATACTGAATTAATGAAGGGTATTGGAGCTGCAGAAAGAATTTTTGAATTAATTGAATATAAACCCAAAATATTAAATAATAAAGGTTTAAAACTGAAAATTAATGGTGATATAATATTAAGAGATATAGATTTTTCATATCCTTCTAGATCTGATAAAATTTTTACAAATTTAAATTTACATATAAAAGAAGGTGAAAATGTATGTCTTGTTGGACCATCAGGTAGTGGGAAATCAACTGTAAGTCAATTATTATTAAGATTTTATGATACAGATGGTGGAGAAATTATAATTGGGAATGAAAATCCAATAGAAATTAAAGATTTTAATTTAAATAATTATAGAGAACAATTGGGTTATGTTCAACAAGAACCATTATTATTTAGTGGTACAATAAAGGATAATGTTATTTTTGGTAAACAAGATGCAACAGATGAAGACATTGAAAAAGCATTACAAGTAAGTCATTCAACTGCTTTCATAAATAATTTACCTGATGGTTTAAATACTAAGATTGGATCATCAACATCAACTCAATTAAGTGGAGGACAAAAACAAAGAATATCATTAGCAAGAACAATAATTAAAAATCCAAAAATACTAATATTAGATGAAGCAACATCAGCATTGGATTCAATAAGTGAAGAACAAGTTATGAAAAATTTAATAGGATTAAATAGAGAAAAAGGTATAACAATAATTTCAATAGCTCATAGATTATCAACTATACAAAATAGTGATAGAATTATAGTTTTTAATCAAGACGGTGAAATTGTTGAAGATGGTGAATTTATAAATTTACATAATAATCCAGAAAGTCAATTTAATAAATTATTAAAAACTAGTGACTTTGAATAAATAGACTAGCATGTATATATTCAAGAAAATAATTTTATTAATATTCAAATATTTTAAGTACAATTATTTACTACTATTTAGTTATATAGTGAAATGCTCTACACATTCAATATCAAGAATTTTATAATATGTAATGGACTGTACTATTCTGTTACTAATCGTGATAATAAAGGGCTTTACTCAAAGATTTTAAGTTCCTGAAATGATTTAAAACGTTCAAAAAAAACCTTGCATATTTTATTCTTACATATTTCAACAAAAACAATAAACTTACATTACATATTTCCATAAAACAAAAATTTAAAATTTTAAGGTTTTTAAATTTGTTTTATCTTTGCTTTGTTAATTCTATATATATTTCTCAACAATTTATTCTGTTGGATTACCTTATTCAAATAGAGGTCTTGATTGCTATTACACTATTTAAATGATGAAAATTGAAATGTGGGGTAGTTCAGCTTAATTATTAGTATCACAAATAAACTAAATATTATTATTTCATTCGGAAAAAAAGGAATTTCTTCGTAAAATTTGAATAGCTGTCAAAAAACTAAAACAAGCGCTGTACTAAATTTAAAAATTGAATTTGCTAATTAATGTATTATTGAATTTATAGTGATAATAAAGTAGCTCTGACACGCAAGATAAGTTATTCAATTTCCTATTCTATATATAAGTCATTCTGATCAATCGATTATATATCTTTCATTATAATAAATGAATAAATTAAAGATTATGTATAAATCTGTAAGGTCTAAATCCTTTAATTCCGAATAATGGAGTTAACAACCACTTGACTACTACTTGAATATTATTTGATTTATTGTGACAGATGTATTAAAGTCGTAGTAGTCAAGGTGATGACTTTACACATTAATATATAAGTGATTAAGTTTAAATATTAATATATCATGGCTATATCTATGTAGAATATCTTTTTAGTTCTATATTTTTAAGTACAACAGATTTTAGATTTTAATGGCAAAAAATAATAATAGATTTTTAATTTATTAACCGTTTTATTATTAAATTAAATACATAAAAACAGTAGTAATGTAAGTAATTTAATACGCAATATATCTAGATAAAAGTTATCGTGTTAATATATGGCACTTATCTTCTTTAAAAATCGTTTTCTTCAATCCAATCAACAACTTTATCTCATTATCTATTGAATCTTCTTCAAACTTTTACTACAAATAATTCATTAAAATAATAATTTTAATTTTGTTTTGATCTATCTAAATCAAATATAAAAAAATAAAATCTAATTTATTCTTGTGATACTTTTTTTTTTATTTTGCTTTTTTTATATTTTAAAACAAATTTAAGTTTTACAACCAAATATTTTCAATTGATTAATATTGATATCATTAATAAATTTACTTTTATAAACTAATTGGGCTCAATTGCAATAGGATAAATATTGGTATCATTAAGAATATGCTGATTTTCAAAAAAGCTGCACTGTCTATTCATAGTTCTATAAATAAATTAAGTGGTTCTACAAATGTAAGTGAAGATGAAGATGGAGATGAATTTGAAGATGAAATTGAATCTAATAGTCATCAAGATAATGATGAAGAAAAATTAAATAATTACAATGAATCAATTCATAATAACAATGAGAAAGATATACAGTCTAAAGATGAAACATTGAGTAATGGAGAAGATGAAACAAAATTAAATTCAGAAAATTCAAATGGAGTAGTTAAAAAAGAAGGACCTAGTAAAGTACATTCAACAACTAGTAACGACGACCTGGAAGTAAATAATGACAAAGATCAAGAAACTGATAATGATGAAGATGTTGCAAAACCATTTGGAGATTTAGATGGAGCTAATTTTTTTTCAACTTTACTAAATAGTTCATCAATGTGTTCTGGTATGGGCACATTAGGTAACATAAAAAATTTCAATTTTGAAGATCTTTTAAGTAATAAAAAATTTAAACAAGATAATGAATTACCAACTGATGAAAGAAAACATCATAATCATCATCATTTACCTCGACCTCATTTAAATTTACATAAAAATAAAGATAATAATAATGAAGATAGCTCACTGACATTACTGTCACCTAAAAAAACTCCAGAAAGTCCAAACTCATTGAAATTACCATCTCCGAAATCTGGTCATCATAGAAGTATTAGTCAAAATTTAAATACAAATGGATCAACTGATGAAGAGGAAGATTATGAAGATGAAGACACTGAAAAGGAATCTTCTGATGATGAAGAAGAAGAATATGATGCTTCAAGATTAACTCCAACTCAACCAAGTAAATCACAACAAGTTAAACCAACTGGCACCGATGTCACATCTTCAACTAGCACAACAAATTCTTATGCTTCTTCAGCTACTTTGGCAACACTGTCAGTTTCCTCATATTCAACAATTGATGCAGATGAGCCAGCTGAAAACAAATCAAGTGGCATTTCCACTGATAAAGAAGGACCACCAATATCTGTTGAAACTAATACACTTGTGCTAGATCATGATGAGCCATCAGCAGAATTTAAAGAGAAATTGAATAATCTCACTCCACTTCAAGAATCCGTGATTAATAATTTAGATCCTCAGCATATTAAAGAAGGTGTTTTGATTAAAATAAAAGATAAAAATCATGATCCAAGTGATAAAGAATTAACACCCACTAAAAAGGAATTAAGATTTAAAATCGCTGAGAAATTGAAAAAAGTATTTAATTTAGATGATGATGATATATTTTATGGTAATTATAGTTCATGGTTAGTTAAAGATGTTTTACTTCAAGGTCATATGTATATTACGAAAAAGGCATTACTTTATTTTGCATTTTTACCAAAGAGATATTCAGTGGAAGAATCTCTAGAAGCACAAAATATTGATGATTCAGCAAATATCGTTCATAAGGGAACTTTAGGAATGAAAACTGGGAAATTTGGAGATTCTACTTTTACCACAATGTTAACTCATAGGTATTGGGCAATTTTAAGACCAGAGACGTTATCGATATATGGTTCATCAACTGATTTGTATTTCCCACTTACGGTTATTGATATACGAACTTGTTTGTATGCTGAAATCATGGATAAAGAAAAATTTAAAGATGCTACGTTTTCACCTGTAAGTAGGACTCAACCTCAATCAGCTATGAGATCTGGTTCTGCATCTGGAGTTAGTACACCTCCTTCAGTCATTGACACAGCTTCAGAACTTAATAAGATGTTACAAGATGAAAGTTTTGGTGCTACAGAAGACTCGATTGAAGCTACAAGTACTTCAGTTTGGTTCAAATTGGTGACGAAAAAAAAAACATACAAATTTCAATGCGATAATTTATATTCTGCAAGACAATGGTGTAATAATTTAACAAAATTGATTTTCCAGTTAAATAATGCTAATCAAGGAAGTGAAGTATTGGTTAAAATTCCAATTGCTAATATCATTGATTTTAGAAGAAGGACTTTATTTGATGAAGAAGAAGATGATGATATTGATCAATCGGAGAATGATATACCTTTAAGTTTAAGTATTAAATATTATACAAATCAACAAGTTGAAAAAAGAAGAAGAGAAAAATTGAGAGATAAATTCAAAACTGAAAACCTTGATAAAGATGAAATTTTCTTTTTATTCCCCAAAAATGGTTTAGATTTTTTCAACTCTTTTGAGGGAATAATTAATGATAGAACAAACCATAAGCATAAGTTTTCACTTTCCAAAGAGCCGGCATTAGAACAAACTTTTTCAACGTTGACACTTTCATCTAATAAATTAGTCAAAGATGTTCTTGAAAGTAATTTAATGGACCAAAAAGCACCACCAGATTCGTCAACTTTGAAGAAATTGGGTAAATCATTAACTAAAACAAAAAGTTTCCTCACGAGTTCTTCTGCTTCTACGGAAGAAGACATTAAAGAAAGTTTGATGTCAGATGATGTGGATACCTCACATATATCATTACCTAAAGTTTTATCTGAAAAGACTTTAAGATCATTAGAAATTTCATTTGAAACTACGTTTAAAAACCTAAAAGACGCATCAACAAGATATGAAGAACAAGGTAATAATAAAATGCTTGCTGCTATTGATGAATTACCTTTACCAACAAGTTTATCAGAAAATAACAAAGTTCCAAGTAGAAGTCGAATTGGTAAAAGTATAAAAGCAATAACAAATATGGGTCAAAGACTAGCGGCAACTCCAAATCATTACTTATCACAAGATGAGTATTATGTAGAGAGTGCTGAAGAAAGAGATACCGCATTAAGACACTTTAAAGCTCATTTTTCATTATACAATTCTAGATTAGTTGCATCATATTTTTGTCATTTAGTAAGGTCTTTACCAGTGTATGGGAAATTATATGTATCAGAAAACGAAATATGTTTTAGAAGTATGTTACCAGGTGTAGCTACTAAAATGATTGTACCAATGGTGGATATTAAAACTGTAGAAGATGCACCATGTGGATCAAAATTAACTTATGTTGGTGCTAAAATCATTTTACAAGGTGCTGATGAAATGACAATTGAATTTGCATCAACAAGATCAAGAGATGATTTTATTCAAGTAACTTTAGAAATATTGGACAAATTACATTCTAATGAAAGTTTCAGACCAAAACCTCATGAATGGGGTTCAAATTATAGTATAGAACTAAGTAAAACAAGAATGGAATATACTGATTCAGAAAGAAAAAATATTGAAAATAATGATGTCAAGAAAGAAGATGATGAGATTGCTCATCAAAAAGTTGAATTAGCTAGAATAAAAATGTTTGAAGATAGACTAACATTAGCTTCAGGTTTGGATATACCAATAGTTCTAGAAGATTCACCATTTTTCAAAACAGAGATGAAACCATCAACATCTTATAGAATTACACTTTTAACAATTGGTTCTCGTGGTGATGTTCAACCTTATATAGCATTAGGTTTGGGATTACAAAAAGAAGGTCACAAAGTTACTATAGCAACACATAGTGAATTTAAAGATTGGATTGAAAAATATAAATTTACTTTTAAAGAAATAGCTGGTGATCCAGGTGAATTAATGTCGTTTATGGTTGGTCATAATACAATGTCAGTTTCATTTTTAAAAGATGCACAAGCAAAATTCAAAGATTGGATCAAAAAATTATTAGCTTCGAGTTGGCAAGCTTGTCAAGGTAGTGATATATTAATTGAAAGTCCCTCAGCTATGGCAGGTATTCATATTGCTGAGGCATTAGTTATTCCATATTATAGAGCTTTTACAATGCCTTGGACGAGAACAAGAGCTTATCCTCATGCATTTTTTGTACCTGATGGTAATAGAGGTGGTTCATATAATTATTTGACTCATGTTTTATTTGAGAATATTTTCTGGAAAGGTATTCAAGCACAAGTTAATAAATGGAGAGTTGAAGAATTAGATTTACCAAAAACAAATTTGTACAGAATGCAACAAACAAAAGTTCCATTTTTATATAATGTTTCACCATGTATAATGCCACCAGCTAATGATTTCCCAGATTGGGTTAAAGTTACTGGTTATTGGTTTTTAGATGAGGGAGGAAGTGATTTTGAACCACCAAAAGAGTTAGTTGAATTTATGGATGAAGCAGCAAGAGATGAGAAAAAATTAGTTTATATTGGATTTGGATCAATTGTTGTTAATGATGCAACTTCATTAACTAAAGCAGTAATTGAGGCAGTACAATCAGCTGATGTTAGATGTATATTGAATAAAGGTTGGTCAGATAGAGGTCAAAGTAAAGATAAAGATAAAATTGAAGTTGAATTACCTAAAGAAATTTATAATACTGGTTCAGTACCTCATGATTGGTTATTCCCCAAAGTTGATGCTGCTGTTCATCATGGTGGATCAGGTACAACTGGTGCTACATTAAAAGCAGGAACTCCAAGTATTATTAAACCATTTTTTGGTGATCAATTTTTTTATGCAACAAGAATTGAAGAATTAGGTGTTGGTATAGGATTGAAAAAATTAACAGCAAAATCATTAGCTGATGCATTAATCACAGTTACTGAAGATTTAAAAATTGTTGAAAAAGCTAAAAAAGTAAGTGAACAAATTAGTCATGAACATGGTGTATTAAGTGCAATTGAATCAATATATTCAGAATTAGAATATTCAAGAAGTTTAATAATGAGTAAAGAATTACATAATATTAATTATAAACGTCATCATCCAGACTTTAAAGCACATTCAGGAGTTGCAACTGCTAATGTATCAGAAGATGAATCAGAAGATTTTACAGATGACGATACTGAAGATGATGAAAGTGACACAGAAGAAGAAGATGATGATGATACAGATGATGAAGCTAATAGTACCGTACAACCAAAGTAATTTAGTAGGTGTATACTTTTCAATGTCTTTAATTCATAAGTGACGATATCATTGGCATCGCAACTCTATTGTTCATTTTTCGATAAAGTCTGACCTTTATTATATCCTTAAACTTCATTTGTTTCATACGATACAAGTTCCACTGCCGATAGATTTTGTGTAATTAGATTAATAAAGTTATGATACAATATATAATGACTAAGATCGAATATAAAATACTAAATTTCTCCCGTACAATTTTTGTTCCTTACGTTAATTCGTTAAAGTATCGATTATTATAATTATTTTAAATACGTTCTTTTATCTTACTGGTTCTTACATTAACCTTAAATAGTCATCTTAAACTACTACCAGTATTAAATTATTAGAGAGAGAGAAAAGTATCCACAATTATATCACAATATTTTTTTAATCACATCAGAGTCAATCAAATAAAATAATCTATTATTTGAAAAATTAAATCTAAAACTAAATCTACAATTCAACTTAATTAACTAAACCCTAAAAAAGCCAATGAAATCATATAATCCAAAATGTCAATTAAATATAAGGATATAACAGAACAACAACGTTCTACAAATAAATTTGCAAATTTAGTACCGGGACAAACGATAGTTGAAATTCCAGAATATACATTAGAATGTGGTGAAACATTATATGATTTCCCTGTTGCTTTTAAAACTTGGGGTAAATTAAATAAACTACAAAATAATACATTATTGATATGTCATGCATTAACTGGGTCTTCAGATGTACAAGATTGGTGGGGACCATTATTAGGTGATGATAAAACTTTTGATCCTTCAAGATTTTTTATAGTTTGTATAAACTTCTTGGGATCACCTTATGGATCATGTTCACCGGTTACAATAGATAAATCAACTGGGAAACCATATGGACCTAATTTCCCATTGGTTACAGTAAAAGACGATTTAGGTATACAAAAATTAATATTAGATTTTTTAAAAGTTAAACAAATTGCATGTGTAATTGGAGGGTCAATGGGTGGTATGTTAGCAATGGAATATTCAGCAAGTTATAATGATTCAGATTATGTTAGATCAGTAATAGCATTAGCAACATCAGCAAGAGCTTCTGCTTGGTGTATATCATGGAATGAAACTCAAAGACAATGTGTATTTAGTGATCCATTTTATGATGATGGTTATTATTATGAAAATACAGAAGGTTTGAAACCAGATTCTGGATTAAGTGCTGCAAGAATGGCAGCTTTATTAACTTATAGATCAAGAAATTCTTTTGAAACAAGATTTGGTAGAAATGTGGGGAAAACCATTCACTCAACCACCACAAACATCACAAACAATACATCAACAAGAAATGGAGAACTAGAGAATGGAATAAGATACCCTAAAACAAAAGATGAAGAACATTGGTTAATACATAATGAAGGATCAAAATTAAATAATGGACAAAAAATAAATCAAGATAAAAAATTACCAACATATTTTACAGCACAATCATATTTAAGATATCAAGGTACAAAATTTATAAAAAGATTTGATGCAAATTGTTATATATCAATAACAAGAAAATTAGATACTCATGATATAACAAGAAATAGAATAGATTATCATAATATAACAAATATAGATCCATTACCATCATATCTAAATAAATTACAAAAACCACATTTAATAATAGGAATAGAATCAGATGGATTATTTACATATGGAGAACAAAAATTATTAGGAGAAAATATTCCAAATTCCGTATTGAAAAAATTAGATTCTCCCGAAGGTCATGATGCATTTTTATTAGAATTTGAATTAATTAATGATTATTGTTTAAAATTTTTAAAAGAAAATCTACCTGAATATTTTGATTCAAATGTTGAATTATTTAAAGATTGGTTTAAATATGTTCAAGATGTTGATAATGGTGGAGAATCAGTATTTGGAGAAGCTGAAAAAAATATAACAAATTGGTAAAGTTCACTATTAATGTTAGAAAAATAAGTTTAAATAGATATTTATTTCTTGTAGTGATGAAATAAACAACTTAATTAAAAACAAATGATGTATAAATTTATCTCTGCTAATTACTAAGGGGGGCATTTACGATGAATGCAGATTCACAAGCTTGAATCGTTCTTACTAAATCTCAACTCCGACACAGATATAACCTATAACAAAAATATCAACACAAAAGCATTTCTTATCAATTCTCTAGTGAGGTTGAGCAGAAATCGCCAATGAGCTCCATTTTTAAATCAAATCATTGAGCTAGATATTCTCCGCAAGAGACAATAAAAATATATTCAGTAAAGGCATTTACATATAGCTTAAACTTTAATCCCCCTCCCTTTCCGCCCCTTAAAAGAGATGGTAACTTAAATGAAATGCCCCAAACCTAAAAATGAAAGATTTAAAGATTAGAAAGATAAGAAATTTTACAATTAAAATAAAAAACGTTTAAATTTATGGGGGAATTTTATGGAAGGTAGAAAATTAACCTCCACCGGATGTCAATTTTCGAGGGTGAATTAAGCGTGTTTTGGCCGTAAAGCTTAATTCGTTGAGCACTAATAATGGTACGCCAACTTGAATAAAATGTAAAACTAGTTTCAATATCAAGCAAAATCAAACTGGCCCATTGAGATCTAGTTTTTGTAGATACATTCATGACTCTTCAACTTGCTAACATGAGAAGCATATTGACAAATTTAATGGAGAAGGTACGAGCTATTTGATCGACTTGGTATGAAAAGAATTGGAATCAACCTTTTTGTAGAACGCAACAAGTCTTTTCTTTCGAGGCTAAAAAGTCACGTTAGCGCAATGTATTTGGTAGCTCATGGAGGTTATTTTTCCCTGATCGAATTTTATGTTGCAAAAAAAAAAGAACTGTTAGCAAAAAGGTACAAAGCAGTTGGTAGCAAATGCCTATTAAATATACGAGAAATTACGTCATAAAACCCTTTAATTACTATTATGTTTTGAATTAAAATAGGGCGATTCAGAATTTCAAATCTCCGCTTAAAGATTTAAAACAGCTTCTCCATAAATAATAAATAACAAAATCTTTAAATGAAACAGTAATTAAATGAGAAAAACATTGCTAACTCTAAAAGTTTCGTGAAGAAATCTTTGAAAGCGTCATTGAACTCAAATGATGAAAAAACAAATTTCTATAAAGTTTTATCGATATATCATTTTTAAAAATGCCCCAATGCTTATGTGATATTTAATACTATGATATTAAATACTATGATATTTAATACGTTCGTAATTTATATAGAAACGATTTATAAATAAACGAAAAATTTAATATTTACAATTAATTTCTATTTTTCAAAAATTTCTATTATTAATTTGTATTGTCTAATTAAATGCAACTTTACCAATCAATAATAAATGTCAATAATAGCTTCTTAATTCTATTAAATGCCTTATTCAATTATTTAGATCAATTATAATAATTTATACTTCAACCATGTGTTAAAGGTCATTCATTTATTCAAATAATTTCTTACTTACTTCTCTTTTTGTAAATATATCCATATATATATATTATATACATAAAATAATATGTAATAAAGTATAAACAAACTGGGGAATGAAAATAAAAAAATTGAATAAATATGTCAGAAAATTAATTAAAATATTTTGATCTTATATCAAATCATTATGATAGATCTTTTTTTAATTCCAAATTGAAATTGAATTCTTCGTTAATTATTAAAATAATTATTTCTATTTTGTTATTTTTCTTTAAGTCTATATAAGTTTCAGAATTTTTGATTTATTGTATGTTTATAATTTCTCCATTTTAAGAAATTATTATAATTTTTATTACTAAATAAATAAAAAGTAAACAAATGTAAATAATAACACAATAATAGAATAATAATAATAATAACAACAAAAGAAGACTTTTCATCAAAATAGAAGATTTGAATTTTATATATATCTTTTTTCTTCTTCATTCAAACTTATTTATCATTGAAAAGATTTCATTAAAGAATAGACATATCAAATTAATTTATCATTCATTAATTAATTTATTGTACTTGTAATTGATTAAGAAATAAATTAAAATTAAAAACTTCAAGATTTAAGATCGCGAAAAAATCATACAATAATTTTAAAGTTTAGATCAAATATATAAATTTATATTTTCATTAATTGACAACCAAATTTTTAATTGGAATTTTGAATTTTTTATATATTATAAAATTAGAAGAACATTGGAAAGGAATACAATTGATATTAAATAAGAGATTAGAAGTATTTGAAAGAAGTTTATTTAATTAATTAAAAAAGGACTTCATTACCATCACTTTCCTTTTAAATAAAATACAACATATTTATCAAACAACTTCAAATCAAAATCAATTTTATCACATCATTAAATTACAACACTTTTTAACAACACCTATACTTCACACTCATTTCATCAATTTTACACATTCCTTACTTTGATACCTTGTAACAATATTTTAGATTAAAATTAGACTTTTACTTTCACTTTACATTTTGCAAATTACTAAATATTAGACATATATTTGGATTCCTTTTTTTAAGATATTGTTTCTTTTCCTCATTTAATTAATTACATATTAAAATGACTACAAATGTTGTAATATCAAATACAACTGATTTATTTTCTAATAATAATCAAGATTATTTACCAAAAAGATCAAATTCAAGACACTCATCAAATTCATCATCATCAAATTATAACAATATTAACAATAACTATACTTCAAATACTGAAAATTCGAGTCTTAACAATAATATACCGCGTGTTGTAAATGATAATATGCAACAACAATATCAACAGCAACAACAGTACCAATATCAACAACAGCAGTATCAACAATATCAACAACAACAACAACAACAACAATCAGCACCTACGTCTTCATCTTCTTCAACTACAATATCAACAATGGCTGGATCAAACTCATCTACAAATTTATCAAAAAGAGTACATAGAGAAGTTAGATTTGGTTCATATATTTTAGGATCAACTTTAGGTGAAGGAGAATTTGGAAAAGTTAAATTAGGTTGGAGAAAAGATGGTAAAATTCCAAGTCAAGTTGCAATAAAATTAATTAAAAGATCAACTATTGTAAAAGATTCAGATTCTGAAATTAAAATTCATAGAGAAATAAATTCATTAAAATTATTAAATCATCCAAATATTGTAAATTTAGTTGAAGTTATGAAAAGTGGGAAATATGTGGGGATAGTTTTAGAATATGCTTCAGGTGGTGAATTATTTGATTATATTTTACAACATAAGTACTTAAAAGAATCAATAGCTAAAAAATTATTTGCTCAATTAGTTAGTGGAGTTGATTATATGCATTCGAAGGGGTTAATCCATCGAGATTTAAAATTAGAAAATTTATTATTAGATAAACATAAAAATGTTATAATAAGTGATTTTGGATTTGTAAATTCTTATAATAAAGATCGTAATGATTTAATGAAAACAAGTTGTGGATCCCCATGTTATGCAGCACCAGAATTAGTATTAACTCAAACACCTTATGAAGGCAGAAAAGTTGATATATGGTCATTGGGAGTAATATTATTTGCAATGTTGTCCGGATATTTACCATTTGATGATGATCCAGAAAATGAAGATGGTTCAGATATTATTAAACTTTATCATTATATATGTAAAACTCCATTAACTTTTCCAGAATTTGTAAGTCCATTAGCAAGAGATTTATTAAGAAAAATTATAGTTTCTGATCCAAAGAAAAGAATTAATATTGAAGAAATTAGAACTCATTCATTTTTAAGTTCATATTCTCAATTATTATCAATTAGACAACCAGATTGGGATAGAATTTATAAAGAAAAACAAAAACCAATTGTTGTTGAACCTCAAGCACCAACTTATAATAAACGTTATTCAATGGTCAATATTCCAACATATTCATCATCATTGGTTGGTTCATCAATGCAACATCAATATTCACAAATTAATCAAATCCATCAACCTCAATCACAATCACAACCACAATCACAACCACAATCACAACAAAGTCAACCAATATCATCACATTCAAGATCTTATTCATCAACTAGTATTAGTTTATTGTATGCATCACCATCAATGTCAAATGGTACTAATTCTCATCATCCATCAGATTCAACTGATACATTAGCATTATCTAAAACTCCTTCACCTAAAAAACCATCATCAGTTTCACCAACAAGAGGTCATCAAAAATCTGCATCAATATCAAATTCAACTTCAAGTGCAAGTTTTGCTTTGAAGGCAGTTGTACATGATGATATATTATCATCAAGACCAACTATTTTAGCTAGCAACAATAATTATACAAGTGCATCTACTATATCAACAATTGTTGAAAGTCCAACTAAACCACAACATTCATTTGATCAACAACAAGGTAGAACAACACCAATATTATTACCACCAAAAGAATTTGCAAAATTACCTCATGCAACTAAAAAACCAAGACCAACATCATATCATCCATCTTCAATGTCATCAATAATGCCAACATATAAAGAAATTATAAAATTACCAAATAATTCAAATAATTCTACAAATTCAGTAACTCAATATATTTCAACTTCACCACCAAAAGAAATATTTAATGCAGAAAGATCTCAACAACTGAGTAGAAGAAATTCAGTTGTAACTCATTTGAATGTAAATGGGGTCTTAACAAAAGAACATCATCAAATTATAAATGATTCTCCAGATAATAAAAGAAATTCAGTATTAAGTTATTTAGAAGATAAAATTGAAGCATTAGATTTGACTGATTCTCATTCTCATTCACCAACAAAAGAGCAATCACCATTAAGTGCTGTAGAACCGGTAACTTCTAAAGATAACGAAGAACCAGTCAAAGAAGAAAATGATGTAGAAACCGAGAAGGTTGAAGTAGACACTAAATTGGTAGAAATTGAAAATGAAACTGATAATAAAGATAAAGAAGTTGAACAAAAACAAGAGACGCCAGTTGAAGAATTACCAGCACCAGTTGAAGAATATATTGAAAAATTAGCATCACAAACTTCAGATATACTTGACACGCCGGCACCAGCAACTGAACCAAAAGATAAATCACCAAAACCAACTATGATCATTCCAAAACCAACAACAAAAGTGAGTAGAAGACATAGTATAATATCAAGAAGATCAATATCAACAAATAAAAGTGATGAGAATAAAGAAAATAAAGAAATTATATCAAAAGAAGCTAAAAAGAAAAATAGATTTTCATTATTATCATTTTATTCAACTTACAATAACAACTCATCAAATGTTTCATTATCATCATCAACAAATAAAGATATTTTAACTAGTAACACCAACATTCAAGGTTCATCAAAACCAAGAAAAGCATTAGGACCATCAAATGAATCGAATATACCAAAACAATCAACAACTTCATCAAAACAACAAAGAGTCAATTCATCAAACTCGTCAACATCTACTAAAAGACAATCAATTCTAGAAGTTCCTCAATCAAATAATTCTAATGGTGGTGCAAATAGAAATAATGAGACAAAAGAATCAAGTACTGCTAAAAAAGTAATGGATTTTTTCAAAAGAAGAAGTATATATAATGTAGTTTAGATAAGTAGAAGCATGATTGATTTAATAAAAGCATAGATTATTGTATTATTACAACATGATATAGCACTATTTTGTTTTAACGGAATTAAAATTTAGTTTGTGGCAAATAGTATTATAAATTAAAACTTACTGCTACCAAATTTTGTTACAAGAATTGCATCTCAATCAAAAGGGAGCAGGACCAATATTTACTATTTACATTATTCGCAAATATCAATATGTCATAATTCTGAAAGGGCGATAACTCCAAATTTGGTTTTAGTTCCATTTTGAAGAAAGGCAATAATTCTTGCTGAAACATTCTGAGACATAAATTTGAATTCAAAACATGAGTGACTAATATTTATTGTTTTTACTTTTATTAATATAATGTATGCATATTTTATTAAATTGTAGTTTCTTTTTTAAATCTCTTTTGACACAAAATGTAATGATAGATTAGTTTTGAAAATAATTATAAGTAGACCCTAAATTTCATTAATTTTTCAAATTTTTGTTTATTTCAATAACAAAACTAACTTTGAAGATCATTATATATGACAGTTGAAGCAAATAGTAATGCGGTTACAGGATCTAATGATCCAGTGCCGTCTCAACATTCTCGAGGTCAAAATCAAAGACTTCGAACATTTATTCAAAATGGTATAGAAATCGAAATTCAAGAAGCAAATGATGAAAATCAAAGTTCACCTCAACAACAACCATCAAATTCAAAATCAAAAAAGTCAAACAATAAGTCAAAAAAATTGCATACTCATAACCAAAATCATCAGCACAAACACTCACATCATAAACAAAAACATCAACATCAACATCAACATCAACAATTACAAACACCCCCACCACAACTAGATGAATCATTAGGTACAACAATAATAACAGAAATTCAACAAGATGAATATGTTTGTTTAATATGTACATCTACAATAAATCAAGAATCCACCATTTGGAGTTGTCAAGATTGTTTTAGAGTTTATGATTTAGATTGTATACAAAGTTGGGCATTAAAAGGTTCATCAACAAATAAAACCAACAAAACTTGGAGATGTCCTGCTTGTAATAATGAACATTCAAAAATACCTAAATTATTTACATGTTGGTGTGGTAAAATCAAAAATCCAGAAAAAAATCCATTAATGCCTTTCAGTTGTGGTAATTCATGTAATTTTAAATATTCAGATTGTATACATAGATGTTTAAACATATGTCATCCAGGTAAACATCCCGTATGTGGTGCAACTGGACCTATATTAAAATGTCATTGTGGGAAACAAAGAAAACAATTACCTTGTTTAATTACTCCTTATAAAAAGGGATGGAAATGTGATTTAGAATGTAACAAAGTATTATGTGATTTAGGACATAAATGTGAAAAGGGATGTCATGGTGGTTCATGTGGGAAATGTCAACAAAAATTAGAATATAAATGTTATTGTGGTGATACTATTCTTAAAACTAAATGTTTTAAAAGAGAACCTAAAAATTGTGAGAATTATAAAGGTGAGAAATGGATAGGTGGTGGATCATGTAATAAATTAAAAAAGATATTTTATGAATGTGGTGAACATTATGAAACTTTTGAATGTGAACCACCTCCAAATTTAGAACTTCAAAAATGTAAATATTCACCAGATTTAATATCTACTTGTTATTGTGGTAAAACTTCAATAGATTTTTCAAATCGTACAAAATGTACTGATCCAGTAGCTGAATGTGATCAAGTATGTGATAAATTATTATCATGTGGTCATTTTTGTGAATTTAAATGTCATGAAGGTGAATGTGAATGTACTGGAATATTTGATATTGCTTGTGATTGTGGTCATGAACAATTTATTGCTCCATGTAAATATTTGAAATCAAACAAAACTCCCAAATGTCATCATAAATGTTCAGTCTTATTAAATTGTAGAAAACATTATCATAGAAAAGAATGTTGTGAATTTGAAAGTGTTGCATTATATAGGGAGAAATTAAAGAAAAAAGCAATTAGAAATAATATTAGAACAAATTTTAGAGATGATATTATGTCAATTGAAGCAGCTCATATTTGTACTCAAACATGTAATAGATTAAAATCATGTGGTCAACATTATTGTCAAGCTATGTGTCATTCAGGTCCTTGTGAAATATGTTTAGAATCTACAAATGATGACTTGGTATGTAACTGTGGTAAAACTATTATACCTGCGCCAGTTAGATGTGGTACAGAATTAATTTGTCATGAACAATGTACAAGACCAACTGAATGTGGTCATAGACAAGAGCCACATGAATGTCATGGTGATAATGTATCTTGTCCAAAATGTACAGTAATAGTCAAAAAGACATGTGATTGTGGATCAAGAAATGATTTACCAGGTATAATGTGTTCACAAGAAAGAGTAAGTTGTGGTAAAATGTGTCTTGTACCAAAAGATTGCGGTCATCCATGTTTGAAAACTTGCTCGGCTGAATGTACAAAAGAAAATAAACATAATGATAGTTCACAATGTGTATCAAATTGTTCTAAAATTAGAAATAATTGTCCTCATTTATGTAAACAAAAATGTCATTTTAATAAACCTGGTAAAAATTCAAATTGTGATGCTTTAAAATGTTTGGAACAAGTTTCAGTTAGTTGTTCATGTGGTAACTTAACTAAGAAAGTTAAATGTGGTGCATCAACAATTGATTCAACTTCAATTGGTACAATTATTCCATGTGATGAATCATGTGCCATAGCTAAAAGAGATTCACAATTGAAATCAGCATTCTCATTAGAATCAACTCCAACACCGTCAATAATCAATGAAGATGATGAAAGTTTAAGATATTCAGAATTTGTATTACAAACATATCAAAAACAAAGAAAATGGTGTACTAAAATTGAAGATATAATACGTACTTTTATTGAAGATTATAATTTACAAATTGAAAAAGGAATAGAGAGACCTAAAAAGACTTATCATTTCCCACCAATGACATCTCCACAAAGACAATTTATTCATGAATTCTCTAAAACTTTTAAATTATATTCCGAATCTCAAGATTTAGAACCAAAAAGATCTGTTTTCATTGTTGTAACAAGATTAACTATATTACCAGCGATAGATTTAAAAAATTATCAAGAAATTATTGATTCAAAACAAATGGAAATTAATAAATATGAAAATATGACACAACAAGAAATAGATAATGAATTATATAATTCTATTATAATTCAAGATACTTTCTTTGGGGTAACAAAAGAAGATTTGAACAAGCAGTTACTCGAATCCAATCAAATTGATGGGTTTCAAATTTCATGGTTAAAAGAAAATACATTTATTATATATGATCCAAATTGGTATTTAAAAATGGATAAAGAATTTGAATTAATGTTATTAGAATTATGTTTAATGATTAAACCAAATTTGAGATTAAATTCATTAGCATTTGATTGTAAATTAGCTTTGGTTGATCCTTCTATTAATTATGTTTTAAAAATTGATAAGAGGAAATATGAAGTTAAACAAGTAGATCAAGAATTCGAGGAGAAAGAGTTAAAGAGTAATAATAAATTTGATGTTTTAAATGGGGATGAAGTTGTAAAAATTAGAACTTAAACTTTATAGAACTTTTGTGAATTATAAATTATACAAAGATATATTTTTTGCATCGTAAGTCAATCTGCAGATTCTTCTAGTTGAATTGGTTCGGTTTTTTCTTCTTTATGCTCAATTTCTGTATTATCATTATTCTCTTCGTTTGTGTTAACTTCTTCATCATTTGATTTTTTATGTTTCCTCCTTCTATTAGGTTTCTTATCTTTAGTCTCAATAGTTTGTGGTGGTTGTTCTTTCTTCTTCTTTTTAATACTTAATGGATTTGGACCTTTAGGACCTTTCCTTTTCTTTTTTGCAGGTTCTTCACTTTCTTCATTATCTTCTTTTGTTGCTTCTTCTTTTTGTTTTTTATCTTTTTGACCAGCTTTTAAATCATTTAATCCAGCAGTTAATTTTTTATTTTCCCAATTGTTACTATATTTTGCCGTGGATTCACTTAATGGTTCCATTACCATAACTGATGATTTATTCATATAAATTAGAGGTACACCTGGTACTGATCTTAGTCTTTTACGTAGGTCTAAATCTTGTGTTGATACTACGTATCTATGTTTATTTTCACCATTTATATTTACAATAGATTCAATACAATCTTGAGGATTTATTGGTTGTCGATGATTACATTTTCTTCTTTCGAAATTTTTTGCAATAGATATAGCTTTTTCATTTTTGGAGTTATATAAATCTTGGATACAACATTGGGTTATCATTGGTTTATTTTCTGCTTGAATTGTTTTATTAAATCCATTTGTTATATTATATGATGAATCTGAACATTTTATGATAATGTTTGAATCGACTATTAATTGATATGGTTCTCGAAATTTGAATGTATAATGATATATGTTCATTTGCTTTTTATATGATTTTGCTCTCTTTTGTCTCATTTTGGAGAAGTTTGGTGGTTGTTATTATTGACTTGAATTGAACTGGTTGTAAGTAAGTTTGATTCAATTTGTGATCTTTAGATACAAGATGAGATTTATGTTACACAAAACTTGAAACTTTATAAGATTAAGTTGCAAAAAAAGAATAATGCAGAGACTACACAAGAGAAAATCATTTTGAACTTGAAATGAAATGAAAAAAATGTATTATTAAATGCAAAATGAAAATTGAAAAAAAATTGAAGTCTCTATATAGTCTGTTTTTAAAAAAATTAGTGTTTGATGAATAGTTATATCTAGTTTATAATTTACAGCAGTTTGAAACTAAATTTAGATAATCTGCCTTTAGGTTTCGGTTGTATATAATCGGCTGGACTTATGGCAGCAATAGCGGCTGGATTTGCAACATTAATATTGTTGTTTTGATTATTGGTGGTATTATTTTCTTCTAAAACTTGATTCGCTTTAAATGACATACTTTCTTCTTTTAAAAATTGATCACTCTTGGCGTAATATTGTTTTGCAATTTTGGAAGGTGATCTGAATACTGCAAAATTTCTTAATATTGCATGAGAATATTTCGTTGGTGCATCTTCTGCTTCATTATACTCTGGGACACCAATAAATCTGACTTTTTTGATTATTGTTGATGTTACTTCTATTGTTGCCGTTGTATCATCTGAATCAGATAAGTTTGAAATTGTAGTTGTTGGTTTTGGTTCTGTTCCATTTTGTGATTGATTTGTTGAAGCTTGTTCTTGAACTTGTGGTTCTGGTGTACCACTTAAAGTTGATGAGGAAGTTGTTGAAGTTGATGCTATGTCATCTGGGATATGGCTATTACGTTGAGTATTTTGTCTTGTTACAGAATCTCTTGTTCTTCTTATTGGTTGACCGTAATTATTTAATGGTGAAGTTTGTTGTGGTGGTTGTTGTGATTTTACTTGATCATTCTGTTTTGGAGCATCAATATATCTTCTTCTTTGTATTTTATTAGGATGATTCGGATCGTAAGTCACTGTAGTTAAAGTTTCCTTTTGTTGAGTGACTAAATCACCAGATTTGGCTGCAGTTCTAACATGTTCTTGAAATCTTTGTGAAGCCGATAATTTTGAATTTACTGGTGTTACATCAACAACTTCTTCTTCTTCAACAGCCAACAATTTTTTGGTCAAGTTACTTGTTGGATTTACAGATTGTTCCTTTGACTTTGATTTTTCTTCAGATTGTTGATTTGTAGGTTCGGTAGTTGTCAGTGATTTTTGAGGAGATGAATTTGATTTGAGTCCACTTTTAGATAATGCAGCAGCTGCTCCTGAAGTTGCAATTGCTTCATTTATGGAAGGTTGAGAATCTGATCTTTTACGACCTTGTGGTGAAGTAATCGGTTGTGTGGCTTTACCGTTGGATATTTTGGAGTCATTATTATCGGCTGAACTGGTCAGTGGTTGTTGTTGTTGTTGTTGCATAAATAGCATTGAGTTAGGTCTAGGTCTTGGTGAGGCTTTATTTGGTGATGTTATTGAGTTTTTTCTTAATAAACCTGATGATGAATTACTATTGTTACTACTTACGCTTGAAGTTGAAGAAGATCTTGATCGTCTTACGGTTTCATTAACATCCAATTTTTTTAATTGACTATTTAGCGTTCCATTTGATTTTTTGGCTTGTAGTTGTTGCTGCTGTTGTTGTTGCTGTTGTTGTTGTTGTTGTACTTCAGGTATTGAATTATAAATTTTATCCAAATTTGACATTGGTAAATGATAAATACTTCTAAATTTTCTTTCTGAGACAATCCAATTTATACCGAATTCTTTTAAAATTGATAAGGATTTCTCAATAATATTTAAACCTTGACTTGCAAAATTTATATGATTTAAAATATTCTTATTATTTATTTCAAATTTTGAATCTTGACGTATTAATCTTGTTATATTTGCAATTAATGTACCATTTTTTTTCATTGAATTATAATATTCATCCATATTTTTTAATACTGTGGTTTTAAAAAATGCAGAATTTGGTGAATGAAATAAAAATTTTGAATCAAGTAAATGTTGGTGGTTAGATAGATATATTTTTCTACCAAATCTTCTAATTATTGTATAAATTTCATTTAATCTTTGAGTGATTAAAAATACTTTATGAATTGCATATGAATCTTTTGAGGAGTCTGGTTTTTTCAACTGATTTATCAAAGGTTTTAGTTTAGTTAACAGATTTTCAATTTGACTTATAATTACAAATATTTCTTTTATGTCCATATCAATTAATGAAGCTTCTTGATAATTTTGATTTTGTTGTTCTTCTTTGTTGATTGGGAAAGTTAAATCATTTAATTCTAAATCAATATCATTATGGAAAATTTCATTGGATATAATTTTACCTAATTCTGTATAATATGAATCTAAATTTATATCTTTTAAACTATTTGTTTTATCAATTTTGGCTAGTGATAATTTTTTCAAATAACCATTAAGACAAATATTACTTAAATTTTCCAATTGTTTTAAACATTTACGAGCTGTATCAATTGTTGGCATATCATCTAATGCAGTTACAGGTAAATCGGGTATATCATATGGAATATGAGATACCGCTGTCGAGATATTAATTGTACTAATTGTAACAGGTTGAAAATGAGATAATTTATCAAATTTTGAATCAAAAGCTTTATCATTTATTGCAAAAGTATTTCCTGATAATAAAACAATATAATGTAATAATGGTAATTCATTTTCTAATGATTGTAACTTTTTAATTGATGTTATAAATTTTTTCAATTTAAAAATTCCATATTCATATTGTAAAATTTTACAATCTAATGAAGTAATTAAATTTGGTTTATATGTTGGTGAATTTATTTGAATTTTATTATTTGACGCGTTATTCCCATTAGGAATTTGAGTGATTGATTCACTCATATAATTTTAATCCAATTAAATTGATGTGTTGATAAGTTACTAATTTTTGAAGTTCGTTTCTTTCTTGATTAATTGTTGATTTTAAAATTTAAATTTTGATCTAATTAATAACCTTTTAAATTGCTTTAGAAAAAAAGTTTAATTTATTCTATTAAAATTTTGATAATTTACTGTAATTAAGTTATCAAGTGAATGATAATTGAGGAATTTGTAAATGATTATAAATGAATTCTATTATATCAATTTGAATTTGATCTGTTAAAATGAATTTAATTATATTTAATTATGGTTGCAACTGAAATTATAATAATAGAATTCTAATGTTGATAAATATTATAATAAATTAGACAAAAAATAAAATAGATAGTAAATACTGTATATAATAATTACTATTCAATTTATTATACTTATAAATTAATTAGAATCAAACATTATTCCAAATTAATTATCTAGTATAATTTATATAAATATATAAATATATAATCAATCAATCATTCCAAAAATGGCATCATCTAATCAATATATACTATATATAGTAGGATTACTACTATTATTACATTCAGGTTATTCATCATTTGAATTTCATAAATTTATAATACATAATAATTCAATAAATTCAATAAATTCACCAACAAATTTACCATTAGATATATCAATTGAAGCTATTATAGGGTTTATAATTATATTAATTGGTTCAATAATAAGTATTGAAAATTCAAATTATTTATCAATTGAAAATAAGATTATAAAAGAAGAATTTAAATATTTAAAATCAATAAATTTATCTGATAGTTTTCAAATTGGTGAAAAAATTGGTATTGGTGAATTTGAAGAATTAAATTCAAGATTACCTTTTATTGATATTGTTAAAATTAGAAATGACTATAGCAAATGGGTTAATGAAGAAAAAAAGTAGAGATTACAATAAAATCTTCTTATTAATGCATTATTATTATTATTATTATTACTTTTTTTGTATTTGATTGAAAATATATATATAAATTTCTATAAATAATTTTGAAACTTTTATTTGATTGATTGATTAATATACAATTTGATTAATAGCATGTTATTAATTGATACATTACATTATATTGTCTCTGATTAAAATGTTACAAATGATTACCTTAAATGTTCTTTTTTGATTGTAATTTTCCTTCTCTTTTAGCTTTTGCTTTTGGTCCTGCTTCTGTTCCTAATAAATAATCCCACCATCTAAATGAAGAAGAATAACCACCAACAAAATAATGATGATGTTCATCATGATGATCTGCACCAGCCCAAAATGGTAAAAAATGATGTAATGACCAAGGAAATTCATAACCAGAATGAGAATCAACTGCTTGAAATAATCTTAATATAATCCATACTGATACAGTAAATAAATGTAAATCACCAGTTAATAAACACCATAAAATTGGTATACCAACTGTACCTAAACCTAATAATGCAACTTCTATAGGATGAGCATATTCAGCAGCCAAACCAAATGGAGCAGCATATCTATGATGTTGTTTATGAATATATTTATAAAAAACACCATAATGTAAACCTCTATGAAACCAATAATGCCAAGTATCTTCTAAAATAAAAAAGATTGACCATTGTAATAACATAGTTGTTAATTTTGGAAATGGTACTTGATAAGTAATACCAATTTTTTGACATAAAGGATGGAAAAACCAAATTGGAAAAGCTTCAACTAAAAAATGAGAAGTTAAAACAGATTTTAAACATTCCCATTGTTCTTTATCACTTGGAATTTTTTCATCTTGAATTTTCCAACGATTGAAAAATGGAATTCTATCTATTATAGCCCATGGTAAACATCTACCAAAATAAAATATTTCATGAGTTAAAAAAAATAATAAACCAGTTGCAAATAAATCATTATTCATATAATAATAATAAGAACCCCATAATTTTTCAATAAAATTTAAATTATTTAATTGATTAAAATTATTAAAACAATCTGAAAAAGATGTACCATTTGTAAATGATGAATAATCATTATAAACATGACTTGTACTTGAAGGGAATAATGACATATTATTTAAATGTATATAATTTGTTGTAATTTATTTTTGTTGAAAATTATTTTATGATAAATATGTTATGATTTTGATTTATTTTATGAAAAATATATATATGTTGAAATATAATTAAAATTATTGTTGAATATGTTATAAAAGTGAATGAATTGATTAATCAAATATTAATTCCAAAAATATTGAAAGAATAAAATGATTAATTTCCTTCTATCTTTTATACAAAAAAAAAAGGAAGAAATGATTGTGTATTAATTTGAATAATATATAAATACAATAAATTTATTATGCTGTAGAAATCTATTCTATTATAATTTTATTATTAGTGTTAAGTAGATAATAATAATAAAAAGAAATTTTTGATACAATTAGAAGAGAAAAAAAAGGAGTGTATATAATATTAATAATAATAACAACTCTATACGAGATAAACGAAATAAAAAAATTGCATTAGCCATAAATTAAATTAAATTAATTGATTTTTAAACGATATAATAATAATAAACTATATAATAAACTGTAATAGAAAAATCATTATTTATCTTATCATTTCATGTATATTTTAATGATTTTTGAACCCCTTAATTCCAATCTATCAATTTTGAATTAATCTTAAATCTGATTAGATTTAATGAGCTTTAATTTAATTTCTATTTAAATTTTTTAAAAACGTACAAACATCGCTAAGATCTAAGATGCACATAACGATCGTATATTTGAAATCATTCTTGATTTATATTATAAATATATTAGTTGAATCTTCAATTTTGATTAATGATCCATCAAATGATTATGAAAAAATATTTTACTCCTAAGAGTATCTCCGTCATTATACGTTAGCCTATATCATTTATTTTGAATACAAATTTAAATTGTAAGACATACATGTGATATAGTCGTGTAATTACTGAAACTCCTCTAAAAGAATTAGTATTACAATAAAAATGAACTTTCATATTATTCCAACTTTTCTCTCAAAGTCTTGCAAGTATGATAGCAATGGTATCAATCAATTTTTTGTAAAATTTTGAATGTACTTTGTATGAGGTTCATTATCGATTTTCCATTATCTTCTATTAATTTGCAAGGTTTTGTAATTATTTAATGGTTGTAAATCCTTTTAATTTCGCACTAAAATTAAATTTTTAGGTCGAAAAGATTGTTATTTTCACTTCATTTCGGGGTTAGATATTGGGTACATTAACATTTCCAAATTTCGAGCTAGATCTTACTTAGATACGTTGAAAGACATTGTTATTTTGAATTGTAGAATGAATAAGGCTGTGTCATGTGTGATTTAACAAAGATGAAATTACTTAAAATCCCCGTCGTAGTATGTCTCATTTATATTGTAGTAATGAATTCAAATATTTGATTCACCCACAAGCAAAATTTCGTACAAATTTTTATAAATTTCATACTCTTAATTTCCACTCTAGCTCTAAACATGTTGTTTCAGTCAACTGAAGTAACTCAGACCATTATCTTTTTGCTAGTTACAGTTGAATTTGTAACGTTGGAGACTCTTCAAAAGCTCAAACCCAATATTCATCTATTATTGAAGTACGGATCTAATTCAAATTCTTAACTATATGGAATACGATATTCAATACACAAAAAAATAAATCTTAGATTTAAAAAACTGAGATCAAAAACAACGCGAAATAATAAATATAAGCACGCGTCTAATTAATAATATCATACACTTTACTTATAGAATTTAAATCAATTAATGACACAATCAGAAGTTGAAATTCAACAACAAAGATTAGAAAGTACTAATATATCAAATAATAATATGGAAGAAAATGGTCATCATCATACTCAAAATGGTAATGGTACTATAGTAGAAGAAGAAGAAGAAGAATTAAGTGGACCATTATTAATTGAACAATTAGAAGGTAATGGTATAACTTCATCAGATATTAAAAAATTAAAATCAGAAGGATATCATACTATTGAAAGTATTGCTTATACTCCAAAAAGAATATTATTAACTGTTAAAGGTATAAGTGAATCAAAAGCTGAAAAAATTTCAAATGAAGCAGCTAAATTAGTTCCCTTGGGTTTTACAACTGCAAGTGAGTTTCATTCAAGAAGATCAGAACTTATATGTTTAACAACTGGTTCAAAACAATTAGATACTTTATTGGGTGGTGGTATTGAAACAGGTTCAATAACAGAATTATTTGGAGAATTTAGAACTGGTAAATCACAATTATGTCATACATTAGCAGTTACATGTCAATTACCAATAGATATGGGAGGTGGAGAAGGTAAATGTCTTTATATAGATACAGAAGGAACATTTAGACCTAATAGATTAGTTTCAATAGCAAATAGATTTGGTTTAAGTCCAAATGATTGTTTAGATAATGTTGCATATGCAAGAGCTTATAATGCAGAACATCAATTAAATTTATTAAATTTAGCAGCTCAAATGATGGCAGAATCAAGATTTTCATTATTAATAGTAGATAGTATAATGTCATTATATAGAACTGATTATGCAGGTAGAGGTGAATTAAGTGCAAGACAAACTCATGTTGCAAAATTTATGAGATTTTTACAAAGATTAGCAGATGAATTTGGTATTGCAGTAGTTATAACAAATCAAGTTGTTGCTCAAGTTGATGGTCAAGCAGGAATGTATAATCCAGATCCAAAAAAACCAATTGGTGGTAATATTATTGCTCATTCTTCAACAACAAGATTATCATTAAAAAAGGCAAGAGGTGAACAAAGAATTTGTAAAGTTTATGATAGTCCTTGTTTACCAGAAAGTGATTGTTTATTTGCAATTTATGAAGATGGAATTGGTGATCCAAAAATTGAAGAAAATGATTAAAGAAGTTCTTTGAATTGATTTTTATTGGGGTTTAGTGATTAATTATTTAATGTGATTTATAAATTTTTTTATTTCTTTTTTATGTTACTTTTACTAAGTATATTTAAATAGTATATAGTAGTAAATTTAATGAATATATTTAATTCAAAGAGAAATTGATAAATTTGATCAATAAAATCTGGATTAAATTCAAAAGTGGAGTCCTTCTAGTCCCTTTTTATATTAAATAAATGATATAATTTGATATTAATTTTACTTATTAATCCATTTTAATAATCGGATTAAATATAAATATACCTTACTTTAAAATATGGAACAAAAAGAAATAAAATAACGTTCGTAATAAAAAAATTTAATATGTTGATCGTTTAGATAAAAAATTAAATTAAGACTAGATGCAGTACACAGCACATTTATAAAACTTCATACCGCTTTTAATTGAAAAACAGTTGACAAGTCCTATATAAGGTATAATAACTTAAATAGACTGCACCTATATTAAAATAGATTTAGCTACAAAAATAGAAATAAAATCTGCACGGCATAATCACCAATTTGAATATTTTTACAAAATGACGTTTAAATCTGAATCAAAGAGAGGACAGACCAGCAAAAACTGCTAAATTTTTTGATCAGGGAAAAATAACCTCCGTGAGCTACCAAATACATTGCGCCAACGTGACTATTTAGCCTCGAAAGAAAAGACTTGTTGCGTTCTACAAAAAGGTTAATTCTCATTCTTTTCATATCGAGTCGATCAAATAGCTCGTACCCTCTCCATTAAATTTGTCAATATGCTTCTCTGCTAGCAAGTTGAAGAGTCATAAATGTATCTACAAAAATTAGATCTCAATGGGCCTGTTCGATTTTGCTTGATATTGAAACTAATTTTACAATTTATTAAAGCTGGCGTAGCATTTTATTAGTGCTCAACAGATTAAGCTTTACCGGCCAGAACACGCTTATGTCACCCTCGAAAATTGACATCCGGTGGAGGTTAATTTTCTACCTTCAAATTTTTTATTTAAATTTTTCTCGTCATAAATTTGAAATGACTGATTGATAGATCAATTGAAATTTGAAGTTACCCTTAGTATACGTCAGTTCCTAACATTGAATTTTTTGTCTCACTCTTTAACAATGTAGTACTTGGCCCTTTAATTCATAGAATTATATTGATCTAATTATTCAATATAATGTCTTACTGAGAATAAATTTAAGCCTTTTAACAAAACCCATCTTATTTTGTAAATATACTTAATTCAACTAAAATTAAATTTAGTCATAAATAAAATTTTTTCATTCTTCCTTTAAAGCCATTCTCTTTAATATTTCATTATATATAAATTGTAATTTTGTGTAAATAATCTAAATTTTTTATCTTTTTCATCAGTAAATCATAATTGAGTCAATTTACACTACTCATACTTTATAATAATTAATAAAATTTATATTAAAAATTTAAAAAATTAATGTTTAATTTTCCCGCAAAATTCCAATTCCAATTTTTCAATTTATAACTTAGTTAATATTCATCATAATTCTACAAGGGAACAGCCCATCGCGTTGTGTCAAATATAAGTCATTTGGAGTTTCATTCATTATTGAATTTAATATTAAAGTAAATAATTCAAATATTTTCGTATTCAAAAATATATCAAATAGTCACTAGTATTTATTCAATCTCAAACACCTCAAGAGGAACAAGACAACGACGTGGAGCACGTAAAATAAAACAATAAACGTTATCCATTCACAATGAAATATCAAGAGAAAGCAAAAGTAAAAATATTACCAAAACCTATAGCACCTGCAACTCAAGTCTCTTCACCTCTAATTCAAGTATCACCAAGTTTATCAACTTCATCACCAACTACAACAATTGCAAATAGGAAAAGAGCCAAATCAACTACTGGAGCAAACAACGTCATTTCCAATACTGAATTAAAAAGACAAAGAAAAACAAATACCGCGTCGCCTATTGATCTTAATCAACCATCATCTATAACAACAACTCCAAAACCCTCAAAACAAACAGGTCATAGACCAGTCACATCATGTACTTTCTGTCGTCAACATAAAATCAAATGTAATGCACTGGATAATTACCCTAATCCATGTCAAAGATGTGATAGAATGGGATTGAAATGTGAAATAGATCCACAGTTTAGACCTAAAAAGGGTTCACAAATTCAATCCTTAAAATCAGATGTTGATGAATTAAAAGCTAAAATTGAAATGTTAACTAAAAATGAATCATTATTAACTCAAGCTTTAAATCAACATAATTTAAATTTTTATCCAACAAGTTCTCCTCAATTACAACCACAACAACAAAATTATCAATCACAACCTCCTCCTCAACCTCATAGATCAAACCTGTATCCAATAACGTCTCAAACTCCCGTTACATCACCATCTTTATTTTCACAAAGTAATCATATATCACCTATTCCATCAATAACAAATATACAACAAAATCCATCATTAATGAATGAAAATTCTGATAATTCACCATCAGCTTTAAATACACCAGAAATTAGAGAAGAATATTTACAACCAATTTCAGAATTTATTTTGGGAGATGTTAATTTACCACTTGCAAAAGCTAATGAATTACATGATAGATTTATGAAAAAACATTTAAATTTTTTACCAATAATAATATCAAGATCAGCAACTGAATTATATCATAAATCAAATTTATTATTTTGGGCTGTAATATTAACCGCAAGTTTAGGAGAACCAGAACCTACATTATATATGTCCTTAGCATCATTAATTAAACAACTAGCCATTGAAACTTGTTGGATAAAAACACCAAGATCAACTCATGTAATTCAAGCATTAATAATACTTTCAATATGGCCATTACCAAATGAAAAAGTTTTGGATGATTGTTCTTATAGATTTGTGGGGTTAGCTAAAAATCTTTCATTACAATTAGGTTTACATAGAGGAGGAGAATTTATACAAGAATTTAGTAGAAATCAAGTTAGTTTAGGACCTGATGCTGAAAGATGGAGAACAAGGTCTTGGTTAGCTTTATTTTTTTGTGAACAATTTTGGTCTTCACTTTTAGGCTTACCACCATCGATTAATACTACTGATTATCTATTGGAAAATGCAAGAGTTGATCAATCATTACCTAAAGAATTTAGATGTTTAATATCTTTATCAATTTTTCAATGTAAATTAGTTAATGTTATGGGTATTAGTGTTACAAGACCTGATGGATTATTAGAACCGCTGAATCGTGCAGGGTCATTAAATTTATTAGATAGAGAATTGGAAAGATTAAGATTTAAATTACAAATTGAAGATGGATCACCTATAGAAGTATATTATCTTTATTTGAAATTAATGATTTGTTGTTTTGCATTTTTACCAGGTACTCCAATTGAAGATCAAGTAAAATATGTTAGTTCATCTTATTTATCAGCTACAAGAATAATCACAATAGTCTCACAAATGATTAATGAAATATCCTTGATTGAATTACCTATATATATTAGACAAGCAGTTACCTATTCAGTACTATTACTTTTCAAATTACATTTATCAAAATATTTAATTGATAAATATGTCGATTCAGCAAGACAATCAATTGTTACAGTTCATAGATTATTCAGAAACACACTAAGTTCGTGGAAGGATTTACAAAATGATATATCAAGAACTGCAAAAGTTTTGGAAAATTTAAATATTACATTATATACATATCCTGATATTTTTTTAAAAGAAGATGAAAGTACAAGTATAATATCAAGAATGAGATCTCATTTAACTGCATCATTATTTTACGATTTAGTTTGGTGTGTTCATGAAGGTAGAAGAAGGTCACAATTAGGTAAAGATAAAACAAGGTCTGAGACTATTGAATCAAATGATAAAAAATTATTACCATTACCATTTTATAATCAAATCACAAAAGATGATTTTAGAACTATTACAACTACAACTCCAAATGGTACAACAATTACAACTTTGGTTCCGACTGATGCAGCAATGAGTAATGCAAGATCAAATGCTACAGATAATAAACCACTTGAAATAAATGGTATACCATTACCTTTATTAGATGCAACAGGAGCAAGAGATGGAATTAATGGTGCACAAAGTCTCATGTCTCAACAACAACAACAACCACCAATAGATCAACAACAACAACAAGTACTAAATCAACAACCTCCAACACCAATGTATCAAGGATCACCACCAATTCTAGATTTCAACACTCAAATCACACCACAATTACCATCACAAATCCAAGGAATTCAAAATTTTCAAATTCCAAACAACAATAACCCTAACATGTCACCATCCCAACAACAACAACAACAACAACAAAACTATTTACCTACAATACTGGAAAACCCTTTGATACAATTTAATGATTTTTTCTTACAACAATCATCAATTGATCAAGATGATGATTTTTTGGGTTGGTTTGATTCTAATATGTTAAATCAACAATAAAAATAAGAGAAATGATAATGAAGAAATGCTTTATTTTTTGTAAATTACTTGTATATACTTATTTAATATGATGTTACGCTATTAGAATTATAATAAGTTTGTAATTGTTAATTTTTTCCGGATGTCATAACTAGAACTGTGGTGTTTCAACTTTTCAAAACCAATTGGTAATTCAAAGCTGAATTAGCCATTTTAAATTAGCTTGATAATTGGCTGAGCTCCTCAGATTAAGGGCTAAGTTCCGTCTTTAATGAAAAAGCATATTTTACTAATAAATAAAGTGAATTAAAAGTATTTGGAAATCAATATAAATTACATAATTATTAAAGTATATAGAATCATCCTCGTTTTGTGTAGTAGAAATCTAGAACTTCCCCTAATGTTTGAAAAGTTAGAAAATGTAAAATTGCTTAAATTTAAAAGTAGGATTTAATTAAACTTCATTATTCAACACTAAAATAAATTGCTTATTTATATATTACTTCTTTCTTTTGACATTAATTTTCATTTAATTTAATCGATTTAATCATAAGATATATTCAGTTTATCAAGATAATTCAATTGACGAATTTTTAAGTACATCCTGCATTAATAGTCATCTTTTAAAATGTTATCAAAAAGATCAATTCAATTTTTACCAACTTTAAGAAACTTAACCACCAGAGCCAATACCACCCGTCAATTCACCTCAATTACTAATAAATCAACTGGGTTAGGTTTAAAGACATCATTCAAGTCTCAAATAAGATTTGTTTCTGAAGTTGTTAGAATTAATTCAATTGCACCTAATTTTCAAGCCGAGACTACCAGAGGGAAAATAGATCTCCACGAATATATTGGGGACTCCTGGTTAATTTTATTTTCACATCCTGCTGATTTTACACCTGTTTGTACGACGGAATTAGGAGCATTGTCATCTAGATTGGGTGAATTAGAAGATTTAAATGCTAAAGCAATTGCCTTATCTGTTGATACAGTGTCAGAGCATGAAGAATGGCTGAAAGATTTGGAACAACTTGGATCTAAATTAAAATTTCCTATCATTGATGACTCAAAAGGTGAGATTGCTTATACTTATAATATGTTCCCACAAGAAGAATATCAAAATAAAACTAAAAAATTAGTACCAACAGTAAGATCACTTTTTATAATTGATCCAAATAAAAAAGTTAGGTTAATTTTAACATACCCACCAAGTGTTGGAAGAAATGTTGATGAAGTAATAAGAGCTTTGAAAGCTTTACAAGTTGGTGATGAATATGGTGTTGTTACTCCAGTTGATTGGCAACCAGGTCAAGAAGTTATAATTCCACCTTCAATATCTGATGAAGATGCTACTAAGAAATACGGTGAATTTAGAAAAGTATTACCATATTTAAGATATACTAAAGTTGATTAATCTGATCAATTTGATTCAACTTTTGCAGCCAGATGCTACCAAACAATATTAAGTAGTTTCATCTAATATGGACATGTGCTCAATTAGTTTTAAAACGTTCTGTGTATTTACCCCTTATAATTTCTATTTCTATAACTCTTGTTTTTTTTAAATTTTGCATTCCCCTATATTAAAGTCACTAACTAAAAACTATATAACTTAAATTTTATATCTTTCATTCCTTTATTGATCAATTGGTAAAATATCAGGAATTGGACCTAATGGAGTAATTCCATAAGGATTAATTTTAACATGAGATTTTGTATAATGTTTTTTAATATGTTCGAAATTAGTTGTTTCTTGAAATCCAGGAATTTTCCAATATAATAATCTAAGCCAATTATTTAAATTTGGATAATGAGTTCTAATCATTCCAATATTACATTTAAAATGTTGAACATATACAGGATCAAATCTTATAATTGTTGTAAATAATCTAATATCAGCTTCTGTTAAATTATTACCTAATAAAAATTCATTTTTACGATCTTTTGAATGATTTTCTTTTAATAAATGTTCAACTTTATCTAAATAATGGAAAACATTTTTACATTCTTTATCATAAACTTCTTGTTTTGTAGCAAATCCAGTTTTATAAACTCCATTATTTATATTATCATAAATCCAACCATTAATTTCATCAATTTTAGATTCTAAATCTTTTGGTACTAAATTAATTTCAGCAAATTCTGCAGGTAATATACTATTAAAATCAAAATTTAACATTCTTATAATTTCAGCACTTTCATTATTTACAATAGTTTTTAATTTTTTATCCCATAATACTGGTACAGTAAATCTACCTTCATAATTTGGATCAGCTTTAAAATATAAATCTCTTAATCTTGCAAAATCATAAAGATGATCAGGAGTTCCTAAACTTTCATCATCAGAATGTTTTAAACCATTCAATTCTTCTTTTGTTGGAAATCTCCAACCTTTATCATCCATATGCCAATGAACAATTGATAATCCAATTATTGAAACTAAACCTTTTAACCTACGAGTAATTAATGTACGATGTGCCCATGGACATGCATATGAAACATATAAATGATATCTACCAGCTTCAGGTGAAAATCTTGCACCTGGTTTAGTACTTATAAAATCTCTAAAAACTGAAGGTCTTCTTTTATAATTTCCATCTTTATCAGCAAATTTCAAAATTTCAATTTTCTATTTGGTGGTGAGGGTTAGTATATTAATTCTTAAAAGTATTAAATTAAGTGATAAACTTACTTCAGACATGATTGAAATCTGGTTTTTTAATCAATTGAGTAAAGTATTAATAAGAAAATAATTAAAAATTGAGTAAATTCTATTTACTTTAAATAATTTTAAAGGAATAGAGAAGAAATGAATAATATAAATTTATTTACTTCTCCATAAATTCTAAAATTTCAAGGATATGTAAATGCAAGATTTATTAAATAATTATTAATAAATTATTATTAATTTTTATCTACACAGCAATTGAAAGAAAGTTGAGTTTAGTAAAACATGAGTAAAGTATTATTACTACAACTAATAATACTTATAGTTTATACTTAGAGTACTTTTAAAACATTTATTTACTTATGATAAATTTAAATCTATTGAGTAAGTAAAAAACTGCATAATTTTACATTCTAGTTAGTAATTTTTTAATACCGAACTTATTACTACGATATATTTCGCTTCGCTTCTTTTAATGGAGAATCAAGCTGTATTCATTCTCATCAGTTTGAGCACATCCTCTTCAAATTGGTGCAAATTATGACATTTCCGTAATTTTGCTCTTACCAATTGATTTCAACTTTATCACTGGAATTAACAAGCTGTCAATTTTTAAAATTTTGAGACACAGAATTTCAAATGACAAACAAAAATAAAATTTAAGCGATCAAAAATTTTTGATATTCAAAAAAAATTAGAAAAACATTTTCCTGCCACAAGAAAAGCGGCTTATCAAATACAAATTGTTATAAGTTTGCAACACATTTTTATATAATCAAAACTAACAAATATGTCAAAAGAAGAGACGAACCAGGATGATCAAACTCCATCAGCAGAAACAAAGCCAGATCAAGTATTATCGGCAAATCAGCAACATCAACAATTAGAATCTTATCAACAACAACAACAACAACCTTATTCACAACAAATTTATCAACAACAACAACAACATATACAAAATCAATCTCCAAATAATAATAATAATGTATTAACTAGAAAATTACCTCCATTATCAACAGTTTATAGAGCTGATTATAAACCTTTTTCAACTTTTTTACCCTATGAACCAGCATTTAGAGATCAACCATCTCAACAACAACAACAACCTTTATCAAATCAAGTATTGACTACTGAATATCCATTACCAAATAAAAATTCAAATGTTGCTGCATTAGCTTTAAATACTTCACAACCCTCATTAGATTCATCTATAACTAAATTCAAATCCTCAACAAAAGCAACAACTAAAAAAAATTCACAACCTGAAACAACAACTAAAAGCACCAGCTCCACCACCACGGATAAAGTAACTAAACCCAAAAAGAAAGATCCGTTAAGACCTTATGCATGTACTACTGAATTATGCAATTGGTCATTTGCTCGACAATCAGATTTAACAAGACATATGAAATCTCATTCAGCACCACAATATCATTGTCCATATTGGAAAAATGATCCTACATGTCATAAAAATAATGGTGCATTTAATAGATTAGATGTTTTGAAAAGACATTTAAAATTAGTTCATTATGTTAAAGATAAATTTGTTGGTTATAATGGTGGTGATAATACTGAATCGAAAGAAATTAAAAACAAAGAAGAAACTAAAGGTAAAAAAAAAGATGAACCAGGTTGGTGTAGATCTTGTCAAAAAATGTTTCCAAATGCAAAAGCATTTGTTGAACATTGTTATGAATGTGCTGCTAATACTCAACCTGCTGAATGGAGAGATAAAAATAATAATGATCTTACTATTGTTAATATTAGACAACCATATAATAAAATTAAAAGTAATAATAATGCTGCAAATGTTGGTCAAAGTACTTTTAGAGTTTTAATAGGTCCACAACCAGAAGAAAAAATTGATTACGCTATTAGTCAAATCCCTAAATATCAATAATTAATTAATTAAGTTGAAGTTTCACTTTCATCTCTTCTATCTTCGTCTCTATCAAAAAAATCTAATATTGCACAATTTGGATGTATAATATAAACTGTTTTGGTAGTATTACTTTCATCTGATTCTGGTAATGATTCATTATCATTATTTGAAACACTCATTAATATTCTATCTTTTACTAATCTTTTCAAAACTTTATATCCAATTTTACGTTCTTGCATATATTCAGCTTCACTTGATAAATCATCTTCTTTTTGTAATAAATACCAATCAATTAATTGTTCTGCTGTTAAACCTTCACCACCATTTTTATCATCATCTGATATTTTTTTGACTAATAAATTCATAACTGATACATACTTATCATATGACACTGATGTTGATTCTGATTGTTGTTGTTGTTGTGGTGGTTCTGATGGTGCACCATCAACAGTTTCAACTGCTGCTATAGTATCTTGTTGTACATCATCATCTTCTATTTCTATATCTTCCATTTCAACTCTAATTATAGATTGTTTTAATAAGTCATAAGCTTCTGCAACAAAACTTGGTGTTATATCTTCAGTACAATTAGCTCTTGCAATAGCTTCACTTAATCGAATCATTGATTCTAATTGACGTACAGTAATTCTATAAGACGATCTACCTAAACCTTGAGCATCATCTTCACGTAATTCTTTATATCTTGTTACCAAAAAGTCTCTTGCTTCTTTTGTCATTCTAGGTTTAAAAGTTTTTGCATATTTAATATATCTTGATAATTGTTCAGCTGAATATGGTGGATTTATCGCATTATCTCTAAGCATATGTAAGTCAACAATATGTGAAGCTAATTGTGTATCAATTCTTTCGTTGCAATCATCTAATATAACAAAAAATAAATCAAATCTTGACATTATAGGAGCTGTCATAGTTAAATTTGATCTTAAACCAATTTTTCTATTATATCTACCACCAATTGGATTTGCAGCTGCTAGTATTGAAGTCCTTGCATTTAAAGTTGCATGAATACCAGCTTTTGCAATAGAAATTGTTTGTTGTTCCATAGCTTCATGAATTGCAACTTGATCTACTATATCCATTTTATCAAATTCATCAATTGCACAAATACCATTATCAGCCAACATTAAAGCACCGGCTTCTATGGTATATTCACCACTTTCTTCGTCTCTTACAACAGCTGCAGTCAAACCAGCAGCTGATGATGCTTTACCTGATGTATATACAGCTCTTGGACTGAACCCACAAACATATTTCAAAAATTGAGATTTTGAAGTTGATGGATCACCAACAACACAAATATTTATATCACCTCTTAAATTTATACCATCAACTGTTTGTTTGTGAACACCACCTAATAATTGTAAAAGTATTCCCTTTTTAACAACTTCATGTCCAAATACTGCAGGTGCTATTGATCTTACTAATTTATCATAAATATGTTCATCTTTAACCATTTCTTTTAACTCAGATACATCTGATTCACTCAATGAAGTAAGGAAAATTTCATGATCATTTGAATCAGTTTCTGTTTCATTACCAACTTTATTTATCATTGAAGTTACATGACATGCATTAAAAGCTAATTTATATGTTAAATCTCTAACACCTAAAGATTTTAATCCTGAAACACCTGAATTTAATTCTGATCCTCTATTTTCTTTTATTGATTGTGGTTTTACTCCTGGTAATCCTAATTGAGAAACATCTGGTATAACAATTTCACAACCTGTAAATTTACATTTATCACCGGGTTTAGCTCTTTCAACAGTTTCACCTCTTAAAATAACATCCAAAGTTCTTGGCATTGAACCAGTTGGTATTTCATTTGCATTTTCTTGAATTCTAACTCTTTGCCAATCAATAAATCGAGATTTCGAAATATTCAATGTAAAATATGACTGATTTTCACATGATGGACATGAAGTTGGTTCTGTATATTTAAAAACTTGTTCAATACCTTCAATTAAAGCAGAACACATATCACAAGTAAAAGAAGCACGATATAATTCAGGTCTAACTTCTGAAGTTCTTGTAACTGTACCAGAAATGGTCATTAACGAACCAATTTTATTTGATCTTATATCTCTAATTCTTTGAACAGTCGGTAAATTAAAAAATGATATTTGGAAAACTCTTTCATTTGATGTAGCATTAGTTGAAGATGAAGTATTTTCACTTATATTTTCTTCCTCATTATTTTGACCTAATAAATTTGTATGTAACAAATTTGGTGCATATTTTTTTAATAATTTTTTTAAACCATCCAAAAGATAAGGATAAAAACGATAATATTGTTCTGCTATAGCAGTTGCTAAAACACCATTTTCAACTGATAATAAATTTTGATAATTAATATATAAAGTACTATATTCAAAATTTTTCATTGATTCAATTTGTGCTAAATATATTTTACCATCCCATCCATTATTTGTTTCATCTTCATCAACAAATTCTTCTATGAAGTTTTGGAAAGATTCCTCAACTTTTATAGAAGTTGCATCAACAACTTTTGGTATATCTAGTTTTCTTCTTCTCTGTGATGTTATAGATCTTGGTTGTTGTTGTTGTTGTGGTTGTGAAGATTGATCACTTAATATTGGTGGAGCAGGTGTTGATATATTTCTACCCCCAAATGATGAAATTTGTGAATTTAATAAATGTGCTGCATCTGATGGTATTGGTGATGAAAAATTCATTTTTTTTAAAAATATTGACTACTAAAATTTATTCAATTTTATATGTGATTTGAAAAAACGAATGTACTTAATTTGAAAATAAAAATAGAATATTGTTGAAAAGTTGTAAATTAAAACAAATGTAATTGAATTGAAGTTGAAAGATAGAAAAGTTCCTAATAATAAATTATAAATTTGAAATGAATTGAGTTGTAAAAAAGAAAGTAAATATAAAAATATTAAAAAGATAAAAAAATAAATTAAATAAAAAAGACGCGTCTAATAATTTAAAAAAATAAAATTTAATTAATTTTCTAAATTAGGAATTATTATTATATTTTATATTATTGAAAATTATGTTATACAAAAATATATTAATGTATAAAGATAATCAATTAATCCCAATCAAAAAATAATTATATATAAGTGATGGAAAAAATTGCCTGTACAAATTACATTCAAAGTTTTATAATCAATCTGATGATTTCAAATTTCTACTAATTTTGATGAATTTAACAAATGGTTGTTATTAGACTTGATCTTGGATTTTAACATCTAGTGAAACAAAAAGACTTTTTTTTGACTGTTTCTCCAATACTTGCTTAAACGACCACTTATAATTTGGAACCAACCCAATTTATTCATCATAATTTATGTAAGTTCATACTAATAAGTTTGCGCCAAAAATTGAATTATATGTCTCTGTCAAAATTAATTCTCTCCCTTTACTCACTACGAATTTGTGCTTGGTCTAGGAACAAAAATACCTCGCCCTAATCCTTTATAATTTACAATTGTACAAAAAACTAACTTAAGTCATACCTTTGATCATACCAGTCAAGACGCCAGCTATAATACCAAAAATAATAAGAATTGGAAGAATGCAACTAATATACAGGTAGTACAAAATCTCTTTTGTAAAATGATACAATAAATAAATTGTGTAGCAAATGAAAATTATTCCTATTGCCAAAATTTCAATGATGTTATAAATGATTTCAGCGATATCATAAAAGATCATTGTTGAACATTCTTTAATCAAAACATGTGCTTTCTCACATATCCATCTCATTCTATCACTATGCTTTTTGGAATTTCTCTTCAGATGATCATTTATCTTTTGGTCTTGATTTGGAAAGATTGATAAACATTGTAATTTAGAATCTTTTATAAAAATGTTCGGTTGTTGTTTGAAGGAGAATTTTGTTTTCACTGGTTCCGGATATGGAATATTACTGTTTACATTGTTTTGTGAACTATTATCGGTATTCAATAATGTACTAGTTGTTGGATTTAATTGATTTTGCATTCTCCTAATGAAAGCTGAACAGTGTCAGGTTGTTTGATTAAAAACAAAACTTTTACATTTCATTAATTCATGTAAAGGGATAAAATATTTATATTGTTAGATAATAATGACATAATTCCAATTTTTTCAAGTTTATAAAGCACCTTGATGTACATGAAACTCAACATAAAAAGTTGCGAAAAATCTTTATTAGAAAGAAGGGTTGTTTCATGTCCCGAAATTAACAAATAGTGAGCATAAAATACACAAAATATAAACTGTAAGCTTGAACGCTAAAGACATTGATTTATAAATCTATAATCTTAACACTCGCAATCTATTTTTTCAATTTTAACTGTTGTGAAAGAGGGGTAGCCTACTTAAAGATTCAAATTTCCAGAGTGGTTTTAGAACAACGTCATAACGACAGCTATACTCTTGCAAGATATTTAATACCTTATTATGAAATTTTTGACCTAGAATTTTGTCACAGTTTTCGCTCTTATGATGTAATTTGGGATGATGTAGAGCAAAGTACTCTCCTGTAGTCTGGAGGTATTCAATAGATTACATAATTATCAGAGAGAGAAATGCAGAAGTCTCCTGGTAACCAATAAAAGATCAATACAAATGTACAAAAGACTAACTAACCCATACCTTTGACCAAACCAACAACAAAACCAGCTGCAATACCAATAATGATAAGAGATGGAAGAATGCAACTAATTAACAGGTAGTACAAAACCTCCTTTGTAAAATGATACAATAAATAGATTGTGTAGCAAATGAAAATTATACTTATTGCTAAAATTTCAATGACGTTATAAATGATTTCAGCGATATCATAAAAGACCATTGTTGAACATTCTTTAATTAAAACATGTTCTTTTTCACATATCCATCTCATTCTATCACTATGTTTTTTGGAATTTTTCCTCTGATGATCATGTATCTTTTGATCTTGATTTGGAAAGATTGATAAACATTGTAATTTAAAATCTTTTATAAAAATGTTAGGTTGTTGTTTGAAGGAGAATCTTGTTTTCACTGGTTCCGGATATGGAATATTACTGTTTACATTGCTTTGTGAATGATCATCTGTGCTCAATAATGTACTAGTTGTTGTATTTAATTGATTTTGCATATTCCTAATGAAAGCTGAACAGTGTCAGGTTGTTTGATCAAAAACAAAACTTTTATATTTCATTAATTCATGTAAAGGGATAAAATAATTATATTGCTAGATAATGATGACATAATCTCCAATTTTTTCAAGTTTATCAAGCATCTTGATGTACATGAAACTCAAAATAAAAAGTTGCGAAAAAATTTTGCTAAAAAAATAGGTTTGTTTCATGTCCCGGAATTCAAAGTCGAGTTTGTACAATATGATTTGACAAGAAGTCGGAAATCAAAGTATTTAAAAAATATTCACGTCTTAACTACAAATTGTACTAAGTAAATTTAAAGCATTGGAATTAAAAATCCATTACCAAACAATTTGAATAAATTTCTAGATTCTGTTTTCAACCCAGTGTTTCACCGTCAAAACGGAAAATTATCGGAAATATGCTAGACATGAATTAATAGGTATAGCCAGAGTTATAATCAATGCATTATACTCTATTGAAAAGATTGTTCGTTGTTACATCGCATCAGAAAAAACAAGACATGTATATCTAGTTCACGGATATTAAGCACATTCAACAGGAGGTCAAAAAAAATTATGTCGGAATTTAAAAGATAACGAAACATCTGTACTACATCTTGATTTAAAAAAAAAAAATCATGCATAAAAATTATATAAAATTTTTTCTAAATAATAATACAAACACAGAATCATCATTACACTCTCTTTAAATCAACTGAAGTAAGAACTTTTTTGTGAATGGTTTGAATGAGGAGTTGTAACACATTCTTTTAATAAAATATGAGCATTTTTACCAATTATATTTCTTAAATTTGCTCTTTTAATAGGTTTAGCTAAAAAACCATTCATACCTGCATTATAACATTCTTTTATATTTGAATCATCAGCAAATGCAGTTAATGCAATAATTAATTTTGAAAATTGTAAATTATTTCTAATAATATTAACTGCGGTTATACCATCCATTATTGGCATTTGAACATCCATAAAAATTAAATCAAATTGTTCATTCGTTTCCATTGAATTTTTGACTATTTCAACAGCTTCTGCTCCATTTGCAACCATTGTTAAATTGATGAAACCTTCTAATTTTAACATTCTTTTAATAACTTCTTGATTTACTTGATTATCTTCCGCTACTAAAATTTTTAAATTTGACATTGATGTTAAGATATGTGGAGTTGATGGTGATGAACCAGATAATTCATTTGGAGTTGTTGTACCACTGTTTGTATTGGAGGTGGTGATTGCGGGGATGTTTGTTTGTAAATTTGGTAATTTTGATAAGGAATTATGACTATTTGAATTTGAATTTGTACTTCCACTTCCACTACTATTACTGAGACTTTCTTTATTGGTTGTTGTTGTTGTTGTTGTTGTTGTTGTTGTTGTTGTGGTTGATTGAGCAGTTCCTGTTGAACCTTTTGCAAATAACATTGGTTTTGATGGACTTGGTTTTATACCTGTTGGAGTTTGTATTGGAGTTCCCTCATCGTTCACCATATCATCAACATCTTTCGGATCATCTTCAAATGCAACTTTTCTATTGATTTTGGAATTTGGATTAAATTCATCATTACAAAATTCTTTTAAATCCTCTGGTGATATCATAATTTCCCCAGTTTGTGGTAATGGTAAAGTTAATGTAAAAATTGATCCTTGTCCAATTGTTGATTTCAATGATAAAGTACCATGCATCATTCTTGCTAGTTGTCTACATATACTTAATCCTAAACCTGTACCACCATATGATCTACTTAATGTTTGATCACCTTGTACAAATGGTTCAAAAACTTTTTCTTGTAATGCTGGTTCAATACCCGAACCTGTATCTTTAACTTCAAATTGAACAACCCATGTTTTGGATTTATATATATTACGAATTTTAAAAGATTTATCACCTTCAAATTTTTCCTTTTTATGTAATGTTGGATATGACTTAAAATCTTTTGCTTCAGGCATAACATAGAGATCTTTTTCATCGCTGGTTGGATTTAAACTTACTGCAATTTTTTGATTAACTTCCTCATCGATTTCGTGTTCATCTGATGAATTTTTAGTCCCTGAAGAATTATCTAATGAAGCTCTTGGTGATGGTGGTAGTGACTTGTTTTGGAATTGTTGATCAAATAAAGCCTTTTCGTATTGAGTTGTAGATAAAGTGGTGATACTTAAAGCATCGGATGAATCACTTATACAATCGTCTGGTGTTGCTTTTTCATTTATTGGAGATTTGTCTGTGGTTGGTGTAGTTTCTTGCGTATCATCTTCAGTTATTAACGGATCAACAACCAAAGTAGCATCTGTGTTATGTTGTGCTGGACTAGGACGTGATTCCATCAAATACACTTTTTCAAAATTGTTTGCTTGTGATTTTTCAAAATCATATTCTCCTAGCAATTTAAAAACAACATCAACTGATCCATCAACAGGTGTAAATTTTAAAGAATTTGAAACTAAATTCATAATTATTTGAATAATTCTATTTGAGTCTCCATATAGTATTAACTTTCTGAAGATATTTGGTTTCACCAGTAATTTAAAGTTCACCCTTTGATCGAGGGCTAACTTATTAAAAATTGAATTTATTTGATATACAATTTCCAATATTTGAAAATTTGATTTTTCTAGTTTTGATCTGTTTAATGTATTTTTGGAGTAAGTAAGTAATTCTGTTAAAATATGTAGTAGCAATTCTCCTGATCTATGTATTAATTTTAATGAATCTTGGATTTTTTCTGCATCATTTTCTTCCATTGCAATTGAAGTCATACCTAATATACCATTTAATGGTGTACGTAATTCATGTGATATATTTGCTATAAATACAGTTTTAGCTTCATTTGCTGTTTCTGCCTCTATTTTAGAAGCTTCTAATTCTTTGGTTCTTAGTTTAACTCTATCTTCTAAATGTGTATATTGTTTATCTAATTCATCAGTCATAATATTAAAAGCTTCAGATAATTCTGTTAATTCATCTTTAAAAAACTTTTTGGATGGTTTAATTCTCTTAGGTAGTCGTATACCTGCTGAATATTGTGATGCTCCAGATGTTGTTGATGTAACACTACCTCTTGTATTATCTGGTTTTTCAATAATTTCACTTTTTTCCTTTTTATATCTTGTTATGTCTTCTGCTGATTCTTTTAATTTTGTAATTGGTCGTATAAACCAAACTGCAAATGGTAAAGTAATTAAAACCATAAAAGCCCCAATTCCAATAACGACACCAATAATAATACGTTTCAAACGTTCAACTGGTGCATTAAATACTGATTTTTGTTGGACAACAATTATAACCCATAATAAATTATTTAATATAATCTGAGTAAACCCAATGGCTACACTTTGGCCTGAATATGACTTTACATCTGTTGAAACTCCATATGGTGAATTAATAGCAGTTCTTATAGATGTTGATGAGTTAATATTATAAATTTCTCCAGGTTCCAATAATGAATTTTCAACTGGAAAAACAGTTTGAAATCCAATGGCTGAGCCAGATCTTGCACCATCATCATTTAAATTATCAATACCATTAGTTAAACTACCATAGATTGGTTTCACTGCAATTACTGAATAATCTTCACTTGTTGCGTTTAAAGCATCATGTACAGTTGCAGCACTGGCTATAATTGATAAATATCCTGCTATATATGGAGTATCTATTATTATTGAAGTATTTGCATAAACAGGTAAAGTAACTCCCATAAAGTATGGACTATTAATATCTTTCGAATCATTTGTTAATGGTCCAGTAAAATAATAAGCAGTTTGATCATTTAAAATTTGATTTGGAATTGTTTGATTTTGATGTAAAGGAAATAAAGCATCTCTTGTTGTTGGTGATACTATAGTTGCATTGTTTATTGAACTTGCCATAACTTGTAAATCTAAATTATATAATCTTGCAAAAGCAAAAGTTTCAGTAGATTGCATAAATTGCTCTAAAGTTTCTTGAGCATTTGCAAATACATCTCTTGAATTATTTCCTGCTCTATATTGTGATAATGGAGTTGTTAATGCATCAATAGATGCTAATGTCATTACTTGATAAGCAACAAATGCAACAGCTTGTTGGACTTGAGTTGTTTTTAATTGTGATATAACAAATAATCTTTCTGATCTTAAATCAGTTAAATTATCACTAAAATATAATCCTGTAACAATTCCTAAAATTAATAATGAAAATAATGAAGCAAAACAAACTAATACTATAAGCTGCGGTCGAATCCCAATTTTTAATCGTCTCATGACTGTATTATGTTTATGTATGTAAATTTATTTTATAAAATTATTGTAAATTTAATTGAAAAAAATTTAATGACGTATTTAGTAGTTGAGTAGTAGTAACATATGAGATTCTTTTATTTGATTATTAGTAGGTAAAGTATTAAAATGTGGGATATGATATATAAAAATGGATGGCAATTATTTGAAATTTTGATATACAAAAGTTGAATGAATAATGATTATGTTGTAATTACTATTAAAAATATAATTGTCTCTATTTGTTGTGATTATTTTTAAAAATTCCAAACGAAAAATGTGTCAAAAATTTAAGTTAAAAAGTATTCTAAAATATATATATAAGAAATAAATTGAAATTAATAAAATGAAATGAAATAATTAAGATATTATAATAACGAAAGATAGGAGTAAGTAGTAAATTGTTTTATAAATTTCTAGTTGAAAAAAAAAGTGTTTGATTAAAAATTTAGTTGTAAAAAAAAAGTTGATTATAAAAATATTTTTTCTATTAAATTAAATTTTTATTAAAGATTAAGAAAATAAAATTATACAGTAAAAATTTCAAAGAGTTATATAATTATTCAAAATTATAATCAATAAAGAAGATATTTAAGTGTATTAAGTTATTTTATTCATATAATAATCATATCTTACACGAAAGTTGAAATTAAAATAAGAAAATAATGTTTATTATTAATAGAGTTAATCTGTATAAATATGCATTAATATTATTATTTTATTAATTATACTGAACATTAAAAGATAATAATTGAACTTTTGTTTCTCTTGTAAAACTACTTTATATGACTTGTAAGGAAGTAATTTAATACATATTCTATTTCATATATTTGATGTCAATAAGTTCTAGTTCTTTATGAAAGAATTTAATTAAAATCAATAATAGATCTAAAAATAACTTTGTTTAATAAGAAAGATTAATTTCATATATAAAAAATTTTAGGGATACAAATTATCTCTAATATAGAATTATGATGTAATGTAATCAATAATAAAATACTAAAAAATTAAAGTGAGACAAATTAAATTTTGACATCATTTAATTTAAAACATTTTTAATTGAAGTAAGTACGACTACAATTAGGTACATTATTGAATAGATCATTATGTATTGAAAATTGAAAGAATTTTTTGTAAGCTGGGAACTAATACCTATTTTAGTTTTCTTTATAATTATCAAGAAATAAAAATGAAACCTTCTTCAGTAAATAATATTCAAATATGTTCTCATGTTTCTGTCAAAATTCAATTTCACCCCACTTTCGCATAATTATAAACAAATCTTAACCTAACTGCGTGTTAAATAAATCTAATTTAAGAAGTATCAATTACTATTGTAGAAATAATTGGTCATTGCAAATCATCTAGACTTAAAAATTGAGACTTTTTTTTGAATTAAACTTTTTAGTTAACTTGAATTTAATATTTTTCTTGGATAGATGTTACAATTTAAATAACCTTTTTTATATTTGCTTTATTAGTCAAAATTACAAACGGCATTATTAATGATGAAAAAATTTTTTTTACTAAACCCTTGCGACTTTAATATGAGTTACATCAAAACCCTTTTGAGGACCAAATAGTTTCAATTATAAAATTTAAGAGATTGACAGAAGTAATTTTATTTTTCTTTATTCAAGATTTCTTAAAATTTCTATTATCCTTTAAATTTAACCTGATTTACATTTTAGTAAAGAAGTTACAAAATCTGTCAAATAATTAATAAGTTTTAGTTTTAAGTGGCTTTTATCAAGAGCCTTACGAAAACATGGTATTGATCCAAAATTAGATTTATTAATCAATGCAAATTGTATAAGAGCTTACTTTCTAAATCTATATATCATGTAATATATCAAGTAACCACCAAATTCTATTTAACTTTTAATCGAACTTTCTAAACTTTAATATTTAATTTGGTACCAACTAAAGATATTCTTGAAATTGTCCAAAATAATGCACCACAAGTAGCTAAAATACCAATAAATATAATTAAATTATCATAACTTACATCAATTATTGCAGCAGCAATAGGTAAACCAAATAAATTAGCTAATGATAAATAAAAATTTATTATACCATATCTTTTACCTAAATGTTTCGTTGGTGTAATTTGTGATAAACATGCTGGTAAAAGAGTTAAAATACATGCCAGAGTTGTACCTCCAATAGCTGCAAATGCCCATAATATTTTATGATTATCTCCAAATGGTAATAACAATACCAAAACACTAAGAACCCATAAAATTAACATTACAACATTAACATTAAACCTACCTAAATAATCACTTGCTAAACCTGGAATACATCTACCTGCAATACCAGTTGCATTCCATACTGTTAATAATAATAAAGCATTTGATTCACTAAACCCTTTATCAATTGCATAACTTGCATAATATGTAATCATTAACACTAATGAAAATTCACTAAAAAATCCACCTAATGTCAAAAATACATAAGCACGATCTTTAATTTTGATAAAATCTGCAATTTCACTTTTAAGTAAATCAAAATTATTAGTATATTTACATTCTAGATTTTTAATTTTTTTAGATTTAACTCTTTTAAATCTTTCTTTAACTAATAAAGTAGACAATATACTTAATCCCAAACAAGTAAATGCCAAAATCCTAATAGCCCAAACATAACCCATAGAAAAATATAATTTTCTTAATAATAATGGGAAAACTAATCCACCGATACTTCCACCACTCATCCCTATAGCAACAGTTAAACCTCTTTTATAAAAAAAATAATGACTCACAACCGAGATTAATGGATTCATACCTAATCCGGTTCCAATTCCTAATGCAATAAATCCCAATATGAAATGATAAATTTCAGTAGAATTTGCAATCCCCATTAATCCAACAAAAGTAAAAATAGTAAACAAAACAAGTAACCAAAAAACCCCATTTTTATCAAATAATGGTCCCGATACTAAAGCTATAGCATAAGATAAAAAATAATATATAGAAAATATCCAAGATATTGTACTTTCTGAATAATTTTCTAATATATTATTTGAAACATAAGCTTGAACTGCTCCTACTGAATTCATAACTCCTAAAGTTACTATACACCCCAAGAATGAGCCTAATAATACTAAATATGCTTTCAATCCACCATCTGGGAAATTATCTGGATGCAATTGTTCGTCATCTTCATCAATAGATTCATTTGAATGTGTAACTTCCATTATTGATGAAGAAGGCAATGAAGGTGGAATTGATGCTGTCTCATTGATTGATCTCGTATTGGATAAATTCTTGTCTTTACTTGGAAAATTCAAATCATGAGGTAGTTCTCTTAATGGTATTGATTCTGATTGAAAATTTTGTTGATCAGATCTTGAATAAATATTTCCACTATTAGTTTCATATTCTTCAATTGAAGACATGATTCAAATAAGTATGATAATGATAATTAATCATTCATGAAATAATAAAGATTTTAAAGATATTCCCCATCTTTTTGTTTTCTTTTTTGATTAATAATGTAATACTTTTAGTATTGTGTAGATCTAAATTAATATTATAATAGTTTTTAATAAATGCGTTTGTACTTATTTTTTTTGTAAATCAACTTCTCATTTGCGTTCCATTTATGGTATATGTAAGCGATTTAAATTTAATTTATATACATAAGTTCAAACACATAAGTTTAAATTTAATATATATCAAACTTAAATTGCATATAATTCCTAGGAATATGGAATTCAAATCTTAGTTTCGATTCCTTTCAAAAATCCACAATTTCAATCTGATTTAAAACTAAACTAAATTTATCAAATATGTTTGGCGGCTTTTCAATTTATGGAGTTTTTAAATTTGTGAATAAATTCAGATTATTGATTGCTTTAAATCATATATTGTAATATTTGAAACAATTTGGGATGTAAATACGAATTTAAACTACATCGAAAAAGAATCAGTCTATGAAGAATGACACCTAAGGATAGACATGATGAAGAAAGAACTCATTTATTGAATGATGAACAACAACATCATCATCACAACCACAACCAACATTCTACAACAAATGACTCAGATTCAGAAGATGACGATGATGATATTAAATTTATAAAATTACAAAATAAAAGAATTAAAAATTTCCCATGGTATAGAAAACCAAGTGTTTACTCAATAATTTTTTTAGTTGGCTTTTTGACATTTAGTTCATCAAGTGCAGAAGGTGCAAGACAATCAATCATATATTCCAAAGCCGCCAATTCTACTTCTTCAGATCATTCAAACCAAGCTCAATTAGTTGCATCCTTTAATCAATATTTATTAGTAGGTACTACTGCATTTTCATTAATTCCAATTGCAAAATTTGGTGAAATCTCATCCATAGTTGGAAGAAAACCATTTTTTGTTGCATTAATTTTATCAATCACTATTTCAAGAATTTTACAATATTTGGTATTAAATTATAATTCAGATTTAAAATTTAAGTTATTATTAGCAGCAAATTATATTTCTGCAATTAGTGGATCATTAAGTATAATTACACCATTATCAGATTCATATATAACTGATTTTACATTACCTAAAAATAGAGTTTATAAATTATCATTAGCTTCTGCTTCAACATTTATTGGACAAACTTTTGGACCTATATTTGGAAGTTTTATTGTTGGATTAGGTGGTAAAAAATACCAACAAAAACATGGAAATTTTAATGCATTGAAATTTGAAATTGGGATATTGATTGTTTTATGTGCTTATGTAGTAACTTTATTTCCTGAGTCAAGAAATGAAAAAGCTATTGAAAAATCAGAACAAAGATTATTAGAGCATGCAGAAGAAGAAGAGGATTTGCATGTTACCCCAAATGATGAAGAAACTAAAGATAAAATTATATTTTCAGAAATTTTAAAGTCAAGTTTGAACATCATTGAACCATTGAAGATCTTAACATATCCACAAAAGACAGCCAAAATTAATAATAAGCATCGTTATGAACAATTGAAATATGTAGTTATGGGATTGATCTTTACATATGCTACTTATCAAACTTTAATTTTTACATTGAATCAGATTGTTATACAATATGGTCAATACGCATTCAATTGGTCAGCAGATAATATTTCATATTTATTATCAATAATATCTATATCAAGATCAGTGTCTTTAGTATTTATACTACCAGTATTTGAAAAAACGATATTAAAAAAATGGCTTGGATTCAAACCTTTAAATTATTCTTTCGATATGATCGAGTACGTATTAATAGTGGCAGGATTATTAGTTGGATTATCAGTATTCTTAGCATTCTTTATGGCCAAAACAACATTTCAATTTTATTTAACTGCAATTTTTTTCTCATTAGATGCATTAATTCAACCAGTTTTTGATTCAACTATAATAAAATTTTTCCCAAGAACTTCAAATAGTCAAATTTATGGAGCTATAACTTTATTTATTTCTTTATTGAATTTAATATCTCCAATTTTAGTTACATGGGTTTATAAATTTTCATTATTCGTTAATCATGCTAATTTAATTTATTTATTTTATGGATTTTGGATGTTGGTATTTACTGTGATTGTTTATTCTTGTAAAAGAGTTTTAAAATTAGATAGAAATACTACTGACAAGGATTTAAAAAGGATATTTCAATCTTAAGGATGTGAAGTAGCAATCATGATTGATAGCTTATGTTCTTATATCCAATGTGATTGATAAAATAGAACTGATGGCTAATATTTTAGTTTCCGTGAATATTATCCGATTATATATATACAAATCTCTTTATAAGAGATTTAATAAGATCTTAAATAATGAACATTAGTTGAAAATACCCTGAACATTACTGATTAACTAAAAAGTCTTCAAACATACAGTTGAAACCAATTTTTGATCAACGTACAACTAACTTACCAAACTTCAAATTTTCATTTGATAATGTAGAAGGAAGAGTAAAATAAAATATTCTTTTCCGCTTTTAAATCTTAAATTGGAATTAAATTCCTTTTTTTTATATTTTATACCAAACGGAGATATCTTGCATATTTACGAGAAACAGTTGAATTTATGTCGAGCCGTATGAAAATCTAGGAGTATTAGCAATTGTAAAAATTTAAAAATAGCATATATGGCTTCTATTGATTGATAAGAAATTTTCATTTATAAATTATTATAAGATGCATTAGATCTGAGTTCGATCTGTCTGCCATACCACAATCTCATATCGTTAATTTATAAAATATCATTATAGAGTTTCAAATCTGGTTAATTGATTATGACAACTGTAAACATTAATGAGTCCAATCCATTGTTGGAGGACGCAGCATTTGTGGAATATGTGGAGGCAGAACAAGATGAAGGGTCTGCTATAGTGGATCAAGACGATGAAGAAGTTTTATGGATTAAAGAACATGAAGAATTAAATAAATCAAAACATTGGTTTTTTAGACCAAGTATATTTCAAGTAATGTTGATTATAACTGCTTTAACAGTTAGTACTACCATAGCAGAAGCAACAAGAACAGTTGTACAATTTAAATTAGCATGCAATGCTGTATTAGATTCTAATAATATTTGTGATCCAATTAATACTCAAATTTTAATTTCAAATTTTTCTCAATATGCAACTGTTGGTTCAACTATATTATCATTATTAGTAATGACTAAATTTGCTTCATTATCTGATATTTATGGTAGAAAAATTTTTCTTGTTGCAAATGTTATATTTTATTTTATTTCAAATGCTTCAATGTATTATTTATATCATTATCAAACATTTCAATTCAAGAGTTTATTATTAGCATCATTAGTTTCTTCACTTGGAGGTGGATATATGGTTATTAGTACTTTAGTTGAAACTTGTTTATCCGATTTAATTACAAATACTTCAGCATTAGCTCCAGTATTAGCTCAATGTAGTGCTATTACAAGTTTAGGACAATTTATTGCACCCTTATTGGGAAAAATGATAGGTTCATGGCATGCTAAAAAATCACCAATTCATATAATGGGAATCACTAAAAGTTCAAAAGTAACTGAAAATGAATTTTTTTTATTAAAAATTCAATTAATTATTGAATTTATAATGTGCTTATATGTTGTATTCATATTTTCAGAGACTAGAAATCCTAAATCATTACAAAAATCAAGAACAAATTCAATAATTTCAAGAAGATCATCAAGTATAAATTTAAATACTAATACAAATTATGTCACCAAAGTTAGAGACTATTTCAAGGATTTTTCACCAATTAAAATTATCTTATATCCATCAAGTCCTCGTGCTAAATTCACTGTTGCTTCAATGGTTTTCATATTAGTTTTTTATATTGCATTAATGATTTCAATTTCACAAGTTCTTGTAAATTATGTAATTTTAAAATTTGATTTTGGTGATGATATTGCATATATAATTTCATTAATGTCAATAACAAAAGTATTTGCATTAATGGTAGTACTTCCAGTACTTCAAAATTATGTACTCAAGAAATGGCTTAATTTTAAAATTTCAAATACTCAACCAGATTCAATCGATTTTTCATTAATGTCGTTTGGATTAACTATTGATATTTTGGTTTTTGCTATATTATATCAAGCAAAATCTAAAGTTGATGTTTATACATCACTTAGTGTTTTTGCATTAGGTTCAATGTTAACCCCAGTTTTGAGTGCTTCAGCTTTGAAATTTTTCCCAAAAAGTATGACTGGTACATTTTATGGAGCTATTGGTATATTAATTAATTGTGCAACTATTCTTGGTCCAATACTTGTTATGAACTTGTATAAATATTCATTAAAAATTCATTGGGATAATCTTGTATTTCTAGTTGCTTCATTACTTATTGCTTCACTTTTGGTATTGCTTGTATCTTGTAAAATTGTATTAGGTAATGGTGATTATGAAAGACTTAGAAGTAATTTAAGAGGTGCTTAAGTTTAGGAACTGAGGTAAACGTTCGTAATTTTGAAATCGGTCGGTTGGTTATTTAATTCTTATTATTTATTAGATTGTTAGTAATAGAAATATACAATTTTTAGATAGACTTTGATACTAATTTTTATGATCATTAAATTCTATATCATTTGATATATCATTTAAAAACATTAAGGTACTAAAATCAATATCGGTTACACAAAAATCACAGAACTTATATATTTAATAAATTAATATATCATTTAAACAAACCATATAGTCTTTTTTGCAATTCTTATAATAACTTTAGCATAACTTACAAATATCATCTTGATAACTCCATAAAGGTATTTTCAAGATGCCGCCGCCTACATCTCCAACTCATCAACCAAACGACAACTCACCTACCAATCAAAATTCAAATCAGAATAATTCCTTAAATCATATTAGAAGATTCGGAAATGCTTCTTCAGAATCTTTTCCTACATTAAATTCATTAAATATTATATCTGATTATTTATATAGAAATGAAAATCATAATAATTTGAATCATGAAGATAATTCTCGTTATGAAAGTAGACAAGAAGCTAATTTTAGATCTAGAATACTACGACACTTTAGTGAAATTCATAGATTACAAAATCATTTTAATACTTTAGTTAATTCATCAGAAAGTTATACTCGTGATACTACAATGGAAGATACTTCTAATGTTGAAGTAAGTAGTATACCTACACAACTAAGAAATTTATCTAGAGAATTATCAAGAACAAGAAATAGAGAAGCATATTTTGTTGAATCTACTGAAGAAGATGATCAAAGTTTCCAATTTGAAGATGAAAATGATCAAGAATTAATTTACTATTCAGATGATGATCATAGCGGTGAAGATACTGCTGCCGCCGATCCAAACGAAGGTGAAGAAAATGCAAGAAATAATATTAGATCAAATGAAAGATTACTTCTAACTTCCGCAAGAAATTTACAGAGTGCTACAATTCCATTTGTTTCAGGGGTACCACTAAGAAGACAAAATGCAATAAGAATCAAAAGTGTCTTGACTAAAGAAGAAGAAGAAGATGAGGAAGAGGATGCACCAAGATTAAATGGTAAATTGGTAAGTGAATTATTAAATTCAGAAGCTCAAGTATTAGAAAATGAAATGAAAACTATAATCGAGACCATTAGTCAAAATAAAGAAAAATCACTTTTGTTTCCACATAGAAATAATCGATATAGAACAATGTTTTTCTCAAGTTTTAATATTTTATGTCCACCAGATCCATCTCAAGATACTTATAATATTAATCAAACATTAGATGATTTTTTGTGGAAAAGAAAGAATAAACTATTATTCTTGAAGCAAAATATACCACCACCACCACCAACAACAACTTCCAAAAAGAGAGCAAAAGAACCAAAACATTCAAACTTAAAAAGACAAAAACTTTCCTCCACTGCAGATGAAACAATAAATGTATTGCAAAACGAAGATATCAATTATCCATGTTACAAAGTTGATAAAGAACAATTAATGGATGGTCTATCAACAAGTGATTTTCAATCTGGATCTTCGTACTCATTAAAATTGGACTGTCCATCATTTAATACATTTAATTTATCATTCATCAATACCGACACTAACCTCAATGGAACCATTAATGTTGAACCAGAAGGAAGTCTAGAAACGCTATTTTTAAAATTACACAACTTTACAAAATTTCTTTGTGGAATGCCATTAAATTCATATCAATTGCCAAGAAACGCAATATTAATCAGAAAATTAAATGTATTAGATAGATTATCAATTGACAACAAAATTTTATATTCCAAAACCAAACCAATAAAAACATTTTATATCCCATGTGATGGATCAAAAGTTGATTTTAAAACAAATGATTTAAGATTTATGAAACTGGAAAAATTAGTATCATCGAGATTCAATATTAGTAAAATAAGAATACAATTATTAGAATGGATGAAAATCAATCCATTTTTACAATTTAAAGAAAATTTCTTGTATAATTTCTTACAAGATTTACATCAAGACTTAAAAGAATTTAAAACTTCAAAAGCTCAAAGATCAAGAAAATCTGAAGCTATTCATTTAACAAGAGAATTTAAATCTAATTTACCTGAATTAACAAAAGATTTTAATTATCATAAATCTTTCACTGACTTAGTAAAAAATAGTGGAGTTAAAGAAAGATGTAAAAGACATACTGAAATGTTTTTAAAAGATTGGGAAAGTAGTCTTGCTTTTAAATTAAGTGATTTAATAACAAGTGAAAATTGTTCAACTTTGATTAATATTCAGTTAAATTATATTTTATTTTCATTAGAAATTAATATTTCCAAATTTTTAGACAATTTTATAAATTTAATTTTCAACTACTGTGAAAATACTGAATATATTGAAAATTATAAAAAAATCTATAAAAATATTTTAAAAGATGAAAAAGAAGATATAAAATGTATATTAATTTGTTCATTCCACAAAAGAACTGGATTTTTAGAAATTCATAATACATTCATATATACAAATCCATTATATACTCAAAAATCAGGTGCATTAAATGTAATTTTAACTGATGATTCAAGATTAAATGAAATTAATGGTAGAAATATGTATGTTTATGATGATTTTGAAAATTTTAATAGTTCTAAAACTCCAATAAATTCAAAAGAATTTAATTTAGAATTTAATGAGGATGAAGAAATTGAAGGTGGTAATGAAAATGAAGGTAATGAAAAAATTAAAGTTAATAACAATAGACAAAATAAAATTCTTGATAAATTAGTTGGTCATATAATTTTAAATTCTTCAGTTAATGAAGTTTTATGAATTCATAGTCTTATATAGCTATATACAGGATCTACTATTTTAAAACTTGTTACACTACTTGAACAATCAACATATTCGATTAGAGACGTAGAGAAATTTTTTGTTTGTCTATGCACGTTATACGGTGTATTGTCTATTGAATTAATTACTTATTCTCATCAACTATCTTTCTATCATCAGTAATTTCTTCATCATTAGTAGTTTCATTGGAATCAGTTGGTTGTTCATTCGAACTTGAAGTTGCCTTTTTTGTATTGTTTTCATCATTTTCATGATCATCATCATCACCAATTTTAAACATATCATCATCATAATCAGGTAAAGTTTCACCATTAAAATTTTCAAATAATCTTTCTCTTGCTTCATCTTGATATCTATCATCATTTATTTGATCATTTTTATTAATTCTTTGATCATTTCTTTGACCTAAATCAAATGAATCAGCATTAGCTCCTCTTCTTCTTGAATCTAAAGTTTCTTGATCATCTTCTGAATCTGTATAATCTTCACCTGGAATAATATCAAATTCATAATCATCATCTCTTCTTCTTCTTCTACGTAAACTACCTGGTGATTTATGGCATTTCATTATTATTAAAACTATTATGAATCCAATAATTGCAAAACCCATGAGATATTGACCTGTGTGATCTGATGTATAATGCTTATTTTTACCTTCTTCATCTGGTTCTGTGGTTGGTTCTAATTCGTCTGTTATTGTTGATGAAGTTGTTGATACTTCAGAGGATGTTGATGAGACTTGCTCTGATGAAGCGGTCGATGTGGATTGTGCGATTTCCTCACTAGCTGATGTTGTAGAGACTTCTTCGGATGATGTGGTTGATGATGAAGCTTCTGTGGATGATGAAAATTCAGTCAGTGATTCAATTGTTGATGATTGTTGTTTATTTTCTCCAATTCTATCTCTTCTTACTGCTGCATAATCTTTTAATAATTCATATTTTTCAGATTTATCAGCATCCCTAGACTCTCCAAAAAATCTTAATTGCCAATCTTTAAATTTAATATCAATTGGATCACTTTTGGAATCATCTGCAAAGACTTCAATTTCCCAATCACCCAAACCATCTTCACCCCAATGAGCTACAGACATGAATGTCCAATCTTGAAATCCCCTACCCGCTGCATCACCTGGTCTGAAAGTTGCTAAGTCACTAATAACCCCAGTAGGTGATATTAATCTTGCACCGACTTTACCTCTAAATGAAGCATCTATATTAACTATAACGTTAACATGTTCAATTCTTTCAACATTCATTACTTTAAGGTCTTCTTTTGATACTGTTATTTTTGATTTTATTATTTTTTTTTCTTCATCCCTTTTTAGCATTTGTGGTTTATTCAATGATAATGCTTCATTAACTTGAGTTACATCACTATAATACCAAGCTTGTGGTTTAACATTTTTCCAGGATTTAGCGAAATCAACCATATTATAAGCATCAATTTTACCATAACCATATTTATGAGAATATTTTCTATTCAATGCAGTAGTTTGATAATTTCCATCATCTTCATTAACTGGTGTAGCACTTAAAACATTAATATATTGTAAATCTCTCCAAGTTAAATCTGGATTAGCACTAAGTATTAATGAGTATATACCACTTGCTAAAGGAGCTGCTGCTGATGTTCCACCATGTAACGCACTACATTTCTTTTTGATATCTGTAGTATGTATGTGTTCCCCAGAACCTGATGAATATGTAACAACCATTACTGCAGCACAAGCTTCTGAATAAGCTGGATGTAATCCTTTATAATCTATTGCACCAACTGTTATTGAGTAAATTGAGTTTGTATACCCATCGAAATTACAACTATCTTGGAATCTACCACCATTACCAGATGCAAAAACATAGATGGCTCCTTTATTATTTCTACCCTCCTGTATTCCTTTAACAAATGCTTGTTTCACAACAACTTCTGGTCCACTTAATGTCCTTCCATTATCAGTTGGACCCCAAGAACATGAATAAATATCATTTGTATCTAATCCATAAATTAAAGCTGCAGCTTCCTCTGCTGCAGTTATTGCACCAGATAAAATTCTTATACCACTAACTTGAGATTTATATGCAACACCAATTCCACAAACATCATTCTTAACTGCTGCAATTTCCCCTGCACATCTTGTACCATGATAATCATCAAATAATTTTGGTAATGGTAAGTTCCCATTGTCATTAAAATCCCATGAACCTTTTGCATTAAAATTATCTTTTAAATCTTCACCTTCTGCATCTAATCCATCATCAACAATAGCTGTAACTATACCTTGTCCTAATATATCTTCAAGCCATAATCCAGTAGCATTTACATCATGACCTGGAAATTGTAAATTCAATAAATGCCATTGAGTTGCAAATTCGGGATCATGAATATCTAATTTTTGAGCAACAACTGCTAATTTTTGATGAGCTTTATCAGAATCAGAATTTGATTGATCTGATGATTGCTGTTGTAAAAGTTCATCTCTTTTGGAATCTATTGGAACTGGCATTCGTTTATTGATCTTTTTAGGATATAACATATGTAATGATGAAACATCTCCAACTAATTCGTCATAATGATCCTCAAAACCCAGAGATCTTTTCATGTGATTAAAATTATTTGAGTTGAAATTACCTAAAAACGAATTATGAGGATGAGAATTATCTATACTAAAAACATAATAATTATCCAAATTTAATTGATGTTCAAATTTATAGTGATCTTTATATTTTGATATAAAATCAATTAAAGGTTTTTGACTAGTAGTTGTGTTTAATTCTACCAAAAAATAATTATTCTCCTCATAATTTCTAGTTGGGATTTGTTGTTGATTTGATAATGAAATTAAATAAAATAATATGGAAATTAATAATTTTAATGAAAACATAATGAATTGAAATGAAAAAAAGTCTATAAATATAACCTGAATTTTAAATCAAAAATATTTGAAAATATAAACTGAATAAAGAAGTTAATAATAAAGCCTTTTGAAAAAGAAATGAAATGTAATTTTTATTTATTAATTAAACCTAGAGATCCAAAATTAAAAAAAATTGAAAATAATTATGAAGATATGCAAAAAAAGTTTTGTATATTGTATATTATAATGAAATGAAAAAATAAAAAATTCAAATGAATGTGATGTGATTTTATTATATATATATTGATAATACTATATATATATTATAATGATATAATTTATTGATTTTATGATTGGAAATAAGTTTTGGTGAAAGTGTGATAAAAAAGAAGTTCAATAAAAAAAAAAAAATTTGTATATTGTATTGTATTACGTTGTTTAAAAAATAAATTAATAAGTTAACATGAATGTCTCAAATCAGAATTCTATGACATTCTTGAAATTATCAGACATGGGAATCTAATTTTAGTATTTTAATAAAATATGGGGTAAGTTAATAAATGTTTTTACTAATAAGAGTCAAAATTTCTGATCAAGATTAATAATGCTTACCACGGTACAACTTTAATAACTGTACGAACTATTGCTTTACTTTTAAATGAATGATAACTTGACTTTTCTTACATAAATTAAATTATTAAAATAAATTTTTTTTTTCCTTTCTTTTGATGGCCAATTTTTTTGATTTCTTATTCTATTCAATTTTTTACAAATTGATTTATTGTCGGTAATTCTTACTTTATGTTCAATATTACCAAAAGAGAAATTTGCAAATTACGACGAAGAATATTTAGAGATTAAAGGAAATCACTACTTTATAATTTTAGTACCTTTTTACAAAATTGAGAATCAGAGAAAACCGAGGGGCAGCTGTTTTATCGGCCCAAGTTATTTTTCATTGATCTTATAAATGAAGTGTTATATATAATAATCACAATACAAACTTGAACAGAACCGTTTATTCAACAATACAAGAATACAAAGAGTACTATTTAAAGAGATTTAAAATACACTAATTTATTTTCTTTCACTGATATTTGTAAACATTTTAAAATCTAGACTACATATCAATAAAAACAATTTCAGGTTCCATTATAAAACATTACTTGAATGAGGTTCATTTAAAGGAATTATTCAGTTTTACAAATTCTGATTAAAATAATTTTATTATTTACTATAAAATTTTAAATTTCTTAAGTGGCTAATTATGTCAATTTAAGTAAAAGTGTGTTAATTTGTACTCACTACTGTAATTTACATTACAGGTTCATTTGATTAGCCTAGAATAATTTTTTTGAGAACTGACAAGTACTTGTATATTGTACTACTTGTTATACTTATTATCAATACTTTCATTTATTTATCTCGTGCAATTACTATCATTAAAATAACCTCGTAAATTTCTTTCAATCGGATTTTTAACAATTTTCGGAATATTTCAGATCGAGATTTCAATAATATATTGTATTTTAGGAACCAATTCATTTTACCTTTAATACAAACACTTCCAGTCGCTAATTTAAATATGATAAAACATTTACAAAAGGTGGTTCTTATATCCTTGACACTACTTTCAAAAGTATTCGCGATGGAAATGGATATGGATGAAGATTTACCTGAATTTCATCCAATTAACGCTTCATCAAAATCTTTTCATTGGATAATAACATTATTTATTTTACTAATTATACCTTCAATAAGTACATCATTAGCATTTGCAAATAGATTCCATTGGTCATTATTATTACAATATATTGCAACAAGTTATTCAGTTGTTGAATCATTATTTTTAGATTTCCCAGATAATGTTGATAATCATGAGAATAGAACTTCAAAGGGTACAAGTTGGTTTTTGAGTATAGTATTAGGTATAACTATATTTTTAGGGACTTTATTAAATGGTAGTAATTTAGTTATAAATAAATTCTATCCACATTTATCAAAACATTATAATGAATATGGATTAATGGCCAAGATATATAAGATTTTTTCATTATTAATTGTTTTAACTGGTTGGGTAAGAGTTTGTATGGCACCAATTGCATTATTTGGATTTTGTTATGGTAGACATACTGGTCAATGTATAGCTCATGGAATTATGGGATCAGCGTTTATATTATATTCATTTGTATTATCATTAGTTTTGGTTGTACCATGGATTAGGAAACATCAATTACATAGTAGCAACGCTCAAAATTTAAAATCTCAAGAATTTTACGATTCAACTATTATGATGTTATGGGGGATTGTAAATACTTTTACTGAACATAGATGGGGTAAAGAAGGTTGGAATATGGGTGATTATCAACATACTGCAATGGGAATAATATGGTGGGGTGGTGGTTTATTAGGAATGTATTTATCAAGAAATAATCAAAGAACTTTTATACCTGCTTTACTTTTAATATTCACTGGTTATTCAATGAGTCAACATGCACAACATTTACAAATTTCAACAAAAGTTCATTCAGTGTTTGGGATAGCATTAATGAGTGCTGGAGTTACTAGAATTATTGAGATTGTATTTGTTTTAAAAGATAAAGCATGTAGTGAACTGGGGAAAATTTTATCTTTTCAATATTTACCACCATTTTGTTTAACTTTATCGGGGATTTTATTTATGAGTGCTACTGAAGAACAATTACAATTGGTCCATGATTTAGGTTCTGATCATTCTGCTTATATTTTGGTTGTATCAGCAGCTGCATTTTTAATATATTTATGGATTTTGTTGTGCATTTGGTTATATTTAAAATTAGTTGGCTATAACGAAGATGGTGAAATGTATAATCAAGGTTATAATAATATTGGTACAGAAGAATTTGAATTGGGCGATGTGAGTGATGTTGAATTAGAGGTAGATGATGATGATGCTTCGACTCCAACAGAAAGATAAACAATACATAATTAATCTACCTTTCACTTTAGTTGTATTCTAATGTTTCAGATCTCTGTTAATTCATTTTGCAACTTCTCCATTTTTGTATCATATTAAATTTTAAATCTTTTGTGTCATCAGATAACAAAAGAAAAAAAAAAATTAAAATAGAAGAGATCTAATTATTATCTTTATAAAATGTATTACTAATTATTGATTAAATATTGGATAAATGATTTTAATACTAAACTAACTACAACAATAATTATGAGTGCAATATTATCAGCAGATGATTTAAATGATTTTATATCACCTGGTGTAGCATGTATAAAACCAGTTCAAGAACCACAACAAACTTCAGATCATAATGAAAATGGTGAAGTTGAAATTCAAATTGATTCAAAAGGTAATCCTTTAGAGATTTCAAAAATTGATGGCAAACAAAATAATTTATCACCAGCTCAAATATCATTAGCTGATTGTCTTGCATGTTCGGGGTGTATAACATCGGCGGAAGAAGTATTAGTTGCACAACATTCTCATCAAGAACTAATAAAAGCTTTAAAATCAAATAAAGATAAAATATTCGTTGCAAGTATATCACAACAACTGAGGGCTTCATTAGCTACAGCATATGAATTATCAGTTGAAGAAATAGATAAGTTATTAATAAATTTATTCGTCAATCAAATGGGATTCAAATATGTGGTGGGGACTTCATTAGGTAGAAAATTATCATTAATAAATGAATCAAAAAATATTATAAATCAAAAACAACAAGGTTTGAAAAATCCTATACTATCTTCCATTTGTCCTGGTTGGGTACTATATGCAGAAAAGACACATCCATATGTATTACCAATGATATCAACAGTCAAATCATCACAACAAATTACTGGTTGTTTATTAAAATCATTAACTGCATATGACTTTGGAGTTTCCACATCCGAAGTTTATCATTTATCAATAATGCCATGTTTTGATAAAAAACTAGAGAGTGCAAGACCTGAAATATTTGGTGATACAACACCTGATGTTGATTGTGTTTTAACAGCAAAAGAATTAGTTACTTTACTAGAAGAAGAACCAAACTACAAATTGATACACAAATTATCACCACCAATAATGAAACAAAGTATAGATGATGTATATAGATCAGTTGCTCCCAAAAATTGGCCATTTGTTTCGTATTCTTGGTCAAATGATCCTGGATCATCTTCAGGTGGGTATGCTTTTAATTATTTAAGAATTTTTCAAGATGATTTGATACTAAAAGGTTATAATGAATCAGATTTTACAATGAAAATAATTCAAGGTAAAAATTCAGATATTTATGAAATGAGATTAATGTATAATAATGAAAAATTAGCTAGTGCAGCTATAGTAAATGGATTTAGAAATATTCAAAATTTAGTAAGAAAATTAAAACCAAATGGTAAAACTACAACAAAAGTTAATCCTTTAGTAGCTAGAAGAAGGGCCAGAGTCAAAGATCAATCACCAATAGTAACAACGTCAACAGAAGAATTAGCAGATGCATCAAAAGTAGATTATGTAGAAATAATGGCATGTCCAAGTGGTTGTATAAATGGAGGTGGTCAAATAGCACCACCACAAGGATCATTAGAAAAAGATTGGATAAATGAACTGTTAATGAAATATAATACTGTACCAATGTTTGATTTATCATTACATCCAAAAGATATTGAGAAATTTATTGAATGGAGTCTTGACTTTGAGAAAGAATTTAATATAAGTAATGATAGATTATTTAAAACATATTTTAATGAAGTTGAAAAACCAACTGATCCAACAGCTATATTAGTTGGATCAAAATGGTAAATATATAATATATTTATAGAGATGAAATGAAGTTATAGACAGAATGATTTAACTAATTCTTGTATTACTCTGGTATATATTTGTATGCTACCAAATGAGAAAAAGCTACGTTTATATGCAGTACACTACACTATATAAAATTTAAACCAATAAAAAATAGATTTTTTAATCTTACACATACATTATAAAAAAAATTTATATATTATATAGAAACTAGTTGTATCAATCAAGTAATTCATAAACACTTACAACCAATATCATCATCATCAAAATATTGATCAAGTTCATCATCATTTTACAAAACATCTCATTAATAGATAGAATCCAAAGTTATTCCTTCAATCATCAACCTATCGGATCAGAATTACAATAATTTAACTACAGTTTATTTTCATTTTCATTCATTTAATCAATTCAATAATTTATTTATTCATTAAATCATAAAAAATATACTTAATTAATCAATTTATATATATTCAATTCACAATGTTCAGACCGTTTATTAGTACATCATCATCAATACTTAAATCCACAACTACAAAAACTTCACCAATAATATCATCTACAACAAATAATATTCGTTTAATATCAACTACCCCTAAATTATTTAAACCTGCATTAGCAGCAGAAACAACTGATTATTTAACCACTGGTGGATCAACACAATCAGCTTGGCCAAAAGGTTTTAGACAACCAAAACCAAAAACTTGGGAAGAAAGTCATGAATCAGCATTAAGTAAAGCAACAAAATATTTTTTTTTAAGTGAAATTGCTCGTGGTATGTACATTTGTTTAGAAATGTATTTTAGAAGTCCTTATACTATATATTATCCATTTGAAAAAGGTCCAATTAGTCCAAGATTTAGAGGTGAACATGCTTTAAGAAGATATCCAAGTGGTGAAGAAAGATGTATTGCATGTAAATTATGTGAAGCTATATGTCCTGCTCAAGCTATTACAATTGAAGCAGAAGAAAGAGCTGATGGATCAAGAAGAACTTATAAATATGATATTGATATGACAAAATGTATTTATTGTGGTTATTGTCAAGAAAGTTGTCCAGTTGATGCAATTGTTGAAAGTCCAAATGTTGAATATTCTACAGCAACAAGAGAAGAATTATTATACAATAAGGAAAAATTATTAGAAAATGGTGATAAATGGGAACAAGAATTACAATATTGTATTGATGCTGATGCTCCATATCGTTAAAGATAATAATTTGCGAGATATTTGTATAGACAATTATATTTAATGAAAACGCCATAAAAGAAGGATTAATTAGTTGTAGGTTTAAACCTCTAGTCCAGGTAAAACTATGTGATAACATGAAACAAATTCGTATACTTTAAAATAGAGCGTGAAAAATTATTATACGATCGCGTAAATTTATATATTTACTATAAATATTCTATATTTTCAAATAATCAGCTACAAAATACAATTCATATTCAACTACAATGTCATTGATTAAAAAATCGACCAAAATCGTTATTACTGGGACCTCATCAAATTTAGGTTTCAACATAGCAGTTCGTTTATTAGAGCAATTACCAAATGATAAAGAAATAACATTAATTGTGACATCAAGAACATTACCAAAAGTCAAAGAATCGATAAATGATATTAAAAAATATATAATTGAAAAGATACCTTTAAAATTAAAATTAATTGAATTTGATTATTTGTTGGTGGATTTTACTGATATGATATCTATCTTATCTGCATATTACGAATTGAACAAAAGATACAAGCATATTGATTATTTATTTATTAATGCAGCACAAGGAGTTTATGGAGGTATAGATTGGAAACAAGCCACTATTGAAGTATTATCTAATCCTATTGAAGCAGTTACAAACCCCACGTACAAGTTACAAAGAACTGGAGTACAATCAAATGATAATTTAGGTTTGGTTTTCCAAGCTAATGTATTTGGTCCTTATTACTTTATACATAAAATTAAACATTTGTTACAAAATGGTGGGAAAATTATATGGATTGGTTCATTAATGTCAGATCCTAAATATCTTTCGTTTAATGATTTACAATTGTTAAGATCTCCAGAAAGTTATGAAGGTTCGAAAAGATTAGTTGATTTATTACATTTTGGAACTTATAAAACTTTAGAAAATCAATATGGAATTTATCAATATTTAGTACATCCTGGGATATTTATAAGTTTTTCATTCTTCCAATTTTTGAACATTTTCACTTACTATGGAATGTTGAGTTTATTTTATATTGCAAGATTCTTGGGTTCACCATATCATAATATTTCTGGTTATATAGCTGCTAATGCACCAATTCAAGCAGCAATGGGGAATGTGAAACAATCATCAAAAGCTGGATCGGCATGTGATAGATCAGGTAAAGAATATCTAAAATATGAAGAAGTTGATACTACAGGTTCAGAAGATGTAGTGAAATATTTTAATGATTTGGTGGAAGAATGGGATTATAAATTAAAGGATCAAATAGTAAATACTCGAGTACCTAACTAATACACTTTTCAATGATAAATTGATTGTTCTAAACATTTACAACCACAACCACTTGCACATTCTTGATTCTTTTCTGACCACCATTCACTAGCACATTCTGTATGTAAAATATGTTCACAATTACCACATAATGTAAAATTTTTAGTTGCTGCTAAGTTACATAAAATACAATATTTGATAAGTTGTCTTTTATTTGTATTCCAAGCATTTGGATATTTAACAACAACTGATGATACAGTATTGATGAAAATTTGATTCGGAGTCTGTCTATTTCTTTTTCTGAGTCCGATCCTACATTCATGTGTTGTGAATGATGAATCATTTCCTTGAGGATTATCATCATAATTGAATTTTAATATTTCAAGTCTTGTCATTGGTAATCCCCAATCATATAATGTTTCAGCATATAGCAGTCTATATAATTTCATTTTCTCATCACTTAAAAAATTAGGTAAGTCATTTGGTAATGACTCTTCAAATAAATCCAACTCTTCTTCATTTTGTAAGTCAATAGTAACAATTGGAGGTGGATCTATTCTCCATTTTGGTCCTATTGATTTTCTAGGAATTTTAGGTTTTTCTGCAATTCCCTTTATTGCTCTTTTTGGTGTTGGTATTTTAATTTCATTTTCAAATAATGAATTTTGAGATCCATTTTTTGCAGCTATGGAATGTAAAGAAGGACCGAATTTTCTTGAATAACCATATTTATCTGGTGAATCTGTTCTTAAACTTATATTATCAGCAGAAGAAGTCAAAGAATGAGCGTAACTATTTGTGAGTCTTGAATCTTTTCTTCTACCAGACAGTTGTTGACTATGATCACCATATGTAAATTCGGATTTTTGATCCAACATCGTACTTCCACGACTTATTATTGATTGTCCATCATTGTGATTTTGTGCAAAATTTAGCAATTCAGATGATCTTGTTTGTTTTAACATATGTGGACTTCTGTATAAAATACAAGACATCATTGCTAACATTTGAGTATTTTGATTTTTTATATAGTATTGAAAAATTTCTTGTATTAACCATGTATAGCCAAATGGATGTGAACCCCATATTGATAAATATTTATCTTTAAATTGGTCATTTCCAATAGGTGGTTGTAGTGTAGTGCTGCCAGCAGCACTTTGATTTAATAAGATTTCTAAAATTTTCCAAACTTCTCCAACTTCTTTTAGGCCATATTTTGATGCAACTCTTGAATTATGAGCAGCTAAATTTTCTGGAGTATCTCCAACAACTTTATACTCTTTTGCTAATTCTAATCTATTAGGTAATAAATGACTAAAATCAAAAATTCCAACTATGTTTTTATTTTTCCCATTTGATTTCTTCTTCTCTCCCTTCAAGGAAGATTTATAATTTGATAATGACTCTCCATGACTGGTTAATTTTTTCAAAGATGATTTGTGACTGCCATCATTGTTAATAAATCTACTTCCTAAACCGAAATTTGATCGAAGCAATCCAGGCATTCTATTTCTAGCTGATGCATCATGTTTTAGTAGTTCTTCAAGATCCTCTTCGAAATCTTCATCAGAAGATGATTCATCTCCTTCCTTTTCATCAGAATCTTCATTAGATTCGTTGGAATCCGAGTGTTCCAGTTCTGAGTCTGATGAAATAGTTGATTGATGATGATGATTATGATGTTGATGTGTTTTGACACTGAACCCGTTATCAGTAAATTTTAGTATATTAAACTTTTGAGATTCATTGCTGTCTTTCTCACTTCCCATATTAGTTTTAGGAATAAAAAAGCATACCAATTGACCAGTTGGACTCCACATTGCACCACAACCTTTAGGTATTGGTGTTGAATCAAAATTAGGTGGCTTTTGATCAATATTACCAGGAGTTTCAATTAACTCTTGACCAGTTGCATTAGCATCTACCCCCAAATTAGTAACAGCTGGGAAAAGATCTCCATATTCTGGATCATTATCTTCTCCCGAAGAATAACCATTAAAATCAGGCTGTTGACTAATCAAATCATCTACCCAACCTTCATTTCCAACTTCAGGTAAATAAGAATCTTCTTCAGCGCTATCTCTTCTATGTTCCATCATTAATTCATCATCTAATTCAATTTTTTCACCCAACAAAAATCTCAAGCAAGGTTCCAAACAGAATCTTTGATACTTGTTTGTGTAAAAATTTGCAATACCACTTATAGTTTTTTCCATTGAAGTTTTCATTTCATAGGTTAATTCATGAGTCTCTTCAATTTCAAACTTGATTTGATTTTGTTTCAGTAATTTTTGAATTTTTTTGTTGGATTTACCTTTTGCGAATTCAATTTCTTCAAGATATGGATAAGATTTTGGAAAATCTATTGAAAGACGTATGAAAACTAATTTTTGCTCAATTGGTTCATCCAATACTTCATCGATATTTGCATTCTTTATGCTTTTATCTGAAAAACTTTTTTTATCGAATTCTTTACCATCTTCACTCAAAACACTTTTATCTTTCGTTGAGTTTACAGTTTCCAAATGACTTGCTTCAATTGAGTCTATGGAGCCTCTCTTTTCTTGTGATTGTTCGGTCGTTACTGTCGGACCCCTCAAACTAATTACTAACTCACCTGTTGATACTGAGATTTTTTCAAATCTAATAAATGGGAATTTATGACCTACGATACTAACTTCTTCACCTAAATTTGATGGACCTTCATCTTCAATAGTAGTGGAACTATCTTTTCTGTCTCCTCTAGCTGCATGTCCAATTCTAACTCCCGATATCCAATCCAAATGATCAAGTTGACTAAATTCATATCCAGACTGTTTCCTTTTCTCAGCAATTTGATATAATGTTATAGCTGATAAAACATCTCCACCATTAGTCTTAGCAACATCATCAATTGTGACTTTTGGCTCACAACAATAAGTTTCATAAGTGTGTAAATCTTCCTCAGTTGGAGTTCTTTCTGCTGAAAAATCTCCATCTTGATCTTCTTTAAATACATTAAAAAAAGTTGGATCATAATTAACCAGTTTAAAAATTTCATCATCACTTGGCCATAATTTCAAATCAACATCTTCATCTGACCAAGTGACTAATTGATAATCTTTCCAATTGTTTTTAGATTCAAAATATTTATATTTCTCATGTTTGGTCCTCCATAAAAAATCTTTGATTGGACCACGATGACCTTTGAACGAGTAAACGAATTCTCCGGAAACACGTTGAGTTTCATTAGTCGCTAAATATTGTTGATAAGCATCTTCATAGTTGACAATATGTATTGAATCTTGTCCATCTCTTAATGGCATAACACCAACTGCTTTATCTGAACCGAAAGGTAATGTACGAGCTCTTGCTATAGGAAAATCAGCTTCTATTACAACACTAGCTTTAAATGTATCATCCATGGAGTTACTAAAATAGTTGAATTCATTTATAGCTTTTTGAGCATTCTCACTTCTCAAATCCCAAAATTTTATAGTATTATCATTTGAACAAGTTATAACATTTTTCAAACCTTGTGTAAAATCAAGACCATTAATTTTACCTTCATGAGCTTTTGAGACTTTGACAAATGGTAATGCTCCTTTTCTTGTATCCCAAACATAGAACAGATTATCATGGGAAGATGCAATCTCATATGGATTTTCATGGTTCCATTTAACTTGGATAGCACCAGCTCTCCAATCTGCCCATTGACCAACTGGTTTTCTCGGAGTTCTCATATCCCAACTTAATGCAAACGTATCAATTGAACAAGTAGCTAAAATTTCTGGATCTGAAGGATGGAAATTAATATCTGAAATTGCTCTCGTATGAGCATGTAATATATTTGCAATTGCATTATTTGAAGGTCGACTCAAATCCCATAATAATGCCTTTTGATTTGAAGTTGATATACACCATGATGGTTTGATTAATGAATGTGGTGACCATTGAACATCTGCCACTTCCCAAGACGTTATATGATGAAGCCATCTTGGAGGAGTAAATGGATCATCCATATCTATGATAAATAATCCTCTTCTACCAGCTAATACTGCATCTCTACCATTAGGGGATAAAGACATGGCACCAATGGCACCATCTACTCTTAACAGCAATGATTTTCCAAAAGTTGTAGATTCATTTGGATTTAGTAGACGGTTGACCATAAATATTTACAATGTATTTTGCAACTGTTACAAATTTATGGAGAAATTAAATAAAAAAATAAAGTGGTTGTAAAAATAGATTTATTCTAGTTCTATATACATATCACCACCAAAATGGATCAAGATACTAATGAGAATAAAGACGTGGAAATGGTGGATGAAGAATTTAATGACGTAGATGATCATATAATAGAAACTCCCGAATCTAATAAATCCCAACCAAAAGATCAACAAAAACAAAATGAACCTATAGACAAACAACAATCAAAAGCTGAAAAATCAAAACAAAGACAACAAACATTATCAGCAGCAGCGGCAGCTAGTGCAGCAGCAGCAGCATCATTAATACCGGATTTGCCTGATCTTACACGTAAAGATAAAACTTTAAAAGAAGTTTTAGATATGATGGATGATGAATTTGCACCAATTATACCAGATGCAGTAACTGATTATTATCTTGCAAAAAATGGATTTGAATCATCAGATATTAAAATTAAAAGACTAATAGCTTTAGCAACTCAAAAATTCATAAGTGATATAGCACAAGATGCTTATGAATATAGTAGAATTCGTAATGCCAGTGCTGTTTATAATTCATCAAATCCTCAAGTTAGAGCAAAACAATTACTTCAAGGTCAACAATATGCAAATCAACAATCTTTGGCTGGGAATAGCAACAACGCGGAAAGTGGAGATCAACAAACTTCACAACAAACACATTCATCTGCTGGTAATCAACAAGGTAAAATAGTTTTAACAATGGAAGATCTTAGTAATGCATTAAGTGAATATGGTATGAATGCTTCAAGACCAGATTTCTACAGGTAGAAAAAAAACTAAAGTTGTGTAGGTAATAATGTATAATTAATTATTAATCATTAACTTCTCTACATACCCATTCCTCCACCGAATTGTTGCATCATTCTTTGCATCATTTGAGGATCTTTCATCATTTGTTGTGCTTGTTGCATCATTTGCGGATTACTTCTCATCATTTGTTGAGCTTGTTGCATCATAGCAGGATTATTCATCATTCCAGCTAATCCACCAGCTCCTCCAGCTCCTCCAGCACCAGCTCCACCACCTCCACCTAACATACTCATAGCTTGTTGCATAAAATTTGGATTAGATTGAGCTTGTTGCATCATTCTTTGCATTTGTGAACCACCTCCCATTTGTCCTGGTTGACCTTGAGCAGCAATAGCTGATTTTGCCATTGATGACATCATTCTATGTTGTTGTAAAATCATTTCAACCTCTACTGCACTACAACCAGAGCCTCTTGCAACTCTAATGATTCTACTAGGTTCTTTTATAAAAATTCTACCATCACTCTCTAATTCTTTTGTTGTCATTGAATCCATTATAAAAATCATATTTCTTATTTTCTGTGACGTTTCTTCTTCTCCAACTTGTGACATGATATTAGATAAACCGGGTATCATTGATGCAATATTTGTAAGTGGTCCCATTTTCATAAAATTATTCATTTGATTTTGAAAATCTTTTAAAGTAAATTTACCTTCTTTTATATTCTCTATAGTTTGTTTATGACCTTCGTCATTATTTAAATTTAAAGATTGAACATGATCTATAAGTCCTTGTATATCACCAATTCCTAATAATCTTGATATGAATGTTGTTGGTTTGAATACTTCTAAATCTCCAATATGCTCACCAGTACCAATAAATACAATCGGAGTTTTTGTAGCAGCAACCGCTGATATAGCACCACCACCTTTTGCATGACCATCCATTTTTGTCAATATTATAGAACCGAAATTGGAACTTTCTTTGAATGCACGAGCTTGTGATTCAGCTGCTTGACCAATTGATCCATCCATTACCATAATTGTTTGACTTGGTTGAACGGCTTCTCCAATTTGTATCATTTCATTAAATAATTGTTCTTCTTGTCGATGTCTACCTGAAGTATCAACTATGATTATATCGAATTTCTCTTGTTTGAATTTTTGTACACCTTCAAATGCTATTTTAACTGGATCTGGTTCTAAGTAGGATCCATAATATGGAATGTTTGCTTTAATTGCATTTTGCTTCAATTGATCAAAAGCACCAGCTCTGAAAGTATCAGCACACACTAAACCCACTTTAAAACCTCTCTTTTTGTAATAGACTGCCAATTTTGTACATGAAGTTGTCTTACCCGCACCTTGTAAACCAACAAACATTATAACATGACTTGATTCTTTTGATACTCTAACTTTTTTCCCATTAATTGTTTTGGTAGTTGCTGAAAGCTTTTTTGGTTTTGGTGGTTCAACATGAGAATCAACTAATGCACATAACTCGTCATAAATGATTTTTTGTAATTTTTTCCTTTTGTTTTGAGATGATGATTCTTTGATAACATTTTCTTCTTCAATCTTGTTTCGTATATTGCCTCTTAATTTTGCAACTAATTTGACATTTATATCTGATTCTAATAATGCAGAACATATGTCTTTAATCATTTGTTGAATTTCGTCATCAGTACCTTTCTCCACAGAGGAAAGGGCACCTCGAAGTCTTTCTCCAAGATCTGCTAAAACCATTATATAGTGATAAGTTGTTGGAGATTCAATTGTTAAAGCCAAAAAGAAAAAAAAATTAATCTGAAAATCAAATTAGCGATAAATTCATATTTTGGTCGTGTAAATCAATTGACACTATCATCAACTATTATGACTGAAGAACAACCAGTCAACAATGCAGCTAAAGATTTAAGTACAAATGGTAACAATATTTTCAATGATAAGAAACTAGGGACAGACGAAGTGGAAAAAAACAAGTCAAAAGTAAATTTTACAAATGGTGGAGTTGAAAATTATAAATTTTATCCAGATCAACCAGAAAATCATCGTCATAAATATAGATGGGCAATGAAAGAACCTTCAAAATTTTATGATCCTTGTGAAGAAAGTAGAATGGCATCAATGGATTGTTTGTATAGAAATCAAGATGATAAATATGTTTGTCAAGACTTTTTTGATGCTTATAGAGAATGTAGGAAAGATTTCTTTAGAAAGAAAAAAGCTGATAAACTAGAAGGTAAAAAAGGTTGGGGTTGGTGAATCCTCGGGAGTCGTTAGTTAACAATTTGTTCTGTAACATTATAAGATATATATCTCTTTTAACTTTGTACATAGTAATGAATAATCATTAAATTTTTAAAAATAAATTTAAAGCACAACTGAAAACCAATTTGCTTGAACTATAAGAGCCGATCTTACAAATAAAAATAAAGTATAACGATACCACATACATAAAGATATATTTGAACTTGAGATGTCATTGAATCTAATTAGCAAATTCAATAAAATTTCTCAATAGCAATTAGATGAGGATGCTGCAACTGCTATAAATCCAAAATCGGTTGCGTTCAGTATAATTTTGGTACACTCGTAACTCACCGAGTGACTGACTCAACTGTATTAACACTACCGCAACCTATCAACTATGAAATTGAATCATTCGTAATGTCGCACTTGAACAAAATCATCTTTCAGACAATGCCTCAAAGAATTTAAAACTTTATCTGCAAATAATGTGTACCAACAACTAACAAAGTGAAACTTCAAGTTCAATTTGAAAAACTTTAAAAGAAGCCGGCAAATTTTCAAGGCATGCACATTCGTGTTTAGTCTTGGACTAAATTTGAAATTAAGTCCCACCACACTTTCCGTGCAGACAAAATTTGGGGAATAATTCTATTTAATACTTTTTTAATTACCCTGGTGCCTAAATTGGAAAATGATTAGTCTCATTTGCCAAACGTCAAGCCAAAATCCTTTTTCCGACACATAAAATTCAAGGCTGCAATAATGACGAAACCACTTACTGGTCAGCTGGGTCGTCATAATAACGATGGAGACATGAGTTAATCAAAATAATGCCAAATCCTATAAAATTTTACAATTCGACAATACATTTGTATAATTTCAAAGAATTCTATGATATTCGTTTACATAAACGAATACTTATTGATGAAAAATCATGAAATAGTCTAAATATGAAGTTAGCGTGTTGTCTTAAAATTCATTCGAATAATTAGATCACTCCTTGTCCGTGAATTCATATAACGCTTGGTTATTGATACCAAGTATAAAATACATTGATAATCTTTTGACACTTTGAATCTAAATAATTAACTCTTAATAACATACTTAACTTACTTACTTGAATAAAGCACAGAAGATTGAGCGAAACAAATTCCAAAGGATTCAGCAGAAGTATTTATTGATTGATAATTGAAAAAAAGAAAAATCAACAATTAAAGATTATGTAAATTAAAATAGTAATATACAGGAACGAATAACTAAAATACATTCGCAACAAGTTGACAGGAAATTATTGATTCATAAATTAAAAATTGCGAATGAACAACTAAGATTTAATCAGAAAGATTGAGAATAGTTATTTAACCAGGTTTTTAGCCTTTAATAGTAAGGTTTATTGATTTTTAAAATTATGCCTTATTTTGTAGTTTAGTTTTAAAAGCTTTGAATACAATTTATCAAATAATTGAAATGGTTGCGAAATCAGATCATAACCTCAAAGAAATCAACCTACAACGTAACTTTTTGAATACAATCATACACCATACATAAATTTAGACCCATTTTGGGCAATCGAAAATTGGAGGTTACCTAAAAACATAACACAATTAAGGAATAAGTGAATGACCACATATATCAAGCATTCACTGTGCTACATGAAGAACAAAACCAAAAACTTATCTCTCATTAATTTCGTCAATTTTTTCACAGTGAAAATCTCCCATTAATTTGCTATCCCTATTGATTGTTCCCAAAAAAGGACAATTCGAGTAGTATTCGATTCCATTAAAGATAAAAATAATCAACTCGAGAGTACATTTTAATCCAAAAATCTTCAGCTAGTAACTATCAAAGTAGATAAATATTCAAATCTAGAATTTGAATAACTCTAAAAGAAACCGCTAGTATTTGGAATAAAGCAGCATTAACACATTGCAAAAATATTTAAAACACAATGTCGATAAGAGCTTTCAAAAAACAACTCAAAGGTGAAAGCACTCACAAAATAAAAGTACCTTTTATCAGGACAAGTGGATGTTTATTCTGTGTTCTCAGATTTCAAACCACACAAATTTAGTGTCTTCTACTGCAGATTGAGTGCATGCATTCAAAATACCTCATAATAATTAAAAAGTCCAATCCAATTTGCATAAATCATAACTTATTAAAATCCTTAAAAATAATACAATTCAACCAGATTTGTATAATTTTTTGAAAATCCCAAATAATCTATAGCAAACGGAATTTTGATCCAAATTTACTTCATGAAACTTGTTGATAAGTTAGTATTTATTCTCTAATGTGTACATGAAATTTATTAAAAGTTAAACTTTCAAACGGCTTTAACGAAAGTATATAATATATTCAGTAGATTGAGTAACTATGATAACATACCGACGATTTTCAGTCCATTTAACATAAAAGCAAATTGATCAAATTGACAGGACAGGAACCATTCTTAGATTTAGTTTCCACGATTACATTGATTATGTGAACAATTCTTAATAATTGAGTGTTATTTTTTTTTTTAAGAGAAACAAAATATTTTGATGATTGAATAAATATAAAGTTTTTACATGCAGGAAACTACCGTTCCCCTCTTTTATAATAAATTTTAGGAATTTGTAAACATTGAGTTTAATAGAGACGTCAAATGACTAAAGGTGTATGTATCGGCATAATAATTGAAATGAAAAACGCATTGAGCTCATACTGTTGTGTAGATTGTTTGTTGGTTTTTTTATTTGGCAAAATTTGCAGCAAATTACAACATATGTCGCTTTAGTTTATTATTTCAAACGCTGTATGTCAAATGAGCAACCCCTGTATTATGTAAAAAACTCCAATTATAAGATATCTAGAGACTTTTAGTAATATATTAACCCCTTCTTCCTTCAATCTCTCTTCAGTCCAAGAATATCGTTATATGCAATTTTTTGATGAAATTTTTAAAATTCCGTGGTATAAAAATATGCTACAAAATGTGGCAATGTTAGCGCACACTGGTTTAAGGTGGCAAGAATAAGCACAATAAACAGACGTGTTTCAACAATAACATCGTATTTGCTTCCTATGAGTAACTACTGTTGTAGTTTTAGACCAGCAATTTCTTTTGATTAGTTGCAAAATTTAAGCGAACTGCGATATTATTTAATTGTCGCGAGATAAATTTTAGTATGTATCAGATTCATCATATTCATTATACCTATATATTACCACTTATATTTTACGTCTTTTTAACTCTTCTTTTTGTTGCAAGGTTTCATCACTCAAATAACCATGTCTCAAGTTTGGTAAAAGAGATTTGAATTGGACTTTTGACTACTATTTCAGAATCATCTATATTATTGCATCACCATCAACTATCGTCATCATATTCAACCGTCTTTAAATCTACAACATTCAATCAAAAGTATATGGCATGAGTATCACCAATATTTTAAAATTACCAATAGAAATAATACAAAGAATCATTGATTTAATTGATGATAGAGATACGTTATTAGGATTAGCAAATCTCCTTGGTTCTAGAGATAAAATTTATAAAAGATTATTTCCAAAATTAACTATTTTCCATAAGCAACCAGCTACTGTTCATGGTAATTTCATATCATTTTACCCGATATCAAAATTTTTAAATTTTTTGGATGACTATAATAATTATGTTCCAAATGAAATTTTAACAAACGTGGATACGTTATATGAAATGTTTGACATTAAACATATAAATTTTGAAAATACAAAAATCAATTTAATTATTCATCCTCATCATACAATTGAAGATTTACGATTTTCATTTATAAATTTTAAAATAATTTCAATAATATTAAAGCCTTTTTTTGATTATCAATTAACTGGGAAATTGTATGATACGAGTAAAGTGTATTTTGCTCAATTGGATGATGAAGAATTTCAAAGTCTCACTTTTCCAAACACTTTGGAGAAGTTCGAAATATTTTACAAAAATAAGTTTTTAAAAAATTTACCACATTCATTACGTGAATTAAATTTGAGAAATATCGATTATTTAAATTCAACTAAATTTCCATTATCATTAGAATCGTTGTGTTTAATTAATTGTAAGATAAGTGGGGTAATATTGGATTTGAGTTATCTTTCTCAATTAAAGAAGTTTAAATCAGATGGCAGAGTACGAATTAATAATGATTTTTCGTCAGGAGAATTGAAACTACCATCTTCGATAGAATCAATTTGTTTGAGTTCTTCATATATATGGTGTTTGAATGATTTGAGTGATTATGAAAATTTGAAAATTCTTAAACTCATGCGTTGCAAAAATTCAATTTTGTTGTTTAATATGACGTTGCCTCCTCATCTAGAAAATTTACAGATTGAATTTATTTGTGAGGAATCAGTTAATCTTGATAATCTGGATTATGGTGAGACAACGAATTTAAATAATGTTACTTTAATTAACCAACCGGAAGCAGGCTCATTATATGAGATTAATGGTGAAAATGTTTTTCCTTCAACTTTGAAAGTATTGAAATTGACTGATATGGATAGTATTTTTCTTGACTTCCAGTTGAACTTACCTAATTTGGAAGAACTTGAATTTGCCTTTTCTCCATTTACTAATCCACATAGTTTGATAAATGAAAACTTAGTTAATTTGAAAAAATTGACTGTCACTTCTTTTGGTTCAACTATGGAATCTGTCAAATTTCCTAGAAATTTAGAATACTTGAATCTTCGAAATAATTGCATAACTTCATTAATAGAATTCAATTTAAATAATTTGAATAAACTCAAACATTTGATTGTTAGGGAAAATCAAATAACTAGCATTACTGAACAGATAGCTCCAAATTTGAAAATACTTGATATTTCAGATAATCCAATACAAAAATTATGCCATCAAGAAAACTTAAAACAATTAGTTGTAACTACTTCGAAAATGGATGATATTTGTATCAATAATTTAGAAACTTTTGAATTAGAATTTGAAGATGATGACCATGATTCAATTGAATCTGACTCAGAAGTAGAATGTGAAGAGTATGTATCATCCATATATAATTATAATTTTCAATCATGTTTCTACCTAAAAGAATTAATATTACGTCTCAATATTGGTAGTATATCAAATTTGACATTTCCTGACACACTTGAAATTCTTGATGTTACTTGTATGTTTGATAATGATGACTTTCAAAATCTTTATAATATATCAAATTGTCACAATTTAAAAACTTTTAAATTAAAAAGTTGTACTATAAAAAGTTTTAGTTTTAATGATTTACCAAAAAAATTAGAAAATTTTGCAATTATTGATTCTAGATTAAAAACAATTCATGGTTCTTTGAAAAATTCAAAAAATTTAAAAATACTTAATTTAAAATCAAATAAAATTGATAATGATGGGCTTGAATATTGTTATTTCTCATCGCCAAAACTAGAACTTATTGATTTAGATGGGAATTATATTGATAATATTGGTTGCATTAGAATTAGAAGTTGTCCAAGATTAATTGAATTAAATTTAGTAATGAATTCAGAGGTTGATTTGTATATTACTGATGAAGATGTAGCAAAATTGAAATCAAATTGTCCAAGATTAAGTATAATTAGAACTTTAGTTGAAGAATGATGTATATCTTCGATACTGTTTGTTAATCTGAAAAGATTGCTATAGATTGTGAAACTAGAATTGAAAGCTAGAATGAGTGAGGTCATATTCTTTAGTCATGAGATCTACTTGATTGCAAATCTGACTTGACTTTATCTTGTGCATGCCTAACTTGAAGTTTCAATTTACATTGATGAAATTTGGTGACTAGGTTGAGTTTAGGTTGAAAATTAATTTTAAATTCTATAATTACTTCCCCTTTTAATTGTAGTTATAAATTGACAGGAATTGCTTTAACGAACGTAACCCCATTAAGTATTATTTCATTGAACAGGAACACCAAAATCGACAACCCTCTCAGTTATTTAAAAGGGAACCATAATCACTATCAATACTCTCTCGATTTAATAAAATATGTATGAACATGTAAGCTGTCAATTCTAAAACTTTAGTATTGTAATAAATGGATTTTGCAACCGTACTTGGTAGCAACAGAATTTTAAATTTTAAATTACCAGCTGAAACTAAAGTGATACACGTTAAATTTCAAAATCAAATACGCCTTCAAAAAGTTTCTTCACTCGAATAATAATGATTCAAGTTTGATGAAGAATAAATGGGTCACTAGGCATTTTCCAAAACCATCAGTGTCTTACCATTAGAGCCCGTTTTCTACCAACTTTAGCTTTAAAGATTCCAATAAAAATTGGCAACATGACTATCACTCATTTTTCCGAATTACCTATAGAAATACTTCAAAGGATCATTGATTTAATTGATGATAGAGATATACTATTGGCATTAGCCACAATTCCAGGTCTTAGAAATATCAGTTATGAAAGATTATTTCCAAAATTAGATATATACAATGACAAACCAAGTTATGTTCAAGGTAAATTCAGTTCATTATATTTCAAATCAAAATTTCTTAATTTCTTAGATGACTATGATAACTATATTCCAAATGAAATATTAGCAAATGTAAATACGTTATACGAATTATATAAATTAAAAAATATAAATTTTCAAAATACAAAAGTTAGATTAATGGTTCATCCTTATCATCTAGTTCAAGATTTAGAATTTTCAGTTAAAAATTTTAAGATAAGTTCAATTATATCAACGCCTGATTTTGTTTATCCAATTACTGGGAAACAGTATAATAGGAATGATTATCCTTTCGCTCAATTAGAAAATGAAGAATTTCTGGAAAATTTTGACATGAAATATGATAACTTTTTTAAAAAAGATATACCACATTCATTACGTGAGTTGACTTTAGACGACATCAATGACTTAAATTCAATTAAATATCCTTTATCTTTGAGATCATTATCTTTAACAAATTGTAAAATAAGTGGAGAAACACTAGATTTAAGTTCTCTTTTTCAATTGAAGGAGTTATATTTAAATGAGATCAATGACTTAAATTCAATTAAATTACCTCTGGCATTAAGATCATTATCTTTAACAGAGTGTAAGATAAGTGGATTAATATTAGATTTAAGTTATCTTTATCAATTGAAGAAGTTAGATTTAGGCGACGTCGAAGACTTAAATTCAATCAAAATACCTTCATCATTAATTTCATTATCTTTATCATTATGTCGAATAAGAGACGTAATTTTAGATTTAAGTTATCTTTATCAATTGAAGAATTTTGATTCAGATGGTATATATCAATATGATGGTCGTTCATTAGAAAATGTGAAACTACCACATTCTTTAGAATCAATTTGTTTAAGATACTTTAATTTACAAAGTTTGAATATCTCAAGTGATTACAAAAACTTGAAAAATTTCGAACTCATAGAATGTGATGGATCAATTTCATTGTCATATACAAAATTGCCTCCTGGTCTAGAAATTTTGCAAATTGAATTTAGTAATGAGGCTACATTTGTGCTTCGCGAAGCAAACTTCTTATATGGCTTAAGTAGTGAAATTCTTTTTCCTTCAACTTTGAAAATTTTAAAATTGACTGGAATGGAAGATATTATAGTGGGGTTGCAATTGAATTCACCTAATTTGGAAGAACTTGAAATTGAAGGAGCTTCGTTGTTCAATCCACAAGGCTTGATAAATGAAAGCTTAATCAATTTGAAAAAATTAACTGTCATTCTTTGTGGTTCAACTATGGAATCTGTCAAATTTCCAAAAAATTTAGAATACTTGAATCTTCAAAATAATCGCATAACTTCATTAATACAATTTAATTTAAATAATTTGAATAAACTTAAACATTTGATTGTTAAGGGTAATGAAATAACTAGCATCACTGAACAAATAGCTCCAAATTTGAAAATACTTGATATATCAGGTAATCCAATAAAACAACTTCATCAACAAGAAAATTTAAAACAATTAATTTTAAATACTTCGAAAATAGATGATATTTTTATCAATAATTTAGAAAGTTTTGAATTAGAAATCAAAGATAAGGATCATGATTACAATTCAATTCCTTATTACGAATTTGATTCATGTTATTATATGAAAAAATTAATATTACGTCTTAAAGTTGGTGATATATCAAATATAAGTTTTCCTGGATCAATTAGAGTTCTTGATATCACTTGTCTTTCTTCAAGTTTGAATAGATGTATGCACATACAAAAAGATCTTTATAATTTATCAAATTGTTATAATTTAAAAAGTTTTAAATTAAAAAGTTGTATTATAGAACATTTTAATTTCAATAATTTACCAACAAGTTTAGAAAATTTTGCAATTATTGATTCTAAATTAAAATCAATAGATGGTTCTTTAAAAAATTTGAAAAATTTAAAAGTACTTGATTTAAAATCAAATAGAATTAATAATGATGGACTTGAAAATTGTTTATTTTCATCTCCAAAAATTGAAATTATTGATTTAAGTGGGAATTTAATTGATAATATTGATTGTATAAGAATCGAAGATTGTCCAAAATTAATTGAATTGAATTTAAAAATGGTATTTTCGATCAAATTATATTTAAATGATGAATATGAAGAAAACTTGAAATCAAATTGTCCTAGATTACATGTAATTGGAGCTTATAAAAAAAAAGATAAACATCTTCATTCTGTTCATGGTAGTGTTTACTAGTTGCAAAAGTTTGCTTAGAATGTGAAACTAGAATTAAAAGTTAGGTTATAGGTGGTGCTATATTCATAGAATTGAATACACAAATATAAATTCAAATTTGAATCATAAGATATATATTGTAGTTCTTTTAGTGAATACACCAGCACAAATAACTCTCATGACATCACTACTCAATTGAAATGAGTGACTGAATTCATTCATTTGAGACCTTTTAGCTGTTAAATACGTAATTAAGTCTTGGTCTATATCTTGATGATATAGTAGCAAAATACTCTCAATATAAAAAAGCCGCGTTTCCTACCGTTTTAAGTAATTATGCTCAGTAGGCAAATTATCTCTCAAATGCAGCATTACAGAAAAAATTTCCGATTTGGCTGTAAGATTTTTTTTTTTCAAAATTAAATTTGCAAAATTTTAATAATCTTCGAGTGGTTAGAAAATACCTTCACGTAATATGATGATTGTTCAACCGTCCTACATTCTATAATGAATTATTAAGTTGTTAAATTATTATTTATTATTAATCTATAAAAGCAATCTCTTCCACTGAGAGATATTAAATTGAAAAAATCCCAAAAATTATATCTATAAATTTAAACCCAGAACCAAAATTTTGTATTGAATAAGTTACATTATTCTCATTATTGTTGATATTATTGTTAACAAATTGTATCAAAATTATTTTCTAGTAGCAAATCCAAAAATTTCACCTAAAAATGAACCTTCAAATTTATTTTCAAATTTATTTGAACCAGCTCTAATTTCTGCCATAATTTTAGCTTCTTTTTCAGCAGCAGTTAATTTAATTGGTTGTACAGCTAACATTGTTGATTATTTAATGTGTGTTTTTCGTTTGAATAGATTGTATCTAATTGATATTGATAATAAGAATTGAGTCTGATTTGAAAATATAAATTTTGGAAATTCAAACTATATTTATATTAAAATTTTCGTGAGTATACAAATGAGTAATTCGGACGTGTGGATTTTTATTATATGTAAAATTTATTATTTTAATAAAATTTTTCCGAAAATTTCTTTTTTAAACCTTAATTTTATTATTTATAATTGTTACAATAATTGATTAAATTTCTATTTAAATCTCTGTTTGATTAATGGAACAACTTTTGTTTTGATTATTGAAGTTCCATTGATCCATTGAGTTATATTAATGTGTCAATTAATCAGTCAACTGATATTTCTATTAAACTTTGAGTGAATTTATTGGCCTTTCAAACTGGGATTAATCACTTGAAATTAAAACAAAATTCTCGAATACACGATAAATCTCTTGAAACTAAAAAAACCCTTCCAAACACGATAAAAGTACTTTTCAATGAATACTAGATCCTTTAAAAAAAGACTATGAAAAATATACGACCAACTTACTTTAGCGATGAATTAGTCATGAGGTTCTTAAATGTTCTCTTGAATTTCACGAGCGTAGTGTTGAAGTTGTATTCTACTTATGCTCGTATAAGTTATTGTAGTTAATAAGAATCTGTAAAATATTTAGACTTTGCACATGAACAATAGAATTAACTGACTGTAAAATTAATAAATCATGTATTAAATTATTCAACAACTTGCAATAACTTGTGATTATAAAATTCACATAATGCTTTACACCAAATCAATTTTATTATCATTAATTTTTTTGATACTCATAATCAGTAAAGAAAATACTATAACTCAACAATTTGTGGATTTAATGTCACCAAAAACAAAACCTCAAAAAATTTTGTTAAGCATATCAGCTGTAGCTTCCCAGTATGATAATGTTCTCAATATTTATGATCAATGTTGGACTAATGCATTGAGTAGAGATTGTATAAACATAGTTCTGACGCTGGTATCATTTTGGGGGTTTTCATTAATAGCATTAAATTATTTCAGTGCTCAATTTACTAATATAAAACCTTCCATTAAAAAAGTTGACAAGAAACGAAAAAATTTCGTTCAATTTGGTAATGCTAAAGCTATATCATTAAAGGATGGAATAGAAAATGATAATGAGATTAAGTTTATTATCGATGAGGTTTCTGGTATAGGATATACTCCAAGGTTTAAGGAAGACTACAAATTGGGCAAAGTGGGATTGTTATTATTAGGAATGGATGAAGAACAATTTTTGAAACCATTGACTTTGATTGAAGCTCATAATAATGGAAGTTGGTTAATACTGCAAATGAAAGTTGTAGATAAAAGTGATATATTATATACCACCATATCTTCAAATGGTATTTTCAAGTGGTACATCAAATCTGAAACGAATTCAATTGGATTTGATTCTCAGAATGGTTTCAGTATGAGAAGTGATTCACTAAAAGATCAATCATATTTTGAAGATAATACAATTCTACTCAATAATTTTACTGGTATAATATAAAAATAAAAAATATGGTAGTAAAGAGAGGTGATTTTATTTTGAGAGGTTTATAATTTTTTTACCTTCAAATAAAATAATTTATTTTGAAGTTCCATTCATACTTACAATTTATTTTTCAAATTATAATCGTGTGAGAATAATATCTCAAAATGTAACAATCTGATTTGAAGTTTATAATTAGTTTCTATTTAATTCTATTAAACATAAATTGAGTGAATATTTGAAATAACCATTTTGTTATACAATTGAATAGCCAATAATTACCTAACAAAAGAGGGGTAAGAAAATTTTTCTTTTTCTTTTTCAATTCAGTAATAAAATGGAAATAAAACAAAAAGATTAAAATCGTAAAATTATTCGTTGATTAAAGAGTTACAAAATAAAACAGTTACAAAAAAACTAAAAATAGAAATATTATTTATTGAATTTAAAAAAATGGCTAAGGATATAATAATACAAAATTTACTTCCTTTGAGCCATTTTTTTTGTATGTGTCTGAGCTACCATATAGTGGTGGAAGTTTCAAGATTTTTATACATCTACGGAAGAAATATATAATTTAATTGCTGCAAATTATTGTTTAAAAAATAATGGCCAAACGGTTAGAGAAAATTTAACAAGTTAATAGGGCAAAAATTACGAACTATTCATAGTCATATATTGTCATAATTTTACATTAGTCACTCTAAAAGTTCAATCATCCACTTCTAATAAACCCCTACATCTAACTTTTTCATTAAACCAATAATTTAAACCATCTATAGGATTAATAATTAAATTTTTCTTGCACTGAAATAAACATTCGTTTATACTAATATACTTTAAGTTTGAGTTTAATTTTAAATAAAATAAAGCAACATGTTGAACTTTAAACCAATCATCGAAAATAGTAGGATGAACCATACCTAAACCTAAATTTGGTGCTCCACCTGCTTTTGAACCAATAATATCTAGATATTCTAGTTGAAGTTGTGAAGTAATAAGGTTAATCAACCCTTGAATATTTGAACTATTGTTTATTCTTAATGTTTTTAAATTTAAATTTGAAATCTGATTATAAAATTCTATTGATAAATCTTCACACAGTAAATCATCTATGGGATCATATACTTCTAATGATAACTTATCAAGGTTTATTAAACAACTTATTGAATTTGATAAATTAAACTGTAGATATGTTGATAAATCTAATGATCTTATATGGGTATTTATATTTGATAATTCAATTAAGAAATTTGGCAATGTATTTTTTACTTCGAAAATTTCTAAAGCTAAGTGTACAATATTTGTTAAATATGGTAAAATTTTTAGCAAAAATGAATTGTTTGATAAATACGTTAGTGACTGATTTGAATTGTTATTAATTTCTTCTATACCTCGTAATTGTAGAATTTTTAAATTTTTCAAATTTACTGAGTTAATTAATAGATCTGCATCATCATTGGAAACAATCATATCATTTAATGAAAGTGATGTTAGATTCTCCAAATACTTTAATTTACTCTTTATAAACATACTTTTGAAAAAATGATTATTATGATTTGTTTGTTCATCAAAATTATCTCCAAAAATGAAATCATTAGGATTACATCGGGCTGATAAGCTTAAATTTTGCAAACGATTACAAGCTTCAACTGGATTATTTTCATTAATTAATAAATTATTTATAATTTTGATTATGTTAGATGCATTTTCAAAATGTTTTATTTGAAAATTAGTAAGGTTTGGAAAATAATACTTCTCGTAGTTGAAATCCTCCAACCAATTATCTTGATCATTACTCAAGTAATCTATAAATCTTATGTTTAAAATTAGGGTATTAATTAATTCTGTGTTTGGTAGATTGTATAAGAACTCCAATCTGAAGTTATAGTTTATCCAAATTAACAGATTCAAATAGTACAATTTACTGAAAAATTTAATGAGCTCCAAATTGAATTTGTCATCATAGAGACTTATTGAATCTGGTAAAGATAAACATTTAAATTTATAAATTTTGATTAAGTGGGAACTCGATTCAATTTTATTGTTGTAAGTTTTCAAAAACTTCTTTAGGTTGAACGAGCTATTAATATAGGTTATTCCATTTGTTTTATACTCATTGTTGTTAAAAATATTAAAATTTGAATCTATTACAATATATTGATATAGTATTGGTAGACCTAGGTTATATAATTTTGAACATGTCCTTATTAAATTTAGTATATCAAACTGTGATAAATTGTTTATTATAGTTGATATTATTTCAACTGGCAAGTCATTAAGCTTGAAAGGTGTCGTCGTTGATTCTCTGTTTGTATGTTGTGGATTTAGTTGTTTATTATTTTCAATTAAATTTGGTTGCAATGTATTTGAAATTGATAATTGTCTTTGATGTTGATTCAACGGTGACTTGCTATAACCAATTGGCCTATTTATTATATACTCAAACTTGTTGGATGTAACGTCATTTGTCATATTAAATCCATTTGAATATAGATCTTAAACTCAAGTAGTACTGATTGAACAAATAAAAAGAGGTTCTAGAAATGATTCTATAGATTTTTGAATCTCATTTGGTAGAACTGTTATTTGATAGTATACAATTTTTATTTATGGGGTAATTGTGCTGGAGTACTACGAGAAATACTAGAGCAATATTGAAATGGAAAATACAGTACAACAGCAGAGGAAGATTGTCAAATGATACTAAAACGAAGATTCTTTCATTAGGTGAGATTTTGTCTGGGGAATATTGCTTATATAAAACACTTTTTTTCCATTGTCTACTGGTATTAATTACCTTCATAGTTAAAAAATAAAATAACAAAAGATAAATTAAAAAATATTTGATAATAATAATTTACGAAAAAATATTAGTTGATTTATTATAATTTATGATTGAAATACCAACAATAATTCTAACTGATTTTATATATCACTAATAATTGATAGCTCAACAAATCTAATCAATCTCATCTACTACAATTTGCCATGACTTCAGTTGAAGATGATGAGAAAAGGTTAGCTGAAGAACTTGCTAATCTATCAACTAGATTAATGACTGAAGTAAATAAACAAGTTGAACAAGAAGAGACTATTTTGAATTTACGTAAAACTATCAATAGTCTAAAAGAAGCAAATAAAGTATTGATATCAAGTGATGAAAACTACAAGCTAATATTACCAAAATATCTTAAATTACAAGATGAATTCAAGCAAACAAATATCAAAAAAGAAGTTGCAGAGTCAGAAAATAAAAAATTATCAGCAGAAGTTGAAGATTTAACAGCATCATTATTTGATGAAGCAAATACTATGGTTTCTAATGCTTCAAGGGAAACTCATAATTTCAAAGTTAAAAATAAAAAATTGTATGAAGAAATTGATGAAAAAAATATCATAATAAGTAATTTACAAGATCAATTACAAGATTTGAAACAAATGTTTATTAAAATTGAAGATCAAGAAAGATTAAAATTATACACAAGCAATCTCAATACACCGGTTCTAGAACAAGAAAATCAGTTTGAACAAATAAATTTGGAGGAGGACGAGACAACAAAAGATCAAAAGAATGAAACTATTGCAAATAATGAACCACCATCAACAACAACTTCAAATAGTAACAATATAGTAGCAGACTATGAAGATTTACAAATAAAAGAATTAACAAATAACCTAATCACATCACACATTTCATCAATAAGATTTGATTTAAACAACTATAATAAGGACTTTAAAGGTTTCGTATATACATTAATAAAACCAGATTTTATATTAGATCAAACTCACCTAAAAACTTTAAATTTTTATAAGCAAATATGGACTAATGAAATTGAAAATTTAATCGAATTCATACCAAATTTACCACAAACTTCAATATTAAATAGATGGCAAAAAACAAAAGTATTTTGGACTTCTTTAATTGATGGTCGAGTTTCCATTGAACCAATTAAAGGTTTCCATGACAATTTTAAAAATTCAACAACCACCATAAATCCAGAATTAATTAAAATTGCAATAAAAGAACCGTGTGGCTTTTGTGGAGAAATAAGGTCAAATAATTTTGAACATTGTAGATTATACAACTACAAGATTTATGAAATTGATGACTCCTTGATAGCACTGTTTCCATTATGTAATTATTGTTTAACAAAATTAAGGAATTTATGTGATTTGTATGCTAAGATTAGAATTTTAAAATCAAACATTTATAAATTAAAACAAAACAATCAATTTGATGAATATGCATATGTACCAACTGCTGCTTCTAATTTTTATAAAAGAGCAAATTCAAATACATCAACTAAAGCTCCCACAACCACCACCACTAACAATAGCAATAGTGTTCCACCTCTGCCTGGTAAACTAGAAAGACAATCATCATCAACATCAACTACTCCTCAACCAGAATCTACACAATCATCATCGGTCAATTCATCAACTTCAACAATTATAAATTCAGATTTAATGAATTCTCATATTCATGAGATCGATTTAGATGAAGTTGAAGAGAAAAAAATCAAAAAAGTATACATACAATTTTTAATTATCAGATTAAAAATATTTTATAGTAAACTTGGTATAGTAAATGGTTTAAGTAGTTAGAGTCTATAGAGTGTATAGTTTAGTTCAATACATGTAAAAGAAGAGAATTTAATTATCAGAATATTTTCTTGATAATTACTTCAACATATTATTCCTAGTAATAAGTGATGCGACCATAGCAACTAGCAACGTCAAAGCAATATAAATTAATTTAAATTTGATAGTGTGGTTATAAAGTTTTCTGAATATATGAATTCTTTGTATATATTGGTAATTTCGCACGACAAATTATTTCTCTCTATAAAAAGGTTTGTCACCAAAAAATTTACAACAGATTTTTATTTCTTCTCTTCTTCTTTGTCATCAGAAGATCAATTTCATTGCGAACATGGTTCTTGTCTTTTCCCAGAACCATCCGGGAATTGTCTTACATTCGTCAAATGGTGGCCTTTCTTTTTGGAATATCAAGTCAGTTGATGTGATATTTTAAAAAGAAAACCTGAAAGTCAGTATATAATATAACTCTATAACAATTAGAAAATTGATACATTTCTATAAATCATATAAACATGCGTATATACAGAAAAAACGTTATATTACTTATTGATAATCTCTATTCTCTTGCCAATTGATTTAATGATTTTCCATAAAGTTTTAAAGCATCAGAAACTCTAACGATTCCCTTATTTGGTCCTGGTATACAACCTTTTAATATTAAAATACCAGCATTACCATCAACATGTAAAACTTCCTTGTTGAAATCAGTCATATTTGAAGTCCCCATTCTACCTGGCATTTTTTTACCAGGTAAAACTCTACCAGGATTTTGATTACCTCCCATTGCACCAGGAGTTCTATGAGCTTTTGAAACACCATGAGTTGCTCTACCACCTTTAAAATTCCATCTTTTCATTACACCTGCAAAACCTTTACCTTTAGTTATTCCCTTTATGTCAACTAATTGCCCAACTGCAAAATAATCTGCTTTTAATTCTGTACCTAAAGGTAAAAGATTTGATGAATCACGTACTCTAAATTCTCCAAATTTATATTTTGGTGATACTCCTGCTTCTTCAAACATTTTTAATTCATGTAATCTTGGATAGTTTTTTAATTTATCTATTGTACCTATTATATTTGCATCATATCCATGTTCTATTTCAGTCTTGTGATTTATAACTTCACATGAATTTATTTCTAATACAGTTGCTGGTAATTGTTCTCCCTTTGATGTGAACCATGTAATCATTCCTTGTTTGATTGCAAATAATCCTGGTCTTTCTAATAATTGTTTTCTCTTATTTCCTTCCTCTATTGAATGTTGTTTTGTAGTTGGTTGTGTTTTTAATGTTGGGATTGCATGTATTGATGTTATTTGTGCAAGGTTTCTTCGTATTATGTTGAGTGATGCTGGCAGATTTGTAATCATTTGATTGTTTATCAGCCTTAGACTAAACATATTGGCCGTAGTATATGAGTTGTAGATAGACCGGTTTATTATAAGATATGTGAAAATTTTGAAAAATTTAAATTTTCTCTCGCATACATTTATTAAGTATGGTAGATCAATTCAAATTATCACGAAATTAATTTCATCTAAAGAGATTATACTACACGAGATTTATAAAGTATAATATATACATGGATTGTAAGTTTGTTATATAACTCATCTATTTGATTTTTCTTTCTTTCAATACAACAGTTTCACCATCAACAAATATACCTTTACCTTTATAAGGTTCAGGTTTTTTGTGTTCTCTGATTAATGAAGCAAATAATTTTACTTTTTGTTTATCTATTCCTTCTATAATTAATCTTGCTGGGTTGGGACTTGAAACTTTTAAATCTTTTGGAACAACTAATTTTGGAGTATATGGAAATCCAATTTTTAATGCTACAACATCTTCATTTTTATCGTTTTTTTCCAAAATGGCTCTGTAACCTGTACCTACGAATTTCACTACTGATAAGTGACCTTCACTTGCTCCTATTATTGAATTTGAAATTAATGAACGTATAGTACCCCACATTGATCTTTGAGTTTTATTATCTGGTCTCTCAACTCTTACTGATATTGTATTTGGTTCATTTTCTGGATGAGTTATATTTATAAATTTTGGAATCTCTGTTTTCAATGTGCCCAATGGTCCCTTTATAACTATTTGTCTATCTAATATATATCTTTTGTTTCTTTTAGTGAATGATTTACAAAATTCAACTGGTATTGACTCTAATGAATATGAAATACCCTCCTGTAGTTTCATTGGCTTTTTACCAATGTTTGAGAGACACGTGCATGATAGTGAAAAGTGACGTATTTGACCCTTCCCTGTATTTGAGAACATCACGTCTTTTTGATTGTTGGTGTGGTAATGGTTCTGGTTAATTGAATTGTATTCTTTTGAGATTGAAAATTTTTGAGTACCAAAATTAGAAAATATTTGAGCTACCAAATTATTTGAATTTTTTTTGTAACTCAAATTATTTCAAAATTATATCGTTAAGGTTAACTCATCTCTAAGATAGACTTAAATCAAGATATACAACCCATCTTATCATTTATCCATTTCATAATTTCCACATAACAATGGTTAGAGCATTAAAGCATCATGAGAAAAAACTTTTGCGAAAAGTTGATTTCCTAGAATGGAAACAAGATCAAGGGCATCGAGATACTCAAGTTATGAGAACTTATCATATACAGAATAGAGAAGATTATCATAAATATAATAAAATATGTGGTGATGTAAGGAAACTAGCCAACAAATTATCATTATTAAAACCAACTGATCCATTTCGTATAAAGCATGAACAATTATTATTAGAAAAATTATATAATATGGGAATACTAGCTACAAAATCCAAAATAAGTGATTTGGAAAATAAAATTACAGTATCAGCAATATGTAGAAGAAGAATAGGAGTTGTCATGTGTAGATTGAAAATGGCAGAAACTTTAACTGATGCAATTAAATTTATTGAACAAGGTCATGTTAGAGTTGGACCAAATGTTATAACTGATCCTGCTTATTTGGTAACAAGAAACTTAGAAGATTATCTTACTTGGGTTGATAGTTCTAAAATTAAAAGAAACTTACTTAAATATAGAAATAAAATTGATGATTATGATTTATCTTAGGGTGAACTTTATAGAGAAAGTAATAATATATACAAAATTAAGTTTGATAGAAACAGATTTTTAATTGCCTCTGCTACTTCTCTATCTCTTTGACCAATGTTTTTCAATTTTACTCTTCAAAATTTATGAGTCTCATATGTTTGATCGAAAAAAATAGATAACATTTTCCAAGAATTCAAATTGTTTCATGTTTCAGATTTATAATACAAAATACAAATATTACGAAAAAATGATACTCACAAAATATTATTTAACATAAACAAAAATTATTATATAAATTAGTCAACCAAAAATACCACTACAAAAATAACCATTGACCTTTCAAGGGGATGAGATTTAAATATATATAAAAGTTTTAGAAATCAATGTCAGCTCCAACATTAGGTCATTATCAAACTTTAGGAGTTAATCCATCAACTCCATTTGAAGATATCAAGAAAGCTTATCGAAAATTATCATTAAAATATCATCCAGATAAAACTCCAGATAAAACACATCATGAAAAATTTAAAGAAATTAATGCAGCATATGAAATTATCAGAACTAATAGAGAATCAGGTAATGCATTTATTAATGTAAATACCAGGTCAACTAGTAATATGAATAATACAAGGTCAAATTTTACTACATTTTTCTCACAGGCTACATCTTCATTTCCATTTTCAGAATACAGAAGTACAAATGGTTCCTCGACTCATTATTATAGCAGATACACTCAATCATCTTCAACTAATTCATCAAGTAAAAATAATACTCCAAATACAAATACAAAAACAAAAACAAATAATAATGGCGGTAACACTGATAATACCTCAAATTATTCTTCATATAACTTTTATCAAAAATCACAAGAGCATCAAAGAAACGCAGCTGAGGCAGCTGCAAGACATGCCGAAAGACTAAAAGAAGAAATGGCTGAACGAGTCAGAGCAGAAGCTGCATCAATAAGGAGAGCAGAGGCTGAATTGCGAAGGAGAGCAGAAGAAAGTCGAATTAGACAAGACTTAAAGAGAGAAGCAGAAGAAAAAGCGAGACTGTCATCTAGGAATAAAGATAATTTGAAGGTTCATTTTCTGGAAGAAGAAGTATTAATATTACCATCAGATGAAGAAGAATATGTACCTCAAGTTCCCAGAAAGAATTCTTCATCAAAAACCAGTAGTAAAAAATCAGACAAAGCTTATCAGTCAGCTAAAGAAAAAAGAAGAAATTTAGAAGAGTCGGCTGAGATTGCGAATGATTTTATTAAGGAAAATTATGGAGTCCAGGATGAAACTGAAAAATATTATCAAAATTCTAAAAAGAAAAAGAAAGTGGAAATTGAAGAAGAAGATTATAATCCTAGAGAGGCAAGCAGTAGCACTTCCAAACCATCATCGTCAACGCCGTCCAAAAAAGGTAAGGACTCAGATCATCCAATTGTACTAGAAGAAGATTTGAGTTTTGCAGAGGAAGGTTTAAGTGAAGAAAATAATGATTCATTTATGAATGTACCTGAACCAAACAATCAAAATTCATTTGAAAATAATGAACCAGGACAAAGTTCCGGAGAATATGATCCAAGAATTTTAAATGAGCATATTCATTTCAACGTCAAACCAAAGATGCCACCTAGAAGTAATACTGCATCACCAACAAGGTCAAACAAAACAATTCCAACATTACAAACACAACCAAATCACGTAAGATTTCATCCAACAGCACCACACAAAAGATCCAAAATTTCATCACAAAATCCAGCATTTGGTTCACCCTTGGACATGAATGGGTTTGACATAAAAGTTGGTGATATAGAGGAAGTAAATTTTAATGAAATTTATGAAAGTCTACCCGATGATCAAAAACGAAAAACTCCAAAATCAGATGAAGCAAGTAACATATCTTCAAGTTCAGGACAAAAAACATTCGATTATACCAATGGAAAATCTAAAGCTGATATACTATCCAACCCGTTAAATAAAAACCCTGTTAGAGGTTATACATCTACAAGCAGCTCAGAAACCACAACAACATCTTCAACGAAAAAATTAAATATACTTGATTTACATGCATCACCAAAAGTTCATAATTTTACAGCTCCAAACCCACCATCAATGATTTTTAATCCAGAAACAATGACTAGATTAAGATGGCAAAGATATGTTAATTCTCTAGAAGATTATCAAAAAGCATTTTTAAGTTATAAAGAAGCAATAGTTAGATATCAAATGGAAAGAACCGAGAAAGATATTCAATTTTTCAATGAAATTAATGATGAAAATGATAATGAAAATATGGAAGTATATAAACAATGTTTAGCAAGAGATTTAGAAGTTGTTGGACAATTTAAAGCTTCATTGAGAGTTTTTAGTCAAATTATGACATTATATCAACAAAATCGTAACTGGATTAATATGTATAAGAATTGGGATTAACAATGGTTGTATAGATTGATAATAGTTAGCATATAGATGTATTATAACTGGTTAAACTCTTTTCAGATCTCATAAATCTATAATAATATGTATAAATTTATAATGGTTATGGTTAATTATAAATTTTAACACGTTACACAAATAGTAAATATTTTAATATATAAGACGCGATTCTACTAGTAATAAATTTTAAGTATTATGAAAATTATCAAACATCAAGAGTTGATCTTTCATTAAACTAGACATCAATAGTCATTCGGTTTTTTGAATCCTTTACAATATGGATAGGAATAGACAGTTGCTATTAATTTTAGGGGTGCTATTTCATTTCTTTTATTTATGGTCAATATTTGATATTTATTTTGTACTGCCATTAGTACATGGAATGAATCATCATGTTTCAACTTATGAACCACCAGCTAAAAGATTGTTTTTAATAGTAGGAGATGGATTACGAGCAGATAAAACTTTTCAAAAATTGAAACATCCAAGAACTGGGGAAACAAAATATTTAGCTCCATATTTAAGAAGTTTAGCTTTGAATAATGGTACATGGGGTATATCAAATACAAGAATGCCTACTGAATCAAGACCTGGTCATGTTGCAATGATTGCTGGATTTTATGAAGATGTTTCAGCTGTAACTAAAGGTTGGAAAGAAAATCCGGTTAATTTCGATTCATTTTTCAATCAATCTAAACATACTTATTCATTTGGAAGTCCTGATATTCTACCGATGTTTGCTTATGGAGATGGGGTCGTTCCTGGTAGAATTGATGTTTGTATGTATGGGCATGAGTTTGAAGATTTTACATCAAGTTCAATTGAATTAGATTCGTTTGTTTTTAAACATTTTGATGATTTATTGAATAATTCAACTACAAATAAAACTTTAAATGATGAATTAAGGCAAGATGGTAATGTCTTTTTTTTACATTTATTAGGTCCAGATACTGCTGGTCATGCATATCGTCCATATTCAGCTGAATACTATGAAAATATTGAATATATCGATAATATGTTGGAAAAAGTCGTACCACAAATTAATGAATTTTTTGGAGATGATAAAACTGCATTTGTATTTACGGCTGATCATGGTATGTCTGATTTTGGATCTCATGGTGATGGTCACCCTGATAATACAAGAACTCCTTTAATTGCTTGGGGAGCTGGGGTGAACAAACCTGTACAATTGAAAGATCTTGAACATGTTAAAGAGCAAATAATAAAACAAGATCCTGTAAATAGTGGGTATGAATCTACTTATTTTGATACTTGGGAATTAGATCATTTAGTAAGAAATGATGTAAATCAAGCAGATATAGCATCATTAATGGCTTATCTAATTGGTGCAAATTATCCAGCAAATTCAGTTGGTGAATTACCATTAAGTTATATTGATGCTGAGCCAGAACTCAAGATAAAATCATTATACGCAAATGCTTTGGCCATTGTTGAACAGTACATTGTAAAAGAACAAGAAGTATTAAGTCATCAATTTAAATTCAAACCATTTGAACCATTCGTTGAAAAAAGGATCCAAGATTACCAAAAGGAAATTGAAAGCTTAATTGAACTTTTGAAGAATGGACCTGATGAAAATGTTGAAAAGTTAGCAATTGAAGTTACTGAGGATTTGATGAAAAAGGCTCTCTCTGGTTTAAATTATTTAACTACTTATAATTGGTTATTACTCAGAACAATTGTCACATTTGGATTTTTTGGATGGATTATTTTTGCGTTCATATTATTTATTAAATTATTTATTTTACCTGAAGATTACTTGAAAACTGACAAAAGGTCTAACTCACCAATATTGCTTGGTTCATTCTTAACTTTGGGTGCTTCAATAGGATATTTATTATTTTATCAGAACTCCCCATTCAATTATTACATGTATGCTGCTTTTCCAATATATTTTTGGTACACAATATTAGATGAGAGAAGATATTTATTCGATGGACTTGATAACTTGTTACATGGTGTTGGATGGCTGACCAAATTATTCATTTTGATCTCATTTATAGGAATGTATGAAGGTATAACATATGGGTTCTTTGAGAGATGCATTTTTTCAATAATCTTTTGCATCGTTGGTATATATCCAGCTTTAGTTCTGGGATCAAATAAAATATCTGGATTGATGAAAATTTTGTGGTTTTCCAGTTGCTTATTTATGTGTATCTTCACAAATCTTGATCCAGTAAAAGTTGAAAACTTATTATTAATTAATCTTGGATCAATATTAGCATTTATAATTAGTACAGTTGGGTTCAATGCAGTTCAAAAGAGAAATCCTGATTTAGGTAGTGCTCAAAAAGTACTTATTAATTTACAAATACTTACTATTCCTTTAATAACTTATGCAACAGATGTATCTGTTGTTTCTTTACAATCAAGAGCTGGTCTTCCATTGTATTCACAAATTTTAGGATGGGTAACATTTGTTCTTTCATTAGTTGTTTTACCAATTTTACATTCATTTTATCCATCAAAAGATTATAGATTTAGATTGTTAATGATTTTTCTAACATTTATTCCAACTTTCATAATTTTGACGATTTCATTTGAATTATTATTCTATATTGGATTTTCAATGATATTATTACAATGGTTATCTATTGAAGAATTATTAAAAGTTCCACATGCTGAAATTGTTAAATCACAAGAAGAAACTGGTAGACTTCCAAAAGGTTATTGGCTTCAAGTTATTAGAATTGCCATCATTGGGTTTTTCTTCTTACAATTAGCATTTTTCGGAACTGGTAATATTGCATCAATTTCATCATTTTCATTAGACTCAGTATACAGATTAATTCCAATTTTTGATCCTTTTTCAATGGGTGCTTTATTAATGATAAAATTAATTATTCCTTACGTATTATTATCTACTTGTTTGGGTATAATGAATCATCAATTAGAAATCAAGAAATTCACAATTTCAACATTAATCATATCGACTAGTGATTTCTTATCATTAAATTTTTTCTTTTTAGTTAGAACTGAAGGTTCTTGGTTAGATATAGGTGTGTCAATTTCAAATTATTGTTTGGCCATACTATCATCATTGTTCATGTTGATTTTAGAATTAGTAAGTTCTATAATGTTACATGGAGTTGAATATGATAATTCTTCGACAAAGTTAGATTATGAGCCTATAAGTCATAGACTTAGAAATAAAAAAAAAATAGAGGTAATAGAACTCGATGATTGAGTTTTACGGTTTACAAAAAAAAAGTTTATAGAGTTTAATAAAAACAGTTTGATTTTCTAAGCTCATGATATCATAAACTATTCTCTCATAATTGACAATATATATGTGTTTGAGTCGACTATCAATTTGTTTGATTAATGACTCAACCGTTTTAAAAGATTTTTGTGTTACAAATTAGATTTGTTAGTAAAAAATCTGAAAAATTTCAATACTAACCAAGATCAAGTTATCAATCCTCACAACAACCACCAGTAAAAATGTCTAATACGACTGAAGACCCAAAGAGGCATATTTTGATGATAGATAATTATGACTCATTTACTTGGAATTTATATCAATATTTACATCAATCTCCAAAATGTGGGAAAGTAGACGTTTTCAGAAATGATAAAATAGACATTGCAACAATAGAAAATGAAATCAAACCAGATATAATTTTTATATCCCCAGGTCCTGGACACCCATTAACAGATTCAGGAATATCAAGTGATGTAATAAGACATTTCAAAGGAAAATTACCAATATTTGGAGTTTGTATGGGTCAAGAATGTATATTTGACGTATTTGGAGGTGATGTTTCATATGCTGGAGAAATAGTTCATGGTAAAACCACCACAATAAAACATGACGGGAAGGGAATGTTTGAAGATGTGCCACAATCTGTTGCTGTAACTAGATATCATTCATTAGCTGGCACTGAAGCTACATTACCTGAAGTTTTAGAAGTTACTGCAGTTACTGAAACTCAACCAAATGTTATCATGGGAGTTAGACATAAAGAATATACTATAGAAGGAGTACAATTTCATCCAGAGTCTATCTTGACTGAATCTGGTCAATTGATGATTGATAATATTTTGGGGGTTTATGGAGGAACATGGGCAGAAAATAATGAATTTAAATCAAAATTACAAAATGGTCAGAAAAGTAAGTTTGGTAAAGGTGAAAATATTTTACAAACCATATATAAAAAGAGAAAGGAAGATTACGACATAATTGAGAATTTACCAGGTAGATCATTTAAAAATTTGGAAATTGCATTATCATTAGGAGTAGCACCTCCAGTTATAAATTTTTACGATAGATTGAAATATACCCAAGATGAATTAAAACAAACAATAATTTTATCAGAATTTAAGAGAGCAAGTCCATCAAAAGGTGATATTAATATAAACGCACACGCAGGAAAACAAGCATTAACATATGCCATAAATGGATGTTCCACAATATCAATTTTAACTGAACCTAATTGGTTTAAAGGATCTCTTGAAGATTTATCATTAATACGTAAAGTTATAGAAAGTCCAGAAACCAAAAAAGTCCCCAACTACAAAAGACCAGCAGTTTTAAGAAAAGAATTTATCTTTAATAAATATCAAATACTAGAAGCAAGATTAGCTGGTGCAGATACTGTTTTGTTAATTGTGAAGATGTTAGATGATTTTGAGTTATTACAAGAATTATATTCATACTCATTAGACTTGGATATGGTACCATTAGTAGAAGTAAATGATGCACCTGAGTTAGAGAAAGCATTGAAATTAAGTTACAAAAAAGATACAAGTGAACCATTAATCATTGGTGTAAATAATCGTAACTTAACTAATTTTAACGTTGACTTGAAGACAACAAGTTCATTAGTTGATCAAGCCAAAGATAAAAAAACCAATGGTAGAAAAGGAGATGTATTAATACTAGCTTTATCTGGTATAACTTCAGTTGAGGATGTCAAAAAATATAAGTATGAGGATCATGTTGATGGATTTTTAATTGGAGAAAGTTTAATGAGAGCAGAATCCAAGGGTAAAGCTGGTGAATTCTTACATGATTTATGTAGTTGTTGAATTTTAACATACTAAACAATATAAATATAGCATATAGATAAACACACATAACGCGAACATGAAAGCATATATAGAATTACCTTGTAGTGTGTCAGAGATCTGAAATTGCATAACTCATGCTTCGAGTAGTTAAATACCGTTAAAGATTCAAGATTGTTAAATAAATTTCAGTACGGTTCTCGGTTTGAAATAATTACAAAATCAAATACAAAATTAAATCAAGACGCGTTAACCATTACATATACCACCATTCAACCATTTAATACACATCTCATAAGACTTCCCAATTACACAATGGATGCAGCAACAAGAAGAATAAATGCTCCATTACTTCAACAAAGTTCAAACAAGCTTGTTAGAGTCATAGGTAAATGTGAATCTTATAATTCATCATCACAACAAGGTATAATTATAAGTAATGGATCAATAAATTTAGATTTATCAGCTGCTACATCATCAACATCAGATAATTATAATCTTTTGGAAATTAATAAGATATATGAAATTATTGGTAAAGTTTCTAATTTAAATGGTGATTTAAAAATTAATGTTTATTCAACTATTAAATTAACTGATAATACTAATTTAAAAGCTGCTGATAAATTAGTTGAATTAAGTAATAAAGCTACGGATTTATTTTATTAGGTTTTAATATATGTTTATGATTGTTAAGATTTGATTTCATTGATCTGATCTCTGTCTGGGATTTATATCAAAAATGATACAAGAACGAATAATTCATATCGAAGTGCTACAATTAGATAAAGTGTTTACACTAGAAGAAACGATCCTTCGAGGTTTTGAAATGACGGGTAACTTTTATTAGATATGAATTATATACTTCTATGAAATATTTTTAATATCGTCAAATAATTTTTCAAATCTTGGTTCATTGTATAAAGTACCAGCTCTAATCAACCATTCAGGAGTTTCATTATCTTTAGTAATAGCTTTACTAAATTTAAAATTTCCAAATGCAATAATTAATCTATAAGCAGCTTCATTAGACGAATTAACAATTTGCAGTCCAACTGAATTAATTAACAGTAATATTGGTTTAGCAGATTCTTGCGATCTAACATTTAACCCAGTTGTTTTTAATTGAACTGCTGATAAATTATATAAAAATGTAGCTAATGATACCATTGATGATGAATATAATTTATTTGTTGAATCTACGATATTACATTTATTTAAAATTAATTTTAATATTTCTTCGAAAATCTCATTATATTGATATAATGAAGAATTGGTTCCTACTGGATCCATATATGCTTGAATGAAACCAGCACTATTTATAAAATTACTCAATACTTTTAAAACCATCATTAATAATGCTGAATTTGATGGTCCAATTGCTGTTAAACCTGATATTATTTCATTGTTTATTGTTTCTGTTGGTGAATTTTCATGCAAGAAATCAACTGCTGTTATTTTAGGAATACATATTCTTATTAAATCAAATCCAATTAATTTTGAAGTTACATCCCAATTTGCTATAATTTGTAATGCATAATCTGATATAATTTCAATTGCATCTCGAGATGTTAAATCTGTTAGTAAATCATCTATATGATGAATATCATCATCAACGAATTTATCTTTTGGTTGATTTGCATTTAATTTCTTTAATCCATTCATAATAGAATCTTTTTTGAATTCCTTGAATAAAATGAATGTTTTTTCCGGCAAGACCAGTAAATCTTTAGTCTTTTGATGCTCTCTTACATAAGCATCAGAATATGGATCAATAGTTCTTTGTGGTTCAACATTATTAATTTCAGTAGCAGTACCTTCATCTAATTTAGCTCCTTCTGTGTTTTTCTCCAAAAATTTAACCACTTCTTCAGTATAAGAACTTGGTAATTCATTATCTGCTAAAAATTTTTCAGCAACAACGTAAGGATTTTCATTTAGGTTATATGGTAATTTTAATGGAGGTTCACCATCTTTTATATCGACATCAAACACGTAGTCATATTCTTTACCTTGATATTCTTGCTTTTTACCTGATCTTGAAGCTCCTCCAACAACATCACCTATTTTATGCCATTGACCACCTGACCATTGATGTGCTTCAATTGTACCTTCTGGAGTTTTTACCATTATTGTTGATCCTTCATTTTTACCTGGTTTTTGTAAGACTTCCACACCTGGGATATCAGTCTTCTTTAAATTATCTAATGATTGTTCAGATATAGATGAAGATTGTACTGCTTCAGTGAATGATTTAATTTCATCTTCAGATGCAAAACGTTCTGAATCTTGTGTAAAAACACGTATTAAATTATCTGATCCACCAACTGCAAAATCTTGACCATTTTGTAATGTAGTAACACACCAAACTGATATACAAGGCAACGTAATAACTTGTAATACTTTTTTATTTGCTAAATCCCACACTCTTACTGTTCTATCTTCACCAGTAGATACTAAATTACCATTTGACAATAAGGCTAAATCATAAACAAATGAATCATGACCAAATAAAGTCGCTATATTGGCACCAGTATTTAAATCCCATAATTTTATAGTTCCATCATTTGAACTAGATAAAAATTGATTTGATCCATGTAAGACTAATAATTTTCTAATAACATCCAGATGTCCTTTAAATTCTTGTACAACATGATCACCATGCCATAGTTTTATAATCTTATCAGCTGAAGCAGTTAAATATTTATCTTTTGCAACTAGTTTACAATCCCATACTGATGATTCATGTTTGTTTAATATATATTTTGGTATAAATTCATCTAAATTCCATACAATTGCTGTTCCATCCCATGAACTAGATATAAATTCTCCATTCTCATAATTCATAGCACATACATTTCCTTGATGACCAATTAATTGATATTTACTATCGTGATCAAAATTATTTGAGTTAAATTCACTTAAATATATCATAGCATCTTGTCCTCCACTTGCTATTAATTTTTCACCATTTGATCTTTCTATTACTGCAGTTGAGTTTAAAAATGATTTTGTTGGAGAATTGAAAACTATGGTTGAATCAATCGATGAAGTATTTGGATTTTGCCAGATCCTTGTGGTTGAATCTCTTGAAACTGATATTAGAACGGACTGAGAGTCAATTGTTGTATTCGCGAGACTCTTGACATCTTGTTCATGTCCAGTCAACGTTGAACTTAACTTAAATACCATGGTGACTGATAAAAATTATGTTGTTGTAAAATTGATTTGTTTAATTAGTGGCAATTTGAACTGAAATATTAGGTTACAGCCAAATTATCTTTATGCAGTATCATATACATTCATATTTATAAATTCACTACATCAATATCAACAATATTTATGAATAGGACACAATTTTCTTCTACAAATAATCAGTTTGAAAAGATCTATATAATAAATCTATTAAAAGACAATACATAACTTTAAAAACTGCAATTTAAAATACATTCTAAATTTAAATAGCTTTTTCTAACATTGCTTCTCTACCTGGACCAACACCAACCCATTGAATAGGAACATTTAAATAATCTTCAATAAATTTTAAATAATTTTTAGCATTTTCAGGTAAATCTTCATATTTTTTAATTTTAGTAATATCAGTTTCCCAACCAGGAAATGTTTTATAAATAACTTCAACATTTCCAACATCTATTAAATCAGCTGGGAAATGAGTTAATTCTTTACCATCTAATTTATAAGCAATACCAACTTCTATATTTTTAAATCCATCTAAAACATCTAATTTTGTAATATTCAATGATGTATATCCATTAATTAAAGTTGAATGTTTTAAAACAACTAAATCTAACCAACCACATCTTCTTTTTCTACCAGTTGTAACACCAAATTCAGCACCAACATCTTGTAATGTTTCACCATCTTTATTTAATTGTTCAGTTGGGAATGGACCTTCACCGACTCTTGTAGTATAAGCTTTAACTACACCATATATGTTTCTTATACTTTTTGGTGGAATACCTAAACCAGTTAAAACTCCACCAATACCAGTTGAAGAAGAAGTAACATATGGATAAGTACCAAAATCAATATCCAACATTAATGCATTAGCACCTTCAACTAATATTTTTTTCTTTTGAGCAATAGCATTATGCATAAATTCAACAGAATCAACAACAAAAGGTTTTAATTCTTCTCTATATTTTTCATATCTTGCTAATTCTTCTTCATAATCATAATCAAATTCTCCATATCTTTTTTGTCTTGATTCAATTAATCTCATATATCTTGTTTTAAATTCTTGCCAAGCTTCTGGATTTTGATTTACTAAATGATGAACTCTAATACCTGATCTTGAAGCTTTTGTTGAATAAGTTGGTCCAATACCTTTACCAGTTGTACCAATAGATTTTTTATTTTCTGATAACTCAGCTTCTTTTAATTTATCAGTTCTTTGATGAAAATCAAAGACTAAATGAGCTCTTGAACTAATAAATAATCTATCACGACATTCTAAACCTTTTTCTTCAATATTTTTTAATTCTTCAAAAAATGAAGGAATATGAACAACTACTCCAGAACCAACTAAATTTTGACATTTTGGATTAACTAAACCTGAAGGTAACATATGAAAATCAAATTTTTTACCATCAACAACAATTGTATGTCCTGCATTATTTCCTCCTTGACATCTTGCACAAACATCAATGTCATCACATAATAAATCAACTAATTTTCCTTTACCTTCATCACCCCATTGAGATCCTAAAACAACATCACACATGTTTTTTAATTGGTATAAGTTTGGTTTTTTGTGAATACAGACGAACTTTTAAATTAATATATAATTAATATATATAATCTAAAGGTTGAACGATTGAAATCGTTAAGAAAAAAAGAAGTTCAAAAAAGTTGAAAAAAAATTAATTAATGAAATTTTAATTTTGTATTAAAGAGAAAGAGTCATTGAACCAATTAAAGAAAATAATATTACATTGATTATATAATAATTTATTTAATAAACTATAGACTACAAGACACATTACATTGAAAGAAATTCGTAAGTACATTAGTATTATAAAGTCTAAGACACAAGTATTCGACTCATTGATAATTTAATTTCTTTTCTAGACTAGTCAACGTTATAATCTCTGATTATTTATGGTATATGCAAGTACTAAATATTTTCACATATAAAAAAAAAATATTAGTCAACCGAACAATAATTTTTCAATTACTTATTGTAGTTATGCAATATTGAAATAGCGGATAAAGTTGAACCTAATATCTAAAAATTTGTCAAGAGCTCAAGTTGATATATTTCAACAATAAATGTCTTTTATTTATGTGAATTTAACTTTCTATCAAATATAATAAACATTGGAACTAAATAATTTATAAAAAAATTTTAAAATCATTAATAAAAATTAAATTAATTTAATTTATCAATAATAGCATCAGTAAATTCTGTAGTTGATGATGATCCACCAATATCTTTAGTTCTAACTTTACCTTCAGCAATAACATCATAAGTGGCTTTTGAAATTTTATCAGCTTGATCATTTAATCCTAAATGTCTTAATAACATAGTTGCTGATAAAATCATAGCAGTTGGATTAGCAGTATTTTTACCTTTAATATCTAAACCAACATGTCTACAACCTGGTTCGAAAACAGCATATTCTCTACCAAAATTAGCACCTGGTACTAAACCTGGACCACCAATTAATGCAGCACCAATATTTGATAAAATTGAACCATATAAATTTGGAGTTACTAAAACATCAAATTGTTGAGGTTTTGCAACAGCTTGCATAGAAGCATTATCAACAATTAAATCATTTACTTCTATACCTTTATAATCTTGACCAACATCTTTAACAGTTTGTCTAAATAATCCATCACCTAATTTCATAATATTAGCTTTATGAATAGCAGTAACTAATTTTCTATTATTTTTTTCAGCAAAATCAAAAGCAAATTTTGCAATTCTTTCAGATTTAAATCTTGTCATAATTTTTAATGATTCAACAACACCAGGAAAAGATTGATGTTCTAAACCTGAATATTCACCTTCAGTATTTTCTCTAACTAAAGCAAAATCAATTCCATCAATTATACCTTTAACTCCAGGAATATTTTTAATTAAAACTAATGATGCATAAATATCTAATTCTTTTCTTAATGCAACATTTAATGATTTTCCTGATTTATCAGTTGGAGTATATAATATACCTTTTAAACCAACTTTATTTCTTTTTAATGATTCAACAGCTTCATCAACTCCATGATTTTTTCCACTTTCACCTTCAACACCACTTACATCTACAACTTCCCAATCAATTGGAACATTTTGTGACTTAAAAATAGTTTTTACAGAATCAGTAATTTCTTGACCAGCACCATCTCCTGGAATTAATGTAACAGTATATCTACCACCATATTTTTTTGGTAAAACAGACTCTGGTGATGCAAAAGTAGCTAATGAACGAATAGCAGATCTTTGAGCAGTAATAGTTCTAAGCATTGTTATGAATATGTAGGAGGATGATAAGATTGAATAGATAAATAAAAATTAAGTTGTGTTTTATAAATTTTAAGAAATGAATTCAATTGATTTGATGAAAATAATTTTTTTTTTTCTCTTTTTCTAAATATTGACTTTTATTAATTTTAATTAGAGAAAAGAAATTTTATTATATAGAATAAAATATGATATTAAATATTAGACCAAATAATTATGATAAAGAAAGAGAAGTTTTTAATCGTTGTTCACTAAGTTTAGACTATTTTCTATCTCTAGATTGTGACCCTATTTACAAATAGTTTTTCTGTCAATTGCTAAATTCAATTCATTCAAATCTGATGAGATCTTTCTTTAACTTAATCATTTGACACGATATAAATTTTAAATAAAAAAGTTACTCCGAAGATCACAAAACTAAAATTGCAAAATTTATTACAGAAAACTTGGTTCATGAATTATTATCAATCAATTGATTGTGGGTAATGGTAAAGTAGAGAAATTAGTAAGTAAGAGCAATTAACAAGATTATCTACAATTCTTCTTCTCTTTTAATTCAATAGTTATTTTAGATTCAATAAAAAAATCCTTCACTATTGATAAAAATTGTTACATCTTTAATATTTATTGTTATCGGCTTTATAATTATTTTAGAAATTTATTCTATAGTTATTATTAATTTTTGAAATATTATAATTAAAGTATACAAGAGAAAAATGCTTAATATTTGTATTCAACTAAGATTTTTCAAATTGAGATAATTTTGTGATATTAAAATTTCAATTTAATTCGAGTCCGAATTTGAGATATTTTTCTTAACCTGTTCATGTTTAAACATGTTGTATTTTAATTGGTTAATCTAATTTGAGCTGGTAGCATCCCCTCTTTTTTATTAAAAGTCATCTGAGCCGCACAAGATTTCCTAATTTTGAAACATCAGTTGAAATATTATTATTATTTCTTAATTACTTAACTCAATTCTATCATTGTACAAAAATGATACAACTTAAACTTTCTCAATTATTCACATTAATATTATCATTATCATTATTAATAATAAATGTATCATGTTCAATAGATACAATTCCATTTGACTCAATTGATGTAGGAGATGTATTACAAACAACAAAACATGATAATTTAATTAATCAATTAAAATTATATTTAAATTTATTAATACCTCAAAAATATAAACAATATCAATATATTGGATTTATAATTTTAACATTTTTACAATCTCAATTATTAAAATCAATTACTAGGTTATATATTAATAGACCAAGAGATTTAGAAAGTTTACAAAATAATTTTTATATTGAATTTTTAAAACAAATTTTAGTTGCTCTTGTATGGATTTTGGGGATTCTTTCAATTTTAATATTTTTTGACTGGTTTCAAAATTTAAAACCTCATTGGATCTTATTTCTTTACCCTTCCATCAATATATCGTTGTTTTTGGGTTATTTGATTGTGGCTTATACAAATAAATAGAATTGAAACAGTAGAATTTGGTGTCAATATTTTGAATTGATTATGCATACTGGGTCCAATTGACAACATAATTGAGTAAAACGATTAAGTTCAATTACTCACGGGACTTTGGAAGAATTTTACTCACTTTTATATACGTAGTAAGTAATTTTAGGTGAATTGATAGACCGTATAAATTTGAATCCCCATAATTCCTGTATATAGAATTCCTTAGAACTTTGAAAAATCGCTTCCTTTAAATTCACTTTAATCAATCGAATAAACTTCTCTAATTCAATTCAAATATATACACAACGCACCAACACGATGTCAATAAGCTCAAAATCAATACCAACTTTCAAACAAATATACAGAAACATATCACAAGAATTACTCACATATGAAAACAAATCAATAGCACAAAAATCCAAATCAGAGAATAAAAAATTAACAACATATTATAATTATTTAAAACAAAATGCAATCAAAAATGGTAAAAAACAAGAAATAGAAGATCTTAATAATAAATTAAAATCATTAGAATCTAACAATTCACCCACAAAAAACACTCAATTAAAAGATTTAAATTTATTACATAATATAATTGATGATAAATTAGGTATAAATAATTCTTATGAATTAAATAATTTAAATAATGTATATACTTATTTAAAAAGTCAAAGAGAATATTTTGATTTATTAATTAGATATAATCCAGGATTATTTATGGATCAACAAGAAAATGTTCAAAAATCTGCTAATAGAGTTGGATTAGATGTTCCACAGTAATTGTAATTACAAGTTTCATGTATATAAATAACTGAGAAGGAGTAGAGTAAAAGATACATAATATTTAATTTTATTTATTTTATTAGTAATACAGTAATTATACATAGTTTATACAGATTGTAATGAATGAATTTAGAACTAAAAATAATTGTTGCATCAACCATTAATGAAACTTTCTTTTCCTAAATTCTCTTCCACCAACAATAATTTCATCTCTCATCATATCATCACCACCAACACCACCACCATTCCCACAATAAGATTCATCATCTTCAAAATCATCACAATTTCGTTTACATTTATTAATAAATTGTGAACTACAATTTTGTTTTATATCAACATTTTCTAAATAAAATTTTTTTAAATTTTCAATAATTAATAAATCATCATAATAACTTAATCTTAATTCTTTTATTGATGGTCTTTTTGTTTTTAAAAATTTAAAAGAATTTTGAAAATTAAACTTGTAGTTATCCATTAAATAAGCAATTATTAAACCAGTTGATAAATTTAAATTTCCATCTTCTGATACAATTAAAATTTGTAAACTTTGATTAATTAATTTAAATATTGAAATTAATCTTATAATTTTAAAAAATTGAATTTTTATATTTGATCCATTTAAAATTGGTGAATTTATTTGAAATTGAGTTGAATTTGGTAATTTATGAATTAAATTTGTAATTGATGAATTTATATAAAATGAATTTATATAATTTTGTAATATTTTATTAAATTTTAATATAAAATTATTTATTAATTCATTATTTTCAATAATTGTAAAAGACGGATCTAAACTTAATATCATAATATCTGATGATATTGAAACTTTTGGTGAATTTTCAACAAGATCTAAAAAATTTAATGTTGATCCACAATTTATAATAACTTTAACATTACTATTTGATATAAAACTTGAATTTGGTGATGTTTGATTTATTAATGATGAATATGGACCAAGCCATATATTTGGACATATTTCTTGTGGTACATCTGGATTAAAAAATCTAGGATTATTATCTATTGGACCATTGTAAGTATGAAACAGGTTTTGTTGATTGAATCCTTGTTGTTGTTGTTGTTGTTGAAACATTCTATTTAACTTTTATATACTGAGAATTTTAAAACTTGTATATTTTTTTGCAGCACTTTTTATATGTATTTTTACTACGCTAAATCGACTAAAAATTTGTGTGATGTAATAAGTGTAATGATAAATAAGATGAGTCTTTAATTGAATAAGTCCCCAGAAATCAATATCTATGGATAATAAGAATGAAAGTTGATACAAAATAATTGATTGAAATATTATACTTTTGCAACAGTATTTTTAATTTGAAAAAAAAACAAAAAGTTTCAAGTTATTTATTATATCAATACTTTGTAGTTAACTATTAATTGTATATCAATTGGGTTGAGCCATAAATATAAGTTAATAATTCAAAATTGAATTAAAATATCATATAATTTGAATTGAGTATAAATTTGAGTTGTCTTGAAATTTATATAAATAATTAAATTCAAAAAAAAGTGGGTTTTGCACTGAAATAAATATTTTTTTTTGGTTGTGAAACCTTTCTCTTTTTCTGTTTTGGAACTTAACTATGTAGAATCTGCCCCAACTATGTAAGAAAAAAATAAAAAAAAAGAAAAAAAAAGGAATTTGGAGATTTCAAATTTTATTTTTAATAATTGATAAAAATTTGGTAGCTCGGCTCGAATTTTCTTAATTATGTAGAATTTATTATTAATTGTAATATTATTAAATAATATATAATTATGCTAGTAGTGTATTTTGGTTAATTATAAACAGAACAACTAAGGTAGTGTATTTATCATAAAATATATTTTATCGTACTTCGTACTTGCAAAATTATATAATAAATTACGTAATAATATATGAAATTAATTTTTTGAATAAATTACTAATCTGATATAATAATAATATAAAATAATGTACAAACTCCCAACTATAATAAATAATGGACAGATTTTGAATCTAAGATCAAATTTCAATTTAATAATTTAACTTATTTAGGAAATCACAAGTAATTCGAATGATAAGTTAACATTGTATAACCAATTCTGTTCTTTTATTACTTCCACTTTCTTAATCTTTTGTGAACAAGTATTTGAGGAATAAGTGTGCATTTCTTTATTTTAGTTGCAACATTAGACTCTATTCAATGTCATTAACTATTTGACTAAAAAAAAACACTTATCTATTCTCTCAAAATTTAAATTGTGAGTTCATATGATAATGATGTGCTTTCACATTGGTATTAAAAGTAATTTATAAGCAATACCTCCTTCAAAGTATTGAAATATTTGAGCACAATTTTGTATAACAAACCGGCTATAATCTATAAGTAGGCTACATACATTTATTTAAAAATTTGTAACATGACGCAAGCTATTTGACGATAATAAATATGTCAAAGCTGTGAACACTTCCAAAAGCTTCTGCTTCCAATTACCCAATGCGGAAGTCTACAGATTTTTATCAAAAGTATTGGTACTGAAGTCAAATTCCAAAATCAAATGGGATGGAATCTTATCAAAAAATCAAAATACTGACTTACTATCTGCTTCTTCCTATTCTTTGTTTATTTAGTCTACTAAGATTGATTGAACAGGAAGTTTTGAATAAATTTAATGGTAAAACTTATATACAGTACCCCCAACATATTTAAAAATGTGTTAATAATAAAAATTATAATACAACTCAAAATTGCTGTTTTAAAACTAAAACTAAATTAAATCATCAACAGCTTCTTTTGAAATCAAGTTTTAAAAATTCAATCATTTCTCAACATCAATTGCATTTTCATAGATTACAATGTTCAAATCACCATATTTACAAACCATTTTCAAGAGATCATTTACACAATTAAAACAACAATCTTCAATTAGATCATATTCAATAAATAATAAATTTATAGCTACCAATTATTTCCCCAAATTTCATACAAATACATCATCATCATCAATTGTATCAACCTTAAAGTCATATTCTCAAAAGTCACAAAATTCATCAAGTTTCAGTTTATTATTAGCAAGTACTGGTGCAACGTTTTTAATTTTATCATCATTTTCCAAAAATTTATTTATAAATAATGATTCAGCAACTATTTTACCAAGACAACAAATCTCAAGTGATGTTAAAGTAAATAAAACAACAGGAAAAGTAGAAAGTAGATTTGGTGGAAATTTAAATTACGAAGAATTAACAATTGGATCAGTAACTGGATTATTTGTTGGAATTATATTAGGTAAATTATCTCAAGTATTTTTATTTATTTCTTTAAGTTCATTTTTTTTAATTGAATTTTTAGAAAATAGAAAGATTATTTCAATACCTTGGACTTCAATAATTTCAATTGGTTCAAAAAAAATTGATTTAAAACAATTAATTTTACATAATCCAAGTTTTAAAATTTCATTTATTTTAAGTTTAATTGTTGCTGCTTATAATGTTTAAAAAATATCATTAGCATTTGATTACATTTTCTTTTTAGGTTGATATTTTAATTAAATTGTATAACTTCTTAATAACAAGTTTGATATAGATTTTTGTGGAGTTGATGAAATTTCAATTACATTTTTTATTTGTTTTATATTTTCATTCAAATTAATATTGACATCTTCTTGATCAATTTCTAATTCATATTCAGGTTGGATTGGAATTGGAATTTTTTTCTTCTTTTTAAAAAATTTATGTTTTTGATCTTTTTCTGAAAATAATATCTCATACATTGAACTCATCAGATATTCGTCAAAGGTTAAAATATATTCATGTTCCATAATTTTCATATTTTCTAAAAATATTTCGTAATTGAAAAGTGATTCCATACTTTCATTACTTTGAATACTTGAAAATTTTGTCATTTCTTCACTTAATTTAAAATTTGGATTGTTTACAAAAATTCAATCTTGGCTTGGTAAACAGCTTCTTATATCGAATTTTCATCTGATTTGAAATGTATTTGAAATGTGGGGTTGTTTGACATTATTCATGAAAGTATAAAAATACCCCTTAAATCTTGAACTTTTTTTGATATGCTTGGTTTTTTTAAATCTGAGCGAATCTACAAGTATACATTTACATTTAACGAATAATAAAATTTTATTTTAGTCTATCAAAAATGCTATATATAAGTAACAAAAGCAAAGTTAGTTTAACCAGCCAAATACAACAACTAAAGTTCTTCTTCAATTTTTGGCATTTGAGCAAAAATATCAAATGAACCAGTTCCAACATTTGATAATTTTCCCATAACAATTTTAGCAGAAGGACTTTCTAATTCTTCTCTATCACCATCCAATACAGCTTTTGTTAAAAATTGACAAGTTGTTTCATATGACATTTTCATAAAACTTGAAGTTGATGAATCAATACCTTGTCTATTAAAAGCTAAATAAGTACCTTCTCTTGTCATCATATCTGCTATTAATTCTAAATGTCTTGATGAAACACTTATACCATAAGTATCGAAAACTCTATAAATTTCATTAACTATAGTGTTTCTTGCTGCTTCTACTCCATATGTATTTAATACTGATGCAATATCATTTGAAGTTATTGAATTTACATCAATAAAATCTTCTTCTTCCCACATTGCTTTGAAATTAACACCTTCAGTTGTTAATATTCTTTTACCTGAAGCATCAGGTTCTGGTCTTAAACATCTACCAATATTTGGAATTTGTCTAACAACAGTTTTTCTTAAAAGATCTTCAACAATATTTACCATTAATAATTTTTGAGTTTCATTACCATTTAATTCTAATTTAAATTCACACCATTCACCTTTTTCATCATCAAAATTAAAATTTGTAACCATATTATGATTCGATATAACTTCTGCTTGACGATCTTTTGCTGATTTTGATAATTCCGGTTTCTTATCCATATTGGTATCTCCATCTTCATCTTCTGAATCTGAATCTGAATCGTAATTACTAGAAGATGATTCTTTATCATCATCAGCATCTTCCATTTCTTCATCACTGGTTTCTTCTGCACGTTTCATAGTCTCAACTTCATCATCATCTGGTCCATCATATGATACTTGTTGTTTAGCTTTATTTTTCATATTTTCTTCTTCCGCATCATCTTCATCTACATCATCTTCATCATCAGATACATCTTTGATTTTACCACTAACAGTTTCCATATCAGTTTTACCTGCTGATTTACCAACAGTTGGCATATAATCTGGTTTCTTTTGTTTTTTAACTTCTTTAACAATTTGTGATTCCAAATGATGTATAAAATCTTTTGTAACAACATATTCTAATTGTTCTTTACTTATATCATATTCAGTTTCATATTCTTCTCTTGAATAAAAACCTAAATGTATAATATATGATCTACTATTTGATCCATTTTCATCCTGTGAAGTGGTTTCAGTAACAGTTACATTATCAACGAATTCAGACATAACAACTTTAGCAATTGATTTACAGAAAGCATCTGCTTGTTCATCAGTAACATCATTTAAAATAGGTAATGTCATTTGTGGGGTTTTGATAGCAGCTGAAGCAGTCATAATAATTTCTCTCATACGTGGTATACCTAAAGTAACGTTTGCTGCACCATGACCAGCGAAATGGAAAGTATTTAATGTCATTTGAGTAGATGGTTCACCAATTGATTGTGATGCAATAATACCAACTGATTCACCTGGATTTATTAATGATCTCATATATTTCAATTGCATCAATGCTTTAAATTTCTTTTCTGTTAATTTATTTGAAGATTTCGCTTCTTCTTTTGATTGTGCAAATAAATGTGGATGACTTGATATGAATGAATCTAATTTTTCTGAAAATTTTTCAGAAACTGCACCAAGATATTTGGATGGATTATAAACATTTAGTACGGGATCGTATTTAATATGTTGTTCGTAATGTGGTATGTCTTTTTGTTTCTTCAAAGCCTTTTTAACTTTTTTAGAATATGATGCAGCTTCAGTAGTATCTAAATTATCAATACCATCACCTGGATTATATTTAGCTAATAATGCATCATAATTTTCCAAACAAAAATCAAACTGATTCATATGAGATTGTTTTGTAGTATCTATTGAATCACCACCGTATAAGAATTGAATCATAGTACCATCACCATCTCTTACAGTATTATCATAATTAACATGAACACCTTCCAATTGTTTAGTTAAACAACGTTGTAAATAACCAGATCTAGATGTTTTTACAGCAGTATCGATTAAACCTTCTCTACCAGCCATACAATGGAAATAATATTCTTGTGGTCTGATACCTGAATAAAATCTTTGTTTAATATAACCACCTGCTCTTGCATCTGTTTCAAAAGATTTAAATGAAGGTAACGTTTTACCAGAAACCATTACTGGAACTCTTCTACCTTCTAATGCTTGTTGACCTAAAAGACACATAATTTGAGAAACATTAACATTTGAACCTTTTGCACCTGATAAAGCCATAGCTTGCATAGAATTATATGGGAATTTTTTCATTGTACCTCCAGGTACACATTTTGAAACAACTTGGGATGTAATAGCATTTACTTTGGATTGAGTTATAGCATCAAGTATACCTAATTTATTATCATCTCTTAAAATTTCTTCTAATCTTCTCCTTAATTCTTTATCATCATTTGGTGTATCATCTGATAAATTAGTAACTTCTGTAGCTGCAAGTCTACCAGTATCAACTGATGCCTTCAAAATATCTTTTCTCCATTCATTACCATCTTCAGTTAATCTTAAATCATCCATACCACAAGTAAAAGCAGTCATCATAATATAATTTGTAAATAATCTACCTAAAACACTTAAAGCTTTACCTGCAACATCTGGACCGTATACTTCATGTAATGAATGAACAATACCAAATTGAGATGCACCATATTGAGATTTATCTAATATACCAGATACTAATTCACCATTCTTGAATATGACTTCATTTTCAGTACTTTCCGCACTCCAATAATCACTTTTGATTTTATTTTTCGAAATTAAATTGACACCTGGAACACCATCTGGTTTAATATTCAATAAAATAGTGGTGATTACTTGTTTACCAGTCCATAAATATTCAGGTTTGACAGTAGCTGGTGGAACAGTTATTATTCTACTCCTTCCATTAGTATGACCATCTTCTGGTCTTATACATCCATAGATTAATTGTTGATAAGTTTCTTTATTGAAAAATGTATCTCTATTAGTTAACCAAACACCTGCTGAAATATGATCTTGAATTAACCCTCTTAAAGGAGCTCCTGAAGTTGGAGTTAAATATTGTGAATCAGTGTTAGCTAAATTTAAAGCTTCAGCTTTTGCATTTTCATTTTGTGGGAAATGCATATTCATTTCATCACCATCAAAATCTGCATTATAAGCACCAGTATTTGCATAATGTAATCTTAATGTTTTTTCACCTGGTAAAACTCTTACTTTATGACCCATCATTGAAGCTTTGTGTAATGTTGGTTGACGATTCATTATAACAACATCTTGATTTTTAATATGTCTATAAACTTTCTTGCCAACAAAAGTTGATGATCCAGATGGGGTTAATAATTGATTTGCTAATGCTTTTCTTTGTTCCAAACTCATACCATTTAAGTTGATTAATGATCCATCTTCATTTTGTATTTGTACTGCACCTGGCCATTTATCTGGACCATTGATAACAGCTTGTCTCAATTCTGATGCATTATGTGATGTAACTGGTTCTGGATAAGTTAACTTGGTTGCGAAAACTGGTGGTACACCAATTTCATTGGTTTCTAAATTGGGATCTGGTGAAATAACTGAACGAGCAGCATAATTAACTCTTTTACCCATCATATGTTTTCTAAATAATCCTTCTTTCTTTTCTAATGCTTGTTTAATACCAGGATTCGGTATTTTCCCAGCTGGTGCATTTTGGTTTTTTGTCGAATCTATAAATGCATTTACATCATTTTGTAAAGTTACAAATGAATTCATAAGTCTATTAAAAATTATTTTTTTTTGTTCTCCACTTAATTTTTCTTGATACATTTTGGATATTTGACTATTTAAATCTCTAATCAATACTGAAGTTTTCAAAATATTTGATAATAATTCATTTTGTGCATTTTCATGGATTTCTTCTCCTAATTTTGAAGGTAATCTGAATCTTGTTGGTGGAACTAGTATAGCTTGTTTGAAAAAAATATCACCACTTATTATTTCATGTTGATAAGGTCTTGAATGGAAAACTTTTTGTAAAACTGGTTGTTCTTTTTCAAAAACTGCTCTTATTACATTTCTTATTTCTGATGCCAATACATATTTCGATCCACTTTTATGTTTAATATTTGGAATATCACTTGCTCCACTATTTGACTTGGAGCCATTTTTTCTAATCATATCAGGTCTTTGTAAACCTCTTACTCTATTATTTGTAATTTGTTTATCAGTTAAAGAATTTTCAAAAATTTTAACAAATCCATCTTTTCTAAAACTTGGTGAATACATTCCACAATTTGAACATTTTGGTCTACCTAATAATCTTCTATAAAAATCGTGTATAGTTGCTTTTCTTTCTTCGCTAACTGATGCTGTTATTACTCCCTTTGTTGTAGTTCTTCCATCTTTCAATGCACATGATATTGCATTTTTAACAAATAATTCACGACGTGCTGTTAATTCTTTTCTTGATTTATCATCTACTGATGTTTCTTCTTCTTCATCTTCTTCATCTACATCATCTTCGGTTTTGGATTTCCCAGATATAGTCAAATTCTCCAATTCTATACATTCCAATAATAACCCATATTGAATTAATTGTAATTTGTATTTAAACAAGTCAGTTTCTAGTTGATTCAATTTAAATCTATGACAATATAAACAAGAACTTCTTAAGAAAATATATAATTGATTGAAAAACATTGGATTGTAAACAGGTACGGGTAATTCAATATGACCCATATGACCGGGACAAAATTTTTCATCTAGCCCACAAGTAGTACAAACATTTCTCAAAAATGCACCTAATGATAAATCATATAGACCACCATTTATTGGATGACCTAAATTATCAAATACTATTGGATTTGTGATTTGTTTTGCTGATAATTTGGCAACTTCTTCATCTGATAGTACACCAAAATCAACTGATGTAATTTCTGAACCTACTGGTCTCGAAATATCCATGATGACTTTTTATTTTATTGAAATTGATTTTTGGTTGTAAATTGATAAGTTCAAGATATTGATTGGATCCAATTTTTTTTTTTCTGCTTCTATAATTCTTTTACTCTCATCTCTCTTCTATTTATTAACAATTAGATTATTACACAAAATAAAGATACCTGAAACACTTGTATTATATACACACAAAGTAGTAAATACTGTAATCTCATACACTCAAATGTATCGGCAACTCGATTAATATCATGCTTAGAGATCAATTTTTTAGCTGATTTATGATAAATACAAACAATGTTTAAATTAAACAATACTATACAAAAGATCCTTCACCTCTCCATCACCACTTTAAATAAACCATATTAAAAAATCTTCTTAACAACACTTTTAGCAGCGTCAGCACCTGCTTTAACTCCTTTATTAGCACCTTTAAATCCTAAACCACCAAGACCTTTACCAACACCAGCTACTCCCTTAATACCAGAAACTCCTACTTGTCCAACATTACCTACAGTCGATGAACTTTTAGCTTTCACATTCAAGATGAATTCTGGTTTGAATGATATAGTAGCGTATGCAAAACCAGCTGGGTCACCTTCTTCACTTTCTAATGGAATTTCAACTTCAACTGGTCCTTCTTTCATATCGTATTTACTTAACTCAACAAATCCAATACCTAATAAATCATTTGCATCTGCCATATCCCAATCATAACATACAAATTTTAATACTGAATCATATAAATTAGCAACTTCAACTTGTGATGATTGATTCCATTTTGGATCAAGTGTTTTCTTAACTGTTTTACTTTTAAAGAAAGAATCCTTTTCTGTGTTTAAGTAAATTTTCATAAATGGATCTGAGAACCCATTCCTATCTGCTGATGGTAAACCTTTTGCATTTTGTAAATCCACAGATAAAATACCTGAATTATCAGCAGAATCTTGTGGTGGTATACCTGATTTATAGATTAATGGAATCCATGAAAACCTAACTTGAAAAGTTGCAGAACCTGAACCTTCTAAATCTATAGTCATTGGTTTATTATAGCCGTTTTGTAATAATTGTAATGTAGGAATTGTTAATTCCGCAACACATTTATCAACTCTATTATCATCTTTATTTTTAACTAATCTAAAAACTGTTTTAGACCATTCTAATTCAGTTATTGTTGAATCACCTGTTATTTGAATCTTACCATCTCTTTTAGTTAATTTAGTTGTAACAAAATCTGGATATCCTTGATTGCCTGAATATACTTGTAAATAAGTATCATTTTTGGAAATGGTTCCCTTTATAATTTCAAAAACTAATATACCACTCTTATATTCAATTAATTGATCTAATGATAATTTTAATTTATGACTATAACCTTCATCATCATCATCATCACTTTCTATTTTCTCTTTGTCTTTACTTTCTTCTTCTTTTAATTGTTGTGAACTTTCCATACCTGCTGGAGGTTTACTATCCTTTTTAAGATCTTCTAATTTTTGTTTCTCCTTTTGAGCATTTTGTTTATCTTCTTCTTCATCTTTATAATCTTGTAATGTCATAACTGGTAAACATGGATAAAATGATAAAGTATAAGTGACTGAACCTTTCGGTCCCTTTTTAGACACCAATTTATTTGTTCTTTGTTTTTTATCAACATGTTCAATATATTGACCTCTTTCATCCTTTTGAATAAATTCATTTAATTTGACATCAAATGAACCTAATGTACGATCAGCAGAATGTGATTCAACATCCATTACTTCAATTGTTAATTTTTGATTTGGAGATGAAACACTAACGTAATGGACTTCATTCCAAGTTGGATCTAATGAAGAATCAACTGCACAAGTTCTTGTTTTCTCGAACCCATTTAATAATATTCTTGCATATGGATCAACCTTACCAATAGTTTCTAAATTACGTAAATCTTCAGCATGTTCAAGATCAAGTCTAATAACACCAATAGGATTAGTGTAACCACCAGCACCACTTGCACCTTCTAATTGTACAGGTTTCCAACTAGTAACTATTCTAACTTCACCACCTTTACTTAATGGGAACCAAGTTTGTTCAACTAAAGTGGAATCAATTAATTCGGGTAATGTAGTATTGATTTTATCAATTGTTTTTCCATTTTGATCTTTTATAAGAACTTTAACTCTTGATTTAGCACAATTGAAAACAATTTGTTCAGTTGAAGCACCCCAACCTGGATTATTTGTATTTTTTTGAACTGGAGTTTCAATAACTGTTTTGTTATTGAAAATTAATTCAGCACTACTTGATGCACCTTTATCACCACCTTTCAAATGTCTTGCTTCGGCTATTTCAATTCTAGCAATACCAGTATTTAAATCTGGTGGAGGTTGGAAAGCGCCATCAGCTTGTTTTTCTGGTTCTAAAGCTTTCATATATTTAACACCAAATCTAAGTTCACCAACTGGTTTATTGTTTCTTAAAAATGCAGCTGTAAGATTTGGTTGTTCTGGTTTATCAATTAAAGCTTCTAAATCAAATTGAACTGCACCAACTTGTCTATCTTTTCTAAATTCATTGTAATCAATAACAGTGATAGTCAATGGTTCTGATAATGATGCAACTGGAATATATACAGTTTCATTCCATTTTGGTGCATCTGTATCACTAATTGTTTTAGTTCTAGCTAATACTTTATTTCTGAAACCAAAAGTTAAATATGGATCTAATGTATTACCTAAAGTTTTAAAACCTTTCAAACCTCTTGCTGAACCAGCAGTAATTGCTAATACACCAATAGCTGAATCCAAACCGTTACCTAATAATAATTGTTGAACATTTAATTGGAAAGACATTGGATTAAATAATATTGGACCAACATATTTTTTAACCATTTCATTAATTAATGGATATAAACCTGGAAAAGCTAAAACTTCCCACCACCATGAACTTTCTCCTAAAATTTTAGTATTAAAATCATATTTTGGTGGTTCAAGCATTGAAACATTTACAGTTTCAATATGAGGAAATGATGTCATTAATCTTAATCTAATTCTAGCTAAACCTTTAAAAGAAACATCCGCAATAGTGATTGGTAAAGTAATTCCAAAAATTGTTGCCTTAACTACAATATTTTCATTAACATTGTTTTTTAATTGTTTATTGTTAGCATCAACATTAGCATTTGGAGTAAATGAAAATCCCCAATCCATTACAACAACATCATCTGCAGTACCAATTAATGTTTTAACTTGATCAATTCTTGGAGGTTTAGTTCCTAATGTAAAAGTATCCAACCATACAGATTGTACAAAAGCTGGAATTGGTAAACCTGCTAAAATTGGATTTGCTTGATCACAAACAATTTGAGAAATTGAAGGTTCTAAAAAATACCAAAATTTTTCTAAAAAATAATTACACCAATCCATTGTTTCATAATCATCTTCAATTCTTTTAACTGAGAATTCTCTTTGTGCATGTTCTCTTAATACACCTCTATATTTTTTAACTGAAGCACGATATAATAATCCAAATATTACCATTACAAAGAATAATGGAGCAACTGAAAATCTAAACCATCCAATTATCCATGATAATAATCCACCAAGAATTAAAAATGCTGTATTATGATACCAATCTCCATACATAACAGCCGGTAAATACTGATCGAATATAGACCCTTTTGATAATAGATCAATTGATTCATCAGCTGCGGTTAAAGCATCGTCAGCTTCATATCCACCAACTTCTTTCCAACCTCTAAAAGTTGGATCAACTGGCTGTCTTGGTGGAGGCTTACTTTTAACATCAGACATATCATAATCAGGACTTGGTTTTAATCCTGCACTATCCTGTTTACCAAAAACTGATGACATTCGATTTGCTTCAAAATCTTCTGATTGTTGTGATTTTTCAGTATCTGTTGTCTTTTTAGGTTGTAAAGATCTATTTTCATTTGAACGAGTTGAAGCTGATGGTACTAATGGTCTATTCAAATAATCAGCATTTGGTTGTTTAAAATCAGATTGACGTGCATTAACATTATTATGAAATCCATCTTCTACTGATGGATGTGGTAAATCCTTATTATTGCTACTATGATTGTCACTATTAAAACTTTTATTACTAGTATTTCCATTTGCAATACTAGTTTTTGATTTATTTGATTCTTGATCTTTTATACCATTTTGTTTTAATTCTTTTATTTTATTTGGTTCTAAAGCTTCTTCAGGTGATGGAGCTTGATCAATTTCAACTTGTTTTGGTGGTGATAAAAGGTCATTTGGCTGAAATTGATGTTAGTAACTTCACTAATTTCAAATAGATCATTAATTGGTCTGCAATCAATTTAAATTATTAAAATATAATAACATACATTTGAAGCACCTCCTGCATCAGGAGCAACACCAGCATCAGCCATATTTGATTAATTAAATAGTCAATTGAGTTGATAATTAATTAATTGATATATCAATTGATAAGAATAAATATATAGCTAGATTAACTTGTAATAATGTTTAAATAATTATGGTTAATATTAATAATTTTTTTATCTTTTTCACTTATTATTAGTTTTAATATTGCTATTAAAATTAAATTTATTATTTTTAAAAATTGGTTTCGAGATTATGAGAAAAAATAATATGAAATTTTCAATTCTACAATTTACGAACAATAATAAATAGATATTTATTATTATTACTTTTATATAATTTGAACACTATTGGTAATATTGTACTTCATGAGATCAACATGTAGATTTTATTTAGAGTTATTTTAATATTTATCATCTTGAGTTAGATTAAAATAGATTAATAACTGAATTAAATTTGATATATTATAATTCTAAATTTATTATAATATTAGAATTAAAATAAATAAATAATAAAAATCTATCTTTTGTGTAGCCGTTTCATATTATTATATATATTTTTTAGTTAAATTATTTTATACAAAAGTGATTTATATTATAAAGTAATCATAATAGATTCTAGTACAAAGAGAATATATGATTAGTTATTGGATTTTGATATAGAAAAAATCAAGTAGTGTTCAATATCGACAGGAAAGTAGAAGCTTATTGTTACCCCTAAATATTGAATTTGGGTTTTTTCAATTCAAATTTACTGCAAATAATTTAAGATATTGAAAGAAAAAAGGAAATTGGAGTTTGAGAATCAAATTATCAAGTTTGTAAACCTGTGAAACTTAATGAATGTCAAAAGTATATCTGATCCAAATGAATCTACTACAAGATTCAAATCATCTAACATCTTATTAATGATTCATAAGGAAGTCTTAAAAGATTCCAAATCATCTCAATTGGTAGCCGTATAATATTATATCTTATCTATTAAATCTTTTCCATCGGACCAAAATTTAAAATATCTTGATAAATTAATAAATTTCAAATTATTAAAATTATAATGTACCGAGTTAATCAAGTCCAATTATTCTCCATCATTCATCTATTAGATATGGTTACATATCTTCTTAGAATTGAACATAGATATCCCTTTTTAATACTCTATATGTTACAAAATATTATTAATTTGTATGGAAAAAAAAAAAAAAATTCTTATATGCAAGAATTAAGATGAGTATTATTTATTTTTTTAATATTAATATTAAGTTACCAATTGAAAATTTCTGACTTCTAATTTATCATTCCATTAAAGAACTTTTTTTTTTTTTTGGCAGTGTATTATTAAATTAAATAACATTCCCTATTTTTATATTCATTTGATTTCATTAATAGAATTAACTAAAGATGTCATCAACTAATATTGAAGATGTACCAATTGAAGTTTCAAAAGTTTTTGATACTATTTTGGTATTAGATTTTGGTTCACAATATTCACATTTAATTACTCGTCGTTTAAGAGAATTTCAAGTTTATGCAGAAATGTTACCATGTACTCAAAAAATTGCAGATTTGACTTGGAAACCAAAAGGTATTATATTATCTGGTGGTCCTTATTCAGTTTATGATAAAGATGCACCACATGTTGATCATGAAATTTTTAAATTAGGTGTACCAATTTTGGGTATATGTTATGGTATGCAAGAATTAGCTTGGATTAATGGTAAAGGAGTTGCAAGAGGTGATAAAAGAGAATATGGTCCAGCTACTTTAAATGTTGAAGATGAAAATTGTGAATTATTTAAAGATATTGATCATTCACAAGTATGGATGTCTCATGGTGATAAATTACATGCATTACCTACTGGTTTCAAAGTTGTTGCAACTTCTGATAATTCACCATATTGTGGTATATCAAATGAAAAAGAACAAATTTATGGTATACAATTTCATCCAGAAGTTACTCATACTTTACAAGGTAAAAAATTATTAAAAAATTTTGCTGTAGATATATGTAAAGCAAATACAAATTGGAGTATGGAAAATTTTATTGATACAGAGATTGCAAGAATTAAAAAACTAGTTGGTCCAACCGCTGAAGTTATTGGTGCAGTTTCTGGTGGTGTTGATTCAACTGTTGGTGCTAAAATTATGAAAGAAGCAATTGGTGATAGATTTCATGCTATTTATGTTGATAATGGTGTTATGAGATTAAATGAAACAGAACAAGTTAAAAAGACTTTAGATGAAGGATTAGGAATAAATTTAACTGTTGTTGATGCTGGTGATTTATTTTTGGGTAGATTAAAAGGAATAACTGATCCAGAAAAGAAAAGAAAAATTATTGGAAATACTTTTATACATGTTTTCGAAGAAGAAGCTGCAAAAATTAAACCTCATGATGGTTCAGAAGTTGAATATCTTTTACAAGGTACTTTATATCCAGATGTTATTGAATCTATATCTTTTAAAGGTCCTTCACAAACTATTAAAACTCATCATAACGTTGGTGGTTTATTAGAAAATATGAAATTAAAATTAATTGAACCTTTAAGAGAATTATTTAAAGATGAAGTACGTCATTTAGGTGAATTATTAGGAGTTCCAGAAGATTTGGTATGGAGACATCCATTCCCAGGTCCAGGTTTAGCTATTAGAGTGCTTGGTGAAGTTACAAAAGAACAAGTTAAAATTGCTAGAGAAGCAGATGCTATATTTATTGAAGAAATTAAAAAAGCAGGATTATATAGACAAATATCTCAAGCTTTTGCTGCTTTATTACCTGTAAAATCTGTTGGAGTAATGGGTGATCAAAGAACTTATGAACAAGTTATTGCTTTAAGAGCTATTGAAACTGTTGATTTTATGACTGCTGATTGGTTTGTATTTGAAGCTCCATTTTTGAAAAAAGTTGCTTCAAGAATTGTTAATGAAGTTGATGGAGTTGCTCGTGTTACTTATGATATTACTTCAAAACCACCAGCAACTGTTGAATGGGAATAGATATTCTAACGTAGTTTAGTAAAAAATAATGAATATGTAATAATAGAATACCAGGTACTAAATTTTGTAAGTTTTTTGTCTTAATACTGTAGCCACTATGAGGGATTCATCATGAGATATACTTAAATGAAACTCTTCATCTTTACCGTCATATGAATCACTCCAAATAAAAGGTTTTCCATAAGAATCATGATATCGATACCATTGATTAAAATTGAATTGCTTTTGATCTTCAGGTCCCAAAGTCTTAAATAATGCTTCTTTAGCAGCCCATGATCCCGTAATGTATTGTACTTGTCTTTCTGAAGTTAAAGTTTTGAATTTGGGTATTTCATGAATAGGATTTAGTATACGATCACATAATCTAGATGTAAATGTTGATGATTTTGTTGTTAGTAATTTGCTGAATCTTAAAGAATTGATAATATCTATACCGATTCCTAAGGTGATACCGACTTTTCTCATTACATTGAGCAGCAAATGATGACAATAATGTTGCAAATGATCGTATATTTCCGTTTGTGCTTTATTTGCGTCTTTTGCTCATACAAGATTTTTTTGTTTCAAAACTTGAAAATTATTTTGGCAACCAAACGATACTCCACCAGATCTCCAACTATATTCCACCAATAAAGCAATGGCTTCATCAATAAGTGGTCCAATACCCTTACCGCAATCCAAATATGATTTAAACACATACTGGGGAAGAGTAAAACATTGTGCACAAATTTCAGATCCAACAATGTTATTAAACACTTCTAAAGATATTCAAACTGCAAAAACAATGATTTGGGATTATAAAAATGGTGTAACTCACTCATGGAGTCCAGAACTTTGGAGAGCTAAAAAAGTACTTGATTCAACATTACATCCAGATACTGGAGAAACGGTTTTTTTACCTTTTAGAATGTCAAGTTGTGCGTTGTCTAATTTGGTGGTTACTGCTGGGATGCTTACACCAAATTTAGGTACTGTAGGGACATTATTTTGGCAAATTGCTAATCAAAGTTTAAATGTTGCTATAAATACTGCTAATTCAAATAAATCACATCCTTTAACTACAAAGCAAATTATAACAAATTATACAATGGCAGTTACTGCTTCATGTACTGTTGCATTGGGTTTAAATTCGTTAGTTCCAAGATTGAAAAATATTAAACCAAATACAAGAGTTATACTAGGTAGATTAGTTCCTTTTGCTGCTGTTGTATCTGCTGGTATTGCAAATGTTTTCTTAATGAGAAGTGAAGAATTGAAAAAGGGAATTTCTGTTTATGATAAAGAAGGTAAAGATTTAGGTAATTCTAAAATTGCAGCTTGGTATGCTGTGGGAGAAACTGCAGCTAGTAGAGTAATTAATGCAACTCCAATTATGGTCATACCGCCAATCTTATTACTCAAGTTACAAAAGACAAAATTTTTAAGAAATAAACCAAAGTCCGTTGAAATTGCAACTAATATTGGTTTAATTTTTATTACTTCTTTAGTGGTGTTACCTTTTGCATTAGCTGTTTTTCCACAAAGAGAAACTTTGCCAGTAAGTAGATTGGAGAAAAAATTTCAGGATTTAAAGAATAAAGAAGGTCAAAAAATTGAAGTTGTTGAATTTAATAGAGGTATATAAATCTAACAAACGCTTAATACTTGTATATAATACCATATGCTTTTCGTTGTATTTTATTACATGTCTGGTGTGTAAGTTCAAAAATAAAGCCAGATTAAATTTATACTTTCTTTTTTAATACTTCTAATTGGAGCTTTTTGCTCACCAATACTTCCATTCAGGCACATTTTCAACAGCCAAATTTTTTTCGATTTCATCACGATTAGTATGGCCACAAAAAGATTCTGTAGTGAAAATTTTCTTATTTTTAACATCATCATGAAATAACATTCCAACCCCTTTACCACCTAGTGAAGTTTCAAAACTATCAAAACCTTCTTTTTCAAACTCCAACATTGCACCATGTATTACAGATTCTTCAACATCATCATTTAATAAAGTTATAGCACAACCTCCACCACCAGCTCCCGTCAATTTTGTTGCACCAATTTTCAAATTATCACCAATTATTTTAACTTTCTCCAATGATGGATGTGAAACACCCAACGCTACCAAAAGCCCGTGATTTATTGTTACTAATTTTCTTAAAATAGCAGTTTCTTCTGATCCAAAACCAGGTCGTATCATTACTTGATAGGCTTCTCTAGCTAAATGTTCCATAGCATCTAGTATTGAAGAAATCATTCTATCATATTCTTTATGTAACTTACCAACTCCTCCAACTAAGTCAGCAGTACTTTTGGGAACTTTTGTATTTGTCAATAATAATTTAATAGCGGGAAAACTTCTCATATTGGTCCTTATTGATGGTTTTTCAGGCATTGATGTTCTTTGAAACATAACTGCACCACCATGGGTAGCAACTGCATTATCTATCCCTGAAGGATTACCATGAAAACATTTTTCACCAATTAATGACCATTTATCTATAAAATTTAATTCTGCTATATCTTCAATTGGTGATTTTTCTGTAGAATGTACATTTGGATCTTTTATCCAACCTCCTAATTTTGATAATGCTGCTGATAAACAAACAGATGTTGATGCTGATGAACCTAAACCTGCTCCAATTGGTAAAGTTGATCTCACTATGAATGTCATCCCAGGTATATCTTTGTTACATAAGCTGATATATAAATACAAAAAACAGAAGCATGCTATGTAATGCATTTTGTTGTCGAATCCATCTAGTAAATGAGATAGTTTGTCCACTATTTCAGGTATTAATTCACTCGGTATTTCTGGTTTATCGTCTGTGCCAATCTTTAAATATTCTTTTATTTCATTCCACGGTAAGTTATTTTTATCCCAAGAATGGTCTAATTCTATATCGGGAAATTCTAATCTTAAAGTATTTGTATCATTTGAGGGAACGACTAATAAATAACATCTTAAACTTAATGCAGCTGCAATTGCTGGTTTACCATAAACTGCAGAATGTTCCCCAAATATAATGACTTTCCCAGGTGCGCTAACTATGAATGGGGGCAAATTACTCGAGGGCATGTGTTGAATAATTGAGTGGTGGTTTTAAACGACAAGTTTAATGTATTTTTGATATTTTGAAAATTTGGTTGTAAAAAAATTAAAAACTTAAAACATCAACACTACGAAAAAAATAAAGAACAATATTTCATCTTAAATATTTAGCAGCAACAACTTATTATCACAACGAGTCAATTGTGCATTCTCACGAATAGAATAAGGTCAACCACGTAGACCATGAGTTCATCTATAACAAAAAGCAAAGGCTCATCAAAACTACCTTTGAAACCAATTCAACCAACTCAATACTGGACTTTTGAAAATGCATTGAATTTAATTAAAACATGTGAAGATCCATATTTATTAGATGCGTTGGATGATTTTTTGTTATTGATAAAAGATGTAATACTAGATCCACAACCATTTAGAGCAACAAATAAATCCATAAAGATTAAATCAGATACGAAAGAGATCTCGATTCATAGTATACTATATACTGACATAACACCTAAAATGGTTGAAGATGGAGAAATCATTAGTACAAAGTTGGATCTTGATATTAAAGAAGTAATTAGAGTAATAAGTCAAACAAGCAAAAAAATCCCACCAAAGTCAAGTCCCAAACTAAATTTCAAAAGCAAATTATACGATGAAAAAGATCACGAATTTGAATCTGAAAACATTAACCTTTACATACTAAATATTTTAAGAGAAAGAAGGATTGTCTTGAAAATTGCATTGGAGCTTGCAAATAATAAAACAAATCATTATGCGTCATCAGTAATACGAAATATTGGCAAAGAATTATTTTTGTCGGACTCATACCTCAAATCATTACTTAGTTCAATTAAAAGTACAGCACTGTTTTTAATTAGCGAATCATACAGTACCGGATTATCAGATCAAATAGATCAAACTATATACAACGAGACTGTTATATTTCTCATTCAATCTTGTAAATTATTAATTGAATTGTCAATACAGAATCCTTTGGTAAACAAGTTAATAGTAAAAGAATGGTTTGAGCTTTTACGTGTTACAAAATTTGGAGTAGCATTGGGTTCTCAAAGATTATATCAGGAAGCATATGAATTAATACAAGCATTATTCACAGTAATAACAGTTGAATTTTTGGATCTTGAGAACGCCTATGAATCTGAAAATGAAAATAAGGATTCATTTTTGGGTGACCTAGAAACATTTGAATTTATCAATAATATTTGTACCAGTGATTACAACAATAACTCAGTAATAATATTTAGTTGGACAATCATACTATTAAGAAAATCTTTCTTCCTTCAAGAGAATCCAGACTCTCCCGTATCTAAAATTTTTGAATCTAAATTCAGTATCTCATCAATTGATAGAATTGTCAATCAATTGAATAAAAAGAGTCTAAATTTCGATGTTTTTGGTTTATTAAGAAAAGTTAATGATTTATTGAAATATGATCCTTTGTATTCTGCTATATTATCAACAGTCATAACTTCATCAGTGGCATTATTAGAGCTCACACCTGAGATTACTGGCACAATATTATGTGTGATACGGAACTGTCCAAATAATATTGTTGAAAATTTTTTTAGTAATGAAGCTACAATTGATACCTTTATAGTTGCAAGGGCAAAATTCCCACTTTTATTATCTCCATATATCAAATTGGCATCCATCAATGGTAATTTTGCATTACATGAATTTAATGATTTGAAATCATACATTCAAAACTACAAAAAGGACTACTTCACACAACAATATCAAATAGATGAACAAAATCCAGAACTAATACAAATTACAAATGAACTCAATGTATATCCACCATTTGAGTCAAATAATAAATTAGCAATGGCTTTAACAACAGGAACAAAAGCAAAAATCTTACCAGCTGCAAGTCAGGATGAAGTTTTGGTAACGTTTCTTTATCAATATAACGGCTGGGCTTTTGTTGGTAGGGTTTTACAAAATCTTCTGAAGAGCTTTAATAATAAAGATGTGTTAAAACAAGAGATTATTGTTGACATTTTAAATTTGATGAATAACGTTGCGTTAGATAATGGTACTGAAGAACTTAAATTAATGTTAGAGTCCATGTCAGCATATACTGATGATACTGATATTTTGGAAATTGTACTTAGCTTTTTGGAACAATCATTGCACTCTAGAGATGTTTCAATATTGACTGCTGCAATGAATTTGTTGACAACATTATTGCCAGTTGTTTCCAATAGAATATGGCCATATTTAGCAAAATCTGCATTACTTTCCAGAGATGGTAAAGAAGGATTGGCTTCGGTTATTTTTGGTGCTGTGGAGATGGTCAATGGAGAGTATAAATTTTCAGCCTCACTCATAAATTTTGCTTCATCATTGATAAAGGATTGTATGTCATTAGAGAATAATTATCCATCAAAAACAAAGAGTGATTATTTATACAAAATTTCAGGTCATTTAGTATTTTTATTTGAAAATATTTCCTTTTGTCGTTTTAATCATTTTAGTGAAAAAATGCAGATAAGTATATCATTATTGAAATTTTCTTCCACAGTTTTAACTACAGCGTTTGGAGTTCAAGAGGGAACTATTCCAGAAAACAAAATTACAAATGTATTTGCTTCAAGTGCCAAATATATACTAGAGTCATTTTCGGCAATTTCAATTAATTCTGCTCGTGCAATCATACCCTTGCTAAATGTTATAGAGGCAGTGTCGCTGAACTTAAACTTAATAGAATTATCTGACAGTACAGGAGCTTGGTACGATAATTATATAAAATGCTCATTCACATTTTCAAAACTAATCATTGACTTGAGAAGTAACTTGAAGTTAAAACCACTGGCTTTTGAACGTGAATTATTTAAAAACTCGGTTCAGTTGGTCAAGATATTTGCAGGTGTTGAATCCTACAGAACTACATCCTTAGATTTGCTTACCAGTTTAGTGGGTGCTGACTGGCTTGATGAAGCAACTCCTTCGTTATTATCGAATTTGGGAAGTAGTGGTGCTCAGATATTGAAAAATTCCTTAGCAGTTGGATTAGATAATTCTTTTGATGATTACAAGGTTAAAATCTCATTGGATGATTTTATATGTGCTGTAATGAGCAGTACTCAAGAAGGATTAATTGTTTTATTTAATACTGGAAAAGATGCATATGAAGATCAAAAGAATGATATCAAGAAAGAACCAAAATTATCATTAGTTCAGATTTTGAAGAAAAATTTAAGGGAAATTAAATACTATCCTAATTCAGTCAGTATACACTTAATTGATGCTATAGCTTTATCTTGCAATTCATGGACAACTGTAAAAGAAACAAAATTTGATGAAGAATTTATTGATTTATTACTAGATAGAATTAAAATACAAATCACAGATCCACCAAAATCAATCGAAGGTTACGTTAGCAGATGCTATGAAGTTAAGCGTGTTTCAAAGATCGCAGATATATTAGCATTATATTTATTTACCACAAAAAATGAAAAATGTAAAAAGAAAATAATTGATTCAATTAATTCAAAAGAATTCATTGAAGTAGCTGAGAATAAATTTGAAATTCACAATTACCAAGCGTCTTTACAAACTAATTTAGAAGATTCTTTCCATTCAGCTTATCCAAATTTAAAGCTTTCACAATTTACTACTTCATTGCATAAAAGAGATGAAGTCAGTTCCGGTGCAATTTACAACTTGAAATTAATGGATATATTGTTCCAAAATTCAAGTGAATGGACCCAAATTAAAGAACAAATCATAGCATCAAGTATAAATACACAATATCTGGAAGCTCAATTGAATGGTGCACAATCATTTAAAGTTTTATTGACTAGTTTTTGTCGTCGATATGAAGGTAAATTGGTTGTTGAGTATCTAAATTTTATCAACTTTTTATTAAAAACTAATATTGACGAAAATTTACCAACTGAACAATTCAGATCCATATATTTTGAAAGAATTGACTTGGGCTTTTATTTAATTTATTCATTCTTCACAAGAAAAGTTGAAAGTCAAGGAGAAAAAGTATTGGAAATTTTGAAAAGTGCAAGCACTTTATTAACTTCAAATGGTATGAACTTTGCATCAGACTTATCTTGCTCAAGTGGAACATATAGACCATTATTACGAATCATATTCTGTGCTTTGAATATGATAGAAGATAATTCATCAATAATTTTAGGCTTTTCAAGTTTATTTGAAAATTTATTCGAATCAATAGTTACAAAAAGTATAAAAGTTTTATCAATTGAATTACAAAATGATATATACCTATCTAAAAATAGTGGTAAAAAGGAATTGTCATCAAAAGTGTATGAGGAATATGATGATTTATCATTAGTTTTATCAATTCTTAAAGTATTTATGAATTTAAAAACAAATGGACCAATGTTGAACAACAAAATGGCATCATTAATTGAACAGTCCAATACTAGCAAGACATTAATTAATATGTACACATATTCATATCAAATTGAAATAAATGAAGAATTTGGCTTTGCTCAATTAAGTTTAATGTTTTTATTAGAATTTATGTCAATCGAATCAGTTGCTAATAGTATTATTAATTCTGGATTATATGTTACATTATTAGAAAGTCCAATTTCGAAACCAATAAGAAAAGGAGAATTATCAATTACAAATAATACTAAATATTATAAATTGTGGATAAATGGAATTTTACCAATAATTATAACAAGTATTTATAAATTAGGTGCAATAGTAGTACCTGAAATATGTGTTGCTTTACAATTATTTGAAAAACAAATTGATTTTTGTTTTAATAGTTGGAGTAATGATTCATCAAGTATTAAAATTTCATCAGCAATGTTAATTGAAACTAATCAATTAATAGTCATTTATGATTTATTAAAAGCAATGAATGTTGAAGAATATTTAAAAACTCAATTACCTCATATTATTTTGGGAAATGAAGATATAGATATGAGAATACTACCAGGTATTGAATCAGCATCCAAAAGAGATGATTTTATTGATTGTATTGATAATTTATTAAAACATCCTAAATTTTTAACATCTCGTATTATCCCCAGTTCAAATGAAGAACAAGTTTTATTTGAAAGAGGTGGTTTAGAATTTGATAAATTTGTTAAAAAGATATTTGAAGAAATTAGAGGTTTGAAAACTATTATAAGTGATGATTAAAATTGTTTGAAATTAAAAGTCAAAAGTATTTAGTATTATATAAATAATGCAAAATGTAATTTAGATTTTTTAGAAGTAGTAATTCTTATTGGTATCTAAAGGAATTAAGTCATCTTCAGTAGAAGGATCACTCAATTTTATTTCAAATTCTTTTACGTATCCAGGTGATCCTTCAATAGTAGTATTGATAATACTTGGTAATTTATCTTTTGATCCTTGAACTTTACCCAGTATCAAATTTCGCCAACTTTGATGACATTCTTCAATAATAGTTATAGTTTCATCAGCAGATTTATAATTTCCACCAAATGCAAATTTATTTTCAGGTTTTGAATCAGCTAATTTATAATCTTTAAACCATTGTTTTGTTGCTTCCAATAATCCTGGACATTTCCTTCTTAATTCCTCTATATCATTTACTTGTGAAGCTAATTCATCTTCTATATCCACTACTATAACTTTCCAATCTAATTCTCCATCATCAATTAATGCTAATGATCCTAAAATTTTACATCTTTTCACATCACCAGTTTTCAAAATATTCGATCCAATTTCGCAAACATCTAATGGATCATTATCTCCATACAAGTCATAATGTTTTACAAATGGATCCTCCCAAGTTTGTGGGAATGCACCATAATTATGAATATATCCATGATGAGGAAATAAATTTTTAACAAATCGAACTTTACCATTTTTAATATCTTGTATTATGGGATTACCAGGTGTTTTTGTAGAAATTTCAAATTTTGCATTTGACCAACGTGGAATTTCACATATAAAATTTGCTTCTTTTGTTTGTGTGTTTAAATCTAATGAAATATCATGAAAATATGATAAAATTTTTGGTTGTTCGGAATCTGATTTTTTAGTGGTTGCGTAATTTGCATAAGTTGCTGAATATTTTTTACCTTGTGAAGTTGGTATTATAATTGGTTTTTCTGATGATGTTTTAATTGTAGTCTGTGATGGAGTTGATGATGATGAACTGGTTCTGGATTGAGTTAAATGTCTATTGGTTAATGAGAGTCTCGCTATAGCTGGATTTATATTATTATTCGTCATTACTTTGGTTTTATATAGTAGACTTGAGTATTTTTTCATGTTTCAGAAATATTTATTTAAGATTTTGTTATCAATTTTTGAAATTTAATAAATTATGCTTTTAAATTTTTAGTGGGGAAATAATTAAAAAGTTTTTTTTTTGATTGTTTTGTCATATGAAACATTTATTTTTATCTCGGTTCACTTGGTTGCCTAAAATTAAAATTTATAACGATAAGTTGCAAAAAATACTTTTAAAGAGGTTGAACAAACGTACCAAAGAAATCTCCCTCCTACATAGGTTTTTGTTGAAAATCGAATTGATTATTCATATGCAAATTCTATATATATATATATTATAATAATCTAATTTGGTGGTTTACCAAAAAATACAATTTTTCCCTTTTCATTAAATCCAGCATTTTCATCACTTATATCGACAACAGAAGATAAATCTTTAATTTCTATACTAGCTAAGTTCATTGGATCTCTTGGAATCCAAACACCAGGACATTTTGCTGATATTGCTGGTGCGTCATAAGCATGTTTATTATCTTTTATATCTGGTTCAACGTTACATATTGCTGGTAATAATCTTTTGCTATGTCTATAATTTAAAAATACGTCTGGTCTTAAAAATTGAACTATTGGGTTTTTCAGTTCTGTATGTTTTTTATCACGATCAGCTAATAATGGAACTACTGATATTCTTGAAATGTCAATATCTGCTTCATGATCATATTTGGTAATTTCATGTTCAAGATCTTCTTTTAATATTTTTTCATTAATTTGTTCTTGATTATATTTTCTTTCAAATTTTGGATCATGATGATGTCTTTTTTTATCTAATATTTTATATTGAAATTCTGATGGTCCATTATAGGATGCAGTATTTGATATACCATCTAATGCTCTCATACAATCTAAGGGGACAACTTCTAATAAATGATGGAATGCTTGGTATAGATGAATATGAATGAAAACAGTTGCTATAACTCCAATAAGTTGTAAAACAATTGGTCCCCAACCTTTTCCAACAGCAAATATACCTAATAAACAAACTTGACCAATGTAAAGTCCAGTAAAAGTTTGAAATAATGCTTTTGGGAAATGTTGACCTCTTGTATCTGGACATTCATCAAATACATAAAGTAAATTATGACAATAAGCAATAAATAACAAAAAGAACCCAACACAAGCAAAAGCTATAATTAATGGTGATATAATTGAATAAGCTAATGTAATACAACATAATTGAGTTGCAATGGGGAAAGTTGTACCATAAGACATTGTACCTAATCCACTAAATCTATTCCATTTTTTTTTAACAGTATTATCTAATAAATAACCAAGAATATAATATAAAAATAATCCAACAATCTGGAATAATGAACCACTAGAAATTGTTAAACCTTGTAATGCTAAATATGAAATATAAAAATTTGAAGATAATGGTAATTTCTCAGCTAATATATTCATTGCAGAAGTTGGTTTTTCAACAATTTGAGTCACAGTAGCAGTTGCAGAAGAAGCTAAAGCAGTAACCAAAAAACCATTAACCATTAAGAAACCAAAATATGCAGTTTGAGTATATAATTCAATACTTTGATAAGATATAGCACCAGCAATTTTAGCCCCAGCACGAATAAACATTGGTAATAAAAGCATCAATATAGATAACATAGCAGTTGGTAAAATACCAGTAACAATACCTAAAATTTGACTTGGCATTCTTTCAATCCATGCTAACCAAGGTAATTTATTTGTTAAATAGGTGAAATTTGAAATTACACCTACAAATGCTACTGGAATAGCCCAGAATATAATTAATGCAATTATTGCAGAAATCGCTAAAGTTCTTCTTGTAATTCTTTCCCACCAAAACATTCTTAAATTAATCCAATTAATATCTGCTGGTTCAATTCCAATATAAGCAGGTGACATTTTCAATGGATTATGATGAATTGTTGATTGAAAAGCTAATTGTGCATAATATTGATTTTCAAATTCAACAAATAATGAATTTGATGGAATTTGATGTCTAAATTTTCTTTGTAATTGTTTAACTTCTTCATCTAATATTGGAATTTGTTCTTTACAATATCTTATAGTGTCTTCCTTTTTAGAGAATAATCCACCAGTTCTCATTCTTGGTCTTTTCTTTTCTGGTACATAAGAACTAATTTCATCAGCTGGTTCAAGCACAATACCTTTTTTATCAGCTTTCATTTTAGCTTTTACAGCTAACCTTAATAATTTATTTTCCGCAATTTCTAATCTATTAACCATTGCTGCTCTTTTTTGAACTTTATGCTCCAATTGTCTTGCAGTTCTTGCTACATAAATTCTTTTAACTCCATTGAAAATTTTATAAATTTGTTTTTCATCTAATAACATATCTGGTACTCCTTGAAATAAAACAGTTCTAGAAGATAATTTTCTTGCATATTTTGGTGATGATAAAACAACATTCTTTAATGAATTATAAAAAAATAATTCTCTATAAATGACAAACATAATAATACCATACCATACCCAACCAATTAATACATGAGCATAATATCTTTTTTCATGTTCAACATTTGCAATAGATAATTGATCAAATCCACTTAAACCTTTCCCATTAGTTGCATTAATAGGCAATAAAACAATCCAAATTAATAAACCAGATAAAAATAAATATGCAAATATTTTCAAGTATCGAAGATAAAAATAACCATCTAAACCAGCTTGTTGTAATATAAAAGATTGAGGTTTAGTTAATAATATAAATATCCATCTTATTGGATCTTTTGGTAATGGTTCAGGTTTTTTATCTTCTGGTACTAAATTAAAAGAAGATTTTGGACTATAAATTCTTTTAAATTTTAATCTTAATATTAAAAAACAAGTTACAAATGTTCCAAATAATAATAAATTTGCAACTAATGTTGATACAACTGTTGATGTTGATTGTGAACTAGATGCAACCATCTTTTGAAAGGAGTAGAATGAAATTTAGAACGAATGAATTAATTAGTGATTTGAAGTTATGTGGTCGAGGAATGAATAAGTATTTAGTAATAAATTGAATAGTTGAATTAGTATACAGATGATAATGAAATGAAAATCAAAAATGAAAAATTAATAAATCATATATAAAAATTGAAAATTTGGAGTAATGTTGTAATAATTTAGATTGATAATCCAATTTAGTTAAATTAATGAAAAGCAAATGATATAAAATAAATTATTATATTTTCAAGATTGTAACAAAAAAAGGTTTCAGCCTTTTCTTGGATCAAAAAGAGGTTTAAAATTAAAAATAGCAAATCAAAAAGAAATTTTTTTATGAAACAACACAGAAGTGAGAGACCAATTACATTTATATATTACAGTTTTATAATTATTATTTTCAACATTGAATTTAGGAAACTAATGTATTAAAATAGAATTATCAGATCTTTGAAACTAAATATAAATTAATTGTGATTCATAGTCTAATTTAAAGCTAATAATTTACTAAATTCTTGATCATCTCGTTGTTAATTAAAAACTTGTTACAAATTTGAATTCATAATTATTTTTTAATTACGTAATTTTATTTTGATTTTGACTGAATTTAACGCGTTTATTGAAATATATGGTAGCTTTTTGTTACATAATAATAATATGGTTATTAATTTATACGAATATTTGAATAATTCTATGGAAGTATATATTATAAGGTCAAGGAGTTAAAACTCCAAGATTTGGATTGAAATTAGCTTGAGAACGATATATAATTCAATTTAATCTTGATTATTATACATACCACTTGAAATGCTGATTTATTATTATAAATATGCTTACCAGCTCTTTCTATTATATCTATCAACTTACAATGACAAACCAGCATCCATTGCAACAATTGAACCAGTTGAACTAGATAATTTACATAAATGAATATATTCAGAAGCGCATTCATCAATATCTGTAGATTTTTTTAATGGTGAAGCATCAATAGATTTTTGAATTTTTTCTTCACTAAATTTTTTCCCCCATTCAGTTAATAATAAACCAGGACATACAGCATGACTTCTTATATTTGATTGAGTTTTAGCTAAAAATTTAATCAAATGAATTAAAGCTGCTTTACTTACTGCATAAGGAATTGATGAACCAAATGTTATTCTACCTGCAACACTTGCTGATGATATAAAAGTTCCACCATCTTTATTTGAATCAAAATATGGTTTTGCTGCTTTGAATAAAAAATAATGAGCTTTTACATTTGCATTAAAAGTTCCATCCCATACTTCTTCTGTCATTGCATCCAAATCAGTATAAGGGATTATCTCAGTCCATCCAGCATTCAGAATTAATATATCAATTTGGCCTAATTGTTCAACTGTTTCATCAACTAATTTATGTAAATTTTTAATATCAAATATATCAGCTTTCAATACAATTGATTTTACTCCATATTGATCTTTTAATTTGTTTGATAAATCTTGAGCTCTTTGTTCGTTGTTTGAATAGTTTATTGCTATGTTGACACCTTCTGCTGCTAATTGCTCACATATTGCTGCTCCTAAACCTGCTGATCCACCAGTTACTAATGCAACTTTATCTTTTAATTGTATCATTAATGAATTGGTAGGGAATTATATGGTGATGAATAAAATGAACTAAAATGAAATTTAAATTAAGTAGGTTGATAGACCAAAATGAAATGCAATTAATCAATTAAGATTTACAAGTCCTAAGGAATTATTGTTGTGGATGAAAAGGATTAGTAATCTAAAGTAAAGTTAATTCCGTTATCAACTTTGAATTTTTCATTGGAAGGAGAAAAATAAAAAATCTGGGGTAAATCTTTACCGATTAAATTAATTCAAAGAAACTCAAAATATACTCCTAGGATATCAAACTTTTGCTAATGGATATTTCCATAAATTAAGATTTCTAATCATTCGAAAGAGGCTAAATGAGTTATTTGAGGGTTTGCGATAAATCTTTTTAGGCACTATGGAAATACTAATGTTGAACAATGTTTGGGCTCAATTAATTGCAAAAAATACTCAAATCTTACGTAAACTATGAATTTTACACTCACTCTCAAAAAGCTACAATAATTACCAATAAATTTCACGTTATTAAATGCCATGTTCCCAATCTTAGATAAAATCAACTGAACATAATTAACTTTTAAATTTTAGAACCAGGCATTTTTAGAGTCGTTCAAACTTTATAACGAGCAAAATTTTTTTTTTTTTTTTTCTTGTAATCAATATATATTTAAGCATAACTATAAAATTATAAACTTAATCTATATAAGGGACATTCGATGCACACGGTGTCTTATGCTCTGGTAGGATCAGACCAATAAGATTTGAACATCAATATTCTAACAGTTGAATAACCGATTTTCGGCAACTTGTCCGAGTGGTTAAGGAGGTTGACTCGAATTAGATTCGATATCAATTGGGCTTGTTTCCGCGCAGGTTCGAATCCTGCAGTTGTCGTACTAATAATTTTAATTGATTTTTTTTTTTTCTTTTTTAAAAAATTTATTATTCCTATTCCGTCCCCAAGTTTAAGCTGAATCCACATCTTTGTTTTGCAAACTTAGACTATACTTTTTACCAAAATCATGATAACCTTTGATTATTTATATTAGTTCAATTTCATATGTTCTTTATGACAAAAAGTTTTGATTACAAAAAGTACAATTTTTTATGCGGCTATTTGTTTTTGTAACATCACCAAAAAAAAAAACAAATATCAGAATATCTAAATTATTTACAACCAAATTCAATTTTTTTAAAAAGACAAAGTCTCAAATCGCTTAGAGCTCAATTCCAAAACTTCCACGATCCATAATTCATTTCCAGGTTTGAATTCCTTGTATATAAACTATCTCACCAAAAAACTATGCCACGAACGTCAAAAATAAAAAAATCATCACAACCACCAGAAGGTTATACAAAAATCCAATCCACAATAGAAAAATATAAACAAAAACTACGAAAAGCAACAACTGACCCATCAAAAAACACAACAAAACAACAATCAGAATGGGAATTATACAGACTAACAAATCAAATAACGCGATATATATATGATCTTAAATTAGATAAAAAAGTAGATGATAATTTATATCAATGGTTAATATTACAAGATTATTGTAATTCGTCACTATTATCAAAATGGAAGAAAAAAGGGTACGAAAGATTATGTTGTTTACAGTGTATAAGTGGGAATGTATGTATTTGTAGAGTACCTAAAGTTGAATTATTGAAAAAGGAAACTGAACAAGAAAAAGTTAATATAGAGTGTGTGAATTGTGGATGTAGAGGTTGTTCATCAACTGATTGATAATGAGATCAGCTAATTAATGAATGAGATTCACGCAAATACAAAATTAACCATATATTTTATTTCATAAATTAAATAAATTAAGATAAGTAAGTAATAATGATTAATAATAATGATAAATAATAATAATAATACAAATTTTTTAAAATAAATACTCTTAAGCTCCAACTGTTGAAAAAATCTAAAAGACATATACCAAAAATAAAAAATGACCATGAAAACCAAAAATCCAAAATTCAAAATTGTAGACAACATTCTACACCAATTTTAATAAATCCTCCGTTTAATCATCCATTTAATCATCATTTTCAACTCTTTTCAAATCATGAATTAAATTCTTATTTCTAGAATTCAAATGATAATTTGTTGAAGGTGAAAAAGTCTTTGAATTACTTAATCCATAATAATTTGATTTAAAAAATTCATTATTTGAATTACTTAAAATTGGACTTGATTGTATTGAAATTTGTGGATGTTGTAAATTTCTCATAATCATATCATCATCATCATAAGAATTTAAGTTATTATTTCCCATTACATTGTTTAATTTCAGATGAGTTGATGTAGCTACTGCTGTTAATGATGATGAAGATGAAGATGAATGAGTAATCGGTTGAGTAATACTGTTAGTGGTTTGTTGAGAAATTGTTTGACTGTTTTGATTCGATTGTTGTGTAGCTAAATTACTTTGATGAACTTGATTAATTAAAGGACTAAAATAAAAATCATCTAAATATGAAGGACTATTCCATAATCTTTTCATTATAGAATTTGTTTGTGGAGTTCTTAAAGTTCTTAATGGTGTAGTTGCAGAATATGAAGTTGATTTTGGAGTTTTTGATTTGTTGAAAAGAACTAAATGATGAGAATGTTGTGGTTGTGGAATTTGTGGTTGGATTTGTGGTTGTTGTTGCGAAATTTGTGATTGTTGTTGATGCTGTTGTTGCTGTTGCAATTGTTGCATTTGCAATTTATATGAACGATTAGCTGGAGTTAATGGTTCTAATAATGGACCAGTTTCACTTGTTCTTAATGGTGATAATTCAAAATTAGAATTACAACTAAAAGATGAAGTATATGTTAAATTTTTTTCAGCTAATATTGGTTTATCAGGTGAATCAATAACAAAATTTGGTCTTGATGATAATGAAGAAGAACTAGATGAACTTATTGATGTTTTTGGAGTTGAATTTAAATTAGCGATTGGTGGTAATTTAATTTGAGGATCTGGTGAATTTAATACTCTCCAAGGTATCTGTAAAAACTCATCATCTTCTTCATCTTCTTCTGGTTTCAAAGATTTAAATCTTTTAACTGGCGGATCCAATATTGTGATATCTTCTTCTTCATATTGATAACTTGTTTCTGATGGGAAATCATCATCTCTTTTTCTTTTAGTTGAAGTATATGTAGGTGATGATAATAATACTGATTTTTCAATAGTAGTTGGTTCAATTTGAATTTTCTCTTCATTTTCTTCACTTTTTTTCTCTGTTTCTTTTGGTTTTAATGTAATTTTAAGTTTTTTAACTTTTGGAGCTGGTTCTTTTTCCTTTATTTCTTCTCTTGGAGCTGCTGATTCAACCACTTCTTTTAATTCTATTTCTTCATTAATTTTTTTAGCAGCTGATTCTTCTTCTGCAGCTGCTTTAGCGGCGGCTTCATTCATTTTAGTAGCTTGATTAATTTGATCCATAACTTCATGATAAGAAGATTTTTTAACACTTCTACTTTTTAAAAATTGTTCTTCAAATCCTGGTTTTATACACCAAAAATGACCTTTCCCATCTTTTGATTTTTCACCTTTTATAAAAGCTTTATTTAATGATAAATTATGTCTTATAGAATTTTGCCAACCAACATCTTCTTTTCTATAAAATTTAAAAGTATCTGATATCCATTGATAAATATGAGATAAAGTTAATCTTTTATTTGGATGTGACAATATTGATATTCCAATTAATGTTGCATATGAATAAGGTGGTTTTTCTTCTGAGTATAAACTAAAAGATGTGGATGTTGATGTAGTTGATGAAGAAGTAACTGGAGATTTAGATTTTTTTTTCTTTATTGGTGATGAATTTACTTGTTGTTTTGATTGTGATTTTGTAGTTGGTGAAGCTAGAGGTTGAAATTGATTCTCTTTTTCTTCATGTTGCTGTTGTTGTTGTTGCTGCTGTTGTTGTTGTTGTTGCATTTGATAATGATTGTGAGGTGATGATAAAGCTGGTGATAAATAACTTGATTTTACTACAAAATTATGTTGATCTAAATTTGAAATTATAGTTGGATCCAAATGTATATCCTTAAACGGAGTTGCAAACACATCAAATATTTGTATATCTCTCTCATTATTGACTGAGTTATTATTATTATTATTATTATTTTCATGTAAAATAGATTCTGGAGGAGTTTGATTAATTAATGAATTTTTATTTAATTGTAATAATTTTGATGGAGTTTTAATTAATGGTATTGAAATATTTGAATCCATATGATTTTGATAAGATGTAATATAATTGTTTGAAGAATCATGTAAAGGTTGTTTTAATAAATTAATATTTGAATTATTTGTTGGTATATTTGAGTTATTTGTTTGTATATTTGATAATCTATCAGTTGTATCGAATGAAGACATCTTTAGATAGATTTATGACTATTTCCCCGTGTCTTCAAATACTAATATGTATAAAGATTTTTATATATGAGTCTGTGGATATATAATATTGAGGATAATGGTGACTGTAAAATATGATTGGTAATGAGTATTATTATTCCTAAAATTAAGTTGAGGTATTACTTTAACGAGATAAAAAAACTATTGATAAGTATTAAATAAAGATAAAATATGAAATTAGTGGATATATTTAAATTAATAATGATAAAAGATGAAATTGGTTGCTAAAATTAAGTAAAGTCAAAAAAATAAATTTGGTGATATATTATAAGTTAATCTCAATTTCATAAATAAAATTAGACAAACGCGTTAATTAATTATAAAAACACGAAATGTTTAAATTTCTTTAATTTTAACTACACAAAATTATTTTTTTTAAGATAATCACAATTTCTAATAAAATTTTATTATATATGAAAGAAATAAATTTATATTGATATACATTACATTACAACCGATTAGACTTTATTGATTAACTGACTTACCACTAGCTCCATATTTGATATTTAATTATAAAAATTATTTCTGTAAAAATAGAAAGTATAGAAAATAAATTTTCTCAAAATGTAAGATACAAGTAATATTTCAAATTCTTATCTTGATAAAAAAAAACTTCTTTTTCTCTCGTAAATTAACGAAGAAGTTTAAAATATAAAATACGTACAATTATTAAAATTAATAATGAATTACACATTTAAATATTATATATAATATGATTTTAACAATAATTTATTTATTTATGTATATTAAGTAGATTTTAAAATCTACCATCCATCACCCCAACCATCTTCTTCATTAATATCATCATCTTCAATTTTTAAATTTAATTGTAAGTTCAGTTTTGGTTTTGGTTTCGAACCACCTAATTTCAACAGTGATGTAGTTGTTGGCTTTTTTATAGTATTGGTACTTAATGGTCTTTTTATAGATGTTGTAGGTATTGATTTTTTTGTAGTTGTTGTTGTTGTTGTTGTTGTTTCTGTTGATCTACCTAGATTTAATTTTTTTGTATTTTCAATTATTGGGAATGTTTTTGATAAATCTTGATTTTTTCCATTACTAGTTGTAATTTCATCGTTGTCTATCCAATCATCATTGAAATAATCTTCATCTTCATCATTATTATCCCAACCATCATTATCTTCTAAATCTTCATTAATTTTAAGTTGCAGTTGTTGATGATGAATTGGTAATTGTTTTTGACTTGGTGTACTTACTCTAGTTATATCAGGAGTTGATTGATTAAAATCTTTATTTAATTGACCACCAGTAACACTAGAAACACCACTTATGGAAGTTAATTTTGAAACCATATTCCAACCAAAACTTGATTCTGAAGTAGCTGGAGCAGTATTTAGTTGTTGATCTTGTTGAGGTTCTTGTTGCTGTTGTTGTTGTTGAGGTGCATTTCTTTTAAAAAATTCTTTTTCTTCTTCATCTTCATCTTCTTCTATATTTGGTAAATCATTTGCAAAATTTTCAACATTTTTTAAATACAAATCAAATACAATTTTAGCTTCTTTTCTTATTTTAAGAGATTTTTTATCCATTAATGAAATTGCTAAATGTCCTAATATTTTTGAACATATTTCTTCTAATGAAAAATCATTAATTAATGATTTAAATCCATTTAATGCTGTCATTTTACAAGGTATGAATGAATCTCTTAATGATTTTGATAATGCAGTAATTAAAACATTATTTTTAGAATTTGAATAAATTTTTGATGATATTGTAATTATTAAAATTAATGTATTGACTCTAATTGAAGGTTTTGGATCTATTTGAGTTTTGGCTAATATTCTTAATAATTCATTATTAATTTGTTTGACTGATATTTTATCAATAATTATAGTTATAGATTTTAAAGTTGATTCTCTAATTACAAAATTTGTATCTTGAAACCCCGTGATTAAGTAATTGAAAATTTTAGATTGTATATCTGAATCATTTAAAAATCTTTCATAAGTTGGTAAATGATTTAATAGGATTAATCGTATTGATCTATCGGGTAATGTGAACGATTCAAAGATGATAGGCTTTATTTGTTTGTTAAACTCTTCCGGCGATAATTGAATTCCAAATTTAATTATAAAATTTAAAATTAATGATAAAGTTTCTTGATTATTTTGTTGTTGTTGTAAATCTACTACAGTAGTTGAAATTTTTAATTGATTGAATTGTGTAATCAATTCTGGTAATAATTTATAATTTAAAAGTCCAGGAGGATAATTATTTTCTTCTTCAGTGTTTGAATCATCAATAAAATTTAATAATTCATATTTAAAAAATTCTAATTTTTGATCATTATTCATAAATTTTAATTCATTTAGTATATTATTAAATTTAATAACTTTATTTAGTTGATGAACTTGTTCCATTTCTTTTAAGTATTGTGAAATATAATTTCTTTTAGCAATTAATCTTTTAGTTGGTCCCACCAATTTCACAGGTAATTTGTAATTAATATCAAAAACACCCGAATTAAAAACTCCATAAATAAAATACCCCAATTTTAAAGAATCGTATTTTTTAGGATCTTTTCTTATAATTTCTGGGTCAATCCTATCAACTTGCAGTGGACTATATTGACTTAATCTATAAATTGGTTGATCTGGATCTGAAGATAAGTTTGTAACTAATTCGAATCCCATTAATTTCCAATCATTTTGTAAATTTATAAATACGGAATTGTAAAAATTTAATCCACCATATAAGGAATTACATTCATCATTTAAAAATGTTAATGTGGTTGCAATTGAATAAATTCCTGCTATTATTGAATCATTTGATAATTTTGGATTCGTTTCTAAATATATAGGTAAGGGAATTACTCTTTCTGTAATAATATATAATATTTCACCAACTTCAAGAAATTCAATTATTGAAATTATACCAGGAAATTTTATTGTTTTTAATTTTTTAAAAGCATTTTTAGCTAAATTTGAATAATTGATAGTTTTTGGATTATTTAAATTGAATTCAAATATTGAAACTAGTGAATTATCTTTGGGGTTTATCCCATTATATAGTGTCCATATTGAATTTTGATTTAATTTTGTTGATGAATTTGTTGGATCTATTACTTTTTCATTGAATGTATAAGGAATTGAATTTCCTGTTAATGTGTTAAAAGTTTTACTAAGGAAATTCATTTATCTAAATATTATTTAAATAAAGAAAGTGGAGGCGGAAATGAGTGAGTTTTGTTTCGTAGATCTGTTCTGTCTTTTGGTTGTAAAAATGGTTGTAATTTTTTTTATCAAAAAGTATTACGCGGATTTATTCAGTATTCATTCACGAACACATTTTGCAACACAGTAATTACAAAACAAATTTCAAAACCAGAACTATATAATATGTATATTACTAAATTTACAGTAATTAATTTTCAATATTACCATCAATATTACCATCCACAATAGAATCATCATCTTTATGTTGTTTACCTCTACCTCTAATTCCCTTATTTGAATTTTTATATAAGTCTTTAAAATAAATTAATAAATTTTTTTCATCAATTGGTAAATTATTTATTGCATCACCATTTAATTCAGCTAATTTATGAGTTAAAGTATTTAAAGTTTCTAAATGAAATCTATTTTGATGAGATTTTAAATTACCTAATTGAGTAAACAGTTTATCACAATTATCTAATTTACATTCATAAGGTTTAACATTTTCATGAGTTAATTTATGAGCTTCTAAATTTCCTTTTCTATTAAAAGATCTTGTACATATTTCACATGTAAAAGGTTTTTCACCAGTATGTAATCTTAAATGAGTTCTTAAATTTCCTCCTTGAGTGAATTTTTTATGACAATATGTACATTCAAATGGTTTATAACCAATATGAGATCTTATATGAACTTCTAAATGAGTTGATTGAGTAAAATATTTTAGACAATAAGGACATTGTTGATTCTTGTTTTTACGTTTTTTAACTCTTGCTTCTTCTTCTTCATCACTCTCTTCATTTTCATTTGAATTACTTCCATTATTATGATGATCTTTTTCATGATGATGTTTTGGTTTATGAGGTTTATCAACTCCTCCAACTAAACTTATTGGTTTTGGCAATACCCCAGATTGATCTTCATTATAATGACCTTGACGATATTGTTCTGGTGATGCCAATATACTACCATCTGGTCCTTGATCAATAGCTTTTGTAACTCCTTTTTCTCTTGCTTGTATAACTAACATTAATTGATCAATCCTTGTAGCTCCCAATAAAGGTCTACCATCTTCAGATTGTGCAAATTGTTGTGCAGGTACTAAATTTGAATTTTCAGGCACACTTGGTGTTGTTATTGCTGGTTGTAAATCCTTTGACTTTCTAGTTCTTTTGGTAGATTGTTTTCTAGGTCTTTTATTTTGTGGTGGTGATGATAATTGTTGTTGTTGCTGCTGAAATGGTTGTTGATACATCTGTTGTTGTTGTTGTTGCGGCATATAGTATTGTTGTTGAGGTATTGATGACATGGATTGAGGTGGAAAAGCCATATTTTGATAAGGTTGTTGATGTTGAACTTGTGGACGCATTTGTTGAGGAATCATTTGTTGTGGTGGTTGTTGAGTTTGAGGTGTCATTTGATATTGATAATTACCAATAAAACTATTTTGACGATTACCAGCTGGCAGCATACCTTGAAAACCTAAAACATTACTAAAACTTGGAAATTGTGAATATGGATATGGATTATTTGGTGATATTGGATTTATAGAATTCAGAAAAATCTTTTGTGACATTGGATTCGTTGATGGTCTTTGAGAATTTGAATATGGATCTTGAATTTGAGTATTATTATAAAGTGTTGGTGATGTTTTAGGTGATTGTGGAGCTTCATCTTTTGGTTTTGAAGTTTTTGATGACATTGATGAAGTTGGTGATACATCTTTTTCTCGTTTTAAAGTTTGATTATATGCAACTTGTGGCAGTTGATGTGGTGCAATTTGTTGTTGTTCCTCTTTCGTACTATTTTTATTCTTATCAAAAATGTCTTGTCTTAAATTTGTACTTGTATTAGAATTGGCAGAATTGATTGAATTTTTTTGATTTCTAAAAGTATTTTGATCAGTAATAATTTTCAAGATGGAATCACGTCTTTCTTGATTACTCATATTTGTTAAATCCAATGAACCATTTGATATCATATTTTGAATAATTTCAGTTATACTATTACTGAATCCAATAGAACCAGGTTGATTAGTACTATCTACCCAAGACGATAAATCAATAGAACCAGCTTTTGATTTAACATTACTTCCACCTATATTTTGATTAGATGATCCGCTCAAAGATAATTTTGGATCTCCTTGTTGCCATGCAAATAAATTTGCCATACTTTCTTTACTATTACCAAATAAATTTTCTAAATCTTCAATTGTAAATTCTTGATTAGGTACTAATGACATTTGACGTGCTCTGGTTGTTGTTGGTGGTAAATTGGGTATTGGATTATTTGAATATGATTTATTTCCGCCTGCGGAATTATATGAATCTTGTTGAGGTTGCTGCTGTTGCTGTTGCTGTTGTTGCTGTTGTTGATGCATTATAGATGATGAAGAAGGTTCACTTATTGAATTACCATTTGAACCAGGTATATTAATTAATGAACTAAATATACTATTTGATCTTGAACCTAATAAATTACTTTGACTTAGATTACCTGATGTTGTTTCATAAGCTTGTTCAGTATTTGACCTTGACGTTATTGGAGGTGGTAAAAATATTGAATCACCTCTAACTCTACCACTTAAAGGTTGTTGAGATTGTTGTTGAGGAATTGACGGACTTGTCTGCTGCGGCTGTTGTTGTTGTTGATGTTGTGATCTTTGTTGATATATAGGATTATTTGAATATGGATTTGTAAATAACTGAGGATTTTGCATTTGCATTTGTTGTTGCTGATGATGCTGTTGCTGATTATGATGATGTATTGGTTGTTGCTTTTGTGGTTGTTGCTGCTGACTTTGTTGTAGATAACTCATATTATATATATTATTATTATAATTTGATTGATTAGGTGAAGTATTATTAGAAGTTGGTGTTAAATAATATTGATTACTTGATTGAAAATAAGGTTGTTTTTCAGTGTTGCTGAAAATATTAGATTTATAATCAATTGAATTATTTATTGATCTTATTGGAGTTGTTACGCTTTTATTATTGTAATTATTATTATTAGTATTATTAGTATTATTATTATTACTTATAAAGAATTGATCATTTTTATTCCCAATTGATTGAGATAATTTATTTGAATTATTACTAATATTGTTGATGTTTTTAAAATTATTATTATTACTTGTGTTATTATATTTATTAAATTGATTATTAAGGTCAATTATATCTGCAGTATCTGTATTATAATTATAAGATTGATTTTGATAACTTCTATTATTGAAATTATTGTTATTATTGATATTATTATTATTTAATGAAGTATTACTTGTAATGTTAGGATTAGTATTGGTTGTTGTTATTAATTTATTAATTGAATTTGATGATGATATTAAATTTGTATTGGTAATTGCGGACTTCCCCATTAAATTTTAAAATGTTTAAATTAAAATGTATAAAAAAAAAAAAGAATTTTTTATAAAACAAAAACTTGCAAATTATTTTAAAAATGCAAAATAAAGAAGAACAACTCAAGTTGTAATAATTAAATGTAAATGAATAACTTCTTAATATAAAAGTTAAATAATAATTCTTTAAACAAGTTTGATTAAATTATTCCAGAATCTTTTTTTTGTTAAAAATAATGATTTTAATAAGAAATTGAAATTATTAAAAATATAGGTTCTTTTTTTTTCAAATTTGTTGAATTAGAAAAATAGATAATATAAACGATTTATAAATAGAAAGAAATCTTGATTTAAGAACGGGTATTATTAGATCAGTTCAACAATTAATGAACTATTTCAAAATCAAATGATATATTTCGGTAATTTTCATACAATAATTAGTCAATTAATTGTGTGAAAAGAAGTTAGTTTTAAAACAATTTATAATAAATCTTACCACAAAAGTTCATGATAAAAATCTATTTATACATTTATATATAAGCAGATAGTTTGTAAGTTAAAAAAAGAAAATATTAGTCTATAATCAATTGATTAAACTGATAGACGTTTAATCGAATTAAAAATTGTTTAATATAGTATATGTAATACAAGTTCTTTTCATGATTGTACTTCAAGTTTCTATGGATCAACTGAAACATCAACTACTTTAAAGAAGTATCAAAAATGAATGATTGCTTTTTTTCTTCATGTTAAATTTGCTTTTTGTGTTAAGATATTTCTTCTAGTTTTATTTTTGTATACCAAGCCTTTTTTCAATTTCATCTTAATTTAAGATCATCATTAAACTTTTTCTTAGTAAATGTAGCTTAAATTAATGAGCAACATAGCATTCTACAAAGTACATAAGTACGAAGATAGCGAAGAAGTTTGTATGATGATTACGTTGAACCAAATCGTATGGTTTTAATTTGGATCATTTACCTGCTTAATGTGATGAGATGTAAGGTTTAAAATATTTAATGATTGACCAAACCAGATGTTAAATTTCCATACTTCTATATACTTCGAGAAAGAGAATTGAAAAGAAAAAGAAAAAAAGTTTATTATTAATTTACACTTTAGTTACATTTCTATTTCAATTATTTTATTTCGTTTTTCCATAAATTTCTTAATTGATTTATTTCGAGTTGATGTTACAAAAAATAAATTATGAATTATTATTTTTTAAATACTCTCTGGTTAATTAATTATTGATTATCCGTTGAAAGGAGACAACTTCTATATTTGGATCTTAAAGGAGTTTTAGATTTAACGTTTGTAACATTACATTAAAAAACTTAGAATTTTTGATTGAATACCCATAATATCCTCAATTTAATGATCCCGCGTTAAAACTAAACCCAATTGACCTGTGTTTATAACTATACGTGAGATATTTCACCATTTGAAGTTTTCCAACTAAGAGAGACGCAATTTTTGCAATTTCACCCATTCGACAAAGATAAATAATTCCTCAAAATAAAAGTATGATCTAAGAATTCTCAAAAACAAAGAAACCATTAAACTCGACTGGTTATTTTATATACTTGACTTACGAATTGGTAAGAAAATTATAAAAGTTTTAAAGAAAAATCGACAATAAGATAAGAAAATTCAGAAATCAAAAAAGAAAATATTTATCAGAAACAAATTTGGAATACTTTCTTCTATTATATATGAACCTCGTAAATAATTATTTTGATGCAAAATTTCTGGTTTTACAGTTACTATCGTATTTCACTAATTTCCAGCAAACGTATTATCTGTATAATGAATTTAAAGATAAGAGTGTGAATCAATTGATTATAATAAAAATATAATTACTTTAAAATTACCCCTTAACGATTAAATTAGTTTTAATTTTATTTTAAATTACAAAAGGATCTTGTGTAATATATGTCAAAACAATATTATAGATACACACATCTATATTATTTAATATTTGAAACTCACAATAAAGACAGACTAAATATTATTACAATTTTCTTTTCGATTAGAGAATAAAACATTTATTAAGTTCAATATTTAATTAGCAAGAACTAAAACTCCACTTTCTGTCAAATTCTAATCTTTTGACCTTGTTTTTCCATTAAAAATTTCTTCAATTTGATTAAAGTATTAACATCACTAAACATTGTATCAAAACATTTTTCCAATTCAACTAAATCATTATCTATTTTTCCCAGATCATTCATAATTTCACCTTTCAAAAATTTCCCAATACTTACTTTTGAATCTTTTAGTAATAAATGTAAATTTTTAATAAATTGTGATGATTTAGTAATGTATATTCCTATTCTTGTTACTTCCATAAATAAATCATCTATTGATATTTGCATAGATGATACTAAATGTTTTGCAATAAATTGTAGATCTTTTCGGGATAAAGTATCTATTCTGTTTAAATTTTGTTCATTTTTGATCATTCCCGGCATTGGATAATGATATTTTAAATGATCAAATTCTGGATACAAGTTTTGTTGTTGTTGTTGACTAACTACATTGTTGACATTACGAGTTTCTTCGGATATTGTAGTTTCTTCGGATGTATTCATGGTGGCATTAATCTCAGTATTGTTATTGTTATTGTTATCGTTATTGTTGACATTTTGAGTTTCTTCATTGACAACCCCATTAGCACTACCACTAGTTCGAGTATTATGATCGCTTGAGTGTCTCAAATTAGTACTACATGTAACATAATCATTATTCGAACTTTCTGAACCTTTTGTAGTTCGACTAGTATTTGATGATGATGCTCCACAAGTACAAACTTTATTCAGATTTACAGTTTGTGCGTTACTATGAGTGTCAGAATTAGTAACACTGCTAGCACAGTTGATGTCACTACCCTTCGACACAGGTCTTACGACATTGTTGGTATCGGCTAGATTATTGGTATTTTGTTTATTATCAGATTTATTTTGACTATTTTTACTGTTTGAATTATCATTGGTGACTGAAGTTGGACTTAAATTTTGAGCTGATGTACTATCATTTGGGTTTGAATTTTTTGACGAACTTTGGTGATCATTACTCCGGATTTGTTGACTTGTAGTTTTACTTGAAGATGTATGAGCTGAAGCAGAATGCCTGTTAATTTCACAAAGAGGATTTAATTCAATTAAAGATTCTTCTACCTCTTTATCATCAATTCTCAACATTGAAACTTCTCCATTGACGTCACCATTAATATTATATTCATTAATAAATTGAGACAATTGATTAATTTTTAATTTTATTATATTGATCTGATTTTGAGCATGTTCATTGCGACTTATTAGTTTGAGCTCATGATCTTTGAAACAATTATCATTTTTGGCCCTATTTTGATCCACTTTATTTGATAAATTTAGATCCGTTATCTTTAATTGATCTATTTGATTTTGAAGTTCTTCTAATTGTAAATTAAATTGAGAATTTAGACTTTCTTTCAATTGTGGTTGTTGTTTATATCGTTGGTATTGATCTAGACTTCTTAAATAATCTGATTTTCTAATTGTTATATATTCATCGTCGTTAGTGGTATTGATTGAATCGTTAAATGGATGTTGTCCCATATTTACAGGTTTATTGGATTTAAAGGTTTGTTTAGGATTGGGTGTACTTTGATGTATTGGACTATGAAAATTTGAAATATGGCCTAATTGTGGAATTGAATTAAAGTGAATTTGTTTTGGTTCTGAAATTGATGATTTTGATTTTAGATTTTGTTGGTTGTTTTTAAAAAATTGTCGATCTTGGGGATACTCATTTTCTTTATTATTTAAAAACCCATTGAGATGAGATGATGGATATGTTGGATCAACAACTGAGCTATGATTTGCTTTATAATTGGGGTTAGTTTTTAAAATATCTTCGCCATTTATATCATCAAATAAAATTGTAGGTGAAAAAGAATCTGGATTTAAATCATCATATATCGCAGTAGTTGTATGAGCATACGAGTTTTGATTTTGATAGTGTGTCGGGGAATTGATATTCGTATACAGCTTTCCGTTCATGCGATGACCACTATCATTCATGATTCATTTATTGTTGATAGTTTGTTTTTAAATTTGTAAATATCTGATTCAAATATATGTGTACACAAAATTATGAAATTTATAATATTGAACGCGTTTTAATTTATTTTTTACAACCAAAATTATTGAACATATATTGATGAACTATTTAGATCTTTTAGATTAAATCTTCATTCTTTAACTAATTTGATGATACTTTAACAGCTTTTATCTCTTCTCTTGGATGAAAAAATCAATTGCTCTTAGTAAAAGATATATATACCGCAATTTTTGTTTTTGCAGCCTTTAGCATAACAAATTTGAAAATATTTGGTCTATCAACCTTTTAAATTCTCCTAAACTAACGAACCAACTCCCTTTTTACGACAAAAACAGAGGAGGTCTGACCTACATTCACTACTACTTCTTTTAGGTAAATAAATTATTAAAACATATAAAATTAAACTAAAAATACAGATTCTATGAAATATATTGACTAATCCTTCGTTATCATTTCCAGGATTTAACATAAATTAAATCCTCGTAATTCAGTTGATAAAAATCAGTAATAGAGAGCTAATGCTTCTTCAATAAACATTTTGATAAAATTCAACAGAAATTCAAACTTCTTAAACAAATGAATAACTTCAATGAAAACAAGTAACAAATAATAGATAACAACCAATAAACTTTTATAAGAATTTTAATTTTGAAATGAAAGAAACATTATTATGAATGGAATTGATGATGATAGTAATAAATTTTCAATGTTAACCAGAATGCTCGAAATTTTTAACAATTATCATATCACCATTTGTCATCTCTAATGAAGCAGGAGTATCAGTTGCATTTAACATTTGATTATTGAAAAAAAATTTTAAAGTATTTATATCTTGATTATGTCTATCACAAAATACTCTAATCATTTTCCTTAATCTTGTATTTTTATCAATCTTATATGATGATTTTATAAATTGTCCATCCTCTATTCTAACACTTATTCTATTTTCATTTTCATCGGAGCTTGATGCATATATTTCTTCAACCATTTTGTTATGTAGGGAGTATTATATGTATTATGATTTTATTATTTAAGTTAAGTGTATATATTTTCTAAAGTGGTTTATGATAATATTATTTTAGAGAATCTTATTGATATTATGTTTTTTTTCTTTGTAATTTTTAATTTCATTTTTTTAAGAGAGAATTTCAATTTCAATTTCATTGTCAATTTTATTTACTTATGTCAGAACTATAATTCTTTTGACAAACAAAAAAAAAAAATTGAAATTCGCGGTACAAAATCAATTATTGATTAACTAAGTAGAAAATTAATATTAACAGAAAAAATAAAAAGTAAACAAAACCAAATTTTATTTAAATTTTATTAAAAAGGAAACAACAAGTTTTTAAGACAAAGATAAAGATAACACTACAGCTATATAATTAATAGAAATATGTTTATAAGGATTTAATAAAGTCATCATTTACAAAATACAAAAAATCTCGTCCTTTACATTCATAATCTTTTTATACATTTAATGACACTTCAAAAACAAAATATAATAAGACTATATATTCATCGATTAATTAGATCAATCATACCTTCAGAATTAGGAGATGAATATATTCAAAGTATAGCTAATGAATTATATCAATTATTAATAAATTCAAATAAACAAGATGAAGATATATCAATTATCATTAATAAATTTAAAACCTATTTTCTAAGTAATTCAAAAAAGACAGAATGGAATGAATTTCAAAATTTAATTAATTCATTAAGTAAATTTAAGTCATTGGATCAAATTTCAAATTATTTGATATTTTTGGATACATTAATGGGTAATACTACAGTACCAAATATGACTACTCCAACCACTTCAACATTTGAATCAACAATATCCAATAATAAGACATTATCACAATTAATAGAACCATATTATGAAACATTACCAGAAGAAACAATTTTAACTTATTTACCATATACTTTAATGGGTATGGATTCAAAATTATTTGAATTTTCCAAAAATTCTAGATCAATTGAGATTCCTAAAACAATAAACAATAGTTATAGTTCATTGCTTAAATTGATATTTGAGTATTCTTTATTATATAAACAATTATCATTATGTGTTGAATTAAATAAAGGGAAATTGAAATCTGCTATCAAATCAGCTTATATTGCATTAATTGAGGAGGAATTGAAAATATATGCACTGGATATTAATCAGATATTTATAAATAAGCCACCGACTATACTATCAGTTTATAAGTCAATTTTTGACTGGATTCTCAAATTAAGACTTTTATATCGACTATCATTGAAAATGAGTGTATTGGATGGATATAATTTTTTAACGTTTGTTTACAAGTTTACGAAATTTGGTGATGATTCGATAAGAAGTATAGCAACAAAGACATTTTACGAAATAGTAAAACCATATTACAATATCCTAGAATTATGGTTAATAAAAGGTGAATTAATGGATCAAAACGAAGAATTTTTTATATCGTTTGATGTTAACGAAGAAGAATTCAATAAAATAATCAAATTTCATTCACAAAAAGTACCAAGCTTTATACAATCATCAGACAAGATATTTCAAATCGGTAAAACTTTGATCTTTTTAAATAAGTATTGCAAAGAATTAAAATGGATAAACGATTATAATTTGAAACACTCATCAAAGATTTTTTCACAGAATGACGGACTAGCGTCTTTGGAGATTGATGAAATACTCGAATTGATAGATGAACAATATAAGGATCTAATAAACCATTTAACATACTTATTACATCTGAAATATAAATTTTATAATCATTTAATTAATTTCAAGAAGTTTTACTTTATGGAAGTTAATGAATTTATAGAGGCATTAATTACAAAGGGAGATACAATTTTCAATGAAAAAGCTATAGACATTTCATCAAGTCATTTACATAAAATACTATATGAGGCAGTTCAAATATCATCAATCAAAAAATTACCCCTTGAAGATTTAAATAGAATAGACACAAAAATTTTCAACTCCAGTTCAAACACATTTGGTTGGGAATCCTTTTTAATTGATTATAAAATTGATGATTTACCTATTTACTACCTTTTCAAAGATCAATTAGTTCAATATTTAAAAATATTTCATTTCTTTTGGAAAATACGACATCTTCAAATATTATTTAATTCAAATTATGAAAATTATATGTCATTAGGTTTGCAAGTTAAAAAAATTGGTAAAAATGGAGATTTGCAAAGAGACTATCCACAATTGATAAACTCAATAGATCAAATTAATATTATACGGAATCATTTTGTTAAATTTTTACAGGATATTGTCTCATATTTATCATATGAAGTTATAGAGGAATCATTTGATGAAAATATAGAGAAGAAATTTTATTATAACAATGACAAATCCACTTTACAATTAGACAGACTGTTTTTACCAAATTTTGAACAACCAAATACATTAACGGAAGAATCAGAGACCATAAAAAAAGTAAATAAATTTACAATAGATGAGTTAATAACAATCCACGGAACATATTTAAACAAAATAGTCAAGACAAAATTATTTAATGAATCTTCATTAGGTAAAAGATCTCAAATAAGTTTTATAACTCAAATTCATGATTTTTTGCAAATTTTTTATAATTTTATAAATTTAAATCAAGAATATTTAGGAGTGTTAGAAGATTTTTTTTTTATTTATCAACACAATCTAACATCCACAACCACTTCAAATATTGAAAATGAATTAGATGAAATTTTATTTACTTTAGATAGAATTTATAAAAAATTAAAAAATGAAATTTTTGAAAATGAATTTAAACAATTGTTGATTGATTTTAAAGAAGATATGAAATTGGAAAATGATTTAAAAGAATTTGGTGCTTGTTTGTAATATTATTAATATATGTATTATTTATTAATTTCGTAATAAGAATAAATTGACAATGTAGCCGGAGCTCTTTTAGTTTTAACTTAAATGGTTGCAAATTCCTTAAAAATATGCTAAAAATTTGGTGCCTGAACTTATTTTATTTATTGTGATTAAACACAAAAATAAAAGCCTCGTAATTTTATTTTTAATCTTATGATGTAATGGGAATTGATTGACCCATAAATTATTTTAGATCTTTTAGGATAGCAAATATTTATAGTCTAACAAAACTTCAATCACGTTATCATCTACACTCGCTTCAAAAGAATCAAATGTCAAATATTGACTCACCTACAGAATCAATCGTCAATTCCAAAATTATATTCAAAACTTCAAAAGTTTCATTATATAAACTACCCTACAATCACACAAGTATTAAAGATTTCAAGAACGGTTACAATTTACATTTACCAGAACCCATTGATTTAAACAACATAAAAGATTGCATATGGAGAGGATCTATACGATTATTAGAAGAAGAAATAGAACAACAACCACTAGAAGATACACCTCAAAATATAATAGAACCATTTTCAAAAATAAGAGCAAAATTAGAATTCATAAATATAATAAATGAAGATATTGAAAAATTATGGGGAGAAACATGGTATATTCCAGTGAATAGAAATATAGAATCGGAAATCGAATCAAATTCTCAATTGTTAGATGACCATAATATTATAACTAAATATATTTCTAAAATTTCAAATGATGGAACTGATTCAATTAAATTAGTTAGAGATACAAGTAATTATAGTAGAATAAATTGGTATAGAATAATTGTTCAGATTCCAGGTACTGGCTTTTTGCCAATTATAAATCAACAACCACCAACAACTCAAGACGCAAAACAAAATCAAGATATTACACAAGTTGCATTACTTTTAAAATTTAATACAAGTTTGGAAGCAGAAATATTTAATGAAAAATTAGATGATTTTGCAATGAAATTTGAAGATCAAGAATCTTCATACTACAATGAGAAATGGGAATCAATAATTAATGATGATGGTAGTTCAGCCACCAAGAGGAAACCAATTATTGATTCAGATTCTGATGATTTTAATACTAGACGATTAACTCAAAAGTATCATGATATGATACTAAAAGAAGCTAGTAAGATGATTGAAAGAAAACAACAAAGGTGGAAGAAAAATAATGATAATCAAATAAATCATTCACTGAGACGAGTTAAAGATAGTAGTGATAATTCATCTACAACAAGTGACGAAGAAGATGATTTTGGAGATTTTGTATCGAATTAGAAAAAAAAAAACTCATTAATTATAAATCTATATATAAACCTAACATTGTAATCATTTTTGTTGCAGTTGTTGTTGTTGTTGTTGTTGTTTTTTCTTATAATACATTTTTTGAATTAATGGATGATGAGATTCTCTTAATTCTTTATTTTTGTTTTTACTATATTCGATATATGCCATATCTTCACCACCAGCTAAACCAGCTAATGAACCAGCAGTACGTGTTGCTCCATTGTTACCATTTTGTTTTTCCAATCTTGATCTTTGTTCTTTAGAAATGAAATTAGTATCAGCATCATCACCAACTTCTAAACCTGCTGCATCTTCATTTTTCAAAAGAACTTGTTGTAACAATTCTCTTCTTTCTCTTGCTGATGCATATGCTAAATCTGGTAATTGTTCCATACCACTTAAATGAGTAATAACCTTAAATGCATAACCTTGATCAACTAAAAATGCTTGCCTTTTAGTTGAATAATACATTTCTTGAGTATCTTTTGACACTAAAGAATAAAAAAATGCATTAAAACCTTCATCATTACGTCTTTTAGCTCGTAAAATTCTACCTAATCTTTGAGCTTCTTGTCTTCTTGAACCATAATGAGAACTAATTTGAATTAAACACGTAGCTTCAGGTAAATCAATTGATGTATCACCAACTTTTGACAAAAATATAGTATTGATTTGATCATTATGTTGGAAATTTTGTAGAATTTTCATTCTTTCTTGTTGTGGAGTTGATCCATAAATAAAAGGTTTACCTAATTTTAAAGCATATTCTTGTAATGCATAAACGTTATCACTAAATACAATGATTTTATCACCTCTTTTTTCATGATAATGAATTAAGAATTGACATGCTTGGAATTTTGCTGGATTCATAATATACAATAGCATTCTTTTCCTAGCACTTTCTCTTAGATATTCTTGATAAAATTCAGATGTCATTGGACACCAAACTTCAGCACATTGAACATTTGCTATATGACCTTTTTGAGCTAAATCCATCCAATTAGCTTCATATAATTTAGGACCAATTAAAAAATTTAAATCATCAATCTTGTCATCTTCACGAACTAATGTTGCAGTAAGTCCTAATTTAGCATGTGCTGCAATTGTTGTAACAACTCTTCTAAACATATTAGCTGGAACAACATGGACTTCATCTAATATGATAAACCCCCATTCTCTTGACCTCAAAAAATCCATAACTTTTTGAGAATCATGTGATCTATTTCTAGTATTTGCAACCATAGAATATGTAGAAACAACTAAACCAGATTCACTTGCAAACATTTCTTTATTTTCTGATGTGAATACTGCAACATTTTCAGGTTGAATCGTACACCATTGTAAAAATTGTTGTCTCCATTGCATTACTGAAACAGATGATGTACATAATACAATAACTGATTTTCTTATAGTACAAGCTGCAGTAATACCAACTAAAGTTTTACCAGCACCGCATGGAAGAACAATGATACCAGATCTTGCTCTTCCATTACCAAACATTTTGGATAATGATTTTTCTTGATAAGGTCTAATTTGAGTCGAAGGTTTTAAATCAATTTCAAGATCAGGATTTCTTGCATCATTACGGAAATCATATTCTTCTAAAACTGGATAATCTATTTCTTGACATCTCCTTTTAACAATTTCAACTGAATCATGAGATATTTCAAATGAATGAACAGTATCTAAATCGTCATCATCATCTCTATTCCCCACAACTGATGCAAATATATCTTCAATCTCATTCTTTTCTTTTGAACTTTCATCTTCTTTTAGTTTTCTTGTTCCTGGAATATTTATATCATTTTGAGGTGGCGCAGATTGTACTAATCCATTACTAGTAACAGAATTTTCAGTTGATTGTATCCTTAAAGGTCCAATAACTTCATCTTTCAACAACATCTGTAGCACGTCAGCTTGTGTACTTTCAACGAAATATCTATTATTTTTTAAAACCAATTTGACTTTACCATATGATACAGTTGCTGCTTTAATAAATTGTACTATTGAATCCGCCACTGGTACTTTTGATAATCGATTTAGCACCGATATTATATCATCAGTTTCTAGCCCCACTGATACAGCTGCATATAGTGAATAAACAGTAATTTTGTATTCATGAACGTGAGATGGTCTTGATATAGGTTCTGCTATTGTAATTAAAAAATCTTGAGCTTGCTCTGCTAATGGAGAAAATGATTCTAATATTATCCTTATATCATTTTGATTTGGAGCAATCCATATAGGTCTTGAAAAATGATCAGGTTTTAATTTTAAATATGAAAAATCTTGCCTTCCAAATGATTTTGATACTGCATCAGGTATATAATCTTTGGGTATATCAGATGTTATATCTATTAATTCATCATCAGTATCTGCATTCTGTTGTAAATCATGTTTTAATGCATCTACTGTGAGTTTCGCTTTTTTACGTTTGGCTTGTTGATCTTCACTGGGAGTTGATGATTTGGTGGGTTTTCTTTTCTTATTAGAAGTTGATCCATAATCATTATCTTCTAAATCATAAGGTTCATTATAACCTTCATCTGAAAAATTATCATCATCTAATTCTGCATAGTTGACTGTATTTGATCTCCTAGACATAATATGAAATAACGATTAATTTAATTGATGATTGGTTTAGTGGTTTAGTTGGTTGAAAGAATCAAACTTTAAAGAGATGAATGATTGATTGATTATTAATTATAATTTATTACATTTCTATTTATTTATTATTTAAATATTTATTATTCTATGATTATCATTTTGGGTAGTGTACTTTGAACTATTAAATTTGCAACCATTTTTCTATTTTATTTTAATCAGTAAATTTATATGAACCACTTGCAAAAGTAATACTACCACCTTTATAACTTCCCTTTTTCATTTTATTTTTATTCTTGGTGAAATCTTTACCTCTAACTTGTAACAATTTTTCACTTGCCTTTTCACCCCAAGTACCTGCTGCTCCTTTATATGTATTATCTTGTAATGCTTGATGTTCAAATGCTATTTTGTCTCTTTCAATTCTTGAAAAATGTTTTCTTTGTCCTGGTTTTAAATCTGGTTCTGGAGTTGCCGCGATTGATCCTGCTTTGATTGTTGTTACTTCAGTTATTGAATCTGTAGTTGATGAGTCTGAGGTTGGTGAGGAAATTTTAGGCTTTTTTATGACTACTGTTGTGGTTGTAGTTTCTTTGTTGTCATCTTCGTGTTTTCTTTTCCTTTTTGAATTTGAGTCCGATTCTGAGTCTGAACTTGAATCCGAGCCGCTTGAGCTACTATCTGATGATGAGCTAGACGAACTGGATGAGCTTGAAGATGAGCTTGATGATGAGCTTGATGATGAGCTTGATGATGAGCTTGATGATGAGTCGTCACTATCTGAAGACGATGAGGATGATGATGATGATGAGGATGATGAGGATGATGATGACGAGCTATCACTGTCACTTTGACTTTCACTTGATGAGCTTGATGACTTGGATACGTTTGATGATGCAGGTATAATTTTGTCGTCTTTGGCTTCTTTTTCACTATCGCTATCAATTTCATCATCACTTGAACTACTATCTTCACTTGAGCTGCTACTACTTTCATCACTTGAACTACTTTCATCATCTCCATCAGAATCTGAACTTGAAGAGCTTGAGGAGCTTGAAGAGCTAGAACTTGATGAACTCGAGGAGCTAGAACTTGAGCTAGATGATTTTAATTTTGTTTCACCATTTAATATGATGTCTATTGCTTTTGAAGTTTTTGGATCTAATTGAATATCAATTTTATTTAATAAATGTGACATTTCTTTTTTTGATAAATTTTGTAATTTTTCATCATTTTTTATTAGTTGTTTCAAGTATTCACTGATTGTGATTGATGGCGCCATATTGAATGTTGTGAATTGTTGATTATTGGAAAATTTAGGAATAGTTATATATAGATTTATATTATTTTAATGATAATGCTGTTGTTATATTTCAATTTACTGTTTAGTATTGTGGTTTATAATAAGATGAGATATTCAATTTTTTTTTGTCTCTCGTAAATAATAATTTATTAACACAAAATTCTTTTTAGTATTATTTTACTTTGTGGTTAATTAAAATAAGAAGTTTCAGTTTCAATCTAATAGTTTTCTATTTAATCAAAAATCATAATCTATAATTACACAGTTCTAAAATGTCCTTCTATATATTCCAAATTCTTTACATCTTGGATTTGAGACCATTACCAAATAAATTACGTCTTTCTAATTCATAACCATAAATATTATCTAAATCCATATCATCAATTAATTTTGAAAATTCTTGTTGTTCAATTGCCTTTTTATCATGTTTCAATTTTGATTCTGGAGTTTCCAATAATTCCTTTTTGAAATTATCATTTCTCTCAGTTAAAAATTTAGCAATAACTTCTATTGTTTCATCTGGTTGTTCAGCATTTACTAAATGTTCACCTTTTGGAATATCAACAGTACCTGCAAGATATTTAGGCTTTATAGTTTCTCTAATCCAAGGAGTACTTTCTGGTGGATTCCACTGACCATTTGCTCCAACAACATGTAAGATAGGAACTTTTATGGATGGTAAGGCTAACATACCTTTTGCAATTGATGGAAAAGCTCCAAAATAACCTGCAACTTGATATGATTTATTACATTTACATTGAATTTTAATATCACCAGTTTCAGGATCTTTAATTTCAATTAATTCATCTTCAAGATAATCTTTCATTACTTCTTCATTAAATTTTTTTGTGAATGAAAATTTTGTAAAATAAAATAATGCATCTTCATGAGAATCAAAAGTATCAATCATCATTTGTTTAATCTTGTTGAATATTTTTTTGAATTTATCTAATCCATCAATTTGTCCATAAATCACAGCTTCAATTGGAATAACTGAATCAAATAATTCACTTTCTAAAAATGCAGAATATAATGCAATAAATCCACCCATTGAATGACCAATTATAACATTTCTAGATTCTGAATTATTTTGAAAATCTCCAGTAGTTGCAATTTCTTGATTTATAACTGTTATAACATCTCTTGCACCATCATCCCAACAAAATACAGGTCCTAATTTACCTGCATTAGCTAAAGCTGAATCACCATGTCCTAATGCATCAATTGTAATAACTGAATCTAAAAACCATGGTACTTGCATTGATTGTGATAATTGATATAATTTTTTAACATGATACTTCCAAATTGATTTATTGAAACCAGTACCATGACAAAATATTAAATTAAATCTTAATTGATTCTTTGGATTTGGTGGTGGACAATTGGTTTTATATTTATTATAAACTATTTTTAAATTATGAGAATCTTCTGATAATAAAGTACTACCTTTCAGTCTATATGGATGAGCTTTTACTTCTTTCTTAGTTAAGGTAAATGACATTATTACTTGATGTGGGTTATTTAAATGTAGTATTTGAATAAGCTTTTAAACCATAAAAGATATAATAGGGATAATTGATAATATATTTATAACGGTTAAAATATACAATAGATCGAATATTGAAATTTTATGGGGTTAAGGGTTAGTAATTTTGTGATTTGAAACTTTTAGACAATTATATTTCAATTTGAGGAAAATCAAAACTTTACTTCCGATACTTGAATTATCAATCAAATTAGAATATCGATTGATCAATACAAGTCCGTGGCAATTATTCAGTAAGCTTAGAAAGATGGGGACAAATACATTGTACATTACAGAGAATCCTATGTACTAAGTAAATTATTTTGAGTTTAACAGTTTTAATTTTTTCAAACTCCTCGGCAATTGAGAGAGAAACATTTATGTCACTAATTGCAAATATAGGACACACAAAAAAGAGGACACATCGTAAAGATTTTGTGTAATAAAATTTTAAATTATTGAGATTATTATTTTTGAAACATTTTTAAAAGTTATTATTCGATTTTAATGAAAAGTCAGTGAATGAACTATCAAAGTCAACCTGTTGCCCTAGTCAGAAAAACTTTATAGGTTAAAAATAATTGAAGTCAAATCGGTTTATTCACCAAGTCATATGCTTTTGACATAAATTCATCTTGACGTATTTCTTAACAAATTAATAATAATAAAATAATAATTAAAATCAAATTTCTTTTTTTAATTTATATTTTTTATTTCTCCAGAAAATTAAAATTTTTTAAATTTAATACTTTATACATTTACTACTTAATATTTTTAATTTTTAGATCATCAAAAAATATTTAATTTGTCATAAGTTTTAAAAGTTTTATTGTACCGACCGACAAAAGACCACTCGAAAGTCGATCAAAGCAGAAGTCATTAACAGCTACTCGTGAATACTATATTATCGCATCAAAAAAATGACTTCATCAAGTAAAATACAGATACTAAGAACTGTACAACAAGTAAGACAATGGAGACATCAATCACTAATAAATAATCAGTCAGTAGGATTTGTACCAACAATGGGGGCATTACATCAAGGACATTGTTCATTAGTTGCACAATCTTTAAAAGAAAATGATAAAACAATAGTTTCAATTTTTGTAAATCCATCACAATTTGCACCTCATGAAGATTTAAATAATTATCCAAGAACTTTAGATAGAGATTTAGAAATTTTATCTAATCAATTTAAAAATAAATCAATTGATGCTATATTTGTACCTAAAATATCAGAAATGTATCCTAATGGAATTGTATTGGAAGTTGATAAACAAAGAGGGACTTTTGTAACTGTACATGGATCAAGTGAACAATTAGAAGGAGTTACAAGACCTCAATTTTTCAGAGGTGTTGCTACTATAGTAACTAAATTATTAAATATTGTTCAACCAACAAGAGTTTATTTTGGTCAAAAAGATGCACAACAATGTGTTGTTATCAAGAATTTAGTAAAAGATTTAATAATACCTACTGAAGTAAGAGTAATGCCTACTTTAAGAGAATCAAATGGTTTAGCTATGTCTTCGAGGAATGAATATTTATCGAAAGAAATAAAAGATAAAAGTTCAATAATTTATAAAGCATTATGTAATGGTGAAAATTATTATAATGACAAAATAATAAATCATAATCAAAATTCAGTTGATTCCAAAAAAATTATAAAAGAAATTTATGATTTAATTAAACAAGAACCAGATTTTGATATAGAATATATTGCAGTAAGTCATCCAGAGACATTAGAAGATTTAGATCAAGTTACTCCTGGATTAGGTGCAATAGTTTCTTGTGCAGTAAAAGTTCCAAAAGAAAATAGTAATGAAAAAGCAAGATTAATTGATAATATAATTTTACAATAATTTTAATAATTAATAAAGTAATGAGGTAATGAGAATTAATGACATTGATATAAAACAAAAGTATAAAGAGTCTAATTTATAGATAATAGAGTGCATTATTTAAAATGTATAGTAATTTAATAAATAATAAAAATACAATTTGAACTATACATTACAACGCTGTTCTTCTCTTAAACAATAAGCTCTTCTTAATTGATGAGGTTGACGAATTTTTATCAGAATTTTTCAAATTCTTAGACTCCATTTCTTTAAATTTGATCCGATCTTTTTCTAATTGTTGTTCAAACTCCTCCTTCATAATCAACCCCTTAGCATCAACTAATTTATCTCTATATTGTTCAGGAACTCCAAAAAATTTATACCCATATTGTAATAACCAAATAGGATGAACACAAGTAACGTAATTCATATATTCTTTTGAAGTTAATACTAGCTCATGATATATTACAAAGTTGGAATCTAAATTACTATTATTTAATCCACTTGTCGGATGTAAATACATTTTCATATATGAGTGACGTAAATTTTGAAATTCTGGTGTTCCATTTACATTATTTTTAATTAACTTTGCCAGTTGTTGATAAAATGATGCACATAAACATTTTCTTATATCTTCATCATTATATGATTTGAGTAATGATAATTTATTTTTTTGCATTATAACCATTAATTGTCTTTTAATTTCTTTAGCTCTTTGTAAAGATCTTAACTGAAGAAAATTACTTTCACACCATGAATGCATTTTTGTATAATTGTTATTTACTTTATTTGTATGGCTTTCCCATTGATTGTATACATTAAGTAAAGTTAAATGATCTGAATTTGCAATTGTGAATTTTTCTCTAGCTCTATCGGCTTCATTGGCTCTTTCTTTTGATCTCTGGAAAATATTAGAAACACTTAACATACCAACAATAGTTAAAATATCTTCAGAACAATGAAATTCATTTTGACAAGATAATAAAATTAGTTTTGCTAGGGTAGGTTCTATTGGGAATTGAATCATGTCCATACCCAACTTAGTCAATTCACCGAAATTATCTATAGCACCTATAGCCCATAGATCATACAATGAACAATTTAATAGATCTTTTGGTGGTGGATCAAGAAATGGAAATCTATTAATATCATTAATTTTCAAAGATTTTAACAATAACATAGTATTACTTAAATTGGTTCTTTGAATTTCTGGAATTGGTTGTAAATACATGTTATGTGGATCGGTAGCTCTTTCGGTATATAATCTGTAAGCAACACCGGCCCCAGTTCTACCAGCTCTACCACTTCTTTGATCTGCATTTGCTAAAGATATAGGAACAACTTGTAATGTATCCATACCTAATTTTGGATTATAAACTTTAACTTTTACTAACCCACAATCAATCACATACTTTATACCATCAACTGTTAATGAAGTTTCTGCAATGTTTGTTGCAATCACTACTTTTCTTTTATGTGGGTTTGATTTGTTAAATATTTTCTTTTGTAATTCTTGTGGCATTGATGAATAAATTGGAAGAATTTCTATTGGAGGTGGACTCTCTAGCATTTCTAATTTTTCTTTTAATAAATCACAAGTAGTCTCAATATCCTCTTGACCAGTCATAAATACAAGAATATCACCATCATTGGTAAATTCGCCAGAACTATTCTCTGGTCTTTGTAGGTGAATTGATAATATTTGTTTCACTGCAGTATCTACATAATCCATACTAACATTTTTATTAAAATAAATATCAACAGGAAATGTTCTTCCAGGTATTGTAAACTGTGGAGCTGCACCAAAAAATCTAGTGAATCTGTCAGCATTCATTGTAGCTGATGTTACAATTAGTTTTAAATCTCTTCTTCTAGCCAATAAACTTTTGAATAATCCAAGTAAAATATCCGTGTTTAGTGCTCTTTCATGAGCTTCATCCATAATGACACAACTATAATCCCTTAATACAGGATCTGCTAAAATCTCTCGAAGTAAAATACCTTCAGTCATATATTTTATAACAGTTTTGGATTTATTAGTTTTATCATCAAATCTAACTGAATAACCAACTTCTTCTCCTAAGTTAACATTCATTTCCTCACTAACTCTTTTAGCAACTGACATTGCAGCAACTCTTCTAGGTTGTGTACATCCTATTATTTTACCTTCATTTGTTAAACCTTGTTCATACAAAAATTGTGCTAATTGAGTAGTTTTACCAGAACCAGTTTCACCGATAATAATTGTTACTTGGTTTTCTTTTATTGTTGATACAACATCATCTCGAACTGCATAAGCTGGTAAACTTTGTCTTTGTTTTTGAATACTTTGATAGTCAATTTTCTCCTCAACATCTGATTGCTTGTTTTCTTCCTTTGAGATTTCCTTATGTTCAACTCCAATTTTTGCTTTTGCTTGTCTGGCTTTTTCTTTCGTTGATCTTTTGCTTTGAACAACTAGTGAACCTTGTTTCGCCATTGATGCTAATTCTGAGTTTATATCTTTGACTGGATTTATAGTTGGACCCACTCCTTTTACTGAAGTCCCTGATATTTGTAAAGTTAAATATTCTTTCAGTTTCTCCAAAAATGGTGGGATAAAGACATGACTCACTATTGGAACTCTATTGAAATCATTGGATGCTGCGTGGTCATTATCAACATACTCTCCTGTTTCTTTGAAATAACCTCCTGATCCTCCATTTGTTTGAGATTGAGGCTGCACTGATGAAGTTTTCTTGTCGACGTTATATCTATTGTTGGGTATATATGAATCTTTTTCATTGTGTTTGTGTGTTGATAGTGGTTGTTGTTGTCTTGAAGTTTTCATCGCTGGTCTTTCTTGATTAGATAGATTCTTGAAATCTTGTTGTTGAACATCTGGACTAGTTTGTTTCATTTTCATAGCGTCCTCTTTTTTCAATTTTTTAAACATTGGTTTCTTGGTGATAGGTTCTTGATCTCTAGGTCGTATTTTAATTTTTGGCGTGTTTGTATCATCTTCATCTCCATCTTCTGTTTCATCATATGATAACCTAACACCAGGTCTAGTTTGTTTTAACTCGTCTGTTCTTTTGAAATTTGATACGGGTTTGGGTAGTAGCTGAATCGATCCATTTTTATCTGAAGCTTTTATGCAATTGTAAATGTCATTTATGTGATTTTCATTCTTTAAACCAATTATTTGTGTAAATTTCGAGAAATCCTCTAGAGTTTTGGTTGTTGCTTGTGTGATAATTGTTTTGGCAAGTGACTCATTTGGTGGTTTATTTAAATAAGTTGAAAGTTTATTTATTATATTTGATGTTATATTATCGTCATCATTTTTATTCATTATCTAGTTTGAGCTAAAGTGGTTGTAAAAAATAAAAAGAATACAAAAATGAAAATTAAAATATGGAGTTCTAATAGAAACAATATTTCCATCTTGATGAATGAATAAGATACCTCCAAAAATATTGAAATATTTCAAATATGCTGTTGAATTCAAATGCAAGATAACACCACCACCAAAGACTTCAACTGAATTAAATTTTATCATTCAAAACTTTGAAAAGTTAAGTGCCATAGATTATTTGACAAATACATCGCTAAATGATGTATCAATTATAGAAAATCAGGGATTTTGGATGAAAATTGTATTCAACCCGGTGTTTAACAGATCCAAAGTTGCCCCCGTCTTTAGTGATGACGATAAAATTAATGATGATAAATCAGAGTTAAAGTCAAAGCATATACAAGCAAAATTAATCGAAAATTTAGATAATTTAATTGCAATCCCAAGATATCTTTATTTGAAAAATGATAATTCAGGATTCTTATCAAATCGAACTCATCTCAAATTTAATTACGATCTATCAACAAAAGGTTCAATGTATCATAATAAATTTGAGTTGTCTAATGCCTCAAATAATTCCGCCTTCATATATGTCACCAAATGTGATCCACCGATAGATAAGTATAAGTTGAGAGCGTCTATACGGCATAATTTTCTGCATTTTCATAAGATTGATAATATTGAGATCAAAACTAATCCGTATCTAATAGTGAAAAATTTACAAGAGCCACTATGAAAAAGTAGATCAAGTTACTTAAATTCTTTTTAATTAATGTATATTACTTTTTAGATCCTAAACTTTTATCTACTCTATCAAAATCTTTCTCCAAAACATCATTTAAATAATTCAATCCAATTTGTTGTTTCATCAAGATTTTTGTGAATTTTTCAATAATATCATTATTATTTCCAGTGACTATTTGTTTCTTATTTTGTTCCAAGGATCCATTATCCAAAGTACCATTTAATACATGCATTGATTGATCAAATTGAGAATTTAAATCTTCTGCTCTTTCTTTTAAAATATTTAATTTTGCGAAGATATCACTTAATTTACCAATTGGACTATTTGGATCATTTATTTTATTTGTCAAAATATCAAATTGTCTTGCTATTTCTTCTTCTTCTGGTAACAATGGATAACCTTTCAATTTCAAAATAGCTAGTATTGTAGCTAATCTTAATAATCTTCTTGATAATTGAGTATGTCTGGCTTTGGCTTTTAAAATTCTTGTTGTGTTCTCCAAATCATGTTTTGCAGATAAATTATTTAATCTTTCATTGATTTGATTTAATACTGTTTTCTCTTTCGATATATAATCTAATTGAGTTTCAATTCTTTGTGCTACTTCGTCATATGAGGTAATTTTGATTGGAAAAGAATTTCCATTTGGTCTTTCAATCATTGCTTTATCCCAATCTTCTGCAGTTTCATTTGAAGGTCGAGGTTGTGATAACAATTGATTAATTTCTTGGTCATTGAATTTATTATAAAAATGAGTTTTCAATGCGCATTTTGGTGAATTTGGATCCCATTGTTCCCATACTTTGGTTAGTTGATCATTTATAGCAGGAGTGTATGTATTCTGATTAGTTTGTGGTTGGTTTGTATTTTGATTAAATCCAAATAAACTTGAGGTGTTGTTGACAACTGGTTGGTTTTGTTGTGGTTGACTCCAGCTGAATGATGGTTGTTGATTGTTAGTTGTATTTGATGAAAATAATGAAGATTGTTGTGGTTGTTGTTGTGACTGTTGCTGTTGTTGATTAGAAAATAATCCTCCTGTTGTATTTGTAGATGGTTTATTGCCAAAAAGTCCACCGCCAGTTTGGGTAGTGTTATTAGAAGAACCAAAAAGACCAGTACCAGTACCAGCTGAAGCTGGTTTATTTCCAAATAATCCTCCTGTAGTTCCTGTGTTTGTATTAGATTGTCCAAATAAACCACCTGTATTATTGCTGGTCTGCTGATTGTTACCAAATAACCCTCCAGTTGTACTAGTATTTAATTGTTGTTGTTGATTATTTCCAAACAATCCACCAGTAGTTGTATTTGATTGTTGATTATTATTGTTTCCAAATAATCCACCCCCTGTAGCCGGTGCAGCTGATTTTCCAAAAAGTGATCCACCGCTTGTATTTGCACCAAATCCAGTTCCTGTATTTGAGTTCAGACTAGAACCAAATAAGCCACCAGTTGATCCTGATTTTTGAGGATTGGAACCGAATAAACCACCTGTAGTAGAATTCGAAGTGGTGTTGTTTTGTGGTTGACCAAATAATCCTCCAGTTGAACCACCCGTTGTGGTATTAGATTGACCGAACCCTGTTGATTGTTGTGATTGTTGTGGTTGTTGTGATTGACCAAATCCAAAGCCAGATGTTGATGCTGGTTTATTTCCAAACAATCCTCCACTACTAGAATTGTTGTTATTAGACGAGCCAAACAATCCTCCACCGGTATTGCTATTTGCTCCAAACATGTAATTGGTTTATTTGATTGTTTTTATTGTTTATATTTAAATCTTATGCTTTAAAATATTATTTTTCGTGAAGCTGAAAAATCGCAAAATCAAATTGATGAGATTGTTTAGAGGTAATTCAGTATTTTAAAGTTAAGAATAAAATAATTGAAAAAAGGAAGAGAGAGGCTACTTTATCAAGAAAGTCTTACATCATCACATCTGCCATCGGTCTAATTTTAATTAGTTTTCATTTTAAATGTATTGATTGTTTTTGTATATAACTTTCACCTCAACTAGATGTATTTTTCTCTTCCAGTTGTATGAATTTTTTAGTTAATGATGAATCTTTTGAACTTGTTTTATATATTGGATTTGGTTTATCTTGAATTTGTTCTTCAACTCCTGGAATTTTTTTAACTAATTTTAAATTATCAAATACACATTTACCTAATAATTTTTCACTTGAACGACAACGACTAAAATATTGATTATTTTGTTCTAAACAATCATAATGTAATTTGAATTCATCAAAGCAATATTTATTTAAATCTTTTAATACTGATATAGCACATCTTGTTACTCTTCTACCTTCTTTTAAACAATCTATTGTTCCTCCATTATGTTCGTCTTTACATAACATGAAGTCATCATTATATGGTTTACATCTATCTCCAATATAATATGATGCTGATAATAATGGCGCAGATGTTGCTCCAACTTCATCTACTTCTGGTATGGTTTTTGGTAATGGGGTTTCTTCAGTATTTTTCCAACTTGAACTAAACATTTTTTGTATGAATGTAGATATGCTTAAAATTTTATAATTGATTAATTCAGTGAGTGACAAAGTATTTACAATGAATAGATGGTAGTATAGATTCTCAATGGTGGTTGTTTTGTATTTATTGATCTATTTAAATTTTAATAATATTAGATATTGCAATAAAATTAATTTTTATTTCAAATTCGAAAAATTTGGTTGGTTCAAATTTACACTACAATTTTATTTCAATATATAACAACGCAATATTTATTCATTTATACTACAAATTAACTGTATTACTGACTTCTTCCTGGATTCAATTCTTGAAAATTTAATCACGTTCTAGAAGCTTGGGTTTAAGAAAAACTGAATTAGTGAATTTTACTGATCACAGACTTACTTTTGTAGCTAGCCTTGAGCCAAAACCAACGCTAGATTGAAGAAGCCTTCGAGTCGAGAGATCAATTACAATCTTTTTCATGAATGTATCACAAATTGTATTTCAACATATTTGTCCATGACGATTCTCTATACTAAAACTTATGGAGTATATCAAAAATGTTTGCAATTCTAGTACACCTCATTGAATATCCTTGTAATAACATTTATTGATAAGTACTAACTAACTCAATTATTTCGTATTAAATTTTGAATATTTAGAATCTCCATCACCAAATCAGGATCATCTTTATATTTTTTAATATCATTAAATAACGAATTTATATAACTCTTATACTCAATAATGATTGATGATTTTTTACCATATATATAATTATTTTCAAAATTACTTATAATTTTATGATTTGATACAATTGAGGATGTGGTTGATACCGTGTCTTCATCAATGATTGAATTTTTTAATTTTATTGATTCTAAATAATCACTTATGTTTAGTATTGACAAATAAATTGTTGTGAGTTTTTTGAGGTTTTCTTTATTAATGGTTAGATTTTTTTCATTCTTATGGTTGTTATTCACTAAATTTATGAATTGATCGAATTGAATTATTTGATCATTTAATAGTAAATTCAATTTAATATTTGTCTTTAATTCAATTAAGTTGAATCTTTGAGTTAATATTTTTTCAATTTCAGTATCTAGTTTGTTAAATTTTTTTGAAAACTCTAGTAACTCAATTTTGAAATTCTTTAAATCCTCAAATAAATTATTAATCAAATCATTACCACCATTTATTGATTTACCCAATTTTATAAAATCTTTATAATCTGAGTTAATTAAATCTATTAAATTTTGATTCAAATTTGTAGAAAGTGATTTTAAATCCTTGATTAGTTGATCTAATGATGTAAACCTATGATTCTTGTATAAAAATGAATCGATTCCTTCTAAATTGAAATTTTTGAAATCTGTCGTTATTATTGATTTGGGGAATGGGAAACTATCTACTGAGTCTAAATCATAATTTAATGTTGATACATCATCCAATGCTAAGTCTTTAACTGAGTTTGATTCGTATGTGATATTCATATTAGCGACATTTGATCTGAATTGATTAGGCTTTTGTTGATACCTTGGTGAATGAATGTGTTTGATATTGAAAAGGTCAAAAATTTGGTAGCCTGAATTTACCATGCTGAGCTTGACGTTTAATAAATTCACCAAATATCAGACACGAACAAGAAATTTGCACGAACATGGTGAATTTGGTTACAAATAATTACGAGAGCTAAACTCTGCAACATGAGTACATCACGCTATTTCAAGAGGTAGCCAAAAAAGTAACTATTGTCAATAATTTTAATTCTAATTTCGTGCAATGCAAAGGAAGGCATTTACTGGAAGAAAATAAATCTTCAATTCAAAATGAATTTTGATACCAATTTTAAAACAATTTTTAAAGGACATATATTTTTGATAGCGATTGTGATCGATAGACTGTTGCTTTGAAAAAATTAGCTGCTTGTTTAAGTGAGTTAAAAATCTAGTTTATTGTCGCACCATCCATCCTTGAAGAATACCGAATGCGTATGAAAGAAGAAACGTAATATTATATAGGATTGAAAGAAAAACACACGTCTGTAAGAAAAAAAATGAAATATTCGGGCTCAATCTGGAAAACCCTCAAAATATTTTGGGTGTAAATTCAAAGACTTATTGACCGCATTGCAAACTTTAAGCATCATCAAGGACCAATAGGCAACATACATGCATCAGCGCATTTTTGAACCAAATTGTGCACATCTTGAAGCTGAGCTGATACATGCTTTTCAGTCTTGCGACAGTGTTATTGCTGACAGCTGTAAACACCCTATCGAGGGTTGTTTTTGGCTGAATCAGAATGATCAAGTATCCGTGGTTCAGTTGGTTTCAATAATGTATTTCCAGTTGCTTTAGCGTGTTAATTATTAATATTTATAAGGGTTAATTATTGCCTTAGATTACAATTTATTATCTTATTTCATTCAACTCCAAACTTCCGTGGTAGCCAGCGGTATTAATATATATGAGCAATAAAAAGATAATTTCAAACGATCTTTAAAATTGAATTGATCGATTTAAATTTAATGTTCTTAATTGTTATGTTTGCATTTGCAACAATTTTGCGTGCATTAAGTATAAAACTTTAATATTATGTGGTAGCAACTTTTGAAACATATTTGTATCTTCATGTCATGAACTTTTATCTGTCAAGATCTGAACAATATATATATAGGGGAGTATTGGTTTGTTTCTCAAATTTATTGACCAATTTATTTATTTGGTTGCTAAAGTATAGTCCCATTAAGGATAGATTCATGCCAACCAATTTAAGTAAGTGTCAAACTCGAAGCATTCTAGTCTAGTCCCCTTTTGCTATCTAGTATTATTAATTGCATTATATTCAATCATAATTATGAAATGAACCACATCGATAGCTGAAGCAGAATCAACTATCCAATTCCACTGAACAACTTGCTCATTCACAGTCATGTATCTCAAGTAATAAACTCAAAAAGGGTTGTCAGCCAATTAAGTAAAACACCAAAAAACTCACTTGCTTTACTCCGGTGTCTAATTTAGATCACAGTCCAGTCAGTTAGTTAAATTTGTACTCCAAAGGTTGGTTTTCAGGTTTAATAAAATCATTAATTTATTCAAGGGGTAGGAAAAAGTCTCAGGTAGTCAACACAGATGGTCCCCATACTTATATAGGTGAAATGTCTCACAAAAGTTTCTCAATAAGTAATGGAACTAGAATTCTGAAGTTAGTAAAATAAATAATTCTACATTTGTATGGATAAAAGTAGTTTTCTGTGATCAATTGAAGAAGAAAGAGTTATGCAAAATAGTATTAAAAAAAAATTCAGTTATTTATATCTAGATGGCAAAATATCTGTAATGCTAATCTTAGGCTGCAAAATCTTATATTGCAAAAAAAAATGTATTTTTGGCACAAAATATCAATACAGGGACTTCAAACTACTTAGGATAGATACAACTTGACCGAAGAATGCTTCAATGAAAGATCCGAGAGTTTCGATATCTCACCCCATTTCATTCACTGATATTCATACATAAATTTTGTAGTTAATCTAAATTTCAAGTCGTATTTTTGACTACTTGAGCTTCTTAATTCAAGATCGAAAATTTGAACTGATTACGAGCGAACAAAACAATACATGTCTTTGTTTAAAATTATAGAAGACTTGGCTCAAAGTAGGATGCTTTTTTTACGAAGTCTTCACTCAAATGTTGTTGTCGAAATTTTAAATGGTTTTATTTATTACAGTAAGATTTTTGACTAAACCCAAAATGCATTGATATTGAAAGATTTGCGACTCAACTTGACATAGAAGGTCAACTTATTGTTTCTTGATCAATTTTTATTCTCATTTTGAAGTTCGATTTTATTAGTCTTTGCATATACGAAATAAAAATTAGCTATTATACTAATACCTTTTAGTTCTTATCTATTTAGTTTTTCAAAAACTGTGGTTAAGTTTTTAGTTTGGACAACAGTTTGTGCAAGTTTTTAAAAATTAGCTCATAACATAGAAGGTAAAGAAGGATTTTCACTAAGTTTTTAGTCCGTTAACGAAGTGAAATTTAGTTATTTTTACCACCAGAACATAAAATGATGTAACAAATTTTACGTTTTGTTGTACGAAATACTTTTAAGTTTAGTTCAAACGTCTTCTATTATAGTTGTCATGAATGTTTCTTTTGTTGCATTGTAGTTAACCCCAATTTTTAGATTATTGCAGAATAATAAAACTGCTTGATGAAAGCGGGGAATACAATAAAAAATAATTCACAGTTCTTGTCGTGTTTAAAATCTACATCATTTGTTAAGCATTTGCATAACAATCATATCTCGAGTTAATCGTTAAACAATAATTGTGTATTGATGCAACAATTGCATGCAAATCTATCAATAGTTTATTAATTTTATCTAATGTATGATATACTATAAGTAGTTATAAAAAAGGTAACAAACTCAAAAGTGGAGATAACATCGAAAAGTAAAAAACGGGAATAATGCATAACCTACATTATATATTATATTTTAATAAAAGCTATTATGCAAAGACAAGAAATTTTAAAATTTTAGTGCCTTAATTGCAGAAGGGTATATTTAATTTGAAAAAGAGATTGACAACTTGAAAATCTCAAAACATGCATGGAGAAATTGTAATTCATTTTTGGTGTCTCTATTAAAAGTTTAAGTCTTTACTATTAGTTTACTTAGTGATCGGTTCGGGACTTTGATTAAAAAATTAAGTCCATCTAAAAGGAAAGTCAAATTAACAAAACTGTGGGTCAAAATTTCATATCAAAACCAAATTCCAAATATAAAAAATTAAAAATAATTTATGTGTTTTTAAAATTTAACTCGAAATAATAAAATATAATTTTAATCTATCCGACCGAAAGTTTAAAACAATATCTATTACACAAAAGTGAGTTCTATGACATAATTTCAAATTTTTAAAAAAACTTTAAACTCATATTTGATCTTAGTTTAAAAAACAACACTTTCTGGAGTAAGGTATAGCATTGATCTAAAGGCATTTAGTCAATCTGGTATATATGAGGTAGAGCATATCTAGGATAGTGATGGCTTTCATTTTGTATAACTTTTAAGGATAAACGATTTTATTAGTATAAATAATTTTTCTAATTTTAATTTTTTGAGATATTTTTATAATTTTTAAGTTTTTTAGTTTTTACAGAGCGCAAATTTAAAAATCTAAAGTCAAACTAAAATACATTCATGTGAATTTATTAAATTAGGATCAACTACTTAAGTTCCAAATCAAATTTGAGTCAATTGGAATGGATCTGCATTCCTAATTAGGTTGATTTTTCCACTTTTCTGCCTTCACTATACAGATTGAATTTTACAATTGAGGTATTAAAAGTTGTAATTTTTAGAAACATACATCAGATATAACTAACATTAATTGAATCATCGAATAGAAATGTTAGTAAAGAAAAAGCAAGGGGGTAAAACTGTAAGAGATTCATCATGTGTGTTCATCTTTCGGAGTTACTTACAGTATGTTTGTAATTGAAAAGTAATCCTCAAAACAAAAAGAAATGCAAGATATTTATGCGTTTAAAAGAAAAACCAAAAATTACGATTGCTTTAAATTGGGTTGAAATTTAATCACTTTGGTGAATCTTGTAGATTGAAACAAAAGAAATTATTAAATTAAAATCAGTAGAAAAAGAAAAAATATCCTTTCTTTTAATTTTGCAATTGTTAAAAGTTGGTGGGGGACTAAAATACTAAATAAAACAATATGAAAAGTATTGTTGATATTGTATTGTAGTATTTAAACTCATAACAACTTTATAATTGAAAAAACGATGAATTATAAACATTAGATAATAAAACAAAGAGTTTTCTCTAAAAAATTTGGGGTTGTTCAAAATTTCCCTACTTCACTAAGCTATTGTACTTTTTGTCAAATATATTTTAAATTTGGACTTCTTGAATTGACTTATCAATTTTCGCTTACTACTTCTTTGGAACATATTTTACAAAATATTAACAAAATGTATATAATATTAAAAAATATGTCAAATTAGACATATTATTTTTGAATTGATAAATTTTATAATACAATTTTGTGAAAACAAAAGTTCATTTTACCCAAATTAAGGTTAATCCTGGAAATAAAATATATCATGTAATGTCCCACAAAAGTATTAAAATAGCTCAAATTACACAAATATTATTTTAATACATCTTCTTATCTTAAACGAATTATAAAATTTAATTAATAATATTAATAATATCATCAAAGAAATACATTAAATTGATAGACAATTAAATCGAAAAAAGGGACAATTTGTGAATTGTAATTTACAATAAAACGTTTTCTTTCAAAAAAATCTCTTTATCAATCAATTTTTTTGAGTTTAATTCATATTACTGATAATTGAAATATATCATAACCGTTTTATTTTTTGTTTACTCAATATGGCTTACAATTTTTTGCTTTTAATTTTTGAGTTCTGTGGGGGATGGACTCATTTGAAGCTTATTCTAGTATAGGCATTAATTCAACCACATGTTGTTGTCTATGTATAAGGAGTTAAATTTACAGTCAATTCATATAAAGATATGGCTCACAAAATAAGTGCTTACAAAAAAAAAAAGAAACGGAATCTGGATGTTTCAAATCTGTAAACTAAGCTTTTTTTTTTGCAAAACTTTTTAAGATATGTATCATGAATGTATGGAATGCTTGTAAAGTATAATTTTTGACAGAATTGAAATTGAAATCTAATCAAGTTAAGATTCTGAGAAGAATTAAATAAGTTTTATTCCGCAAAACTATTATTTAGATTTTATATATTTAATATTGTTATTCTAATCTGTTTACTATTTTTATTTTTAAATTTTCGTTCCGGATTTATAATATTTATTGTAAATAATAATAAAGAATAAATAATTTAAAGATAAGATAATAAGATATAAATTATGTAGCTTATATGCATGTTTTAAATATTAAATAATAGCAAAGTGAAGGTAATCGGATATTTGAGTAGAAATCAACAAAAGAAATTGGACTGAAACAACTTTACTTGAGGGAACACATTTCAAGGATATAAATTATTCCGATTTATCAACATTAAATATAAAACTTGAGCAAAAATTTCAGGAGGAATCTAAAAATTGTGTAAGAATGGAAGTTAGAAGTGGTTAACGCAAAAATGATTTTAACTTGATCAACATTAATTAAAAAAAGGTTTTATTTACATTACTATTAAGCTTATGCATGAAGTGATAAACTTATTTTAAATCATCAGTAGGGTGTTAGATCAACAATCTTCACATTAAGTATAATATTGACTTTATTTTTTGACACTATCTAAACTAAATAAACTTATTTACTTTCTACTTGATAATAATAGGTATATCTCTAACTAGTAGAATCTAATTGTTCATTCTTAACTGAAATTTACTGGTCCTTTGTTGCTAAAAAGTTAAACTTAAAAACTTCAAATCAATATTAAATTGAATAAATATCACATAAAATAAATTACCTCATTTATTTTTTTAATATTTATTTTAGTATTTAAATTTAATTTTTTATCTGTTTTATCCTTCTTTTTCAATATTATTATTATATATAAATAAATTAAGGAATAACTTTACTGTGCCAGCTGTCAATTTATGTTGAATTGACTAAATTTTAAAGATAATTAATTAAACTTTTTATCAGTGGAAAATTTGAACCAAAACCATGTGTGTGTGTGTATATACATATGTGTGTGTACTTTTTCTAATTTTACACGTACAAAATTATGCAATTTTGTGTTTTTCCCTTAAACCCCCTGATTTAAAATAAGTAAAAAGTTAAAAATTGAATTTCCTGTAAAGGCTCACAAAAACAAGTACAATATTTCTTTTACAAAAAATGAACAATAGATAAATTTTATAAATTTAATACTTTCAGCTTCAATATAATTTCTACTGAAATGCTCATTAAATTTATAAAAGAATTAAGATATTGATTGGAATCAAAGAGAAATCATATTTGACTTAAAGTTTAGTTTCATATTAAAATTTTAGGGTTAATTAACTTTAGATTTGAAATTTTCTTATTTAAGGGATTGCAAAAAATTTAAAGGCATTTCGACGAAATAAAAAAAAAAAAACTCAAAATATTTAATTTATTTATTTTTATTTTTATGATTTATTAGTGGTGTGTATAAATTACTAAATACAGTTTTTAATCTATTATATGCAGTACATATTAAAATTATGATTTAGGTTAGTGAGCGCAAATATTTTTAATCTTTTATATACAGTATTTTTATAGATAATTTTTTATGCACTTTAATTATATACAGTACAAAACGTAGTTTTAGTGTAAAGTGTGTGTATTAATAAAATTAAATTATAAAATTACACAAACTTGAATTTCAAACTTTAAAATAATAAATAAAAAATAATAAATAATAAATAAATAATAAAAAAAAAAGTGTCAATCTTTCAAATTTCAATTAATCATATAAAATTTATTGATCAATAATTAATTGATTAATTTGATTAAAATGTAAGATAACTTAAAATAAATTAAATTAAACATATTCATTAAGAGTTAATGCTTAATTCAATAATTGTTATTGATAGATTATAACTTAAATATATTATGTGTTTATAATTTTATAAAAATATTTAAAAAATAAATAATAAATAATAAAAATAAATAATTATATTTATATGATTAAATTTGTCTCAGTTTCAAAAATATTTACAACTTTTCTTTTTTTACTTTTTATAATCTTTGATAGTTTAAAATATATACATTGAATATAAATTTATATTAAACATACTTTTCAATTCAAATAACTACAGCTTTCATTTACAAAATAAATATATTAAATCAAATTAAAAAAGTTTCATTTCAGTTTTAATAAAATTTTATTTTTTGAATTTCACATTTTTTTTGTTTCAACATTTTTTCATTTAAAGTATTAGACGAAGTTTATCATTTTCATCATTTTACAAGTTATATTATTGTTATATCTGTTGCTTAATCGAGTTCATATAGACTTAAGAATTTCATTCGAAAATTAAAATTTTCAAAAGACCAATAAAATATATAATTTATTTTTTACCATACTTTCACATTATTAACACAATCATAATTTTTATTTACAACCAAATTTTTAAAAAATTATGTCAACTGCTGTCTATTATACACATCCAAATATGAATACTTCAGAAGATACTAATAGACATACTTTACCTTCATTATCACAAATTATGCCACCACCTCAACAAAATGATTCAACTTCACCTATAATAACAAATGGATATTATACTCAACAACCTCAACAAACACAACATCAATCTGGTTATATAGATCCTTATTCACAAATTTCAACTGCTCAAACTACTCCAACTAATTCATATACAGGATTTGATAATACACATAATAATAATTCTGTTGTTCAACAATCATCAAATAATTCACCATCTGATTCAACCAGTACCAATTCACAATTACAATGTATTTGTAAAACTAATCCAAATAAAATCCCAAGACCAAGAAACGCGTTTATATTATTTAGACAAAAATTTCATCAAACAGTATTAGATGAAGGTACAGTAATAAGAACAAATCCTGAAGTTAGTAGAGAATTAGGTAAAAGATGGAGATCATTAAACTCAATTGAGAAACAACATTGGAATAATTTAGCAGAAGAAGAAAAAAAAAATCATGAATTAAAATATCCTGGTTATAAATATGCTCCAAGAAGAAATGGTAAAAATAAAAATTGTTTAGTTTGTAAAGATAAACCATCATCAAATACAGCAACAAATCAAAAGCAATTAGCTAAAGAACAATTAAAAGCTAATAGATTAGCTGCTAAAAAACAAGCTCAACAAATTCAACAACAACAACAAATAAATTTACAAAGACATCATTCAGAGGCTGCAATTGCTGCTTCAAATGCTTTATTAGTTAGTTCAACTAATCAATCATCACATTTACAAACACAAGATATTTTTAAGGCTCAAGTATATAATAATGGTAATTCAAATTTCATTTATCCTCCACAACCATTTCATTATTCAACCGGTAATAATAATGGTTCATTATCAGCTGCATCTACAACTTCATCTTCATCAACTACAAATTTACCATTACCTAATAATTATAATTATATTCAACAACAAGCTCAACAACAACAACCAACTTCAACTACATCATTAACTTCAATGCAATTCTACGACCATGATAAATTATCACCATTATCACATCAACAACAAGGTCAACAACAACAAGATCCACAACAACAGCAACAACAACAACATTATGCTTCTCATTTAAGTTCAAACAATACTGCAGGTCCAGTAATAGTTGATTATCAAGCTAATGTTGTTGGTGGATTGTTACATCCTCAACAACATCATCAACCATTTTTTCAAACTGCTCCTCCACCTCCAATTTCTCAACATAATACTGGTACTTATGGATTTGATAATTTTCATCAATGATAAAGTTTTAGTAGAGTAGAGGATCATAGTTATTATTATTATTTGTGTATTTATTGTGTATGTTTTTTTTTTTTTTAAAGTTAGATATAGATATAAAAAATAAAAAATAAGTAATATTTTTAAAACTAATTTGTCTTCTTGCAAAAAGATAATATTTCCTTTGATGGATTATTAGCCTGAAAGGGTCAACAATTGATTAATTTTGGATCTCTATTGAAGTACAAATTAGTTACGAATTTTAAAATATAATAAAATCACAAATTTAATAAAATAAATTAAAATTACAAAAATATAAAATTTTCTGTGCCTGAATTTTGATAGATGAAATTTAAATATAATTTTATTAAAATTATTGAGCTAAATTACACTACTTTTTGGCTATTTCTGTGTTTTTGTAAAATAACAATTATGTATAAAGTATGATGTAATTGAATATAAAAGTATAAGATTGACATTTAATATATTTGCATAAGGGGAAAAACTATTAATAAGAACAATTAAAAAAAGTGTCAATATTTGAACAATATAAATTTAAATTTACTGGAACAAGAATAAGTAACTTATCCCCCCACCTTGATGTGAAATATTATTGTTGTTATTAAACTGGGGTAAGTTAATACTTAAAATTGATATTTAAAACAGTGTTTATATCTAATTTTTATATACTAAAAATAGTAACTATTAAATCGTTTAGATTATATATTTAATTTGCTTGTCCATCCCTCTATTCCCTTATAAAGGAATGGTTAATTCAAAACTAATTTGAGTTAAAGGAGTTAAAGTACATTTACTTAAGTTGAGTTGATTAAATATTAATTTTGTGTGGGTTTTACAACTTGATCAAAAGAGCACAAAACAAAATATTTTTTTAGATGGAATGAATCTGAGATTACTTTAAAAAATTTTTAAAATTGAGTTTGATCAATCAAACAAAACTTTAATAAAAATCTTTTACTCTCTAATGAAGTTCAAAGTTGATTTAATAAAATTTTTAATGCGTGCTATTGATTACTAAATATATTTGGCAAGTTTACTGATTTGTAGATTAAAAAATTACTTAAATTAAAAGAAAAAAAAAAAGAAAAAAACAAAAGAAAATGAAAAATTCAAATTATAAATAAAATAAATTACGGAGAGATATAAGTAATTAAAATTCATTTTAGTCCCGTCCCTTTTGTATGTAAAGACTGCTTTCAAGTAGATGATTTGATAATGTCTTACTTATGATGTAATCATATCGAATATCTTTGTTTACAGTCTATTAGATTTGATTTCAATCTTGAATTTGAAATTCACAACTCCATTTGTTTATTAATAAACCCATTAATAAACCCGATGAAAATACACTGTGTCAAAACATACGATAATTATAATGGACAAGAAATATTTATACATCAATTCAACTCATCAAAGTTTCGAATTTAACAATATTCTTTTCAATACAATCCTTTTTTAACAATAAATTATTGTTTCAAAGCCATTCACTTGTTCATTCGTTTAGCTTTTTTTTACGATCTTATTGTCCTATAAGTGTTCCTGAAAATAAAGCTTTTTTAAAACCACATTCTTTTTTGTTAATCTATCTGAACTTAAATTTGGTTTAATCCGATAGAGTTATGCAAAATTAGGGTTTCTTAAAAAAGGATTAGTTATTGAATTTGATCTCTCTCTTTCCAATGACGTAGATGAAGTTTTCAATTGAAAATCTTTAATGTGAATATTAACTAGTAAAATTAGTATTTATGTTTTACTGCTTAAAAATAAAAGTAATATATTATAAACCCTTTTAACAAAATAGTGTGAACTAAATTTCCTTTTTCAAAGAATAAAATCGATCACAAAATTAAGCTTTGACTAAAAATAAATTTGGTTACAAAAATTTGCGTATTGTAACATGGTTGCAAATTATTCAAAGATTACATGTAAAATATAATTCACAAAACCAATTTTGACTTTCAAGTTATTAGCTTATAGCATATATCACTCAATTTATGCATATTTCTTTATTCTGTACATTCTTTTATTGATAAAGTACTGCAAAGACCAAATTTGATTGACTTCTATTGATCTATTGATTAATTTACTACACTAATTAAGGTAGATATGTTTCAGGTATCAATTTATTTAATTCAGCCGTTTTATTGTTAAATTTTGATGAGCAATTTTTAGTAATTAAATTTTAAAAACAAAACGATCAATTGAACAATATAGATAGTAAGTAAACTAAATTAAGTTGGCAAATGAAGAATTTTTTGAATAAAATACAATAGAAATTTTCTAAAGATCAAAACTGGAATACTCGAAGTCAACCTAATCAGAAGTAAACTGCTTTAACAAAGCATGGCATAAAAGTAATCTTTTATTTCCTAAATTCTAATACTTCAACTTACATCGCTTTTTCTTTGCTTCTTCTTGTCATGCATCTTCAAACAGATGTATGTAAGTAATGAACTAGTTATATATACATGGTATTATTTCTTCTTTCCTCTAAGTATTTAGTGTTTTGGAATATTAAGAAATAAATTTGAAATAGAAAATTTAAAAAATGAGTCAATTCTTATCACAAAGTAAATATGCTAAAGAAGATGATGAAAACGATTTAGATTTAGGAGTTTCGAGCAATAAAAAACTGGACGTGTCAGATGATTTAAAAAGTTCTTTAAGCAATAGTGAAACATTACATGATAATAAACCAAAAAAAAATGAGAATAAAAATAAAAATCTTAAAAGTTCTGACACTAAAAAAGATGTAGAAGCACGTTCAACTCCTGGTCCACCAAATTGTATAATACTGTCTTTCATGATTGGAGTAGTCTTACTTGTAATTCTACTTTTAAGATTCATAGGTTAGCATCTTGGATAAGACTATTCACCATGACTCAATATCTGAAACAAATATATATTCAAATCTTTACTTTTTTGATACAAAAAACAATACAATTCAAAAGTTTGGTTAAAGGGAATAGTTTACTAAATCATTATTTTGTTACTAGCTACTTACAGGTTTTCCTCAAAAATTTGCATAATCAGTTACAAATATACCCATTATTTATAAACAATTCAAGATTGAGTTTTTACCTTTATACAAATTGGTAATTTTAAGTGGTTTTTCTAAAAAATCATCTAACTAAAGTGCTTTTTTAGATCGGTTTGGCTGTTTTGTGTCACGTACCTATCAAACTTGAAACATCTTGGTTTTTTCAGTTGTGCTTTTCAATAGTATATAGTTTACTTTTTTCATTCATATCAATTCACCCTTCTTTTTAGTTTCTATTAGTTTTTATTAGCTTGCCAGATTAAAAGTGATAATTAATATGTTTTTCATAAATATAGCATTTGAAAATTTCATACACTAAATTTTAAGTATTCAAACTTACTGTATAAATCTGTAACCTTATATTTCTTAATCAAACTTGACAATGTAAAATCCCGAATCTAAAAAAATTAATAATTTTAACGCAGTTTTTCTTCTTCCTTAACTCGAATTTGTTTTAACATAAAAAGGAAAGTGGAATTTTGTGAAACAAAACATTCTCAAAAAATTTTCTTCTTTTGGTTTTGTTGAATTTCTCAAAAAGAATCAACAATACGATTGAATTAAAACATTCTTTAATAATATATCAAATCAGTTTTAAAATTGTATCCAAAAGACAAATGAAGAACGTACCAGATATTGAAAATGAAAGTGATTTGGGAGTAAACGGCAGACAAGAGGAAATAACAAATGATTTAAAAAGTCAATTGAGCAATGGTGAAACATTACATGATAACAAATTAAAAAAAAATGAGAATAAAAACAAAAATCTTAACAGTTCTAAAACTAAAAATGATGTGGTTGTACTTTTTACTACTGATCCATTTGCTTGTATAATACTTTTTTTCATAGTGAATGTAATCGTACTTATAGTTTTACTTATAACATTTAAAGGTTATCACCTTGGATAAGACTGTTCACCATCACTCAATATCTGAAACAAATATATATCCAAATCCTGACTTTTTTGACTCAAAAACGATACCATTCAAAAGTTTGGTCAAGTGGAATGTGGAATAGTTAACTAAGTCATTATTTTTTTACAAACTACATCAAATTTTTCCTCAATTATTTGCATATTTAGTTACCAATATACGCATTATGTATAAACAATTCAAATTTGTTTTTTAACCTTTTTACAAATTGGTAATTTTAACTGGCTTTTCAAAAAAAACATTTAATAAACATATAAAGTATTGAAAAAAAAAAAAAATTAAAGTGCTTATAAGGTCGACTTGGTCATTTTGTGTCACATACCTATCAAACCTGAAACATCTGGGTTTTTCAGTTGTGTTCTACAATTGTATATAGTTTTGTTCTCTTATATCATTTCACCTTTAATTTAGTTTCTATTAGTTTCTATTAGCTTGCCAGATCAAAGGAAATAATTAATATGATTTTTATAAATATAGCATTTGATAATTTCATCAAACCTACTGTATAAATCTGTAATCAAACTTGATTATATAAAATTCTGAATTTAAATACAATAATAATTTGGAGACAGTTTCTTTACCTCCTTAATTTTAAATTTTTTTTAACATAAAAAGGAAAGTGGAATTTTATAAAACACAACATCTCCAAAAAAAATTTCTTCTTTTGGGTATTATTAAATTTCTTAAATAAGATTCGACAATACCGCTGAATTAAAACATCCTTTAGTATTATATCAAATCAGATTTTGAAACAAAATCCAAAAAACAAATGAAAAACGTACCAACTATTGAAAATGAAAGTGATTTGGGAGTAAATGACAGACAAGAAGAAATAACAAATGATCTAGAAAGTCAATTGAGCAATGGTGAAACATTACATGATAGTAGTTTTTCAAAGATTGAAAACCCAAAAGAAGATCTGAAGATTAATGACACTAAGAATGAAAAAAAAGAAGGGAAAGTGATATATAAAACACCTAAAATCTTATACGTAGTGAATGTTATTGGGGTGCTTGCAATTGTAGTTTTTGTGATTAATTTTTTAATATTTTTAGGTGTCATATAACTGGTAATTAATTTTGTTGACAGAAAAGTTAAGCTTTGACCAAATATTTCAAAAAGTGTTACCGCAAATTATGAGAAGTTTAATTTTAAAATTATTACCAATTTTTTACCATTTTAAAATTCATTTAAAACTATATGATTAATTCACTAACACTACCGTGAAGTTTAGTCAAAAGGGTCAAATTACTTGAAAAGATTATGCATATAGAACTTATCATTATTTATTCTACTATTAATTTAATTGCATAATGCTTGAACAAATTGAATGTTGCAACTCTTATGAGAAAACTTGCCCTTGTAAATAAGAAAAGAACTTTTTCTCTATGTCTCAATATTATTTGTTCAATCAAGCAAAAAACAATGTAGTTTTGTGTCGTTCTCTAGAATTTGGTTTCTGCTCTTCCATGAAGGTTAAGTCTTGAGATTAAACATTTGGACTCAATCTATTTTTAAAAGCATGTCTCGAATTTTGTGTTGTAGCTAGCTAGATATGATCAAAAATATTGAGAAAGAGAAATAAGGATAAATCAAATTGATCAAAAAAAATCTAATCTTGAGAAATCGATCATAATTAGTGCCACTATCTCCCTTGCACTATCTGCTTTAAATATTCAGCAGAGACATTCATCAGTTATGAAAGAGTTAGGAACACTAAGAGGAGGTTAATTGTTGAAACTTGTATGCTACGATTCTATAAAAACTTAATCTACAACACTGAAAAAAAACCAATGATGAGGAGCATCCACAACATTTTTTTTAAGCAGTTATAAAGCAAATGGTATAGCAAGTATCCATAAGTATCCAAAAAACCTTTAAAACTTATTCTTTAACTTTCAAAAAACCGACGATAAGGAGCACCCACAGTATTTTTATAAGCAGCTCTAAAATAGCATCTATAGCGTACATTGACAACCAAATTAGCCATTGATTTTTGATGTGTGGTTCATCAGGAGATATAGAATTTTCATTATCTGATGTTTTCAAAATTTTTGGATTTGCTTCGATATCAGTGATATTACCATCAAGTTCAATTAAAGGATTGTTAATAATGGAGTTGTTTGAATCTTTGAAATTTGTTGAGAAGCATGGCATTGAGTGAATGCATTTTGATAACTCGCCAACAATTGCAACCAAAATGACCATAGGAATTAGAAATTGTAACAATTCTTTTTTTTCATTAAGCTTGAATGTTTCTATAAATGATGTGATTACTTGTATCATTGAAAGTTGGTTGCAAAAAAAAAAAGAGAAGTGCATAATAAAAAATTTTTGGTAGTTCAAAATATATGGTTTTTTATATTAAAAAAAAAAAAAAAAACCTTCTACCAGGAACAAGTAGGATCTAAGCTTTTCCCTCTAATTGTAGTATCAATTTTGTTATGAGAGATTCGTGCAATTTCAAGCTAATATATATCTACGATTTATTGTTCAAATAAAATCTTGATGGACTTGCTGAAGCTATTTCTTAACGTGTTGAAATAAGCCTTCCTGCTGTAACCTTAGTCAATATCGTAATGTTTCTTTCGATGCAATGTATCTCGATATAATGTCCTTCTAGCTAGCATGATTTTAGAACCTATCCGATCTCGTCGTTTATACAAGTCATATTTCTATTATTATTCAGTAATTGATTACTTTGTCTTATGTAACCAAAGTTTAATTGGAGAGTATATTTTTAAAATAATAGGCAACATCCAAATAATATAAGCCTTGGAATAATGAAAAAAACTAAGATTAAAAGGTTATTAGGTTATTCAGTAAACTGACTTTACTTACCATAGTTTTAACAACCAATATTACTAATTCAGTCTAATTCTTAGCCACAAAATTGTTTTACAATTCTAATATTCAGCATTCATCACTCGAATTTATTTATGCACAATTAATCATGTAACTTCTCTGAGAGTTTGTGAACAGTTCGCTCGATTTGTGGTTTACTTTTGATTTAGGTTTGTTTTAGTATCACTAGTTGTATTCAATCTAGCCGTTTTCATTGTACAAGACTGACAATAGGCCAAGTTTTAATAACTACATGTTCTAGAAAATTGTTTAAAAGACAAATGCATTGTTTGTTTGCTAGTAATCAATTGCCTATATAAATACACTTCCCTGAAACAACTATATCACTATATCTCTTAATCTTCTTAAAATGTCTTTGAAAACCTAAATATCTTCATCCATACCATCTAAAGTTATAATTTCACCAGGTTTAAAAGGTGGTAAACCTAAATAAGGACATCCATCACATCTAAAAGCATCACCTAATGCACATGATCCACAACCTCCAGTTTTACCTTGTACTGTAAAATCAATTTCATTTAAATCTTCTTCTTTGAATTTTACTGGGTTATTTCCATTGATGGTTAAGTTTTTAAGTTTATTTTCTCGAAGTTGTTGCTTTTTTTGCCTAATTCTTTCTTCAATTAATTCAGCTTCTGCATTAGCTGACTTTGCCATTTTACCAAGTATTGAATTTTGTAAATTTAATTGTTGTTGATTTTCTTCTTCTTCTATTTCTTTTAATCCACATGTACAATCTTTACATGCTTTTCTTCTTCTTTTACCATTTGGTAATTCACATTTCTTAGGTACTATAAGGTTATCATTATTTATATTTGATATTAAATCATCCTCATTTATATAAATGTTTTTGTCTTCTTTATCTAATTCTGTTTCTTCCTCATCATCTGATGAATCACTAAAATAAGTTAATTTTGTATCTATTAATTTTCTTTTCATTCCTCCATTTCCAATTTCATTTTCTTCATCTGTATTTGGTGCTGAACTATCTGTTAATCCTGGTGGTGGAGGGGATGATAATCTATCAGTTAATTTTTTAAATTTAGGTAATGGTTTATTTGTTGAAGTTGATTGTTCTTTATTTAAATGTGTATAATTTGAATTTGTGGAGGTTGTATTAGTTGGTATCTTTCTTTTTAAAGTTATTGTTTCGGTTACTGGTTTAGGTTTTAACCAAGATCCATCCTCTTGTATTATAAATCCTTCCATTAATACATCTAAATTTTGATCAGTTGGTAAATCACCCTTTAATATTCCGTTATCTACTAATAAATCAAAAAATAATTTAATTAACAGAATTGGCATTTCTTTATATTGTGTATCATTTGGATTTATATATATTATTTCATTATATGAATTATTGTCTAGTATAATATCACCTTGAGTTATACGATTTATTATCTGTTGATCTATTATGTAGTTATCATTTTGATGTGATTTTTGTATATCGTTTTTAATTGATTCTACTAAATGTTGATCGGTTACAACTGTGGGATGTAATAACAACAAAATTTTAGTACTCATATTATGATTTTATTAGTTGAGAATTTTTGAAATTCGAACAAGATGATTTAATGACGTGATTCAAGTATGAAAAATGGAATAAATAAATGAATAAAGAACGTGTTTTATTAATTGACTGTAAATAATTGACGTTAAAGTTATCTGCTAATTTTAAATATGTTCACTTCACAATATAATGAGAAAGTATGAAATATTTAAATGAGTTGTTAATGAAATGAATATAAAATTAATAAATAATAAAATCAATTTGTAATCAGTTGATTAAAAAAATAAATTTTTTTTTTTTTTTTTTTCTTTGTTCCAAACTTTTTTTATTACACTAATTATGTAATATATTATGTAATGGTTATACTAATTATTATGTAATATATGTTTGATTATTAGATAAGTTATTATGTAATATTGGATCTATTAATAAAAATTACAAGAAGAATAAAAAAGAAATTTTATTTATTTATTATTATTTATTAAATTCTTAGTAAAACACTTAATAAAGGGTAGTATTTATTACTATTATACAGAGGTACAAAACATTTATAGTAGAAAAAAAATATGTAATCAATTTAATCAATTTAATAATTGGATATAACTAATAATTATAATGATTTGTTTGAGTTTATTGTCTTTTATATTTTGTACCATTTATACATTTCATTTTATTTTATTATTATATTTATAATATTGTGATTGGTTTCAGATTAATTTGAATGTAAGTTTATATATTGTATTAGTAGTCTAAGTATTTTATCTTCAAATATTTCAAATCAGTTTCATTAAATTCAAAAATTGTAATTACTTGATCATCATTGGGAAACAAATCAATTCCGTTATCACTAAAAATATAATTTATTTCTTCTCCATGGTTACTATCAAAATATATTTGTAATTTCTTAACGGGTTTATTTGTAGATAATTTGATCTGATTGTTACTCATATATTTGTGAGTTATCTTTAAATCTTTTGTCAATTTGCTCCACTCTAGATCTTTCAAATAATTTGGCCAATTTGATGATCTTGCAATTACTTCACCTTTAGATGATATTAAATTTAACGACATTATAGTATCATTTTTAATCATTATATTCTCCTTATTGAAACTATAACCTATGAGTATATTATTTACTTCATTTTTTCTGAAAGTGATCTTATCTTTGACATATTCATGAATGATAATACCATCACCATTATAAAAGTTCAATTTTAATGTTAGGTTTTGCAAAGTATTACCGAAACCCCAAACATCAAACTTAAATTGATTTTCATCATTCGATAAAATAACTTGTTTACCTGAACTTTCAAATTTAATTTCTTCCTCATATCTATATCCCGCTATGACAACGTCAGCCAACTCTCTTTTCATACCATAATAACTTAATTTAGGTGACCCACCAAATTCAACGATTGACCAAGATACACTAGGATAACAATCATTAAATTGCCAAACTAATATCCCACCACATTGAAAATCAACCCATTTATTTCTCCATATTCGAAAAGCTAACTCTATAGCTTCCGATTGCATTATTTGAGTTAAATAAATCCAAGTTTTGAGGTCTAAGTTGTCAGGTTTATTGAAATTTGACCAAACGTAATATGGTAAGTTTTTCTTGTTGGCGGCTCTGGTGTGAAACTTAATTATATTCAGATCGGGAGTTAATTCTTGTTTGTCAGTGATGTAATGATTTAAAAGATTATAAGAAGGTAATGATAACGTCCCAAATTCACTAATAAATCTTGCTGTTAAATTGTCCCAATTCTGATATGGTTGTCTTGAGCCATGCCAAACTTCCCATTGATGTGAATCTCCATAACTTGTGTTATATGAACTCATATTTTTGGATGAATATGGTGATCCGGGTCTATAAACTACTTGATTTGTTAATTGTGATATTTTAGAAGGTATTAATTCTTCATAAATCATTTTAGCTGGAAATTCAGTATGATTATTTTGATCCAATTTTAGAGCATCTGCAATTTGATAATCTTCATTATTACCAACATATATGATAATACTTGGATGATTTCTTAACCTCTTTAAAGTATCTTCAATTTCTTTCTCAATCGATCTAGCTGGAGCAGTTAATGGTTCATAGGGGTAAATTCCACAAGCAAACATAAAATCTTGCCAAACTAAAATTCCCAATTCATCACAAATATTATAAAATTCTTTAGATTCATAATTACCACCACCCCATACTCTAATCATGTTTTGATTTGAATCAACAAAAAGTTTTAAATATTGATTATAATCTTGTTTTGTCATTGTTGAAATAAATGAATGTGGTGGGATCCAATTTGATCCAATCATTTGAATTGATTCGTTGTTGATTTTGAAATAAAATGATTCACCATATTTATCTGGGTTATTTATTAATTCAACTTTTCTAAATCCTGTTGTTTTCATCATCATCAGTTTATTACCAAAATACAATTTGAATGTGTAAATATTTTGTTTACCGTGTTTGATAGGCCACCATAATTCAACATCATGTAGAATATGATTAATTGTCAAGTATCTTTGAACATCCTTAATCGATACTTCGTCAACCAAGACTTGGTCATTCAAAATCTCAATCTTGCCAGTCCAATTTTGAACCAACAACGAACTAATCTCAAACCTCAAGTAAGCAACATTCAACTCCTCATTCAAGTCATACTTCACAAAAAAATCTTCCACAAAAGAATCATTAACAACCAAAATCTCATTAAACCCACAACTAAGTAAAGTTGGCCCCCAATCCCAACCATATTGGTATTGAGGTTTTCTCACGTAAACTCTTGAACAATCACCATTCCAACATTCTTTAGCACCAAATTTGCTTTCTAATTGTTTACCTTTACCAAATCCTGAATCAAGTACTAATTTTAATTCATTTTTCTTCAAAAATTGTAAAGGCCCCACTAAATGTTTTTGAAATGAGTTCTCACTATGTAGTATTAGTTCTTGATTCAAATAAACATCAACGTTATTATCCAATTGATCAAGTACTAAATAACCTTCAGTAGTAACTGAGTCAAATAATGTTTTGTACTCCCATTTAACTTCACCTACCCAACTCACATTCAATTCGTAATTATCAACAAATGGATCAATTATTAAATCGTTGTACAATAAATCAATGTGAATTTGATGTGATTTTTGGTGTGGTTTTGCATTGTACCATGTACCTATTTGGGGGATCGTTGAATTTATGTGCCATTCCGATTGTTTAAATTGCCAGGTTGTTAATGCTGACATTCATTTGAAATTGAGATATTATAATTGTAACTGTTCAAAGTGAGTTGCCAAATAAATTGATATATTTTCAATTTTTGTATATTTTTTATAATTAGTAGGTTAAAGGGGGTAAGAACATACAAAAAAGTTTACAACTCATATTATTAAAGAATTTAAAGATTAAGCATTTTAAGTCTGTTAAAAATTATTTATATATATATAATTATTTATCTTCATCAACAGTTCTATCAGAATCATTATCATTATCATCCATCATATCATCGTTATCTTCTATTTCATCATCAGTTTCGTCACTAAATACCACTCCACCTCTTTTAACATTCATTTTACCATCATTTACTAACCTTGAAAAAGGTGGTAAGGTTTGCTGTTGTTGTTGATGTTGTTGTAGATTGGTATTGAAAGTTGGTGAAAGTAATTGAACCAGTGAAGATCTTGATGAACTTGGTGACTTATTTGTTCCATTTATACTTTGATTTTTACTATGATTATGTTGATGTTTAATTGTTCTTGGTGATGATAATGAAATTAAAGTTGCTGCTGCGGCATCTATCGGGGCAGCTACATCAATTGGTGGTAATTTAACTAATTGAAAATTTGGCGGTTGATGTAATTGCTGTGAATGTGAATTATTATTATTATCACCACCATTAAAAGATAATCTTGATTTTTTTTGTCTTGATAAAGTAGCTAATAATGCATTATGAGCACTATTTTCATCATCAGGAGAAGGCATATCATTTAATCTTGCAAAAGTTTCATCTCTTTCTTTTAATATAGGTGAATTTCTCAAAGGTGAATTAGAATCTGAATTTTGATTTGTTGTTGAAGAATTTTTAAATTTATAATGTTGATCAATATTTGGTGATAATGATAAATTTGTGTTACTTATTGGAGATTGTTGTAAAGTTTGTAAATTTAAATTTGCTCTATTTAATGAATTTGTTGGAGTCCAATTATTTAATGTCATATTGTTCTTCTTGGTAGTATGATATTTTTTAGTTGGTGAAGTTTGAGAATCAAATGACAATTCTGTAAAAGATATTTTAGAATTATTTGATTCTTCTTTTTGTAATTTCCCCAAAGCTGAACTTAATCTATTTTTTAAAGTTGAACTTATTTCATTCAAATCTTCTCTTTTAGGACTTATTTCATTAGTATTATCATTTTGAAATAATCGTTTTGCGGTATTTAAATATTGAGGAGTTTTCATCATTTTTAATTTATGACCTTCATCATTTTCTTCATTTTCTTCATTATCAATAAATGAATGTCTTGGAGTTTTTAATAAATGTGCAGCACTATAAGGTGAATTTACATTATGATAAATTAATTTACCATCTGGTGATTTATAAGAACCTGAACTTGTTCTTTTATAAGATGGAGTATAGGGTAGTGAAATTGAATTTCTTTTTAAACCGGAATCTTTGGATTGTTCAGGAGTTTTTAAAAATTGATTTGAATGACGTTTTTTATTTGGTGGTGAAGGTGTAGATGGTTTATTCGTAAGTTGTGATGAATTAGTTGAATGTCTTTTGTTGCTTGTAGTTTTTGATTTTATTGATTGATCATTAATTAATATATTGCTATCATCGGTAGTAGTAGTTGTAGTAGTAGTTGATGAATTAGGTAGTATTGAATCTCTTGAATGCAGTATTCTTGGTGATGAAATAGGTGTTGATGGTTTACTCATTGTATAAGTAGATAAGAATTGAATAGATAGAATTAATAAACCACCTTAATTATTAGTTATAAGCTTAGTTGTAAAAACTTGTTGAAAATATAAAAGTGTTATATTCTATTAATATTAAATAATATGTAATATATGTAATATATGTAATATATTATAATATGTATGATAGTTTAAAAAATATCGTGTTTACAAAAACAAAAAAATTTGTTTACATTAAATATTTTAATATTAACAAATTTAAAATTAATAAAATTAGTAGTGATTAATAAAAAGTTTAAATGTTTTATATATAAATTATATCGGTAGTATTTTAATACTTTTCTTATAGGGGTTTTTACAATTTACGTATATATTGTTTCAATTTATCTATTATTGGTTTTCAATCATATATCATTATAATTATTATCTTGACATTATTATATTAATAGTCAAATTATCTGGGATTATAATATTAAAATATGGGTAGTGTATTCAAGCCCAATTTTAAAATATTTATGAAACTTTAAAAAAATTAAAAATTGGTCATTCTAATTTGAAACTTTTTTTTTTTTTTTTTCTAATTTTTAATTTTTAATAATTTACGAGGTGATTATTATTTTGAGGTGGTCTTTTAATCATTGATTCATTTAATACAATAGAATTGATCTATGGTGGGGTCGGGTATTATGACACGAATCTTTTATGACACATCCATTGAATCTGAATCTGAATCTGTTGTTAAGTAATGATGTTCGTTTATTTAGTAAATTCAGTCGACTGTTTTGTGTCAAAATTATTTAGTACAATTCTACTCTAAGTTTCCAATTATTAATTGCCAAACAACTAAAGTAAACATACAACGAAATTATTACTACGTTGTACAAATTCAACTGTTTTTTAGCCTAGATTAGTAGTTGTAATTACAAATCTTTTTTTTTATTTTTTTTCAATACTTTATATGTTTATTAAGTGTCCATCTAGCTTACTAAATCTAAAGAAATAAACTAAATTTGAGAGGGAGAAAAGTTATACATATAATTCACTCTGTAGTTAGATTTACACAGAATTAAGTATAAAACTCGTAACATTTTTCTTGGATATTTATAACTACCATAATATAAAGCTACACAGCATTAACATCTCTCAAAATATGCCCCAAAGAGTTAAAAGCTAATTCGATGTTAGGTAACAAAATACTAACTAATAAAATAGCACTAGCTAGTGTTTTACTAAACTTTAGATGTTGACAAAAAATTTGAGGTTTCAATTAGTGCATGCATGTACTGGAAAGATCTGGCAAAAAATGGAGTCACTCTTCAAATAGACTATTTCGAGATGATGAAAACTATTAAACTAGTCAAATCGCATATAAGTTCTGATCTAACCAATCTTCATAGATTTGAATTTTGGTGGTTCACAGCTACCATATTTGAGAGCCTCATTCAATGTGTTGAATTACTTGATTTGGATCTTGTATGTATAGAAAAAAAAAAAATATTTAATAAATTTTAAAATCAAAACAAATCCAAAAAAATTAGTGAGAATAAATTAAAGTAAAAGACAAAGTTATTTATTTTCAGACATTAAATATTTATGATTTTATATTTTTATTTTACAACCAAAACATAGAATCATTGTATCATTAGAATATTAATACAACACCTCAATACTCATTCAAAAAAACAAGTCATACATTCATTTATTAATTGATTAATAATTGGTTAATTTTTTTGTTGGAATAATTATCAGAAAATATCAAATCAGTTTCCTAAACAAAATTCTATTTATGAATCTTATGATATAGGATGAACTATTCATCATCAGCATCAATAAATCAGATGTTAGCACTACGAAAACAACAACAGCAGCAGCAACATCAACAACATCAGCCATCTCAATTTACTCATTCTAATACACATTTAAATTCAAATGGTGGTACGAGATTATCATTAGGTTCTGCAACAAGATCATCAACATTTCAAACATCTAATTTATTCAATAATCTGAAAAATCAAAACCAAAATCAGAATCAACCTAATGGTAATAGTAATAACCTCAATTTGCACAATCATTTTAATAATAATTCAAATTTAAGACAAACACCTCAATTTAATTCACAACCTACTTTTAATAATGAAGCAACACCAATATCTAACAATAGAAAGAGAGGGGCATTATTTGCAAACGCTCCTTCAACAAATAGAAAACGTCAAAGTATAGGTATACCGTCTCTGCAAGGTCTGCAAATTTCTGAAAGTTCACAAAAACAACAACAACCACAACCACCACAACTGATTCAACCACTTTCATTTGCATCATCTCAAACACCAGTGTCATCACAACAACTCCCATCTCAATTAAGATCCAATTATCAACCATCATATCCAACACTAGACAAATTAAGAGAAAGAGCAAATCAAGAAATAATGCAACAAACAATATACAAATTTCTTGTTACAAATAAATTTGATTTGAAATCATCAATAAATCTAAATGAGAATTTACTAAAAGTACCGACTCAACGGAATTTTTATGAGATATTCAAATTCCTTTATAAATTTATTGATCCTTATTATATTTTCCAAAAATCAGTTGATCAAGAAACTATTTTTATACTAAATTCATTACAATATCCACTACTAAAACAAATACCAAAATTACACTTTAATGCAGTTGGTGGACAAAATTGGCCAACTTTTTTAGCAATACTAAATTGGATGGTTGAATATGTATCCACTTTAAATAGTGAGCCAGAAAATTTTTATACAACTGAAGATGATTTTGATAGAATATTTATGAAATATAGTTATACCTGTTATTTGAAATTTTTGGATGCTGATGAAAATTATGAATTACCTCATGAAATAATGATCAAGTCATTCAATGAAGAAATTGAAAATTATAAACAACAAGAAGAAGAAACTATAATACAGAGTGAAAAATTAGATGAAAACTTCAATCAAAGATTAATTGAGTTGAAATTAAAAGATGATGCTGATAAGAAAACATTTGCATTAGAAGATGATTTTGAAAAATTACATAGATATAATGAAGAAGTTAAAAAGAGAATACCTGATTGGGATAAAAGGTTGAAAAAATTACAAGATGAAATATTATTAAGTAATAAACAAATGGAGAATTTATCATTGGAAAAGAAACAACTAGAAAAAGAATTTGAAGATAGAGGTATATCTATAAAGTACATAAATGAGTTAGAATTAAAACGTGATAAATTGTCAAAATCAATAGATAATGAAACTATTAAATTAGAGAATAAAAAAGATGAATTAGAAATAAGGATATCCGATGTTGATAGAAAAATAATAAATCTTGAAAAATTAGTACGGCGTTATAATGCAATTGTTGAAACATTAAATTACAACACCAATAACTCAAATAATTACGGATTAGCTTTAAAAGATTTAAAAGATTTCTCACATGCATTTTCAAGAGATGAATTATTTCAAAATAAAAAAATAGATGATGAAAAATCAATGTTAATTTCATTACGTGATGATATCAAAAATCAAATTCTTCGATTCAGACAAGAATTTAAAAATATTGAAGAACAATATGAATTAAAACAACAAATAGTATTAGAACAAAGAATAACATTAAATGATAAATTAGATAAAGAAAATATGAGTAAAAAAAGAAATGATAAAAGATCACAAGATATTTTTAACTTACAAGCAACAATGTCAAGAGATATAGAAGAAAGAGAACAACAAACAAGAGATACGAAAACCTCCATGACAACAAATACTTTAAATCATGAAAGAGATTTTCAAGATGCTCATTTAAATCAAAAAGTTATTGAACAAGATATTCAAGTCAAAAGGCAGTTGATGATTGAAGAAATTGAAAATGTTGCTACTTCTGTCTTGAATTTTAGGAATGATGTTGCTGAGAAATTCATTGCTGCAGCTGATCTGATTATCTGAAGCAAGATTATTTAAATAAAACCTTGATACCCACCGCCACAAATTTTTAATTCTTTAGTTTAATTGTATTACTTTAAATTATAATATTAATATATACTTAATTAAATAATTGTATAAATTTTGTAGCTTATAAATTTAAGATTAAGAATATAATATCTTTTTAAAAAGTTGACATTATAGAATAAGTGTGTAGGCAATATATTCATAATTTTGTAGCGTTAAGATTTGGAAAAATTATTGGAGAGACATGCTCTTGTTTGGCACACTTCAATTTTGTTATATGTAAGTTATAAGTAGTTCGAGAGTTAGAGCTCTCATGAGTTTACAAACATTGTTTATACGCTTAGAATTACTTGTTTGTGTTTTGAAAGCGGACTTGTTCTTGCAAATGTTTTTACGAGTTTAAGATACTAAACTATTATTGTTGAATATTCAATTATTTTCAAAGACTTTAAATTACAACCATACGAAACAACCACTTTTTTTGATTGAGACAGTACACTTTTATAATTCAAAAAAACTTGTACTCTACTACACTTGTACTCTAGTACTCAATATATAAAGCAAACACCAAAATACAGAAGCTGATTATTAATAAAAATAAATACACGTATTATTTTTGATTATCATACTAAAATACAAACCTATTAAATAACGATAAAATTCCCTATAAACACCAGACTTATGGGAAATGTCCAAATCTTGGTCCGAAGTAACCATCTGGAGCTTGAAGAGTAGCATTGAGACGACCAACAGTATAGATCATTGAATCCATACCATTATAACTTACATTATTACCCCACCAACTTATACTCTTATCATGATATTGAACAGCAAAGAAAATAATAATTGATGAAAAAGCAAGACCACCTGCAAACCCAGTTGAAAGTAAATAATTATATTTTTGCCACCAAGCTTGATATTTTCTTTTAATGTATACCATAAATGCTAAACTTAAGTAAACACCACCAATATAATATGATAAATTATATGGAGCGAAATTTAAGAAACCACCGATAATAATTGAAGGTTCGAAAGATTTGACTAATTTTCTTGGACCATATTTCTTTAATGCAGCACATGGGAAAGCTAATAAAAATCCAATTAAGAAACACCATCTTAAAACAGGATATAAATGATCGAAAACTTTTTTTGGACCAATAACACCCCATAATACTGAGGCTGAATAGAAAGTTCTAGTGTTTGCACAAGTGAATTTTTGACGATTTAATGGATCACAATAATCTTTAATACCAGTAATTTGGAAATTCAATATACCTAATTGAATAAATGATGCAATGAAAATTGATAATAATTGACATCTAAACATAGCTCTTGGTGGAACTTTAGCATAATGACCTTGTTTTAAATCGTTAACAAAATTTTGAGCTTGACCATCAATATTATAACCTAAAGCTTTAATAAAAGCTAAAGCTAAACCATTACCTGGAATAGCATACCCAACAATCAATTCAACCAAGACATTTAAACCAAAAGCAAAACCAGTTCTTGCAGCAACTGTAGTTAATGGAACAAGGAAAACAAAATTAATACCTAAAGCAAAGAAAATACCCCAAACTGGTGTTTGAGCTGGATAAACTTTAACACAAATTATAGCTAAAACAAGTGAAATAACCAAAACAATTAAATATGCCCATTCTGGAACTTCTTTATAAGCTCTCATCATGACTGAATGAGGATCATTGAAACCATCATAAGTAGATAATTTGTAATTCTTTATTGTTTTCCACATTTGAATCATAGCATGTTTCATTTGTTTATATTGTAAAATAAATTCGTAAACAAAATGGAATGGATAAATAGCAAAGAAAGCACCATAAACAACTAAATTAGCAGCGGTATAAAATGGAGGACCAACTTGTTGATATTTTTCATTATCAAATAAACTGTCACTATTAACAACTTCAGTAACATGATAACGTTCACCAGTATTAGTGAAAAGGGCATTTGAATTAATTGGCATGAAACCAGTCCACTTATAATTGGAATACCAAATACCTAAAATAGCAAAAAAACCAATGAACATACCTACAATCATATTTGTTTGATTATAAAATGGTAAATTTAATGCTTCATTGGAATTAAGAATGTTCCAATCAAAGGATGGAATTGGATTAAGACCTAAACCACCAATTGAACCAGTAACAACAGCAAGATTTAAATTATTTGGTGAAATCCATGTCATCCAGTTAAAATATGATAAAGCCCCGAATAAATAATTTGGAATCCAAAAATATAAAAACATACCAAAGAAACAAACAAAGAAAAAATTATAACCTGAAATTTTCCAACCATTAATATTTTCTTTTTTACTTGGAGTCATTAATGTTTTATTCAAAGCTAAATTTGGTAAAATTAATGGCCAAATAGCTTGAACTGGATAAACTGCAATTTTTCTCATAATACCAGCTAAACCAATACCTAAGAAATTTGTTGAAAGAATAACTATATGATAAATTGTTAGTATTAAGTTCATGTAAAATTTTAAGTTTGTGTAATTATTCTGATGCATTTTTTGGTAGCATCATGGTTTTTTTATACATACGTAAGACTTCGTAACCAAAATCAACCCAAGTATTTCCATAAAAAACTTCTGATTTTTGCATAAGTAAGTTATAAGAAACATATGAAGTACCACCACCACTAACAGAACAGAAGATGGTTGCTAAAACTTGTTCTTTATAAGAATATGGACCAGGATTAAGATTGAAAGAAAATTTACCTAATTTAAAATTGTAATTTGGTAAAATCCATTCACATAATTTACCACTTGGATATAAGAAAACTTGAACAACTGAGACAGCAAGAGAAATACTTGGTTGTCTTTCAGTAAAGAATTGATTAATAACAGCACCAATAGCGGTCCAAACTATACCAATAATATAAACTCTAATAGTTTCAACAGGAATAGTTGGATCATCAAATGGGAAAGTAACAGCTCTAACTTCAGGATATGGTGACCAATAAGCAAGTAAAACAGCTTCTAATTTGACTTGTAAAGCCCAATCAACAATTTCAACTTGACCAGTTGATGGATCATTTACACTTGAATCAATAAATTCACTTGAATCTGAAAGAGTTGAAACTTTGACTGGATGACCCTTTAAATCAATTGAATTATCTGATTGATGTTTTTCATCGTATGAAGGAGGAAAATTAACTTTACCTTGTGATTTATAATCAATTAATGCTTTCCATAATTCTAAGTCATGATCTGGAATATTAACATCATATTCATGTTCTTTAAGTGCTTCTTTCAATATTTCAAGACCTTCTTCGGTTGACATTTGTTCGATTTTTTCAAAAATAAAAGTACATTCTGGTGGTAATTGATCGAATGATTCTAAAGCATCAAAATGTAATCTTTTTAAAACAAAATCTTTTTGTGCATTAGTTAAAGTAGTTCCAACTTCTCCAATACTTAAAGGATTTGACAAAACAGCATTTATATTAAGTTCATGATCATCTGCTTGTAAATGACTTCCAACACTTGTAACATTGTTAAGTTCTAAATGTCCTTTTTCAGTACTCATTTTAATGAAATTTGTATTGATGTGGAATACAGATGAAGAACTATAAAAAGTAAGCTACAAATTATTTTGAATAATTTCTACAATATTTATATGTTTCAAATTTCATCTGAACATTCTATTTGCAACAAAAGTTTTGATAACAAATTATCAACAGTTTTTTTAAATTAATAATAAATCTTATCAAAACTTATTGTTTAAAGAGACGGCACAACTTTTTTTGATAATTCTGAGTACATGAATTAGATTATAATACATTATGCTATTAATTTAACCGCCTAAGCCAAATTAATGCATTAACTTTATTGTGTGCAATTAATAAAAATGCGCACAAAATTATCAACAAAAAAAACTGTGAAAATATTTAGTTTCATAACCTGCAATCAAGTAGCATTATGTAATAAAACAATATTATTGGTTGTACAGTATATATAATAAGAACACAAAGAATGTCAGAAGACCAACCACTAACCATGCTTTATCTTATCTGTATTGTCAGTAGTCGAAGTCCGGGTCAAATTGAAAGTCAATGGCCTTGGTATTTACCAAAAAACTGTTGTAGAATTCTTGAATAGAAGAAATTAGTAGGTGTAATAGGTGTGTAAATCTTCCTCAAATTGAGCCACTTACAAATTTTAGCAAAAATTGTGGTATTAGGTTGAAAGTATCATTCGGCATCAAATAGATAAGATAAATCAAAGTAACAATAACATCAATTTTTAATTTAAAAAAATTAAAATCTGCATGATTTATTAAATGATTATAATTTAAAATTTAAGAATGTTTGACATATTTTTTCGATCTCTTAAATTAGAAAAAGCATTTTATTTATCTTTTTTAATCGTTTGTTTGAAGATTTTTAGTTTCTTTTTTCTCTGAATCTGTATAACAAAAAAAGAAAAGATTTACTTTTGAAATCGTATAGATAAGGGACAAGAATTTATTACTAAAAATATTTTGACACTTTAACTGTCACCAAGACTTTATTTCCAGATCTCATCTAGCGAGGGATCTGTTGATGATTTTTTGCTTGGTATATATGCCAACTGGATAAAATGAAAAGTTTAAAATGGTGCATGAACAAATTGTTCCACATTAATTAATATTTGTAGTTGATCCTTTAAAAAATTCTACAATCTTTCCAATTGTTTTTCAAAATACTCTCCTCTGAATTGTCTTGCATGTATTTTTTTTTTTTTTCTAAATAAAAATTCTAATCGTACATAATAAAAATTAGTGCCATTCCAACAAAGGCGACTTTTAATTTACACACCAATTTTTTTGTTTGTGTATTCTATTGTTTATGTAATGGAAGGTGATTCTTATCATTTAAGGATATTATTTGGGCATAATTTCCACTATCTAATAAAAGACTGTAGGTCTTGGCATCGTTCTTTGTATAACTTATATTCGTATTTCATGTCCTTGAATTGATTCATTTTATCAGTGTTCTTGTGATTAAATTATTTGAAAAAATCTGTACCATCGGAGAAATTGTATTTTTTCCTAATTGAAGAAACCAAAAACTACTAGTTTTGCAAAGTTTTTCTCTTTATCTTTCAAAAATCGAGTATGAATTAATTGTTGCGTTACAGCATGTTATTGCTCAGTCTTTTAAACCAATAATCATACGTATAAACTGTACTACAAACGTTCTTTTTCTACATTGATGATCAATTCTTAAACTATTTTTTCGACAAAACTACTGAAATACTCTTGTGCCACATTATTAAGGATAGGACTAATAACCCAGGGTCGATTTTGTTTTAAAATAATTTAACGGTGAGATTAAAGATCTCTTGTCTACATATAGTTTACTATTGTAAAAACGTTAATCTAATTGTTCAGGTGTTAACTAATAAGTCATTATAAAAATCTTACCTTATCATAAAATTATTTGGTCACAATTCAGTATTTATTAGTCCTCCAATATTGTTGAAATTTAACTCAAATTGCAGCTTTAATTAATTTAATGCACCAGCGGCTGAATGATAAATCTTTTTAGTTAATACTCTTTTGGGTAACACGAGCGTAAGTTTTAGTAATTGAACATATCAACTGTCATGATAAAAAGGTTCAAATTTGCAATAAAATTAATCCAATTGGACATTACAAATCATCTTCAAGTGGACATATATTACAGTTTGTTTGTCTTGTTCTCGAAATTAAAGTTTAATGATTTTGTATAATATGCATTGCATTTTGGTTGTAAGTCGTGTAGCTCAATCAATCGTCTTATTTATAAACACGGCTAAACTTTGAATAGTGTATGTCAAAACAAGAATATTAGTCTCTTCAACTAATTCTATTCTCGTATTAAAGTATAAATATCAAAACTAAAAATATTAGTTTCTTCAACTAATTTTATTCTCGTATTAAAGTTTGAAGTATCTCATTGATCCGGATTTTGTGATAAAAAAGCGCATGATAAGTCAAACCGACTTGAAAATACGTTTACTATCGAATTTTTTTGGTTTTATAACTAAGAAAATTGAAAAAATCTCGGATAAAGAATTTAATAAAGTGTTACTTAAAATAAAGCATACAAGCATGTGTTGATCATACTTCATCAACAAAAATAGAACAGCAAACAGAACAAAAACAAACTATATTAAAAATGGGTTTTGCTTACAAACAGCTATGAAAATTTAAATGAATTGCATAGATAACTTTTCTTTCTCTCGAATTTAGTTTATTTCTTTACTTCTAGCAAGTTAAATGGCTATTTAATAAAAATATAAAGTAATGACATCAAAAACATGTTCCTCTCTTCATAACCGATAATGACTATTCTGTAAAACTCGCACTTTTTTTTTTCTGAAAACAACATAATCTTAATTATATGCTAATATACACTACTACTAGATAAATAATTCCTGAAGGTCATCTAAGTGCGTGATTATACAAGCTCATTTGAATGATTATGGACATGAATCCCGAAATTTTTGAGATTTGTGGGATATCTATTACTTAAAATTAAGCTCATAAATTTGGTAGCTTTTAATTGTAAATTGGTAGCTTCTTTATTCTATTTTTAAACTTTTTTGTTTTGTTTTTAGTTGTTTTTTTTTTAAGTTGTAATTTTTTTTTTTCGTAAATTTTTTTTAATTTTTTGTTTGAGACAAATTTGAAAAAAGTTTTGTTAATAATTAAATAATTAAATTAAGACAACACAATAATATTTGAAGTAAAGTGGACCAAAAATTTACTACTTAGAAAGCGTATCTTAGTAAGACGTTGTAAAGAATCCTTGAATCATCTTCTTTCATTTATTGTTTCTCAACTCTTTTCGAGTGTATTTGCCTCATAAGTTTAGTATTACCATAATAATACTAATTTTTTGATCTTGAAGTAAATCAAACCAAAAAAAAAAAAAGANAAAAAAAAAAAAAAAAAAAAAAAAAAGTAAAGTGTAAGAGCCTATCTAAATATAAAGAAACATAAATCAATTAAAATACATTATATACATATCATCAATTTAATCAATACATCATAGTACAATATCGCAAATTCAAATATTATTAATTATTAACAAATTGTTTTTCGAGAGCTTTAATCAACCAATTAAAGACTATTTTTAGTTTGTTCTTTCAAATTTTAATCATAATATCATAATAATATCCAACTTTTCGTCATTCTTTTAATTAATAAACAATATCAAAATATGAATTCAAATCAGAATAATAATTTCTCAAAACAAAATCATAAGGGCAATTCACAACCTTCAATTCCATCATCAGCTTATATTAGAACAAATAATAATTTTAACAATAATAGTCTCAATAATAATAATAATAATAACAGCACAATCAATCAAAATTACTATCATCAATCAGAACTGTATCCAATTGTAAATACTGCACCACCACTAGATTCTCGTCATAGTCGATCTCATTCTCATAATATCATTAATTCTAATTCTTCACCAAGGTTGTTTTACCCTTTAAATCATAATGGTTATCAACAATCACGTCCAATTGGTTCACCAATTCCTTCATCTGCTCCACCTCCATCACCTTCTCCTCAATTAGGGCGTCATCAAAAACAGCTACAGCCATCAATGCTACAACAGCATTCACAACAACCTTCTTTACAACAACAACAACAACAACTGCAACAACTGCAACAGCAACTACCACAACAACAACAGCAGCTGCAAGCACAATCACAACCACAACCACAGCAAAATTGGACGTCATTAATACCCCCACAACCACAACCTTCAAGTCAAGATGAATTCCATTTTATAACAAAAGAAACTTCAAAAAATCTAGATCCTTCTCAAAGACATTCCATAGCAATATCACCAACTCCCGACAATCCAGATTTGGGACCTAAAGACGAAATTAAACAAGAACCAATAGAATATATTCAACCTAAAAAGAAGAATAGAAAAATCTGTAAAAAATGTGAATTAGAAATAACTGGACAATTTGTGAGAGCTTTACAAAATGCTTATCATGTAAATTGTTTTAATTGTTATGAATGTGGTAAACAATGTTCTGCAAAATTTTTTCCATCTGAAATTATAGAAAATAGTAAACCAAAACAAATTGCATTATGTGAATATGATTATTTCAAAAAATTAAATTTGATATGTTTTAGTTGTAATAATGCATTGAGAGGTCCTTATGTTACTGCATTAGGAAACAAATATCATCTTGAACATTTTAAATGTTCTGTTTGTCAACATGTATTTGATTCTGATGAAAGTTATTATGAACATGGAAATGATATATTTTGTCATTATCATTATTCCAAATTATATGCATCACATTGTGAAGGTTGTCAATCTTCAATTGTAAAACAATTTGTTGAATTATTTAGAGGTGGTAGAAATCAACACTGGCATCCTGAATGTTTTATGGTTCATAAATTTTGGAATGTTAGTATTACTGCAGATTCAGTTGGATTACAAAAAATGTATGCTTTATCAGATGATATTGATCTCCGATCTATAAAAATGTCAGATATTATCGATTCTAATAAATTAATTAGCATGGAGCAACATATTGAACAAGTTGTAATGAATTGTTGGCTAATTTTATCAGGTTATGAACAAGCTACTGCATCATGTATATCTGATATGCTTTTAAATGCTTGTACAGGTAATAAATACGATGGATTAGTGGTTACAGGTAAATTAATTCTCAATGTTGAAGTTTTATTCAATGCACTAGATTATGTCATCGGAATTTGTAACAAATCGCAGCAAATACCATTATCAAATAATGATGATCAAGAGCAACAGGAGTATTTTCAAAGTATTAAAAAGGAACCAAGAAATATTACTGGAAAAATTATGAGCTATTTAGCAATTTTGAGAAAATCTGGTAGTATTTCGAAGTCAGGTACATTATCAGCTGAATTATTATCGGTGATTACAGGATGTGCTCATTATTTGAAATTACTTATAAGGATCGGATTATACAATGCATTAAAATTAAATAAATTACATGGAACAACTGAGGCATTAGAACAATTTCTACAACTAATTGCAAAGTTTGAATCAAAAAATACATTGGATATTGAAGACCTTAAAACTGAATTATATACCCCTCAAAGCTCAACAGATGCATGTACTTCATGTACTAAAAGTATAGAAAAAAGCTGTATTAAATTTGGAGATCATAGATGGCATTTAAAATGTTTTGTATGCGCTCGATGTCAGCTCCATATTGAGTCAATTGAAGGAGTTACTTTTGACGTTGCTCGTCAAGCTATAAATTGTAAAAAATGTATCAATGAAGGAATTGCAGGTTTTGAGTATATATCTGATTTATCACAATTAGTTTATTTATTAAAAATAGCATTATTAAGATCAAGATCAGTTATGAATATAGATTTTAATAAGACTGAATTAACTGAAAAACAAAGCTCAGAACAAGATAATTATGTCAAAACTTTAGACGATGTTACAAGATTGAGAAGTAAAAGACAAAATCAAAAATTATCCAAGTCTGTTAAAAAGAAAGCCAGAAAATCCATTATTGTTACCGCTCCAGAAGCAGATCAAGGTGATGTTTTAGTTGATGATGTTATAGGTGGATTAAACGAGATGAAGATGGAAAGAAAAGCTAGTGAATATTCATTTGATAATAAAGAGGAACTTTCAATTAAAAAGGAATTACAAATTAGAGAAGAACCTCAAAGGCAATTAACATCAATACATTTGGATCGAACTTCAGATTTATTGAAAAATGAAAAATCCTTAACATTGGATGATATTCCAAGAATAGTTGCAGCTGAACAAGCTAGAGATCAAAGACCAAATGCTTTTAAACATCATAATAGATTATATCAAAGATCTGGTTCTCATAAATTAAAAAATGGTGGTCATAGTCCAATAATGAATAATTCTTCACCAAGTAGTGCATTAAATCATATATTAAATTCTGGTAACCCAACAGTTTCATCTACTGGCAAACAAAAATTTGTTTCAGAACTTACTAAAAAGGAACATTTTATTATACGGCATTTAGCAGTTGAAGCTTTGAGTCAAATCAATAGCGATAAATATAATAAAGACGAGTTAATTCCATTAATTCAAACTAAAAAATCACTAACGTTTTGGGAGAAATTAAAATTTGGTGGTAGTAATCAATCTAAAACCAATGGAGTATTTGGAGTTGAATTAAGTTTTTTAACTAAAAAATATGGAGTTGATTCAGATTTAGGTGTTGGACCATCAAAATTAAGAATTCCAATAGTTGTTGATGATGTAATAAATGCTCTAAAACAAAAAGATATGTCAGTTGAAGGAATTTTCAGATTAAATGGTAATATTAAAAAATTAAGAGAATTAACTGAAGAAATTAATAAAAATCCTTTAAAATCTCCAGATTTTGGTATACAAACTGCAGTTCAATTGGCTGCATTAATGAAAAAATGGCTTAGAGAATTACCAACACCTTTATTAACTTTTTCATTTTATGATTTATGGATATTATCACAATCTGAACAAGATCAAGAAACTAAAAAAAGAGTACTTCAATTAACTTATTGTTTATTACCAAGAGATCATAGAAATTTATTAGAAGTATTATTATATTTTTTCAGTTGGGTTGCTTCATTTTCTGAAGTTGATGAAGAAAGTGGATCTAAAATGGATTCTCATAATTTAGCTACTGTTTTAGCTCCAAATATTTTAATATCAAAACAAGCAGCAACTACTAATACTTCAACAACTACTTCAACAAATGATCAAGGAGGTAGTGGAGAAAATTATTTTTTAGCTATTGAAGTTGTAAATCAATTAATTGAACAACATGAAGAATTAAGTACTATTCCATTAGATTTATTAAATGTTTATGAATCATGTGGATTTGATTCTGAAAAAGATTATTCAACTAAAGAAATTTTAAATAAACTTGAATTAGTTTATAAAGAAAATGAATGAAATGATAAATAATTGTATAATGTAATGAGTATAAATCTATAATTATAGTAATAATATGTAATAACAAATTTTAATAATTCAAGGTAAAGAAAAATTGTAAAAAAGATTTCTTATTTGATCTATACATTATACAAACAATCCCAAACCCCAATTAATTGGTGACATCTTCAATTTGTTTTTGTTCTTGCTCTTGTTCTTTTTGTTGTGGTTGATCTTCACCATCTAAAAATTGAATAATTTCATCCCTTCTTTTTTCCCATTTATTAACTTGAGATAATTTCATTTCAATTTCTTCAATTTCTTTATCAATCAGTTTTAAATTTTCTTCACTTGTTAAATCATGTAATTTCCAATTTGTATCATCTTCAATTTCTAAAATATAATCATGATATTTCATTAATAAAGGTCTATGACTTAATGTTATAAATGGAATTTTTTTTAATTTTAATAATTCAAATAAATAATCTTCAACATCAGTACTTACTGCATTTGTACTTTCATCTAATATTACTAATTTTGGATTTTTAAATAATACTCTTGCTATACTTATTCTTTGTTTTTCTCCTCCACTGAAAACATCTTTCCAATCTTTTACAACATTAAAATTTCCTTCTCTTTTTAATAAATATTCTAATTTAACTTCATGTAAAATATGATATAAATAATCATCATTATATCCCATTTCTAACATTTCATCATATGTGTATGGATATATTATTTGATCTCTTAAATTACCAGTTGTAAAATATGTCTTTTGTGGTAAATAGAAAATATCATCATCATTTGGTTTTGATAATAATCCTTTATATAATGGCCATAATCCTGCTATTATTCTTGCTATGGAAGTTTTACCACTACCATTTGATCCCAAGATCAACATATTTTTATTTTTAATTTGAAAATTTAAATTTTGAATTAATGGAGTATTTTCAGATCCTTCACTAGTGGGTATAATTACTGAAATATTTTCAAATCTTAATCCATTTGAATAATTATTTTGAATTGTTCCATGAATATCTTGTATACCATTTTTATCACCATAATCAAATCTTGGTGAATGTACACGATGTAATTGAGTTAATAAATCAAATATTCTTTCAGTATAACCAGTTAATGTATTTACATCTTTTATTGAATACATTAATCTTGAACCTGCATCAGCTAATGATAACATTAATCTTTTATTTGTTATAAATTGTCTCATATTTTTACGTTCACTTGCAGGATCATCTTTTTCATCTTTTTTATTTTCAGCAGGCCATAATTCATCTAAAAACACTGGTAATCCTGCAAATATATAACCCCAAGCTGACCAAGTATATTTTAATACATAATCTTCCAATATAGCATACCAAAAACTAGTATTAATTTCTTTATTTATATGATTCATTAAAGTTTCAAATTTTTCTTTTAATTTTGATTTTTCAATTAATGAACCTTTATAAAAACCAATTTCTTCACAATTTGTCATTAAATTTAAATGTTGATTGAAATAAACACCTTCAAGATGAGTTTTTTTAGCTGATAATTTACCAAATGATGGAGTAGCTTTTTTTAACATTATAGCAGTTAAAAAATAATTTGCAAACATACCAATTATAGCACCACTACCTAAATTATCTCTAAGATATACTGAAAAAAATATCATATCAATAAATGGTTTACCCATTGATGAAAATAATGAACTTAATGATGAACAAAATTTTGAAACATCATCAGTTATATATTGATCAATATTTTGAATTTCATTACTATTTAATTCAATTTTATAATAAGCTAAAGTTTTATCAAGATACATATCATGAATATATCTTGTTAAATTAGTTCTAAAACCTAAAGCTAATCTTTGATCTAAATATTTTATAGCAGCATTAGTATAAGAAGCAGGAAATGCAATTAATAACCAATAAATTAAATCACGAGCAAATTTTTTACCATTTGCAGCAATTAAATTTTTAACAATTTGACCATCTAATTTTGCAACTAATAAAGATAACCAAGTTCTAAAAATTAAAAAAAAACATTGAGATAATAATAATGAAGTATTTTTACAATAAAATTTAGGTATTAATATTCTCCATATAATTGCTAATTGATTTAAAAATTTTGAATTAAAAATTATACCTTTTTGTTGTATAATATTTTGAGATTTTACGAAATCTTTATATAAATATTTATCTGCTGCATATTGATCATTATTTGGTTTTGGGATAATTATTCTTGTAACTTTACCTTTACCCTTTGGTATATAAATTTCTCTTGAACCATTCCTTAAAATATTTGAAGATTGTCTAATTAAACTTGGTCTTCTTAATCTTTTTGTTAAATTATATTCATTATATTTTGTAATAATATTTCTAATAGTAAAATATAAACCAAAACCAGCTGTTGCAATTAATGTACTAAAAAATAATATAACAGGTCTACTTTGATAATTTATTTTAACTTTATTATCTTTATAAGTTATAACAAATTCTTGTAATAATAATAAAATGTTTTTTATATCTTGTTTATTATATCCAGCTAATCTTGATATATTAATCATGATTGATTAAAAAAACAGATTAAATGGGGGGATCTTGGTATGATGATTGATTTAAATATTTGATATTGATTTGAATTGATTTTGTAAATTTAATACTTTCTTTTGATTGATTATAGTATATAAGATGTGAAAAAGTTATATATGAGTGATTTGATTAATGATTTGATTAATGATTTAATAGATGATTATTCTTATTAGTGAATTAAGTTGTCAAAATGAATTATTCTAATAATAATTATGTGGAGAGATAGAGAGAGAAATAAAAAATTATTTACAACACAAAAATTATATTGATTAACAATTTGATTCTATTATTGTTACATTCACCGTATTTTATTACTTATTATATTGTAATTTAGATACTATATATATTGAATAGATATTCAATCAATTACTTTAGTAGTGATCTGAATTCATACAATCTGTTTCAAATAATAGTCTAATTCATAATATAGTATAATAGGCTCTGTTCCAAAGCCTTACCGAGGATCTTAAATACAATCTAATTAATCCAAGACTTTATGACCAGAAAAAGAACCGGTACATAATATATCGTTCAAATGTAACTTCCTAGTTTTTGACCCTCAATATTACTTTACTGGAAATATAATCCATGGCAAATGAATTTATTTTTTAATTAATTTTGAATTTATACAAGATTTAAATTTTGAAAATTCTAATTCACAATCTCCCTTTTTAATAGTTTGATATTTTAATAATATACAATTACCATAATTTAAACCATCTTTTGAACATTCACCAGCTGCATTCATTAATTTTTGAGCTGGTCTTATTTTTGAAACTTTTGTCATTTGTTATTGAAGTGAGTATATAGAATCTTTTGATTGCATAAATCAGTATAATTTACCAAATATTAAGTTAATGAAGTTATAAATCAATATTTCTTCTCATGTCGGTGCGCAACCATATGTTTTTCACGTGACTTTGATTCTATTATTGATTTTTTGTACTAAACGTTATTAAAACTAACCCATACATTAAATATAATACAATAGATAAGTTAAATAAAAATTTAAATGATTTATAATTTGAAACAATTGCTACCTAACCAATTTATAAATTGTGCAATATATTGATTGCGTTGATTTGAATAGATACCTCAACTATTAGATTCGAAACACTCTATCTTTGATCTAACTTTCTTATTACGCACAGTCAAATCTTAAAGTTATGGTGATTAATTATACAAAAGAATTCTGAATTTATTATCGGACCGTTTTAACCTGTATATAAGTAAATAGAATATTCTTTATATAATTATCTTGTCTTGTGGGTTATATTGAAAAATATTAAGATTCAAATTTTGTATGAAATGAAAAGTTTAATTAAAGACTAGAGAGTATATTATCCAAGTATTTCAGGTTATAGTTTCCTGTTAACATAATGAAGTTTATTGATCGCTAAAACTTATATTTCATTTCTAAAAATTCTTCTAATAAATTTAATCTTAGAAATTCTACTTACATAATTTTAATTTTTTTGAAACAAATAAAAAAAGTATAAATCAATGAGGCTCTACAATATGCAACTTTATTTTCTATTCTTTATTCAAATGGTCTTCAATTTTTAATCTATATACCCTATTATATAAAGTTATAATAATAAATAATAATATCTCGGATTTGTTATTATAAATTAGGATAAAATATTTTTATATCTTTATTTATTATTACTAATAATTCTTAAAGAAAAAGTATGAGAAAAAAAAATATTATAATACAAAAAGGACCCGCACAAAGAAATCTACAAAATATCAGATTGTAAAATAATCTAATCCACATTTTTATATTAAATTATTATTGTCAATTGTCGTAAAAGACTCTGGTATCAAATCAACTATTCATTCATCATCATCACCATCATCACCAGTATCGCCATCAAAATATTATGGACCCAACTAATGATCCAAATTTCACTCCACCATCTTTAAAAAAAGAAATTGAACCAACTGCACCACTGGAAACAATTCCTCAAAATATTCCAATTCAACCATTTGTAATGGAAGATTTAGGTGAAGCATTAGATGGTCCTGCACCTCATCCTGCTTCTTCAACTTCATTAAATAATTCAACAAGACCAAATCCTTTAACTAATAAATCATTTGATAATTTAAATAATATTGAAGATAGATATCATTCTAAAATTCCAAGAAAACATACAGAATTAATGAATTCTTCTTCTGATGATGAAGAAATTATAGAAATTAATAATAATTTACCACCTCAAATAAATAATATAGAAAAAGAAATTTTACCACCTTCAATACAAGTTAAATCTTCACAAATTGCAGACTTAGAAGAAGTTCCTCATGGTATTCAAAGACAAGCAACTAAATTAAAAGATTATCATTTCCCTACTCATAGATTAGCTACTACATTATCTGATGAATCTAAATCTCCGCTTGTGATTGTAGCATGTGGTTCATTCTCACCAATAACTTATTTACATTTAAGAATGTTTGAAATGGCTTTAGATTCAGTAATGGAACAAACAAGATTTGAAGTTGTTGGAGGATATTATAGTCCAGTATCATCAAATTATAAAAAACAAGGATTAGCTTCAGCTCATCATAGAGTTAGAATGTGTGAATTAGCTTGTGAAAGAACTTCTTCTTGGTTAATGGTTGATGCATGGGAATCATTACAACCAAAATATACAAGAACTGCTTTAGTTTTAGATCATTTTAATGAAGAAATAAATATTAAAAGAGGTGGTATAATGACTAAACTGGGTCAAAGAAGAGGAGTTAAAATTATGTTATTAGCAGGTGGTGATTTAATTGAATCAATGGGAGAACCTGATGTTTGGGCAGATCAAGATTTACATCATATACTAGGAAAATATGGTTGTTTAATTGTTGAAAGAACTGGATCAGATGTTCGATCTTTCTTGTTAAGTCATGATATAATGTATGAACATAGAAAAAATATTTTAGTTATAAAACAATTGATATATAATGATATTTCATCAACTAAAATACGATTGTTTATAAGAAGAGGAATGTCTGTACAATATTTATTACCAAATTCTGTTATTAGATATATTCAACAACATAATTTATATGGTGATAGTGAGCCTGTTAAACAAGTAATGTCAGAAAGAGCTGATTAAAATAAGAAGAATTTTAGAATTGTATTTTTTGATCTTGGACGTGAAGTAGTCGTTAAATTAATCAGTTGATAGAAAGCTTTTAACTAGACCATATCGATTATAGACTCATGATTACTATCACACAATCATACATGAAGCTTGTTACATGCTACAAAGTAATTATTTTATAGTAGCACCAATCAGAACACGAAGTTCAGCTGGTATAGAACTAGAATATTTGTATAATTAATAAATAATAATAATAATTAGATGTATTAATAATAAATAATTTAAGATATAAATTTTTATTTTACCATTCTTGAGTTTTTAAACCATATTTACTCTTTTTTGAACCTTTTATAGGTTTAATTAATTTAGATCCACCTTCAAGAAAACTAAATTTATTTCTTCTAATATTTTCATATTCATTAATATATTGTTCTTTTTGTAAAGTTAATCCAATATCATCTAATCCATTTATAAGACAATGTTTTCTAAAACTTTCAACTTCAAATTTTTCAACTAAAATATCGTTGTTTTCACCATCTCTTATTTGTTGTAATGGTAAATCTATTGTTAATTTATGACCTTGATTTATTACAGGTATTAATTTAGATTCAATTATTGATTGTGATAATCTTATTGGTAATAAAAAATTTTTAAAAGAATTATTATAAAAAATATCACCAAATGATGGAGCAATTATTGATTTTATACCGAAATCTTTTAATGCCCAAGGAGCATGTTCTCTTGATGAACCACAACCAAAATTATCACCAGTTACAACTAATATCTCTGCTTTTCTATATGGTTCAACATTTAAAATAAAATCAGTTTCGACATCTTTACCATTTTCCTTGATGAATCTTGATTCATAAAATAATCCATCTTTTAATCCTGTTCTTTTTATAGTTTTTAAAAATTGTTTGGGTATTATTGCATCTGTATCTACATTTGCTTTAAATAATGGTGCTGCTATACCTGTTAATACTGTAAATTTACCTAATCCTCCTAAAGGTGCTGGATCAAATGTATCTTTGTGTTGTTGAGTAGTTGATTTTGGTATATCATTAATTTTATCTTCTTCACCAGATAAAGAATCATCTAAATCAATTGGTTCTTTTTCATGTTTATATACAGCTTCTTGTAATTCTTCATCTTCATCACTTTCTATTAAAACTTGTGGTTCATCATTATGATTTATATAATCAAATTCTCTAATATCTGTGAAATGTCCCTTTATTGCTGCTGCTGCTGCCATTGCTGGTGACATTAAATGAGTTCTTGATCTTGCTCCTTGTCTACCTTCAAAATTTCTATTTGATGTTGAAGCACATCTTTCTTCTGGACTTAAAATATCTGGATTCATACCTAAACACATTGAACAACCTGCTTCTCTCCATGTAAATCCAGCAGATTCAAAAATTTTATGTAATCCTTCTTTTTCTGCTTGTTGTTTAATTAATCCTGAACCTGGTACTACCAAAACTTCTTTTACTGAATCTGCCTTTTTATGACCTCTTGCAACTTTTGCAGCTGCTCTTAAATCTTCAATTCTTGAATTTGTACATGATCCAATGAAAGCTTTATCTATTTTAATTTCTTTTAATGGAGTATTTGGTTTTAATCCTTGATATTTTAATGCTCTTAACATACCTTCCTTTTTTATAGGATCATTAACATTTGATGGATCAGGTACATTGGCACTTATTGGTAATGCATCTTGTGGAGAATTACCCCATGTAATAGTTGGTACAATATCTTTAGCAGCAATTTTAATATCATAATCGAATTTTGCACCTGGATCAGAATGTAAAGTTTTCCAATAATTAAGAGCTTTATCCCATTCTTCTCCCTTTGGAGTTAATGGTCTTCCTTTTATATAATTAAAAGTAGTTTCATCTGGTTTAATCATACCAGCTCTTGCACCAGCTTCAATTGCCATATTACATATTGACATTCTTGCTTCCATTGATAATTCTTCTATAGCTTTACCAGCAAATTCAATAACACAACCAGTACCACCAGCAGTTCCAATAACTCCAATTACATGTAATACTAAATCCTTTGATGTAATACCTTCATTTAATGATCCATCAATAAAAATTCTCATATTTTTTGATTTTGTTTGTATAATAGTTTGAGTAGCTAAAACATGTTCAACTTCAGAAGTACCAATACCAAAAGCTAATGAACCAAAAGCTCCATGAGTCGATGTATGTGAATCACCACAAACAACTGTAGTACCAGGTAATGTAAAACCTTGTTCTGGACCAACAACATGAACAATCCCTTGTCTACTATCACTCATTCCAAAATAAGTAACATCAAAATCTTTAACATTTTGTTCTAATGTCATAACTTGTAATCTTGAATCATCTTGATCAATAAATGTATCAACATTTTTAAAATTTTTTCTTGAAATAGTTGGAATATTATGATCAACTGTTGCCAATGTACAATCAGTTCTTCTTACTTTTCTATTAGCATTTTTTAAACCTTCAAATGCTTGTGGTGATGTAACTTCATGAACTAAATGTCTATCTATATATAATAAATATGAATTTGATTCATCTTTATGAACTATATGATCTTCAAATACTTTATCGTATAATGTTCTTGGTGCCATTTTTTGAATTGACTTAATAATTTGATAAAATCTAACAACAAATATAAAATATGGAGAAAGTAGTTGTATATAAATAAATCAATATAAAGTTATTATACAATGTATATTTTTTCAGTCACTTTTTTTGAAAAAAATAAATGCCTGAAAAGGAGACCGTTTTCGCATTCAATATTTTTAATTATGAAGTCAAATTGAATAATCCAATCAATAAAATTAAATATATAAGCATTATTTGGTTATTGCGGTAAGGATGTTAGAATAAAATTAAGGCTTTATATACATATATTATATGAGATAACAAGAGGTACTTTTAACGATAATAATTCTCCATGAAGCTTATGAGTCAGACTTCAACTTCTTCTTGAACCATCTAGATATTTCTATAGAGCTTTAGTGTCATACTTAGACGTTTGCAAACGGCTAGAAATGAATGTAAAAATCCTGTTATTTAAATATTCGTAAAATTATATTTTTGCTCATTTTTGTTGCAAAAAGTCTTAGATTTTTTTATAGAAAGTTAAAATGAACTTAATTATTCCTGATAATATGTGTTTACCGGTATTCTTACAAGATAACAGCTATACCAAACGTGAATATTACTTTCACTAAGCTTACACTCAATTTTAATGGAAGATTAGCTCATGTATGATGCCTTGAGCACTTTCTACATAAAAATTGACAACACAATTAAATACTTATAACCCCAACAATAATGCTACGCATTCAAACTATTGAAGCCTACAAGGTATCATTAGCAATTCTTTATATAAAATCTTTCGTAGTAATAGTATTCCAATTTATATATTAAATGTACTTAATAATCTATAAAATAAAAATATAGAACAAATATATTCTTTTAAAAATTACGCACCACATCGAATAATTTATTTACTCTTACATTATTATTTAAATATCACTAGACATATTATTTTTGCAGTCACTTTATACTACATATTTTTATTAAAAATTAACAACAACAAAATATTAAAATTATGCAAAGATGATTCCTGCGGGTGGAAGAAGATCTAAAATAAGACCACCAAGGAAATCATTAATTAGTTCATCATCATCTGCAGAAAATTCTACAACTGATCCAACTATAGATTTTGATAAAAATTGGTCAATATTACAAAATGCAATATCTCAAATTCAAAATAAAAATGTATCTAATTTATCATATGAACAATTATATCGTAAAGCTTATGTTTTAGTATTAAGAAAATTTGGAGGAAGATTATATGATAATGTTGGGGATTCAATAAAACAACATTTATTAAATCAAAGATTTAAATTATTAACTTCATTAAGTCATGAACAATTTATGCAAACTTTAATACGAGAATGGGATGAACATTTACAAAGTATGAAATTTATAAGTGATGTTTTAATGTATTTAAATAGAGTATATGTAAAGGAACAAAAAAAATTATTGATTTATGATTTAGGTGTTCAATTATTTAAAGATTATATTATAATGTATAATAATAATGAAATAGGATCTAAAACTACAAATATAATACTAGAGGAAATCACCAAAAGTAGGAACGGGATAGTCATTACTTCAAATATGTATATAACAAAAATCATTCAAATGATGGAAATGTTAGTTGAAAATAATTTATCATCAGATGTTCAATATGGAGAGAATTATTATCAAATTATATTTGAACCTATATTTTTAAAAAGTTCAGAAACATTTTTTCAATCATTATCAAAATCTTACGTGTCATTAAACTCAGGATCAAAATATTTACAAGCTACTTCACAATTTATTAAAGATGAAGAAAATAGAATCAAATTTTATTTACCACTGTCAACACATCCAAAATTATCAAATTTAATGGATAATATATTAATTAAAGATAAAATTGACAAAATGATACTACTATCGAACGAAGGTTTGCAATATTGGCTACAACCTGTATTATCAAATTTATTAAAAGACGGAAACTTAGAGCCCAATCATTATAATGAATTAAAAATATTGTATCGACTTATTGGTAGAATAGATAATGAATATCAATTATTAAGAATCAGATTGAAAGAAGCTATAATATCACAAGGTTTACTACTACCGGAACTTGTAAGAAATTCGATGGATTCAGGTTCTGAAAAGAAAGGACTCAATCAAACATTATTTGCCACTAAATGGATTGAAGCTGTTTTAAAATATAGAGAGGAAATGATACAAATATGGACTCAATCTTTTGATAGTAATCCAATAATTGAACAGACATTGATGTTTGCAATGAGAGATTTCATTAATAACTATAATAAAAGAACTAGTGGGAATAATAATGCAATCAATGCATCAGAAGTTTTATCAATATACATGGACTATCGTATCAAGCAACTTAATAAAGGCACATCAAGTAAAGAAATGGCAAGTTCAGGCGATCTGGCTGAAAATTTAATAAATAATTCAATACAATTTCTAAGATTTATCAAAGATAAAGATGCATTTGAGGCTCATTTTGCTAATCATTTTGCTAAAAGGTTTTTGAATTCTAAAACATCTACTTATGGTTCATTAAAAGGTATAGATATTGAAGAAATGGTACTTTCAAAACTTTGTGAAGAAATGGGAACTTCATCATTAGATAAAGTTATTAAAATGAATAAAGATATAAAAACTTCAAGAGATACTACAAAGGAATGGACGATGAATCAAACCAAGTCAAATAAATCCATGGAATTAGATTTGAAAATCTGTAATGTATCTATATGGCCTAAATCATTAACTAAAGATTATAAAAATACTGAAACTAATGAAGAACAACAAACTTTTAAATGGCCACGTCAATTAAGAGAAACAATACTTGAATTTGAAGAATTTTGGTTTTCTGGTAAAAAGAATGATAATAAATCATTATATTGGTCACCAAAATTTGGATCAATTGATATGAAAATTACTTATCCTTCAAAAACTTATGACATCAATTTATCAGTTTATGCAGCTATTATAATGTTATTATTTGCACCTGGTTCATCACTTGAAGGTGAAGTGAAACTGGCATTTGAAGAGAAAAAACAATATTCATATAAAGAAATTGCTGAATTAACTGGTATACCAACTCAAGAATTGAAAAGACATTTACAATCAATAGCAGTTGCTCCAAAACTGAGACTTCTAGTTAAAATACCAATGTCAAAAGAAGTTAATGAAGATGACATTTTCAAATTAAACGAAAAATTCAAATCACCAAGTGTTAAAGTGAAAGTTTTAACAGTATCCTTATCATCATCAGCATCAGCTTCATCAAACAAAAAATCCAACGCAGAAACAGATGAAGTAAATTCACATATATCAGAAGGTAGAAATATTGAAATTAATGCTGCAATAGTAAGAATAATGAAATCAAGAAGAACTGTAAAACATAATGAATTAATTGAAGGTTTGATCAAACAATTAAGTAATAGATTCCAACCACTGATTGTATTGATGAAACAAAGGATTGAAGATTTAATTGATAAAGAGTATTTGGAAAGAGATGCTGATGATAGAAATTTATACCATTATATAACTTAGATAATTTTAATAGAATAAGTAAATAAAAATAAATTGTCAAATTTCAGTGTCGTGAAAAGTAAAATTATCCCAAATAATTTTTCTAAAAAATATTGTTAGTAAATAATAAATTGTTTTTAAATTCACTAACTTACCATAAAACAATCGACTTCAACATATTAATATGTCCGCTAATGATGTACTAGACGTACTCGAAATCCAAAGAGATGACACACAACCAGCAAAAAAGAAAATTAAAACATCATCACCAGCGGTAGATTCAAAGCCATTAACAGGTATGGCAAGGGAATTATACAATTTAGTAGGTCCCAATACTCCACCAGTTAATTTGCAACCATCAAGTTCAACAAGAGATAAAAAGGCATTTAAACCAAGTCCTTGGTCACGCATTACTTTTAAACCTTCAACTAATGGAATAAAGTTAAAGCATTGGGTTAAAGGTTCTGAAAGTTTATTGAATACTGAAGAAGAAAATATGAAACCTTATTTTTTTGAAAAATTTAATGTTAATGTTGATATTCCTGATTTAGTTGAAGAAGATGTTTATAATTCATATATTACAGAAATTGAAGAGGAAGAGAAAAGTAAACAAGTGGAGTTGAATGAAGATAAACAGGAAAATATACAAGGAAATAATCCTGATGATAAACCAACCACTCAAGAAGAAAATAAGAAAGAGGAGGAAAAGAAAGATGATGAGAAAGTAGAATCAGACAAAAAGGAAGAGGAGGAAAAAATCGACGACAGTAAAAACCTAAATACTTGGACATATGATGAAACTAAATCATTATTTGAACTTTGTAAAGATTTCGAATTAAAATGGCCGATAATTCATGACAGATTCCCAGGTAAACGAACACAAGAAGAATTAAAACAACATTTTTATAAAATAACATCAAAAATACTATCACATCAAGAACAAAAAAATCAAACTCTAATAGATTCATTAAATTCATATTCAAAAGATAAAGAAGTTGATAGAAAACAATATCTTGAGAATCTTATATTAAGAACTCCGGCAGAAATAGCAGAAGAAGAATCTTTGGTGATTGAAGCTAGAAGATTTGAATTAGCTGCTAAAAAGATGTTAATGGAAAGATCAAATTTATTAGCATTATTAGATTCTCCACAATCTACTCAAAATGTAGCTCAATATCAATCATCTCAAGGTATTGCTAACTTATATAACAATTTAATGATTTATGACAAACATCAAAAGAAAAAAAAACAACAAGTTATACAAGATCCAATCCCACCACCAATACCAGCAGCTGCTTCATCATCATACAAAAGAGATCGTGGATTTCAAACTCAACTTCAACAATATTTATCCAGTTTATTAAAACAAAATTATCATACAAGTGCATCAATTAGACAAGAAGCGAATTCAATACATCAATTACTTTCTAAAAAATTAACTCAAAAGGAAGAAGAAGCTTATGGATTATATTATCATGGAGTTGAAAAATTAACTCCTGGAGTAGCATTAAGATCTCAACAAAGATTACCTGGTTTACAACAAAGACAATCAGTTTTGAAATTAGTAAGTTCTTTATTACAAGAATTAGATGTTCCAACAGCTGGTGGGAATGCAATGAAACCAATAATGCCAACAAGAAGAACAATGACGAAATATGATGAATTGTTAAGATCTGTTGTCACTTTATTAGATGTTAAAAAGGCTAAAGATAAACTTGAATCAGAGATTGCTTTAATTAAGAGTCAACGTGAACAACAACTGTAAAATATAAATAGTCGTAAATTCATTAATTAAGTATAAGTATAATCTAAACAAAAGTCATCAACTTGATCATTAGATTTTCCAAATGTAAGATCGTAAGCCTCTTTTAGATTTGGGGGTAGTCCATTAGTTTCCGAGAAGTATATTAAGTAGACCTCAAATTCATTGAAAATTTCTTTAAATTTTTTTGAAGCTCTGTATCCATCAAATAATATACGATTTATGTCATTAAATAGATAACAAATAGTAGTTAATGCTGTAAATTGTGAATCATCTTCATCGACTTCATCTTTCCAACAATTCTGAAGTAAATTCAAAAATCCAAATAATTTACGGTTTGACAAATCAAATTTATAATTGAAAAGTGCCTTGGAAAATTGGTTCACCAATTTAATAATTGCAGACCAATGTAAAGAAGAAGCTTCTTGAGCCATAAGGTGATATAAAATATCTAAATCTTCAGTTTCAAATTCTTCATCATCTCTTGATAAATTAATATCAGCAACAACAATTTTCTCTTCAAATGGTATATTTTGAACTTGTAATTGACCCAACCCAAGTTTAAAAGATAGATCAGCTAAGATCGATTGATTTTTATTATCTAATTTCGAGTATTTTGCCAAATCTTTCACCACTGCAACTATGAAATCAGACTTTGAAAAGTCCTTGTTTATTACTTTTAAAATTTCTGATACGTAAAAATTAAAATTTACATCATTTGATAATTGTTGAACTAGCTTAGATAATAAATTAAATTTTAGCTTATTAGTCTCCAATCCGTTAAAATTGTACCATTTAACAAAAGAAAAACATGACCAATTTGCAAAAGCTAAATTTTTGATCAATTCAATGAGATTTGCTGGTGGACTTGACGATAAAATACCTCTTAAAATATTCAGAATGACAGATTCTTTGCAAGATCTCAAATTGAAAAATTGTAATACTTTGGTGTAAAAATAAATGATGTATTTATCTCTTTGACCTTCAGTTCCAATAAAGGGGAATTTTTGTAATATCATTTTATCCCAATTGTTACCAAGTAAATTCGAAGTTATTACCCATAATGATATACAATCTTTTTTCAAATCTTGATTTCTATTTGAGTCTTCCATCATATAATGTTCCAAAAACTTTAAACTTTTTTCATTAACATTTCGAATTTGTTTCATTGTCGACTTACTCAAATTACCCGCTTGAATAGGTTTTATGATTCTTAAACTTAGCTTGACTACGTCAGCATTAACTTGAATTGTTGTATACACGTTGATATATTCTATCAATGGCAAAAAGTGAATAGCCTGATCAACATTTTCATCAATTAAATTATTTATTGGTGAAATAAAATAGCTCCATAACTTTTTGGTACCTGGTTTACTATACAAAATGGAATTTAGTTTTGTCAATATCACTTGTAATGCATTTAATGGTAACTTCAAATTTTTGGAGTAGGCAATTTGGGTGGTCACTGTAACTCCTTTAACTGCAGCTTTAATTATGTCTAAATTTGTAACATCCTTTATAGATTCTGCTAAATTTAAAATTTGGTTTCTTTGATCAGTATCTGAAGACAGTGTTAACAAAATTATAAAATTAAACCTGTTTGTTAACATCACTAAATGATCTTTGGAATTTGAATATGACATGACATGCGATGAATATAATTTTGTGATCAATCTTTTGACCTGAGTCTTATCTGACATTGATGAAATATAGTACCACAATAATTGCATAAACCTATCAAAAAATGAATCTCCACCAATATCATATCTAGATTTTATTTGATGATATACCATTTGATCCATTTCCTCCTCCGATAAATTTGCAAACTTTCGACTGATAATATTGTTATGTATCTGTAGGATAAGTCTCTCTTCTATTTGCCAATTTCTAAATTGATTCATGCTATATATAATATCAATATAACGATAAAAAATGCCCGCATCTTTATCTTCAGTTAATTTGGTGAAAAACACTTGCAATGGTTGCCACGAGGGAGTTTTTGAAATTTGACTTAAACAAAATATACCCTCTAATAAATGATCTAAGTTGAATGAAGAAGAATCTATCTTCTCAACTGAGGTTGTAACTGACAGCCACCAACAATGTTGTAGCTTCAAAATTGTGCACATAATATAAAATGATTCACTTTCTTTTGATGAAGCACCACTACCGTTTATGTTTTCAAACTGAGTAGTATTGAATAATGAAAACCACAGATTCCAATAGAAAACACCACTAGATTCAAAATTCTGCTTTCTACTGAAAACCTTACCATTTATTTCCTCCATAGTAGACATCACATATTGAAGTAGAACGACATATGGAATGAAAAATAACTTGTTATGATTCAAAATCAAAGTACTTTCTCTAATATTTGTTAATAAAGATTCTACCAAACCCCACTCTGTAAATGTAGGCGAACTTTGCAGTAGTAAATACCATCCAATTAATCCTTTAATACAATAATACAATTCTTTTTTAAAAGCTTTATCACTCAAAACATTTCTCTGAACCTCGTTATTCATAAGCTTTAACAACGTTTCTACTTTTTGAATGGAATTTTCCATATCTATTAGCGTCAAACAATAATTGTGTTCTTTGTAGGCTACTCTAATTGGATCTGTAAATTTGTGAAAAGCTTTACCATCTGCGGATTGATGTAATTGCAAAAGTGAGATTTCGTTAATTATAGTACCTTGTGCAAAATCTGGTTGTAATGATAAATTGATAACATTTGAGTTCGTAGAATACTTCTGGTATCTTGTTGATTTAATTGGTTGAGTGCTTTCGACTTCAAATGCTATAGTTGCTAAAGCTGGTGCTCTTGAAGTATTTTCTGATCCGGGATTGATATATTTATCTATTGATTTTTGATTTGAGGTGTCCCTTTTTCTCTTCTTACTTGATGGCGTAATTGTTGATGATGATTTTGAAGACGAGTGCTTGTAAGATTCTTTAGAATGTTTTGGTCGACTTGGTCTTGAATCTATTCTCTTAAATGATGATTTGTCTCTAGGTTTTGAAGTTGTTCTTCTAGATTTTGGGGCACTTGGACGTTTTGCAGTAGCAGATTTTGATTTTGATGATAATCCGTTGGAAACATAAACTTTTGATCTCGAAGAAGTTCTATTTGTCGGCTTTGTTGATGATCTATCACTTGCATTAATTATCTTCTTGACTTTTTTATTTTCTCTATTCTTGCTCCTAGCTTTTGATGTTAACATTCTATCGATTGCATTATTCTCATATGCTTCTCCCTCAAAGTCGGTAACCAAATGTTGATCCAGATTTGTTGGACCCAGTCTGAAACTAAACAAGTCTAAGTCGTCATCAGGTTCTGAATCAAAGTCTGTTGAAGATTCATCAGATATCACAATAGGTGAAGTTGACCGTCCATCAAAATCATGACCATCGATTGATTGTATATCTGACTCATTGCCACGTAATTCTTCAAAATCATCACCCCAGTTTTCTGATCCTTCATCCGAAACATTAAGTTCATCTTGTAAATCAAAAACGTCTTCGCTTTGGTTCGAAGTTAATGCGTTAAATATGGCTTCTTCTTCATGATACACATTATCATCGATTAAATCATTTAAGTTTTCTCTCACTTTTGGCTTTCTGCCAACTTTCTTTATAGCCATTCCTTTTCTGATTTCAATTGGATCTTTTCTTCTCAAACCTTTCCTCTTTTGCTTGTTACTTTTATATATTGCTAGATGTTTTGCAGATTCTGGTAAAATTCCTTTTAACGCAGATTTTTCTTTTCTATATCTACCTCCTACTCTGACATATAGATCATCATCTTCAGATTCCTTTTGATCATCACTATCACTTTGATTATTACTGTCATCACTTTCATTTAAAGAGTCAACATCAGAAGCAACATAACCCTGGACCAGGATTTGTGAAGGTACTTCAAAAGTGGAGTTCTGCAGTTCATCAGACGCGGGATTATTATTTTCCGGTTGTTTTTCACCCAGCTCTTCGGCTTCTAATTGTTGTGCAGCTTTTGATTGTTTCCCCAAAATAGTATAAAAATTCTTTTGTTTATACTTTTCATCTCTAGGATATCTTTCTTTTAATTTCATATAATTGTAATTTAATAATTTAACAATTGACTCTAAATTATGATCATTTTCTTCATATATAGTGTTTAATTCACTAATATCTGACAACCCTAAATAATATGCTTGATCAGATAAATAAGGGTGAGTACTTGCAAAATTTCTTTTTCTTAATGTTCTAGTGGGTGCATAATCTTGATATTTTGAATTAATATAAGCTAGTAGATGATCTTCATTTTCTTTATTTTCTACTAAAATCACGTCTTCCTCTGTATCATCTGTATTGTGCCGTATCTCTTCATTAATTGATAATGGTTCAAATAGTTGGAATTGATCATCATCTTCTTCACTATCATCAATTACGTCAAATAAATTTGTTGTGGTAATGGTTGATTGTGGACATAAACTTTTAATTATCTTTTCAATATTTAATCGTTGAGCATTTGATAGTTTAGACATCTTTCCATTTAGTACTTCTCGAGATATTAGTGGTGGATTAAGTACTATCGATTCTTCCTCAGAATCTGATATATAACTCATTTTGAATTGATATGTTATCGTTTGTTATGCCGTATAATTGAGGTATAGTTATAGGTTATTCTCATTGATATTAACATGTATAGTTGTAGTAGTTGATGAATGCAGATGGTCCATATAACTGTAGTTGTTTACAGTGACGATGTCAGATTGGTTGTAAAAAATCTGTATTATTTACTTATTTATTTTATTATTTTATTATTTATATTATTTTTAAATCAAGCTGCAAAATTTTGTATTACACAAAATTAGACTACACGTCTAAATGAGCTATATTCAACTCCAGTCGAATCTATTATCTATATTGTATCTAATGATCTATAATTTATAAACTTACTTAATTTACTTGACTATTTAATAATGATTTACCTTCTCTTTTTAATTCATCAATTGGAAATTTTAATGTATTTGAAAATAAATTCTCATCAACATAATCTCCAAAAGTTAAATAACCTTCTAATTGATGAGAATAAAAGAAAGGTCTTTCATATAAATCTAACTTGAGATTTTCTTTCAATCTCTTGATTAAATCAGGATTTGAAGTAAATGGTCTCGAGAAAGCAATTAATGTTCTATCATCAGCGTCAACATCCTTTGTTAAAGCAGCATAGTGTTGTACTTCACCGTCCCCAATTTTCAAATTTGAGTTATTTGATTTAATTAACGATGGATCACCTTTATAATTCGTCGCGTAACCACCAGCTCTAATTAATTTACCTGACCAAATTTCAGTTAATGATGAATTTGATTTCCCATCTGGATCTTGATCAAAAGAACCAGAAACTCTTGGTTCTGTTATTGAAACATAAGCAATTTCTTTACCCTGTTGTTTTAATTTTTCTAAGTATTTCAATATGTATTGACAAAATAATAATGGTGGAAATGACGCGTCTAATGGATATTTATCTTCAGGATAATTCATACCAAAATGAGTTGACCATGCAGCTATTCTAACACCAAATTTTGAGGCTCCAATTTGTGGATGTTCTATAAATTTATCTATTATTTCAATTAAGAATCTACATCTATTTTCAACACTTCCTCCATATTGATCAGTTCTTGTATTTGAAATTGGTGATAAAAATTGTTCAATTAAAAATCCTGAAGTTCCATGCAATTCAACTAAATCAAATCCTCCTATAGTTAAGCAATTTATAGCAGCAGTTACAAAATCATCTTGAATTTGATGAATTTCTTCAATTGTTAATTCTTTTAATGGGTAATTTAATTCTTCAGCAGTTACCTTATGACCTTCAGCGTGATATATAACAGAAGGAGCAACATATGGCAATTGTTTATCTTTTAAAATTTGAATATTGGCTACTCTACCAGGACTGAAAATTTGACATGAAACATATGAATTATTTTCGTGAATTTTATCAGTTATTTTTCTTAAAGCTTCACATTGAGCGGAAGTAAAAACACCGGATTTGAATGGTACTAATCCACTTCTTGGTGATACTAAACATGATTCGAATACCAACAATGAACCTTCGGTTCTTGATCTTGAATCATAATATTGAATCATTAAATCTGTTGGAGAATTTTCACCATCATTGGTAGATCTTGATCTCGATGTAGGTGCATGCACTATTCTATGAGATAATTTGATATCTTTACCAATAGTTATAGGTTTAAACAAGTTAGTTTCAGCCAAATCTTTAGTCATTTTTTGATAAATAGTTACAACACGTTGCCTGATAACCTTATCTCGACCATGACATGATGAAATTATTTCATGAACAATTAAGGTTTTTAAATCTTGAAAAATTATTCTAAACTGGAACTGCGGCTTAATTGAACCGATTCGGATCGATGATTTATAAAATTAGTGGAAAATGAGATCTAATTATTTGGATCCTTCAATTATAATAAATATCTGGTCTTACACAGGTTCTGCTTCATTTTTTGTAGTTCAGTCGATAAGTCCATTCAATTTTCATTAGAAACAAATACTGGTGCTCACATTAAATTAACTGCACATAATTAATTTAAAACGTGGGGGATCTTTCAATTATTTGAACTTGTGCTTCAACTTAGAGTGGTATTAGAACAATTCTTTAATTATAATTTTAATTCTCAAAGCTATTAACTCCAGAAAGAACAATTAAGACTACAATAAAAATCAGGTTGTTTCATATATAGGATAGATCTGTTCCCATAATTCAAATAGGTCAATTACAATTTATGTCAAATTGCGCTATGCAAAAGTTCTTAAATATCAATATATCTCAATTCCGCTAAAAACTCCTTTTGATTGTTTCAACAAATATTTCAATGTAATACACTTTAATTATTAAGCAACACCAAGAAGAAAAAGAAGATGTCTGATATAGAGGAAGAGGAATTAATACATCGTCATAGTCATGATAATATAGAGAGTAACATTACGGAGCCAGAAAATACCAATTTTCCCAAAAAGATTGAGTTTGAAGGTGAAGTACTAAGTATAGACACAAACAATTGGAGACATTCAAAATTATTAAAATTACAAATCATTGCGTCTTTTTTAGTATTCATACTATTTGGATTGGGTGAACAAACAGTTGGAACCATTATTCCTGAATTACAAGCATATTACAAAATAAATGATTTATATGTTAGCTTGTTATTTTTTACATCAGTCATGGGATATTTAACTATGGCTATTTTGAATAATATAAGTCATGACTTTTTAGGTATAAGAGGAGTATCGGTAATGGGAGCAACCGCAATGACTTTGGCATATATTATATTATCCAACAAGCCTCCATTTTTTATATTTTTACTTTGTTATCTAATGCATGGGATTGGATTAGGTGCTTTAGATGCTTCTATGAATGCTTGGATGGGGAACTTAGTTGATTCTAATCAATTACTTGGGATTTTACATGGATGTTTTGGAATTGGAAGTTTAATTACTCCAAGTTTAATTACTTTTTTGTTGGAGAAAGAAATAAATCCATGGAAATGGAATCAGTATTATATCTTGTTAGCTGTTTGTGGTTCATCAATCTTGATTTTTGTTGGTTATACATTTAGATTTGAAACCCCTAAAAAATATAAATATTTACTACAATCTAGACATAAATCAGCAAAGGTCAATGATGAAGTTGAATTAGATGATTTGAATAAAGATGATTTTGAGATTAGTGAAGAAAATGAAGAAGAAGAAGAAGAAGGTGATGGCGCACACTCGGCTAGTTTCAGTCAAGCAATAAAGCAGCCTTTAATTTGGGCATTTGCATCCATTTTATTCATATATGTTGGTGGTGAAGCGTCATTTGGAATTTGGCTAGTTACTTACTTGTTGAGAATAAAAGAAATGTCTTATAAAGCTTCATCATATATGGCTACTACATTTTGGTTGGGATTAACTGTAGGTAGAATTGTGTTGGGCTTTGTCACAGCTCATTTTTTCAAAACTGAACTAACTGCAAATTTAGTTTATATTGTTATATCATTACTTGGATATATTTTATTTTGGGTTTTTTCTTTCACTCAATTATATGTGGTTTTATTTACAATTGTTTTCATTACTGGAGTGGTTGTTGGTCCAATTTTCCCTACAACTATAGTATCACTGGTCAACATTTTACCAGCCAAATATCAAACTGTTGGAATTGGATTTATATGTGCATTTGGGGGAGCTGGAGCTGCTGGTATACCTTTCATAATTGGTTTATTAGCAGAAAGTAGTGATTATGGTTTAAAAGCTTACCCTATTATTATCATAATTATGTTTGCTATACTTTTATTTTTATGGATGTTCATAATAACTAAATTTGCAAAAGTATATAGACGGAATCTTATATAATCTAATAGACATTAATTCATTAAATATACATATTTATACAAAACAGAATTTGAAACTTTTTCTATAATTTCTATATTTTACCACCTAAATCCGACCATTCTTGAGGTGTATATCCCTTTTGAGTAAAAGCATGTATTGCAGCAATTTCATCTCGTAGTTCATTATTAACTAATCTATGTCTTGCTAATTTATTCTTACCTTGAAATTTAGATGTAACTATAATAACTGCAAATGCTTGTCCACAACCCCCTGACATATCTTCAACTTGTACAAGATCAGCTTCTAACCTCTTTTGTATTATATCTTTTAGTGAGTCTGATGTAAGTGCTGTCATTATTTTTGGTTGATCTATAAATGTATGTATAAGGTTGTAATATAATTTTTCTCTCAAACGATGGTTTAGATAAATAATAATATTCTAATATACATTTTGAAATTATAATAAACGCGGGTCCACAATTACGCGCGATAATAAATCAATTTCACGCACTATACGGTCAGTGAGGAAAGAAATTGCTACTAACATTATCAAGATGACAAACTTCCTTTAGTGTGGACAAAATTGATTTTGAAAAGCAGAACTTAGCTCTCACTTCTCTAAGCAAAAATTAGCCATACAAATTTACTAATTTATTTAAGTATTTATTCGAGTAATATCATACTGATAATTAACTTGTATCATTTTTCACTCTAAAAGAGAGAGATAATACAATTTAGTAGCAAAAAAAATTCACGTTTAAAAAAATTAAACTATTCAATTAGTTCCATCTCCTTCCACTAATCTAATCAATTCAAAACCAATCATGTCTGAACCAATTAAAAAGAAAAATGGGGACATTTCGAAAGCTCCAACACCTCAAAATACTCCATCAAGTGTTACTACATCATATTTAAAATCTCAACCACCAACTGTATCAACAATTAATGAAGATATAAATGAAGATAAATTAAATCAAACATTAGCTAATAATCCAGTATTATTATCAATGATTCAAGGTAAATTAGGTGATTTAGTTGGTAAAAATTCAGGTTATGTAGCAACTTTATCAAAACCTGTAAAGAATAGAATTTTTGGTTTAAAATCGATACAACAACAACAAATGAAATTAGAAGCTGAATTTCAAAAAGAATTATTAGAATTAGAAAAGAAATTCTTCAAAAAGTATGAACCATTATATGTTAAAAGAAAAGAAATTATAGTTGGTAAAGTTGAACCAAGTGAAGCAGAAATTGAAGAAGGTAAACAATTAGATGAAACTTTAGATGAAGAAGAAGAAGAGGAAGAAGAAGAAGACGAGGAAAAACCAGAAGAAAAACAAGAAGAATCAGCAGTAGGAATTCCAGGATTTTGGTTAACAGCATTAGAAAATTTATCAACAGTTCAAGAAACTATAACAGATAGAGATTCAGAAATTTTATCAAATTTAATTGATATAAGAATGAAATATTTAGAAACTCCAGGATTTGAATTAATTTTTGAATTTAAAGACAATGAATATTTAAATAACAAGACATTAACAAAAACATACCATTACCAAGCAGAATTAGGTTATTCAGGAGATTTTGTTTATGATCATGCAAATGGTTGTGAAATAAATTGGAAATCAAAAGAAAAAAATCCAACTATAAATATAGAAAGAAGAAAACAAAGAAATAAAACAACAAAACAAACAAGAACTGTTGAAAAATTAACACCAACTGAATCATTTTTCAACTTTTTTGATCCTCCAAAACCTCCAAAAAAAATTGATGAAGATAAAGAAGACGTGGAAGATGCAGAAAATGTAGAACAAGAAGAAAAAGATGAAGAAGAACAAGAAGAAGATGAAGATTTAGAAGCAAGATTAGAATTGGATTATCAATTAGGTGAAGAAATAAAAGATCGTTTAATTCCAAGAGCTGTTGATTGGTTTACTGGTGATGCAGTAGATTATTCTTATCCTGATGAATTTGAAGGTGATGAAGAAGGTGAATATTCAGATGAAGAAGGTGTAGATGATGATGATGATGAAGAATTAGGTGATGCTGATCATGATGACGATGATGATGATGAAGCAGAAGGAACTGGTCAAAAACAACCACCACCTGAGTGTAAACAACAATAAGGTAGATATATTGTGAACGATTTTATATATACATATATAAGTCATATAGTTAAAATATACTTTTTTCAAAAACTTAAAGTTGCAGTAGAGTGTCTTAAGTTTCATCCCATAACTGCATAACAATAAAACCAATAGATAGGCATGTAAATTAGGCCAAGTGTAGCTGGAATGACATAAAATCGATTTGAATATTTACCCAATTGAGCATTGACTGAATTGAAGATTGCAACGCGTCCTTTATTAAGTTACCATGAGCTGATTATCAAGTGATTTTGAGCCTAATTCAACGAACAGGTTTTAAATGATTTGCTCTTTCTCATTTCTACAGTAGCTGCAACCTACACTCAACCTTCTTGCAATTATTCTGAAGTATTCGTCTAATTAACCCAATTCGGGACTCAAATTGTTGCAAAAAATAATCTGCAGCACAAAAGAGATTATCCATATTGAGATTTAAAAAATAAAAAGAGACATTTCATTTCTACTTATGAAGTTGCGAAAAAAAAAACTCTGAATGAACCCTACAGTACACCTACAAATTGGAGAAAATCTTGTGTTGTTTAAAGTTATACCATGTTTCAGAAATAAAATTTGTAAGTATTGTCAATTGAAGCATAAGAAAAATTGTACAAGATTAATTTTTCAGGGTCAAAATAAACTAGATCCAACAAAAAGGGTATCTTTCAGACTTTTAGAAATGCATGTGAAAACTATAAATCCTTACTCTCAATAGATGGCAAATTATAGAAAGAAGTGAGACAATTGAAGAATCTGGTGCACTAAGCTTTCCCCACCGTAATACAAAAATCTTTAAATTAAACTACAATAGATAAAATAAAAAGTTCAAATGTTTGAATTCGATCTACCAATTAACATTCAAAAGGGTAATGTAATTAGTTTTTTAAAAAGTTGACTAAACCGATGTCTACTTAATTAAAAGAAAGACTTATCAAACGTTTGTTGAACTTTTGTCCAGTACGACCTTAATTAATTAAGGGTTTTCTTAAAAAGTAAAATAATAAAATTTTAACAAACGTTTGTATAAAATTAATTTTACATTGTTAACTTTTAGTTAAAGATTATGGTTTTTGTTGAATCAAGGAGTTTAGAGTTCATGGTTTTTAACTTCATAATGTTTTATCAAATGAAATTCCAATCTAATTTCGTAATTCCATTTATCAAATTTGGTTTTATCATATTCAAATTAAATTACCTCTTAAAATATTATTTAAGTTATTAAAATCATTTTCATCTTTGAAAAGACCACACATAATCATTGAGTGTTTTGTGTAATTTAGCCCAAAGAATTTTACAAAATTGCAGATCCTTTTATTTTACACTAAAAATTTGAAACGTTTTATAAGTTTGAAATTTCTTTTGATAAAGAGGAATTAATAAGAGAATTGTAATGTTATTTCCAAGATAGTTCGAGGGTTAGCCTTCAAATCATTTAAAAAGAAACCAAAGTTAAACGATGTAAGTGAAAGGAAAAGAAATTTCGAATTAGTGGTAGATCAAATATACAAAATCACATGTGAAAAATTTATTATCTTTAGAAACAGTTGATGACAAAACGTTGTCAAGTAATGATCTTAAACTGCTTTTTTATAAAAATATAATAAATTATTATAACTGAAGCGAAAAATGTCCAAAAATTCAGATTAATGGTTCCTTAATAAACTAGAATCAACCATGGATGTATGAGACCAAATAATAATTTATTATTTTTATTATTAATTATTCTATCTATTGTGTGATGAAAATGATTAACAGAGTTGATGATATTTAGGGATTATTGTTTCAAATTTTTATATTAATCGTGCTTTTTCCTTCTTGATGTAATAAATCCGTTAAATTTTAATCAAATGGCACTTGGAAGTCTTTTAAACATTATAATTGATAATTCTCGAGGAAATAAAATTATTTTATTGTTCTTTCTTTGTTCATTTTCCTCGACATTTCAATCCAAACATCAGCCTCCGAGAATTAATTCTCTTCCCCAAAATTTTATGATCAGGTGAATTAATAACTTGTAAGACATAATCATACTTCTTGAATAGATGTATTTCACGTAATAAAAAGGGGGGGAGTAGCGAGGATATAAATTTAATGATATAAAAAGGAGAGGAAATAAACGGGTGCAAAAACAAAAATAATTTATTATAATAATAATACACAAAATATTTTTTAAAAAAATGTCTAAACTAAACAAAAGAATATTATCAAAAGATCAACAATACATAATTTGAAATTTAATCATCTCTCTTCAATTACAGTAGCTAGAAAGAAAGAGATTTTTTAGACCAATGATATAAACTAATTTTAGTATATTGATATGTATAATTAATTAATTTGTTCAATTAATTAGCCATTAAGAAGATTTGTGAGAATAAATTTGGACTTTTAATTTAAGATACAATGTAAAAGTAACTGTTATTAATTTCTTATCAAACGTATGTTTTGATATTTAATTAATTTAATTATAATAATTTAATATAATGTATGATGAAAGTTTAAAAATAGAACTAAAACAGTTTTGATATATTATTATTTCTCAATTAATTAAAAGTCGTCAATTAATACTCAAGTAAATTTATGCAATTTCAATTCTTAAATATGAGCACTATTCCAATTAAATATTATTGTGGAAATATATTACAATGATACCTCATCGTTAGGTTCAATTAGTATATTGGTTATAGTTTTTGTGAATTCGTAACTTCAATTATAAAAAATAATTCAAACAATATAAAAAACCAAACATTAAATTCAAATTTGTATATTTTATTACTTAATTAAGAGTTTTTTATTTTATTATTAAATATTTAAGTTTGTGTTTATATTAACTAGTAGAAAGAATTTATCGTAATATTTTTAAAGTTTGTGTACTAAAATATAATTAGTATCAAAAAACAATTATCACATGCTAGATTGAAAATTATCATCTTCATTCAAATTTGCATAATTATTTATCTTGAATATCTGACTCAACATGTTTAATTAAATTATTATCTTCACTAGTCAACTTATACTAGACCAATAATCTATAAAAAATAATTGAATTTTTAAAATTTTATGCTCATTGGAAATTTTCTATTATTATTTTGTAAATTCCGATAATCAAGAAGCAATTGTACTTATTACTTTGTTATTAAACTATTATTAATTTCATCATGAAACATATGAAATGTAAATATAATTAATTGAAGAATTGATTTTACACCTTGTACTCACATTTTCTGTGTTTTCATTCACCATTTTTCTATTGACTTATTATTATTTTTTATTATGTCGTTATCTATATTTTTTTTTTTTTTTTTATAATTTTTATAATTTTTTTATTTTATTTTTTTATTTTATTTTTTTATTTTATTTTTTAAAATATATTTTTTTTCATATGCCCTTTTTAAAAATAAATAAACTAATTTATACATGAACTATAAATAATCCTTATATTTTCCTTAATTTATAAAATTGAATAAATTTTTTTTTTATAATATATAACTAATCTTTCTTTCCTTTTCCATATTTTCAAAGAATATATCAATTCTTTAATTCAGATTTACTATTAAAATCAACAACTATTAATAGTATCATTTTGTATTCCTTATCTTTAAATTCAAAACTTAATATTACACGTGATACCCCCCTTGAAAATAAAATATATATATTATATATAATTTTTTATAATCATTTTAACAAGCAATTATATAAATACCAATTAAAACTTTTACAACACACTTTTTTATAAAGATAAAATTAAACAATTATTTACATTTATAAAATATATTACAATTTTAAATTATTAAAAAATTTATAAAAAATATTTACATATAACAAATTACAAATTACAAATTACAAATTACAAATTAAAAATGTCTGATCAAGTTGAAAAAGTTAAACAACAAATTAATCAATCAATTCCAAAAACCAATAAAAAATTTGATTCAAAATCATTACAACATTTAAATCAATATTCATTAGTTCAATATTTTTTAAATTTAGTTTTACAATTTTCAATTGCTCAAGTTTTATATAAACAATTAATTTTACCAATTTATAATTTTATTAATATTAATATTATTTCAATTTCACCAATTTATGATTTATTTACTTTTACTGATTCAATTATAAATGAAATTTTAATTACTTTTGATAAATATTTTATTTCATATCCTCAAGAACAAGTTAATTATTTTACTAAAAATGTTATAAAACCAATTAATTCAAAAATTATTGAAGTTAATAATCAATATTTAACTCCATTAGAAACTAAAACTGAAGATGGTTTATTTCAAATTTTTTATACTTTAAAATCAATTGCATTAAATATTACTTCAACTACAATTTCAAAAGGTGATGAAATTCAAAAAAATATTTCTTCAACTTTTAATAAAGAATATTCTTCAACTCCAAAAGATTCAAATTTTATTAATAAAAACATTACTGCTTCAGTAAATACTTTTAATAAAACTTATAATACTTTTAATGAAGAAGTTTTAATTCCAATTAAACAACAAACTCAAGAATTATATGCTAGTGGTTATAAACGTGGAGAAAGTTTAATTGCTGATACAAAAGAAAAAATTAATCCAAAAATAGAAGAATATAAAACAAAAGCTGAATCAATTATAAATAATAATACTCCAGTTCAAGTTTCTGGTTAATTTTTACTTGTTGTTGTTGTTGTTGTTCCCTAATATTAATTCAAAATTGAAACTTTCCCTTACATTCATTTAAACCAATTGTTAGTTCCATTTTTTTATTATTCATAATTATTGTTACCATTCTCAAATATTAATTTAATATTTTATATTATTTTTTACAAATCATATATTTTTTATACTTAGTTTCATTATTCCTTATATAATATTATATATATATAACTTATATCCAACTTATATTGACTTCTTTGTTGTTTCTGACGAACTCATTCTTTATCATTATAGCTCAAACATCTCTTCTGAAATATTACGAGTATCATCTTAAACTAATAAGAGGCCAAGGTAAAAATATAATTAATAAGTATCACAAAATATAGCAAACAATCGAAAAAAACAATAGAACTATAAATTTACCACAAGATTTACAATACATTACTCCTTAAATGTAAAATAAAAACTATAAACAATAAAACAAAATAATAACAACAACAATTATTTAATCATGCTTATTCAATAATGAATTTATCTTTACGCCAATCTAAAAAGCAAACTTAAATAGTATACTTTATAATCTAATTAGTGACAATTTATAACATTCTCAAATAAATATACCTTTGTGTATATAATGTAACAATAAACAAGAATACGAAAACTTTATTTTTTGCTATTACTTTTGTTTGTTTGTTTGTTCAAGAAAAAAAAAATTAATCCATCGTCAATCTGAAATACTGTTTTTGTTAATCTTTTAGTTGTTTGTCATGAGAATGTGGCTAACAAACGTATTTTGTATATTGTAATGTTTTCCCGAAATAACCATGACTACATCACAATTCAACTGTCAAATGCTGACTATGAATAAAGTCGCATTCGTATAATTTAAACTTTCTTAGTATGAGATAAATTTTAAAGTCTCTCTACTTTTCTTTTCAAGGTGAAACAACACTTGTGAAAATTGTAAAGCAATTCAATTAAATTGCCAAAAATTTGAAATTCTCTTATCAGTGAATTTTAAAATCTTTTATCAAAAATGTCTTAAATCAAATTAATCCGAAAGAAACGTTTCAGTGTGCTTTAAGGAGAGTAAATTTAAGGATCTGAACTTTTTTACATTTTTAATGAAACGTTTGAAAAATCAAATGGAAACCAGAGCAATTTACTGTTTTTTTCAAGATGTTTGAAGCTTAAAGAAATTATAATCATAAAAGAGGGGTAGAAATTTAGTAGAATTTTGCAATCAGGGCTTATTTTAAATTTGTGGGTTAAATTATCCTCACTTTTTTGTTTCGAAAGTCACACTGTGTAAATTACATTTATTAACTATGAACAAAGTATTTATACTACTATTTTTTAGATAAAATACAACATCTAAGCAGTTGCTAAATAATGTTTCGGTCTTTCAAAAGTTTTTATATAATCAATTCCACCAACACATTTAGGTACTGTTAATTGTTCTTGACCCATTAAAATATGATCCAAAATTTCAATTCCAACATCAACAGTTCTTAAAATAGCATCATGTTCTAAAATTAAACCTTTATTTTGATTTGTTTTTTTAAAATTTAATACATCTTTAAAAATATCTTGTTCATTTCTATTATTTGAATAATCTAACATTTTCCAATCAAATGTATCAAAGTCCCATAAAACAGATTGCATTCCAAATTGTCTTAATATTGAACGAATTCTATTATCAATCCCACCATATGGTGGTCTAAACCATTTTGGTAAATGATATCCAGTAGCATTCATTGCCCATATTGACCATTCAATTTGTGCAATAATTTCTTGATTTGTTAAACTTGGTAAAAATTTATGAGACCATGTATGACTTCCCATTATATGACCTTGTGACATACTTTCTTGATAAACTTCAGGAAAACGTACAATATTAACTCCTAAAGTAAATAAAGTTGTTTTAGTATTTGTTTTTTTCAAAGCTTTTAATAATTTTCTAGTATGTGGACTTGGTCCATCATCAAAAGTTTGTGAAATTTTAGAACAAGTATAAACATCATCAAATTCAACACAATTAAAACAATCAAAAGAACAAGCTATTGGACTTCTTAATATTGGATTTGAACATTGTGCTTGTTGATGTAATGGTAAATCATCTATTTTATTAAAATTTATAAAATCTAATGGTATATAAGGTGGATTTAAATCTGGCCATTCTTTTAATCCTGTAAAATCTGTAAGCCATTGAGGAAATGGTAATTTTGGTGGGAATCTCATTGGGGATGGTGGCATTTCATTTAATTGAATAATTGCATTTGTATTATCTTTTGAATGATTATCAATATTTGGAATTTGTTTATTCTCAATGGGTAAATCGTCTGAGTTTGTATTTAATAACTTGAATGAGTCTAATGGTGATGATGAAGTGGTTTGATGTTCATTTGGATGGAAATTAAATAATTTTGGTGTAAATGCTGATAACCTTGATCCAAATCTTTTAGAATATGATTGTGTTGATAATGTTGAAACAATAGATAATAAATGATAAATCAACAATAGAAATGGATTAAATTTCATTTTATTGATATTTAGGGCTTAAAAACTTGTTATTTAAAATTTGATAATTAACCACTTAAATCGGTTTATCTCTATCGTAGTTTTGAGGTTCAAACTGTTTTGTTATGTCACTAGATCTTAGATTTAAACAAGAGTAATATATACACAAAATCGATAATGACAAGGATTTAAACATTGTAGAATTCAATTTAAATGAGGTTTGTCTAAACTAATCAAGTTAAACTTAATCTCGAAATATCAATTGTAAAGTAAAATATTTGTAAATTAATGATAGCTTTTTTGTCAACTTTCAATTTTGCAGTCAAAAGTAAAACAAAGTTTTTATATGCAGGTTAACCATTTTATATATAAAATTTCAATTCTCGATTAATATATTTTATGTGAGAAATTTTTTTACTTTTTTCAATAGTATACAACAACACCCACTATTGAATACTACTTTGGATTGTGGAAACTTTAGTTATTTTTTTGTAACAACTAGCCATAACATTCATATCAATTAAATTAGTTCCGATTTCGAGTGAAAATACATTAATCTTCCTCCATAATGTATACTTTACAAGCATGTTTAAGTTCGATTTTTTTAATTAGCCTTTTTGGATGTAACATGCGTTGTCACCGCATCAAATCTTGATTTTTTGACAAAGTGGATTTCAATAGAAATAATCAAAAATTTTTTGCTGATTACATTAATGTTTTTATTGAATTTGACTAAAAAGAAAGAAGTTTGAAAGAAATGATTTTCAATTTGATTTTGCATTTTTTTTCAACTGATTTCGAGTTGAGAAATTGAACCACATTGAATACTGCATGAGACACAGTCTTTTTGAACACCGGCATACATGGTGTGTAGGTTTGCCGCCTCCTTCATAGCTTGAATCCATGTGATGGGTTGGAATCTTTACAGATAATACCTCACTGAATGTTTTCTTTGTCTTTTTCAATGATGTTAAATTCAATACATGCTTCATCAAAGTATCTATCAAAAGTTACAAGATCTATGTTTTAATTTGATACATATTTATGGAGCGATGTAAAAGGGATGAATCATCTTAATTGATGATATATCTAGTTTGAATTTACATTATGAATAGAATAAAATTGAATCTAGATAATTACTAGAATAGGTCTTACCATTTCACTTATGGAGACTAACTTGTGATATCTTACTTACCACTTTTGGAATTTGACCGTCTCTAACAGGACTTCCGCATGAACCTTCCCCATGGTCTATTAAATCGAGATGGAAAAGCATAAGTATGTTGGGAGCTAATAAATGTTAAAACTGTATTACTGTATTTTTGTTAATTTATTTTATCAACTGTAGAGAATTTGTTTGAACTCTTGCTAATTCTAAGAATTTTAATTTAATTAACTCTTTTACAACTTTCTTGTTTACAATATATTTGATTACTGATTACAACTGTCAGATGTTCGAAGAGTAAACTTAGATAAAAATGAATAACAAGGTTGTAAATTTGCAATCATCAATCGAGAATTTCGTTGTACGACTTATAATTTAAAATTTGATAGCTCACCACTTAAATCGGTTTATTTTTAACATACTTTTGACATTCGAACTGTTTTGTTATGTCGCTAGATCTTAGATTTTAAACAAGAGTAATATATGTACAAAATCGATAATGACTACGAATCCAACATTGTAAAATTTAAATTAAATGAGCTTTGTTTAAACTTGTTAAGTTAAACTTAATTACAATATATCACTTGTAAAGTAAAATAATTGTAAATAAATGATAATTGTTAAGTTTTAATTTTGCAGTCAAAATAATACAAAATTTTTATATGCAGGTTACACATTTATATTTGAAGTTTCAATTCTCGATTAATATATTTTACGTGAAAATTTTTTTTAGTTTTTTCAATAGTATTCAACTGCAACACTTTCAATTGAACATCCTAATAGTTTGTTTTATTACAGTTTAGCACAACGTCTTAAATTTTGGTGATTAATGCCTTGCCATTCTGTTCAAAATTCGAATCCATTTTGAGTTAACTGTAACAAGAAATTTAAATCTTGCCATAAATCTTGATTCTTTGACAAGGTGGATTTCAATGGAAATAATCAAATAGTTTTGCTGATTCCAATAATTTTTTTATTGAATTTTACCAAGAAGAAAGAATTTTGAAAGAAATGATTTTCAATTTGATTATACATTTTTTTCAACTGATTTTGAGTTGAGAAACCGAAATGGTTAATCCCGTTGGGGATATCTTGATATTACTGCAGTGTGGTCATTTGATAGATATACAGTTTCTTTAGATTTTAATGCCATGTCAATGATACCATTATTATTTTGAGGTTTATGAATAATAAAATAGTTACCAGAAACAAGTTTCAAGTCAACACCATAGTAATTTGAAAACTGAGAAAAATGTTTTAATTCGAGTCAACTGGCCAATTAAACATAATTTAATTTATAATAAAAACATGGGAGTCAAACTATTAATAAAATTCATACATGCCTTATCAAAGTATGTATCAAAAATTACGAATTTTTATTCTTAATTTGATACATATTTATGGAGCGATGTAAAAGAGATGAGTCATCTTAATTGATGATATATCTGGTTTGAATTTACATTATAATTAGGACAGGAGTGAATCTGGATAATTGATTAGCAATTTCTGGAGTAGAATCTTACCTGTTAGATAGGAAAGGCACTTATGAAATCTTACTAACCAATTTTGGAATTTAACCGTCTCTGACAAGACTTCCTTGACGTAGTATAAAGCTGTCATTGTAGCGCAGGTAGCGAGATTGTCAGTATGGCCGACCATCTTTTTTGGGAACTAATAAATATTATTACTGTATTATTGTATATTTTTATTAACTTAATTCATCAACCGTAGAGATTAAAAGATGAACTCTTTTTAAATCTAAGAATTTTGATTTAGTTGAATCTTCTACACTCTTCTTGTTCTGAACATATTTGATCATCCACTACATTATCTTAAGCTGTCAGATGATCGAAGAGTAAACTGAGATAAAAATGATATAACAGGGTTGTAAATTTGCAGTCATCAATCGAATTTTACGTTGTACGACTTGAATACTTGATATTTGAAATTTGATAGCTAATTTCCTAATTCGGTTTATCTCTATCGAAGTTTTGACATTCAAACTGTTTTGTTATATCACTAAATCTTAAATTTGAATAAGAGTGGTAAATGCACAAAATTCATGATGGCAGCGAATTTAACACGGTAAAGTTTAAAATAAAAAGGAGTTGACTAAATTAGTCAAGTTGAGCTTGATCTTGAATGTCACTTGTTAAGTAATGTGTTTGTATATAACTGATAACTTTTGTTTAGCTTTCAATTTTGCAGTCAAAAATCATACAAATTTCTTATATGCAGGTCAGGCGATCTTTTTCTGGTAAGTTTCAATTCGCGGTTATAAATGTGAGCAATACTTTTACTCTTTCCAAACTTGTTCAAAAACGAATTCAATCATTTTGAAACATTAATACACTATTATAAGTTGAACTAGTATTTTTTAATGGAGCAAAATTCTGATAATTTGCAACAAATATAAGAAAATTAATTCCTAAATCAATACCAAATCATAGCATGTCATCAACGCATAACCCAATGATTCAAAATGATGGACCATCTTTATAAATAAAAAGCAAATTTCAGTTGACAATGATTTTTTGACAAGGTGGATTTCAATAGAAATAATCAGAGAATTTTTGCTGATTACGTTAATGTTTTTATTGAAATTTACTACGAAGAAAGAAGTTTGAAAGAAATGATATTCAATTTGATTATACATTGTTTTCAACTGATCTCGAGTTAAGAAATTGAACAACGTTGAATATCTGTATAAGACAGTCTCTATATACACTGGCATTTATTGAGTGTATATTAGAAACGCCCTCATGTAACATGACAACCTAATTTTATAATAATGGATTTGTGTGCTTTGAATCTAAAACTTCTTAGCTCAAAAATTACTTTGGTCAACATTTTGTTTGCATGTTTCAATAATGTTAAATTCAATACATGTTTTATCAAAGTATGTATCAAAAATTATGAAATGTTTTTTGATTTGATGCATATTTATAGAGCGATGTAAAGGAGATGAGTCATCTTAGTTGATGATATATCTGGTTTGAATTTACATTATAATTAGGATAAAAGTGTGTCTTTTAAATCTATTTTCAATTGCTGGGATAGATTATATTTTTAACTAAGGTAAACCCCTTGTAAAATTCATAGAAGACGATCATCTTTGTATTGGGAACCAATAAATGTTATTGCTGTAATATTGTATTTTTATTAATTTAATTCATCAACTGTAGAGATCAAATTTTATAAACTCTATTTAATTTAAAGGATTTGATTCATTTAAATTTTCTACATTTTTCTTGTTTACAATATACTTGATAACCTGTTACATTCTATCAGATAATCGAAGAGTGAACTCAGATAAAAATGAATTGATCAGGCTCTCAATTTGCAATCATCAATCAGAATCTCGTGACTTGAGTACATAATATTAAAACTTTGATAGCTAACCACCAAAATTGGTTTATCTCTACCTTAGTTTTGACATTCGAATTGTTTTGCTATGTCTCTAAATTTTAAATTTGCTTAAGAGTGGTTAATTTATAAAATTCATGATGGCTATGAATTTAACACAGTAAAGAACTCAAAATAAGTGGGGACTGACTAAGCCAGCCAAGTTGAACTTGGTAACAAAATATTATTTTCAAAATGTTATATTTGTAAAGAAATGATAGCTTTTTATCAACTTTCAATTTTGCAGTCAAAAATCATAAAGATTTTTATATGCAGGTTAAGGATTTTTTTTTTTGAAGGTAAATTTCAATTCACGATTATAAATTCATGAAAGAAAAAGTTCGCAATTTCGGACCATGTGATATAACTTTTGCAGGATTCTTCAATGTCACATATATACAGCTTCTCGTTGTTACGCAGATTGTTATAACATTTATAGTTGGATAAAACGAGTTTTACTCCATTCAAATTAATTCAACAAAATTATCAATCTATTAGTGTTCATGGTGAAAATTCTTCTCATGTTTAAGTTAAGTAAATTATGGAAATTGATATTGTTTAATGGTTAAGTTCTGTTTCCATATTTATGTCTTCATCATAAACAGAATCATACTTTGTCTTATGTTTTGATTTTTTGACAACGTGGATTTCAATAGAAATAATCAAAAATTTTTTGCTGATTACATTAATGTTTTTGTTGAATTTCACTAAGAAGAAAGAAGTTTGAAAGAAATGATATTCAATTTGAATTTACATTTTTTTCAACTGATTTCGAATTAAGAAATTGAACGACGTTGAGTCTGAAGAGTAATCTAACCTGTTGAATGGAATACCTCGATTTGTATCGGTATACTTTGAGTGTAGATTAGCACCGCCCTCGTATAGTAGGCCATTAGGTGAGAAAACTTAGTTCCATAGTTGTTTTTACAAATTTTTTTGTTAGCATATTTCAATAGTGCTAAATTCAATACATGTTTTATCAAAGTATGTATCAAAAATTACAAAAATTTAATTTTTGATTTGATACATATTTATGGAGCGATGTAAAAGAGATGAGTCATCTTGATTGATGATACTTCTGGTATGAATTTACATTATGAATAGGGTAAAAGTGACTCGGCTGGTGAATTTGTCGACAATGGCCAGGATTGCATTTACCTTCTATTAAAGGGAAACTACTTATTAAATCCATGGTATGGACGACCATCTTTATTTTGGGAAGTAATAAATGTTAATACTGTATCATTGTATTTTTGTTAACTTAAATTTATTCATTGTAGAGATCAAATTTTATGAACTCTTTCTAACTCTTCGAATTTTTAATACATTCAAATTCAGGTGGAGGTTGTCAAAGGCCTTCCCTGTACCAAAAATCTTATTAAATTAGATTGATGGTTTTTAATGAGAAATTAGAGGTTAAACTGTCGAAAAGTTGTGGCCTGCACCACGTAAATTAATTTGGTTAATTTGGGTCGACTCTTGTATGAACTTGTTGGCGGTTGGGAACACTTAGTAAACGTTTAACTCTGATGGATCATTCAATGAAGGTGGAACTTAGAATAGGAAATGTTTACAGGCATTATCAAATAAGAGTTTGATAATGCTTCGGCGTTTTTTTTCAAGAGTATAAAGTTGTATCTTTATTATATATATATTTAATTAACTATATAAACTACTTACTTTTTCTTACGTTTAATAAATCCATTCAAATCATTAGCTTGAACTCTCTTTTGATTATTTCCATTAGTTTTATTAGCATCTGAAATTTCTTTCTTACCAATAACTTCTCCAAATTTGAAATTTTCATCACCTAATTTTTGAATAAAAAAATTAGGAATTTGATCACTTATTAAATTTTTAATATCATCCATAACGTTATAATGTATACTTTTTAAAATATTTATAAATTGTTTATATTCAGAAATAGTAATAATTGGAAAATCATTTTTAGTTTTCTCAAATTTTTCATATTGATAATTATTAATTTCACAACCAATTAATCCTACACAATCACCAATTCTAAACTCTTGTCTATAACCCAATTCTTCATAAAATTGATCAATTGATACAGAAGAATATCTATTTTCAACAATTAAATGTTCTAAAAATCTTCCCTTTGGATCATCTGGAAATAATGGAATTGTGAAAATTGCAAGTCTCTCTTTTGGTTTATTAAAAATATGACCTATTTCCCAATTTGAATCTGTTGGCAAATTTTCAATAAATTTTAAACTTGATATTGTATCTGATCCTGGGATTATTAGATTTTTAGTTGGCCAATTTAGGGTGATTGATTCTACTATTTTTAACCACCATTTTAATAAGTTTTGACCGTTTATTTTATGTTTTAATTGATTTTTTGATGAATTTGGGAAAATATATTGCGGTGCTGTTTTTGTAAATATGCATAGTTTTAAATTTATAGTTGTAGGTAGTTTCCTCAAGTTTGATGATGTTGATGATTGTTCCGACTTTTTGGTGTTATAATACGGTAGTTGTTTATACCAATGTATATTTTGTTGCAATTTATCGATTAATTTATTTAGTGATATAATATTCTCATTTGTATCGTTAAAACTTTGACTGAATGTTTCATCATTCTCCTTTGATTTCTTATTCACCTTTTTAAGTTTAATATGATAATCACTTACGTTATAATTTATAATAAAATCCATAACTTCTTTAATAACATCACCAACTTTAAAATTTAATTTAATTAATCCAACAGTATCACATTTCGAAACAAATATAAATTGATCAATGTGATCCTCATAGATTTGTAAATATACAAATATTTCAATCCCCAATATTATGATATCATTCTGAATCAAAGTAAAAAAATGACGGACTTTAACCGTATCAGAATCTGATTTTTTTGACAAATGTTGATGAATTGGTGATTTTATATAAATGGGTTTTGTTTGTAAATATAAATATTTATATGATTCATTCCTGGGTAACAAATTTGATAATTTTGATGATAGTATATTTGACATAAATCTTTCAAAATTAGAAACTGTTTAGCACTTGGACTAACTGATTCGATATATTTAGTAGTAATGATTTAAACTTTTGGTTTGTTTAAACGCGCGAATCAAATTATCAAAATCATCAACAAATAGACGCGTTTTTACGCAGTTGAAGTCTAGAACATTTAGTTTAGTAACTTTTAAGTTTACCCAAAACCTTAAGTTAAATGATGAAAGCATTTTGGGTTTACTATTTTTATCTCATTAGAAGTTGAAAAGGACAAGTATTAATATTGAATGGAATGAATTGTACCTTAATTACGATAGGAAATAAGACATCAGAACTTAAATTTGGAATTTAAGATTCCGGGAGTGAATGATCAATAGATTTTGAGAATTAAGGAACAAGTCAAACTTCCTTAATTTTTTTTATTTTAAGAGTTATAAAAGCTTTTTAGATTAAAACTTTAGTTACAAAATTTCAAGGTACTGCTAAATTTGTTTATCTTTCGAAATTTACTAACGAGTGATTGTTTAGTCAAACAAACGTTTTTTACCACACACCGTTTAAATCAATTTTGTGTATATCGTTACATAGCAACAATAAATACTAATGAAGGATATGGCATTATCGAGCGATTACGAATCTTCGTTAGGCTGAACAATAATGTTTATTATTAATTTGGTTGTAAAATTAAAAGAGTTTTTAATATTTGTAGTCTATAAGATTAACTAAATTAGACTAAATTATTAACCAAAAACGGGAATTTTAATATAATTAATCAAAATATAATACAAAATCAAAATATAAATTTTTAATCTAAATTAAAAGTACAATTACTTAAAATTAAAACCCTTAACTCCTATAGAATAATTAAAAGTTAAAAGTTAGTTACCAGTATTAAAACAAAAAAGCTGAGTCGAATAATTAAATAATTTAAACGAAAATAGAATAAACAATTTTTAAAAAACACATCGATTTGAAACCATGTTTTAATATTTTATTGATTACTTCAGAATCATCAAGATAGTAGGGAATATGTTCTATTGAATGGAAAAGAAATCTGGGTCATCTAAACTTTTGATAATGTAGTCCTTACGATAAACAATCTGAGACTTTGAGTATTATCGTTAGTATATTATCAAAGTTTAGTCAATTTAATGGAAAAAATCGCGATCAAATATTTAACTTAATTCGTTTATGAAACCTACTTGGTGAGGTAAAGTTAGAACAGAAATTAAATTATTTTTGAATATTTGAATTGTTACATTAGATTTTTTTTTTTTCTTCCTTGTGTTGCTTCCCCACCATATAAATTATAAAAGTGATATCACTAGTACAATTATTATAATTATATCAGTTTAAAAACATTTGGAGGGAAATTGATCAAATTAAGGCAAGCAATCAAAAGACATGTAGAATAAAAGACGTTGCATTGTTATTGACTTATATCTAATGTATAGAAATTTCAATAATTTTAAACGTCAAAATTCACTTTATTTTAAAACTTTATTGATAATATTAGATTTCATTTTTTTGGCCGATTCTTGCATAATTTTTAATATGATTTCAAAACAAAAATAGAATAAATTTAATATCAATTTGAATACAATTAAATTATTTTCTATTCCATTTTCAACGTTTATTTTTTTAATCTACTTTTTCGTAATAAATTATAATTAACAACTAAATAACATATAAAACGTTGTAATATTCAATATACTACAATCTTTAAATCGTTTATAATAATTGAAAGATCCGGAAACAAATATTTTGAATATGTTTCAATTTTTTTTTTGCCGATTAAAATTTTTCTCTTTTTATAACTTTTTCTCTTTTTTTCGAATATTAATCTATTCTTAATATTTTAATGATCATATTTGCGCATTGAAATGACCCCTGTATAAAATTTTAGTTATCTTTTAGCGTCGATTAATCTCTAAGTTTGAGAATAGAATAATTATCCGAACTATCACTTTCATGATGTTTTCCAATCAATTTTCTGATACATTCATATTGTTACTATTGTTACTTAAATATTCAATATAAAGAGATAAACAATACATTTTATTAGATATTATTATATTTTCATAAATCATATATAATAATTCGTGTATCATTTGTGTATTGTATTGTATTATATTGTTGTATTGTAAATCATTTTTATTGAAATAATAATCTGGGGATAAAATTTTAAAATTTTTATTAATAAAGAAAATAAAATAAAATATAAAATAATAATGTAAAATTAACACTACCCCCCACTATAACTATTTATTATGTGGGATTAGGAATTAGACTGTATATAAGTTATTAACTTTTAACTTTACTACCAAAAATTATAATTATATACAGGTAATCACCTTAATTTTAAGATTAATTAACATTAAAGGCACATAATAAAAATTAAATTAATTATATTATTATATTACTACTAACTAATTAATTAATTAATTAATTGATTATATACACAACTAACACTAACACACAAAAATAATAATAAAATTAAAATCCATTTTTTTCTTTTAAATATTAATATTGATGTATATAATTTCAGAAATTTATATTTTTGACAACCAAAAAAACTAATAATTCATTACATTATCTTATTTATCATCTTATTTATATTCTTATTTAGTTCAGTTCAACTTACTTCAAATCATTTCATTATTCCATAACATAAATATTCAATAACTATAATATTTATTCAAATCTGTCCCTTTTTTTCAAATTTATTTATTATTCCAATATTTCATTTCAACACATTATATAATATTATTTTTTTACAACACACGTATAGATCTATCTTTTTAACAAATTTTTATATTATACAATTCTAGGCAATGAATCATTCAATAGCAAATCCACAACTAGATACAATGCAACAACAGCAACAACAACAATCGGCGTCTTTTGATGAAGAAAATGAATTTGATAATTTATTAGATATTTTTTCATCAGATATGGATTTTGAACAAGCTTATTCAATGTATAATAATTTACAACAATCTAAAATTATTGGATCATTTGAAGAATTAAATAAATTTCAACAATTAAATTCTCAATATATTACTAATATATCATCAAATCAACAACAACAACAACAATCAAATTCTATATCCTCAACAAATAGTCAACAACCACTTCAACAATTACCGGTACAACAATTACCTTCACAACAACAACATAATCTTTCAAGACCAGATGAGTTTGCTCATTCAAGACAACAAATACTAAATGGTCCATCACAATATAGTCAACAGCTCCAACAAAATCAACAAAATCAACAAAATCAACAACAACTACCAGCTCAACAAGAACAACAACAACCACAAGAGGAAGAACAAGATGATGAATATGATCAATTTTTCACAAATACAGAATCAGACGCATTAGAAAGATTTTTAGATAACTTAGCAAATCCAAATTCATCAGCTGATCCTCTACAATTTTATAAATCAAATTCTCCAAATAATTATAATAATCATCATATTCAACCTCATAAAGATCTTGATTTAGATTTTAATTTTGAAATGCATACTATGAAAGTACCTCAACATCTTCAACCACAACATCAACAACAACAACAGCAACAACCAAAACAAGTACATTCGCCACCTTATGAACAACATAAAATGACCACCACTTCAAATTCTCATATGAATAATAATATAACTCAACAACCTTCACCTCCTCATTCATTCCATCGTCAACAATTACCATTACCTCCACAACAACCAACTTTGAATAACCCATTTTTACAAAATTCAAATATTTCACAAGATCAAATTTCACTTAAAAGAGAATTAGCTGAAGCTTTTGCACCAACTGAAATTATAAAACCATCACCACAACCACAACCATCAGCAACAACAACTAAATCACCAAAACAAAATAAAAAATCAACATCACCTAAAACTACTACAAAAGTTAAGTTAGAAACAACTGATAATCAATCTCAATTAATTACACCACCTATATCGGGAGATGAATCTAAAAGAAGACCAATTGATGATGAAATGGATGAAGATGAAATGAGTTCATCAGAAGAGGATAATTCATTAACTTTAGTTAATTCGAATAGTTCATTAGATCAACCACAATTGAAAAAAAGGAGAAGATCATCAAATAAACCATTATTAACATTAGCACAAAAAAGATTAAATCATTCAGCATCAGAACAAAAAAGAAGAATGGCATGTAAATCAGCATATAATAGATGTCTTAATTTAATAATTAATTTGAAAGCTTTTAATGAATTACCAGAACAAGAAATTGAAAGGAAAAGTAAAAGAGCATTAAAAACAAAAGAAGGTTTACCTAATTTATCAAAACATTCTGCATTAGTTAGAATTAGTAATGAAATGATTTTAATTAAAGATTTAAATGAAAAATTAAGAAATTTATTAAATTAGAATTATATTAAAAATGGAGTTTTTATGGTGTTTATTTATTAATGATTGAAATTTAAAATTAAAGAGTGTTTTCAATTCTTGTAGCTTATTTATATATTTAAAATTAATTTAATAAAAAATATGTAATTTATTTTAAATTTTTTAGCTGTAGTAAAGACTTATTAATAAAATTCCAATTTTTGCTTTATCATATCAGAATTTTTCATAAAATAGAATTCGAAAAAAATATATTATTCTACAGATCAAAACAAAAACACGCTAAATCAACCAACTATCACAACGACACAAATAAAGCATTATATAATGGTATCACAACTAACGGATGTCGAGATAATAGAAGATCATGAAGAAGAACAACAAAATTATTCAATAAATAATCTAACAATAGGTAATAAAGATCAAAAATTAAATTTTCAAAAATATAGTAGTCCAATAATTTTACCAAATCAAAATATAAATCAACCTTATCATAATACATTAAACAATTTACGATCTACTTTTAAATATGTTTTTGTAATAAATTGGTTATATAAATTTAGAGGATTTTTAAAATTACAAAGTGAAGTATTTGATGTTGATTTATTTGAATTAGAATTATTAAATTATTTTCCTGAATTAGATTCAAAGATATTATTTATAAATAAATTAAAAATTGCAATAATGAAATATTTGGATTCTAATAAATTACCAATTGAACAATTTGAAATTGTATTTAGATTACATTTCGGAGTATTTACACCATTAAGTGGGAATTCAAAAACAATAAATAAAAATGATGAAAATATAAATCATCAAGATATAGAAGAAATTGAAGAAATTATACAAGATCATGATCATAATGATCACAATTCAAATGATTTACCTAAATTTGATTATTTATTAATTGAAGATAAATTTGAAATTTTATTTATTGCACTTAATTATATTTCAAATAATCATAAATTTAGAAATTGGATTTCAAATCAATCAAACAATAGTCCAGAGTTTTCAAGAATTGATCCTATATTTTCTACAACTACTAAAAAAAACATAAAAGAAGAATATGTCTTGTTGTTTGATAATCAAAGATTATATAAACGAACTATAGAATTTCCTGCATTAGAAGTACCTAAAAAATTAAAAGATTCACCAACTTACCCAAATGAATTTTTTAAATCTAAACAATTTGATATATCTTCTACTATAAAATTTGAAATAATTTATTTAAATCTTTTTGAATTTAATGATTACTTAAACAAAATTAAATATGATAAAAATTTAAAATCAATTTATCAAAAATTATATAAACCATCTATAATTGAATCATTTTATGAAAATGAAATTAAAAAAAGGAAAATTTTTACTAGTAAGAAAAAGGAAATTCAATTGGCTAATTTATTAGCTGTTAGGAAAAGATCATTAAGGTTAAGAGAAAAAGAGAAAACTACAACTTAGCATTATATATAGAGACAGATTTAATTAATAAATGAAATTACAACAAATATTCCCAACTTCCATTTTATTAACTTATATACAAAAAATATTTTCTTCAATCTATAAATTCATCTCACTTAATATTTGACCAGCTAAAGTTTTATAATTCCAAGTATTACCTGAAAGTTTCTTAAATTGAACACCATATAATCCAACTAAAGGAACTTTTACAATATGAATTTCAAATTTTAATGGACTTTTACTTGATTGATTAGCTTGTTTATTACTTGAAGTTGAAGTTGAACGATTATGATGAATTTTATGTTCAATTTTAGAAGATATTAACATATCACTACCTCCTCCATAACCATTAAAAGATTCAGCAGAATTATCAATTTCAAAAGCATCATCAATTCCATTTCCATGATGAATATGTTCATCATCAGGTGAATAATCTTCATCATACATTCCTTTAACCGTTTTAACTGTAGCTGGAGTATTTGGTGGCATTAATGATTGTGAATTATTCTTTTTTCTATATGAATTTAATATAGTATTTCCAAATGATATTTTTCTTCTATGACCTCCTCCAACTGAATTAGATGATCTATGTGGTTTATTTGGTGATAATGGACCATTACCACCAGAATTACTTGAAGTTGCTGTTGTGATATGTAATGAAGGTTGTCTACTTGGAGTTTTAGCACCATCTGGTATACTTTCTGGTTTATCTTCAAACGATAAAGATTTTAAAGTTGATGATTTAGATTTGAAAGCATCACCATATAATTGATTTTCTTCATCTTCGTTTGCATTAGCATACGCATTTAATATTTGATCAGCTTCGTCTTCATCATCATCTTGATCTTCTAATTCTTCAACTTCATCTTCTTGAGGTGGTAAATGTTGTTGTTGTACTGATGGTGTATGAATACATATAAATCCACCTTTAACTTCTTGGAAACGAACACCTAATTTACTTAAAACATTAATAATATTATATCTAATAACTGGTAACGGTTTTGTTGAAGTAGTTTGTACACTGAAAAATCCTTTAAGGAATAATGTTTTACAATGCTCAATTGATGGCATTGTATTTGGTTTAGCTTCATTATATTGTTTCATAATTTCTTCTTCTGTAAGTTGTGGAATTTCTTGTACATCCATATCATCTAATTTAACATCATCAAAGAATGCTAATGTACCATCATTTTGATCACCTATTGAACCACTACCGTGAGGACTATTATCATTTTGATTAGTAGTTGAACTTCTAGTACGTCCATATGCATCTTTTCTAATTTGTCCACCAACTGATTTTGCACGCGCAGTTGGATGCATTTTTTTAGTGGAAGGAACAGTTAAAGTTTGTTGTCTTGTTGGAGTAACGGTTGATGATGAATCTTGGATCAATGTATTTGTTGAAGGATCATAATTAGGTAATGGTGGTAAATATTCAACTGGTATGAATCCATGAGGTTTACTGGTAGAAGGCGTACGTGAATGAGATATTGAAGATTTTTTCTCTTTTTTGATAATGTCTTTTGGAGGTGATAATCGTGAATTCGATTCTTTTTCCTTTGCAGTAACTTTCATACTAATACCACGACGTACCATTGGATCAGCTTTTGAATGTGTTGAACTTTGTGGCAGGATCCTATTACTAAATGAATCTCTATCACTTCCCTTTGGAGATGACGTTCCTTTGGTTTTTTTAGTTGATAATTTCCTTAAAATATTATTAAAACCAACTGGTTGTTGTAAAGTCTTATTTGGATCCAAAGTATCTGGAGTTGTACTTCTTGGACTTTTTGGATGAATTTGTTGTTCTGGTATAGCTAATGGATTTATATTATTATGTGAATTGTTTTCAATAGATGGAGAATTTATAGTTGTATGAGCTTGTTCAGGAATTGATAATACAGGAGTTTGTTTTGGATCTAATGTCTTTGAAGGTGAATCAGCAAATGTCTCAACAATACGAGGTTGAGGAGTTGATGTATCTTTTGAAGAATATTGTCCTAAAATTTCAACTTGAGTAGCAGTACCTGAATTAGGTTGTTGTGGAATCTGAGGTGGTACCTGAGGTGGTGGTTGAGTTGGGGTTGAAATTTGGTTTATAACATTCTGCTCCAATGATGTTGTATCTTCTCTTGGACTTGGTAACATAGCTTGAGCTTGTTGTTGTAATTGTTGTTGTTTTAATTGTTCTTGTTGAGCTAATTGAGCTTTTATAGCATCTTCTTTAGCTTTCTTTCTCTTTCTCATTTCAACCACCAAAAAATAAATTGAAATTAATGGATGAAACCCACCAGTGGGATCAGGTAAAATATTTGAATTTGGTACTGATGCGTATTCTTTACCTTGTCTTGTTATATTATACCAATTTTCACAACACATTTGATATTCAACACTTGTTAATAAAGTTGTTAATTCTTCAGTAATAGTTTGTACTGAACCTAAATCAAATGTTGAAATTTGTTTTATAATCTCAGGATCTAATGGTAAATGTAATGGTTCTCGTTTTGGTAAATAATTCGATATTCTATGATCATATCCTTTATTTAACCATGGATGTGTGACTATTTCATATAATGATGCTCTTTTAGTTGGATCAACAACCAACATTCTTGATAATAATGAAATACATTCTCTTGAAAGAAAATTTGGATATTCAACATTACCCTTTTTAATCTTTTCATGCAATACAGAAACAGATTGATCATCAAATGGAACTTTACCACAAACTAAAACGTATAAAACAACACCAAATGACCATATATCAACTTCTGGTCCAATATAAGGTTTTGCACTTAATAATTCAGGTGCAGCAAAATAAAGTGATCCACAATAAGTTTTTAAAAGATTCTTTGGTGAATATAAATTTGATAAACCAAAATCAATTATTTTAACATCTCCCTTTTCATTAATCATTATATTTTCAATTTTTAAATCTCTATGAACCACATTATTTCTATGACAATAATCTAATGCAGATGCTATACCTCTTGCAAATTTTCTTGCATGTCTTTCTTTTAATGATCCATGTGCAACAATATAATCCAACATTTGTCCCCCTTCAATGTATTCAAATAACATATAATAATGATTTGTCATTGGAACCATTTCATATAATCTACATATAAATGGATGAAATAATAATCTACCAAGAGCTCCTTCACGTATAGTTCTTTTATCTCTTGCTAATTCTTTTTCAAATTCTTTATGTCTTTGAGATGCTTCTTGAGATGTTTGAGGAGGTGGATCATTTGCATGAGCTCTTTGATATAATTTTGCAGCTCTTGGAATAATTTTAACTGCACAAATTTCATGAGTTGAATTATGTTGAGCTAATTTGACTTTACCCATAGATCCTGCTCCAATTGTTTTAACAAAATCCCAATCACCAATGGATTTTCTATGAAATTGTTGTTGAGGTTGTTGTGGAGGCTGAGTTTGTGAAGGTTGTTGTTGTTGTGGTTGTGGTTGAGTTTGCTGCTGCTGAGGTGTATGTTGTTGTTGTTGTTGATGATGATGATGCAGGTGATGATGATGATGATGCTGAGCATGCAGTTGAGAAGATGCAAATAGAGGTTGAGATGACCAATTTTGTTGTTGTTGTTGCGGAGGTGGTGGTTGCTGTCTTGATTGTGGATTAGTATATTGTTGTTGTTGTTGTTGTTGTTGTTGTTGTTGTTGCTGTTGCTGCTGCTGGTGCTGCTGTTGTTGTCTTTGTAATTGGGAAAGTTGATCATTTTGTTGTTGAACTTGAGGATTCTGATTCGAATAATTTTGTTGACTATATTGTTGTTGTTGTTGTTGTTGGTTCTGAATATTTTTGAAAGTTCTACTCAGTCCTGGTGAATAATCATTCATTCTTGGTCCTTGTCTTGAATCATATTGATTACTATTATTATTAATATTATTATTATCATAACTATTATTATTAGTATAATTTTTAGAAACTTGTGATGAACCAACTCCAACTGGAGTAGAAGCAGGTGATGGAATTGATAGTGGTGGTAATAATTGTGAATCTGTTTGTTTTTTCACTCCATTATTATTGGTGGTTGGAGTATTATCTTCAAATGGTTGATCAAATTGATTTAATTCCGATTTTGATTTTATTCCACTTAAACTTCTAAGCATTCTTGGAGTAGCAGCTATCTTAGACGGATTTTCATTCTGCTGTTGTTGTTGATAATGTTGTTGTTGTTGCAGTGCTTTTGGCAATTGTTGATGTTGTTTAATTGATGGTTGATTACCATCCATATTATTATTATGATTATTCTTATGATATTTTTATACAAATATAATTAATTAATATTAATAATCAAAATCAGTTTATCTTAATTCTTTAAAACAATGGGTATGTATATATGAATGAATTGATTGATGAATATTATGATCTTTTAAACCTTGACACAATATGTTATACTAAATTAAATGAATTAATTGATATCTTTATGTAATAAATTAAATTTGATATCCTTAATTTTATTTTTTTTATTATTTTGATTATTTTTTTTTTGGAAGCAAATAAAAAAAATAAAATTTAAATTGAAAAGGTCTATCAAATTAATTGTATCGAAATATAATAATAATAAATAGTAAATGATAATAGAATAAATTATATATTTAATAATAACCAAAAATACAATCTAGTAGAATTAATATAAAAACCTAAGTAAAAAAGTTCATCTATATCTTTAATAAATATTGAAAATTTGTATCAAAAAATGATCAAATAAATGTCTTTTTTCAACTAATCAATGTTTAATAATACTAATATAAATAGAATATGTAGAATGAAAGATAAATAAATTAATAATAATAAATTTAAAGACAAATTAAAGACATTGAAAACGTTTTTTTTTTTACCTTGAATACATTGGGACTACGTTCTTTTATTTTTTGATTTACAAATTGTATGATGATAACAATAAGTTTTTAAATAAGCATTGGATCATCCATGAATGATCTTATTAATAGTTTATTATATTGTCGGCTTTTAAATGTAATTAAAGAAAGTATTATTGCCAATATGTCTCAACTTATTACTTTGATAGAAATATTTTAAACGAATTCTATCGAAATTTCCTTTTTTTAATTAACTATATAGATTATTGATATTAATCTAGAATTAAAACTGATTCTGTTCTACTAGAATTGAATTCGTTAAACCTCTACCTTCTATTTATAATTTAATTTCTAACGTAATAATAATTGGAAATCGAGGGCAAGTTTTATAAAATTGTTGCAACCTTTTTTTTTATTAGAATCGCATGGCTTATATAGATTAATGATTATAAAACAATGTTACAATTAAAATGTAAATTCTATTAGATTATATTATATGAGTGAAAGTTGTTTTTGTTGAATCATTAATATTACAGCCTACAAACTAGAATTTCAAATTAATTTAACTAGAATAATCTAATTGATATTTTAATCATATTCAAATTAATTAATTTTGGTTGTCAAAAAGAATTCAATGTAATAATATTTGATAATATGATAATACTCTCACAAAAAAAATATACTTACATTACTCACAAACAAAAATATAAGGTATTATAATTTATATATAAACATTGAATCAACAACAACTTCACTCAAATTATGTCAGAAGATAACAGTCAATCAATAGAATCACAAGATTTCAATAGAATAGATCCATCCAAATTTTTAAGTAATATAATTGGCTCATCAGTTATTGTAAAATTACATAATGGTATTGAATATAAAGGTGATTTACAAACAATTGATGGTTATATGAATGTTGTTTTAGAAAATGGTAAAGAAATTATAAATGGTAATGTAACAAAAGATTATGGTGATATATTTTTGAGAGGTAATAATGGTATGTAATTTTTAATAATTGAAGTGTATTGGAATTAGAAAATTATTTGAGAACCTATATTAACAAATTTTAATTTAGTATTGTACATTGGTGAGAGTTGATTTGAGAAGATATTAATGAATAAGGCAATTTGGGAAAATCCTCTAAACTCAGATCTATATAACTCCTAGAGTTATCATCCAACTTAATGTTAATGATTTAACAAATTACAAAATCATTTGTCAGTTTTCGTGAAGATACGCTGCTCGAAAGAAAATTGAGTCAAGGCTTCAATTAAATAGATAATGAATGTATATTTAATGATCGTATATTGAAGTTAACTTACTACTCTACTCTTGGTCTACTCTTATACTTGGTTAAAATTTAGTTGTCAAAACTCTGTTAAGTATGTATTTACGGATGTTAAACGCACTAATAAATTCATCAAATGAAAATCATTTTAGAATTTTTTTTGTTAGTGAAAAAAAAAAAATTATCGGCAATATATCAAAACTTAGTTAATAGATATACAAGTACAAGAATAATGTCATTTATTATTAAAAGATCAATATCTACTATCATCCCGCCTAAGATTGCATCTGCTAAAGTATGTTTATATTAGAGAGAAGTAGAATTGAGGAAGGGAAAATTGAAGAAAGAGCATATGAAAAGGATATTAATTGAACAATGAAATCAACAATACGACTATGTAAAGAGATTTCTATACTACGATTATTATTGTCAATTCTTAGCTTTTTTCAAATGAGAAGCAGAACACTAAAAAAGAATTGAATCGTTAGAACTAGACTTAGGGTCTAAATATCAATCAATTAAAATATCATTTATAATCATTATCAAAAGAGATCAATTCATAATCAAATTCAAGACCAAAATGAGATTAAAAGGGTATAATAGACATGAATTATGTTGAATAATTGAAAAAAGAATTTATCATGAACAAATCAGTTTAATGTTATCAAAAAGTTCAAAATTTACAAACAAAATAGAATTATTTTCCAACTTATCAACTTCAATTACTTACTTCGATTCCCGTCTTTTCCTTTCCTTTAAAGATCCAAAATTTGAAACTCAAATACTAACAACTTTTTTTTCTAGAACTTAGGAGGTGGATCAGCAGCTAAAAGAATGGCAGAAGTAGTTAAATTTTATAAAAAATTACCACAAGGTCCAGCATCAACAACAGTTGAAAAATCAACTAATCCTTTAGTAAGATATAGACAAAAATATTTTGATGGTGATAATGCAAGTGGTAAACCTTTAATTCATTTAGCTATTATTGTTATTATTTTTGGTTATACTTTAGAATATGAACATTTAAAACATGCTGGTGAACATTAAAGTTTGTGATTAAATTGGTTAATTAAATATTCAAAAATTTATAAATATATATATAAAGTGTAAATGAATGGTTTAAGGTGTAGGTTCTTTGTCTTATCTCTAGAGCTGTATCATATGCTAAGATAGTTTACTCAGAGTAACCAAAGCCTTCGAAGTGATTACACATTTCATGAATCTAAAAATACAAATATAACTTTTATTAACCTATTTAAAACCTCTAAATTTTTTAACTTACTCAGTCAATGTGCTAATAATAGTAAATAAATCAACCAATTTACCTAATAAATAAATTTCATTATCATTAGAAGGTTCATTTTTTAAAATTTCAGCTTTATATTCATCATTTGAACTAATTAAATATTCTCTTTTCAAAATACTCTTTACTAAATTATCTATCTTTATCATAAATTCTTTTGATTGATTAATTGCTGGTTTATAATTCGGACCCATTGATAATAAAATTGTAATAATTAATTCAAAAATAGGAATGATCAAGTCATTAAAAGATATTGAATTTTGTTTTGTGATATTTTTTTGATTAATTAAATCAGTTAATGATAATGGAGTATTTAAATTTAATGTTATATTAAATTTTTTAAAATTTTCAATTTCATTTAAATATAATGTTAAACCTAAATCTGGATCAATCTTTAGTAAAGATAAATTTTTAAAAACTTGAAATATTTCATTTTGAATCAATTGTAATGAACCTATTGAAGATTGTGCTATTTTATTTAATAAATATAAATTAGCTTTTAAAGATGTTAATTCTATGAAAATTTCATTAAATGAAAAATCTGGATTAATAGTGTTAATTGATGATATTTTTAAAATTTCATCTGTTCTTTTTATTGATCTTATTAATTGTGATATTAAATTTGTTTTAATCATATTATCTAATATATAATCTGTTTTTAATTTATTTCCAATTTTAATTAATGAGTCCAATAAAAATATGGAATTTATTCTTGATAAATCTTCTGAATATAATGCATCATTAGCTAATACTGGGAAGAATTTCTTGTTGATTGATTTTATAAGTTTCAATATTTTAATCGATAATGATTCATTTTTTAATATGAATTTATTTAAAATAGAATATAATTCTGATCTTAACGTAGGTGTTGCATTTGAATTTATGACTGCTGATATACAAGTTTGAAATAATGGTAATAATTGATTAAATATTAATTCAACATCTTCTTCTTTTGTCACATTTTCATTATATAATTCAAATAATGTACCGCATAATGATATTAATTCTTCTGAAAACAATATATCTGTATCGAGATATGATGAAATTTTAGGTAAAATTGAATTAAAAATTTCAACAATTAAATCATTTGAATTTATTTGATTTTCAAAAACTAGTATTTTGATGAGTTGACACCATGAGATCAAAAAATTTAATTGAATCTTTCGAGATTTATTAAGGACTAAATATTTTTGTACAAATTCATGAATCTTATTACCTTCAATCATCATTTCTTCAGTAAATTGTTGCTTGGATTCAATTGTAATTAAATTTGAACTTTGACATAATATTTTGAATATGTTTTGTAAAATTGTAAAATTTATTGGATCACCAGATACATTGTCCAAGATTAAATTTATATTAAATGATTGATTTAAATAATCATATTTCTCAATTTCAAAATTTTTAAAATTAAAATTTAAAACATCTAGAAAATCTAATATTTTGGTTGATTGATTGGGTAATTGATTCTTGTTGTCTATTAATAATTTAGTGTAATATTCTTTTTGAACGATTGACTGGGTATTATAAAATTCTAATGCTATTAATCTTAATGCTAATTCTCTTTGATTGATGAATGATAAAAATGCTTCAATACTAGGTATGGAATTTATGAAATTATTTTCTGCATTTATACTTAAATCACCATTAAATTCTTGACCACACCAAATAGTTAATAAATCTAATTTTGGTTGGAAATTTATCAAGTTCTCTATTGAATCATTATGATTACGTATTTTTACCATTGTGATATATGAAGATATTGGATTCGTACATAATTTAATGATTATTTCTAGAATTAATGATGATAATTTTGCAGGTCCAACATCAATGATATGACGATTACCATTACTATAATCCAATTCTGAAATCAAATTTAAACTAATATTCAATGTATTCAACAAAACTTCCAACAAGGTATTATGTTCTTCATCATTTAAATATAAAGTATTTGCTTTAATTTCATAACCTAATAAAAAGTGTCCAACACTTATCTTTTTATCCAATAAACTTGAAATAAATTTTAGTATTTGAAATTTAACATCTAAATTATCTTCAACTTCTTCAAATTTATCAATAAACGCAAATTTAATTTTTTCACTTTCATCTATATTTTGGAAAGTTGTTAATAATCTATCATTATTTAATAATGGATCTGCTTCTGTTTTAGTTGACTTGAAATGACTTGAATTACATAGTTTTGATAATATCTTTAATGATGTGGTGGATATTTCATTATCACAGCTTACAAATAATGCAATATGAACTATTGATGATAACTGAAATAAGAATACGTCAAAAAAGGTACTAACCCTTTGAGATCCAAGTATTTTGGAATGATAAATGTTGTCAAAAATGGTTGTCGGTTGACTTAATACTAAATTCATTGAAGTATTTACTCCAGGTATTGAATTTCTGTGAATTGGTTGTTGTACAATGTTCTTGTTTTTCAATATTGGCAATAATGATGTTTTGTATGTGCTTTGTATATCAAGTAACAAATCAAAAGTAACTAATGCTTTCTTAACTAAGTCTGCCTTTTTTTGCGATGAATTTATAGTATCAACTCCATACTTAACGATTTCAAATAATGCCTTGTTAGCATTATTATCAAAAAAGTAAGTAACAACAGCTAATGAATGATGCAATTGAACGAAAACTTCATAATTTATTGGACAACCAGGTATTAAAGAATCAAATAAATTTTCAAACCCATTAAAATTCCTAATAACTTTTAAACTTGTGTCACTTAAAAATTTCCAATTTATTTCTGTTAAAGAATCAACACAAAATTCCAAAATTAAATCTTGTAATGATATTCTATTATCTTCACTTGTTAAGTATTGAGATTTACTAAATACGTCCACCAAAATGAATTCAATATACGGTCCAATTCCCAATTGATTATTTGGTCTATATCCAAATCCTAAATCACATGGATATGATAAAGTATATTTATCAAATGCATTTCCATCACCCATAGGTCTCAATAGTTTTTTAACAACATCAATGAAATTAAAAACTTCACTATAATGAGTTAAATTATTCGAAAAAACTTCAATTGTACCCAATGGTTTTTTTCTAATATATTTCCTTCTATCCATTTGTCTACCAAATAAATCTTTTGATTGTGTTGTATTTATATGTAATCCATGATACATCCAACGATCAATTAATCTCCAGATTTCATATCTAATAAAAGTATCATCATCAACAAAATTTCCTAATAATCTAAACATTAGGTTTAATAATATACATCTTGAATCATCACTTACGTGAATTTCTGGTAAATTTACGTAATTTGTTGAAGTTGATGAATTATTTGAATTTAAATCAACTTGTAAAATATTACCACCATTAATTAAATTATCAAATTCAAAGAAATTTCTAATTATTGGTATAAATCTTTGATAAGCTATATTTTTAATTTCTTTTGCTCTTTCTGAATTTGATAAATTTTGCATTATTGATGAAATTAAATGTATAAATCCAGATATTGATACTATTGAATCTTCAGCTAATTCAATTATTATTTTATCTTGTCCATTATCTTCTATATCTAATGATTTATTTGCAAAAACTAACTCATGTTTCTTTTGATATACTGACAATTGATCATTTAAATCGTATTCAAAATTTGAGATTAATGAATCAATATAATAATTTAATGAATCAAAAATTGAGTCAATTGATATTTTGGAAAAATCATTCTTTTTAATGTTATTACTATTACTTATCAAGATATCCCAAATCTTGGTTGATATGTTTGATCCACCAGATGTCAACGATGCAAGTAACACACTGAAACTAGCAGCAATTAAAGGTGATGTGTTATTACTTAAACCCCAAGATAAAAATCCAATAACTTCATTACTTATAGATTCATTTGACCAAAAAGCAGAACATAAATCAGATCTATCATTATAAGTATATGCAAATGCTAAATAAAATCTTTCCAAGTCAGCTCTTTGAGCAATTTCATCAAATTCCAGTATTGGTTCATTTATTTTATGATCATCACTTTCGCTTTCTTCTGAAACTTCTTCATTTTTGTCGTTAAACGATAATGCAAAATCTTCTTCACTATCTCGAAGTGATGTTAATATTAATGCTGCATTTGATATAAAAGTACTGAAAAATTTTTGTAAATAAGGTGAAATTAATGAATTATTTAGTTCTGGATTTAAAGTTAAAAATGAGACATCAGTTAATTTTGAAATATTTGACATTCCGAATCTTGTTCTTTCTAAATTTTTTAATTCTTCATTACCAGGATATATAAATTTTGATGGGATTAGCCTTGGTATTGTCTTTTGTAATAATGATCTAAAATCATAAGTTTCTGATAATTCAAAAATTTGTTGAGTTTTGAGGGTGGCTGTTTCAGCACAATAATTCAATAATATTTCCATTACTCCTATACTAATAAATTGTTCCATATATTTTATTATATTTTCTTGAAAATCATATTTTGATGAATTTTGTTCTTTACACCACGGTATAAATTCAGTTAAAAAGATGAAATTGGACAAAATTTCAAACCCATGTAGTTGAGATTTAGATAAGTCAAAAGTTTCCAGTTTTGCTTCTATGGGTATAGGTTTTGTTATAGTTGTATATAATTCATCAATAACTTTCGTGGTTTTAGCTTTCTCATAAAAATTTAATACGAATGGCAAGAAATGAACTACTAATATATCATCATTTGATAATGATTTGGCTAAATTCATAATTTTCTCATAATTTTGAACAGCACCAATTTTTTTAAAATATTGATCACTTAATCCGTATAATACTAAACCTAATAGATCATGACATTTAAATAATTGTATTCTTGCATAATTGATTCCATTTATGAAAACTAAATTGTCTATATCCCCAGTGACTTTTTGTTTATCAATTAGATCATTTAGAACGCTAATTAATTTATAAATTTTTCCAAAACTTTCTATTGAGTTATTAAATATTGTAATTGGATCTTGCGTGAGTAGTTTATTAGATATCAAATACCCCAATATATTTAAAATATATTCGAATCTTGTAAAGTATGATAATTTAGCACTATCTTGTAATGAAGTTCCCTTTTTATAACTTACATCTTCACTATAAAATAATAATTCGGCAGTATTTATTTCATCTAAATCCAACTCTATTGCCAAAATCCCACTTAATTCAATAAATGATTCATTTAATTGAACTTCATCTCCATTTTGGAATTTCACAACTGAATTTAATTTAGTTCTTGATTCTTGATTTGGTTGTGGAGTTTTTAAAACTTGTAAAAGATCATTTTGTATTGGTTCAAAATTTATTGTTGCTATATCCACATCTGGTTGAAATTTTAATGCATTATATATCTCTGCAAAGACTTCAGGGTTCCATTGATAGGACATTCTCCTGGTGCTATGAGATGAAGTTGTTGCTGCTTTTTGCGTTTGTTTACTTAAATATTTTTGGTTTCAAATTTTATTTTTTTTCTTTCTCTTTTAAGTTTTTGATGTCAAAACATACAGAGTAAAAGTTAAGAGATTATTTGTTTTTACAACCAATATTGTATGAATAAACTTTGTATCGAATAAATAATATATATAAAAAAACTAAAACTAAAATCATGACATTTGAACATGTAAACCATCATATAAACTCATAGTTAAATGAGATAATTTTTTTGGTGGATATTCAGTATTTGGTTCTAAAGATAAATTTGGAAATTCTTGAATTAATCTTGTTGTAACATAACTTGCTTCAGTTAAAGCAAATTGTTGACCTAAACAAATTCTTGGTCCTCCATTGAAAGGAACAAATGCCCAACCTAATTTTCTAGTTTCTGGTTCAAACCATCTTTCTGGTCTAAATTCATTTGCATCTTTACCATAATATTCTTCTGATCTATGAGTTGCATAAACTGAATAAGTAACTGTAGTATTTTTACGAATTAAAACCGGTGATAAACCATCTGGACCACCTCCACGAGGTAATGTAGTATCTCTAATAGCTAATCTAAAATTTTGAGGAACTGATGGATATAATCTTAAACATTCATTTAAAACAGCTTTTAAATATTCACAATTTTTTAAACTTTCAAAAGTAATTTCTTCAATTAATGCATCTTTTCCAGAACCAAATCTTGTATAAATTTCTTCTTTTAATTTTGATAAAACTTTTGGATTTCTTGATAATTCAAAAAATACAAATGACAACAAACCAGCTGTTGTATCTCTACCAGCAACTAAAATATTTAATAATTGATCTTGTAAAACTTTTGGATCTCTTGTTTGTTTAGCTAATTCATATAAAAAAGTATAACCTTCTTGTTGATCCAATTCTTCAGGACTTAAACTTAAAGCCTTTTTAACATAATGTTGAGCAAATGTATGAACAACTTTAACACAATTTTGAAATTTTTTTGGATTTAATAACCAATAAAATTTTTGTAAAACAGCTCTTGAAGCTAAATAATCTTGTGCAACATTAAAAGAATTTGCAAATTCCTTTTTACCAGCAAAATCATTGATTTGCATACCAATAGATTCATCTCTTAATGATTCAACAGATTCTCCAAATAAAAATTCAGTTGCTGAATCAACAGTTAATCTAAAAAATAATTCTTGTAATTCAAAATATTTACCTTCATTTTTACGTACATGTTTAAATAAGACTTGCATATGAGGTTCCAACATTTTAACATGAGATATTTGTTCTCTTGCAAATTGTGGTCTTAACATTTGTCTTGAATCTTTCCAACCTTCTTTATCTAATGTAAATATTCCATTACCTAATAAAGGTAAAAATTGTGGATGTCTTAAACCTAAACTAAAATCATTAAATTGAGTTGCTAATATTGCTTTAATATTTTCTGGATCTTTTGTTGCAAATAATTTTGTTGAAAATATTTTAAATGAAAAAGTTGGAGCTTCTGGATGTTTTAAATTTGGATATCTTTCACTTGCAAAATCAGTTAATAATCCATCTTTCTTTTTTTGAATCATTGTAAATGGTAATCTAAACCCATAATATCCATCAGTTTCTGCATTTAATTCAGGTTTTGCCCCTAATTTATTAATCAAATATCTTTCATAAATTGAATCAAATATTTTATAAATTATAAAAAGTATAGGTATAGATATATACCATTTAGTGATATAATCTAATATAGTAGTTGAATCTAAATTTATTGATGACATTTTTGTAAAATTAAATTATTTTGATCTGAAAAATTAATGTGTAGTTTAAAAATTATGTTAAGTTAAAGAATTGAAATTATGTTATATCAATAAATAAATAAATAGTTTGATAAGTTTGAAATTTAAAGTGGTAAAATATTCAAGTAATATTAAGTGTATATAATTTTTGTTATAAGAATATAATTATCAAAATGAATAGATAAAGTATTATAAATTTATACTTTTAAACTAAATCAATGATTAATAATTTTAAGGAATAATAATTGAAGATAAACCTTGAATAAATAATGATATATAAACAATTCTAAAAAAAGAAAGTTTCAAGTAAGAAATTTAAAATGATGATAATGTATTTATATAGACTATATTGTTAAAATATAAAAAGGTTGGATAAAAGATTATTTCATGTACAATTAATTAAATTTTTATTTCTCACATGAATTATTATATTGACATACAATTGAATATTTATCTATTAACAGTAAATAGATAATAATAATAATAAAGGAGTTTAGAAGTTTAAACTTAAACAATACTATTAATAATTATATCATTGACATTTAAAAGATAGTTTATTGTTAATTTAAGTAATATTAATAAGTTCTGTACTACTTAATGATGAATTAAAAGATTATGATTATATTATTCATTCCCCATTTTTAATTTTAGTATTAGAATAAAAAAAATATTGATGTTTTTAACTCCATAGATTATTACACAATATTAAATTTGTAATTATCATAATAATAATAATTATTAAGTTGGACGGATAATTTCATTAAGGATTATTTATCAATTTTCATAAAACTATTTTTACATGAATTTAAATATTTATCCATCAGGGTTTAATTTAATTTCTACCCCACATCATCCCTAATCATTTTACTATTATTGATATAATTAATTGAATTAACTGAAAGGATGAATTGAAATTTGTAAATTTGACTCATTAATTTACTATAATAATATAAAGATATCAATACTTTATAAAGTCAATAATATTATATTACTGACAAGTTTTCAATCTTACTTTATACTATAAAAATTATTATATAGATAATAGTAAACTAACTAATAATCAAAATTTAATATTATTGTAAGTATAATTTTTATATATGTGAAAAAAAAAAAAGTCCGTAAAATTACACAAATATACTTTTAACAGTCAAAAAAATTCTGCAGATCCTTACATTAACTGCGTTAATTAACTCCTATTTTTGTATTATATTATAAATCTTGTTAAGTATGTACAAGATAATATATAGTAGATCAAATGAATAGTTTTCTCGATCTGTCAATATTTCGATAATCTCTAAACTAAATTTTGAAGCATTGCGTAAAAATAAAAGGATTTTGTTTTATCTTAACTAGACCAAAAGGAATATAATTAGAAAAACGAAACTAATGGTACCTTTGTATTTCACTAGATAGTTCTCTCGCAAAGTTTGTCTGAAGCTCAGGCTTCAAGAGTAACAATAAAACATTTAATTATAAAGGGTAGTATGGAACTAAAATTTACAAAGTCCGATAACTTCCAAATTTGAAATAAAGTAATGTCATGAGATTGTCATCATTATTTAAATCGCAATAATCAATAACTTTTTTCTTGTATTTGCTCTCAAACTTATAACATTATCAAACGTTTGATGAAGGGAAAATGTATCAAATTGATATTTTTTTTTTTGATCTCTGTGTATTTTATAAATCATTTTCCGTTCTTTCGTTTCATATTTTATTTTTCATTTATTATCCGCATTGTTGAATATTTTCAATTTAACTCACTTTAGAATAACATCTTAACAATTCATATGAAATTGAGTAACACTTTTAAGTTGAAACAGACAGTACTACAATCTTTATTGTGATGTAATTAACAACAATAACTCCTTTTTTTTATTTTCTTGACTTCATCAAGTATTCTCAAGTTTTCTCAAACTTGAAATTTCACTCGTGGGTTCAATCTCTCTTTATTTTCAGACTTGAAAAAATTAATATTTTAGATCATGGCTCAAATTAAATCTACGAACTTTTTTTTTAGTAGAGATCTCTACTTCTCATATAACTTTAAAACTAGAAAGAGGCTTTGAAGAAAACTTTTGGTCTTTAATTAATTAGATATGTTTGTAAATTTAACAAGCCTATGCTTGCGATTAGTACGGATGCAAAATTTCAAAGTTTTAGTTTTGATTCAAATGTGAAATTTTAAGAATTTTATTCAAATTTAATTATTAATAATGTGATATCTGATTTACATGTAAATTCAGGGCTAATTTTCAAAATCAAGCCTTTCATAAATTTGATTGTTTTAACATGATTAGCTCAATTTAAATAAAAATTTTACATAAATTTTGCAGCAAATTTTTTGTCTTAAAAAATTAAACTTGAAATTACGATCAAACGGCTTTCAATCTTTCACCTTAGTCTACTTAATCATATAATTCACCGATTGTGAATTCACCGAATGTGAAGTTATAGTGTTAATGAACTGAGCACAAGATTAAGCTCAGCAGTTATCAAATATCATCCAAAGATAATGAAAACAATTAAAACTTTGCTATATACACTATACAAAACAATAAAGACGCTAGATTTAGTTTATACGTCCTCAGAATCCTTTCCTTCCCATCCAATTTTCAAACAAAATCAAATTTTATTAGAAGTATTAAGCGGGATCGAAATGGTCATTAATTTAGTATTTTCATATACTAGTCAGAAATTTTATTGAAAATTAGTAAACTTTTATTATTATTCTGTATATCGTAATTTTTTCCCATGTAATTTTTGCAATTTGATTTTGTGTACTTAGCAGCTATTTACTACTAAATAATATGTCTATTTTTGAAACATTAAAAATATTAATCAACTTCAATACTTTATGAGTTTACTAGTAAATCCCGAAGATAGATATTGACCTTCAATAATAACTTCCACCTAAATTCTGACTTAAGATTTGAGATGATTGCGTCGATTTTTTTATCAAAACTAGTACATAGAACATTTTAACAAAACTTTTGAAGTCAATGAATAAAACGGAACTACAATATTATAATTTTATTATGCAAAAAGAATCGAATTGAATGTATTATGAACTTATAAATAAACTATATATGAAAGAATCAAAATTGTTAAATTATACTTATATTTATATTTCTGGAGCAGCTTTTTTAACTTCAGCTGAAGCTTGATCAGCATATTTTTTGAAATTTTCAGTGAATTTTTTACCTAATGATTTAATTTCTTGTTCAAAAGCATCAACTCCTTGAGTCCAAGCTTTAGTTGGATTCAAAATTTCTGATGGAACACCTGGACATGATTTTGGTACATGTAAATTGAAAGTTGGGAAAGTTTCATATTCAACTTTTGATAATTCACCTGAATGAATAGCATCTAAGATAGCTCTAGTGTATTTTAATGAACATCTTTTACCACCTCTTGCAGCTGAAGCACCAACCCAACCAGTATTTAATAACCAAGCATTAGCTTTATGTTGTGTAATTTTATCTGATAATTGTTGAGCATATTTCATTGGATGTAAAACTAAAAATGGTTGACCAAAACATGCTGAAAAAGTAGCTTGTGGTTCAGTAACACCTTCCTCAGTACCAGCCATTTTGGAAGTATAACCTGAAATAAAATGATACATAACTTGAGCATTAGTTAATTTTGAAACTGGTGGTAAAACACCTGAAGCATCACAAGTTAATAAAATAATATTAGTTGGATGAGTATCAGCTAAACATGGAATTTTTGCTGATGGAATGAAATCAATTGGATAAGCACATCTAGTATTTTCAGTAATAGCTGAATCATTATAATCAACAACTTTAGTTTCTGGATTATATACAACATTTTCTAAAATTGAACCGAATTTAATTGAATTGAAAATTTCTGGTTCTTTTTCTTGTGATAAATCTAAACATTTAGCATAACAACCACCTTCAATGTTGAAAACACCATTATTTGACCAACAATGTTCATCATCACCAATTAATTGTCTATTTGGATCAGCTGATAAAGTGGTTTTACCAGTACCCGATAAACCAAAGAATAAAGTAACATCACCTTTTTGAACACCTTGATTACATGATGAATGTAAAGTTAAAACTTGATGTTTAATTGGCATCAAATAAAACATAACTGTGAAAATACCTTTTTTCATTTCACCAGCATATTCAGTACCTAATATAACCATTTCCATATCTTTGAAATTGATTTCAACTGAAGTTGATGAAGTCATACCTTTAGTATGAACATTAGCTGGGAATTGACCTGCATTATAAATAGTAAAATCTGGTTCTCCAAAATTAGCTAATTCTTCTTCAGTTGGTCTAATCAACATATTGGTCATAAATAAAGCATGATAAGCTCTTGCACAAATAATTCTAACTTTAATTCTATATCTTGGATCCCAACCAGCATAAGCATCAACAACAAATAATTTTTCTCTAGTTCTTAAATAATCTAAAGCTCTTGATCTTGAAATTTTCCAAGTTAATTCATCAACTTGTTTATTAACTGGTCCCCACCAAATATTTTGAGTTGAGGTTTCTTCATCAACAATTCTTTTATCACTTGGTGATCTACCAGTTTTTTTACCTGAATAAGCCATTAAAGCACCAGTTGAAGAAATAGTAGTACCTTTTTCTAATAAACCATCTTCATATAAAGTTGGTGGTGGAGCATTATGTCTAATTATAGTATCAGTAGCTAAACTTAATTTTTTAACTAAAGGATCTTGAGTAGTTTTAATTGATGAATGATTATCAAAATTTATAGTTGATTCAACAGCAGATGGTGACATTTTTGTAGTAATTTAATTTTAATTTGAATTGAATTGAAATAAATTGAAGTCAAAGAATAAAAAATAGAAAGTAAAAAAAAAGTTCTTCTAAAAAATTATGAATCTTGAGAATGAAGGAAATATCATTAATTATTTATATTAAATTTATAATTCTAAATAATTTTTGCTTTTCATTTAATTCTTTTCATATGCTTTAAATTTCTTACACAAAATAAAAATCTATATTAAAAAAAAATCACCTAACATTAACGATCTTTTTCTTTTCTTTTAGTTTTAGCTTTACCTTGATCTACATATTAAGAATTGCATATATTTGAATTTAATTAATAAGTTAAAGTCAGCTGTTATTCAATTGACAAAGACCAATTGATTGATCATTATCTTGATCTCTAAAGTTTTTGAAATGAAATGTTCATGATAATTCAACAGTTTTTAATTAACATAGTTGTAATAAATTAAAAAAATGTAAATTTTAAAAATAAAAAACGAAAAAAAAAAATAAAAAAAAAATAAAAAATATGGGGTAAAAATAATTACATAATCCGATAGAGGCCGATGAAAATTTTTTGTTACACCAAAATGGTTTTCAAACAAGATCAATCTTGAAGTATTTTTTTTTGTTTTAAATGTTTTAATTAGATAAGAGCAGCTTCCACTGATAAAGGGTAAGAGTAGATAACATTGACAATGAGTGTGCAATTGAGCAAAGATAAAAGTAGTGACCTAACAATCAAATTTAATTGTTGATAAACTTGCTTACTTGTGATAATGTGATTTCAAAATCAATTGATTTTATTCAGTAAAATACCGCAGGGCTTTCATTGATAAAAAGTCTTGTTATTTCAATTTTATGACGTTGTTCCTCCAAATAATCGTATTGTTTTCTCGAGAAAAAGCATTTTAATAAAACTACCGAGCTCAAATAATCGCGATGAATTTTCCGACTTCATCCGTTTACAATAGAAAAATTAATTTAATTGAATTTAGTTTGTGAAATATGTACAACAACATCTGCTTAATATTTCTAATTAATTTAGAAACAAGCCCTTTTAATTTTAATTTTAGTTGAAGAATTCGCTCTGAATTAATATTGCAAGTAATAATGTATGTACATATATTATATGAAAAAAGAGGAGAAGAATTAAAATTTTAACATATTATAATTTATATGAAATTCTCCGGGAAAAGACCAAAATGAATTAAAATTATTTTGACATATTTCCTTTCAAATTCAACAAAATTGATTTATTATAATAAATAGGAGTAATAGTTAATTTGGAAAGAGAAATTGATTTTTAAAAGAAATTGTTACATTAAATTAACCCTTCCGTTGATACATATTCAAACTTTTTTAAATTCTAAATATAAAAGAAATATGATAATATAATTTATTATGATCTTATGATCTTTAAAAATTCAATTTAATCTATTTCCATTACTCCATTTCATAGCTACCAATTGACACACTAATAAGCTCGAAAAATTTTACGAAAATTAATTTTGCCGGTTTAGCAAGTAAATGGATGAATGGAACTTTTAATATTTGTAACACAAAAAACATAACAAATTTGATATTGTGTAATGGAAAAACTTATATCCAAATCTAGAACTTTTGATTTTGCAACCAAAACAATATTAATTAACTACGAAACTTTAATTTTCTTAAACGAAAAAAAACGTTTTAAAAATAGATCTGAAACAACAAAAGGAATATTTTCCTGATCGGAACAATTTGGAATAATATTCTTTTTCATCATCAAAAGCATTTAGTTAAATTAAAATTTCTATTTAAAAATAAAAGTATGTATATAAAATATATATTAATTCATTTAAGTGATATTAGTTTTTGATATATAACGATTATACTATTTATTATTTAATTAATCAGTTTTTCCGATATATTTTTCTTACTATAATAATCATAATATTTTTTCCATTTCTTAAATCCAATATCTTCAATACTTTTTATTGATTTATCATTTGGTACATCAATCATTATACATGAATTTATATCATTAATATTTTTTCCATTATTTTGATTATTTGATGAATTTGAACTTTTTAACATTGTTATTGCACTACAAACTAATCCATATTTAAAAATATCAATTAAATTTGAATAACTTTCATCTACAACTGGAGCTAATATACCACCAATTAATGGTAAATTTTGAATTGAAATGTTTTTATCATTATGATCATTTATTTTAATTAAGTTTTCTTCATTACATTGATCAATAAATGGAAAATATTTTGATATTTGTGATTTATTTGTAAATAATATGATACTTCCAATAATATTTTGAGTATTTGGTTCTAATGCAATGATTATTTTAACTTCATTTGGAATTTTATTATTTAATGTTAAATTTGAATAATAATGTTTTAAATTATTTTTGGATAATAATTTATTCAATTGATTTAAATCATTACATATATCAAATCTGACTCCAACAATCATTAATTCTTTTAATATTCTTTGTGGTACTTGCCAATCTGTTAAATCTAATTTCATTATATATTTTTCTTGAGATTTATTATTACCATTGAAATCCCAACCTAGATTTTGAAAAAATTTATCTGAATTTAAATTTTTATTGCCTGGAAACATTATTAATGGAAATGATGATCCTAATCGTATTTCAGTACAATGTTTTTCTTTACTTAAATATCTTATGGCTCTAGCCGTCAAATTTTTACCTATACTTTGAAATCTTTTTGACTTTTCAACTATTATATATATGATGTGACCAATATTTTCTTCAACCCACGTTAGTATAACTCCATATAGTATATTTAATGATGAATTTCTCACAACAAAAAGTTTTTGATTTGAAGTATTTAATAATCCACTCAACCTTTTGAAAAATTGTTCATCATTATATCTTATTGAATCATATATTTCATCAATTTCTGTATTATCTTTCCACAAATTAATTAAACTTTGAAAATCTCTTGACATATCAAATTCATCTACTAGCCACCTTCTTTTAATTTGTTGTTTTGAAATTGATATTTGTGACTTATGCTTTTGTTGTTCTTCATCTAATTTTTGCTTCTTATGTACAAAGTTTTTTTGTTCCTCTCCTGGTATACAACCTTCAGGTTCAAAATCTCCCATTAATAATCCAACTACTTTATTCAACGCATTACTTGTATAATCATAACAACAGATATATGCACTTCCCATATTTTTATCATAAAAGAAATCATAAGGTGACAGTGTCGCCACTATTATCAATGGTTTTTTGAGTTGTGACAATCCATCTCTTCTATTAAATGACGTTGGAGTTGCACCACATAGTATCGAAACATACTTGACAATTCCATTTTGATACATATTTCTCGAAACTTCACTTGTAAATACTATTACGATTTTAGATTTTTCGATTAGTGATTCATGTAGTGGTGTCAAACCATTTGCAGTATATGTGGTATGTAGCACAACATATTTCTTATCTTTATTTAATTTATGATTCGATAAGTATTCTCCAAAACATTGAAAGACTTCTTCACCAGTGAATAGCCTTTCCGTTGCTGCATTTTTCTTTCTTGGTGTTACAGGTATCAATAAGGGACTTAGCACCAAGATCGATTCAACTTCGTCAGATTTAAAATGCTTTGGTAATGGTAGTAAGTTATTGTAATCTCGTACTAATGTGATTGATTTTTGATAAGCTAAAGCTGATAATTGTTGATGCTTTTGCCATTGGTCAGGGAATTCGGATTTAAATAATGTTGGGTATTGTTTTGCTGATATAGATCCATTAGGAAAAATTTCTTTCCAAGTTGGTAACCTTTTTTGTAAATTTTCAATTCTTTCTAGACTTGCCATTACTGTTTCTTCATCTAAATTACCATTTCTCAACCCCTTTTTAATTGAATCAATTGCTTCATTCTGTAAATTTAAATCATGACAGACCATAACTAAATCACAGCCTGCATTTATTGACAAAATTACACCTTGACCTAAACCAATAGAATGATATAATGCCTCCATTTCCAAACATTCACTTATTACAAACCCCTTGAACTTTAGGTCACCTCGTAGTAAATTAGTCAAAATTATAGGTGACAAACATGCATGAGTTTCATCAGGACTTATGTTTGGAACGGCACAACCAGCGGCACTTACACCATCAAGTACATTTGCTTCTATTAACGTTTGAAATGGTAATGCATTAAATTGTTTTAGTTGAATCAAAGATTCTCCAATGACTGGTAACTCCAAAAAAGAATCAACAGTAGCATTACCCATTCCTGGAAAATGTTTCCCCACTGTATATAATCCACCATCTCTTAGCCCTTTCGCACACATTAATCCATATTTTTGTACACTTTCCAAAGTTGTACCAAAACTCCTAACTCCAAGTAATTGATGTGATAACTTTGTGACAATATCTAAAACTGGTCCCAATATTATGCTGAACCCAATTTTCTTTAATTCTATAGCTATAGCTTTTGAAATTTCATAAACTAATTGAGGATCTCCTGTTGCAGCCAAAGCCATAGCACTAGGATATTGAGTTAAAAACTCCGGATCAAATAATGAATTCATTATCCCACCTTCTTCATCAATCGCAAACATTAAAGGATATTTATATCTACCTTCAGTAAACGCAATATATTGTAAATCTTTTATTAATTTTGACATTTGTTCAACATTTATTGCATTCTTTCTTGATAATATCATTGATGAAATTTTTTGTTCAACAATTAAATGATAAGCTTGTGAAGTAACTTTTGTTCCTTGAAAACCACCACATAGTAGTTGACCTGCTCTATTCTCCATTTTTATTATTTATTGATTAGAATATATAATTCGATCTCAATGATTGGATCGGAGTTCGTTAATTGAAAATATATTACTTGTGTTTTGATTAAAAGAATTAAAATAAATAATGTTTTAGTTTTAGTTTCACAAAAATAAAAATATTTTGCAGTATACTTCATTTATGAACTTCACATAAAATTACAAACGAAAACCAATGAGAAATGTTACTAAAAAAACTTAGCTCGTTTTGTTTTAGGTGACTTTTTGCTAGCACTGTAAAGGAGGCTTATTTTGCAGAGTTTTGAATTTAACCTGGAGGTTAAATTTAACCATAATCATTATGGATAACTCTCCACAAAATTCAATGTCATATTTTTTTAAAACGTGACATAATATTCAGTAATACATTCCAGTGAAATGTTACATAAAGCTGGTCGTAGTGGGAAGCTGATAGCCCTATCGATAAATGATAAAATTATCACGCAATGGATGGCTTCTAATTATAATATTAAACAAATTACGTAAAGCTTGTATTCTCAGAAGACATTTGAAATTTTAATATAGAAATAAAGACAAAAAATATTATGTGTAACAAAAACGTCTCATGTTTCAAGATCGATTTATCTAGTTATACTCGCTATATCTACCAAGATCATTGCTATATTACATAAATGTATTGCTCTGAATGGGGATACCTGAATTATGGGATATTTTACGTCCTGCATTTGATGAAAGAATATCATTAGATGAACTAGTGGATCAGCATATTAAAAAATACAATCGTACGCCACGCGTAGCATTAGATGCTTACTTATTTATTTTCCAATCAAACCATAGTTCTATACCCGAAGAAGAAAATGGGAGAATAATGATACAAAATTTTATGTCGAAAATATTAGCATTAATAGGATTAAATATATCTGTGATGGTTGTATTTGATGGTAAGTTAAAACCAGATAAATCAGGAAATGGAGTAGCATTAGATTATGATTCAGAATTATCAAAATTAAAACTAGCAGAAGATGAAAATTTCTCAGAAAATAATCCATTTGTTGAAGAGATTAAAAGAGTTTTGAAAAGTCAAAAAATCGAATTTGTTCAAGCAGTAGGAGAAGGTGAAGCTCAATGTGCTCATATTCAAAGATTAGGAATTGTTGATTATGTTATTACTAATGATGTTGATGCCTTAGTGTTTGGAGCTACGAAATTATTGAGAAACTACAGTAGATTTCTTGAAGATATTGGACCTTCATCACCAGTAAAAAATGGAACCTTGAAACAAAAATATTATGTTACACCAGTTGATATGAATCATGTTGAAGAGAAATTAGGTTTAACAAGAGAGAGATTGGTGTTTTTGGCTTCATTAAGAGGAGGTGATTATTCTTCTGGTGTCGCAAGAGTAGGTAAAGTCAATGCTAAAAACTTAGCTTTATGTGGTACTCCTTTTGCTATGTTTCACAATAGGCAAATTACTAAAATAGAATTAAAAGAAGCAAAGAAAAGACCCGCTAATAGTTTATTTGAAGAACCTCCAGATTTTGCTAAGGAATTGCAAGAATGTTTTGTTAGAAAAGATGTTGTTTCAATATGTCCTTGGAATTATATAAAAGATAGAACAATCAGAAAAATTGCATTCAATAATCTATTACTTAAATTAAATCAACAAATCACACCACCGAACAGACACATTTTCGGAAGAAATTTGAATATAGAAGAATTAAAATTTGATGAGTATTACGTGTTACTATATTTTTTTCCGTTTGTCAACAAACATCTTCCAATATTCCTTCCCGATACCCTAAGTTTTGGAGAGCTTCAATCGGATTTTAAAGTTGATATTACTAGCGAAGAAGAAATGTTGAGAAAAAGTGAAATTGAAAATATTAAATTCGATGAAGATACTTCGTTCATTGTGTTAGGTCTGAATGAATTATATATTCCAGATAATTATGAATTCAATATAAAATATATCATTTTCAAATTAGTAACAATTAGTGATATTGTTAAAATAACAAATGATAAAATTGAAAAAGATGTGGAATTGATGATGTTAAAATATTCGAAAGAAGAAGTTACAAAGCTATATCCAAAATCAACTGAATCAAGGAGAGCTTTTGATTCACCAGAAAAAACTTCAGACGGTGAAAGCTACATATGGGTACCTAGATCATTACTAAATCTTCATTGTCCAGAAAAATTAGTAGCTTATGACAAAGCAAAAGAGGCTCATGAATATTATAAAAAACATGGTGTTTCAAGACAAGCATCAACTTTAGATTCGTTATTAAATTCTCCAATTAAAAGAACTGCTTCAGCTAAGAATTCACCAAATAAAAAATTAAAAATAATAGATTTAGACCCAGTTGCAAATCCAGTCTTCACTTCAGCTCAATTACCCAAAAACTCACCAACAAAGTCTCCTACAAAATTATCTCCTACAAAGAATAGAAAATCAAAAAAAGTAGTTCTTGCTGCTGGTCAGCAAACTTTATCAAATTTTTTCAAACCACATCAAAAACTCCATGAAAATAATCCATTTCTTGAACCTGATGTTTAATTTCCAATATTTCATGTAAATAGAAGGTTATATTTAATATAAATAAATTTCCTCGATCCTGTTGTCTCTTAATATATTGTAAATGTAAATGACGTATTTTAGCAGCAAAATATACTTTTAAAGATCTTGTGAGTGAAAAATTATTTTATACAAAAATATATTTGCAACAGCAAAACTATCCTCTAGAATCAATTTATAGACCATCTTATGTCAGAAACGGATGAGTTTGAATTTACAGGTAATCTAGGTTACAATGGTTTAGATGTTGCATTAAATTACTTTACAAATCAGCCAGATATTTCAACTATTTCCAACTCAGACTTAACAGTTATATTCAAATCATTAACCAAGAAAGATCCCAAAACAAAAGAAAAAGCACTTAATGATTTATTATCATTCGTTAATGAACAGAATTTGAATGAGTTTGACGAAGCGACTCTAGACTGTTGGGTACAATTATACCCTAAAGTAGCCATAGATAATTCGAAAACAGTCAGATCACTAACTCATCAAATCCAAGGTAATTTGCTAAAGACAATAGGTAGTAAAACTTATGGGAGATATTTAAAAACAACTATGCCCATCTGGGTAATGGGAATTTTTGACCCAGATAAGACTGTATCAAGCACTGCAAGCTCAGTTTTATTAGAGAATTTTCAAGGTGATTCTACAAAGACTGAAAAAATTTGGAATATTTTTGAAGATCAAATTTTAAACCTAATAGGATCTGTTACAATTGTTGAAACTCCTGAAACTTTATCTGACCCAAGGTATACAACTGAATCTGAAATACAGATCAAATATGATCGTGTGTTGAATATTGCATTACAAATTTTAATGAAGATCATTAATAATAAATCTGAAAAGTCTGAGGAAATGAGTACAATTTTAAAGCTGGACTCAATTTGGGATAGTTTGACTACAAGTGTTGAAGAGGAGACTATGAATTTGGGATTGTTCAAAACTATACTACTGCTAATTTTAAGATTATTCAATGACGAGGAAGACTCACTAAATATTAAATCCTTATACAAAACTATTTCAAAGTCAGTTCTAAAAATCAAATTTAACAAACTGAAACCTTCATTGATATATTCATTCGTAATAATACCGTTTTGGCAAGTGCTAATACAACTTACAAGATTTGGTTCCATAAACAAATTGAAGAAATCATTTTGGGATTTTAGTAGTAAGAGTCAACTGAGATTACATCATTATTTTGAACTCGGCCCTTGTGATCTGGATCCGAAATACTATGAAGTTGTTTATTCTTTATTTAATGAATTTAAAAGTAATGGAATTGCAGTTGTTGAATTTTCAAATGAGAAGGATTCTGACTTTTATGTAAATACTTTACTTGGCCAATATGACAAAATTCGTGATAAATTCAAACCAGCTTGTTTGACCTGCATTTTTAAATTTATAACCTTTTTTGACTCAGATGAATTACTGACGGTGATTGATAAGGTTTTGAATAACTTATCCAAAATAAGGATCTCATCAGTTAAGAAAGATATATTGATTCAATTTTCAAAGTTTGACGATTCTGACAAATTATCACAAGCATTTGAAAAATTGAATGATAAAATACAGGAGGCTCCCGATAAATATAGTGAACCATATCTTCATACATACTTTGACATTTTGAAGACGATGGGATTTGAAGAAAACATCGATGATATAGTTGATATAATATTGACAAATTTTGAGAATGAGGAAATAGAGAAGTCGATTGCTTCAAATTATGTTTTAGCATATTTGGAAATAATGAAGAAGCCAGCACCAAGAATGAAAGATTTCATAGATCAAATTGCCATTCAACCAAACGATGAAGTACTGTTCAGAATAATAAAAATACTTAATCAAGAGAACTTGTTAGACTCAAAAGACTTGCTGCATATAATAAATACTGCATTTTCACAATTATCCATCAACAATGACAAAGACTCATTTATATCCAAAACTGAAGTTGAAATTAATAAAGAGAAGTATCCCGAGATCTATAGGTATGTTCAAGAAAATTCAGCAAATGTTCTTGATGTGTCATATTTGAAGAAAATTATAAACTCCAAGGATAAAGAAGCTTTAAATACAATTATATCGAATCTTGATTCAGAATCTACGAAGGTTTTTGTAGCTACTATGACTGACCACTTACCACTTATCATTGACTTAAATTTAAATAAAATCCTTCAGTATGCTTGGAACAATGTTGATGATCTGAAACCATTTTTAAATTCATTACAATATGAAGAAATTTATTTGTCATCTTTGATGCAATATTTGAAATCTCGTGATATGCAAACAAATATGAATACTTTAGTCAATTTTGTCAAAGATGGACCTATGCCAACAGAATTATTTCATCAAACTTTCACGTCACTCATAAATCCTTTGAAACCATCTGAAATCGCAATATCCAATGCATTAGAACTGTCAATTTATATTTGTGATTATCAGTCAGGGCAATTTGAAGAGACAGTACTAGTGTTAACCAAGTTTTTATGTACCTTAGATAGCTCTGATGAGAAATTACAAACTTTGCTTTCAATAGGAAAAGAATATGTTGATGATTATGTCTTCACACAAAAATTGGATCCAAGTATTGAAGAAAAATTACAAGAGATATCAAGTCCGTCATTGGAAATACTGATTAGTACAATAATAGATAGCAAGCATCCCCTCATTGAATTAGCTAATGGTAATGATTTAATGTCATTTTATGCTGCCCGAGTTTTAACTAAGCATATTGAGAATGTTGCAGAAGAAATGAGTTTGTCACAGTTTGAACTGATCAACATTAATTATAATCAATTAGTTAAGACTCCAATGAAATTTGTTGCTGTAATAAATGGATTTAAAATTTTTTTGGCTTCAAAATCATTAGATCGTATAAGAAATTATGTATTTTCAGAGATATTAGTTGTTAGAAAAGAGGATGATATCTTAAATTTGGGTTTGAAATGGATCACTTTAATCATTCCGTTCATGTCGGGTGAATCAACCGAATCTGATTTATTCCCAGCTGTCAAATTATCAATGGTTTTAAAACAATTGGACAACTGGTTTGATTCTTCAATTTCATATGATGCAGAGTTTATTGATATGAGAATTCAAGTACTTAGATTTTTAGCATTACTTCCAAAATTTCAAACAAATTTATCGGATACTTATTACGATTTGGTTAATAAAATTTTAAGTGATAATTTTGATATGGCTGACGATAGAATTGATTTGAAATACTATACTTTAAAAGCCTATACTACTTTGTTCAACCAGCTAGACAATTTAGAGAATCAAGATGAGAGGTTGTTAGAACTATTCACACAATCTACAAATTCAAATAGTCGTATGTCGTTTGTTGTTAAACAAGTTTTAAAAAGAGCTTTGATACAGTCAAAATTTTCAATAAAGACATTAAAATCAAATCAAGATCAAATTTTCAAATTATTTTCACAAACTCCATCAATTACTATACAAAGATTATGTACTTACTATTCATCTCAGATATATCAACTTGAAAAAGATGATTTTGTTGTGGAATACCAATTGTCAAAAGACGGAAACAAGAAAGCAGAATTACCATCAGATTTAATGAATATAATTGTACAATTTAAAGTTGAAGAAAATTTTGATCTTTCCAGATATATGTTAGCGTGGTTCATGGTATCAAGCTTTTTTAAAGATGTCACCATATCTATTCGTAATGATTATTTGAACCAAATATTAGAGCATAAAGATTTTCAAACATTACTTTATTTCATATTCGAGCATCTTGATATTGACAATAAATTCATGTCTTTAACAACATTTGAAGAATACTCAAGTTACAATATCCTTGAAACAGACAATAATGAGTTTGAATATAACCTAAAATTAATTGGCTTAAACATCTACTATAAATTTTTAAGGTACGCTGGATTTCAAGTACAAATGTGGTACAAAGAGATAAGAGATAAACAGCTTCAAATGAAAATTGAAAAATTAACTTCACAATATTTGTCACCACCTATCATAAATGAAGTTTTAGAACTGGTCAATAATGAAAAAGATAAGTTACAAGGTAAAGAAGATAATCTTACTATAAAAGTTAATTTTGTATCTAATGAAATTAAAACTACATATATAGTAGATGAACAAAAATTAGAAATGGTTATCAAAATTCCAGTATTGTATCCATTGGAAAATGTCACATTTGACGGACCATCAAGATTTGGTGTGAAAGAAAACAGATGGAAAGCATGGTTATTAGCATCCCAAAAAATTATATCATTACAAAACGGTTCAATAATAGATTCAATTGAATTATTCTGTAAGAACATTAATTTGCATTTTTCTGGATTTGAAGATTGTGCTATATGTTATTCAATTTTACATCAAGATTTATCATTACCTTCCAAAACTTGTCAAACTTGTAGTAATAAATTTCATGCTGCTTGTTTATATAAATGGTTTAAAAGTTCAGGGAATTCTACATGTCCTTTATGTCGTTCAGCTTTCAATTTTAAGTATAGAAATTAGAAAATTAGTAGTAGTATGAATATATATATATGTATTCAATTTTATTTAACGCTTTGCCCAAGGTGCAGCAGTCATCGGTATATTCAGACTTGGTTTTGAAACTTTCTTTGTAGGTTTATTCGGCTCTTCTGGCTGATTTACCGGTAATGCTTTTCCCTGTTGATCTTTCCACAGATATAAAATCTCACCAAACCAAAAATGTTGAATAACAGGAAACTTACCCAAAACTTCAGCCAGATACATCTTTAGTAGTCCCTGTCTAACTTTGTTCCACAGTAAGACAGACATATGAATATCATAAATAATTGGACTATGTTCATTAAACGGACCAGTTTTTAATTTAAAAATAAACGCTATTGCATTGATGTAAAAATTAGATAATTTGTAAGTGGTGATAACTTGTTTCAGTAACGCTTGTCTTACTGACGGAGCAGATGGATCATTAACAAACTGAGAAGCTCCCAAAATATATATCAAATGGAAATGATCATCTAATCCCCAAACTCCATGAGATCCAGCTGGTTCTAAATTATATGTAAGAATTAAATTACGAACTAAATCGTAGTATTTCGCAAATAACACTAAAACTTCTTCACCTGATGGATTTTTTATTATATCATTGTTTTTTATCAAAGCTCCTATGAATGCTAGATATGATAATTCATGACCAGTTCCGTAATCTAATCTCATTTTGGAACCAAATGAATTAGCTAGATAATATTTAATCTCAGTAATGAATTGACTTTTGTTTTGTAGTTTAAGATCTAATTTTTCTAGTAGAGTTGGTAGGGTTTTATCCGCTTTCTCATACCATGTTCTATATGCTATATTACCAAACCTTGTTGGACCTTCAACTGGTGGTGTTTCATTTATAAGTTTATTTAGTTCGTCTAATAAGTTTATTATCACTTCCACATTATTCTGATACCTTGTATTGTTTTGTGTATCCAGTGTTGGTGGCGGTAGTGGAGTTTCAGTTATTGCTTGTTTGTCTCTAGTTACAATTTCTTTACTCAATACATTTGGTGGTACTTTAACTCCTTGTATCAACAATATTATTTGATTCAAAGATTGTTGTAGTTCTTTATATGCTAATGATTTTTCAAAATTTTTCAAATCTGATACTTCAAAAATTTTCTTACTTGGTTCTGACCCTTGTTCACTCATTTTAGTTCCAGCATTATTTCTGCTTGGTGTGTTTGTTTGTTTAAAAAAGTGATATTTTGAGAATTATTTTGCAATTCTCAATGCTACCATAATTTTATTAAGCGGTTTTTTTAGTTTCTCTAGTCTAGAAAGATTTAGAATGAGAAATAGAATTTATAGAAATTTTTAACCCTATAATAAATATGTACATTAATCATTAACTTCGTGAAGTTCTACTTTCAAGACTTTTATAAAAATTATGAACTTCTTTAGAAACTCTAATTTTATCAGCTCTAAAATGTTTTATTTGTAAACAATTTTTACTAACAGCTCTTGATATAGCAACATATGCATGACCATTTTCAAATATTCTGTCTAAGTCAACTTTTAATCTTGGTATAGTTTGACCTTGTGCTTTATGTATGGACATTGCCCATGATAAAATTATTGGTAACTGGACCCTAGTGGGGTTACCAGTTGAACTTTTTTCTTTACCTAATTCTATGACAAATTCTTCTCTATCAACTATCCTTGCTTCATCCATGCCATTTAATTTGTATAGGACAACTGGTAACATTTCTGCTTTTGTTTCTTGAGCAGTGTATTGAATTAACAGCTCAAATTTTGATTTTCTTTCATTTGGTATGGAATCAAAGATTTCTTTTTCTTTGGTACTCCATTCTTGTACAATTCCTATTCTTGAACTTAACAATCTTATTTCTTTCAACAGTTGGGGATCTAAACTTTCAAATGAACCATACAAATCCATCAATTTAAAAAATAAATTTTTAGTTATGAAAAATAAAATTGTGCCTAGTGTTCCATTAGCTAATGTATCGCCCATATTTTTTATATTCATTACTTGTGCACCTTCCTTTAAGATTAAATTGTCTTCACATAATAGTTGAGCATAATGATTTTTATACATTTCACCAACATGACTGTCAACTGCGGTATATTCATAAACTTTAGATTCAAGCTTTTGTAGTCTTCCATTATTAGCTTGTAAAACTTCTTTTCTCGTTGGAAATAGCTGCGTAGGTTCCAATCCATCATCATATTTAACTGCTTCGGTTAGTTTTTTAAATTTATCAATCATGTCTGGTTGATTTCTGACATCTCCAGTTCTTAATGCATTCAACATTTCAATTAGTTCATTGTCACCCTTTTGTCTAAAGATTTGTTTTAATACTATATTTTCTTGTATAACTAGATTCCAAGATTTAGCTTGAAAGCAGAATTTAATTTCTTTACCTCTTGTTGAAACTGGTGGTAGTTGATAAAAGTCTCCACAACATACAATTTGTATACCACCAAATGGTGCGCTATTACCTCTTACTTTTCTTGCTGTTTCTTCCAATTTATCAAAAAAGTGACCATCAACCATTGAAATTTCATCAATTATTAAAACTTTCATCATTGTCCATTTTCTTAATTTTCCAGGATTTCTTTGAATCATTTTGGCTAATTCATTTGGATTTTGTAAACCAAGACCAATTTCCAAGTATCTAAAAATTGTTTGACCATTAATATTACAAGCAGCCATACCAGTTGGGGCCGTAACACCAATATTATCTCTATAAATAGCTTTCAATCTTTTAACTAATGCTCTTAATACAACTGATTTACCTGTACCTGCACTACCAGTATAAAATACATTCAATTTTTTATTTACAACTTTGTCAATAATTTCCATTTGTTCAGGACTTAAGTCATCATTATTTATGATTTCAACTTGAGTTTGTTGTATACTTGATTGTTTTAATATCTTTTTAGCTTTACCACCATCAAATGAATCTAATATATCAGTATTTGATCTTTTTAAAGCAGGTGGAATAATCTCATGATTTAGCTCGTTAGCACTTTTTTCATTTAAAATTGAATTTGATCTTGATAATTGAGAATTCATTGGTGAATTAAATTTTGATTGTAATACATTATATAATTTTGGATCTCTAAAATTTGTCATTTCCGAACTTGTATCAGGATCTATTGAAATATCATGACCATCTCCAAATCCTTCATCATCATCATCATCATTATCTGTAGTAGTACTTAGTATTGAACTCTGTCTCTTAGCTGAAGGAATTCTATTAAATAAATTATCTGGTTGCTTTTTGCTAAAACTATTACTAAAATTATTATTATTATTATTTTTACATATATAAAAATCTGATATTGCTCTTTGACCAACTGGTAATTTAATTGAAGTCTTTTTCTTACTCATAAAGATATTGGATAATTAAATGGTTGATATAGAATATATCAAATTAATGAATATTTGGTTTTAAATTTGGTTGTAAAAAAATAAGTTATTGATGTATAGAACGCGTCATATAATAAATAATACTTATTATTATTTTTGTTTCAAATATTAATATACTTAACACGTGATATTTCACGTGATTGCAGTATTATAATGATAAACTTTTAAAAGATTTGATAATGAAATAAAACATGTATTATATTGCTATAATACAAAAATACTATTGAAGATCTAATGTGTATAAGAAATATTGTATAGAAAAGTATATTTATAAAGTGTAGAAGAGGTAGGCAAGATTATATAAACTAATTTAGTATATAATTCACGTGATAATAAATTAGAAAATAAAAACACAGCTACCAGATTGTTTACATTTTGATCTTTGTAACTAAAGAGAAGATTTGAATTTTAATATTTTGAATAATTCTTGATCTGTAAAATAACTACTTTACAACCAAACTTAAATATCATCACTAAGAACTATAACTCAATACGTTATAAAGATTGAATAGATCAAATCAACAAGCTGCTAATAAATGTATACACTACTACTACTAATCATCTAGTTTTTGTTTTGATTATAAACTATTCAATCAATGACGAAATCTAATTTACAGACTTTGCATGTGACAACAAAGCATAGTCAAAATGGAAATATAAACTCATTTGAAATTATAACCAATAAAAAAAATAATATACCACCGAAAGAAATAGTTGATGAATTATTTGATAAATTGTTGTCAATTCGAAACTTTTCAAAAGAAGCAAGAACTACTTTACTACATCAATCAATTGAAAGGAAATGGGAATTAATATTAAGAGAATATGAAAGTAATAGCTCATTTGATATAAGTATTAAATCTCAACATTTTGGTGGTTATAATTTGCATCAAAACATTGGAGATTATAATTTAAAAGAAAGACATAGTTCTAAAGATAATTTACCTGAATGGTTTATATCTCAAATAATGGCAAATAAATTTAAATTAAAAGACTTAAAGTATTTAGAAAAAAAATTGGAACACAGAGTCTCAATGAAAGAGCTGAAATATAATTGGATTAAAAAATTTATATCACTTCAAGGAGATGCAGTTGTTACTACTGTTTTGTCAAAAATTGGTAAAAAAAGTATAAAATCAAATGAAGAATTTGACATGGAATATTTACTTATAAAATGTATAAGGCATATCATAGAATTTAAAAAAAATGAAAATTTAGATTCAAATCTTACTAAATCCGAAAAATCAATTATACAATCATTAATAAGATCCATTAGATCTCCTAGAATTTCTACTAGAATTTTAGTTACTGAAGTGTTAATCAATTTATTGTATTCTTCTTTTAAAGAAGAAAATTTCTTGCATATTTTCTCAGATGAAACAAACAAATTTGTTACTTGGTTTGACGTAGTTAAATCATCATTATCAAAAAGCTGGTCTATTAGAAATGATGATTCATATTTGGCAAATTACTTCACGTTCACTTTAATTCTAATAAATAGTATCACACAATGTGCAGGCTCATTGAGGAAAAGATTACTAATTCGTCAAGATTTTATGGAGGCTGGTATTGATTATATATTTGGGAAAGCTAAAAACTTTAAAGATAATAGAATTAGAGATGAAATAGAGAAATACATTTTAAAAGAGACTGAGGATCAGAAACTTTTGAAAAAGAAAGAGAATAAAAGCTTACCAAAATTACCTAGCGATTTTTCTAGTGATGAATCTTTAGATTCTTGTTTGACAGAAATTGAAGATTGTGATGTTGATACTACAGAACTTACTAAAGGAATGGGGATTATATTGAAGAAGCTTTCCAGCCAAGAACACAAGTCTGGTGACATAGAGAAAATTGTAATACTTTTGGAATCTATGTTGAATCAAGTTACTTCGAATGAACAATTGTCAAATGTATCAATCCAAAGACTTATTGATGGATTAGCTTCAGAAGTTACTGCTAGGAAAGCTATTAGTGAGTGTCAACAATTACAAAAAGAGATCAAATTGCTAAAAGAATCAAATGAACTACTAAAGCAAACTGCTCAAGTGAAGGATTTAGAGGAACGTCAAAATTTAATTAAACAACAAGCAGACAAGTTGGAGTCACAAAAGAAACAAATTCATCTACTACAAAGACAAATCAAAAGATTTGAGGAAGACAAAAATCGTAAACCACGTCATAAAATCATCAATCATTCATTTGAAGATCTTGCTGAGACTAGAAATAATTCACCAAAGAAAATAACTGATGAATTAAACTCAATATTAGGTCATGCTACTTTTGCTGATTTAAAAGATTCAAATTCTACATCATTTCATAGAGGTCCACCGACTCCACCAGGTTTATCATCAAAGAAATTTTCAAGGTCTGATCTCACACTGCCACCTAAAGCTCCAAATTTTGACAAGTTCTATGAAACAAATGATTCAAGAGAATCAATACCAACAAGTTCATCACCAGTTCAACCAAGTGTTGCTCCACTTCCACCTCCACCTCCACCTCCAATCCTCCCACCTTTCCTCAATAGTATACAAAGTTCTTCACCACGACCTCCACCAATACCTGATTTTTTAAAAGATATCGAGAAAAAAGCAGCTCCACCTCCACCATTACCGGATTTTTTGAGAATATCACCATCTACACCAGCTCCACCTCCCCCACTACCTACCTTTTTGAAAAAAATACCTGATTCAAATAATTCAACTCCACCAGCACCACCTCCTCCACCTCCTTTACCAGCACAACCACAAAAGATAACAATAAAACCTGAAACTGATTCCAACAACTCCTTTAATTCAGAAAATAACGATACCGACACTACTTTACTCTCAATTAGACCAAAAGTCAAACTTAAACAGATTCATTGGAACAAGATTAATAATATTAATGACACTTTTTGGGAGGATATTGATAACACTACCATATCTGATAAGCTTGTTCAACAGGGAGTTTTTGATGATGTTGAAAAAATCTTTGCTGCTTCTACTCCTTCTATCAAAAAATCAGTCGAAGTTAAAGAAACTGCAAATCCAAATAAAATTAGCTTCTTATCTAGAGATTTGGCACAACAATTTGGTATCAATTTGCATATGTTTGCTGGTATACCAGAAGAGAAGTTAATACTTAAAATACTTAGATGTAACTCAGATATTTTGGAGAATATTAGTGTTGTCGAATTTTTCAATAATGATGCCTTAATTGAGATAAGTGAGGGCTTACTGAAAAATTTATCACCATATTCAAGTGACCCTAGATCTAAAGACAAACCAAGTAAAGATCTAAATGAATTAGAAAGAGCAGATAGATTGTTTTTAGAATTATGTTATAATCTAAGACATTACTGGAGAGCTAGATCCAAAGCTTTACTATTTGCACAAACTTATCAAAAAGACTATCAAGACTTAAATATGAGATTAAACCTAATCGATCTTGGTATTGATTGTCTCAAAAATTCTGAAAATTTCAGAAATGTATTAAGTGTCATAAAATTAGTTGGAAATTTCATGAATGGTGCATCAAAACAAGCTTTGGGATTTAAATTAGATACATTACAAAGATTAAAATTTATGAAAGATGAACTGAATTCAATGAGTTTTTTACATTATTTGGAAAAAGTTATAAGACAATCTTTTTCGGAATATTCATCATTTGTTGATGAAATTAGTGAATTAAATGAAATTCAAAATATTTCAACTGAACAATTAGAGTTAGATTGTCAAGAAATGGAGAAAAATTTGAAGATTATTAATAATGCAATGGAAAATGGCAAATTAAGTAGGGAAAAAGATCTACATCCATCTGATAGAATTAGAGAAACAATAAAATCTTCAATTGATGATGCAAATGATAAAATTCAATCATTACAAAAGCACTTAGAGGAAACAATGTCAGATCTAAAATCAATTATGGCGTTTTTTGGTGAAGATATCAATGATGGTGGGTCAACAAGAGATAGCTTTTTTTCAAAAGTAATGATATTTGTCACAGAATATAAAAAAGCTCATGTTGAAAATATTCAAAAGGAGGAAGAACAAAAAGTTTATGAAATTAGAAAAAAGAAAATTGAAGATGTATTAGCAAAAGATTTACAAGATGAAACAAAATTTGTTGATAGTGTTGAAGAAGCATCAGCTGTAATTGATATCTTGTTAGAAAAGCTAAGAACAGCTTCACACAAGAAGGAAAGAAGAACCAAGTTAAATAAATTAGATACCATAGTGACCACAACAATTGATTTAGATTCGCCAACAACTCCAAATCTAGATATTGAATATGAGAGTGTTAATAACCTCAAAAGAAGACTAACAAATAGGAAAAAGAATAATAAAGATATGATAAAAACTGATCAAATTAATAATATACTGCGGGCTCAAGTAATGTTACATCAGTTAAGAAATGGACCAAATGATGGTTCAAATGATAATTCTAATAATGGTTCAAATGATGATATTGAAAACAAAGAAAACCTTGGACATAATTTTAAAAGTGTATAGAAAACAATTTAGATAATATATAATGATTAATATAGTAGTTGTTGATTAATGAGTCTATCAATGTATCAAATGTAAAAAAAAAAATTCGAAGTTTTTGTGTAATTTTTCACATTTTTCAAAATTTCTTAAAGTCATTTTAATAAAAAAAAAAAATAATAATAATTTTATTTATGTATGTGAATCATTGAATCATCTTTATAAAAAACTAATGTTAAAATATGGAAGTAGACTGAGTCAAAGACTCATAAACTCAACCAAACTAATTTTGCAAAGACAATTCACCCAATCACACCTTCTATCAAATGCTACCATTGTTTCAGGTACTAAATTAGCTAGTAAAATACGAAATCAAATAGCAGAAAAAGTAGTAAATTATAATAAAGAACATTTTCAAATAGAACAACCAGAAAAATTCAAATTTAAACCAAGTTTATCTATAGTTCAAGTTGGTTCAAGACCAGATTCTTCAGCTTATGTGAGATCAAAATTGAAAGCAGCAGCAAAATCAAATATAAATTCAAATTTAATAAAATTGGATGAAAATATAAGTCAAGATGATTTAATTGATGAGATTGAAAAATTAAATAAGGATCCAAAAGTTCATGCTATATTGATACAATTACCTTTACCTAAACATATAGATGAAACTTTAATTACAAACTCTGTGATTACTGAAAAAGACGTTGATGGATTTGATCATTATAACGTTGGTCAATTATCTAAAAGAGGTGGAGTTCCAATATTCAAACCATGTACACCAAATGGGATAATAGAATTAATAAAGACTACTGGAATTAATTTAAGAGGTAAAAATGCAGTTGTATTGGGAAGATCAGATATCGTTGGTACTCCAGTTGCAACAATGTTAAGAAATGAAGATTGTACAGTTACTACATGTCATCGTCACACCAAAAATTTACCAGAAGTTGTTACTGGTGCAGATATTGTGATTGCAGCAGTGGGAATCCCAGAATATGTAAAAGCATCTTGGATTAAAGACGGTGCGATTGTCATTGATGTTGGTATTAACTATAAAAAGGATCCCCATGCTAAAAATGGTCAGAAATTAGTTGGTGATGTAGCATATGAAGAAGTTGCCAAAAAGGCAGGTTTTATAACGCCTGTTCCAGGTGGTGTTGGTCCAATGACTGTAGCAATGTTGTGTTCAAACGTGTATGATGCAGCAGTTTTACACCAACAAAAAGCTCATGAACATCAATTTAAACCACTTCCATTAGATTTACAAACTCCAGTTCCATCAGATATAGATATTTCAAGAGCCCAAAAACCAAAAGTCATAATTAAAATTGCAAAAGAATTAGGATTACTTGACAAGGAATTAGAACCATTTGGTCATTTTAAAGCAAAAGTTGATACAAAAGCCGTTATCGAAAGATTAGATGAACAAGTTGAAGGTTCTGCTGATGATAAAGGATATTTTGTTTTGGTTGCTGGTATTACTCCAACTCCATTAGGAGAAGGAAAATCAACTACGACTATGGGTTTGGCACAAGCTTTAGGCGCTCAATTAGGTTATAATTCTATAGCAAATGTTAGACAACCATCAATGGGACCAACATTTGGTGTAAAAGGTGGAGCTGCTGGTGGTGGATATGCTCAGGTTATACCAATGGATGAATTTAATATGCATTTAACTGGTGATATACACGCTATTTCAGCAGCTCAAAACTTGTTATGTGCTGCTGTTGATACAAGAATGTTTCATGAAGCTACTTCGAAATCTATCGGTGGGTTTTATAAGAGATTAGTACCTTCTAAAAAGGGTAAAAGAACATTTACAAAATCAATGTTGAAAAGATTAGAGAAATTAGGTATATCAAAGACAAATCCTGATGATTTAACCCCTGAAGAAATTGAAAAATTCGCTAAATTAGATATTGATCCAGAATCAATAACAATCAAGAGAGTTGTCGATTGTAATGATAGATTTGTTAGAGAAATCACTATAGGTCAAGGTAAAAATGAAAGAGGATTTACAAGAAAAACAGGTATGGATATTACTGTAGCAAGTGAATTAATGGCCATATTAGCACTTTCTAACTCCCTCAAAGACTTAAGAGAAAGAGTTGGTAAAGTTGTAATTGGTACTCAAAATGGTACAGGTGAAGCCATAACTGCGGAAGATATTGGAGTTGCAGGTGCTATCACAGCCTTATTAAAAGATGCCATAAAACCAAATTTAATGCAAACGGTTGAAGGTACTCCTGTCTTTGTACATGCTGGTCCATTTGCTAATATATCAATTGGTGCTTCATCAGTAGTTGCAGATAAAGTAGCATTAAAATTAACATCTCCATCAAATCCTATAAATAATGGTCATGCCGGGTTTGTTATAACTGAAGCAGGATTTGATTTTACAATGGGTGGTGAACGTTTTTTCAATATTAAATGTAGATCGTCGGGATTAAAACCAGATACTGTTGTATTAGTTGCAACAACAAGAGCTTTGAAATTACATGGAGGAGCTTCAGATGTTAAACCAGGACAATCATTACCTTCCGAATATGTCACTGAAAATCTTGAATTTTTGGAACAAGGTTGTGCTAATTTAGCTAAACAAATTTCAAACATAAAACAATATAATGTACCTGTTGTTGTTGCTATAAATCAATTTGAGACTGATACAGAAGCAGAAATAAAATTAATACAAGAATTAGCGTTGAAATCAGGTGCTGATTATGCTGTACCTTCAAATCATTGGGCAAAAGGGGGATTAGGAGCTAAAAAATTAGCTGAATCCGTAGTTGAAGCTGTAAAACAATCACCAAAAGGTCAACAACAATTTCTTTATGATGTAAATGACTCGGTGGAAAATAAATTAAATATAATAGCACAAAAAATGTATGGAGCAAAAGATATTGAACTTTCACCATTAGCTAAAAAACAAATTGAAACATATACACAACAAGGATTTGATAAATTACCTATATGTATAGCCAAAACTCAATATTCATTAAGTCATGATCCTGCTTTAAAGGGAGTACCTACAAATTTCACAATTCCTATTAGAGAAGTTAGATGTTCTGCAGGTGCTGGTTATTTGTATGCGTTAGCTGCTGAAATTATGACTATACCTGGTTTACCTACTCATGCTGGATTTATGAATGTTGAAGTAAATGACGATGGACAGATTGAGGGATTATTCTAGAACTAAAAGTCAGAAAAATATTTATTTAAGTATACAGAGAAAAATTATAGACGATATTTAATAAGACTAAAGATAATATATATCCAGGTTTTGAAGTACTTAAGCGTAAGTTGATGGATCATCTATATTATGAGTACCATTCTTGATATTATAGCTCTTACCAAATGTTTCCTTTAAATTCAAAACTTCAACCAAAACCTTAGCTACATCAGTTCTAGATATCTTACCAACATCTTCATTTAAATTCTTAATAATATCAATCTTACCAGTACTTTCATCATCAGTTAAATGAGTTGGTTTAATAATTGTATAATCAATACTAGAACCAAATTCATTAATCAAAATCCTATCTGCGTAATGTTTTGCAATATAATAATCCCTGATTGGCGAATTTTCTACAAACTCTCTATTTTCTGCGTGGATTGCACTTATTAAAACTAATCTCTTAACTTTTGCTTCAACTGTAGCTTCAAATGTTTTAACTACTCCGTCTAAATCTACTTGTAATAAGTTTTTACCACCTGATCCAACAGTTAATATAACAGCATCATGATTTTTAATAGTTTGAGATAATTCTTTAACTGAAACTTTATCCAAAGTTAAGTTAGTTGATGAAACATTTGAAGAAGAATTTGAAATTTTCTTTATGGTAGATGCTTGTTCATCATTTCTTACTACTGCTGTTGTTTTATAATCCAGTTTTGATAATAATTTGATCAATTGTTGACCTATTTTACCATGAGCTCCAAAAACTATAACTCTACTGATTGACATGTTTCTGTTGAATACTAATAACTAGTAGAAGAATTTTAGAATATCATTTCACAAGGGGTATTTATTTATATTTAAACTAACTTAGACTTCAATAGCAATTTTGCAACTGTGGGTTTAAAACTAATTAGTAAACACAGCAATTTTGTGTAATTTTCTAATACATATTTAGTTCTTAATTACATCACAATAGAAATTTTAAGGTTCTATTATTATTAAATATATTACAAATTTTTTATATACACTATGAACTTTGATTATTTAAAGCAAGATTAATGAATTGCTTGAGCTGGGGGTTTGTTTATTGAATTTTGAGCAGGTGAAAGTGGTTTTGGTGGTTTATGTTGTATTGATGATGATCGCTTCTGAATTTGTTCTATAGGTTGTTGTTGTTGAGGTTGAGGCTGAGGTTGAGTAATTTGTTGAGGTTGATGAGTCTGTTGTGGCAGTTGCTGTGGTGGTGATTGTTGTTGATGTTGTACTTGTGGATGTTGTGGTTGATTTAGTTGCTGTTGTTGTTGTTGCTGCTGCTTTTGTTGATGTTGTTTTAATTGTTGTTGTTGTAATGCTCTCATTCGTGCCAGTTGTAGAAATGATTGTTGCTTTTGTTGAACTGATTCCTTTAATAAACTATATGATTTTGAAAGTAACATTGAACCAAATCTAATAGCTTGAGTATCTTCACTTATATTATTAAGTTTTGATGGATCAAGACTAAATGGATCCAATGAACCCTTTTGATATTCAGATAAATCGTCATCAAATCTCCAATTTGATTTTAGTCTCTTCCAAGCATCAAATTTACTATCATAAACATTAGGAATTTCTTCTTCATCATCAGAAAAATTCATAAACTCGTCAACCACATCTGAAGTTTGTTGGCCACGTCTATCAATGAACATTCTATTAGCTCTAGCCATTCTTTTACGAAGTCTAAATATTGGTTCTGAAATTTGACTGTCCTCTTCTATTTTATTGTCCTTGATAAAACCATTATTATAGTTTTCATAATTATTATTTTCGATATTTTTTAATAATTTAGCAATATAATTTGTTGAATTATATTCATTATTTGACATTTTTTCATGTAAAAGGGAAGTTATATGTGGAAATGCTTTTGTGGGTATTAATTCTCCATTGGATCCTCTTATAGTCTTTACACCAGGTAATGACTTACTCCCTGCTATTAATGTTTTTAATGGTTCACTTAAATAATTTGAAGTATTAAATTGATGAAAATTGGTCGCAGCAATTGATGAATATGGAATATGACGTGATTCAACCAAGTCGTTGTTAGTGGAAATATCAAATAATGGCTCAAATGGATCATCAGTAAGATTTACAAAACCTTGATCTGGTTCTTTTCGTTTCTTTAGTTTTTCCATAACTGCACGTTTAATAGTATCATTTTTATCTCTTAATACTAACGAAACTGTAACAAGCTCCATGTCTGGAATTTTGGCTGGTGGTAATTTGACATACGGTTGATTTGGTGCTGGTTCTGCTGCTGCTGGTGCTTGAGGATTTGATGCTTGTTGTGGTTGATGGTGTTGTTGTTGTGCTTCTTGAGTTTGTGATTCGATTTTCTTTTTCTCTTTCTTCTTTTCCTCATCTTCTTTTGGTTTAACCATTTTTCTTTTCTTATGTGGAAAGAATAAATAATCATCACCTCTGATACCGAGTTCTCTTTTAACGCTTTTAGTTTCTGATCTTAATTTAAATATATCTAATTCTGCCAGCAAATTGTCTAAATTTAAAATTTCACGTTCACAAACACTCATAATTAAATCTCTTGCACGATGTAATGATTTTTGTAGTAATCTTATACGTTCTGCTCCAACAGTATCTGCTCTTCTTGTTTTTCTTGCTTGTCTAAATTCACGTCTTCTAAAACAAATATATGGATCGTTATCGTTATCTTTTTCATTGGCATTAGGATCTTCAAATCGAAGTGTTGGTTGTATTGATCTTCCTTTTCTTGAAATTTTTCTTTCTTTCCAATGATCATAAACATTTTTACCATATAAATCAAATAACTTTGTGATTGGCCGTATTTGTGAAGTATGTTCTTGATCTTTATCAAATATTGTTGTGAATGGTTTATAATTAAGCTCTTTTGAAAGTTTCTCTTTTAATGCAGTGGTTGATAAATATTCCGTGTTAAGTAATTGATTATTTGATAAATCAGATGTTAAATATGTTAACATTTCTTCATATGATAAAATATTAGTTGGATCCATGGATAAAAAAGGTTGTCTTGCTTCAATTGTTTTCTCCAATCTATTACACATTGTTTCAAATTCTAATTCAGAACATTTGGTTTTAAAATTTTTATTGTAAAATTCTTCATCTTCTTCATCCATATTATATTCTACTCCAACTGTATCTTCAACTGTTGCACTAAATTTTATATATGATTCTGGTTCTTTAAACTTCTGATCCTTGTAATATTTAGCAGCTTCGGTCCATATTTTTGAAGCATCTGGTGTTGGAATATACATTTCATTTGTTTTATTACTTGTTAATGCCTTTTGCGCCGCATTAATTACTTGTTGCAAATGAACTTCTTCCTCTTCATTTTTATCAACACCTGTATCAACTGCATGTATATCTCGAGGTGGTTGACCAATATTATTTGAATTTAAATGATGTATTTGACTAGGTTCTAATTCTGATGCATCTAATGAAGGTAAATCTCGTTGTTTATGAATTGATAAAGGTTGTTTAACCGATATTTTTCTTTGACGAAATCTAGCACCAGCGGCATGTTGATTGGCTTTACTTTCATTTTTTGCTGGATTTATAGCCATTGCCGGGTTTACCCCAATATATTAATTCTTGCTTGTATTATTTAATGATTGATTATTGTTGATGGTAATGTTGAACTAAATCGATGATATAGAAAAAAATTGTTCACCAGTTAACTATTGATGTTTGGATGTCTAAACAATAATTAAAAAAATTTTGGTGGCTGTTCTTTTTTTTTTGCTTTTCGTCCAATCAAAATTGAACGACAAAAATTTTTTTTGAATATGATGACCAATTAATCCAATAAATATGTAAGTTAAAATAACAGTTAAGTTATCTTATATATCAAAGTTTATAAATATTTGATTTATTGAGATTGATTAAGTTATAAAGTGTAAAATTTATACACCAAAATTAGTTTGTATTGAATTGAATTATATTGATTAAATTGTATGACAAATTATAAATTCAACGAAAAACGGAAAAAAAAAATAAAAAATTAATCATAGTTTTTTTTTTGGTTTATTTTTGTTTGTCAAATAAATAAATTTTTGAAATTGAAACAAATTGACATACAAAAATTTAAAATTTTTGTCACTATCCTTAATTCGGATAGTTTTGTGCGGCTTGCCTGAATTGAAGACTGAGTTATATCATATAAAGTGAAAGAGTCTCAAATGTTCAAATGTTCATGAAAGCGACCTAAACTTGACTCCAATGGTTTTTAATGTGTTATGAATATACTTGTAGTTGTTGTAGATAACTTAACATTACTGAATTTTGTCAGTATGCGTATAATCAAAGACTTTAATGATCATTGATGATATGACTGAGGCTCTCACTAGAACTTGAATTTGTTGATAATATCTATTTGACTATAAGTAAATGCTTTATCAGAATGCCATAATCACTAACAAGTTGCTAGAGGTTGAACATGTATGGCATAGTACGAAATGAACTGTGTTGTAAACTTATTAGAAAATAAAAGTAAGTAAAAAAAAATCTAGATAAAATAATTTTTTTTTTTTTTTTATTAATTGAGGTAGACCATTCTTAGTGAAACCTATGTAGTTATCAATTATATATGTAAAAATATGATTTTTCTTATAAAATAAAATATACCAGGAAAAAGCGTTCAATTGAATAGAGTAAAGCAAATATACTCTGAACCAATATGATTCAAATAACCATCAAAATTCAATTAAAGATATTGGTAGTATGAATAAGAGAAATATGAACAGTAGGCGCTTTTAATGAAATACCTATTTATTTTAAAGTATACATAAACAAATTTGGTATTAAAATCAAACGATTTATTATATTGCAAATTATTTTTAAACTATTAATTTTACGACAGAAAAAATTTAGACCTATTCTATTATTTTAGGACTTAGTTGATACTAATACACTTTGTCAACTAATATCAACCGAAGCAAATGAAACAATTAATACCATGGCTCATGCTAAAAATAGTTTATTTAGTACATCACTAATAATAACGAAGTAAAGGTTTGTAAAATATAAATTATCCGACTAAAAATTTTGAAACGAGACAAACCTCGGAACAGTTTTCATTTTCTCGTACTAAATTTTTCAAGATAAGAATTTTGTATTTAAAGATTTTTTAAGTTGCGTTACCTTTGAAAAACTATAAAAAATTTGGACTCATCATCTTCATTGAATTACCATTGAAATTATGATTGATTACTATCATATATGAAGTTAGTTACTATATAATCTAGAGTATGATATTACAATTATATAATAATTTTTTCAAATTTTTTTATTACCATTATTTTTTACCTTATTTTGACCTCCCCCAGATTTTTAAATCTGTGTTACTTAAATTATTTTTTTAAGTCAAGAATTATTATTTAAGTTAACTACTACTATTAATCATTTCATCATTGAATTATAATTAATATTATAAATTTTCTTAGTGTCATTCTTTGATCTAATACATATGTAATTACATAAAGATTAAATACTTATTCTTTATTATCATATTCTTTAATATTGTGAAATAAAGTCCCAATTATTATTTCTAAATTTATTTGTTTTCTTTTCTTTTTTGTATTAAATTTATTTTATTCAAATTTTTCACATTATTTATATAAATTTATAAAAATATCACAATCTTATATTAATATATTCTACTTATTTTTTTTTATATCTAAATTTTTTTGATATTTTAATTCTTCTTCAATAAGTTATAGATTTTATAAGTTATATTTATTCAATTTTTTAATTCAATTCATTAATATTCATTCAATTCAATTTCATAAATTACAGTATTACAAATAAAAAATGGACGACGTTGATTCAGTATTAGTTGATAATGTCAAATCATTTGCTGCTGGTGGATTTGGTGGTATTTGTGCAGTTTTAACTGGACACCCATTTGATTTAGTTAAAGTTAGATTACAAACTGGTTTATACAATTCATCAATTCAATGTGTTAAAGATACTATAGCAAAAGATGGTTTAAAAGGTCTTTATAGAGGTGTTTTACCACCATTATTAGGTGTTACTCCAATGTTTGCAGTTTCATTTTGGGGTTATGATGTTGGTAAAAAATTAGTTGGTCAATTTACTGGTAAAACAATTGATCAATTTACTATACGTGATATTTCAACTGCTGGGTTTATTTCTGCAATTCCAACTACTTTAGTTGCTGCTCCATTTGAAAGAGTTAAAGTTATGATGCAAATTCAAGAAGGTTCCAAACCAAAAGGAATGGGTTCAGTTATTGCTGAAATGTATAAAACTGGTGGTATAAGATCAATTTTCAAAGGTTCAGTTGCTACATTGGCAAGAGATGGTCCAGGTTCTGCATTATATTTTGCAACTTATGAATATATAAAAGCAAAATTATCAACTCCAGGTAAAGATTTATCAATTGGTGCAATTATGACTGCTGGTGGTTGTGCTGGTGTTGCTATGTGGTTAGGTGTTTTCCCAATTGATACTATTAAATCAACTCAACAATCTTCAAATGTTCCTATATCAATTGCTCAAGTCACTAAAAATATTTATGCTAAAGGTGGTATAAAAGCATTTTTCCCTGGTGTTGGTCCAGCTTTATGTAGATCATTCCCAGCTAATGCTGCTACATTTTTAGGTGTTGAAGTAGCAAGAAATGCATTAGATAAAATCATATAATAGTTTAAACAAAGGACTAATAACAAAACTTGTATAATATTAATTATTTAGAAAAGAAAAGTATTTTGCATTGTAACAACAGACAAGAATAATAAAGTAATTACAATAACAGTGTAATATAAAATCTCTTGATAAAATAGTACATTAATTATTCAGTGCGTGTAAATTTGCTGAAATTTTTATCAGTCTAAATTTCAATATTTCTCAACATTCACTATTATAAGATTGCCATAGATAAATCTTTAACTTACTAACTACATACTATACAAACACAAATTCTAGCAAAATGACTTTACTGGACGAACAAGTATGTCAATGTTGCAACCAATGGACAAAATATACAAAATTTTGGTTTTACTAACAATTCTTATTAGGTTAAATCTGAGCTTACCAAAATGCAAGCTTTTATTGAAAAAGAAGCAAAAGAAAAAGCAAAAGAAATAAAATTAAAAGCAGATGAAGAATATGAAATAGAAAAATCATCAACTGTTAGATTAGAAACATCAGCAATTGATTCAACATATGAACAAAAATTAAAAAAAGCAAGTTTAGCACAACAAATTACAAAATCAACAATTGGAAATAAAACAAGATTAAGAATTTTGGGAGAAAAAGATCAAATTTTGAATCAAATTTTTGAAGATGCTGAAAAAGAATTGAGAACTATAACAGAAAACAAAGAAAAATATAAACCCGTCTTGGTTGGATTAATTGAAGAAGGTATATTAACATTATTAGAACCAGTAGTAAGTTTAAGAGTTAGAAAAGAAGATGTTGAAATTGCAAAAGAAGCAGCAAAAGAAGCTAGTAAAAATTATGAAGAAAAATCAGGTGAACATGTTGATATAACTGTTGATGAAAAAGATTTCTTAAACAAAGATTTAGCTGGTGGTGTTGTTATTGTAAATGGTACTGGAAAAATCGAAGTTGATAATACTTTGGAAGAAAGATTAAAAATTTTACAAGAAGAAGCTTTACCTGCTATAAGGTTAGAATTGTTTGGTCCTTCATTAACTAGAAAATTCTTTGATTAGATATTTTTATTTTTTTTTTAATTCTATAATTATGTATAGAGATTTCATTTCAATAAAGAAAAGGTTTTTTTATTAATACTAATTGTTATGAAATATTTAGATAGTGATGGTCCCATAATATCATATTTGGAAAGAAAAATAGAGGTAGTATGATATTGCATACTTATCTGACTATTTGCCAAAACTTGATTTCCATAAAAATGATTGTCCATTATGCACATCTTTGATAAATATCTTCATGAAGCAATTTTCCAGTTCTTTTAGAATGAATACAATTCTCCATGTGTTTAATGACCCATTCATCTGAAAATCTTTGAGTACCAGATTCTTCTGAAACAGGTTTTGGAGATTTATCATGTACAATAAACCATTGACCTTCTTCTTCTTCATTTGATTTTGTATCTCTTGTTTCTTCTTCTTTAATTTGCTCAATTATATAAGGTATGAATCTCTCAACGAATTTAGTATCATATTCTAACCAGTTTCCGGTAGTGAAATGATAAAAAAATATTGAATCTCCTAGTTTAATGAATCTACTTTCTAATTCTTGTCTAATTAAGTCACCATTGATTTTAGCACTATTGGGGGAACCCGATTTGTATTTTACTGTACCTGAATTTTCCCCTATAAAGATCTTGTAAGGGAACTCAATTTTCTTGTTTAGAATGTCATATAATTCATGATCTGGTGGATAATCTAACTTTTGCAATGCTTCTGTCCAATTTGTTGAATTAATCGACATCTTGATGTGAAAAAGTTAAGTGCCAAGTATATTTGCAATTGAATTAGTAGAGAAGGATTGCAAACATGTTGTATTTAATATTAAACCACTTAATAAACGGTATCTGTAAAAAACAATGATAAGGCTCTAAATCTTGCATTACCTCTTAAATTGCAATAACCCAACCCCTTTAATTTAATTTATTCCAAAATAATTGAATTTGTAAACACTTCTATGATATTGTTTAATAAGTAGATCAGGTATTGTTTAGTAAGTAGGTCAGGTATACTAGACGGTCTCAGTATGAAAAAAGTAAGTAACAATATATGTTAAATTCAATGAAGTACGTACAATTTTTCATTTTGACTTAAAACTGGAATATATCTCTGAATGATTCCCACGGAAACAGAAATATCAATTGAAAACTGTGAAAGCTTCGTTTGTGTATTGTGTATTAGCTTATACAGCTCATAGCAGGTCACTCATAGGTACAAGATGTTTAAATTGCAAACATTTTGAGAAAACATTAGGCTTGTTGTATAATTTAAAATATTCGATAACATGAATATAGCACAAAATTAAAGTTGCGCCGCATCAGGAATATTTTTTAGAATCTATATCGATTTATAGATGCATTAGATTTGAAATCTTGATCCTTCCAAACTATACAACAACATCATCAATCAGGATGCTACGAACTTTACAACAACAAATTTATCACATAATACCCCGATGTAGATGTCACCTAACAACCTCAACAAAACCAAGAAGTCCTATACCAGATCCAATCCCAGCAACAACAGATAGTAAAATATTAAATAGATTAAAACCAATCCAACCAAATGACTTGTATGTTTCATGTACTGTATTTGATTCTAAAGGTCGAATAACTGCAGTTTCAAAGAAATTTCCCAAAATGCAATTTTTGAAGGAAAATCATTTATTTCCAAGAGATTTAAGAAAGATTGATACTTCTTCTATTGACGTTGTACCGATGATCATGATACGACCTTCAAATGCTATATTGGTAAATTTATTGTATATTAAAGCAATAATAAAGAAAAATTCAGTAATGGTTTTCGATACTTCGAATAGTGAAGTTGCGTCAAAATTAGGAGTATTTATGTATGACTTGGAGTTGAAGTTGAAGTCAAATACAACAACTTATGAATTTAAAGCATTGGAGCTGATGTTGGTGAGTGTTATGAGTTATCTTGAAGCTGAAATAAAAATTTATTTACAAAGTTGTGGACAGATACTATCAGAGTTAGAGAATGAAGTGGATAGAAAAAAATTACAAGAACTATTAATACGATCAAAACAATTATCGTCATTTCATCAAAAGGCTGTTTTGATTCGAGATGTACTCGAAGAACTATTAGAAAATGATGAAGATCTAGCGGGGATGTTTTTAAGTAATCCAAATGCAGATACTTTTGATGAATTAGAAATGATTTTAGAAAGTTATTATAGACAATGTGATGAATTTGTTCAACAAGCAGGTAGTTTATTAAATGATATAAAAGCAACTGAAGAAATTGTCAATATTATATTAGATGCAAACAGAAATAGCTTAATGCTTTTTGAATTGAAAGTTACCGTTTATACTTCAGGATTTACGGTTGCTACTTTATTACCAGCTTTTTACGGAATGAATTTAAAAAATTATATAGAAGATTCAAATTTAGGATTTGGTGCTATTGTTGTAATTTCAATTATACAAGGTCTTATAATAACTTGGTTTAATTTTAAAAAATTACATAAAGTTCAAAAGTTAACAATGATGGGTACGAACGATAATCCCCTCAAAACAACTACATCGTACAAGAAATCAATCAAGCAAAACAATTCGTTGTTATATAGAGTAATATTTGGTAGTCAATCCTATAGACGTAAAAAATTGGATAGACCAACTAAAAAAGATCAAGACGTAATTTGGAGAATGATTAATGATGAAAAAACTAGAAATTAATTTTAATGATATATGCGTGTAAATAAATACTATAACGCTTATTAATCTGATTCTACTTCATCTTCTACAGAATCTGAATTATTCACTATTTTATAATCTTCTTCTTCATCATCAATACCACTTTCTTCATATTTCGGCAATTGTTGAGTATTATCTTCTTCATAGTCGTCATCTTCAAATTTCTTATGTGTGTTTGCATTAATTGTAGTTTCAATCTTGTTAACATTGCTACTTTTTTGTTTATAAACTGGTTGTGAATTTCTTTCTTCTCCTGGTTTAATTAATGTTCCTTCAACACTTACTACTCTACCAGTAGTATATACTGCTTTTACAGTAAATTTCAATTTCCCATCTATCTTGTCACCAATATCATCACTCCAATAGCCAAAAGTCTTTTTGTTGTCTTCTTCATCTTGTTGACTTGGTATAAATGACCAATCCATAGGTATATTATATTTTTTTATTGATGCATTGAATACGTCACATATTAATAATCCAATATGTGAAGGGGTTTGCATATATATATCACCCTCCAAAACATCTCCAACACAAGGACTCCACACCAAGAAATCAACATTCACCCAAATAAATGTAAAAGGTGAAGCTCCCTCAATTTTAGCTAGATTTGATCCTTGTGAATTTGTAAGTAGTTTAATATTTGAATATGATACTATTATCCCTTTAACTTTTGAATAAAAAGTCATCACTAGCGGATCTAGATGTTGTTGTTTTATTCCTAAAATCGGATCATTTATAAATTTTGGTGCTAATGATAGATAAAGTGATGTTGATACTGTTTTAAAACATTCTGATAAGTTTGTATGTGGATTTATTGGGTTGATTTTGGTTGGTTTGTGTTTTTTTAGTTTGAGTTTATCATGATGATGATCTAGATTGGTTCTAGACATTGCTCTATATTTATTTATTTATCTATAAGTCTATAATATGTTTAACTACTCTATTTAAGTCTCAGATGAGATTTTTTCAATTGAATCTAAACCTGCAATGTGCAGTACTGAAGTCTTTTGAGCCGCACCTTTAATTGAATCTGAGGTAATAATTGGTAGCATTTGAGATTCAAATTTTGCAGCTTTTCATTATTTACCGAAAGTCTCGTAACTTTCATTATTCATTTTTTATAGTCTTCAATTAATCTTTTCCGCTTTAACCATTACTGGTATCATTCCACCAGTTGGTATTGTAAATTTTCTATGGTTTATAACCGTTAGGAAAGCTCTTATAGTACCAGCATGTGAAGTTATGGATATTACATCATTTGGATCATTATCAAAAATATTTTCTAGTACCTTATGTATTCTAATAAATTGTTGATATAATTTTTCTCTCTCTCCAATATATGCTTCAAACAGCAAGTCTTCTTCTGAAAAGTCACCTGAAAATTTCAAATGTGGAAATTTGGAAATTAGTTCTGATTTTTTGGATCTTTTATGACATAGGTGAAGTCCATTTGTTTCTCTTAAATTTTCGATCACTAGTGGGTTTAAATCATATTTTATTTTAAATGTTTCTCCTTTGTTTTCAATTACTTTTGTAGGATCTTCACTCCATGTTATATTAAAAGTTTTTATTGATCTTTGTAATGGTGATACATAAAATGAGTCAGGATATGGACAACCTAATTCTAATTGCTTCTTCCATGCAATATTATTTTCTTTAGCTTGTTCCATCCCTATTTCTGTTAAATCGGCATCAGGACCATAAGTATATTCACCATCATATCCAATAAATCTCCATTTTGCAAACCATTCTTCTTTTGTATATTTTCTTGCTACTATGTTTGCATAACTTTGTCCATGTCTTGCCAAAAATAGAAGTTTATAATGTACATTATCTGATGAGTTTTGGTTTAAAAGTTTTAATTGCTCTTTGATTTCTTTATATGATTTTTTAATACCAAAGTTATCTTCAGTATATCTAAATTTCATATCATCAGTTTCTAAATCAGTTTGTTTAAAAAATCCGTGAACTGGTTGAAAACAATAATTTGACTTAACGCTTTTTGAATACAATTCATCTTGATCTAAATCTCCATGAGCATCATGTTTATCATTACTGTTTGGTATTAATAATGACATTTATTATTATTATTAATGAAATTAAAGATCTATTAATTATTATAATTATTATTTATATCTCGCTAAGATTTAAATGTTTAATTTCGAGAGTTTAGAAAAAAAAAAAAGTAAATAAAAATTAATTTCTGTTTCAATTAAATCTTTTATCTTTTTCAATAACAAACTTATATATCATCTTGATGATACAATGAGTGAACTACTGGAAAAGGCTCCAGATGAATCAAGAGAGATAGCTACAAGTGATATCAAACCAGAAGAATTAGAAGATAATAATGATATAGATATAGTTGAAAAAACTTCAAACTTATATGAAACCGAGAATAATAATAATAATAATAATGAAAATAATAATAATATCATAGAAGAAGAACAGCCAGATATTATGATGGAAGATACGAATGAAATTAAAATAGAACCAGTACCAATTGCAATTACTGATAATGGTATAAACATAGATAATGATAGTAAAACTATAGATATAAAAGAAGAAAATAATGATAATTTTGGTGAACCACCTTCTAAAAAATTAAAATTAGAAGAATCACCTATAAAAAATGGGTCTAGACCAATAGTTGTTGCACCACCTTCAAAATCTCAACTTTTTTATATACCGTTGAAAACTGGGTTAGTTTATGATGTTAGAATGAGATATCATGCCAAAATTTTTACTTCATATTTTGAATATACTGATCCACATCCAGAAGATCCAAGAAGAATTTATAGAATATATAAAAAATTAGTTGAAGCTGGTTTAGTACTGGATTTTTCATTATCTGGTATTGATGAGTTAGGTCCATATATGCAAAAAATTCCAATAAGAGAAGCAACAATGGAAGAAATCTTGGAAGTTCATTCTGAAAAACATTTACAACATATAAAATCTACTGAAACAATGACAAAAGATGAATTATTGAAAGAAACAGCAGCTGGTGATTCCATTTATGTAAACAATGATTCTTATTTTTCAGCTAAATTATCGTGTGGTGGTACAATTGAAGCATGTAAAGCTGTCATTGAGGGGAAAGTTAAAAATTCTTTAGCAGCAGTAAGACCTCCAGGACATCATGCTGAACCAAATGATCCCGGTGGGTTTTGTCTTTTTAGTAATGTTGCTGTAGCTGCTAAAAATATATTAAAATCTTATCCAGAATCAGTCAGAAGAATTGTTATACTTGATTGGGATATTCATCATGGAAATGGTACACAAAAGGCATTTTATGATGATCCAAGAGTTTTATATATATCATTACATCGTTATGAAAATGGGAAATTTTATCCCGGTACAAAATATGGAGGATCTGATCAAGTTGGTGAAGGTCCCGGTGAAGGTTATAGTTTGAATATACCTTGGAGAACTCTGGGTATGCATGATGGTGATTATGTTTATGCATTTAATAAAGTTATCATACCTGTGATTCTTGAATTTGATCCAGATTTAATTATTGTAAGCTCAGGTTTTGATGCAGCTGCTGGTGATATAATTGGTGGATGTCATGTTAGTCCAGCAGGATATGGATATATGACACATATGTTAAAAGGTATAGCAAAAGGTAAAATGGCAGTTATACTTGAAGGTGGATATAATTTGGATTCAATAAGTGAAAGTGCCTTAGCAGTTGCAAAAGTTTTAATTGGAGAACCACCAGAAAATACAATCAATAAATTACCACATCAAGATACTATAGAAGTTATTGATGAAGTTATTAAAATTCAATCTAAATATTGGAAATGTTTGAAATCAGGTATCCCCGAAACTTCATTTGATGATGTCTATGATTTACCAGGAGTTGATGCTTTTAAATTAACAAATATATCAGATCCAATAAGATTATATCAAAGTAATCAAGCTTTCAACAAAAAGAATTTTATAAATTTACCTATTGATCAATCAACTTTCACTTTTGATTGTCCTAATGAAAATGACAATTTAGTGATTGCAAGTCCAAATATTTATGAATGTGATTCAATCGTAATAACAATTCATGATCCACCAGATGTATGGGCTAATATAAATCCTACAAATGGTATTATAGAAAGTTATTCATCAGTTATATTAGAACATCCACTTTTACAAATAATAGATAAAATTGAAAAAGAAAAACAAGATAATAATCCAGTTGGTTATATTGATATAAATATACCGTCATACCCATTACCAATCCCAGGTTCAACTTATACGTCATCATATAATCAAACCATATTCGCACAAGAAATTTTATTGTATATATGGGATAACTATATTACATTTTTCAATCAATTAAAAAACATTGTTTTTGTTGGTTTCGGAGATTCATACCAAAGTCTTGTCCACTTATTCAGCAAGAGACCATCATCAGAAATCAAACTGCTAGTGAAATTCACAGTAGCATATATAAATAGAACATTATTAAAACCAATAGTCCCTGTAATGGATGAAAGTATGGTTGATTGGTTTTATCAAAATTCTACGATTTTCACAAGTTGTAATAATCAATGTTGGAGTAACGTTAGTGAAGATTTAAAAAGGCCAAGAAGAAAATTTGGTAGAGTTCTAAAAGCAAATTCAGATGGATTATTTGATGTTATAAATGAAAAATTTGATGAAGGAGTTGATAATATCTTGGATAATATCGAAGAGTTCTCTAGTTCTGATGAGTAAGGGTGGGGAGTTTGCATAAAATACACATACATTGTTACAAAAGAAATATATAGCTTTATACATAATTTGGAAACCTTTTTTGAAAATTTTTCTCTAAATCATCTATGTCGGGAATTGAAAAATCTCCACTTCCTGTAGATAGTCTTCGACTTTGTAGTGATTTGGGTTTAGGTTTTATTGGTGGTGGTGGTTTCTTTTTCGATGATAAATTAAGGGGGACTTTTGGTGGTGATAATTTTTTGGTTGGTAACGGTGAGATTTTTTTAGTTTGTGGTGGTGGTTGAGACAATGACTTTTTGGTAGGTGGTTGTGGTGATAATTTTTTAGGCTTTGTGGGTCTTGAATTTATAGATTCGATATCGTCAATAACATTTTTGTCGGTGAATTTTCCATACCCCAGTGCGGTCTTTTTAATACTTTGTTGTTGTTGTTCTAATAGTAAATGCATTCTTCTTTGAATTGAATTTTCTTTTTCCTCTTTACTTCCAGTTAATAATTTTTTAATACTTTTCTTCATCAGATCTCCTGTATTATTGGCACTAATACTACTTCCTCCTGTGCTGATCCTTCTTAAACTATTCCATGCTGATTTTATTCCATTATCATTGTTATGGTTATCTCTACTCTTCAAAAAATCTAAAGTATTTTCAGTCTCTCCAACATTAGTGCTTTCGTACCCTTTTGCTAATTCTTGTTTCACATAAGCTTGAACATTTGGACTAGATTTGTTACCTTGTGAATATATTTTATTTATACCATGATCAAAAAACGCACTAACTGGACGACTAGGTTTAGGTTCCAGTTCAAAAGGTGAGTATTTTTTGGCGGTGTTTGTAATATTACTACTTGATTTTGATTTATCAATACTTCCAAATCCAATTGTAGGAACTGGTTTGGTTGTAACACTAGAAGGTATAACATTTGGTACTTTTTCATCACCTCTCATTTGACATATTTCACCTAATAGTTGTACTGCGTTAGGTCTTCTTCTTGGATCAGCTCTTAAACAAACTTTTATTATATTTTTCAATCTCCTTGAAAAAATCAGACCTGGTTGTTCTTTAAATCTTAAAGTTTCTGAACAATTTAATATATTTTTTTCCATTTCTTGTAAGCTATTCAGTTCAAATGGGGTTGTATAATAACATAACTTGTATAAAAATATACCTAGAGCCCAGATATCCGATTTATCATCAATGGGAAAACCCTTAGTTAAATCAATCATTTCAGGCGCTCGGTATTGTGGTGTTGTATGCTGCATTAAATCATCTCTCATTAATTGTAACTCTTGCGGGTTCTTTGGAGCTGGCATATAATTTACTGATGATCCAAAATCACATAATTTAAAAACATGATTTGAATCAATTAATACATTTTCAATCTTGATATCTCGATGAATTAATGGTGGTCTTAAATGATGACACATTGCGACGCCAATAGTTATCTGATACATTATATCTATTATTTCTTTTTCAGTTAATTTATTTCTTAATCTTGTATTCATAAAATCAATTAATCCATTATTTTGACAAAACTCCATTAGAAGCAATACTTCATATTGTTGTTGTACTTCGTCGTTACCCAATCTTGATGCATGAGAATCAATATATGATACAATATGTTTATTTCCTCTTAGTCTCCTCATAGCATCGACTTCTTGTCTTAACAAACTTAACTGCCATTTACTCGGTACCACTACTCGTTTTAAACAGGCTATGTTTGATCCATTAAATGCAGGTTCTATATTACAAGTATATACATGTGCAAATCCACCAGCTGAGATATATTTAATAATTGAAATTCTATGAGAGCCGACTGTCAATTGAGTGCCAGGCTGGTAGGCATTTTTAGGTGGTTGAATCATTCAAATTCTAGTTGATTTGATTGAAATATGAACAAATCTATTTTGTGCTAAGAAAAAATTAAAAAATCGTGTTGCAAATTATTAAGTTCATCATTTATCTTTTTGATCTGATCAAATGAAGTTATATTTTGAAGCTGAAAAATTTCTAAAACAATCAGAAGGGAATTTACAATCAAAGGTATTCAATGATAAGAACTTAAAAAGTAACCCTAAGCATATATATGCTTTAGTATACCTGACATTAAAATATAAAGAGTATATTCAACAAATTATAACAAAATCAAAAATCAATAAACAATTAAAAATAAGTAATGAATTATTAGCTTTATTAATACATGATTTATTATTCAGCTCAAGAGGGAGAATAGAGAGTGGGAAGCATCACATCAAAGATTCATTTTTGGCAAATAAAACTAGACTACAAGCAGAATTTATAAAATTAAAATTAAAATATAAAGTTAAATCAGTAGATCAGCTACCTACAGTAGAACAAGATGACGAAACCCCAATACGATGGTTTAGAATTAACACCATCAAAATAGATCCAGAAAGATTTTTCAAAAAACACAAATTAAATTTACAACCAGTGAGTAGATTTCAAGATCTAACGAAGCCAGGATTAATTTATCAAGATGATCATATTCCAAATTTATATGGAGTGCATCCAAAAGAAAAAATTACAACATCAACAGAAGCATATAAATTAGGAGAAATTATCATACAAGATCGTGCAAGTTGTTTTCCAGCATATATATTAAATTATAAAGATGAACATTCTAAAATTATTGATGCATGTGCTGCCCCTGGAAATAAAACATCTCATGCGGCTAGTTTTGTTGAAGATGTAGTATATGCAGTAGAAAAAGATTCAAAAAGAGTTGGTATTTTGAAACAAATGTCTGAAAAGGCAACTGGTAAAAATAAAAAGAAATTAATCCAGGTGTTACATCAAGATTTCACTACTATAAAACCAGAAGATTATGAAGATGTCACTGGTTTAATAGTCGATCCGTCTTGTAGTGGTTCGGGAATTTTTGGCAGAGCAATGGATGAAGAAACTAAAAATTCAGATAGACTTGAAAAATTAGCATCATTTCAATTCACCATTATGAAACATGCATTATCATTCCCAGGTGCTCGTAAAGTAGTTTATTCAACTTGTTCAGTACATGCTGAAGAAAATGAAAGAGTTGTAGTAGATTTATTATCGGATGAAACGGTGAAAAATCAAGGTTGGACATTAGCTGATAGAGAAGTTGTATTATCCACATGGGAAAGAAGAGGTATAGAAGATGAATTTATGACTTTGACGAGAGATTCCGAAGTAATTAAAAAATTAGCGGGTGGTTGTATTAGAACTATACCGAAAGAAGACGGTGGTATTGGATTTTTTGCTGCTTGTTTTGTTAAAAAATGATTTAAACTTTTGAATGTTCATGCCACATTATTGTCTGGTTGTATAAATTAATATGTAACTTACATGCAACTTCAAATGCACATTGCATCAGTTCTACTTAAGCTTTACTATTTGTATACATCTTACATACTATATTTTTCTCTTCTCGTTTTTATTAATTGTAATCGGAGATATAAATTTAGAAGACACAAAGATAATGTCATTTTCTTAAATGTCATTTCTAAATTTTTAGATGTGTCTTAATTCAATAAATTTCTTTTTTATGTCATCAGAAGTTTAAGTTTCTAAAATTATGAAACACATTAAAATTAAGAGGCAATTGGTCAAACTCCTCATCTCTCACAAAAAGAGGGTTAACTTTAATCCAATAACTGAGGTGGCACATCATCAACACCTAGAAACGCCTGCATGCAAGAACGCTGAATAAATTTAAAGCAAATAATTTAAAAACAATTTAACCTGGTGTGAAGATAATAGAAATTTAATTGGAATTTGATAAGATTTGATGCCGTTCGAATAATTGGAATTAAAAATAGAAACATTGAAATTTTACATGCATAAAATGTTAAATTAATCAGCTAAATTTTAATTGAAACAATTAAAGCGAAATCGCCAGATCATCTTAGTCGAGCTAACAAGAAATTCTATACAATCTCGTATAAATCTTTGACGTAAATTTCTTGTCTAATATTTTTATTTTAATTGATGGTATGCCCTGAATAAAAAAATATTTAATTTTCTAAAAAAAATATTCAATTTAAATTATTTTGTGTTTCACCCCAATTTAAGCTCATAATCTAATTGTTATTGTTTTCATATTTCGCTGATAACAGTTTTTTTAAAAAAATGATCTTATTATTAACATATATATAATGTAAATTAAATCTCTACTTAAGTATATTGTTCTAAAATTTTTGGAATTTTCTTTTGAATCAGTTTTAATTTTGTTTTTCACCATCTTTTCAAATGGATAAAATCAAAAGTATCATAAACCGTAAAGGTGAAAGTTCGTCTTCATCTTATGAAGGTCATCCACATGATTTAAATGAAAAAGCTGGTATGGAAGTTAATCATAGAGTTGTTAATGATGATTTTGAAGCTGATAGAAAACAACCAGATATTGAATTAGTGGTTTCAAAATCTCAAGAATTCGATCCAGTTACTTCAAATTTAATTGCAGATATTATTGATGATGGTTATGCTGGTGTTCATGTTGAAGATGATTCACCATATCCAGAAGTCAGAGCTGCTGTACCAAGTTCTGATGACTTTGAAATGCCACAAGCTACTATTAGAGCTTGGACTTTAGGTTTGATTTTAACTACAATTGGTGCAGCTATGAATATGTATTTTTCACTTCATTCTCCAACAATTGTTATTTCAACTATGGTTACATCAATTTTAGCTTATCCAATGGGTAGATTTTGGGCTTTTGCTATACCAAATGTTAAAATTTTTGGTATGCCATTAAATCCTGGTCCTTTCAATTTAAAAGAACATGCAGTTATTACAATTATGGCTAATGCTTCTTTCAATGGTGGTGCTGCTTATGCCACTGATATCTTGGTTTCTATGAATAAATTTTATAACATTGATTTTGGTGTTGGATTTGCTTTAGTTGCAATTCTTTCTACAAATTTAATTGGGTTTTCATTAGGTGGATTAATTAGAAAGTTCGTTGTTGATAGTCCTGGTGCTATTTGGCCACAAAATTTAGTTACATGTATTTTCTTAACTAATATGCATATCAATGAAAATCATCCAGCAAATGGTTGGAGAATTTCAAGATTATGGTTTTTCTTAATTGTTTTCATCGGTGGATTTATTTATTATTGGTTCCCAGGTTATATTTTCACCGCATTATCTTATTTTTCATGGATTACTTGGATTAAACCAAATAGTCCAACTATTAATCAAATTTTTGGTTCATCTTCTGGTTTAGGTATGCTTCCAAATTCATTTTCATTAGATTGGAATCAAATTGCTGGTTATGTTGGTTCACCATTAATTCCACCAGCAGGTACTATTGCAACTATTTTCCTTTCAATGATCCTTATTTTCTGGATTATTGTTCCAGCTATTTCATTCACAAACACTTGGTATGGTGATTATCTTCCAATTTCTTCATCAGGATCATTTGATAGATATCAATTAAAATACAATGTCAGTAGAATTATTGACAAAAAGACTTTAACTTTTAATGAAAAAGCTTACAAAGAATATTCTCCATTGTTTTTATCAACTACATTTGCTATTTCATATGGTTTATCATTCGCTTCAATTTTAGCTACTATTGTTCATACTGTTTTATTCCATGGTCCAGAAATTGTTGATCAATTTAAACTTAAAGAAAAACCAGATGTTCATAATAGATTAATGGCAAGATATAAAAGAGTTCCAGAATGGTGGTTTTTAATTTCTTTCCTTATTTTCTTTGCTTTATCTATCGTTACAATTAGATGTTGGGATACTGAAATGCCAGTTTGGTGTTTAATTGTTGCTTTAATTATTGCAATTGTATTCTTATTACCGGTTGCTATTATTTATGCTAAAACTAATATTGCAGTTGGTTTAAATGTCGTCACTGAATTTATTATTGGTTACATGTTACCAGGTAAACCAATTGCTATGATGTTTTTCAAAACTTTTGGTTATATTACTAATAATCAAGCTGTTACTTTTGCTCAAGATATGAAATTAGGTCACTACATGAAAATCTCACCAAGAAACTTATTCTGGTCACAATTCATTGCTGCTATTTGGTCATGTTTTGTTCAAATTGGTGTTATGAGATGGTCATATGGTGCTATTGATGGATTATGTGAACCAGATCAAGCCTCATCTTTCAACTGTCCTGGTGCTAAAGTTTTCTTCAATGCTTCAATTATCTGGGGTGTTATTGGGCCACAACGTCAATTCTCACATGGTCAAATCTATTACGGATTATTATTTTTCTTCATTGTCGGTGCTATTTTACCAGTTGTAAATTGGTTAATCTTGAAAAAATGGCCAAACAGTTTAATCAAGTATTTACATTGGCCAGTCTTCTTCTCAGGTACTGGGTTAATTCCTCCAGCCACTCCATACAATTATACGTCATATTGTTGTGTTGGTTTGATTTTTGGATGGTGGATTAAAAGAAAATATTTCCACTGGTGGGCTAAATATAATTATTCTTTATCAGCTGGTTTAGATATTGGTCTTGCTTGGTCATTATTGATATTATCATTAGCTTTAGGTTTGACTCAAACTGAATTCCCAAGTTGGTGGGGTAACAACGTTGTTAATGGAACCTTAGATACCAATGTTACTACAAACATTCGTAAAATACTTAATGAGGGTGAAAGTTTTGGTCCTTCAAGTTGGTAATTGTGTAAATATATATATAAGTATTTGTCTAAGTGTACAATACAAACAGTTTTTAATTTCGAATTTTGAATATTGTATCAGTAAATTTGATCCTAAACTACTATTGTTTTAAAACCAAACTAAATTTTAACACTAGGAGCTGACAAACAAAAATATATTTCTCTCATTTTTCTAAAAAATCAAGACAAAAAAGAGCAAAAAAATGACTTGGACGAGATTTGAACTCGCGCCTCCGAAGAGATTAGAAGAATAAAGCAAAGATGTAATCAGATCACACCGATTCCTTACTCTAACGCCATAAACCGGACTCGGCCACCAAGCCTATATCTGAGTTTTGCTAATGCTGTGTTTTTTATCACTTCAAAAATTTTACCAAACTCACCACTATGTACGAGTTTTTTCAATTTAATAATTGACTCAAAATTCTTTCGGATTTTTAAGAAAACACCAATAAGTGTATTATCGCATTATCGTATTTTCTTTGATTTCTTTATTTTGGAATTCAGCGAAAAGTACGCTTATTACAAGCTTTTATGACTTATCTTTTTTTTGATAAAAACAAAAAAATTGTAGTTTACATTTTGTTGCAAAAACTTTATAAAAATTATACAATTTTCTCACCAAAAATCTACTGCTACTAATAATACAGACTCTTCAATCTACTAAAGTATTGAAGAGTTAGAAAAAAGACTTTTTTCAAAATAGTTCTGCATTTCTATTGAATTTATCATGAATTAATTTCAGAATGTTTAATTTATTTAAGTATTGTAGTAAAGATGTGTTTTGATACTTTAATTTTAAGGTACACATTTTTCAGGTACCATAAATTGAAAAGAAATTAAATTCATTTTACAAATCGTCTAAAATTAACAATAAAGTTGGAAGTTTCTTTATTAAGTCGTTTAGATTATTATATTTGGTTTATTTAAACAACAAATTATCGTCTAAAATTTACATTATTCAACAATATGACACAAAAATTACTTATTATTAAAATATATTGTTAAATAACTATCCAATCAACACTACATAATCACACAACACTTACTACCAGAGCCTAATTTTGAATGATTTTTAGTAGATTGATTTACTCTTTGTTGTTGTTGTTGTTGCTGCTGCTGTTGTTCCTTTTCAGGTTCGACATTATTAATTCCATTTTTATTATTATCCATCATTATACTATTTTTTGGTTGATCTAATTTTTGTTTTTCCTTTTGTTGTTTTCTCTCGGCACTAATAGCAGCTTCTTTTCTCATAATTTGTCTTACAACATCGACAAACGCTTCATCAACGTTAGTTTTATACATCGCACTAGTTTCATAAAATGGCACCAAACCCCAATCTTGACTAACTTTAACACCATCTTCAATAGAAAGTACTCTATCCTCATCTAAATCACATTTGTTCCCAACCAAAACCATAGGTACATTCTCACTATCTTTAATCCTTAACACTTGTTCACGTAATGCTAATAGTTCTTTTAATGAATTTTCATCAGTTACTGAATAAACTAAAAGAAAACCTTTCCCACTTTTTATATAAAGTTCTCTCATTGCAGTAAATTGAGCAACACCAGCAGTATCTAAAATTTCCAAATCGCAAGCTCTTCCATCAACTTCAATTTGTTTTCTATATGAATCTTCAATAGTTGGATCATAACTTTCAATATAAACACCTTGAACAAATTGTACTGTTATTGAGGATTTACCAACCCCACCAGCACCAAGAACAACAACCTTATAATCTTGAAAATAATTAGTATTAATTTATAATCTTAACATATACTCTAATTGAACATACCTCTCATCTATAGTTTCTTGATAAACTGTTTACCTTTTTTGATAAATTAAAATAAGTTTTTTTAATTAAAGTGATAAATATTATTACGCGATTTTTTTAACTCTAAGTTTATCTGGAGTACTAGAGTTTAAACTACATTAATTTATTTCATTCAAGTTAGGGACCAACCTAAACGTGCAAATTATATTAAAATTAGCCTTTGAATCAAATACTTATTATTCATTACTTGTTAAAGAAGATAAACCCAATAAACCTAATAAACCAAATTTAAAATATACGTTTTCACTTATTAATATAGTAATATAACCAATAAATGGTAAATAACCTTTAACGGTACCTACTAAATCATTTTTTTGATTAAGATATGATTGTTTCTTAGCATATAATGATAAATCATCTACTGCATTATTATCACCTTTTGTTAATAATAATTGTTTTTCCAGATTATGATGTTCTCTTAAAACTCTATGTACAATTGGTATAGTTTTACCTTCTATTTCGTAGACAACTATATCTCCAACTTTCTGTTGTTTGTCTCTATTCCATAAAAATAATATATCACCTCTTTGAAAAGCTGGTTCCATTGATCCTGATAATACAACAACTATTGGTGAATGAGAATTTGCTAGTATCGATAATGATTTCCAAATCATAAAAGCTGATGAAAATACATAAGCAAGGGTTAAAAATTGCGTTAACTGCTGACGTAAATTCATTATAGTGTTGTTAAATAAGTATTAAATAATTCTTCGTGATTGTTATGTAATTTTAAGAAACGTAAAGAAAGGAAAAACAAAAAAATCAAAAGTAAATTATATTTCGTTGTTCTCTTTTTTTCTTTGTTTCATATTAATCATATAATTACCTTAATGGATTCAGATGATACTTCAAAACCTCGTCCAAGTTTTCCAATCAGGAATCCTAGTGTCTCATTCAGTGACATAGAATCTCAAGAAAGATTGAAAAGATTTACAATATCATCACAACCATCATCAACTAACGTTTTGGATCATGAAAATATATTACCTCTAACTTCAAATACAACTACATCCTCTGGTTTACCATCTAGACAATCATCATTAAAGAGAAAAGATGAAAGTATATCATTCAAAGTGAAAGAACCAAGTCCACCTTTTGAACCAATAAGTACGAGTTCATCAAGAAGAGGATCCATCAAGAAAAATAAAACTATAGTTGCTTCGCCTGTTGGACCGCCTGTTCCATTCCAAGAATATTTGTCGAAAGAAGATGATGGAAAATTCCATATTTTATTAGCATGTACTGGATCAGTTGCAACTATTAAAGTTCCATTGATTGTTGATAAATTATTTCAGAATTTTGGTCAAAAAATATCAATACAATTAATTGTTACCAAGTCTGCTACTCATTTTTTAAAAGGTTCAAAAATAAATGCAGATGTTAAAGTTTGGAGAGATGAAGATGAATGGACAAACTATAATGAAATATACTCTACCACCACCAGCTCAACAGAGCAACCACCACCACCACCATCGTCACAACAACAACAACAACAACAACAACAACAACTTTCAGTCAATAAAAAACCTAAAAATCCATACGATAAATTAATATTTCACAATTACTTAAGAAAATGGGCTGATATAATGTTGGTCGCTCCTTTATCAGCAAATACATTAGCTAAAATTTCAAATGGTATAGCAGATAATTTATTAACTTCACTTATTAGATCATGGTCACCTTCACAACTTAAAAAACCAATACTTGTAGCTCCAGCAATGAACACATTTATGTATACCCATCCAATAACTTCAAAACAATTAAGTACTATATCATCCCCTGATTTTGGAATTGAAATCTTGAAACCAGTTGAAAAAATTTTGGTATGTGGTGATATAGGTATGGGTGGTATGAGGGAATGGACAGATATAGTTGATATTATGAGAAGAAAAATTTCAACGTTGAAAGCTGAAAAAGATAGTGTTGACGATGTTGAAGAAGAAGAGGAAGAGGAAGAAGCTGACGAAGAAGGAGACGATTCGGAAGAAGATGACGATGACGATGATGAGGACGAAGAGGGTCTGGGAAATGAAAGTGAGGAATATATATTTAATTCAGAACAGGATCAAATTTCAATTAATATTATTTAAGTAAGGTTTTTAGATATCTTGTTGTATTTATTCAAAAATAAATCATATTTAATTATTTGATAGTATTCTCTGTATCTTTGGAATTAGTGTTTGCTCCTTGCTAGATATAAATCTGTTTTCTTGGTTTCAGACTTGTTAGTATCTCACTTCGAAGTGTGCTTACGGAAAATAAGGAAGTTGATATAAGAGTTGACCTTTCGTTACTTTTCTAGTTAAAAACTCAATTTATAAGGCGACAAAGACGCTGGAAATTTGCCTAACCTTTGCTTCGATGCAATTGTCACAACTTTTCATCTGAGTCAATATTGTGTATTTGTTCAAAAAATAAACTACATTCTACTATAAAAACGACGATTCATTTAATTTGGTGATAAGATACGCCAAGTAGAATAATTATTGCAGAAAACTACAACAATTTGAATTAAGTCAGCAATGTTATATTGAGATCCCATAAACCCCCCGATTTAAAGAAACTTATTTAGTGACTATGATGCATGGCTAAGGGAATTAAATATGAACTAAAATACAGATTTGTTTTATTAGCCATACCAGCATAAGCATTGTATAAACCACATACACTAACTGCTATTCCGACACCAGCACCAGCCTTAATAACCACTGGCATAGCGATAAGATAACCAATACCTTGTAACAAAAAAGTCATAAAAATGAAGAAAAACATTGCAACTAAAGAAACAACTGATTTCAAAGTACACATTAATAACATAAATGAAACAAGTGCCCAACCTATTAAGTAGATTCCAATTGCATTTTCTAATTGTGTTGGATCTTCCGTCATATATGCTTTCACAATACCAAAACTTTCAATTTGAATAGCTCCAAAAGATAAGAAAAATGCACCATATGATCCAAAAGCGACGTATGAAAAAGTATTACCACGGAAAAAATCCCAAATTGACGCAAGAATTTGAAGAAGTCCAGCATAGAAAATACACAATGAAACAATCACATTTGGAGTATGTATACCTCTAGTATTTAATCCATAAAGACTGAGCACTAGATTCGAGATTGAAAATGAAACTAAACCAATACAAGTAGCATTACCAAACTCCCTTGGTTTATGTAATCCAACATCCATAGTTCCTCCAAAACTCTCTAATAAATCTTTTCTAAGATATTTCTTGTTTCCAAGTATAACATATTCATTATTGTCACCAAAAGTTCTTACTTTACTGACAGGATAAGTGGAATCATCATCCAACTCATGTTTGGAATTAATAGAAATAGAATCAGTTGACATTTTTAATATCTAGTGATTGTAGTGGTTTACGTTGAAATTTCAAAATACAAAATTATAGATATTTATGACTGATTTTATATTTTTGCAGCCAACATGGTACCTCTCGTAAAAAAGAAACACAATCTCGTAAATCTTAACAAAAGCAAAATTAATTTTTTCCCCACAAAATATTAAAATAACAGACAAAACTTATTTGAAGAAGTTGTTGAAAATATGCTAAACAGCTTAATATGGGGGATATTTACATACCCATTTCGAATACCCCAATTTTATGGTCGACGAAATTTTCTTGGATCTTGAGTTTTACAGTGTTGATCAAAAAGTTCAAGGGATAAATTTGCGGAGAATTAACATATTCAACATATCAAATTACTATTTACCTTCTATTTAATCTTGAATTTGTAAAATATTTAAAATTGGGGAAACATTATATTCACGTACTAATGATAAATATTTTGGATTTTTACTTAAATTAAATAATGAAGTAGTTGATTTATGATTATTTACGATATCTTTTATAAATTTATATTCATCATTATAATTATTTTTACCTAAATGATTTTTAAAATTTTCTCTTAATATTTTTGAGAAAATTAAAGGACATTTTAAATCTAAATCTGACAACCAAACAACTAATAATTCATTTAATTCTTTGATCAAAATTTTAAAATTAATTTGAGTCGATCCTATTAAACTAATTTTTAAATTTAATTTTTGTAATTCCTTTTTGTTTGGTATCAGTTGATAATTGATTTTATCATTTAAGATGAAAGTTATTGATCTTCTTGTATTGAAAACTGCTTCAAAATTATAATTTAAAGCATTAAGGAAAAATTTAAAACAATTAGCAAATCTTTTTAAAAATTCTTTATTTTCAAATAATTGTTTACCGTTTAAAATTAATTCTATATTAAATTCCATATTTGGTGACGCAATCATGTATTTATTTAAATCTTTTAAATCAAATTCTATTGAAATATCCCAATCATCACCAACTCTTTGAATATTTGGCATTGTTGTTAATGACTAATATGAATTTTGAAAAATATTCTTGGGAAATGGACTGAGTTTATAAGATTATAATAATTTGACACGAAGGTATTGTTAATCATTTCTGAAACATATTGACGATAATTAATTTAATATTTTTTAAGTCTGAAACACACAATGTCATGTTTTTTGGGACACGTCAAAAATGATGTTTTATTGAAGATTATAGTTGTTACCGTATTTTGCAATATAATCAATTGCTTGTCAAAGTAAGAAATCGAAGTAAGGAGAGACTTATGAGCTTATTTGAACTACTTTGAATGCCTCACATGAGAGAACAATGAACATGATATTATTCCTACGAGGAGCAAAAAAAACATATATTAGTAATAACATATTGTAATGACTCAGAATCATATAATTTGTAACATATTTTCACAACTCTGAAAAATAATATTATTTTATGAAACAGATCTTTAATTTACTCAATTTTACATGATATCGCATGCATCAGGTACATAAGTTAGAAAATGATCTAGCGCTCTTGACGACACTTCAAATCAATGTCACAAACAAAGAATAACGACAGAGAGTAATGAAATTAATTTCAACGATTGTGATTTATAAAAGATGAGAATTTCATTTAGATAATAGTCAAATCTTTGAAACTTTAATCGTAAACTAAATTAAAGATCTTAGATCTGTAAATTTCAAAAGATCTTATTATTTTAAGATAAACAATACTTATAATAATTTAAATAATTTCAAATAAAAAAAAATGAATAATTTCATCCAAGAAAAAAAAACTGAAATATGATATGAAATTTTTATCCGAATTTAAATCTCTCAAGAAAAAAAAGAAAAATCTTTTACGAATATTTTGATAGGTTTTTTGACTTAAATTATATTTTATCTGAAATATTTAATCACAAGAGCTTTGAAAGGGTGGTTGTTAGTATAAAAACGACTTATGATCAAAATTTATAGTGTTCTTTTAAAGTTAAAAGATGGGCCTGCCAAACAATTTTTGAATATGAAGACATCTGATTGTTGAGTAAATTAGTTGCAGATCAAAGTTGGAGCCGTTTAGTAATTAAAAATTTTTAGTGTCAAACCTTAATTATATTGACATACACATCATGCACAATACTTTTAATTATCTTGAACTTTGAATTATTCGTCAGTTTTGAACCATAATTTTTTTTTTTTCATAAAATGCCTTGTGATTACTTTTCTTTTTTTATCTTATCGTAATGAATTAATTTATCTAACGTTTCTCCAGGCGTCAGATTCAGGGGAATTATTTTTTTTCTTTTTTCATCATTAATATACTTACAATTTAGAATTTATACTGATGTCAAATTTGAGATGCCCATAACCATATAAAAAATAAACCACTTCAACAACATAAATATAAAGAATAATACATAAAATAATTATTGTTTTCAACAATAATTTAGATCTGAAATACATTATTGGTAAAATTATAACTTGTACATTTAATATGTCTCATAATCGGAGCAAACCTAATCCAAATTTGATATCTTATACGAATTCAGAGGCATATATTATGTGGAGAGGGTTTAAACAGTTTTTTGTTCAATTTTTACTTCTTTCATACGGCACCAAAATTTGATTTTTAATAGTTAATTGAAAAATTTATTGATTTTTTTTTCTTTTTTTTTCTATCAACTAAATTTTTTTTTTTTCAACTAAAATTAAAAGGAATAAAGTGTGGATATTCAATATTTAAATTCAAAACCAATGAATCGGCATTTGTTTATGCCATACTTATCATCAGCTCATTAATGAATGTAAAAACATCAACGAATAGCTTTATATTTAAACCATTAAACGTTTAATGAAAGTTTAAACAATAAAAAAGGCTTAATAATTCAACTAATTTTTTTTTACAATTATGTTTCAATGCTTTTTATATTATGTAATTAGATAAGAGAGAGGTTTTTGTGTAACGTTTCACATTATGTAGCAAATTTTCGCCTTTACCATAATAGAAAATAGATAACGATTTTATTATTCAACTTCAAATATATAAATGGTTAGGTAAATTCCTCTTTAAATTTTTAAACTCTTCTTTTCTCTTTTTAAATTAGTAATCATGTCAAATTCAAGTGCTATCGAGCCATATGCTTTGGACGAGAAATCTCAGCAAAAGTTTAATGTAGCTACTGATGAAGAATCAAGTGGAGAAATTTATAATCATGATGACGAAACAAATTATTTTCCACAATATGCTGATGAATACAACCCAAGAGGTTATAGAAAACCAACTGAACATGAAGAGAAGACTTTAAGAAGAGTATTAGGTAAATTTCAATATTCTATTATGTTAATGTGTTTTGTGGAATTTGCTGAAAGAGCTTCTTATTATTCTGTTACAGGAATTTTATCAAATTTTATTCAACGTCCATTACCAAAAGATTCTCCACACGGATGGGGGGCACCTCCAAAAGGAAATGACAACGCGCTGGCAGGAGCCTTAAATAGGGGATTACAAACTGCAAGTGCTCTTACAAATTTGGTTACATTTTTAGCTTATGTTGTTCCATTATTTGGCGGTTATATTGCAGATGTAAAATGGAGTCGTTGGAAAACAATTCAATATGGTGTTGTATTTGGTGGTATTTCTCATGTGCTTTTCATAGTCTCCGCTGCACCCAGTTTAATCGAAAATCAAAAAGCAGGATTGGCAATTTGTATACTTGCTATTTTTACGTTGGCTATAGGTACCGGATTCATAAAACCAAATTTATTACCATTAATGCTTGATCAATATGAAACTCCACAATGTGTTAAAAAGTTAAAAAGTGGAGAAGAAGTTATCATTGATCGTGAAAAGACAATTGAGAGTGTTACTCTAGTATTTTATTGGGCTATTAATATTGGTGCATTTTTCCAATTAGCTACATCATACTGTGAAAGAAGAGTTGGTTTTTGGTTAGCATTTTTTGTACCATTAATATTATATTTACTTATGCCAATAGCATTTTGGATTGTTAAACCAAAATTAAAGTTTGAAAAACCTACTGGTAGATCAATTATTACGGTTTTCATTAAAATCTTAACTGTTGCATTGTCAGGTAATTTTATTAAACGTTATTTCGCAGGAACATTCTGGGAATACGCCAAACCAACTAACATGAGAGCAAGAGGTAGAAATTACTTCAATTCCAGAAAACAATCACCAATTACTTGGACTGATCAAGATGTTTTAGATGCTAAACAAACCGTTGATGCCTGTAAAATTTTCTTTTACTTTATTTTTTTCAATTTAGCTGATAATGGGTTAGGATCAGCTGAAACTTCATTGATTGGTGCTATGACTTTAGATGGTGTTCCAAATGATTTATTTAACAATTTCAATCCATTAGCCATTATTGTTTTAATTCCAGTTTTAGACTACATTGTTTACCCATTATTAATGAAATATAGAATTCCATTTAGTACAATTGCTAAAATTGCAGTTGGTTTTATTATTGCAGCAATGTCACAAGTTGCGGGTGCAGTATTACAACATAAAGTTTATCAAACATCTCCATGTGGAAATCATTCAACCAATTGTGAATCCCCAGCTCCAATTTCTGCATGGCAAGCATCAAGTATTTATATTCTTGCAGGTGCTAGTGAAGTTTTCTGTATGACTACAATTTATGCTTTAGCTTATACAAGAGCTGCTCCATCAATGAAAGGTATGACTATGGCTTTATTCTTATTTACTTCAGCTATTAGTGCTGCTATAAGTTTAGCCGTTACAGCTGCATTAATTGATCCATATCTTATCATTGTTTTCGGTGTTATTGGTGGTGTTTCATTCCTTGCTGGTATAGTTGTTTATATACAATTCTATAACTTGGATAAAATTATGGCTGAAGAAGAAGCTGAAAGAGAAAGAATGATTGCCGAAGAAGAACATGAAGAAAAATCACATATACCAGAAACTGTTTTGGATCCAATCAATAGTAACAACACTGCTTTAGAACCAGTTGTTTCAGCAAGAGCAAACTTAAGATAAGACAAGAACTTTCAATTCATAATATAGAGATAGTGTATATTATTTCAATAAGAGACATTTAATTACGTAAAAAATATTTTGTAGAAATTAATTAATAAGTAATGAGAGAGAATTTTGAATAAATACTCTAAAAACTTGAAACACTTTTTTGTACTCTAAATATTTTAATGTCTATAAAAGAAATAAAAGGCAACGCAACGCAATTTTTTTTTTTGACTAAACAATTTGTTTAAAAATCACCTAAGGTGGCATTATAAGTGGTATTTTTATAATCTTGATAGAAAGTAACATGTTGAGGAACTGAAGAATTGAGACCACATTGTTCATCAAAATTAGTTTTGCCAATTCTCTCATTAATATAACCTTCAAAATCAGATAATTTACATGAGAAACCAGGACCAGTAGCACATTTTGGAATTGGAACAACAGCATCATTTATAATATATCTAACGTAAGAATCAACACCACATTGATATTTTTCAGTATAAATTCTAGCACCTTGTGGTACAATTGATGAATGAACATATGGATTTGGGAATGGAATATAATCGGTTGGTAAGTCATTAGCTGGTTCTAATAAACCTAAAGCAGCATGATAAATCTCTAAATCAGTATCATGTGAGAAAGATAACCAAATTTTGTTTGGGTTAGCATTATCTTTTAATAAAGCTAATGAAGCGTTTAATAAAGTTGCACCAATAGTAGTTGTGAAATTATTACCACCACCATTTGAATAATAATTATTTAAATCGACTGAATAAGAATACTTAATAAATTCTTCATTAGTAAATAAATCGCAAACTGGTGAGCTACCTCTAACATTGATTTCAAAAGCACACCATGAAAATAATCCATTAACATCACTTCCATTTAATTTAAGACCTGGATTTGGTTTGTTTAATCTATCAGCAATAGTAGTTAAGAAAGATGTATTGTATTTAGCAATAGTAGCTTTGTTGGCTGATGAATTATATTTAGGACATGAGTTTCTTGGAGTTAAACTATTAGCACCACTTGTTGCTGCTTCATCGATAATATTGAATTTAACGGTTTTGCCTTCGTTGAAATCATCCCCTAAAAATCCTCTTGCAAAATATCTTGAAGTTTCATAACATCTACCTGAATTTGATGAGAAAACTGGTAAAGTTGAGTTGACATTATATAATGTTCCATATTTTGATCTAAAAAAAGCACCATGTCTTAAAGCATCAGTGGTACCAGCAAAAGTACCTTCAGAATTTTTTGGTGATGTTTCTTTTTCATAATATTGTTTATCTTGAACAAAATAAGTATAATCGTTTAAAAAATGCAAATCTCCATTAAAAGTACCATTATATTGTTTGAATTTACTATAAATACCTTCATATTGCACACCGTTACCTTTTGATGGATATCTTTCACCATGTCTTGAAAATAACTGTACTTGTTGGACTATACAACCATCTGGAATAGCAGGATCAATACCATAAGATTCTCTACTAATATAAGGAGCAGAACCACCAAGGAAATTCAAAATATTGTAACCATCAGTTTTTAATTCTTGAGGAGTTGCAACATCTTGATAAATGTTTTGACTAATTAACAAAAGACCACTGTTAAGTAAATTTGAAACTGATACCATCCTTGATTATTGATGCAAATTTACAATACAATTAAGGAGAACAAATTCTTTCTACTCCTATTTATACATTACTATATCACAATGGTAAGCGATTGATGTAGAAGGGTTATTATCTTTAATTAGGGGAATTAATTAACTGTAATTGGTTTTTGGTATATTTCCACCACGTGTAAAATAATAATTAATATACGAGCCGCATCAATTTATTACCGATCTTTGTTCGATTCCATGGATATTTATAATTCACTTGATAGACCAATAAATCAATTTTTAATGCAAAATTTGTCTTTAAACTTAAATTTGTTGAAAATCTGTACAAACACACAGCGACAATTGAACTATCATCAAAGCGTATACTGTACGATATGTCAAAAGGGTGTCAAATTTTGAATGGTAGTCAAGAAATTTTTTTGACACATCGTATATTTGTTACACAAACTTTAAACTTAGTATTCCACAAAATAATCTCTTTAATTTTACGAACAACAGAAAAACTAAATTATTATTCATTTTTACCGAATAGGAATTAATTATCACCTAAATGGGAGACATCATAATTAGTGCTGTTATAAACTTGATGAAAAGTAAGATGTTGAGGAGCTGAAAAATTAAGCCCACTTTGCTCAACAAAATTGACTTACCCGATTCTAATGTTAAAACACGTTTCGAAATTCTGATAACTTACATGGAAAACTGGACCAGTAGCACATTTTGGAAATGGTACAACTGCATCAATTATAATATATCTTACATATGAGTCTGTACCACATTAATATCTTTCAGTATTTCTTACCCCTTGTGGTACAATTGAAGATACAGTCTTGGAAAAGCAACATGGTCAGTTGGTAAGTCATTTGCAGGCTCTAGAAAACTCAAAGCAATATGATAAATCTCTAAATCAGTATCATTAGTAAATGATAACCAAATTTTGTTATTTCTGGACTCGTCATTTAACAGATTTGAGGAAGCATTTAACAACGTTGAACCAATTATTGTAATCTATACTCAAAACGAGGCTTCTAGTCATCGTCAATTTTGATTAATGAATTGGTTTGAAGTAAATCTCCTTCCACCACGTGTAAAAATTTAATACCCAATGGACCTACTAAATTGAATACCAATTGTTCTTATGACTGCAAATCAAACTTTAATCATATCTAGCGTAATAGCCCGTAGCACGAATTAGTCAAAAACTTAAATTTCGGATAAATTATTAATGCACCATGGGTTCAAAATGGATTAAAATAAAATCTACTTAATTTTTTTACACAAAATCTTATATTATTTTACGTCTTAATTTTACGAACATGAACTAAAAAATAAAAACTAAAAAGTAATTAAAAATCCCCTAACGGAACATTGTATGTAGTGGTATTATAATCATAATAAAATGTGAGATGTTGAGGAACTGAGGAGTTAAGTCCACATTGTTCTGCAAATTTTATATCACCAATTCTACTATTGATGTACGTTTCAAAATCAGATAATTTACATGAAAATCCAGGACCAGTAGCACATTTTGGAATCGGAACAACAGCATCATTTATAATATATCTAACATATGAGTCAGAACCACATTGATATTTTTCAGTATAAATTCTAGCACCTTGTGGTACAATTGATGAGTGTACATATGGATTTGGGAATGGAATATAATCAGTAGTTAAATTTTCTGGTGGTAAAAGTATACCTAAGGCACTATGATAAATTTCCAAATCTGTATCATGTGAAAATGATAACCATATTTTATTATACTCTGAGTTATCTTTTAATAAAGCCAATGAGGCATTTAATAATGGAGCACCCATAACTCTTGTAAGTTCATTGCCCATTGAATTTGAGTAAAATTTTGACAAATCTTGAGCATATGAGTTTTTAATAAATTCTTCATTGGTGAATAGATCGCAAACTTGAGATTTCCCTCTAACATTAATTTCATAAGCACACCATGAAAATAATGACGAAACGTCTTTAGATGTTAAATTAAGACCTGGATTCGGTTTATTTAATCTATCAGCAATGACTTGTAAATATGATGTATTATATTTTTTAACTAACGCATCATTTGCTGAGGAGTTATATTTTGGACAAGCATGTTTAGGAGTTAATGTGTTTACACCCATTATGTCGGCTTCATCAATAATATTGAATTTAACAGATTTACCTTCATTAAAATCATCCCCTAAAAATCCTCTTGCAAAATATCTTGCAGTTTCAGTAACTCTTCCTGAATTTGATGAAAAAACTGGTAAAGTTGAGTTGACATTATATAATGATCCATATTTTGATCTAAAAAAAGCACCATGTCTTAAAGCATCAGTGGTACCAGCAAAAGTACCTTCAGAATTTTTTGGTGATGTTTCTTTTTCATAGTACTGCTTGTCTTTAACAAAATAGGTGTAGTCGTTTAAAAAATATAAATCTCCTTTAAAAGTCCCATTGTGTTGTTTGAATTTATCGTTTATAGCTTCAAAACTTTTACCATCGCTTTTTGATGGATATCTTTCACCATGTCTTGAAAATAATTGTACTTGTTGAACTGTACAACCATCTGGAATAGCAGGATCAATACCATAAGACTCTCTACTAATATAAGGAGCAGAACCACCAAGGAAATTCAAAATATTGTAGCCATCAGTTTTTAACTCTTGTGGAGTTGCAACATCTTGATAAATGTTTTGACTTATTAACAAAAGACCACTATTAAGTAAATTTGAGACTGAAACCATCTTTGGTAATGGAAGTAACTAAATTAATTGAACTGACATGGCATGTAGTTGAGTATTTATAACAAAGAGGTATTTGATTTGGTTTTAATTCCACGTGTATTTCAATTTATTGATATTTATTGTTTTAAATTTTGAAACCTAATTTTTGTGATTTAAAAATTGGAAAAGTTCATAATCTTATTGTTTCAAAGAAATTATTTAATTAATTGGACTACAAAAATTCCTCGGAATGAACTGCATCTTCTCAATCTATTTACAATATTTATTTCTTCGGTAAAATTAATCTCATTTTACTTACAGTGAATACACCGATTAAATCATTTGATTTTAAAGAATTTAAAATTTCCCTTTCTTCTGGCCAATCTAGATCAGTATCGGATTTATTATTATCCATTTTTCTAGATGTAAAATAATTTATAATTTCATTCATACTTTTCCCCTTTTTTGCTAACCCTGGTTGAATTTTGGCTTTGTATTTAAATTTTTGTAAGGCTGACCATGGAGCAAATACTGGAACTAAACCAACGATTGTATCAATAGAACTTGGTTTTGGTGTCATCAAGTCCATTGTATTGAGAAAAGTTGCCAACAGATTATCTTCCTCTGATTCTAGTAATATTTTTTGAATTTCTCTTTCATGTTGCTCCTTGTTGTAATTGTTTGGTTTTGCTTCTACTGGTTGAGACTTTTGGTTTTGTTTTTGCTTTATATCAACATCCTTCTTTTTCCCACCAAGCATATTCATCCTCAATACTTTTTCTTCTTCATCTTGATCAGCATACTTAGCAGCTTTTTTCATCTTCGCTTTTTTACCCCTCGATGATATTTCTTCACCAACTTCTTCCAGATCTTGCCCTTCTACTGCTTCAACTTCTGGCTCAGCATCTTTGACGTTTGTGATTTTTACATCCACACCTTTCTTTTTGTTATCTAAAATTCTGACTATTCCGTGCTCTTTATCTCTACCAACTCTTTGTTCTTCATGCAATTTTGCAGATTCTTCATCAACTAAACAATAAAAGCCAAATCCCATTACTAATTGAGCTGGTGGTAAGAATTCTTTTTTAGCTAAATAATTAAATTCTCCAGGAGGTAATATACCAGAAGAATTGTATTTTGATACTTCTGTACCATGTAAGATCCAAGCAGCAGTGTTTATTTTACCAGTCCATGCATGAGAAGTTGACATTGAGAATATACCAGCTTGTAATATAGTTGAAGGTGGAATTGATTCACCCTTCATTGGATTTTTAATAAAGACTTTCAATGACCCTTCTATTTCTGAACTCACCAAGAAATCATCATCACTGAAATATTTAAAATAGATCAAATCGGTTTGCATATTATCTCTACCAGCTAAACACAAGTATCCTTCACTTGTTACAAACCAGAAAAATTTCTCAAACCAAAACTTTTCTCTTTCATCCTTTTGTTTGAAACCGTTTTCACGTTGCAAATTTTTAACCAAATCTTGTCCAATTTTTTTTTCAGCATTTTTGTATGCTATTTCTGCTCCTTTTTCAACTTTGGCTTGTTTTATTTCAGCTTCCTTTTTATTGTCAAAATAATATCTAGCATTGGCAAATGAACTTTTGGTGATATCTATGCTGACTGAAACACCTTGTGCTGTATGCTCTTTTATTTTACGTTTTGGAGTATCTTCGAAATCACTATCGGAGTCGCTACTACTTTCGCTTTCCAGTTCTATTTCAGTTTCTTTCACTTCTGGATCTTCTAATTTCAAATTGACTCTATTATCTTTCAAGTTTAATGGCAATTCAACATAATTTGCAATCGAATTTTTCTTTCTTTTCTCCATTTTCAATGCCAATTCGATATTTGTCCAGTCCATTTGTTTGTCAACAAAACTTTGTATATATTGCCTACATTCATCGACTATATTGGCGTGAAGCTGTATTAATTCACCCTTTTTAGCATTAATTGCTTGTTCGTTTTTCAAATCTTGAATTTCTTGATCTCTTTTGGTTCTAGCCTTTTCTAATCGTTCGGCAGCTAGCTTCTTTTGTTGGATTACTTTTTCGGATGACTCATTGATATGCAATTCATTGATTTTCTTATCTAACGTTGAGGTGGTTGACATTTTCAAGTTTTGAAAAGAAATTATGATGTAATACATACAAAGATGAATTTTTTCAAAATATGAAACAAACCAAATTGGATTGAGCCGCATTCATTCATCACAACTTAATCAAAACAACTACAAGTAATGAAAGATATAGATCTTGACAAATTAGTGAAAGCCATCGAAAAGGGTAAAAAAGTTACGTTTTTCAATGGTGCAGGTATATCAACCTCAGCTGGTATACCAGATTTTAGATCTCCTGACACTGGATTATACTCAAATTTAGCAAAATTAAATTTACCATATGCTGAAGCGGTATTTGATATAGATTATTTTAAAGAAGACCCTAAACCATTTTATACATTGGCTACAGAGCTTATGCCTGGTCAATTTCCACCAACGAAATTTCATTATTTAATTAAATTATTTCAAGATAAAAATAAGTTAAACAGAGTTTATACCCAAAATATAGATACATTAGAGAGACTTGCTGGAGTTGAAGATGAAAATATAGTTGAAGCTCATGGATCGTTTGCATCCAACCATTGCATTGAGTGCAAAGAAGAGATGTCTTCTAATACTTTCAAAGACTTAATGGAAAAAGGAATTCCAAATTGTGAATCATGCAAAGGATATGTCAAACCAGACATTGTATTCTTTGGAGAAGGCTTACCTAAGAAGTTTTTCAGTCTGTGGGATGATGATTGTGATAATGTTGAAATAGCTATAATTGCAGGAACTTCATTAACTGTCTATCCTTTTGCATCTTTACCATCAGAAGTTGACAAAAAATGTATTAGAGTATTAGCAAATAAGGAGAAAGTCGGAGACTTGGGAAGTAGAAAAGATGATATATTAGCTCTTGGAGGATGTGATGAATTTGCCGAAAAAATTGCTAGATCGTTAGGTTGGGAAAAAGAATTAGATAAACTATACGATGAAGGTCAAAATAAATATACCACCAAAAAAGAATCAGAGCAAGAGAAAATTGAAGATATAAAATTTGAGTTAAAGAAAGTTGATATTAAAGAATCAAAATTTAAAAATGAAGACAAAGATGAAGTTGATATAGATGTTTCAAATTTAATTGAAAAATTAAAAATATAGAAGAAAAAAAATTTGGCAACCAAAATTAAAAAAATTGTTTACAAACAATTTTTAAACAGTTATGTCAAGAATTAATAATAGTCAATATGGGTTTATGACTACTACTGATGATATTGTAAGTAAGAGGATCGGAACAACTACAATAAAACAAGTTGAAAGGGAAGCTGTAATGGCAATTAATCTCCTGAAATTTGATAAAATGGATGTTGGAATTGCAATTTTAGACTTCAAAATCTCAGAGCTTTTTTTAATTAATTTTAATGATTCACCATCATTTGTTAGAACTGTTAATCAAATTGATATTCATACTCCAACAACAGTTATAATTCCAGATTGTCAACAGATTGAAAAATTAAAGTTTGTGTTACTTTCAAATCTTGATGATGATGTCAAACAAAAATTGGGAAAATTGAAAATGTTTGATCCTTTAGTTGGTAGAGAAATATTGAAAGAACATCTGTTAAATGAATTCAATTGTAATGACTTAGTTGCGGGTGCCGCTGGTGCTCTTATAAATACTTGCGAGGAAATGAGATTAATCAAACCAACAAATAAATTTAAAATAACACATGTTGAAAATCGTAAATTCATGTTGATTGATTCTTCTACAATAAAAGACTTGGAGCTTGTTTCAAGTTCGAGTGATAAAGGTCTTACATTTTTCAAATTTATAAACAAATGTACCACCAAAATGGGTCAAAGATTGTTGAGAACGTCAATTTTGCAACCCTTAACCGATGTTGAGGACATCAAATTAAGATTAGAGTCAGTAACAGAATTGAAAAACGAAGATCAAATATTATTTTGTATTAAAAGTAAATTGAAACAATTACTGGACTTGGATTCATTATTTTCTCATTTATTAGATGATTCTGGTAATCAAGAACAACGAGTTAATAATATTTTGTTACTAAAAACAAATTTAATGTTGATAGTCGAATTAGAGGAATGTTTAAATGTGAACTCGCCAATTTTACAACAGATCAAGGAAATATTTCAACATAAAAACATTGGGAAATCGTTAGAGTTAATTGACAAATATATAAATGAAGACTGTAGAATCACCAAAAATAATCGTGTTGAAATTGCTCATCAAAGAGCGAATGCAGTGAAAAGTGGACTCAATGGATTTTTAGATGTTTCAAGAAGTGTAAGGGACAAAATATTGAAGAAGTTAATGATTATGTTCAAAAACTTGCTGAAGAACATGATCTAAACATTGATTACAGGTACGATCAAATCAGAGGATTTTACTTAAGAATTAAAATTAAAGAAAAGCTTACATTGCCAACAGAATTTACTAATATTATTCATAAAAAGAATATAATTGAATGTACTACTATAGATTTGCTAAAACAAGGTTCAAGATTGAATGATATCGTAAATGAAATCAACGTTGTTAGTAGTTCACTCATTAAAGAATTATATGAACAAAGTCAAGATAACTTACCAATATTTTTTATGGTTTCAGAATCAATTGCCATGCTTGATATGTTGTGTTGCTTTGCAGACTTTGTCAATTCACAAACTGGTTCATACACATGTCCGGAATTTGGCAATTATACTCATATTCGTCAATCTAGACATCCTATATTTGAAACTTTATTTGAATTTATTCCAAATGATTATTCATGTGTTCCTGAGCTTTCAAGATTTCAAATTATAACTGGTGCAAATATGAGTGGTAAATCAGTTTACATCAAACAATTTGCTTATATTTTAATTATGGGTCAAATGGGGTTATATGTACCTGCTGATTACGCCATTATCAAAATTCATGATAGCATATTTTCTCGTCTTTCATCAGATGCTCATATAAACACTTCAACTTTTGCAAATGAAATGAATGATATGAATAATATTTTGAAAACAGCTGATGACAATAGTTTATTATTGATTGATGAATTGGGTAGAGGTTCAAGTTTAAGAGATGGGTTTGCCGTTTGTTTAGCTATATTAGAGCATTTGACTTTTTTGAGAGCTACTGTTTTCACAACTACTCATTTTCAAGAAATTGCAGAAATTTTAGGTAATAAATCTTGTGTTTTATCTTCTCATATGAAATCAGTTGAACAATATGGGAAATTAAAATCTGAATTTAAGTTAGAAGCTGGGAAATTGGGGACCGAAAGATACGGTATAAATTATGCTGAATCATCACAGATTTTACCATCAGAATTAATTACTTGTGCCAAAGAACTAATTGAGCCATTAAAATCAAAATCAATTAAAAATGACTCAAAATCAATGTCTAAGAGAAGAAAATTAGTTTTAGAATTATACTTTGCCTTAACTCAATTGAAAAATTTAGATTGTGATATAAATTATAAATTAGATTTGTTAAGAACCTTACAAGCTAGATTTGTTGATGAGATTAATGAAGCTACTGCCACTAATTAAAATTTTTTTCTATATAGTCTATAGAAGAATCTCATATTTTCTAGTTTTAATGGGTATACAACTTCTTTTTCGTGAATTCTATACCATATACTATCGTTTTCTGAAACTATTTCCCATGCACCGTTATCTTCACCTGGTTTACCAATTAAAATCGTATCTATAAGGAACTGTACAGGAAACTTTCTTTCTCCAATTGTTATATGTGAAAATGAACCAGCACTTTCAGCAATTAACAACAATGAATGTTTTTTACAATTTTGACATAACGATTGTAAAAATCTGACGGTTTCTTTTCTTTTTTCTGCAAATAGCTCGCTAGTGGTGAATAACAAAGTTATTAAATCAAATTTTGAAACATCAGTATTACATGATAGTATATCGTCTTTTAGAAATTCAGCATTTAAACTGGATTGATTGTATACCCAAGTATTTTTCATATATGTAGTCAATTTATTCACCACAGTGCCCCAATCTGCAATATCAACTATATTTATATTCAAATTTGAATTGGACGATGGATTATATTCTTTGAGTCTTGAAAAAACAGCACCTAAACCACAAAGCTCAGCTCCTGCTCCCCCACCAACTAATAAGACATTTTTTGATTGTTCTGGTTCTTTCAATAATGACACAATATCCTTTAAACTTGAAAATAATGAAGCATACGCCAAAGCTCTTGCAGGTGTCCATCTTGATGCGTATGCAAATCTTTTATTCTCATCATCAAATGCAGCTAAATAATCTCTGTTATATAAATCACCTTTGACTTTTTGAATGAAACATTGTAGGTCATCTGATTCTAGAATGTGCTTGAAGCAAACTGTAAATGCATCTATGATTTGATATGGTTCCAACAGATCAATACTGGTGAAGGGCAATCCACTCATTTGGAGTGTAAGTGTAAGTTATTCATTTGTAGTATATTATTTAATTTTGTGATTTCTTCTTCTTCTCTTCTCGATATTTTTGATCTACTAAAAAAAGTTTTGATAATTTTTTTTTTTCACTTTCTTCTTCTTTTTCTTTCTTTAACTAATAATAAATCAATCTGTGTCTAGGTGGACTCTCAGCATTTGATAAATCTTTTGGACTTTGATTATGCTGTAGCTGTTTTCCTATTCAGATCGGCGCTCGAGAAGCAAGCTTGATGTACAATAATAGAAACATTTGGAGATCAGTTGATTTTTTGAATCAGTATAATTTTTATTGTTTGAAGTTTTTTCAATATAGCACTATGTTTTGGTTGGTCCTTCATTTCATGAGGTTGAGCGATTGACTTAGTTGTTTGAGAATTAATTAGATGAATTTTGTATATGATTTTCAAACTTGTTGATTTATTGTCGATTACCATTTCTAATGGTCTTAAGCAGAATAGTTCCGTCGACAGATTGTATAGTAACAAGTCGGTCTTGAGCTCATTAAGTTGTAGCTCGGCCATTTTGACTTGAGGCAACATATTCCTGGACTCTGCGCAGGTCATATTTGACCTTTGACGAATTGAGTAAAACCATGTTGCACACATTTTTTATACACTAAAATTTATTTTTGCGCTTTGTTTAAATCACTTTCTTTCTATATTCTTTTTAATCACACTACAAATAAACTCAATGATTACTATATGTCTAATTCAAATCAAAATGTCTTTGGACTGAGTAAAGAACTGCTTACAACAACCATAACTCATGACAGTGCTCCAAAATATAATTCAAGAACAAGTGCTAGTACATTACCTCAATTACCTAAATATCTGTTGTCAACTGATGAAATTGACGAATATGAAGATAATGGACCTACACAAGAATTTGTAGAATTTGATCTCGGAGCAAATAAAACATTTGATTCATTGACAATCCAAAAAGAAGAAGAACCTAAAAATGAACCATTAATAAAAAATGTTAATGAAGAAGAGGACGATTTTTTCACAAATACAAATTCATGGAAAGAAATGAAAACAATCTCGGATCTAGATTTCTATAATGATAAAGGTGAATTACAACATAAATCAAATTCAGGAAAAGACTTTACAAAGGATAATAATTTACATTTTGGTTATACTAAAATTGATACCGAAGAACAAGTAAACAAATATGCAGCATTAGACAAGAAAACAGAGTTTTTGTTCAAAGGTACTACAAAATCTTACGCTAACAAAAATATACTTTTCAATGCTGATGATTCAGATTCAGATTATGATAATGACGATGAATTAGATTCTGGTGAAACTTTAGCTGATACAAAGCAAATGCTTTCGGAGTCTCAAAAATTCGCATATGTTGGTATTACTAAATTATTAACAGTTGACATGGCTACAAATTTAGCAAAAGTTCAATTTGGTACAAATAGTAGAATTGCAAAACAATTGAGTGGTAGTCAAAAGAATTTTTCAAATTGGACTTTGTATGTGCTATCGAAATTATATGAGCATTTGGATGTAAAAGGAGAAGAAAAGTTAATGATTGAAAACTTGAGTAAACATGGAGTTGAATTAAAAGATCTATCAAAAAGTTTAAAAGAAGTAGAATTAAAGAAGCTATCTTATATAGATGATGAATTTGATTTGAGGTGGGTCATTATATGCGACATGTTTTTGCTTTTGCTTAGTGATGGCTATTATGACGCAAGATCAAGATCCTTACTTATGAACTTTGCAGAGACCATTGACATTTCTAGCCTAGAAATTTTGCAATTTGAAAGAAGATTAATGGAATGTCTAGATATGGAAACTAGAGAGAAATCTATTGAAAATAAAGATGAATATTTAAATGATCAATCATTTATAAAACAACAAATCAAGAAAAACAAAAACAAGAGATTGCTTATGATTGGATTAGCTACTCTTGGTGGTGGATTAGCCATCGGATTATCTGCTGGGTTATTAGCTCCAGTTATTGGTGCAGGTATAGCCGCAGGACTTACAACTGTTGGTATAACTGGAACCAGTGGATTTTTAGCTGGTGTTGGAGGAAGTGCATTGATTACTACTGGTGGTGTAGCTATAGGTGCACAAGTTGGGAATAAAGCGGGTGCAAGAAGAGTTGGTGATGTTCATACATTTGAATTTAAACCATTACATAACAACAAAAGATCGAATTTGATAGTAACAGTAAGTGGATGGATGAATGGTGCAATGGATGATGTTAGACTTCCTTTTTCGACAGTCGATCCTGTTATGGGAGATATGTTTTCATTACTTTGGGAACCAGAAATGTTGCAATCTATGGGACAAACAATTGGAATCTTGGCAAGTGAAGCTTTAAGTACTTCAATTCAACAAATTTTAGGTGCAACTATTTTAGGTGCATTAATGTCGGCAATTCAGTTACCAATGGCATTGTCAAAGTTGTCATACTTATTAGATAATCCATGGAATGTTTCATTGGATAGAGCTTGGAAAGCTGGTAAATTATTAGCAGATACGATTCTATCAGGAAATTTGGGGGTACGACCAATTACATTAGTTGGTTTTTCTCTAGGGGCAAGATTAATTTATTCTTGTTTAATTGATTTGGCTAAAAGAAGTGGTTATGGTTTAATTGAAAATGTTATACTACTTGGTTCACCAATTTCAATAAATACAGATCAATTAGCTCAAGCAAGATCAGTTGTAAGTGGTAAATTCATTAATGGCTACTCTAAAAAGGATTGGATTTTGGGGTACTTATTTAGAGCTACTGGAGGTGGTATATCAACAGTTGCAGGATTATCAGCATTAACATCAGTTTATGGAATTGAGAATATTGATTGTACAGAATTTGTTGAAGGTCATATGTCATATAGAAAAGCCATACCTAAAATTTTAAAAACAATGAATTGGGAGGTATTAAGCGAAGAATTTGCTGAAATTGAAGAACCAGACCCTGAACAAAATGAAAGACAAAGAAAATTAATCAATGAATTTGATGAAGCAAGAGCTAAAATGGAAGACCAACCAGAAGAACAACCAAAAGGTTGGAAGAAATGGTTTAAACCAAAGAAAAAAGATTGGTGGGATATATATGAAGATAAAGATGATAAAGGTAAAACCATTGAAGAATATGATGAAACAGCACCAGTATTTGATTTAGATGCTTTAACTAAAGAAGTTAATGATATAGAAAATAAAAAATAATTATTTGTACACAAAAACAAACTATTTTTTTTCTTTAATTTTTTGAGTCAAAAAATTTTTCAATCTTTGATAAGTCCTTAATCAAATCAATCATGCCAACTATTCCTGTAGATAAAGAAGATCTTTTTGGGTTATTAGGAAGATCTTATACCACTGAAGAATTTGATGAATTATGTTTCCAATTTGGTATAGAATTGGATGAAGATACTACTGAAGACTGTCAAGGTGATGAACGACCACAATTAAAAATTGAAGTACCTGCAAATAGATATGATATGTTATGTATTGAAGGAATTGCTCAAGCTTTGAATGAATTTTTAGGAAATTCAACAACTCCTAATTATACTTTAAATCCATCAAAACCAAAAATCTCATTAACTATAAAAGAATCAACTTTCCCAGTTAGACAATACGCGGCATCAGCTATTTTAAGAAATGTTTCATTTGATCAAAGATCTTATGATTCTTTTATTGCATTACAAGATAAATTACATACAAACTTATGTCGTAATAGAACTTTAGTGGCAATTGGAACTCATGATTTAGATACTTTAACTCCACCTTTCACGTATGAAGCATTAGCTCCAAAAGATATTAAATTCATACCGTTAAATCAAACAAAAGAAATGGATGGGGAACAATTAATGGAATTTTATGAAAAAGATAAAAATTTAGGAAAGTATTTACACATTATAAGAGATTCTCCAGTATATCCAGTAATGTTAGATTCCAAAAGAACAGTTGCATCATTACCACCAATTATCAATTCAAACCACTCAAAAATAACTTTAGACACTAAAAATGTATGGATTGATGTTACAGGTACCGATAAAACCAAAACTGAAATTGTTATTAATCAATTAGTAGCAATGTTTTCAAGATATAGCAAGACTCCATTTGAGATAGAACCATTAGAAATTATTTCAGAACATAATGGTCAATCACGTGTCACACCAAATATAACACCAAGAGAAGCCAAAGCAGAAATATCATATATTAATTCATGTTTAGGATTGGATTACTCAGGTGAAGAAATTTCAAAATTATTGAAAAAAATGTCACTTGATGCCAAACCTTCCACAACTAACAAAGACTTGTTGGATGTTAAAATCCCAATAACAAGATCAGATATCTTACATCAATGTGACATTATGGAAGATGCAGCTATTGGTTATGGATATGACAACTTAAAGAAAACTAAACCAAACAGTGAGAGTTTAGTAGCTGCTGCTTTACCAATAAATAAAGTTGCTGATATTATAAGATTGGCAAGTTCTCAAGCTGGATACCTGGAGGTTATGCCATTAACGTTATGTTCTTATGATGAAAATTTCGCTTGGTTAAGATTAAAAGATGATTCAAAAGCTGTTAAATTAGAAAATCCAAAAACTATTGAATATCAAGTTGTAAGAACAAGTTTATTACCAGGTATTTTGAAAACTATAAAAGAAAATAGAAAACATTCATTACCAATTAGAGTTTTTGAATGTGGTGATATAGTATTAAAAGATGATTCTTTAGAAAGAGGTGCTTATAATCAAAGAAATTGGTCAGCCATTTATGCTGGAAAAACTTCAGGTTTTGAATACATTCAAGGTTTATTAGGTAAAATCATGCAAACTTTGAGAACTCCATGGTTGGAAAACCCAAATGAAGATAAAAGAAGAGGTTATTGGATTGAAGAAGATAAGACCAAAACCACATTTTTTGAAGGTAGAGGTGCTAGAATTTTATTTAGAGTAAAAGATAACGAGGAAGCTAAGGAGGTGGGTAGCATTGGAGTATTACATCCAGAAGTTATGAATAAATTTGATATCCCATATGCTGCTTCATCTGTTGAATTAAATGCTGAAGTATTTTTATAAAATAGAGATATTAAAAAGTGGTGATATTTAAAGGTTTTGTAATATTGTACACTACTAACTAATTAATTTTCTTTTGTCTTTTCTCTTTTGTAAATAAATTCGGATCTTTTATCTAATAATCAACTACTACTAAACAAATAATTTCAAGAATAACAAAAACTAATACAAATACATTATTAATATGAGTGGTAGAGGATCATCAAGAGCTTATGATATGATCATGAAACTTCTCTTAGTTGGGGATTCAGGTGTTGGAAAATCTTGTTTATTATTAAGATTTGTTGAAGATAAATTTAATCCATCATTTATTACAACAATTGGTATAGATTTTAAAATTAGAACAATTGAAAGTAAAGGCAAAAAAATTAAATTACAAGTTTGGGATACTGCGGGACAAGAAAGATTCAGAACTATAACTACTGCTTACTATAGAGGAGCAATGGGTATTGTATTAATATATGATGTTACAGATTCAAGAAGTTTTGAAAATGTAGAAAATTGGTTTCAAACTGTTACTCAACATGCAAATGAAGATGCTCAAATATTTTTAGTAGGTAATAAGTCAGATGATGAAGTAGGAAGACAAGTTAGTAAAGAGCAAGGTGAAGAATTAGCTTCAAAATTAGGTATACCATTTTTAGAAGCTTCTGCTAAAAGTAATGCAAATGTTGATGCTATTTTCTATGAATTAGCTGGTATCATTCAAGAAAAACATGTTGACGATAATGCAGGAGCTGCTACTGCAAGTGGTATAGATGTTTCACAAAATAATTCAGGTATGAAGAATAATTGTTGTTAGTAAAAGAGGTTTTAAAGTTTGAGTTCTAATTTTTTTTTATATTATCATTAAACTAATTAATTCGTGTTTGTTTATTAGATGTTACTACGTAGTTTTTCATATTTTTTTACCAAAATAAACCCATTGATCTTCCAAAGGTTTTTCTTCTAATTCTTCCCAACATTTTAATCCAGCTAATTCATGACTTAAATTTAATTCTTCAGCAGCTTGTACAACTACTTCTTCAATTAATCCATTTCCAATTTTATTTTCAATATTTTCTACAATTTCCTCATCTTCAACTATTCTTAATCTATTCTTGGTCAAACTTTCAACTGATTGTCTATATACTGATGATTTTGGAAATTTATCGTTTAATACCTTTAATTGTTCGTTATATAATGATATTAAAGCAGGTCTTGGATCAGGATGCTTGTATAAACCTGTTATACCCGTAGGTAAACCTTCTCCCGCTCTTACTATAACTTCTGATAGATGTAATTTTGGTATTTGTCTTAATACTGATGTGAATCTCATGATTTTGTAAAGGGTAGTTGTTGTATGTATATGTGAAGTTGTAATTAATGTTGTAGTCTCTTAATTCAATTAATATTATCGTAATAAATAATTATTAATTAATTATTGGATGAAAAACAAAAAAATTTACTTAGTCAAAATTAATATACACAAAAACAAAGTTTTGTAACTTGATAAATCTTAAGTTAAAAGTTTCAAAATTTGCAGCCATTTGAATCAATGTATAATTTTTATTGTAAACTGGTAATTATAAGTGTACCAACAATATTTGAATGAAATACTGGATAATGCATTAAAAAATATCTACCAGTGACGTATATATCACTCATTTATGTAGATTCCTCAGTTGAATGCCGTTATGGAACATTTGACAAAATTTTATCAAAGATTGTTCAGAATTTCACAGATACGCAGAATATAACTATTAAAGAGCACTATAATTTCTTGGTCCATTAGATTCATATCTCGCTACTAGACTACTAGTGTTTAAAAAAGCTCAAATTAGCGCAGAATCGATACTCTATGCACGCAAGAAATTATTGCCAAATTTTCTACAAATTAGACATTTCACCATCAAGAATTTAAAAAGTAAACCACTACAAATAATCTATACTTCCTTCATGTTAGCATAGCTGGTAAATCACATGAAATCCCCGCCTCCTCCGAAATCTCCACCACCAAAATCGCCTCCATCCATTCCATTATCATATCCATTATCATAGCCTTGTTCATAGGCCATCTGTTGTTCATAGCCATTATTATCAAAAGCATTTGCAAGCATGGCACCTCCCATTAAACCTCCTAATCCACCAAGCATCATACCCGATCCCATTCCCATTCCTCCAAATCTCGATTGTTGTTGTTGTGGATAATATTGATTTTGAGGATAAGGTTGACCATAGTAAGGCTGTTGACCATAAGGCTGTGGATAACCTCCATATCCTTGTGGAGGATAACCCTGTTGAGGATATCCTTGATTGTACATAGGTTGATGAGGTGGTGCTTGAGATTGTTGTTGATTATTATGACGATGAAAGAAACCTTTTTTCTGTTCTTTATTGTTTTTAGAAGTATCTTGAGATGTGTTACCAGTGTGTGCGGATCCGATTGAGTTTCTTCTTGAGTTGGATTCAGAATATGCTGGTGGAGCTTCATTAGAATTTTTTAAATTTGGAAACTTAGTCCCCTCTGGTGCTTCCCATTGAGATTTCTTTGTTTTCAAATCAACATAAAACCAGGTTTGATATTTATCGTCAAATTTAGCCAACCAACCATCTGGAACTGTTGGTTGTTGTTTTGGGTCTTCTTTTGCCATTTACGATGAATTGACAAGTTAATCAAATGTGGAAACTTAAATGAGCTTCAATGAGTAAAAAAGGTTTGATAGTTTGTGATATATAGTCGAAAAAGATAGCTAGTTACAATCCAGGTGAAATTTTAATAATATGATTTGAGTAATTCTGGTTGGACAATCAGTTAATGAAATTTTAAATCTAAATCTCGACGGATACTCCTATTTTGAACTTATATCTATATTATTAAACGGTGATTTATAGAACCTCTGAACTGAGTTTATTAAAAGTTTATACTAATTATGAATGTCAATATTGATATCGCAGTTTAAGATACAAAATTGGAAGTGGTGTTATTACTATATTTAGTCTTTAATTATACTTTGAATGGAAATCTAAATGGAAATCTTCTGGAATTGCACCCAAAAGGTCGTGCATCAATTAGTTATGATTGGCTTTGTGTAAGCAATTTAATAATTGCGATATTTTTTTTTGTATGATCTTAAAAATAAAATTAATTTTTATTTTTGTTGTCAACTATTTTATTATCGTTGTCATGTAATGTTACAAAGATTAACGTTTTGAATTTATGTAGTAATTTTCTTCTAGATGATCTTATCCTGCGACCATTTGATATGAGAAATTTTTTGATTTAGAATTACTCAATGATTTATTAAATTAATTCAAAATGAATTTTTTGTTTACATGACCGGTAATCAACCTGTAGAGCTACTACACGAGCACAGAAGTAGCGTATTACAAGTGAAATGTCTCCCGATAATCCAATTGTAAAGGCTATTAGTTTAATCGGGAGTTGTGTGAACAACTTTAGTGCTTTAGCTCAACTTACACATCATAATTAAGGGGCTTGTTTCAAAATTGACATTTTTTTGCACCCAAATGAGAATAAAAATATTTAACAAGTTTCAGTATTAATACTTTTATTTGTGCTATTAAATCTATATACATGTAGGTTCATATGCTATCATCATCAATCATTACTTATTCTATTAACTTCAAACATCTTTTAATCCTATCAAATTTTGCCTTGTTCCTCAAGGACTTTTTTCCAATGAGGTGTTGGTTCTGGTTGTTTCTTTTTCAATTCAGTTTCAGCCATACTCAACCCGATAGTAGCTAGTAATAGCATTAGAGTGACGAATGTGGTGTATGTTACCAAAATTTACATTTCAAGATCCAATTGTTTTATGAACATTTTAATAGATCTAAATATTTTGTTTCACATACTATGTAATATAATAGTATATACTACAGATATTATTATAAAAAGCCTTAATTATTAACATAAATATGTAATCTACATGCCTCTTTACTCATAGTTATATTGTTTTGTATATGTCCAACTTCTTAAATAGTACGTGATAAAGTCTAGTCTCATACGACTTACGACTTTACGATATACTACTTACACAAAATTGATTTCAATATAACTGTTAATTTGGGCTTATACCCAACAAATGTATTAAAAAGATACAAGTATGTGTATTTGAAAAGTTTATTTTCTACAGTCAATTGAAATTCAATTTTAAAGTAAAACTGTAATTTATGGATCACCAATTATTGCAACATTTCATGATATACTACTTGCCACATAGCTTTTAGCTTCATTAAATTAAATGGATATTATTCATATCAATAATTCAGTATTATATAGTAATGACTTATCATTTTTTTAATAAAATTAGAAGAGTTGATACCCGCAATTTCATCATTGAGCGAGAAGGTAAGTATTATTGGGTAGAAGAAACCACGGAATACAACCAAGATGGCTCGGAGTATACAAGTTATGACGAAGAAGAGATACCACCCGAAGAATTAGAACAACGTCGAAAAATGATTAGACGTCAAGAATTAAGACACGGTGGAAGTAATGCAACCTCATCATCACAAGCTGCAGAAGGTCAAGTTGGAGAAGGTCAAGCTGAAGAAGGCCAAGCTGAAGTAGGTCAAGCTGAAGTAGGTCAAGCTGAAGTAGGTCAAGCTGAAGAACAAGAACAAGAACAAGAACAAGGTCATGCGGAACATAATCAAGAAGATGAAGAACAAGAAGAAGAACACGAAGAACAAGATCATGAAGTGACTGCAACTAACAATAAAAAAAGATCACAAACAAGTCAAGTCAGATCAGAAGTCAAAAGACCAAATTTAAATCATACTTCCAACAATACTACAAATTGAGTCTTCCACTCATTTTCCCGTTTTGAGAGTAGGCTGGTTCTTGCTCACCTTAATCATTCAATTCTTCATATTGCAACCTATTATATAAGTAATACATGTTGTTTTAAATAATGAAATTTCACTATCATATAATTTTATCTCGTATTATTTCGTATTTTCTCGTATTTTGGTTTTTTAGACAGTGAATTCTCATCAGAATGAATTTATTTGAAACGAATTTGATTCTCAGAAACATCAACATTGCGTTTCATCTGAACCTTCTTGAATTACTCATTTTGCGTTTTGCATTTTGTAGGTATGTTATACTGTATTGATCATTTAACTTAAAAGTTTGTTGTATTATAGGAAGAAATAATAAAAATAAAATTCTGTTTCAATATTGTTAGACACCCTTCTCAAAATTTTTCAAGACTGTAGGTAGGAAAATAGAGATACCATCAACGAGATTTTGAATATACTCATACACACATATGAAAACCAATTTGCACATATGGTTAGCAAATGACCAAATTTGTCTTTGTCAGGTATTTGTGTACAAAAATAATCTTACTATGATGTATAAATAAAAAAAAATAAATAAAAGCTTGAGAAAAATGAGCAAAAAAAATTTAAGTCGATGACACAAAATTGGGTCTCACATTGCTGAAAATTCATCAACCCGGCTGAAAATATTCAAGTTAAAATGACAACTTGTTCAAACAATGCATCATTCAAATCCAAGAATCCAACTTATTGGACATCTTTTGCCACGGATTACATAACCTTAGAGTAAAGATGATTTCTGGTTAAGTTATGCTGATCAATTTGTATCATCAATCTTAAATCTCAACCTCAACAACGTTTTAATGCAGTTGCTGGTCCACCGCTCGTGGGGGTTGTGTTGGTCCCATAATCTGTGTCATATGCTCAATAAAGTGAATTAAAAACTCAATATGGGTTATGTTCTTTATTATTTTCCTTCAATATAAAAGATTATCAAGAGATTTTTTTGGACTATGTCAGATTAAACCAGGTTTTTAATTAATTTTGACTTACTTCTACCTTTGGCTATTCCAGCCTTAGGACGGAGCTTTATTAGTATGAATTTTGCTGGTGGTTTAGCTGAAGTTCATTCATAGTTATACCATGGTAGTTGTTGATAGTTTTTCAAAGAGAGTTCATCTCATACATTATTAAAAGACATTAACATCAAGAATAGCAGTTAAATTATTCATTAATAATATTTTCAAACTTTATGATATGCCAGATGGAATAGTTTCAGACAATGGAACAAGAGTTACACTTAAATTCCGGTCAGAATTCAATTACTCAACGCTTATTTTTTGGATAAGCTTGATAATTTCGAACTTATAATACTTTTTGGAGATTCAACAATTGATGAATACATGTTGGCGGATGAATCAGTTGATAAGATTGAAGTAGTTAATTTAACTTGATCTAATGTAGCACTATCAAATTCAGCATTAGTTAACTTATCAAAATTTTTAGTAACTTCCAATACAATATCATTTAAAGTATTCTTGAAATCTTGTTCATGATTAGCTTTACCAAATTTTTTATTATACACTTCCAAAACTTTTGATCAATGTTTTTTACCATACTCTTCAGCAACATCATATGCAACTTTTCCATAATTTTCAGGTTTTAATGAAGTAAGTTAATATGATAATTTTTATATAAGAATAAATCACGTGCGTGTGTCGCATTTGATGTGTCTTTTTGTGTGTGTGTCGTGAAACATCTGTTTACTAGGCTGCAATTCAGTTGAGTATAGCTGTGAGGTTGAAATGAATTAAGAATTTGGATCAATAATATTAGCTGGAATGTAGATGGAACTGATTACAGCTCTTTTTGCTTTTGTTTTGTTTTAAATTTTGTTTAACGCGATGTATTATAAGTCAAATTATAATTTGGTTTTTTTTTTACAACCAAAATTGGTTTTTACAACCAAAATTTAAAAAAAACCAAATTCAATTGTTGAACCACAACAAACAACTCGTATGATATATTGAAGCTTTGTTAATTAATCATCAAGAGTATCAAATGTCATCGAATGATAAAAGATCAATAAATAGTGATCAAGGTAATAATAAAAGAGTAAAACTCACTAGTGAAGGTGGTCAATTGAGATTTTCTTTGGTTAAGAATTTAGTTGTTGAAGTATCATCTATAGTGAAAGAAACATCTTCAAAGAATGAGAAACTGGTAGACACGTCTGTGGAAAATAATGGTAATGTAGATCCAACATTTGATAAAAGTGTTTTAATTTTGAAAAATGGAAATTCATCAGACACAAAAGATCAAGATGGTACAACCTTAGGTGTGGAATCATTAGATGAAACTAGCAATAATTCAGGATCAGGTGCTATGTCAGATGTTGAACCACTTTCAGCTACTGTCACTAATAATACTGCTACCACAACTAATGTATCAGAAGAATTTGTTAAAAAATATAGCAAGAGAGAAAGTTTTGCAATGAAGAACTTTGAATTTCCCACTTACTATTACGAAAGAGAGGGTGCTGAAACATTAGATGGTTGGTTCTTAATGCAAAAGAATTTGAGCAAAATCGGGAAGAAAGACTTGGGTAGATATTTGATTGGTATTTGTGGATTTGAGGAGGTCACAGATGAAACTGTAAGAAACATTAGAGAAGGTTTTTTGGAAAAATACAAAAAGGAAGGTCAAAAAGATGAAGAAGTATTAAAAAATCTAATTGTTGCTCGGATTGAAGGTGGATCTGCAGCTGTTGTAATTAATAAATTTGAATTTAAAAAACCATTTAAGGTTAAATCAAAACTTCTGATTAGTTCCAAGTTGAGAGAAAAAGACCTTGAAAATCCCAAGCCAAGAAATGACTTTGATTACTTACGTGTGGCAGATTTAATAATTGAAATTGAAGGATATTCTAAACCAGTCCAATTTATTACCATCTACGGTGATCATGAATATCAAGAAAACAGAATCAGATTAATTAAGAAGGTCAATCCATTAATTAAAAAGGATGGTTCATTGTTTAATTATGTATTTAGCGATCAAAATTCCGGGGCTAATTATGATGGCTCAGTTAAAGAATACGACCTTAAATGTCAAAAATGTATCAATGAGTTTTTAGATATAAACAAGTGGATCAGATCAACTAAATTAGCAACTGAAAAAACTTTAGTAACAAATTTTAATCCTCAGGGCCTTCGGGATATTGATTCAATTTATGTGCCATTAGAACATGGAGATAATGTGTATTCTCATAAAGTTTTGTTTGAAAAAGACTATACTGGCACCCATGCCGCAGTTATAGTTAAGATGGGATTAGAAAAATTAAGTACAAAATTTATTGATAAGTCAGAAAATATCCAAGCAGAAGAAACCTTGTTTAAATTGAGTGGTGTCAAGAAAAATAACGTCCCTTATACTTACCAACTAAATGATGAAGATTACAAATCGAGTGTCAAATATTTGAATCATATGAAAAGATTAATTAAAAATGATGAGGATCAAACAACTATTAGACTTAGACCACATACTGAGTTACTGAAGAAAGTTTTGTTCAAGTACAATGAGGAATACAATGATAAAATCACCTCAATTTCAAGTATTTCATTAGATATTTACAAGAATATCATCATTGGTTTGGTATTAGACGAATGCAATAATCATTTAAAAGGTCTGCTTGTACAGTGGACAAAATTTAAGTTTCCGGGGTTTACTGATGTTCAATGTAAAGGTATTTTTGATAATCTTCGTAATAAAAATAAAATTATATTTCAAGAAAAATGGATCTTCGATCCAAATTTTGTCTATACACAAGTTGAATTGAGTTTGGAGTTTTATGATAAATTATTAAAAACTTATTCCAAATTTGAAAATAGTTCTGATAAATGGGTTAAAATCACTAGTGCATTTGATAATAAAATTCCTAAACTTCAACTAGTCAATATTTACAGAAGAATTTCTGAAGGTGGCCATACGGAAAAGGTCAATGGTACATTACAACTTACAATGGATTATAAAAATTTAATAATCAAACGAGAAAATGATGCTATATTAAGAGCAGAAAAAAAGGAAGCTAAAGCTAAAGAAAATAATTTAAAAAAAGTAAAATTTGAAGGATTGAAAGAAGCTGATTTGAAAAAGCGAAGTCAAAAATCAAGAAAGCCATGGTCAGCCGAAGAAGATAAGAAATTGATGGAGTTGTGCAAAGAAAACGGTCGTTGGCCCAATTGGTTAGAAATATCAAGCAATTTTAAAGATAGAACCGAACATTCATGTCAAATGCATTATCGTCAATTGGTTGCTGAAGCGAAGAAGGATCCCAAGTTATTAGAAAAAGGTGCTTGGTCAATCAAAGAAGATATGGACTTAAGGGCTTTATTTCAAAAATATGGCAACAATTGGAGTAAAATTGAAGCAGAGTTCCCAACTAGAACAAAAGTTCAATTGTCCAATAGATGGAGAATTTTAAAAAAATCATCGAAATAAAAGAATTCAAAGTTGTTACAGAATTTGAATTGTTCCAATTGTACGAAGATGGTATTTGGCTTGACCCTTCTGCTCGATCAAGTTTATTGCTACTAAAATTCTATAAAATCCAGCTTTATTTCTTGCTATGTATTTTCTAATATTGTGTTTTAATGTATAAAATATAAAATCCACTGTATTTGAATACTCTATTAATTTATATATTTCATTCAAAAATTTACTTCGTTTCACCTTGTTCTTCCAATACTCTTTTCCAATGTGGAACTTCTGGAGCTAGTTTTTTCTTAATTTCAGCATCTCTCATGTTCAATAGAATAGTTCCAATCAAAAGCAATAAAGTGACAAAATGAGCCACGACACGCACCTGCACCGCCTTTTGAGTCTTTGTCATATGTGGATCACGATCAATAAATTTCCAAACAACTCCTAAAGTAGTTAACCAACCACCAATGACTAATTTATATTTATGTTCATTTAAATTATGCAATATTCTTTCCTTTGTAGTTAACTGACCTAGTTGTAACTCTTGTTTCTGAGTTATTGATTGATGATATTCAGCTTGATGCATCATTTTATCATATTCCCATGAACCTTGATCTGCAAAAAATGCACCAAATGCAATAGTTGGCATTGCAAATATAGCAGCTTTGATACTTGGACTGAAAGTTGCAAATCTTGCTGGTCTTCTATATTTGAAAAACGAGAAAATACCTGCTGATACAGCACCACCAATTGCCAAACCTTTCAAACCTTCTTTTATAATGTGATTTCTATGATTGACTTTTTCTTCTTCTGTGATGATCTTCATTTTGTATCAGTTATATTAATAAATGTATAGCAGATAATTTGAAATGAGCTGAACAAAAGATTCAACTTTACTTTTGATAAGGACATCATCTTGTTTATATATTAATCTTTCTTTAGTATATTAAGTCATCAAATAAGAAATTCCGCGGAAAAGTGGTTCGACTTTATATTTTTCAAAACTTGGTCTCGGATTTATGAGACCATATTTTATTTTAGACAGAAAAGAAATCAAATTAAATCTGTCTAAAGATCAAGTCCGATTTATTCCTTTTACTGATTAATTTAGATTGAAAAATATGCTCAAATTCAATTAAAGCATTGTTACGTGTCAAAAGTTTTTATTTAGTCCACTCAGGAGATAAATGTAGCACATTAAAAATAATGTAAGTATAGACTTAGGTAGACGAGCCGAGGACATGCTCATTAAAATAAGTCTAATTTTGATATATCGATGAGCATGGGCGGTTTAAGTGTACTACTTCATTGGTAGTACTTTACAAATAAAATATGCCATTTCATAAAGTATATAATTTTAATGTTTTTAATTCTATCGTAAATTTTTAATTCGATCTGCAAATTTCACAAAAAATAATATTACTAAATTTAGATTAATTACAATTTCATAAAATAGATCAATATATGCCCATTTGGGAAGAATTAAAGACCGACGATGGTCAATCATATTATCATAATACTGAAACACATGAAACTCAATGGACTTTACCCGAAGGTGAAGAATTAATTAAATCACAATCGAATTGGGAAGAATATAAAACTGATGATGGACAAGTATATTATTATAATACGATAACTCAGGAGACTTCATGGGACAAACCTGATGATTGGGAAGAAAAAGAAATATCAACAGCAAGAGACGAAACGAAAGAAGAAGAAGAGACAAATGAAGTGGAAAATGAACTTGAAATGGAGCTAAAGGCAAAACCAGTAGATTCAACATCAGAAGTACCACAAGATGAAAATCAATTTATAGAATTATTAAAAGATTACAAAGTAGATTCAACTTGGTCATTTCAAACAGTAATGGAAAATTTAATTAATGAACCAAGATACTGGACTATAACAAACCCCATAAGAAAAAAAGATGTGTATGAAGATTTCATACTAAATAAATTTCAATCAGAAATTAATAACAAGTCAAATATGGTTGAAACGTTTAAAAACAATTTCAATAAAGAATTAGAAAAATTACACGCGAAAGGAGAACTAACGCACAACTCAAGATGGATAAGTTTACAAAAAAAGTTTGAAGAAGAAGATAATCCAATTTTCAAACATTCAATAATACTGGATCATGAAATGATAAAAATGTTTTACAAGTTTATAAACAGCTTAAGAGAAGATCATGAAAAAGAAATCACCACTCAGAAAAACCAAGCAATTGAAGAATTATTAACTTATTTACACCTGATTAACTTATCATTAGTTGAAAATTCAGAAAATTTTGAAGATTTATATGAAAATTTATTTGCTGATTCAAGATTTAAGCAAAACAAGCATTTTGAAATATTGAGTAAACTAGATATACTAAAGTTGTACAAAAGAGAAATATATCTTGAAATCATTAAGAAGTTAGAAGAAGATATACAAACTCAAGAAAAGCAAATTTATAGAAATGATAGAAAGGCAAGAGATAATTTCAAAATATACCTATCTTCAATTTCAATAACTCATAAAACAAAATTCAATGATGTATTTGACAAATTAGAATCTGAGGATTCATTTATCGAATTATGTGGAAGAAATGGTTCAACTCCACTAGATTTATTTTGGGATAAAGTTGATGAAAAAATTCAAATTTTCAAATTACAAAAAAATAAAATTGAATCAATTTTAAATGAAAAGGGAGAAAACGATGCTTTGATATGGTTATCGTTTGATAAATTTTCAAAATTCTTGAAATCTCAAGCTAAATTGGAAGATGAAGATAATGAACTTAAAGAAATTTTTGAAGTATTGAAACAAGAGCATGAATTGAAAGAAAGAGTTTGGAAAAAGAGAAGAACTTCCGACTTAGATCCTGCTACAAGTATCAAAAAACCTAAAACCGAAATTAAAAAGAAAGTAATGAATTATTAAATAATGAAGTATTAATGAATTAGAGGCTAGACTGGCTCTCTATCTAACTTAGACTCTTCAGAATTTTTTTTGATTAATTGTCTTGAATACATTGATCCTCTAAGATGTAGTTCAATTGACCAAACGAATTTTGAAAATTTGAATTGATAAAGTTCCTAGTCGTGCGGAAGTCTCAAAATTTTTAGTTATCATTCTCGGAAATAAATCAACAAAATATATAAGGTGTTAGCAAACGGTTGAAACAAATTACATTTACACTAACTCAATATACAATGGTATGTACATTCATCAATTGAGTCATCCCAAAGAGCCTATCATACTAACATTTTAAATTTTTTCAGTCACAATCATTAAAGCCATATTTAACAGCAGTAAGATCATCATTAACAGCTGCAATATGTTTACAAGATTTTTCATCACAATTAATAGAAAGACATAATAGACCAGAAATAGAAGTATCAAATCAACATGATCCAGAACTCATATTAAATCCAATGCATATAGCACGTAATGAAAATGAAAAAATTTTAATTGAATCAAGTATAAATTCAATAAGAATATCTATAAAGATTAAACAATCTGATGAAATTGAAAATATCTTGGTACATAAATTTACAAGATTTTTAACTAGTAGAGCAGAGAATTTTTTTATATTAAGAAGAAAACCTATTACTGGTTATGATATAAGTTTTTTAATTACAAATTTTCATACTGAACAAATGTTGAAAGATAAATTAGTTGATTTTATAATTGAATTTATGGAAGATGTAGATAAAGAAATTAGTGAAATGAAATTATTTTTAAATGCTAGAGCTAGAGTTATTGCGGAATCTTTTTTAATACCTTTTGATTAAAAAAAAAAAGAAAATATACATAATACTAAAAACTATTATTTTGGACTTTTTGGAGTTTCACTTGTAATACTTTGTTTCTTATAATCTTTGGGGGATACTGATGGGGAATTTTTTTCATTTACTGGTGTATAAAAGCTTTGTGGTGAATTATATGGTGAATCTCTTAAATTACTTGGATGTCTCTTTTTCGTCGATCCGTTTGTATTATTAGGAGTTGGTGGTTCTGAAAATGGACTTTTTGGTGGTGGATCTTGTACATTGGGTAAAACCATTGGCATATCTACATTATCATTAAGTAAACCTGGAATATTACTCAAAACTAAATCTAGCTGAGACAAAGCTTCTGCAACTTGATCGAAACCTTTTGATGATATCTTGAGTATCCATCTATAATTAAATATTTGATCTTTGTAAAAATCAGCTTCTTCTTGTGTTGGACTTGACATATACAATATAGCTGCAAATGTTCCAATTAATGTAAAATTTGAAGAACTTGAAGAATGCCAGAATGAATGTATATGTTCTGGTTTTAAATCTCTTACAAATTCAATTGATGCTAATAATCTTGTCTTGGCAGCTGCCCTACATACGTTGATTAATTCATTCGGTGGTGGATTTCCCAGTTTTGTTTGTTGATATATTACCGTGGTGATTTTTCTATGTAATGTTAATTCTGTTGCAAAATAAGCTAATTGTAAATAACCATTTGAACATAATTTTCTTGGTTGTACTGAAGTCATTTGAAGTTCTATTGGTAATGAATGGAACCAGTTCCTAAGTTTTAGCTGCAAAGGTTTTGCTAATTTTAAAACATCATTTATATTTGTGATTTCATTCATTGCTTTCATTGAATAAAATTGATTTAAAATGTCGCTGAGTATTTTACTTAATTCAATCAAATTCATGAAAATCTTTTTCCCATTATCAATATCAGAAGAACCTTCTTTTAAATCACCATCTCCATGTTTTTCTGGAAAGTCTTCTTCATATAAAGGTAAAACAATCCAGTTATTTTCACTAATATGAGAAGGTCTTGCATCTTTTAGGGACAACCATTTGTCTTCCATATAAACTGCCCATGCTAATCTTTTTCTTAGTCCTCTTTCCCATTTGGGTAATTTCCAATTATTACAATCTAGTCCTAAACCTAATTCTTCAGCTAATGAAACAACTTGTGAACACAAAACCCATTCTGAATAATCTGCATCTCCACTATTTTGTATTTGATCGTTATATGTTTTGCAACTGATGATATGTTTACATTGTAATAATAAGAGCCCCGCTTGAACTGCACTTAACTTTGGTCTTTTCAAAATTTCCAGTAAATAATTATTTAATCCAATTTTTAGTATTAATTCAACATTTGGTTTTGGAAATCTATTTAGTTGTGGATCATAATCCCACCATTGTATAGCTAGTACATATACAGCTGCTAATAATGGAGCACTAAATTCTCTATGAGTTCTTGAATATTTCTCTAAAAACACCTTTTTATGAACGATAGGATATGAAGGATGAATAATTCTAAAATATAAATCTATTAAAATTTGTCCATGAGGTGATATAAATTTTTCTATCGTATCAACATCATTTGACATTGTTTGGTACGATTGTGGTGATTGATCTTCTTTCAAAACAAATTGTACTTTATCACTAACTTTTCTTAGTGAAATTGAGTTACTCAAACTAACTTGCTCTATCTTATTTGTTGTGGTGGATGTGGTTTGCTTTTGGTTGTGAGAATCTATTATTGTATTTAAGAGATTTATATCATAAAGGTAAGATGTTGGTCCAACGTAGAAACTTGATCTTGGAAATTGTAATGATAGTGTTTTTTTCAACAAGGAATTATTTATTGATGAATATTCTTGAATTGGTGCAACATCTCGTATAGGTACATCTGGAACTTGTATATTGTCCAAGGGATTCATTCTACTTCTTTTATTTAATTCAGGTCCCATATCTGTTGGTTTTCTCTTAATTGCTGGAGTTGTATATGTACAAGATAATTGTTTTGCCTCACATTGTACACAATTATCGGTATTTGGTACTATTACACATTTAGTTTTCCTTCTTCTACATTGGTCACAAGGACGTCTTTGTTTTGATTTTGTAGCTGGTAATGGTTGTTGAGGTTGTTCTTCATTTAATGGTGGGTGTGGTAAATTATCTTGTTGATGTACATTATTTTGATACTGAATATTATGCATTATGTTATTACTGTTATTATTTTGATTCTCTGGTCTATATTCAGTTGGGATATAAGTTGGTAATTCAATATTATATAAATATTCAGCTGTATTTGGATCCATCATCATTGTGGAAGACCATTGCGATTCATAACTTTGCTGAGGAGGTTGTTGATGATGATTATTATACATTTCATGAGACTGATTCTGATGATTAAATTGTGAAGGTTGATTTTGTTGTAGTTGATTATGAGGACTTGGTTGTGAATTACCATTTAAATTTATTGAAGGTTGTATATCATTTGGGGATTGATTAGGTTGTATTGGTCGAGTACTAAAATTTTGATGATTATTGTTACCAGTATCATTAACTTTATTTAGATTATCTTGACTTTTATTGTCATTATTATTATTGGATATACTGCTATTTTGATTATTTTGATTATTATTATTACTATTATTTAATGATAAATTATTTGATTGTTCATTAGTTGATTCTTTTTCTTCCATTGATATTTAATATTTGTTCTTATATAATGTGGATGTAAAACAATATGAATAGATTATTGACTGAATATATTAAATTGAAATGTATTTTAGTTTATTATAAATTTGTAAAAGTATTTTGGTTGTAATAAATATTGAAAAATAAATAAATTATATTTTTATCTTTCTTTTTTTTATTTTTTTTTTCGTAATAATTTTTTGTGTTTAATTTATATTAACAATAGTTTATTATATTTACGGGATATTTTATTAATTAATCAATTACTTTAAAAAATTATTGATTGATCTTTGAATGAATTGAATTTGTAATTGATCGATGAAATTTGTCTCGAATGTAATTGACCGATGATGATTAAGTCATTATGCTACCTTTGTAAGTTGTAGCTTTGTAGCAGTAAAGAAGCTAAAGATTTGAACTATTTTATTTTATATAATTATGAGTAGTATAAGTTTGGATATTAATCGTATAAATTCATAGCTCGTTTTACATTACTTTGTAATCAGAAATAATTGTAGACTTTGCAACACCTTTCAGTTTAACCTTAAACTTAAGCAATTTACATTCCTTGAGCTAGCAAGAATTAAAAATAGGCATAGTAACGCATAACTGTGTAGATTTTGAAGATTATTCGGTTGAAAAATTACCCCTAAACTGTTAAAATGGGAGAAATGTTTCGCAACCAAAATATATATTAGCAATGGCAGTTTTGGTTTATCGAAGGCTTTTTAATCGAACTTGACTATCAGTAAACTTTCTCAGTTTGAATAAAGAAGCATTAGAGTATTTAAAAATTAATTTTGGTTGTAAAAAAATGTTTAATTGTTAAAAAATTCAATGTATACAACATTTTCTATATACAGATTTATTTATACAAAGATTCTATCTTTTAAGTTGTTCCAAAATCCTTTATCGTACTCGTTATCTATATCACTAATCACTGATTCAACTGGTATTATATTATAATCAGCAATATTCACATTTTTGATCAAAATTGTTTCATCCTTCAAACTTATATATACCGTCTCTTCACTTAAAGTTTTTGACCGCACTGATGCTTTTTCAACAAACATTTGATTATTAATAGGTGGTGATACTTTATATAGCAAATTCAAATCTATTAAATACTCAATTTCTCCCCATTTATCTAATTCATTTGTTGTTACACCCAAGTAAATATAACGTAAATGCAAAGCAGTAAATATAATAACTATTATAACGAATATAATACAAAGAATTATAAATATACCAGTGATCTTATTTGTATCATTTGTTCTTGTTATTAAATTCCAAAATCCTGATAAGGTGTAATTAGTCAATTGTAAATTGATAGCTTTAAAACAGACAATAAAGCCATAACCCAACATATTAATGTTCACCACCAAGTATAACAAAAACCATTTGTAGTTATAATATCCAATACAGTTATTAATCCAAATACAATGATGATCATATAATAAGTAGCATTTATTACACACCGAGCAATGCTTTGATCTTGCTGGTTTAACAATCTTACAAGTTGAACATAAATTATTATTGAAAAAAATTAATTGATTTGGCTCATAAGGATAAGTTTTTAATGAAGTTGCATTAATTGAGCCAGGGTCTGAGAACATCGCAATTACGGTTGATAAATATATGACAAACATTGATAGTATAATATAATAATAACTTAAAGTACTAGTAGTGGATTCAATAATTGGGAAAGTTTTAATCCAGAATTGATAAAAGCAAACAGTCACCACAGCCAAATAACCCAACGGTATAAGCCACCCCAAAATGAAAATTAATTGACCATTTGTCTTTTGATCTAAATACGAATAAAACTGGTTCAATTGTCTTAGTACATTGAGTAGTTGATTCCTTAATTTTTGTATGGGAGTGTTTCTAAAACTAGGTGAGTCGCCAAAAATTAATAAACAAGTAAGTATAAATGATATGATACTGATTGTAACTATTGTTCTGAAGAACATGTCATTTTTCAAGACCCTTGGTTGTACTAGTAATAAATTTGTGTATAGAATCGATCTACATAATAAAATTTAATTTATTAAGTGGAATTTATGCTATCAAAATTTTGGTGATACAAATTCGTTTCAGTTTTATTGATAGAACAATTTAGCTTATACTTGCATTAATTGTATTCATTATCAACGACGTTCCTTCCCTTTTAATTGCAATTCTTTACACTGATATAGGTTTTTTTATACATACAAGTCCGACTTTTACCTTTATTTACCAAGAAATTATTGTACTTTCCAATAATTTAATTCAGAATTCATTATCACCAAATATCAAGCTGAAATTTCATGTCTACATCAACTCCATCATATATAACTTCTTTCCTAGATGAAGAAATAACAGATATAAACAATTTGCTAACATCACTCCCATTTACAACAGATGTAAATAAATATTTCCTAGACTTATATAAAATATCATATAAAGATTTAATAAAATTAAATGATTATCAAAATCAACAAAAATTTCCAGTAAATTCTCAAAAATTATTGAAATTAAGTATATCTTTGGGCAATTTGATCAAAATTTTAGAAAATGATGAAGAAAATTTCAAAGTTCAAAATCAACAACAAAATCAATTTTTGAAGAAGTTGAATAATTCAAAATTAACTAGTCAACATCAACAATCATTACAAACACTGCAATTCCCTACTAAAATGGATCCATTCCAATCTTGTCCAACAACAACAACCACAAATGTGAAACATATCATAAATTCAGATGCAACACAACAACAACAATTGCAAGAAAATAATTTATCAAGACATGAAATAAGATTCATCAAGAACCTATTCACAATCCTCAAAAATTTTGATTTAAATTTACCACAATCTCAACAAGAATTCAAGAGAGATAGCTACACATCATTAAACTCATCAAGTTTATCAAACCCTCAAACACCAAAAAGAAACACTAATCATTCATCGAATTCTTCATTACCTACAATAAATACATCACCTATAAAATTAAACTCCAAACAATTATTAATTGAGAAGCTAGAAATCAATATAAATTTAGATATTTTATTCATTTACAAAATCAATCTAAAATTAGTTTTGGAGATTTTCAATAAATTCAAAAAAATATTAAATTCAATAAACTTAGACTTGGTACAACATCAACAATCACAACAAAAGGATACAGCATCTATTTTTTCATCAACTTCTTTAAATTCACTGGATTCATCAATTTTTTCATTAGATGAAAATTTAAAAATTATTGAAAATATTATACTAAGAATTAAATTTAATATTTTGAAACCTTTCATTCAATTAATTTTCAAAGAATGTATTGAAAATAATTTACATAATGAATTCAATTCTATAATTAATAGTTTATAGATCAAAAATAAAATTGCATTCAATATTGATAATGTTTTACACTCTAATTAATTTGTATATTTAATTACTATATTTTATTTACTTATTACATGCAAGCTTTTAACTTTAATCAGTACCAGACTGACCCCATTTTATATACCTAAATTTAACTCACCTAATAATTTTTATCCATCAACTCTAAAACTTTTTCATACCCACCACCAATTAGCAAATCTTCTCCAAATAAATTTACTCATCCTTCTCCCCAACAACTTCCCTATCAATGGGAAAATAACAAGACTCAACAAAAGTGTAATTTGCTTCAAACTTTCATCCCATTGTTCTTGTGCTGTTAGTTTATATGAATCTTCTGAATCTGAACCTATTTCATCTTCTGTTGAATTGTAATCTGAATCCGACTCTGACTCGTAAGTAGATATATCCGATGATGTAAAATCTATATTTGGTGCATTTGCTGATGACGCTAGGTTTGGAGGAATTGTTGTTGCCATTCTCGTATTAATAATGTGTCATGTATGTGAAATTTATAAGTTTTAGATATTTACCAAAATCTGTTTTTGTTTTTCAATTTTTTGACAACCAAAATTTGTAATAACGTCAATTTAACAACAAGTCAAGATCAAATTAGCAAATATGAGAGTAATAATATGACATTTATAGTGATAGATCCCAAAAACATCCACAATTTATTTCCCAGAGCAAATGTTTCAAATCCAATTAGAATTAGAATCGTAGCTCAAGTTTTAGAATTTAATTTGTTTGATACAAAATTAACTATACAAAGACTACCAAGTTTATCCAGTGATCAAGTAGAGGACGATCAAGCGGAATCAGATAATGAATCAGATGATTCAATAATCATAATAGACGAACCAGAAGAGCCAAAACTTAAAGAAGTACAGGATACTTCAACAACGTTAGATCTATCAGAAATTGAGTCACAATTAAGTGTATCAACTTTAACTTCTGGGAATATCCTAAACATAGACGCGTTCTATGATGGCCAAGGTATAAATGTTTTTCAAATCAGTGAAATTGATCCTAGAATAGTTAGATCTGAACGGTTTTTAAGAACTTTGAAATATTTAAGTGATCGAGAGTTGATGAAACCTATACGTCAGTGGGATTAGTGAGTAGGTTTCTTACTTCATAAAGAGTACTTAAAGATGATTTGGTCAGCTTGAATCTCATCTATTATTTATTTAATCAAATTTTGTATCATATAAAAGTTTATAGAATTTTGGAATGTACTATTAATGAGAAATAATTTATTGGCTCAACCAACTCTCGTAAGAAGATCTTGCATCTGGACCTTGTTGCTTCAATCATAGCATTTAATGACCAATCGGTGACAACTCTTGTTCAAGCCTTTCTAATAAGTGATGAATTTTATGATAACCAGAATTGATAAATTTCAATTCATCTAAACGCGATCGATATGCATTTTTGATTTTGTGCTATAAAACTATTCTACTAACAATTTTTTTCAATAAGCATCACTAAATAGATAGAATTTACCATTGGTTTAAATGAATGTACAAAAAATTAGTCAACCTAGCTAAACGATTCAAAATGTCAAATATAATTGAAAGTACATCTGTCAGTACATCACCACCAGCGATAATACCCGAAGAATTCACCTATACAACTGAAGGAAAAGCAACAATTTTAACACCTAAAAAGGATGAAGTATTTTACAACCCCATACAACAATTCAATAGAGATTTATCTACCTTATCCATAATAGCGTACGATGAAATGAGAAGAGACACATATTCTAAAAAGAACAACAAGAGGAGAAAACTTCACAATTTGAATATTTTAGAAGCATTATCTGCATCAGGTTTAAGAAGTTGTAGATATGGATTAGAAATACCTAATGTTCAAAAAATTATAGCTAATGATTTATCGAAAGATGCAGTGGCGGCAATTGATAGAAATATACAACATAATCATATACAACATAAAGTTGAATCAAACGAAGATGATGCTATTAAATTTATGGGATCAACAAATAAAAAGTTCCATATTGTTGATTTAGATCCGTATGGTACTGCTTCACCTTTTATTGATTCTGCAATACAATGTATAGAAGATGATGGAATGTTGCTAGTTACTTGTACAGATGCAGCAGTTTTAGCTGGAAGTGGATATCCTGAAAAATGTTTTGCTTTATATGGAGGTAATAATTTTGGGAATTCTTATATAAATAATGAAACAAATCATGAAGTTGGTATAAGATTGATGTTGAATTTAGTTGCCACAACAGCTGCAAAATACAAAAAATCAATTGAACCATTATTATGTTTAAGTATTGATTATTATTTTAGATGTTGGATAAAAATTAAAACAAGTCCAATAAAAGTTAAAGATCATGCTAGTGAAACTATGTTAGTATATGGATGTAATGGATGTGGAAATAAAAAAGTACAACCTTTAGGGTTGAAAAAGGGACCAACTAAATTTATATATCCTAAATTAGTGACTCCAATTTCATCAAATTGTGAATTTTGTGAGTCAACTTTCAATTTAGCTGGTCCAATGTATGCTGGAAATTTACAAAATGAAGAATTTATAAATAAAATATTAGAACTTAATGCAAATCCAAATAATAAATCAATATATAAAACTCATGAAAGAATCAAAGGAATGTTAACATTAGCTAAAAATGAATTGAAAGATGTACCATTTTATTATAATTTAAATCATTTATCTTCATTATTTAAAACATCACCAATATCAATAGATGAATATAGTAAAGCAGTAGGTAATTTAAATTCAAAAATTTCAGAAGATGAAGAAACCACAAAATTAAATTTAAGTTTGACTCATGCTAAAAAGAATTGTATAAAATCAAATATAAATTGGGAAACTAATTTAAAAATTATAAGACAATGGATGATTGATGTTAATAAAGAGTATTATGATAATATGATTAAAAGACAAGATGAAGATAAAGAAGAATTAAATGATAAAATTAAAGAAAAATTGAAATTTTTGAAAGAGAATAATTTTATTTATAATTCAAATTTACGTGAAGATTCAGCAGGTGGTAAAATATTAAAATATTTTGCTAGAAAAGAGGAACAACAAAGTCAAAGTCAAAGTCAAACTCAATCAGATATAGAAGAAATTGCAATTGATTTCAAAACATCAAATGAAATAAGTGAACAAATTTCAAAATTAAGAAAAGTTAAAATGGTTAGATATCAAGAAAATCCAACAAAGAATTGGGGTCCAATGTCGAGACCAAAGTAAATAGTATAGATGAATCTTTAGTAATAAATGTATTATATTAACACTATTGATCATTTAACTTTAATTAATGAATATTATGATGTCAAAAGTGTTTTGTTTCGAATTTGAAGAAAATGGTAACGCTATCTATATCAATTTCTTGTCTTGTCAAATAAAAATTAAATCAGACAATCAACATCAAAATTTCGAAAACACTTTTTTAGAAAATCATACTAATAAAATTATTAGTTGACTCAGCCTTTTTAAATTCTATTAATAGAAATATATTTTATTAAGGCGATCAAGAAAAAGTTACTATAAAATTATTATTTTTAAGTTGTAAATTAATATTATTATTGACTTTAATAAAAAATTAATATTCACACGATTATAGTAAATTCTAAGCTTATATACAGGTTTCAAATAGCTAGACCAAATATTTGATAAGTACAAAAATAAAGTTTTGTGTAATTAATACTTTGTCTTATATGCAAAATATTGCAAAAATTATACATTATATGCAGGTTTTGGTACTTTTATTTAAAATATTTGTTTCAAACACACGATAATAATATAATTATTAAAAGATAACGATTTATTAAAAGATTGTTCAAAGGTAAAATTCAGAGATGATGATTCAATAAAATTTTTATTATTATTAAAATTTATATTAAATTATATTATTATTAAAAATGAACGATTAAACACACAGTAATATATAAAACGAAAGTATAGAAATTTAAAAATGATAAATTATTAATGATGTATTAGTTAGTTAATGAATTAAATTGTAAAAAAAATTTGAAACAACAAAATTTAAAATCCCTTAATTTATTTCTTGTAATAAAAATTTTTCTTTTAAGTTGATGATAAATCTGTAATATATCATATGTTTTATATATATTATAACATTAATGCAACAACACCAGCAGCTAAAGCACCAATAGTACCAGCAGTTGAAACAATATTACCAGCACCAGTTGATGCAGTTGTAACAGTACCTGAAGTATTTGTTGTATTTGTATGATTATCACCCATAACTAATGATGATGAAACAGCTAAAGTTAAAATTATATTTTTAAATTGCATTTTTTTTAATCTAGGTATGTATATGAATTGGAATAAATTTCTATTAATATGGAATTTAATGAAAGTAAATTAGAAACTATTGAATTAATTTGAAATTAAAAATTTTTGACTTCAAGGGATTTGTTTCTATATTTATATTTGAAAATCTTTTTAAATTTACAAATTTTAATAAAAATCAGAAATTAAAATATTATTTATTATTTTGTTTATTTCTTAATTATTTAATTAAAACAATAATAATAATTAATTCCTATAAAAGTTTAAAATAGAAGTATTATTTTATATATTAGTTAGTAATAATTGATGTTATAATATTTAATTATTTATATTGATGAATTTGTTATCAATTCATTAGCACATGGTGATGAACAATTTTGTATTTATACTTTAATTAGCTCATATGACTATAATTATCTATATAGATGTGATTTGAAGATCTAAAATAACTCCAATTATCTCAATGGTAAAATTGTAAATCTTTTCAAAAATCAAATAAAAGAGGCAAAGCTTAAACTAAAAACACACGATATTTTATTAAACTTAAAATTCAATAAATTTATACCATCTTTGGAACTAAACTTTTTTCAAAAAACTATATATATTTCGCTTTAATTCATATATGAAACTTACAAACGTGTGCTAGGTTCTCCTATATTATTATTCCCTTAAAAAAATTATTAATACTACTACGATTAGATTCATAGTAATTTCTTTTTCATTTTATTCGAGATTTTCAGTTGCAAAAATAATATACCCGAGTATTGACAATTTGTAAGAAAAGTTGTAATTTTCTTGGGTTTTGATAAACAAATTAAATAATTTCTTATTGATAACAAAATTTTTTTACACAACATGTTTTATTTAAATAAATATTTTCAAAAGTTTATTATGATTTCTTTTTTTTTTTTTGAATAAAAATTTTTAGACTGTAATTATGTTCCTTAAAAAAAAAATTGTTAGCTTCATAAATACAAAACATATTTTTACGAAGTAGATATTCTCTAAATATGTAATCAATAGTACAATAAGTAGTTTTACATGCTTTACATTACAATAGAAGTATTAATGTTAGTGTTGATCAAACATTGAAGTGAGTGGCTTATCTGTAGCTTTAATTCATCATACATTTTGTACTTCAGGCACACTCAATTTTTTTCAAGACAATAATAATTCGTCTACGAATACCTTGTGAATTAAATTTACGCAATTTAATAACAAACAAATAAACAAATTTTTATATACAGATACGCCTGCAATATTATTTAAACAATTAAGCTTCTTCAAATTATGACTGTTTACAAAAACCATGTTTACCAATTTTTGACAACTTTAATAATAATCGAAAAGCTTTGTAGTTTCTACTTAAAGCATAAAATTTAAAAATAGAATCATTTTTGAAGTATTGAAAAATTATTTTTGAATATTTTTATTTTTTCAATGTTGCATAAACTTGAGTTTTAAGTTTTGTATGGAAAAATAAATAAAAAAAATTTTTACATGTGGTTTTTCTCAGTTGTATATAAATAGTGGCTGTGTTGTAATCTAGATTAATCTTCAAAATGAATTGTGGAATTGTGAAGAGGGCACATGCTAAGTTTAAATTCAATACATATCATGATCAAAAGATATAGCCTCATGTTTATTTAAAATTAATATAATCATTTTCATTAGAACTTGATCAATTTAAGCCAAAAGAAGAGAATACAAATTGCTACTGCAAAACTAAAATATTGTTTAATCATATGTCTATATCTGAGGCTTAAATGGTTCACGTAATTATATATATAAAAGTATATACGATTAATATAGTATTATTTGGTCTTCTCTTCTTATGTTTTACTTACAATGACTTTGTGTAATGACTATTTTTTGCAGAATTTGACTACTTCCTAAATCAATGAAAATTTTCAACATTCTCGAGGCTCATATTGTGAAAATTTCCTTCGAGCTATAGGTCAAAGCCAATTATGTAAATCTTTTGTTTTAGACCAATCTTTAAATGAGGTATAAGACTTGCTACAGATTGAGTCTATCACAAAAATATGTATTCCAGTTTGCAAACATCTTGCAATGAGACAGCTGATTAGTCTAGCACGGATACAAAACACCAGAGCTAAGTTTTTGACAGATAATATCAGCTACAATTGAAAACTGAAGGTTCAATTATTTCTCATATTTAAATTTGTCCTGATCGGATTAATAAAATCAATCGCGTCGGATTTATATATTTTCTGATTTGAAAAAATAGAGTAAAATAGAATTCAGTAATCAACTATAAAACTAAAGATTCAAAAACATCATGAAATGAATCAACAACAATTAATAACAAAATTGAAATCATGTAAAAATTCAACATTGAATGATATAGCAATACTATGTGGCTCCCCAATTTTAGGTCCAACCAAACCTCTGAGAATTGAAGGTATAATATCACAATATAATTTATTCCAAAATCAATTCAATGATCAATTTTCATCAACTCCTAAAAAATCAATATTATCAATTGATATAGGTATCAAGAACTTTTCATATTGTAAATCACATACTACAGATACATATTCATGGCCAATTGAGATAAACAAATGGGATAAATTAAATTTAAATGAAAAATATGGCGTAAATTATAACCCAATACTAAATGACAAAACAATAATTGATCAAAAACGATACTTGAATTATATAACAGAATCATTAGTTACTGATTTAAAACCTAAATTATCAAATATCAAAATTATGGAAATTCAAAGAACAAGATCAAATAATAATTCAATAACATTACCAATAATAATGCAAAATTCAATATTTGAAAATTTAATGTTTAATAAAATTTTTCCAGATTTATGTATTTTAATAACTTCTTATAAGATGATTCATTTTTGGATATATAGATTTATTACAAAAAATTCAGAAAAAAATTTAAAAAAGAATAATAAAATTATTAGAAAAGATTTAATTGAAAATTGGTATAATAAATTATTTACATTACCCAACTATAATGAAGAACAATTAAATTCAAAAAATATATTGACTTATTTGAAGTTAGATGAAAAGGAAAAAACTGATGATTTAGTAGATTCATTACTTTATAATTTATTAATAAATTGTCAATTAAGTCATTTGACTGATTTTAATAAAATATTGGAAGAAGATGGTGATTTAGTGAAATTTGTTGATGACAAAAATCAGTTTCATATTGATTTAATCAAACCAGTTGTTGATAAATATAAGTTAGAATTAAAAGTATAAACGTTGAATAGACATATTTAAATTGGAAGACCCGACAAATACAAAGTTAAGGAGAGTACATTTTTTATACCGCACAACTCATTTAGTTCTAACTCAATGCTTCATACTTTGACTTTGGTATAATTCTGAATTTTTAAGTTCAAATTTACGATATACATGATATTCCAAAAAAGTACTCTTTGTTTGTTGCAAAACGTAAATTTTCAGTTGCTGGGTGTTAATTTTGGTTAGATATTTTAGTAATTTATCTGCATTAGCAACTTCCATACCTGAAAATTTCAGTCCAGTTAAGCCCGGCTCACCGGAGTGGGAAAAATCGATAAAAAAGTTTTGGAAGAAGATGATGTATCGGTATATTCTGTTAAATAAAAAGATTACCTTCATACCAGTTTGTTCCAGTCTCTTATTGATCAGACTAATTAGGAAATAAAAAATTCAAAGTGGAAAAAAACTTGCTTGATGATAAATCCAATGAATGTACACATGAATTTCACGAAAGTTTCTTCATCTTAATACACTATTTTATTGATACCCCAATCTATTTATCTTCTTCTTCTGACCATGGTACACTTTTAACTTAGGACTGATTTCAAATTTACGAAGCATCATAGACATATTTCGAAACCCAGATGACTCTGCGCTTGTTATGATATATAATTTTCTCAATTTCTGAGTGTTAACAAGTTTTAAAAATTCTTCTACTCGTACTTCAAAATCAACTTGGAGACTTAAAAACTTTAAACCAGATAATTTATCCCCTGGTTCACTAAAATTTACGCTGTAGGGGAAACAAGAACCAAACTGATGCTTGCCTATATAAGAATCAAAATCAACGAATAAATGAATGACAGCATCATCCTCCAAAAAACTAAGTACGTGTTTCAATGACATTAATTCTAGTTCATACCTTGCACTAAAGCTAAATTTAATAATCAATCCCTTTACTCGCCATTTCTCTTGACTCATATTCACTAAAATCCTAATTAGTTCATTCGTTTCTGCACAATTTTTTGAAAGCTCTATTTCTAGTATGTTTACGTTTCCAATAACTTCTTTAGTGAAGGTGGGCTTAATTTGATACACGAAGTCAAGTCTTGACAACAAATTTTCCCTATAATCCCTACTCAGATAATATACATCTTTTCGAAATCTACCTATCCCTTTTAGTCTGAATTTTTTCAGGTTGTTAATTGTATTAACTTCTTTAAATACAAAAGGATGAGTTTGAAGAAAATATGAATCTTCGTCATAAATTTTATTTTGTAAGTATTTAAAAATTTCAATTTCAAATTGTCTCAATTCAATCAATCTCACTATCTCTGAAAGAACGAAAATTACTATCCTACGTGGTGCATGAGGTCCATGATCATCATAACTTACAAATAGCTTATCGTGGTAATGTAAACCCAAATTACCAGAATTCATAATCAAGTCAATGGCTTTTTTTGCAGTTACTCCATTTAAGTACTTGAAAGTGACTTCATTTGGTTCTGAAGTTGAGTAAATACCAGGAATAATTTTATCCAAAATATCGACAGGCAATCTTCCAAAATTGACTAACTTGACCATGCTGTAAAGAAAACTAAAAAAAGCAGTAAATTTGAACACTGTTATGTGAAACTATTCATTTTTTTCTATTTTAGAGTTGTAGAAATTTACCAATGACGGTTGTTTTTTCCTTAAAATTAAACCTTTAAATTTTGCAACCAAAGTATATTAAAAAAAGAAGAGCTACCTTTTCAAGAGATTAAATTCTGAATTGGTAATGTTGAGAGTAGTTTGGAAGCTGGACCTTGGGTGAAGAAATTTATTCAAAGCCAACTTTGATGGATTTTTGTGAGTACTTGTTTATAATATATTCAGATTATAATTATTCTTACGATCTAAGTAGGATTGTAAATGTTATTTCCATCTAGTTCAATTCGAAAAATTGCATTATTGTATGCAGGTTCTTCTCAAGTCATCTTTTTTGCAATCACTTGAAACAAAAATGAAAATTGTTAAATTCATATGAGTAAACGTAATATAGGCTACACACAAGTCTAAACAACGAAAAACAAAAACTTCTTTTCTTTTTGGTATAGAATTCATGATCAATCTGACATGAGATGAAAATTTTTACTTTTTAATAATCTTGAAGTTAATGTATAATTATCAACTAAATCTCTATAATAAAGTGGTTCACTTGAAGTAATAGACAAAGATGTTAATTGCAGGGTATTAATACATCTCAAAAAATACTTCAACTCAGCAAGTCTCGCAGTTTTAATTTTTAAATTTACCAATTTTTCTAGTTTAGAAGATGAACCATAAAGTCTAAGATGGTCGTGATAAAAATTATTAAAATATATTGATAATTCACGAATAGAATCATTTTGAACAAAACTGAATAGTTGTTCTAATAAAACTGGACAATCTTCTGAAACATTGCTTGAATCTTCTTCACGAAAATTAATAATTAAACTTGGAACTTTCCATAAACCTTGACTCATATTTACTAACTTAGAAATTTCATCTCTTATTGTATCCCATTCACCCGAGAGATGCAAGTCTAACGTATTTGCATTACGAGTTATGTCATTCGTAAACATCAGACTTCTGTAAAACTTCAAGCTAAATAATGCTAAGAACGCATCCAAGTTTTTACCTGTCTCTTCATCATGATTTGTTCTAATTTGTAATACTTTGCTCGTTATTTTGAATTTTTTATTACTAATTTTCTCAAATTCAAAAGGATAAGAATTAAGGAAGATGTCTTTCCCTGAATCATTTAATTGTAAATGATGAAAAATCTCAAGTTTAAATTCATTCCTCTTCAATAAGATTGTTAACTCCGAAATTTTAAATACCACAGAATTTGCTAAATCAATTTTATTAAAACCTTTCACATAAATTCTTCTTTGAAAAAAATTGGATTTTTGATTATCAAATCAATTGCTAATTTTGCTGGAATTTTATTAAGATATAAAAACGAAACCTCATTTGGTTTTGTTTGAGAGTAAATTCCAGGTATAATCTTCTCCAATATTTCTAGTGGTAAATCACTCAAAACTGTCATGACGTTTGGTAACTACCTAAAGAAATAATTTTGGGTTCAACTTCAGGGGACAGAGTTTGATTTAAATAGTAAAAAATTGAATTGTATCAATATCTGAATTATTAATTAGTCTATCTCTAAATTAATTTTATCCTTAAATTCAAAACTTAATTTTTTGCAACCAAACTTTATCAGAGAGAATATTAACTTTAAGATTCTTAACTGTATCAAAATATTAAACTTAAGTAAATATTGGAGAAGTTTTCAAAGAAGCAAAACAACTTTATCAAGACAAGCTTTGTAATTTTAATTAGACACTTTTATTATTTATTAAGTTTATATAACACTAAACAACTAAAAAAAAAACACCTTTTTGAATAATCGAAAACACAATTTTTAATACCAAAAAAAACACCAAGAAAAAATAATAACACCTTCATTTTTAAATTAAAACAATTGATGAAAATATGAAACTGATAAATGACGAAAAATAAATGATTAAAAAGTTAATTGCATTTAATAAATTAATCCAATAGCAGCAACAGCAACAGCTAAAATTGAACCAACCTTAACTGAATTGGCACCAGCTTCAAATGATGAAACACTAACAGCTTCGCCGGTTGGTTGGCTTGATGATTGAGCAGCAACAGTTTGTTTAGTTGAAGTTTCTAATGTAGTTTCACCAGCTTTAGTAGTTTCACCTGCTTTAGTAGTTTCACCTGCTTTTGTGGTTTCTCCAGCTTTTGTGGTTTCTCCAGCTTTAGTAGTTTCACCAACTTTAGTAGTTTCTGTTGGATGAACTGGAACTGGAGTAGTTTCACCTGGTGTTGTAGTTCCTTGTGATGGTAAAGGACAGTAAGTGGTATAAGTAGTATCAATTTCAGTAACTGTTGTAACACCTGTAGTTAAAGTTGAAATTGGTGAACAGTGATTTTCACTACATGATGTAATTGTAATCAATGTAGTACTTATATCTGTTTTAGTACTTGTAGTTTGATTGAAATAACCTAATGATGATGATGGAGAAGTTGTTGATAATGTTGGTAAAACAGTAGAAGATTCTGGAGTTGATGATGCACCAGTTTCTGATGATGAACCAGTTTCTTCACCACCTACGAAAACAGCTTTAATACTTAAAGGTCTAATATCATCACCACCTTCTTTAACAATAAAAAACAGATTTTTTGAATATTGATATGGATCATTAACATTTTTAGCAGCATGGATTGAATCAGAACCTTCAAATGAAACAGTACCATCTTCACCAATAGTAACAGTTAATGGATCAGAAACTGATAAAGATAAAAAATTACCAATAAAATTTAAACTTTGATGATATTGACCATTTAATAAATAATAAAGTTGATTTGTTTCATCATCATAATTTAAAGTTTGAGCATTAGTACCTAAGAAAAAATAATTAATACCAGCACCTTCATGAATTGAAGATAATCCTTTACCATCGATTTCTTTATCTGATGAAGTAGCAAATAATTGAACATCTTTAATAGCAGCTAAAGCTGATGATGATAATGATAAAATAGTTGCAATAGTTAAGAATTTCATTTTATAATTGTTTGATAAAAAAAAGTTCTCTATAATGATAAATTGAGTTATTGTAGTATTAGCGATTGAATAATAACTTAATGAAAAGAAGAAAGAATAAAGAATAATCCGAAAATTAAAAGAAAATTTAGTTGATATTTATAATGATTTAAAATCTAATATTATATATTATACATCTTTAATAATTATAAGTAATAATAATTGCAAAATAAAATAAATAATATTGTGTACCTTTTTTATTATTAAATTTATTTTTAGAGTAATAATAAATATATAAAATAAATAAATTAACCGGTGATACATACATACATTCAATTTATTTATTTATATATTATGATGTAATATTAATTAAATTTGACCAATTCATCACCAATTTGAATTACTTTGATTCTATTTTTAGAAATACTATGTACAAATACTTAATAAAACAAATAAAGCAAATATGTATAATAGATAAAATTTATTAACAAACCCCAAAAACAAAAATAAATAAACCGATTAACATTACTAAGCCAATAGAAGATTTTTTTGATAAAAAAAGGAAAAATGTTTCGTGTGGCTACAAATTTATTAATCTTGGTTAAAATCAAATAGTCTTTGAAGATATTTGAAAAAAAGAGTAAGTCTAACGGATTCTCTAAAAAAAAAACCCTTTATAAGAAGCACCCTTGATTTAGCAGAATCTATTCAGAACTTATCAGGTTCTTGTAGTCATATTTTGAATAAAGTAATTTCTGTGGTTGTGGAGGAAATTGTCAGGTTTAATTATATAAATCTATAAATAAATTAAAAAAAAAAATAAACAAACAATAAATTTTTACGTAAATTTACATCATGCGCAATATATTTTGTGATTTTTATATATTATAATATATCATTCAATTAATTTTGGAAAATATAATATATCAAATATTAATGACTTAGGGTGCTCCTTGGTCTTGGCAGAAATGAAAAAGGAATTCTACTACTTTGTGGTGTGATTAATTGAACATGATACTTTATATTACTATTTCGGAGATAAAATTGATAATTTTATTACCTTTCCATAAAGTAATTTTCCCTCACTTATTTTTTCCACTTAAAATTGCGAGATTGTGATAAATTGTCTTTAGTCCAAATCTTTTGATAGTTATTTATCTTATTTGGTTAACAATCAAAGAGGATCTAAGTCATGGAGTTTCTAGTGATATAAACTTTTTTAGTGGAAAATAGATCAAGTGGCGTTACTTAATTATTTAATACTGTCAAGATCCTTTCTTATTTTACGAAACTTTGAATTCTTTTTACGAAAAAGATTGTAATTCCTGTACATAATTTGCACACTATAACTATATATGTGTGTATGGATGTTTTGAGTTACTTAACTGAATTATGAAGCTGAATTATGAATTGAAAGAGCATTTGCTGCGAAAATTTGAAACTTCAAATACAAGAAATTAAATTTGGTAAATGACACAGAATCTCGTTAAGTAGATACAGAAGCTAAGCTAGCTTTGCTAGTACTGAAAAGCCTTACAAAATCGGCTTGTCGATCCGCATCCAGATCTTTATGATGGTTCCAATCGAAATATGAATTTAGAGGGAAAACCGCCTTATCACTCTAAACGGAACACGCTAGACTATCTGATTCGTACTTGAGACTCAGACTTCAAAGAATCGAAAACTATCATATTGATTAATAAATATTTAATTTATAAGCTACAACGTCAAAAAACTTGTATAATTATTATTTTCATGGATTAAATACGACTCTACCTTCATATTGATTCTTTCTTAATTTCTCAATATAAACAGGTAATTCTTTTAATCCAACAGCTTTAACTTTTGGAACAACAGTTTTAGATCCAACTAATTCAAAAACTTCTTCTAAATCAGTTGAAGTACCCCAAAAAGAACCTAAAATTTGAATTTCTCTTAAATCTAAATCAGCAACATTAAATTTTAATTCTGGTGCACCTAAACCAACAGGTATAATTTTACCCTTTGGTTCACAATATTTTTGACAAATATCAAAAGTTTGTTGTACAGAAACAAAATCAAAACATGATTCAAATGATCCTGGTTGTATTGAATTTGGTAATGTTTCATATACATTTTGTGCACCATATTTTTTAGCTTCTTCTCTTGCTTCTTGTTTTTTATCTAATACTGTTATTTTAGCACCAAATGCTTTTGCAATTTGAATTGCATTACCACCTAATCCACCAGCTCCAATAATTAAAATATTTGAATTTGGTTTAACATTGGCCATCTTTATAGCATGATATGGAGTTAAAATTGCATCAGTTGAAGCAGCAGCAAGATCTGAATTAACATTATCTGGAATTTTAACTAAATTTCTTGGTTTTTTAATTAATAAATATTGTTGATAACCTCCATCACTACCTAACCCATACCAATCACCAAATGCCTTTTTACAAACATTATCTAATGAATCACGACAAAATTTACATGCACCACAACCATTTGGTCCAACTGCAGCTACTCTATCACCAATTTTATAACCTGAATTATCACCTGGTCCTAATTCACAAACAGTACCAGCAATTTCATGTCCCATAACATAATTATCACCACAATCTAAACCTTCATAAATGACATGTAAATCTGAATGACATAAACCAACTGCATCAATTTTAATTAATAATTGACCAGTTTGTGGTTTATGAACTGGTAAATCTGTTTTTAAATTTAATCCGGATGCCCTTTGATATAAAAATCCGTATTGAGTTGATGGTATAGTAGTTGACATTTTTTGAACTGATGGTACTTTTGATTTAAAAGTTTTAATTGATAAATTTCTGAATAAGGATGTCATTTATCAAACAAGAAAATGGAAGAGAACATATTGGAGTAAATTAGAGTAATTTTATACTTTATTTAATTTAGCTTTGAACAAAAAAGTTTATCTTGATACTTGCTATTTAAAGTATTTTTATGTACGTAAAAATCTGTATATGGTATGCAAAAACCCCCTTGCAAAAATAAATATTAAATAAAAAACACTGATATTTTAAGCCCTTGGTAATTCTTAAATCAGATGATAAATAGCTTGAGTCGAACACCAAGTAAAAACCGAATATGAAACAAAATAATGCTTTTTTTGTTCTATGGCCCGAGTGTATAATGTGAATTTGAGCTCTCGCTGTTAACTTAATGGCATACAGATTAGTTTAGTGCATTTTGAATATCAACCGTTTACATTCAGTAACGTTTAAGAGTACACCAGCTTGAACAATAATCTTTTTCACATATCCTTTAAAGTCGATATTCGATATTGCAGACAGATAGATTTGACTATATATGCTCAATGTAGATAGCTCATACCCTTTACTTGAAACTTCAATGAAATAGTCTAGAGTTTAAAGTATTTTCATTTAAGCATGAGCCTTTGAATTAAGGTTGAGATGATCTGATTGTATTTATTTAAATTTATGAACTACATATCAACTCTGCAGATGTTCTGAGCGTTTATTCAGCTGAGATTTTTGATGTAGTTATGGAAAAGAATTCATTCTAAGTAAACTTAATCTACAAACCCATTCTTAATTTTTTTACTTTTAAATCTCTTTTCTTATTTTCTTAGATACGAAGTTTTACAAATTTCTTAAAAAAACCAAGATCAATCTGATTCATTTTGTCCAGATCTATTAATAAGTCTACTGGAAACGTAGATTATAACATCCACCCAACTTGATAATTACTTGCTCAATTGTATTTAATGATCGATCTTATTCAGTCAAGTTAATAAAGCTTATTATAATACTACGTCGATCAAAAACCTAAGAATAAGTTTCAAACTAAAAGAGTTTATGATCTTTATCAGTTATAAGCAGTAAATGAGTATTTATCGAATATAAAATTATTTGGATCTTGATAAAAATATCATATGTCAAAATTTTAACCTTTAAATGTAGATCATTAAAATTAAACTTTTTGTGGGGTATTAAGATTTTATCTCCTAAATCTTTTAATTTATTTTACAACCAATATTTGAATAATACATAATTAATGAATATATAAGTGATCATGAATCAATTTGTATCAAATGCTTATTAAACGAAAGAAGTTGTAGATGTTATTATACTAAAAGTATTAGATGTGCAAAAAGTAATTGAGAGATTATTCAATTTAATATTTGTAGGTAAAATTCATTTTTCACAAATATAATCAATTTTTCAAGCTCTTTTAATTATCTAAAAAATGTTTAAATATTTCATTATCTTCTTGATTGTTGAAACAATTGCTTCAAGTTGACTCTAAGTGTCCTGTTAAGCGTATCAGACTAACAAGGAATCGGTTTTCTTTACCAAATATATATAGAAAAAATTAAGAATTTAAAGCAATTTCATTAAAACCAAAATTTATTTATAAAAGCAGTCTCATCAATTCCAAATTCCAAAATATTAGGTCGAATAGATGGCGGGGGAATTTAAAACAATAATGATACGATGAAAATCAAATATTATAAGTCATAAGATGAGCGGAGGAAATAATATATTAAAAGGAAATAATGACTAAATTAAGTAATTTTTACACTACCAAAGTATTTCCATAGAATAAACCAATTAAATAAATTAATTTATTAATACAAAATTACTTTTAATAATATTTAAATAATTAGTAATAATTACACTACTTTTGAAATTGTTAACTATTGTTAACTATTTTAATTAGCTTTGACTAACTTTATAATATTTAATATTATAATTCTCGAACCAGTTATTTTAAAATTTTTCATACTTTTATATATTTCTTTTTATATAAAAACAACCAACTTTTATCAACTTTTTTTTGGTTTGAGTTTAAGATCATAAAAATTAATTGAAGAATCAGATTTGCCAATTAATAAGAGCAAATCAGTTAATATTATTCAATTTTATAATTTGATTTTTAATTTAATATTAATTCAATTTTTTTTTTTCCAACTCAACAAATATTCTTGTTTTTTTTTTTTAAAGATCTAACCTTAGATCAGTATAATTAGAAAGTTTCGAAAAAATGGAGTCAGTTATTAAAGTTTCTATGTCAGTATGTCCTTTTGTTAAATCAAACTCAACTCAAGCTTTAAGACAATTAAGTAGAAGTACTGGTGGTTTAGCTTCAAGAGCTCGTCAATGTCCTTATATGTCTAATGCAATTCATGCACAAGAATTACAAGTTGAACAACAACAACAACAACAAAAACAACAAAAACAACAAGAAAGATCTTATTCTCAAGCTTCAAAACCAAGAAGAGCAAGTGTTAGCAGATCTACTACAACAACACCAGGTTCAACTTTTAATTCATCACCTTATCAATTTAGGAATGAAAATTTAATTGATCCAAAATTACAATTTCAAAGTAATGAAACTCCATTTGATTTTCAAGGTTTTTTAAATAATGATTTAAATAAAAAAAGATCAGATAAATCTTATCGTTATTTTAATAATATTAATAGATTAGCTAATGAATTTCCAAAAGCTCATCGTACAAATGAAACTGATAAAGTTACAGTTTGGTGTTCAAATGATTATTTAGGTATGGGGAAAAATGAATATACTTTAAATGAAATGAAAAGAGTTTTAGATAAATATGGATCAGGTGCAGGTGGGACAAGAAATATTGCTGGGCATAATTCTCATGCTATTAAATTAGAATCTGAATTAGCTGCTTTACATAAACATGAAGCTGCGTTAGTTTTTAGTTCATGTTTTGTTGCAAATGATGCTGTTCTATCATTATTTGGTCAAAAGATTAAAGATTTAGTTATATTCTCAGATGAATTAAATCATGCTTCTATGATTCAAGGTATTAGAAATTCAAGAGCTCAAAAACATATTTTTAAACATAATGATTTAGTAGATTTAGAAACAAAATTATCTCAATATCCAAAATCTGTACCAAAATTAATTGCATTTGAATCTGTTTATTCAATGTGTGGATCAATTTCTCCAATTGAAAAAATTTGTGATTTAGCTGAAAAATATGGTGCTATTACATTTTTAGATGAAGTTCATGCTGTTGGTATGTATGGTCCTCATGGTGCAGGAGTAGCTGAACATTTAGATTTTGAAGCTCAATTAAAACTGGGTATTGAACATCCAAAAGATTTAAAAACAGTTATGAGTAGAGTTGATATGGTTACTGGTACTTTAGGTAAAGCTTATGGATGTGTTGGTGGTTATGTTACTGGTAAAGCAAATATGATTGATTGGTTTAGATCTTATGCACCAGGTTTTATTTTTACAACTACTTTACCGCCAGCAATTATGGCAGGTGCTGCAGCATCAATTCGTTATCAAAGAGCTACTTTAAAAGATAGAATTGCTCAACAAAAAAATACAAGATATGTTAAAAATAATTTAATTGATTTAGGTTTACCAGTTATTCCAAATCCTTCTCATATTGTACCTGTATTAGTTGGTAATGCTCAAGATGCTAAAAGAGCTAGTGATTTATTATTAGATAAACATGATATTTATGTTCAAGCTATTAATTTCCCAACAGTTCCAATTGGGGAAGAAAGATTAAGAATTACTCCAACTCCAGGTCATGGAAAAGAAATTTCAAATCATTTAATTGAATCTATAAATTCTGTATTTAATGAATTAAATTTAAATAGAATTAATGATTGGTCAGCAAAAGGTGGTCTTTGTGGAGTTGGTCAAGAAAATAGTGAAATTGATCATATTTGGACTGATAAGCAATTATCTCTTAATGATAATGATTTGAATCCAAATGTTTTTGAACCAATTATTTCACCAATTGGTGTTTCCTCAGGTGTCACTGCTTAAGTTGTATTTAAAGTGACTTATTAAAAATAAATTACATACGAAATTATAAATGAATAGTATTAAATAATTTGAATATATATGAACCATATTTATCTAAAATTAGAGTTATTGTAGAGCTCTTGTTTGTGTTTCTTGATAACATGAAATGAAGTGGCATCAAGTTTACATATTTACACTACAACTTATCAATTTTGTGTAATTTTACCAATATGGAAACTTTTTAGACAATTTGATTTAATTACATACATAAAGTACATAACCAGCTTTAAATCCACATATTTTATAAGTTATTTCTTCTTTTGATGAATTTTTGGTTTCAATCACCAAAAAGATTATGTCAGATACTTATGAATATACAGATTTAAAAGAACAACCCAATATTTTCCACAAACTGAAACGAATAAAATTATTGAAAAGGATACTTTCATTTGGAGTTGTAATTGGGATATTATTATGGGGATCTTCATTTTTACTAATAACGATTGATAATTTTATACTGAAATATGGTTCAGCTCCAAGTCAACCTTTTTTAAGTCAAAGTCTACCACAACAACTTTCAGAGGTATTTGTAAGTCCAAATGATAAACCACATAATTTTGGTGATAAAATTCCATTAAATAAAAAAATATATGATGATCATGTGTTGTACCCAAAAATTCATGAAATTCAGTGGATAAAAGAACCATCTTCTATATACGATGATAAGGGAACTTATGTAATAAAAGAAGAAGATAAAGATAAAGGATTTAAAGTTGTTATTAAATCAATAGCTGATGAGAAATATGAGCATACTTTGATTGAAAACTCGAAATTTGAATACAAAGATAATGAATATACTATTGAAAAATATATTGCATCACCAAATTTACAAAAAGTATTATTACAAACAGACATTACAAGTAATTGGAGATATTCCTCATTATCATTATATTGGATATTGGATGTTGAAAGTAAACAAATAGAACCAGTTTTTAATGAACTCGAAAAAATATCAACAGTTTCATGGTCTCCCGACTCATTAAACGTTGCATTTATATATAACAATAATATTTTTCTTAAAAACTTAGAAAATAATGTAATAACTCAAGTTACAAAAGATGGATCAGAACAAATTTTCAATGGTAAACCAGATTGGGTATATGAAGAAGAAGTATTTGGAACAGATTTAGTATTATGGTGGTCACCAAAGGGAGATAAATTTACATTTTTAAGATCAAATAATACAGAAGTTCCTGAATTTATTATACCTTTTTATGCTCAAAATGAATTTAAAGATTATCCAGAATTAGTTAAGATTAAATACCCTAAAGCTGGGTATCCTAATCCAATAGTTGATATTTTAACTTATGATTTAACTAAATCAAAATTAATAGCACATGATTTAAAATCCGATCATATTGAAAATTCAGATAGATTAATTACTGAAGTAGTTTGGGTAAATGATGAAATTCTTGTCAAAACTTCAAATAGAGCAAGTACATTACTCGAGATATTCTTAATTAGTGATAAAAAATCTAAACTAATTAGATCACTCAAAGCAAAAGATACTTGGTTTGAAATAACCTCACATACTTTATACATCCCAAAAAACGAAACAGTTGGTCGTAAAAATGATGGATATATAGATACAGTAGTTGAAAATGGGTTTAATCATTTAGCATATTTTTCACCACCTGATAATCCAGAATATAGACTATTAACAAAGGGGAATTGGGAAGTTGTTGGAGGAGTTGGTGCTTTTGATTATAATACAAATACAGTTTTTTTCACAAGTACTATAAAATCATCAATTGAAAGACATATACACTCAATTAATCTTTTAGATACTACTAATAATGGATTACCTTATGTTAAAGATTTGACTGCTAAAGAAGGTTATTATTCATCATCTTTTTCAAGTGGTGGGAGATTTTTATTTCTTTCTGATTTAGGACCAAATGTACCAACTCAAAGAATCAATGACCTAAAATTGGGTAAAAATGTTAAAACTATTGAAGATAATTCTGAATTTACTGAAAAATTGAGAAAATATGTAATACCAGAAATCAAATTTAGTACAGTAGAATTAGAAGATGAAAATGGTGAAAAATTTTTAGTTAATGCTCAAGAAACATTACCTTTAAATTTCGATAAAAAGAAAAAATATCCAGTATTATTTTTCATTTATGGAGGCCCAGGATCTCAGCAAGTCACTAAACGATGGGGTGTAAGTTTTAGTTCATTAGTTGCTGCTGAATTGAATGCAATTGTTGTAACATTTGATGGTAGAGGTACTGGTTTTAATAATTTAAATTTTAAGCTTGGGTCCCAGTTCAAATTTATTGTGAAAGATAAATTAGGTAAATATGAAGCTGCAGATGTTATAGCAGCAGGTAAACATTGGGCTAAAAAATCATATGTTGATCCAGAGAGAATTGCAGTTTGGGGTTGGTCATATGGTGGATTTTTAACTTTAAAAACTTTGGAGAGTGATTATGAAGCACCAGTATTTAATTATGGGGTTGCAATTGCACCAGTTACAAAGTGGAGATTATACGATTCCATTTATACAGAAAGATACTTAAACACTCCACAATCAAATCCAGAAGGTTATCAAATAGGATCAATAAATAATATAACAAATTTCAAACATGTTAAGAAATTTTTCATTGGTCATGGTAGTGGAGATGATAATGTTCATATTCAACATTCTTTACAATTATTAGATGAATTTAATTTAGAAGAAATTGAAAATTTTGAATTTATGATATTCCCTGATCTGAATCATGGTATGAATTATCATAATGGTAATAAAGTTGTTTTTGATAGAATATTAAATTTTTTGAGAAGAGCTTTTAATTGGGAATTTGTATAATTTATTTAGACAATAAATGTATTATTATAGAGTTAATTATCTATCATAGATTTCATAATTCATAACTTCTATAACTCTTATAATTTTGTATGTACCAACTGTTAAATATAGTTGACACGTGATTGATTTTTCACCAAAAAAAAAAAAAAAAAAAAAAATTTTTNAAAAAAAAAAAAAAAAACAAAAATTTTTCAATTTTATTACATCTCATTTTACTATCTTTTGTATTAGACTTTCTTTTAACATCTTCAAATCTCCAATTGAGTAAAGAAAAACCATACCACTACTACAATGATTATTTTCCAAGACGTTATTTCAGGTGATGAATTATTATCAGACGCTTACGATGTCAAATTAGTTGATGATGCCGTTTATGAAGCTGAATGTGCTATGGTTACTGTTGGTAATGGTGATATTGATATTGGTGCTAATCCATCAGCTGAAGATGGTGATGAAGCATTAGAAGATGGTGCTGAAACTGTCAACAATGTTGTCTATTCATTTAGATTACAACAAACTCAATTTGATAAAAAATCATTTACTACATACATTAAAGGTTATATGAAAAAAGTTAAAGCTTATTTAGCTGAACATGATCCAGAACAAGTTGAAAATTTTGAAAAAGGTGCAACTAAATATGTTAAAAAAGTTTTAGGTTCTTTTAATGATTGGGATTTCTATACTGGTGAATCAATGGATCCAGATGCTATGATTGTTTTATTAAATTATAGAGAAGATGGTACTACCCCATACGTTGCTATTTGGAAACATGGTGTTAAAGAAAACAAAATCTAAGGAAGTTTTAATTACTGCTGTGCAAAGATATATATTTAGTATATAGAGAAATCATAATATTTAATTCAATTCAAGATTTTTGTTGTTACTTTTTAACTATTGATAAACAAACATTTTCTTTGGTAATTTCTGAATCAATGTACCAAAATAATTCTACTTCGTATTGATCATTTAGCAATGACCTCAATGCATGAGCTCTACTGTCATCTATCAATCTTCTAGCTTTTAAACCATATTCGTGTCTTTGATTAGGTGTTAACACCAGCTCCTCCTCGTTTTTACTTTCATTCTGTACATTTTCCGTACTATTGCTTGATCTTTTTCTTTCTTCTGTAATATTTACTGCCCATGAAACCATTTTTTTCAATTTATTGAATGAATCAACGGATTTGAAACCATGATCATACAAGAACTGTTTAGATCCAGGTAACAATTGATCATGTGAACAAACATGTCGACAACACATTGCAATCAATATACCACCAAATTGATTATTTTCTACAATTGAAGAATTTAAAATCAGCTTTAAAGTTAAATCAGTAGCTGCTCCACATAAATGTTTCGAAATTGCAACTATGTTTCGTGGCTTAATGTCTTCAATAAATTCGTCTAGCTTCAAGTCTTTGATGTCTATTTTAGCTCTCTTCACTATAGGATTGAGATCATAAGGCTCTGAATCTTGTATAATTTTTGAATCACATTTTAATCGATTGTTTCCTCTATCTATTAATCCGTATCCATAACAATTAGTACCCGCTAAATTATCATGAATTATACATTGATTGACATATCTTGATAATTCGGCTTTTCCACAGCCATATTCCATATAAAAAGTGTCTGTTGATAGTAAATTTAATCTTTTTAAATTACCTATTAGTGATGATTGTTGAAGGACATGTTTCTGATAGGTCTTTTGTTCTAGCTGTGTTGTTAGTCCTGGATGTTCACATATGTGCAGTTTTAATGGCTCGAACTCCATTTTATCTAGTAGGTCTCTATAATATTGATCATTAAGTGTTTCTGAATCTTTTTCAAGCTCAAAGTCTTTGGAATTCTGTAAGGTCGAATTGATATTAAGTTGGAACCAGCGGTTTCTATCAACTTTTGGTTTTGCATTACACTTCAAGACATGAGTGTCTAATTCTTTTTCCCATACTGTATGATTTGGATTTAAAGGACAAGGGATTCTTTTCTTAGTATTTGATGATTCATTGTCATGTATCATATGTTCTGAGCAGTACCTGTTCTCTTTCTTTCTCATCATTCGACATTGTTTCGTCTTATTTTTTTTAGTCACAACGAACTGACATTGATAAGCTATTGGATTGTCTAATTTTTGTCGCTTTATATCTGACATTTTTGTTTGTTAAAGAGTCCATTCTGTATGATATTAAAAAACCACTTAAAAAAATAAAAAAATATTTACGAGATTATTTTGATCTCATCACTATATTAATATTTTGCAACTAAATTCATTAACAAGATAATTATTGAAGATGAAATCCACGAATCAAATGTGGAAACTAGACTTACTAGAAGCAAAATATGAAGATTTTCCACCAAGATTCCCACATACGAAAAAATTACTATTTGCATTGAAACATAATAATAAACTTATCAAGAAACTACCTACAAATAAAGAAGATGCTCAAAAGGAGATATTAGAGTTGAAAACTCAATTTTTTGAAAATAAATATCACTCAGCGTATAAAAAATTAGAGAAAGAAATAAATAAGATTATTAAGCTAAAATCGCCTCCTTCTGATGAGTTCAAGAAGGAAGAATTTATAAATCAATTAATTACATCAAAATTAATCAAATCCATCACAACCACAATTTTGCTAAACAAACAGCTAAAATCAAATCCTCCAGAATACATACCGAACAATTTACAAGAAATAATAAAAGACAAATCTAATCCTTCAAATCCTTCTCAATTTTTCATAAAATATTGTCAAAAATCAAAAGATGTAAATAACTACTGTTCAAATATATGGAATAATAAAAATGTCAAAACTATCTTACAAGATATTGAATGGAGTTTTAAAATGGTAAGGGGAAATTTAAGCAATCATGATATAGCCGAAAGAAGTAAACAAACGGGCAAAGAAGTCAATGAGGATAAAGAAGATGAAGAAGACGAAGAGAACGAAGATACGGAGGAGGAGGATGAAGTCGAAAGGGACGATCATAAAGAAGAAGAACACTCAGAGAATGAATCAGATATTGAGGAACAATTTGAAAAATATGCTGCCTATGATAATTTAGAAGGTGCTTCAGATGAAGAGGATGAAGAAAATGGAGAAGAATTAAACTCAAATATAAACTACAATGAAGTTACTGATGAAGAACCATCAGAGGAAGAGGACTCTGAGGAATCAAGCGACGAAGAACTGGATGATTCTGTTGATGATTTCTTTGAAGAAGAGCCACCTAAGAAGAAAGCTAAAAAAGACAAACAAGAAGATAAATATGAATTACCAGAATTAGCACAAGGGTATTATTCAGGAGGATCAGATGATGAAGATGAAGACGTTGATAATGATAAAGTAGTAAAAGAAATAACTCAACAACGTAAAAACAGAAGAGGACAAAGAGCAAGGCAAAAAATTTGGGCTCAAAAATATGGTAAATCAGCAAAACATATTGTAAAAGATATAGAAAGAGTTAAAAGTGAAAGAGAGAAAAGACAAGAAGAATTTGAAGAAAGACAACGTAAAAGAGAATTAAAGGCAAAATTAGCATTAGAGAAACAAAAACCAACTGGTTCTAATTCTGAACCTTTAGGTGAAAGAAAATCAGTAACACCACAAATACCATTTGAAGATAAAAAAATTCATCCTTCTTGGGAAGCTAAAAAACAAGCTGAAGAAAAATTAAAAAATGTTAAATTTCAAGGTAAAAAAATTACTTTTGATTAAAAAGGACTATATTCATAATAAATGATAATCAATTTTAAAATTTGATTTTAGTTCTTCTTCAGTTATTGGATTACACCATGACTCTCCTTGAATTATAAAATGATAATGACATTTTTCTGGTTCACTAACAGACACTAATTCAGGACCTTCACCACATATAAATTCAATAGTTGCTGAACGTTTTGGACCATTCCAACAACGATCACCATTATTATAATAAAGTTTATCATTCTTGTATTCTTTAAATTTACCAATGAAAACATCATCTTGATTTATACCATCTAATAAATTAATTCTATAATTGTAACCACCCAAATTTTTTGAAATTGTTACTTGATCATAAGCTCTTAATATATCATTTGGTCCATAATTTAAATTTAAGTTTGATTTGACTATTGAGATTTTTTTCTCAATTTGTTCGAGTTCTTTTTCTAGGTTCTCTATTTTGTGAGTTAATTCATTCTGTGACAAATTCGAATGATATTCAATTACCGATTTTTTAAGAAATGTGTTAGCAAAAAATTGGAAATAATAATGTATCATATTAAATATTGTTGGTGGTGAATGATGGACAGAATCTTCTGCTGTACTGCTGTGTGGTATGGATTTGGCTTTTTCTATCAAATTGTTTATTAATTTGTTTGTTTCGTGAATATCCTCTAATATATCTTCTTCTTTGTTTGACACATATTCTTGGTACTTATGAATTGATTCTTTTACAGCAGGATCATTAAAATTGGGATTAAAATTTTTGGACAAAACTTCCAAAATTTTTTCTAAAGCTTGAACTTTTGATTCTTGTTTTAGTATATCTCTCTTATGTGAATTTATTCTATCAACCAATCCATCAAAATGATCCCGTAAACCTTCAAATACAGAAATATCTTGCTGATCTAATTCTGAATTTTCAAATTGAATTTTCAATTTGTTTAGTTCCATTCTTTTTTCAGGTATTTGTCTCTCGAATTTATGTAAATTTTCAATCAATCTCTTTCTCCTATTTTGAGCTAATTCAATTATTTTTTGTTTCTTTTCAAGTGCTTTATTGATAAAACTTAATTGTTCATTTTTATATTCTTCATACTGACGATGAATTTCTTCACACTTGTTTTCACAACCTCCAATTTTATATTCATCTGATCCATCACAACAAATATCATAATCACAAACTCCATCATTTAATTTAAATTGATCTATATATCCTGGAAAATGACCGTTATTAGCGCAATAAAATTTATATGGAGGTTTGGGGCATGCGTTTGTTCCCGGTTCATCTGATCCATCTGGACAATCACATAAATCATCATTTATTTGATCATAATTTAGTATTATTGAAGAATCATTTAGACAATGCCATATTTTGTTACCATTTTCATCAATTGTTGGTTCATATAAATGTTTGTTTTCGGGACTGACTCCAATTATATCAGCATTTGTTAGTGACTGTATCAATGTACATAGTAGAAGTTGTCTGAATAACATTTGTGAAGTTTGAATAGATATTAAAATAATATTTGGTTGTAAACTTGATTATTGAAATATTTCAATAAAGGGTGAGATTATATTATACAGGATAATTCTAATTGTTGCAAAATTGTCTATTCAACAAAATTTATCTATTATTAATCTATACGAATACATTGCCCATTAATTGATTTATCTTTCAAAATATCAATAGCTTTATTAGCAACATCATCTAAAGAGATTGGTTCTAAATCACTTTTAACTTTCAAACCCATATCAGTTTCTTTAACTAAACCAGGTAATAAAGCATTAACTCTAATTATATCACGTAATTCATGAGATAAACTTTTTGTAAATCCTAAAAGACCAGCTTTTGATGCTGCATATACTGATGTTCCTGATATTACATGATCTGTGTAAGATAATATTGAAGATATGTTTAATATCGATGGATTTAGCTTCTTTTGTCGTATCATATCTTTGATGAATAACTGACTAAGTATTATTGCTATTGTGAGGTTTAGATTTATGGTATCTGAGATTAATTGTTGATCTGTTTGATGTAGTAATGAATGAGTAGTTATACCTGCACAATTGATGAGAATAGTTGGTGGAGTAATTGATTTTCGTAAATTTTGCACATCTGTCTCCAGTTTGATGAGCAGTAGTAAATCAATTGATCTATAAGAATGTGATTGGTTATGATCAGTTGATAATTGATTGACAGATTGTTGAAGTAGTTCCTCATTTCTTGCTAATAAAGTTATTGAAGCTCCATTTAATGCCAATTTTGATGCAATTGCTAAACCAATTCCTCTTGAACCACCAGTAATTAAAGCATTTTGACCTTTAAACATGGAACATTGACTGATCTAAGGTTGTGGACCTATGTCACTAATCGAATCTTTGATTTCGTCTAGACCAATAACTCAAAATTTAAGGTACAGTCTTTGGTAGTGCAAATTTGTACGTGTTTAGTTAGTTTTGTTTACATTTTTAAATAAATTTATTTTTTTTGATCTCAATAATAATCAACCAAACTTTACATCTAAAACTATATCAATCACACCCTCAAACTTACAATGGTATGCTGTTTACGATTTTTATAAATTAAAAGTTCTTTCATGAATACTAACTTGTCCTTTTTTTAGTCACAAAATACCAAAACATATAGAGATGCATTTGCACTTTTTGATAAAAAGGGAACTGGTAAAATCCCAGTAGAACATTTAGGAGATTTATTAAGAGCAATAGGACAAAATCCAACATTAGCAGAAATATCAGAATTACAATCTACAATAAAAGGTTCTGATTTTAATTTTGATCAATATCAAGAAATTATAAATCGTCCTGATGGTTTCAAACCTTTAGGAAATCCTGAAGATTATATAAAGGGGTTTCAAGTATTTGATAAAGAACAAACTGGTTATATTGGAGTTGGTGAATTGAAATATATTTTAACTTCAATTGGTGAAAAATTAAGTGATTCTGAAGTTGATGAATTATTAAAGGGAGTTAATGTAACATCTGATGGTAATGTTGATTATGTTGAATTTGTCAAATCTATATTAGATCAATAGATTTAAGTTAAATAGATTAATATATATTTGGGTAATTTAGTTAAAGGGAAACTTGACTGGTGGTTGTGTTGTATTACAATGTGTAAAATCTCTTTAATCTGAACTTCTATAATATCTCGCACTAAAAGTATACGATTTTCAAAACACAATTTGAATCGTTCTAAAACCAGATCAAATATGTCAGAACAAATATCACAACCACAATCAAGTATACTACGAAGTTTTCCAACAGAAGGATCTCTACGAAATAATCAAAGATTCCATTTATTCCCCAAAGATAGAATAGAAGCATTAGCAACCACATCAGGATTAATTGGAATATTTGCAGGTTTTTATGATGGTATACAAAAAACTTCAAATAGATATTTAGTAGAAAATGGTCATAGATTACCAAGAACAAAAGGTGGGTGGTATTTCTATCATAAAAGAAAGAATTATGAATTAATTGTTGGTGGTACTTCACAAGCCATCAAAACAGGATTAAAATTTAGTTCAATAGTTGGTTGTTTCTTTTTATTAGAATATAGTTTAGATTTAATAAGAGGACAAATTGATTTTTTAAATACTACTATTGCTGCTGCTTTAGGATCAACTATATATACAAGATATAAACAATTAAGTTATATTCAAAGTAGGAAAATGATAATAAAGGGAACAATAAGTGGATTTATTTTAGGTATAATACAAGATTTATTAATAAATGCAAGAAATGGTAATGTTTGGTATATAAATGAATATAAAAGAAGATTTAAATAATGAGTGATGCATTCTTGTTTTATAAATAGTTTTATGTTTTGATTATTCTTCATCAGAATCATCTAAATCAGGTACTGGATATTTTAATAAAGCAGCAATACCAGTTAATTGATTTAATTGTATACCCAGTTCATGTAAACTTGAAAAAATATAAACTTTTGAACCCATATTTTTAGCTTGTTCTACAAGATTAATATATTCTCTTCTAGTTTCAATATCATCTGATCTAAATAATTCATCAGATATCATTAAATATCTTATAGCATCCATATTTAATGCCTTTATGATTTCTTCTTTACCATACCATGCTCTATCATCATCATCATTAAGAGCTTTTTGAAATTTAGTTAATGCTTGACTTTCTTCTAAGAATTTTGTATCTGCTAATTTTTTAGACAGTTGTTGATCTTTTAGTATTTCTTCTAATCCTTGTAAATAACCAGTTGATGAATGAGTTACTAATATTTTGTTTTTATTATTTAATATTGATTGGAAAACCTTTGTATCTTTAGTTGATGATGAATTTTGCATATTTGTACATTCTTGAATTAATTTTTCATATAAAGTTTTAGCTAAAAATCCAGGTGATGCTAATATAATAACTTTTAATTTATTGAAATCAAAATGTCGAATAATTCCTTGGATTATCATATTATAAAATGAATTTAATGCTTTATCTAGTTCTTTTGTTCCATAGTCTTTATTTTTTCTCGGTATTGATTTTTCAATTTTAGATTGTAATACTGTCATTTGTTCAGTAACATAACATAAATGAGCTACTCCCTCCTGAAATATAACTGCTCCTATATCAGCTTTTTTCTCAATTGAACATAATTCATCTAGTAATGTCATATCATATTCATCCCAACTTGATTTAACTATACTTACTTCTTTATTTAATTCAATTTCTGCTGTATGATAACTATTTAATGGTATAAATTCTTGTTGTAATAATGATTTCCCATTAATTCTCATTGTTAAATCACTAGCTATATAATCAATATCTTCTACTAATAATCTTAATTTTACTAAAATTTTCTCCATTTTGGATTTTCCTTTAGTTATTTGATTTTGATTACCCTTTTTAACATTACGATGAGTTAATAATTGTACTGTATCTCCCTTTTTTATTAAATTGTATAAGTACCATAAATCTTCTGAATCTTCGGGTATTAAAGTGACAGCAACGTTTTTATCTTTTAATTTTACTTTATTTTTAACTTGCATTTTGGAATAGTTATGTTTTGAGTGTTTGGTTGTATCTTTAAACTATTAGATTTTGAAATATTAATTTAAAGTTTTTCTCTTTGTATCATTTTTCAATTTTGCAGTAATTTAGCCAATGACATCATACACCAAAGTAATCAATTAAATTTGAGTTTGTATGAATAGAGAAGATATTAAGCTCTTCAGGATATCAATTTGACAGATTTAATGTATTTGAATCAACTCAAACTTTATACTTTATAGGAATTTGTAAGCTGTCAAGTGTTTGCAGAAAATTGGCTACCAAATACCCCCAAACTTTTTTAGCCTTGCGCTGAGAAACTACAAGATAAAACATATGTATAAACGAATAAATTAATCTGTCTATTATATATTAACTCCTAATTTAAAATCTGTAACTTTTCATTTGTTTTTAATCTCATTATAAATTATATACATATCATTAAAAATACTCAAAAATTCAATTATGCAAGTAACTTTTTCTTTTTTCCTGTTAATTATTAATTTTAATAGGTTTCTCCAATAAATGACCCATTCTTTCAATTTTGGTACTTAAATAACCATCAATTTCTTTACTTTTTATACCATTACCATTTAATTTACCTTCAATACTCCAACTTAAAGGAATCATTGGAATTCTTTCGATAACTTTAATTTCTTGATGTTTACCTTCAACTGCTATAATTTTATCAGGATTATTTGTTAATAATTTAATTTCTATCAAACCTAAATCTAATAATATAGCAGTTGCTAATGAAAAATTTCTTGCATCAGCTGGATGTCTTAATATTAAATTTGCTTCAACTGTATCAGCTCCTAAATCTTGTAAATTATATGCTTTTAATTTTTCTCCTAATCCAATACCTCTACCTTCTTGTCTTAAATATACCATACATCCATGACCTTGTTCTCCCATAATTTTACCTGCTTGATCAAATTGTTCTCCACAATCACATCTTGCACTCCATGCTGTTTCTCCAGTATAACATTCAGAATGTATTCTTACTAAACTAGGTAATGAATAAGTATTTTCATCAATTATTAAATTTCCATGGGTATCAAATTTTAAATTATGTTCTTTATTATTTGAATCTATAAATGAATCTGCTATATTTCTACCTGGTGTTAATTTACCAATATATGCACCCCTTGTCATTCTATCTTGTTGTGATTCACCAGGTTGTTGTTTAAATAATGATCTTGATCTTATATCTTCTCCAAATACTATAGCTAAATGTTCTTTATTATCAATATTATTTTCATATAAATGTAAAAAAATATCAGGACCTTGAGTAGTTGGTATACGAGCTCTTGCTATACATTTTACTATTGGTAATTCATTAGGTAAATTTGTTTGATTTCTCATATCTTGAGTTATTATTGGTGGAGGTTGTGGAGTACCAATTTGTTTTGATTGAATAGGTAATGTTGAACTAGATGGTCTTGGAGTTACCATGGGAATTCTTGTAACATCAGGTATAAAATGTTTAGGTAGACTTCCATTAGTTTGATGTTGATGTTGATGTTGATGTTGCTGTTGTATATTAGTATTCCTATTTGAAGGTTGAGGATGTTGTAATAATGACATGATTTGTTCAGTATTTAAATTATTTGACTTGAGTAAACTATATAATTGTAATTGTTTTGAATAATCTAATTGAAATTGATGTATTTGATGATTTGATATAGAAGTATTTGGTACTGTATAATTTGAAAAATTATTACACAATTGATAGTTCGAGTTCGGATTTTGAAGTTCTTCCTTTAATTTTTGATTTATATTAACGACTGATCTATCTTTATTAAACTTCTTACTTCTTTTAGTAGTAGTAGTTGGAGTAGTAGTTGTGGTTGTTGTTTCTGTATTATTATAATTATTATTAATATTGTTAATTATATTAATAGTCATTCCCCCACTATAGATTTTTTTTTTCACTGTGTGTAAAAATGATTTTTTCTCGTACTATTTAAATTTTGTAATTAGTAAAAATTAAATTATTAATTACTAAATAATTAATAATAAATTGTTTAAGTGGTAATTATGACAAATGATGTTAAATAAATTAATGATTTTTAATTTTCAATTGAAGATATTGAAATCTCTTATTTTTGAATGATATCTCTTGAAAATTAATTTAAAGACTTATAATTAACTTATGAATAGTATAGATCTCAATGTTTTTACTTGTTTAGTTTTAACCAATTATTAAAAGAATGTATATAGAAATCTTTCAAATAGTATTTTGTGTTACCGATTTTGAAATATGATATGATCTCTCAATGACAATATATCAATTCAGTTCCCAAGAATATGATATATTAAAAAGATTGAATAAATTGTAAAAACTATTAAATGAATTGAATTTTTTAAAGATGAATCAAAATTGTTTTTAAAATTGTGGAATTTATAAATTTATAAATTTATTTAATAAATAAGAAATTTATAATTACCCTTCAAAAAATTTATCTTAATAATTTGTAAATTTAAGGGAATCTTTAGATTTTATATAAATAAAAGTAATTCTTTTGAATTAGATTTGATGATGTTGAAAGATTATTAACAAAATGATATAAATATATGAACTCAAAAATCATTCAATAATTTCCCCCATAATTTCTCAAATATTTTTCATATGTTAATTGTTTAGTAATAATATGTAACAATTAATAATATAATTCCGTAAGTACATATTTAAATACTGAAATTTTTTTGTTTAGTAATTTATAATTTATCCGATCTTAAATCCGATACCTACTTTATTAATATTTTATACCATTACTTTATCATACTAAGTATGATTATAAATTTTAGAATATCTACAATCGCAATACTGTATTTGATATATATATATATTAATATCAAATTAATCATTCTATATAGTTTTTATAAAATCTATTAAATCTTGTTCATTACAATTTTCTAAATCTGGACTATATCTACCAACAGGTAATTGATGTTTTAATACTAATATAGTTGGGATTTTATTACCAACAACATAATCCATCATTAATTCTCTACCACCTTGAGAATCAGCTAAAATATTAACCATATAAACAGGTTCTTTACCTAATGGATATTTTGATTTATCAGATAATATTTCAAATAATGATTGAGTTATTTTATTTGTTTTTGGAGTTGCAGTTGTAAAATTTAATAATAATGGAGGTTTAACATTTATATAATTATATAAATCTTGTTTTTGATCTATCCAAACATCTATTATTCTATTATTTGTTGTAAATTGTGTTGGTGATGGTGGATAAATTAATCTTTGAGTTTGTGCAGCTTCTTTCCATGATTTAAACCAATCTGATATTGAAAAATTTCTATTAGTGTTATAAAATTTTGATCTTTCTATTGATTTTGATAAAGTTCTACTAAACATGTTTGAGAATTGGATATACTTGATTTTGTAAATCTTGAATTGCTAAATATTTTAAAAACATGTTGTCAAATATCCAGGGTGTGTCATTTATAGTTTTGCTTTATTAGTGTCTAGACATGTATTTACACGACTTTATATTTTCTATATACATAAGTTAAAATTCTATTCATTATCCTCCCAACCATCTTTCCATCTTTGTTTCCAAAATTGACAATTAAATTGAGGTTTACCTAATTTTTTATTAACGTCATTATGAGCATCACATAACCATTTACCAAAATCCTCTTGTGTTTGAGTTTTTGGTTGATTTTTTTTAATATAATTTTTAAAATCTTCACCACAATACCAACATGGATAAAAACCTGAAAATAAATTTATAAATTGTTTGAGCTCTGTTTGTTGTTTTGTAGTGGGTGTTTCAGGGTATGTTGCTGCTATTGAATGTAATAATGTCCATGATGATTTACCTAATTGAGAAACATCTGGTGGTTCTTCTTTTGGATATTTTAGTTTGAAATTGGGTTTTTCAGATGATTCTGTAGGTTGTTTCTCTTTTTGAGTTGAAGATGAGATTGATTTCCCAGTTGCAAATTGAAAGTCCATTAATGTATTACATGTTCGACAACTATATATTTCAAATTGTTAGTATATAAGTTTATTTGATTATTAATTCAATTTGTAATTACATACGGTTTGCCATCTTTATAAATTATTTTTCTACCAGAAGCTCCAAATTCGGGTAATGCTTTGGGAACATCTTCAGGTGTTGACTCTTCCGTTGTAGTTGTTAGCGAAGGCATTTCTACATTAAAAGATCGTTGTTGCACGAAGTGGATGTAAAAGATGATAGATTTAGTTTTTTTTGTATAGAATTATTTTGAGCGGTGTTTACCACTTAAATTTATTATTAAATGCAAATTATTTTATTTATTCTATAAACTTCAACCAACTAAATTTTAATTTAATTTTCATTTTTTTTCCTTTTTCAAACCTTCTATCAATTTTTGCCTTTTCTCTAAAACAGCATCACATAATTCTTTAACCTCTTTCGTTTTTATAGCACTTTTAGCAGTATAAAATTGTTCTAAATCATAAGTTATACCAAATTTTAATTCATAATCATAAGCAGTTTGAATCATTTCAAATTTATCAATATCTTTTACATATCTTGCTTCAATATTTCTAATTTCTTCATAATCAAACCATAATTCAACCATTTCTTTTGCAAATTCAGAATTATATGGTTCTATTATAGTTTTTAAATATTCTATAGTATCTTTTTCTCTACGATGTTTTTCATTTTTATTTATTCCTGCAAATGGGGTTATATCTCCTACTAAACATTCTGCTATATCATGAATTATTGCAATTTTAACACATTTATCTTTATTTACTGTTGATGGTGGAACAATCATTGATAATATAGACATTCTATACATATGATCAGCAATTGATTCTGTTTCAAACTTAGGTATACCATGATCCATCCATCCTGTTCTTTTTTGGAATTTTAATGATGATATAATTTGTAAAAATGCAATTAAATGATTTATAGGTTTTGATGATTTTAAATCTGGAGTAATTAAATCTTTAACAAATTGAGGTATAGCATCTTGTGGTTTCCATTGATTTTCACTTAAATCATTTATTGATGTCATTTTATAAGTAGAGTTATGAAATGATCTTGTAATTGTTGGGATAGGTGTTAGAAAATTTGGAAATCTTATAAATAATTTAATGGAATTTCTAGATGCTATATGCATTTAAAATTAGAATTTATGAATTATTAATAATAATTTATTTTTTTTGGTATATGTGTTTGATGACTCCCCAGATTTTTCGAAAGTCAAGTTGAATCTTGATGGTGAATTTGTAGAAATGATTGATTATTGATTTGATAAAAAGGTATTAAATCATTAGTCTTTTTTTTGGTTGTTAGACTTAAGTTTTTATTACAACCAAAATTGATGGAATGTAAACAAAGAAATTAATTACAGATGAGTGCTATTTATGTACAGGATAAATTTTCAAGATACAGAGTCCTTCTCTTTATCAAAAAGCTCTACAAACTTATTCTTTCATTCACGAAAAGTCAAAATTTCATTAAAGTATACAAAAGGTTTTTTTATTAATTTACATGCTTAAGCAATTAATTCAACAACACCACCAACAGCTCTAATTTTTTCTTCAGCTAATTTTGAAACAAATCTAGCTTTAACAATAACTGGAACTTCTGGCAATCTACCTTTACCTAATACTTTACCATAACCATGAGCTAAAGTATCAATAACTGGAGCAGCTGATTTTGATGATGATTGTAAATATTCATCTTTTTTATCTGATTCAATTAAAGTCCATAATTTATCTAAATTAATTTCTGGTCTCCAAAAATGATTTTGTTGTTTATGGAAATATCTCATACCAACTTTACCAAAATAACCTGGATGATATTTATCTAAATTTGTTCTATGATGATGGAAACCACCAGCTTTACCTCTACCACCTGGATGTTTTCTGTGTTTACCAACTCTACCTTTACCGGCTATAAAATTAAAGTTAGTATTATGCATTCATTTTTAATTTATGAGGTGTATCGGATTGGATTAGAATGATCTATGGTTTATCGTGTACTTTGAATTTTTGACATATTAAACTTGATTGACATGCGGTAGATTTCAGGAATTATATTGCTACATCCTATTGTTATGTGGTTGGCTGTCTTTTCTTTCGTTTTTGTTATCTGATTACTCTGAATGGCCCAAATAAAAATTTGACAAAATGTACTATGTAATGACTTTTACTTGCATGTCTTATTGATATTGATTTAGTAATTTCATCTCATAAATCTTCTTTGATATATCTCCCATTCTATCTCTTCTTTCCAAATCCCTTCACTCCTCATTGAATTTGTTTCATAAATTATTACATACCAGAAACATTACCTCTGTGTTTTCTGGTTTTAGTTAATCTAGTAGGCATTGTATATGTGGATGATGTTTGATTAAGATTGAAAAAATTCAAAAAAAAAATTTCAATTATAATTTTGTTAGTCAAAAAATTTCAATAGTAAGAAGCGAGAGAGTGTGTGAAAGTATCTACTAACAATACTATTAACTATTACATTCATTACAAGAGGCTACCAAATTACATGTTTGTGTTATATTATTTAACAATACTTAAACTTTTACATACTTTAAATATTTGATATAACATACACGCATTTATAGGTTTATAACCCTAATTTAACTTATCCTTACAACTTATATCGGATTAATACAGAACAATCTAGATTTGATCCTAAATTATATTTGTATTGCCTATAAACCCTTATGTAAATTTCAATCTAATTAAAATGACTCCATACTTCAGCATATGAAGTTTTACCTTTTGTTTCAGGTATATATTTTGAAATAAACCAAACACTGAAAATACACATTCCAGTAAAAATAAAATAAACAGATCCACCTATTGAATGTAACAAAATAGGAAACAAATAACCAACAATAAAAGTAGCTATCCAATTTAAACTAGTACCAAAACTTTGAGCTGAAGCTTTTGCATTTGGTTGAGTTACTTCTCCTACTAACAAAAATGGGATTGGACCTAATCCTATAGCGAAAAATGTTATAAATGTAAAAGTTCCTAAAATTGATAATATTGAACTTTTTGTAATTATTCCAAAACCCATGAAAGTTGTTGCTAAACTTAAAAATGATACTGAAATTAATAATAATGGTTTCCTACCTAATTTATCAACTACTGTAGCTGAACCAAAAGTAACTATAACATTAACTGTAGATATCAAACAATTAATGATTATTGAATGATTTGGGAATATTGAAACTAATACTGAAACTCCATAAAATATAATTGAATTTATACCATCAAATTGTTGTAATATTAAAATACCAGTGGATGCAATTAATGAAGGTCTAAATTCAGGTGATGTAATATATTCTTTAACAGTTACTGAGTTTTTCTTTTGTTGTTCAAGTTCTTCTGGATTTACTTCTCCTAAATCACCATTCTCCATAAATCCTTCAGTTTCTTCAGAACTAGTAGTTTTCCAACTATTTACTTCTTCAGAAACAAATGAATAATTACCACCTCTTAATTTATGTAAAACAAAAAACGCTTGATCTTTTGAACCTTGATTTGCTAACCACATTGGACTTTCATGAACAAGTAATGCTAAAACCACAATATTAATCATAGCTATTATGCCTCCCATAATTAATAACCATCTCCAATCGTTATCATTTGACCATTTTAAAGATAACAATTGTGTAAATAATATACCAACATTAATACTAACTTGATTCATTGATCCTAATAACCCCTTTGAATTTATAGGTGATACTTCATTAATATACAATGATGTTATAACTAATGCTGATCCGGCACCTAATCCACAAACAAATCTTCCAATCAATAAACTTATATAGGTGTTACTCAATCCATTAATCATTGATCCAATAATATACATAAGACAATGTAAATAACCAGTAAATTTTCTACCATATTTATCAGCTAAATATCCAACATAAAATGATCCAATTAATCCACCAATAGAAAAAATAGAAGTCACCAAACCAATTTGTTCAGGTGTCATTGATATACATTTTTCATAACCTCTTGAACCAAAAAATGATTGTTCATAAGGTATTGCACCTGGTTGTGACTTTCTACATGATAATACTAATTCTGGGGAATTCAATTCTGCCATATGATAACCAAATTGTAGTGATCCCAAACATATTATTGATACAGAAACTATTAGATTCGGGGTCAATTTAGCATGATGATGTGGTGAAGATGATGAAGCCATTTTTGGGAGTAATTCAATGGTTGCTTTTAGAACTTGTATTTGCAATATTATTGTTTAATCTTATCGATTGATTTTTTAAGTTTGTGAAAGTTGGAGAACAATAAATTTAAGGGGTAAAACGAACTAAGGGGTTTAACTAAAAAGACATAAATAATACATACATTAAAAACTAAAAACTTTTTATATTATTGGTAAAAAATTCCCAACAATCATCATAGGAATTCCAAAAACATCTCTTTTCAAGGTCCACATACAGCCTGTTCTTATTTTAACATCAGTTTTGGGAGTTAATAAGGTACATTCAGTTATTGTAGCACCTAAAAAATCACCAAATGCTATTCTTGAAAACACTTGAAAATATTCAACAACTGATTTATCATCTAATAGCTCCACTATAAATTTCCTTTTACCATTCCCGATTAATTCATCTTTATTCCAGCCAGTTAAAATACAAAACTCATCACCAACATAAGCTATTTCTCCTGTTCTTCTCCATACTATTGTTGGTGTACCACTTATCTTTATAAAATTATCATAAGTTAATAAAGTTCTTTGAAAACATTGTTCCATAAAAATTAAATCATGCTCCTTTAGGGAATTAGTACATGCAATGAATGAAGGTCTATAAGAAGCCATTGATTCTGCCATTTTAACCAACATTGGTTTTGAAAATCTTTTACGTAGATAAGCAATTAATGAATGATAACCTGGTGTATAAGAAAATGGTTTTTTTACTTTTGCATAAATCTCTTCAGGTTCTTTGAAAATTGATTCATCTTTTCCTATAGTGGAGCCATTATCTTCATGCAGTATTCCAATTGAGAATGATAAATTCAGTTTGGAGTTTCTTTCTTGATATACTGCATAATCATTTTTTTTCATTTCCTCGAGTGCTGTAATTATATCTGGGAAAGTTACTATATTATCTGAATCTGTTTTACCTAATAAATATTGATTTATTGAATCGTCACATTTTGGATATTTTGAATCATCATATATGCTTGTTCGAGTATCTATTGAAGGAATTGGTGGAATGTCAGAGTTCTTATCAAGTGTAGATTGATCTGGAGCCGTTTCTCTTGAAGTAACTTTACTAATAGTGTTTGGCACATTATTATGTGGTGATAAATTTGGAGAAAAATGTTGCGAATTCGGTGTACCTTCATTTGAAGTTGTATGATGACCACCTAAATTATCTTGTAAAATATTGGATAAAGTTGCATACTCCAAGTCTGCAGCTGTAGATAAGAATTTCGTTTTCCTTTGATTTTGAATATATGATGATGGTGAAGTAGGATTTAAATGTGGTCGTTGTAATTGCTGCTCCAGCTGTTGGTTATGTGGTTGTTGTTGTTGGTGTTGATGTTGGTTCTGGCTCTGTTGTTGATGTTGATGTTGATTCTGGCTTAGTTGTTGGTGTTGTTGATATTGATTCTGGGATTGTTGAAGTTGATGATGATTAAAAATATCCTGAACATAGTATTTAGAATTTGCTTGCATGAGTTCAGGAGCAGTTGCACTATGTTGAAACATTGTAGCTTGATATGTTCTATGATTTGATGGTAATATTTCATGAGTTTGATTTTGAAAACTTGACTGAATAGTTTGTGGTTGTTGTTGTATTTGCTGATATGGTATTTGACTTCCTGATGATGATCCTCTCAGAATTTGCGGCTGTGGTTGTTGTTGTTGATCAGACTGTAGTTGATGGATTCTCTCATTAGATTGTCGCAGTTGTAATGGTGGTGCATAATTATAATGATTACCGTAGTGTTGTTGATGATTGGCTAACGTTGAGTCTAATGATTGTACTTGATGTAATTCATATCCATTTTGTGGATTGCTATTTGTTCTTTTAATACTTAAACTTGAATTTGGTACATCATCTAAATATTTCTTACGCTTTCTTGGTGCATCTTCACATGTTTGATCTAAACCTCTTTGAACACATCTTTTACAAGGCCTTCCTGAATCACAAGTCATATGAGCTTTATGACAATGTGTACATGCCCGAGCCACTTTTTTTCGTTTCTAGTATTATTTTAGTCAGTACTTGAATGCCATTTTGTCTAGATTGAATTTGATAAATACATACAGGTTTTGTTTCTACCCCATTGTCTGAGTTTGTTTCCGCTTTTATAGTAGTTGGATCTTGTTCGTCATTCATGATATTATTTAATTTCGGGTGTTATATAAACATTAGAAAATAAAGTTTATGAACAATTTCTTTAGTAAAAATGATTAGAATATTGGTTGTAAATATGAAAATAATTATTAATTAGTAATGATTGTTTTGAGTATTGATTATTTTGAAACACAAATATTAGAAAATATGATCAAAATTAAGTAAATAAAATAATGTGGGAGAAATGCTACCAAATTTTTGAACTTAAATTTGGCAACTAGTACAATTGATATAAGGGTCTGGAAGTAGAGTTGACAACTGATATATTGTTTGATAGCAACCTAATTATAAGAATCTGAAAATTGCGTTGTGAACTAAGTCGATTTTTATGTCAACCAACAAAGCTTGTTTTTTTTATTTTTTTTTTTAATTTTGCAACAAATTGTCTTATAATTTACGATATTTAAAAAGCTATTTGAAAAAGTTTTTGTTAATATGTAAGAATAAAACCATGCAATTATATACTCAATTTGAATGAATTAAGGGCAGTTCAATAATCAACACTACTCTGGAAGTTGTGATTCAAATATATAAACTTGATTGCAAAATTACTGTTATGTACAATCTTAAGTCGTGTGAATAATTAAAATTTACGAACGTAATCTATTTAAAAGTAGAAGAATGAAAAATTCTTTCGATAATAGATCTAAGAAATTAATTAAATAAATTTCAAAATAACTTCATTATTTCTTAAATATATTCCACCAAAACAGTCTCTTATTAAATTAATAATGACTGATTTTATTTCAAACTTTTCAAAATTATCAATTAATGAAATTCCATCAAAATTGAATACAATTAAATTCCCAGAATTAAATAAAGAACAAAATGCATTATCATCTCAATTTGAAACTTTATCAAATAGATTAGATGAAAAAGATACAATTACCAAAATTAATGATTCATTAAGAAATAAAACTTATTTAGTTGGTTCAGTACCTTCAAGAAGTGATTTATTGGTATTTGAAAAATTATTCCCAGAAGCTTCAAAATTAACCACAACCAAAGAAGAATTAGCAAAATATAGACACGTATTAAGATGGATTGATCTTGTACAAAATACTTTGGTGAAAGTATCAGAACCAATTAAAATAGATTATGATGTTGAATTACCAAGAGAAATCAAAGAAAAGAAAAAACCAGCACAACCAACTACAACAGATAAAACAGCTGCACCAAAAGAGACCAAAGCAGAACCAAAAAATAATGCAAAAGCTGATAAATCAAAAACAAAAGAGACACCATTTATGGAATTAAGTGAAGAAGAAAGAAAAGCAAGATTAGATGCCAAAGAAGCTAAAAAAGCAGCAAAAGCTAAAATTAATGCCGAAAAAGAGAAACAAAAACAACAAGAAAAAGCAGCATCTGTTGCCCCACCAACACCAACAATGGTAGATTTAAGAGTTGGGTTTATTGAAAAAGCAGAAAGACATCCAGATGCTGATTCATTATATGTGTCAACTATCCACATGGGAGATGAAGAAGGTCCAAGAATTGTTTGCTCAGGTTTAGTAAATCATATACCAATCGAAGAAATGCAACAAAGATATATTATTGTAGTGGCTAATTTAAAACCAGTAACAATGAGAGGTGTAAAATCTTGTGCCATGGTTTTATGTGCTTCAAATTCTGATAAAGTTGAATTTGTAAATCCTCCACCAAATTCAAAAGCTGGTGATAAAATATTCTTTGAAACTTACAAAGGTGAACCGGAAAAACAATTAAATCCGAAAAAGAAAATTTGGGAAGCTATACAACCAAAATTTACAACTACCGATAATTTTGAGGTTACTTTTACTGAAGATGGTAAAGATCCTGTTTATTTGGTAAATGAAAAAGGTGAAAAATGTAAAAATACTTCAATTGTTGGTGCAAAAGTTAATTAGACTATTATTTGTAAAGTAAATAGTTGGCATTTAATGAACAAATGATTACCCTTGTAATTTAAGCTTTTGAGCTGTGAAAATAAACAATCTTATAATCACTTTTGTAGTTTGAAGTTTCGGTTTTTGTTATGTGATATGACAAAACCAGTGTTTTATTGATAGATAAATATCGAGGCACTGACAAAAATTGAACAGGAACGAAATAAAATTTCTACTTGTATTAGAATATTACACAAAACAGTTACAAGTATTTGGTAGCTTTCATCAACCTCAAAGTCGTGCAATATGAAACAATCTCAAATATAATATATTAAGTCATATAAAATATAAGGGTCCTGACATTTATGGAGTCTTAAGAAAAAAAATTACCTATCTTGTTCTTTAGGCTCACCAATTGATACGCCTTTTTTTTCAAATCAATTTTTAAGTGTATATTTGACTTTAAATCCAAAAAATTCATTTTCGTATCTTTAACCAAATTATTTTGTTAGTGAAAAATTGAATATAATAAATGGTTTCATTTCTTTCTATATTTTAATTAAAAGAAAAGCTAAATCTAAAATATAATATTAAGTGGTTTCATTTTAGTATTTTATTTATATTTGTAGAGACTGAAAAGAAGGTTGGGGTACTTCATTTTTCTGAGTTTTTTGAGATAAGAATTAAAACTTCACATATAAATACCCTCCCAAAGTGAATGCCTTAACAATATCAGCATAACTTAATCTTTTATAGCTTTTTTGTCTCTCTATCATAACATACATAAAATAATTGAACAAACGTTCAAATGAATAAGTCCACACTATAAATCATTTGGTAGCACAAAAAGTTTCAATTTCTATTCTGTGACACAAAATTAATCACTTTTTATTTTAATCTAGTTTTTAACATGAACTATTAAAATAATCAATCCACAACAATACCAACATCTGCGAGTAAACCCAACAGTTTACAATCACCCCTCGTTGTTAATGCTATTAATAACAATTGAATAAGCCAAAATTACTGAATAAGATTACCGCTAAAACCGGAGAAAAATTAATTTTTTTGAAGAAATATGATCAAAAAACCTTCATCTGAACCAAGAAAGAAACGAGTTGCCAAGGCATGTGACATCTGCAAGAAGAAGAAAGTAAAGTGTGACGGGCTTCGTCCTTGTCTCCACTGTACAGTATACTCTTATCGCTGCAGCTATGATTCCCCGAACATTAGAAATAAAAAAAATCCGGGAATTCCCAAACCATCACAACCAAGTGTTGCAGCATTACAAGCAGCTGCAGTTCAAGCAGCTGCCAACGGAGCATTATATGGAGATTATCAAGGTGCTGAATTATCATCGTCGTCAAATGGTGTCTTGGTTGATTCTTATCCGACTAAAAATTTAATTATTGCTCAACAAGTTATTAGTACACTAATACCGAAATTACAATTTAATTGCTTCGATCAAAATTTACAATTCGATTTGGAAAGATTTCAAAAAGCTGTAAGTCATGTTGAACAAAAACCAAGTACTTTAATACAAAACATGAATGATGTGTCCGATTTCATGTATGAAAAAGATACTATAATTCCACCCCCACGACAAGCTTCAGTTGGCTCTTCATCAGAAGACCTGTCATTACCATTGTCACCAAGAGAAATCAAGTCATTATTACCAAGCAAAGAGGAGACCTTACAATTAATTTACACTACGTGGTATAAAGCTTGTGTTTTATTTAGGTTTTATCACAGACCATCTTTATTAGAAGAAATTGAATTATTATACTCACTAGACCCTTCTGAGTACGAAGATAGACAACATAAATTCTTACCATTTCTATATTCAAGTTTGGCCTGTGGTTGTTTATTTAGTAAAACTCCTTATGAAAGTTCTAGTCATAATGAAAATTTAGAAGATGATGGATTTAAATATTTTTTGGAAGCAAGAAAATTAATTGATATAAGTAATGTTGGAGACATCAATTCAATTCAAACTATTATTATGATGATCATGTATTTACAATGTTCAGCTAGACTATCAACTTGTTATTCGTATATTGGTATAGCGTTAAGAAGTGCATTAAAAGAAGGATTACATCGTAATTTATCTATTTTCCAAAATTCAAAGAAAAAATTGGATCCAATAGAAATTGATACCAGAAAAAGATTATTTTTCACTATTTATAAAATGGACATATACATTAACTCATTGTTAGGTTTACCAAGATCATTAACTGAAGATGAATTTGATCAAGAATTGCCTGTTGAATTAGATGATGAAAATATCACAAGACAAGGCTATCAATTTGATAAACAAGATGGTAGATTAAGTTCTTCAGGTTGTGCAAATCATCATACCAAATTAATGTTAATCTTGTCACATATTTTGAAAAAATTATACCCTGTAAAAGTTAATGATGTAAATGACGAATTGACATCATCATCTAATACATATTCATCAGATAAGATTCATGCAAAAGTAACTGAATTAGAAATTGAATTGAAGCAATGGCTAGATAATCTACCATCTGAATTGCAACCAACCGATCCTAATTCAGATAAAATTGATATTCCAAGAAAATTTATTTTGGCCAATTGTTATCTTCATTTAGCATTTTTAAATTGTCAAATTATGTTATATAGACCTTTCATCCATTTTATTAGTGATTCAATGAATGGTTCCTCAAGTGATCCAAGATCATTGATTAGAGGTAGAAATTGTATCAAAATAGCCAGAATGGTTGTGAAGTTAGCAAATAAAATGATTGATCAACAGTTACTAGTGGGTACTTATTGGTTTTCAATGTATACAATATTCTTCAGTATTGCATGTTTAATTTACTATTACCATTTTGCTAATTATAATAATAACGGAATGGGAGTTAATGCCGCAGGAGTATTATTTGATGATGATTTGAATGTTGATGTAATTAAAAAAGATATTGAAATTGGTAAAAAAGTTTTAGATTGTTTAAAAAACTCATCAAACAGTTCGTTAAGAATTTACAACATTTTAAATACATTATTTGATCAATTAAATAGAAGAACAGCTTCAAGATCAATGAAAAAAAGTGGAAAAAGCATAATTTCGAATTCGAATCCAGAACAACAAAAGCAACAAATTTCATCAAAATTTTTAAATGATGATGTGAAAGATACTTTTAAAAATTTCGACAACAATAATCACTATTCACAAAGTTCCAAAAAGGAAGATTTAGGTCAATTGTTTAGTAATAGTAATATTGTAAGATTTCAATCTACTACTGATATTCCAAAAGAAATTGTAAATATTGAAAAATTATCAATCATAAAAGAAGAAGAAAATCAAGAAGTTGGAGAAAAAACTGGAGCTGAATTGACTGCTGATTATATGCCTGGTGTATTTGATAAATTAGATGCTCAAATTTTTGGTAAAATTTTACCACCTTATATGTTGGAAAGTAATGAAAAACAACGTCAACAACAACAACAACAACAACAAGCTCAACAAGTTCAACAACAACCACAGTTTCAGCAACCTACTTTACAATCACAACAATATCCTCAACAAACACAAAACATCTACAACAACAATGCAAATCTACAACCACAACCTGATCAATTCAATACCAATAATCAAACAAATACTGATAATTTATCAACTAACTCAGTTCCTACTATTAATTCTACCAATACTGATGATATAATAAATTTTGATGAGATTTTTAGTACTTTGAATAACGAATTTACAAGTAATCAATTCGATTACTCACCACCATTTTAAGAGTGTATTTAGAAATTTGTAAGTGTATCAATTTAATATAAAAAAAAACTTAAATTTGAAATGTAGAGTATTTAGTATATACCGAGAACTTTTTCACGGACTTTACGGTATTGTCCTGCAATTTAAGCTTTAAATTTTGATCTTAAAAAACCAAAGTTTCAGATCTGAAATTAATGCTGTTGCTTAGGTATCAAACTTAAAATGGTGTAGAAAGCAAGAATAGACTGGAGACCAAATAGACAAGACAAATATGTTATTGTTTTCTTAATGGACTTCGGATAACTTTTTTTCTTCAATAGAAAACGCTCATTCAATTCGAAAGAGTCAACGTTTCTAAACTAGACTGTTTAGCTCAAAGTCTGTATAAGAAATAATTAGCCGATCCTAATAGTTTATGTTTATAGTTACAGAATGTGACATCAAGTAGTCAAATCTTAAAAAAAAAAAAACCAAGATCGGACTCTAGATTTTGTGATGGTTATCGATTATAATTATGTTGTCATAATAATAAATTATCCGAACCAAGCTTTGTACTATTTAAATACTTCTATTTGTGATATAAACACAAAGAAGAATCTTATTTTAATTATCGAGATCTTTAATTCAGTACTTTGGTTGTGAAAATATTAAAGAAGTTCTCGATTTAAATTATTTGACGTAGAGCGAGTGAATACAGATTGAAACAATAATGCTGTCGTTAAAGTATAATGGTTACAAAACCTTATGATTTAAACCCGTATATTTTACTTCTTTGAATGTATCATCGTATTGTTATAGACTTAAATTTAAATTGCTACTCTAATTTTTTTTTTTTTTCATACCGATTGTTTAATTTTTTTTTTACTAAATGAATTGCAAAATGGTTGACATAATTGAAATATTGATTTATATATGAAATTATATTAAAAAATAAACTTAAACTTACAAATTTTCTTCTTTTAAAATCATCTTTACTAACAGTTTTTTACCTTTCAATCGTTTATCATATTATCAACGTTTTTAAATTAATCAAACTAAAAATAAAATTACCCATTAAGATTAAACTTAAACAATAGAATTTTAAATCTCGGTAATAAAATAAAAAATTGAAATTTTATTTATTAATATAAATCATTTTAATAAGATCAAACCACTAAGAAAAGAAATTGACAGGACCAAGCAATGTTTAGTAGATTTTCAACCACCAAGAGGTTCATATCTACAACAAAATTCCAAAATAAAAACCTTATAAGAAATATACCGATCCAAAGATTATATTCAACTACAAATATTCCACAACCAAGAAAAAGTTCAACTTTTGTTAAAATAATAAAATATGGTTTAGGAGCAGGTATTTTAGGAGTTGCTGGATTTATTGGATTTGTAAGTTATAAAGTATATGAAGAAACTCATCCAGTGGCTCAAGAACCACAATCTGCTACCTTTCCAAATGGTGAGAAAAAGAAAACTTTAGTTATATTAGGATCTGGTTGGGGTGCCATGCCATTGTTAAAAAGTTTAGATACTACTTTATATAATGTTATATTAATTTCACCAAGAAATTATTTTTTATTTACTCCTTTATTACCGAGTGTACCTACTGGAACTGTTGATATGAAATCAATTATGGAACCAGTTAGATCTATTACTAGAAGATGTAAAGGACAAGTTGTTTATTTAGAAGCCGAAGCAATTGATATTGATCCAAGTACAAACACATTGAAAATTCAACAATCAACTACTGTATATTCTGGCCATGCAAAAGATAGTTCTTCATCAAGTCATCCAAAAAAACATATTGAGCATGGGTTAGATCATATTATAGCAAATATAAGTTATGATTACTTGGTTGTTGGAATTGGTGCACAACCTTCAACTTTTGGTTTACCAGGAGTTGCAGAACATTCAACTTTTGTCAAAGAAATTGGTGATTCAGCAAGAATTAAAAAAACATTAATAGATTTAGTTGAGGCAGCAAATATGTTACCTGAAAATGATAAGGAACGTAAAAGATTATTACATGTTATAGTATGTGGTGGTGGACCAACTGGTGTTGAAGCCGCAGGAGAAATTCAAGATTATATTGATCAAGATTTGAAAAAATGGGCACCTGAAGTTGCAAAAGATTTAAGAGTTACATTAGTTGAATCACAACCAAAAGTCTTGCATACTTTTAATCCAAAATTAGTTGAATATACAAATCAAGTTTTCAAAGATACAAATATTAATTTAGTTACAAGTGCAAGGATTAATTCAGTTGATAATCATAACGTTACAATTTTCCACAAAGATAATCAATTAACAGAAATTGTTCCATATGGTATGTTGATTTGGGCAACTGGTAATTCAACAAGAGATTTTACACATATAATAATGGATAAAATTGAAGCTCAAAAAGATGCAAAGAGAGGTTTGTTAGTTGATGATCATTTAAAATTAAAAGGTTCAAATAATATTTATGCTTTGGGAGATTGTACATTTACAAAATATCCACCAACTGCTCAAGTTGCTTATCAACAAGGTGAATATTTAGCTGATTATTTCGAAAAATTACAAAAAGTTGCTAGTATGAAATATAAAATAAGTCATGAATCAAATCCTTCCGAATTTGCAGTACAAAGATGTAATAGATTAGAAGGTAATTTACCTCATTTTATTTATAATTATCAAGGTTCATTAGCTTATATTGGTAGTGAAAAAGCAGTTGCTGATTTAGCTTGGGGTTCTTGGTCAAATGTTTCGACTGGTGGTAATTTAACTTTCTTATTTTGGAGATCTGCATATGTTTATATGTGTCTTTCCGTTAAAAATCAAATATTAATTTGTTTAGATTGGTTGAAAGTTGGTTTATTTGGTAGAGATTGTTCAAGAGAGTAGAGGTTATAGACATTATTTATATTGATAGAGACATGCAATATATAGACTTACATTTTAATAGAATTTTATGAGCATAAATATTATAAGATTATGTGGTGTATTATTTTGCAGCCAAAACCTTAAAGGACCAAGCTACCAAATTTTGTGTCATATATTTCATACAACTTTGAAACAAATTTCTTTGCATAAACTTACATGAGTGAAAACTCCCAATGAAGCTTTTATTAGGGTTGTTGGTAAGCGATCTGGCGAAAAAAAAAAACTGTTATTATTTATATCTGAATTTGTGTGCAAATCTAAAACATTTAGTGGTATCGATCTCTCCTTACTTCTGAACTCTCTTAACAAGTTTGTTATGTTTCAAAATTAAAGATAAGAAATTTTTGTACTGCTCGTATTTTCCAACATTACGAATCATGCTTTTTGTAAAGTTTTTCTTATTTCCAGCCAACTTCCAATGACGATCAAAACAAGAATTATATCATATTTAGATTATATGGATTTGTTCAATAAATTATGTGAAAAACGAGTAGATAGAGTTGATGATAGTTTTTTTGACCCAAGAACAGATGATTATACCAGAGCTAGATGTGACACATTATTCATGTTTTATCAATATTATTTGAGAAACTCAAATGCTCCAAAACCATCAGATATTAAAACTAAAGAAGATAAAGAAAGATTAAGAGGGTATCATGCTGCAAATTTATGTATTGCTCGTACAAACAAAGCAAAAAAGTTGCAACAACAACAAGAAGAACAACAATTACAACAGCATCAACAAGGAAGATTTAGAGTAAATCCATATGATGATGATAGTGATGATGAGGCTACTTTATTTGATGCTTGAGTAGTAAAGCTTTCGAAAATCAGTTTTTTTTTGTAGGTTTTATATGTCTTCTATGTTTTTAATATAATGAATGTTTTTGTAAAAGGTAAACCATAAATTACATTAGATGGTGTTGATAGTTGAGGTAGATTGGGTGCAATTAAAAAAAGACCTTTCAAAGCTACTTTATATGCTGGAAATTTAGGTTTATGCGGCCTTATTGATCTTATCTTCATGGTAAGATAAAAAGACTTTAGCTTCAAAAAATTCAATCTTATATGCTGGTTCTTTAGCTAGTTCAGCGTTTAGTGGGTTATTACTAGCTGCTGGTATATTATAAGTAGATGGATTAGATGGTCTTGAAGATTGGAGATATTTATTTATTATCAAATGTTGCCTCACTGTTTTAATTGCTCCATTGGCTTATTGGATTTTACCAAATACTCCATCAAATACCAAGTTCCTTTCACAACAAGAAAAAGATCTTACTCAGGGGAAATTAAGAAAAGATTTAGGAAATGTTGATGACTCAGATAAAGAAGCTCAAGTTACTGAATGGCAAGGTTTTAAGTTAGCTGTAACAGATATAAAATTATGGATGATTTGTGGATTGCATTCTTGGCTTGTGAGTGATTCACAAAGATTTAGATGTTTTATTATATTCAAATTTTGACCTTCTGTTCTTACGGGAGGTGCATGTTTCATCAAAAATTTGACTGAATATTTTTAACATATGTTTTTAATATCTTCCAAGTAAGTTCACAACAGCATCAGTGGATTTATTGAGAAAAAGTAAATGTAATTTGTATGGATCAAAAGATCCAATTCTAGTTCATTGTGCAATTGATCGCAATTTATTGCTCAGTTTTTGAAGCATTAAAATCGACTGAAAAATGTACTAGTGTTCTCGTTTTGGTTGCAACATTTATTTTTAGTGCATTTTTAAACTTGCAAAAAACTGAAGGACTTATTTAATTTAATGAATAACTTTTTCGCTTTACATTATTAAGACTGAGTTGAAATACAAATTACATTACAAATTAAAAAATTTCCCATATTGATTGATAAATCAGTTTTAAACCAATTTTTAGAAAATTCTGAAAGTTGTTGGAAGTCCATATGATGCGATTGTTGCTCCTTCCGTTATTTATTCCGGTATACAATTAAATACAAGTCGATTTAAGTTTTCCAAACTTTTTAAATGCAACTTTTGGATCGTTAGTAAAAAAGATGAATTACAAGCAGTTTTCTTACTCTTGTTGCAAATCTTTGTATGAACTCAAAATTCTGGTACGGGTTGCTACCAAATTTTGCAACAAGTAGGTATCGATATTTTTCGAATTAAACAAAGCTCATCAGACATGTCTGATCACAATTACAACTACAATTATAAATATCTTATTTACAAAAATCAACCACATAATTTTAAGAATACTAATGAGTGATAGAAGAAGAATACTAGGGCCATCAAATACAATAATACCCAACATCCCGCAACATCAAAATATCAACACAAAAAATTCCACCAAACTTGAAAATGAAATACCTAAATTCTTTTTAAAAAATTCAATAATAAAAAATTCCAATGGTTCATCATACCTTGAAATAGGTTCAACAATAATAGAAGTATCAGTATTTGGTCCTAGACCAATTAGAGGTTCATTTTTAGATAAAGCATCAATAAGTATAGAAACAAAATTTTTAAATAATGTACCACAACCATTATCTGATTTTTTTAATTTTAAAAATTTAAGTAATAATGGGAATGAAAAACCAATTGTGGGGATGAGTAATATAGAACATCGTATAAGTTCATTTGTTGAGAATTGTATATTATCTACTATATTATTAGAAAATTATCCAAAATCTACAATTGATTTTCAAATTAGTATTATTTCAATAGATCCTTCAGCAACGGGAATTTCTGGATTATTATGGTTAATTAATTGGATTATGATATGTACAAGTTTAGCGATTATTGATACTGGGATTGAAATTAAAGATATTATATCTAGTGGAATAGTTAAATTAAATTCAAATGGAGATGTACTTGTTGGAGAAAATTTACTACAGGAAGAAGATTCAGGAATTTTTGCATTGATTAGTTTTTTGAATTTAAAAAATGATGAAATTGTTGGGTGTTGGTTTGAAAGTATTAACATGGAAGTAAATGAAGAAAATATGAATATATTAGTTGATGAATGTAGTAAAGTTTCAAAATTAATTAGAGCAAATTTAAATTCTTACTTGATTAATAGTTTTAATGAATAAATCAAAGAACATACTTTTTGTCTATATTTTATTATTTTTTGGTTGCCTATTTACAAGCTCTATATCTTCTATTCATTTTTTTTAACAGTCAAATCATATGATAATTCATTAAGTACTTTATTTATACCAATTAATTTTTTAGAAACATCATCAATTGTTATATTATCATTATTTATAAAGATTTTGGAATTTATTGATATACCAGTAGTTTGGAAAATTAATGAACTTAATAAATTATAAACTTTTAATACATTTTCTGATTGAGTTGCAATTGATTGTATTGAAGTTGTGGTGGTATCAATATCCAAAACTTTATCAAATACTTTTGCTTTTAATTTATTAGTGAATTCAATTTCTTCATCTCCATCAATTGGTACATCCAATTTATCACATTTGATTTCAAAAGGTTCTGAAATATATGCAACATCATGTTTACCATCTAAATGAAATCTAAATTCATAAACTCCTTCCTCCCAAAATAATTTTTCTTTATCAAAAACCACTGAACCAGAAAAATCTTTACAATTTGTCCATCTACCAGCTGATGAAAGGATGGTTTTGTTTCTTGAGTATGTGGTTTGTACAATTTTATATAATCCAATCCAATCTTTATCTGAATGTGCAGTGGTTGGTGATTGCCATTTAACAGTAATTGGAGAGCCAATAGTTGTATATTTAGATTTTTTGTCATCATCTTGTTTCAAACCTTCAAGAACCAACTTGTATTCAGAATTTGCAAATGATAAATTTTGTGATAATTCAATTAATTTTTGTTGTGATAATTTTGTTTTAGAATTTCTTAAATCTCTAATAAAATTATCAAATGAATCAGCTAAATTTTGACCACCAAAACTTTTTCTTCTCAATGGTTCATCATTACTAATTCTTCTTTGAATAACATCTGGAATTAAATGCTTTTTGAAAGTTTTGGTAACTCCCGAATCTTGATTAACTTCATTTTCTCCATAAAGTCTAATCATATGCCATTTTTCAATAAAATTAATACGAATGAAATTATTTAAAACCCACATTATACATAAAGTTAAATTTTCGTAAGTTGGGAAAATTAAAAACACTCCCATAACTCCACAAACTCCAAATATTTGTTCAGGATTGTTTAAGTAACGATATACTCCGGCTTTTGTTATATGGTTTGTAAAACTTTGGGATTTTGGAATAAAAAAATCACCATAAAACCAACCGAAATAACCAATCAGATCTATTATTGATGCATTAATCCAAGTTTGAGTGAATATCAACAATGACCCTAAGAATAATCTGAGGTAAAACAAATCTTTGAAAAGGTAATCTGTTGAGTTTTGTAATACATTTATAACATTTAATCCAAATAATGATGAATAAGTTAAATTGATTAAAGTGTTGTAAATTATTGCCCAATTGTTTAAGGATTTTTCAAGTGGTATATCATTCGAAAGACACCATTTTGTGAAAAATTTGGAGTAACTTTGTAAAACTAATAAAATACTGATACTAAAACTTTCTAATAATTTTGTTGCCACAGTTAAACTAAAAAATATTTTGTATGAATTTTTAGATAATATTGGAATTATAATACCATAAGTAACTACCAAAATCAAATTTAAAAAATCACTTGCTCTCATTAAATTAAAATTATATAACCCAACTAACGGTGATAAATTATCAAAATTTTTCAAATCTTTTAATTTCAATATTTTAACCAAATTGATTTCATTTTTAGAAGGCCCATAGATTTTATCAATATGTGGATTTTCAATATAATGTAAGAAAATCATTTGTAAGAAATGTCCAAATAAAGCGATTGCTAAAACAGTATAAGACTTTACAATTAATGCAAATCCATAATAACCAATATAACCAACTGAATACATTGGATGTGGTACCATTTCAAAAACTCCATCAAAAATTAATTCTTCATTATTGATTTGTCTGAAAAAAAAATCTCCCCAATACCAAGCATAATCTTTGATAGTATTATGAGCATTAACTTTAACCCATAAATTAAATAAAATTAATCCTAAACCAACTATAACTCTTAAATAAACAGTCCAAACATTTGAAAATTCTTTTGAATTGGCAATTCCACAAGCATAAACGACACAACAAAATGTAGTGAAATCACTCATTAAAATCAAATCAACAAATTTTCTATAAATTAACCAAGTATTGAACTCTATTGGTAATGAATCAATTTTGTAGTCATCACCTCTTTGAGATTTCAATTCATTTTGTAAAAAATTAGCCCAAAATGATTTATTTCTTAAATCAAAAACTTTTCCATTTGTTGCCCACTTAACTAATCTATTATTAATTGATTGTTGTTGTAATAACCAACCAATACCAAAATTATAAGACAATCTCCAAAAAATATATAATCCAACAAATATTCCAATTCTTAACTGATTCAGTGGAATTAAAAATACTAATAAATTAGATAATAAACATCCTAATATTATAATTTCTAAATTTGATTTTTTAATAGTTGGATCAAATAATGCCTCAACCATATCATGAGTTTCTGGGACAATAAAAGTTTCACCAGAAAAAGTAATACCCTTTGGACCTTTTGATGTTGTTGTAGGTTTTAATTGGTCATCTTCAAACGAAACATTATGATTCTTGTCACTCATTGGAAATGAAGACAGTTTAATTTTTGTAGTTGTCATATGAAATCTTTATAATAAATATTTTTTTTTGTGAAATTTGCTTAATTAAATTCAGATTTAAAAATATTCTAAAATTGTGAATAAAATTGTTGAAATGAATTAAAATAGAACTGAACAAATGGATCAACTTGAATAATTAAAATGACAAAAAGATAATATTTTGATAAATATGATTTAACAAAATTGTTGAAATTTTTATTTAATCACAAAATTCCGGAATATGGGGTTTTGAGTGAAATAAAAAAAATGTAAGATAAAGGTATTGTGACTTATTAAATCAAACTTTGTCTTTGATGATAAAGAATAAGAAATATAATTTGAATTATAAGTAATGAATAAGTAAATGAAAAAACCCTGAATAGAAGTTGATAAATATTTGGTTGTAAAAAAAAATGAAAAATTTATAATCAAGAAATTTAAAATTATTATTTTTAATATTAGTAAATCTTTATTAAATTATTATTTAATCCTTTAAATTTTGTTGGTAAAATTTATTTCCATTTAATACAAAAAAGATACACAATTAATTTTTTCTAACATTTTACTTATCTATACGTTTATTTATTTATTACTCGTCAAATATTAAATTGAATTTGATTGATAATTGCAGGGATGTTGTATATATGGTTTAGACCCCTCTTGGACCAACTAATATGTAATTTATTTATAGGTCAATAATGGTTTCACTTTAATTATACCGTATATTATATATTTTATCTCTTATTACTTATATGTATATGTAAAATGTATTAAAATGTATTAAAATATAATATATAAATGTCGTAATACCTTTAACTTATTGTTATTTAATTCTTATCGTAATTTAGGTCGTGTGATACTTTAATTAAAATTATAAATTTTTACATGTGAAATATTTTATAATATTTTTATAATCTAGTATAGATATATAAAGAAGAAGATACTACAATAATAATTATTATTAATACTATTAATTTAATCTATTTTTAAATCGTTTTGTTAATAATGATATATATATATATATGTAACTAACTCTAATTAATAATTATAATTTTTGTATTTAAACTGGTTTACCACCAATAAATTCACTCCATCTTTTAACTTCTTTTGGTACTATAACATTATCAGGTATTTTATCAAATTTAATTTTATTATTAATTTTTTGTTTTAAACATTTTGCAAATAATTGTGAAGTATTTGGTTCATTAAATAATGGTATAGCAAAATCAATTGCATTTCTTCTCATTACATAATCTTCATCTAATAAATTTTTAGCTCTTTCAAATGCTAAATTGAAAACTGCTCCAATTTTTTTATCTTGAAATATTTCTCTTAATGCTCTTTTATCAGTTTTTGGGAATTCTATAACTTCCACTGATTCAGAAACGTAGTTTTTCAAATATTCTGATACTTTTTCATTAGCTGAATAAAAATTATAACCTAATCCACTTAATTCTTTTGCAACATTACCTAATTTATCATTAGTTAAATCTCCTCCAAATAATATACCTTGTCCAGGTAATGGTAAATTAAAATTCATTGTAGATTGAATTGTTGTCCAATAAGCTTCTAATAAATCTTTACCAAAACATGCAATTTCTCCAGTAGATGCCATTTCAACACCTAAAAATGGATCAGCACCAGCTAATCTTGTGAAAGAAAATTGTGGAACTTTTGTTGCAACATGATCATATTTTTTATTCATTAAATTAATTGGTTCTGGTATATTATTTTTTATTAAAGCTTTTACTGCAATATCAATAAAATTTAAACCTAAAACTTTTGAAACAAATGGGAAAGATCTTGATGCTCTAATATTACATTCAATAACTTTTAATTCACATTCTGAATCATTTAATTCACCATTTTTATCATTTTTGATAATTTGCATATTAAAAGGACCAGTAATTTTCCATGCATAAGCAACTTTATCAGTTATTTCTTTTAATCTATCTAATAAAGTTTGTGATAAATTTTGGGGTGGTAATATTAAAGTAGCATCACCAGAATGAACTCCTGCATTTTCAACATGTTCTGAAACTGCATGTACCAAAACTTTACCTTCATTTGCAACTGCATCAACATCAATTTCTTGAGCTCCTTGAATGAATTTTGAAATAACAACAGGATGATCTTGAGAAACTTTTGAAGCATTTGATAATTTTGCATCTAATTCATCTTTACTATTAATAACTGACATAGCAGCACCTGATAATACATATGAAGGACGTACTAAAACTGGATAACCAACTTCATCAGCAAATTTTTCAGCTTCTTCAATTGATGTTAATTCTTTCCATGCTGGTTGATCAATTCCAATAGAATCTAAAATTTGTGAAAATTTATGACGATCTTCTGCTTTATCAATATCTTCAGGATTTGTTCCTAGTACATTACAACCATTATTTTGTAAACTTAATGCAATATTTTGTGGTAATTGACCACCAACTGAAACAACAACTCCTGAAGCATTTTCTAATTCATAAATATCTAATACTCTTTCTAAAGATAATTCTTCAAAATATAATCTATCAACTTCATCAAAATCAGTAGAAACAGTTTCTGGATTATAATTTATCATTATTGTTTTTTTACCATTTTCTCTTAATGCTCTAGCTGTTGATACTGCACACCAATCAAATTCAACTGAAGATCCAATTCTATAAACTCCTGAACCTAAAACCATTGTACCTTTATCATTAAAATCAATGTCTGAACTTGTAGCATTATAAGTAGTATATAAATAATTTGTATTTGCTGGGAATTCAGCAGCTAATGTATCAATTTTTTTAACAAATGGGATAATACCAAAATCTTTTCTAACTTGTCTAACTTCTAATTCATTAGCATTAACACAAAGTCCAATTTGTTTATCTGAAAATCCTAATTTCTTAGCACGACTCATTAAATCACTATTGATTTTAGATAATTCACCAATTGATTCTAATTCACGATACATATTAACAATATTCATTAATTTGTACAAGAACCATTTATCAATTTTTGTTAATTCATGAACTTTATCAACTGAATAATTTTCATGTAATAAAGCTTGTCCAACAGCTAACCATCTTCTATCAGTTGGATTTTTTAAAGTTTCATCTAAATCATCAAATTTATCACCTTGAAAACCAATATATGAAGGATCAATTTGTCTAATAGCTTTTTGAAAAGATTCTTCAAAATTTCTACCTATAGCCATAACTTCACCTACTGATTTCATAGCTGATCCAATATCTCTTTTAACATGTTGAAATTTTGATAAATCCCATCTTGGAATTTTAGTAACCATATAATCTAAAGATGGTTCGAAATTTGCTGATGTTGTTCTTGTTACAGGATTTGGTAATTGTGGTAATGTATGACCTAAAGCTATTTTTGCAGCTGTATAAGCTAATGGGTAACCAGTTGCTTTTGAAGCTAAAGCTGAAGAACGTGATAATCTTGCATTAACCTCAATAACTCTATAATCTAACCCATCTGGTTGTAAAGCATATTGAACATTACATTCTCCAACAACACCCAAGTGTCTAATAATTTTAATAGCAGCAGTACGTAATAAATGATATTCTTCATCACTTAAAGTTTGTGATGGCGCAACAACAATAGAATCACCAGTATGTATACCTAAAGGATCAAAATTTTCCATATTACAAACTGTAATACAATTATCAACTCTATCACGAACAACTTCATATTCAACTTCTTTCCAACCTTTTAATGATTTTTCAACTAAAATTTGTGGAGCTAATGATAATGATTGTGCTGATAAATTTCTTAATTCTTCTTCATTTGCTGCAAATCCTGAACCTAAACCACCTAATGAATAAGCTGATCTAACAATTATAGGATATCCAACAGTTTCTGCAGCTTTTAAAGCATCATCAACACTTTCAACAGCTATAGATTCAGCAATTGGAATATTAATTTCTTTTAATGCTTGAGAAAATAAATCACGATCTTCTGAAGTTTCTAAAGTTTTTATTGGTGTACCTAAAACTTTAACACCATATCTATCAAATACTCCCATTTTATCTAATTTAACACCAACGTTTAAACCAGTTTGACCACCAAAAGTTAATAATATACCATCAGGTCTTTCTCTTTCAATTATATAAGTAATATATTCTGGAGTAACTGGTAAATAATATATTTCATCAGCTAATGCATGAGATGTTTGATTTGTTGCAATATTTGGATTTATCAAAATCGATTGTTTATTTGCTTCTTTTAAAGCTTTTATAGCTTGTGAACCAGAATAATCAAATTCTCCTGCTTGACCAATTGATAACCCTCCAGAACCAATAACTAATACTTTTGAAACATCAACTAAATTTTCTGAATGTTCATTTGCAAATGCTTTTAATAAATCTCCTCCAGCATATTTTAATTCTTGTTCTTGAAATTGTATTGAAGATATTGAGAACTGTCTTTTAGGTACGCTATATTTGAGTGAGGTTAATGATTTTGTAGTAGTTGATTTCGGAAATTTCTTGAAATGATTTGAAATTAATTTCAAATTATTTTTCAATAACATCGTGATATATTTACTTGTGGAAAATACAATGTTTTTTAAATTGAATAAATATTTGAATTATTAATTGAAAAAAGTAACAAGAAATGAAAGTCTATTAGATAATTGTGGTTGTCAAAGTTGAAATTAAAAAAAAATTTAATTGTATATACATATATAAATTGAAAAATTTTTCTATTTCTTCTTATTAACTTTAACGCGGTTAACAAAATTTTTATATAAAACTGTTACTTAATTAAGAAATGAGTATTAAAAATTAAAGATCATTACGTCACGGTGCTACCAAATACCTAAAGATGATTCATAATTGACTTTTTAATTTAATAAGTTGATATAAATCAGTAGAAGATATAACATCTATTAGGTTTATTGAAAATGAGATTTGGCATGAGATTCAAAACTATGGGTCAAATTCAAGTGAGTTCTAAGATGAGTTCTAAGTTTATAATATTGTTGTGAATTATTTCAATGTATGTTTTAAAATAACAAAGTCTACAATTTTTCCAAATCTGGACCATCACGAAGTGAAAATAATACAAATCAACTGAATAATAATTTCAGTTTATCATCTTCACTACCGCAATAGAATTATTGAAAAATTCTATATAGATTTCTCAATATTACCTTCATTTTAAAATGTACCTAGAAAAAATTGTAACTCATCTGGTAGTTCTTCCCCACCATTTGAATATTTTATTTTTTTTTCTTCTCTTTGTCAAGTGCATTAAGAATTTTTTCAAAACGGTTTTTAAGTCACAGTTGACACACACTTTTAATCATTCAATTTCAAATAAAAAGAATAACTCACTGAAACATTAGTTACTGATTCTCATTCAATAAGCTGAAGTAAGCTGACTAGTCCAATAAAATTTATTTAAACAATTTCAGGAGTTAATTAAATGATTGTTTAATTTAATTCGTAATTTGTAGATCAATTTAAAAAAATTTAATTAGTTTTATGTAGGAGCAATTTATTCAAAAGATCAGCTCTCTATTTTTAAATTAAATTTGTTTATCTTACTCCAATTAAAGATGCTTAAAAAATTTTCAAAACTATGGTAACTTTAAACGTTTTTAATTGTCTTCCCCTTTCAACCTATTTTATTAAAGACCAATTGTACAATTATGACTTCTTTTATTATAGATTATAATATTAAATAGTAAAATAATATTTCAATTTAATAATATTTAAAGATTTTGTGAAATTTTTATAATATTCAAAACACAGTTGTACATACTTAGAAATTATTATAATTCCAAACACTGATAATTTCAATTAATTAGATTAAATTTCTTATACTTCATCTTAGCAGAGATATATAATAATAGGTTACATTTATTAAACCATCTTTATAGTTTGTGTTTTTCATTTATTAATATTTTTGTATTTAAAGAGAAGAGAGATCAGACAACCAATTTTTTACTGCTATTTTAATTCACAAGCAAATTATACGAATTAATCTAAATATTATAGTCAACTAATACCTTAAATTTAGACTTTTCAAAGTCAATTATATAAATTAAAATTATGAGTTTTTCATTTAATAATACGTATGGAAATGGGAACAATAATAAAAATCCAATTGAAGGTAGTAGTAATTCAAATAAATCGAATTTTTTAGATGCCACCACAGTAGTAAATTCTGATTCAAGTTCTACAACCAACAAAAACAATAACATAGATCATCAACTGTTTTTATCAATTGAAAATAGTTTACCAAATCATTCAAGCAAGAATAAAGGAAGTACAAATAATAGATTAAGAAATTATTCATTAAGTGAAGCTTTTAATTATAACACCAACAATTCAAATAATCCAAACAATAATAATTCAAATTTTGATATTGGAGGTAGAAGTTATGTTAGTATGAGTTATAGACCAAGTATGGTTTCAAATATGTATTCTCCACAAATAAATACTGGGAATGAAGTTCATGAACAAACTGCAAATTTAGCAAATATTGGTGTAGTGGATGATAATAATAGTGATGAACAAGATCAAGATCAAAACCAAAATAATACCTACGAGAATGATTATTCGATTGAAGAGGAAGATCAACAACCTCCAAATATAGATTCTTCGTATACAAAAGCAAAACCAACTTCAATAACGAATAGAAGACAATCATCTCATACATATTCAAGCACAACTCCATTATTGTCAGGCTCTCCAGATAATTATTACACAACCACTAATAAAAATTCTTATAATCATCAAACGCCACCAGAATGGAATAGTAAACCTACAAAACTCGACGAAGAAGCTCATCAAAATTATGCCAAATCTTCAAGCTCTACAATACCTGAAAAGGAACCACAACCAAGTACGCTCCATCAAGTTTTAGTGAAACCTTTACAATATTTACCAGGTGTATTTTTAGGAACTCTATTGAACATTTTAGATGGGTTATCGTATGGTATGATTATGTTTCCAATAAGTGATTCATTATTTGCTTCATTAGCACCTGCTGGATTAGCAATGTTTTATGTATCATGTATCGTTTCTCAATTAGTTTATTCATTAGGTGGTTCTGCTTTTAAAGCAGGGATTGGATCTGAGATGATTGAAGTTACTCCTTTTTTCCATACAATGGCATTAGCTATATCAAAACAAATGAATAATGAAAGTGATGATGCAATAATTGCTACAACTATTACTTCTTATGCTGTATCATCTATCATTACTGGATTAGTTTTCTTTTTATTGGGTAAATTAAAATTAGGAGTACTAGTTGGTTTTTTCCCTAGACATATTTTAGTGGGATGTATTGGAGGTGTTGGTTATTTTTTAGTTGCAACAGGTATTGAAGTATCTTCAAGATTAGAAGGTGGTTTAATTTATAATTATGAAACTTTTAAATATTTATTTTTCAATCATATAACATTTTTGGAATGGACTACACCTTTAGTGTTAGCTATTATTTTGGTAATATTACAACACAAAATTCATAATTCATTATTAGTGCCGATTTATTTTATATTAGTTTTTGTCATTTTCCATTTAATTGTATTAATTGTTCCAAGTTGGAATTTAACAACAGCAAGAGATTCAGGGTGGATTTTCCCAGCTGTTGAAGATGATCAACCTTGGTATTCATTTTATGAATTATACAAATTTAAATTAGTTGATTGGTTTTGTATTTTAAAACAATTACCAACAATGTTAGCATTAACTTTCTTTGGTATATTACATGTTCCTATAAATGTACCTGCATTAGCTGTATCTATTGGTATGGATGATATTGATGTTGATAGAGAATTAGTTGCTCATGGATATTCAAATGCTATTTCTGGATTAGTTGGGTCAATACAAAATTATCTTGTTTATACAAACTCAGTATTGTTCATTAGAGCCGGAGCTGATGATAGAGGTGCAGGTATATTATTGGCTGTTGCAACAGCAATAGTTATGATGGCAGGTCCAGTTGTAATTGGATATATTCCTGTATGTGTTGTTGGAGCATTAATTTATTTATTAGGATATGAATTATTAAAAGAATCAGTATATGATACTTGGGGTAGATTAAGACCAATTGAATATACTACTATAATAATCATTGTAGTTACAATGGGAGCAGTTGATTTTGTTGCTGGTATTGGTATTGGTATATTATTGGCTTGTTTATCATTTGTTGTTGAAGCAGGTAGAACTCCAGTGGTGCAAGGTATTTACTCAGGAAACGTTGCAAGATCAACTGTTTTAAGACATCCTAAACAACAAGAGTTTTTAAAAAATGTTGGTGAACAAATTTGTATTATTAAATTACAAGGTACTATATTTTTTGGATCAATAGGTGGAGTTGAAAAAGAAATCAAGAAAATTTTTGAGCATGATAAATTTAATTCATCACCTAAAAAATTTTTGATAATTGATATGAAGGGAGTTATATCAATTGATTTTTCAGCAGCTGAAGGGTTTAGAAGAATTTTAAATTTAACAAATGAATTTAAAACTCAATTAATTATTTCGTCTGTGGTAGATGAGGATGACACCATTAAGGGATTACGTGATGCTGGATTATTTGACAATACTGATCCACCAATTGAATTATTTAGTTCATTAAACTATGCATTAGAATGGTGTGAAAATTCATTTTTGAAAACTTACAAAACTTTGAAAAAACATCACCCAATAGATTCACAACATCAGCATACATCATCAAGATCAGTACCTAGTGTTCAAAATAATAATAAAGTACAAACAATACAATCTCCTACGTCGTTTGGTAATAAAATATTCAATCAATTTGGACTTGATTTTGGTACACCAAGAACAAAACAAGTATTTCAAGCAGCAAGTAAAACAGTATTGGATGAACAAAAATCTCAAAGTAGATTTCATCAAACTTCAAATGATATTTTTAAAAAGCAACCATTACCATTAATGATGATTACATTCCAAGGGTTATCACAAAAAGATGAAGAATTTTGGTCAATATTAGCTCCATATTTCATAAAAGAACAAATTCCAGAAAATTTACAATTTTACGATACATTAAATGATAAACCATCATTCTTTTTAGTTGAATCTGGTCTTATTAGATCAGTAGTAAAATTTGAAACAGAAGGTAGAGAATTACATTGTTCAATAGTACCATTAGTTGCATTTGGAGATTTTGATGATGCTTCTCAATATAGACAATTTATATATACTACAGTAAATGATTCAATAGTTTGGAAATTAACACAAACAAAATTAAAAGAAATGTTACAAAAACATGGATCAAAGGGTGAAGCTATTTATCATGAATTATTAGAAATTGAAGCTAAATTAATTAGAGAAAGATTTGATACAATGACTGCTAATTTAATTATATCTGGTTAAGTAGTATAAATAGAAAAAATGCATATTGTTGATTTATAGAGTCTAAAAATTACAGTATTTTTTTTATGATTTATTATTCTATTAAAAAAAGTCACATATATTTATAAAAAAATCAAGTTTAGCAAATTAAATTGAATGAAATGAAAAAAATAAATCCACTAGGTAAAGCTTAGTAACGACGGTTACCCATTGGAGCAGAATTTGAACCAGTTTGATAATTACCTCTTCCGCCACCACGGCCACCACCGAATCCTCCTCTACCACCACGACCTCCACCACGACCTCCACCACGGCCACCAAAACCTCCTCTACCACCTCTACCTTGTCCATATCTAATATGTGAACCAAAACTTCTTCTATCATATTGTAATAATTCTGGTGGAATAGTTTGATGAGCTTCTCTTAAAATTTTACATAAATCCCCTCCTAATTTTTTATTACCATCAGTGAAAAATGAGATAGCAGTACCTGTTGCACCACCTCTACCTGTTCTACCAATTCTATGAACATAATCTTCAATATTATTTGACATATCATAATTGATAACATGAGTAATACCTTTGACATCTAAAGAGAAAATTATAAAGTTAGTAACATTAAATTAAAAGTTGAATGAACAACATTGATTCTAGGAACATTTCAAATAAGAAACTACAGAAAGATTCATAAATTTATCAGCAGTGTAATGAATGAGTTGAATGAATGGGTAAAAAAAAAAATCAAAAACCCAAACACCAACCAAATCCATCACTTGTTTATTAATTCAGAAGAAAAACAAAATACAAAACTAATTAAAGTATACACACAAATCAATTTTCAAATGACAAAACACAACTCCAAGAATTGTGATGTTTTTTGTTAACTTGTTCAAGCTAACGCACTTATACTTTTATGGTCTTACGAAAAATGCCTTCAAATTTTTAAGTGATATCCACTTATTCAAGGCAATAAAATTGCACCAGGCACTTACCACAAAATAAAATTATTGTATAAGAATGTCATTATAAAAACTTATTAATATGTGTATGACGTTAATTCACACTCTAGTTATGTATTCTCTCCAACTTGTTCTTCCTAATCATTAAACTGAAAAAAAAAAATCTCTCCATTTATTTGGACCAGCCAAATAAATCATCTTGTTTTGAATAATTATTCCTAAAAAATAGTATAGTTAATAAACACCGAAAAAAAAATCTGTTTTTACATACCAATACCTCTTGCAGCAACGTCAGTTGCAACCATAATAGAATGAGAACCTTGTCTAAATTCTTTTAATACCCAATCTCTTTCATGTTGTTCTTTATCACCATGAATAGCTAAAGCAGGCCAACCATCAGATCTTAAATAACTTGTAACTTCATCACAAGTTCTTTTAGTTGAAGCAAATACCAAAACTTTTGAATTTGAATCGTTTAAAGCGCTTTCTAATTGTTTAACTAACATATCTCTTTTTTGATATTCAGTAACAACTTGAACAATTTGTGTAATAGTATGAGAAGCAGCTAATTCTAATGAACCAATAGTAACTTGAATTGGATCAACTAAATAATCTCTTGCTAAATTTTGAACTTCTTTTGGCCATGTAGCTGACCACATCAAAGTTTGACGATCTGGTCTAATTTGATCAACAATTTTTCTAATTTGTGGTTCAAAACCCATATCTAACATTCTATCAGCTTCATCTAATACTAAATAAGTAACTCTTTTTAAATTAGTTTTACCAGCTTCTAACATATCAATTAATCTACCTGGAGTAGCAATACAAATTTCAACACCTCTTGCTAAATCTCTAATTTGAGGACCTTTTGGTGCACCACCATAAACACAAGTATTTCTAATTCTTGATGAACTACCGAATTTACTACATTCAGTTTGAATTTGTACTGCTAATTCTCTTGTTGGAGCTAAAACTAAAACAATTGGACCATCACCTTGTTTTAATAAAGGTTGAGCATTAATATGAACAATACCTGGTAAACAATAAGATAAAGTTTTACCAGAACCAGTGGATGCAATTCCAACCATATCTCTACCACTTAAAGCCATTGGCCAACCTTGACATTGAATAGCGGTTGGTTTCGGAAAACCTTGTTCTTTTAATTCATTTAAAACATAATCTGGGAAACCAGCTTCATCAAATGAAGTAATAGGATGAGGAACATCATGACCTTGAATACTCATTTCATTTTCTTTTCTTAATTCTTCAATTTCTCTATCTGATCTATTTTGAACATTTGGATGTTCATTATAAAAATTTTTTTCAAATTTTGGTAAATTTTCTAAATCCCATTGTGGTGTAGATAATTCAGCTCTTGGTTGATCATTAAATCTACCACCACCTCTACCCCCATCTCTTCCTCCACCAAATCCACCTCTTGAACCACCTCTTCCTCCTCCAAATCCACCTCTTCCTCCTTCAAAACCACCTCTTGAACCACTATTACCACCATAACTATTATTATTATTTTGGTATCCACCATCTCTATTACCATAACCACCACCATTACTTGAACCACCTCTATATCCACCACTTGAATTATTATTATAAGACATTATTAATTATATATTATTTTAATTGATTAAACTATACTATAAAATTGATTATAATTAATTTGTTGTTTAAAAAGAAAGAAGATAGTATTAGAAAAAAAATTAAAAATCTGTTATCAATAAAAAAAAAATTATATTTTTGGCCATCCCTTATAAAAATTTAAATAATACACAAATATAAATTTTATGAAATTAGACCTCGCGAAAAAAGAAATTTCATTAAATATGTTTCACTTTTTTATTGTTAATGAATTTACAAAGATTAAGAGTAGAATAAATAAGAATAGTACAAGGTGAAGCCACCTTCTTATTGATAAGGTAGGACGCATGAAACTGAGCAAAAGAATCAAATATTTGTAGGAGATTTCAAAAGTTTATAGTACTTTTTGAATTTTAGATTCCTAAAATTATTTATTGTCAAAAATGACGTTTAAACTTTTTGAATTAGATAACAATTGAGAAACGGACAGACGAACCCAACTACTTAGATGATTGATATTATAAGGTTAAACAGATGTGATGTATATTTATGATTGATATTCTATTTTTAAGCATAAAATCTGGAATTCGTATTAAAGGGGATTTCATCCTCCTTGCAGAATATTAAAATTCTTAAACTCAAAGGAGGCACAACCCTCATTGTGAATATTAATTCAAACTTACTCACCGATAAAGCAATTAAAAATTCTACAGATGTGAAATCCCAATTCAAATTTATTATTGTTAACTACTTACTTTACTAAATGCATCGGTCAATTTATCTTCAACAACTCCACATAAATCCAGTAAATTATCTAAACCTTGATGTAATGCTTCAATTGCCGTTATATTTCCATAAGTTTGAATTCTTATATTTAATTTATTTTCTGATGGATGAGGTATACTATAACCACAAAATTCTACTTCTGGGTTTTTCATTATCATATAACGTAATGCATTCCCCAATGTATGATCTTCTTCTAGTATTTGAAAAGAAGCTGATGTACCGTCTTCTGATGATCCTGGTAGTAATTTTATTTTATTCGTGTCATATATTGTTTCTTCTTCTTCTTGTTGTTCTTGTGGAGATTCTGTGGTTGGATCTACCTCTATTTGATCTATTTGCTCGTTTTTTTTGGTCTCTTCGTCTGACATTTTTGTTGTGATTGTTTATTACTATGATATTATGTTATTATGATATAAGTTGAATTTGTTAGTGATGATCTTCTTGACAATTAATTTTTCTTTTTTCCAGAGAATTATTAGCGCTACCAAAAAATATCTGAAACTGCTGCAAAATATAAAAATTCTGTGCTCAAAAAAACTTAAATAAAATCCTCCATTTTCAGCTCTAGTGCATCGCGCCATCACAAGTATAGTAGATAGAATAGTCTACATCAAGTTTTGAATTCGTTTTAGTCGTTCATTGTCATTAAAATATTTTTAAACTATATAATTAGACCCAGTCTAATATAAGAATCTGAAATCCGGAGAAATTTTTGAACCATCATTACCTTTACCTAATTCCTTTTGCCAATTCATTGTACCTCTTTCTATCTTTTTATTTAATACCATTAATCTAATTCTTAATATTATAGCAAAGATTATAGCTAATACTAAAAATGCAATATTACAACTCATAGCTTTAATATATCTTGGACCATCTTGAGCTGGATATAAAAAAGGAGTCCAAATTTGAGTTGTGTTTGATAAACAATTGACTAATGCAATGGCAACTGCTCTTTTAGCTGGTGGTCTTGGACACGAGTTTGAAATCCATGTGAGAACAACAACGAAAGCACTATATAAACTTGGAATCATTAAAATCATACTGAAATATCTTGCACCTGTATTTAAAGTTGCAACAGCTATAATGAAAGCAACTAAAGACAATACTAATGGAATAATGACATGGAATGTTCTTTCACCAGATTTATCTGCGTGTTTGGCCCAAAAAAATGTAACAAAAACAGCAACAACAAAAGGAGGTGCAGTCAAACAAAGAGTGATCGTATGATTAAAACCAAGCGTTTGAACAACAGATGGGAAGAAGTTAGTTATGGAGCATGCAGCCGTCAAGAAAGAATGCAATCCACAAATCATCCATAATTTTATATCTGTTACAGCTAACTTAAAACCTTGCCATTCAGTGACTTGAGCTTCTTTATCTGAGTCATCAACATTTCCTAAATCTTTTCTTAATTTCCATTGAATAAGATCTTTTTCTTGTTGTGAAAGAAACTTGGTATTTGATGGAGTATCTGGTAAAACCCAATAAGCTAATGGAGCAATTAAAACAGTAAGGCAACCTTCAATAATGAATAAATATCTCCAACCTTCAACACCACCTAATCCATCCATTTCTAATATACCAGCAGCTATTAACCCACTAAATGCTGAACTAACTAAAGAACCAGCATATAAGATTGAATTTCTTGAAGCTAAAGTTTTTTTATCATACCATGAAGATAAAATCATTAAAGCGGCACAAAAAAATGCTGATTCGACTATACCTAAACAAGCACGAATTGCAACTAATCCACCGAAACTATTGACAGCAGCGGTACAAGCAGAAATAGCACCCCATAAAGTCATAACAACAGCTAAATAAGCAGATGGTCTACCTAATTTATTCAATAATAAATTTGACGGTATTTGAAATAAGATATAACCAACGAATAAAATCGAAATACAAATTTGATATTGATTTCCTTTTAAACCTAAATCTTTTTCTAATCCACCTAAACGAGCAGATGCGATATTATTTCTATCAATATAATTCAAAATGTAAATTACAATTAACATAGTCATTAATCTTATATCAATTTTACGAACTGTTTTTTTATCTAATGATTTTAATTCTTCTGTTGTTAAACCTTGCAATGATTCTGGTAAATCTGTATAATATTCTTCTTCTCCTTCAATAAAACTTGGTCCCAATTCTGAATCTGAACCTTTCAAATCTGTTCCTTCAATATGAGTAATTTGAGCTTTTTTATCATCTTCAACATGTGAAAAATTTGGTTTTTCATATGACATTGTGAATGATTATGTAATTAATAGTAAAGGTTTATGGTGAAATGTAATGTTGTTGATAAATGAATATTATATCTGATGAGTTTGAAATGAAAGATAAGTCTATTGAGCAAAGAAAAGGAAATCAAAAATGAGATCTGGGGAAATTAACCTAGGTTTATATAGTTTTTAACACTAAATAGCTATTTTAATTAAATTTTTCTAGTTACATAGTCATTTTGATTGTGATTGGGGGAGTCATTTAATAAACAAATTTATTTTTAATGATTGTTTTGGTTTGAAATAATATTTTTAATTATATTATTGTGTTGCGACTTAAGGGGTTGTGCATCAAATACAACAAAAATATATTGCAAAAGAGCACAAAATGAATAGCAAGAAGGTGGGGAAGGAGTAGTATTTTAAGTTTAAGAATATTTAAATATTCGAAGAATTGATTATGAGCGAGGAAACATAATTATCTTACGATGAACCCCAAAATTCCAAAAGATTGCCTTCACTAATCTCGTTCGAAAAGTTATTTTATGATCAAGTAATGGGTGATTAATTTCGAAATTAACTATGTACTAATTTTTATTATTAATTCTTAATAATTCTCAAGCAGAGATTTTAAGTCTCGAGAATAAATTTTTCAATTTTTAAAATTTGCCTAGAAAGTTTTTCCGGCCGTTTAACAATAAAAAAAATTTTTACCAGAACTTTGTGAAAAAAAAATTATACTACATCTATCTAAATTTTTAAAATAATACAGTATTATTAGCAATTCCGAATTTTACCATAGCAACACTAATTAGATCCTCAGATATTCAAATGAACATCTGGAGATTTAGTATAAAAGGAATTTTTTCTATTTTTACTTAGGCAACTCAAATTTAATTTTTCCTTTTTGAAATTTTCTTGAAATTTCTTGAGTTTTTCCGTGGGGGATTTTTTTTATTAAATTTTAATTTGCTAACTAATTTTTCTAATTAATTTCTGTTATTTTACTAATTATTACTAAATCAGTTACAAAAGATACGCCTTTGACCTAATTGAATACAAGCTTCGAATTACGTAACTTATGATTTTTTTTGTATTGAAAAATCTGGAGTAGTGTGGGGAAGACAGTTGGCAAGATAATTCTTCTCAAATTTTGTGTATAGTATAAAATTTCGGTGAATTCCTTTAACGATGAATTTCGTAAAATTAAGATTTTTGGTAAATCATCCCTCGACTTCCATCTCTGGCTTGTTATTTGATTTTCTTATTATCAGAAATTTGGGGAACTAATTTTATTTTGACTTCAAACGTTTTGTTAAATACCAAAGGATAAAATTTTAACCAAAGAATTGAACGAGCTCTGTTAGAAGTAACTTAGCCAATAATACTAATTAATTAATTTCAAGCTGAAATATAATTCTTACTAAAATTTTTTAGAGTATGCTTAACCATAACTATTGAAAAGTAATGCAACAAATTACGCGTATATGGTTTTTGACATATTAAGACGGCAGAATTTACTAGACTAAAAAAGCTTGTATGATACAAAATTTCGTATATATATAAGAAAAAGAAATGATATCAAATAATTTAATAAGCCCAGTTTGAATGGGTCCTAATCTAATTAAATCTATATTTACGATATCTTTATTGAATCTGATTGTTTGCTCATGATTATAATTTTCTAGTTTTTGTTATAAATTATGGGGTAAATTTTTTCTTGGACTTCAATTTTTTAATTTTTAACCTGAGATACATACATTTATATTTTTTCATAAATTAATGTAAATTTGGGGGACTCATAACTATTGAAATTATTGAAATGTCGGGGTTCGCATTACTAAAACTACATTATAATTAGTTTAGACTAGATAAAATTAGAATTGGGCTCTTCCAAGTGATTTCTGAAACTTTTATTAAAAGAATATTCAAAACCGAAAAAAATATGATCCTTCATCTAGTTCAAAAATCTGATTATTGATCTTACCAGCTTTTAATTTATAGCTAGACAATTTATTTACAAATTTCATTCATAATTTGATCTAAAACTTGAAACAACAAATGTTTATTTAATTGATCAATTTGAATCATATTAAATAATATGTTTGAAGCAAAAATTGTATTTTCAGTACCAAATAATTTTGAATAAGTTTCATTCATATATCTATTAAATAATAATTTTGCTTCATTTGCAGTTTTTAATTTTTGTAAATTTGATCTTAATTCAGGTGGATCTTTAAATTTTCCATTGGGGAATAATAAATTTGTAAGTAGAGTTAAAATTTCATCAATTTTTGAAGAATCTGTTTGTGATGATATAAAATCATAAACTCTTTTTTCAATTGCTGTACCGAAAACTTGCTGTAATATAACAACTAATGCTCTACCTTTCAACCAATGCAAATTGAAAACAGTAATTAATAAGTCACAAATAGGTTTGACAAATGATTGTTTTGTTGGTTGTAAATTTGATAATGATACAGTTGATGAACTATTTGAATTTTTATTCTCATCAAATTGTCGTAGTTCTTTTTCCATTATTCTTTTATTTTCTAATAGTTCTTCGTTAGTTTGATGTTGAGTAGTTGATTTATTGGAAAGCCCATACCAATTTTTACTGAAAAAAGTTGAGATTCTTTTTGGTTGGTGATCTTCGAATTTGTATTTGAATTTTCTCAAATGAAAGTTTTCTGATGACAAAAATGATCTAAATGCTTTATCTGAACAAACTTCTGGTATTTTAACTAAATTTCTCAAGTAGACTTCCAAAAGATATTTTCTATTATCAATAATATTCTTTTGTTGAAATTTCAAAACCAGGATTGATTTTTTGGGAAAGTTCAAATTTAAAACCTGTGGATATCTTCTTTTCAAATATCCATTTAATCTATGAAATTGGCTATATCTTCTTGCAACTACCCAACCGGCTTTTATAATATCTGGATTTTCACTTGAAAATTTTTGAACTTCAATAATATATAATATGAATTCTTTACCATTTTCACTACCATTAACTAATGATTCAATAGCCACTCTTGATTTTCCAAATAAACTATTATCATTTTCTTGTATAATATATTGCTGTAATTGTAATTCCTTCAACTGTAAGTCTTTTTGAACTCCAATTTTAGATTTCTGCAACACTTTAAATTTTGAGGAGTTATTTGTTATTTCTGCTTTATTCAATAAAGGTTCCAAATAGGTTAATTGTTGTTTCAATCTTTCAATTTCTTGTTCAACTCTTGGAATTTCTTCAGCCAAATTAAGATTACCAGGAGCTGCAAATTCAACACTTTCGGATCCTTTTTCTACAAATGATTCGTCTGTATCTGATGTATCTTCTTCTTCTTCTTCGCCATCTTCTTCGTCGGATGCCTCTGACATATCATCTTCGAATAGTTTGGAGTATCTATCGCTATTAATTTTTTCATTCAAACCTATCTCCGTCTGATGGTTTGAATTACTATTCATTATATTGGTGAATGTATTTTCAATAGACGCTAATACGTCATCTTTTGAATCCTTTTTTGTTTGATTATATCTTGATGCAATAAATTCGGGATAGTATGATTTTAAATTATCAAATACCTGAGATTGTATTTTGTATAGCACTATTTTACTGGTTTTATCAACTTTTAGATCTTTCAAGTCTTCTGGATCAATTTGTATTAGGTTTGTATCAAAAAAAGTGCTTTTTATCTTATCCACATCACCTGCCGTATTTGAGTTTACTGAAGCATCATCTAACGGCGATTTTATTTCTTCGATCATTTGCCAAAAATTAAGTAGATGTATTTTGTTACTGGATTTTAAAAAGTCACTAAACTCTTTTAGTTTGATAGGTGATTTTAGTATAGCCTCAAGTAATTCTGCTCCGTCTCTATAAACCACGGTATCATTTGGTTTGGTATCATCATCCAAAAGCTCATCCAACTTTTCCATCGCAGATTGATCTAGTCCACTTGACAATGAGTGTTGCTCTAGAACAGCTCTCAATTCTTTTACTTGATCTCTTCGTCTTAAACTGTCGCCAATTACTTTGACAATCATTAGATTATAAAAATCACCTTCTGACAATAAATTGAATACGTTGTCCAAAGCTGTACATGCTAATATTTCAGTCAAAAAGATCTTACTTATTTCATTTGATTGTTCCTTTTCTGATAACAATATTGATAGTAGTTTCCCAACTAGCTTTCTCAAGTATATTTTTTCATTATAATTTTTTTCCAGGTTGTCACTATCAATCATACTTACTCCTGCGTGCAAAATTCCATCACTGAAGCTAGCCAATAATTCCGCATCATCTTTAACTAAATTGTTTTGGTTGATAGAAAATTTCTTAACTTTAGAAAATTCAATAAATTGATTATTAAAAATCGGTAATAACTTTGTAACAATTAATTTTGCCAAGTCAATTTTCTTCAATCTTGATACAGTCTTGTTTGTAATTTGTATTAATTCATTCTTGATGTCATTCGTAAATAAATCTGATGTGGTGATTTGGCGGTACCAGGAATTTATAAATTCGTCAATTATGAGATCAAAAAGGTTGATCAATTTTTCAGAATTTGTTGGTGCAATTGTATCAATATTTGGTTCATGCTTTTCTTGCTCAAAATGCTTCAATTCTACTTCCCATATTTTTCGTTGACTAAATTTGAATCTGGAGTATTTTTGTTTCTTATTGATATTATTTGTGGTTGTAAATCTGATCAGAATATATATGTATCCAATTATGGTAAAAACTACCCCACCAATCAATGTCAAGAATGATGTTGTTCTATATTTGATCCATAATGTCAATAGTATTAAACATGTAATTTGAACCCAATGGTTTTGCATATGATCATTAAAGTTGTAAAGGGTAAAAGTAAATTAATGTTGTAGCCTAAAGATACTAATACTCTTTTAAATTGTGTGTTATTAATTCCATATTTGTATCACTACGGCTACCAACTGCCCATCAAAATATTTTTATCAACTGGTTTACTTGTTATGAAAGAGTAATTAAACTACAGTGAACTCTCGAAATGCTAAAATGTCTATTAAATTATCCTCTATTTATGCTGATCTTTTCTTTTTCTTTAGTTTTTTGTCTTTATCTGATTCTCTGCTCTCTCTTTTACGTTTTCGTAGTATTTTTTGATCTTCTTTCAACTTATTCCTCTCCTCTTTGGAATCTTTGCTTTTTCTCATATCTTTGCGACTATCATCTGAAGCCAAATCTTCTTTTGCTTTGTAAACTGTATCTTTCATTTTACTTTTAACTTTTTCATCCTTTTTCTTGTCTTTCTTTTTTTTATTTACATTACATTTCTTGTCTTTCACTTCCTTGCTTGTCTTTTCTGCCCTCTTCTTTTCCTTCTTATGTTTACTCGCTGAATCTTTGGTGACTTTATCCTTACTTTTGTTCTTCTTCTGTCTCTTTCCATTGGTTGACTTTAAAATGTGTGTTAATTTATCTATCTCTTCGGCTGCTTTTTCAGTCAAATTATCCACATGAGCTTCCTTAACGTGCTCGGTTTTTCCCACAGTACCTTGTAATCCTTCTCCCTTGACAAACATCCTATATAATGGAGATAAATCTTTTTTCAAGTTTTTCAAAGCTGATTCATTATCCAGTTTGAACGATACTTCTCCATTTTTCGTGTCATTTTCAACTTGCAAGTTTTTTAATTGCCCATCAAATAGTTTCTCCCACCACATATCTGCATTATTTGTATCATGTCCTAAACCCTTTGTATCTTTTTTATGTTTGACCAATATTGGTTTTTTTAATCCACCTTTTTGTAATGCTTCTCCTTCATTCCAACCATATGATTGAAGATACACTTTCGCATTCATATTGTAACCATTTGTAACTTTAAATTATGATTAGTGAGCTAGTTTTTTATTATCTTTGATAATAATATTAATAAGTTGTAATGAGAAGAGTTTTGATATATTATATGTTCCACCATTTTGTGTAACAAAAATATTTATTTATTAATATTTTATAAACGTATGACATTTTTATGGATTCTATACAATATTGAATTTTACAACCAATTTACAAATATTCAACAACTTTCATGAATGATTATTAATGACTGATGAATTGAAATTGATAGTAGATCAGTTTGAATCATCAATTAATAAAAATCCTTATGCTTGTGAAAATTATGATAAAGTTTTAAATGAGTTACTGGTTTTACAAGATAGATCATTAATTATTAATAAAGTTTATACTGAAAAAATTAAGTATTTTAAACTTCGTCAACTGGAATTGAATAATTGGTTATTTGAAATTAGATCAATAATTGATGAAGAAGAAAGATCAAGGTTAGAATTTAAATTTTATGAATTGATAATTGATGATTATTCAACTGTTTCAATATGGACAAGTACGTTAAGACTAGCCGGAGAATTGTATCAAAATAATAACATGTCTCAAAGTGAGTACAGATCCTTGATTTTTAAAGCTTTATATACTTGTGGTCATGATTTTCAAAACGGATATAGCATATGGGAATTGGGTTTAGACGTGTTTTATCAAAATTTTATAAAAACAAATGAGCCAAGTGATTTGGATTTATTAGTGAAATTGCACTTAAAAAGATTAAGTTTTCCTTTAGCTCAACTAGACGAGTGTTTTCAAGAATTTTCATCTTTAATAAGTAATCACAAAAGTCAAAATTATGATGAATTAATCCAAATGGGTAATAAAGTTTACACATCAACTAAAAAAAAAATACCACAATATGAACGATACGAAGTTCAATTGATCGAAAATCCAAATGACCCAGAAATCTGGATAGAATATATGGAAAATGTATATAAATATCTGTCTGGTGGGAATCTTCCTCCAGTTCAAGCCATTTTTGCAAGAGCAACACAAAATGAATTATCTTTTTCAAATAATTGGCAACAAATTTGGATTTCCCTTTTGTATATAATTTATTCATCAGAAAAAGCTACAGATGAAACAATAAACACATTTTTACACAATTATATCAGGGCTTTTCCAAATTCATGTAATGCCTATGCCGAAAGTATTAAAAATTGTGTAGCATTGGGCACAGAAGGTAATCAACATTATCTAACATTAGAGGATAGAATGAATTTAATAGAACTAAAATCGACATCAGAATATAGCGATTGGAAGTTAGTGGCGTTGGCAACAATACAGTTTAAATATCAAGGAGAACAAGCATATGATGGATTTGATCTGATTGATCATTTATTAAAGTCCATGGTTGAATATGCATTAAAAAATGAGGATCCACTTCATTCAGTTGAAAAATTGGCAATATCAATATATTTGAAATTAAATGAACCTAAAAGAGCAGTTGATGTAATAATGCTGTTATTTACAACTTTTTGTACCGAATCAGATGTATGGATTTATGGACTACAACTAATGATGAAACTTGATTTAAATCTTCAAACTGTAAGATCCTTATTTATGAAAGCATTAACATTTGATTTAGATTTTCCAGAAAAAATAACTGATCAATGGCTATTATTCGAACAGGTTGATGGTGATTTAGATTCTTACAGACAAGCAGTAGTTTATTGTAACAATCTGGTTAAAAAAATTATGCAATCAAGACAAGTGAAAGCTGTGTTACCAGTTGAAAGAAAAAGGAATCATGATGTTGCAGAAGAATCTCAAAGATCAAGAGAAGAATTTTCTGTCCAAGTTAATAATTTATCACAAGGTGTTACTAAGGAGGATGTTAAAACGTTTTTCAGTGATTGTGGTGATATCAGGGATATTAATTTGGTCGAATTTAATGGTGAAAAAAAAGCAGTCATCGAATTTTCAAATGAGCTTGAAGTATTTTCAGCAATTACAAGGAGCCATAAAATTTTGGGGGCTAATGAAATTTTGGTCACTAGAGTTCAAAAAACTTTATTATTTGTAAATAATTATCCAAGTTCCTTTAGTCAGTTGCAAGTTAAAGAAATGTTTGAAAGTGTTGGACCACTTGTAAGTATAAGATTCCCATCCCAACTTAGAAATAGAACAAGACGGTTTTGCTATATTCAATTTGTCAATCATGAAAATGCTCAAAAGGCTATTGCATTGTATGATGGTTTGAAATACAAGGATGGAAATTTTAATAGAGAATCAACGTGGGTGGTCAAATATTCAGAACCACAAGAGAATAAAGACAGAAATTCTCCAATGTCAGAACGTAAGATAAGAGTCACCAATATCTCATTTTCAATAACTGAAGACGAGTTGAAAAATGAGTTTTCCGAGTTTGGGGAGATTGATCTGATTTCTTTACCAAAAGCAGTTTTTGATACAAAAAACAGGAGAATGAAACAAAATGGTGGAATTGCTATAATCGCATTCAAAAACGTTGAAAGTGTTGATGATGCGTTGTCAAAGGATGGATTTAATATAAAAGATAGAGCAATTAAAGTATCAAAACTACAAATCCAAAATAATCTTACCCCAGAAGATTTTGATCAATTAAAAAGTGTTGGTCTTACCGATATAAATTCATCACTAAATCAATATCAAATTAAGAATCATTTAGAGAAAAATTATGGTAGAGTTAATAAAATACTACTACTACCTCATTTATATTCTGCTTTGATTGAATTTGATGATATTAAAGATTGTGGTAAAATTGGTCTCAATGGTGGATCTCTTGAAATAGATAATTACTTGATTCAAATTACAAGTAAACAGGAAATTACAAATTTGATAATTTCCAATACTAACACAAGATCTACTGGTAATGCTTCTAGAGCTAATGCAAAAAAATCACCAATGGTTCCTACCTCGATCAAAAGAAGAAAAATATAAATAAATTTGTATCACTAAAATAATATTTCTTACATTGAATTTTGTACCATTAATTTTTTTTTCTCTGTCCTTTTACTAAAAATAAATTTTTCACTCTGATTAGATTCAAGTGAGTCAATATCGAAAATTCAACCAAGTATGAGTGTAACATTTGAAAAAACATTCAGAAGAGATGCATTAATTGAAATAGAGAAAAAATACCAAAAACAATGGGCTGATGAAAAATTATTTGAAATAGATGCTCCAACTTTTGAAGAAGTACCAATTGAAAATGTTGAAGAAGTTAGAGAAAAATATCCAAAATTCTTTAGTACAATGGCATATCCATATATGAATGGGGTTTTACATGCTGGTCATGCATTTACATTATCAAAAGTTGAATTTGCAACTGGGTTTGAAAGAATGAATGGTAAAAGAGCATTATTTCCATTAGGTTTTCATTGCACTGGTATGCCAATAAAAGCAGCAGCCGATAAAATAAAAAGAGAAGTTGAATTATTTGGAGAAGATTTTGCAGGCGCACCAGCTGAAGATGAAGAAGAACCAACTGCCAAAAAGGAAGAAGTTAAAAAGGAAGATTTAACTAAATTTAGTTCTAAAAAATCAAAAGCAGCTGCTAAAACTGGAAGAGCTAAATTTCAATTTGAAATTATGTTACAATTAGGGATACCAAGAGAAGAAGTTGCAAAATTTGCCAACTCTGATCATTGGTTAAAATTTTTTCCACCATTATGTCAAAAAGATGTTACAGCATTTGGAGCAAGAGTTGATTGGAGACGTTCAATGATTACAACTGATGCTAATCCATATTATGATGCATTTGTAAGATGGCAAATGAATAGATTAAGAGATTGCGGTAAAATTAAATTTGGGGAAAGATATACAATTTATTCAGAAAAAGATGGACAAGCTTGTTTAGATCATGACAGACAATCAGGTGAAGGTGTGACACCTCAAGAATATGTAGGTATTAAAATTAAAGTTGATGAATTTGCACCAGAAGCTTCGAAAATTTTAAAAGAAAATAATTTTGATTTAACTAAAAATAAGGTTTATCTCGTGGCTGCTACTTTAAGACCTGAAACCATGTATGGTCAAACTTGTTGTTTTGTAAGTCCAAAAATTGATTATGGATTATTTGATGCTGGTAATGGAGAATATTTCATAACAACTGAACGTGCATTCAAGAATATGTCATTTCAAAATTTATCTCCAAAAAGAGGTTATTATAAACCAGTTCTTCATTTAAATGGTAAATCTTTAATTGGTTCTAAAATAGATGCTCCATTAGCTGAATTAAAAGATTTAAGAGTCTTACCTATGGAAACAGTTAAAGCCACCAAGGGAACTGGAGTTGTTACTTGTGTTCCATCAGATTCTCCAGATGATTATATAACAACAAAAGATCTTTCAAATAAACCAGAATATTACAAAATCGAAAAAGATTGGGTTAAAACTGAAATAATTCCAATTGTTCATACTGATAAATACGGTGATAAATGTGCCGAATTTTTGGTTAATGATTTAAAAATCCAATCACCAAAAGATGCTGTACAATTAGCAGAAGCAAAAGAATCAGCGTACAAAGAAGGTTATTATAACGGTACAATGATTATAGGTAAATATAAAGGTGAAAAAGTTGAAGATGCCAAACCAAAAGTAAAAGAAGATTTAATTGCTTCAGGTGATGCATTTGTATATAGTGAACCTGAAAATCAAGTTATTTCAAGATCTGGTGATGATTGTTGTGTATCATTAGAAGATCAATGGTATATTGACTATGGTGAGGAAGTTTGGTTAGGTCAAGCTCTTGAGTGTTTAAAAGATATGGAAACATTTGCAAAGGAAACAAGACATGGATTTGAAGGTGTTTTTGCATGGATGAAAAATTGGGCTGTTACAAGAAAATTCGGTTTAGGTACAAAATTACCTTGGGATGATCAATTTTTAGTTGAATCATTATCCGATTCTACAATTTATATGGCTTATTATACAATTGACCGTTTCTTACATTCGGATTATTATGGTCAAAAACCTGGAAAATTCAATATTAAACCAGAACAATTGACTGATGAAGTATTTGACTACATTTTCACCCGTCGTGATGATGTTGAAACTGATATACCATTAGTAGAATTAAAAGAAATGAGAAGAGAATTTGAATATTTTTACCCATTAGATGTAAGAGTTTCAGGTAAAGATTTAATTCCAAATCATTTAACTTTTTTCATTTATTCACATGTTGCAATTTTTCCAAAAAAATTTTGGCCAAAGGGTGTTAGAGCAAATGGTCATTTATTATTAAACAACGCAAAAATGTCAAAATCAACTGGTAATTTTATGACTTTAGAACAAATTGTTGAAAAATTCGGTGCTGATGCTTCAAGAATTGCAATGGCAGATGCTGGAGATTCAATTGAAGATGCAAATTTTGATGAAGCAAATGCTAATGCAGCAATTTTAAGATTAACCACCTTGAAAGATTGGTGTGAAGATGAATTAAAAAATTCATCAGATTTAAGAACTGGTGATTATGATTCATTTTTTGATGAAGCTTTTGAAAACGAAATGAATGATTTAATTGAAAAATGTTACAATCAATATTCCTTAAGTAATTATAAACAAGCATTAAAATATGGTTTATTTGATTTTCAAATTGCAAGAGATTTTTATAGAGAATCAGTCAATTCATCCATCAAAATGCATAAAGATCTTGTTTTAAAATATATTGAATATCAAGCTTTAATGTTAGCTCCAATTGCTCCACATTTTGCTGAATACTTATATAAAGAAGTTCTAAATAAAAAGGGAAGTGTTCAAACTACTCAATTCCCAAAGCCATCAAAACCAGTATCAAAACCTGTATTGGATGCTTTAGAATATGTTAGATATGTATCGAGATCAATCCGTGAAGTTGAAGGTTCAGGATTAAAGAAAAGAAAAGGTAAATCCGATCTTGAAACTGGTGATTCCGTTAAATTAACCTTGTTGGTTTCAAATACATTCCCAGAATGGCAAGATAATTATATTGAATTTGTTAGAGAGCTTTTTGATAAACAACAATTATCTGACAATTCCTTGATTAAACAAAAAGTTGGTAAAGATATGAAGAGAGCAATGCCTTTTATAAATCAATTAAAACAAAGATTAAATACAGAAGATCCAAATTTAGTATTTAATAGAAAAATTACATTTAATGAAATTGAAATTTTACAAAAAGTATTATCAATTATTAAAAATTCAACTTTTTCAGTAAAAGTTAATGATATGGAAATTATATCATTTGATAATGGTAGTGATAAAGGTAAAAATATTTTAACAGGAGAAGATGTTGAAATTAGTATAAAATCAAAAATTAAAGAAAATGCAGTACCTGGAGAACCTGGTATTATATTAACAAAAATTTAGAGAAGAAATTGAAGTTGTAAATAAAGGTAAATAAATTATGTATAGAAATATATTATATTAAATCTAATTGGATAGAACTAATAATGGTAAATATGTATTGATATAATTTATTACTTCTATAAGTAAAGTAGTTGTTAATAACTACATCTAATATATCATAACACAAAATACGCTTAATATTCTAATTGGTAACATATAAAAAAAATAAAAAAAATTATTTTCAATACAATAATAGAATAGAATTTAAATATTAAGAATAAAATACAATTAATACAACAACAATAAATATAACTATTATCATTAAAATATATCATAACAAATTAATATAAAATTCAAAAAAAAAAGTCAAATCTTCCCATTAAAAATATATTTTATAATCACTTTCAAAACAAAAACATTTTCTCTTTTTTATTGCTTCATTAAAGAATAAAAACAATCATACTCCAATAAATATTTTCAAATTACGGAATTTAAATATCTTCATAAAAAAGACTCCTCAAACTATATAAGATGGAAGATATAGAAGGAGGAAGTACCTTCAATTACCCACTAAAAGATGAAAAGCCAAAATTTGATTATAAACTTATAAATCAGAATGGTAAATTATCTGAAGTTCCATTATGTAAAGAATATCAAAAATTATCATTAGAAGAACAACAAGTACAATTCCAGCAACAAAAATTACAATCACCAGTACAACAACATCAACTACAACTACAACCACAGCCACAACTTTCAAATAACAAATCAATTTCAAATCGACAAAATAAGCAACAACAACAACCACAAATTAATCTTGAACATATTCAACCAAAAAAGAAAAACCACAGAAAAAGAAATGCTGGAGAAGATGATTATGGAGATAATGAAGGCTCATATGATGATATGACTTCTTCAGATACTGATTCAAATACTCAAGGTTCAGGAAATTCTCAAAACAATATATATAGAACCAATGGATTATTACATCCACCAACTAAGAAACGATTAACTTCCAATCATGATCATGTTAGTATTGAACTAGGTAGTCAAGATTCAAATAATGCAACATATGGCTCTTCTCAATCATCGAATAGACATAATTCATCACATCGTCCAAAAACTCCAATAATTATCAATTCACCAAACACAGCTCCACTTTCAGATATTGATGAAGATTCTACTCAACAACTACCTTTACCTTCCCCCAGTGCATCACCAGTTCAATCTGATCATGAAAATGATGACATTATAGTTGAAAGTCCAAGAACTATATCAAGAAGATTAAATTTGGAATTAATAGAAAGTCATATGTCAAATGTACCAGGAACTCAATCAGAATTGGTAAGTGTAATGAGTAATTTATCAAATTTTTTAACTGAACAAAATCAAAATCATTTAATTTTTAAATTGTTACAAAAGACAAATAGATCTTCATTAAGTTCATTTAGTGGATTGATAAATAATTCTTTGAAAAGGGATTTAATTGGCAATTTACCCTTGGAAATATCAATAAAAGTTTTATCATATCTTGATGCAAGTACTTTACTTTCAATATCAAAAGTTTGTAAAAAATGGTTTAATCTTGTGAATAATCCAGAATTATGGGTTAATTTGTTGAAGAAAGATAAATTGATTACTGATGAAAATATTATTAAATCAGAATTATTACAATCAAAACAATTGGTTGAAGAATGGTGTAGTTTACCTGGTGAAATTAACACTGCTCAATTACTATATAAGAAAAGGACAATTATTGCAAATAGATGGTTGAATCCAAAATATAAACCAAAAAGAATTAGTGTAACTGGTCATGGTAATAAAGTAGTTACTTGTTTACAACATGATGAAGAAAAAATTGTTACTGGAGTTGATGATAAATGTATCTTGATATATAGTACTCAAACTGGTCAGTTGATGAAAGTTCTAGAAGGTCATGATGGAGGAGTATGGGCATTGAAATATAGTGGAAACACTTTAGTGACTGGATCAACGGATAGAACAGTTAGAGTTTGGAATATGTCAACAGGTAAATGTACCCACATTTTCAGAGGTCATACATCAACAATTAGATGTCTTGATATTATCCACCCAACAGTAATTGGTAAAGATGTTGATGGAACAGACATTGTTTTTCCGGAATTTCCTTTATTGGTCACAGGTTCAAGAGATCATAATATACATGTATGGAGACTACCAATTTTAAATGATACTCAAGCTAATGATGAAACTACTTTTGATGGTGGTGAAACTGATAATCCATACTTGATTGCAATTTTATCAGGTCATACCCAATCGGTACGTTCAATTTCAGGTTATGGAAACATCATAATATCTGGTTCATACGACTCAACTGTTAGAGTTTGGGACTTATTAGATAATGGAAATTGTAAACACGTACTTCATGGACATCAAGATAGAGTTTATTCAACAGCAATGGATTTTAATAAAAAATTATGTTTTTCAGGATCCATGGATTCAACTATTAATATATGGAACTTTGAAACTGGAGAATTATTAAAAGTTCTTGAGGGTCATTCTTCATTAGTTGGTTTATTAGCCTTGGTTGATGATGTATTGGTATCTGCTGCCGCTGATGCATCATTAAGAATATGGGATCCAACAACTGGAGAATTAAGAAGTAAATTAAGAGGTCATGCTGCTGCAATAACTTGTTTTGAACATGATGGATTAAAAGTTGTAAGTGGAAGTGAAAAAATGTTGAAATTATGGGAAGTTAAAAGAGGTGTGTTTGCAAGAGATTTATTAGATGATGTAACTGGTGGTATATGGCAAGTTAGAATTGATTATAAAAGATGTGTTGCTGCTGTTCAAAGATTTAATAATAATGAAGAAGGTGAAACATTTATTGAAATTTTGGATTTTAGTCAACCATTGAATAAGAAGTTTAAAAGAAGAAGTTGATTACGATTTATGAAAATTAAATAAAAAGTACATTAAATAATTTGTTGTCTCTTAAAAAGCTCTAAAATTTTGGTTGTAGGACGAGAATCTACTTGAAAAAAAAAATATTTATATATGAAAGTTGGTAATTTGAACAACCAGTTTTTTACATCCACCTATAAAATATGTCTCGAAGACCCGTGTTAGAAGAAGTCAATGATGACGATATAGATAATCTTGATATGGATATTGCTGAGTTTGATCCAAACCTAAAAACTCCAATAGCTCCAAAAAGACCAGAGCCATCAATTGTAAGATCACAAGATCAAGACCTTCCACTATTTCCACAAATGCCAATGCAACCACCACAACCAACTAAACAACAAGTTCATCAACAAAATAATATAATAGATCCAAAATCATTTTCAAAAGATGAAGAAGAAGAATTTAAAAAATTCCAAATTATATACCCCTGTTATTTTGATATAAATAGATCTCATAAACAAGGTAGAAAAGTTAATATAGATAGAGCAGTTGAAAATCCATTAGCTAAAACAATATGTGAAGCTTGTCAATTATTAAGACTTCCGGTTTTATTAGAATTGGATAAAACTCATCCACAAGATTTCGGTAACCCAGGTAGAGTAAGAGTATTGTTGAAAAACCATAAGGATGATAATAAACCAGTAAATCCAAACTATACAACCAAAAGAGCATTATATAACAAAATATCCGATTATTTAGCTGATAATCAAACAGATTTGGATAAAGTTGGTGCAAAAAGTGGTATAAAATTACCAAGTGATTTACAACAAAATTTTAAGCCTGAAGAAATTCCAAAAGTTAAAGGATTTAAAATGAATACTATAGTACCTATACATTCTCCATTAACTATGAAACATCCAATGACTAAAGGTATTTATGATCCAGAACCTGAAAATGAAACATCACAGCCGGCAATAAAACCAAATGTACCGAAACAACCAAAGAAAAAAATCATGAGATTAAGAGGTTAATTTGTTGTATATTCAAGCACCATATTTACTTCTATATTCTTCAATAGATTTTAAATCATTATCATTAATTTTACCTTTTAAAATAGTAATAACTTCACTTAGACTTACAATTGATAATACAGGTATTCCATATCTTTCACTAACTGCTTTTGTAGCAGACTTTGTAGTATCTGTGATAGTAGTTTCTTGTCTATCCAATGCAATAATACATCCAACACATTCACCTTTTTCTTCTTTTATAATCTCAAAAGCTTCATTGATGGCAGTACCTGCAGTTATGACATCATCAATTATTAAAATCTTTTTCCCACTCAATGAACATCCAACAATTGATCCACCTTCTCCATGATCTTTCTTCTCTTTTCTATTAAAACTATATCCAATATTTCCATAATTCTTAGGATCTAATTCATATAATTTTGCAACAGTAATAGCAGCCAATGGAATTCCTTTATAAGCAGGTCCGAACAATATGTCAAATTTAATGCCACTTTCTATTATGGCCTCCGCGTATGCTGTGGCTAAATTTGATAATAATTCCCCATTATTAAATAACCCTAAATTGAAAAAATATGGGGATTGACGTTTGGATTTGAGAGTGAAATTTCCAAATTTTAATGCTTGTGAATCTAATGCTAATTGTAAAAAATCAGATTGATATGACGACATTGTTTAAGTTTTACAAAGAGAAAGAGAAAAAGAACAAGATAACAGAATTAATACTGGTTTTAATAAGCTGATGTTTGATTTATAAGTGAAACGAGATGTTGGAAAAAAAAATAGATAGCAATTGGTAGTGCTAGTTCTAGCCGTTTGTTTCAGATAAATAGAGCAGAATTTACACTTGAAAAACTAATACAAGCGAATGATATTATTGAAATCTATAACTTATTTACATCTACCAGGCAAATTTTGCAATAATTCCATTTGGATATTTTCTAACAAGATATTTTCTACCTTCATCCCAGCCAAATACAACTAATCCAAAACCAACAGCAATAAAATAATATTCAACAGGAATTTGACTTGTACCCATAGCATTTTGAATTGCTGGTATATAATTGATGATGAAATTAACAAACAAGACAAATGGGATGACAAATATCACTTTTTTGTTTTTCATTATTGAATGTTGGAATAAACTTAAATGTCTTGTTCTTAATGAAATTAAATTAAACACTTGCATAATAACCAAATTAATAAAGTAAATGGATGATGACATAGCTAAATATTTATCAATATTTGGTAAATCTTCATACGAACCAAAAGATAAAGCAAAATCGCCGAATTTGTAACCTCTTCTTGTCAAATTTAAAAATGCAACCATGAAAGAAGTAAAAGTATAGAAAGTACCCAAACAAATATAAGAATGGAACATTAACTTCCAGTCAACTAATCTTTCATTTGTTAAAATTCTTGGTTTTTTAGTCAACAAATTACTTTCTGCTTCTTCAAAAGCTATAACAATTGACCCACAACAATCAGTTAAACAACAAATAATAATCATTAAAAATGAACTTAACATTTGAGGAAATCCAAAAAATACATTCATTATAATTGGCCAACATTCAGCATAAGAACCAGCTGGTAATAAATAAGCTATTGTTTTTTTCAAATTTTCAAATACTAATCTACCAAATTTTAAAGCTTCCACAATCGACAAGAATAATTTATCACCATCTGAATTGATCAAAATTAAATCAGCTGCTTTTTTTGCAATATCTGAAGCATCAATCAATGAAATACCAATATCTGCTTGTTTCAAAGCTGGTGAATCGTTAATACCATCACCAGTCATACCAACACATTGTTTATATTTTTGGAATTGTTTAATGATCAAAAGCTTCTGTTCTGGAGTAGTTCTTGTAAATACCACTTCATCATACTTAACTAATTGTTCCCATTGAGATTCAGTTAATTGAATAAGTTCTTTACCAGTAATACTAACTGCTAAATTGTTAAGACCTAAAGTATCCAATTTATCAATTTTTTCAGTAGTTACAATACCACATTGTTTAGCTATTGAGACTCCAGTCAATTCGTAATCCCCAGTAATCATAACAATTTTGATACCCGCTTTTCTTAAAGTATCAATAACTTTATCAATGTTTCTTCTTGGTGGGTCTTCAATTGCTACTAACCCCATAAAAATTAAACCTGATTCAATTTCTTCCTTCATAAAATTAGCACTTAAATTTCTATCGAATAAATTTATAGATTCCTTAGCTATCAATTTAGACGACAACAAGATAACTCTTTTACCATTTGATGACCATTGTTTTTGTAATTCTTTGAAATATTCAATTTTTGAACTAGTTAAAGGAACAATACCATTTTCAGTCATGATAAATTTGCAATTATCAATCAAAACATCAGGTGCAGATTTTACTAACAACAAAAAACTTTCCAGATTTTCAAATCCAACTTCATTTAATGATTTGGAGGATTTTGGTTCAACTAGCGACAACATATATTTATCTTTTGAATTAAATGGAATTTCCATTTTTTTAATCCATTTATCTCTAACATCATCGGTTTTGGTATTTGCTTCAACATATTGTAAAATGGCTCTGTCAGTAGCATTTCCACCAATAGCAGCATTATTCATTATATGACTTTCATTACATAATGTACCAATGGTATAAGAATGTGTTTTAACAACTTCAAAGTCATCTTCATCTCCGAGACAAACTTCAACAACTTTCATATTATTCTGAGTTAATGTACCAGTTTTATCAAAACACAAAACTGAACATGAAGCTAAAGTACCACACATATGTAAACTTTTAACCAAAATTTGTTGTTGTTTCATCTTGTAAGCAGTTAACAACAATACAAATGCTATTGAAACTGGTAAAGATTCAGGAATAGTAGCAACTGCAAAACTAACAAGATCAATAATTAAACTGGAAACATTTATCCAATCTGGATAATCTTTATGTAACCAAGCACACCATATGATAATCGTAAGAATGATTAAAAATAATATAACTCCTGATATGAAAGCAACAAAATAAAAAATTTCTTTTTGTAAAACAGTCAAACCTTTTCTTGGTTGTGAAGTTAATTTAGCAATGGAACCAAAGATTGTATCATCACCAGTTGAAACAACAATACCTCTACCAGTACCATTTAAACAAAAAGAACCTTGCATACCAATACAACTACTTTCCAAATAATTTGAATTTGGTTCATCACTGTAACTAGTAGCAACAACAGGTTTAGATTCTCCAGTCAATATAGCTCTATCAAATGACAAATCTGGCGAATTACTTATGATTCTAACATCAGCAGAAATTTTAACACCAGGACTAAATTTGACAATATCACCAGGTACTAAATTAGAACTATCAACAGTTAAAGTTTTACCATCTCTTATTATGGTGGTTTCACTAGCTACTAAATCATGAATAGAGTTCATAACTCTTGAACTTGAATAATCTTGAATAAAATTGAAACCAGCTTGAATTAAAAACACAACAATTAAAATAATACCCAAAACTAAATTTGCAACTGCAGGATTTGGATTACCTAAAGGTTTCCAACTAATAATACATAATATACCACCAGCTAATAATAAAGCACCAAATCCACCAAAGAAATACATAAACAATTTTTTCAAATAGCCATTTGGAGGTTTTGATTGTTTATTTTCACCATAAATTTTCAAATTTTCATTATATTGATAGTCACTTAATCCACACATTAAATCAGTTGAGAATTTAGTAGCAATATCACCAATTGAATCCAGATTAAAAGTATATGAACTAAATTTTGAATTAACAGTAACTTCTTTTTGTTCATTTTCAATATCAACTTTATGAGATATTGTTTTGAAAATTGTTGGCAAAACATTTGATGGTTCTGGTTTTTCCTTTATAGCAAAAATTTTATTTAAACTGTTGGATCTTGAATGAACTGAAAATCTTCTTTTTTTCGTTCTACCTCTATTCAACTCTTGATTTTCTAATTCACTTTCATCGAATTTTATACCTTCTTCTTGATCTTTTTCCTCCCATTTGAAGATAGTGCTGTCTGAGTAGCTTAATTCCATCTTTGGCTTTCTTTGTTACTTTTTTCAAAAAATCACCCAGAAATTTCAAGATTTTTCACCAGATTTTATACTCAACCAACTCAACTAACAAATTTTCATTTCATCAGCACAGCTTCCAACAATTTCTCCTTTCATTTCATCATTTACATTGTTTCACATGTTCACCATTTACATCATTATATTGAAGTTAAGATCTTGAGGTATTTTATCAATTTTTGAAAAATTGTAAATCTTGTCTCGTTTTGGAAACTTTGTTGATATTTTAAATCCCTCAAAACTTGAGCCATCTATAATAAGCAATTTGAAACAAAGAAAAGCAAGTTTTTTTTGAAGAATTAACGAGTCTAATTGTTAAATTAATTATCAATCTATTAGTAACATTGATACTCCTATGTGCATATTGATTTTAAATTTGTTTGATTCATTATTAAACCAATTATTATTGTAATTTATGAATAATATTGTTTGTTTCGTATTAATTTTATTTTTTGTGCGAATAAAAAAAGCCACCTAAAAATTAAAAGATTGTTTGACGCTTTCTTACTTTGATCCTAATACAAACAAATAGATCTATAGCACAATTAAAATATTTCAAACTTGTGTGAGTTGATGTAAGCGCAAATTTACACTTGAAAGAAAAATTCAATTCCAATATTTTTGAGAATTATAATACTCTCGAAAATATATTTAAGATAATTAATTAATAAATTTTGCATAAAAAATATTAAAATTAAGAATAGAAACAAAGACCAAACTAAAAATGAAGGAAATTTTTGATTTTTAATTTAGATCTCGATAAAATTGTTTTGGAAGTAATTTATTGGAAAAAAATTTGACATTGAGTAGAATAATTTGGTGTTTCAAATTGTTTCATTATTGTTTTTGAAAAAAAAATTTTATTATTGTTTATTCAATTGATACTAAAATTTGCCGTGCCTCTCCACTTTCAAATTTATAATTTACGAGCTATAGTTTCTATACTAAAATTTTGTATCATGTTTGTTCAACAAAATCCCTCAATTGATTAACTGAACATGTGGTACTCTCGTATACACTAAGTATGTGTAAGTTGATTTGACTATGAGTTTATGTAAAGTTCAATTTTTAATTAATAGATAGAGATGTAAATTATTATTGAAAATTTTTGGTATACAGCTTTTGTTATTTGATAAATGATAATTTTTTAAATTCACATATGTTTCAGACATTCACAATAAAATTTACACTTAACAGACACTTAGCTCACACTTATTTTTTTAGACCAGTACACTTGATACACACTTTGCATATAACTTACTCTTACTTTTCACGTAATCTATACACGATCAACACACAAATTAAATCCATCTTGCACGCAAAATATCCCCAAATTTCACATAAGTAACACACAAGTTTTGGTACGAAAAAAATACAAAAAATTATAGGAATTTTATAGTATATTTAAATAATTGATATCGAATTACACATATATCAATTCTTCAAATTAAAGGAAGCGAAGTTCTTGTATAATCACTAAAGTATCCGCATATCGACGATCGAGGCCGGAAAGTGATGAACTTTCCGACGAAGAATTTAAAAAAATGGTACTTAAAATAATGCATACAAGCACATAATGATAAGAATTCATTATGAAAACAGAACAACAAAAGAACAAACACAAAATATATTAAAAATGGGTTTTGGTTATAAAGAGCTATGAACAAAGAAGTGAATTTATATATAACTTTTCTCCCTCTCAAATTTAGTTTATTTCTTTATATTTAGCAAGCTAGATGGACACTTAATAAACATATAAAGTATTGAAAAAAAAAAAAAAAACATTAAATGTGTTTAATCCACACTGAAAAATAAAATTACTATTGTAGTTGAGATGTGTTATTTTGACTCAGAATAATTACACGTATTAATAAATTAATTTGAAGTTTTATTTAATAAAATTTTATGTATGATCTCAGTATAAAATTTTTCACTAAAAACCTTTTACATCAGGATATAGTTTTTCGATACCTGAACAGGAATTCGTTAATCACAAAACTTATTGTAAATAATAATTGTTGTACGTTTTACTTTTAAAATCAAAATACTTTTGTTACAGGTTTATTATTTGTTTTAATTTTTATCGTTTAAAATTTTTCAAAATTGTTGGAATTTGAAAGAGCTTATGAAAAATTAAAAATTACGGCATCAATTGTTTATTTATATTTCTTGTTTTTCAATTTTTTAATTTAAATTTATCGTGACCTCTATGGAATTAGCTTGAGGTAAATCATGATGAGTATTAAAAAAATGATCAATCAGCATTAATCTTAGTAATTGGTTTCACTTTGTTTTTACCCAAATAAATTTCAGATTTCACAATTCGAAACACATATTGTATACAACATTCTTTTATATGCAGTTTTTTGTACAATAAAAAAATTACACAAATTATATTTTCATCTGATTCCTTACTAAAAATAAAAATTAAAGAGGACCTAGAAATTACTAAACCTTTGTAAACAGAATCACGTGAATTTACTACACGTTTATTCACAGGAAATTTTTCAAATTTGACAGAGTTAATTTTTCAACATTTCTTTTCTAATTTTTTTCCAATTCTTTTTCTTTTCACAATTGATCTTTAATTAATTAGTTAAAACAACATCAAGTCAAAATGGTACAATCATCTGTTTTAGGTTTTCCAAGAATTGGAGGACAAAGAGAATTAAAAAAAGCTACTGAAAGTTATTGGGGAGGAAAATCATCTGTTGAAGATTTATTAAAAGTTGGTAAAGAATTAAGGGCTAAAAATTGGAAAACTCAAAAAGAAGCTGGTGTTGATATCATTGCTTCAAATGATTTCTCATACTATGATCAAGTCTTAGATTTATCATTATTATTCAATGCTATTCCAGAAAGATACACCAAATATGATTTAGCACCAATTGATGTTTTATTTGCCATGGGTCGTGGTCTTCAAAGAAAAGCTACTGACTCTACACCTGCTGTTGATGTCACTGCTTTAGAAATGGTTAAATGGTTTGATAGTAATTACCATTACGTTAGAGGTACTTTTTCACATTCAACTGATTTCAAATTAAACACCACTGGTGGTATCAAACCGGTTGACGAATTCAACGAAGCAAAAGCTTTAGGTATAAACACTAGACCTGTCATTTTAGGTCCAGTTTCTTACTTATTCTTAGGTAAAGCCGATAAAGATTCCTTAGATTTAGACCCAATTTCTTTATTACCAAAACTTTTACCAGTTTATAAAGAATTATTAGCTAAATTAAAAGAAGCTGGTGCTGAACAAGTTCAAATTGATGAACCTATTTTAGTTTTAGATTTACCAGAATCAGTTCAATCTAAATTTAAAGAAGCTTATGATGCTTTAGTTTCATCAGATGCTCCAGAAATTATTTTAGCTACTTATTTTGGTACTGTAGCCCCAAATTTAAAAGCTATTGAAAACTTACCAGTTGCTGGTTTCCATTTTGATTTAGTTAGAAACCCAGAACAATTAGAACAAGTTGCTTCAATTCTTAACGGTAATCAAACTTTATCAGCCGGTGTAGTTGATGGTAGAAATATTTGGAAAACTGATTTCACCAAAGCTTCTGAAGTTGTTAACAAAGCTATTGAATTAGTTGGTAAAGATAAAGTTGTTGTCGCTACCTCATCATCATTATTACATACTCCAGTTGATTTAGAAACTGAAACTAAATTACCAGCAGAAATCAAAGATTGGTTTTCATTTGCTACCCAAAAATTAGGTGAAGTTGTAACTATTGCTAAAGAAGTATCAGGTGAAGATGTTTCAAAAGAATTAGAAGCTAATGCTGCTTCAATTAAAGCAAGAAAAGAATCATCAATTACAACCAATCCAAAAGTTCAAGAAAGATTAACCACAATTAATGAAAAATTAGCTACTAGAAAAGCCGCATTCCCAGAAAGAAATGCAGAACAACAAAAAAAATATAATTTACCTTTATTCCCAACTACAACTATTGGTTCATTCCCACAAACAAAAGAAATTAGAATCAATAGAAATAAATTTGCTAAAGGTCAAATAACTGCTGAAGAATATGAACAATTTATTAATCAAGAAATTGAAAATGTTGTTAGATTTCAAGAAAAAATTGGTTTAGATGTTTTAGTCCATGGTGAACCAGAAAGAAATGATATGGTTCAATATTTTGGTGAACAATTAGATGGATTTGCTTTTACAACCAACGGTTGGGTCCAATCATATGGATCTCGTTGTGTAAGACCTCCTGTAATTGTTGGTGATGTCTCTAGACCTAAAGCTATGACTGTTAAAGAATCAGTTTACGCACAATCATTAACTAAATCACCAATGAAAGGTATGTTAACTGGTCCAGTTACTATTTTAAGATGGTCATTCCCAAGAGATGATGTTTCAGGTAAAGTTCAAGCATTACAATTAGGTTTAGCTTTAAGAGATGAAGTTAATGATTTAGAAAATGCTGGTATTACTGTTATTCAAGTTGATGAACCAGCTATCAGAGAAGGTTTACCATTAAGAGCTGGTAAAGAAAGATCAGACTACTTGAATTGGGCTGCTCAATCATTCAGAGTTGCTACTTCAGGTGTTGAAAATTCTACTCAAATCCATTCACATTTCTGTTACTCAGATTTAGATCCAAATCATATTAAAGCTTTAGATGCTGATGTTGTTTCAATTGAATTTTCTAAAAAAGATGATCCAAACTATATTCAAGAATTTTCAGAATATCCAAATCATATTGGTTTAGGTTTATTTGATATTCATTCACCAAGAATTCCTTCAAAACAAGAATTTGTTTCAAGAATTGAAGAAATTTTAAAAGTTTATCCAGCTGAAAAATTCTGGGTTAACCCAGATTGTGGTTTAAAAACTAGAGGATGGCCAGAAGTTGAAGAATCATTAACTAATATGGTTGATGCTGCTAAAGATTTCCGTGCTAAATACTAAAGAAGTCAAAAACCACACCCCTTTGCATTAATTCATTTCTGTCAATTTGAATGTTGATGCTTAAGTGTCATTTGATATTACATTTTATTCAACATTAATGTAATTTTATTAATAATTATTAATTTTTAACGAAGTTTTATGAAGAGAAAACAAAAAAATTTATTTTCAGTTTTTTATATTAATTTAATCATTTATTGTACATAATGATGATTAATCTTTTTTTATATTTTATTATTTTATAGGTTCAACATCGGTTTATTATATAGTTTTTTTTTTTAAATGTATTTGATTATATATTAATTCTGTTATTTTGTAGAAATGTTTGCAACAATTTTGGTAAATGTTTCGAAATGTGAATTGGTAGCAAATTGCCATCAAAATTTATGTAGACATGTTTTTTTAAAACTTACATATAAAATAACACACCATTCAGTAAATAAGTATTCAATTCAAAGATTTGTCAATTTCTTACAATACAATTGACTCAAAACTTATTGCCACTCACTTGTTTCAATAATGTCCGATGATTCACAAATAGCTGAGTTTGTTTCAATTACAAACGCCTCCAAATCATTAGCTGAACAATATATTCAAAGAAATAATGGAGATTTAGTTGAAGCAATTGAAGATTTTTATGCAAATAATGAACATTCAAATCAACAACCAGAACAGCATCAACCGCCAATCACAACCACAACGACCAAAAAATCAAAACCTAAAAATCCATCAAGTGGGATCAGAACTTTTAAAGATTTAAATGAAGATGATGATGAAGAAGATGATAAAACAAATACTAATTTTTTCACTGGTGGTGAGAAATCAGGTTTACAAGTAGAAGATCCAAATAAAGATCGTGATAGAAGTATAATTGATCAAATTTTTCAAAGAGCAAGAGATCAAATGAATACACCAGATGATAGACCAAGTGCATCAAATCCAGGACAACCCCAACAAGAAACTTTTCAATTTTCAGGTACTGGTTTCAAATTAGGTGATGGAAATGAACCAAGTGAACAAGTTGAAGATCCTCATGCAAATATGAGAAATTTATTAAATAAATTAAAACCAAAAAAAGTTAATAGAGAAATTACATTTTGGAAACAAGGTTTTACAGTTGGTGATTCAGAATTATATAGTTATAATGATCCAAAAAATCAAAGAATATTGAATGAAATAGAACAAGGAAGAGTGCCTATAAATATTTTACAAGTTGATCCTCAAGATGATGTTGATGTAACTGTATCTAAAAGAACAGATGAAGATTATTCACCACCTAAAAGAAAAATTGGTGGATATCATGGTTCTGGGCATAGATTGGGATCACCAGTACCTGGAGAACCAATAAATAAAGCCGAGTCAACACCAATAACCCCTTCCACCACACAACCATCAAAACCTACACCTGATCAAGGTGAAGGTGATACATTAGTTCAAATAAGATTTGCAAATGGTACTAGAACATCTCATAAATTTAATTCAACTGATCCAATTACAACTGTATATGATTTTGTAAGAAATCATGCATCAAATAGTAATTCTGGTAGAAATTTTACTTTGAGTCATGCATTCCCAGTAAAACCAATTGAAGAAAAAGAAGATACAACTGTTGCTGATGCTAAATTAAAAAATGCTGTTATAGTACAAAGATGGGTATAGTTTATACTTTGTACATATGTCTATTAATTTATAAAGTACCTAACGTTTCCAAATATGTACATTTACCATTAATTGGATCTATATTTATAATCTCATCAACTTGTAATTTTCCACCAACTTTGATATCTTGATTTTTGGTAATTGCATCTATTTCAATCCCCAATTCAAAACAATATGCTTGACACAACACTTGATTTCTATCTCTTTGTTTAATGTTAGTTACAACACATTGAAGAGATTCGGGTTTTTCTTGTAAAGATCTTAATTTTTTGAATTTATTCATTTGATAGTTCCAAATTTTATCATCTTGTTTAATCAACGCACTTAATTGACTTTGAGTGAAAGGACCTTGTAAATTGTATCCCAAACTTTTTAAATGGTTATATTTTTGTATTCTTTCTATGGTATCCATTTGTAATGAAAGAAGATAATGCATATATGACAACAATTGATATTGGTTTAGTAAAGCTTCCCCAGAATCAAAAACATTAATAATATCAACTGATCCTCGATTGAACCCCATGGGTAAGTTTCTCTCAAAATTGATCAAGTTTTTTGTCGCTGGAGCTAAATAATTGTTTGAAATCACCTTGGCATTCTCAGATATATATCCATTCACATTTTTTGCCATAATACTATGAGAATATCTTTCTGAATCAAAAGCAGGTATCAACATATTATCATGTTCAACTAAAACTTCATCCAGACTATATTCGTTCTGATCCAAATCTTGTAATCTTATCACTACCGGCACGTTATTTTGTGAGAAAAATTCTGCTGCCAAACAATTTGCAAAATTTTTGGTTTCATCAATCATGAAATCAGCTTGAGATTTTGAACCAACTGATGCAGATCCAGCAAATTCTCTACTTTTGAAAAACAGTTTCATGACATGATATATATAATTTAAATTATGTATATCAACTTTATTTAAATGGACATCTTTATCCTCCGTTTCTTCTTGCTTGTCACGCTTCATTCTGAGTAATTTGAAAAATGAGGGCTCTAATTGACCAGTCAAACATTTTTGCAAGATTCTGTTGTTCACATTCTTTACAGTGACATTGGATATGGAATCAAAACTGACTGAAATTTTGTCGTTGAATGATTCAAACGAGTTTGTCTCGAATGAGTTGAATTGAAAAGAAATAGTCAAGCATGTAACTTCTGAAATATTTCTTCTTTTTTTCTTTGGGGCATCAATATTTTCCCATACTTCATCATTCTCATGAAAGTTGGCATATGTGTTGAAACTTCTTTTGTTTTTCAAATTTGCAGGAAATAATTCATTTTGCACGGAAGTATTATTCTTAATGAAACTATTTTCAAAGATATTTCTAAACACTAAACTATCTGGTGGAATAAATGATATCAAATCGGGAATATGAACACTGACAATATGCTTTCTGGAGTTGACTGTTTCAATTGAAACTCCAAACTGGCTGGATTCATCTTCCTCTCCCAAACCATATATTACGTGATCATGATAAAACTTTTTGGTCCTCAAATGCTTGAAATTGTCTTTTGCGTTGAATAGTGAACGAGGATTATTATTTATTTGACTCGTATCTGACACATTTAATTGTCTTGTTGCTCCAAATAAACCCAGTGATAAATAAATATTTGTTGTATTGTCATAAATCTTTAGATCAACCAATAATTTGTATATATCTGTAACTGTAGTCAAATTAAGCTTACTTAACTCCTTTAGTATAGAATCATGTGGATATATTATTGCGAATTTCATAACTTCTATTACATCAACAAAATGCCTCCCTTCAAAAACTTTCATGTATATGTTCATCTCCTCCTTTGTCATTTCTCCAAGCTTAGCTAAAAACTTTTGCACTTCTTCAATATAACTCTCATTTTGAAAATTATGTAGAAATTGATGTATATTGCTCTGATTCTTTTCCGAGTTAACATAATATTGAGATATTGAATGATAATCATTTGAATGTTGCCATAACGCTAAATTAGATACTGAATTTGCTTCGAAATAATTTGGTACCAACCAATTTGTGGAATCAATCATATTCCAATGAATACTATACAAAAAAACATGCTGCCAAAATAATGATGATCCAAATCTCATTACATCTGATTCTTTTAATTTCAATGCATCAACTATGTCTAATATTGAAATAGGTGCTATTTTTCGCTGCGAAAATTGACTGTGAAGGTTGTTGAATAATGGTGAGATTTTGTTTTTGTAGATCAAAGATTCATTGATAAAATTTTTTAAATAAGATAATACCATATCTCTATCTTGTTGAGCTGGATCATGTCTATTAACTATTATTGAATGGTAGTCGATGATATCATCCTGAATCAATTTATACAAGTGAAATTTTATATTTGTGGGTTTAATTTGTAAAATGGAGTTATCAGTGGTCAAAACCAACAAATGATTAAATCTTTCATCGAATTTAGCTTGAAGATCTTGTATTACAACCCCTGCTTTAATTTTGCAATCATCTTGAAACTCCACAAATGAGCCAATACGTGGGATATTTGAATTGCTGTCATCTATAATTAACTGAAAATCTTTTGCATCTACATGCGGATAATCTATTACGTCTTTAATTGGTTTATGAATCGTATTGATTTGCTGATAACTATTTTGAAATTGTTTTGATGGTATTAGATTTTGATTGAAAAACTTGGAATGAGTTGATAAAAATTTTAGTTTGAAAGTGAATAAACAATTCGGTCGTAGATGCCGTAGTATTCTCTTGTTGGTATGTTTTATCATTATTGTCATATATGGGAATGTGGTTGTAACATTAGTAACTTAGTTAAACTTTGTATGTTTCAATATAATTTGGTTGTAAAACGATTTCGCATACTAAATCTAAATTTTTCACTACTTTTGAATCCAAACTCATTTGACTCATTAACAAAGACTCATTGAAAAATGGTATGTTGAACTTGTCAATCTTATATCATAAACTTTCTAATACTAACTTTTGACAGTCAAAACCAGTACAACCATCAATTGAAACTTTAACCAAATTAATAAACCAAAATTCTGAGTCAGCCAATGTATTTCCAATTTTCAAATATGTAGATCATAATGATGTAACAATTCACCAAGCTTATTTGAAATTAGCTCAGGTCAATAACAAAGACAGAAGTCCTTCATTTCTATTTGAATCATCAGTCAAAGGGGATACCGTAGATAGATATTCATTTATCGGTATAAATCCATCAAGAATTATAAAAACCGGTGATGACTCAAAGAAATATCCAAAAGAATATTGTGATGTTGATCCTATTACTATCTTAGAAAAAGAGCTAAGTGCATATAAACAAGCATCGTTACCTGGATTACCTAAATATAGCGGAGGGGCTACTGGTTACATTTCATATGATTGTATAAAATATTTTGAACCTAAAACAAAAAGACCCTTGAAAGATGTTTTAGAATTACCGGAAGCAGTATTTATGTTTTGTGATTTAGTCATTGCATTTGATCACGTATATCAAAGATTTCAAATAATATACAATATAAAATTAGATGAAACACATGATTTAACAGAAGAATACAACAAAGGTACGCAAGAAATTGAAAAAATCGAAAAAATTTTATTATCGAGTGATAAAGTAACACCAGATCAAGGACCTATTAAATTAGGACAGACTTTTACTTCCAATATTGGTCAATCAGGTTACGAAGGTCATGTAACAAAATTAAAGGAGCACATTTTGAAGGGTGATATAATTCAAGCAGTACCCTCACAAAGAATTGCAAGACCAACTGAATTACACCCATTCAACATATATAGACATTTAAGAACAGTTAATCCTTCACCGTACTTATTTTATATTGATTTAATTGAGTTTCAAATAATTGGAGCATCGCCTGAGTTATTGGTCCAAACGGATATAAATGATAGAGTAGTAACTCATCCAATAGCAGGTACTATACCTCGTGGTAAAACCAATGAAGAAGATGAAAAAAATGCAGAAATTTTACGTGATAGTTTAAAAGATAGAGCTGAACATATAATGCTTGTTGATTTAGCTCGTAATGATATTAATAGAGTTTGTCAACCAAAAAGTAATAAAGTTGATAAGTTATTAACTATTCAAAGATTTTCTCATGTCATGCATTTAGTTTCAGAAGTTAGTGGAACACTAAGAGATGATCAAACAAGATTTGATGCATTCAGATCTATATTTCCAGCTGGTACAACTAGTGGTGCACCAAAAGTTAAGGCAATGGAATTAATTGGTGAATTAGAAAAAGAGAAAAGAGGTGTATATGCTGGAGCTGTTGGTCATTGGGGATATGATGGTAAAACAATGGATACATGTATAGCGTTAAGAACCATGGTATTCAAAGATGGAGTAGCTTATTTACAAGCAGGTGGAGGTATCGTATTTGACAGTGATGAATATGAAGAATATATGGAAACAATGAATAAAATGAGAGCTAATAATAATACAATTGTTGAAGCAGAAAAAAATTGGGCTGAAAAAGTCGGAACTTTGTAAATAAATAATACAGTTTGTATACTAATGAATAATTATGATAGAAGTAGGAAGCATAAGAGTACTCTGAGCTGTAGATAGTCTTGAAATTATTTTGAATAGACCAAAACCAGCTAGTACTGCATATAATTCAATAATCTCCATACTTAAGAAATTCAAAATTGGAAGATCATCATCAAAATTAACGATTCTCACTTTCACTCACAATTTTACTCACTCACTTCAATTACTCAAAATAATAACAATAAACCAATTTAGAACAAATTAATTATCAACACAATATATAATAAGAGATCATCTCAATATTTCACAGCTAGATTTGATAATCAAAATATACCGTCCTATTTATTCATTTCCTTAATTAGTTTTACAACCAAATACAAGTGTTGACTCACCAACTTATCAACAATTAAATTTAGTCTAGCTCAACATTTTATAGGCATCATTCTCAACCCAAATTCTTTTGATGCCACATATAGTAGAATTGTCATAAAAAATAGTAAATAAATCAAAACAACACTATCTTTAATCCAATTTTGGCCCGGCCAGCCCAACAACTTAATAAACACTCAAGATTATACCTTTCAACATCAATTTCTGAAATCAACGAACTATCAAAAATTTAGCTTATTTTATTAAGTTTGTTGAAATAATTCAAAAAATCCAATTTAATTTTACAACAATATTACCACATCAACAACACTTGAAGATTGAGGTTTGGAATTAAATAAATATGAGTAGTGGAGATTCGGAAGTGGCAGCTACTCCAGATCAGAAGAGCACAGTGACAGAAGATAAACCCAGTACCACGTCAAGCTCACCGAGTGGTGATCAAAATAACACAGTCAAAGTTAAAAAAACTCCAACTTCATGGGAACCAGAAGATGACGTGCTACTAATGCACCTTAAAGAAGTTCAAAAACTTGGATGGAAACAAATTGCATCGCACTGTATGTATCTTTTTATAACTTTTGACATGACAACGAGATACTAACTATACACTAGTCACAAATAGGACGGCCAATTCTGCACAATTCAGATGGAGACGACTTAAATCAGGTAACCTAAAAAACTTGCCCAAATCAGCAGCTGCATTAGGTGATAAATTCAAACAAAATCAAGAATTTTTAAATTCTTCATCATCATCAAAGAAAAAAAAGACTACTCAACCACCACCTCCTCCACCAATTAAAACAGAAACAACAGAAGATTATCAATACGAACAAGCTCCTAGTGGTGGGTTCCAAGGTTTTGACAACAATATTTCAACAGCTTTAGCTGGCTTAAATGCATTATCTAATTCACCATCATATATACCACAATCAAGTGTAACCACTCCCAAAATGTCAGTATCATCACCAAGCACTAATGAACCACCCACAATCGTAACTACAAATTCCAATAACATCGACACAACTGAAAGTCAAAAATATGAAAATTCTCCAGATTCAGATTTAGAATCACTGGGTCGATCTGGTATTAGTATACCTGGTGGTACAGGTGGTTATTATACGGAAATGGCAGTTGATCCAACGATAAATTTACCGCATAACAGAACCCATCCAGAAACACCCTCCTCATTAACTCCAAGAAATTCAACTTCTCATACAAAAGATCATACTGGTTCAATATCAGTAGCAGCAGCGGCATTAAGAAATAATTCCATAATACAAATAACAAATGACGATAGAGCATCAATACTGTCAATAACAAGAGCTTCAGTCTCATCATTACCTTCAAAATCAATGAATATACCGCATCATCAACTGGGGAACAATTCATTAGCTCATTTACCAGTATTATTTGGTGGATCGGGTAGTATAAGTGGACCATCTAGAAATTCAAGTATAAGTGGAGCCACAGGTGTACATCAAACAACAGTATCAAGTTTAAGAAATGGTTCATTAGCTGGTCCCAATCTGGGTTATTATTCAAGATCTGGATCGGTCGTTATACCGCATAATTCAAATGAAGAACCACTTAAAATAGATAAAGAAAAAATTGAAGCAAGTAATAAAAAATTACAAAAATTAAGAAGAAGTATGCCATCTTCAAATTCATCCAAGAAAAAGCAACAAAATAAGAAACTAGATTTACCTTGGGCAATGGAAGAAGATGAACTATTAATTAATAGAAGAAATAGAGAATTATCATTTGCTGAATTATCAATACTACTACCTCAAAGGACAGAAGGTGAAATTTGGTCAAGAATTGATTATTTGGAAAAATTAAGAAATGGAAATGACAGATCTTCAAATTCAAGAGATTCAAGAAGAGCAAGACAATCTTCAATAGGTTTAGATGATGTTAATGATTTATATGATGATGACGATGATGATGTAATTGGCGATATAGGAGTTAGTGATGATGATGATGATAATGCATTAATTGATGTTGATGATGTTGCACCCAATGGAAGAAATAGGAAAAGAAGAGCAAGCTCTGCTATTAATCCTTTGGCTAGACGTCCAATAAGAAGAAATTAAAAAGTTTCTCTAGAAAAGGTTTATAATATGTTTTTACTAAAATTTAATACAATTTCAATTCTCCTGTAACATCATCTAATATTTTTTTTGGAGCAGGTCCTAAACCTAATACTGTAGCACTACCAGCAGCGATTTGAGTTCTACCAGCATCATGAATTATACAAGCATTTATACCTAAGCTGATAGCTTTTGCAAATAATAAATCCATTTCTTCTTGATTGGGCACTTGTAATGTAATTTTAGCTTGTCCATTACCATATTCCCATCTTTTGACCATTTCTGGATTATATGCATCTGAACTTGGATTTGTAATTTTTTTATATAATGATAATGTTGCATGAGAACATTGTGCTGCTGCTTTTCCCTTTCCCATTTTGAGGTCTTGTCGTATTACTAATGTCATTCTAACTTCTCCAGGTATTTCATTCAATGCCATTGAGTTGATATCTATATCTTCTTCTTCATCTTCTGTTTCAATATCTGTTTCATCATCTGATGATGTATAAAATTTTTTTGTTTTAGTATTAAGTTGGTTTTTGAAGATTTGACAAGTATAATACCCTGTCAAGAATGATAATATTCCAACTGATATTATGGTTATGTTGGAATTCATTTTGGCTTAAAGAAGTTGGTTGTAAATTTGCATTTCTTTTGAGAAGATAACGAAATGTTAAAGCCGCATGACTGAAAAATATGATATACCGATAAGTTTTTTAAACTACAACACTATAAACTTATGCTAATTTTTTCAATTTACCATCTTTTTTCTTTTTCTTCCTTTTATCAATTTTATTTGAATAATTTCTCCAATTTTTAACTCTATCATCTCTATTTTCTTCCCACTTATTTTCCATTTGTTTTTTAGCATTTTTTTCATCTTTTAGTTTTTGATACATTTCATTTTTCCTAATTTCTTCACTTTGTTTTGCTAATTTTTGTAATTCCTCATCTGCTAATTCATTATTTATAATTTCGGCTACTTTGGCTCTTACTTGAGAGTTCTCTGGGTGATTCAATTCGTTTGGTGTGTCTTCTTTTTTGAAATATTGATATATGGAATATAACCTTTGTTTCTCTTTGAATTCCTCACTTTGTTCATCAATTGCTCCCAAGATTTTCTCTGATTGTTTTAATTTATCAAATGCTTTTGAAGCTTCCGGGTGATCTGATTTATCTGGATGTATTAGTAGTGATTTTTTTCTATATATTTTTTTGATTAGGTTTGGTATATCCTCATATGTGGTAAATAACGGGTTGATTTCCATTATTGCAAAAAAGTCATAATCTGAACATTCTAATACTCTATCTATCTCTATATTTCTGTTCAATTGTGATTCTTCAATTGATAATATTCTAGTTAAGTCATCCATTTAAAGATGAAGAGTAATCAAAATAATTTTTTTTACAACCAACTATATGTTTAGTAGGTTAATCAAACGTAATATGTCACAATGGAAACCAAGATACTATGATATTGGAGTCAATTTTTCAGATTCAATGTTTCAAGGTTATTATAATGGCTCTCAAAATCAAAAACATCCATGTGATGTTGAAGCTGTTATAGACAGAGCACATTTATTTAATGTTAAAAAAATGTTAATTACTGCATCAACTATAAAAGAAAGTAGCGATCATTTTAAACTTTGTGAATTATATTCAAATCAATTTTATTCAACTGCTGGTGTTCATCCTTGTTCTGTTGCTAATGAATTTTACGAAAATGAAACAACCCCTTTGAAAAATGTTGACATGAAGTTGGAAGAATTAACTGAAATTGTAAGAGAAGGGTATAAGTTAAATCATATAAAGGCATTTGGAGAAATTGGGTTAGATTATGATAGATTGCATTACTCTACAAAAGATCAACAAATTACAATGTTCAAAAAGCAGCTAGATATCTTAAAAAATTTAGATTTTAAACTTCCATTATTTTTACACATGAGAGCTGCATGTGATGATTTTGTAGAAATTATAAAACCATATATTGATGAAGGTATTATCCCCGAAGGATTTGGAGTAGTTCATTCTTTTACAGGTACAGAACAAGAACTCCAAAAGATACTAGATCTTGGGTTTTACATAGGTATAAATGGCTGTTCACTAAAGACAGAAGAAAATCTTCAAGTTGCATCTAAAATCCCAATTGATAAACTAATGATAGAAACAGACTCTCCATGGTGTGAGATTAGAAAAAGTCATGCTAGTTATAAATACATTACTCCTTACCCAAATACTTTTTACCCAGAAATTGAATCATCGCCGCAGAAAAATTTGGAGAAATCAACTTTTAAACTAGATGATAAATTACCATTCCCATCAATTAAAAAAGAGAATTATCAAAAACATTCAATTTATGTTAATGAAAATGCCACAGAAGACAGTGAGTTGAGATTTGGAATACTAAGTAAACCAATGATTAAATCAAGAAATGAACCTGCTGAAGTTGGACAAGTGGCTGAAGTTTTATGTAAATTACATAACATAACTGAACCAAAAGAAATAGAGAAATTTATAGACACAGTATTTGAGAATTCATTAAAATTATTTAATTAATTGATAATAATACATTAAATATTTTATAGAATTGAAAAACTATTTGACTTTAAAAGTTCCCTTTGGACGGCCTCTACCTCTTGGTTTATTATTTTCTTCTAAAACATTAAGGGTCCTTCTCCTTGTTAAAAAAGAAATTTTCCTTTCACCATTGACAATTCTTGTTTGTTTATTAAGCTCTGGATCAATATTTTCCTCAAAAGATTCTATATCTGATTGTGAACTTGACTCAGAATCCGAGTTTACATCGATAATTTCTTCTTCTTCTTCGTCTTCTTCATCATCATCCTCTTCATTGTCCTCAAATATCTTTTCTACTTCTTCATCAAATTCCGATTCATCTTCTTCTGAGACATTATCTTCTTCAGCAAAAATTTCTGCAACTGCTTCCATATCTATTTCAGTCTCTTTTGATTTTCGTTTGTGAAGTTTTGGTCTTTTTACAACCACATCATCACTGCCCTTACATACAACATAATCATTACTTATCTCAGTGATTTTTCCGTCTGCTTCTGATGAACACATATCTATCTCCTTTTGAGCTTCTTCTTCAAATGTATATGGATTATTTATATCATCTTTCAAAAAATCTGAAATTAATGAAATACTATTTTGAGGTATATTGCCAATCTTGGTTTGATAAGCCATAGCAGGAGCAGAATTTATCCCACCGCTTGGTCCAAATAACATTGGTTTCCATAAAAGTTTTGAATAATTTAATTGTGCATAATTTTTTGCTTCCCACTTGTTAATAACTTCATTAATTTTAGGCAAGTTTATAGCTATAGCGTATTCATCATTCTGGTTCTTATATAGTGCTTCTAATTGCTCCAATGCAATTATAACATTTGCAGGTATCATACCAGTTAATTTACAAAGCACATTTATTGATATTTGCAAACTTCGATTTTGATGATTTTCATACAATTTCTTTAAAGTATAGGCTATTGCAATTTTCCAATAGTTTCTATAGCTTAGCAATCCTAAATCACTTAATGGTTTTTCAGGTGTTCCAAATTTGAATTCATTTCTACTTAATAAATAACTAAAATCAATTAATAGATTCCCATAACCTTTTCTTTGGTAAATTGGTAAAGTCAATATACATGATACATTATAATCCAGATTGTTTAATTTTTCTTTTGAAAAATACCCCACAAAATGATGTTTTGAAGGATTTTGTAAATCTTTTTCTGTTAAAACATAAAATATAAATGGTTCAACATCATAATATAAAGTTTTGGAATTTAAAAATAATTTAGCTAGTAAACAAATGTTTTGACAATAGTTGATATTTTTCCTACCATCAACTTCCCATATTGAGACTTTTGAATCTCTGTATATTTCAATTCCTGGTGGATGATGATTTGAATAATTACAGTTTTTCAATTGATGTCTTTGATATGATATTGGTGAGCTCATATATTTTAAACAATATTCACATATATATAATGTCTCACATTGTGAATATTCTTCTGGGTAAGGTGCAATATACCATGTATCAATTTTGAAATCTCTAAAAACAATTTTTTTAATTTTTGATTTATTCATAGCTATATTAGATGGTGTTGATTCTTTGCTTGCATTCTCTAAATGTAGACTATTTTGTTCTTTGACTTTTTGATTCCGTAGGTTTGAACCTTCTAGTTTAAATTTTTCAAATTTGATTCGATCTTCTTTTGTTGGATCAGTATCATTAATTGTACAGTCAGGGAATTCTAAAATACCTTTATATGGTAGATCCTTTCTAGAAGTTGCATATTTTAATGTGACAAACAAATGATCGTTGTTGGAATTACTATGATTATGATTGATAATATTTATTAAACGTCTTTTCTTTTTCAACGGTAGTAGTTCTTCTTCAGCTTCTCTTGTCTTTTTGATCATTCTTTTTAAAGAGTAATCATTATTAGGTTTGATTCTTTGAGTTCTTTTATTTAAATCTGTTGGAGTTATATTTGAATAAACATGATTATTTGTAATTTTTAATTGATTTAAAAGATGCAGGACCATAGTTAGACCATGATGTAAATAGTAAACAAAACGGTACTATATAATTCGTCAATGATCGGTTATAGCATACGTTAAATGCTGATTATTAATTGATAGTATATGCTATAATATAATTGATGATTTGATGTTATAGTAATTGTTGTTGTTGGAGTAATAAAATTTAAGAGATCAAAACAAATAAAAAAATAAAAAAAAATTAAAAAAAAAAATAAAGCAGGTAGTGTAAATTTTGATCAAAATATGAAACAAATGATATACATACCATCGTATTTTATATGAGAAAAGAATTAATAAAATATATGTGCACACAGAGAGGGAAAGGTCTATCAATTAATTTACAAAACAAAATATTCGCCAGCTAAATTGAGATAGTCCTGACGTTCTAGCATTTATTAGATAATTTGAGTAAACTAAATTTTGGAGTTACAGTGATTATGATATCTAATTACCTTGATAAGATTTATAATTTAAAGTTTATCACCACATTTTGAGATAGGTTATGAGAGGTTTGAAGTTTGAAATCTATACATGGGTGTTTATTACACAGATAGCTTTTATTCTTAAAAGTGAGTAAAAATTAAAAGCCGTTTGACCATGAAAATATACATAGAGAATGAAAACAAATGAACTATTTTTTTATTTTATTATTAGTTCTTTTGATTGCCTAAGCATTGCTTTATCTAATCTCTTAAAAATATAAGCAAATTGTTTTAAAATTTATTTTGGTTGCGAAAAAAATTGTATTTCTTTCAAAAGTGGTGTAAATCACCACCACCATAGTTTATTAACTGTAGCGTGTACTGAAAACTGATAAGAAAATGAGGTTAAAATTTCCTTATTCAAAAATAAATAAAAAGTATTCTTGACAGTCTAATGATCATCCTTATATCCTTCATACTTGCAATGATTCAAAATTATTGAATAAAGGATTTCTCAACAACGACGTAAGGCTGAACACCTGCGGCATTATTATAAAAATGATATCATAAGTTTTATTATAATAATTTTTTATTATTAAAAATTTAGTAAATTAGTATTTTTTTAAGATGATTAATATTTACATGATAATTGTGACTTTGATCAAAAATCTGGGGTAAATGCTAAATTTTGCTAGTTACTTTTATTTTGCAGTTTTTATACCCCGCTCATCAGATAACTTCATGAATTCACCTGAAAGATGTCAAAATGCTGTAAAGGAATAAATTGAATCTGATTTGTCACAACCAACTCTTAATCTTCTGATCATAAATATCTTATTAAATTCGTTTTATCAACGTTATCGATTTATTTTCATGTTATCGTATTTGATCTTTATCAGTTACTAAGCGGCTTATCTTATCTTTTTGATAATATACGAAAATGATTCGACCCTTAGGTTCAAAAAAAAAATTATAATCATTACAAGTTTCACTACTTAAAACACACAAAATGAAAATATTCCCAATAATAATAAAATATTTTTTGAAAATCTCACAATGAAATTTTAATTGAGTGTTAAGCGTCAAAGTAAACTGTATTTAAGAAATTTTCTTCGCTTCAATAATAATGACTTCCTTCTTATCAATATAGTACGAATGAAACATCTAGTGTAACAAAATAAAGTTTTATACACTCTGTGTCAGAGTTAATCAGACAAGATATTTCTTGGTACAGGAATATTTAACTTCTTTCCCCATTAATTTTTTATGAGATGCACGATAACGTTTTGGCCGAACTAATTATTGATATTTTTTAATTTTTGTACCGTTTTGATTTAATTCGTATTTTATTTTGTCTTCGTATTCGTGAGTAATACTATAGTTGGCAAAAATATTGCTTCAAGTGGGGTCCCTGTGAGCTCAATTGAGACATTTAAGGTTGTGAAACTTATTTGCCTCAAAAATAATGTAACAGTTTCTGAGTATTCAATCAATTTAACCTATTTGTTATATTTTTACTCGTGAATAAGCTTTCATGGAAACGACTACCATCAAATTAGATTAATGTTTATTAGGCAAAAAGGGTAGCTACAACCGCAAACTTTAATCTTTGGATAAACAATCTATATTTACTATCTACTCTGAAATCATTTCAAGGAAAAACTATAAAGGGTAAAGATAAAATCTTGGTACAATCAATAAAAATTGAAAATCTCTGATATCCAAACATATCAAAATATCTCAATTGGTTTATTCAAACACAGTAATAAAGCGGTGAAAGAAAATTACAAACAAAATTAAATATTTAGTTACGTTTTTATTATAAATGAATATGAATACAAAATAACATTAGTTTGTTCTTTAACCGCTACTGCAATTTTCTGCAACCCAATCTTAGATTTTGTTTGTTTTTGTTTCACATTAAGCTTTTTGTGTCACAAACTTATTTATATTTTATCTTTTTTATATTTAAAATAAATTATTGAACCAGATATCTGAAAATTTATCACAAAAAGCCATATTTTAAAGTGGATAATTATACTATGTACTAATTCTCTATTTGACTTATTCAGACAGTTCACCAATTGTTAAAAAATTATGTACTCATATAAAATAATTGAGATAACCCCTAAATTTTAATTTTTTTTGCAGCTTTCAATTTTCGAAATCCTGTGTGAAAAAAAAATATATTCAATAATGGGTAAAAAAGACGAAAATTTTTCAATCGAGAACTATGAATTTTTGCCAGGTACCGTTCATTTAATTGATGTTGGTCAAAGTTTGAATGTTAAAAAAGAAGGAGATGGTGATATTATTTTACATCCTCAACCAACAAATAATCCAAATGATCCTTTGACTTGGTCAAAAAAGAAAAGAGCAGTTCAATTTGGTATTATTTGGTTTTGGGGTTTTATGGTTGCTGGATCTTTTAATTTTATGGGTCCACTTTTCGCAGATTGGATGGCAGAGTTTAATGTTCAATTAACTGAATTATTAATTGGTTCAGCATTAGGTTTTTTGTTTTTAGGTGTTGGTGTTACTTTAATTCAACCAACTGGTTTAAAATTAGGTAAACAACTTGTTTATAATCTTGGTACCATATTATCAATTATTGCTTGTGCATTTGGTTCACAAACTAAAAGTATTGGTTATTTCTATGCTTACAAAATTGCAATTGGTCTTGCTGCATCACCAGTTGATTCATTAGTTGAAATCTCATCAACTGATATGTTTTTCCAACATGAAAGATCTACTGCTATTTCTTGGTTAGTCATGGCTTTATACGGTGGTTCTGATTTATTCCCAGTTGCTTGTGGTTATATTGCAGCATCAATGCATTGGAGTTGGACTTATTATGTACAAATTATTATTTATGTTCCATTATTAATCGTTCAAATTTTATTTGTGGAAGATACTACTTTTAGACGTGGTGGTAAAAAACATGATGAAGATACATTAGAAGAAGGTATATTGAAACAAATTAAATCAAGTGAAAGTAATAAAAATCTTGGAACTGTTGAAGAAGCTAAAGAAGAAGGAGAAGTTGAAGTTGAATCAACTAATAGTGCTGACATTCCAGAAAAAACTTACTGGCAAAAAAGAAATTGGATTCATCGTGAAGAAAATGATACCAGAAGTTGGTTCCAAATTTTCCTCAGGCCATTTACTTTAATTACTTTCCCAGCTGTCGTTTGGGGTGGTATTATTTATGGTGGTCAAATGTGTTGGATTTCTTTGATTGTAAACTTACAATCTGCTATTTATTCAGCTCCTCCTTATAATTTCAGTGTTGATATAGTTGGTTTGACTACTTTAGGTATGTTCTTCGGAAATGTCGTTGGTATGTTCTATGGTGGTCCATTTGTTGATTGGTTAGCGGTCAAATTAGCTAGAAGAAACCATGGTGTTTTAGAACCTGAACATAGATTGCACGCTATGTTAGTACCAACTATTTTAAACGCTATTGGGGTCTTAGCCTTTGGATTAGGAGCCTATTACAAATTACATTTCACTGTCTCCGTTGTTATCGGAATGGGTTTTATGGGATTTGCTATGACTTCTTCTGGTGCTATTGGTCTTGTCTACGCAGTTGATTGTTACGGTAAATTAGGAAGTGAATGTATTGTATTGATGTTGTTTATTAGAAATATGATTGGTATGGCTTTTACTTTCGGAATTGCTCCATGGATGGAAGCACAAGGTACTCTTAAGACTACTTGGGTTATGTTCATGCTTTCAGTTCTTATCAATGGTTCTTACCTTGCTTTCATTTTCTGGGGTAAAACTTTCAGAAGATCTACTAAAGATAGATATGAAAGAATGACTGTTGGTTTAATTGCTCATTAGACTCAAACTTGAAGATTTCTGCTTTTCATCAAAAAGCTTTTAATTATTAATAATTAATAATACTATATTATTTAGATATGTCTCTTATTTATTACTTAATAAAGTTTAAAACATTATGTCACTTCTTGTTCTTTTCTCACTTTTTCTTCTTCAGTTTAACATGTCACAAAATTAATGTCTTCCATCGAAGTCTTCCATCGAAACAGAGATTCTAACAATGTTGGAACAAGTAATCATTCGATTGAGGCGTATTTCATTTGTAACAAATTATACTTACTACAACATGATTTAGTCTTTCATTTTTTTCTTCAATAATATATGTTCTATATTTCATTTACCAAATAATCCTAAACTATGAAAAAATACCCAAACTAACAAAATACACTACGTGTCTTCTTATAAAATGTCCACTTCATCATTATCAACTACTGAAGTTTTAATCTTTAACAATAATTGAGTTTTCAATTTATCAAGTTTACTAAATTTATCAAATTCAAAAACTTTATCTGAAAAATCTTCAACATCTCCCTTATTAATACTTTCTAAAATACTTTCAATTAATTTATATTCTCTTGAATTTGCCCAATTTGGATCCTCTTCATTATATTTAGCTAATCTTTTTTCAACTTCAACGATATCCTCAGTACATAATATACATAACAAAACTTTAAAAATATAATCTTTTAAACTCCATTTAGTTAATGAGCTGTTCAAAGAGTTCTTTATTATTTGATCATATAACTCAATAGCCTTTTTGTAATCATTACTTAAAGCTGATAAATCTGCACATTTTAAAAATGCTTTGTTGGAAAGAGCTTCAGCATTATCAGTTTGGAAATAATCACCAGCTTGTTCATAACTCTTTATAGCATTTGGTATATCATCAACACTTTCATATAGTTCACCTAAATCCATTGTAAAATTTGCTGCTCTTCTAAATTGACCATTTTGAGTTAAAAATATATGAATTGCTTTTGATAATGCATCTATTGCATTTATTGGAGAATTTGATTTAAAACATTTATAAGCTTCAACTAAATGATTAGCCGAATCGTTATAATTACCCAAACTTTGTTGAATTTCTGAAGCTTTTATAAATTGATTACCTGCTTGATTAAAATCTTTTTTTAATCTATAACTATTTGCCGCTTGAATATATAAATCTGTTGCATCTTCTTTTCTCATGGATTGACTTGATCCAGATATAAATGAAAAAAAACCCAGTTGTGGTTTAAGTAATTTTTCTGCTTCGGCTATTAATGATTTTGGATCAGACATGTTGTGGTGTTTATTGAAGAAGTAAGATGTTGAATGGATTATTACTTGGTTGATAAGATTTCTTGAGAAGTTTAATTTAACACAAAAGAAAAAAAAATCTGTTGTACGTACAAATAAAACTATAAACATTAACCAACTTACAATCCAAAATAATGAGTGACACTAAAAGAAAGATACGGTTTGATAAACTACAAGTACTAAGTAAAAAAGCAGTAGAACAAGTTATCAAAACCTCATTCTCAGATGATCAAATTCAACAATGTTATCCAACAATAATGGAATCGAAAGAAGGATCTAAAGATTTAAAAATTGGATTAAATCAATTACAAAAATATCTTCATGACAATACATTAATGGAGTTTAATACAATATATGACGAATATGGATTGAAACAAAAGCTAGATGATTTAGATGATATAGTTTTACAAGCACAAACCAAAAAACAACTGGGAGAAATCAGTTCTACACATATTGATCAACTATCACCAAAAGATTTGATCGACTCTACAATACTAAGTAGTAAAGAAGATGTTTTAGGTCAACTAGAGCTAATATATGATCAATTATGCAAAGACAACGACGAATATATAAAATCGTTGGAGAGTATGACAAAAGAGAGTGAAATACTTTCAAATCTGATTCAAGATATCTTAGATCCAATAGTGAGACAAGCAGATGTTATAGATCCAGAACCACTACAATTTGATAGTCTAATAAGGAGTTGAAAGAAAATACACAATTAATGTACAGTTTAAAATTTATGTATTTACAGGTTTAATATCTTAAGCTTGTTTTTCTTTCTTCATTATTTCGTAATTTCTTTTAGCTAAATCATGATAACTACTAACTCTTTCTCTTAGTTGTTTTATCTTATTGTTTTTTCTCTTTGCACTTTGAGTTTCTTTGATTAATACTTTATCACCCCAAATTTTATAATCTTGTAAATATTGCCTACCCATTGGAAATTCTGTGACAACCACATCATCAGTTAATCCTAATTTTGCTAAAGCATAGTAGTATTTTTTTGGATCTTGCTTCTTCAAGTACTTTAATATCTTTTGTCTATATTGAACTAATTCTCTAACAATTTGTATGGTCGAATGATCATTTTTGTTTAATTTTATATGCTTCATACCAAAATGAATTTTAACAGTCATTACAGCTGCTTGTACTTCAGGTGACGCAGTATCACCAGGTTCTCTTTGTAATTCTTCTCGAGCATATTGTATAGCTAATTTTTTCTTATCTTTTGAATTTGTATTTTTCAAATTTAATATAGTTAAAACTGCTTGTTTTTTACTTTCTTCAATTTTTTTAACGTTTTCACGAATTTCCTCATTACTAGAAGATTTTTCAATTGATAATTTTTCTGCAGCATACAAGATTTTTTCAAATTCTATTCTATCAATTCCATAAGCTAATTTTGATTCTTGATTTTCAACTTTTTCCATTATTCTTGAAAAAAATTTAGATTTACGATCTCCCAAAACAGGATCAACTTGAAATGGTACATTTTTGGCATCATATTGCTTTAAAGTATTAACATCTCTTATAATTTGTTTCTTTAATCTTTTCTCCCTTCTTCTTAATTTACGTTCTTTCTTTTGTGGTGTATCTGGTTCTATGAATTGTTTTGCGGCAAGTCTTGGAGTTAAAATGGCATTCTGTATTGGAGTGGTTCTTAGAAGTAAAGGTCGTCCTGTGATGAACAGACGTATAGAGTTTCTGAACATATTTTTTGAATGGTGAATCTGAACTGATTGATTGATTTCGATTGAAATTTTTTCAAAGTATTTTTTTTTCTCTTAAACAATAATTTTTTAAATTGTAAATAAAGATAATCCTAAAAAATATATCAATTGACATCCCACCAATTTGGAGTAGAGCTGCAAGAAGACTAGGATCTAATTTTTTAATTGATCTTTATAAGGCTGCACCTCTAAATCTTAATCAGAAGTTCATAACACCACAGAATTTTACTGATGGATAATTCACTTTGTTTCTCTGATCAGAAGTGGTCTTTCAAGAAATTCAACGGCACAATAGAGCTCTAAATTACTCAATCAACTATCCTTCAAGGTATAAAATTACTCCACTAATTTTTGATTACAGTTAATTCAATTCAACTTGTAGTTGTTTGAAACATTAGTTCAGTTTTAAAACTGACCAGTTTTGGTAGCATTTTGACGTAAGAATTATATAGAAAATTTTTCGTTTTCTTTTCCTTTATATTGAATTTAATATTAATTTATTAAGTTTTTAGTATTTGAATTTGAATTCATCTTAATAAACTGTTTAAGTTCTAAGTTAGAATTCAACTTCACAATCAACCAACAATATGCAAAGATATTTAATACAATGTATAAAGAAACCAACGTTGTTGCGTAATTCACCAGCTATAAGATCCCATTTAATAACTCCAATATGTTTTAGATATTCTCAAAATATTTCCCTTCGTTATAATTCTACTAAACCAGGATCAGAAGAACCTGCTAATGAAGTAAAAGAAGAAGCCAATGCACCAGTTACAGAAGAACAATCACAACCAGAATCAACAGAAAGTCCTGAATTATTAGAATTAAGAGAAAAATTAGATAAAAAAGATAAAGATCTTGCAGCTATGAGAAATCATTATACAAGAGCTAAAGCAGATTTCCGTAATTTACAAGAAACAACTAAAAAAGAAGTTCAAAAAGCAAAAGATTTTGCATTACAAAAATTTGCAAAAGAATTATTAGAATCAGTAGATAATTTTAATTTAGCATTGGATCATGTTAAAGAAGACACATTAAAAACAAATGAAGAAGTCAAAAATTTATATGATGGTGTTGATATGACAAGAAATATATTTGAAAAAACTTTAGCTAAATATGGAGTTGAAAAAATTGATCCAATGGGTGCTCAATTTGATCCAAATTTACATGAAGCTACTTTTGAAATTGCTCAACCAGATAAAGAACCAGGTACCGTATTTTTTGTACAACAAACTGGTTATACATTAAATAATCGAGTTTTAAGACCTGCTAAAGTTGGTGTTGTAAAATCTGAAGACAATTAAATTGGTGTAAATTTAATATAATCAATCTTGTATATATTTATGTAGAATATTAGACAAAAATATTTTAATATTAATGATAATTTAACGGTGTTGGAAAGAATTGATTCACGTAGACACATTACTTTGTTCAATAGACTAGGCCCCCTTAGTTAAATGAGTCACCACGGCATAATCACTTGAAAAATGTTTCAATCATTTGGCTGGTTTTGTGTAATGAAACTGAAAAATTATTAATTAAGCGCTACTTCAAATTTTAGACAACTAGAATTAATCACATTATTTATTCCTAAATTCGATTTAAAATTCCTACCAACTCGTCTAATGTTAGCTGCTAGATCATCAATACGTCGTTGTTTTTCAACTTCTTCACCTGCTTACAAAACTTTAAAAATTGGCTTAATTCCCGGTGACGGAATTGGTAGAGAAGTTATACCAGCTGGTCAAAAAGTATTAGAAAATTTACCTTCAAAATATGATTTAAATTTTGAATTTGTTAATTTAGATGCTGGATTTGAGTTATTTAAAAAAACCGGTACTGCATTACCAGAAGAAACCGTTGAAATTTTAAAAAATGAATGTGATGGTGCATTATTTGGAGCTGTAAGTTCACCAACCACAAAAGTTGAAGGTTATTCTTCACCAATTGTTGCATTGAGAAAAAAATTAGGATTATATGCTAACGTTCGTCCTGTTAAATCAGTTAAAGGGATAGGTAGACCAGTTGATATGGTGATTGTACGTGAAAATACTGAAGATTTATATGTTAAAGAAGAAAAAACTTATACAAATGAAGATGGTACAAAAGTTGCTGAAGCTATTAAAAGAATTACTGAAACTGCCTCAAAAAGAATTGCCAAGATGGCTTATGAAATTGCTTTACAAAGACAAGCTATTAGAGAAGCTTCTTCTGGTGAACAACTTCATTCAAAACCATCAGTCACAGTAACTCACAAATCAAATGTTTTATCACAATCCGATGGATTATTTCGTGAATCATGTAAAGCAGTATGTACTGAGAATCAAGATAAATATTCAAGCATCGATCACAAGGAACAAATTGTTGATTCAATGGTTTATCGTATGTTTAGAGAACCAGAAATTTTTGATGTTGTTGTTGCTCCAAATTTATATGGTGATATTTTAAGTGATGGTGCTGCAGCTTTAGTAGGTTCATTAGGAGTTGTACCATCAGCCAATGTTGGTGAAACGTTTGCAATTGGTGAACCATGTCATGGATCAGCTCCAGATATTGAAGGTAAAGGAATTTCAAATCCAATTGCTACTATAAGATCAACTGCTTTAATGTTGGAGTTTATGGGTTATCCAGAAGCTGCCGCTAAAATTTATGAAGCAGTTGATGCCAATTTAGCTGAAAATAAAATTAAAACTCCAGATTTAGGTGGAAATTCATCTACACAAGAAGTCATTGATGACATTATTAAAAGATTTTAAGTAAATTTGTATATAATTAAATAAAATAGATCTTTAATATGGTTTAAATCTCTTATCTTTCTTTTTCTTATGTTCCTTTTTATGTGATGATTTTTTCTTTTCAGTTGATGGTGGGATGCTTGGTTCTTGAGTTGTTGTACCTATTGGATAATGTTTTAGCACAGTGGGTAATTCCCAGAGTTTGATTTTCCCATCCTCACCACAACTTAGACATTGAGTAGTGTTTGGTTTTATTATTACATCTCTAACAACTTCATCTTCATGAGCATTAGGGAAATGAATTATTTTAGATTCTTTAAATTTTTCTTTTTTGGGGTTGAACGGTATTATTGATAAACTTTTATTGGTGTTTGATCCATATGCAACATATCCATCTGGGTCAATATCTATTACATAGTCATTATTTGGCCACTTGATTCTTAAATCTCCAACATCATCGAATTTTGGACTTACCAATTCTTCATAATTTGTATCATTTAAGTCATGAAACATTAATGTTTCAATATGGGTTAAAATTGAAATTCTTGATTCTGTTATGAAATTACAAGAATGTACTGACCCAAAATTTATAACTTGATGCAATGCATCATCTTCATCAGGCTTTGATAAGTCATAAATATTAACATATCCATCTGTGGAACCAGACATTAAATAGTTCGTTAGTGTAGGGTGGAATTCTAAACAAGTAACATCATCATGATGAGAATCAATAAATGATTTAACAACATCTTTTGTGTTCCTTATGTCCCAAATATGTACTTCGGCATCAACTCCTTGTAATTCAGTCCCACCAGCTAGTAAATCATTTTTAGAAGCTAATGATAAAAAATTTGAATTTTTCAGATTATTTAGTATTGCATATGGTTCGGTTGTATTTGACCTTATATCCCAGATTTTTATACCATCTGTTGAACAAGAAGCTATTAGGTTTTCGTTAATTACATTTATATCATTTATGCTTGATTCATGAGCTTTCTCAAGAGTGAAATCTGGAGATGGTGATAATTTTGTTAATGAGTAACCTTGTAATGATCCATTACTTGAAGATGCAATAAATTTATCATTTTGTAAAAATTTTAATTTGAGAATCCAATTATCTGGAGTATTTGATGACCAAACAAATTTACAATCAGCAACATTACTCCCCATTGAATAAAGTGACGGTTACTGAACTCTGTTATAGATCTCTTCTTATTCTTCATAAGATGTACATAAATTAATTATGTCTCACAAAACCAAAACATCTAAAAAATCATTGAAACGCTTTATTACACGATCCTCTTATAATTATAACAACCACTTCATAGCTTCATAACTTCACATAATGAGTAGTTTAGTTAAAAAGGGGAGTCAGTTTACCCCAAAGCTTAAAAAGGCCATTAGAAGAAAACCAATATCAAAGTCAGGGTCTGAAGCACCAACTCCAGAATCAACTCAAATTAGTCATAATGATTTACCACCACCATCTAGTAGAAGAACTTCAATAAGTCATAGACAATTAGAAACTCCACCATCTACTCAAATACCAGAGAAAAAACAACCAAGATCAAGTTTTACTTTAAATGCGGTCAAACAAACCACCAATACAGAAGAAGAAATTGTTGATCCAATAGATAAGTCACAAATAGTAGAATCTGCAATAATAGATAGTGATGAGGATGAAGAACTAAAACAACCTCCAACAGCAACAACAACTAGAAAAAATTCAGTAAGTCAAAGAAGATTATCAGGTATAAATCAACACCAGCCAGGACAAAGAAGTAGATCAGCGTCAATTTCACTTCGGCCTCATGAAGATGGTCATTCTATTCATCATTCAGCCAAAATTATTATACCGACAACTTCAACCAAACCCAAAAGAAGAAGATCACTGGTAAATAGTAATAGAAATAAAAGACCTTCAATATCAGCTACTGCACCAATAATAGCAACAACTGCACCAGCTTTAAAACCGTCAACCACCGCCAAAGTTATAAACTTACAACCACCGAAAGACAAAGATTCAATCGCAACAGCAAAAGCAGGAGCAGCACCAATAAGTTTGATAATAAATAATGAACAAGAAAAGGAAAATGAAAATAGAGTTGGTAAAGTAAATGAAGTATTAGTTAGTGAAAATGCAGTAAGTAAAGAATTTGTTGTGGGTATAGATCCCAAATCTAACAAGTTACGAAAATTTAGAAGAAAAGGTGTGCCGAAAAAAGAGATTAAAGACGAATGTGGATTTAGTAAAATTTCAGATATCTCACTTGATGATTATTTACCGGAAGAACCTGATAACCTTATTACAACAGTTACTAGTATTAGTCAATTGCCAGCTGGGATCAAAGACGAAGATATTGGCTTATATGGAGAATTAAAGTATGAGTATGATGGAATGACGATGGCAGATTTGTGTAAACCAACCATTAAGATTGGACAAGTTAGTACCAATTTTACTTTAGTTCAAGAAGCCGAAAAACAACTAAAACAAAGAAGGTTACAAAGAAGATTAGATAGAGATAGAGCAAGAGCTGAAGGAATATCAGTAGAAGAAGCAACCCTAAAGAATGAAGGTAGAACTGAAGAAGAAATTAGAGAAGAACAATTACAAAATGCAAACAAAACCAAAAATAAAAATGATGATGAACTACTAGGTGCAGATTATGAACCACCAGCAAGCTCAACTGCATTACAGTTAACAATAGTTGATGGTAAAATTAGTTATAATGAAGAATCACAAGTTGTTATAAAACCAAGAGCTGATACTTCTGGAAGATCAGTGGAAGAATCAAACCCTTATGCAAATCCAATAACATCAACCACATACAGCAAAAGAACTTACACTGACAAATGGACTCCAAAAGAATTAAATGACTTTTATCAAGCTTTAAGTATGTTTGGTACAGATTTTTCATTAATTTCTCAATTATATCCACATAGAACAAGAAAACAAATAAAATCGAAATTTGCATTGGAAGAAAGGAAATATCCAGAAGTTATTGAATTAGCATTGAGAAGAAAATTACCGATTGATTTCGAAAAATATTGTCAACAAACAAATAATGACATTAAAACTATTGAACAATATAATGAAGATTTGAAAAAAGTAAGATTAGAGCATGAAGAAAATATGAATGCTATTGCTTTAGCTCGTGAAAGAGCATTTAAAGAAGATGCTGAAGCTAATAGAAGAAGAGAAATTGAAATTAGAACTGGTTCTAAACCAATGACAACTGCTGAAAGAAGAAAAGAATTACGTAAAAATGAAACTGTTGTTGGTTCAATTGATGATAAAAAGAAAGAAAAACAAGGATTAAATTAATTCTAATAAATATATTAAAGTTGATCTATCATTTTACAAAATATTTCTAATGCTTTTGGATCTTCTAGTAAACCCTTAGCATACCAAATTGCATCACTTTGTAAACCTAAACTCATATTTTCTACTTTAGTTTTTTTTAAACTTGAAATTTTTTCATATTCCTTTGCTTCAATTTCTGCATTATCAACAATTTCTTTAGGTATTCCACACATTAATGCAACATTCATTCCAAATGATCCAGGTGCTACGCCTGATTCTAATTTATAAAGGAACGTAATTTTTCTTGAATCTTGATCAAGTATAATCCCCATTCTCAATGGTTTAACTTGTGGATGTGTTTTGAAAGACAATCCCAAGGTATTATAATGTGTTGCAAAAAATCCAATTGGTCTTATATGAGTAGCTAAATGATGTAAAACAGCTTCTGCAATAGCAAAACCATCAGTAGTTGAACCACCTCTTCCTAGTTCATCAATTATAACAAAGGATTTCTGGGTAGCATAATCCAAGATTTTTTTAGTTTCTGATAATTCAACAAAAAAAGTAGATTTGCCTTGCATTATATTATCATTTGCACCCAATCTTGTCATTATTCTATCAACTGGAGTTAATTTTGCTAATCGTGAAGGTACATAACAACCAATTTGACTCATTAATATAGCTAGTGCAGTTGTTCTCATTATAGTAGATTTACCAGCAGCATTTGCACCAGTTAATAATCCAAAATTTGGTTCATCACCACCTAACTTTATATCATTCGGTATAAACTCTTTAGTTCCAACAAAACAAGGATGTCTTAATTCTTGGAAATCCACCAATCCTTGATCACTTTCAACAAAAGTTGGACGACATGATGGGTATCCAATTGATTCTGAAACCAGAGTCAAAGCTAATATACAATCAATGTTAGCAATTGTAGTTATCACTTTCATCCATGTTTGGTAGTGTTGATCAAATCTTTCATACATTCTTAATTTGAGTGTATCACATACCAGTTTATGAATTTCTCTTTGTTCCAATAATTTTCTTGCTAACTCTTTAACTTCTGGTGACCAAAATCTTTTAGTTGTTTTTGTTGCACCCATTGTATCCCAACTTTGCGGAACATTTTTGACTAGTTTTAATGGTAATTCGATAAGATAAATTTCTTTACCTATATCACGATAAATAATTTCCTGTGATCTATACTGCTTTTTGTAATCTTTCAATTTTTGATTCAATTGAGCTTCTATATCACTCATTATAGTTTGAGAATTATCAAATTCTTCATCAACACCTTCAGCTGGTATAATTATATCATTTTTAGCTTCTTGCCTATTGAAAGCATCTTCCCATTCTGAAATATAGCCTGCCATTTCCTCAGGGAAGTTTTTTAAGAACTTGTATAATATACCACATTCAACATTTGCAAATTCTAATAAAGTATTAGAAAATTTGGCAATGTTTTCAAAACTTTCAATAACTTTGAGGAAATCTTTAAACCTAAGGGTTCTACCATGGATTCTTGCAATTAATCTTTCTAGATCTGGTAAATTGGCAAGGCATTCTTGTAATACAGCTCTTATTTCTAAACCATCACCCAACAAGAATTCAACTGAATCATATCTATCATTTATATCTGAAATTTTTACCAAGGGGTGTAATACCCATTGTTTCAATAATCTTTTACCAAAAGCTGTTGAAGCACGATTTATTAACTTTAATAAAGTACCTTGATCACTTCCATCATAATTATTATTTAAAATTTCCAAGTTACTTAAAGTAATACCATCCAATATCAAGTGTGATGATTGATTTTTTGATATTTGATAATGATGAATATTACCAAGGCTCATTATACTTTCATCTAATTTTAGGATTTTCAAGTATGATAATAAACCGCCCAATGCATTAAAAGCAACGTATTTATTTTTAAATTCAAGAAGTACCTTAGGGTAATTTGAAAAATCATCCAAATCCTCCGCTGCGTAATATCTTGATTTAACTAAATGCTCTAAAGTTATGTCATAATCCCAAAATTCGGTTATTGGATTTAAGTTGTTCCATATTTGATTATTCGAATGAGCGCAATATTTGAGGATCTTGGTGGCAATTTTACAAAGATTACCCTTTTCACAAATGACTTCTTTAGGTCTAACCTGAGTAATTAAAGTTTCTAATTTTGTACATTCAGCATCATCTTCTAATTCAACTAAACTCAATTCAGAAGTTGCAGTATCAACAAAAGCCACTCCAAAAATTTTAGAACCATCTTCTTGTGTTTGTTCTTTTATACTTAGACAGTAAGTTGCCATATCATCAGTTATCATTTCCAAATTAGTTAAAGTACCACCAGTTAAAACATTTGTTAATTCCCTTTTGATAATTTTTTCTTCTTTTGACCCACCACCTCTAATATCTTTACTTAGTTGACTTTCAATTTGATCAACTTTTGCAACTTTGTACCCTTGTTTTATAAATTCATTTGACCAATAATCAAATGACATGTGGGGAATACCTGCTAATTTCATATTTGCTCTCCCACCACCTGCAATTTTTAAATCGAATTGTGTATTTGCAATAGCTGCATCATTTTCATATAATTCATAAAATTTTCCCTTTTGGAAAAACACCACTGTGTTCCAATATTTAGATTTAATTTCCCAGTATTGTTTTTCAAAGTTGGTAAATTTTGACCATGCAGATTGTGGGATATATAAAGTTCTTGGATCATAATCAGGGTGGTCTATATCACGTTTTTCAGCATCTTTAATATTGATTAACCATTGATATCTTTCTTCATTTTGCTTTTCAAAGTTTTTCTTTTGTGATACTGGTTTAGACAGGTACTGTTGCGGCTTATAATTTGAATTATCATAAGATGATGCTGCATGAAATTTTTCAGTTAAATTTGATGAACAAGTCTTGGTAGATGGTGGTTTATTAATAGTAATTTTCTTTCTTGGTTTTGAAATTTCTTTTTCTTCTTCAGAATCTTGTTTATCTTCTTCTTCAAGATCATCTTCTACGACAAAATCATCCAAATCTTCATCTTCCAGTACTGGTTTGAAATCACCATCAATATCATCATCTCCATCACTATCAACAGGTAGAATCTTTCTTTTCTTTCTGGTGGTTATTTCTACTTCTGATTCACTTTCTGACTCATTATAATTTATTTTTCTTGCGCCTCTTTTATTTGTAAGTACTGGTGACGAATTCAAGGTGTGTGTTCTTTCTTTCAATGGTGTTTGTTTTGGTTGAATAAATTCAGGTGGTGAAGTCATACTCGATGTAAAATGATCTTCATTTTCTTGTAACATTGTATTATCATTTTCTTTATCACTTGATGCTTCTTCTTGTTTTATTGATGTTTTGGAACTTAAAGGTGAAGATATTATAGGTATTTTATTCTCTTTTGGTTTTTCAATTGATGATATTGGTCTGAAAAATGACATTAAAGAGGATTGCTTCTTTGTTCCAGAAGAACCTGTTTGAATTGTGGTGGTTTTGGCAGGTGTTTTGATCTTCCCCATTCTCAGTGCTATTATAGGTAGTAAATAAAGTTAATGAATATAGGTGATATGGTTGGAAAATGTTAGAATTTAATTAATCTAAATGATTACAAATTTGGTTGTAAAAATAAATTATATTAAAGTTAAGTATTTGTACTACTTTAATAAATCGCGTCTATAAATTTTAATTTCGTGTATCTATATTGGTAGCATCGATTCTACGTTTTTGTGATTTATCATAATAAATTATTTTGCACCCAAACATAACTTAAAAATAAAATCATTCAATAACCACGAATGAATTTCTTGATTATAATATTTTTTATTAATTCAGTTATTTCAACTATACCTGACCCAAATCCTTCTTATCAAGAACATCCCATTTTTAAAATTACTTCCAAAACTCATGATAAATCAATAATTATTGATTTTTTACAAAATGTTGCAAATAAAATAACAATATCACCAACAAATTTATCAAAATTTCAATTATGGTCAACTTCCGTAAGTTCATCAAAAGTTTCACCAACTTTGCAAGAACAAAAATGTATTGAAAATACAATAATTAAATATTTTATAAGATCATTAAAATTAACAGACAAAATTTATGAAGCAAGTGAATGTAGAATTAATTTAAATCCCAAAATGAAAAGTATTCTACAACCCTCGGAAAATATTCATAATTTGATTTTAAGAGATGATAATCTAATTGATACTCAATTGAAATATGTTTTAATTGATGAATTTAACAGATATGAACAATTCAAACAATTTAAGTTCAATGATTTTGAATATTTAAATTACAATCTTAATTGTTTAATTGATTTTCAGCAATTAATGCAAGTCGAATTTAAAGAAACTGTTATTGAAGTTAATTTAGAACAAAGAGTTGAAGTTGATGATTCTTGTGGATTTTTAAATATAAATTCAAATTTTATTGGTACTTCAATTGATTATATCTTTAATTATGTTCCACTAAATGGTACTTTTTATTGTAGAAAAGGTAAAAGTAAATCATGTAATAGAGCAATAGCTGATTCATCAAATTCTAGATATAAATTACCAGAACTATAAATAGTAATTATTTTTTAATATGAAATTTTACAATTTCTATTGCAGCAATTGAATCCTCTGCACTATCATGCTCTCCGATTTGAATATTTTTACTAAGGTACTTAAAAGCTAAATCTTTTAAACTCCATCTAAATGTAGCACTTGTTTCGAATTTGGGGTATAATATTGAAGTATCTATGATATTATTATGAATCAATCTCATTGAGTTCATATCATTTTCTAGTCCATGACCTATTAGAATTGTATTTTGATCCATAATTTCTCCTAATTTTTGCATCAGTTCATTAAAATTTATAAATTTTTCATCAATTTTGGATATTCCTGAATATCTTGTATTTAAATCAACAACTTCACCAAATGGTAAAACATATATGTCTAAAACAGTTTTTAATGTAAAATAATCAACCGCTGTAATTCTCATCAACTCAAATCCCTTTGTGGTGAACCCCATTTCACAATCTATACCAAGAACTTGAAATTGTGCTTTACTTCTGAATATTTCAGTTGTATATCTATAAGGGAGTAATGATTGTTTTTCTTCCGGTAGTGTGACTTGATATACATGATGATCTGAACTTTCACATGGAGTTTGACTATCTTGAGGAGCCATACAACAATCATAATACCTCAGTTTTTCTCCAACTTTACGACGTAATTTCCCATGATGAAATAGACATTTAATTTTATCTAGTTGTTGACTTAATTTGAATTCTGTTCCACATCTACTACATATTCTAGTTAAGTTGGTGTTAGGTTTTGACGTTGGTGGTTTTATAATATATCCAAATTTTTGTAACTTATCTCTTGGTATAATCATTGATTTTAGTATTCTCAATTCTTCTTCACTACTTAGATTATTTTTTCCATTATTTTTATCAAATTTTTCTGGATGCTCCAATTTATATACTGCATTTCTTAATGTCGAAGAATACGTTCTTATCGTGGAATTTTTAGCGATGTCATATTCAAATTCAATTGCTTTTAGTTTTGGTGTTTGAATTGACGGATCCTTCTTCAACATTATACTTGCGATTCTTTCTATGAATTTTTTTCTATCTGGTAGTGGTGCTGGTGAGTTATTGACAGTTTTCGGTAGTATATGTAAAACATCTTTTAACTGTGAATTTGAGTTGACTGTTGAAGTACTTGTAGTTTTGGGCCTTTTATCTTGATCAAAATTCTTGTTATCTAAGGGTCTTTTGAGTGAGTTTGACTCATCAACCTTCTTGTGAGATGATTTGATATATTTCCCATCTATATTTTTAATATTAAATCCCATTAATCTAATAAAAACTATTCTTTCATATTGAATGATAAGTAATAGACGGTGGATCAAATTAGTATATCATAATAATTAATTTGGTAGCTTCTACCTTCTTTACGTTTACCCGGATTGAAAAATATTAATTTATAAACTCATCGCACCAAAATATTTTCCAAGTTTTGATATCTTTCTTTTCTTCTTTTTGGATTCTTTGTCGACTTTACTTCTAGGATCTATTCTATAGTAAACGTCCTTCTTTGATTTTTTCAAAAAAGTCACTGAATCCAACTTGGTTGATGAGTTATGATACCCATATACCCTCAAAGTGAGAAAATGATATGTTTTGCTTAACTATAATCCTTTGCGATTTAGTTATCTATTTATTTTTGCCTTGTAAATCAAATTTTTTAAAGATTTGTGAAGGAGCAATGATCTTTACCTTTTTACTTTATGCTTCTTCGGAGGAAATTGAAATTAGGTGGGTATATGTGGCTGTCTGACAAGTTTCAATTAAAATTAATATTTTTTTTGATACTATGGTCAATGTTTCTAATGTTTTGTCGACCGCAATCATTATTGCTATAATAATTGAAGACTATGCTAAGATAGTTGTCTGGGTCAAATTGTCAAGTGATAATTTGATTGAGAAAGCTTTAAAAACATAATTCTTCATTAATTAAAAAAAAGATTCGAGGTAAGTTCTTCATAATAGACCCCTTTGTCTTAAATAAAACCTGCATATAAGGTGCTGGCTGTATTGCGGTACGGATGTTTGCAAGGGGTCATTTACTAAATCAATAAATATGAGATGAACTTATTGTAAATGGACATAAAGTAAGTCATATTTACCAAGAAGCAAATGATAAACTATCTTGTTCACTTCTAGATCATCAATTTTCTCTTATCAATCAAAACAGTAGAAGTTCTAGGCGAAGTCAATTTTCAAAAATTTTGGTCAATTCACAGATGTTTTAATGCCAAATAAAACAAAATTTCAGTTATGAAATAAATCTCTTTGTAAAACTTCGCAACAAACATATTTGTTGCCATAAATATAATTTCCTTTTAATAATTCACCACATCAACAGTTCTTTACAACATTCATTTTACTTTCTATGAAAAAGTCAAGAAGTAGCTTGATGCTCAATTTTTTTGCGTACCTTTTCCACCAAAACTTAGTGAATGGCATCGTAGATCAAATTTTGTACTACCAAAGGAAGTATGCAAATTTCTAAAGATATATTGACACTAACATTCGACGTTAATCGGACTTATAGTTCCGTTTGTAACTAATTCGACGTATAAAATATTTGAAACGGCAATGTATCAAAACTTGAAACAAAAAGAAAAAAAAAAAAGAAATTTTCACGATTTAATTTAATTTCTTTCTTGTTTCATCTTATTATTATAATTCTAATTATTTCTTAAAAATTTAAACGTCAATTATATCAGCTATTGTCGACCACGATATGAATTAAAATCGTCTTTTATTTAAAAATGTTACAAAACGGGATTCGTAGAATCATAGTAGTTGAAATAGGTTACTAAAATATTTAATGAATAGCCAAATTCATTGATTAGTCCAATAATGCCTTTAGATGTCTTGTTATTGTTTAAATTTTTCTCTTTTTGTATTATGTTAAAATACGCTTATACATATTTATGTAAAATTGAATGTACAATTTATAAATATGTGCCAATTAAAAAATATGTACCAATTTAAAAATGCCAACCAGTTTCCTTAAATATTTACGAAATGCCTCTCATATTGTTAAAAAAAAAATTTTTTTATATGTAAATTAAGAAAATTAAACAAAAGCAGTATAAACTTAGCAAAATCATCTCGTTATGAACTGATAATTAAATTCATATAAAATAATTATAATTCCTTTAATGGAAGGAGTTGACTTTTTCATATTGACACCGAAACGTTTCAATTCTATTTGGTCCTGTCTCATATTAAAAAGGTTGCAAAATAATATCTACTAAAAATGTCTTTTAAAGATTCAAAACTAGAGGATGGTTATTCACTAAATTCATTTCAATTACAATCATCAAAACAAATTAGTGGAGATTCAACAACCACTGGTTATACAGATTATACAGATGAAAAGTCCACCACAAAGGACAATGTATTTATTTCATTTTTCAAATCTTTTCAAATTGTAAATAAAGGTCAAGTTGGTAAGGGAGTCGAAGTATTAACACCAGAAGATAATTTAAAAGTATATCAAGTTAAATTAATAGCGTTGGCATCATGTATTGGTTCAGGTTTATTTATATCAAGTGGATCAGTCATTGCAACTGCAGGTGCAGCAGGTAGTTTCTTAAGTTATTTCATAATTGGAGTTTTGATTTTCTTCATTATACAACATTTAGGTGAAATGACTTCACAATTTCCAGTCAGAGGAAATTTTTTAATTTACAATTCAAGATTTATTGATGAATCTTGGGCTTTTGCAATGAATTGGAATTATTGTTTACAATGGATTGTAACTATACCATTATCTTTGGTATCTGCATCTTTAACTATACAATTTTGGAATGATCAGATTAATGCAGCTGCTTGGGTTGCGATTTTTTGGATTTTCATAGTACTTATCAATGTGTTTGGAGTTAAAGGGTATGGATATGGTGAAAGTGTCTTTAGTATTATTAAAGTTGTTGCAATATTGGGATTTATAATATTTGCAATTATCATTATTGCAGGTGGAGGTGAACAAGGATATATTGGTGGTAGAAACTGGCATCAGCCATTTGCCAAAAATGGATTTAAAGGATTTGTAACCACTTTGGTTAATTCTGCTTTTGCATTTGCAGGAACAGAAATGGCAGCCATAGCAGCAGCTGAAACTTCAAATCCAAGAAAATCTTTGATCAAAGCAACAAAGCAAATCTTTTGGAGAATTTTAATCTTTTATATGTTGGCTATTGTTTTACTTTGTTTTTTAGTTCCATATAATAATCCTCAATTGTTAGGAAACTCAAATTCATCAGCAAGTCCATTTGTTATTGCAATCAAAAATGGAGGTGTCAAAGTTTTACCATCAATTTTTAATGCCGTTATTTTAATTGCAGTCTTATCGGTTGCAAATGCTAGTGTTTTTGCAACTTACAAGCCATTAGTAGCATTAGCTGAAGCTGGTCACGGTCCAAAATTTTTAGCATACATTGATAAAAAAGGTAGACCAATTTTCTCAATTATATTTGCTTTATTGTTTGGTTTAATTGGGTTTGTGTGTGCTTCTAAAAATCAAGAAACTGTATTTGCTTGGTTATTAGCTATAAGTGGATTATCATGTGTATTTATTTGGTTTTCAATTTCATTAGCTCAGGTTAGAGTAAATTATGCTGCAAAAGTTCAAGGTGTTGAAATTTACAAACCTTACAAAGCTATTGGTGGTGATTACGGTGCTTATTTTTCAATGCTTTTGAATGTGTTGATTCTTGTTGGACAATTTTACGTTGCTTTATGGCCAGTTTCTGGTGAAAATTTTCAAGTTGTAACATTTTTTGAAGCTTATTTAGCGGCACCGATTGTTTTAGTTTCATATATTGGTCATAAGGTATGGACAAGAAATTGGAGATTATATATTAAAGCTGAAGATATTGATTTAGTTACAGGTAGAAATTTGGTTGATGTTGACGTTATAAAACAAGAAATGTATGAAGAAAAGGAGGCATGGCTGCAAAAATCTTTCTGGTACAAAGCTTCTCATATTTGGTGTTAGAATTGTGATGAAGTTGCAGATATATATAAACTAATATTTAATGACTTAATGAACACTAATTTATCTGATTTTTGCAATTGTAGTACTCAACTCTGAAACCAGTGTCATGTTTCACATTTCGCGTCTTTATAAATTGTTTCTTGGTGAAAAAACACGTCAAATATTTGATCTACTAAGTTGAAGTAAACAAGATTTGACAACCAGACCAATTGACAAAACTATACCATATGAAGATATGAGTAATGTACAGCTGCTCATAATTGATTTTACCAATTTATCATCGGAGTCCAAAAAGAGGTTTTCAGATGTAAGGCAGGCTTCAGAATCATCAATTAAATTATTAAAATTTATAAATGTAACTACTCCATTAAGAGATATCACTGATGAAAACATCAAATCACAATTATCAAATACTTTAATACTAGCTTGTGATACTGGAAATTTGAAAATTAATAATATTGCAATACCTATAATTCAGAAGTTGTTAAATGTACATGGTATCCCTAATGCAAAACTTGGAGAAATAATTAAATCACTTTCAGAAGCTTCACATTTGGCTGTTGAAATTCAATTAAGAATACTACAATGCTTACCATCTTTCATGCTTGTTTATAGTTCAGAGATGACTGGTGCTACATTACTTGGATTATTAAATGTTTGTTCAAATCTAACATCATCAAATAAATCACCAATTGTTTCAAATGCAGCTTCTGCAACTTTACAACAATTATTCACAAATATTTTTGATAACATTGATGAAGCTCAAATTACAGGAAATAAAGAAATTATTTTGGAGAACGACCAGATCTTGAAAGTTGACAATTTATCATATGAAGGATTTCTTATATTTCAAGATTTAAATAAAATTTTATCAAATAGAAAACCTGAATATTTAATTGAATCGATATATATCAAAAATCAATCTGCATTAGAAATTATAGAGAGCATCATCAGTGGTCACAAAAGACTATTCAACAATCACAAAGAATTATCATTTATACTACGAACTCAAACAGTCCCTGCATTACTTAAAATATTAAACTCACCCACCAAATATTTTCCATTAGTTTTAAGAACAATAAGAGTAATACAAGTACTATTAACGACTCAACTAAATAGTTTGGAGATCGAAATAGAAATTGTAATGTCTTACTTAAATCATTTATCATTAGATAATGCAGATACAAATGGTGAAGCGTTTACTCCGGATTGGGAGAAATTATTAATTCTTGAAATGTATAACAACTTATTTTCCAACTTTAATGTTATAAGATCAATTTATGAAAAATATGATCACGATAACCTGAAGAAAGATGTTTTGAAAGAATTGTTTACGGTGCTAAGTACATACATACTAAATGACAATCAATTTTTAAATGATATGGTCAGACCCACTCCACAATCAAATATAGAGCCTAATACCAATGGAACTACAAAACCACAAAATTTTATATCTGCTGAAAATTCTGGACTCAAAACTTTGTTTGTTGATCATCTAGATAAACAAGAACCACCAATAAACGTTCCAAATTCATATCCAATTTATTTGATATTTGAAATACTAATGAAATTCAGTGAAGGTGTATCTAAGTTTGTCACTAATTTATCAAATAATGAAGACCAAAAGATACTAGAATCGAATGTGGATTTTATCAATGCAATTATGGAATCATCAGCTTCTGAAGTAACTTCACTATTTGAAAGATTTATATATACTTCATTAAATGATGCATTATTTCAAAAAGTTTTAAAGTCATATCAAAATTTCACTCATGCTGTTGGATTATTAGGATTAAATTCAATAAGAGATAATTTATTGTTGAGATTATCGAAAGCAATTACCAATAATGTTTCAAAACATGAAGTTAAAGATGACGTTGAAACATCATCCATTTATGAAGAACAAAAGAAACAATTGATAGCACTTGGAGGATCAATAGTGGAGTCTATAAGTTCAAGTATACAAGGAACCGAATCAAATGGTAATACAGTCTTGTTCAGATCAAGATACTTCAATTCAAGACATGTCCTTTGTTTGAAAACTTTTAGTAATTTAGCAGTTTCTCTTGGATCAACTTTGGGTGAATCATGGTCAATTATTTGGATTACATTACAATGGGTTTCATATTATTTAGATGGACTGGATGAATATAGTGGATTGAAAGAATCAGGTACTGCTCCATCTTCGGCGCCTTTTTCCAGACCTCAACTTACACAAACAGATTTTGGAATTATAGATTTAGCATTTAAAAGATTATTTGATAGCATTAGTGAAATACCGATAGATTCATTTGAAGAAATTTTAAAATGTTTGGGGAATTTAACAGATATTGCTTTGTCAAATGATTTAGACGAAAAACCTAAATTTGGACTTGTTGAATCACCATATAATAAAATATACTATCTTAATAAAATGTTTCAGATAGCTGAATTAAATACAGAAAGATACTTGATAAGAGATGATCAAATTTGGAATTCTTTTACTGCATATATTACCAAATTAGGTTCAAGAAGAGATTTGAATTTTAACTTGAGAACATACATAATTGAATCATTCACTAAAATAATAGGATTAATGGCATTTCAAGGATTTAATAATGATGAACTTATAACTCAAACTGCAGTTAAAACAATAAATGGTTTGAATTTATATTTAATAAACTTATTTAAACAGGGTATACCGAAAGAATTATTAGTATTAAATTGTGAAACAGAAATACATTTGATAATATTAACAAACTTGCATTTTTTAATTGAAAAATATGACATGCATTATCAAAATTCATGGGAAAAAGTATTTGAAATTTTAAATACACCATTTGAAGTTACTGGAACTGATGATTTAAATTTAAAAGAAAAATTTCAATCATTAGTTGAGAAATCATTTGAAACTTTAAAATTAATACTAGATGAATTTTTATTGTCATTACCTTTCCAACAATTGAAAAAATTAATTGATACGTTGATAAATTTTGCAAATCAATCATTTGATTTAAATATTTCTTTTAGTGCAGTAAGTTACTTTTGGTTAATTAGTGATTCATTAAAATCAAGATTATCACAATTTGAAAATAAGAATGTTGAAGCATTACAAAACATTCAACTGGAAAATGACCTAATAACTTATATAAATTCAACAGATGAATCTTATAACTCCTATATTTGTCTTGATTTATATTTACTATTTGGATTAGCTAAGATTTCAAAACAAGAAACTGAAAGAGCTCAAGTTCGAGAGGGTGCAATACAAACATTTTTCCAAATTATTGATTTACATGGTGTTATATTAGAACAAAATTGGAATATGATTTATTCAATCGCATTACCTTGCTTATTTGATATCGTTCCAAAAAAGACAAATAAAGAATGGCAAGAAACTATAAGGTTGTTATTGGAAGGATTTGTTACAATGTATAGAAAATTTTTCCTAACTACAAAGATCAATAACTTAGAAAATAAATGGCAAATGATTATAGATTATATGAATAAATTATTAAACTTAAAGAATATCGATATTGATATGATTGTATTTAAAGCTTTTCAAAACTTAATTGAATCACCAATAGAACTCAATGATGAAATCAGTGAAATGTTATTTAATTTATGGAGTAACTATTCAATTGAATATAACTTAGTAGATATAAATTATCAAGAATCATTAGTTCAATTTATGTTATGCTTTCCAAAACTATATCCAATTATTGAATCGAAACTAACATCAGATCAAGTAAATCAAATTGTTGATGTTTTTAATAAATCAGCAAGATATCCAATATTATCAATGCAACAATCAGATGAGAATAAACCAAGTAAATTACAATCATCAATATTATCAAATATTAATATTATAACTAAAAAAAACGTTCAATTTCAATCAATCATAATACAATTATTATCACAAATTATTATATATCCATATGCAGTAAGACCAAGAATTGAACAAAAATTACGTCCAAAACTATTATCCTCAAAAAATTATAAAATACCAACTTTCAATGCTATTAGTGTATATGGATTAGATATAATACGTGAAAAATTTGAAGAATATGGTTATATTCAATTATTTAATAATGATGATGATATAATTAAATGTGTTAGGTCATTATTAGAACTTATAGAAAATAGAGCCTTGGGTATAAAATCTGAGACCAAACAATCACTTTGGATAGAAGCTCAATTAATTTTAAAAAAGATTATTGAAAATTTAATTTTAAAAGATGAAATTAATGAGGAATTGTGGAGTTTAATTATCAAGAATTTATCACTCACATTTGTTTTCAACAGTGAAGAAAATCAATTGAGTTCAGAAGATGAGTATATAAAAATTCAACAATATAAAGAATCAAGTGAAATTATATTTCCAAAATTAATTAAAGATCAAAATAATATAACTTTTGAATTAATTGAGAATCTTTATTTAAATTCTTACTTATATGATTTAAATGAAGATGAAAAGAAAATAATTAAAATCAAAGATGAAAATGAACAAGAAATTATAGAATCAATAAATACATTAACATCATTTGATTTCAACAAGAATTTTGCTACAATTGAACCAATACATATTCTTCCAAATGAAAAAATTAGATTTAATTGTCTAGTAGAGTTATTTGAATCATTAAAGACATTAAATGCACATAAAGATGAAAAATTTAGATCCAAATTAGAATTGTATATCTTAAAAAGAATTAGTTTTAGTATAAGAAGAATTATATCAGATTTAAAAATATTAGGTAAAAAAAGACCATTACCAATAATACAAAATAAAGAAATTAATTTTATATTAAACCAACTTTTAGAATTGGAAAAAAATATTAAAACTTCAAAAAGTGAAAAAGAATTTAAAAAATTAAATAAATTAATAATTAAATTAATTCCTTATAATTATAGATTTAAAGATTTAGAGAATAATGAATGGATTAATGTATTACAAGATGGTAATGATAATGATGATGAAAAAGGTTAGAGAATTTCTTGTAATGAAACAAAATTACTTTCGTTTAATAAATGTAACAGTAATCCAATATTATGTAATTATCTTGTTTTCCATCGCTACCAACTCTATCAAATAAAGTTCGTAATTCTATTTTTAGATTTAATTTTTGACGTAAATTCACAAAAACAATATTTCAATTAAATATTAACATTGCTTCAACATTGATTAAATAATACTTGAATTCATAACATACTAACTATCAAACTTGAATCTTGGTATTAACGTTAAAAACTCAATCATTTACATTTTATAAATCACATAGATTTAATTCGTCTTAAAATTGATTTATTAAAATTTAGTAATTTGAGGCGCGGTAAATTAAAATTCTCTTGCATAAATAAATTTAATTTAAAATTATTATATTTATTATTATAATATACAATTTTGATTACATTAATTACAAAAAACTATTTAATAAATCAAATAAATAACAGAAAGAACCATAGATGCTTCTCGAGAAATAAGAAGGATATGAAAAGCTTTATTTGAAAGAAATTAAATATACAGATTTTTTTGCATTCATCTTAAATTTTATGTATATTGAATTAATAAAGAAAAATTATAACAAAAAACAAATTTAATTTAATTTAATTAATTCTTCGTAATTTGATATACACGTCCAAATTTTATTATTATATGATATAATAATCCAAGCTTGTACTATTCAAATTTTGAGAGCAATTGACACCAAGAAACAATTGACCACTATTGAAGCATTTCCTCAAAAATGAGTATCTCTAATCTATTTTTGTTTTATTAATTTCTAATGATCTGTTTTAAATTATCCATTTCAATTATTGTGTTACCTTTTAATTTATTTATTTAATTCTTATTTTGATTTATAACAAAAAAATTTTTTTTTTTTTTTTTTTTTTCTATTTGATCTGTTTGTTTAACTCTCTCTCTGTCTTTCTATCTCTCTCTCTCTCCTTTCAATTAAAAATTTGTATATACTAAAAATTATTATTAGTTTATTTTTTTTTTTACAACCAAATTTTTATTAATTTTATATCATCATTATCATCATTATCATCATCATCATTATCATTATCATCGACTTATACTTCAAGTCACATCATTAATTAATTAATCAATTCATTCGTTTATTTATTTTTCATTTTCATTTTTACGTTCATATTTTACATAATTTATACATTAATATTTGACAATTAAACACTTTTTCACTCACTTTTATTTGCATCAAAACTAAGGAATATAACTTTAGTTAAACTACCCTTAAATATACATACTTATAATGTCTTTTAATAGACCTAATACTAGTCCTCATAGAGGTTATAGAGAATTTGATCCTGAAACTGGTGATGGAATTGGTAGAAAAAAATCATTAGTTAGACCAGAAAGATCACGTTTAGATTCAAATCATCCAAGATATCATTATACTCAAATTACAAATCAAGAAAGTGATCATATTGTTGTACAACCTTCTTCTACTGGTTTAGATCCTCAACATTCAAATGATTTAGGTCGTTCAAGATCTCATTTAAGTTCATTTGTATCTGCTCAACCTCATCAATTTCAAAATCAACAACAACAACAACAAACAGATGATAATGAAGGTATACCATTGATGGAAATACATGATTCTTCACCTCAAAGTAGTCCAAATACTCAAGATTTAAAAGGTGGTAGAGAAATTTATGGATTAAATGATGAAACAAATGATTATGTTAATTCTCCATTAAAAAGTAAAGTTATATCAAATGGTTTACCAAGACCTCAAGTTCAAGGAACCAAAAGAAAAAATGGTAAAAAAAATAATATATATTTTTGGAAAGTTTATTGTTATGTTATAACATTTTGGGCTCCTCCACCATTACTTAGATTATTTGGTTTAAAAACAAAAGATAGACAATTTGCATGGAGAGAAAAAATTGGTTTAATTTCATGTATTTTATATATTGGTGCATTTGTTGCTTATTTAACTTTTGGTTTCACTAAAACTGTTTGTTCAACACAAAGAGTTAGAACAAGAATTAATGAAGTGAATAATGGATATTTAATTATAAATGGTAGAGCATTTGATTTAACTCGAGCTCAACATCCAGCAGCTGCTGGTATTGATGCAGGTACAAATATATTGTATCCACCTATTAATGCTGGTGGTAAAGATGCTTCTTTTTTATTTCAAAATGTTAATGGAAATTGTAAAAATTTAATTTTACCAAGAGATAATTGTACTATTCCATATAATAATGATAATGAATTAGCATGGTATATGCCATGTAGATTTTTCAGTCAAGATGGATCAGATTCTGTTAATAATACTGAAGTTTATTATAATGGTTGGGCTTGTCATACAAGTGAAATTGCTCGTAGAGCTTATTACAGTTTAAAAGTTAATGGTGATGTTTATTTTACTTGGGATGATATTAGAAATTCTTCGAGGAATCTTGTGGTTTATTCAGGTAATGTATTAGATTTAGATTTGATCAATTGGATTCAACATGATGATGTTACTTATCCGGATCTTTTTAATAAATTACGTGATGATCATACTTATCGTGGATTAGATATTTCTTTGGTCTTGACAAATCCTGGTGAACGTCAAGCAGCAAGATGTTTAACAGAGATAATTAAGGTTGGGGTTATAGATTCCGATACAATTGGTTGTATTGCTTCACAAATTGTTTTAATTGTTTCTTTGGTGTTTATTTTATCTGTGGTTGTCATGAAATTCGTTATGGCATGTTGGTTTAGATGGGTAACTTCTAGAAAACAAGGAGCTACCGAATATGATAATAAGACAATGGTTGCAAGAAATAAAGAAATTGAAAATTGGGTTGATGATAGTAATCCAGTAATTGGTAACCAAATAAAAACAGTTCCAGTTAAAGCAAGAGCAAATTATAAACCTACCAAAACCAATAGACAAAGTGTTTTCCAAAAGACTCAAAAACTTTCTTTAGGACCAAATGCTGATTTATCGCAATATTATGACAATCCAGATGCACTTTCCAAAACTTTCAAATATACAACAATGTCAACTCAAGCTGCATTATTAGGTAAAAATGGATATGGTAAAAAAACTCCCAAACTGGCACAACAATCTAACATTTACCTCAATGATCAAGGCTCATCCACTGACTTATTAAATCGTCCAGTTTCCACATATAATCCATTTGATGGATTTGAAGATACTATAGTTCATGGATTATCACCAGATATTATTCATCCAGATGTTGTACCACAACCACCAGTAGAATATCAACCATTTGGTTATCCATTAGCTCATACCATCAACTTAGTTACTTGTTATTCGGAAGATGCAGATGGTATACGTACAACTTTAGATTCAATTGCTACTACTGATTACCCAAACTCCCACAAATTGATCTTGGTCGTTTGTGATGGTTTAATTAAAGGTTCAGGTAATGATCAAACCACTCCTGATATTGTTTTAGATATGATGTCCGATTTAACTGTCCCAAGAAACGAAGTTGAAGCTTATTCATATGTTGCAGTTGCTCAAGGTAGTAAACGTCATAATATGGCTAAAGTTTATGCTGGTTTTTATGATTATAATGATGCTACAATACCACCTGAAAAACAACAAAGAGTTCCAATGATAACCATTGTAAAATGTGGTACACCAGAAGAAGCAAATTTACCAAAACCTGGTAATAGAGGTAAAAGAGATTCACAAATTATCTTGATGTCATTTTTACAAAAAGTTGTTTTTGATGAAAGAATGACTTCATTGGAATTTGAAATGTTACAAAGTATATGGAGAGTTACTGGATTAATGGCTGAATTTTATGAAATTGTTTTAATGGTTGATGCTGACACAAAAGTATATCCAGATTCTTTAACTCATATGGTTGCAGAAATGGTTAAAGATCCAATGGTTATGGGATTATGTGGAGAAACTAAAATTTCAAATAAGGCACAAACTTGGGTCACTGCTATACAAGTTTTTGAATATTATATATCACATCATCAAGCAAAAGCCTTTGAAAGTATATTTGGTGGTGTTACTTGTTTACCAGGTTGTTTTTGTATGTATAGAATAAAAGCTCCAAAAGGTTCAGACGGCTATTGGGTACCAATTTTAGCTAATCCTGATATTGTTGAAAGATATTCAGATAATGTTGTTGATACGTTACATAAAAAGAATTTGTTGTTATTAGGAGAAGATAGATATTTATCTTCTCTTATGTTGAGAACATTCCCCAAAAGGAAACAAATCTTCATACCAAAAGCTGCTTGTAAAACAGTTGTACCTGATAAATTCTTGGTGTTATTATCACAACGTAGAAGATGGATTAATTCAACAGTTCATAATTTAATGGAATTAGTTTTGGTAAGTGATTTATGTGGTACTTTTTGTTTTTCAATGCAATTTGTTATTTTTATTGAATTGGTGGGTACATTAGTTTTACCAGCTGCTATTTCTTTTACAATTTATGTTATTATAGTTGCAATTATATCAAAACCAACCCCAATTATGTCTTTAGTTCTTTTAGCTATTATTTTTGGATTACCTGGTTGTTTAATTGTTATTACAATTTCATCATTTTCATATATAATTTATTTTTTCATTTATTTATTAGCATTACCAATATGGAATTTTGTATTACCAAGTTATGCATATTGGAAATTTGATGATTTTAGTTGGGGAGAAACAAGAACTGTTGCTGGTGGTGATAAAGGAGATCATGGAGCAACTGAAGGGATTTTCGATGCTTCAAAGATTAAAATGAAAAGATGGAGAGAATGGGAAAGAGAAAGAAGATCAATTGAGAATACGAACAACCATAATAATCAAAATAATCCTTATGGTAATGGGAATGGATCTAGTTCAAGTAATAATAATCTAGCATTACCTTCTGCAGTTTGGGATCCTTCAAATAATGAAAAATTAATTGATGATTATTAGATATGAATTTAGTAAATTAAAAAAGTACAATATATAAATAGATTTAAAAGAAATGTACTTGTGTACTTGTAAATTTTATTGATTCTTAAACTACTTTGTGGCAAGAAACGATTGATAAAGAGGATAGCTGAAAAAGTGAAAACTTTAAAAAATTTGTGATCTATTAATTCTATACATAATATATACCTATTAATTGATAATTATTATTGATTTCTATTTTATAAATTAATTTCTTCGTCTAAATTAACAAAATTAATTTATTTTTGATTTTGTGTATAAACAAATTTGTATGCAGTATTAATGCTTTATACATTTTAAAATTTATTTTACATTCCATATTGAAGCTAGACCCTTATTATTAATTCCATCTTTGTTTTAAAAAGTAGATCTTTTGGGTTTTGAAAAGTTTTTTGCTATTTGATCAGCCTACTCATGAGTGGATTGATAACTTGGTAAGTTAGATTATTGATAACACCCTGTTCTGAGTCACAAATTCGAATTGATACTTGACATAATTTTATAATCAACGTTTTCTAGCCAAAGTTTTTTTATTCATATTTCGAAATTTTGATTGAAATGTAGGGCCGTAAAATAAATCACATTGATGAATAAGATCCAGTAGTAGTAGAAGAAGATCTAGAAGATGAAAAATTTGAATTTGATGAATTACTTGCAATACTACTTCTAGCACTGTTATTGGCTTTAACTTGATAAATATCTTTAAATTTTTTCAATCTCCATGTTGTTTTTAATTTGTTGATTTTTGGTTTGAATGCTGAATTTGGAGTTTCTAAAGCTACTAACATTTTAAATTATGAAATAGATTGAATTGAAGGAATTTATGTGAAAGATTTAATTTATGTGAAATTGTTCGTAAATTGTACTTAATGTTTATGTGAGTGAATAAACTTTGAAATAACTCAAAATTGGTAGTTTGATTGAAAAAAATAATGAATTGCAAATTGAAAATTTACAAATATAGAGCAAATTCAATTACATTTATACTTTCTTCAAATTAATTGATACAAATTTGAAAAATTTGTTTAAATTTCAGTTGAGTTTCATATTCTATTTTTAAAATTTTTTTCTTTTCTTATAAATGAAAATCACAAACAAATTACAAACAAAGTAAAAAAATTAGCCTAACTTACATATTTTTATTATTTGTTAATAAAGTAAATGTAATAAATGTTAAAATTTTAAGGAATTTAATTGTTTGCTCCCTTTATATTATTTGTTTAGATTTTTTAGATCAATTGATTTTAGTTCCTGAATTGTTCCATTTCTTAAGTTTTAAGTCAAAGAGCTGGAGTGCTTTTGCCCCTTATTTTGATCCTTGCTCATGGTCTGACATCTGGACCTTTGAAGAAGATGACAACCTTAAAAGAGTTTTGTAGTTCTGTAGTACCATAAGAAGGTAGTTATTTTGTAAATAAAACTAGTTTTTTCAATATGAAATTCTGAAATTTCGCAAAAATTAATTGGTGATTTAATGCATAATTAATTTTCCCTTGACCACTACAACACAGAGAAACGAGGTGAATTTTGTTTTCCAATCTAATTGATCAGCACATTTTTACTGAGTTATAATACATCTCAATATTTGAAGAAATTTGGGCGGAAATATTGAATTGCTTCTAGATCAATTAATCAGCGGAATTAATTTGTTTATAATTTGTTTTATGAATACCCCTTATCTTTAACATTTATTACATACATGAAAAGAATTGTTAAAAGATTTGAGAAAGGCAAAAAATGCTGTATTTCGTACCTTTACTAGATTGGTACTTCCCTACAAATTTTCTAGACCCTTTTTTTCCACAATTAAAAGGACTCCATTGAAAAAAATTTACTCCTATGATGCTGTTTTATTTTTTCGTCTAATTTATAAAAAAAAAATTTAAATTTCAAGAACAATAGAAATGTTTTTTTCGATTTATTTTTTTCTTGATTTAGTTAATACATAAAAATAATTTCTGTTATTTAGTAGTGAAAAATTGAAATAAATTCAGAATTAATTGATGTTCAACTGACCTTGATAATGCTTGAATTCAACAATTGAAGGATTATTCAGTAAATATTCAAGAATTAATCATTAGTTGAAAAAAAAAAGTCAAAACGAATTCTTTAAACTTAAGGTCGGATCAGTATTTAACCTTAAAGCCATGCGTTGATAATTTCAAAACCCTTATTATTTGCTTATTATTGTATTTTAAATCGAATATAAATTTGTTCTTTAATTAGGCTTAACTTACGTTCCGATAATTTACTGAAAAATACAAAATTGTTTTTTTAACTTCCATTTAATTTCCCGTAAACTATCCTACTAAATTTGTGCTATGAAAATTTATTATTGTGGTAAATTAATTTTCAACAATTTCATTCACACACTTTTGTCTTTACTTGTGATTTTGTACAAGCCATTTAAAAAATTAACCAATCATCCAAACCCTTTCGATTTGTAGCATTGTGAAGACTAAAACTTTTTAACAAATTACCGAATACTTAATATTTTTTGTACCTTTATTTTCATCATATTACTTCATCAAACTCGTATTATTTATTATGCACAAATAATGATGTAAAAGTTAAATCTTACCTTTTATAGACTAATGGAAACTAAAAACAACTAAAACAATCAATTCGTCTCATTAGTTCGAGTATTAAGGTTACATCATAGAATTAACTTAGACGAAATACAATAAAGACAATAAGATCAAAGCTCATCGATTTTGTTAGACTAAATTAGATTTGTCATTAGATTGTTTGTTATAGCACTTTTATTCCATTTTTTCTTAGACTCCCCCCAAAACATATCATTCTACTATTCAAGAACGTAAGCATAATTTTTATCAAACACAACTCTATTTTATAACTTTAATTACTTTTTCACTACTGAGAAATGCAAAGTCACTTGAAATTCCCAAGAATTCGAAAAATTTGTTAGCTCCTCGACTTCCTACGTAAACTTAATTATTTTCTTCATGCTGAAGTAAAACATTAGCTGCATTTTTAACTCTTTAAAGATCTGTCTCAATCAAACTCACGAATATCACAGGAGCAAAGAGTTTTGGATTATAAAATTTTTCGAAAGGCAATTACTGAAAAAAAGTTTTAAAATGTTTTATATGCAGAATCATGCAACAACAAAGAAACAAAATGAAAATTTAGAGTTTTATAAATATATTCAAGAGAAATCGAAAAAGATCAGAAATAATTTCATATAACAGTAAAAATGTAAATTTATTAAAATAACTTAAAAAAGAATTATTATAAAAAAGTTAAAGTATAAAAAATGATATTTGATATAAACTACTTTATAATAAAAGTTTATAAAAATGGTTTTTTTTTTAAGAATTGAAAATGTAAACGTTGGATTTGAATGAAGAAAGGAATTAAAAATCAATCTAGTAATTTTTTTTTGGGGAACAACCATTGATCTGCAGCCAATTAATTATTCTTGTGGTGATGGGATTGATATTGAATCTAATAGTTTCTTCTTTGTTTTAATGAACCAGCAGCTTGGTTAGCAGCACTGACTAATTGATTTAAGTTAGCAGCTAAACCATTAGTATTTACAGCAGGAGCAGCGGCAGCAGTAGTAGTACCATATTTAGTAACTAATGAACTTAAAGCATTAGCATTGGTAGCTGGAGTAGCAGCAGCAGCGGCAGCAGTAGTGGTTGGTTTAACTGAAGTAGTAACAGCAGCGGCAGCAGCAACTGAAGTGGTTTTAACAGCAGAAGCAGCTGGAGCAGCAGCAGCAGCAGAAACTGATCTAGCAGTAATAGCACTTGATAATGAACCTGAAGCATTATTAATGTCTGAAGCAGAAATTTGACCACTTGATAAAGCATTACCTAAGAATGAAGCAATTGCACCAGCCCAAGTACCAGCATTAGCTTGAATGTATGATAAAGCAGAATCCCATAATCCTGAAGATTTAGCCCATGAGTATACATCTTCAGCAACAACTAAACCAGTTTGGAAAGCTGAAGTTAAGAAATTAATTGAAGCAGCTGGATCAGCAATAACTTTGTTTACTAATGATTGCACTATTCCTGAGTCTGAAATTTCTTGAACGATCCAACCAATAATTGAAGCTAAATCTCTTTTATCTAAATATTCTGAACCATCAATAATTTCTCTTCTAGATTTGGCAGTGGCAGCGGCAGCAGCAGTAGTAGTAGTACCTGATGATGATCCACCTGATAACCATGAAGTAATTAAATTAACAGCAGTACCAAAAATTGATTTGGCAACATCTAAGAAAGCGTTTCTTAAATCAGTATCATTTAAAAATTTGTTGAAAATAGTTCCTAATAAACCTGAATTCCAAACAGCTTCAATTAAAGCTGGACCTTGAACAACAGCAGTTTGAATAGCAGCTTGAATAATGTTTTGTAAAGTAGTTGTGATAGCTGGATTTGTAGTTAAAGCAGTCCAAACATCATTTATTATACCTGAATTTGCTAAAGCAGTAATTAATTCACCTAAAACTGAATCAGCTCTTTTATCATGTTCAATTAATTCATCACCTTCTAAAAATTCTCTTTTAGCTTGATGAGCTTTTAATTCTTTTAAAATGGCTAAAACATCATTAATATCTTCTCTTTTGACCATAGTTTGTTCTGAAACAATAGCTGGAGCAGCTGAAACGAAAGTTGATGATGCTAAGACAGCAATTAAAGTGGCTTGAGTAAATTTCATTTTATGTGATTGTGGTTGTTATAAAGTTGTTGTTGTAAAATAATTAAAAAACGAGTTATGAATGTAAAACTTGAAGTTTTTGTAGTTGGTAAAAGCTGATTGATTTGCTTGTTGATGATAATAAAAAAAGAAATAAAATTGAAAACTTGAATAATTCAGGAATTGATAAATGATTTATATAATTTTGGAATTGTAAAAACTCATTATTAGGTATAACATTTTTTAACTAAATTTGATGAACTAAAAATTTGTAAAACAATAATTTAAATTGACATATTAAATTTTTAATTTTATTACTTTACTGTTTTAGGAAATTTCAGATTTATGAGATTTTGTGTTCCAAATTTTATATTCTTTTGATGGAAAAAAAATTTATGTATTAAATTTAAGAAGAAAACAAACCATACATTCAAAGACATTTTTGCTTAATTTGTGGGTGGTACAATAACTATTTTAAACTTTTATTACTTTTTCTTTTTAATTACTCCTCTTGAATAAAATTTAACTGTTGAACCAAACTAGTTTTAGTAAAATGATACAAATCATTTTTTATTGTTGTTTCAGAACAAAATTATTTTAGTTTATGATTAATAATTTGTTATTCATCTCTTGTCTCTCAATCATAATTAATAATTTGTGGGTCATTATTACATTGTTTGTTGATATCATTTTAGTCTTTGACTTAATTACGAAAAACGTTGTTGCGGAAAGTAAATATGAGACGTATTTATTTTTACATCAACAACTTGGAACAATCAAAGTCTAACAAATATTCATTTTGATACTACATCATATATAAGCGGTCAATTCCTTAAGATGACACTCTAATTTATGACTACTCTCTTAATTCGAGTAACAATAATTTAGACATATACTCCACTTTTTTTTGTTTAAATCATTAAATTTTTTATTTGAGCCCTGATTTAAAATTCAATAAATTTTTAGTTTCAGCATATGTACTATGAAACTTGCCAAGATTTGAAAATATTATTAAATGCATCTAATAAAATATCAAAAAAAATAGATCAAAATTAGAACAAATAATAATTTTAAAGGAGTAGAAATCAAAATGTAACTAGAAGAAGGAAATAGTAATAAAAAAAAATGTCAAATTATAATTTAGGCTAAGGTTAGTTAATTAAAAGTCAATAAAAGTCAATAACCATGAAATTCTTAAAATCACAGAAAATATTACATTTAGTCGTTATGAAACTGTATATTCAATCAAACTCCTAAAAACAGTTAGAAGTATTAGGAATTATTGACAACTATAAAATTGGTTAGGTTTAAGCAAAACTCCACAAAACTTTTAAGTAATTTCCGCCTTACTTCGACTGAAATTTTTGATTAGTTTAATGCAATTAATTTATTCTTTGTAAGGTTCTAATTGAATCTGACTAATTTTGTGGTACTAAATATCTATTTTAATTGAAGGTTATAATATTGTGTCATAATTTTAATACTTAATATGGTAGTCTAATAGTTAATAAAAATTTGTACCTAAATATGAGGCATCAAAAATTTATTAAATATGCTACAAACGCGTCTATAATATCTCTTTATATAACCAGATGCAGTTAAATTCAAAGATCACTGTATTCCCTAGAACTCTTCAATAAATGAAAGAATTAGACGATCATTCTATCAATTTTACGACACACCGAGATTTTCTGTATTAGAACAGATTAATATCCAAGAGGCATTAGTTGAATTTGAGCTCGAATCATTATGACTTTCACTCCCAACAAAAAGCCACTTCTAGCCAAATAAATGAATCAAAATGATTACTCACTCATTTCTTCGTAAAATCCAATGAATATTACGCTCATACTTTTCAACTATAAAAGTTTAATTTAAATTGTAATTATAAAATTGTGTAATGGTTTGTATAATCATAAATAAGTCTAAATTTAAAAAAGAGTGGTTGATTTGATTTCTAAATCAAAGAACGTTCATATAAAGGATTCTTTAATTGTGTGGTGTACGAACTTATACAATTAAAGTAAAAAGGATAATGGTACTTCAATAATCAAACGTTTATAATACAACTGTTGAAGAAATTTAGACCCTATTTAATTTTGTACGACCCTTTTAAAGGGAAATTGTTGGTTTTGTGTAATTTATTTAAGTTTTTGCTATTTAAAATATTTACGAGATAAAAAAAAAAGAAAATAAAAAAATAAATATTTATTACTATAAATAGAAATAATTTGATTTGTATATTGTATTGTTGTTAGAAATTTGAAATTATATAATGTATAAATTGACTTGTTTTTTATGAAATCAAACGTTTCTTACTTTGATTTTTTAGCCTTTTTTTGATGACTGTATTATATCAATTGGAATCAAATTAACTCTCGATCCATCAATAATATTACAAGTTAGGTAGTTTAATTTATTGTCCCAATCAAGATCTCAAATTATTTGGGCTCAAATTTTTAACTGTAGAAGGAGCACGTAGTATCTTGTTTAGAGAAGTAAACTAAAACATAGAGCCGATTTATACCTCCACTTCAAGTTCACAGAATGGTTGTGAGATAAATCTAAACTTACCAAACTATAAATCGTTACTTCTTCATTAAATCATGCACTAACCACAAAATAAGCGTTAAGTGGAATTAGCAATTAAGAAAAAATTTCTTTTATTTCCCAACTCCTCGACCCCACTTAAAAATTTGAAACAAAACATGACAAAATTCATGTCGCTCAAAAATGATTTTCAATACCAAATGACTTACTAAATTTTACGAGTTTTTTGTTGTTATTGAAAACAATTGATGACTGTTTAATTATTTTTGAAATTTACGAGCACCATAAATTTATAAGAATTTTAAAGAAACTCTTTTAAATTAATGTTGTGATCTTCAAATTAAATTCTATTGTTCAACTTTTTAAATTATTTTAATTCAATAGAATTACCTTTAAGATTACCATTAACTGAAAAAGTATTGAGCCTAAATTGGAAATGAATTTAAATAATGTAACGGCTTAAAACTATGTTTCATTATTTTCATTTAAGAAAACTGTCAAAACTTTGATATATTTTCTTTACTGTTGGGGTAACCCCCTTTAAAAATTTACAATTTGTTTAATATTTCTTACGAAATCAACTGGAACCACAACTTGCAATTTACTTGCCCCTTTTATGAATAAATAATTTAAGTTTTGATTTCATAACTATAACGTTATTTTGACAGTAAGATATTGATTCTTAATTTTTTAAAAGTAGGATAGTATTCAAACAATAGTTTGTCATATCTCAAAAACATTGAATAAGCTTAAACTTTTATTCTCCATATCTCAAACAGTAACTTAAATCATACAAAATCTCATAGAAAACATTTTAAACATAAAGTCAAAAATTTCTCCACAAATTCTTAGTTAATTCATCAAAAAATATTTTATCAGAATAGAGTATCGCTACTTTTCGTCAAATGCTTCTGCCATTATAGGACAGTCAAACAACAACAAGCTTTTTAGATTATCAAAAAATAGGAACATACCAAAGAGGCAGTCATCGAAATTAAGTTTCTGTTAAAGGGTCTTGTTGTATAAAATTTAAGTTTCTCAAGCTAATCTTTCAAATGTTACTTTAACAAAATACAAAAAAGTTGCCCATTCAAGCAAGCATCTTGAATAGGAGGGTATATATCTGAATCAGTAACAGTCTGCAGTACAAATTGTCATTTGGTTTGCGTGCTTTGTTCGAATCTAACCAGAATTTCCTTAAACAACTTGAAACATTTTTGAGGTTTTGATAAATGATTAAAGTGATTGACTGAACATAATAGTTGAAGCTAAATTTTTGGATATTAATTTCAAAAGTTAGAGCCAAAGTTGTTGTTTGTTAAGCTCAACTTAGATTACACAGTTTGTGGAGTAAATTGTTTGATTTTTGCATTGATTCACCGCCAATTTTACAGAAAAAAACCCGTTATTTTCGTAAATTTTTTTTTTTAAATAGTAAATTTGGTCATAAAAGTCCCATATTAAATTTGGAACATCTTTAACAGTGTTTGAAGAGAGTAGAGAGTCCAATTCTATAACTATCGATAAATTTGTATAGAAGTAAATTTACATATCTATCAAGAATTGAAACGGTTTCACACCTGCACATAAAGTTGACGTAACAGCCTTATTAAAAATTATTATTTTTTTTTTCTTTTTTTAAACGTTTTTTTTTTTTATTTATATAGTAAGGTAGACCAAATTTTTATTTGAAATCTAATAAGTAATAATCAGTCAAAGGCAGCGAAAGATGTCGTAAAACAAAGTATTGAGCTCTTCATTCGTACCATTGATACCAGCTTGTAGTTTTCTGTGCTGCTAAGGATTACAATTGATTCGAATTTAATTTGATACTTACTTTTTTTCTTGATTTGAAACTGGTCTTACATTAATGTCACAAAGTACCGAAAATTTTTCACGCACACCATGTTTTTATTATAATTTGAACTAAATCAATGTAGTAGATAAAGAGTCAAGTTAAAATGTAAAAATTTCATAAGCTTATCAAATAATAATTTTAAAATTTAAAAATCTTATGTTTAAAAGAAGAAATTTTTTAAATTTATAATTTATTTTTGAATTTTTGCATTAATTGTTTTATCAACCTTTTCAATTCATTAACCTACTAAAGTATTTTATTCACTTATCATTCAAGATGAGTGTTGTTCAAGAATCTACCACCACAGGATCAAATATCAATGATGAAACAACTTCAACAATACAAAGATCAGGTAATGTTGCATCATTTACATCAAGTCAAACATTTACAAAAAATTTATCAACAATTGATACAAATGGTAAAGTTTTTAATGTTCCTGATTATTCAATAAAAGAAATATTACAAGCCATTCCAAAACATTGCTTTGAAAGATCATTAGTTAAATCTTTTAGTTATGTTATTAGAGATATTGTAATGATGGTTTTAATAAGTTATATTGGTCATAAGTTTATTCCAAAAATTGAATTTGAAAACCAAACTTTGTCTGTTGTTACCAGAAGTATTGCATGGATGGTTCAATCATATTGTATTGGTTTATTTGGTTTTGGGTTATGGATTTTAGCTCACGAATGTGGTCATGGAGCATTTTCAGATTATCAAAACATTAACGATGTTATTGGGTGGGTATTACATTCTTATTTAGTTGTTCCATATTTTTCATGGAAATTCAGTCACGCAAAACACCACAAGGCAACTGGTCATTTAACAAAAGATATGGTTTTCATTCCATACACCAAACAAGAATTTTTAGAAAAAAATCAAGTTGATAAAATTTCAGACATAATGGAAGAAAGTCCAATTTGGTCATTTGGTACTTTAGTTTTTCAACAGTTAGGTGGTTTACAATTATATTTAGCTACTAATGCCACTGGTCAAGTTTACCCTGGTTATTCAAAAATTGGTAAATCTCATTATACTCCATCATCACCTGTCTTTGACAAGAATCAATATTGGTATATTATTTTATCAGATATTGGAATCATCACTACTTTTTTTGGGGTATATCAATGGTATAAAAATTTTGGATTATTTAATATGATGATTAATTGGTTTGTTCCATGGTTGTGGGTCAATCATTGGTTAGTTTTTGTTACATTTTTACAACATACTGATCCAACAATGCCACATTATACTGCAAAAGAATGGACTTTTGCTCGTGGAGCAGCAGCAACAATTGATCGTAATTTTGGATTTGTAGGTCAACATATTTTTCATGATATTATTGAAACTCATGTTTTACATCATTATGTTTCAAGAATACCATTTTATAATGCAAGAGAAGCAACTGAAGCCATTAAAAAAGTTATGGGTGAACATTATAGATACGAAGGTGAATCAATGTGGAAAAGTTTATGGAAAGTGATCAGACGTTGTCAGTATGTAGATGACGATAAAGAAGATGCTAAAGGAGTGTTGATGTTTAGAAACGTTAATGGATTAGGTGCTAAACCGAAAGATTAGTAGATTATAGAAACTTTATATATGGTTTAATAGAGGTTTATTTTTTCATAAGAACAATTAAATTACGGGCTTTGATTATTTAAAGCAATAAAAACCTTTCTTTCCTCTAATGTTCACTTTATTTGGCAGACTACGTAGACCTTGTAAAACCATAGAAAGTGTTAAAGTTGTTGCAAAATTTTGGTTGTAAAATTGAACTCATTTGGTAGTTTAATCGGCTTTAAATCATACTATCAAAAAATTTTTCAGATCAAACTTTGAAACAAGTATTTGCAACTAATCACCACCACTTCCACCACACATAAAACGATGACGAGTCTTCTACGTGGTATCTGTAAAATTTCAAGACATACCAGATTCATCAATCCAACACCAATAACACATATCAAAAATTTCCAAACATCATTTCGTACACATAATGACCTTAAACAAAAACAACCAGAAACTTATGAAGAAGAAAAAGTTATAATAGATGAAATTATACAGAACTCAACACCTGAAGATATTCAATCTTCCAAAATAATGAGAAATATTGGGATTTCAGCACATATAGATTCTGGTAAAACTACATTTACAGAACGTGTTTTATTTTATACTGGTAGAATTAAGGCAATTCATGAAGTTAGAGGACGTGATTCGGTTGGAGCTAAAATGGATCATATGGATTTGGAAAGAGAAAAAGGTATCACCATCCAATCTGCCGCAACTTATTGTTCTTGGGATAAAGATAATCAAGCTTATCATTTTAATTTAATTGATACTCCAGGACATATTGATTTTACAATTGAAGTTGAAAGGGCATTGAGAGTATTAGATGGTGCAGTATTAGTGGTTTGTGCAGTTGCAGGTGTTCAATCTCAAACAGTTACAGTTGATAGACAAATGAGAAGATATAATATTCCAAGAATTACTTTTATAAATAAAATGGATAGAATGGGATCAAATCCATGGAAAGCAATTGAACAAATTAATTTGAAATTGAAAATGCCAGCGGCTGCCATACAAGTTCCAATTGGTGCTGAAGATCAACTACAAGGTGTGGTTAATATTATTGATCGTGTTGCTTTATATAATGAAGGTCCACAAGGTGAAACTATTAGAAAAGCCGAAGTACCAGAAAATTTGAAGGATTTAGTAGAAGAAAAAAGAGCATTACTTATAGAAACTTTAGCTGATGTTGATGAAGAAATTGCTGATATCTACTTGGAAGGTGAAGAACCAAGTGTCGAACAAATTAAACAAGCTATAAGACGTGCAACAATCGGTAGAAAATTCACTCCTGTTTTAATGGGTTCAGCATTAGCAAATAAAGGTATACAACCAGTTTTAGATTCAGTTGTTGATTATTTACCACAACCAAATGAAATTTTAAATACTGGGTTAGAAATTCACAACGATGGTACTGAAACACCAATTAATTTAATTCCTTCAAGTACTGCTCCATTTGTTGGGTTAGCTTTTAAGTTAGAGGAAGGTCCATATGGTCAATTAACTTATATCAGGGTGTATCAAGGTAAGTTAAAAAAGGGAGCTTATATGACTCATATAAAAACTGGTAAAAAAGTTAAAGTTTCAAGATTAGTAAGAATGCATTCAAATGATATGGAAGATGTTGCCGAAGTCGGTAGTGGTGAAATATGTGCTACTTTTGGTATTGATTGTGCCTCTGGTGATACTTTTATTGGACAAGGTTCATCAAAACAAATTGCAATGAGTTCAATGTTTGTACCTGAAGCAGTTATATCATTAAGTATTGCCCCTAAAACTAAAGACAATGGTGCTTTTTCCAAAGCAATGAATAGATTCCAAAAGGAAGATCCTACTTTTAAAGTTCATTATGATTCTGAATCTAAAGAAACTATCATATCAGGTATGGGTGAATTACATTTAGAAATTTACGTTGAAAGAATTAAAAGAGAATATGGAGTTGATTGTATAACTGGTAAACCACAAGTTGCTTACAGAGAAGCTATAACTTCTTCAACACCATTTGATTTTACACATAAAAAACAATCTGGTGGTGCTGGTCAATATGGTAGAGTTGTTGGAGAAATGAAACCTATAGAAGGAGAAAATAAATTTGAAACTCAAATTGTTGGTGGTAAAATTCCTGAAAAATTCTTATTGGCATGTAATAAAGGATTTGATGATTGTTTGGAGAAAGGTCCATTAATTGGTCATAAAGTTTTAGGTGTGGATATGTTAATTAATGATGGTCAAACACATGTTGTTGACTCTTCCGAATTAGCATTTAGAACTGCAACCCAAGGAGCTTTCAAACAAGCATTTTTAAACGCTTCTCCAGTTATATTAGAACCTATAATGAATGTTGAAATAACAGCACCAAATGAATTTCAAGGTTCTGTAGTGGGATTAGTTAATAAATTAGGTGGATTAATTAATGAAACAGTAAATGGTCAAGATGAATTTACAGTTACTGCTGAATGTTCATTGAATTCAATGTTTGGGTTTTCAACTAATTTAAGAGCATGTACTCAGGGTAAAGGAGAATTTTCTTTGGAGTTTTTGAAATATTCTCAAACTAGTCCACAATTACAAAAACAATTAATTAATGAATATGAAAAAGCTCAAGCAAATAAAAAATAGAATTAAGTATTGTAAATAGACTTATACTTGTAAATACAAAGTACTTTTCAGTATACATTACTGCTGAGAAGATTACTTAAGGAAGCAAACATATATGTAGATTTTTTTGACTTAAAAACATTCTGACGCACTTCAGAACTTGTACAATCTTTTGATTTTTACTACAGCATTTAAAAGCTGATAGCTAGTTTTGAATTGATGATGAGCTTGTCTCTGGAAAATTTAGGTTATCGAATTTTTATTAGAGAGCTTTTTTATATATACTTTGGATAAAAACCAGAATGTTGAACCTCCAACTCAACCCAAATTTTCAGAAATTATCTAAACATTCTATATGGGTGTCATAATATTCTTCAGAAAAAAGTAAATGTAATTTGTATGGGGCGTAGCTTACCTTTCCTTAGACTTTCTGGTGACTATTAGCCAATGAAAGTATAATTCTGGTTCATGACCCCGATTGAGAAAATTATGTCTTGCTCTCGTTTGACTCGCGTTAAATTTCTAGCGGAATCATAGACCAAATATACAATGAGTATTGTTCAAACAAATTACATTCACAATTTAAAAGAGATTCTAGCAAACTTACTCTGGCCAAGATCCCATCTCAGTTATTTATGATTCGTAACTAACTATGCGATACTAGTATTGTTTCTAATAAATTAATATAGGAATTTTGCAACAGTAAGAAGATTCTACAACAAAAATAATTTCGTAATTTTTATATTATTTTTATATTCTTTGATATATACCGACTATATATAAAGTATTGGAGTGGTTATAATGAGGAAAATGATGAATAAAGTGATATGAATGAATTGTAATCTCGAAAATTTATAATCTTGATAGTCGAACAAATTTTCTCCCAATTTGTTTTAAAATAATAAAAAATAAAAGCTAATACACAGATGGAATTGTTGAAGTTTTGATGATCTATTTATTGGAACTTCTTATGGATTGTAGTTAAGTTGTTGAGGAATATGAAATTTAAGCTTTAGCTAATGCTTTTTTAGTGGTATATCTTCTTTGTTTTTTTAAGATCATTACTTGGAATCTTTCAAAATCACTTAATTCTCTTCTTCTTTCTTTAGCAGCTAATTTTTTAGCCCAAGCTGATGAAGCCCATTTTGAATCAACATCTGAAGCACTCCATTTTTTTTGAACAGTTGAAGTTCTAGCACCTCTTGGTAAGTTTTCTAAAACAATAGGGGTAAGGGTGATTTTAGCTAATGAAATGGCTTGTCTTGGTACTTTTGGACCATCAATCAATACTCTTTTTTGATCAATAATTTCAACAATAGTTGCAAGATCTTTATTATCAACTAAGACAATACGACCTACTTCAACAAATCTCCAGTTGGCTGCTTTGACGGTTGATGACATTTTTGTATATGAGTAGTGTTTTATTAATTGGTTGGATGTATGATTGTATTAAAAATTTGATGATAAATTCTTTCTACTATAATCTTTTGAAAAATTAATTTTTTTGCTAGTACAAAGAGAGAGAGAGACATTAATGAAAGAGAGAGAGAGAGTTTTTTTATTAGTACTAATAAATTTAAATTACACAAAAATTAGTTTATGTTTATACTACAATTACAAAGTTAATTAAATGACACGTGCAAATCACATTTATAAGCTATAAAATAGGGTTATCAACTCTTTATTGATCTACTTAAAATATCACCAATTTATAGAAGAGCTGATAGCTTTCTAATTTATCATACAACAACAACAACAACAATAATAATAATAACTAAGGAGAAGATCATTTGTGTGAATAATCCAGTCCATTATCATCTTAATAATTGATTGTTTAATTTCCACATAGTTGATCAAACAACACGTTAATTAATTTGTTGTACCTTTCAATTTCAAATTTCCAATTTTAATGATGACTTATAATTTGCGTTCTAGAGTAAATACATCCGAAACACGCCTAGTTTCATTATGGAGTAGATACATTATGCGACCATTTTTAACGACTGACGATTGGAAATTTGTTATGTAAGCTATTGAAAAATTTAGAACCTAATTTTACAGCCCATTTAGAGGACCGTTTATGATTGAAAAGAGTAGTCAAAATATCCTTTTCTAGCTCTTATCATAGACTCGACCAAGTCAAATTACGTTTATCATACTTTGATTCAAAAATTATTCTATTACTTTGTTCGATAAATTCTTGTTTGGTGTATTTCCATTAATATCTCGTAAAAAATAATATTATGATTCATAATTTTTGAAACATCACGGTACACATTCAATTACAACTAAGTGTATGCTATCAAAGCCAAGGTTGTTTTTATTCTCAAGAGCAATGTCACAACAAATACCAATAAAAGCACCAGTTAAACAACCAGAATGGCATCGACCAAAAGATCTATCACCGCCAACAAAATTAAAAATATATAATTCATTGACTCGTACTAAAAACGAATTTATACCAATTAAACCGGGTCACATTACTTGGTATAGTTGTGGACCCACAGTATATGACCACTCACATATGGGTCATGCAAGAAACTACGTTTCTACAGATATTTCAAGAAGAATATTACAAGATTATTTTGGTTATAATGTTAAATTTATACAAAACGTTACTGATATTGATGATAAAATTATTATAGCAGCACGTCAACAATATTTATTTGATGAACATATCACCAAAAGGTATAAAGAAATCAATGATGAATTAAAAGAAAAATCCAATACATTTTTAAAATTTTATGTCTCCAAAAATATACCTGAATTTAGTGGTGAAATAGATGAATTTATCAATTGGTCTAAAACCGTTAATGTAGAAGAAATTAAAATTGCAAAACCAAAATTTCCAATGTATTTAAATGCAGCTACAAAAGCATACGAGGCAATCACCAACGAAAATATTTCATTTGATCACTATTTGTTGGGTATCAAAGATATTGCTGTTGTTTCTTTGGATAAGGAATATGGAGCTTCAGTGACTGATCCAGAAATTTTTAAAAAATTACCAGCTTATTGGGAAAATAAATATAATGAAGATATGTTGAAATTAAACGTTTTACCCCCAACATTCACCACAAGAGTTTCTGAATATATTCCAGATATTATTGAATATGTTGAAAAAATTATATCAAATGGTTACGCATATAAAACAGATGATGGTTCAGTTTATTTTGATACAATTAAATATGAAAATTCAAAACATGATTATGCAAAATTACAACCATGGAATAAAGGTGATATGAGTTTGATAAATGATGGAGAAGGATCTTTGAGTAGTGGTACATCAAAACGTAATGCTAGTGATTTCGCTCTTTGGAAAAGTTCAAAACCTGGTGAACCATCTTGGCCCTCAATTTGGGGAAAAGGTCGACCAGGGTGGCATATAGAATGTTCAGTCATGGCCTCTGATTTAACTGGAAGTACTATGGATATTCATAGTGGTGGTATTGATTTATGTTTCCCTCATCATGATAACGAATTAGCTCAATCTGAAGCATATTTTGATAATAATCAATGGGTTAATTATTTTATGCATAATGGTCATTTACACATAGAAGGACAAAAAATGTCAAAATCCCTAAAAAATTTTATTACAATCGAAGAAGCTTTAAAGGAGTATACACCAAATCAATTAAGATTGGTGTTTTTACTAAATCCATGGGAAAAACCTTTGGATTTTAAAGATTCACTTATAACTGAAGTTAAAACAGTTGAGTCTACATTCAATAAGTTTTTCACGATTGTTCATGCTTTACAAAATGAAAATAACAATAAAGTACAAAATGGAGAATTTGTTTCCAAAAGAGTTACTGATTCAGAAAAGCAGTTATATGAACAATTGGAAAATGCACAAGATCAAATTGATGTTGCATTTAAAGATAATCTTTCGAGTGGTTCCGCTATTAAAGTGTTGATAAATTTAATTGGTTCTGCTAATAGCTATATACAAGCAGCTAATACTGGTTCAATTGAATTAAAAATTGAAGTTTTATCACAAATTGCTAATTATATAACAAAAATCTTAAATATCTTGGGTTTAGAAACAAAAGATAATACAAAAGAAAGTTCAAACGATGTTGATGTTGCAATAAAATTATTATCACAATTCAGAGATAAAATACGAAATTTTTCCATCAATAAAGCAGATTCCAATGAATATCTTAAAGCATCAGATGAACTTAGAAATCAATTGATTAATATTGGAGTATCATTAGATGATAGACCAGATGGTTCAGCATTAATAAAATATATTAATGAAACTGAAAAACAACAGTTAATTGAACAACAAGAAACTAAATTAAAACAACAAAAGGAAAAAGAAAATAGAAAAAAACAATTAGCAGAAATTGAAGCAAAAAAGGAACAAGAAAAATTAAACAAAATGAAAACTCCTCCATCAGAACTTTTTAAAAATGATAAATTATATAAAGAATATGATGAACAAGGTATACCAACAATTGATGTTAATGGAGAAGAAATAAGTAAAAGTATGAAAAAAAAATTAATGAAACAATATCAACAACAAGAAAAACTTCATAATGAATATTTAAAAAAAGTTGGAGATGAAGAAATAAAAATGTAAATAAAATTTAATAAAAAAGAAGCCGCATTATTTTCTCTATTTTTAGAATGCTGTAGGAGCCGCACGTTATTTTCCCACTTTAGCTGTGCTATGAGCCTCACAACATTTTCTTCATTAGGGACACTGAATAAGCCGCACTATTATATCTTATTTTAGAAATATTAGAACGCGTCTTCAAGATAATTTATTTAGTTTGTTTATTATCAGTTTTACAACAGAAATATTTACTGCCAATATAATAATATGGGTAGATTAATTGGATTGGAACTATACAACTTCAAGTCTTACCGTGGAAAATCTGTAATTGGATTTGGTTCATCGAATTTCATATCAATAATAGGTCCGAATGGATCTGGGAAATCAAATATGATGGATGCAATTTCATTTGTATTAGGATTAAATTCAAAAGAATTAAGATCACAAAAAATTACAGATTTAATTTACAGAGGCAGAAGAACTTTAGGGGATGAAGATGTTACTACAGATTTGGAACAAAATCCAACAACAGCTTATGTTTTAGGTACTTATGAAAAGGATGATGGAGAAATTTTAAGATTAAAAAGATCAATTAATTTATCAGGTCATAGTGATTACCAAATAAATAATAATTCAGTTACAAGGTTGAATTATGTGCTGTTTTTAAAACTGCTTAATATATTAATCAAAGCAAGAAATTTTCTAGTTTTCCAAGGAGATGTTGAACAAATAGCTTCTCAGAATTCTAAAGACTTAACTTCATTAATTGAACATATCAGTGGATCAAATGAATTTGTAACTGAATTCGAGAAACTAAAAGAAGAAATGGAAAAAGCTCATGAAATCACCAATGGAGTATTTTCAAGAAAAAGAACTTTAAATTCAGAATCTAAACAATATAAAGAACAAGCTGACGAACAAAGATTATTTGAAAAAAACCTTGAATTAAGAAATAACACAATAAAAAAGCTTTATCTATACAAATTATTTCACAATGAACAAATTACTGAAACAGTAAACAAAGAAATAAGAATTCAAAATGAACAACTTAATCAATTGAAAAAAGACCTCACCACTAAGGAAAAAACTTTAAAATCATTAGCATCTGAATATTCCAGAGAAGTTCTTGAATTAAGAAAACAACTCAAGGAAGTGGAAGAATCAAAATCCAAGATTGAACAAACTAAAAGAAAAATAATACCCATTGAATCAAATCGATCATCTTTAGTTTCCAAAATAAATTCACAAAAGAAGAAAGTTAACAATCTTGAAGTTGATATTAAATCACAACAATCACAAATTTCAAATCTTCAAAAAGAACTAAAAGATTCTCAAAAACTATTCGACAACTTTGAAAATAAAATAAGAGAATCTATAGCAGCATCATCATCGTTAAATATTCCAGAAGAAGCTCACAAAGAGTATGAAAAATTAAGATCAGAGTATTTAGCATCAGAAGGATCCAGTTTGGAAGATGAAATAGCTTTGTTGGTGAATGAAAAAGATACATTAACTTCAAGTGAAACAAGTTTAAATAATCAAAAATTAAATGCATTGAATAGAATTCAAGAATTAACTACCACCCTTAATTTAGAAGTAAAATCAAATTTAAATGATATAGATAATGAAATTGAAATGGTGGTTGCTAAAAAAGTTGAGAAAGCAGAATTAAGAAATAAACTAATAAAACAAAAAGATCTATTCAATCAAAAGGAATTACAATTAAATACCAAATTAAGAGACGCTTTATTAAACTTAGAAGATTTATCATCTCAGCAACGTGAATCAAATAAACAAAAAAAGTTGAGGGAAAATGTTAGTGTATTCAAACGTTTACTTCCACCAGGATCAATAAAGGGATTAGTACATGAATTAGTCAAACCTTCAGAACAAAAATATGAATTGGCTTTGCTGACTTTATTAGGTAGAAATTCAGATTCTATAATTGTTGAATCAGCATCAATTGGTTATAAATGTATTGAAATTTTAAAAGAAAGAAGAGCTGGTGTTGCTACTTTCATTCCCTTGGACTCAGTTGGATTTGATCCCGTGAATTTAAATTACCTAAGATCAATTAATAATGACGTTGTGCCAGGTTTTGATATAGTCGATCTTAATGATAGATCAATAGAACCAGCAATTAATTTTGTTATTGGTGATGCATTAGTTGCAAAGGATATAAATGTTGCAAGATCATTGAGATGGGATTCCACTAAACAAATTGATAATAAGATAGTTACTTTACAAGGATCAGTAATTCATAAATCGGGTCAAATGACAGGAGGTGCTCAAATTCAAAAATCCTCCGCAAGTCTTAGTTGGGATAAACAAGAATGGACTAAATTGAATGAAAGTAAGGAAACTCTATTAGAAGAAATTATGAAATTACAAGAATCAAAACCAAAAGAGCTTGAAATTAATATATTAGCTGAAGAAATAAGTTCATTAGATGATAAACTACCACTTTTGAAAAATCAAAAATCATCACTACAAAGAGTCATAAAAGATAGGGAAAGTGAAATCGAATTCCAACAAAAATTATCTATGGGGTTTGATGAATCTTTACAAAATAAAAAAGAACAACAATCAAAAATTGATTCAAAAATTGAAAACATAAAGCAAGAGATTAGCAAATTAAAAAGTCAAATTTTTGGTGGCTTTTGCACTAAATGGGGTTTATCAGGTATTGAAAAATATGAAGAATTACATGGAAGTGCTTTTAGAGTTAGAGCAAAAGAAAGATCGCAATTTGTTAAAGCTATATCAGTATTACAAAATAAATTAGATTTTGAAGAAGGTAGATGTAAAGAAACAATCAAAAGAAAAAGCATCTTGTCAAATCAAATTGTCGACCTAGAAGCAGAGTTAAAAGAAGTTCTAAGTAGTAAAACACAATTAGAAGAGGAATTGGATCACGTTGAAGCAGAACTTCATATTTTAAAATCCGAGTATAAAAAATCTGATAAAATTTTACAATCAAAATCAAAACATTCTAAATCTATTGAAGTTGATGTTAAAGAAGCTGCTGTTGAAGTATCGAATGTTTCTAAAGAAATAATACAAAGGGAAGAAAATTTGTTAAAACTTGGTTCTGATAGAACAAATATTTTGAAAAATTGTAAGATAAAAAATATTATATTACCTTTAATTTCTGGTGATCTAGATTCTTTACCAATACAAGAGGATTTAAGTGGTATTGAAGTTGATTATGAATTACTTGATGATAAATATAAAGAAACATTCACCCCCAAATTAGAAGTTGAGCTTGAAGCTATCTTACAAGATACAATTGAAAATTTGGAAAGATTAACACCAAATGCAAAAGCATTAGAAAGATTTAAAGATGTTGAATCACGTTTAAAAAACTATGACAAAGATTATACAACTGCAAGACAAAAGGAAAGAAAAGTTTCTGAAAAATTTGCAGAGTTAAAAGAGAAAAGGTATGAGAAATTTATGGAAGCTTTTAATCATATATCCAACTGCATTGATTCAATTTACAAAGAATTAACTAAATCAAATACATCTCCAATGGGAGGATCGGCATTTTTGGTTTTAGAAGATGAAGACACACCATATTTATCCGGAGTTAAATATCATGCAATGCCACCAATGAAAAGATTTCAAGATATGGAATTATTATCAGGTGGTGAGAAAACAATAGCTGCTTTAGCTTTATTATTCGCTATACATTCATATCAGCCTTCACCATTTTTTGTACTTGATGAAATCGACGCTGCACTTGATAATAATAATGTTGCTAAAATTGGGAATTACATTAAGAATCACGCTGGCCCAAATTTCCAATTTATTGTTATATCTTTGAAAAACAATCTTTATGAAAAATCTGATGCATTGGTTGGGATATATAGAGAACAAAATGAAAATAGCTCCAAAACTATTACACTTGATTTAAGTGAATATCCAGATGAAGATGTTTTAATTGGTGGTAATGCTGTTACAGCAGCTTCATAAGTAGGGTTTTTAGTTCTTTAGGTTGAAATATTTCGTAAATTATTTTTTAGTTGCAAAATTTAAAACTCATCTAGTATGTTTCGTAGAATACGACCGTCAACAACTTACAGATTTTTATCAAATGTACATCAACAGAAAGTTTCGGGTTTATTAAAGTTTTTCAAAAAAACTAAAAGAAGAGCTGATTTAAATGATCCAACTCATCCAAGTAATGTAAATTTTTTAGAAATTTGTGATTTTTTAACCAAATATTCAAAACAAACCACCACTAAAATAACAGATCAAGATATACATAACCCATATGAAATACTAAAAGCATTTCTACCATTTCAAAGAAAAGATCATATTATTTCAAACGTAAAAATATGGGGTGTTTCAAACAATGGTGAAGGTATTGCTATAGTTCCAAAATCAATGTATGCATCTGAATATGCTGATTCTGAATCAATTTTGGGAAAATACACCGTGTTGTTGATACCCAAAACTACAACTGGAGATAGAGTAAAAGTTTTATTAAAAATGCATCATGAATTTTATGCTGAAGGTGAATTAATTGAAATATTAAATGATACACCCAAGAGACAAAGGAATATTTTATGTAATCATTTCCAGAAATGTAATGGATGTCAATTACAATCGTTATCATATCCAGAGCAACTAGAGTTCAAGCAGAACATAATCAAAAAGGCTTATCAATTTTTTTACCCACTGCTAAAATTGTCATCAAATTTTGGAGTAGTAAATCCATCACCTTTACAATATGCATATAGAACAAAATTAACTCCACATTTTGAAAACAAGGGAAATAAATGTGTTAAATTGGGGTTTCAACATGTAAATCATAGAGGTAAAATAGATGTTGAACATTGTCCTATTGCAACTCCCGAAATAAATGGAAAATTAACAGAGGCAAGAGCAAAATATATAGGGAATGAAGCAATGAGACAATTGACGCTAAGACAAAGTTTAAGAATTGATAATGATACTGGTGAATTTCATGAGGTGGCGCTAGAGGGACAACGAAAAGTTATAACTGAAAAGATAGGGGAGTTTGTTTTTCAATTTGATAGTAACTGCTTTTTCCAAAATAACAATGCTATATTACCATCAGTTTTGGATTACATTAAATATCATGTTAACCAGCTTGAAAGACCCGTGAAAAATATAATAGATACTTACTGTGGTGTTGGATTTTTTGGAATTTCTTTATCTAACCTTAACAACAAACTAAAAGTATTTGGGATTGAAATTAGTGAGTCTAGTATCAACTATGCGAATCATAATCTTAAAATTAATGGTTTAGATCCCGAGAGAGTGAAATTTATATATGGTGATGCTTCAAATATTTTCAAAAACGAGAATTTTCAAAAAATGGGAATAAGTGGAGATGGAAGTGTAGTTATTGTGGATCCTTCTAGGAAAGGTTCAGATTTAAATTTCATGAAACAGCTACTAGAATTTGAACCAGATCTCATTGTTTACATCAGTTGCAATGTTTTCACTCAAGCTAGAGATCTATCAAGTTTTCAAAAACTACAAGATCAAAAAAAATATGAAATTTTAGATGTAGTCGGGTTTGATTTCTTCCCACAAACAAAACATGTTGAGTCTGTCGCTATATTAAAAAAATGTACATAATTAATACTCCTCAGAACTTTTTAGGATTTCATCAATAATATCAAACATAGCATCCACACCCCAATCCACTCTAATTTTTTGTTTATCACCTGTTAACAAATCTGTGTTCTTAACTTTTTCTTGTAAGAAATATTGTAACCCACGAAGTAAAGTTTCTTGTTCTCTTGCTTTTAAAATTTTTTCAACCAACAAGCGATCATCGAAATTTAATTGAGATTTATCAATCTTCAACCCACCCCCCAAAGAGTTCTTCCTTGATTTTTTACCAACTTGATCTAAAAAAGTTACTAGTAGAATTTCACAAAATAGGTTTGTATCTGGAGAAGCAGTTAAAAAATTAATGGTATTTAGGTTATGTAATGGTAATGAACCTTCTGCTAATAAAAACCCAAAGAATCTACCCAAATTTAGTATTTTTTTCATTTTAGTTTCTTCATCTGAATCGTTTAATCCCATAAAATTCGATTCTTCTTCATCTTCTTCATCTGTGCTTCCATCTAATTCTTTTATAAGGTCCCACAACATAAATTGAAAAGTTTTTCTTAGTGAATGAGAATCACATAAATTGTTTGCCAACACTGCATAATATGGGTTCCATGATGGTTCAATAGTAGCACAATGAATTAAGACTTTAGGGACATCTCTTTCTTGAACTCTTTTTAGGGCAAGTTTATCAATTTTGGTTCTAGCGTCCATATAATCAGTTGCAGACATGATTGATATGAATATAGCTCTACGAATATCGGTATTCATTCTTTGAGCTTTGGCTAATTCCATCCAATTTGGTTCGGCAGCATCTAATATATCATTCATAGCTGAACTATCAACATTAACAACTGTTGGTTCATTACCTTTCCATGCTGATCCAACTAACCACCATTTACCTCTTGTATCAACATTGTGGATATCATCTAATGATACTTGAATTGGGTCACCACCTTTGTTGTTATTTATTGTACTTAAGAATTTTTTAAGTCTTATTGAAATTTGATGAGTACCTTCATTTACAATCTTCATTTTATTGTTTTTTAATGTCGATATGGTCTCAATTAGAAATTGAATTCTTGATGTTTTTTGGTCTGTAGGTAGTTCAGCATATTTATCATTAAGCATTAGTATAATATCTTTCAAAGATGATGGATCATCTGCTCTCATTTGATTTCCTGAACTTCTGATCAACCTCAAAAGTAAATCAGCATTTTCTTCATTCAAATTTTTTATAAGTTCCTTGATCAAGTCATATAATAATTTTGAAGATAATAAATGAAACAAATATAACGATGACAACAAAGATATTAGATTCGAAGCTTCTTTACTTTTGTTATCTTTTGCATGATATGATTCAAATTTTTCAACTAAAGTTTGTACGAAAAATGCACCAAATTCGACACCTTGTAACCTATACAATGCAACAATGACACAAGCATGTAAATGAACAAAAGTATCCAATAATCTACCTTGTTGAATGACACTATCTAAAACGATTTTGGTAATTTCTTCAAATAATACTTGTCTAGGATGTAAAAAAAATAAACTTTGTAAATCATTCACTATAGTTCCAATATTTGATTCAGATAATTTGTTTAATGGACCCTTTATTGATTTTCTTAAACTTAAAACCTCTTCAGAATCCTGATTTCCAGCTTCTAAAGCCATTTTTCTACGTAATGCAGGTGGTATATACTTTTGTTCTTGTGGTGTTTCACTATCATTTGTTGACTGTTCATTCCCGGGTGCAACATACGGGTTTTCTCTTTCTCTTTCTTCTTCAAATTCTTCCTCGGTTTCTTCATCAAAAGAATCATCTTCACCGTCGTCTTCTTCTTCTTCGTCTTCCTCTTCAAATTCTAAACCGTCTAATAAACCATCTAAACCATCATCGTCATCTCCTTTCGGCAATTTCGCATTCTTTTTAATACCTAATTTCTTAGCATAATATTCAATATCATCATCATCTTGCAGAAATGCCGAGCTTGGAGGCTCTACAAAATCGTCTTTCTTGTTCTTTTTGAGTTGTTTTAATTTCTCCAATGGATTGTCTTCATATTCTAACTCCTCATCAAAATCATCTTCCTCCTCTGATTCTGTTTCAAAATCCAAATTTATTCCATCTAACAAACCACCAATGATATCATCTTCATCTGTTTTACTTAATTGAGAATTCGCCCCATTTTTCAATCCTAATTTTTTAGCATAATAATCTATATCATCATCATATTTTTGTAATTCTGGATCAGTAGGTTTTATTGTTTTAGATTTCTTATTTTTTAGTATTCCTTTAGTTTGAGGTTCTGGTTCAATCTCATCATCGTCAAATCCACCAAATTCTGATTCTTCTCCACTCCCACTTTCTTCATCGGTGAATGAATCATCATCCAAGTCATCTTCTTTAACAACCCGTATTTCTGAAGTAGTAGTCTTGAATTTACTCTCCTTCAATTTTCTTAACGCTTCCATAGGATCTAATTCATCCTCTTCTTCTTCCTCCAATTCATCTTCACTAAAAACTTCTTCATCGTCATCATCTTCTAGTTCATCTTCTTCAACTATTCTGATATCACTTGAAATATTTCCATTTTTCTTCTCTTTCAATTTTCGTAATGTTTCTAATGGATCAGGTTCATCATCATCATCTTCTTCTTCTTCAAAATCCTCAAAACCCTCATCATCTTCTTCCAACTCGTCTTCTTTTACAACTCTATATTCCTCTGTCTTTCCATTATTTTTAGTTTTCGATTCTTTGATCTTTTTTAATTGCTCTAATGGATCATTCGAAGTTTCTTCGCCTCCTCGTATTCTTGATTTTTTACTTTGGGTTTGTTTTGCTGATGGTATTTGCTTTGAATTTGGTCTCTGTTTTTGCTTCTTTGATGTTCTCTGTAATTTTCTTTTCTCTTTTCTTGATAGCACTTTTGATGATTTCCTTTTCTTACCATTTTGATTATCATTAGTTGTAAATCTTGGATCATTTTCGTCGTATTTTTCATTTCTGATCTGCTCTAAAATTCTATCGGGTAGATTCAAACCCATTTTATCGTCGTTTTTTTCATTTCTAACCATAATTTTGATTATTAGGCAATTTAATTGAGTTTATTGATTTAATTTAATTCATGATGATCATCTGGTACAATCATAATTATTTTTCATACGATTTGGTAGCATGACGTGTCAGATATAAACATTACACAAAAGTGATGAGCTCAAAAAATATGTTTTATTTGAATTGAGCTTTCGCTCTTCTACCTACGAACGCCGTATGACTTTTTGGTCGACAATTCGTTCTATTTTTTAATTAGCATTTCTCGATTAGAACAAATCAAATTGGGAAACCGCGCGGCTCTACTAATAAATAATTTCTTTATTCTCTTTTAATGTATTACATAATTGAATTACTATGAGATTCTTTTATCTGTTGATTTAAATAAACTGTCATCAAATTCAATCAATATTCTTACAATAACAATAATGTTTAATAAATTTAAATTAGATTTTGGGAAATTTAAAATTGATTTAAAAGTTATAGGAGATTTATTTATTCTAGCTGGTGCAGGTTTATCAGTTTATTATTTATTAAATACTATAATAAATGAATATTTAGATAATACAATTAAAAATAAAGATTCAGAAAAGAAAGGTAAAGGTATATTGAAAAAGATTCAAAATTCAAATCCTCATTTGAAAAGTATATCTTTAAATCAATATGAGAAAAGTCTTTTGATTAATCTAGTAAGTCCCGAGGAAATTTCAGTAACTTTTGATGATATTGGAGGATTAGAAGATATTGTTGATGAATTGAGAGAAGCTGTCATATTACCATTAACTGATCCAGAATTATTTGAAAAACATTCCAATTTAATAAAATCACCAAAGGGTGTATTATTTTATGGTCCACCGGGATGTGGTAAAACTATGTTAGCAAAAGCTATTGCAAAAGAAAGTGGAGCAATGTTTTTATCAATACGAATGTCGACAATTATGGATAAATGGTATGGTGAATCAAATAAAATTACTGATGCCATTTTTTCATTAGCTAATAAATTACAACCTTGTATTATATTCATAGATGAAATTGATTCATTTTTGAGAGATAGATCACTGAGTGATCATGAAGTTAGTAGTATGATAAAAGCTGAATTTATGACATTATGGGATGGATTGAAATCAAATGGACAAATAATGATTTTAGGAGCAACAAATCGTAAAAATGATATTGATGATGCATTTTTAAGAAGAATGCCAAAAACTTTTCCAATTGGTAAACCAAATTCTGATCAACGTAAAGCAATACTAAATAAAATTTTAAAAGATGCTCAATTAGATGAAGAAGATTTTGACTTAGACTTTATTGTTCAATCAACAAGAAATTTTAGTGGATCAGATTTAAGAGAGTTATGTAGAGAAGCTGCCATATTACCAGTAAGAGAATACATTAAAGAAAATTATAATTATAAAAGTGGGAAATTAAGTAGAGATGAAAATGATGACTTACCAGTCAGATCTTTAAAAACAAGTGATTTTACTCAAAATATAATAACTGGAGGAATAGCTGGTGGTGGAATCCAAACATTAAGCCTTGATTAAAATATTTGAATTTATAGATTATGTAAATATTATTATAATTTTCATCTTTTCATTTTAGTGTATAAATCAATTTGAAAACTCTCATCTTTATAAAAATTGGAAAATGAAAAAAATTTCAATTCACTTTTTTTATACAACAACAAAGAGTATATAAATCATCAATATACAATTACTTGACTATCAAAATTCATCTTTAATTTATCACTCACCCAAGAAGAAGTTGGCCTCTTCGAAGATCCTTATATTTTACTCCGTAATATAATGATTCAAAGCGAGGCCTAAATGAAAAATTATTCACGACTAATTTGGCTTCTACTCTTACAGTAATAAATTAGGATTTAATTACGCTATGGGAGTTGGAAAACTAATCAACTATAATTTTATTAGATTATAATTAGTCTGAGACATTATTTAATATTGGTCTTTATTAAATTATTAGATATCTTATCATTTATTCTCTATCAATAAAAATTTCTAGAATAGCAAACTAAAGCCGCATAATACTATTTATATAATTTAAAGTTTGCAATTTTAAAGGATTCAGATAACAATTGATTCTTAACAATTCAATTGTATCATGTCTAGATCATTGAGACATATAAGATTAAACCCAATACAATCATTCAAACCAGCTCTACCTATAATCAGCCTTAATAAGAGATATTATTCCACGGATATAGAATCACTTAAGAAACAATCAGATTCAACAGAAACAGATAATTCTGTAAATGCAACTGGTGTAATAGATAAAAGTAGTAATGAAGTATTATTATATTATTCGTTTTCATCATCAAGAAACATTATAAAGCAGTATCTAGTAAGAATTTTTTCAAGTATACCTTTCACTCGAAAATACAATGAAGAAACTTTTAAAGATAAAGTATTAGAAATTTCATCACCATTACCAACAAGTTCAAAAATTACTGAATTGGTTCCTTTAACAAGAGATTCTGGTGCATTTGTTAAATTCCAATTTCCTCCCACTGAATCTGCAAGGTCATTTATAAATGAAGTTAGATCAAATGTTAATAAAAATGATTCAAAAAGATTGGATAATATTTTTAAAAAAGTTTTAAATTCTGTATGGAATAGATCACCAAAAGTTTACAGCGTTAAAGGGATACCTTGGATTGAAGATCTAAGAAGGTTTCCAAGCGCTAAAATTGGAATTAAATTTGAAGGAAATCCATTAACCGAAGAAGAATTGTATGTTTTATTTAGAAGATATGGTTTAATTGATGATATTAAAGCAGACCCAGGTGAATCATATATTCTATTTCACGATGTTAGATCTGCTATTTGTGCCAAACATTGTATCACAGGTATGGTATTGGACAACGGGAAAACAACACTTCATATAAGATACGTACCAATACAAAAGAAATACTTTATTGTTGAATTTATAAGTAATCATACAAGAATTGCTATACCAATAATATTGGCACTTTTAGCTACATTTGCAGTTTTAATTTTTGATCCAATAAGAGAGTTTTTCATTCAATATAAAATAACTCACAGTTCTCATTCATTAGATCACTACAAGCAAAATAAATGGTTTAGATTAATTTACATTCCTTATAAAAATTTGATTAATATGGTCACAAGTAGTTATGACTATATAGATACTCAATTTCACGAAGTTACAGGGTTGAAAATGGAGGATGATTCATGTGATACTGATGCTCAATCAATGCATGATTTGAAACAAGAAAATAATATGTTTTGGAAAGAACGGTTTGATAAATCAAAGCAATTAACAATGTGGATTTTGGAAAACATCGATACTTTCATTGTTGTCAAAGGACCTCAAGGATCAGGTAAAGAAGAATTTGTGTTGGATCATACATTATTAAATAATGATAAATTAAGCAAGAAAATTTTGGTTTTAGAATGTGATGAACTTAGTAAAGCTAGATCTGAAAATAATTTAATTGGAAATACTGCATCTCAATTAGGTTATTTCCCAGTTTTCACTTGGACTAATTCAATATCTCAATTTGTTGACTTAGGAGTTCAAGGTTTAACTGGTCAAAAATCAGGTCTAGCTGAGACTAAGGAAAACCAAATCAAAAATATGTTTTCATTGTCAACTCAAGCAATAAGACATATTTGTGAAGAGGATTATTCTAAGTATGTTAAATCAGTTGAAAGAAGAAATAAGAAATTACCAGATGAAGAGAAAATCGAAATATTAAAATTAGAAGAATTTTTATCCCAAAATCCTGATTCTAAACCAATCATTGTTGTTAGTAAATATGCAAGAAGAGCTGATATCCCACTGAATGATTTTATATATCCATTAATTGCAGATTGGGCTTCAGGTTTAATACAAAATAATATAGCTCATGTCATATTTTTAACTGCTGACGTTGGTTCGATACAACATTTAAATGAAGCATTACCAAACCAGGTTTTTAAGAACATCTCATTAAGTGATGCCTCAATGACAAGTTCAAAACAATATGTTTGTGATGTATTGAAAGTAAAAGATACTACGACTTTAGATACTTGTCTTGAACCTTTAGGTGGTAGAATGTTAGATTTACAAGCGTTTATAAGGCGTATAAAATCAGGTGAAAATCCAGAACAAGCAATTACAGAAATGATATCACAAGCAGCAGAAATTATAAGTACAGTTTTCCTTAATGAACATTTATCTAATTCTAATAATAGTGACAACAATTGGAATCCTGCACAAGTTTGGTTAATTATGAAATTATTATCAAATAAAGATGAAATTAATTTTGCAGAAATTATAAAATCTCCATTATTTAAAAAATCAAAAGAAACAATGGATACTTTATCAACTTTGGAAAAATATGATTTAATTTCTTTAAGAAGAGATAAAGGAGTATTAAGTAAAATAGTCACTGGTAGACCATTATATAAAGCAGCTTTTGAAAATATTATAAGTGATTTAAGAATTTGGAAATTATATGAAACTAATTATTTGACAGAATTAATTAATTTAGAAGTTGCTAAAATTCAAAAATTTGAAAATGAATTAACAACCATATATCAAATCAGTAAAATTGATGGTAGAATTGATTATTTAACTAAAAAAATTGAAGCGTCAAATACAAAAATTGTTGCTTATGAAAAAGAAATTGTTGATATTGCTTCTTATAAAGCTGAACAAAAACCTCATTCTTTTTTAGGTTTAAAATTTTAATTAACGTAATAGTGTTTTGTATATATTAATTTGACTAACTAAGAAATTTATCACTAATCATTTCATAAACCATCCGACGTCTGATTAATTTCATATCCTTTTGTGAATAATTCAAGTCTTCATCTTTTGAAATATACTTTGCGGCAGTACACGTAAAAACACCACAATCTGATCCATTTTGTTGTTGAGGTGAATCAATATGTGAAATCAACTTATAATTAATTGCTGGACAACCCAATCTTTCAGCTTCTTTATCCATATACATTTTTAAGTTTTCAACAGCTTGTGGATTACCAGACATACTTAATGAATCATAATACACAATAGTCTTTTTTATATTATCAATCACTGATAATGCCCAATGAGTGTTACTAATATTTACAGGTACTAAGATTTTATCTTTTTCAAAAGAATTTAATTTCTTTCTTTTGGCCCACCTTTGAACTCCCTGGTAACCTTTTTGATTTAATGTTGAATAAAAATGAGTAGTCCAACCAAAAACTTTTGGATTTTCTTTCATTAAAATATTAAAATAAAAATCAATTACATTATCATTAAGCCATCTACCATCTTGTAAAGTTTGTAAATCACCAGTGGATAATTCAATAGAATATTTATCAATTATAATGTTTCTAGGGTTTGAACTCCAAATAGTTTGTACTTTCACTAATTGATCATTGTTTAAGGGTTTGATTTTTGATACTGAAGCTAATCTTTTTTTGGTGATAAGATCTTGTAATTTTGATTGTGATTGTTCATAAGCTGAAGTTATTTTATTAAAATTTAGACTTCGAATTAGATCATCAAGTATGGAGTAGTTGTTTATGGATTTTGGCTTGGAAGGAATATAATAATCTAATACTGATTGTTGGTAATTCGTTGGTACTGGACTGATATCAAATAAATTTTGTGATTCATTGGGATATTGTAGAATTGACGGTGATTGACTTTTCCTGGTTCTTGGCTTCTGTCGTATTGGTTTTGCAATTGATAGATTAGTTCCATATTGTGAAGATCTTGAAGATTTTTGTGACTTTAAATTTTTCAATGCCAATTGTTTTAATTGTTGAGATGATTTAGAAGTAGTTCGTTTTGGTGCTGGTAATGGCTGCTCTTGAAAACTCTCCTCCTCTATTAGTATACTATTTTCTTTGATGAATTGTTCTTCATTATGATGTAGTAAATGATAATCATTTGTAATTATTCTTTCCTCTAAAATTTCTAAATCTGAATCTTGAAGAACGCTTGATATACCTATTTCAGTAGATTCTTCAATTGGTTTCAGAACTTCAACTTCGGGAGTAGTTATTATAGATGATGTGAATAAACTTTTTATACAATTGAACAACCATTTTAAAACTTCCCACATTGTTGGTGACTTTTCATCTTCCATAGATTGTTCATCATTCAAAGAACTTTTAGTAAAATCGTAAGATAAATCACTCTGTAGATATATTCTTTCATTATTTAATATTGGATTTTTATACATTTATGATAAAGATGCAAAAAGGGAATAAATCTTGTAATTGTACTATTCATTCTTAAAATTAAAATTTACTTTTGTACTCACATTCAATTTTCACTCTCGGTCGATCACGTTACATCCTGAGTTGAGGATAGGGCAGAGGTCAGAGAGAAGCAAAAACTCAGCTTTATATAATTATATGCTATTGCTAAGTAGAACTTAAAGTACTAACTTGTGCAAAATGGCCGTAATACGCTGATGATGTTAAATTTTTAGCTACTTTTATTGAACAGGATTTCAGATTTTTATTCAAATTTGCAACCAATTTAAGTTAAATTTTTGTAAAAATTATCAAAATACTTAACAGAGGCAAAATTCAATTACCAAAAATGTCAATGACTGCCAACAGACTTTTAACCCATTTGGTTTGAAAATAAGTTCAAGTGATGGTAAAAAATTTGAGCTAAAGAAACTGTTTCAACCAATATACTTCAACTATAGTTTCCCAACTAATTTACAAAATCACCACTCTCATTCCAAATACTGCATTATGAAGTACGGTTCATACAAATTACATTTACTTTTTGAGAAAGAAAACAGTTCACTAGTTCCCAAAATTGTATGTACAACCAATTTGATATCAAATTAGTGGTAAGATAGTAAAAGGTTATCACGTGATTAACTTAAATATGCCAGTAAAGAAAAAGTGATACAAAACATCAAATTAACAAGATCAAAAACTTATAACGACTAGCTAATAATAGCCAATATGATTGAATTGTGAAACAAACCTACTTTCCAGCAACCAATTTAAATGTCATCACCAAAAGATCATATTTTAAAAATTACTCCACCAATCAATTTGAATGACGAAGATGCGATAAAATCATTAAATATAATAAAACTTACAGTAATGCTGAAACATTCACCTATCTTATTCAAGTTGAAAAAAGTACTTATAGCAGTTAACTTAATAGGTTTGGTAACACTTTTGGTTCTGTACAAAGTTTTGTTCTACAGAATCGGTCAATTGATTATTAATCTTGCGATTATTTTGGTGGTATTAATTGTATTATTGGTATCAATCCAGGAACCAAGTGATTCATTAACTATCATGAGAGGAGTAGGAGCTCAATTGGATTCTAAAAAATTATTGCCTATTCGAAATCTGAATACATTTATATCAATAAACAACATGATTGATGTGGTGATTCATGAAGGATTTCATAATTATGGACAAGTGATATTTTACCTATGTTTTCTAACTAAATCAAGTATTAGTTCACCAAACGGAAATTCATCAAATTATGACAATGATAATTTTAATAATAATGAAATTATAAAAGTTGTATTCAACGAATTTTTACCTAGGAAAGATATTTTGTTAATAGTTAGAAAACTAAGTCGTCAAATTTTGTTTAATGAAACTAAAAGGTATTGTGAAACGGATTATTCTATAGATTCATAGTTTTATATAAAGTATATAATTAGATTATATTTATAAATGTTTCATGGTTTTTGCGGAAATGTTTATATCTATGTCTATAGAAATTTGTTAAAAAAAAATTACGTAATTAACTAAATCAGTTTATTAAAAAAAAAAAAATCAAAATTGAATTGGTAGCAACTCTCCACATATTCAAATTCAACAAACTGAAAACAAGTTTAGAGTCAACGTGTCGGTAACAGTCGAATTGTGTTTCAAAGATTTTGACAAAGCAGTTCGACTTGATTGTGAGACAAGCAGTTGTGAGTTGCATCAAAAAATTAAGAACGAGACCAAATAGACTTCGTAAAAAGAAATACCAATCTAGTTTTAAGTTGCAGGTATTATCGCAAACCCCAGATTTAAAACATTACAAAAAAAAAAACCGCTTAATTTTACTCTAAATTAAATCATCTCGTATTAAAATTGCTATTTTATAAAAACATCCGAAAATCTTCGAATTTCTATAAACAAAAATAAATCACAAAGGATTGATTTTTATTTATACGTGATATTTAATGTTTAGAAATATTAAAGTCAATGAAGTTTATTCGGTAAAATAACAAATCACTTAAAGTAATTTACAATTTAACTTCAAAAACTTAAACAAAGTAATAAAGTAATTTACTCAAGTGCTTAATCTATAAAAAAATGATAGTAAATTATGAAAGTAAAGATGAAAACATAATAATTCAATCTCTAAGTATAAAATACAATTAAAACAACAATTAAAACAATAGCAATATAAATAAATGGAAAAATATATAAAAAAAAAAAGAGATTAATTTTGAAATTCAATTAGTCTATGAAATTTAAAAAAAAAAAAAAATTTTGAATAAAATAAAATACTAAAAAGGAAACCCCTTAATAAAATAAGAATTATAGCAAACTAACTTTAAATTAATTTTAAATTTAAAAATTTTAAATGAATGATTAATTAAAAATTTAATTGAATAGTTTTATATATAAAGTTATAAATATTCAACAATGATTTTTAATTGAATTTTTTTATTTATTAATTCAATATATTTCATTTTAATTTTTCAATTCAATTATTACAAATTATTTTTATACATTTTAATTAATAAAAGAAGATATGTCAGCAGGTAAATATTTATTAGGTACTGCAGCAATTATTGGTGGAATTTGGTATTATGATCAAAATGTTCAACGTATTTTACCAAGAGAAGATCATAAAGAATTAGCTCATCAAACTCAAAAAATTGATAAACAAGTATCTAATTTAAATAATAAATTAACCAACAAAATTGATGAAGCTAAATCAAGAATATCCAACAAAACCGAATCAATTACTGATCAAGTCAAAAAATCAGATTCCTATAAAAATCTTGAAAAGGATAAACAAGAATACAAATATTTTGCTAAAGATGCTGTAACTCCAAATGATGAAAAATCAATTTTTAAATTAGGTATGCAAAAATATATTGACTTTATAAATTGTCTTGGTGAAGGTAAAATTGAAACCGGAGAAACCCAATATAGTTCAATGGGTGAATTACCAGAAGTTAAAGAAAAACCAATTTTTGGTAATTGGTTTAAAGATGCTGATAATAAAGTAGATGAAACAAAAGCTAAAGCTGAAGCTAAAAAAAATGAATGGTCATCTTGGGGATCTAAAAAGGCAAATCAAGCTGAAGCTGATGCTGAACACAAGAAAAACAAATTAGTCAACTGGGGTAAAGATCAAGCTGATGAAGCTGAATCTAAGAAACAAGAATGGTCAAATTGGGCTTCACATAAAGTTGAAGAAGTTAAAGATGATGCTGAAAGACAAAAGAATAAGTTGGTTAATTGGGGACAAGAAAAAGCCGATGAAGCAGATGCTAAAAAGAAAGAATGGACTTCATGGGGTCAAAAAAAAGCAGATGAAGCCGAAGCTGAAAAAAACAAGTGGACTTCATGGGGATCTAAAAAAGCTGACGAAGTTCAAGCAGATGCTGAACACAATAAAAATAAATTGGTCAATTGGGGTAAAGATAAAGCTGATGAAGCAGAAGCTGAAAAGAACAAATGGACTTCATGGGGATCTAAAAAAGCTGACCAAGTTTCAGCTGATGCAGAACACAATAAGAACAAATTAGTAAACTGGGGATCAGATAAAGCAGACGAAGCTAAAAAAGAAGCTGAAGCTCAAAAAAATTCATGGTTCAATTGGGGAAACAAACAAGTCGATGAAGCTCAAAAGCAATTAAACAAAGACTCAAATGATCTTCAAAAATATGCTGATGATACTTCAAAATGGGCTGATAAAAAATTAAACGAAGCCTCAAATGAATTAAACAGACAATATGAATCATCGAAACAAGAGTTCAACAAACAATACAACAGTTTAGAAAAACAGTATAACGAAACAGTTGATCAATTTAATAAGAGATATGCATTAGAAAAAGATAAAGCTTTAAAATCTTATGAAGATGCTAAAAAGAGATTTGAAACCTTAAGTACCAGTATTACAAATGATCCAAAAAAGAATGAGCAATTAAATAAAGCTAAAAATGAATTTTACAATTCTTTAGAACATTTAAAAGTTTATGGTGATGATGTTTATAATGATGTCAAAAAAACTTTAGGAGATTTATTTAAATAGACTGTTTAGTTAGGTTTCATGAATTTTTAAAGTATAGTTTATCAATGTAATATATCATTATACAGTACAAGCTTTATATGTAAAGTAGTCTACTCATTTAACTGCAATGTTGTATGACTCGAGATTTTACTAGTAATTTATCTTTACGACAGTACGGTGATCACATTTGTCTGACTAAATTGTTATTACGAATCCTATCGACTTACGAAATTCATATTTCCGTTATTCTGGTAGCATCATTACTACGGAATATTTTTGAAACAATTGATCCATCAAACAGACTTTACAACCAATTCGAAAGACAATGTTGATATGATTAAAAAAGTACCTACATTCTATGCAAATCAATTACAAAAGCTAAGACTTGATAAAAGTATACCTACATCAGAGCTTATATCAAAACTAGGGATTGTTTCAAATCCAAGATCAGGTTTAGTTAATTGGTCTAAAACTGGATTATTAATTCAAAATAAAATCAATAATATTATTAGAAAGAATTTAGATAGTATAGGTTTTGAAGAATTAAATTTATCTTTATTATCATATAAAACAAATTGGGAAAAAACTGGAAGATGGAATCAACCAGAGATATTTAAATTGAAAAATGATGATTTTTTATTAGTTCCTACATGTGAAGAAGAGATAACTGCTTATGTTAAACAAAATTTAGAAAGTTATAAACAATTACCTTTGAAATTTTATCAAATTAATCCGAAATTCAGAAATGAAAAAAGACCAAGAGGTGGATTATTAAGAGGTAAGGAATTTTTAATGAAAGATGCTTATTCTTTTGATATAAACAAGTCGAAAGCAATGGAGACTTATAATTCAATTTTTGAATCATATCATAAAATTTTTAAAGAAATCGGATTACCATATGTTAAAGCTGAAGCAGATTCTGGTGATATTGGTGGTGACTTAAGTCACGAATGGCATTATTTAAATGAAACCGGTGAAGATACCGTTTTCACTTGTGATAATTGTGGTCAAGTATCAAATCAGGAGAAAACTTTAGCATATCCCTCAAAAGAATATACTAGTGGTGATGTATCTGTTAAATATTTCATAACTGATGATGATTCTACTTTAATTTGTGCTTATTATCCATCAAATAGAATTTTAGAACCAAATTTTTTAAAGTTAGAAATGCCAGATATAAATTTGAAAAGTCCATTCAATGAGCAAGAATTACTTGACAAATTTGCAAAAGAATCTGAAGAAGATTTATCCAAAAGAGTTGTTAGAATAATGGACTCAAGATTAAACTCAAGATCGAATTTCCCAGATTTCCCAATTAATTTTGTAAATAGATCAATGATTACCACCTTAACTGATATACCCATTGTATTATCAGAGGAAGGAGAGATTTGTGGTGAATGTGAAGAAGGTACTTTACAAAAACTGAATGCAATTGAAATTGGACATACTTTTTATTTAGGTGATAAATATTCCAAAGCATTAGATTTAAAAATTGATATACCAGTGGAAAATCAAGTTGAGACAAAAAATGTTTTGATGGGTTGTTTTGGTATTGGAATAAGTCGAATAATTGCTGCTATTGCTGAAATTAATAGAGATGAAAAGGGATTAAGATGGCCAAGAAGTATAACACCATGGGAGATTACAATAGTTGAGACTACAAAAAATCCAGAATTTCAATCAGTTTATGAAGATTTGGAATTGGTAGATTATAGATTGGATGATAGAAAAGATATTTCATTAGGTAAAAAAATTAATCAATCGAATCTTTTAGGGATACCTTTGGTATTGATATTAGGTAAAAAGTTCCCAATTGTTGAAATTGAAGTTAGAGGTAAACGTAACACCAAAAACCCAAAATGGAAACAATTAGATTTTAAATGGGAAGTTGAATATGATTCAAATGGTAATGATATTAAACATTATGTACATAAAGATCAATTAAATCAAGTATTAAATAGATTGCTATTAGATATGTAAATAGATAAACTTGTTATTTTTTTGTTAATAATATACACCTGTAATAAACTTTATATCAATAATTTGTTTAAGCAGTAAATTTACCAGTAATTTTTGCAAAAACATGTAAAATTATAACTGAAAATATGAATCCAACAGCTAAAAATAATACAACTAATGGATCAACTCTTAAACCTTGAGCTTCATCTGTAAATAATTTCATCATTGTTGAAGATGAACCACCAGCACCTGCTGATCTTGTACTTAATGGTGTAGCATTTGATGTTTGAGCTTTTTTATCTGCTGTAGTTTTTCTTTTAACTGCACTTCTTAACCCTCCTGGAGCCTGATTTGATGATGTTGAAGACTAAAAAAAGAAGAAGGTGTTAGTAAATCAATTAATTATCCAATCAAGGTTTTCACTTCAGTTAACTAGCAGCTATACAACATACCATTATTTAATTTTATTTGTAATATATTGGTGGTTGCCTTATTTTAATCTCACACGTAATTCAATTTTGGTTGTAATTTTTTTCATCGGTTCAAAAACTAGTGCTACCAATTAATTGATAAATCAAAGCGCGTATAATTTGAAACTCAGGCGTAGTGCTACCAAGTACCAGTCAAAAAAAAAAATATCAAAAAATCTCTTTTGTTAATTTCTGTCTCGACAAAAATATAAAAGAATTGATTCAAAGAATTATTGTTGTTCCAAATTTATTTAACTACAAACATACATATATATTTATATAGATATATTACTATAATTTGTTTAGTGGAGCCTTTCATTCTCATTTCATAATTCCTGCTGATCCTGAAAGAAATTTATAGTATCATTACCAATCAAAGTCCAATTAAATAATGGATTTTAGAAATATCTCAACAACTCCAAATCAAATAGATCAACAATCGGTATCATCATCACTATCGACTACTTCATTAAATTCTACTCCATTTCATTTACAGCAACAACAACAACAACAACCTCAAAAAAATTTCAGTAATTTGGCAAATCCAAATCAAAGATTAAATTCAATACCATATATGAATAATACAATAAAATCAAATGTTGTTGGTCCTTGGATCGAACAACAAAAAATAGATTCAAAAGAAATAGAATTAAATGATATACAAAATCAAGATATAATTGCAAATGCTATAGTTATTAAAAATATTGCATTTGCTATAAAAAAGGAAAATTTATTAGAATTATTTACAACACTTAATTTACCAACTCCATATGCATTAAATTATCATTTTGAAAATGGAATATTTAGAGGATTAGCATTTGCTAATTTTACTTCAACTGATGAAACTTCAATGGTTGTTAATCAATTAAATGGTAGAGAAATTGGTGGTAGAAAATTAAGAGTTGAATTTAAAAGACAACTTCCTCCTTTAGAAAGAGAAAGACTTGAGAGAAAAAAACGAGAAAAAAGAGGTCAATTAGAAGAACAACATCGGTCATCATCAACTGCATCTTTAACTTCATTAATTTCTCAAGCATCTACTACTGCTGCTACAGCTGCAAGTAGAACTATGGGTAAAGAAAGGGTCATTTTAGATATAATAAATTCCAATAAAATTATACTCCCTGAAGTCAATTTAAATGAAGAATATAATTTTCAATTGTATACACAATTAATTATATTTAAACAAACAAAAGAATTAAGCGAATTAACACTAAATAAATTGAACCTCAACAATATAAAATTAATGAATTTAAAAGTACTATTAAATCATCTTAATTTAGAAGAATATGAAGAAAATAATTGGATTATAATCACTAAAACAAAAGAATTTATACCACAACTGCCTCATCAATCAATAATATCAACAAATCAATCACATCCAGAATTATTAAGATCACAATCACAGTCTGCATTAGCTTTACCAAGATTGAGGCAACAACAAAATTCAACTCCTATTCAGCAACAACCACCAGCAGTACCTCAAAACTTTCAATTATTTCAACAACAACAACAACAACAACAACAACAACAACAACCACAAAGACCTTATTCTCAACATGGATATTATCAACCACCTCCACAACAACAACAACAACAACAACCACCACCACCACAATTTCAACATTTACATCAATCTCAGAATTTATCATCAAATTCTTCATCAGCAGCTGCTTTATTAAGATCAAGTAGTAATAGATCTTATGTTGATGTTAGATCTACTCCACCATTAAATAGTTTTAATCAACAACAACAACAACAACCACCATCAATAAATGATTCACCAATTCAACAACAACAACATTTTTATAATATTTCCCAACCGCCACCACAACAAAGTGCAACAACTGCAAATTCTTCAAATCCTCAAACTCCATTAACTGGTACATCAAGATTTCAACCATTTGGTCAGCATGTTACATCAAGTTTTACATCATTACCACAAACAAGTAATAATAGTGGTGACGAATATAATACAAGTAATTCAGATAGTTTATCATCAAAGTTAAATACAATTGGATTAGGTAGAGAAACTCATAATAATGGAAGTGGATTTGTTGAAAATACAAATAATGGAATTTGGGGTCCAAAATAATGAGAGGAAAAAATTATGTTTTGTATGAACTTTTCTATTTTAATGAAACTAAAAAATGATAATAATAATAATTATAAAAAAATAAAATGATAATGAATTGTAAATTTCGGTTAGCTTTTAGCTTTAATATGTTTTGTTTCAATAGAATTAAATGAAATTTTATAGAATTTTTAATTAGTTTTTATATGAAAAACTATACGATTTTAATGAATTATAAGAAATGTTTTTGATCTTTATTGAAATTGTAACAATTTTATGCAATTTTTTCATTTGCCAAAAGTCCAAATTGTCAAGTTTTTATTTGTAGTTTTGTATAAAATGGATTGTTTATTATTAGATCGTTAAGATGATTTCAAATGTAAATTGTTAATGAGTTTTATCTTCAACGACCTTGTATAAAGCTCAATTGTTCATTTTGATATTCATTAGCTCATTAATGTATGCGTACTAAAAATTACTAAAGTTTCTGCGATCTAGTATCCTCGATTTACTTACTTTGAAGCTTATTAAACTGACTCGAAGTAATTAACGTAACCAATCCTTTAATTTTCAACAGCCCTTATTTTATTTTGAAAGGGTCTAATCTTGAGCAGGGTTTTCAAAAAGGATTTACCAAGAAATAAAAATAATTATTATAAAATTATTAAAATTTAAAAAAATATATTAAACAAATTTAAAAAACTACTTTACTTTAATTTGAATCAGTCATCATTCGTCATTAATTCATTTATTAATCTTATTACTCTTCTTCTTCACCTTCACCTTCACTTTTATCATTTTCTGATACTTCTTCAATTTGATTAGTTGTTGAATCATTAACACCAAAATGAGCTAATAAAGATTGAGCTGAAGAAGTATCTAAATATATTACTCCATTTTCATTTGTAATTGCATTTGAACTTAATAATCTTTGTAAAGAAATTGCATTATTATCCAAATCTTTATTATTTAAATCTTCATCTTCATTATTTTCATTTTCATTTTCATTTAATTCATCATCATTTGAAAAATTATTTGATAATTTATTTTTAAAACTTGTTGTTGTTGATGGTTGAGAAAATTTACCGATTTGATGATCACCATACATTTCAGTATGTATTTCTTGATATGGTTTTGATATACCTTTAATATTCTCTTCGTTATTATTATCATTATTTTCTTTTTTAATTTTTTCAATTATTCTTGAATACCATTCCTCTAAAGTTTCATTTTTTGAATAATCTAATAATGCAACTATAATTATTGACATATTATCACAACCAATACCACTACCATCTGAAGTTGGAGCTAAACATAAATCCATAATTTCACAACTAATTGTAGTTAAAGATTTTTTTTCATATATTCCTCTTCTTACACATTCAACTGCTTGTTGTGAAGTTAAACAATCCCAAATACCATCACATGCTAATATAATGAATTCATCATTGTTATAATCTATTGTATGATTTAAAACATCTGGTAATGCTGTAACACATTGTTCTTCTGCTGGCAAATCTGGATTTTTTTTAAAATCAAAATCACCTATACCACGAGATAATGCAAGATTACCATTCACTCTTCCCATATCAACAAACCCACCAGCAGCAACAATTCTTGCTTTTTCACCTTCATTAGTAGGTTTATGATCATATGATAATGCTTTTGATGACCCATTGATGGACATAACAGTTCTTGAATCACCAGCATTTGCACAAAAGATTTGATTTGAAATTTGTTTTGATTTATCATTTATTATAAGAATTGTTGTTGCAGCACATCCACTATCTTCATTTGGAAGTGATTTTATAATTTCTTGATCACATGCTAAAAATGTTTCTTTTAAAGCTTTTATATAATCTTCTTTCTTAAATTCTTTAGTGCTTTTAATTATTTTATGTATATTATCTCCTGTAAAAATGGCAGTTTTATCTCCACCATGTCCATCAAATACACCAAAAAATGCAAAATTGGATTCTCCTTCAGTAGTCGAGTTCTTTTCTGGTGAATTTGAATTTATTGGTTCTGATTTTTCTTTGTCTTCTTCTTCTGATGATAATGATAAATTTGGAATTACAGTATGAGCATCTTCTTGACTAACTCTCCAACCTTGCATATTTGATAAACCAAATGCAACATATTTATTTTCTCCAGATTCTGTAATTTTATCAGTTATTGGTTGGGAAAGAATTTGTCCCATTTTATATAAACTATGAATGGGGAATTAATTAATTTGATCTGAAATTTATGATAGGTTGATTTATTGAAATTTTTAATAATCAATGAAAATTGAGCTTGATGATAATGAATTGATTAAAATAATTGTAAAACTAAACTAAATCTATTATAAAATTTTAAATTGTAAAAATTATTATTAAATTAAAATTTCTTTTTCAATTGGATCTATTAATTTTATGGTTGATGATAATAATAATAAATTATAATAATTACTTTGTATTACTTTATTAAAATAAATTTATATTCTATATAAATCAATATATATTTAAAAAGGCGTAACTAAAATAAATTTGTTGATGGTTGGAAAAAAATAAATTTCTTTCTTTTTTTTTTTTTAATTTTTTTTTTTTTAATTTTCATTAATCAATACTAGTAGTATTAACCAACTATTAATGAGAGATTGATTAATTGACTAATATTAAATAGATAGAAAAAAATAGTAAGATTTATATAATAAATAGAATAAATTTACGAATGAAATTAATTTAGTGTTTATTTGGAAATTATTCTATAGAATCTAGTACAAATTTATCTAGTTGAAGTTAGATTGTATATAGTAATAGTAGAAGTAGTAGTAGTTATCTAATAATAAGTCATAGAAAAATAAGAAATTGTCCTATTAATTCCGGCTCATCTGAAACAAAACCTGTATATAAGATTATGATTATTAACCACAATATAAACTTTTCGCTTTTTTCTTTAGTCTTTATTATGAAAATTAAAAAAGGCGCGCGTTTTTACATTATATATTGATAATTTATATTAAGTGTTTCAAATTTTTTGTAAAGGTTTCAAATTAAAATTAGTTGTTTCAAATTAATCTTATAGGAGCGCATTTTGAATTTTCAATACGCAACCTCAATTTTGAAGGAAGTAAAAAAGATAAAGAAAAAATTTGACTCTGTAGAATAATTTTGATGAACTATTAAAGTCCCCCAGAGCTCAAATGATTATATCAATTGAAAAATAAAGTTTTGAACTAAATATAAGTAATACACTTTCATTAAACTGAAATTGTACATCATTAATAAAATAATGCGATGTTTAATAAACTTGAAAAATACATTATAATTAAAATTCATTATAATAAAACTACATGCCCGAAAATTTTATTCATTAAAAATGATTAATCTATTGGAACCGTTATAATTAACCACAAATGACAAATAATGTGACCAGTCCTATAGTAAGTTTCTACCTGATCGAAATGTACAGATCAGACCGGCTCATATAGCTTAAAGTACTAGTATAATAACGTTTCCAATTAATTTATCATACCAAGTTATCCAGTCTAGCATAAATTTAAAATTACCTAATACGTTAGGATTATAATTTGTGAAGACCTTATAAAAATAAATAATACAAGCAAAAATTTGTTCCCACGAGCCAGAAGCAAAAAAAAGGAATAAAAAAACAAACCATCTACAAGAACAGAATCTGGAATGCTATTTGAGCATAATAGATATGCATTAGTTGAATATTGACAAAAAATTGTACATTTATAAATTAATAAAGGATTGCAAAAAAAAAAAAACGGTTGAAAAGGGAGAAATTAAAACTTTGGTTCTTTCTCAAGAGTTCGATACTTCAAACTTTATATTAATAAATCACCCAACGCTACTAAAAGTTGATTTTTTTATGGATAATTTTGTAAGGGGGTCTTAAGTATGTAAAAGAATGAATTGGAGTCAATTAACCAATAAACTGTATACAAGGCTTGGAGAAAGTTACGAGCTAATTCTAACTTGTTTTAAGTAAAGCTAAAAGCACCAAAAAACGCGTTAAATTTTGATTCTTTTCTTAAATCCAAAAAACAAGTGTTATGTATAATCTAAAAACTAAATATATTGCAAAATTAACCATTGGGCTATAAAGAAGCACCATTATCAAAATTACAATCTTTATTATAAATTTTCTATATATTAAACAAACTGAAGACCTTTTCAATCCCAAATTTGTTTGCTAAATGAGTAAATAAACTATGATATATATCTTACACATTTTTTTACCCCTTATATTAAAAACTCTTTTACCAACGATTGTACCCTGAACCAAACTATGAACCAAGCTTTAAAGAAGAAATTGACATTCAAGTGTTCTGCTGGAAAATTACAAAGATTTATTCACAGTAATTAGGATTAGTTTTTAGGATAAACACTAGATTCAAAATAAGTTCAATAAAAATAATTTGGAAAAAAGTATAAATATGTAGGAGTATTCGCAGAAAGAAGTAGAGAAAGAATGAAAGAATAAAATAATTTAATAGATTAATCAAGAAGAATATAACAGAAAGTGACTCAAGTTTGATGTTTTTGATTTAGAGGTCAAATCTACAAAAAATTATAATTTGTTAAATACGAAACATACACGATACATAAATACATTTATTAAATTAAAAACATACGTACCTTAGCTATTTGATAAATTTTTATTAACATTAAATAAGAACTGAATTGTTCTAGTGAAGGAAGAATCACAATATGGAAGTAGATAAACTGCCGCAAAACTCAATGCCACTTAATAATATTGATACCACCGCAAATTAATTGGCTGATCATTATTCCTCATACAAAAATCAATTGTCAAATTTTACAAGAGAAGAATTGTTCAGTAAACTCAACTCATTAAACAATCACCAATTCTTTCAAAAAAATCACCCTTTTAAATCTTCTCTTACAAACAATCTGGTGTAGTCAAACATCTGAAACACACTAGCTAGATAAATTGTTAGTACTTGATATATGTTATAAGATTTTTCACTGACATCAATACTTACATGAGATTCACAGAATGTAGGAAGGTTATTGAAGAAGTAAAATAAGAATAAAAAAAAAAAGTAAAAATTAAAAGAAAAAACTGAAACAAAAAAATTGGAATTTTTGATTATTGATTTGAATTTATATACCCCTTAATTTGTTACTAACAATTTTTGACGAGTTGCTACCAAACTGGGCATTTTCAACTAACAAATTTGAAAGGGGTGTCTTATCTTTATGAAACCATAAATTGTTAAAAATGAACCATTAATAAGTAGATTTAGCTCTAAGTGCTCTTTTAGTATTATATTATAGCTTAGGTTATGTTTTCAATATATTTTTTTTTTGGTTGAAACGCATTGTAATTGAACGATTTCTGATGGTTTTGAAACAGTTATAAATCATCAAAAAATAAACATACACATTTATAAATTGTTTAATACAGAAAAATTTTATTGGTGTAAAATTTTTGAATACTTGGATATACAGTCTCGCAATAGCTCAACTACAAAATTTTCTTATTAAGAATCTTGTATTTCTGCTCAAAAAATTACTTTCATTGTCATACATATGACTTTTTGAGCTGTTTACCGCTTGATCCATACGATCAACCGCCATTTTTATTTAATTCAGGATCTTCTGAAAACAAATTTAAACATTTTAATTATAAATTTTAAAATTGGGTCATCGTCATAATTATTAACAACAATAGCACCATTTCTTTGAATACCTTGATTTTCATGATCATGGCTCATCTCCAAAGATTGAACTGATTCTAATTTATGATCTCTCAATAAAAATGGAAAAATTATCATAGGAATACATAAAACTAACCCAGCAATACACAAATATTTCTGAACTTCTGCATAAGAAACAACAACTGCTATTCTTTCTGGTGATCCCCAAGTGTTGTCTAAAATAAATTCAAATGGTGAACCATAAGCATAGCTAGCTAAAGCTGTAGCATTTGAAATATTCATCTGTTCCATATTTTCCAATATGACTCCATGCATCTTGTTTGTCCATATTGCTCCACTCACTGAATTACCTAATGCTGATCCAATGTAATAGCATGATAGATGTATAGAAATAATTATCCCCATATATTCATGATTTGTGACTGAACATAAACTTACTTGAGTTGAGTAAGTAAGAAAACCAGCACCAAAACCCATTAAACATAAACCACCAATTACACCGTTCAAGTATTTTTCACTTTCAATACCATCATTGGCACCTCTAAAATGGAACAATATACCTAAAGCTACAGCCCAACATGAACAACCAAAAATGATAAATGCTTTAACTCTACGTACTTTTACAACAACTAAACCAACTAAAGGTCCAACAATACATCCAACAAAGGTATATAATTTTGTTATTCTTGTTGCTGCTTTAACACTAGCATTCATTCCAACCACTAAAACGGTATACATAAAATCATTAGGCATGTACCAAATAAAATTAACAAAAATTGCAATCAACAAAGCAGCATAAACACCTCTATCTTTCATTAAAGCAAATGGCATAATTGGAGATTTAGCAACTTTTCTTTCCCAAAAAAAAAACAAAGGCAAGAATGTAACACCAATTGATAATGGTGCAATAGTTGAAGCTCTTGCCCATTTCGAACTTGTACCACCAGCAAGTGTAAATGGAACTAAGATAAATCCTAAAACAATAACAAGTAATAATAGACCAACAACATCTAGATCCCAAAATAAATTAATACACAAATTTCTCCAATATTTTAAGGTCTTTTTTGAATATGGAATTAATTCTTTTTCTTCAACCATCAAGCTTTTCCATTTTTCAGTCCTTTTAGCTTTTAAAAGCATATGAACTAAAAAACCTATCAAAGGCAAACTTGCTAAGGGTGATATAAACGCCCACATTCCAATACCCCAATTCCATGAAGATGTTAAAATAACAGCAGATACAATATCTCCAGATATCCAAGTATTTATCACTAAAGTAATACCAGGTATATAATTCACACAAACTCTCCAATTTAAATTTGAAAAATCCCCCATCATTATTAAAATTATGGTGACCATGCCAGTTATACCCAAAGTATACAATACTGATCCAGCAGCAAAAATATTTATGTCATAAGCCTGTGATTGTAAAATAGTACCAATTATATAAAATGCCATAGCAGTTAAATATAACTCTAATCTACCAAATTTATCAGATAATCTAGCATAAAAAGGTTGACCAGCTGCACTAATCACTGATTGCATAACACTAACTGTTGAAAATAATGCATGTTGATTGTATGATGAAGTTGCATAAACTTGTAAATTACCTCTTATAATGGCATCAAGTCCATAAGCGTAAGATGCAATGAAAACACTGAAAAAGAAAAGGACCTTTAAAATACGATTATCAAATTGTGAATTTAATACTTCAATTTTTCTTATACCTATTGATCTTGTTGTTGTTTGTAATTCAGATTTTCCTGTTGTTACTATAACGGGTGATTGAATTTTGTTGATATTTGAGTTTGGGTGATCATCTAAACTTAATTCAAGCTTGATTGAGTTATCTTCTTCAGAGTGGACCATTTTCCAAAGTGTTTGTTGCTTGACCGATTCATCACTAAATACTTAGGAAATCATGAGGAATTTATAAGATTTATCGTTTTGATCCAGCAAATCAAACGTCTGTTAAATCCAAAATAATAAGCTTTATTTTTGGTGCTTTAGACTTGATTATAACCATCCGTATATTCTTAGATTAAGCATACCGCCATCTTCACATTTAAAGAACCAATAGCAGAAATGCAAAATTGATTTAAAAAGTTTATTGTCCCTTAAAATTTTAGTAACATTTCCTGCCAAGATTTGGTGAAAAGGATGATGAAATTTCAAATAGGTATAATCTCGAGTGTAACAAATTTTAAATTTTGCAGTATTTGAACGTAGCAAAGCTTGATTGGTTCCATCACTTAGGAAAATGTTTAAAGTTTTAAGTCATCTTTGGATCGTATGATTTTAATCTTAGTAGTTAATGAATCAATGACATTGTCATCAAATGTTGCATTAAAGTCTAAATACCGTAAATTTAATTTTATATAATAATTTTGTTTATAGTCAAGATTAGATGAAAAAGATAAATTTCTTGACAGCTTAAGTTGGAACACAAAGTCAAATTAAACACACAAAACCCAGATTCTAGATCTTTGTAAAGTTATGAAAAGTTGATCTAAGTTTTATATTCTATAATTACTATTTATCTACTTATTGTTTACTATTCATATGAAACAATTTTTTCACTTTTTGAACAATGATGTCTTCATCATAATTATTTACGATTATAGTTCCATTTTTATGAATACCCTTTTCATGATCATTATCTTGTTCTAAAGATTGAACAGAATCTAATCTATGATCTCTCAATAAAAAGGAAAATACAATTAATGGAAAACATAAAACCAATCCAGCAATACAAAGATATTTTTGAACTTCAGCATATGATAAAACAACTGCTTGTCTTGCAGGTGTACCCCATTGATTTTCAACAATAAACTCAAAAGGTGAACCATATGCATAAGTGGCTAAGGCAGTAGCATTTGAAATATTCATTTCTTCCATTTTATTTAATATTACACCATGCATTTTATTTGTCCAAATAGCACCACTAATTGATGAGCCTAAACATGAACCAATCCAATAACTTGCTAAATAAACTGAAATCATAATACTCATATACTCATGATTTGTGACTGTAGTAATACTTACTTGTGTTGAATAAGTGAAAAATCCTGCACCAAAACCCATTAAACATAAACCACCAATAACACCATTAAGATATTTTTGACTTTCTACACCATCATTAGCACCTCTGAAATGAAACAAAATACCTAATGAAATAGCCCAAGTAGCACAACCAAAGATAATAAAACCTTTCAATTTTCTAACTCGAACTACCAATAAACCTAATAATGGACCAACAATAACTGAAACAAATGAATATAATGAAGTGATTCTAGTAGCAGCCTTGACACTTGCATTCATACCAACAATTAATACAGTGTACATGAAATCATTTGGCATATACCAAATCCAATTAATGAAAATAGCTATGAGTAAAGCCGCCCAAACACCTCTATCTTTCATCAAAGCAAATGGCATTATTGGAGATCTTGCAAATTTAGCTTCCCATAAAATGAATACTGGAATAAAAACAACACCAATAACTAAAGGAACAATAGTTGAAGCTTTAGCCCATTTTGAAGTTACACCACCTGCAAGTGTGAATGGAACTAAAATAAAACCCAAAACGATAATAACACATAATAATCCAATCACATCTAAATCCCAAAATAATTCTAAAACAAGAGTTTTCCAATATTTGAAACTCTTTTTGGAATAAAGAGTTTGATCTTTTTGTTCAATATTCAATTGTTTCCACTCTTCAGTTTTTCTAGCTTTAACTATCATATGAATAAAACATAAAATAATTGGCAAACAACTCAAAGGAAAAATAAAGGCCCACATACCGATCCCCCAATTCCAAGAATAATTAGCATTAACTGAGCTTTGAACATCCCCACTTACCCAAGTATTAATAATAAAAGGTAAAGCAGGTACAAAAGAAGCAACTAATCTCCAATTTAAATTTGAAAAATCTGCTAATACAATTTGTAACATTATAATAACTCCAGTATATCCAATTTGATTTATAACTGCACCACCAGCAAATCTATTAATATCAAAAGCCTGGGATTGAATAACTAAACCTGTTGCATAAAACACAATAGCAAATAAAAATAATTCTAATCTACCGAATTTATCAGATAATCTTGCATAAAAAGGTTGAGCAGCACAACTAATAACTGATTGCATTACCCCCACAGTTGTAAATAAAGAATGTTGATTATATGATGAAGTGGCATAGTATTGTAAATTACCTCTAATAGTACTTTCTAAACCATATGAGTAAGCACAAAAGAATATACTGATGAAAAAAATGATTTTTAAAATTGGATGCTGATATTGATTGTTCAATAATTCAACTCTTCTAATACCAATTGATTTTGTGGTAGTGTTTAGTTCATTGTTTGATAAAGAGGTTTGTGTTTTATTAAGATTTAAACTCTCTGAATGATTGTTGTAATCATTCGACTCAATTTTGGAAGTGCTCAAACTATCTGAATTTGGGTGAGACATGTCTATTGATGATGATAAATTGTTTGAATTTGCAAAAAAACTGAGAAAATGAGCTGGGTTTTATATTAAATTCTTTGAGGCGTAAGGTTACTATATTAAATAAAACATTTTGATGAATAATGCATGAGATTTACCATAAAAACTGTTAGATGCAAGTGAATCCGATTTGACAATTTTATTAAGAAAATTCTGAAACGTAAAATTAACTTTGTGTGATTTTATTTTATCTATTTCATCTCTTCACTTTAATTTAAAAATTCTTGGAGTTATAAAACGTATGTAATTTAAAATTTCAATCTTGGCTTAAGATCCATTTGTGAATAATCATTTTTTTAGTCACCAAATCTTGGTTTCTTAAATAAGTTACTTTTTTAATTTCTTTTTCTAAAAAATGTTAAAATACCCCGTAAGTTTTCTTTATTTGAAAAAATTGATGAAAAATCAAGAATGCAAATTAGTACGTTTTTATTAAGAGCCTTGTTGAACACTAAAGATCTTAACTTACAAATGATGTCTCACAATGATATCTATATTATTTCTGTTGTAAAAATGTATTCACCAACAAAGGAAAAAGAAAATTTTTAAGGTACACAAAATAAAAAATATTTCATATGTTTAATAAATCCTCCAAGAAATTAACTTTCTAAGATCTACCAATAATTTTCTGTAGATGACTTCACTAATTCAAGCATTTTATTTTAAATCTCGTCCATTGCTAATTGGATCTCAATTCTATGGCTATATAGTATCAGACAGACTCCTTCGTTCAGTTGTCGAGTAAGGCACATTAGTGGCTAATTAAAGCATTTTGAGTGAAATCGAAGCGTTGGAAAATTCTCAAAACCAGTCTAAATCTTGCAATCACTTTAAAATTACGAGCAAATTTAATACAAAGTATAAACTAATCAAGATCTTGAGGTGAAAATTCATCTCGTCAAAATTCAAAACCGAGTACGGAAAATCTGAATTTTAGTAAACGCTTGATTACTTAAATCAGTATTCCAAACTGAAATTAAAATTTGCTTGAATGTACAAAGTTAAGAAAATTATCTCTGACATATCACTCATCTCTGATTACTTTTCTTTCTGGAGACAGCATTTCTATTGATTAGTTAGATGAAACGATAATGACATACAAAGACTTTTGGTCCAAATTGAGTGCATACTTCCATCTTTTTTTTTCAACATTCTGAAAGCTTAGCCAATTTTTGTTCAAATTAGTGTTCTTTTTTCAATCATTAAAATAAAATCAGTTTTTTTATTATATACGTATTTTCCAGCAAAAGAAGTTGAGGTTTGTAAAGTTTAAGCATCGTGTGATAATCTGCGACCTACTTCTTCCCGTGTATAAAGAGTAACTTTCACCATTTAATTAAGACGATTTAAAGAAAATAATAAGTTACTTTATTGTATTCTTGAAAAATTAGTTTTTTTTTTCGAATAAGATTTTAACAGCAGTACATATGCGGTCCAAGACAAAAGACTTTAAAATCAAAAAAAGAGAGCAAAAGAAGAACTCATATATGAACAAATACAATTAAGGATAATTACAGTCATAATTCTTGCATAAATCTACTTTCAACTGTAATGTAGGTTCTGAAACTCCGACAGATTTGGTAGCACTGGTCCCATATTAATCTATTTAAAACAGCTGATAAGCTTACATTTCATAAAATCGATAAATTTTCATAGCCAGTTATAATTCAGTCAACCATAAAGTTAGCAATTGATTGAATGAACCCTGTCTTTGGCAGCGATAACTTTATAGCAACAGTAGATGAAATATCTCTTATATACTTTTGTGTTTGAATATATAAATTTTCTATGACATACTAGAAATTATTAGTTATCTCTCTTCAAATAGTAGCAATTTTAATTATGTATACACAAAAAAAAGCCGCACAGGAAATTTGCCAAAAAACCCCAACTTTTAAATAATTTTTACAACCAACCAAATTTATTTCAGTTTATTAACAATTCTTTTTCTTTCTTGTACTTATTCATTGTATAAACTCAATTAACAAAGTAATCAATTCAATTAAACAATGTCAATCTTAACAGCATTAGGTTTAAATACCAAAGTTCCATATCATTTTTTATTTTATTCATTAACATTTGGTGGATCAGCATTTTATTCATATATTGCATCACCATTATTATTTAAAGAATTAACAAGAGAAGAATTTAGTAAAGTTCAATCAAAAGTATTTCCAACTTATTTTAAATTTCAAATTTTATCACCATTAGTATTAGCTTTAATTACTCCTTTTGCTTATTGTCCTTTCACTGTTGGTACTTTAACTTTAAGTTCTTTAACTGGTCTTTTAAATTTATTTGCTTTGGAACCAAAATGTCATGCTATTAAAGAAGAAAGAATAAAATTAGTTGCTATTAAAAAAGATAAAAAAGAAAATCAAGAACCAACTGATGAAATGGCCGCTTTAAATACTCAATTTGGTAGATGGCATGGTTTAAGTACTTTAGTTAATACTTTATCTATTTTATCTTTAGGTGTTTATGGTTTAACTATTGCAAAATCTTTAACTTATATTAAATATTAAATAGGAATTAATTAAGTATATATTTACAAAATACAAAAAAATTATTATAATGTTTTAAACTACTTGTGCACTTGATTTTGAAGGGTACTCGTATAATTTGTAGTAATCAACAACTTGTCCATTTAAATTGTTTTCTCCTTCAATTGGTAAGTAGAAAATATTTCTCCAATTTTGTTCACCAATAATCCAAAAATCTAACCAATTTTGCTTTAGTCCATAATCAGTTGGTATATCTATATGTAACGGATCAATCACTGAATCATTGTTCTTTTTGAAAAGTGCTGCGATTGACATTTTCACAGTAAGTACAAATTGATCAATACCTAATAAGTTTAAACAAGTTTGTAATTCAGTTGGCTTTTTTGGTGTCGGTGTTTCTGATATAGCTACTTCATTTGGTACAGTTGAATGATTGAAATGTCTATGATTTGAAATTTGAGTATTTAATGAACTAAATTCCCAAGTTGTTAAACCTTTAAAAATTTGGAAAGTCTGTACCACACAAAGGATCAAAATCCAAATGTATTGTAACAAACACCACATTATTAAATTGAAATGAAATTGATGATTATTGAATCCAAAACATAAATCATCACCAACTACTTTACAAACCAATGATTCATCTTCATCATCTGAATCATACCCATCTTTTAATTTATCAAAATATCTTATAGATAAATAAGTAAACAACAATATAGCTAAATTTAATGAATAAACAAAAGTTATAAATAATTTATGATTTCTTACCCCAATTTCATTATAAACCCATGGACAATAATGATCAAATCTTGCAATTAGCTTTTTATTGTACCTGGAATATCTTGACCTCAAAGGTTTTCTCACCAAAGTGTTTACGCAAAAATTGTCAGTGTCAAATTTACCCACAGCTATTAAATCTTTAATTTGTTGTAATATTATTGAATTGTCTGTTGGTGTAGGTACAAAACCTGGATTAATAAACATTGCTTTGAAAAATGACCAAACAAATGTTACAATAAATATAGAAAGCACAACATTACTTATGAAGTTTCTAAAAAAAATTGTTGGTACTATATTATATCCCCATATTATAATACACCAAAATGCAGTTGCTGAAAAAACACCAGCTAATATGGGTGATTTAGGTAGTGGTTTATCATCTATTAAATAAGTTGGAATAATGAATTTATTTACAAGATAAATTCCAAATGCAAAAAAAGAAATTGATAAAATTAATTTTGGTATAATTAATGATCCAGTAGCTATTTTTAAGGAGATTGGTAGTATAAAATATGGAACAATAAATGTCAATAATTTTGCAGTTTTTGGTTGTATCCAATTTTTCTTAGGTTGCCAAGTTTTTGGATCTTTACCACACTCCACCAAAACTTTATTCCAAGTATTTAAACAATTCATATCTTTAGCAACTTCAAAAGAATCTTTTTGTTGATCATTTTTAACAAAGATATCAGATCCTGCTTCCACAAGAGTTTTCATAACTGGTTTATAACCTCTCATAAAACACCAAAGTAAAGGTGTAAATAAATTATTATCAACTTTTGTAACATCAGCTCCAAATTTTATCAAAGCATTTATTGTAAAAATATCATTTTGATAAGAAGCCCAATGTAATGCAGTTCTGTTTGATCCATCAGGTTCATCAATATATAATTTGTTTGTATCACAACAACTAACTAATAAATAAACAATCAAAGTTATATTTGAACTATGAACTGCTAAATGTAATGAATTGTAATTCTGTAGATCTTTTAGTTTTGGATCAGCTTTTGAATTAGTAATTAAATAGTCAACGATATAAACCAATCCATTTCTACATGCCCAATGCAATGGGGTTGCTTTTAGTTCTCCACCAAATAAGTTTGGGTCAGCTCCATTTTCTATTAAGTATTTCACTAGAATCAATCTATTATTTATACATGCCCAATGCAATCCAGTAATTCCATCACTGAAAGTATCGTTTATTGATATATCTTTTGAATCTATCAAGGACTTAACTAAATCATTTGATCCTTCTTGACAACACTGCATAAATTGAGATAGTTTTGGATTGGTTTCTTTCTCTTTTTGTAAGGGGTCAGTAGGTTGAGATTCACCATTGAAGTTTGATTCAATTATAGCCTCAGTTGATTGTATGGAGGTTGAGTCTGGTAAATCTTCCAGTAGTGAATTCAACTCTATTTCATTTAAACCTGAAGATGTAGTTTTAGAATGACCATTTAGTAGTACCTTATCATCATCGTTATTCTCGGTTTCTGCCTCAGTAGTCATGTCATATAATTCCCTGGTTAATTAGATAATATGTCAAATTTGTTTTGATCATTTAGGGTCCAAATAAAGAAAAAATTTAAATACTGCGCCGCACAGATTAAATATTTACGATCTATTATCGAGATTACAATAAGAATGAATCTACAACGATCTAAGCTTTTACAAATCTTGTTCATTGATAATATTTAATAGTCAACTACTTTTATCATATATAATACAATCTAACACCCCCAAACTTTAATGATTTTCTAAATTTTCTTCACCAAGCTTTTTTTGTCTTTCATTTAAACTTTTGATACTCCTTATTGATTTACTATCATCTTTACCATTTGAATGATCACCTAATAAAGTAGAATCATCAGATTTGAATTTTTCGTTTGCACCAGAAGATACTCTTGGATTTGTAGTGGAATATGTAGCAGTTGTATTACTTGTTTGAGTTGTAAAAGCCCCACTCGAAGTAGAATTTGAAGCTTCTGATGAAGTGCTTGTAGATCTTGTTTTTCTATTTAATAATTCTAAAATTTGATCACCTGCTTTTATAGCATTTGGTTTTATTGTTTCATCAAAATATGGTTTTACTTTGTCATCAATATATGGTTTTACTTTGTCATCAATATATGGTTGTACAGTATCATTTATAAATCCTGGTCTAACTTCATCTTTACTTATAATTCCCATATTTTTTTCACCAACTCTTAATAAATGCTTTTCTAATAATAAATAATTTCTTGAATTTGCTTTATAACCAATTTCAACTATACTACCAACAATTGGAATAAGTCCCAAACCAAAATCAATAGCTATATTTAACAAGAATAGTAATTGTAAATCTAATGGTAAACCATCAGTAATTTGTTTTGCTAAATATAATAATTGTAATGACCAAAAAGTTTGTATAATTGTACCAATTATTGGAACCATACTGACAATATTAGTCCAACCAAATTGTACTCCCATTATAGAAAACCAATAATCATAACGATAAGCTCTTTTTTTAAATAATTTCAATATCTTAATATCTTTTTCAGTTATTCCTTCAGGTATTTTTCTTTCAACTTTCTTATATTTTTTATCACCATTTTTGGATACATTTGTTACAATATATTCATAATAAGGATCTTCTACCCCGAATTTATTCCATTGATTATCTTTTATAAGACGATTTGTAATCCATTTTAATATAAACGATGACATTGTTGGTATTAATTGTAATTAATTGAATAGGTTAGTTGAAGATTTAAAATTGAAATATTTATAATAAGATTAAAATTAAAAGTTTAAAATTATTAGAATACGATTGCTGTTTTATATTAGAGAGAATAATAATAATAGTTTAAATTTTATATACAAATAAAATATGAAATTGTGAATTGTCATGCAAATGATGAAACTATATAATTTGAAAATCTTAAGCAATTGTTCTTCGAGAAATTCATTTATTTGTCTTGTGATGTAATTATATTAGAATTTGATAATTCCAAAATTTCATGTTCAAAATATATGTGGATAATAATAAAAAGCCACTTAACAATTTACCACTTAAATCTTATTGATGTTTTACATACTTTATAAGTGATTTGATTTTTTTTAGAGTTTTTAATTTGAAAAAGGTAAGTATTTGTGACTTGAGTTGATATAATCAAGTTGATATAAATAAAAATCAGTTCAAGAAGTACATGTAATATTGTAATTTCAATTTAAGTTTTGGTCTCTAATCTTTTAGTAGTGTATACAAAAGAAAAATTATTCATAAATCCGGAGCAACTTTTGTAGTTCTTTATTTTATCATTTATTTATTTATTAAGTACTGTTAATTAAATTTAATAATTATGGAGATCAATTATCATCAACTTATTTTTATTCAACTACTAATTTATCAATCACCCACTCTCTTCAATGACTACAATCAAACGATTATTTATCAAAGCTTCAAATAATTATGATTCTGATTTTCAAATTGTACCTGTTAATACAAATGAACCATTAGAAATTAAATCAGATATTGGTGTATTTAAATTATTAATTAATATTAAGAAATTCGATGGTTCACAACCTCATTTATCAAATAGTTTATATAATCAAGAAGATAAAACTTATTTAAATGGTGATAAAATTGATTTTAACACTAATTCCAATAAAGAAGATGGACCAGAACCAAATTTAAGAATTAATATTGAATTTATACCAAAAGAAGATATTAAAGGTGGTGATTTAATTTTTGGTAACGATTTTACTTATTCAATAAAAGATTATGTTCCCACCACATTATTAAGTACTGGATTAAAATTATTCAATTGGTTTATAAATGATACAGTTAAAGGTGATATATATTCATCAAAACCTTTTCTTTATGGATTAGCATTAAATAGTTTTAGTTATATTGGTATTGATAAAAAACCAAAAGAAGTGGTAGACACTAAAGCAAAACCAATGAATTATAAAGAAAATATAAGTGATGAAATTGAAAATGGACCAACAAATTCAACAGAAAGAAAGAAATTTTTCAATACTGCTGAAAAATGTAATCAATTTACTTTTAAAACTAATAAAAAATATGATTTTCAATTTGATACTGATTTTTTGAAATTATCGGATTCAAAATATTTAGTTTCAATACCAAGATTTGATATTGATGTATCAAAATATGCAAATGATACTTTAAATAATGTTAATTGGGTAATTAAAAAAAATGGTTATGATGGTGTTGGTTCAGGTACTTTAGGTTTAATCATTAATTTTGCTTTAAGAACTGAAGATCAAAAAGATGAGTAACTTAAGTTATACTCTGGTAGTATATATTAAATTAGATATAGAGTCTTATAGAAAGTAATTTTAATTGTGATAAAATTATATTTTGCAACTTCTTTTGTAAAATACACAAAATAAAAAATTTAGTATTATCAAACATCAAAAACATAAACAACCAATTTTATAGTACATATTATAATTTTAGTTATAATAAAAATTCACAACTCATACTTATCTAATTAATACTGTTTCTAAAGCTTAACATTCTAGAATCTAGAATAATCAAACTATTTATTCAAATTTTGAAAAAGAGTGATGGGAGAACAAGATGGGGTACCAAATTCTGGGTCATTAAATAATAATGATAATAATCAACAACTACTGAATAAACCACCGATAGAAAATACATTGTCAGATGATTTAGATTTAGCTGATGCTATAGGAGATGTTTTTAGTAACTTTGATTTCAACGCGTTAAATAATTCTGATCATAAGGAAGAAGACGTTAAGTTACAAGTAGAAGAAACACAACCACCCCAATCAGAACAACCTCCTATAACAAAACCAACCGCAAAAAATACCGAGAATGGAATATCCAATGACTCGGAGTCAAATAAAGTTCAAAATCTAGATAATGCAATAAATGATATATTTAATGATCCAACTGATTTAGAACCTAATAAATCTGCAGATGAAGTACCTACACCAACCAACCAAGAAAATGTATTGAAAAAAGAAAATGAAGACTTGGATGAGCTAGATTTAGATAATGCAATAAGTAATGCATTTGAGGGTTTCTTCCCTCAAAGCACGAGTACAATTGATGATAAAAATAGTAAAGAAGATCCACAGTCGGAACCATCAACAACTAACCCTCAACTGGAATTATCAACGAATACAGAACTTCAACCAGAAAAGCCGGTATTCTCACAAACACATCAAGCTTTTACCGATCATGAAAGCACTACAAGCAATCTACGAAATGAAAAAGAAGTCAATAAAGAAGATTCGAAGATGAATATGGAGTTTGATGATATGGAAGATGAGCTACTGAAAGAAATAGGGGATGCATTTAGTAAAATTGTTACCGACAAAAATGAATCATTTGGAAAAGAAAATATGAATGTTTCAAGTCTGCTGGCAGATGTTGAAAACAAAAATGATACTTTAAAGCTTAATGTGTCTCAAAATCATACACTAGATACGATCAATCAGCAAAATACAACCAATCAAGAAGTAAAAGATCAAATCCATGTACCTACCCCAGAAACCACCCCACAACAAACTAACCAACAAGATGATGATTTTGACTTAGATTTGGATGCTGCTATCGGTGATGCTATAGGAAATGCATTTAATGATATTTTACCTCCATCTTCAAAACTACCTTTAAACGAGTCCCAAAATGCTACAACAACCAAAGCACCAGCAGAGGACCCTAAACTTAATGATCAACCTACGAATTCAGAACCTGGTATCAATTTCGATGATGAAGATTTAAACAATTTAATAGCTAATTCACTTCAACAAGTTTTCACAGCACCAAGAGAAGAACCATTAGACAACAATGATATGAAAGATGCTATAACTAGTGCTTTTAAATCTGCTGGTGCATTAATATCATCAACAAATTTTCAATTACCACAAAATTTAACACGTAGAATGTCACAATCAAAAAACGATCCAAATAGTTTACGTGATTTAGCAAAAGAAATTAAAAACAATGTACTGGATCAACTACAAAATGAAAAAGTAATTCCGTCTAGTCATCATGATAATGAACTGCAACAACAACCAGCTGAGCCAGAAGTCTTAGATTTAGAGGAATTGCAGATGAGTGATATTTTAAAAAATGCGTTCAAAATGGCATTAGAAGAACCACAAGAAATAATGGATATTGAAATTGATGAAAGTCTAAAACCAAAACCACCACAACCAGTACCAACTAGAATCAAACGTGTTGATACCACAGTTCCATCACTTCCAAAACCTGCACCACCTAAATCAACAACTCAGCAGCCGAAAACCAAACACAACGAACATCCTTTAGAACTTCCCAAAACTTCTTCGTTCTTTTCAAATCCAGAAATGAAATCACAAATATCATCAGTAATAACTTCATTAACTTCAAGAATAAATAGTGGGGAATTAGCCGACTCAAATATACTTACAACAATTAGACAAATAACTGAAGAGATGGCTTCGGGTTCTGGTGCATCATTATTTTTAAGAAAACCAGAAAGTAATATTGAAACATTAATTAGTGAGTTTATCAAATCATTAAGTACAGCTAGGCAATTCCTCAAAAACTATCCAAAACAAGAATCAAATGTGTTAGAGAAATCAATTATAGTTGTTGAGGAAATGATTTTAAAATTTAATTCAGACTCAGGATCACAAGATTTTCAAATACTAAGTGAAGAAACAGAATTTATTTCAGCAATAACTAATCTATCATTAAGTTTATTTTTGGAGAGTTCATTAGTCTCAAAATTAACTCCAGAATCTAAAGTTATCATTGACAAATTCAAAACAAATTCACCAGAAACTAAACGAAAAATAAGAATAGGAAATAGAGAAAGAAAGAAAAAATGGAGAGAAGAAAATTCAGAAAGAAATAAAGATAATGATTTAAAAATTAGAGTCGTTAGAAAAGCAAACCTTGAGTTTGGTGAAATTGATACACCAAAAAAATTAGAATGGATTGAAGAAGAGATATGTAGGAGAAAAGCTAAAAGACTGAGTAAACCTCAAGGTGAAGAAGATTCTGCTGGTGATACTGAGATCAAGTCAGAAACATCTGCTGGTGATACTGAGAAGTCAGACACAGCTGCAGCAGTACCAAATGAAAAAGAAATTAGTCAAATTATGATTAATCAGGACGTACAAAAAAGTATTAAGGATGTGGTATATCATATTTTATCAAACAAGGCACATTTAACTCCTGCAATTTTGATAGGTTGCTCTACTGTCATTGGAGCAATAGCTGAAATTTACGCAATTCGTTTAAAATTTTTAGAAATTAATATGAGTGTTGCCGTAAATAGAATTATTAAAACTACATTGGATGGAGGTTTTGATTATTATAATACTTCAAATTCATTATTAAACAAACGTCATTTATCAGAAATTGTCAATAATTCCAAAAGATTGAAACTAAACCAAGGAGAGTCATCATTAGCAAAATTACCAGTTTATAAACCAATCCAAACAACTAAATCATCATCAATTTATAGACCAAGTTTACAATTACCTAGAAATTCACCATTCATATCGAATAAATTAACTAGCACAACAACAAAATCACAATCATCTGCATTACCAAGAAAGCCTGGAGCTTTTCTGAACCCTAAATCACAACCAAATGAAAAAAATAGAGGTACAAGTTTAGGATTTCCAAAATTATTTTCTACATCACTTAAATAATCTAATAGATTCTAATTTATTGGTTCAGTTTCTCTAATTTATTGGTTCAGTTTCTCTAATTAACCAATTATACGCTCTTTTATTATTAAGCTCTAATAACTTATCAGCAAAATCTTCTTTTATACTTTCATGATATTCGTTAATCCATTTTATCTCAATTGGTGATAAATAGCTAGTATCTATCAATTTTGAACAAAATGGAACTTTTGTTAAATATTCAAACCCCAAAAAATTACCACCATTTTTAGTTTTACCAAATGATTCATCACATTCAATAACTTCAATCTCACTTTCAACTCTATACCCACATATTCCATCTTCGTAATAACCAGGCTCATCGGTTATTATAGCACCTGGTTTGAAGTAATCTTTTGTTGAAGGACCTCCCGTTGTAGATGATATAGATATAGGTCCCTCGTGTACTAATCCAAAACTTCCAATTCCATGACCAACTCCATGATTAAAATCTAATCCATAATTCCATAATGGTTGTCTAGCATAAGAATCCAATACAATGCCTGTACCTGATGAATTTGCCGGGAATTTTGCCATTGCAACTGCTAAATGACCTTTTAATACTAAAGTATAGTGTTTTTTATTTTCTTTGGTAATTGCTGACTCATCAAATAAGTAAGTCCTTGTTATATCAGTTGTACCTTCTAAATAATGAGCACCTGAGTCTAAAAGATAAACTTTTTTAGGGTCGATTATGGAATTTTGTTCTTTGGTTGGTGAATAATGAATAACTGCCGCATTTGCACCCGACAGTGATATACATGCATAACTAAGACCTTTAAAATTTGGTAAATTTGTTCTGATACTGTATATCTTGCAAGCCGAATCATATTCTGAAATTTTTTCTTGTTTGTTTATTAACTGATGTTCTAACCATGGGATAAATAACATAAACGCTAATGAATCTTTATATTGTGCTATTTTAGTATTAAATAATTCTGTTTTGTTTTTGTATAATTTTAACTTAGCTATAATTGAGTCTTGAACCAAATTTCGTTTACTGTATGAATCTGGGATTGAATCATACAATGCTAAAGTACAAGAATTTTTATCTGGTATGATTATTTTGAGGTTATTCTCAAATACTGTTGCTTTTAATTTGCCATTTTCTTTATAAAAGTCTTCATAATTCAAAATAGTCAAATTTTCAATACTTGATAAATACTCCTTTAGGTCCTTATTTCCATTCTCAATCTTGACTTTATTAATAAATAATTGAACAGATGATAACGTGATTATGGAGTATGAAAAAAATACAGGTGCAAATGGTATATCAAAATCTGATCTTAAATTAAATAGCCATGCTATACTATCTAATTCAGTCACAATATAGTGAGTTGCATTTTGTTCCTTCATAATTTGACGAATTCGTTTTAATTTGTCGTTAGTATGTTCTCCGCTGTATTTTAAGTCCCATACATAAATAGGCTCCAAAGATCTTGTAGGTTTTTCTTTACCCCAAACTTCATCGACTAGATTTACTTCCAATATCGGCTTAAATTTGAAGTCATAATAACTTTCTTTTTCTTTAAAAAAATTCCCGATTGATAAAGTTAAAGTTCTTGGATCACATGAAACTACATTACTAAATTTATTTTTAGTTGCCAAATCTATAACATATTGGTTCCAGCTTGGATGACCTATAACTCCTTGTTTATTCAATTTCCATAACTTTGAATCCAATTGATTTTGAGCTTGTAGAAAGTATCTTCCATCAGTAGATAATATAGCTTCACCAGATAAAGAATTTTCATCATTAACTGTAACTATTGCAACCCCAGCACTTCCTGTAAAACCTGATATAAATTCCCTTCTTTTATCGGCTAGTGATGTATTCTCTGAAATATGTTCATCTTCTGACGGTATTATGTAGACTCCAATATTATGCTTCACCATTAATTTTCTTAACTTTTCCAATTTGTCTGAGGAACTTAATTTTGACTTGGTTGAAATTGTGACACTTGGTAAATCTGGTATTGACAAATCATCGTCCGAATAATCAATAATTTCACTAGATTTATCAAAGGATGAAGATATAGGTGAGGCGTTATTATTTGGCAAACAATTTTGAAATGGATTGTATAATAACGATTTTAAAAAAGATGGGTATTTCGGTGAGTGGGTTGATATTTCATTTTCTTCTGCAATCTTCCTACTTCTTCTTAAAAGTGGTTCTTTTTCAGATAAGTAAGCTGTCATTAGATTGAGTATAAAAGATGATAATTCAACTTTAGGAAATTGTTATTCGTAAAGATTAATTGAAATTGTGGATAAGAATCTTTATCTATGATTTGGTAGCTCAAAGTTTTTGAATTAGTGCAAAAGCAGTAGCCGTGCTACCAAATTTTATGCGTTAACAAAATTTTAGAAACACGTCAAAATATCAAGACCAACCCATTACAATTCAGTAATAAAAAATGTTTAATTTAGTAACAAGAGTTCAATCTGCTGCTAATCAATCACTAACTTCAGCAAGTATACTAACAGGAATTGTAATTGTACTCACTTTACTTCAATTGTTTAAAGATAATGTTTGGGGAATAGATACAACAACTATTTCAAATATTGAATCAAAATCATCAATAAAATATTCATTCCAATACGGTTCAGTGAATAGAAAACCAAAAGAAAATAACAAGATCACATTTGATTTAGATACGGACTTGACAAAATTGTTTAATTGGAATACAAAACAAATATTTATATATTTAACTGCTGAGTATCCAGGTAAGTCTCAAGGTAGCTCAAATAAAGTTACATTTTGGGATAAAATTATTACAAATAAAGAAGATGCTATATTAAAATTGAAAAATCAAAGAAGTAAATATTCAGTTTGGGATGTTGAAAAGGGATTTAGAGGAAGAAACGCTACTGTTAAATTAGAATGGAATATTCAACCTCATATTGGACCATTGATATTTGGGGAAACTTCAGGGATTGGTTCATTTGAATTTCCAAATGTAGCTAGTAAATAAGGTAGATATTGTACAGAATTTATTAAATAAATTGTATATATACAGAAATGGATTAATCTTGATCTTTTTGTATTTTAGTTGTAAATGTAGCATCTTTTGATATAAATATTTTAGCTTTATTATAATTGAAAAGTAATTCTTTTAATACATCTTTTGATCTTCTAATTCTTGGATCATTGGATGAATTCAAGTAGTCTATTTTACCATTAAAAATTGTTAAATTTTTATAATAGCTTAAGTCGGATGTATAGTATGACATAATTTTTGGGTATTTCTCTTTTAAAATTTTTATAGAATCTGTAGTATTTTTGATATGAGTTGAAATTGTTTTCATTAAAAGCCTTGAAGTATTATTGAATAATTTTAGTTCATTAGTGAGCTCCCTTGCCGGATTGAAATAGTCGATAAAATTGAATTGATTCATCGTTCTTGAACCATATGGATCCAACCTAATATTGAATAAACGTCCAGATGAACTTCTCAAGAAATTAAGACCATCAACTTTCAAATGTCCTCTTTCTTCTGATATAGTTCTAACCCCATAATAATCAGACAAAATTTTATAATTTTCTTCAACTAATTCATCACCGAAATTATCACCTAAATAAACCAAACAAATCTTGTAACAAAGTTTTTTCTCCTTATATAAATCTATTTGAGTAAGATTACCTTGTATTAAATTTCTTTCTATAAGTGTCATAACGGTATGAAAATTGTTTGATGGATCTTCTAAAAATTTTGAAAATAAATAATTGTAATCAACTATATTTAACTTGATTCCTTTAAGCAATGTATCTAGCACTAATGATTTATGATCTTGAGTAAATGATTTAGTTTCAATCCAGTGCTTCATACGTTGAATTAAAATGTCAGCCATTGAATTGTTCAAAACAGGTGGTATAATGCTATTCGAAGGAACTTGCTCCAAATATTGATTAAGTAATTTTTCAGTAAAAGTAAAATTTTGTTCCATGAACATCTCATATTCAACTTTGTTGACTTGTTTATATGATCGCCTTAATTGCTTGTCAATTTTAGCTTTCAATGGAATTGGCAATTTATCATTATAAACATCTTCACAAAAATAAACAAACTTATTAAACAATGCATTACCTTGGCGTATTCCCACGGTTTCAACATACTTGATGATTATGTCTGCAATTAATAAACTATCTTTCTTGAAATTTAGCTTAGGATTAAATCTATTTGTATCATCGTAAAAGCCATATGATTCCAACATTTGTCTTAATAAATCAGATGTATTTTTCAATCTTCTATCATATTTTTTATCTAGGAACATTATTGCTTTCATGAAGTAAGTGTATGATTTTGCAGAAAGTAATATTTTATCCAGGTTCATCTCTTTGAATATTTTCATAACGTTTAATGGCTTATAATTTTCATAAATTAAGTTGGATCTTAAAATCGGTAAATATAATTCTTCGTCGGTTCTTATATGATAATGTTTTGACAGCTTTATTAAATTGTAAAAAGTTTTCACTTCTCTACCTTTCAAATGCAGCAAAGCATTTATTCTTGAATGATTTTTTGCTTTCTTTTGTAAATAATCCATAACATCACTTAGTAAGGGAATACCCCCAGCTTGAATTTGAAAAATTGAGAAATGGGTTTTGAGTATCAGCGAAGCAATATATTCAAGCTTCATTTCAATGTATCTTTTTGTATCGGCCTGCGGAATCAGTCTTTCCCATTCTGTGTAGTTATTAAATTGAGAAGCATATATTTGTAAATTTGAAAATGGTGGGGAAGATCGTGAATGTGCTTGATATGCAAGACTGTCAGCTTTGGAAAATTGACCCAACCTTGTGTAACAATCTATTATACCAGCCATAAATTCGGGAGTTAGCTTGTGGTAAGTTGAAGCTATTTCAAAAAGTTGTTCTAGGTGAGCAATTGAACAATTTTCAGCTAGTATTTTTGACACATCCGATAATACTTTGGGAGAAACAAATTCCAAACCGAATTCTTTTTCTTTCTCAGAGTAGATCTTTATGATATCCAACACTGATTTATAATCCTGCTCTTGAATATATAACTCCAACACGAATGGAAACACAAACTTGATATCATTTTGATAAGCTCTTCCATTTAACGCCAAGTATATATACTCTTGTAATACGTTGAATAATTCATTTTGATCCTTTTGTCTAATATTTGCTTTCATTCTAGCAATAAAAATCACTGAATTCATACTTAATTTACGTTCCAAAATTTGTTCATATAGTCTTTCTAATTCACTATCAGCACCTAGAAATTCTAAAGCCTGCATAGTAATTCCATAATGAATAGTGTCTGGTAAATTTCCTTTCCCATACATATTCTCAAATCTTGACTGTAAAGATTTCCAATCTTTGTGCTCAACACATAATTGTAAAAAAACTGATTCTTGAGATTCATCGTCGTGAAGATCACGATTTTGCATGTATAATTCATAAATTTTGTTCTCATCAAATGATAAACAAGCTTCCATAACATAAGCTAAATCAAATTTGTTTAATACACTGGTCCTTCTGAGGTTTCTATGTCTAATTTCTGACGATTTAAATTGAAACATTAAATATGTCAAGTATGGAGATTTTGAAACTAAATTTTTCATAATTTGAGTTATAAAATAATATGAGGTTTTGGTGTCATATAATTGCTCTGCAATTTGAGTAAGATCTTGTAAGAATGTTTCAACTCCGAAAACTTCTTTTGGGGGTATCCCGATTAATTTAAGCAATTCATCATATGCCGTTATTGTTTCATCTTTTAACCATTCTTCACCCTCTACCATTTTTGTATATTTAAGAAAAAGCCTAATTGTGGATAGTTTTGATTCATAAGACGAGTCTAAGTTGTATTTATTTAGTATCAACAAATTGATCATTTCTCTGCTGTCTTTTAGTGATGATTTAGTTAAGTAGTTTGAAAAGCTTTTTGTATCGTAGTTTACCTCTCCGTCTGTTTTTCTTTGTAGTTTAATTATCGGTATTATTTGGTCCAAAAATGACTTATTTGAAGTGGAAATTATTTGAGGTGCAATATTCTCTTGAAAAAAATTATAGTATCCATTATATAGTACGAACTTTAATAGTAGATCTCTTTGAGAGAATATGGTATATTTTAGGCTTTTAGTACTTTCATTGATTGTTTTGCAGTTAACTATACTTAAAAATGCATTGATGAACCTGAAACCTTGTGCAAATTCAAATGATGCTTGTGTGACACGATAAAAATCGTTGGACAACTCATTGATTTCTTGCATTGTGAAATGATCCTTTTTCTCTAGTGATGCTAAATATAAAATTTGAAATTTTTCGTTGAATATTAATTGATTTGTTCTATTAAAGTCTTGATCCAAAAAGCTTGCTAAAAATTCTTTTGTAGGCGCTTTTTCGAGATTTAAAGTGGATATATGTCTTTTGAAGTGGCATATTGATGCCTTTAATGATAAATGAGTTGACAGTTTTTGACTAGGTAGTCGTATTGAATTCTGGATGACGTGACTAGTTGTGTGATAGGATGATATAAATTGTGAATTACATCTTATAATTTCGCATTTGCTACGAACTCTTCGAATTAGGTATATTTGATATCGTAGCCGTATCATTCTATGCTATATCATGCTAAATGTTATATTAATCCAAACTATGTACAAGATATTGATAAGAATTTATTTAATTATGATTATTTAATCTCGTATGATAGTATAAATTGTAATACAATATTGATGAGAGTGAAAAATTAAATCAATGTACAAGAACTACCAGATGATTTTTTGAACTTCTACATTTTGAAACAAGAGTTATTGATTTAAAGTACATCAATCATTCATTAATAAATATTTACTATTCTAGTTGTGAAAATAAATCATTTCATTAAAAGTTTTAAATTTTATCAGAATCATTAAATCAGTTTTTTTATGTCGTAATCAGGGAAGCAATGCTCCTCGTACAGTGTGAATATTAAAAAGATCATCATTAAAAAATTGAAAACAGAATGAAAGGACTTATTAAACCACTAGTTTAAACTATCTGAAAACTTTACTTTTTCTTCTGCGTTGTTAGATTTATATTCAAAATAACTTTGCTATTGTTTTATTTATCAGAAAAGACCTATCATCAACTATTCATTGATCAGCATCTCTATAAAATGTACACAAGAAATGCGACTCCTTCTCCTTATTTGTACAAAAGAAGGGACCAAGAATGTAAATTATGTCCGCCCGGTCGAAATATATCATCATAAAAAACAATCAACAAATACCTCATACCTCATGAAAACATACATTTCAACTATTGAAGTTAGTAATTTGAAACTCTCTTATAATAATAAATGGCTCATACAAGGCTGAAACTTAACGAATATGCTTATTGTCAACCCGATTTAATTCAGTTGGAACAATTGGTGAATGCAAATAATCATCGCCATCTCTCAAAATTTGGACATACATTAAGTATTACTTAATAGTCAACTGATCTAATGACCAATTGATCATTAATGGACTAGTTTGTTTGAGTTGAATAAATCTAATAAAAGAAAAGTTGAGTTGAACTAAATAAATTTTTTTTATTAGAAATTTCAATGAGCTAGAAAAATATATTTATATACAGTATTTATGCTACCAAATTTTTTAAGTGGTAATTCATATTGTTTCAAAATCAATATCATTTTAAATCATGAGTATCTTTGAAACGCAATTCATTTGATTTCGGTTTTTCAATTGGTTCACTTCTAGGGCAAGCTTCAATATAACTTTTGTCCTTGGTTTCAGTGATGAAACAACTAAAGCCAGTACCAAATAAGCAGATGAAAACAATTATGAAAAATAACCACCCATTTAAATGCAGAAGTAAAAATGGAAAAATTAATGATAATGAACATTCAAACAACCAATGTAAACTTGTGATGACTACCCAACCTCTCATTCTTGAAGTTGATGAAAAATTTTCTATTATAAATAACCAGCAACTTGGTAATACAATTGCATTACAAACAATATCCATAAATATTGTCAATGCTAAAACTAAAGAAGCAGTTTCGTCAAAAAACTCAACTTTTAAAACCCAATCTAGGTTCAAAAAAAAAGAAGTTGAGGGTCTTTTACTTGAAAACCCCAAAAAGACAATCATGTAAACAATCATAACAAATGTAATAATACTCATACCAAACACGAATACATCTTTTCTTCTCATTGCATCAATAATTAATATTGGGACCAACATGAAAACAGTTCTAATAACTAAATCAAAGGTTTGCACCATTTTTAATTCATTTAAACTTTTAATTTGACAAGCAAAACAAATATAGTTGAAGCACTCAACTAATTTTGTAATTCCAATAAAGTCAACCAATAATTGAAGTAAGATACCAGTACTTATTTCTTTGATATATTTTTTACCAAATAAATTATTCATAGAGCACGTTTTAATATTTGCAGTTGGATATTTTTTAATTACAAAATGTTTATCACCAAGTTTACCTCTTTCTGAATTTAACTTGTTAGCTGAAACTTGTCCTGAATTATTTGCTTCAATACTTTCAATTACATCTGCGGCTCTACTCCATTTACTATTTTCAGCTAAAAATTTGGGACTTTCAGGTACGAAAAGTATAGCTAAACTTGCAAAACTTAATGGAATTAAATCAATTAGCCAATGCAAAATCAAATACTGAAATCCTTTTAGCTGAGGTAAGCAAATCATTGGTAGAATGAACATAAAACAATTACCTAAACAAGTTGAAAAAATGAACAAGGTTAACATTCTACCACGACGTTTTGATGGAATGATCTCGTGTTGATAAACTGGTATTGTAGCTGTGCTTATACCTATTGCAACACCTTTTATAGCTTTTCCGATAATTAACATTGGAATTGATTCTGAAATGAAACATAGCATTACTCCAATAATCCAAACTAAGCAAAGACATTTTAATGCTTTTAAAAATCCAAAATGTTCAGCAATTTCACCACCAATAATTCCACCCCCTTAAACACAATCGTTAGTAATTCGTTGAAACCTGGCTATGTTAATTTTACTCACCAATTGCGCCCATAACATTACTTGACTTTAATAGATTTTCTTCAATTTTTGTTGGAAATTTATAAAATGTTGCAAAAATATTAAAGTTTTTTAAACTAATATACGAATACATTTCCATTCCAGCTGTGAAACCAAATAATGATAATGCTAATTCAATAGCATATCCATTGTACATTTTTCTGATTTGGCGCATGGTTGGTACTACTTATCAACTTGGTTATCTTGTAAAGAAAGTTTCTTTAATAAAAAATTTGGTTGCAAAAGAATATCAAAAAAAAAAACAAAGATAAAAAATATACAAGAGCCGCACACTCATTTTACAAGGTTGACTATCAATAACTTAATAAAACTCATCAAACAACTATCCATCGTATGATCGAAATTGGTACCCAATGGATGTAGATTTAGATGATGGATTTATAAATAATCAATATCTGTATTTGTTCAACAGCTTATTTGTTGATAATTCACCAAAACCACATACATTCATTAAACAAACTTTGATCAATTCACCAACTATCACTAATATATTAAGTAATGTCAAGGTCAAAATAAATAAAGCATTTAAAGGACTGTCTAGTGTTTTATTAAATGATGATGAATATCAAGTCTTGATTCCACCAGAAGAAGATTCACAAATGGATATTTTTGATGATAATGATGATGATATATTTGATGATAGGAATGAAATAAGTTCTACAACTACAAAACCTCAACTTGAAAAATCAATATTTGAGAAAATTCAAGTTTTAGTGAAAAAGCTGTCAATATCAGTAAACGGAATTGAGTATAATTTGAAGTCAACTGTCAGATCATCGTGTTTGATACGAGCTAGTATTGCTCAAGAAGAAGATCATATATTAATTGCATTAAAATCTGGATTCTTGATTCTACTACGAATATATAAAGTACCATATTATGTCAAAGATACCGATTATGATTTTAAAAATGAATCACCTGCAAATTCAATTTTTAAACCATTCCTAATACAATGGTGGAACTTTCAGCAAGAACTTAATTTCCCAGAACTACACACAAGTGGATATAGTTTAATATCATCGCCGTCTGGTCTATCCACAGTTTCGTCATCAGCTTCACGCTCATTACGACTTTACCCTACCTTACAACAATCTCAAAATGGGGCAGTATTGAAGAATCATTTAAGTATACCTTTAGATGGCTTTTTGGTTGATTCATGTTTTATTGAACCTAATTCAACAATGCAGACTGATATGCTATTAACTTTAGTATTTACTGAACATAGAAGACTATATATTAATTTATATTCTTGGTCATGCTTAGATGATTTATCAAGCGGATTAACAAAAACAAGTTTTCCATTAGAAAATACATTTCATATACCTATATTTGTGGTTCCATTATCCATATCAAGTGCTTTTTTATTTGTTTCACAGCTGATGCTAACTATTGTTAGTATTCATGATATACTATCCGCTCAATATGATTTTAAAAGAACTGATGCTCCTTGGACTTCATTTCCAACAAGTTATTACATTCCTCAAGCAAAATTTACTGATTTGGATGTATCGGAAATTGATGAGATACTTATATCTACAGATTCTGGAGTAATATACTCCGTATTAATAACGAAAGAAGGAGTTTCATCAATTACCCCAGTTATTAGAGTTACTGATTCCTTATCATTATTCACCTTAGAAAAGACCACCAATGGTCATGAATTAAATTATTCAAGTACTACAGGATCTAATAAATCAATTGTAATACCTAACCGCTTTAGTAAAGAATATCTATGTGATATTGAAAATGATAGTAAATTGGGATTTAGTAAATTTGAACTAGTGGAAAATCTTGAGAATTGGGCTCCAATACAAGATATAATTGCTGTTGCATCATCCGCGAATAACAATCTGTTTGATGAGTTATGGGCAATAACGGGAGTTGGTAATAAGAAAAAATTGACAAATTTCAAAACAGGTTATCGTGGAACCAGACAAAGTGAAATTTATGAAGAGTTAAGAAAAGTCATCAATTCATGGATTTTTTCGTTTAATGAACGAGTGTTAATAATTTGCTCATTACCATTGGAAACAAAACTATTAGAAATAGAAGATAAAGATTATGAAGAAGATTTATTTGCAGTTGAGAATCCAGTAATTCATGAAAAAGAATCTACAATTTATTGTACAAAATTTGATATTGTTGTGGACAATGAAGTAGAATCATTATTAATACAAGTTACAAATCATAGCATTACTATCACCGATTTAAATTTTAAAATTTCTCAGTCTTATTATTTCTTCCTTACATTTGCAACTTATATTGATAATAAATTGTATGTAATAGGTGATGAAGATGGAGAAATTAGACTCACTATTTATCAAATATCTTGTGATGCATTAGATGAGGATACTGTGTTTGAAGATTATGCAAAAGTAAAATACAGTGAAGAAGTAGATTTTCAGCCATCAATGTTAAAGACTTGTCAGATCAATAATGAGAATGTTCTTATAATTGGAACTTTTGAATACAAAATTTATTTTTATGAGGCTGTGAATGATTTCATAAGAATTAAAGAGATTTTGAATTTGTCTAGTTACAAGACCGATTTAGATGATAATGACATAAAGTTGGTCCCGAAAGATTGTATATGTGTTGATGATGAATTATTTGTAGGTACTTATGAAGGCTATTTTATAAGAATTCTGTTTAAATCCGGGATAGAATTCAAATCTTTTTATAAAGTTGGATCAGGTGAAGTTCAAATTTCTAAATCTGAAGATAATGGTTTTATATTTATTCAATGTCGAGATTTATATATGATTGATTTACATGGCAGTTCATATCCACAAAAAGTACAATTTAACGACACCTTACTACGAACAGTGAATTCATTAGTGGAATTTCCAAATTCAGAATCATCAATGTACAAAAAGGTGGGTTTATTCAAAAGTAATGGGTTTGTTATTGCTCATGTGAATTCATATCCCAAACCATTCATTAGACAAGTAAGTATTGATGAAGCATCTCAAAAGTTGCAATATTTTCGACCAATATCAGCTTTCATAATTCTTGGAGAATCAAAGAAAATATGCTGCATCGATAAAATCACCTTGAAACCATTCAATATAACAGAATTCAAGAACAAAAATAAAGTTGGTAGTATATTCAATACAAATGAATTTCCCATAAGTTCATGTATTTGGAAAATTCAAAGAAATGGAAGAACAAGTTATAAATTACTATTAGGTTGTTCAGTAAAAACTCAAGATAAAGTAGCTGGTTCAATAAAAGTTTTAGATTTTAGAAAACCAAAAGATCAAAATTCTACAATAAATATCACTGAATTAACAACTTTTGATCATTCAGAACCAGTAACCCATATTCAACAATTAGATGATAGAATTTTCTTTACTAGTCAATCAACAATCTGGATGACTTCATATCATGAACAAGATAAAAAATTTGTACCAATTAAAAAATATCTGCAATTTCCAAGTGATATAATTTCGTTTAGCGCTCACAAAAATAAGATTTTAGCATGTACTCAACTGGATTCAAATTATCAATATATTATAACTGATGATTTAGATTATACTATAAATATTAATGGTGAACCACAAAAGATGTTATTTGAATTTAATTCAAAACCTATTTTAACTATTGATCAAGTTAATTATAAGAATCAAATTTTAATGAGTTCAAAACGAAATTCATTAGTACATATAGTTGATGGGATAGGTGATCAAGTAAGTATCGATTTTAATGAATCTTTGAAAGTTCAATTACCTGGTATATCGAAATTCATTACTGCAAAATTAGATAATCCGTGGATGAAAGATCAGGGAAAAGATGACGAAGATACCATATTGTGTGTTTCTAAAAGTGGTGATATAATTGCTTTGAGATCTGTTGATAAATCAAGTAATGAAATTTCGGATTTAGTAAAAAACTTGAATTCAAATAATAAGTCAAATGTTAATCAAAATTTATCATTGACCGATCAATTGAACAGGCTAAATAATCCATTTACAAATAAACTAAGTGGTACAGGGCTACTTTCAATAAATAAACCAATGTTTGATGATTCGATAAACAGACTCTTGTCTTCAAATACCAATGATGAAAATGTTCCAGATTTATTGGATTTTGATTTAGAAGAGATTTCCAAAAACTTTATATCAAAAATTTCACTACAGTAAATTTTTTAATTCGTCTTAATTCATTATATAATTATTCCAATACCAACAAAATTCTATTTATTCTACCAAATCACTATTATTACTATTACCTGTATTATTTGTAGAGATTCCTTTTTTCTTTAACCTTTCTTGTCTATATTTTTGTGCAGCAGTTAACGTAGCGGATTCTTCATTATTACTATTATTATTTGTACTGGTTTCATCATCTGAATTTTCATCATTTGCTCCACGTAATTCTTGCAATAAATTTCTTGCTCTCGCACCAATTTTGGGCTCATCATTATTAGATGATTCCTCCTCCAAATTTTCAGAATCAAGTTTTTGAGAACTAAAATTACTATCATCTATTGTTGAAACAGCATTTTCATCAAAACCAGTGAATTCATCAGTTGATTTATTTTTAGATGGTGATAATTCGTGATGAGATTCATTACTATTTGTTGTATGAATATTATTACTACTATTGAATTTTCTTTGATTCTCCAAAATTTGACGTCTCATTAATGCTTTCTTTCTTGCTGATGTAGGTTCACCTTTAGCAGGTCCAGCAGCTTTTAATTTTTCCAATAATGAATCCATTACACCTTCATTTTCTTCATTATCTTCACCAGAGTTGGTTGATTTAGTTGGAGTTGTAGATTTAGGAGCTTCCAATAGTTTTTTCCTTTGTTCATAAATTCTAATTTCTTCTTCTCTTTTCATATTCTCTTGTTGTACTCTCTTGAAATCTTTCATGAAATTTGTAAATTTACTAATGAATGAATTTTTAACAAATTGATCCTGTGGATCTTCTCCAAAATAAATCATCAAATTTTCAAATTGTTTTATTGTGAAATCAGCTTGATCTAATAAAAGTCCTGCTTTCCTGCTAGCTTTTGGTAATGATGGTAATAATACTTTTAATATACGATCCAGTGGATGGAATTTTGAAATATCTGAAAGATTACCAACATCAACTGAACTTTGAACATTCTTAATACTTTGTACATATTCTTTACAATCATTATAAATATTTTCAATTGAATATTTTGCAACTTCATTACAATTTGATAATTCCTCTAAAAACTGTAAAAATTCTGGATATTGAGTTCTGATAACTTTTTCAACATAATGTAAAAATGTCATACTGTTTTTCTCATCTTTCATAAAACTTAATCTTTGTAATGAATTTAATTTAAAACCTTTTGCTTGCTTTGTTGAATCATTCATATAATTACCAACGGTTAAAATAATCTCAAAAACACCTTTCAAATGTTGTGAATTCTTAATACTATCAACTGAATCATCAATTGCTCTTAATTTGTGTACTAAATCTTCATAGTCTTTTTCATAGTTGGCAACTATAGTTAATGCTCTATTTCTTGACTTCCAATAATGTTGTAAATTATACATCAACTCCAAATATATCCTATCAGGTCTTTGCAATTCAGACGGATCTTTATCTGGTTTACTAATTTCATCTGTTTTATAATCAGTTGAATATGGTTCATAATTACGGACAGCAGAATTTGTAATATCTGTTATTTCATCTTTACTGAAAAACTCTAAGACCGCATGATTTTGTATAAGATCCTTGTCACATCTTAACACTTTTGCAACTAATTCTTCGTCAGTTAATGAACTAAATGAATGCAAATTAATACTAAATTGTTGAGCAACATCTCTATTCAAGAATGTAACTTTATCTAGGTCTGCTTTCTTCTTAGTTGCTAACCTTTTGATTTCTTTAGCGGCAAAGATTACTTCAATTTCGTCAAATATACCCTTAGACATTAATTCATTGGCAATAGTATTTGTAGAAGGCTGTTTCCAAAATGAATTTTCAACTTCATTATAATCAATTTTTTCCCAATGAATTTGTTTTAATTTTTTCTTTGGTCTTGGTAAATGATCAACACTTGAATTGAGAACTGGTGATAAAGCTATTTCTGTTTGTCTGTATTTGTTTGCTTGACCATTTGGAAATGGTGGTGGTGGTGGTGGTCCTGGAGGTCCTGAGGAACCATTCAAGAAATTTGGAGGTGGTGGTGGAGGAGCTGGAATAGATTTTGATTCTCCACCCAACATAGATGGCATTGGTGGCGGAGGTGGTGGAGGAGCTGATGATCCACCAAAAATAGGTGGAAGTGGAGGTGGTGGGGGTGGTGGTAATGTGGTTTTAACAGGAGAATCTTGAATTTCCTCTACTTGTTCTTCTTTCTTTTCAAGTGGCACTTCTTCTACTTCCTTTTTACCATTTGTTTCAATCTTTGAAGCATCAATAGGTTCAGCTTTACCAACTTTATTGCTGAGTTCTTGTAAAAATTTCGGATCCATAGAATTAAGATTTGTTCTTCTATTGATTTTTTTGGTTTCTCTCGAAGATGATACATCAGCTGGTGATTGTTGTACTTGACCTTTAGTATATTTATTTTCAATTCTCTCCAAAACAGATTGTCTTTTTGGTGTGGTTGTTGATTTCGATTTATTCTTTGCAGCTAATTGTTTTCTCAATTCATTTCTTAATCTTTCAACTTCATCTAATACTTCTTTTGTTTTATCCTTGATATGATCATCAACTCCCATTGTAGAATAATCATCTTCATCTTGGATTGAAAAATCAATATTGAAATCTTTGAAATTATTTTCTAATTCATGCAATCTTTCTATAGCCATGAATTTTTGTTTATTAAACATTGAACTAGTGTTGAATTTTACAATTTCATTTGAATCGGTTTGTAAATTTGCCAATTTCTTACGAAGATTATCTAATTTTGATAAATCATCATTTCTAATTCCACGTTTATTGGTCATTGGTGGTGATGGAGGTATTTCAATTTCTTGATCTGATTCAGATTCCTCAATTTCTTCAGATTCTGTTTCACTTTCAATAACTTCAGGTTCTGATGGTAATTCTTCAATTGGCTCAACATAATTTTCAAATTCTGTCATTTCTAACTCTCTTGCCATATTTTCAATGTCACCCATTTGATCTCTTAATGCTCTCAATCTTTTCAGTGGTTCAACTTGAGTTCCTAATTGCTTGTTGTCCAATCTTGCTTCAGCTCTTCTTCTATGTATTTGTTTCTTCAATCTTTGTGCTAATTCAACATTAGATGTAGTCAATGAAACAGTTGTAGTTTTACCCTTTTTAGATTTGCTAGTAGCAATATCATTACTATCTAACAAAATCAATAATTCTCTCATTTCTAATTCCAGCTCTTGTTTTTCTTTCATATATTTGGTTTTCAATTCTTCCATTTCTTGTTTCATGTCATCATTAGTTCTTCTAAATCTTGAAATGACTATATCACGTTCTTTAATATCACTACTTAAACTTGATATTAATCCCTCTGCTCCTAAGGACATTTGTTTGGAGACTTCATCACGTTCAGCTGTTGCTTCTTCTGCTACTTTTCTATAATACTTGACTTCTTCTAATGCTCTTCTATATTGATCATCCGTACTCATACTTGAATATAATTTATTTATAGCTATATTTATTGCTGTATTTTCATCACTAGTTTGTGAAGTTGATAAATTCTGGATTATATTATCAAGAATCCTAAGACTTTGTCCTAATTCATTTTGATTGTTCTTTTTCTCAGTTTGTATTAGGTATAAATGTTGCATAGTACTAAGAAAATGATCTTGATTATCTGAATCTTTGAAATTTTTCCATAATGATCTAATTAAATCAACGGGATCGTTGAAATCCATATTACCATCGAAATCAGAGACATATCTCATTTCTTCTTCATCATCTCTTGCAAGAGCTCTATATCTTTGTATCAAGATATTTAATTCTTGTTGTTGTAGATTTTGGAATTTTTCAAATAATCTATTTAAACCAGCTGCTTGTAATTGAGCACGTAAATTCATTTTGGCTCTGAAATCAACTGCATTTTCAACTATAACATTCACTAACAATAAAGTAGCTCCACAATAATCAGGAAAATAATTTTCTTTCGAATTTGTTCCAACATATTGAGATTTAATTTCTTCTCTTTCCCCAACATTTGAATTAAATTTACCAATACCATCAACGGTTCTTTCAACCAAATTCAACCATACTTCAAATCGTTTATGACCAGCTGCCGGAGGAGGTTTCCGTATTAAATGTCTTTTTCTATGTCTATTATTTTCATCATAATCTTCAAAATCATATCGATCTCTATCATTCAATGAATCTAATGCTTTCAAAACTTTGTGATATCTACCAATATCATCAGTATTATAGGATACAATGAAAGTTAATGCATCAGTTGCTAATTTTCTTGTAATTAATCTTGGTGATAACAAACATCCACTAACTGCATTTACAAATAAATCAACATCTGTTCTGACTCTTTCAGCTCCTAACTTTTGATTCATTACACATTTCATACTTCTCATTATATAATGTTCTTTATCAAACATTTCGTCCTCAATAGAATTTATGTTATGCTCCCTCATTTCATCATGTAATTTTTGTAAATAAGAAGATAATAATGCATCACCTTGACAATCATATACAAATGTTCTAACCCAATCAATAGGTTCACTTCTTAATTGTACCCATAAATTATTTAATTGTGATGTTGTAATAGTCTTTGACATTAATAATCTTGCATAAGTTTCAGGAACATCAGAATTATTATTTACGACATTTCGAACCAGTCTTTCATGATCTGCTCTTTGATCTTGTTCGATCATCATCCATTTCCTATCTGTGTCATAATTTAACATATCTCTTATTGCTGAAGGTGGGAAAGATTTTGAATTTATTTTTTCCAAAAATTCTCTAAACATTTTATCAACTTCAAACGCGGAAGGTCGCTCTGTTTTAGATGGTTGTTGACGATCTAAAGACAGTCTATTATTAGCATTACTGGATTTGGTCAATGAATTGATTGATAAATTAGTTGATTTACGACTTAAACTATTTGTCGAAGGGGTATTATAATTAGATTGTTGACGAGATAATTGAGTCGGTGTATCATAAGGATTATATGGAGTTTTATTATCTTGTCCAATTGTTGCTATGCTATAAGTAGATGACTTTCTATTATTTGGGGAAGGTATTACTTGAGTTGGAATTGATGAAGTTCTTGGAGGTGGAAATTGAGGTGGTGGTTGTTGAGGTAGACTTTGTTGCAGTAATAATACAGATTGTTGTGAAGAATTTGTTGGATAATGCTGATAATGTTGTTGTGGTGGTGGTGGTGGTTGTTGCGGTAGTTGATTCAGTCGTTTACTATGTTGAGATTTTTGAGTACCTGATGATAATATACTTGCAGAATCATTTGAAGAAAGATCAGATAAACTTTCATTTATTTGATTATTATGAGAATTTAATTGATTTTTATCTTTATCTCTATGTCGTCTTATACTGAAAATTGATCCCGATGATTTTCTTTTTGGATCAGACTGTTTTGATTGTTGTTGTTGTTGTTGTTGTTGTTGTTGTTGTTGTTGTAGTTGTTGTAGTTGTTGTACTGGGTATGGTTGTGATTGATCAGTATTAATTGATGCATAAGGTTGTGATCTATTTAATTCATCATTTATACGTGAATTTAATTGGTTTTGAGAATTATTGTTACTATTGGTATTACTGTTATTCAGACTATTATTAATATTATTATTATTATTATATATTGATGAATGTGTAGTAGGTTGTTGATATGGATTATTTGATTGTTGAAATAAATCCCCTTTACTCCTTCTCATTCTTAGGGTATGTTATATAATAAAATATATAAATTTTAGATATGAATCGGTTTATTCATATAAATAACGATGATAATTGAAATTAGTATAGTGAGTTAACTAGCTATAATGGTTGATAATATAGATTTGATTTGAAGTTGATTTTAATTGATTAATTAATAAAACACTAAACAATAATAATAATAATAATAAAACTAAATTTGGTTGTAAAAAAAACTTATTTTTTCTCTCTCTCAAAATTAAAATAGTTTGATTAAATTACTTACATGATAATTTGATCAATTTACAGTTAAATGCAAATTAGTCTGAAAAGGTTATCAACTATTCGATCAGATATTTTGAGCTTTTAATTGAGGGAAAGTCTAATGAGTTTCATATCTACTTATAGAGGGTGCAGAATAATGAGGTAAGCAAATAATTTTAACAAAGCAAAGGGTTCATTTAATCGAGTTCCTTTGAACTTACAAAACAATAATTAAATAATTATATAGAATAATGTAAAATATATTTTATTCATAAAAATCGAGTTAGTTGAATTGCAATTCTTTTACTTCTTTTTACTTAAATAATCAAAAAGTTGAAACTATTGAAAATTATATGAAAAGTAATTGAATCAACGCAAATTTGTCCTGCATAAGTAGTACATTATAAATAAAATATGAATATAATACAAATATGAACACAGATACTAAAAAAAATATTCGACTAAATTAAATTAAAAAATTGGCTGGTTAAAACTGTCTAATTTGAATAGCTAAACAATTAAATTAACTCTACAAAACTAACACGTCATGAATAGAGTGAAAAGAAAACACGTTCAAATGATAAATTAAATACAGTTTCCTCATCATGTTTCACTTGTTAATCATTAAGAATAAAATTAGAATTTATATGAAAATAATCATATGAATTATTAATTTTGACATAATTTTTAATTAGGTAGCTTCGGTTATAAAAATATTATTTTATTTGAAGTAACAAAGTGAAACTTATTGAAGTTAGTTACACGTCGTAAATAATAAATATTCTTAGGGAGTTATAGAAATTGTTCTTTTTTAATTAAAGGTTTAGACTAATTTGTAACAATTATTACTCTATTCATTTAATTTTATTCAGACGCATCTTTAATTTGATTTTAAATTTTTAGCACAAATTTGAGTTATTCAGATTTTAAATACCACTTGATAGCTTTCATCTCATTGAACCTCTGAAGATTTGATTAAATATAGTTTTGTATATACCATATCATATTAAAATGATATGATTGTTTTCACAATGCTTTGTTGTCTCTAGTCACTTCACTTTTTTATGAAAATAGATTAATCTATTAATCAATATATTAATTGTATAATTATATTTGCTTACAGAAATTTGTGATTAGAGATATAGTAAAAGGTGACTACAAGAATTTATCAAAATTAAAGATTGATTAAAATTTTAGCTTTTGTTAAAATTACTATACATTCGATACACTCTAGTATATACATTTAGTCGTCCAGCAAATCAGAAGGTCTGATTAATCCACCAACTTTTGAATCTAATTCTCTTTTTCTTCTATCAATTTCTAATTTTTCAATTTCTTTATCTTCAGCAAATAAATAATCAGTTGGATCACCACCAAATTGTTTTAATTGTACCAAGAAATCTCTTAAAGTAGCTTTAAATTTATTTATATCATTATAATTTGTTGTTGCAACTTTTAAAAAATTATTTAATTGTTCAACTTGTAAATTATCAAATGCTGATGATAATAATTGTGATAAATATTGTTTTAAAAACTCTTGATTTGATGTACCTGTTGGTGCTTGATCTGGGGTATATAAAGGATTCTTTATAACATTATCTTGTACTAAATGAATTAAATGTGCTAATAATTGTGCTTGAAATTTGAATCCTGCTTTATGATCTGGTTGTGTGAAAACGTAAAAAGTATCTGATAATATTTGGAAATAAAAATTTTCATAAAATGCTTTTGTAAATGGTGTATCACCTAAATCTTCAACATTTTTAATCAAATTTATTGATAAATTTAATCCATTATCTTCAACATCTCTATTGTTATGTTTAAAAGCCCATAAAGCAGCATTGATTAATGATTGGAAAGCTTCACCAGATAATTGTAATAAACCTTGGAATGATTTTGAATTAATTTCTCTTAATAATTTATAAAATTCAACTCTATGTTCTGGATATTCAACAAAATCATTTTTAATCATATCTAATGTACATTCAAAAACATTTTGTAAAATTAATACAACTCCATCAGGAATTAAATGACCAACTTTTGATATTAATGCAGTTAAACATCTTAATACTTCTGCATCTCTTGCATCAGGTACATTTGAACTATAATCTTCTAATACAGCATTAAATAATGGAGTTGTTAAATCTCTAACAATTTCTTCTAAATTATCAGCTTGATTAATGTACGTTTCAATCATTTTTAATATTTCTTTTTTAATGGTTCTTAAACCTCTTACTTTTGGTGTTTTTGTGGCAATTATACCATCTTTTGCAACTGAATCTGATATCATTTGTGATACTGCTTTATATAATGATAATAAATCAACATACAAGAACCCTAATTGTGAATAGAAACCAGGTCCTAATGCTTTACATACTGCAACATTTGTTTTGATAATATTTGCAATAATTTTGACTGTTTCAGTATTTGTTAATAATGCTGGATCTTGGCCTGCTTGTTGTATTATTGCTGACCAAGCCATATTTGGTAATGCCATTAATTCACTCAATAGTTTATCTCTTGCTTCTTTATTAGTTTGTGCACTTACTATTATACCACATGCTTCATAAAATGTATGAACTTGTTGAGGTTGTAAATCTTCTGTTATTGATTGTATTTCTCTAATGATTTCATTTATAAATGGTTCTCTTTCATTTTGTTGAATTACTACAAAATGTTTTTTACATTTGTTTGTAATTTTAATGAAAGTATCACAAGCCATATCTTGAACACCTTCATGAGTTTCATGCATAAACTCAAATAATTTATTAACAACTGTTTTTAAGAATTTCCAATGCGCTTTTAAAAATCTTGGATATTGACCAACAATATACATAATATTTGATGCAACAACAGCTTTATTATCTTTACCTCTTTTCATTTCTGTTAATGATAATAAATCTTTTATTACATTTACCAAAAATCTTTTTTCCATATCTTCATTCATTGCACCAGAAATTGAACCAATTGCCCAACATAAAGTGTTAATATTATTCCATGACCATTCACTTTCATCTAATTGTCTTGATAATTTTTCAATCATAATTTGTTCTGTATCTATAACGTTTAAATGTGTTAAATAAACCAAAACTTCTCTCATTGATTTATATAATTGAATGGTATCACTTTCTTTTACAAACTCACGTACAATTTCTCCTTCATCATTTTCAACAACCAAAACTTCTTCAGGTCTTGCCATATTTTCAATTATAACCAATCTTAATTTTGATAATATTTCTGAATATTGATGTTGTCTTAATGGGAATTTAGCTAATAATGCAGGATCTGGTGCACCACCAGATGATCCAGCTCTCAATGCGTTACCATAAGATAATTGCATCATTGGACTTAATTCTTGTTGTGGTAAATCTCTAGTTTCTTGAAATAATTGTTGTACAAAAATTTGCCAAAAATCTAAACAAGTTTTAAATAATTCTCTTTCATCAATTCTTGATAATTCTAATAAATAATAGAGTGAATTTTGTAATAATTCTTTTGCTTGTTCGTGACTTTCTAAAATTTTTAAATGATTGTTGAGGTATGAACATAAAAACATTGCTAAATCTTGTAAAAATGATTGATCTGCTGATGATGCAACTTTATAACTTTCCTTTAGGTTTGTTGATACTGGTACAATTTGATAGATTTGTTCCATGGTGTTTTTAAAATATAATAATGTTTTTTCATTTTCTCCAGGTAATGTATTTATTTCTGTTAATACTTTTAAAGTTATTGTTCTTGTATCAACAGGTGCTAAGAATTTATTTGTTAAAATATCTAAAATATTAGTATCGTAAATATAGTTTGATGGTATCCATTGAATATATTTGAGTAGTGCATTTAAAGTTGCATTGATTAATGAATATTTTTCTGTTTTTTCTAAGACTTCATAACATAATTGAAAAATTTTTTCAAATTCATTTTTCATACTAATTCTTAATTGTTGAGCTTTTGCTTGTGTTAATTGTTCTTGACCATAATCAAATACTTCTTCACTTAATAATTTTAATATAATCATATTATTTTCACAAACATTAAAAGACGATTTTGAACTTGCTACTAGATCAGGTATAAATTCGGGCCAATTATGAGGCCATTCTTGTTTTAAAATTGAAACTAAGGTCAAATCAATTTTATTAATTAAAGCTCTTTGAGTTTCAAATTCTTTTTCATCATTACATAATGCAATAATCATATTAACAATAAAATTTCTTATACCAATTCTTTCATCATCAGGTATAATTTTCCATCTATATTGAATTAATTTATTTAAACATGATAACGCGATATATTTTGATTGAGGATTATTTGAATTTGATAAAATATTATCAACAAATTTCCATGATTCAGGATGTTCTTGAAATTGATTTAAAATATTTTGAGCTTGTTTTTGATTTTCACCTGAACCTTTATAAAACGCATCAACTGTTTGATCAAATAATTTGATATCTAAATCTGTTGAAAAATCCAAGATTGACTCCATATTGTAAATTTATATTAATTTGGTTGTCAAAAATATGATCCCTATTTTCTTATGTATGTGATGACGATATAATTTTTTAATTGGGCTTTTTGGATGAAACTAACGCGTTTGGGAACTTTTAGTTAAGGATGTATTATTTCTAATAGTAATTGATTGATTGAGTATATTTTATTGTTTATAATATTAATGATATAATAATTGTTTATATTTTTTTTGATTTTAAGTTACAACTGAAACTTGTTATACTAAATTGGGTTATAATAAAAATTGTATTGGTTCAAAATTTTTTATTTTTTCTGTTGCGTTTTTGTTTTATCTTTTAAATACATTGAAATATTAATAAGTAAAGAATAGTAAAGAAAGATTAATTCAAATCAGTTGCTTTATGTACTAAGACTCTTGACTGTAGAAGGATGAAGGGTAAAAGTCATAACTATATTACTCCTTGATTGAGCAAATCATGCGTTCTTTGGTTTTGTCGTATATTATATGATAAAAATCTTCAAAATTAACCCCCCTTTTTGACAGATTTTTCACTTGCCACCACTAAGTATTAATTTGGGAAATATCTAGTTTCAAGTATCTTTTATTTTATCACAACCCAATATGATTGAGAATCACTTAAATAGCTTACAGCAAAGCGACTAAGATACCACTTCGGGCTCTAGTTTTAAGTTCAATTTCCGTTCCTATTCATTGAATAAGTTACTTTGACAACATTTGTGAAAAGGTCAGTAAAATATTTGAAGAAAAGATCTGATGCTGCTCATTGTTATTTCAGTTAAATTTGTAACTCAGTAACAGGCATAGGAATTACAAACTCACATTTTAGACTTTCAATTTTTTTGGCTGTTTTTTGGCTGTTTTTGTAGTTCAATAAAAATCCTGACAAATTTCTATTACTTTTTGCAACCAAATTTTGTAAATTTACAACAAACAATTGCAAATAAATGATTAAAACAATCTCACAAGCAAAATACAAATGGTTGAACGTATTATTCATAGAAATTGAACCAGTACAAGCAAAAGATCTCAAGCAAATGCAAGAAGAACTAACAACTTTTGTAGGTTCAATAAATGATAATCAAATTACAATGTTAATATTAACAAATCAACCAAATTTTTCAATTTTTAATTATTTACAAATGATTATATTAAAATCAAATAAAAATATAGTAATTTCATATTTAATTGAATCAATTGAACATAATATGAAAATATTAAAGAAATTAATTTCATTAATTAATAATGAATTAAGTGTTGTTAAAAATTTTGAAATTTCAAAAGAACAATTAGCTTATTTGATGTTAAATATTCCGGGGTTAATTGAATATTTAACTACCACAACTACAAATAATGAAAATAATTCAATTTTAGATAATGAATCAAGTGATATTAGTGCTGATATTGATGCAAAATTTCAAGAATTTATTTCAAAATATCCTACAATTTATTCAATTCTTAATTCAAATGAGTTTAATGCTTGAAAATGAAGATTTTCTTGTGATTGTTATTAAACACTATTTATATATTTAATACTTAAAAAACTTATTTAGTAGCAAATGCAACACCTTTTTCAATATTTTTTGATAATTGATCAATAGCAACTTCTAATAACTTCTTTTCATCACTATTAACTTCATTTAAAATTTCATATTTAACTTCTTCAATACCATTTTTACCTAATAAAACTGGTAATGAAAAAAATTCAGAATTATTAACTAATTTTTTAGCTTCACTTGCACCTTTAATTGATGAATCTAAATTTAAAAATGTACATTCAACAATATTTGATTCTCCATTAACAGCTTTTAAAATTGATTCAGCTAATTTATAACCTGCATAAGCCATTGATAATGTAGCAGATCCAGCACCATTTTTAGCTTGAACAACTTCATCACCACCAAATTGAACTCTATGAATTAAAGCTTTCTTTTGTTCTTCATTTAATTCATCATAATATTTTTTAGTTCTACCAATTGAATATAATGGTACAATTGTTTCACCGGAATGACCACCAACAACATTAACATTAAAATCACCAGGTTTAGTTTCTTTTGGAAATAATTGTGAAATAAAAGTATTAGCTCTTACAATATCTAAAGTAGTAACACCAAATAATCTCTTTGGATCAAAAGTACCAGCTTTTTTAAAAGTTTCAGCAAAAATTGGAACAGTTGAATTAACTGGATTAGAAATAACTAAAACAAAAGCTTTTGGACTATTTTTAGCAATTACTTCAGCTAAACCTTGACAAATTGATGCATTAATATTAAATAAATCATCTCTTGTCATACCTGGTTTTCTTGGTACACCAGCTGGAATAATAACAATATCTGAACCTTTTAAAGCATTTGCTAAAGCAGTTTTATCTTCTTTTGATTCTGGTAAAAATGATTCAGTAGTTGAATTTGAATTAATATGACCTAAATCTGCTCCAACACCAGGTACATTAACAACATCAAATAATGCTAATTCATCAACAATTGGATTTAATTTAACTAATAATGATAATGGTTGACCAATACCACCAGCTGCTCCTAAAACTGCTACTTTAACCATTGTATATGTTTATTTATATAAAATTTAAGAATATATTAATATAAAATAATAAAATTATTCAATTGACCTGAATTGAATGAATTGAAATTTTGAATAATTGAAAAATAATAAATTTACTAAGTCAACAAAAAAAAAGGGTGAGGAAATATTATTTATATTATATAATTTATAATAGTTTTGATTCGATTTCTACTAATTAATAAACAACAAACATGCATGTGCGAAACCCCACATAATTTTTCAAAATTTAATTTTTCGAATCCACTATAATAATTTTATAGGCGAGGAGTGTCCGTGGTTGACCGAGTGAACTTACGAAATTTCCCGAGTTGGTAGCTTAATTTTTTCTCTACTTATGTAAATAAATCTGAACTCTTTGCCAAATAATATCTGTTTATAATTTATAATCCAGTATATTAAGTGAAATTATTACTAGGTTTATTATTAATTATTCATATTATATATAGAAATAAACCGTTAGATTAAAATAACTGTTTTGCTTATGCTTAAATTGCTAAAAATCTTGATATAGGTCCAAAAATTTACTTAACATATATTTAATAGTCGATTTACTTCAATTTGAAGTGATTTTGATGCCTAAATACAATGATCTTAATGGAAATTGAATATTTAGATGCTGAAAAAAAAACACAAATTTTGGTATTTTATGAGTTTAGATCTCCCTAATGGTGAAAACTCAAAAAAGTTTTAATTTTTTAGTTGATAATAGTAGGATTCTCTCCTCTTTTTATATTTAATAAAATTTTGAGCTCTAAAATTGTTTCAAGTTTAGATATTGGGAAAAATTGTAAAATTAAACTTTATACTATCGTATGACACACAAATAAAAAAGTAAAAGAATTGAATTTTAAAGTTGTAAAAGTTTCAATCAAACTCATTTTGCAACCAATTTTAGCAAATTTAATGATAATATTCATAATATATCATATAACCTTTTTTGCAAATTTAATCTTCTAATAATTGCAACAAAATAGTTCCCCATAAATATATCAATCTCTTATATATTAAAAATCCAATATTAATTTAGGGGAAGTTTCAGAAATTTAATAATATTAATATTTTAAAGATCTAAAAATATTATAAGAATAATTTTAAAGTTTGTGTAATAAAGAATGATTAAAATCCGATAATTATTGCGAAGAAAATTGGACTTAATATTACTTACTACTTCGTTCCGTTACAATTTGAGAAATTAGTCAAAACTTTTAAGCAGGATAAAAACAAAACTTTAAAAGATTAGTATTCAATTTCATTTAAGTGGGGTGTAACTCTTCTTTACTATTTTGATTTTTACTTGCTATATAAATTATAAAAAAGAGTTTCAAAATTTTGTACATAAAAAAAAAACGATAAAACTTGCAAAAGAAAATAAGTTACAGAAATTATAAGAAAATAAAAAAATGATGTCACATTAAAAATTATAATATTTTTTAGATCTATAACTAGAAGAAGATTAGAAGATTATGTAGTAGAGTAGTATAGATTCGAATATAATAATTGGATCTTTTAATATCTTTTGATATCTTTAAATCAAAGTTTAGTTTTATAACAACTTCTGTAGTTCAAATTTAATATTCCAATTTTTAGATCGTTTTTAGAGCTTTCTTAAAGTAATCTTAAATATAAAATTAAATGAGTACTTATCTCTCTTTATTAAACTTTATTGATAATTTAAAATTATATCTTGTTGAATAATAATTATCTATGACTATCTCTAAATTTGGGTAAATATTATGTATATTATAATAATTCAGTACCCTTTTAAAAAAAATATGAATATTTATATTTTATAATTTTATATATCATCAATTTATTGATTATTTTTCTTTCTTTTATTATATGAATACATCAGTTTTTTTTATTCATTTAGATTTATACATCACTTTTTTTATTCATTTAGATTCTTATTATTATTAGATTATTACATTTAGACTTTATTTCATTTATCAACAATTATAATTTACAATTTAATAGTGATATAGTGAAATAATATTATCAATTTATAATTACATTATCTCCTCATCACTCCATTACAAGATTGATAAGATTGAAACTATAAATAAATCTTACTTTACAATTATATATACATGATAAAATGTCATCACAAACTATTAAATCTCCAAAATCTCCTAAATCTCCTAAATCTTCAGTTTCTTCATCATCATCAATAAATTCAGATTTAATATCACCACAATCAAGAAGAAGACTGAGTATTAATTCAAATGATGATGATCCTTATGCATTAGCAGAAAAATATTATGGTGATCATAAAAAGAAAACTTTTAGTAAAGATAGTCCTTTATCAAGAGTTCGTACTTTTAGTACTTTTGAATCTCAAACTACAAAACATGAATTTTTAAAAAAATTAAATGAACAACATCCTATTAATGATACTATAAAAGAACAAAGTGAACCTCCAAGTTCTGGTGGTTCAAAATCACCAACTCCTTCAGCAACTTCTACTTCATCTTCAATTACTGCACCACCAAAAGTTCATTTTAATTTAAATGCTGGTAAAGATAAAAATGATTATGATGAAGACGAAGATTCTCCTACAGAAGTTGATAATTTAAACAATTCAAGTCAACATAAGAACGGATTCTCTCATATTCAGAAACATTACCCTATGATTAAAGATGAATCACCAAATACTCTTGCTATTGATGATTTAAATGGAGAATCAATTAGTCCAGCAGAAGAAAGAAGATTTATAAGGCAAAATACCGAACAAGCTACTAAAAAACCATCAATTGTTCCATTATATGAAAATGAATCTCAAACAATTGCACAACCACAAAATAATAAATTGCATTTTAGAAGAGCCTCCTTGGATGATACTATAATTCGTCCTAAAAAATATTATATAAGTGATGTTCAAGAAACTTTAAAAGAATTATTGGAAAGTGAAGATACTGATAATAATTGTCAAATAACAATAGAAGATACAGGACCGAAAGTTTTAAGATTAGGTACAGCAAATTCAAATGGTTATAAATCAGCATCTGTACGAGGAACTTATATGTTAAGTAATCTTTTACAAGAATTAACAATTGCAAGTAGATTTGGTAGAAGACAAATTGTATTAGATGAAGCAAGATTAAATGAAAATCCAGTTAATAGAATGAAAAGATTAATTTCAACTTCATTTTGGAAAAATTTAAGTAGACAAGTTACAAGTGAAAATATTGTTGAAATGTCAAGAGATACCAAAATAAAAGAAGATTGGATTGATGAAAATGGGGTTAAACATGAAGATCAAGAAAGTCATAGAGTTTATGTACCTTATAATAGAAAAGATCAGTATGATTTTTTTACAAGAATAAAAAACAGTAGAGATGATATTCATTTAGATGTTCAATATTTACCTAAAGTTATAGATGCAGATTTTATAAAATCAATTAATAAAAAACCAGGTTTATTAGCATTATCTTCAAGAATTGATCCAAAAAATCCAGAAAATTTAATAAGTTGGCCATATGTTGTACCAGGTGGTAGATTTAATGAATTATATGGCTGGGATTCATATATGGAAACTTTAGGTTTATTAACTGATGTTTATCCAAATAAAAATTTAGAACATTTGGAATATGCAAGAGGAATGGCTGAAAATTTCATTTATGAAATTGATCATTATGGTAAAATATTAAATGCTAATAGATCTTACTACCTTGGTAGATCACAACCACCTTTTTTAACAGATATGGCTTTAAGAATTTTCAATAAAACAATGGAAGTCATGCCTGAAGAAATGAATGATACAATTGATTTTTTGAAAAGATCTACATTAGCAGCTATAAAAGAATATGAAACAGTTTGGTGTTGTCCTCCAAGATTAGATCCAAAAACTGGGTTATCTTGTTATCATCCATCAGGTAAAGGTATACCACCAGAAACTGAAGCATCACATTTTACAGCAGTTTTGAAAAAATATGTTGAAAAATACGGAATAACTCAAGATGAATTTATTGAAAAATATAATCTGGGAGATATTAAAGAACCAGAATTAGATCAATATTTCTTACATGATAGAGCAGTTAGAGAATCTGGTCATGATACGTCTTATAGATTAGAAGGTAAATGTGCTTGGTTAGCAACGGTTGATTTAAATTCATTATTATATAAATATGAAAATGATATTGCATTTATAATTACAACTTTTTTCAATGATAATTTAGAAGATTCAAAAGGTAATATTCATTCATCCGAGATATGGCTTAGAAGAGCAACTGATAGAAAAGCAAATGTTAATAAATACTTATGGAATGAAAAAGATTCAATGTATTATGATTATAATGTTCATGAACAAAAACAAGAAGATTATGAATCAGCAACTTGTTTTTGGCCATTATATGCAAAATTAGCATCAACTGAACAAGCTTCAAAATTAATTGAAAATTCAGTCCCCAAATTTGAAGAACATGGTGGTTTAGTTGCTGGTACTTTAAAATCAAGAGGTGATATTGGTTTATCAAGACCTTCTCGTCAATGGGATTTCCCATTTGGTTGGGCTCCACAACAAATTTTAGCTTGGATTGGGTTTGTAAACTATGGTTATGATGGTATTGCAAGAAGATTAGCTTATAGATGGTTATTTATGATGACAAAATCATTTGTGGACTATAATGGAGTAGTTGTTGAAAAATATAATGTTACAAAAGGTGCAGTTCCTCATAGAGTTGATGCTGAATACGGTAATCAAGGTCTTGATTTCAAAGGAGTAGCAACAGAAGGTTTCGGATGGGTTAATGCAAGTTATTTGTTTGGTTTAACTTTCTTGGATCTTTCAGGTCAAAGAGCTTTGGGAACTCTTACTCCTCCAGATGTCTTTTTCAGAAATATGCATCCGGTTCAAAGAAGAAGTTACCAATAGATTTATTTATATTTAGAAGGTTATTTATATAATGAATTACAATATATAATGATTATTAGAATTAAAGTCTCTTTGTTATTATGTATCTTTTGATTTGAAAATCTCCGTCAAAATCTCGTACTAAATTTACGTCGACCGCTTTAATTAGTAAGACGAGCATAAACACAAAAATAAGAGTTTTTAATTTTTCAAGACAAAAGAAAAAAAATCAAACTTTACTAAATATTTCGCTTTAGCAACCAGATCTCTAGACAAATAGTTTTATATGATTAAGATATAGAATTGAGATTCCAATAACATTCATTAAATTTCCACAACAATAACAATTCATAGATGCTAAGAAGAACGATACTTAAGCAGCGACAACCATCAAAATCATGTCTTGTTATACCCAAATATACATATTCATCATTTAAAACAGCTGTTGAAACAGCTGAAAAATTAATTTCACCACAATCTACTACTACCACAACAAAATTTCAAGATCCATTCTCAATTGTAAGTCATGAAATGTCAAATTTAGCAAAATCAATTGCAAATCTAATAGGTTCAGGACATCCAACATTAAATAGAGTAAGTTCATATTATTTTGAAGCAGAAGGTAAAAATGTTCGACCTTTAATTGTATTAATATTAAGTAAAGCATTACTGAAAATCCCTAAATCTGAAAGAAATAGAATTATAATAGATGAATTTGATGTAACTGAACAAGAACATATAAAAGGAACTCCAAAATATGGACAAGAAAGTATAGCAGGAAATAGTGTTGATGATAGTTTAAGTCCATTAAATATTTTACATGGTATAAATCCTAGAATAATTTTAGATCCTTTAAGTAAACCAATGGATAAATTACCAGAAATGGATAAATTAAATGGTATATTACCAAAACAAAGAAGATTAGCAGAAATTGTTGAAATGATTCATACTGCAAGTTTATTACATGATGATGTTATTGATTTAAGTGATTCAAGAAGAGGTAGACCTAGTGGGAATATAGCTTTTACAAATAAAATGGCAGTTTTAGCTGGTGATTTTTTATTGGGTAGAGCATCAGTTGCAATTGCAAGATTAAGAAATCCTGAAGTTATTGAATTATTAAGTACAACTATTGCAAATTTAGTCGAAGGAGAATTTATGCAATTAAAAAATACAGTATTAAGTGAAAAAGATAATACTATTGAAAATGATGGACAAATTAAAAATATACCTGAAGCTACGGGGAAAGTACCAACTGAAAAACATGAATATAGAGTTAACGAACAAGATATAGTTGATCATGAAACAAATGTTCAAGCAGCATTTGAATATTATTTACATAAAACATATTTAAAAACAGCATCACTTATGTCAAAATCATGTAGAGCAGCAGCAGTATTAAGTGGAGCACAAGATCCAATAATAGAAAATTGTTATCAATTTGGTAGAAATTTAGGTTTATGTTTTCAAATAGTTGATGATATGTTAGATTACACATCATCAGATTCAGCATTTGGTAAACCAAGTCAAGCAGATTTAAAATTAGGTTTAGCTACTGCTCCTATCTTGTTCGCATGGAAACAAGAACCTAAATTAGGTGATTTAATAGCAAGAAAATTTAAAGAAACAGGAGATGTTGAAATTGCAAGAAGAGCAGTTGAAAAATATAATGGATTAGAAAAAACAAGAGAAATGGCAACAAATTATTGTATGGCTGCATTAAAAAATTTAAGATCATTACCTGAATCTGATGCAAGAAGTGCTTTAGAATTATTAACAAATTCTGTATTAACTAGATCTAAATAATAGATAGAATAACTTAAAGATTATATATAAAATTAGCATTTTTCTGTAAATAGTAAGATAGAAAGTTTATATATTATGTATATATAAGTATTTAATGAAAAGTTAATTTGATACAATAACTGCATTCAATTGAATTGAAAATGGTTCTTGTTATTATTTAAATCAATCAATCAATATAAAAATTTAATACTCTTGTGACATAAAAAAATTCTTTTAACAGAAAAAAAAAAAAAATTCTTTAGATCGATGAAATCATCAAAACTTACTAAACATATAATAATAACAATTACATTTTTTTCCATCACATACATATATATCAATCAACCTTAAAAATGTCAGCGGAAGATACTAAACCAACCACCACTGAAGAATCTTCAATTCCAAAACCACCAACATCAAATGTATTCTCAATGTTTGGTGCTAAAAAGGAAAAAAAAGAAGAACCAGAACTAACCAAAGAAGAATCCACAACAACAACAACAAAAGAACAAAAAGAAGAAACATCAAAAGATGACGATAATGAAAATGCAGAAGAAGAAGAAGCAGATGTACAATTCACTCCAGTTATACAATTAGATAAAAAAGTTGATGTTAAAACAAATGAAGAAGATGAAGAAGTAATTTATAAAGTTCGTGCAAAATTATTTAGATTTCATAGTGATTCAAAAGAATGGAAAGAAAGAGGAACAGGAGATGTTAAATTTTTAAAACATCTTAAAACAGGTAAAACAAGAATTTTAATGAGAAGAGATAAAACTTTAAAAATTTGTGCAAATCATTTAATTTCTCAAGATTATGAATTAAAACCAAATATTGGTAGTGATAGATCATGGGTTTATAATGTTACTGCTGATGTATCTGAAGGTGAACCAGAAGCTCAAACTTTAGCTATAAGATTTGGTAATAAAGAAAATGCTGATTTATTTAAAAAACATTTTGATGATGCTAAAAATAATGTTTCTAAAAAAGATTAAAATTGATGTGAATAAGTAAATAATTTTTAAATAGTTTAGAATAAAGAAGAATTTGAATTATTTATTCGATAAAAATTGTAGATTATTGTTTAACAAATGAAATATGTGAAGATCAAAGCGTAATACTTTTCAAAAATGCTGATACAAGGTTAGTCCATTTCTTTCAAAAATCATTCCAACACGTCCCTTAGTCTGACTCGAGATGTGGCCCAATTTAAAATACTAGAGCCATTTATTTTAAACGTGTTTTATACGGACTCATGGTATCACTTTATTGTATGGCACGTGTTGATTATTGTTTTAAAATAGTGCGCTTAAAAATGTATAAAGTCTAAAAACTAATATCGTTTTTATATTTTTGCAATAATTATTATTAAAATTTTATTAATACTTCGTTTTAATTTTTGATAATGAATAATTAAATATAAGAATAATCAAGTTATTGAGAATAAGAACTATAATTATTATCTATTTATCAACACAATACTCAAAATATTCCTGCTAACTGAAATTTAAAGTAAACTAAAATGAAATATGGTAAATATCTTGCATCAAGACAATTAGAATTACCAGAATATTCAGGTCATTTTATAGATTATAAAGCATTAAAGAAATTAATAAAACAATTAGCATTACCAGCAAATCATAGCAATCAAAGTTCAATAAGTTTATCATCATCAAACACAACAACAAATGGAGAAATCTTAAACTCCGAAATCCAACAATCATTAAAAGAAAACAAAGCTACTTTCTTTTTCAGAGTTGAAAGAGAATTAGATAAAGTCAATTCATTTTATTTAGAAAAACAAGCAAATTTATCAATTAATTTAAATTTATTAGTATTGAAAAAGAATGAATTATTTTCAAAATCTTATGAATATTTAAATCAACATCATTTAAATGATGGTGGTAATAGTAATGGGAAAATTCAAGTTGATTCTTCAGTAAATTCAAATTTCAAAAATTCAATATCTTTTTTAAATTTATATCAAAATTTCAAAAAAATTCATCAAGATTTAATAAGGTTACAACAATTTATAGAATTAAATGAAACTGGGTTTTCAAAAGTAGTTAAAAAATGGGATAAAAGATCAAAATCTCATACAAAAGAATTGTTTATAAGTACTGCAGTCAGTGTACAACCTGTTTTTCATAAAAACGAAATTAATGAATTAAGTGATTTAGTAACTCAATCTTTATTTGATATTGAAAGTATAATGGATGGTGATTATTCGTGTTTGAATAATTATAGTAATTTATCATATACTGGAAATTTTAACAGCGAGGATAGTAATGTCAATAAAAATGAATCAAAACTAGAAACAAGTCTGGACCAAGAGCAACAACAACCATTATTTATAAGGCAGTCGTCAATATCTAGCATACAATTGAATAATAGTGAGGTTGATGAACTATATTCTAGTTTTGTAAATGTCGCTACAATCAAAGATCCAGATTTATCATTATTAGCTAGATGGATTGATAAAGTAAATGGATCGCCAAAATCTTCAAAAGATTTGTTCAATCCAGAAGTTAAATATAAAGTTTCAAAGATTTTTTTGCTATCAATTTCCAACTTGAAGATTTCAGATTCGTTCCTTGAGTCTTTTTTGAATGCCATCAATTATGACATAAATTTCACATTCGTCAATGACGATTTTAATAATAATAAGACTGTATTACATGAATGTTGTTTCATACCACCTGCATCAAATCATGAAAATCATGTTATAATTAATAATGGGGTAAAAGTCGTCAATTCAAATGATTCAATAAATCATTCGAGAACATTTATTGTTGAATATATAATGAATAACTTATCAAAAGATGAAATAAAGGCATTGTTGATACGAAAAGATTTTAATGGTAGAAATTGTCTACATTACGCAGCTCAAAATAATAGAGGTGATTTATTAGATAGAATACTTGAATCATTTCCTAAAGATCATATAGATGAAGTCGATAATGAATCCATGTCACCGTTGTTATTAGCTATAAAACATGGTCATTTAAATATAATTAAGAAATTAGTACAATTTGGGGCAAATCCTTTCCCAAGAACAAATAAAGAAATTCTTCAATATTTACCTATAAATTATGCATGTAAATTTGGTGATTATAAAACTTTAGAATATTTATTATCAAATGAACCATCAACTGAATTAGTTAAAATTTTAGTAAATCAACAAGACGTTGAAGGATTATTACCATTACATGTAGTATCTCGTGCTGGTCATTATAAATTAATCAAGTTATTAATTCAATATGGTGCTGAAATAAACAAAACTGATGGCTTCAACAAATGGACTCCGATCTTTTATGCAGCTGCTGAAGGTCATGTAAATACGACTCAAGAACTAATCAAGTATGGAGCTAAATTAGATATTGTAGATGAAGATGGTTATAATGTATTATATTATTGTGTTGTTGAAGGTCATATAGGAGTTATAAATGAGTTATTAAGTTATCATCAAAAGACATTTGATCAAGAAAAACTGAGTTTAGTCCAAGGCATTAATATAGATAGTGGGAATTCAATGGCTATACTAGACACAATTGGAGATGATGATGATTCAGATGGTGGATCAGTTGATAAAAATCATGTTGATAATATACCAGATTTACAATTACCACCACCAATTTTACCATTACGTCGTTATGGTCATAATTTTTTGGAACAAAAAGTACTTATTGAATTAATTTTCCCACAAGATGATCAAGCTTTTATTAATTTATTTAATTCAATAACTGATTTGAAACCAGGTAGAATTACATTAACTTCAAATATTTCTGATATCGTACCAAGAAATATTTTATTACCATTAGAAGAAAAAAGTAACAATAACAAGTGTGTTTTTCAAACTGACGTTGATTCATTAAATGAGTTCCGTATAGATTTTGAAATATTCCCAAAATTTGGTACAAGATTAATAGCTAAAACCACTGCATTATCTTTTCAACATATTGATACAACATCACCAGAAATTAGCTCAATTGAATTGCCATTATTTGACTTAAGATTAAGAAATATTGGACAATTAAAATTTAATTGTCAAATAATTTTTCCATTTTCAGGTACTTTATTAGAAACTTCGAAATTTGATACATATTGGAAATCATCAACAAGTTTTGTTAAAAATAATAAAACATTAAAGTTAAATGCTGCTGGAGGATTATCACCAAATAATTTCTTATCGCCAAATGCCAATGCAGTAGTAAATGCCAACAGTGTACTCACTCAACAAGTACAACCACAATCATCACAACAACCATTACCTGATTTAGCATCTAATTCATCATCAATAGTTACAGCAACTTCATTATCTGGAGAATATTTAAGAATTAAAGTTTGTTTATTGAATGATGGAACTCCAGTAGTTTGTCCCCATTGGTCAATTGCAATAACAGCAAATATTGATTTATATTTACCAAATTTATCATTACAACAATTAACTTCTATAACAGATGATTTATTTGATTATTCAAAAGTTATTAATGATTTATCTAAAATGACAGTAAAAGATATTGATTATATTAAAAAATTATTAAGAATAATTTATTTACCATTAGACATTGTATTAGATATATTAAGTCCTGAAATTAATTTAAATTTAGAATTAATTTTCCCATCATTTTATGAATTAGAAAAATTACCATTCATAAGTAATATTTCTAAAAATTTGAATAATTTTATTGATTTTACATTAAATGATGTTTTCAATCATATTAAAAATAAATCAAAAATATCCAAAAATTCAAGATCAATTATATTCTTATCTTCAAATTCATTAATTTGTAAAATTTTGAATTGGAAACAACCTAATTTCCCGGTGTTTTTAATAATGAATGGTATAACATTTAATAATAAGTTGAAAAAATTCGAACAAAGATCAACTAATGGGTTATTAATACATGAACAGCAAAAACATCACCAATCATCCGGTTCAAATAAGAATAATAATGAGCCACCTACTACATCATTAAATAATTATCAAGAATTAATCATCAGATCAATAAAAGAAGCAGTCAATTTCACAATAAGTAATAATTTGTTTGGTTTAATTACATCAATTCATTTATTAAATTTAGTTCCTAAATTAATTCCTTTAATAAGATCAAGAGGTTTAATTTTAGTAGCATCAAGTGATTTATTGAATGGTAATAGTAATTCTAAAATTTACAATAATGAAGGATCATTAAATGATCAAATTGAAGAAAATGCAGAAGATGATGAAGATGAAGATGAAGATGAAGAAGAAAAATTGAAAAAAGAATTACATAGTTATACTAAGACGGAAATCAATGGATTAAGATTTGATGATGTATTGAGTTTTAAAGAGGACATCACTATGTAGATGTAACTGATTTTAATATACGTGCTAGAATTACATATTCCAATCAAATATCTCTACAAAATAAAATATTAATAATGCTTTCATTAAAAATTACAAATCGTAACTTAAAAAAAAAAAAACTATCATAAAAAACTTTTTATACTATTTTTTAATCATTCATTTACGACGTCTTGGAGGTGGTGGAGGTGGAGGTGGAGCTTTTTTTCTCATTGCTTTTTGTTTCAACAGATTTATTGAATTAATAGAACTTGAACTTGAATTTCTAGTAGAAGTTGTATCTACTCCATCTAAATATATTTGATTTAATTTTTTTTCAGGAACAGGTAATTTAGGTAATGGTTTTTGAGTTAAATATTCATTTGGTAAATTTAAAATATTTGAATCTTGTTCATTTGGTGGTGATTCTTGTTTTATAATTTGGTTGTCATCTAGGTTAATTTTTTTAGAAAATTGATTTAAAAATACGTTATTATTATTTTCTATAAAAATTGATGGTGATGTTACATTTGATGATGATGAATTTTTAGTGATTAATTTTTCACTATGTTTTCTTTCTAATTGATTATGAACTGTTGTGTGTTTGTGATAATCACTTCTTGATGATGATCGGACTGATGCTATTCTTGTTAGGTTTTGTAATGTTTCTTTACTACTGTTACTTAATTCTTCCAGAGAATTAAAATCTGATGTAGATTCTTTTGATTGTGGTGAGTTCAGTAAATTATCTTGTTGAAATTTAACTTTATTACGAGTGAATTTTTTTAACCATTTTACATTCATACATTTTGTGGCTAATGATGCTATAGTTGAATTTTCATTATCTTTATTTGAATTCATTATGGTGTTACTTAAAACATTTATGATTTCTTGACTTTTGTAATTATTACATTCACTTAATTCTGAAAATGTTAATATTGGATATAATACTCTTAAATAAGTTAGAATTAATATTGATTCATTATAGTCTAAATTATCTAGTTCTCTAATGAAAATATCGACTAAAATTTTTAAATCATTTTTATAAATTAATTTTGAAGTGTATGAAGTAGTGAAAACTAGATATAAGAACTTTAGAATTAGTAATTTTATAATTTTACTTTCTTCTCGATTTAAATGGTAAATCAATAAATTGATGAATCCAACAATATTTGATACATTTGATTTCTGATTCTTGTTGTCGTTATGTATTAGTTCTTCAAACACTTGATTTTTATTGTCTTCAATCCTAAATGAATTCATCAAATATTGTTCATTAATAAATAATAGTAGCTTCAATTCCTCATATGCAACTAATTTATTTTCATCTAAATCGTTTTCAAAATCATCATCTTCATTATTTGAATTGACATCATAGTTGGTGAATTTTTTGGAAGATAATAAATCCTTAATTATTGTTGTTATAATTTCATTATTGTTAAATGTTAAATCAAGAAACTCCTTCGTTGATAAATTTTCAAAATAGTATAAGTATTCAAATACAATATCACAACTAAACTTTAGTATGACGAAAGATGATTTTCTTTGCGATACTGCTTTAATTTGAGCATTGATAAATTGTGATATAATTGATATGAATCTTGATTGTTGTAAAGTTTTGAATACTTCATCCACGTTAATTAATTCTATTGCTTCTGATGTAGTTGAAGAAATAGTACTCAGTGTATCACTAGAAACATCATCATTTAAGTTATTATCATTTTCATTACATGAATTCTTTAGTTTTAGTAGTAGTAATAAAGTAATACATAAAAATTCTTTTAAACATTCAGTTTCATAAACAATTTGATCACTTATTTCATCACAATTATCATTCTCATCAAATTCATCTTCTTCATTTTTATTCTTTACTCTAAAATTTGTAATACTTGTAAAAGTAGCTAAAAATGCTAAAATCTTAGCAATACAAAATTTATAATTTTTAACAAATAAATTCGAAGTTAATAGTTTTAATGAAATAATTGATAAATCTTGATAAGTAGGTATTATATCATTGTTATTAACATAAATATTATCAATAATACATTTAATAAAAATTGAAAAATTCTCATTACATTCTTGAGAATCACTAATTTTTAAAATTGTTGATATTTCTTCATTAAAATAATCTTTTGTTGTTGATTCTGGATATGATGTTATAGAAAATGAAGTGGATGTTGATCTTATTATAGGATAAGGAGATTGTTGTTTTGGTTGAGATATTCGTGAATTATCATAATGATTATTGAAATTATTATTCCCATTTATTGTGGATTTATAAATATTGAACATTCTTAATTTTTCAACAAGTGATTACCATAAGTATATTAGTTTCATTTGTTATGTTGAAAATTTAATGTAGAAAAGATGATTATGAAGTAGATGATTGACTAGGAGGGAGAAACTAGTAGTAGTATTTAAGTATTGTTATTTTTGTTTTTGATACTGGTTGGTAATAATTATCTTAATAGAATATTTGAAAATTATTATAATTAACTAAAATTTGATAAATGCAAGTTATCTTATTTTATTATTCTATCTATTAACAATTTGCTTTTCTTTACATAGAGTAATTATTATTTTAACAAGAAAAAAAATAAATTAATCATAAAAGTAACAAGAATTCATATTAAATCAAGTTACAATCTGTTAAATTTTATAATACTGCTAATAAAGTTGTTGAAATTTAGGGATATTTAAAGTTTGTTTTTTCATCAAATTTTAATGGTTAATAATTGGACGTATTGAATTTTTGAAATTTTTTTAAATAATTGTTAATTAAATAATTCGTAAATTTTATGTATTAAGCGGCTTACACCAATTAACGTATTTTATATATCTATATGATATACAAAACTTAAATTTTCGACTAATCAACTGGCTCGATTCTATTAGATTATTCAGAAGTTTTGATGGATGTATCCAATACTTACATCCATATTTTCTTAATGCTTTATAAATTGAATTTTTATACCCAATTTGTTCTGGCGAGACGAGATTATAGCATTACTATCAACGAAGATGCCAAAAACTTGGAAAGTTGTAAACCTGACGATAATATTAGATCCACTTTTTTTGAAAAAATCTTAGACTAAATCCCGCGAAATTAATTTCACATGTGTTAATCAACATTTTTGAAGTACTTTAGCAGTAAGAAGTTCATGCTTTGATATGAACTGGTAGCATAGAGTGATGTTTCAGAATCAATTTAATAGATAAAAAAATACTAAATGATTCTTTAACAAATTTATTTTATAAGTTCTAAAAATAGCGGACTTACTTCAAGAAATTAAATTTAATGAATTGCCGATCCCTTTTATCGAATTTAACTTCTTTATGTCGAGCCCTTATCGGGTTTGAAGATGAAAAAATTGAGTTAATCACAAAGTTTTGCAAATAAATAATTATTCGGAACATGCCGAGAGAATTTTAATCTTTTACACTAATTAATTATTATTTGACCCACTTACAAAGAGAAAAATCTACAAAGTTTTATAAGTTCTTTTAAATTTGAGGTTTTCAAATTTTTTTTATTTTTGAAACTATACAAATACTATAAATGAATCTTTATATATAAAACATGAGTTACCAGTAACTACTACTTCATTCTTTTCATTTTCGTTAAAATTTCATAAATTATAATTTATAATTTAATTTATAATTTTTCACCTGGAATTGATCTTCCAATAGTTGTAACATCATCATAAATTAAAGTAGTTACGAAATCTGAATATTTTTCACCAAGAGCTTCTGGAGCAAAATAAGTAAAAGCTTGTTTAAATTTATTACCTGGTTTTGCATTTTGTAATAAATTTTTATATTCTTCATCTAATAATTGTTTAACATAATCTTTTGAAATTAATTTACCAGTGTTTGTATGAGCACCATGAGTAACCCATTGCCAAATTTGAGTTCTTGAAACTTCTGCAGTTGCAGCATCTTCCATAAGATAATTAATTGGGACACAACCAACATTTCTTAACCATGCTTCAATATATGAAATACCAATAATAATATTAGCTCTAATACCAGCTTCAGTAATAACACCACCTGGTACAAATGGAGCTAATAAATCTCTTTGGGTAATTGGTTTAAAAGGTTCTTTTGGTGGTAAATCAATTTGATTTGGACCTTTCATATGTTCATTAAAAACTTTTAATACAACTGGTACTAATGCAGGATGAGCAACCCAACAAGAATCACAACCTAAAGTAACTTCTCTTAATTTATCTTTTGTAACATTTTCCAAAGCTTTTCTATTTCTTTCTTGATCTTCCTTTATTGGAATTTGAGCAGCCATACCACCTAATGCATGAACTTTTCTACTATGAGTAGTATGAACTAATAATTTAACATATGCAGACATAAATGGAGCTGACATTGTAATTTGTGATCTATCAGGTAAAACAAATTCTGGATGATTTCTTAAACATTTAATATATGAGAAAATATAATCCCATCTACCACAATTTAAACCAGCAGAATGTTCTCTTAATTGATAAATAATTTCATCCATTTGGAAAACTGCAGGAATAGTTTCAATTAATACTGAACCTCTAATTGTACCTCTTGGTAAACCAATATAATCTTGAGAATAATTAAAAATATCATTCCATAATTTAGCTTCTAAATGATGTTCCATTTTTGGTAAATAAAAATATGGTCCAAAACCTCTTGCTAAAGTTTCTTTTGCATTATTAAAAAAATAAATACCAAAATCAAATATACCACCTGAAACTGGAGTACCATCAACTAATACATGTTTTTCAGTTAAATGCCAACCTCTTGGTCTAACAATTAAAGTTGGAATATGTCTATCTTTTGATAAATTTAATTCATATTTTTTACCATTTGTTTCAAATTTTAAATTTCTTCTAACACCATCATATAAATTAACTTGACCATCAACTAAATTTTTCCAAGCAGGAGTTAAAGAATCTTCAAAATCAGCCATATAAGTAGCAACATTTGAATTTAATGCATTAATAACCATTTTTCTATCAGTTGGACCAGTAATTTCACATCTTCTATCAATTAATCCTGGAGCTAAAGGAGGACCAGTCCAAGTTTTATCATCTCTAATATATTGAGTTTCTGGTAAAAAATTTGGTAATTTACCTTGATCTCTTAATTCTTGTTCTTTTTTTCTATTTAATAATAATTCTTGTCTTTTATTTTCAAAACCTCTATGTAAAGTTGCAACAAATGCTAAAGCTTCTTGTGAAAAAATATGTTTTGCATTATCAGGAATTGGTCCTAAAATTTGAACACCTTTAATTTTTTCAGCTACAGTTGGAAATGGTGATGACATTTTTCAAAAATTATGAATATATGATGTTAATTAAGAATTTATTAAAAAAGTAAATTGATATGATTAACTATGAATTTAAAAAAAAAAAAATTAAGTAGAAAAGCAATTGATTAAATATTTAAATAAATATTAAAATTTATTCGACAAGATCCTTGAAAAATTTAAAAATTAGAATGTGATAAAGTTAAACTAAATTAATTAATTATGTAATCGGGTCTATTAATATATTAGTTATTTGCTACCAATTATAGTATTAATTTAAACAGAATATTACCCCGGATTCTCAATATTACTATGAACAAATTATTTTATTTAAAGCGTTACAAAATAAAATAAATTTTCATGAATTTCGCATCAGTGGAACTAAAAAAATAAAAATTCCAAGTCAAAAAAATTATGTTTCAAAGCGGCAATTGACTCTGATAAACATTGGGTAATAAGTAGCGGACATTTAATTTTATATTCCGATTTTCAAAAGGTAAAAGAAATATTTAAGTATTCTTATGAAGCTCAATTCTTCTAACCAAAATAGTATTCAATTGAATGTATTTGGGTCATATAGAATTAAAGCAAAGTAGATGAAGGTTGTCAATGAGCCACGAAGTCAAGAATCGGATCGAAGTCACCTGTCAAAATTTTATTGATTTAAAAAATAATAATAAGTAAATTGTCGGGATTATATTTTTTTATTTCAAATAATATTTTTTTTTTTTAACTAAACCGAGGAAAATTTCCATTTAATCAACAACAACGTTTAAAAATTAAAAATCATACAATAAATTTTTGAATCATGTTACTATCTTGTTTATTGTTTCTTTTTTAACGGTCTTTTTTTAAATTGTAAAATAATATTTCAAAATTTAAAATAACCGCTCTATTTTTAATTTCAGAAATTAAGTATTTTGATAAAACCCAATTATCGGACTACTACATTTGATTAAAAATTATTATTATATTTTAATAGAAGTAGTTTGGAAAATTTGACAATTTATTTGTGTCTTATTTTTAAAGTTTGAGTCATATGATCCAAATTTTTGTATTGAGGAAGACAAATTATTGACATAAATTTATTTACAAAGTACTTTTGTATTATTATTACAATAAATAAAACCTATAAACCTTCATATAAATTTACAACTTCTTTTGCCCACTTACTATTTTCGTGACCATTACCTTTAATAGCACCTTGTAAACCTTGTTGTTTCAATACATAATCAATTCTTCTATAACTATTAATATTTTTTCTTAAAACAAATTGATAACAAGTAGCAGTACCATTTCTACTAGCAACAACTGATGAACTTAAAAAAAATTCCCAAATTCTATACCATTTAATACCATATTTATTAACAACTTTATCTTTATTACCTAACCAATTTCTATACCATCTCCATAAAGTTGCAGAATAATGTACACCAATATTATCAACACTTACAATTTCAAATCCAACTGATTCCATACATGATGATACAAAACTTAATGGAGTTGAAGCATCTGCTCCAGGGAAAATATATTTATTCATGAATAATCCCCATTCTAAATCTTCATATTGCCAATTTTTTCTTAATCCTGAATATTGTAAAAAAAATAATCCATCATCATCTAATAAATCTCTACATTGTTCCATATATGAAGTTAATTTTCTAATACCAACATGTTCAGCCATTTCAACAGATGTAATTTTATCATATAATCCATTAGGTTTATCACTTGATGGAGAATCTCTATAATCACAACATACAATTTTACTTTGATTTGATGATATACCATATTCTTTTAATAATTGATTACCCCATTTACATTGATTTTTACCTAAAGTGACACCAGTTACTTTTGCATCATATTGAGTAGAAGCATAAGTAGCCCAAGTACCCCAACCACATCCAATATCTAATACATATTCACCAGGTTTTAAATCAATTTTTTCAGCCATAACTTTTAATTTATTATCTTGTAATTCTTCTAAAGTTTCTTCTCTTGATGGATCACTAATAACACCAGATGTATAAATCATTCTTGGACCTAAAAACCAAGTATAAAAATCATCACCACGATCATAATGATCTCTAACTTGTTCTTCATCTTGAGATTTTGAATGGAAAATAACTTCAGGAATCATTTCTAATAAAAAAAATCTAAATAATCCCATTGTAAATTTAAAATTAGCCCAATCATGTTTATATTCCATTACATCTAATGCATCACCTTTAAAACTTACTTTACCATTAAAAAATAATTCTTGAAAAGTTTCAATTGGAATTTTTTTACCTTTACCATTATTTGAATCTTGATATTTTGCTTTTAATTCTGGAGTATGATATTCTAAATAATAAGAAATTGGTCTATTTGGATATTTAACTTTTTCATTAATTCTTGGACTAAAAGTTGACATAATTGTCCAATAAACCATTAAAATAGGTATAGCTAAAATTATAAAAAAAAATAACCAAACTTTAAAACCAAATCCTAATTTATATGTAATATAACCTGGAATTAATGACATTATTGAAAATAATATAGTATTTGAGAATGATGTTGAACCTGGTCCATCAGCTGGTAATGGAGCATTATGAATTGTTGGAGATTCAGAAGTTAAAACTCCTGATTCATTTGTTGCAGGTGGTGTAGGTTTTGCTCTTGGTGTTTTAATAAAAGAAACTGACTCTAACATCTTTGTAGTAGTGTTTCTCCTTTCTTTTAGTTAAAATCAATTGACTTAATAAATGTACAATTGAGTTTATTGAGCGATTGGTAAAAAAACGAGTTTTTGAAATTATTTTATAAACTAAATATAAATTTTTCAATTTTTTTTCAAGATCTATGTTGAAGAAAAAAAAATATAAAAAATATTAATTTCTACGTGTTCTCGAACTAAAAAAAAATACATCTAATAGTTGTTCTAAAAATAAAATAGATTATTATCATCGTTTAAATTGAATAACACAATCGTATTCTTTATAATCTAAAACTATAAAATTATATCTTTAAATCTTTATTTGGTAAGTCTAACAGTTTCAGAATAATCCCTTTTCTACATCAATTTCTTACAATCAAGTTAAAAAATATTATTCTGAAATATACAATTAGATTTTTTCTCATAACCTAACTTTTAAGAATAATTTAACACTGCCTCGTACTATACTCCAGATAAAAGTATAATTTTTTTTGTGGGCGTATCTCGTACAAAATCACTGAATTTAAGCCAGCTCGACCTATCCAAGAATATCGGACCAAAATACTTAATTAAGATAAGAGTGATATAATTAAAGATTAAGAGTATTGTGGAAACTACGGATTGAATTCAATGATTGATGAATAAAGTGAAGTAAGCGTACAGTAAGATCCTTATAAATAACCTAAGTAAATGAAGAATTGAAAATATGTATGTGACCCAAATCTTCCCTAAATCCCTTTATTAAAATTGAGCTCTAATATAAATTTTTTTTTTCAATTGAACATAATCTAATAAAAGTTCATCATTATTAAAACAAATTTCATTATTACTTGAATTTTTAAAATTTTTAACAGAATTTTTTAAAATTATTGGATTTAAATTTTTACCATTACCATCACTTTGATTATCTTCATTTAAAAATATTATACTCAACTTGATGTTATTTAAATTTATAATTTTATTTTTATTCATAATTTTAAAAATTATAACATTAATTAATTCATTTATATTTTTTAATTTATCTTTTCTTAATTTTATTGATATATAATCTAATTGATGAATTTTTAATGGTTGATTAGTGTTGTTTGAATGATCTAAAAATATTTTGATTTTTAAGATTGGATCTTGAGTATTTGGAACGTATGAATTTCTTCTTGATTGATTAGTTGATGATGGTAATCGTTTATGTTCTTTTTCTTGTTTTCCTTGTATTTCTTCTGTTTCCTGAGGTGATGGTTGTAATTGTTTATGACGCGTTATTTGGTTTGGGACATAAGAATCAAATGAATCTAGAGTAGTATCATAATTCATTGAAATTGGAGAATTTGTATTTGTAGTAGTTGAAGATACAAGTATATCATCATTTTGATTTTCTTTAATTGAATAACCACTAAATGATATAACTGTATTACATATTTCTTCTTTTTGTAATGAAGCATTATAAAATTCAGATCTTGATGATTTAGGAGTTTTTGGAGATTTTGGAAATTTTGGAGAATTAGAAATTTGAGAAAATCCAGCGTTTGTTGGAGTTCTTGGAGATGATAGTAAGTTCGTTTTGGTTATTAAAATATCTGATTCTGAAGTATGATGTTGTAAATTTAAAGTCGGTTTTTGTGGTCTCATTGGCGAAGCTAGTTTTTCTTGTTTTGAAGCTGGTGATTGTGGTTGTTGTTGTGGTTGTTCAATATGTCTTGGTATAATTAATGAACGACGTTTATGTAGTTTTTTTTCTTTGACTTCTGTATCTGCTGTATCAATTTTTTCTGCTTTTTCTTCTTTTTCACTATTCTCATATCTACTAAATCTTTTGAAACTTTTACTATATCTCAAAGAAGGTGATGATAATCTTGATGTGGAGAATAATGATGGACTTTTAATTTCTGGTTGTTCTAGTTTATTTTGTTCTTTTTGTTTTGGTTCATTTTTAGATTCTCGCATTACTGAGGGAGTTGAGTTATTTGATTTTGATTTTAATTTAGGTGATGATTTAGCTGAATTAGTTGTAGAATTAGTTGTGACGTTCCTATCAACATTTGAACTTGAATAATTCTTTAATTTTAATGAAAATTTTTTAAAAAATTTTGATGGTGATAATAAACCTTTTGATGAATTTGGTGATGATGATGATTGATTTTTCAAAGGTTGTGGAGGTTGTAGATATTTTGTACTTTTATTATTGTTTAAATTCTTTGATTTTTCAGGTGTGAAAAATATTGATGCTGCATTATCTTTTGAATTTTTATTTGGTGTTTGTGATTGTTCTTCTATTTTATCTTTTGTTGAATTTATTGAACTTGGAGGAGTAAATGAAAATTGAAAAGATTTATGATCATCTATTGAATGCAATTTACGAGATATATCAAATTCTTCTTTATAATTATAATCTTCATCTTCATCTTCATCATTATCAATAGATGAAAAATCTAATGGTGGTGTTGTATATAAACTCATTGGTCTTGGTTTATTAATAAAAGAAGTAGGTGTTGAAATTGTTGGATTGTTTTTAGATATTGAATCTGGAATTAATTCAGTCATTATATTATATTTATATATCAGTAAAATAATGTTTTATCAAAATGATTATAACTTGTAACTTGTAAATTGAAATTTACACAATAATAACTAAATAAATGAAATAAATAAATGAAGGAAAGTAATGAGCGTAAATTATATTGTTTGTGAATTAATGAAAGTAAAAATTTAGTTAAATTAATTATTAATGAACTTTAAAGAAACATGAAATTTGTTGTAAATTAAATAAAGGATTAAAAATTTCAAGATGTTTAGAAATAAAGTTTTTTATTTCTTTACTGGTTTTTAAATTTATTTTTTGATAATATTTAGAAGTATTATGTTTTTGTGTAATTAGATTGATTGATTGATTGATAGGATTGATTGATCGAATAAAAATTATTAAAGATTAGTATGGGAATCGCCCCAATTTTTAATACTAAAATAGTTTCTTTTTCTACTTTAAAATTGGTCGATGTTTTTTATACATAAAATTTTATTTTAGAATTAATTTATTTATTCTTTGCATCTCATTAAACAGAGTTATATGAATCGTTGTTAAATATTCAATTATATGATTATTCAAGAGATTAAAGATATACATCCAAGAAAAATAAGTTTTATTTAAAGACTTTTATCTTTTATAAATCCCTCCTTTGCAAATATAAAATAAATTATTATATTTTTAAATTTAATCTATCAAAACAATTCAACTAAAATAATATTATTTATTATTTTCAAGGTAATGGTTAAGAATATTATCGTAATATTATTACATATTACATAATTATATAGTTATCGCGTTTTGTAATAACAACACTTCGTTAATAACTTAGATTCATGAACCAATAGATATAATACGAGAGACTCTATTCTAATAGTAGATGAAATTGGTTTATTTATTAATTTATATTTGGAATAAGATCCCATGGCTTATATTTCCGATTAATTCTAGACTTTTTTTAATCTTACTATTACAAGGTATGAACTTACATAAAATTGGTTATTTTTAATAATTGTGCATTGCATATTTGGCGTAAATCTTTCAATTTTCTTTTGTTAATATATTTAAAATAATATATCAATTTTTTAAATTATTTATAAAATCGTACATTTTTAATTCTATTGCATATGAATTAAAAGGTGAGTTGTACATACATACATACGAATTATTCGCTTAGATGGTTTTATACATAATCTAAGAGAATTTATAAAAGTAGTTCTATTATATTTTAAATACCTCGAAAGTTTTGGTGCAAATTGGATTTCAAAAAACCCGTTATGTTAGATTATCTTTACTAACTATTATGTTTAATTTACAATTAAATAAAATTGCATAATCACTTGTTATTGATCTATTAATTTAAACTTTTATTTAAAATTATTGTTTTGACAGTTTATTAAAAACATCAAGACAAAAAGAAAAAAGAAAATCGTAAATCTTTAAATTTCGTTCTTTAATACACACTGAACTAATTTATTTGGATCTTTACATTAACTCCTAATTCCAAGTAACTTAGTAAACGTTTAAATTAATGTGTGCAATTGATGTTTGCTATTCTGAAAATATATCAAAACTTTTAAGTTAAAAACCTATTGTTTTAATTTTATTCTTTATTCTATGAAAAGTTAATGTAAAGTTAAATTATTTATTATGTATCTTTACTTCGCAACCGTAAAATATAAAAATATTTGGTTTTACATTCCGAAATATATTATGCATAATTTTACATGTACAATAAAAACTTACTATGTAGAGGTTTCAAGAAACTTTTTAAATCGTTCTTACTATAAGTAGAGCAGAGAGGAAGTATCAATCAATCTACAAGATAAAGTTTATATTCTTTCATATAAATATTTATTATACGTATGTTGTTATCCCTTACTCTCTTAATTTCCTAACTAATTTTAAATTACATTTATCAACTTTTTTTAAAATCTCAATTAATTTTTGTTCATTGTTATTATTACTACCATCATCATCAGAATCTTGTAAAAAATGCTTACTTGTATCATCATCCAACAAAAATAAATCATAATGATTAATTAATTTAAAATCTTTATAAATTTTAAAACTTAATATTTCTTTTAAATTTGATAATGTTTGAAGTTTTGATTTATCAATTTTTAATTTTATTATATCATTTGAATTATTCTTTAAATGGATTTTTAATTTTAAATGATTTGATTTATTTTCGGAACTAGAAGTAGTATCTCTTTGTGATTTTGAATTGTATGTAGGTGATTTAATTGATTGTTCAAATTTTGATTGAGACAATGGTGGAGTTACATTAGTGAAAAAATTCGATTTTGGAGTTTTGGGAATAATTGGTGAGGTATTTGTTGATGTTGATATTGTTTGAAATGAGTTTGGGAAAGAGTTATGAGATTTTGTAGTTGTTGTTGAAGGTAATGTATTGTTGTTGTTTTGATCAAGTAAGGGGGTAGTTGGTGTTGAGATTGATCTTATTTTATTTGTTGAAATTGTTGAATTTGGAATTGTTGTACTAACTTCTTCTGGTTGTTGTTCTTCTTTTTCCAATTTTTCTTGACTTACCTCTTCAATTTTTTCATTTTCTTCAACATTTTTGACTTTATAATCATAATCTTGTAATATTTGAGTTTTAAGTGGTGATAATGATTTTTCTATTACCAGTTTATTTTGATTAAAACTTGAATCAATTGAAGAAGCTTTAGTTTCCATTGATATATTATTTGAACTCATTGTTGAACTTGAAGTTGAATCTGTTCTTTTAGAACTCCTATTTATATTACTAGTTGTTGTTCTATGAATTTCTTTTTCAATTTCGTTCAATTGTGGATCTTCATTTAAATTTGATTGAATTTGTAAATCTGATATTTGATTTATGAGAGTTTTGAATTGTTCTTCGTTTGGTTGGTCGGAGTTTCGTTCTTCTTGTGATTCCTCTTGTGGTTCTTTTTCTTGTTCTTCTTGAATGTTTTGACTAAAATCAAATTGATCTTCTTCTTCTAATATTGAAGTATCTTCATACCCATCAATTAATGAAGTATAACTCATTAAAGTGTTTGAACTTATTGATTCTGGGAATTTGAGGTGTGATTGTTGTTGCTGTGAATTTTTAGTTGGTGAGAGGGTGTAGTTTGTATTTGGTATTTCCTCTTTATCCTCAAATGTCAATTGATCTGGTATTTTAAATACTCTTGAGCTAGATACTGAAGATGATCGTGATCTCGATCTTGGTGATGCTCTAGATTGTTTTGTTGGTGAAGATAATGAAGTTCTTGATTTCAATGATTTTGGTGACTCTTGAGTACTAGTAGTAGTAGGTTGTATTGGACTATTAAATGGATTGGTTTTAACAGGTACACTTGAAGTTGAAAATGATCTTTGTTGTATAAATGATGGTTGTGGTAAAGATGATGATAAATTTGAATCTGAATTTTGTAATGATTCTGTATTAAAATAAAAATTTGAGGTTGTGGTTGGTGATGATGTTAAGAATGATGATTCATTACTATAATTATTGAAATTAATCTTATCTATTAGTATTGAATTTGAAGATAATTTTGAAATTAAATATGAAGAATTTTCATCATCATTAAATATTTCTATATATTTCCCAGTTTTGTATATTAATTGATTTAATTGATATCGTATTGTATTGTGATTAAGATTTTGTATAATATATTCAAAATAATAATGTAAATTTATACATAAGATTTTAAATTGTTTAATAATATTGGAATTTAATTTTGAAAAATTTGAAACAATTTCAGGAAATTTTAAATTTAAATCATTTAAATGTTTCAAGCTATTATTAAATGTTTCTAATTCTGAAAAATCTCGATTTATATAAATTATTTTAGTATCATATTGAAATTTTATACAAAACCATATTTTTTTAGTATTTAAATCTTGATAAATTTCATCAATTAAACAATCTATAGGTAAATCAAACAGTTTAGTGGGTGATGATTCTGATTCAAGATTATTAATTTCTTGTTGTGGTAGTGGTTGTAATTTATATTGATGTAACCAATCTAAAGTTATTGGATTAATTAAATCATTTATTCCAATTTCCATATATGAAGCAGGAACTAAACCTTTTTTAGAATTGTTTTCAATTTCACAAACTAATAACCAACCATTACCAATTTTTTTAATTAATTTATAAAATTTTTTAGGTAATATACTTAATTCATCATTTGTAGTAGCCTGAAATGAGTATTTGGCTATTAAAATTATATGATTTTCATTATTGTATGATCTTGGTTTTTGTTGTTGTTCTTGTTGATGATGATGATTAGGATGAAGATGATTAAAAAATTGATTATGATTATGATTATTTTGATTTTGTTGATTTTGTAAAATATATAAATCTTTTTTATCAATTGGACCTGATATTATTAAATTTTTAACATTTTTTAAATTTTTATTCAGTTTAAATAGTTTTGATCTTGATAAACTTGATGACATTATATTTGGAATTTGAACAAAGTTTTGGGGTTGAAAATTGGTTTCAAAAGAATTGAAAAATAATAATTGAAAAAAATTAGGTGGTTGTGAAAAACTGTATATGATTAAACTGTTGGATTATAAGTATCTTGATGACTAGTGATAAACTTGGGATTGGATGGTAGATTTTGAAACTAGAATTTTTGTTATAAAACAAACAAAATAATGATATCAAATTTAGGGTATAGGAAATAGCAAATGATTGATTGATTTAATGATCGATTGACTGTTTTATTGATTAATTGCAAGATTGACAAAATGATTGATTTTGTTTAATTACAAATTTTGATATTAATAATATAGATCAACTTTAAAATGAAATGGTTTGTAAATATTTTGTTCAATCATTTACATAAATAAATGAATATGAAAATTTGCAGTAGTAATATTGTATTATATAAATATGAAAATAAACTGATTGTTAAAAAATTGTATTACATTTAATTTTGTGTAAATTTTACTTTTACATTATGTAACACAAAATAAAATAAAACATAAACAACAGAATTGCATATATTACACAAAACACAAAATATTTTAAATAATCTAAAATTTAACTGCAATTTTAAAATAACATTTAAAACAATTGTTTATTATCTATCTAAAAGATATTAATTAGCAATGAACAATAAGTTAACTTATCAGATTAACAATAATGCAGTAATCTAAATACATTTTAAATGCGTTTTTTATTATGTAAAATGATTAACGAAAATTTCATCATCTAATTAATTTCTATATCAATTTTTTATGCTGATCATTAAATGTTAAATATAAACCAATAAGGTGAATTTTTACATTAAAAATATAAAGATAGCTTGATGTTAAATATGAGAATATTATTTTATTATAATTTTGGGGTAAATTAAAATCAATTATTATAATTGTCTTATAATTTTTAATTTTAGTAATTATATATCATTAGTTGAAAAATATTTAAAATTAATATTATATTTTAATTATTAGATATTGAATATTTTGATCAACTAATCGGCATTCGAAGCTTATTACAGAAATAAGCTTTTATATTGATCAACAAATCTTATAAATTTAATATTTATACTATTGTCTGATCAATGTTCTTCGTCTTACAAGCTTTTAATATTTGTTTACTTTTTTTTCAAAGATTATCGTGCAATTTGTTTATTCAATTTTTTTTTCTTTGAGATCTTAGATTTTCTTATTAAATAATATAGATATGTTTTTCAGTTTTTTTCAGATATTTATTTAAATCTTTTACATTAACTTACATTTGAAGATCTTAAATTTTTTCTATATCGTCTTATAATTTTTGAAATTATTCATATGTATATATATATATATATATATATATATATAATAATGGAAAGGGGCCTGATTTTTCATGTTTCATCGATTAATGGTATTTATATAATTTCCTACTTCACTTCACTTTACACTTTACTTGATGATTTTTGTTATTTGTCAAATTTATCTTATCGTAACTTATTTTATTATTTTTTTTTTACCTTCTGTATTTACAGTTTTTTTTGGTTGATTTTGATTCACAAACACAAATGTGCTTATTAAAAAAACTGGAGATAGGAGATTGTTTAATTTTTTACTAAACAGTAATTTTTGGTTCATGTTTACGTTTTGTTCTCCTTACATTGAGTAAACCATCTCCTTTCTTTTAGGTCGACAAAAGTTACAAAATCTGACAATAAATTATTTTTTACTTCATTTCCGTTTACAAACTATAAATCTGTATTTGATTAATATGTAGTCTTGACGAAGAGATTACGAGATTTAGAAATTATATTATGGTTATGACAGGAATAATTTCCAAAATAATGTACCGAAATTAAACAATAAACAATTTTAAATTATTGGAAATTGATGTCTTTTATATTCTTCATAGTATACTTTCAAATTTTGAAATTTGAAATCTTATAAAAAGTTAATTAACTCACTAATTCTATATTTATTAATCTACAATTAAATCTAATTGAAGTAAGATCTAAAAAACGTTAATTCAAATGCATTAATAAATTTATTTAAATTTAAACTTTTTTATTGTTTTTGAAAAAATTTCAACACAAATTATTGATTATAATTTATTCCGCGTGGTAAAATATATTTCCGGATTGTTTATTAACAATTAATACATTAAAATAAGTCATCACATTCTATTGTTAATACCTATAATTAATTTCATTTCCTTTAATTGTTGATTGATTTAGGTATCAACAAAATGTTTAAAAAAAAGGTGAAAAAAGTAAACGTATAAAATATAGGATATAACTTCAAATACAAATAAATAACATAACCTTAATTATCAGCCAATACGTACATAATTTAATCGTAAACAAACCATTTTAAGTTCAACTATTTGTATGTCAAAATCTTCAATTTCATAACCATAAACCAGACCATTTTCTTAAAGAAAACTAAAAAGTACCTAAAAGTAAAAATTCAAACCGATTTTAGTGTACTTTTTTTTTGGTCTCAAAATTTGACACTTTTTAGTAGGTTATGAGAAATTTACTTAAATTTAAACGATTATAATCTGCACATGTGGGTTTCATTTTGAATTTATTCAAATAAGTACTTAAAATCGTATGGTTTGGTGGTTTTGATATTACGGAGTTTTATTCAATTTGTTTTGTAAATTTGTTGGTTGTAGAAATTTTGACTATACTTTGATTGTCTTGGTTTAGATTAAATAGATTATCATAAGATCTTGTTTAAATTTATGTTTAAGTTTACAAACGTTTATGTCTTGCTAAGAATGTTTTGTGTTGTTTACTTTTTTGAATTTGACGTTTTTTGTAGAGATTTGTCTTTTAGTTTTATTATTGTTTTGTTCAAAAAATTTGAATATACTAACAAATTAAAACGCAAATTCTTAATAATAAAGTAATAATAAATAATAAGATGTGATATCGGTTATATTAATATTGTTTATATCCGGTTATGGTTTTGATCAATACCATATAGTATTGTTTTGAATTCATTAGACGAACTTTACAATATTTTTGGTTTGAACGTTTTTTGGTTCAACCACCAAATAATAAACAGTTATTGTTCAGCAAAAATTAAGTCTTGTGACTGTAATTGCAAAAGAACGACTGGAATCTACGAACGTTTTTGTAAATGAAATTATTTCCTCAGTATTGATGTAAAATATTATTTCCAAATTTTGCTGTTGAATTCATGCAAAAAGTTTGAAAAATAGTGTTGCAAAAAGATATATTCACTTAAAAATTCACTCAATGTAGAATTTTGTACAGATTTGAGTGATGAATCAACAAATTCTTTTGATAATATAATGTATACAACAATGACTTTCTACTAATGCTCTTCAACAATGACCAATACATCACGTAGCTTAATGGTAAAAAAGTATCTCGAGAGAAAATATCAAAAATTTAAACTTACAGACGTTAATTATTATAAATATACACAATAAATTAAATAATTATAAAACTGAATTTCAAAATTTAAATAATAATACTAAAAACAAATTGAATCAAAATAACAGTAGAATCATAAGACCAAGTGCATCAAGCACTTACTAACCCAACTTTACATAATATCTAATAATACAAAAACTTGAACAAAATACCAAATTCTTTCTTTTTTAGCGTCACAACTACCTTCAGTAATCATTAACAAATAACTTCTTATCAAAAATCAAAAAATCTCTCTACTCTAAACTCTCAAAAATTTATCTTTAACCAATTTTCAAATTAACTTCATTATTAAATCTTAAAAATTCATCAAAATTAAATTTACAATGATCTAAATTTTCAAAATTTTTAAAATTTGGTAAATTAATAAATAAACTTTGATTATCTCCAATATTTAATTTTTTAAAAATAATTGATTTAAAGTTTTTAATTGATAAAATTTGATATTTCGGGATACTTATATATAACATTTCATTCTTTAAGTTTAACACTTTACATCTTAATATTTGATGGTTTTGTAATGGATGCTTTTTTGTGGTAGTTGGTGATTGTTGTTGTTGTAATTGTTGTGGAGATTGGCTTGGGTTTGGGTATCCTGATATTGGGAATATCTTTGTGTTAATACTTAATGGTGACATTTTTATATTTTGTTGTTGATTTTGTTGTTGATTATAATAATAATTTGGTGGAAATTGTGAAATTTGAGGTGAATTTATCATTTGATTTCTTGGTGAAAAACCTGGCTTTGTTGTTGGTGTTTTTGGAGCATGTGGGAAATTTACATAATTTGGGGAGTATTGTTGTTGATGATTGTGGAAATGATGAGGTGGTGGTTGATGAGATGATGAACTCTTAGTTGGAGTTACTTGTTGTTGATGTTGTTGATGTGGGGAATTTCCTGTAAATTGATTAGAATGTGGTATTGGAGGAGTTGAAAATGATGATGGAAGTTTATGATTTTGAGGTAATGGTGGATAATTTTGAGGTTGTTTAGGATGAAAATGTTGAGATTTTTTCCTTATTATTGTAGGAGAATTTGAATTAGTATTTGAATCCATTGATGTATTTGGAGTACCCACGTCTTGGTCTTTAACTAAAGTTATAGATGAATTTGATATATTAAAAGAATTATTTGGAGTTGATGAAGTTGGTGATATCAGTTTTGATTTACTTTTTGATTGAGTTCTCTTTATTGAAGTTTGTCTAAAAGCTGATGATGCTTGTTGATAATTATTGTATATATTTTTTGATTTAGTTCTTGATGGTAAATCTTCTTTCTCTTCTTCTTCTTCTTCATCATTTTCATCGTCGTCCTCCAAGTCTTCTTCTTGATTTTCTTGCTCTTTTTCCTTTTGTAATTTCTCAAATTCTTCTTTTTCTTTGAATTTCTTCTCATTAAATTCTTTTACTACATCAATTGAACCTGGTAATATTTTTTGATTAATTTCATCATTTTCCAATTGTTCAACTTCCAAAAAACCTGGTAATTCATTATATTCCAAATCAAGCCAATCATTCAATTCATTTGAAGTTTGAAAATATTTATTTAAGATTAATTTATTAATATAAATATTTAAATCATTACATCTTTTGAGTAATAAATTGATATCATCTTCTAGTATATTATTTTCATTTACATCCTTTTTTGATCTTGTTGGTAAAGGTTCTGGTAATTTTGGTAATTTTAAATCTATTTCATCTTCTTCTTTATCTTCATTTGGTATTTTACTAATTAAATCCAACAAGTTTATATGTAAATTATAAAAATCCTGATAATATCTACATAAATAAATTTTTGTTTTATTTGATAATTCAACATCTAATCTATACCAATATCTTTGATTATACAATGCAAAATTCAGTATTGATACAAGAATAGGATATGGTTTATTATTTATAGTTTGAAATTTTGATTCAATTTTATTAAATTGTAAATTTAAAAATTTATGATCTTTTATAATATTTGATGAAGCATTATTAATTGAATGTAACCAAGTTAAAGTTATTGGATTTATTGGATCATTAACTGCTATATCGACATATAATGCAGGTATTAAACCTGGTGGTTGTAATTTATCAATAAATTTTACTAATAACCATCCATTACTAGGTACGTCTAATAATTTTAGAATATCTCCCTTTTTTATACTTAATTCATTTGATGTTTCTGAATTAAATGAAAATTTTGTAATTAATATAATATTTGATTTTAATTTATTTATAAAGTTATCTTCTTCAGTTTTTGGATTAGATATAGTAAGTGATCTTAAAGGTAATGAAATTGAATTTAATTTTGTTGTAGATTTTGGTGATGATATTATTGAAGATGAAGCACCTTGGTTGGTTTTAATTGTAGTGCTAGACAACGAAGGTGGTTGTATAGCCGTTGAAATACTCATTTACTTATACTTATCCTTTGTATTGTGATCTCCTTTATTCCTTTTGTTGTTTCAATTCAAATATATTAATTAAAATAATGAAGTAGATAAATTAAAGATTTTGTAACAAATTGATGTTTTTCAAATTAAATAAAATAAAATATTATTAAACACTAAAAGTAGAAATGAAATGATAGAAAATAGTTTTGAAAAGTGATATGGTAAATGAAAAAAGTAGATTAAAAAAATTCAAACTTATTAAGAAAAAATAGATGTTGTTTATTTTTGTTTTATTCCTATCTTTTTATTTGTGATATAATGTATATAAAATAATGTTGTATTGTTTATTGTTGATAATTTATTAAATTAAATTAGATAAATGAAAGGCTAAAATTAAATTAAAAGAAGACTCAAAGTAATACTAAACAGTAGTAATGAAAATCAACATATATTTATATATAATTATTATACACAATAACTAATATTCTAGAAATAAATAATACGTCGTATTTTAGTGTTAAATTCTTAAAATTATTCCCTTTATTTGAGATTTACGAATTTATTTGATACTAAAAAGTTATACTCAACTTTCAATATTTTGAATACAATTAATTCAAAAATATAAGGCTCATAGAATTTTTATTATAATTCTTATTAGTGGCTTTTAAAATAACACTTTTCTTGAGCTTTATAGGTGATTTATAAAGTAGATAATTACCATTTTAAATGAAAGACTATTTATCATAATTGAAAAAAATAAAATTGAAATAATAATTTGTTATCTTTAGTTTGTTTCAAATTTGATATTTTAAATTGATGAAACGCGTCTCTTATTTTTCTTTTTATGGAAGTTTTTATTACTAAAATAGAAATAATAGTTTATTATATTTTGTGTAATTATATTCAGAATAAAAAATTGTATATCGCGTTTTTTGTTAACTCTATAATGATATTAACTAAAAATAAAGGAATAACTTCAAAAGATTGTGTAATTATTTATCAGCCTTATAATGTAAAGAATCAGCCTTATGATGAGATGAACATTTATGTTTCTTTGAGTTCAACTGATTAATCAACTTCACTGTTGTAATATAAATCTTTAATTGATTGTGGTTTCATGAAAGAATTTGCAAATTTCATGTTCATGTAGATAATTTATTGATTGGTAGGATTAACGATAATCAACCAAGAAAAAATTAGAAAAAAATATGTATAATATATAAAAATTTAATAAAAAATAAATTTTAACAATTCCAAAGAAATGTATCCATCAAGCGAACCAAATAATTTCATAAATATTTGAAAAAATTGGATTATTTAAAGATGGACACTTGAATTATTAATTTCCTTCCAGCCATTTTTGCTCAACCAAATAGAAGCAATTTAATTATCAGTCTCGCTGGTACTCCGGAAGTGTAATAATATGTATAAAGAAAAGAAAAAGAGAAAAAAAGAGGTATTGGCTTGAATGGTAAATTGTTTTGAAATTTTTTCATTCACTGTACTTCGATGAGAAAATACTGACATTTTTCACACGACCATTTGATTTACTACCAAATTAGAGTGTTTGGTAGCATCGTTATTCGTAAGAAACTACAAGATCAGATTATATGCTAGGAATTGGATCAAAACTAATATACAGACAAATTTTAATTACATTACCTCTGAAAATCAAAATATTACCTCTCATTGAAAATTAAATCACCTCTCAAAATAAATAATTTGCCTTGAGAAATATTTAAATTACCTAACAACAAAGATTAATTCACCTTGCGACCAGCTTTAAATTATTTCAGAATGTATGGGATTTACATAGTTAAGAAGGTAAAATAATAAATTTTTATTGGTAATTTAAAATTGGTTGTAAGGTAAATTAAATTTATCATCAGGTAATTTTTTGTTTAGAAAGGGTTATTTTATTTTGAAGAGTAGGTAATTTATTATTTTTCAGAGGTAAATTAATTAAAATTTATCTGTACTAGTATTAGAGTGACCTGCTCTACTTTAGAACACCTACCTAAAAAAGCACACCTTCATTTTTGTGTACTTTAATTGCATTTTGTATGAGAGTTTAAGCTATACCATACAAATTGGAACAGCCTATAACTATGTTGTGATGCTGCACGAACCACCGTAGCAGACCCCATCCATTTCAACACTCTCTGAATACGCTGTAAATTTTTGGTTATGGGTAAGACCTCAAAATTGAGTCACTTATGGTCAAATCCAAAATCCCTAAAAAAAGTTGGGACATTTTCAGTACTTGAGCACACCTGACCAAACGTGATTTAATTTGAAGCTTCAATCTTAAACCTGGCAGTTAGGGATACTATTTTTTTATCTTTTCATGAAGTTTGGTAGTGAAAGACCAATTATGATGTGCTTAGAATCGGATTCAAAAAAAAATCACTTTTTTGAAAGAAAATTATTTATCCCTCCAACCCAACCAAAACAGCTACGATCAAACTCAAAATTTGATATTATATCTGAATTTAAGTACTAAAACTGCCAGACTACTCAAAATAAAACTTGGAAATTTTGATTTAAGTTGAAATATTGAAGTTTCAAATCTTTGTGCATCAAATTTAGCGCAATCTTTTTAACGTTTGTTAACTTTCGTCTTTAGGTACTCAATTTTGAAGCTACATTGCTCAAAATTTGAATGAGGTTTTCTTGCTCTAAAAACAATCTAATATTGGTTATCTGAGGTCAATTGAACTAGTGGTTGTGTCTTTACCTCTAGCTTAAGATCAAACTTTTCCAAAATGAAGTTGCCAAAAAAAAATACTCTATACATCCGTAACGCAGTATACAACATGTGTACTCTTGCTACACAAAAGTACATCTGTGCGTAAAATTTTTTAAAAAATCAAGGTGTTCTTTTTTAGGTAGGTGTTCTAAAGTAGAGCAGTTCACTCTAGTATATGACTTTATTACTATTGTGGACTCAGTATTTATATCAATTAATCCAGCACATGAGGTGGAGGTATTTTGCTTTATCAATGAAAAACTGAGAAAAAATTGAACAATAGTCATCAGCGGATAATGTATTCCGATATCCTCCAATTTCATCACTTGAGAGAATTACTTGTACCTGAACAAAGAATTTGTACCACGTCAGAAAATTCTTCTCATTGCATAAGCTCGGATAAACTCAATTTTTAATGAGACTTATAAATATTATAGCCTAATTGTAAAGAAGAAATTACAAAGGAAGGAGAAAATTTAGTAGATTCTTTATTATTTAATACTTTTATTGTGTTTTCTTTATTTTAATCTTCATCGAAAACTATGGTTCCTGATTGACCTTCCTAATTAGAACTTTTCAAATTTTGCAATGATTTTCAATTTGTTTCATCAAATAATGTTTGTTACAAAACTCGGTGATAAGGTAGTAGATTTAATTATTACAGAATTTATTGTCACCAGGCTTGCATTGTGCGAGCATTTACTTTGTATAACTATGCTTCATGCATCATTGATAAGGTGTATTGCACCCTTAACCTAGTATAAGCAATGAACAAAAAAAACTTCGTAAAGCATTTAAAACTTGAAATTTGTAGCAACAAAAAACCGTTAAATTGTTTTTTAGGGTTTCATTTACGAGAAATCTTATGTGGCAATTTTTAGTCAAAATCTACAATTTTTATTAAAATCTCAAATTCCGTTTTAAGTCTATTATTGCTAGTCTAAACTTTCGATTTAAAGAAAACCATGTTTTAAAGAAACAAGCAATAACATACACTTTGACTTTTAAATTGTAAAACTTTTGAAATCATTTCTCACTCTCTCATCGTTTTATCAATATAATATTCTCTTTAAAATAGTTACTTTTAGATTTTCTACTTTTTAAAAAATACTGACTAAACTCAGATTAAAAAACTTGGAACTAAGTTTTTACAATTAAGAGCTATGTAAATCTTGAAACTAATAATAGTTGACTTTTTTTCAAACAAATCCCATTAATTTTCCTAAATAAACAAAGTTTGAAAAATATCAATAAACTTTTTATCAGCTGATTAGTTCTTATTAAGATTGACATTTGACTATACTTTTCCGATAAGAACGAATGAATTGCACTTATAACTTTAAATAAACTTTTAAGTATCTAAGGTTTTTGAAGGTCAAATTTACGAAAGTCAAGACTTATATCTTAATGTTCAAAATTACTATCATGCTTGTTTAACTATAGTTGAAAAGTTAAAAATTATTTTGAAGGAGTTGTTCACTAGTTGATCCTAAACATTAACACTTCAACAGTAATATTAAAATTAGATCCAAAGTGGAGATTTAAATCTGAAACAAAGTATTATACAATATAAAAAGGATCTTAGATCTTGCATTAATTTACTTTTTAATTAGAAAAGATCTTACATAGTCAACGTAAATATAAGTTTAATACTTTAAAGTTAAAGTTTAATGAGATACGTTTTTTCTTGAGTAATACATTTAAAGATCAAATCAAGTAATTTTTTAACTTTGAATCTGAAACTTCATGATAGATTGTATAATATTTTAGTTTAGATAATGGTTGTAAAGTAATGTTCAACTGAAGTTTACATTTTGTGCGTCATTTTTAAATATTTTTATTTCATTTCTGGTCTGTCATGAAAAAAAGGGTCCTCTATCTCTACTAAATCTCTTGATTTTACTATTACTTCTCTTTGTAGCTTCATACTCAATTTTTAAAAATCTCCCTTTTCTGATTTTGATATTCAAGATTCCCATAAGATCCTTAAATAATTGATAAAATTACTAAACATCCCTAAATTGTAAAATTAAATAAGCTTTTTCAATAACAATATTTCAAAAATTAATTTTGGTTTTGTGTTTTCTAATAAAAATAGATGCTTTAACATGTGAATTTAAAAACCTAAGAAATAGCTTTGACAAGCCAAATGACATCAATTATTTTGAGTTCACTAAAGATAAATCATCATCAAATTTCGTAAACAAAAATCCAATATAGCTATATCTCGTAAAGAACTCAATATTCTCGAGCTATAAAACTTTAAATTAGGGGGTATGAACTAAGTAAATATTGATCTCAAAAAGTTTGATTGTTTTACTTGACTACCCATCTGAAATTTATCATTGTCAATTCCCAAAATTGATAAATTTACAAAAACCTGAAACAAATCGTTAAATATCTTTTAAAAACTTCGCCCGTATGTCATTTATTTTTTATCACCTAGCTGAAATATAATAATTTACGTGCATTTACGTTGAAATTAAGTTATTTACCAAATCGATATATAATATTTCATGTCGAATTTACAAAACACTACATTACAAAATGTGGTCCAAATAAATATTATCCTCAAAACCAACAATAATGCAAAGTATTACATACATGACGATGATCAAAGTTAATATACATACACAATAGGTGAAATTGAAAATAAACCAACTGTTTCAGATCACTCAAATATCTGAGTGTTACTTTACAACTATCATATTTTTCTCTTATTTTAATTGTCTGAAAGCAAGAGGCTATAGTTGCACAAAATCAAAGTATCATTACCGAGCTTCCTTCAAGCTGATATATCAATGACATGTCTTTGCCACATTGTAAGAAGGTGCACAGGTACAAGCATCAATCGAATAATATTGTTGCTCATCTTGTTAAAACAAACTTTGCCTTTGGTGACGAATCATATATTGGCTTTTTAAATTGAAGTGTATACAATTTCTTCAAAAAATTTTTGTACAATAATTATTTTGAATTCTCAAGTGTATTTTGATTTGCATTTTTAAAAGTTTATTTTTTGTTGAGTAACAAAATTGTTCACCAAAATTTTGGAGTTGTTGATGATTGATTTTGAGCTTATGAACACTTTCAGTTAATTTTAAGCACTTCTTATCGATAGACGATGGTATGATTTTTGGTGCCATCCCAAGAAAAGAAATATTTATACTTTGAGCTTATTACATACTCAATTGATTTAATTATGGCTGTTGACTAATAAATAATTAATAAGTTGAACGGCATTTTGGAAAAATCTATAACCTGTTTATGTATATTAATAATAGTATGATAAGAAATGCATAATTTACTATTTTTGTATGTATGTATAGTTACTTAATATACAGCTGTATTTGAGTGCATTTTTGTTAATAGTTTATCCATTCAATATTTCATCTATTGAATTCTACTATAACTACTATTGACTTCATGCAATTAAAAAAATATGGTTACTTTGGCAGGTAGTTTTTCTCATGATCTTATTAATTTGCATAACAATACAAACTTTTACACGAAGAGTTTTTCCGGAAAAATTTTCAAATAATAAATATTGGCCCGAATGTTTTACTGGTCTAGGTCACCAAAATTTGTGATAGCAATTAGGATATTTATTTCATACAAGCTTTTAAAGTGACAAAAGTGTTCAAATTTAGTAATATCAATAACTGTAAATCCTTGTTAATATTAAATTTTTGACTGACTACGGATATATACAATATTAATTGTTTTATCTTCTTGAACTTTTGTACTATGAGTCGTTAAGAAAAAATTTCAAAATTTAATTGAGTTTTAATATTAAGCTTTTTGTCTACTACAAAAAATTATCTTTTAAGTAAGAATTCGTAAATTTGTTATTATTAGGGGTAAAAAAGATTTGATACCTTTAGTAAGTTATTTTAGTCAGATCTACATTTACTAATACCACTCTTATAAGTTTTTTTTTACAATACTTTGCTTGAAAATTTTAAGTTGTGAGGCACCAACTAACATGGATTATTAATACTTCCTTTTTGGATCTTAAAATTTTCACTTAAAACAACATATATTTTATAAAATAAAACAACTGGATTTAGGTTTTGGTTAGTGATACGAAATGGGCCGTTTTCGAAATGCATTATCGACAGACAATTTTTCTAGATGCTTTTTTCAGTACCTGTTTAATATATCTCTATCGTGTTAATTTTTCAATTTTCGCCAGTCTTTTAATTTTAATTGTATTATTGTATTCTAGGTTGATTAAATATAGTATTGAGTTTTCATTTTAAGTCCGAATCAAACAATAAAAGATTTAAACTTTCAATTTACTTTTCAAATTAAAGTTTTAGATAGATATTATCTAAATTACAATAAATAGCAGTTAGTTTGTAATTTAATTTAGATAAAACAATAGAGCGCTAAATATGAATAAATCAAAGAGATGAGTATCTTTATATTTCAATTCTATTTTAAAGTATATTAAAGCAATTCTGTGAGAATTAATCGATCAGCTTGTAAAAGGTACCATCATGTTATCATATTGATAATTGCTTGTCATTGAACCTGACTAATTTAACAATTGGTACATTAATTCCGGGTTGGATTGGGGGGTGAAGTTTATACAAAAGTTGATTGAGTTCAGAAAGGTAAAAAAGCGGATCTAACTTGATAATTCTTCAAACTTTTTTATTAATTTTTGTCGATTAAAATAATTCAAATTAACTTTAAAAATTAAGTACTTAAAATAAATAAAATAAACGTATGGATAAATATATAAACATGTAAGATATGTTAAATATATTAAATGAATCCTGTTTTATTGTTATTTTTTGTATATATATATATGTAATGTACATTTCTTTAAATTAGATTAGTTGGTACAAAATGTATAAATTGTTAAACGCATTTTTATTTTTGGTAATTAATTAATTTTAACTCAAAATAAATTTACTGGACCCCATTTTTTTTGAAAAATTTGAAAAATAAAAAAAGATAAACAAAGAGGTACTTTTTTCAATTTACGTATAAATGTATTAAATACTTTTTACTTTTACATCATATTTAGTAAATCGGTTACAAAAGTTTTTATCTTTAAACTTTGTTTAATTAAATTTAAATTTTAGCTGAAAGTTATTTACGTTTGTGTGTGTATATATATTGAACTCAATTTTCTTATAAAAATTTCTCACTAAATTTGGTTCAATCCATAAAATCTGTCTCAAATTAGAGGTTTATTGTGAAGATCATCAATTGTCTGTGTAAATATTTGGTTCATTCATTAAGATCACCAGCAGATACATTTTTATCACATTATTGTCAATTCAATTCACAATTGATGAATTTTATTCACTATTTCATTATTTAATTGACAGGATATTTCATTTCACTTCTTCATTATCATATTTATTTGTTATCATTTAATCAAATTAGGGATTTACTTAACAACCTTGTTTCATATTTTGATCATTCAAATTCGATTTTTTGACAATTAACTACCTTACAACCACATTAATAAATTAACAAAGTATCAAATTGCCCAACAATTTTATATTCAAACCAGCTAAAGATACAAGTTTAATCTTTTCAAATCTACAATATAAGATTTATTATTTAAATAAGTTAAAGTTTTATCAAAAAAGTTATTTCAATCCTTTTTTTGTTTTTTTTTATTTTTAAATTTTTCAAGGCAAAATAATAAAAAAAAAAATTTATCTACTTTTAGTTTATTTTGTGTCAGTTGGTGCCTGATTAAAATTATTTATTAAATTTTATTACATAATTAATTACTTAAGTATCATTTGCTACCAATTTGTTTTTAATTTCAATTTATTTTACAACCAAATTTGATTTTACAATTTATCAATTTAACAATTCATTTGTCAAATTTTATGAATTAAATCTGTTCAGTAGACAACTAACTAATCAATTCATTCTTTAATTTACAGTAAATAACTCAATTATTGTCAACGTTAATACCATATTTATTCACATTCGTTTACATTCAAATAAATTTAGTATTTAAATTCTTCAAATAATATAAGGAATCTTAATAATTTCCAGTAACTGTCTATCTTACTACCTCATTTATTTTATTTTCAATTAACTCCACAATTTTTCAACTATAAAACTTTTTCCAAATTGACTATTGACAATCATTTTAATCCAGATTATTTCTTAAATATAATAAGTTATATGACTCCACCTGTTACAACGGTTTCCTCACCTACATCATCAATTGAGGCTGAAGATACAATTTTGCTACCTTCATCTGCTATGAATTCTTCATCACCTGTCAGGAAAACTTTTAATTTTGATAGTAATCAAATACAAAATAATAATCAGCAGGATATAAATCATTATAATAATAATATGAACCATAATATCGACAATAATACTCAATTTGAATCAAATGAATTAAATCGTCCTTCAGTATTAGATCAATTATTACAATTTGATAGCTTAAATCTACCTTGTCCTCCACCAATTAATACATCACCAAGCATTCGACTTCATAGTAGATCTGAAAATCAAAATCTTCATAATATAAATACAAACTATCAGTTCAATCAGTCATCATCACAAGATCAATCTATTATCCAAACTGATGATGATCATGATTCACCACATACTTATCATTCACAACAACCTCATCATTCATCAATGCATCAAAATTCGGTTTATTCTAACCCCGAAGCATCAACTTCAGTCACTTCAGTCAACAACATAGATCAAAAATTGAACAAATTTTATCAAGTAGTTGGTTATAGCAGTAGACCTTCAATTTCACAACAACAAACGTCAAGTAAATACTTATATTCAGCAGAAAATCAATCAAATGATATATTTGAAGTTGATAATGATTTTTCACATATCAATGCCAGAGAATTTGATATTGCAAATGCTTCATTAGATTCAATACCTCAATTCAATCACGCTGGTGTTAATCAAAATTTATCAAATTATCAATATCATGATTCAATACCTACTCAATTGCAACATACTCAACAAGAGCAACAAAACATATCTGTTCAACAAACTCCTTTACAACAAACATTTTTACAACCACCACCAATTCATTATCAAAATGAATTTCTGCCACCTCAAATTAATCAACATCAATATCAACCACCAAATTCTCAAAATAGGGTCCAAAATTATATGCAGAACCAGAATAATTACAATTCAAGTTCTTCAAGTAGAGATTATACAAACACCCCAATATTTTCAGATATTTCAAGTTATACATCAAATTCATCATTTCAACAACTTTATCATCAACAAAAACATCAACAACAAAATTTCAATCAAGAATTGTCAAATCTTCAACCTCATTTTAATATCTCAGATGATGTATTACCAAAAAATTTTAAGTTAATAAAAAGTCCAATTTTACCATCTTCATCATCAACAAATTCAACTCCTAATTCAACTCATCAACATAAAATTATTAAAAAATCTTCATTATCAAGAATAAACACAAGTTCACGAAAAAATTTGAATTCTGCATTAACTTCATCGTTGACTACTATGAGTAACAATATTAGTAATTCCAGCACTCCAACTGATGGTGAAAGAACAACTCCTAAAGTAAATAGAACACAATCAGAATTAGTTACTTCTACATTTAGGAATTCCAATACCTCACACATCCAAAATCAACATTATCATAATTTTTATTCTCAAAATATGAATTTGTTAAATCAACAACAGCAACAACAACAACAACAACAACAACAACAACAACAACAACAAAGATCATATTCTCAACCACAGAACGTTGCATCTACACCACCACCTCACAACTTTACTTCAAATGTTGCAGGTACACCAATTCGTCAAAATTCAGAACCTTCAATAGCACTATTATCATCAGTAAATTCAACACCAGTCAGTACAATTCGTAATAATAAAGAGTATACGATTCCTCATATGCAAGTTCAAAAACTGTTTCTACATGAATCTTCAAAATCAAGTAACACAACATCAACAAGTACAACACCACTTTCTGCTTCATCTATCAAAAAGTCCTTGAAACCAAAACAATCTAAAAAGTCACTAAAACCAAGGGCTAAGAAAGAGACTAAGAAACTTTCAACGAAAACCAGTCCAGTTAATGATATTGAAATGGAACATTTAGAACAACCACAACGTTTATCATCTTCCTCAAACATTAATGCAGAATCCACATTAAACGATCAACCAGAGTCACCAGCAACACCAACATTACCTTCATCAGAAGAACAACCAAAGAAAAAATATACAAGAAGAAGATTATTACCAAGATCAAAAAAGGGGTGTTGGATATGTAGAATTAAACATTTGAAATGTGATGAAAATCAACCTACTTGTGGAGCATGTTCTAAATATGGTTTATCGTGTGATTATAATCTTATAAAACCCGAGTATGTGTATGATAAAGATAAGAGGAAGGAAAAATTAAATGAAATTAGTATACTGAGAAAAATTCATCAAAGTAAAATGAAAAATTTTTCACAAGCTAGTGGTAATGGTAGTAGTAGTGATGATATTGGTGTTGGTGATAATAAGGAGGATGAAGGTAATTGAGTTGATTAGGTTGGTGGTTTTAGTTCGGTATCGTTTATTTCATATTTTAGATCTATGTATTTTTCATCATTTCGTTTGCATTATTTAGTTCATAATAAAAGTTTAATATTATCGTTTTTAAACCACATACGTAATCTTGCTTTATTGGATACATGAAGATCTTTAATTCCATCAGTAGATCTGGGTGCAAAAACCTTCCCTACAAAATATAATTTGTAAGTTTTATAACAAAATTGTAATTATGTTTCATTTTGAGTAAAACAGTCATTTTTGTGTTATAAAAATTAGATTGCGCAAAGCAAAAATTAAAATAATAAATAAAATCGGTTCCTTAATTTTCAGATCAATTTTTTTGTAGATCTTTCTTGCCCTTTTTAATTTGACAAATGTGGTAGTTGATTGCATAACCTGCCCCTTATCAAAATACTTGAATCTCTATTTTTCTAGAAGCAAATTATATCTCTCCAATTAGGTTTTCTTTTTATATGATGAACTCGACTAATTTGAAAAATATCTCTTAGTGTTACTTTTGTGATCCATTACGCCTAACCATTCAAAGTTTAAGTTTGAACAATTAAAAGGTAGATTTGACGAGATTCAAATTAATAAATTAGACTAATCAATTAAATTATTTTTTATTTTTTCCGTTTCTGTAAAAGTATATATTAAATTAGAGTACATAAATTTTATATCTTTACCTAAGCTACAACAATACCAGCTTATTTTTGTAAAATCGAAAGTCGAGGAAATTCTATAACAGGAGAGGAAACCTCTAAGCAATCTTGTTTGTAACCTCGTTGTCGTCGCTAACTTAACGGATTGAACCTGTCAACCTCGCGATTTTATTTTGAAGTAGCCCTGACAATATTTACCAAATATTAGTAGTCAAAGAAAATTCTACAATATAAATAATCTGCATGCGATCGGACTTATTTTTGAAAATTCTAATTATGTAATTCAAAAACTTTAATTAATTGTCATATAATTTATAAATTAGTAATTTATTAATATACGCAATGTATAAATTAGACGAAGAAAAATTTACCAAATTTTCAGGAATTGTTGTTTTTCTTATATTTACTTGTAGATCCAATCATACGACTTGATGCAGGTTGCGGTCGCATTTACATAAATTGGAATTAGAGAGAAGTACATATAGGACGCCATACCTTTTAATTAAGAAATTTTTTTAGAAACGTATTTTTAATTAATAGATTCTATATTAAAGCTATTATTGAACTTACTTGATTGAATTGAGAAAATCTAGACTCATTATTGATTTTGTAGTCAATAGATTGGTTTTTTGTTAACCGACATCCGCAATTATTCCCATTCACTTACAGTCAATCTTTTATTTATTATAGTTTCTCTATCTGTAGTTGAAACAATAGTTGTATCTCCATTATCATGAATTGTATCTCCATTATTTGTATTTGCCCCTAAGATATTTTCAGTTTGAGTTTGATACTCTACCATTGATACTATATTACCAGTGAATCCCACCCATGGACCATTTAATGGATCAACTAATGGTGGATAAGTATAATCGGTGAATTGTTCACGATCTTCATCAATGGTTGATTTTCTTCTTGATATTTTTTTATTAGTTTTGGTGGTGTTACTTGATATTGGTTGTTGTTGTTGTTCGACAGATACTGGCTCAACATATCTTGATTCCACATCATCTTGACCTAATAAACATGACAGTTCATCTATTGGTTCATCATCGTGTTCATTGTCATCTAGTATAGCTGATGAATTAGTTGATGATGGGTTTGAATTTTCGCCTGAAGTGAATGAAACATCATCATTGTCAAATACTTTATCAAAATTATATGGATTCAATATAGCTCTTAAGGCAATAAAGTCATTCAATGGGACATAATATTTTTCAAAATTATATAAAACACATATAGTCACCAAGATTGTTGGAGTACATAATATGGATAATAAAATTGCACTTTCTAAAGCTAATGTACCACACATAAATAACTGGAAAATTATTAATCCCAATATAACTCTTCTGAATATCATTGGCCAAACTTTACCAGTTGAATGAGGAGGATGAACAAAATTATAAACTAACTGATATTTGTATACAAACAATCCAATTATGAAATAAATTAACCCACAAGTTACTATTTTTGTTGAGACAACTGAATAAATTAAAATTATCATAAATATCATAATATGTTGAGGTAAATTTATACCAAAATCAAATACTTGTGGTGTATAATAATAAGATCTATAATCTCTTGGAGTTCTTAAAATCAATGTCTTGATAAAGAAAACTTTACCCAAAATATTCAATAAAAAGAAATCACCAATTTGTAACAACTTCACGGGAAACATAGTTAAACCTTGTAATAAAATTAAATCAACATAGAATAATGACATTCTTCTCAAACTTGTAGCTAATTGAGTTGCAATTTTTGTAGTATCACTAATATATGACATATAATCCCAAAAAGTACCTGCAGCAACATAAATTAAAAACAAGTTAAAAAAAATGAAAAAGAAATTCTTGGATAATGTTGATAATTCAATTTCACTATTTGTTGAATAACCTTGTAATTCTGATAAGTATCTATAAAAATATGGAAATGAAATATTCAATAATGTAAATAATAATGGTGGTAAAATACCAGTTACAAAAGTAGTTAACCAATCTGATCTACCTATTAATTCACCTAATGCTGGCCAAAATTTAGTAATTGTTTTTAAATCCAACAATGAAGTTAATGGAATAACCAAGAATATAATAAATCCATAACTTAACACAATTAAAAAAGTAATCATATAAGATTTTAATAATTTTTCTCCATATGTTAATTTTAAATTATTCCAAATTATATCTTTGGGTGCTGGTGCTAAACTTACGATTAACTTATAAACTCTTGGATCTAAAATAGTTTGAGCCGCCATTTGTGCTGATGCAACAGAGTCCATTGTTATAAATGCAGATGGAATAACGCTAAATTCAGGATGTTGTTTTGCGTTTATTGTTGATGCTTCCGTATCGAATTTTCCTTGTGTTAATTTTATATCACCATTCAACTCGGTTAATTGTTTTGATAAAGTATTTATTTCTTCTCTTGCATATTCATTACCAGTCGGTTCAGTCCAGATTGGATTTACCGCTGGTACTCGTTGTTGATTAAAAATATCAATATCCAATTCATATTCTGATGCATAGAGGTACTCCAACCTCAATACTAAATGTTTCCTTTCATCAAATTGTAATTGTAATGGAGTCCAATTATAAATTAATTTAACATCTTCAACTTTCCCAATACCTAAATCTTCAATAAATTTCTTAATTTTTTCCCTGCTTAATAATTTTTTGGGTATACCATCTAATTTTATAGTTCTATCAGTTATTGAATTTTGAGAAGCTAGATATTTTTGTCTTGTTTTCAATACAATATCCGTAAAATCATATAAATAATAAAAGACAACAAATGAAAAAAGATATGTGAAAATTGGATAAACCCATAAGAATTTGGGGAAATCGTCATTGAAATCAGGCGGTCTATTTGGTTTTGATTTCAATATTGAAATTAAATTTATTATTGACGGTATATTTTCTTTATCATAATCACCAGTGAAATAATATCGAAAAGGACTTAATACCAATATTGAAAATATTGTCAATACAAAGAATATTTTAATACCCATCTTGAAAAAAGCCAAGTAAACATATGAATCTAATCCTGAATAAGTTAAAATATCTTCATCATTTATTTTGTAAACAACTTTCATCCAACCAAATAGGTTATTTGGTAAGGGCTTTAAAATGTTTTTGGATTGTTGTCGTAATGTTCTAACTGCATATATATGAGGCCACCTGTATCTCATAATGCAAAACAATATGAATAAAAATAAACCAGATATTGTTGTTAAAACTAATTGAGTTGTAAAAACTCGTTGTGGACCAACAGTTTGAATTGGATCAGGTTCTCCGGCATTCGGTATTAGTAGGTATGAAGCACTGACTGTGTTATTATGGTTGATATTATAAAATGAGTCTGATCCATAATTAAATAATTCCCGACTAGTATGTAGTATATCTAGTAGTGACATTATATCATGTAGTATTTTGAAAATAGATGGTGATGATAATGATGATTTTGAAAGTGATGACTAAAACAATGGATATATCGTAGTGAATAAAATTATTAAATGATATGTAATATATAGTTGATCTTTAATTGAATTAATTATAATAGTACTGTTCTTTTGTTTATATTATAATAATAACTAATGGTTAAATCTAAATAATTTATTATAAACTTATCATTAGAAGGCACAAAATCATATTGGAACTAAGAAAATATAATTATTATATTTACTAAACCGTTAAAGAATTAAAAGACATAAAAATATTTGATTTTTTAAACGAAGAATAACAATTTATTGAGATTTTCATAAGCTATCAAACATTAACTTTTCATATGATAATTTATAAAATCAATTATAGTTTTTGGTTGTTAGTTACTGATGTTTTATTTTCCAGACCCTATAGAACTTTTTTAATGAAAAACTTAAACTGCATATAAAGAATTTATTTATTTTATTTTTATAAATACGACGCGATTTTTTTCAAATTTACTTCAGATTTTATAGACTTTTTAATCATTAGAAAATTTGAGTTTTAGATGCAATGTAATTAGATGAATCATTCTCAATTTCTGAACTAAAGAATGTTAATTTAAATGTAGTTAATCTTACATGCCACCTCTGCTACATCTTGAACTATGAAAGATTTAGTAGTTCACACTTCCTTCACATTAACTAGCTTATCTTCGCAGAATAATTATTGAAAGTAAAACCAAAATCTTCTTAAGATATGCACACATTGTTGTATTCATTTGAATCACTTCTTTTAATAATCCTTGTAAATTAATCTTGATTAGATGCTTCATCATATCTACAAAAATCTGAAACATATTCGCTACCAAACTTTTTGCAGTTGCTTTCGAGCAATCTAATTTAATTAGCACAAAATTCATAAGCAAATTTGGAGCTTAAGGCACCTAAAGTTTTCATCTTAATCCCCTAAGCCATGTCCTTCAAACGTAACTTGCACTCGATTGTTGGTAATATTTTTATCAATTGCAAATTTTGGACCACCATTTGGTAGCACACGTGACATCTCTTGTGTCAAGTTTTTGTATCTTTTCACAAACAAACACACCTTACTTTGATACATGTTTCAAGTAGAATCATATTTGTTTTAAACTAATTAATGAAATAATAATTAACTAATTACCAAGTCAAGACCAATTTTGTAATTTCTTATCACTTGTTAACATTAATGTCAGACGTGATTTTGATTGATTCAGATTCTGAAGCGGAAATTCCACCAAGTAAGAAATTTAAACCTAATCCAACCAGCGAACCTTACATAAAATCTAGAAATGGTATATCAATTAAACCATTCAATGATATTACATCGTCATCATCGTCAAATGAAGAAGAATTAGACCTGTCCGACTCTAATGATGGAATTATCATATTAACTGAATCAAATCCTAATAAAGTTAAAAATAACTATGATCATAACAACAATAACAAAAATCAGAAGAATAACAATAATTATGAAAATAATAAGAATGGTAAAAATAATAGTCATAGTACGACAGAGCTCAACTTAGATATCTCGAAACAAATATTTCATCAAGATTCCGATTCAGAGTCTGCTATGTCGTCATCAGAAGAGGATGATAACGACCATATTGATATCATCAACGCCATAAATCCTGAAGATATAGAACCAACAAGACAATTCTTAAGACAACATGGTAGTATGGAATTTTTAGAAACTTATTTACCAGCTGCAGCTTCATGTCAAGATATAGTTAATTTGATATTACAATTAGGATTTATACCGAAAAATATAAAAGAATTAGTTAAAGAATCAAATTTAACAAAGGAAGAAAATATGATTGAATATGTGAATATACTACATCAAGCAATGATGAAGATTAAATCGATACGACAAAGAAAAGAGGATGTTAAAACTTACAAAGATGTTGTAGAATTAATTAAAAAAAGTAATAAAATTTTGGTAGTGACTGGTGCTGGAATATCAACAAGTTTAGGAATACCTGATTTTAGATCATCAAAAGGTTTTTATTCAATGATAGAAAACATGGGATTGAATGATCCGCAAGAAGTATTTGATTTAGATTTATTTAAATTAGATCCATCAATTTTTTATTCAATAGCTGATAAAATTTTACCACCTGGTAAAATATTCAGTCCATTACATTCATTCATTTATTTATTACAACAAAAAAATAAATTACTAAGAAATTATACTCAAAATATAGATAATTTAGAAAGTTATGCAGGTATTAAAAATGAAAAATTAATTCAATGTCATGGATCTTTTGCTAACGCAACTTGTTTAACTTGTGGTGATAAAATTCCTGGTGAAAAAATATTCCCACAAATAAGATCCAAGAAAATTCCATATTGTAAAAAATGTAATATCAAAAAGCAACAAATGTTGAAAAAAAATGATGATTGTGATATCCTGGAAAGTTTTGGAGTATACAAACCAGATATAACTTTTTTTGGTGAACCATTACCTGAAAGGTTTCATGATCATGTTAATATAGATTTACAAAATTGTGATTTGTTAATAAGTATAGGAACTTCACTAAAAGTTGCTCCTGTTGCTGATATAGTTGAAAAAATTCCTCAAAATATTCCTCAAATATTAATAAACAAAGATTCTATAAATCATTGTCAGTTTGATGTTAGCTTGTTGGGATTTTGTGACGATATTGCAAGTTTTTTATGTAATGAATTAGGTGATGACTGGAAATTACCACATAAAGATTATGATAATATTAGAGGACCAAATGGTGATTATTTGAAAGTCGAATTGGTGAATGACGAATCAAGAGAATATCATATAGAGTCAACGAAAAGAGTAGCGAAAGCCGAAGAATTAGATTCTGGTAAGAATATTATTGAGGATGGAGATAATGATGAGGAAAGTGATGATGGTATAGAGATCATACGCTGTTCTAACTTGAAGAAAGTAGACCCGCCAGTCTCCATATAGAGTAATCTTTAATAAAGAGTGGAATAAAAATTCGTTCTGTCCATTAAACAATTTGTATTGTAAGTAATGTCTCTTTGTACCATATAATTTTTTTTTTGTATGATTCTACCATCCCAGTATCAGAAATAAATTGATTTATATATAATTTGATCAAATAAACTCCACATTTAAAGTAATGATAATACGAAGTCGTCCCTGTCTCTCGTGTATAATAAAATTAAGAAACGTCAGATCTATACTCGATCACATAAGATATCAACATAACAAAGCTGAAATCAAATTACCTGACTTTAATGGTTTAGATGAGTTTAATCATTCCAACACTACTACCACTAACCTAAATACAACGACAAATGATGCCAGTGTACTGAAAAATCACGAGGATTTAAACAAGTCGAACCAAGCACAACCCCAAAAAGAGACACATATTCCAAACGAAGCACACAAGGAGGACGGATTATTACAAAACTTAAAAGATGATGGTTTTACAACCAACAATAACAAAATGGATTTTCAGAAATTAAGTCAGTTCATAAAAGAAGCATACGAGAAAAGACCAACTAAAGAAACCAAAGATTCCAATTTCCAGCAAGATGAATTGGATATTAATTTAATGTTATCAAATTATAAAAAGGACTCAACAACTGGATTTTTTAAAGAAATTACTCCAAGTTTTAATAACAGAATTACTGTCCACTCGATAGATTCAGAATTAAGGGAGAAATTATATAACAAATGTGAGTCAGCATTAATCCCTACATTGGAGAAGATCAACGAACTAAAGTCAAGTTTTGAAATTTACGAATTTTACTCAAACTTGTTGAACAACTTAATCAAAGAAATTGAAGCAAGTTCTAAAAATAATGAAGGAAATTTAAACAACAATTTTTATTTGAGAAATTTGTTTTTGGAGAACAATATAACCGAATGGAATAATCAACATGATGAAGTCATTGAAAAAATTAAGTTAAAATCAATTGCAAATCCTCTAGAGCCTGAACTAAATATCATATCATTACCTATCATAACCAATCATATTTTCCAAAAATTAGGCTTCAAATTATACAATTCTCAATTAATATCAACATTTTTCAATTTTATCAAAAATGATTTTCATTTATATACGTTATGTTTCAACCAAGAATCATTCAATTTAATCCTCAAAATTAATTGGATATACTATGGTAACATCGACTTGTTGAATATTGAAAAAATCTTCAATGAAATGAAATTTTTGGGTTATAATGGAGATTTCAAAACTTATCAGATCTTAAAAATTATAATTGACGAATATAATTTATTGTGTAATGGGTACTCCTTTTTCAATAAATTTGGATCTAAAATCTTGACAAAGGAAGATAATTTAAGAGTCAATTATTTAACTAAAGAATTTTATAAATTAAGAAAGAGACTTAATGATGAATTGGCTAAAAAGGATGAGGACTTATTAGAGAGTTTGATGTAAACAAATTAATAAGATAAATAGAAATACAAATCGTACATAGTATATAGACTACATAGCTACTCCTATGAAGTGATTAATGAATGAATGAATAACAATTTTTTGCTTTACGAGTTATTTACGAGTTCAAAACCCCTTAATCAAAAAAGTTTATAGAGAACGTTTAAAATTTCTCAAAACAAAATTTTAATGTACTGTACCAAGTTTGATCGATTTTACTTAAAAGAAAGTACCTTGTATTTTATTAATTCAAGACACATCCTATATACCCGCAACTTTATTATAGTAAATATCCGAAGACTTTCAAATCCACATGTCTCAAATTTGTAAATTGTTACACTACCAAATTTATTGTCTGTCTGTTTTGTATTAATTATTTTATTTATCTTTTAATTTATTATAATAAATAATAAATTTAATTTAAGAGACAATAAACTAATATCTATTAAACTTGCAACTAATTTTAAAAACTTAATCAATTGATAAACTGACACATATACTAATCTACACTTAATTTATACAACATATAAAGTGAAAGATGTCACAATTTGATACATTTCTTGATAATTATGTCAATGATAATTTCAATAATAATAGTTCTAACAATAATAATAATTCAAATTACCAGCAAAATCAACAACAACATCAACAAATTCCTACAACAATAAAAAGAGAAAATTTCGATGAATTTTTAAGTGGATCACTAGATATAAAGAGGCAATTGTCTCAATCATTAGGAGTTGGTAGTAGTAATTCATATAATGGTTCATCATCATCTTATCAACAACATCAACAACATCATCATGGAGGCATATCTAAACCTCATTCAAGAAGAAACTCAGCATATATAAGATCTCAAGAAGGTAGTGATAATGAACAAGATGATGAAGTTGACGAAAATAATATCAATAAACAATTTAGTAATGATAATAATGGAGGTTTAGAAGGTGATGATGATGATAAAGATCAAGGTAATGAAAGGAAAAGAAGAGATAATATAAACGATAAAATTCAAGAATTATTAACATTAATACCAAATGAATATTTTATAACGAAAGAAGATTCAACATCTACACAAAATTTAACCACTACTAAAATTAAAAAAGAAGAATCCCCTATTGAAAAATCACCAAGTGAAGAAGATATAAATAATACAGTTAGTAAAACAGGAACAAAAGATGGTAAACCAAATAAGGGACAAATATTAACAAAATCAGTTGAATATTTACAATCTTTACAAAATTTAATTGATGAAAATAATAGAAAAGAAGTTGAATTAATAATGAAACTAGAAAATTTAAAATTAAAAAAATCAAAACATCAACAATTGAATAATGGTGAAAATGTACCAATACGGATTGGTTATACTTCTGCTGAAAGAGCTTTGGGAGAAATCGGGGTTGGACCATGTTCTGAAGATTATTTTAAAGATGTTTTGGTGAAAAGTGCAAATTCTAGTAAATCAAGTAGAAAAAGTCTACATAATTAATAAATGTTTGAATGAATAATGATGTAAATGTTTTAACTCTTTTATGATATATAATTTATAACGTCTCTATTATAATTTTAAGTAGTAGTTTTTTTAATACGTCCTAACCTTTCTAAAGCATCAGCATTATTTCTCAACATATAAGCAGGTAAATATTCTTTCTTTTCATTTTCATCATTACAATTTTCCCCATCTTTACAATTTTTATTTGTGATTAATAATTCAGGATTTTGAAAAGTATTATCAACTCCACCTAAACTAGTATATCCTTCATCATATAATTTACAATATTCAACGTTAGTCCCTACTAAGAAATCCCAGATTTCAACATATCTCCAATCCAAAATAGGATGAATTCTCAAAAATTTAGGCCAATTATGATCAGTTAATTGTTCAGTTTTCAAATTTTCACCAAATGGATCAGTATATCTTATTCCTACAATTACTGATTTTATATTTGGATTTATATCCTTTAGGTAATAATTAAACCCGTTTTTCAAGGAATCTTTTATTGATATTGCATTTAAGTGATAATATTGTGTTGATTTTTGTATAAAGTTTTTCAATTCTGGAAATGGAGTTTCTGAATTTATATATATTGAATCTAATTTATAATCTTGTGGTATTATCTTGTTTGAATAGAAATTTGTTTCATGTATAGTAATATATTTTCTGTAAATTGTTGCCATTAATAAGATCAATAGTACGAGACAGTCTTTACCTCCATTATATGATATAGCTATTTCCTTCAATCTGATAAAAGTGAAGTTAGTAAAATGATTTTAAAGAAATTTTAAACAATCTGAAAATGATTAACATACCCATGTAGATCTATAGATTTCTCTAGTCTTTCCATACTTGCTATAATTTTACTTTTAACAGAAGATCTTAAATCTGCATCATATTTATAACCCTTATGCCTTTTCGGCACTAAACCTGAAGGTAAATTATCATTTAAAAAATCTTGTATCAAATTATAACATTCTTCACATCTTTCAAAAAATCCTTGTTGTTGCTGCGTTAGATCTTGACTTGTCATTATTAAGCTGATTTTATATATACATGCAAGTATGCCTCTTTCTATCTAATTAGCTCTAAATCAGTTAATATTTTATTTTATAAATCTGTTAATATTATTTTCGAGATTTTCCGATATTTGAAAAATTCTCATACTATAATTTTTTACAGATAAAACCGATTAGTGGAGAACAAGTTGTAAGAAATATTTGCGAGTAAAAAGAGAAATCATCATCATTCATCAATCATTAATCATTATTTATTATTCTATAAATCATTAAATCATATTGAGAAAAATAGAATATTTTCTCAAAGCTATTAATTTTTGTACAAAAATTGTAGGTAGAATTCTTTAGTATCTTTATCCCAATACCACCAATATGAATTACTCATTTTATTTTCTTCTTGTGGTTTATCGATCTCATTCTTATTGGGTATTATGATAAGCGAATTGTCATATGGTTCTGCTGAAATTATTAAGTATTGAAATTTTGTTGGTTCATATTCTTCATCGTCGCCCACATCTTCGTTTTCTTCATCTTCTTCATTTTCTGCTTTCCTTAGTTTTTCAATCTCTTTTATACAAATGTTTTGATTTTTTGAAGTTAATTCATAAAATGACATTATTCTAAATAATGGTTCATCTACTGCTATTTTGGGAAATTTACAATTGATTAATAAACCAATTTGTAAAGTATTTGAATCTCTTATCTTTATAACTTTAAATTCCGTAGGTTTACCAATTTTATTCCATGATCGTTTTTCAATATTACTAATACTAACTTGATCTTGAATTTTTTGTTGAAATTTAAGTTGTGAATTTTGTTTTTCATCCAATATTCTTCTTCTTTCTAAATTTAAATGATGTTTTCTACCACCTAAATGTGAAATATATGATGCTTCATTATTATGAGTTGTTAAACATAATTTACATTCTAATATACCTAAATGATTTCTAAATACATATGGATCATTATCTAAATCCAAAATATGAGTTGCTAATAATTCTTGTACTCTTTTCTTTGTATGTACATTTGTCTCCTCACTAGTTGCTATCCCTCCTGCTCCCTTTTTGGAGTTTACCCTATTCGAATAATCCATTGATATTTGAAGTTGTAAATAAAATTTAATAAATATATGTGATGATATTTAAATTAATTGAAGAACACTAAATTCTATTTTTTTAAGAGGTAATTTAAATTTTAATTTTAATTTTTGAAATTACTCTCTAAGAATTACGACATGAGTTTTTACATAATTAAAATTAGTAAGCGTGTATGACATTTTTAGACGTGTCGAATCTCTAAAGTATTAACGACATTTTGTAACACGTTAAATTTAAATTATTTTTTATTTTTTTATTTTTTTATTTTTATTTTTTATTTTTTATTTTTTATTTTTTACAACCAAAAATTTATTTACAACCAATTTATTAAAAGTTATAATATTGAAATAGATTATTCATGGGATAACAAACTTATAGTCAAATTAAATGAACAAAGTGTTAGTATAAGTAAGACTAGACAAATATATATATCAATATCATTATCATACAAACTCACATCCATTTTGAATGCTAATAAAGAATATCTAAATTAAATACAAAATTTTTCAACGCACAAATACAATCTTTAATTATGGAATCTCCGATTAATATTGGTGATATAACCACAAATTCAATTCAACAAAAACTAATAGATACTCATATAAACTCGGTATATAGTTCAGATGTTACATCTGCTATTTACTCACGAATGAAAGTTATCCAATTAACTATTAAATTTGGAGAAAATATTAAATCAAATCATGAAGAAAATTCAATATTAAATGAAATTTTTATATTAAGAAGGGTACAAGATTCCTTTATTAATATTAGTCAATTACTTCAAATCTTAGTTCAATTGAAATACTTATCGACATCACAAGTTAAAAGTTTCATAAATAATGAGATTTTATCAAATCCTGAATATTATGGTAATTTGAATTCAAAAAATCATTCACAAATTTTAAATTACGCAAACAATGAAAATAAATCTTTGAGAGGTATATGGATATCTTATGATAAAGCCGTTAAAGTAGCATTAAAATTTGACATATATGAATTGACAAAAGAATTATTCTTGGTGGATGTTCATGATTTTGAGAAATTACCAAAATATAAGAAAAGGTCATTGGATGATGATAATGATGACATAAAGTTTGATCATAGTATTGGATCACCTTCTAAGAAACAAAAAGTAGACTTTATTGACAATATAAAAGAAACTCCTACATCCAAGCCAGCATCAACAAACTCCAAAAATTTAATTGACAACCTTGCTGAACAAAACACTAAATATCCATATACATTACCGCCTAAATCTTTTGATGATAATCAGCTAGACTTAACAAACGAAATTAAACTAGTTTTAGGTGAAGTTTTCAAGAAAGATGACAAATTGGAAGGCGGAGTATCGGTGGTAGATGTTAAAAAAGAATTTGAACCTATTTTAGCAAAATACTCAAAATCAGATTTACAAGATATTCCATTAGACCAGAAGGGTCAAACTGCGTTACATTTTGCCTCAACTTTAGCTTCATTAAATTTAGTTTCTACTTTCATAGAATTAGGTCTCAGTTCGCCAATGAGAGGGAATGAATTGGGAGAGTCACCATTAATTTCATGTATTCAAGTCACTAATTCAATGGAAAAGGGAAATTTTAATGAAATTTTAACAAATTGGCTTTATCCAAATATCTGGTTATTTGATAAAAAAGGAAAATCAATTTTGCATCATTTAGCATTACAAGTTGATAAAAATGAAAGTTATAAGTTTTATTTAACCAAGATTTTGGAGTATATATTGTTATCAAATGATAAGAATTTTCTAGAGTTTAAAGACAAGATTATAAATTCCCAAGATGAGGAAGGTAATACTCCATTACATATTGCAGTTGAAAAAGAAAATAAATGGATGATAAAAATTTTACTTGAATTAGGTGCAGACATTAAAATTACAAATACACATAATATTAAATGTGAAGACTTTGAAATATTGAATGATTTAGATAAGGTTGGGGTAGATGAACATATTTTCCATTTAATACGAACAAGTAATGAATTTTTAAATGAACGCATAAATACAGTTGGAGTTGATAATATAGCCGAAATTGAAGAAGTTAAAGAAATCAAACCAATTGTAGTGTCATCTGAAGAAAATGGCGAACAAACCAATGTCTCAAATAAAATTTTTAATAGCATACAACAATTATTATCAGATACTAATTTTGAGTATGCAAATATTCTTAATTCCAAAAGACAACAAATTAAAACATTGGATCAAGCCTTACATGATGCTACTATCATAACAGCAAATAATAGATTTCAAACTAAAAAATTAAAGGAAAACTTAATAAAATTGGACAATTTAAAATTACAAGTAGCAAATGTATCTGATAAATTGATCTTATCAAAACAAGAGTATTTTAGTGACAATGATCTTCAACAAGAACAGTTCAATGAAGTCCAGAATTATGATGCTGATGAACCTTTTATTATCAAACCAATATATGAAAAGATTATAAATAATGAATCATTGGATGATTTGAAAAATGATCAAAATATAATGAAAAATTTACAACCGGTCAATACTTTGAAGGCAAGAATAAATGCGTATAAACAAATTAATGAAAACCTAGAGAATGAATTACAAAATTTAATTGACTATAGTGAATTAACTTCTAAATTCAAAAATGTTGTCAGTATATGTACAAATGTTGGTATTGGGGAAGTAGATGAGTTGCTTAATGGGTTACTCGAGGCCGTGGAAGGTCAACAATAGAATTTTTAACAATACTCAATTGTATTGCATATTTGATAAATTTGTAGTTCTATATAGATTAATAAATTCAGTTAAGAAATATTAATTTTAAACTTGTCTGCTCTGCGATTATGGATGTTTCATAAAGTCCAACCTGCAACTAAATGTGCAAGTCCGAGGACACTGACTGGACCCCATTTTAACACAGCCGACAGCAGATGGACATAGCAAAGACTATTCAAGAACTAGTGATGATTTGTCGTCAATACGCAATGAAAGCCGAAGTGAGGATAATGTATGGTTTCTTTTAAAGCTAATATATCAATCAACTCGTATGAAAATGATTTCAAATCAATGGTCTGGTTCCTTCTTTATCAAGATGTAAGGGTAATCTACTACTATTATAGTTAACTGTAATGAGGAATCTGACTTACTCAAAACCATTTTTTTAAAAAACAACAACATTGTGGTAACTCTTTCTAGAGAAGTCGATTTAACATTTATTATTAATTAGTTTATTGTCATTAATGTTATTACATTTTTTCTAATTTGTCATTAATTTAAGTCTCTAGCATCTTCATACTAAACCTTGATATGTATTTAAAGCAGTATGAATCAGAGGATCCTTTTTAGCTAAAATTTTAAAATCTTCTAAAGTCAAAACATCAGTATCTTTGTTTTTACCCAACAAATAAAACCATTTTTCAGTTCTTAATTCAGGAGTCTTTTCATCTTCTGGTAATGCAATCATTGATCCAATCATTTTATAAGTTGCTACTATTATTGGTAAAATATCATTATAAGTTAATTCGTTTTTTTTCTTATAATCAAAAAACTTAAAAGTCCAAGCAACTTTTTGTTCTTCTGTACCTCTTGTGGTTATACTTAAAGCTAATATAAATTCTTTAAAATCTATAAATTTAGAATTATCTTGATCAAATTGTTGAAACAAATAATGACAATAATCTTCTGGTTTACCAAATGGGAAAAATTGTCTATAAACTTTAACAAATTCATCTTCCGATAGTTGACCACTAGGACAATCTCTTAGAAATCCTTTATACCATTGTTGTAGTTCTCTTTTATCAAAATATGTATTTTCTCGAAGCTTTTTGATATCTTCTTTTGATAGTTTGGATACTGTTTTACCCATTCAAATTATTGTGTTGATTGATTCAATAATAGCAAAATTGAGCAGTTTGTGAAACTAATTGAGTAGACTGAGATTGAATTATGGATAACTGATCCTAGGAAAACGATTGATATAATACAAATTGATGATTTATAAAACGATTGTAGTGTAGTTGTTTAAAACAATTTGCATAGAAAAAGTATGACAAATTTGAGACACAAAAATTGCAAATTCTATTACTAATTTCTTTACCTTATAGATCTATTTCTTTTTAAAGAAGCTACACGTTATCAAAAACCTAAAAAGAAAACCTCAAAAGATGTATAAGACAAATAGATTACAATCAAGATCTTTATCAAGCTCAATATCACGTTTAGTTAATCATGGTAAACCACAAAATCCACCAATAGATCCAACTTTACATATGAGAATATCACCAATAGTAAGAACAGGAGAATCAATAGATGTCAAACGTGCAAGATTAGTATATCAATCAAGAAAAAGAGGTATATTAGAAAGTGATCTTTTATTAAGTAGATTTGCTAAAAAATATTTAAATAAAATGACTATGGAAGAATTAGATGAATATGATAAATTATTAGATGAAGCTGATTGGGATATCTATTATTGGGCAACAAAAAATTTTGATCAAACTCCATTACCTGATAAATGGAAAGATTCCAAAATATTAAAATCATTACAAGAAGAAGCTGAAAATAAAGAAAAAGTTATATTAAGAATGCCAGAATTAGATGAAGACAATTTCTTGAATTCTCAAAAGAAGTAGGAGAGTCCAAAAGATTTAACAAACACTTGTATATATGTTTACTTTAATGTTTCAATTTTATGATATAGCATGACTCAAGCCTCTTATCTTTTGTAGTATTCGCTTTCTTAGATCAATATAATTCAGACGTGGATGACTGAATAAATTACGAGGTAATCAAGCTACCAAATTATTTGGTGACATAATTTAAAACATGCCTAACCACTGATAACTCGAAAGGCAAACCAATCCACAATTTAGAAATCTACAGATCATGCTGATTACTAAAGACTCTATTCCAGAAGAGCTCAAACTGGACAAAAATATAACACCATATATACAACGAGCAATCGAATTAGAAGAAGCAGAACCAATAATAAGTTATTATAGCAAAATATATGTACTTGAACATATCTTTAATAATAAATTACATACAAAATCAAAACCAAATCAAGAATTTACAGTAAAATTGTTAGATGATACAGAGTCAATCAAAAACAAATCAGAAGATGAAAACCTAAAACAAGTCTTGAATGATAAAGATCTATCATTTGGTTATATTTTCAAGTTTGCATACAAATTATTTAATTCATGTCTCGAAATTTTGAATAATTATCAATTAAGTTTCAAAAATCAAATAATTGGGAAATTCAGAGCAACTATGTGTTTTTTAAATATTTTATCAATTTTTGAAAGCTCAAAAGATGAAATTGATTTTACAAAATTTACTGGTGGTAAAGTTAATAATTGGAAAGAAATTGATGAATTAAATAAAGAAAAATTAAAAATATTGAAATATCAGTTGACAAGGATTATCAAAGATGAGATTGATGTAGGGAAAGCTGAGGAAATTACTGATAAAGACTTGGAAGATGAGTTGAATAGGGAATTGGATCAATTAAACACTAATAATGAAGAGGAAATTGAACAAGATCAAGAGTTGAAAGATTTAGGTGAATCAAAAGCTGCACAGGAAGATGGGGAAGAGCCAGCATTCAAATTACCAGGTGCACCACGAGATCTTCCCGATAATGAAGAATCTACTGATGATAACAGTCAGGAAATTTCTCATATTGATCTTCCCGGAGCTCCTCATTTTTCCCCAGATAAAGACCTGAATCTAGGACTTCCTGAAACCCCACAATACTTACCAGATGATGACATTACAAACATAAATAAATCAGGTTCAATTCATGTATTCACACCAACATCAGAAAAATCACAACCAAAATTCCCAACCGATAAAAAACCTATAGTAAGTCGGTCTACTCTGCATCAACTGCAACAACATCATAAACCTTTGAGTAAAGAAAGTATTAAACAAATTTTAAATAGAGATGATGCTATAACTCAGATACAAAAACATACTAAATTTGCGTCTTCAGCTTTACAATTTGACGATTTCAATGAAGCGGAGAAGCAATTACTACAAGGATTAGAGTTATTGAGAACTTTAAAACAGCAAGAGGAAAGCGAGTAATGTACAATATAAAAATTGCAGCTAATACATAATGTAATGACAAACCAGTAACTTTTTCAATTTTTATCTATACTTCTATTAGTTCTTCATCAGAGTCCTCTTCAACTCCTTCTTCTTCACTATCATCTTCACCATTAAATCCAGAAAATTGGATTCCCAGAGTTTGCTTTGAGTCTGGACCTAACCAACCTTCTTCATCTTCCTCTTCCTCCTCCTCCATGCTCTCAACTCCACCATCTTCTTCATTATCTTCAATATCCATTCCGTTAACACCATCTGCATGGTTATCATTTTCAAAAGTTTCATCATTATCTTTTAAATCTTTACTTTCAGTCAAGAAACTCAACAAAAAGTCATTTTTCTTACCTACTGTTACAACTTCTTTAGCTGTTTTATTAAGATATCTTGATATTAATTTTAATGATGATCTAAATTCAAATTTATGAGTTGAAATATATCTACCATGCAGTATCAAAATATTTTTTATCCAAATTAAATAAAATTCGATATGTGGTGAGTCTTGTTTGATTAATAATTCTCCAATAAAATTCAATATTCTATTAACATATATTACTGGTAAATCTTGACAAATTAATTTAATGTCAATTAAAGGTATACTCTCCAATATTTGATGGATTAGATATGATTCATTAAGACGTAATGACATGAGCAAGGCAAGCAAATATTCTTTCTCTTGTAATGACTCAATTGCAGACTCGGGTGTAATATCAACATCTAAGTCAAATGGGTCAAAAAGTAATTCTTGATTAATTGAATAGATTAATAAACCTTCAGTTGTAGCTGCGGCGAATGCTGAAGTTGTTGGTGAGAATTGTAATGATGAAACCCTTATCTCTGGTCTTGTCCTTCTTTCACTTGGATCGCCTCCTCTATTTGAACCCGGTAAACTTAAATCCATTCTATCTTCCAAGTCACTGTGTTCACCATCCCTATCAATTAAATCTGAATTTATACCTGCATCCGTTATTTTGCTACTATTCAATTTTTGTAATGTACCATCTATTGACATATTTTCAGATACTATGAATCTTTTTAATAAAACTTCATTATCAATGTCATACATACATATGGAATTGTTGTTACCACCAGCCAATAAAGTTAATCCATCAAATGAATAATTAATAGTACTAAAATATTTCCCACGATTAGAATTTTTACTAATGAATTTATCCTCTAAATATCTTCCACTTAGTATATCTTTTCTTCCATCGATTAAATGTAATTGTTTTGCATCTTCTATGTCAAAAATTGCAATATGACCATCCAATGTAGAAATAGCCAATTCTTTACAATCAGGTCTCATACTAAGACATAAAACGTCACTTTGAATTTCGATTGGTTCCACTGTTTGACTTCTTGCAAAAATGTTCCATACTCTAATTGTTTTATCCCAAGAGGCTGAAGCTAATATTGAATTTTCTTGACCAAATGTTAGACAAGATATTGGGCCTTCATGACCAGTTAAAGAATCAAGTAATTGACCTGTCTGAACTGACCAAACATATATTTCAAAGCTATCTTGCGAACCACCTACAATAATTTCGCCACTTGGATCAACAGCAAGACAATTAAATTGTATTCTCGATGCAGCTGTAAATGTTTTAAAATTTCTGAAACGTATTAAATCATATGCACGTATTGTACCATCTAATGAAGATGAAAATAAAACTTGACCCTTTTTAGCAAATTGTACCTGAGTAACTGCGGATGTATGCTCTGTAAACGTCATCAAACAAAATCCTGATGCTACATCCCATATTTTTATTTTTCCATCATCAGATCCAGTAACTAATCTTGAACCATCTGGGGAGTAACAGAGTGTATTCATTGTATCAAAATGACCTTGTTGTTTTAGTACATATGATTCACTTTGCCATTCGTAAACAAGTAATTGACCTAATTTTGATGAACCAAATGCTAACCACTCCCCAGTGTTGTTTATTGTTACTGTATTAACTGTGTTTTGTCCCATACTTAACAGCTGTATAAGATTAAATCCTTCCTCTATTTCATAAACTCTGAATTCACCGTTTGTAAAACCAACAACTAATAAATTAGATTGTGGGTGAAAAGTAGCACATCTCAATTTCCCATTTGCATAAAAGAAATTTTTAGCTGTAATTCTCCATTCCATTCGACTTTGTTTTATTTCTTCATCTTCGGATTCATCTTCGTTATCGTCTTCTTGTGCTGGAGGTTCTGTATACTCCCATTTAAAAAATGCACCATCTTTACTGATAGTATATATTATTTCTTGATTTTTACTGAAAAATGCATTTACAACATTATCCCTATGACCTGAGAAAGTTCTTGAAACATTGCTTTCTTCTGAATCCAATGAATATATCTTTGCTGTCATATCTTTACTTGTACTTATGAAAAATCTCGAATCTTGTGACCACGATATACTTAAAACGTCATCAAAATGTCCCAGATAAATTCTATGCCTTACAAATGGTGCAAATTGTCTTTCTTCGGTAAAGTCAGGTGTTTTCCAAACTTGAACGAATCTCTCCACTGCAACTGCAAAATATTTTCCACAAGGACTGAAAACAATTGTTGCAACTTTTGATTTAAAATTAAAATGATGTAACACTATCCTAGATACAAAATTGACTAGTATTGCTCTTCCATCTTCATCTATTGATATCATTAACGTATTTTGTTTGTTAATTGCAATGCACTGTATATTTTTTCTGTGTTGGTATGGGAATGTAAATGATTGTGATTTAATTAGATCGAAACATGATACTCTATTTCCAACTGGTGATAATAATTTACTTCCATCTTCTGTAAACACTAAATTTCCTTTCTTATAAACAGTCCCTAGTAGATTTGAGAACTTAAAATCTGCCTTCATCTTTGATAAAGAATTACGTAGTGTTGTATATACAAATTGTAGTTGATCTTTTGTAGAAAATGAATTTTTCAAAACGCTAACAAAAAAAAATTGGTGATGATCTTCTCCATACTTTATTCAAATTAAAGCATATACCAAAAAACCTTTAAAATCATTACGCAACATTTGCATCAATATATCAATCTTAAATCTCAGAGTTTAATATTAAATGTCAGGTAGTCTATCTAGTCGAGTGATGAACATGAAGTTCATGCAAAAAGCAGAAGACACCAAAACCAATAATAATAAACAAGGACAAGAATCAAAATTACATGATATTTCAGAATGGGTACTACCAAACCTGCAGAAGATACTTAAGTTGGCAGCATTGAAAGCTCAAGTTGAAAAAGTAGGTTATGGTACCATAATGAGTGATAAAAATTATCGAACGACAAGACGATCATGGGGAAGTAGATATGAATTGGAAGAAGTTACTGATAATAATACAAATAACAAAGAAGAATTAAATGAAATACCCAGAAGCAGGGATCAAGATATGAGTCTGCTATGGCGAAAGAGGAAAGCAGATCATTCACCAGATTCGAAAAAGAAGAAAAGAATACTATGATCATACATTTATTAAACTATTTACCTTTCTTTTTACTGGTTTTATTAAATTTTGCATTGTCTAAGAACCCACCATTCATTATTGCATCCCTAGCACTAGCATTAATATGTTTAAATCTATCGGAGCCTAGATGGATTCCACCGTACCATCGACTAACAACCACAATCACATTCCATACGTCGATCATCTATGTCATGATAAAGTTAGTAGATATTCATGGATTGAATACTCAAATTAATATACGAAATAAATCAACATACTTGTAGTAAATGTAGTAATCTTCCTCCAGCAGCTGTTTCACCATCATCATCACAATCCTGGTAAACGATATCATTTTCAGTTTTGATTCTCCAACTTGAAATATTGTGAGTTGCTCTGAAGATTTTCTTATCTAATAAAAGAGTCTCTAAGTAAGATGTTGCTTCTTTTAAATTGTTAGCTGTTCTGGCAAATGCAATAAATGTAGACTGTCGATCTACAATTGGTTGAGATTGTATCCAACCAGTTGTATAATCTTTCACCTCTTGCGTTGGTGGTGATATTGCTCTTCTTGGTTGCTCGGCAGTATATTCATCTTCTTCCTTCCGCAGTGTCTCGTTTTGTTTGGCTATTTTAGCATGTTCTTCTTCATATTGATCAAAAGTTTTTTGAAGATTATTAAGTAACTCGAACAAAACAACTTGACCAGCAACAAATGTATTTTTTAGACATGACCGTATCACTTTCTCTAAGTATGATGCATCCGTGAACTTTGATTCATTCAAACTAGCAAGTTGTAGAAATTGTGGTTTCTCGTCAGGATATGATTGTGGAAAATTTAGTTGAAAGCTAATTGATTCATGATTTGGAATTTTAAAGGTGTAAACTTGTGGGACTTTTAGTTCTACTGAACCCGGATATATTGATTCTATTGCATCTATCTCATCTTTTAACTCTTGAACTGTCATTTACTTTGTTTGTCTTAAACATGATTAAAATCTAATAATTTTTTTGCAACTAATTTACAGGATTGTAAAGTCTCTTCGTTTCAAATTATTTAATTCTTCCTACATTATCATAATACTACAATTTCTAGTCAATGCCGTCGTCAGATGAGTTAAAAGATGAAGGGAATAAGGCATTTATTTCTAAAGAGTATAAGAAGGCTGCCAAAATATACAGAGATGCAATTCAATTAGACATGTATAATCCAACACTATATTCAAATAGAGCACAATGTTTTTTAAATCTACAGGATTATGAAAGAGCTTTGAAAGATGCAATAAGTGGCCTAAATTTAGGTGCCTCGAAGCAATTGTCAGTAAAATTAACGTACAGAAAAGCAATGGCGTTAATAGGATTACAGCGTTGGCAAAGTGCAAAAGAAGCATTTGAACAAGTACTAAACTTGGATCCTAGTAATCAGTCAGCTAAATTCGAATTGGCAAAATTGCAAACAAAGAAATCAGTAAAGTCAAATAAGGAGGGCATCATACCTATTCACAAAGTAGATAAATTACCAGATCGGTTTGAAGAGATGCTAAATCCCAAATCAAAAGTCACAGCTCAAAATAATACTACCACGAAACAACCACAACAAACATCAGCCGAATTGGAAAAGGAGATGAATGAACTATTTGGAGAATCAAAAACAACTACCGAACCAGAAATTGAGGAAACAAACTTGACAAAACCACCACTAGAAGAGAGCCTGCCAATGCAACTTTTAAACGCACTAAAATATCTACCGAGTGCTCAAAAAATCAATGGATATAAGTACGTATTAAATCTTGATCAACTATCTTATACGAAGTTGTTTTCTGAGAGTGGAATAGATACAGAGTTTTTAAATTTTTTTCTAGATGCTTCTCAATATGCGTTACAAGATGAATTGGTACCAAATCCGAATCAAGTTGTGTTGTCTCACTTGAAACTATTTCAAACATTCAAAAGGTACGGTTTAGCTATTTTAATGTGTGATGAAGATGTAAAGAAATCGATACTAGAGATTGTGTCCAATAAGTATTCACAGGATTTGAATTTATATACAAAGCTTATACAATAATACACGAGCTGATAAATTTAGTAATGCTTAATTTCTAAACCTTTTAAAAACCCTTTCTTTGCAGCCAAAAAGACATGTGGTTGGATCAGTAAAAAATCTGGAAGATAATGAGTAAAATCAATTTCAAGATACTTTCTTGCAACAATAGGAAGCACAAAGATACTTGCAAATAAAATCATACTAAAAATGAATAATATGAAGAATAAAACCGCCTGGATTCTTCTTTTCTTTTTCTGGTTTTTAGACAAGATTCTAGGTCTAATTTGATTACCTGGTTTCAACCAAAAAAGCATCAATGTATGCCATTTATCTGCATAAGGAATGAACAACATTGGGAATTGAGCATAAAGTATAACATGTGCTGCAATCAAATCACCTGCAAAATAAGACATTTCAGTTAATTTGCAAATAAATTCTCTTAACGGTTGAGTAATAATGTACCAACCTAAACCAGCAGTTGCCCATTTACCTGACCACCAAGAACGATTTGATCTATCATGTCTAAATTCTTTTGAAACAAATAATATGGTAATAACTTGTAAAAACCAACATTGAATTAATGTAGATAAAGTGAATCCTAAAATAGTTCTTGCAAAATTCCAGTTTTGTAACATCCAAAGAAACTCAAAGAATAACACATGATTTATTACTGCTAAAGTATGAGCAAATGCTGCAAAACACGAAGGTATTTTCTTCCAAAATAAACTTAATATTGGACCAAGAATTGTGGATAATACAAATACTGCCATTAAAAGTACAAAGTTAACAACAATCGGGCCAAAACTTACTATTAAAATTCTTAAAATACTGTTTACTGGTTGTGCTCTGTAAGATTCATTTTGAGAATTTGCAAATAAATAAGCCAAACCAACAACGGAAACAATTGATAATTGGAATAATGATTCAGAAAATATAAGCTTTAATCTTGATGGTTTAACTTCACTTACAGCTTTGATTTCCTCATTAACACTGAATCTTTTACTTTTGACTCCGACAATTCTACTTCTTCTCAATCTTGTAAAATTAATCCAAGATGATATTCTTGCTTTACTATTACCACGATGTAACCATGCAATATATTCTTTGTAATCCAAAAAGAAATCATTCCAAGAAAATTGATTAGGATTATATAAAAATGGACAAATTAATAAACCTATAATCGACATCCAAAAATAAAGTAACAGGGTAATCCACATTGACATTGAACAATAAAATATAAGTAGCGCACATATAGCCCCATAATACAAACTTTCAACTGCAAATCTTGAATACAAAGTAACAAATGGAACTCTTATTGTTGCAAACCCTCTTCCAGTTGCTAAATAACGAGCACCTCCAATCGAAATATCACTTGCTAATGAATGACCATAAATTTTACAAACAAAAACTTCAAAAAGTGGTGAAAATGACGCAAATTGTTTTCCCAACCTGGTAATAGCTTTATAAAACCCTCTCTCTGTAAGTTCTTGAACTCCCAAGGGAACAAATGAAATAATAAACACAATGAAAATTGAAAAAACACATCTTTGCAACCAATGTATAACTGGAATTAAATTATGACACCCATTTGGGGATCTAGGATCCGTGATTGGTCTGAATTTATCATATTCACAAATAATGCTATCTTTACTCAAAGCTGCCAAATTAGATGCAACTAACAAAAATAATTGAATTGAAACAATAATGAAAACATTATTTAAATGGAAACCTGGGTGGGCATAATAAAATGATAAAAATCTATCAAAAGGTAATTGAGTTCCCAAGTAGAAGTATTCACGTGAAAGCATTTGTTCACCCATTCCTGCACCAATTTTGGTTGTAAAATTAAGGATAGATCCAAAACCTAAATCTCTACCTTTCCCACATTGCATATATTCACAATGTTTGATTCTTCCACCACGAAGTACTACATTCATACCTGCATAAATATCTTCGTTTAAATGTAAACCTTTTTGAGCTTTTGATACACCACCTCTTGTTGTCATAAAAATTCCATTTAAAAAGTCAGGATGACCATAATGCAATTTACCTCCAATATGAGCTAAAGTCCTTGCAAATAATGTACCAAAAGTTTGTTCTTTACCAGCTGCAACATCACCAAGAATTCCAATATTTTCTGAAAAGATATATTCTCTAGTTCCAATAATTGCAACAGGATATGCGGAGTTAGAATTTTCCAAATCATTTGAATAAGGATCAATAGGAAAAGTTGCTTCCTCAAATTCAGCTAACACACTTCTGATTTTAAGACATTCTTCAAGATAATTATCTTGATTAGCATCAACTAGCTGAATATATTCACCACGGCAGAAAATTAATGAATGATTTTGATTATCTGATTTACCATCTCCAAGTATTGGATTCCCTGATAATCTGATTCGATATTTTGGTTCTCTTTCACCATTTTCCAAAAATGAACAGCTTCCATCAACTAGTGCTGAATAATAAGTAATATCTCCAGTTTCTTCATCATATTCTTCATCAAGATAACAAATTTGTAGTTCAGGATAAGCTCTTAACAAAAATTCGGTATTTTCTTTTTCTTCAGCTGTAAAATATTTCATTCTTTGCATTGAGGTGATGATTCTAAATTTTCTATGGGCCATAATTGCAGCTTGTTCAAGTTTTTCATTATCACCACCAAAAATACTTGAGTCTGGATTTTCAACATCAAACAATAATTTAATTGCTCTAACATAATTCATAAATCCAGAGATGGTTCTGTATAAGGTTTGGGATCTTAACGAAGCCCAAATTCTAGTTCTTAAAATATATTCAGGCGTTGCAACCTTGAATCCAACTGAGTAATATGGTAAATCATCTAGTTTATCTTTATCTTTTTCAAGCGATCCAGAATCGGTTTCAAATTCTTCAGCTAACATTTTTGTATCTTTTACAAAACAACTCCATTCCAAAGGATGTAACTGTTTTAAATATTCCAACATTGTAACATGAGAATATTGTTCTTCCTCTCTTATGATTTCTCGTAATGATAAAGTGATTTTTTCACTATAATGCGGAATTAAAACTGTAAATGAGGGCATCAAATGAACTGGACCAACTTCAGGCATAGGTGTTGACAATGATTGAGCAAAAAATGTAATTCTTCTTTGTGCTTCAGATTGATTTTTGAACAAAGAAGACTTGAATGATTGATCCTCTTGCGAAACAAAAAACATAGGCTCTTTTAGAATCGAACCACCTTCAACACCTGGAGTGTCTATCAGTTTATAAATCAACTTTTGAACTTGTTCTAGGGAAATCAAATGCTCTCTGTACATCGAAATAATAATTGAGTTCCATACTTGAGATATTAATAACTTTGTTTTAATATTCTTTTCATTAGAGACTGATATGATTTTTGAAAATATTCTCTTGGGTAATCTTGAAAAAATGTTTCTCCAGGGAATCCAAATGGAAACACCAACATAAAATGAACGACAAACTGAGAAAATGGTATTCCAAATGATATACCATAAGTAAGTATCTAAAATAAACAAAACCAAATTAGTTAAAAATAATAATCCTAATACAAATTTAGGTTGTTTTGAACATAACCAATCACCAAACCATATTTCACCAGTACAAGAAACATGCACCATATTACTTAATTCACGAATAGGATCCCTCATTGAAAGTGTTAGGAAAAAATATGATTCCAAAAATTTTGATACAAATATGGCAAACCATAATCCATAAGATGCAATTTTATCAGTATCAGTTAACAAATAAAAGTTGGTTAGAAAAGTTTTATGAGGTAGAAGCTTCCTATCACTTCTTTTGGAAGATTTCAGAAAGACTTTACCCAATGGTGATAATGACAAATGAATAACAATGAACATGGAAAAGGCAAATTGTAAAGATGCTAAAGTTATACCTAAAGTTGATTCTGAATCGAGTGCAGTAAAACCAAATAAGTAAACAGATGGACCAGTGTTAATCAAAATTGAACAAATTGTGAAAAAGATTCGTGATGCAATTGATTGAGCTCCATGCCATTTTCTTGGGATATAAGATAATTCATAAAATAAACTTACTGCGTTGATTACTAAAGCAATAGATCCTGCAAGTGAGAGTGCAGATAATCTAGCTTGAGTTGTTGGTTGATTATCTAAAGCTTGCTGATAATTATGAGTATATAAAGTTGGAGAATTAAAAACTGTATAATACCAAAACATTGATAAATGAATTATCCAAACTCTATTAAAATTGACAAGTACATGAGACCAACTTCTTTTTTCTTTGAAAGTTTTATAGAATGCTTTATTCCATTGAACTTCATTTAATTTTGCATATCTTTCACCTGGAGGAAGACTCATTAATTTTCTTTTATCCGATAAAACTAATCTTTCCAAACCTTTTGAATACCAAAATAATTGATTCATATCATCATATCCAATGACTGACTCATGATCTTTATCTCTTCTATGATATTTCCCATCAATTGAAACATATAATTGATCTCTGAAAAAGTTATATAATGGAGTGATTATATGATCTAAAAAACTCTCTGTAACTTTTTTTATTGGTACATCTGGATCAATTGAAAAATAATAATCATTACAACATTTCATAATAAAACAAATACATTCTGGCATGAATCTGACATTATTTGCTTCACCCCATATTAACAAATACAAAGCTAATTGAATGACTGAATATGTAGGTGATAAAGCATGCATATTTGCTGACCATTGTTCTTCAGCAGTTTCAAGAGTTGGTATTGCTTCATTGACATCTTTAATTTTCCCATGTTTAACATTTTCAAACCCAACAAAATCATCAATATCCATTTGAGCTGCAAAATACCATTTTCTGAAATTCGCATTAAATCCACCGATATAATCTGCATGAACTGATCTTAGTGCATGTTCTGGACCTAATCTTGAAGCTCTTGAATCTAATAATCTCATTAAATAATCAAACATATTTCTTGTATTATCAAATTGAAATCCAAATATTGCAGTCAACTGTAAAAAAATTGCTTCAATTTCTTCCCTTGTGATAGGAACATTTTCAGGTGGATTCCATGCTGGATATGGATCAAATTTATTTGAATAAATATCATAAATACCATTTTCTGCTAATGTTTCACCAGGATTTCTATAATGATAAGATTTATCTTCTCCATATCCAATTTTTTCAACTTCCGCCCATCTTTTTGAATCTAATTTTGGAGTTTTAAATCCACTCAATGGAAATGCTGAATTGTATCCCTTTGGATTATCATCTAAATTTGTTAGTATGATTAAAAGATGTCAAACATCTTTTTTATCTTAACGCGTCTAGCATACTAATTGCTGTAGCAGTTCGTTTTAATAATTCAATTGGATCTGATTCTTTGGTTCTAGCCTGTTTATTCTTCTTACCAGGCATCAGAACTATATCATTCGATTGTAGTATTAAGAAGTAGAATAACAAAGAAAATGATAAAAAATTTGGTTGTAAAAAAATCTAATAGAATGTGATAATAATAATAAAAATAATAATATAATGATATAATAATTTATATAATAATTTATACAATAAATTATGAGTCCAACAATAATAATCAATAAAAATAAATAATAATAACAATATCTAAATTTAATAAATTATTTCTCATACTCATCATCTTCGTCATCATCTTCATAATATTTTGCTGCTTCGGCCATAATAGCTTTCTCTTTCACTCCGTTATAAACTATCCTATTTGGAGTATGTTTTCTTAAAAATAAGGATGATTTAGTAATTCTATTCTTTGCAGCCATTTTTAACAATGTTGGTTTGATCATTTGTGGATCAACTCCTTCACTTAATAAATTTGCAACTAAACCAGTAACTATTGGTGAAGCCATTGATGTACCCGATAATACTTGTGATTTATCATGATTTTTTGCATCAACACTTTTAACGTATGCACCGCTTGCAAATAAATCTACACATTCTCCCCAATTTGAGAAGCCAGCTACTGAATCATTATAATCATCTATTGCACCAACCGTTATTGCAAATTTTGAACTAGCTGGACTAGTCATACATGCATTAATATTTGAATTTCCAGCAGCTACAACAAACAACAAACCGTTTTTTGTAGCTTGTTCGATAGCTTTATTTAATACATGATTCTTATAAGCTCCCAATGATAAATTAGCAACTCCCTTTTTACCTGACTCTATTCTATGATTAACAGTAAAATCAATTGCTGATAAAATTGTACTTAATGAACCTGCACCTTTACTATTTAATGCTTTAACTTCAACAATATTTACATTTTTAGCAACTCCATAAGTAGCTGATCCAATTAACCCAGCCACATGTGTCCCATGTCCATTTGAGTCACCCAGACCTTCATTAGTAAAGTCATGACCTAAAGAAGCTCTGCCTCCGAATTCTGGATGATTTACTTCAACGCCAGAATCAATAACATATGCGTTTACACCTTGTCCCATGAATTTATTATCATATATATAAGGATATTGTTTATTTGGTTTCATTCTTTTTCTTCTACTTATCCTTGCTAAATGTCTTGGTGCATCTGCTTGCATTTGGTAATCCCATGCTTTGAATATGTGGTCTTCTGAAATATCTTGTACTAAGGGACACCTTTTCAATCTTTCAATTATATCTTTTGAAAAATTTCCAGCAAATCCTTTAAATTCTCCAATTGTAACTGATGAACTTATGAAATCTCGAACTTGTAAATGTCTGGGGTATTTTTGATCATATTCCATGAAATGATCAAGAGTTTCTGTTTTTTTCAATGATATAAAATATGGATCGTTTGCACTGCAATAATTTATTAGCGATAGTAATAAAAGGTACTCTATTAATAACATGATAATTGATACATTGTTTACTCTTGGTAAAACTACATTGGATTTGATATATCTTTTATTTACAGCTCATAAATCTAGGACACAACAAGATTTGTTGGCATATCAAAATATGTCATCGTATAATGAAAATTAGGGATCTACAAGATTTTGATGGTTTTTAGAGCACAAAGAAAAAAGAATTGGTTGCAAATTTTAAAATTACGAAATTTGGATCTTAAAATACTGCATATAATGATATTCTGGATCTATGAAGTATATGTGTCATTTTTTTCATCATTTGTAGCATTTATGTTATTATTGTTCTTTTGAATCTCAAAATTTTTCAAAAGATTTAGTTGACCTTTATTGGAAGTAATACTTGAATTTCTTAGATCACTAAATTATTATTTTTTTGCTTCATTTTTCAAGATCTTTGTTCAACTTGTAAAAAAGCAATGCGATTCATTGTTTCTGGCCTAAAGTATAAACTTGCTCTGGATATTCTATCTTTTGTAGCCATTCTAATCAATTGTGTTTTGATTTGATCAGGTTCATATCCATCACTTAAAAGATTAGCAACTATACCGGCAACTATTGGACTTGACATTGAAGTACCTGATAAAATCAGTGAAGTATAAAAATTTTTATAATCAACACTACGTACATTTGAACCACTTGCAAATAAATCAACACATGGACCCCAATTGGAAAAGCTTGAAATAGTATCACTAAAATCATCAATTGCTCCTACCGTGATAGCAGCTGGTGAACTTGCAGGACTCATTAAACAAGAATTTATATTTGAATTCCCAGCAGCTACTACAAATATCATGCCGGTTAAAGAAGCTTGTTCAACTGCTCTATTTAGAATTCCATTTTGATGAGCTCCAAATGATAAATTTGTGACTCCTGCTCTCCCACTTCTTAGTCTATGATTTACTGCAAATTCCATTGCTGATATAACAGTACTTAAACTACTTGTACCTTTTGAATTTAATGCTTTTACATCAATTAATTCAACATTTTTAGATGATCCATAAGTCATGGACCCTATAAGCCCAGCTACATGTGTCCCATGTCCATTTGAGTCACCTTGACCTTCATTTGAAAAATCTTGACCAAAACGAGCTCTACCTTGAAATTCAGGGTTTCCAATATCAATACCTGAATCTATAACATATGCATTAACTTGTCTACCACTAAAATCTCTATCATATATGAAAGGAAATATCCTTATTGGTAACATTCTTTTTCTTCTACTTATTCTTGCTAAATGTCTTGGAGCTAACATTTGATAATGAACATCAAATGAATGTATTACTATATCTGGTGATATTTCTTCAATCAAGGTACATCTTGATAATCTTTTTAATCTATCTTCTGAGAAATTGCCTGAAAACCCCTGTAATGAACCAATGTGAAATGATGATGAAATTGAATTTTTTAATTGTAGTTCTTCTGGATAGTTTGTATCATAAGCCATGAAAGTCTCAAATGACTCGCTTTTTTTTAATATGACAACATGATTGCAATATGTGTGGTACAGTAGTAACATTATTATGAAGCAAAACTTCATTTGATAATACAAAACATTCGGTATAACAAAATCTTGTTGCAAAATTTAGAGTTTGGTAAAGACACTTAAATTTTAAAATTTATTACAATATTAAATTTATATTAATCTATCATTATATACTATCTATTATTATTTACAATGATTTTAAAAAGTTTTTCTTTAAATCTTCTGGTAAACTATCAATATATTCTTTCATAGCATTGATAGTAGTTTCAGTGTTTGAATTCATTAATTTAACTAAATCTGATCTATTACTTTCTTTAGTTAATTCATCTAATCTTTTAGTAATCTTTGGATGATGTTCTTCAATCCAAGTACTAACAGCTTCATCATCATCATAATTTATAGTTGGCATCCAACTCTTCAATCTTGCAACTTTTTCTAATTTATTTGCATTTTTAATTTGTGCACCAATCAATTTTAATACATATTCTTCATTTAATCTTCTACGTAATCTCCAAAAGAAGAAACGTCTAGCTTCTGACCATTTAATTTCCTTTTTAATAACACCTTTGGCCAACATACGACCTGATCTATCATGTAAATCAGCAAATTGTACTGATATTTGTGCATATATAGGCATCAATTGTTTTTCCCTTGCAACTAATTTAGTAGTTACTTTTGAATGTTCTTCTGGTGATAATGCTGGATCATTTAATTGTTTTTTGAGGTTTGAATAAGTAGAATCTAACCTTTGCATTGTTGCTAGTAATTTATCACGTCTATATTTAATACCAACCATACCTTCTGGTTCTAAAACACCACCTCTTGAATCAACATCGGCATACATTTCCATCATATCTTCATTGATAGTTGGATCAACTACTACCCATGAACCACCTCTCAATTCACCATTTGGTGGGATGTAAGTAAAAATTGGTTGCTTGTAATCAACTAATGCGTCAACAATAAAAGAACCATATTTTAGTACTTCATTATACATGTCTCTTTGACCACCTGAGAAACCTCTCCAATTAGCTAAAATCATTAAAGGTAATTGTTCACCATTATTAAAATCATTAATAGCTTGAGCAGTTTTGAAAGCAGAATTTGGATACCAAACTTGACCAGCTTCTTGAATTAATGATTCAGTTGAATCTGGATTTGCAGGATCTGCAGGTATTAAATTTTCAACTGTTCTAGTTTCAACACCAATAACACCGATTGGAATACCACCAAGACGAGCTCTACCGACAACAACACCTTTTGCCCATCCAGATAATGTTTCTTGGAATGAATCTTTATCAAATAAACCAGATTCAAATCCATCACTTGTGTTCTTACCTTCAATCATCCATCTTACATCAAAAGTTTCTTGTTTTGGTGGATAATAATCAACATCTCTATCCCATGGATCTTCAGAATCCAAAATAGGTACTGGCATATCACGTTTACTTGGAACATATGATAACCATTCCATGATTTTTTCAACACCCTCTAAATCATCATTTGCAGTTAAATGTGAAACACCATTTCTATACATAATTTGAGTACCTCCTAATTGTAAATTTGATGAATAAACTTCACTACCTAATAATTTGTTTATAGCTGGAGCACCAGTTAAAATGATTGGTTGACCCTCAATTTGTATAGCTCTTTGACCCAATCTTACTAAATATGCACCAATACCAACTGATCTACATGTGACTAAAGTGATTGTGAAAATATCTTTATAAGCTCTTGAAGTTGCACCTGCAATTAAACCAGAACCTCTCAAACATTCAACACCTAATCCATCTTCAGCTCCAATAATGGTTTTAATAACGTGTCTTTCTTCTCCTTCTTCAACAACTCTTTCAGTAATTAATGAACCACCTTTACCATCTTCATCAATAGCCTTTTTAGCTTCTGGTGTTAAATATAAGTATCTAAACCCTTTATCTGGTGAACCTTTAACATTCCAAGCGACTTGGAATAAAGGAATTAATTCATCAGCAACACCGATTCTAGCACCAGAATTTGCAGAAAGATAAATTCTTGGAATTCCTTTGCTTATTGCTAAATCAGTACATTTACTGAAATAAAGATCTTCTTCAGGACCAAATGAACCAATTTTATGTGTAACATCATTTGCAACAATGACAAATTGACGACCTCTTGGGTATTCTGGAGTTTTAGCAGTAACTAAGAAACCAACCATACCAATTTTATTTAAACCTGGATCTCTTTGTAATGCTGTTAAACCACCATTATCATCTGAAATTAATTCAACTGATGAAAATACATCCTTTGGAGCTTTTTTACCATGTTTTTTCCATTGTGATAAAGATGCTTGACGGAATAATTCTGGAAAATCATAAACATAAGTAGTACCCATATTATGTGCTTTATATCTTTTTGGTTGTAAAGATTCTTTAACTGGATAAGCTGATGAAATTGATCTTAAATGCATTGGACCGGGTTGACCTATGGATTTGAATACCCAATCACCTTTAGTATTTTTCACTTCCATATATAAATCTGATTTAACAACATAACCAGAAACATTATTAATAATAGCACGCAATGGGAATGAATTTCCATTTTGATCGGAACAAACAATTCTAATTTCGGCACCAGTAACTCTTAATCTCCATAATCTTCTACCAAATCTTTCTAAAAATGATCCAAAAGCAGCTTCAACTTCAGCTGGTTGAACATTGAAAACATTTGAAAAATTAATGAAAATATGATTTAAATCTGAATTTGATGTATCAATAACTTCCAATGCATCCAAGATATCATTCATTAATCTATTTGATTCAGCAATAAGATATTCTGATATACTTATATCATTTTTAATTATACCAGTTCTAATTATACCTCTTGTGAAAAATCTCTTATCTGATGGTGCGTTTTTACCAATTGCTTCATAAACATGAATATTTCTATTGTTTGTGAATATTGGTTTGATATCGAAATTTGTTAATCTTCCTAATTCTAATTGGAAAGCTAAAGCTGGTTCAATATGTCTAATAACTTTATTTTCAGAATAATCAGGACCAGTAAAAGTATAATACTTAGGATATGAACCAACATCATGTGCAAATACAAATGAGACACGACGTATACCCGCTTTTCTTAAATCATCTTGATATTCATCTAATATTTCATATACTCTTGCTAAATATTCATCTTCATTAACGTAGCCATCAATACCATTAATTACAACATTTAATACATTTAGTAATTCAGTTTGTTCTCCACCAGTCTCAAAAGTAATAGCATCACTTGGATTTAATCTTTCTAATGCAGCTAATAACATATCATCAGCGTCATCAAGATGTTTACATGGTACTAATAAACCTGATCTTTCAAGATGTTCAGTTTTAGAATCAACAATAAATGATAAATCTGATACAGAAGCAGCATGTCTCATTTGAGTAGCATCTTCTTCTGAAGTTTGCTGGATTGCATTAAATCTTGAATTTGCAACATGTGGTAATTTAAATTTCCATTCAATGATAGGTAAATGATCATGGAAATGATAATCAATTTTACCTAATTCATATGCTCTATATGAACGTCTTACGTATACTTCAGCTGCAGCAATAGCCACCCATTCATCACTATTAATAAAAAATTGAGATAAAACGTCAAAAACAGTATGTTTTGAATCAACAACTTCTTGAATAATTTCTAATTTAGGTTCTCTATGTTTAGCATAAATTTCACCATATGATGTTTCTAAAACAGCTGATCTTAAAATATGTTCTAATTGATCTGATCTTTCTTTTATAGAAGGTAATGAACATTGAATCAAAATTTCTCTTGCTTTTAATGCAACTTTAGCACAAGCACGTGAATCTAATTGTACTAATTTTTTAAGTACTTCTCTAATTGATGGAGCCATTGAAGAATTTGATTGTAATAATGGTTGATATTCTTCCAAAATTGCAATAACTAAATTATTTTTAGCAGAAACTCTTGAATGAGATAAAGAAATGTCAATAACTTTTTTCAAATTAGTCTTGTGTTCATCTCTCAATTTTAATACAACATCATCTTCTCGAACATTATCACCCATGAATAAACTTTCAATATCATAATATTCAGTTAATAAAGATGCAAAGAAATCGTATTCATGTTCAACAAGACCATTTTGATATCTACTTGCAATTGCAACTAATGGAGCAACAACATCTGCTAATAATGGAGATTCACTTACTGATTTATGAATTTGTTTTAGTATTTGACGAGCTGGAAAATCAGCATTTCTTGATTGAGTTCTTTCAATTAATGCATTCAATGACTCATCTAATTTTTGTGGTAGTCTTGAATGTAAAGCTGAAATTTGTTGTTGCCATTCTGAAAATGGAAGTTCTTTTGTTTTCAAAACATTAACTATTTTTTTAAGGGTTGAATTCATTATTACTTGATTATCATAACCAGCTAAAATATTTCTTAAGACGGAAGCATATTGAAGGAATTTATGAGCAGGTTTAGAACCTCTGACATTCGGCGCACCTAATTCAGGTAATGTTCCTTCAAATGGTGTAGCATGCTTTACTTTACTTGGATCATCTAATGCTAAGATAGCTAATATGTCACCAGCATTAACTGTTGAACCAGGTTGTTTAATTAATTGAACTGTACCATTTTCTTGAGCTATTAAAGGCATACACATTTTCATAACTTCAACTTCTGCATATGGTTGACCGGCATCAATATGTTCACCACTTTCAACTAAATATTTAACTAATTTACCTGGTGAAGGAGTTCTTAATTGTGTTGGATCATTTTCAACTTCTAATAAACAAGTCTTACTATCAACAGATAATCTAGTAGCTGCAGCTTCTTCTTTCCAATATACAGCATGTGATTTACCACCTAACGTACACAATAACCCACCATCAGATAATGATCTAGCTCCTACTGTACATCTTGAACCATTTAAAAATAAAGTGTATTTATCTTCGGATGATTTAGTTGCAGTAAATTTGTATCTTTCTCCTTCATAAATAAATTCAACTGGGAAAATAGTTTTCAATAAATTTTTATGTGGAACTTGACCTTTTTCTAAAGAATTTATATAATCTTTTCTTTCTTCTTCAGCTTGAATATGAGCTTTTGTAACAGCACCACAAACAACGGCAATGATCGGATCTGGTCTTTCAGCTGTTAATTTTTTGGTGATTAATTCATCCAACCAACCAGTTGTAATAGTATTATCTTCAAAATCTGGAGTTTCTAATAATTTAATTAAATATTCAACTGTAGTTCTGAAATCCCCTCGAATACTTAATTCTTTCAAAGCAACAACCATATGTTTTCTTGAGGCTTGACGATTTTCACCAAATGCAAAAATATGACCAAATTGAGAATCTGAAAATGAATGAATAGATGATTGATTACCAACTGAGAAATAACCCCAAACATTTGATGATGATCTGAAATTCAATTCGTGTAAAGAACCACCGCTTGGTTTAAAACCTTCACCTGGATCTTCAGATGTAATACGGCATGCAGTACAATGACCTTTTGGTGATGGTTTTCTTTGACTTTTCAATGCATCAACTGAAGAGAACTCAAAATCAATTTCAGAAGCAGAATGTGGATCAGCACCATAAAGTGTTCTAATATCTCTAATTCTATGCATTGGAATACCCATAGCAATTTGTAATTGAGCAGCTGGTAAATTTACTCCGGTAACCATTTCTGTAGTTGGATGTTCAACTTGTAATCTCGGATTTAATTCCAAAAAATAAAATTTGTCTTCAGAATGTGAGTAAAGATATTCAACTGTACCAGCACTTACATAACCAACTAATTTACCTAATCTTACTGCAGCATTTTCCATTTCTGAAAAAGTTTCCTTTCTAGCTATAGTGACTGGTGCTTCTTCTATAATTTTTTGATGTCTTCTTTGAACTGAACAGTCTCTACCAAATAATGAAATATTTGTACCATATTGATCTGCTAATAACTGAACTTCCAAATGTCTTGCATCTCCTGCTAATTTCATAATAAAAATTGGTGATCCGGGTATTTCATTTGCTGCTTGATCATATAATCTTCGAAAATCTTCTTCATTATCAACTTTTCTAATTCCTTTACCTCCACCACCTTCAGATGCTTTAATCATTACTGGAAAACCAATTTTTTTAGCTTTTTCTAATCCATCTTCTGGACCACTACAACAACCTTTTGCATAAACATCATCATCAACTGATACTAAATTTGTTTTTTCATCAACATGAACTTCATCAACACCAGTACCTGACCAAGGTATACATGGAACTTTAGCATGTTGTGCAACAATAGTTGAAGAAATTTTATCACCTAATGATCTCATAGCAGAACCTGGTGGACCAATAAATATAATTTTTTTGGGTGAAGCAGCTAATTTTTCAGGTAATAAAGGATTTTCTGATGCATGACCCCAACCTGCCCAAACAGCATGAGCATTTGTATTTTCAGCAATATCAACAATTAAATCGACATTTGCATAATTATTATTATTTGTTCCTCCAGGTACTTCAACATATTGATCAGCCATACGAATATAATCAGCATTTGCTTCCAAATCTTCGGGAGTTGCCATAACTGTAAATTGTATAGCTTTTTCATCTCCAAAAGTTTCATAAGCCCATTTTCTTATTGATCTTATTTCTTTAACTGCTGCTATACCATTATTTGCTATAAGAATTTTTGATATTACCGTATGACCTCCATGACCTCTTACAAAATCAAGGATTTTAGAAGGTTCACAAACATTTATATTATTTAATCCAACAAAATGAGGAGCCAACAGTAAATGTTGTTGTGTTAATTGTGAATTTATTGATGATATACTAGGACTTGGACTTTGACTTGTAGACATTGGTATGAAATTTGAAATGAATTTTGGATGTTTTATGTATCTTAAAAGAGTGTTAGTAATTATTGGAATAAATTTCCATCTCATATAAAAATGAATGTTATTATCAATATGTGAATATGTTGTTGTTTAAATATGATTATGAAGGCTCTTAATTATAGGAGCTTTAGATTTTTTTTTCACTATTTCCCTCTCAACGCCGCGTAAAATATTTAGGTAAATAAATAAAAAAAAAAATTTAAGTTATTTTGCATCGGACTTTTTTTTTCTTAATATAAATTAAAATAAGCTGGTTTAATAATATCCGGATTCTTTGGAATTTAAATGATGATGATGTGTGAATAACTAGATTGATGTAGTTGCTAATGTTGTATTGATTATATAGTAATACTTTCACTGAATTGACTGTCTTTCATTGAATCCAAAATTAAATTTAAGAATAAACTTTCCAATATTGATAATAACATTCTTTATACTTTTAAATTTGACAACATACCTTAAACTTGAAATTAATTTCTTCAAATTTTAAATTGATGTAGTGGTATAAGTAAGGGCTTTATATTATGATTATTTTGGTATCAATTGAATTGATTAGTTGGTTTGAATATATGAAATTAAATTGACTTGTGTTAACCTAACTTTGTTTCAAGTCTCCTTTTATATGAATATTACCTTAAATTGATTGAATTGAGACTTACGAACGTCAATTATTCTCCTGATATACTTAAATAATAGTTTTAAATAGATGCTAATTGAAATAAAAATTGATAAAATTTGAAGGATAATAATTGATATAAATAAAAAGATAATATAAAATCTGTATGTAAAATTAAATTTTACTGAATATTTAATATTGAATATATTTATTTGAATCAAATAATAATAATAATAATAGTACAAAAATAAAAATTTATTTTAGATTTGTTGAGATTAATTCAAGGACTTTTAATATTTAGTAACAGAAACGTACAACTAGTTATTCTCGAAGTGTAATTTCATTAGCTAGCTGATAGACAACCGTTTTATAGTCTGAGATAGAATTACCAACTCTATAAACGAAATTTCATTAGAAGACTAAGTTCGGAGTTTGACTGAACTCGAGTATTAGACTATTATTAGCACGAAGCATACCACTGATATCCTTTCTGCTTTAGTACTTTAATTTTGGTGACGCTCATTAGCTCTTACAACGTCTTCATTACTTCAATACTAAGAATTCAATTATATAACTGCTTTGTCATTCAATATTAATTATTTAAAATTGGTTGCAAAAATCAAAATGGTAGTGTAAAATGGTAGTGTAAAATTAAAAATTTTAAAAACCAACAATAATAAAAAATTGTTGGTATGTTGGGTTATATAAATAACTAAACTTTAGTAGAAAAATATTATTTTTCAAGAACACCAACGATTTGAATTGAACATGTTTTGTGTCTGTATTATTATTGACGTCAATAATACGGAGGATACAGAGAGGAACTTACTTGAGCGTACTCATATACTTTTTTACAACAAACTAGTAACTTTATTACACTAACAATCCTATATTTAATTTGTATTTGTACTATAAAACAATTGTAGATAAAAAATTTTGGTTGCAAAAAAAAAAACAATAGCGACACATTAAATTCGTAAACTCTGATAATCTAAAATCTATAATAAAGGTTGAAATTTGGGTAGTATTGGAGGTTGAATTATTGTAGATTTTTGATTATTATTATTATTTTCAGATAAATCAATACTATTATTTAATGGAAATAATGGATTTGAATAACTACTTGATGTACTCATTGGTGCACTTGGAATAGGTGGTGGTAAAAATATTTTATGTTGATTATTAGTGTTGTTGGTATGATTGGTAGATTCTGATTTTGTATATCGTAAATTATTATTTGAATCTGGTGTGAAATATTGGATTGGAATTGTTGATTTTGTTGAAATATCAAATTCTATAATTGAATTCAAAATGTGAACAAATTTAAAAGCCTTTTCTAAATCTTGATCATTTTGCATTACTGAATTATTAAATTTAATTTCTAATATACTATTGGGATTTAATTTAAATACATTTTTAATATTTTCTACAAATTCATAATATTTAGGAATAGCTGAATTTGACAAAGGATAAAAAAATTCAACAGTTTGATTTAAAAACCTCAAAATTATAGTTTTTTTCAAATTTGATGGTTCATTTGATGAATTTCTTGATGATGTTGGCGAAATTCTTGAAGACATTATTGAATTATTTGAACATACGCTTTCTTGTTTTCTTTCATCTTGTAATTTTGTAGCTACTTCTGCTAATTTATTTAATGAAAAATTCTCATTTATTTCGGTAGGTATTATATTTTTATTTATAAGTGGATATTCATTTATAATAAATCCATAAAATATTTCATTTAATGGTTTCATTACTTCATCAAATCCAAAATCTACTGTTATTGCTCCAACTAATGTATAAAATGATATAACTGCTATTTCATCATTTAAAGTTTCTTTTATATTTAATGGATCTAAATCTCTCATTATTTTAGCTAAATATGATTGCAGTGTTAATTTCACTCTAAGATATTCTAATGATTGTAAATTTAATACATTAAAAGATTTTTCAAATATATATCCAATACAACTTGATATTAATGATTTTCCCAAATATTGTAAATTATTTGATCTTAAATTATCTAATGTTCCATTACACGTTTTTGATCTTTCAATTTTATTTAATAGGTTTGATTTTGCCAATTCGATTTGCTTTTTAGTTTCTGATGATTCATGAATTCTTGGTTTTACTAAATCTTGTATAGTATTATTTGCATGATCATTAGTTGAAAAACTTTTTGATTTATTATAATTTACATCATAAATATCATCATCACTTCTAACTATTTCAGATAAAAATCCATCATCTTTTTTAATTTTTTTACGTTTATTTTCTTCTTCCATTTCTCTTTTCATTGTTCTTTTTCTATTTCTTCTAACTGATTGAATTCCAGCTTGAACTAATTTTCTAAAATCATCCATATACATAATTCCATAACCATATTCTGCTCTTAAAACTTCTGCAACTCTTTTAATTTGTTCATCTTGTTCACTAGCTTTATATTTTTCTAAATTTAATGAATCAATTAATTCTAATCTTCTTGCACTAAATTTTTTCCAAGTTCTATCATCTAAAAAATTTAATTTCTTACGTATAGATTGTGTTACTCCTATTTTATTTGATGATTCTTGAAATGGTGAAGTTATTTGTGGTTTATTAATCGTTGTAGATATTATAGATGATTCCATATTAATATTGATTGCATTCTATAAAATGATATATATTGAAGGTTGAACTTCTTAAAATGATATATTTACTTAGGTGAATAAATGAATAAATGAATAAATGAATAAATGAATAGAACTGTAATAGAAAATTGATAATTAAAAAGTAATAATTAAAAAAAAATTATTAATGTTGACATTATAGTCATAATGATTCACTTTTATTATTTTTATTTTATTTGTGATACTTAATTAATAAAATTATTTAACATATCTCCATGCGGCAACAAAAATATTTGAATGCCGCTTACATTAATTTTTTAAATCCAGTCAGTTGAATACTATTAAACAGTAAAACGGACTTAATTAAAATATCGGGTAATATCATATCATTTAAGTTTACAATATTTTGATATGGGACTGGGATATACTAAACTATATAAATCTAAAGATTTGCCCCCTCTTTTTGAAACTTCTTTATACACAGTAGATTCCAGGGTTTTATTAGATCTCACAAGTGTTTTTAGATTGTAAGTTTAATTTTGAAGTTCTGATAAACTTTGTATTAAAATTGGTACAAAATGTAAGATAAATTTAATAATTCTAAAAATTAATATTTCAAGAACCTGGAGTACAATGATTGAAAAAGGCTTAACATTGATCAAATTAGAAATTTGAGGTTAAGTTTTTGACTTAATATGTAGAGAAAGGGCTGTCAAAAGTAAGATCTAAAAAACTAATATTAAAAGGATTTAAGTATTAATAATATTATTAATGTACTTATGTAATAACTTTTTACGAAATATGATTTAAAAGCGAAGTAGATAAATGAAAATTAAAATATTAAATTTATATTATGATGTGATTTGAAGAATTTAGGAATAATGCTCGTGTAACAATTTGATCAGATTTCAACGAATATACAAAATTTGATTTTATTCTTCTTTTTGTTGCATAATCTATTGGCAATAGAGTTATTACTATTAATGATATTATTATGTCTTTTTACATTCTCAATTTCCGTGTTATATAAAGCGAATTTTTGTAAGCGAAAACTATTTTTATTCTGACAATTGAATATAGAAGTATCGACTTTGTCGAACTTTGTTAAATCTAACTATTGATAAATTTGAAGAGACAAATCGTTGATGACGTATGTGATCTGTGTCATGTCTTTAAATTCAAAGTAAAGACTTGTAGTTTATTAAAGTAAGTAGTGTAAAAATGTTCAATTAAATTACCTATTTAGTTAACCGCGAAAGAGTCATTTTGAAAAATTAATTAATCCATAGAAAAATTTTAACATAATTGATTTCAGTTTTTTAACTTTTATATTCAATTCATCTCATCAATTAGTTTCTTATCAATTTTACATCAATCTTATCATGTCAAAAGGAAAAGTTTGTTTAGCATATAGTGGAGGTTTAGATACTTCAGTTATATTAGCTTGGTTATTAGAACAAGGTTATGAAGTTATTGCATTCTTAGCAAATATTGGACAAGAAGAAGACTTTGAAGCTGCTGAAAAAAAAGCTTTAGCAATTGGTGCTACAAAATTTGTTGTTGTTGATGTTAGAAAAGAATTTGTTGAAAAAGTTTGTTTCCCAGCTATTCAAGCAAATGCAGTCTATGAAAATGTTTATTTATTAGGTACATCATTAGCAAGACCAGTTATTGCACAAGCACAAATTAAAGTTGCAGAAGAAAATGGATGTTTCGCTGTAAGTCATGGATGCACTGGTAAAGGTAATGATCAAGTCAGATTTGAATTAAGTTTTTATGCATTAAAACCAGATGTTGTTGTTATTGCACCATGGAGAGATCCAGAATTCTTCAATAGATTTGCAGGTAGAAATGATTTATTAGATTATGCTGCAAGTAAAAATATTCCAGTTGCTCAAACTAAAGCAAAACCTTGGTCAACTGATGAAAATTTAGCTCATATTTCATTTGAAGCTGGTATATTAGAAAATCCAGATACTACACCACCAAAAGATATGTGGAAATTAACAGTTGATCCAACTGATGCTCCAAATGAACCAGAACAATTTTCAGTTGTTTTTGAAAAAGGTTTCCCAACTAAATTAGTTTTAAAAAATAAAACAGTTACTGATCCAGTAGAATTATTTACTGAAGCTAATGCATTAGCAAGAAGAAATGGTGTTGGTAGAATTGATATTGTTGAAAATAGATTTATTGGTATCAAATCGAGAGGTTGTTATGAAACTCCAGGTTTAACTATATTAAGATCTACTCATATTGATTTAGAAGGTTTAACTTTAGATAGAGAAGTTAGAGCTATTAGAGATCAATTTGTTACTCCAACTTGGGCTAAAATTTTATATAATGGTATGTATTTCACTCCAGAAGGTGAATACGTTAGATCAATGATTCAACCATCACAAAATACTGTCAATGGTGTAGTTAGAGCTGCTTGTTATAAAGGGTCCATAACTATTTTAGGTAGATATTCAGAAACTGAAAAATTATATGATGAAACTGAATCATCAATGGATGAATTAACTGGTTTTTCACCAGAAGACACTTCTGGATTCATTGCTGTTCAAGCTATTAGAATAAAGAAATATGGGGAAGCAGCAAGAGAAAAAGGAACTACTTTAGATTTGTAATTTTGTTCCTGAGTGGTGAGTAAGTAAATATAAATTTAGTAGTAATATAATAAATTATTATTATTATCGATTAGCATTCGTAAAAATTAGATTTTGTGTAGATTCGAGAATTTAATTTGTAACGGTAATTCCATTAATATATCAACAAAATCAAATGAGAATAAGAACGCCTATACGGCTTACAAGAAGGTTTATATCAATATCAAGTGAAGTAGAGAAATGTCAGCAAATACAATTCTTGGAAGAGTACAAGATAAGAACGATGTTGGAACAACCAATCATTCACTATTCCAAAAAGAAACTACCCCAATTTTCATTAAATCATTTATACAACCAATCTGAGAAATTATCATCCAGCTTCATATTACAAAATGCAAGAGAAACAATTGAACATTTACTCATATACAATGCTAGGAGACTAAAAGAATTTAGAAAATTACCTTATTTAGTAGTATTAAATCCATCGATATCAGAAAGTTATGACACATATTTACAATCAATGAGTTCTTTATTGAAAGCAAGTCTATATACACCGCATACTTTGGAAGAAAATAAAGAATTTGCAAATGATGTACTCACGAAATTTATTGATATTCATGCAGATACTTTACCAAGTTTGTCTAAAGGATTTGGAGAAGTTAGTAATTTATTATCAATGAAACAAATCACTCTGTTTTTGGATAATCATTTAAATGAAAGAATAAGTATGAGATTAATTGCTCATCAACATATTGAGCTAACGAAATCAATAAATGATCCAGATAAATATGTTAAAGGTGGAAAATATAACGGTGTGGTAAAACTATTATATATTCCTGATGTAATTAAAAAGAATGCAGAAGTTGTGAATGATATCACAATGATGAAATACGATCAGTCAGTTCCAATAAAAATAGATACAAATTTAAGAGCAGTTTATTGGAGTCAAAAGGATCCATCAGAAACAGATAAAAGTGATCTGTTATATTTTCCATATATTGAATATCACCTAGATTATATTTTCATGGAATTATTTAAAAATTCATTTAGAGCACAAATTGAAAATAATGTATCAGATCCGATAACAATAACAGTATCAACATCTCATGATTCACCAAAATTTATGGAAATTAGAATAAGAGATAAAGGTAAAGGTATACCACAAAATACTTTAAAACATATTTTTGATTATTCTTTTACCACTTACAGTAGCAATGAAGGGGAAAGTTTCAAAACTTTAAATGTACCACCTGAACATCTTGGAGGTGGGAATTCAGTTGCAGGAATGGGATTTGGATTACCTTTAGCTAAACAATATATTGAAGTATTTAATGATACCGTTGATAAAGATGATGGAACGAAAGGACTGTTAACTGTACAAACATATCCTAGCTGGGGAACTGACGTATATTTAAAAACAGTTGGTCATTAAATCAGTGAATACTTTAAATGTATTATTAAATTGGATATTAAATTCAATGATTTTGCAACTATTATTTCTATCATCTCTTTTATTACACAAATGCTCACTACCTACCGAAAAAAAAGAAAATTAATCAACAATTGAAAAAAAAAAAAAAAGTATTTGGAAACACGATTTTTAAGAAAACTAATCATTCAATAAAGAGAGTTCTCAACTACTTAAAGCTTTGTATAGCTTAACATTCATTTTCAAGATCTTTTTAATTCTGTATTAACATATATAAGACATCATATTCACATTCATTATATTTATATATTTATTTTATTTATTGTTTTGATTTCAGCATTACATATAGAAACAATTCAGTTTGTTTTCAATTTTTTTACTTTTTTATTCATTGTTATAGGATTATTGGATTACAGGAGATGAGTGATTATTTTATTGTTATTCATGTAAGTACAACATGCGATGACTCAAATACTTATGTCACTAAGGATTCAACTGAATTAATTGCATTTTCTTGGTCAACTATAGATGTTACAACTTTAGAAGTAATATATGAGAAATCTATATTAGTACGTCCTATGAATACTCCAATAACTCCATATTGTTCTCAATTAAATAAGTTGACATGGGAACATGTGAGAAATGCAGGATTATTTAAAGATGCAATCAATACTTTTGATACATACATACAAACACTTCAAGACAAAGAGTTTCTGTTTGTCAGTTATGATAGTTCGAAATTAAGAGTTCAGCTACCAAGAGAAGCAAGGGATAAAAGTGTTGTTTTACCACCATATTTGCAACATCCGAGATTATTTGATTTACCTGCAGAATACTCAAAATGGCATGCTAGTCATCCTGAGGCATTATCATATACTGCATCATCAATATCAAATATGGTCACTGCATTAGAAGTAGAAGTTGATAAAGAAGACTTAAATCCAGAAAAGACTTTAAATTTACATACTCAATTAGTTGTACAATTAATGAAAAAATCATTACCCATTGAAAGTCATCCGAATGTTTTCACACAACCTCATGATATAGCTCAAGATGTTAAAGCATTTGTTAGTGAGAGATCCAAGATCTTGTATCTTTCAAATTTACCTTCAGATACTACTCAATCAGAATTAGAATATTGGTTCACTCAGTATGGAGGTAGACCAGTTGCATTTTGGACTTTGAAAAACAATGATAGTAAAAACACAACGGGATTTGCAGTTTTTGGAGCTCATGAAGAAGCAACGGAATCATTATCAATGAATGGTAAAGCATTAAATAATCGAGCTATTGAAGTTCAACCATCATCTACAAAAGTATTGGATAAAGCTAATGATTTATTAACTCCTTTCCCACCTTCAAAAAATAGACCAAGACCTGGAGATTGGACTTGTCCATCTTGTGGATTTTCTAATTTTCAAAGAAGAACTCATTGTTTTAGATGTTCATTTCCTGCTTCTAGTGCTGTTGCTATTCAAGAATCAATTTACTCAAATGGTCCAAGAAGGCAAGAACCACAACAACATCAACAACAACAGCAACATTCACAACCTCAACAACAACAACAACAACAGCATCAACAACAACAACAACAACAACAACCACAAACCCAACCTCAACAATTCAAAGTTTCTCAAGAAATACATTTACCAGCTCAACAACCACAACAATCACAACCACAGCAACAGCAACAACAACAACAAGTTGAAAAAGTCAATAATGAGAATGGATCACAAAGAAATTTCAATAGTGTACCATTTAGAGCTGGTGATTGGAAATGTGAACTTTGCATGTATCATAATTTTGCCAAAAATTTATGTTGTTTAAAATGCAGTGCTTCGAAACCTTCGATCAATTATAATCAAAATAATAATTTACATTCAGTTAATTCAACAGCTGCTGCAATTGCTGCTGCAACAGCAAGTGGTCAACCATTAAATTTAAATAATAATTTTATCAATATGCATCAACCACAACCACAATATCAACAACATCGTCAACAAAGAAATGTAAATGGGTATGTTAGAAATTCAGGTACACCTAACATTTACCAACAACAGCACCAACAACAACAACATCAACAACAACACCAATTACAACATAACCACCACCAATTTTCACAACAACAACAACATCAACAACATACTCAACAACATCAACAACACCAACCACAACTGTATCAATCAATGAATCAAATTCATAATTTTCAAAACCCTAATAGAGCTTCACAATTAATGGACCAAGTAAGGTTTCAAAGTCATTCACCAGCAATTTATAATCCAACAGTTGCATTAAATGATAAAATGAATTCATTAAATCTTAATTTTTAAAATCAAAAAGGAGTTTTTGTTTGCTTTTTTTAATATATTGTCTATGTAGTTTTTGTTTCAGTTTGTCAATTTTTTAAAATTTTTTTATCTAGGTTATTTTATTTTCATTTAAAGGGAAGAGGGAGGAAGAGAGTATTTATATATAATAATTTAATGTTTTAATAATAGTACTATAATAGAGCTTGATGTAGAGTAGTTCTTTTCATTATGTTCTTCGTAAATTTTTCAGTAGATTTCCTATACTGTATATAAATTTTATATTGTCTTATATTATGACACGTAAAATGAAATATTATTAAATTAATTCAAGAGATCAATTTAATCAATTAAACCAATAATTCAACCAATAATGACGACAAATAAATACTCGGTAATTTTACCAACATATAATGAAAGAAGAAATTTACCAATTCTTATATATTTATTAAATAAAACTTTCACTGAAAATAAATTAAATTGGGAAGTAGTTATAGTTGATGATAATTCACCAGATGGTACACAAGAAATTGCCAAAAATTTAATTGACATTTATGGACCAGAGCATATTCAATTGAGACCAAGAGCAGGTAAATTAGGTTTAGGTACAGCATATGTTCATGGTTTACAATTTGTTACTGGAAATTTTGTAATTATAATGGATGCAGATTTTAGTCATCATCCAGAAGCAATACCTGAATTTATAGCAAAACAAAAAACAGAAGACTATGATATTGTTACTGGAACAAGGTATGCGGGAGATGGGGGAGTTTATGGTTGGGATTTTAAAAGAAAATTAATTTCAAGAGGTGCAAATTTTTTAGCTACTGTTGTTTTAAGACCTAATGTTAGTGATTTAACGGGTAGTTTTAGATTATATAAGACTCAAGTTTTGAAAAAAATTATTAGTGTTACTAAATCAAAAGGGTACGTATTTCAAATGGAAATGATGGTTAGAGCTAGAAGTTTGGGTTTTACTGTTGGTGAAGTACCTATTAGTTTTGTTGATAGATTATATGGTGAAAGTAAATTAGGTGGTGATGAAATTGTTCAATATGCTAAAGGAGTCTGGACTTTATTTACAAGTGTTTAAGTTCTTGGTATATAATGATTAATTTGAGTTGATGTTTAGGAATTTTTAGTTGTAAAAATGATTTTTTAAATTACGCGCTTTTTGATAATTCTGAAAAATTCAAGTTTACTTAAATAGCTTAGTCAAAAAATAAATATAATCAACACGATCAATGGCAAAAGATACTTATCTTAAGAAGATATTAGGTGATGAGAGTTTTAACAAGATCAGAACTACCAAAGTTTTAATGGTTGGAGCAGGGGGGATTGGGTGTGAATTATTAAAAGATTTAGTATTAACAGGTTTTGGAGAAATTCATATAATTGATTTAGATACAATAACATTATCAAATTTAAATCGTCAATTTTTATTTCGTAAAACAGATATTGATAAATCAAAGTCATTGACTGTAAAAAAGGCAGTTCAATCATTTAATTATTTGGGATCAAATTTAATTTCACATCATGGTAATATTATGGATAAATCACAATTTCCCTTGGAATGGTGGGAACAATTTAGTTGTATTTATAATGCTTTGGATAATATTGAAGCAAGAAAATATGTAAATAAAATGTGTTTATTCTTGAGAAAACCATTAATGGAATGTGGTACAGAAGGGTTTCAAGGTCATGTAAATCCAATAATTCCTTATAATAGTTCATGTTTCGATTGTGAACAACATGTTGCTCCAAAAACTTATCCCGTGTGTACAATTAGATCAACTCCATCATTACCAGTTCATTGTATAACTTGGGCGAAGGAATTTTTATTTCATCAATTATTTGACGAGAGTGAAGGTGATGATTCTAATAATTTAAATGATGCTGATACTATTGCAAATGAAACTGATAATAATGAAGAAATTGAAAATTTAGCAAAAGAAGCAAATGAATTAATTGAATTAAGAGATAAAATAAGAAATTCAAATGATTTTATTGAAAGTTTAATTGATAAAATTTTCAAAGTTGATATTGAAAGATTATTATTGATTGAAACATTATGGGCAACAAGAGAAAAACCAACACCATTGGAATTTGCAAAATATGAGAATGATTTACGTAATTTGTTAAATGATGAATCAAATGAATCTATACTACTGAAAGATCAAAAGAAATGGTCAATACTAGAAAATTTATATGCCTTGTATAAATCAAGTGCTAGACTACAACACAGACTCAAAAATGGTGAACCATTTGTTGCATTTGACAAGGATGATGAAGATACATTGGTGTTTGTTGCAGCAGCATCAAATTTAAGATCATACATTTTCAATATAGAAACAAAATCGAAATTTGACATCAAAGAAATTGCAGGAAATATTATACCTGCTATTGCTACAACTAATGCTATAATTTCAGGGTTTTCAGCTGTTGCAGGATTAAGTGTACAGCAATTAAATTATGACCTCAAAAAAATTGCTGAAGCTTCAAGTTTAATGCATACATGTTTAAAACCAAAACAATATATTACTCATGCTCCAGTTGATGCACCAAATCCAAATTGTGCTGCTTGTTCTTTGGTATCTAGAGGAATTTTCAATCTTAACATTCAAGATTATGAGAAATTGACATTAAGTTGGCTCATAAACCAATTAGTTGAAAAATATGATTATTCGGAAGATGACATTTCAATTCAAATAGGTCAATCAAAATTAATTTATGATGTAGATTTTGATGATTACCTAGAGACTCCATTGTCAAAAGTTCCAGGAGTTAAACCAACAGAGATTATATTAATTCAAGATGATTCAGATCAAGTAGAAAATCTTGAATTATATTTAAACATTGGGGATTGTGAAACAGAATTACCAAATATAAAATTAAGACAGAAACGAAATCCAAATGAAAAAGTTGAATTTTCAGACGATGATGATACTTTAGGATTGGAAGATGGTTTGGAAATTATTGAAGGTGAATTAGAACCAGAACATATCTCAGATGTTGAAATTATTGAAGAACCAGAAGTAGGTGAAGGACCAGCTACAAAGAAAAGAAAACTTAATGTATAATTATAATGAAAGACTTTATATTAATTACGTACTATAGCTCTAAAATTTATAACTTTTTACACTACTATGTCATGTGACTTATTTTTACGTATATTAAATTTCAAATTTTAGATTTCAAATTTATTTTACACTTACAAATATAATAATTAATATTGTTGCTTAAAGTTTCAGTTTCAATTTCATCAACAACAAATTTCTCCCAGCAATTGATACCCCTTTTGAACAAACTAATACCATGTCGTGGCAAGCATATACTGATAATTTAACAGGTACAGGAAAATTAGATAAAGCAGCATTATATTCAAAAGCAGGAGATTCATTATGGGCTCAATCAGGAAATTTTCAATTACAACCAAAAGAAATTCAAGAAATTGCAAAAGGATTTGATGATGCTTCTGGATTACAAGCTCATGGATTACATGCTCAAGGTCAAAAATATTTTTTATTAAGAAATGATGATCGTTCAATTTATGGTAAACATGAAGCAGAAGGTTTAATTTGTGTTCGTACTAAACAAACTATATTAATTGCTCATTATCCTAATGGAGTACAACCTGGAGAAGCCACTACAATTGTTGAAAAATTAGCTGATTATTTAATCAGTACTGGTTTTTAAGGGGATTGTTTATTAATTGATTAAATTTGGAGTTACTTTTAATAGGAGTTTATATATTCAATAAAAAATTCATTGATATACAAGTTATAACTATTGTAATTTTTTATTTTATTGATTGTGAATTTTGAACATTTTCGAAACCCCTATTTGATCAATTGGCAGAAGAATGTAAAAATTTTAGTCATGAAGCTTAATAATTTTGAAACATATATGACTCTCGAGATAACTTGGAGTCTTGATTTTTCGAAACTCTAAACTTTGTGCATTTAAGCCCCAGAAAGTTAACAAGAAGTGTCTAACTAGAAAGAATTGACCATTTGCTCGTCAACTAGTTGATTGATTTCGTGGTTTTCTCGTGTTTCCTCAAAATAGTTAGAATCTACACTTTTGCATGCAAATATAGAATTAAATTAAAATTCAACGATTGTTTATTATCAAAAACTATAATTATTACCATACGTGTTAGACTTCAGTCAAGAGAAAAAGAAGTTTAAATCTTTGGTCTACAATTTAATAATTTGTTAAAGAAAGAAAGGGTTTAACTAGTATGATATCATAGCATAAATACAGAACGGGCTACCAATTTTTTGCAGCAATTTCTTCTATTTGCGTACATGATCAGATCAGATCAAATTATAATTTTTAAAAATACCTCAATAAAAACTATCATTTGGTTTTGATGTAAATTAAAGTGATCTCAAAACGTTTCAGTTTAATCATCAATTCTTGATTAGATATGTCGATATGATATTATAAAAACATTTGGTAATTAATTTCTCCGGGACAACAAATTGATTCAGCAAATTCTAGACAACTTTAGCTACGCTTATATTTAAAAACACATCAAATTTGTTAATAGTCCTAGTTCTAAATGAATTAATCGAAAGATCTATAGCACTATACTGTAAAAGCAATTTTTCAATTGATTTAAATTAATTGCAATTTTTCTTGAACTAAAAATTCAATTTAAAAAAAAGAAATGAATTAAAAAAAAAAGAAAAAAAAAAATTTAAAATTGCAATTATAAAAAGAAGATCAAATAATTATATTGAAAAAACTTCATTAAATAGAAAAACCAAATTGGTTTTATTAAAATTATTATCTGGCTCATAAACCAGTTTATTCAACACTTCAACTTGTTCTTATAGAAAAGGGAGTAAAACATTAGCATTTTAAAATTTAGGATACCCCAGAATTAGCATTACGAAATTTTTCACACATAATCGATATTCACATCATAAAGAAAAAGTATTAAAAACATACAAAAAGTTATAGACATGATAAATTCACAAACAATGAAACATTTTCCAACGGGTTCAATATTATTATTAGGTCCATTATTTGTAATAACTACTGATTTTGTATTTACAAGATTTTCACAAACTGGTGGAGCTAAAAAATTAGCAAAAACAACGGGAAATTCATCACCTTCCGCTAAGTTTACTTCATCTTATAATCCTCATGCTTATAGATCTAGTTGGGTTCAACAATGGGAAGATCTGAAGAATTAATAAAAAATTAGGAGAGACGATGATGATGTAAATAGGTTAAAAATTGTATTATTTAAAGCTGGTCTTTAAAGGTCAACAAAATTTAGGATTATATGGGTATTTTTTTTATATTATAAGGGTTTTTATAAAATAACATTAATAAAAGTAATTATCATGCTTATAGAACAAACTCAAATAATTGTAATATGAACTCTTCTTGTACTTGTTTGATTGATATTATGTATAAGTTTTTGCAATCATAATTCCTGTATATAACACTAATAGTATTCTGTACATAATAATATTTTAAGAATTTTTTTCACCTATTTTTTTATTGGTTTATAATTAGTTAATAAGAGAGAATAGATACATCAATTGGGACTAAATTATAAAACTATTCAACCTTAAAACCAATCAACATCTAAGACAAATATTCATACCAAGTACTCATATCACATTCATTCATTTTATTATTACCTATTCCCATTTAACGACACTACTATTAGTTCTTCAATTAACCTTTTTAACATAACATATACTTATAAACAAAACTCATTACTCACAACAATATATTCACAATGTTATCAAGAATAAATCAATCAAAACAATCCATTCGTTCAATAACCAAAAAACAATTACAACTCAAAACATCAAAAAGATATAACTCATCACATCATCATGATCATCATCCACCAAAAGAAGAAAAACCATTTGAAATAACAATGACAAAAATATTTGGTATAGCAGCATTAGCAGGTGGATTTTTAATGTATAGATCGAAAGATAAAACAGATGAACCATTATTTAAATCAGGATTATTTGAACAAGAAACAAATGGAGCAAGAAGTCATTTACGAGATGAAGCTTTTGAAAATAGATATAAGATTGGATTTATTAAAACCTATATATTGGATAATGGTGGTGATGGGTTAGGAAATCAAATGTTTAGAAGAACAAGTGGTGAAGATATTTTGAATAATAATTTAATTGGTGCTCATTCTCCTTATGGTCAACAATATGGAGCTGGTATAAAATTAAATAATTTAAGTCCAAGAAGAGAAAGAATAGAAAGATTTGCTCCATTAAATGAAAGTAAATGAAGATAAATAATTAATAAATGATCATTATTTTAATGAAGATTTGTAGGTTGATCTAAACTAGTTTTATTAGGTATCTGAGAGAATTAGTGATTACAATGCTCTTTATTAAAGAATAAGATTATATATTAACTATTACTATTATTATGATATTAGATGATAAATTGCATTATTATTATATGTAAATAATATACTTTCATAACATGAATTAATACTTTAATTTGAAATCAATTAGTTGTTGTAGTTGCTTTAACTGTTATATCTTTTTTAAATCTATCCAATCTGTTTTGATGATCTTGAATAAATTTAATAACTTTTTTTCTATTTTCTCTTAAAATTTCATTCCCATTAACATCTATACCATCTAATTTCATTAATTCTTTTAATAACATTTCATCAAAAAATTTAAATTTTGAATCAATTTCATCAATTGATAATTTTTTATAATTTTCTATATAATTATCAATTTCTGGTACATATTCCAGTTCAACATAATCTAAAATTTCTTGAATTTCTTTATTTGCCTTTTGAGCTTTACTTACTTTTTTCTTTGGTTTTTTTGTTGATTTGGTTGTTGTTGTTGAATTTTTATCATCTAATTTTGTTGTGGTTGTAGATGTTGTTGATGAACCAAAAATTTTACCAAATATAAATAAAGTAGTTAATGAAATTAAAGTTAATGAAATAGTTACTGGATTAATTCTTAAATTTTTAAAATCATCTAATATAGAATCATATTTTAAATTTTGAAATTGATGAAAATGTTGATTTACATGAGAATGAAATTCATCAAAATTTGTTGGAATTTTTGATTTTATTAAATTAATATAATATTGAATATCTTCAACTGTTGTTGGAAATTGAGATTTCAATTGATCCATTTTATTGTTGTTGTATGGTTTTTAATTGATGATATTAAATCTCGTTTAAATTTGAAATTATTTGTTGCTTATTTAAAATATGTATAATTATTAAATATTATTAAAATGTTCACTTCAATTTCTCAGTCTTTTAAATTTCAATTGTTTTTTTTTTCTTCTGTCATTTGATTTAAAATAATAAATTATTTTTATTATTATTATTGCTTTGAAATTGTTTAAGATCCAGTTATATATTGGTTGATTACTTTAATCTGTATTCAATAATTTAACTCTTGCTGAATCAATTTCTTTAATATTGGATCTGATATTTGAATTGTTCATCTGTTGATAGATCTTTAAACCCATATGAAAAATTCCCCAAAAAAGTGGATAGTGCCTTGCCGCAATTTTAATAGCTTGTGATACTTTAAATTACATAGTAAATTGCTACCAAATAATCTCGAATGGCATTTGAGATTCGTTTCAAATTTTGATCCAGATCTATGAGTGAGTGGCTGTTGCATCTTGATTCATGGCCTTAGAAATAAGTCTTCCTAGAATTTGGTTAATTACTTCTATAATCTTGTTCGAGTTTGCCAATACAAATTGACACAAAATGTTTTATTCAAATTGCTGCAAAAACTTTTCAAATTATGACAAACTAATATTAATTGTTTTCTAAATTAAATGATCCCATGAAGCATTGAAGTTTGTTTTTAATGGCTATAATCATTTCGGAGAGTAATTCTAATGTAGTATCAAATGAATTGTTGAAGGTGCTGTATTTGCAACAATTAATTTTCGATAAATTATAAATCAGAGTCTGTTTTGTGTAATATAATTTGTTACAAAGAAAACTCAAAAAAGATGAGATCAACCTCATTTAATTAATTTAATACCAGTTTTAAATGGCCTTCACATTTGGATTTACCAATGATGACTTAAGTGATGACGACTTAGAGAGCAATACTGTTACAAATGACTCAAATTTACAATCAAAACCCACAACAACTTACAAACTAGATACATATGAAGTAAAATCAGAACATTTACCAAAATTACATGATATGAATACATTACTAAAATCATTAGAAGGTATACGAATCACTTTTGATAATTATACAACACCAAATCAGAATATAATATACAGAAGAGAATTATTTGATGTAAAGCATCAAATTATGATTGAAGATTGTGATGAAAAAATAAATTCAAATTTGGTTGTTAAAGATGAATTGAAAAATATAATAATAGATAAGAATGATTCTGATGTACAAAATAATGTTTATGAAGGTGGATTTAAGAGTTGGGAATGTTCTTATGATACAATTGATGAGATTAATGAATTAATTAATGAATACAATAATGGGAATAATGATGTACTTAATATTTTTAATAGTTCAATTTTAGATTTTGGTTGTGGAACTGCATTACCTTCAAGTTATATACTAATGAAAAAATTTGAATTTAAAAATACAAAACCAATGAAATTAATACTATCGGATTTTAATCATGACGTGTTGAGATTAGTTACATTACCGAACTTAATAATAAATTGGGCTTCAACTTTAAGTATACAAGATTTACATAGTCTAACAACTGATGAAATAAATACAAGATTTGAAAATAATGAAGTTTTTGTAACTAAGAAATTGATTGATGAATTTATAAAACAGTTGAATGAATATTATATAGAAATCAAATTCATTTCAGGATCATGGGGTAAAGAATTTAATACATTAGTTTCACGATTTAATATAAATTTCATGATAAGTTCAGAAACTATTTATTCACCAATTACTTTACCAATAGTGGCAGAATCAATTAAGATAATACTAAGTGAATCAAATCCTGATGATAAATCGAGTATGTGTTTATTGGCTGCAAAAAATATTTATTTTGGAGTTGGTGGTTCTATAATTGAATTTTTAAATCATTTTAAATCTATAATTGATTCAAATTTTAAAATTGAAGTTAAAGAAATAAATGATTCTCAGCTAAAGAGATCTTTACTTTTAATTCAATACAATAAGTAGTTACAATCTATTTTTTGATGTCAAATTAATATTCATGGACACAATTTATAGCCTGAAATATATAAGTTTCGATATAAAAACGAGAGCTTGTAATCAATCGGTTAATAAAAACTGCGATCGTTAATTTTAATATATATTAACAATCTACATGCCAAATTAAAATCGTACATAAATCAATTTGGTCTACTACTACTCTTTAAAATGACATGATTTTTAATTTTGCAACTTATTAACAAAAGTACACTACCACACAAATTCTATACAGTAAAAAGAAAAAAAGCATCTAATTAGAATTAAGGAATATCAAATCGAAGATTGAATTTAAAGGTTGTAATATTATTAATATATTGAGAATAACTTGTTTTTATTCATCGGATCTTATCAACTAATCACCAATTATTAATAAATATTCTTCATAAAGGAACTTTCACAGATTAATAGGTATGTTACTTTTTTAAATTAGTCATGAAAGAAGAAATTGAGAAATAGGGGATTGATATAACTGTCAGTTAATTTGGCTCAAAAATTGAAGAAATATAAGGACTGAAATCACAAGTCGATCACTACAGTCTATAATAGAGTCAATTGTATCAATTTTAATTAAACCCAAGTCTGATTTGAGTATATAATATTGGGAAGATCCACTCAAAGGTTTAAGGTTTAACTTTCAATTGTTTTCACAATTCATTATACAAATTAAGTTTAGTCAAGAATATATGTTGATTTATACTTGAAATGTCAGAAACAATAGACAAGTGATTTAGCATTATACTCAAACTTCAATATACTTGAATTAACATTATACTTCATAAGATTTATCGTTGGTAGTTCATTTACCAATTATTATATAATATATTAATTAAAGTATTAGTCCAATCAAAATTATAAATTTTTTTTTTATGTAAGAGAGAGAAAATTAATTTAGTTAAGTGAAAAATTATTTATATAACAACAACAATATCATACGAGCAAACACAAGATATATTACCTAAAACCTTTATTTCAATTTCATACTCACTACAATATTTATCAATTTCATTCTTTCATTCAACTTTATTAAAAGAACAATAAACTAACTTATTTTTTAATAGACAATAACATTCTTAATATCATACACAACAATCATAGCAAAAAATGTCATCACAAATGTTTATTAAATCTTTAACAAGACAATCAATTAGATATAATAGTTCAGTAGCTAAAAGCATTCCAAGAGCTTTATCAAATGCTTATGTTGGAAATTTAGAAACAAGATGGATTTCATTACCAAAAGAAGATCAACAATCAATTATAGAAGAATTAAAAACAAGAATGGAATTACCATGGTCAGAATTAACTAATGCTGAAAAACAAGCTGCTTATTATATATCATTTGGTGAATGGGGACCAAGAAGACCTTTATATGCTCCAGGTGAAGCTTCAAAAATATTTTATATAGTGGCTGGTTCAGTTATTGGTAGTATTGCATTATTTATTGGTATTAAATCATTAGCTGCTCCTCAACCACATACTTTGAATAGAGAATGGCAAGAAGCTTCTGATGAATATTTGAAATCTAAGAATGCTAATCCTTTTACTGGTTATTCACAAATTCAATAATTTATTTAAGAAATGTTAATTTTTTATTAGTATATTCTTTTTTATTTAATTTCTCAATTTTTAATTCATTTCATGATTCACACAACAACTCAGAAAACAGTTTTATTTATGTCTTTAAAGAAATAAATGAAAAAAATAATAAAAAAAAAATAAAGAAAATATAATAGAGTATTACTGTAGATTTTTAAGTGATCTCTTGTTGTTGTTTTCTTCTGAACTGAAACTATTAATTAAATTAAAAACAATTACAAAATCCTATAAATAACGAAAACCATCATCTATTATTTCTATCTATAAACACATAAACCTTCTTTGAGTTAACTCCAATTACTACCACCACCACCACCACCATTTGTTCCACTTTCCAATTGATTAATTTGTTGAATCAATTTAGACTTTGCAATTTCTTGTTGCTTCAAAACATAGTTCAAATGATTCATATAAATCACAGATTTATTTAAAATAGTGGATTTATTAGGTTTAGTTTCTTTAACTTTTATTGACCCAATTAAATCTTGTAAATCTTGAGAATCAATATTTTGTTGTCTTTGTAAAGTTTGTACAGCACTTAATTGAGGATTTAATAATGATGGTGGTACAATTATACCTAATTCTTTAATTTTTTCTTTTATTAAATCTCTTCTTCTTCTTTCTACTGCATTATGAAATTCTCTTCTTCTTTTTAATTTTTCTTCTTTGGAGAGTTGTTTTGTGGGGATATTTGATGATGATGATGCTGCTGATGATAAATTTGTGGTGGTTGTATCTTTTGAATGTTTTGAAGAATTGGGTACTGATGTACTTAACATTGATTGTTGTGATGGGGGTGGTGATAATGATGACCAGTTCTCCCGTTTTATTGAAGCATGGTTTGGAATTGAGGAACTCATTTGTTGTTGTTGTTGTTGTTGTTGTTGCTCTTGTTGTTGTTGATTTTGAGAAGTAGATGATGCTGGTTGATTTAAATTCAAATGATTTATCCTCTGAGTACTATATCTTGGAGGTGAATTTAAATAAGATCCATTGTTGAAATCTGGTGATACATAAGATGAAGGATTCAATTGTGGCGATATATATGAATTAGATTGAGGTATTTGATTGTTATTATTGTATGATGGACCACTTATACTTCCATGTCTTGATAATTCAGTTGGACTGAAAACATTATTACCATTGTTATTAAAATTCCCATCACTATTTCCATAAGAATCTTCAGCTATAGATCTTAACGAATTAAAATTATTTGATGATCTCGTAGGTGGTGAAAAATATTGAGGATTTAAAAATGAATTTTCATCATAATTTTTTCCAGGTGAAATTAATTCATCTAAATTCGCAGAATTTGATATATTCATAAATGGTTGTGATGATGAACTTCTTAATTGTGGAGATAATGGTTGTGGTGATAAACTTTCTCTAAAATTGTTGCTGTTGTTTGAATATTGTGGAATATTTAATTGAGGTCCTAATATAGCTTGGGAGAATGCCATATCATCTAAGAATGGCTCACTTGTAAAAGATCCTGGATTTGAACCAGCAAAATTAGATTCTAATTGAGATTGTTGTTGTTGTTGGAGGTTCAGATTCTGGTTATATAAATTAGATGAATCACTTGATTGATGTTGTTGTTGATGTTGATGTTGCTGTTGATCATTTGGATATCTATTTGGACTTAAATATTCACTTCCTGATAATTGAGTATTTGAATTAAATCCAGATTCTGATGTATTAAGATTACTTATACTACTATTATAATAATTCCCGCTATCATTTGAATTTATATAATTTTGATCGAAATTTAGGTTATTGTTAACATTCTGTATATTATTATTATTATTGTTATTAGTATCACCGGAGTAATCTAAATTTAATGAATAATCATTACGAATACCAGAATTATTTTGATCGTCATCTTCATATTTTAAACCAAATGATTGTGAGTTATTTATATCATCATCATTTATTGGATTATATGTAAAATTTGGTAAATCTTGATCATTTAATTGATTATTGTAGTTATTATTGTTGTTATTATTATCTGATTGAAAATTAGATTTTTCATCAAACGTGCTAAAGTCTGATGGACTGTCTTTTAAAAACTGTTCCATATTTGAGGAAAAACTAATATTGAAAAAAACTATTTGATTGAATCAATTTATATTCGTTTTTGTAGATGAAAATTGGTATTGAATTTGAGATTAATGAAGCCTTGTATTGATAAGGAAAGATTATAAAAAAATAATTTCGAGGGGGACTTAACGGGTAGTGTTTCTGGTTTAAGTATTTTGATTAAATTGAATTGAGCACTAATGTATCAAACGAAGTATGATTTGATAATGAACTAACTTTATGATGTTCTATTACTGTATGGTAGGTAAGACTTATTGAATTAGTCAAGTTTGAAGGTAAAATGTAATTAATCTAAATTGAGAAATTTACTTACTGGTTATTTATTTTTTTAAATAATTTTTTGTTTATTTTTATTATTTTTATTATTTATTTTGTGTTTTTGATTAAATATTATTATTTGTTTTCTAATATTAGAATTTATCTTTAACTAGTTTGCCATTTAAATAATTAATATCAATTAGTTATTAACAAGTAATCATTTGCATTTATAATCCGTCGAAGTAAAGTCTCACTTAGCATAGATTAATACATAAGTCACTTACTATCATTTAAGTTTCATATAATTTATATATAATCAAAAATGTCAGTCGAATCAGAGAATATCTTTAGACAATCATTTCGAAATTGGAATGATAGAACTACTTCAATAAATAATAATAATAATACTAATACAAATCGACCTATATTATCAGAATGGACAGATTATTTCAAAACTGGAGCAAATGATTTATATCAAAGATTACCAACATCAATTCAAGATTTAAATAATCCAAATTCAACTCAACAACAAGAACCTTCATGGTTTCAATTATCAAGATTGGAAAGATTAATTGGTTTTGGTTGTTGTTTATCTGCTTCTGTTTTGTGTTTTGTAATATGTTTTTTTATGTTTCCTGTATTAGCATTAAGACCAAGAAAATTTGGATTATTATGGACTGGTGGTTCAGTATTATTTGTTATATCATTTGGAGTTTTACAAGGACCATATAATTATATACGACATTTGTTATCAAAAGATAGAATTGTTTTTACTACTGTATTTTTTACATCAATTTTTTTAACTATTTATTCAAGTGTTGTTTTAAAAAGTAGTTTATTAACAATTTTTACAAGTATAATTGAAATATTTGCAATTGCTTATTATACTATAAGTTATTTCCCATTTGGTGCTACTACATTGACATTTTTTACAAGTTATATACTGGGTTATATATTTGGATTAATTGGGGGTATTTTATAGGATATGTCTTAAATTAAATTCATGTATATTTTATATATATTAATATATTAAATTATATAAATCAACTTTACGTCAACTCCTCATCAATTCGTCACACATACATCATCAACATCATCAATCTCATAAACCTTAATCTCAATATTTTTTTTATAACTTTTCATTATCTAATTTTGCTAATTCTTCTTTTAATTCTTCATGTAATTTACCTAATTTAGTAAAATCAGTTTCTTGAGCAGGCCAACCAACCCCTAACCCAGTTTCTTCATCAGGTTTTGGAATCAAATGAAAATGAACATGATCAACTACTTGATGAGCAATTCTACCATTATTTTGTAAAACATTATAACCTTCACCTTCAGGAGTATTATTTTCATTTAATTTTAAAACTTTTGTTAATTTTTTAACAACTGGTAATAAATCACTTAAATAATCATCTGGTATATTATGTAATTTTGCTCCATGATATTTTGGAATAATTAATACATGACCTTTTGATGTTGGTTGTATATCTAAAAATGAATAAGTTTTGGCAGTTTCAATTAATTTAAAAGATGGAATTTCACCTTTTATAATTTTACAAAATATACATGATGCATTTGATGACATTGTTAGATTCGTTTTGATACTCTAAAATCCCTAGAATCAATTATAAGAAATTGGATTAATTAAAAAAGGAATTGAAGAGTGGATATTATTTATTACATTAATTATTTGATTGGTATAATAAATTATTATAGCTACCAAATTTGATCTCCACTTAAAACATTATTATAATTCAATCAAACGAGGGGTGGATTGGTAGCTCTTTTTTTGAGCCAGGATTTTGCAACACATTTCTATCATTAATGGATCTTTAAAACAGCTTAAGATTCAGATCATGGGGAAAAACTTTTTATTCTAATTGTATGTAATTTATTAAGATCTAAAATAAGCTCATTGACTATGAAATCTTATTTTCTCGAATTGCTCTGTTATTAAAAAAAGAAAAATAATCACAAGTTTGAGACTAATGATGAAACACGTACTCAACAAATAGGCACTCCTGAGTAGAAATAGAAAAATAAAGGTAAAAGTAAAGATTTCCTGCAATAGAGCTATAATGTGAAGAAGGTGTAATTGGTAAGAACATTGACTAATTTATTCAAGTGAAAGTCTCAGGAACTTTTGGCTGAGTTTCCTAGAATTGAGCTCGTAAATTGACGGCAAGGCAGAGACAAACCAGGTTAAACTTGCATGAAGGCAATTTCAATTGAATTGACTGATAATCAACTTTCTCATTCTCTAGCTCAAAATTTCCTTTTTCTTTGTGTTAATGAATAGTTTTTGTTTCACCTAAGAGCATTCACTTATTTGATCCGTTATAGTATCTATTTTTTTTTCGTTCGATAATTAAAACACAATTTTTAAATTTGCCATCAATTAATATTTCAATAATATTTTAAATATTTAAATTTATCAACACATTAATATTTTTTTAATTTAGTTTTAAATTATTTTATACCAACTCAATTCATTAATTTATATATTCAATTTATTGAAATATGACTGGTGAAGAAGATAAAAAACCTCATTTTGATGCTTCTGGAGCATCAACAACTGATGATAAAACAGCAACTGCCATATTAAGAAGAAAAAAGAAAGATAATGCATTAGTTGTTGATGATGCAACTAATGATGATAATTCAGTTATTACAATGTCTTCAAATACAATGGAATTATTACAATTATTTCGTGGTGATACTGTATTAGTTAAAGGTAAAAAAAGAAAAGATACTGTATTAATTGTATTAGCTGATGATGATATGGAAGATGGTGTTGCAAGAGTCAATCGTTGTGTAAGAAATAATTTAAGAGTTAGATTAGGAGATATTATTACTGTACATCCATGTCCTGATATTAAATATGCAAATAGAATTTCAGTATTACCAATTGCAGATACTGTTGAAGGTATTACTGGATCATTATTTGATTTATATTTGAAACCATATTTTGTTGAAGCTTATAGACCAGTTAGAAAAGGTGATTATTTTACAGTTAGAGGAGGTATGAGACAAGTTGAATTTAAAGTTGTTGAAGTAGATCCAGAAGAAATTGCTATAGTTGCTCAAGATACTATTATACATTGTGAAGGTGAACCAATTAATCGTGAAGATGAAGAAAATAATATGAATGAAGTTGGTTATGATGATATTGGTGGTTGTAAAAAACAAATGGCTCAAATTAGAGAATTAGTTGAATTACCATTAAGACATCCACAATTATTTAAATCTATTGGTATTAAACCTCCAAAAGGTATATTGATGTATGGTCCACCAGGTACAGGTAAAACTATAATGGCAAGAGCAGTTGCAAATGAAACTGGTGCTTTCTTTTTTTTAATAAATGGTCCAGAAATTATGTCTAAAATGGCAGGTGAATCAGAATCAAATTTAAGAAAAGCTTTTGAAGAAGCTGAAAAAAATTCTCCTTCAATTATTTTCATTGATGAAATTGATTCAATAGCTCCAAAAAGAGATAAAACTAATGGTGAAGTTGAAAGAAGAGTTGTTTCACAATTATTAACATTAATGGATGGTATGAAAGCAAGAGCTAATGTTGTAGTTATTGCAGCAACTAATAGACCAAATTCAATTGATCCAGCTTTAAGAAGATTTGGTAGATTTGATAGAGAAGTTGATATTGGTGTACCGGATGCTGAAGGTCGTTTAGAAATCTTGAGAATTCATACCAAAAATATGAAATTAGCAGATGATGTTGATTTAGAAGCTATTGCTTCAGAAACTCATGGTTTTGTTGGTGCTGATGTTGCTTCATTATGTTCAGAAGCTGCTATGCAACAAATTCGTGAAAAAATGGATCTTATTGATTTAGAAGAAGAAACTATTGATACTGAAGTATTGAATTCTTTAGGAGTTACTCAAGAAAATTTTAGATTTGCACTTGGTAATTCTAATCCATCAGCATTACGTGAAACTGTTGTTGAGAATGTTAATGTTACTTGGGATGATATTGGTGGATTAGATAACATTAAGAATGAATTAAAAGAAACTGTTGAATATCCAGTTTTACATCCAGATCAATATCAAAAATTCGGTTTGGCTCCAACAAAAGGTGTTTTATTTTTTGGACCACCAGGTACTGGTAAAACATTATTAGCTAAAGCTGTTGCAACAGAAGTTAGTGCAAATTTCATTAGTGTGAAAGGTCCTGAATTATTAAGTATGTGGTATGGTGAATCAGAATCAAATATTCGTGATATTTTTGATAAAGCAAGAGCAGCAGCTCCAACTGTTGTATTTTTAGATGAATTAGATTCAATTGCAAAAGCAAGAGGTGGTTCACATGGTGATGCAGGTGGTGCATCAGATAGAGTCGTCAATCAATTATTAACTGAAATGGATGGTATGAATGCTAAAAAGAATGTTTTTGTTATTGGTGCAACAAATAGACCTGATCAAATTGATCCTGCATTATTAAGACCAGGTAGATTAGATCAATTAATTTATGTTCCATTACCAGATGAAGCTGCAAGATTATCTATTTTACAAGCTCAATTAAGAAATACTCCATTAGAACCAGGTTTAGATTTAAAAGAGATTGCCAAAATCACTCATGGATTTTCTGGTGCAGATTTATCATATATTGTTCAAAGATCAGCAAAATTTGCCATTAAAGATTCAATTGAAGCACAAGTTAAATTAAATAAATTAAAAGAAGAAAAAACAACTGAAGTTAAAACAGAAGATGTTGATATGAAAGAAGTTGAAGTTGAAGAAGAAGAAGATCCAGTTCCATATATTACAAGATCTCATTTTGAAGAAGCTATGAAAACCGCCAAGAGATCAGTTTCTGATGCTGAATTACGTCGTTATGAAGCTTATGCACAACAATTACAAGCTTCAAGAGGTCAATTTACAAATTTTAGATTTAATGAAAATGGTGCTGCACCAACTGCTGATGGAAGTAGTAATACTGGAGGTGCATCATTTGGAGTTGAAGAAGAAGACGATTTATACAGTTGATCTAAATAGTAAAGAAAAGCAAATGATTTTATAGTTCAGTTTTAATTTATCTGTATTCACAAATAAAGTAAATTTTAATTAATTATTACTAAATAATATTAATACATAAAATAATTACAGTAAATCCTTAAAAGCTCTATTAAATTTTATAAGCAGATTCATCAACACCATCCATTTTTTTAGGTAATCTAACAGCAATACCAATTGGGAAAATTTGAACATTTTCTAAATCCCATATACCTTCTTTTGCATAAATATCTTTCTTTAAAAAATCAAATATTTCATCCTTGGAATCAGCTACTAAATGAAAAGAACTTCCAGCGAATTTTGTCTTTAATTCATCAGTATATATAGCACCTGCTGATTTTATTGGGTAAGGAACATTTGCAGGTATATCTTTTACATGTTGTGGACGAACTTTTGATCTATCTACGTTTGGTTTATCAAAAACTGTAACTAAATATTCTTGTGACATTTTTGGGATTGATTGATTAAATTTTCTAATGAATTGAGTTGAAATGATTGATTTTAATGTGGTTGTAGTAGTTAATGTATTTAACATTTAATTTTGTTAAAAATTTAGGTGGTTAAATATTTGGAATTTTTTATTAAGTCGATTTGATATTTTTTGCGGGGGGATTACTAAGCGTTTGAATATTTAAGTTTTCCGATCGAAATCGGGATTTTGAATAGAGATTATTAAGCGAGTTTTAATACGTAATTTTTTTTATTAAGGATAATTCTATTAAGAATATTCTTTTTTATTTAACAAGTACCACGATAAGATTTTTTATTAATACCAGCATCTTGATGTTTTTCTTCTTTTTGTTCTTTTCTAATTTGTGCAGTACCACCAGTTGCAATAGCTAATAATAAATTATGAATATCTTGTTTATTTTGTTCACCATCAGAATTTGAAATTATTGATCTAACTGTATCAGCAGCTTTTGCTAATAATTCAGCAATTTCAGTACAATCATTAGTTAATTTTTCCAAAAGTGACATACCAAGAGAATTTCTAACTACTACTCTTAAAATTTCAATATCTGTTTGATCTGGTGGTAAATGATAATTTGGTACAATAAATCCTCTTTTTCTTAATAATGAAGAAAATAATTCTTGTGGAACTTCGGGATATTTATCTCTAAATTCTTTACTAAATCTAAATGCAACTACTGGTAATCCTGGTTTAAATTTTTGATTTATTGTCCAAATATCTGATAATTTATGATGACTTTCCTTTGTATATATTTTTTTAGATTCTGCTTCATCAATTTGTTCATGAATTACTGATAATACTTCGAAATAACCAGTTTTAATTAAATAATCAGATAATAATCTTGAATTTGATAAACATCCATCGAAAATTTTAGCATATCCTTCTTTACCTAAACTTAAGAAATTATAATATTGTAATAATACAGGAAACCCAGGTCTTGAAAAATTTAATCCAAATGTTTCTTCAACACCTCCCAAATAATCAAGACTAAATCTTAATTCTTTTGGTAATAAATCCTCATGTTTCCAAATAACCCAACCTAATCCAACAGAAGTCATACCAAATTTATGACCTGAAGTATTTATAGAATCAACTCTATCAATCGAAAAATCCCATTTTAAATTTGGGAAACTAAAAGGCGCAACAAATCCTCCACTTGCTCCATCAACATGAATTCTAATATCTAAACCTTTTTCTTTTTCAACTTCATCCAATAATTTTGAAATTTCATCAACTGGTTCAAAAGCTCCAGTGAAAGTAGAACCTAATATAACAAATATACCAATAGTATTTTCATCAACATTTTCTTTAATTTTGGAAACATCAATTAAATGACCTGATGATTCATTTATTGGAATTAATCTATTTTCAACATCAAAATAAACTGCAAATTTTTCCAATGCAACTTGAGCACAAGTAGCCATTAAAATATTTGGATTAGCAGTTGATTTACCTTGTTTTTTCATTTTTTCTTGCCATCTCTTTTTCAAAGCTAAACCAGCTAACATAATAGCTTCTGAAGAACCAGTTGTTGCAGTTCCTAAAGAATTAACAACTTTATCACCAGTTACTTCATCTATAGTATGAGGAGCATGCCATAAATTACTTAACATTGTAATACATCTATTTTGTATATCAATTAAACTTGGATATTCATCATTATCAGCTAAATTTTTTGTTAAATTCTCAGCAGCAATTCTAGTTTGAATATCATCAACATATGTATTAACAAATGATGCTAAATTTAAAGTTGGTGATCCATCTAATGTTAATTCTTGATTTAAATATTTATAAATTAAATGTTGTTCAGATGATTTTAATGGAATTTCAAATTTAGGAATTAATTTTTGTGCTTCATAAGCATCACTAAATTGATCTGGTTTTAAATTTAAATTTGGAATTTCTTTTAGGATTGAATATTCTAAATTTAATGGTTTAAGATGTTTTGATAATACCATTTTGATTTATAGTTGAGATTTGGGAATTGAATTGGTCTAACAATTATTGAAATATATAAATTAAATTTTAAAACATTTTACATCTTATTTATATTCGAATTGGCTTTGAATTATAAATTGAAATTTTAAACATTTTAAATTATTATTGCTTTGTTTAAAACTAACAAATATCCGTATTTTAATATTTAGTTTGTGTAATCAAAATAATTTGATTTTGTATAATAAATTTTACTAAGTCAATTCTCTCTAGAAAATTCCCCCCATATTTTAATAATCTCGAAGGAAGATCTGACCAAATATTGACTTAGAAGTAATCGAAGCTACTTGATTTTTCTAAATCTAGATGGTGGTAGTTTAAATAGAAATCACTATTTAAAATCTCCTTTTTACTTCTCAGCAATCAAATCAATTTCAATCCCCTCTCTTTCTCCCTTCTTCTTTACTTATGACATAATTTAATATGGCTTAGAAATATAAAATTACTTGATTTTTTTAGTTGTAATCTTTTGACCATAATGGTTTTATGAAAATTTGTCTTTCATTCAATTCATTTATTAAATCCGATTGAAGGAAGAAAACAATTAATTTTTCATAATTATTTAAGTTAATCTCATTATATTGTTCTTCAATTTGATTTTCGTTAAGCTAGTATTGTTTTTACAAAATTTGGTTGCAAAACTTCAACAATTGAAAGAACGTGCTAAACAAACAATGTTAATTATAGATTTAAAATTTATAGATCTGAATTATTTAAAACAATTGATTAGATCTTTAAGTCAATAAATTTATTGAAGCACTTTGCCATCGTTCATTTAATACTGGTTTAATGTAGAATATTATGTTTTGATATTATGATATATATTATCACAGTGAATATATTTATCACATGATAAGAAGAAACTACCAAAATTTTTTTTTATTTCCTTTTTAAGTTTGATTTATAAATTAATTTTATTTATCAATAATTTTGAAACAACGAAAAATTTAAAATTTAAATCAACAATTTTTACAACCAAATTTATTTTCATTTTCATTTTCATTTCTACATTTCAATTCTAGCTTAACATTCTAAATCAAATGGTTTTAACTCATTCTATTGATAAAGATGGTACTAATATCTTTCATAATAATTTAACAAATACTTATTTAATTATTAGTAATAATGGTAATAATATTGAAATTACAAAAGAATTACCAATTTATTTGGAAAAAACCAATAATAGTCAATTTCAAACAATTAGTTGCATTATTGGAATTATTAAATTAAAAATTAATTCATATATTATTATTGCTGATAAACATACTATAACTGGATCAGTATTGGGTAATGATATTGCATTTATAAAATCTTTTAAAATTTATCCATTATCTAGTAATGTTACTTTATCATCTGAAGAAAAGAAATATTTAGAATTATTAAATAAACAATTGAAAAATTCAACATTATATTATTCAATAAATAATCAATATGATTTAACAAATTCATTACAAAAACAATTTACAACTCAAACTCATCCATTAGATGAAAGATTTTGGTGGAATAAATATTTATCATCACCATTAATTGAATTTGATAAAAATTATGAATTTATTACTCCTATAATTTATGGTTATTTTAAATCTCATTCTACAAAATTTAATGGTAAAAATTTACAATTTGCATTATTAACTAGAAGATCAACTTCAAGAGCTGGTACAAGATATTTCCGTCGTGGTATTGATTTAGATGGTAATGTTGCTAATTTCAATGAAACTGAACAAATTTTTACATCTGATGATAATCATGTTTATTCTATATTACAAACAAGAGGTTCAGTACCAGTTTATTGGGCAGAAGTTAATAATTTAAAATATAAACCAAATTTAGAAATTAGTACTCAATCATCAATTGAAGCAACTGAAAAACATTTTGCTCAACAAATTGAATTATATGGTGATAATTATTTAGTTAATTTAGTTAATCAAAAGGGTTATGAAAAACCAGTTAAAGATGCTTATGAAACTGCTGTAAATAATTTACCACCAGGTTTACAAAAACATGTTCATTATATTTATTTTGATTTCCATCATGAATGTAAAGGTATGAAATTCCATAAAATTAATTTATTATTAGATCGTTTAATTAATTTAGGTTATACTTCAGATAATTATTTTGAAATTGATTTAAATACAAAACAAATTTTGAATGTTCAAAAAGCTATAGTTAGAACAAATTGTATGGATTGTTTAGATAGAACTAATGTTGTTCAATCAATGATTGGACGTTGGTTTTTACAAAATCAATTATTAAAATCAAGATATTTATTTTCAGTTGATCAAACTTTTGCTTCTATTGATCCAAAATTTAATTTGTTTTTCCAGAATTTTTGGGCTGATAATGCAGATGCTGTAAGTTGTGCTTATTCTGGTACTGGAGCTTTAAAAACTGATTTTACAAGATTAGGTAAAAGAACTTATCAAGGTGGTTTCCAGGATTTAATTAATTCTATAACAAGATATTATAAAAATAATTTAGCTGATGGTTCAAGACAAGATTCTTATGATTTATTTTTAGGTAAATTTAAACCATATCAAGATGCAGTTAGATCACCATTTGCTGATAACAGACCTCCAATTATTCAATTATTACCTTATTTAATGGGTACTTCATTCTTGATCTTGTTAGCGTTATTTTATTACCCAAAAGGTTCATTATTAGATTATAAAAATTTAATTTTTATTGCATTGGTTTTATTATTTAACTTAAAAAGTTTCCAATATATTATTTCAAGTGGGTATCAATATGTTGATTGGCCAAAATTAGTTCCATTAGATTATTTGAAAAAGAATTATACTTATGATTCAAATGGTAAAATCAATGGTGTAAAATATGATAAAACTGAACATTTCAAAGGATTTTCTAAAAAATCAAAATAGAGGAAATAAGCGTAATTAATTAGAAATTAAATAGATTTTTATATTCAAAAGACTTTTTTAATATATATACAAAAACTATGAACTTTTTTTAATCTACACTCATTTCATCATTATTTGTTGTATTCATATAACTCTCCAATTCTTTATCTAAATCATCAGCACTTTTTTTACCATTACTTTTGTTTTTATTTGGATTCATATATGAATCTAATTCTTTATCTAAATCATCAGCACTCTTTTTTGGATTTGGAGTTATTCTATTTTTGAAAACTCCACCATTACTACCACCTCTTATACCTCTACTATTACCTCTATATCCACCTCTTGATATCGGTCTAACACTTGTAATAAAATTTTCTTTTTTATGAATTGGGTTTGATTTTATTCTATCAGCTAAACTAACACTTGTAGTATTTTCAACAATTAATATTTTACCCATTGCCTTTTTACCATCATATTTAATTATAGCTTCTTGATTAGATCTATCATTATCTTGTTGGAAACATATATACGCTATCGTATCATTTAAATCATCGAATTTTATAAAATCTACTGCACTTATTGTTGAAAATAAATTATTTAAATCTTCTCCATTTAATTCTGGATGAATGTTTTTCAATCTTAATGTTGGTCTTCCATTAGCTAGTTGTAATACGTCTTTTGGTATGCTCGAGGAAGTTGTGGATGATGATCGTGGAATGTATACGTCTCTATCTCTTGAATCTCTAGTTTCTCTATGATTGATAGGTATTGGTCTTGAAGAAGGTCTTGATGGTGGGAATCTAGATGATCTGTGATGGTTAGGTAATGGAGCGCCTCTTCTTCGAGTAGGTATGAATCGTCTATGACTTTGTTCTTTTTCTCCAATTATATCGTCAAGGGATTTTTCTAAGATGTTTGACATTTTTTTCGTTGTTTTTCTAGTTTGTTATGTAAGTTTTACTTGAATGAAAATTAATCTTTTGATTTTTTTTTTACTATTATTTTTCGTTCAAATTGAATTTTTACGTTCGTGGACGCTACCAATTACAAGCGAATTTTTTTGATAATAATTTACAAGTACAGAAAAAAAAAAAGATACAATTTTTTTTTGAATAGTTGCAAAAAGAGATTCGATTCTAAATGAATAAGTCAATGGTTGCAAAAACAATTCAATTCTACATGGATAAGTCAATTAAATAAATATCCTGTTATTACAAACGTCTATTGTTAGAATATCAACTAAATTTGGAAAAAAAAAATTAGTCATTATCATCATTTCAATCCATTAAGCAATTCAATCAATTCAATATAATTCTTTTTAGATTTTTGTCTAATTCTTTTACCATAGTATATCAAGGGTATAATTAAAGCGATTAAAGCAAATTCTATAACAGCTAAAGCAATATAAGTATTAGTTGTGCCAGAAGCGTCTAGCCATAATGAACAAACAAATGTAAAAACACAAGCCAACAAATTATTGATAAGAGCAACTATCACCATCGATATGATGGTTATCTCAGGGTAACAATCTACTGTATATGATAAGGCCAATTCACCAACACTTCCAAAGCCAAATCCGACAAAAGCTAGCCCAGCGTATATGCAAACGGGTGACCATTGCTTATCACTACCTACTCCAAACATAATTAAACCAGCTGGTGATAGAATTAATGTAATAAATAATAAATATAGTCTATATTCTGGCTCATATAACCCACCATTTCTTTTAGCAATCCAAGAAACATAATAATCAGAAACATAACCGGCCAAAAAACAACCTATAATACTACCTACTAAAGTTGCAATATTTAAATTGGCTACTCCAAAATCAGAATAGTTGTACGGTGGATCATAAAATATAGTTTCTTCAGTAGTTAAGTAAAACGATAACAAGACATCTTGAAAACCCCACATTAATCCTGACCATACGACAATCTCAAATCTAAATACTTTTAAGTAAAGCCATAATCTTTTAAGGTATTGTTTGAATCCTGTACCTACCAAAAAACTAGCTGGTGTAATTAACGCTATACTTTTATAATAAGGTCTTGGTTTTTCCTCTTTTGTTTCTGGATCAATGTTGAACATTTCATTGGTTTTAATATCAGCTAATTCTCTATTTGAACTAACAGGATGTTGATGAGGTTCTGCCTCGTTATAAATTTTTGTATCAATTGTAGATTTTTTATCATCATCTTCTTTAACAATAATGTCTTTATCATTAGTAACATCATAATCTCCATCAATTGAAGTAGAATCATAAACTTTAGCATACAAATACCTTTCAAACGAAGTTTCTTCATAAAAGAATATGAATATCACTAAAGTAGCACCACATATGATAGCACCCCACCAACCAACCCATCTAAAAGATTGATAATGAGCAATATATCCAGCTATTAAAGGTCCTAAAAAGGTACCAACAGAAGTACTGAAAATATATAAAAACATATGGAAACCTAATTGATTTTGAAAAAATAAATCTGTAATAGACAATAAAACTAAAGATTCAGCAGCTGCTTCAGAACTACCAACAAATAACTGTGACCATATAGTGTCTGATGTTCTTCTGCTGACTGCGAACCAGATACAACCCACAAGTCCAACGAGCAAGCACAAAAGATAAGCAATCTTTCTTCCGTATAAATCAGGAGCTGGTGATAACAAATAAGCCGCAACACCAATCGAAGCAAATAATACACCAGCACCAGTATTCATTGCATCATATGAAATTCCATAACGTTCATTAAGTGAATCTTGTGTAGCTCCTGCATCATTTGAAGTTGCAGCAGTTAAAGCAGTATAAAAAATTAATAAGAAATAATTCCAATACTTGCGTACATTGGACCAATTTAATGGATCATTTGGTGAATCAGTTGGTTGTGGAATAAGTACTAACCCATTTTTATCTCTTTTGATTGATTTTGTTGATGTTATTGAATTTAATTCATTTTGTTGCCCTGTTAAAATGTTTGTTGTTCCTGGGATATAATTATCATCGTAATATTCTGATGGAATTGAAGTTTCTATAGCCATTTTTTTATATCTTGATTAATGGTCTTTTTGGAAAAGTAAATCTAGCAATGAAAGTGAATGTTTTTGTTGATTGAATAGGTATACTTGAGTAATCTTGCACTATAATCTGGGAAATATGCAAACTATTTATATGATATCTTGAAAATCACTAACTAATGGAAATCTTACACTATGATTTGGGAAATGTGCAAACTGTTGATATATGATTTTTGAAAAACACTAACTAATGAATAGGTATTAATATAATGTTTCTAGACTGTTTAAAATTTGGTAATGTCAGTAGGACATTGTGTCGTGTGACCTTAATTAACTCTTTACTTTATAAATTTTGATGATATAATTTGCAATATTGAACCTAGATTATCTATATTGACTTGTTTGATATTATATTTACTTAATAATAATGAACTTTTTTGCAACTATTCCCAATTAGTTGAAGTTCTTGATATAATTTTTTCAAAAATTATGATTTAAAAATTGAAATGAAAAATCTGAAAAAAAAATTTAGACTAAAAAAAAAAATAAATTAAATTTCGCTTAAATCCTAAAAATAAAATTTAAAAGAAAATATGTCAAAGTTTTATAATTTTATAATTTTAAATCTTAAGATCGATCCTTAGTATTACAATTATTCCGAATCCTTATCTTTAATTTCATTATTACTTTTATCATTTAATCATTTATTTGATCAGTTACGAGCGGCTAAAAATTAATGCCTTCTCTCACCAATTATCAATCTTTCTTATCTTTAAAATTAATACAAATTAAATTTTTATTGTATTTATTTGCGGCTTAGTACAAAATAGGAAAAAGAAATTTTTTTATTTTTTTTAGATTAAAGTTTTGACATGTCAAGAATAAGTTTACGACACATAAGATTTATAACGACAATTAAAATCTCGTAAATTTGAACAAATTTAAACTTTATTTGGTCTAGCGCAATTTAATTACTTAATTTGGGAATTAAAATTAAAAAACAAAACTCACTGTATCTCTATTTTATATTTAGTCTATTTTTAAATTATATACTTTTTTAAAATCCATTATCATCATTATCACCATGAATTTCTTCAATAGAGGCTTTTTGTTTCCATTCCAAAAGGGGAGCAAGATCTTCAATTGATCCGCTTTTGTGAGTTATAAAAGAATGTGATAATAATTCTGAAGTATTAGCTCTATACCTTGTATCAACACATAAACATATACTTAAAAATTTCTTTATAGAATTACTCAATTGTTCTGGTTTCTTAAGTTTTGGAGTACCATTTGTAGCAATTAAATAAAGCGCCTTAAGGGGTTCTTCATTTAGATAAGGTGGTTCACCTTCAATCATTTCTATAGTCATTATACCCAACGACCAAACATCAACTTTTTCATCATATTCTTTTTGTTTCACAACTTCTGGTGCCATCCAATACGGTGTACCTACCATTGTTGCTCTTTTATTTCTTTGATCAGTTAATTTTGCACAGAAACCAAAATCTGTTATTTTAACATAACCTCTTGCATCAAGTAATACATTATCTGATTTAATATCTCTATGAATAATATGCTTTTTGTGTAAATGTTGTAAACCTTTTAAAGTTTCAAAACAAATTGTTGCAATTTGTTTTTCATTTAATTTAAATTCATTATTTTCTATAATTTCCGTTAATGAACCACCTTCCATATATTCCATTATAACCCATAATTCAGTATCTTTTCTTAAATAAGAATCTAAAAAATTAACAATATTTTTATGTTGAGAATCTTTCATAACTAAAATTTCATTAATAATTAATTCTTTTCTTGGTTGAACATTTAAATCCATTTGTTTAATTGCAATTTTTTGATGATTACTTAATTGCTCTGCTAAATAAACATTACCACTAGCACCTTGACCTGCTTTTTCAATTATTCTAAATAGTGGTTTCGGATCATTACTATTTACAACCGTTTTTAATTTCGCTATAATCTGTAAATCATTTAATCTTTCTCTTTCTTTTTTAAGTTGTTTTGGAGTTTTAGTTGGAACTGGACCCATTGGAGGAGTTGTATCCTTTTGCTGTTTTGGTTTTAATTGTAATGGTTTTATTGGTTCATTTGGTTGTGTATCGGTGTTATAACTCTTTTGTATTTTTAAATTAGGATGTGTTTGGTGATGTTGTTGTTGTAATTGTTGGGTTTGAGTTAATGTTTGTGGTTGTTGTTGTTGCTGTGGTAGTTGAGAAGGTGGAGTTGGAGCTAATGGTGGAGTCTGTTTAGGCTTTGGCTGTGATGATGATTGAGGTGGTGGGGGAGCTCGTCTGATAGGTATTGGTGCTTCTGATTTATTAATTAAATTATTTAATGGTGATATATTTTTAGCTGCTTGTTCTTGAGTTAAATGATAAGGAACTGGAGGTTTTGGAGCAGCTCTATTTGGTTTAAATTGTTGTGCATTACTTTTTGGTGGTGGTTTAGTCCATTCTTGTAAATTTGTTGAATTATTTTGATCAATATTTGAAGGTTGTTGTTGTTGTTGATTATTAATTAAAGGAGTATTTGGTGATGAACCATTTATATCAGAATAAAATTCCAATACTTCTATAACTGCAACTGGATCTTTTTTCCAATCTTCATTTGTGATTTTTGAATGTTGTAATAAACTCTTCCAAGTTTCTGGTAATCCAGTAAAATTACCACTTGCAGGATCAAAACCAACATGAACTTTATGAGTAAAATTTATTGGACTTGATACACTTGAATTTCCACCATTTAGTAAAGATGTTGTATTTATTGATGGTGTTATATTTGAATTTGATGAAGGTAGACTTGAATTAGTACCAATTTGAATTAATGGACATTTTGAAAAAGCATTTAACCAATCTGTATAATCATTACTTGATTTAACAGATATTAGTATTGGTTTACCATTATTTTTTGGAACAATTTCAAAAGATTGAGCAGTTTTAGAATGACCCAGTTGAGGTTTTAAATTAACATTACTAATTAAATTTAATGGTAATAATAAATCAGGTACAATAACTTCAGTAATATTTGGTTCATTTTTATAAAAATTTAGTGATCTTTCATTTATATTCATAAATCTTTTGTTCCATCTAAATGAAGTAAATAAACCATCATCTTTGACATGTACCCAGCCTGATTGTCTTTTGTTTGAATTAATACTAATTGTTGATGAATTATTATTATTATTATTAATTGTACTTATATTTGAAGTTGATAGTGACGGAGGTGGAGGTGGTGCTCTTCTATGATTTTTCAAATCAGAAGTATATACGCTAGTCATAATACTACCTCTTCAATGACTTATAGGAATGTTGATTAATTGTTGTTGTAAAAAAAAAATTGAAATCTGTTTCAAATTTAAAAAAAAAAAAAGTAATTTTAAAAAATAAAAAAATAAATTTAAAAATCAACAAAAGGAGAAATTTACTAGGAGAATAAATTAAGAATAAGAAGGAATTAATACAAACAATTATCAAATTTACGATTATCAGAAACACTTAAAGCATAACCCACACAAACTTATCGTCTATTACATCAACCTTTAATTTATCAGTGTGGTAACTTCACCTTGTAAACCAACCAATAATGAATTAAATCTAGTCAATTTAAGACGTATGTAACACAAAATCAACAATTGTAAACAAAGATCTACCGTCTAAAAAAATCTAGATTTCTATAGAAGTCATATTCTTTATATTTAAATTTTAATAAGACTGCACCTCATGAGAATATAATCGAAGTAAGTTAGGTTCAAAAATTAATTATCACCATTCCAATTTACTCCTCTTTGGATACAAAACAAGAACTTATCAAAAATATTATTATAAAAGAAAATCTTAGGAAATTCGAGCTACCAAATTATCATAAGTTTTAAGGTACAAATTTAATTATACTTAATTGGGAAAGCTATAGACTATATACGCGTATATAAAGAAAGAAAGAAAGTTAAGAGAATAAATTATGTCAACATATTTTTACTTGAACTTAATTTTTGATTAGTTAAAAGGTCCAAGCTTAACGTTGAATAAGATCTTAGACTTTAATTTGATTGAAATCTTTTTTATAGACATTTATGAGAACTACTGTAAATACTACGTTTTTAGTTAATGACTATGAATTACTTGAGTGATGTTGTGATTGAGAAGTTGAATCGAAAATTTATAATTTGTTCCCCTTACCTCTCTACGAATTCACATATTTATTTATTTGATAATCGATACTTTCCATTCCTTCAATCAAACTAATGTCCAATATTTAGTAATTTAAGCTTAAAATTTTTGGCTAAGCTGATAAACAAGCTATCAACCTACGCCGCATAATATTTACTAAAAATAGATACAAACCTAATTTATATATTGTATGGAAAAAAAGAATATATTCTTGTATTTTTCTTATTACAACCAAACTACTTCATTACTTAGCTAAATCATTTTCTAATTACACAGGCGTAATACCAATTGAATTTGTTAAACTGTTTGAGCATTAATGAATAATTAGATTGAATAGACATTTTGAAAATTGTCTCACTTTTGTTAATTTCTTATAGTTTAATTTAATTTGTGGGGTTTTAATATTTCGCAACCAAGGAGGGGTGTGTCATCAATAGCTGTTAAAATTGTTTCCGAATATCAAATACAAATTATTAGCATTTTGCATTCTATTTCTGCTTATGTTATGGTCAAAGCATACACTTAAAAATTCTAAAAAATTTATGCATACAATGGTACAGGAAGATTATGATGCATTAAAATATCGTAAATGGATTCAAATAAATCAATCATCCAATGATGATGATAACAACAAGATATCAATCATGACATATAACTTATTATCAAGACACTATATATGGAAACTGGTATATGAACAAAATAACCCCAAACATTTAAATTGGTCAAAACATAGATTTCCACTAATCAACAAGACAATAAGACAACTAAAGAGTGATATAATGTGTTTTCAAGAAATGGAATATTATATATATAAAAGATTTTGGAGTAAAAAATTTCCAAATGAAAAATACAAGAGTTTTTATATACAAAAATCATCAACTCAATATTATACAAATGAAAATACTGATGGCGTGGGGATATTTATAAATACTGAGAGATTTGATATTTTGGAAAAATTTGAAATTAATTTTGGCAAAGAAATACTAGATCATAAAAATAAATACGATTTGACAAAAGATTTAGTTGGAAGAGTGATACCGAGAAATACAGTTGGATTAATTTTAAAATTGTATGATAAAGAATCTAATAAAATTCTATATGTTACAAATACTCATTTGTATTGGTCACCTAAATTTAATGATGTCAAAATTTTACAAACAAAACTATTACTAGATAAGTTAAATTCGTGTAGAAAAGAACAAGACTCAGCCGTTATCTTTTTGGGAGATCTAAATTCAAACTTCAATTCTGACGTTATCAAATTATTAAAAGAAGGACAACTTGACACAACTACTTCAATAGAATTTAAAACTCAAGAGTATGGTATAAATAACGCATTGATTAATTCAGAAGCTATAATAGAGAATCCTTTCAATCTACAAAATGTTTATGAAACCTTGTTTGCAGAGTCTAAATTACATTTTACAAGTTTTGTAAGTAGATTCTCAGATGTAGTTGATCATATATTCATTAGTGATGATATTGAAATTAATAAAGTACTAGGAGAAGTTGATCCAAAATATTGTGCTAATAAACAAGTTAAGGGATTTCCTAATGGTCAATTTCCATCTGATCATATACCATTAGTTGTAGAAATAAGTTATAAACGTAATAATAATAGATAAGCAATATATAATATTTCTTTCAGTCGTGTAAATTGTCATTTCTTATTCTTGTCTTTGTATTCTCTTTTTCTCTCCTTTAATAATAAATTTGATGATGAAATAATTATTGAAATAGAGAGACAAAAATTTCTTTACAACAAAATCAATTTTCAATTAAAATATAATAATATAAACTTGAATGATAATAATAATAGATACATATATACTATATCACTAACAACATAATAAAGAGAAAGTGAATAATATCTTGCAGATTACATTGGGTTTAAAAAGAGAAATAAGAAATTATAGTAAGAAGAAAAAAAAATATTGTTATTCCCAAGTAATACTTCAAGATTAAATGAACATGAATCTAGCTAGTAAATATCAAGTGCAAGGACAAGGTCAACCACAATCAAATCTACAAGCTCAGCAAATATTGTTGCAACAATTACATCAAGGTCAATCACTTCCTCAACAAAATCAACAACAAAATAATTCGACGAACGGCCTAGGTGCTGGGTTCCAACCAAATGAAAGTTATAATAATGACAATCAAAACCTTTATCAAAATTATCAACGTAATCAATTACAGCAGCAGCAGCAACAACAACAACAACAACAGCAGCAATATTTTCCACAATTTCAACAACAGAATCAATCTAATAATAATCATTTAACTTCACAGTTACTGCAACCACCCCAGCCACAACAACTTCCTAGACAACTTCCCCATTTACAACAACAGCAACAACAATTTTATAATCAACAAGCAATCAAACCTCAACAACTCCAGCAACAAATCCAATTACAAGGTGGTCAAGTTCAAACATCAATTCAAAAAAATTCAACAACTGTGGAAAATCCAAACTCAATCCATTGGCAACATCAACAACAATTATGTCAAGTATCGAGATCATCAAATATACCTCATTATTACGCAAGACAATATGCATCAAATTCTAGAAAAAACCCATATGATACAAAATCAGTTGGATTAATAGAGGCAACTAAAGTTGTTATTGGGAAATTAGATGAACAAAAATTAAATGATACACCAACTAGTTCATCTGCATTATTACATAATAAAAAAACTTCACAAGATGATGATTTAATGGAAGAACAACGTATGAGATTAAAAACTCAAGGTCGTCAATTATGGTGTCAATTAGATTTGAGTGGACAAGGTTTAGTTAGTATATCACCAAAATTATTTCATTATGATTTCTTGGAGTCATTATATTTAAATAATAATAAATTAATTACAATTCCATCAGAAATAAGTAAATTAAGAAGTTTAAGGACATTAGATTTATCACATAATAGAATTAGTGAATTACCATATGAATTAGGATTATGTTTTAATTTAAGATATTTATTTTTATTTGATAATAATATTAAAAATTTCCCAAGTTCATTTGGTAATTTAATAGAACTTTTATTTTTAGGAGTAGAAGGTAATCCACTTGATTTAAATGTTGCAAATTTAATTGCTGAAAAGGGTACAAAAGAATTAATAGCTACTATAAGGGATCAAAAGACTTCAAGAATACCAGAACCAAGAAAATGGCTTACAATCGAAGATGGGGAAGTTGTTGATTCATCAAATTATAAAGCTGAGAAAAGTGCAAGCGATTCTTTTACTGTATTATCATATAACACATTATGTCAACATTATGCAACTCCTAGAATGTATAAATATACACCATCTTGGGCATTACAATGGGACTATAGAAAAGCAGCACTTGAGAAAGAAATTTTAGGATATGGTACAGATGTAATTTGTATGCAAGAAGTTGAAACCAAGACATATCAAGATTTCTGGGCTCCACTATTAGCACAAAAAGGGTACAAGGGTTTATTTTATAATAAGACGAGATCAAAAACAATGAGTGAAAATGATGCCAAAAAAGTAGATGGTTGTGCATTTTTCTACAAGATTGATAAATTTACCTTAGTGCATAAACAAAATTTTGAATATAATAGTGTTTGTATGGGATCAGATAAATACAAAAAGACAAAAGATTTATTCAATAGGTTTATGAATAAAGATAATATTGCATTAATCTTGTATCTTCAACATAAGGATACTGGTGAAAAAATATGTTTTGTAAATACACATTTACATTGGGATCCAGCTTTCAATGATGTTAAAGCATTACAAATTGGTATATTATTAGAAGAATTACAAGGACTTATCAAAAAATATCAACATGCAAGTTCAATAGAAGAAGTTAAAAATGCATCAATAATAGTATGTGGAGATTTTAATTCAGTTAAAAAATCAGCAGTTTATCAAATGTTTTCAACAGGTACTTCTAAAAGTCATGATGATTTATCAGGTAGAGACTATGGAAAATTTACAGAATCTGGGTTCCATCATCCATTTAAACTAAAATCTGCTTATGAATCTTTAGGAGAATTACCTTTCACAAATTTAACTCCAGCTTTTACAGACAATATTGATTATGTATGGTATTCAACTTCAAATTTACAAATTAAAGGATTATTGGGAAAAGTTGATGAAAATTATGCTTCTAACTCAATAGGTTTTCCTGATGCTAATTTCCCATCTGATCATGTACCAATATTAGCCAATTTTCAAATTAAATCAAAACCAAATTAAAGTTTTGAAATATATAGAGTTTTATGACTGTTTTTTTCTCCAAAAGAACTGTCTAATGTTTAATAATAATTATAAAAAAAATTGTAAAATAAAATACATGATTTATATTGTGTGTATGATGTAACGAACTTTGATAAATATAAATATAAAGTTAAAAATTGAGTAAAATGTCAACACTTTAGCGTAATAACACTAGTACCATATTCAAATATATTATGTATTACGTGTTTACTAATTTTGGAGATCTTGGTGAAAATCTCAAAATCTTATTGTACGGAATCTCGATTCGATTCGATTCAAGATCTCGGAAATTTGGTGAGCGGCTCACGGAATAATTGAATAAATTTGGGGGATCTATTCGATTCCAATTTTATCTCAAAAACTCCGTCATTCATTACTTCTTTTTCTGCCAACAACTAACAACAACTACTTAATTGATTTTAAAAAATGTCAAAGTCCTTGCTAATCCCAACTGAAAATGATTATTTAGATGCTCATGGAGATCAAACAGAACAAAAAGAATATAATGAACTTTGGAAGAATAAATTAAGTAAAGAAAGAAACTCACAAGGTGAATTAATATTTCCATGGTCATTTGAAGTAGTTCAAGGATTTTTCAAACAAAGTGATGAATCGACGGATGACAGAACTTTCAATTATGTAAATGAACATATGGGTCGTCTTAAAAGTTGGGAAGATATAACTGGTGAATTATTAAAATTAAATCAACAAGCACCAGATAATGTAGAATATAAATTATTATTCTTAGCAAGACATGGTCAAGGATATCATAATACTATAGTTGAAAAATATGGTTTAGAACAATGGGAAAAAAAATTACATAAACTTGGGGACTATGAAGGTGTACATTATGGTCCTGATCCTGAATTAACTGAAATTGGTCAAAAACAAGCTAAAGAAAATCATGATCTTTGGGAGAAAGAAATAAAATTGGGTGCACCAATACCTGATAAATTTTATGTATCACCATTACAAAGATCATGTAATACTTTAAAAATAACATGGGATGGATTGAAACCTGATTCAAAAATTCCTTACGTAAAGGAAAAATTGAGAGAAACTATAGGTAAGAATCTTTGTGATAAACGTAGTTCTAAATCCATAATAAAAGATAGATTTGGAATTTATGGATTCAATACTGATGGAATTATAGAAGAAGAAGATACATTTTTCACTGATATTCGTGAAACAATGGTTGAACAATCAATTAGAATTAATGAATTTTTACAAGAATTATTTTCTTCCGATTGTGATTCAAATGGTAAAGTAAACAAAGAAAAAAGTATTGAAAATATTTTTATATCAACTCATTCTCATGCTGGTACAATTCGTGCTTTTTTAAATGTATTATTTCATAGAAATTTTACAATATCAACTGGTGGAATGATCCCTGTTGTTATAAAAGGGACTAAAAGACAATAAATTATAGATTAAAATTAGATTTAAAGAATAGATATTTGATAAATAAGTATAGAATATTATAATAGATAATTAGTTAGACTATATGGATTTAATGAAAAACGTGGATAATTTATAGAACTACTCTTAACTCCATCCGTCTTATAATATAGTATGTACCACTTGCTACCAATTTCTTAGAATTTATTTTTTAATGTATCGAAAATCAATTGGAAATTAACACAAAACTATAAATTACTTATTTAGTTAAATTAAATACATTTTGATGTAATTATATAAATGTAATGTAAAGTAATAGAAGAACCCTTTTATTCCTTAGAATTAATCCATTTCCACTGTATTAAAATACTTTATAATACAAACTACAATATCAATTGAAAAACGATTGGCAAAGTTATTGTACGAATAAAATTAGGTTATTATTTCGAAAAAACAATCATTAAATCTTGCTAATTTATTCAAGAGGCTTATGCAAAAAACTTTAATCCTAAAAATTCAAAGAATAAAAAATCACAAATAGATCAATTTACCACCCGGGTTATTTCAACCATATCCTTACAAATCATTATAAATGAAAGGATTCAATATCCTAATAATCTCCGTTGCATTAATCTCGGAGGTTAAGGGTATATGGCCATTTGATAGTGGAACAACTACATCTGGAAATTCAGCTTCATCAATCCCAACACCAGCTTCATCTTCGGGAGGCCAAGGGTTTTTCCAATCATTAATAGGAGACTTTGGAGGTGGTAGTTCAAGTACTGAAACTGGAGCTGCAGCAACAGATGATACAAATCCATATGCTCCTTATAATGTAACATGTCCTTCTGGTTCATTAATTAGAGAAGCTAGTGGTATTTCAGATGAAGAAAAAAATTATATACAGCATAGACATGAGATCACAAATAAAAATCTAGTGAATTTCTTAAAAAAAGCTAATATGACTGATTTTGATCCGGATTCATTTATTAATGATAATTCAGATAATCATAATATTACGATTGGATTAGCATTCAGTGGTGGTGGATATAGAGCTATGCTTTGTGGAGCAGGACAATTATTAGCTACTGATGATAGATTCTCAGATTCAAATGATCATGGAGTTGGTGGATTATTACAATCTGCTACTTATTTAACCGGATTATCTGGTGGTAATTGGTTGGTTGGAAGTTTAGTATTGAACAATTGGTTATCAGTTGGAGAAATAGTAAATGGAAGTTCACAAATTTGGCAAATAGAAGATTCAATATTAAACCCCAGTGGTATAAGAATAGATAAAACTATTGCATATTATTACGGATTAAGACAAGCTGTTTTAGCAAAAGAAAATGCAGGATTTGATACAACTATTACTGACATATGGGGTAGGGCATTAAGTCATCAATTTTTTGAAGATGATAGCGGTGGTGAAAATGTTACTTGGTCAAGTGTTCAAAATATGTCAAATTTTCAAAATTATGAAATGCCATATTTTACAGTTATTGCAAATGCAAGATTACCTCATACTGTAATTATTAATGAAAATAGTACAATTGTTGAAATATCAGCTTATGATTTAGGATCTTGGGATAAAGCTTTGAGATCATTTACTGATATTGAGTATTTAGGAAGTGCAGTTGATGGTGGGAATCCAAATAACACTGGAGTATGTGTTAAGAATTTTGATAATGCTGGTTTTATAATGGGTACTTCTTCATCTTTATTTAATCAAATTATTCTTCAATTGGGGAACTACGATATAAATAGTATTATTAAATCAGTTTTAACTGATTTATTAGCCACTTTAAGTTATGCAGAATTTGATATAGCATCATATGAACCAAATCCATTTTTTGGTGCTGATCATGGGGATTCTCATTCAATGGTAACCAATGATACATTATACTTAGTTGATGGTGGTGAAGATTTACAAAATGTTCCTTTCTATTCATTAATTCAAACAGCAAGAGATGTCGATGTTATTTTTGCATTTGATAATTCTGCAGATACTAATCAGCTGTGGCCTAATGGAACTTCTATTATGGAAACTTACAAAAGACAATTTTCAGTATTAGGTAAAGGCACTCCATTTCCATTCACGCCAGATGTTGAACGATTCTTGGATGAAGATTTAGGTTCTAAACCTGTATTTTTTGGATGTAATGCATCAGATATGAGCAACTTGGTGGATTGGCATAATAACAGTAATATAAATGTAACCGATGTACCATTGGTGGTTTATGTATCAAACGCTCATCAATCATATAATTCAAATTTTTCAACATTTAAATTATCATGGGAAGATGAAGAAAAATGGGGTACAATAAGAAATGGATTTGAAGTAATGTCAAGAAATAATTTAACAGATGATGAAAATTGGCTTGGTTGTGTTGGATGTGCTATTATTAGAAGACAACAAGAAAGATTTGGGCAAGAACAGACTGATCAATGTAAAAAATGTTTTCAGGAATATTGTTGGACTGGTGGTGTTAAAGAAGCTGCTGCTGTCAATAGTGTTAGTGGAATTAATGAGATATCTGGTATATCTACTGCTACGACTACTACTGCTCAGCAATCGTCATCATCAAGCTCCTCAGGTTCATCTTCAAATGGTGGATCTTCAACAGCTGCTTCTTCTTCAAGTAGACAAAGTAACGGTCAAAGTATAGAACCAATTTCGTTATTCTTTTTCATTAATATTTTATTTAGTTATTTAATTATATAGATTCAAAAGTAGACATAAAAATTAGACTAAGACGTAAGATTAGACAAAAGTTTGAAATTTCATCTCTCCTCCTATACCTTGAAACTTGGTTGCAAAATTCAAAACACAAAATTAATTTACATACAATTTCGCATCTCATACTAAAGTACCGTTTACATATTTTTTTTTCAGGATCAAGTTTTACAACCAACCAAAATATACAACACATCTCATTGAAATATGGTCAAGTCATATAATCGTTATGATCAAGAGAAATGTTTTGGAGTAATAACATCTCATTCAAATATAGTATGGCTTCCGCCAAGTGATTCACAATCTTCAACAAGTGTTGGAAGAGCACTAACATCAGGATTAGAGGAAATACTAATATGGGACATTAAAACTGGTGAATTATTACAAAGATTTAATGATTCTTTAACTCCTGGTGCATCCAATTCAAGTACTACCATTGCACCAAGTCCCGTAACATATTTAACATATCATAAAGAAACAAATTTAATAGCTGCAGGTTATATGGATGGGAAAATTAAAATATGGGATATAAGTTCACAATCAGTATTAATGACATTTGAAGGTCATAAATCTTCGATTAGTATATTAAAATTCGATAGAAGTGGGACAAGAGTAGTTAGTGGATCAAATGATTCAAGTATAATAATGTGGGATCTTGTAGGAGAAAGTGGGTTATTCAAATTAAAAAGTCATAAAGGTCCAATAACTGGGTTACAATTTTTATCAGAAATAACCGAAGAACAAGAAGAAGATTTGGATCAGATTGAGGATTATTTATTGAGTAGTTCAAAAGATGGACTTATCAAATTATGGGAATTGAAAAGTCAACAATGTATAGAAACTCATTTAGCTCATAGTTCAGAATGTTGGTCGATGGGAGTAAATAAAGATAAAACCATGTTAGTAACTACAGGAAATAAAGATCAAGTTAAAGTATGGGGTATAGATCTAAATCAAGAAGACGGACAAAAAATAAATGAAAGAGGAATGTTTGAAAAAACAAGTAAAGCAAAAGGGAATGAAATACATTTTAAAAATGTTAAAAACAATGGTTCTGAAGTTGAATTATTCTTAATACAGAATTCAGATAGAACTACTGAAATATTTAGAGTAAGATCAGAAGATGAAATGAAAAAGGGAATAACTAAAAGAATGAAAAGATTACAGGAGAAAGGTATGGATGAAGATGAAATTTTACAAAGTATACAAAATTCCGAAATTAGCATGCTAATAACGCCTTTCACAACTATAAGAGTAATGTCGAAGATAAATTCATGCTGTTGGACCGATAGTAGGAAAAAGTTAAACATACTAATGGGAATCACAAACAATACAATAGAATTTATAAATATACCAACACCTGAAAATATAAAAAAGACACAACCAACAGAAATTCATTCAACAAAAGCATATACTATAGATCATTTAGGTCATAAATTTGATATAAGAGCAATGGATATATCACCGGAAGATGATAAATTATTAGCTACTGCATCAAATGGGGAATTAAAAATATGGAATACAAGAACTTATAACGTTATACGAACATTTACATTAGAAGGTGGTTATGCGTTATGTTGTAAATTTTTACCTGGTGGGACTTTGGTGGTTGTTGGTTTTAAAAATGGTGATTTAGAGTTATATGATTTAACTACGTCTTCGTTAGTCGATAGAGTTGAAAATGCACATCAAATTGCAGGAAGTGAAGATAGTGCAGCTGTTTGGTCATTAGATTTAACATCTGATGGTAAAACTTTAGTTACTGGTGGTAATGATAAATGTGTTAAATTTTGGAATTTTAAAGTTGAAAAAGATATAATACCAGCTACAAACACAGTAATATCGCAATTAAAATTTGTACACACACAAACTTTGGAATTGAATGAGGATGTATTATGTGTCAGAATATCACCAGATGATAAGTACCTAGCAGTATCATTACTTAATAGTAATGTTCAAGTTGTTTTTCTAGATACATTAAAATTATTTTTAACATTATATGGTCATAAATTACCTGTTTTATCAATAGACATATCAGCAGATTCAAAATTAATTATAACATCATCAGCAGATAAGAACATAAAAATTTGGGGTTTAGATTTTGGTGATTGTCATAAATCCATATTTGCACATCAAGATTCAGTAATGAATGTAAAATTTATCGGAGAAACTCACAATTTTTTTTCAAGTGGTAAAGACGGTTTAATAAAATATTGGGATGGTGATAAGTTTGAATGTATACAAAAATTACCTGCTCATCAAAGTGAAGTTTGGTGTATGGCAATAAGTAAAAATGGTTTATTTATGTGTTCTACATCTCATGATCATTCTATTAGATTATGGTCTGCTACTAGTGATCAAGTATTTTTAGAAGAAGAAAGAGAAAAAGAAATGGATGAATTATATGAGAATAAATTATTGGATCAAATAGAAGGTGATGAACCATCTAAAAATGATGATGAAGATGATGAAAATATGGAAAGTAGTGCAGTTGAAAGAGTTGGTAAACAAACTATGGAAACTTTAAAAGCAGGTGAAAAATTAATGGAAGCATTAGATATTGGAATAGAAGATTTAGAAGCAACAAGAGCTTATGAAGCACAATTAAAAATTAGCAAAAGTACACCCAAACCAACACCAAATGCAATCTTATTAGCATTTAATGTAACTGGACCACAACATGTTTTGAACACCCTAACAAAAATAAAACCATCACAATTAGATGATGCATTATTAGTATTACCTTTTTCATATTGTTTAAAATTATTACAAATGATAGAAATATGGACCACAAAAGAAAACATTAACAAAAACGTAACTCAATTATCATTAATTTGTAAAGTTTTATTTTTTATAATATCATCAAATTCAAAAGAATTAATTAACCAAAAGGATTCTCATTTGAAAACCCAATTAATATCAGTAAAACAACAATTACGTGATAACTTATCCAAAACATGTAATACATTAGGTGTAAATACTCAAGGTTTAAGATTTATTAAACAACAATGGAAATTAAATCATGTTTCGGAGTTCATTGATGAAGAAGAACAAAAAGCATATGAAGACAAGAGAGCTGTCAAGAGAAGTTATAAGACTATATAGATTTTTCGATGAAAAAGTAACAATTTGGCATTTATTTTAACATTATTATTCATTTCATTTTATATGATCCTGTTTAATTACTTTTTTTCTTTTAGTGAGGGGAATTTAGTCGAATTTTGCAACCAAGTGGAAATTCAGTTTATTTACAGATAGCATATTTGATATTCTCCTTCTATTTTTTGTAGTGTGAAAATTTAGTCCTCTAGACTTGAGGTCCTATAAATGACTCTTTCGAAGCTGATCTAACACATGTTCTACTCATTTCCTTGATTTGATCATGATAAATCATACTAAAAATTTAATAAAATTGTTTGACTTTTGTGGTAGCATAAATTTTGTATTTACAGAAAAAGAATTAAAATATTTTATTTTTATTTTATTTAAATAAAAAACCTTCAAAAGTATAAAACATTTGTTGACTACAAAGATTCTCAACTTTTATCTATATTGTATTACTATCATCATTTTTGAATTGAATAAAAGCTTTATTGGGATTTTATATCATTAAGTACTTGGGGTTTTTAGTATAATTGAATTTAATAAGTAGATATATCAAAGTCTATATTTATTTTTAATTCTTATATTTTTTTTTTCACATTAAATCATTTTATAATCCACTTGAGAATAAATACTATAAAATAATTCGGACTTTTTTGCATTTATGAATGTTAATAATATGCCTCAAGGTGGACCGCCAGGTTCGGCAACTACTTGGCAAGGGATGTATACTGGAGAAGAAAGACAAAGAGTTGTTTCAATTATAATGGATACTTTATCAGATCTTCATGGAACCAATCCAAATTTTGATTTTCAAAGATTAACTAAAATGGCTCAAGATTTTGAAAAAATTGTTTATGAAAAATCACCATCAAGAGATGATTACTTAAAAGCCATAAAACTGAAAGTGAATCAATTGAGATTACAAAAACAACAATTAGGAGGAGGATCAGCGCCAAATAATTCAAATCAACAATCACACCCGCCTCAACAACAGCAACAACAACCACAAGTAGTTCGTAATCAATTAAATTCAGCTGGAAATCAAAATATGAGTCCCATGAATGCCCAAAATATGCAATTTTTACAACAACAAGCTCAAGTTCGAAGTCAATCACAAGCTCAAATTCAAGCAAGACAACAACAACTCCGACAAATGGTTAATCAACAACAAGGCCAACCACCAATGCAACAAGGTCAACAGTCCCAAACACCTTTAAACCAATCTCAACAACAACAACAACAACAACAACAGCAGCAGCAACAACTACAAGCTCGCCAAAATCAGAGAGCAAGTGCACAACCACAAAGACAACAACAGCAGCAACCACAACAATCAATGTCATCATTGGGTGAGAATGGATCAGGTTCTGGAAATCAACAAGTCCCACCCCAATTACTTCAACTCATAAGAAGTACACCAATTCCAATGCCATTATTAAGTAAAATACCCAATCTACCAAAAGGTGTTACAACTTGGAATCAAATTTTTGACTGTATTCGTAAAAAAATAATTTCACAAGACATACTACCCTTAATTAAAGATATTCATTCAACTCATATGCAATTGGTTATGCGTCAACAACAACAAAAAATGAGCATGCGTAATGAAGGGGCATCAATGAATGGTGGGAAACCAGGAGCAGATAATAAAGTAAATATGATGAACAATGGTGCTAATGGCATAAATCTAAACAATATGAATCCCGAGCAACGTGAAATGTTTTTGAAAAATCAAAGACTAGCAGTTCAAAGACAAGGCTTGAATAATGCTCAACAAGATAATAGACAAAATCAAAGACCTCCATCTCAATCTCAATCAATTCCTCAACAAATGCCTCAACAAGTCCCTCAACCTACCCCACAACTACAACAAGCTCAACAGCCTCAACAGCCTCAGCAACAAGTACAATCACAGATACAACAACAGCAAAACCAACCACAAGCTCAATTAGCACAACAAAAACCTCCACAATTTCAAATCACTCAACAAGATTACGCAAAATATTCCAATGATGCACTAACTGTATTGAATAGGCTACAACAACAAAAGCAAATTGATACTCAACTAGACGGAACAATGAAAGATACATTCATTCGTAAATATATTTTACATCAAAAGAATCAGCTTTGGAAACAACAACAGCAACAACAACAATTAGCTAATCAGAACCCAACAGGATTGGGAATTAGCGCTCAACCACCAACTCAAGCTCAACAACAGCAGACTCAACAACCAATTAGACAACAACAAAATATTCAAATGCCAGTTCAACAAAAGGGAGTTGTTCCACCACCGATGGCAAACATGCCTCACGCCCTGCCAATGTTGAATAATGCAACAACTCCGATGATGAAACCAAACACATTACAACCAAATAATTTATCTTCCCCACTATTGAATCAAAGAGGACCAGCTGTTATGAATGAAAATATGCCAACTAATAATATTGGAGTAAGGCCAAATACAGCCCCCGCAAATGTTAGTATTGCTGCACTACTTCCACCTTTAACAGATGAAGCAAAACTTCGGTTAAGACAACTAATTGAAGATGTTTCGAGAAACAATGTTTTATTGAAAGATGTTACATCATTATTATCACCCAACGATAAATCAAATGTTAGAGAAGCAATGAATAAAATTCAAGAACAATATGGTAATGTCGACTCAATCATCAGCTATTTTTTTCTACTCACCAAGAATGCTGAGGGTACAAAACGATTAATACAAATGAAATACATGACTAAAAATATACTTGATAATTTACATAGAGGAATATATTTAGCTGCTCCTGACTTATTAGAAAAATTGAAAAATCAATATGCAAAGTATTTTGATTATGTCAAAGAACAAATCAACCTAAGACGTCAACAATTAAATACCGGTGGTTCAAATATACCAAATCAACCACAATCACAACCACAGATGACAGCTCAACAACAGCAAATGAGGCAAATGCCTCCAGGTGCTCAACAACAACCAATGATGCAAAATCAAACAAACAGAGCCAATCAAGCATTTATGAATCAAAATCCTCAATCATCTCCACAAATGTATCAAACTCCAATAAATCAACCTCCAAATGCTATACCTCAACAACAACAACCAATGCAGCAACCACCAATACCAACCAATCAAATGAATATAAGTCCTAATTGGGTTCCTGGTACTAATCCAATGCCACCTCAAATGCAACAACAGATACCTCCTCAATTACAACATACTCCAAATCTTCAACAACCACCAATTCAACAACCACCAATTCAACAACCGCCACCTCAGCAACAGCAACAACAAAGAAATTCAGTACTGCAGGCAAAACCAAAAAAAGCAGCTCCAAAAAAGAAACGTACCAGTTCTACAAACGCGGCAACTCCAAATGCATTAGCATCATCAATTAAAACTCCTCATAATATAGCAACACCACAAATTCAAACTTCAGGTCAATCACCTCCAATGAAAACGACTCCCTCAGCATCAGGGACTACACCCAAAATCGTCACTGCAAATCCAGTTTCCGTACCATCATCAAGTCAATCTACTAATAACAATAGCACAATTTTTAAAGCACCAGAAATTGAGATATTTTCAGTATCAAATGATCTGATTAAAAGAAGAGAATTATCATTAACTGATCCTCGTCAATTTTTCATTGAATCTTTAAAGAAATTATTAGATATTGATGAAAATGGTGAAAGTAATATTAAATCTGCTGCAACTTTACAAGCTATTAGTTCAAGTTTTAAACAAGTAAGAGAAATTGATGAACTTTGTTTAGATAATTTATTCTAGTTATAGGTTATTTTGATAAATAACGATAAAAGTATTAATAATAGTTGTATAAAAATATAATACTATCTTGTTGTCTAAGTATGATGTAATTATTATGATATCGTTATAAATGCGAGATCTTATATGAAAAAAGAAATATTTCAGAATTAGTTTAATCAAGCTGAGTATATTCTTTTTGTACAAACACCTTTATCATCGTTAATGGCACCACTATTTGATCCAAAAGATAAGCAATTGTCAGTAGCTTTTGTATGCTTGGGTAATATGTACGTAAATTACAAATCATTAAATTAATTATTACCATTACTAACTTGAAATTTACAGTTGCAGATCACCTATGGCTGAAGCTATATTTAAACATAGGGTGAAAGAATTAGGTTACTCGCCATATTTCAGTAACATAGAATCATTTGGAACATCAGGATGGCATATAGGAGAATCACCCGATTCAAGATCTTCAAAATGTTGTAGAAAACATGGAGTTCCAGTAAATCATCAAGCACAACAAATTTCCACAAAGGATTTTGATAGATTTGATTATGTTATTGGAATGGATGAGAGTAATTTAAGTGATTTAAAATATATGAGACCTAAGAATAATAAGCTGGTGGTTGATGTTTTTGGGAAATGGAGAACTAATGAAGAGTTTGATAAAATTGTTAGTGATCCTTACTATGGTGGCAATGATGGGTTTGAGTATAACTTTAAACAGATCAATCATTTTACTGATGAGTTTTTGAAACAAGAAATTGGTACATTAGATTAATATTTAGACTAAATTTAGATGTATAGATGTAAAAGTAATGTATGATTTGTATGATATAGATATTGATTGTCGTGTCGTAAACTCCCTTAGTCTCTTGTCATGAAATTGAAATTAATTATTTTTTTTTTTCACAATTTATTTTTTTAAGTATACAAACAAAATCTTTAACAACCATTTTGACAAACAAAGAAACAAGATATAAAAATAATATAAATTTTATTATTATAATTACTTCGAATTTGAAATCAAAACGACAACAATCTATTAACTCGTCATAAGAATGAGTGCAAGAAAACTACAGCAAGAATTTGATAAACTAAACAAAAAGATAAATGAAGGTTTAGCAGCATTTGATGAAACAAAAGAAAAAATACAACATGCTGAAGTTGCATCTCAAAGAGATAAATTCGAGAATGACTTGAAAAAAGAACTAAAAAAATTACAAAGATCGAGAGATCAATTAAAAATTTGGTTGAGTGATAGTAGTATCAAACTAGATAAAAATGCATTACAAGAAAATAGAACCAAAATTGAACATGCAATGGATACTTTTAAAGAATTAGAGAAAAATTCTAAGATAAAACAATTCTCAAATGAGGGATTAGAATTAGAGAAAAACAAAAAGCATTCAAGATTTGGTGATATTCAAAAAGTAACGGATGCTTGTGATTATATAAGTAGTGTTATTGAACAATTAAATTCACAAAATGAAGAATTGGATCAAGAATTAGAAACTCTTAATAGTCAACTGAAGAAAAAGGGCTTTTCATCTCAACAATCAATAGATGATACAAAATATAAATTGGATAGAAATAATACTCATATTGAAAAATTAGAAACTGTATTGGAAAATTTAGAAAATGATTTATTAGATCCTGCAAAAATTGATGATGTAAAAGATGATTTAGATTATTATGTTGATATGAATCAAGATGAAGATTATGTTGAATATGATGAGTTTTATGATCAATTAGAACCAATAGAAGAAGAAGAGGTGGAGGAAGAAGAAGTTGAAGGAAGTTTAGCTCAAATGGCTGCTGAATCTTTTGAAGAAGAAGAAAGAAAAAGATTAGAATTACAACAATTAGGTCAACAACAATCTGAAGCTACAAGAGCTACTCAATCAGCATCTGCATCTACTAACTCAACCAATTCTTCTGCAATACCAGTACCTGGTAGATCAGTTTCAATATCAAATGAAGGTGGTAATAATATAAGTACAAGTTTGAACAATACTCATTCACAACTTTCAAATGGTCCAACTAACGTTAGTTCATCGTCAACTCCAGTCAAGAAACAAGTAAAACCTCAAAATGTAGTACCAGCTCCACCTCCACCAATTACTAGTGCAAATTCTTATTCAAATGTAATAAAAGCAGCTCAAGCTATAAACAATAGTAATGGTCATATTGGATCTTCAAATATACCAAGTTCAACAAATAATACTCCCTTGTTAAATAATAATGTACCATTAGCTACAGCTCTCGCATCAGCAATAAATCCATCATCAATATCATCAACTTCAACAACACCTGCAAAATCTCTACCCCCTGGTTTCAATCATACTCATTTACCTTCATCATCATCGATTACAAAATCTCAATCTACATCACCGTTAGTTACACAATCAAAATTGAATGAAGAGACTCAACAATTAAACAAAAAGATTTCAAATATTTCAAATAGTTCACAATCTCCATCAATAAATTCTGTATCAACTACCAACAATATAGATCCATTGAATGAATCATTAACAAGATTATTAAATATAACAAATAGTAGAATCAATGATCCATTACCTATGCAATCAATAAGTCAATTATTAGAAACTTCATTATTAAATTGTCCAGACTCTTTTGATGCAGAAAAACCAAGACAATATAGTCCAACTAATGTTCATCCTTCTTCAATAGACTATCCTCAAGAACCAATGTATGAATTAAATTCAACTCATTATATGTCTAAATTCGATGATGATTTATTATTTTTTTGTTTTTACTATAGTGAAGGTGTTGATAATTTTGCAAAATATAATTCTTCAAAAGAATTAATTAAAAGAGGTTGGCAATTTAATATTGAAAAAAATCAGTGGTTATCTACTAAAGATCATTCAAAAAACAAGAATCATACAAAGGAATCAAGTCCATTGAGTAATGGCAATAGTGAAAAAAATGGTGAAAAATTAAATGAAAGTGATTCTAATAATCAAAATAAATATAAAAGATATTTTGATGAAAAAACTTGGCTTATACGTAATTATATATAAAGTATATAAATGAATTGAGGTCTTTGTATTAATATGTTACTGATGTTATGATCTATAGACTTAACTTTTTGAGAGCTATGAATTTTTAGATTATTACCTTTTTCTGCTAGATTGAAAAATGTAATGTTTCATGTTAAAATTTTGAAACGTTAAAACAAAAATTAATGAAGTAAATAAAATCATTCGACGCGTTTTAAACTGATCTAAAGTTAAACGAAGAGTATGATTGATCAGCGTCATGTTCATACTGCTATATGGACGTTTTACCATTGAGAGTAAGTTCAAATCACATCATTAATTGAAGTTGATTGTATCTTTTAAAGAACGGTCCAATAAATTAATCTAGACCTTTCAATATTATTCGAATAAAAAACCAGAATACACAAAATCAAAAAGAATAAAAAAATTTATTATATTTTACGATAATAAAATATTATTATTAAAGCATTTGATAAGATCAAAAGGTTTGAAATATTTGACATGTTGTCAATGAATAATCTTTAATTAATTGTTCAAGAGCTGAGTGGTATGGTTAAATTTCAGTACTTCTATCCTTGTTTGTTTATAAGTTTTATTAATAGAATTAAAGTAAATTACTTTCGTAAATTTTATTAGACTAAATTTAATTAATTTTTTTTTATTTTATTTTATTTCATTTAATAATTTTAGAATTTTATCCTTCCTTTTAACATAAAGTTATATTACTTTACAACTACTATTTTTGTTCAAGTTTGATCTGAACATAGAACCCCAACTCAACTTGTATTACTTGTCATCATTCATTCATTCATCCATTCGTTGCTACAAATAGAAATCCAGAACATACATCAAACCTAGGCTCTAAATTTTTCACAACCTCAGCCTCATTAATTAAATACTTTTTTTTTTCATTATACTTAGACCAATTTTACAACCAAATTCAAAAAAATCATGAAAATTATATATCCAAATGCATTTGAGGAAGAGATATATATAAGAGATGATCCACAAAGAGATTCAAATGGTTGTGTTATAAACTGTCCCACTTTACCTGATTGTGTTTGTACTGGAAAAAATGAACAATGTGTTCAAGTTTTAACAACTTGTGACAAATGTGCTTATAATAATTGTATACCTAAAACAAATAATGGTAAATCTACAAATACTGGTGGAATAGTTGGTGGAGTTATTGGTGGATTAGCTGTATTGGGTGTTATTGGAGCAACATTATATTATTTTTTAATTTATAAAAAGAAACATCAAGTTATGTTAGATGATGATTATTTAGATTATGATTATAATGATTATGAAACTGATGAATATATTGATAAAGGGAGTGATATAAATAATAACAATAATGGAAGTAAAATAGAAATGAAAGAATTAGGAGATTTATCAGATCCTTCTAGTCCTGCTTCAAAAAGTTTTGGATTAGATATAAATGAATCACCATCTTCAGCTACTTTAGCAAATAATAATAATGATGTTATAAATGCAAATACAGGGACTAATAATGGTGGAGCAATAATTGCTGGACAACATATTGATAGACCATTACAACAAAGAAGAATTTTACAAAATAATCCGAGAAAAACTGTAAGAAGAATATCATCATATGAATCATTTACTAGACCAAATGCCAACAAATCAAAAACTAAACAACAACAACAATTAATAGCTCAACAAAGAAGAGCACGTCAACAAAAGATAGTCAAACAAGCTAATTTACAACAACAACAAATACAACCACCACCACAACAACAACAAATATATTTAAATCAATCAAATAGGAATTCAGTAGCTACATCTTTCTCAAATGCATCAAATATACTACCTATTGCATATGTCCCAGGTGTAACAGTAAGACCAACAAAAAACAATACAAGATCAATATATTCATATGATTCAGATTCAATTTTTTCAGATTTAAATACTATTGAAAATGCAAGTATTGTTGGAGATGTAATAATAGCAAATCAATTATCTACATCATCAAGTAATAATAATGGAACTGAAAAGAATGATTCACCTCAAAGCTTACAACTGGATCAAAGTAATAGATCAGGTACAATGACTGCTATAAAAGCACAACCAAGATTAGTCAATGTAGATAGAATTCAGGAAGAAGACGAAGATGAAGATGAGGATGACGACGAAGAAGAGGATGATGATGAAGATGAAGAAGATTACAAACTAAATGAAACAACAGAAGAAGATGAAACCAGGATAAATACAGAAGATTATAATATATCAAAAGATGAAATCCTCAAAAAGGATATAGATGAAGAAGATGAAGATAGTGATGTTGATAGTGATGTTGGTCATATAACAAGAGCTGCATCACTAAAGAAACAAGAATCTTTTACATTTGATATTGAATTTAATGAAAATCCTTTACCAATAACACATAAAATTAATAACAATGATAATGATTTAAATTCAGTAGATAGTCCATTCCGTGATCCTTAGATTTGAAATATCATTTATAGACAAGAAAGTATTAGATATTTCAATAATATAATTTTTTTTAATTTTTTTTCCAGCATTGATTATCTGGATCCCTTAATAAGAATGTTATGTTTCAAGAATATCCATATAATTTCTTATCGGATTTACTTTTAATTGATTGATCACGTGTATTAATCATATTACCGTAACGGTTTTGAAATAATTTTGTTGGGGGGTTTTGATCATAAAACACAAAATCTTAAATTTTTTCATTATTACGTATTTTATTGTAGTTCGATTATACGTAGTCCGAAAGAATAATGTAATTGGGGGACTCTTGATATAACAAATACGTCAAGTTTGATCTAGCAATACTAATATAAATTATTAGTAGTAAAAACTCTATTAAAAATTTAATAACGTAATTATACTTTTCCATTAAGCAAAAAAAAAATGTACGATTCATTAAAGAAAAAAAAATAAATCATTTTGTCTTATAATAATAAGCAAACTAAACTGAAGATGCAATTGCTTTAATAACTCTACCAATTGGCCCTCCGGAGTTGCTTGGATGTAAATGTCAATTGTCTAATTGTATGAACTTTAAACGGATCAATGCTAAAAGTTATAACTTGGTTTGTAGATTACAAGTTTTTCAATTATATCATTGTATTGGTGAATTGAACCGATAGAGATAATTTTCTTGTATCAAGGGGTTTAATTAATGATGATTCTACAATAAACTTTATAGTCTCATTCAAGAATTATAAAATCTAAGCATCTTTTTATATTATTGAAATTTAAGACATTTGTAATATTCTTAAAAGCAATTATTAAAAATTGTATCAATGTTTAATAAATAAAAATATTATTCATGGAATACTAAAATTATTATTAATAATTTATTACTTAACAAATTTATAATCTTTTATTATTAAATTTCAAAATTTCAACGTTTTTCAATCTCTTTCTATTTTCCTTTCTTTTCTTTCCTTTCTTACTCTTTTTATCAAGTCAATTTATAACTTTTTTTTACTACTATTGTATATTCAATTAATATAATTTATCAAATTAGATTATCAATTCCTTATTGTATTCAATTGATTAATTATTAAATATTCATATTTACAACATCTTAAAAGAAACTATTGATATTATTAATTTATAAAATAAAATATGGCTACTGCAATTGATAAATTATCTGTTAGTACCATTAGAGGTTTATCTGTTGATCAAGTTAATGCTGCTCAATCAGGTCATCCTGGTGCTCCATTAGGTTTAGCTCCAGCTGCTCATGCTGTTTGGAGAAAAATGAAATTCAATCCTCAAGATCCTCATTGGATTAATAGAGATAGATTTATTTTATCAAATGGTCATGCTTGTGCTTTATTATATTCTTTATTAGTTTTATATGGTTATGATTTAAAAATTGATGATTTAAAACAATTTAGACAATTAAATTCTAAAACTCCTGGTCATCCGGAAAGATTAGATACTCCTGGTGTTGAAGTTACAAGTGGTCCATTAGGTCAAGGTATTTCAAATGCTGTTGGTATTGCAATTGCTCAAAAACAATTTGCTGCTACTTATAATAAACCTGATTTCCCAATTTCTGATGCTAAAATTTTTTGTTTCTTGGGAGATGGTTGTTTAATGGAAGGTATTTCAAGTGAAACTTCTTCATTAGCTGGTCATTTACAATTAGATAATTTAATTGCATTATGGGATGATAATAGAATTTCAATTGATGGTGATACTGCTTGTGCTTTTACTGAAAATGTTCCATTAAGATATAAAGCTTATGGTTGGAAAGTTTTAGAAGTTCATGATGCTGATACTAATATTGATGCTGTTTCAGATGCCATTGATGAAGCTAGAAAAATCACTGGTGCCCCAGTCTTAATTAGATTAGTTACTACTATTGGGTTTGGTTCAAAAGCTGCAGGTACTGGTGGTGTTCATGGAGCTCCATTAAAACCAGATGATTTAAAACAATTAAAAAAATCATGGGGATTTGATGAAGAATCAAACTTTTTTATTCCAGATGAAGTTGCAAATTATTTTGCTGAAAAAGTTGAAGAAAATAAAAAAATTCAAGCTAAATGGAATGAATTATTTAAAGCATATAAAGAAAAATATCCAAAAGAAGGAGCTGAAGTTCAAAGAAGATTAGATGGTAAATTACCAGATGGTTGGAAAGATCATTTACCAAAATTCACTTCAAAAGATAAAGCTTTAGCTACAAGAAAATTATCAGAAGGTGTTTTAGATGCTTTATGTCCAATTATTCCGGAATTAATTGGTGGTTCAGCCGATTTAACTGGTTCAAATTTAACAAGAGCTCAAGGTGCAACTGATTTCCAACCACCATCAACTGGTTTAGGTGATTATGCTGGTAGATATATTAGATACGGTGTTAGAGAACATGGTATGGGTGCTATAATGAATGGTATTGATGCATTCGGTGCTAATTATAGAAATTATGGTGGTACTTTCTTAAATTTCGTTTCTTATGCAGCTGGTGCAGTTAGATTATCTGCTTTATCACATCAAGGTGTTATTTGGATTGCAACTCATGATTCAATTGGTTTAGGTGAAGATGGTCCAACTCATCAACCTATTGAGACTTTAGCTCATTTCAGAGCTTTACCAAATATGTCAGTTTGGAGACCAGCTGATGGTAATGAAGTTTCAGCTGCCTATGTTTCTGCAATTGAAGGTGTAGATCATCCAACTATTATTGCTTTAACTAGACAAAACTTACCACAATTAGAACATTCAAGTCTTGATGAAGCATTGAAAGGTGCTTATACTATATGGCCAGTTGAAAAACCAGATATTATTTTAGTTTCATCAGGTTCAGAAGTTTCAATTTCAATTGATGCATCAAAAGAATTAGAAAAACAAGGTGTAAAAGCTTCAGTTGTATCAGTACCAGATTTCTTCACATTTGATAAACAACCAATAGATTATAGATTAAAAATTTTACCAGATGGTGTCCCAATTTTATCTGTTGAAGTTATGTCAACTTTCGGTTGGTCTAAATACTCTCATGAACAATTTGGTTTAAATAGATTTGGTGCTTCTGGTAAAGCTGGTGATTTATATAAATTCTTTGGTTTCACTGCTGATGGAGTTGCTAAAAAGGCTGAACAAGTTATTAAATATTATAAAGGAAAAACTGTTACTTCACCATTACATAACGCTTTTGAAGAATTATAAATGAATCAATTTTAGGTACAATTTTATATAATAAGTATATACAGATTAAAAATAAATATTATTAATTTATAAAAAATTTTTAATTTTTTAATCTATTACTCAATTTACTTACTTGTATCAACTACATATCTACCTACAATTTTATTTTCTTCCATTAATTTAAAAACTTTTGGAACATCACCCAATCCAACCACCGTAATAGGACAATTAATTAAACCTCTAGCAAAAATGTCAATAGCTTCAGAAGTATCCCATCTAGTTCCAACATATGATCCCTTTATAGTAACTTGTCTTAAAACTGTAGGTAAAATATCAATACTAATTTTAGCATTTGGTGGTAATCCAATTAAAACAACAGTACCATTTGATCTAACATATGAAACAGATTGTTGTATTGCTTTTTCAGAAGTTGAAACATTAATACATGCATGTGCTCCACCACCAGTTATATCAATTACTTCTTTTGCAACATCTTTAACTTTAGTAAAATCAATAAATTCATCAGCACCTAATTTTTTAGCAGACGAAGCTTTATCTTCACCACCATCAATTCCAACAACTTTTAACCCCATTGATTTTGCATATTGAATAGCTAATGAACCTAATCCACCACCAGCTCCAACAATAGCTACCCATTCATTAGGTCTTGCACCTGATGTTTTTAAACCTTTATATGCAGTAACACCAGCACATAAAATTGGACCAATTTGAGATAAATCTACATGTTTTGGTAAATGAGCAGCGTTTAATGCGTCAGTTGCACAATATTCTTGAAAAGTTCCATCTCTATTTATTCCATTTAATGTTAATTTTGAACATAAGATTTCTTGAGCTTGTTGACAATATTCACATTGTGAACAAGTAGAGTTAATTAATTTAACACCTGCGTAATCTCCAATTGACCAACCTGTTACATTTGAACCTACTGCAACTACTATACCTGCTCCTTCATGTCCTAAAACTCTTCAAATGGTTAGTAAAAACTTAAAGTAAAAGGTTATCTCTTTTTTCGTGGACTTACTTTGTATTTGTTAAACTTCCCCAAGCTTCATGATAAGTTGATAAATCAGAGTGACAAATTCCAGAATATTTTATATTAACTAATATTTCATTTGGTTGAATTTCAGGTATGGGGATTTCTTGTAATGTTAAGGGACCATTAAAATCTTCAAAAATTACTGCTCTTTGTGTTTTTGGAATTGTTGATGGCATTTTCTTTTTTGAGATTGATTAAATTTATTTAGTTCTAAATTTAATGATTTATAATATCTAATTTAAGATACTTTGTAACTTTATGAAAGATCAACAAAGAATTGACATGTTATATTATTTGAAGATCATTATTGTATTTATATATTTAACATAATTTTGTGGAGACTAGTTTCATAATAATTTATTATTTAATGGAGAGATAAAGATTAGAAAAAGATAAATTTTCCGCACCTAATAATAATAATTCAAACGTATGGCGGTAGTGAATGTTTAAGTATTTTATGAGTTTTTGTCTTGAATCTATGACTATTGTTGTTCATTGTCTTGTAAAAATTGATGATATTAAAAATTCAAATATGCTTAAATTTTTTGAAAAGTGGAGATTTACTTGAATTTTAATTCCATACACTCTAATTTTACTTATCTCCAGATTTCAAATCTTGATACCCTTTTTATAAGATTAGCTTTTATAGTTTAAACATTTGAATTGAATAGGAACGTACATAGATTTTCCATACGTTGGTCTAAAATTAATCGAATTTGATTATCAGAAGTTTCAACTTAAACTATGCACGAAGATGCAAGAATTTGATACGTCAAGTTCAATGAGAATTTTGACTCGGAGAAAGTTCTTTACCAAATGACATGTTGAAAAAAATTGGTTTAGCTAAATTTACATTGCAAGCTACTTTTTGTAAAGAACCTTGGGCAAACTTAGGCTATTCTTGGTCTTATATATCATACAACCACCTAATTTGAAAACTTGAAACACAATAATTTATGTTATTCGGATTGGATACAAGCAAGTCAAATTCTCTTATCACATATTAACACCAGTAAAGTTTATCTGCTCCTTTCCTACTGATCATGTGTAAGCCTCTAAGCTTGTTTGGAAGAACTTAATATTCAGAAACTAGTTTGTTTCACAAATGTACTTTATTTAAACGCTTAACCTAAGATTTGGTGCAAATTTTGGTAAAATAAACAAGAACATAATTCTACCAAATTGACATACAACTTGCTCACAAAAAATTATGAGTTTGAACAGGCAGAAATAGAGTTTTCTCTCTTACTCATACACCTTAAGTCACTTAAGGAGAAGGTTACTGCAAATTGGTAATTTTTGCTATACTTTAGAGAACTTATGATGCAAATAAAATAATCACAAAACTAAAAATTATAATATTTCAAACCTTGAGATCAGACATACATTGCTCAAGAATCAAATGCTAAAGTTCAACGAAAATTTTAAATACAATAGTTAATCAATGTCATTAAGAAAACTACCGCAAAATGGTAAAATAGCAGTACTAGGAGCAGGTATATCAGGTTTAACATTCACTTATTTTTTAAGTAAATTACGACCAGATTTAAAATTTGACATATTTGAGAAGTCAAATAAAGTAGGAGGATGGATGTCACTGCCTTCTTTAATGGTCAAAAATACAAAAGAATCTATAATATTGGAGAAGGGACCAAGAACGTTAAGAGGGATAAGAGATGGGTCATTATTGATGATTGATATTTTAAGAAAATTGGGGTTAGAAAATCAAATTGAGGTTATTCATAAACTGAGTGTTGCTAATAAGAAATATATAACTGACTCAAGTGGAGAAATTATACAAGTTCCTAACTCTTCTAAAACGTTTGTTGATTTTATGAAGAATGTTAAAGCTGTTGATTCAAAATTGATTAAGGGAATTTTGAAAGAACCTTTTGTGAAACCAGTTAGTTCAGATGAAACTGTTGAGCAATTTTTTAAAAGAAGGTTGGGTAGTACAAGTCTCACTGACAATGTTGCAAGTGCAATAATACATGGGGTTTATGCTGGAGATATTGGAAAATTAAGTATTAAAAGTGTGATGCCATTTATGAAAGATTTAGAAAATGAATCTGGGTCAATTATTAAACATATGTTGAAAAGTTTAAGAAAAAGAAAAGACAAAACAGCTACACCAGAATTAACAGAGGAGCTAAAAGTATATGAAAAGCAAATCTCACCAAATGCTGACTTATTAGCAGTTCAAAATAAATTAAAAGCTTATCCCATGATTAAACTACATGATGGTTTACAAACATTACCAACTGCATTAGCCAATTATTTATCAAAAAACAAGAACATAAACCTTCATTACAATTCACCAGTTACAGCTTGTGATCCAAAATCGGGTTTAGTAAATGGTCAAAATTTTGATCATATAAGAAGCACCATTGATTCATATAATTTAGCAAATTCATTACCTCAACAAAATCCATTAATACCAGATTTGAAATCAGTTGAATACATCAGCATATTCTTGACAAATATATATTCCAAAAAGCCAATACTAATACCTAAAAATAAACCAGGTTTTGGATTTTTAAGACCAAGACATCAACATATCAAAGATAATCCACAAGCTTTATTAGGTGTAATTTATGATTCTGATATAGAAAAGAATGTGACTAAATTATTTGATTCTACCATCCAAAATCTTCAACATAACCAAAACTATAACAAAATCACAATGATGATGGGTGGACATTATTATAATAACTGGAATATACCTTCAAATAAAGTAAATTTACAAATTGTAAAAGATATCTTACAAGATAAATTAAAAATTGACTTATCGAAATATAATATTAAGGTAGTAAATTATGACCCAAACAATGAAACTTCTTTCACAATAGATTCAATAAATGATAATGATATAATAATAAGTTATAATTTAATTGAGAATTGTATACCTCAATATAATTTAGGTTATCAAGAAATTAAATCTCATGCATTGGAAACTACTAGAGAACAAAATTTTAAAATATCATTTGGTGGTACTGTATTTGGTGATGGAATTGGAGTTCCTGATTGTGTAAGCAATGCATTGAAAGATGCCATAAAATTACTGTAAATAGTTTTTTAAAAATGTTTATTATTTATTCATCATCTTCATTTTCATTATCACTGTCATAAGTCGGTAGTACATCATCTTCATTCACTTCTTTTTCTTCATTAATGTCATTTTCTTCTTTTGTAATTTTTTCAATAATTTTAGATTCATGAAATGCATAATTTATAATCATTTCTTTATTAAATATTATTTCATTTTGTAAACTTCGTAAAGCTAACGTTGAAGATTTTATATTAGAAAATACAATAAATGCTTCATATTTTTTAGGAATCTTTATGGATATTATGTCATCAAATGTTGAAAACAAAAGGTATAAGTTATGTTTTAATTGTGTTTTATTTATTTTGTTGTTTAAATTCTTGATGTATAATGTGTGATTTGGTTTTATTATTGATGGATCTAGTCTTGGTTTTTTGGAAGATATTGATTCTTTTGTAGTTTGCGGATGAAGTCTTTTCGTTGAGGGCATTTATCTATAAATATTAATGAATGTTGTAGCTTGAATGTTTTAGTTCTTCTTTATTGATTAGAGGTTTAATTATCACTGTATTGATAAAATAAGTTTCGCAGTTTCTAGTAATATGACATTTGATATATTTTGGGACATTAAAATAAATTTATTCTGTTTAGAGATGAATATTACATACAAAATTTAATACCGACAAATTATCATATACAATATGTATTCTGATCTGTGGCCCTATAAATGAAGTTCATCTGGCTAAAACATTTTATCTTTATATTACGAATCTTTTATTATGGATGCCAGTGATACAATTAAACTGTGATATTAAGTTTAAACATAAGTGATTGTATATCTCTTTTTCTTTTAACTTAATCGTAAATTATAATTGTGTAATTCTCCAGATTGATAATGTTTATTCTCGATACTAAAAATTTGAATTTAAATTTTGATATATATTATCTGTTGAATGGGTTAATTGAAATCTAATTTATAATATTAATACAATAGCAACTAATTAATTAATTAGTGGAATAATACTAAAACTATGTACCTAATTGATAGAGTTCTGAGCAAGTCTTACAGTAGTCTGTAGCTCCAGATTCAAGAATTTGGTAAGCTTGTGATACTTTCATATAAACCAACTCTGATGGAAATTCAATTAAGAATTTTGTTGGTCTCTCCACAATCAACATGCTAAATTTTACTAGCAAATCTACAAATTTATATTTTAAGGTTGGCTTTCTTAACATACTTTATGAAAGGCTGACGTTTCTCCTAATTCGAATTCCTGAGAGATTTTCTTCTCTCAATTTATTGACATGACGTAAGATTCTTTCCATGTGTTCAGATAAATAGATTATTGAACTTTATTTTATAGAATGATTCTTATATTAAAAACAAAGAGATTTAATAAATATTATAAACATAATAATTATTATTATAATTATATATGTTATAACATATTCATTTATCCTTTGAAGTCTAAATTTAATATTGCTAAGATATTTAAATTCTATTTCTCAATATTCATACATCTTATAATACTTTAATTAAATCTTTCATATTCAAAAAATTGAAAATTAAAATCAATTTCTTTCTTAATATAAAAAATATTAGATAATTAGAAAAGGCAACATAAATCTGGCAACATATTACTTTTAAGTTTGTAACCATTTTAATTTATTTAGAGAATCTATATATAAAAATCTACAATTTCATTCAACATTTTATATATCAATCAACTGAAAAATAAAGAGGGAGGATGTCAGAATCTGCCCAATTGAATGCCTCTTTATTAAGGTTGAAATTATTAGACGCTTTAAGAGGTGGTGATACAACAAAAATTGATTCAATTATACAAGAATTAATATCATGTAAATCAACAATTCAAAATCAAGATTTAAAACAATTAAGAGAAACGATTTTACATTATGCTGTTCAAGTTGCAAGTTTAAATACTTTACAATATTTAATAAGTAATAGTTCAAAATATGGATTAGATATTAATGCTCAAGATGGCCAAGGCAATACTCCATTACATTTAGCAGCAATAGCTTCAAGACAAGATGTTGTAAAATATTTATTATCATTACCCAATATTAATGACACAATAGTAAATGGTGATAAAAAGCAACCAGTTGAAGTTTGTAAGAATTTGAATATAGCACAATTAATGCAATATGAAAGAGCAAAATTTGTTGAAAAAGCAGCAAGTGATTTAAGATTATTTTTCAGTAATAGAGATTTTGAAAACTTGGAAAATATTTTGATCTTGAATCCAAGAGCTTCTGAGTTATTAGACATCAATGGAGCTGATCCAGAAACTGGTAATACTGTATTACATGAATTTATTAAAAAAGATGATTTACCAATGTGTGATTGGATTTTGAAACATGGTGGTGATCCTTTTAAAAGAGATAAACGTGGTAAATTACCAGCCGATTTAGTCAATCCAAAAGATGAACCATTGAAAAAACTAATAAAAGATGCTTCTAAAGATCAAACTATTATGGACCCAGTAGCAACTTCTGGAACTGCTCCAAAAGGTGGTGATATTGAAGTTTATAAAGGATATTTACGTAAATGGACAAACTTTGCATCAGGTTATAAATTAAGATATTTTGTATTAGACCAAAATGGGATATTATCTTATTATACAAATCAAGATGATACTAATAATTCATGTCGTGGTTCATTAAACTTAGGTTATGCTACCTTACATTTAGATTCATCAGAGAAAATGAAATTTGAAATCTATGGTAAAAATGGTCTTAGATGGCATCTAAAAGCAAATTTCCCAGTTGAAACTAATAGATGGGTTTGGAAATTACAAAATGCTATAACTGTATCAAAAGATAATCTTAGAAACAAAAATCAAATTTCAGGAAATAATACTGTAGCTAGTGGAACCGTCTCACCAGAAGAATTACAAGAACCTATAATGGAAGATACCGATTCAGTAGTCGAAAAGAAAAGACATAGATTGAGAATTCCTGGTAGAAAAAAACATCACAAACGTAATGTTAGTCAAACATCAAGGGATTCATTTGAAAATACAAGTGATTTATCAAGAGCATCAACTTCACATTCACTTGGTGGAAATTTAGCACCTCAACAAAAGTCAAATGCTAGAAATAGTATTGAGGAACAAGCCAGTTATCAAGATACTGATTATGATCACGAAAATTTTGATTATGATGCAGATGAAATGGAGCAAGAGGATTACGAGAGTGACACTGATTCAAATCATGTTGATATTAATCAAATTAATGATACAATAGCTGCTACAAGAAGATCCTTACATATTGAATTGCTGTCATTATTAGAATTATTTCATCAAGTAATGAACACCGATGTATTTCAACCAAATTCAAAACAAGCTGAGGTATGTCTTGTTGGTAATAATACAATCCGTGCTATTAATGAATTAATAACAAAATATAATACAGTAGTTGATACTAGAGATAATAAACTTAGAAAAGATTTAGATAGACAATTAGAAGTAAACCAATTATGGGAAAGATCAATTAGACAATTAGAAAATGAAATAAAATCAAGAGAAGATAAATTAGCTGTATTACAAGGTCAGAGAAAACAATTAAGAAAATATTTATCAGGTGGAGTCAAATCTGGTGGTACTACTTCTCCACTTCCTTCAACAAATAATGCTGACGGAAATATCACAGGTGTGGCTAAGGGAGAAATTTTAAGTGAAGAACCACAAGAAGAGCAAGTACATGCTATAGATGACAAATTGGGTAATATAGAAGGAAAAGAGGTTAATCATGTCGTACAACCTGATCTTAAAGCTCAAGAAGAAGTTGCTCATATGCCAGGTGGATTAAATGATAATGTTATTGGTGAAATATTAGGTGAAGATTCAGAAGATGAATTTTTCGATGCTGATGAATTTGACGATGAAATAGATGTGGTTGCTCCTCCTAAAGATAATGAAATTCCTTCAAAGGCTCAACAACCAGTACCACCACAAGAACCAGGTGAATCTAATTTGAATGAAATAATTCCACCAAATGAAATTAATCAAGTCCCACCTCCACCTTCACATGATATTGTCCAAGAGAAAGAAACTCCAGCCGGTGCTATTGGTGTCGGTGCTGCTATTGGGGCTGCTGGGGCTGCTGGAGCTGCTGGAGCTGCTGGAGCTGCTATCCCAGACGAATCTATTCCACCAGAACAAAGAGTGGATAATCAACTGATAGCTCCATCTGAAGCTACAAAAGTTGAACAAGAACAAGCTCCACCACCACAAGCAAAACCAAGTGGACCACCCCCATCTGAAAATATACCTGGTGACGAAGGCTTAAACCCAGTTCAAAAAGAAGTCAACCATGAATTACAAGCTGAAGGTTCTTTCTTAGGTTATGAAAATCCACCAAGAAAGAAATTAGGTATGGATGAAGATAATAGACCAAAAGTTGGATTGTGGGGTATATTGAAATCTATGATTGGTAAAGATATGACTCGTATGACTTTACCAGTTTCTTTCAATGAACCAACATCATTATTACAAAGATTAGCGGAAGATATTGAATATAATGATTTATTAAATACGGCTGCTGGGTTTGATGATTCAACTTTGAGATTAATTTATGTTGCAACTTTTGCAGCAACTGAATATTCTTCAACTATTGATAGAATTGCAAAACCTTTCAATCCTTTGTTAGGTGAAACTTTTGAATATGCAAGACCTGATCAAAATTATAGATTATTTGTTGAACAAGTTAGTCATCATCCACCGATTAGTGCTTGTCATGCCACATCCCCTAAATGGGAATATTATGGTGAAAATGCAGTTGATTCAAAATTCTCAGGTAGATCTTTTGATTTTAAACATTTAGGTAAAATGTTTGCAGTTGTTAGACCAAATAATGGAGTTAAAGATAAAAATGGTAAAATAGTAAGTGAAGAATTATATAGTTGGAAAAAAGTTAATACTGCAGTTGTTGGTATTATGATTGGTAACCCAACAGTTGATAATTATGGTAAAATGATTGTTGAGAATCATACTACAGGAGATACAATAACAGTTGATATGAAACAAAGAGGTTGGAGAGCATCTTCTGCTTATCAACTATCTGGTCAAGCATTAGATGCTAAAGGAACACCACAATGGGCAATGGGTGGTTATTGGAATTCAAAAATATATGCTAAAAAGATTACTCAAGAACAACAACATCATGATGGTGGTAGAAAAATGTCCATATTAACTGATCCAAGTAAATCATCATCAACAACTTCAACAGATCCATTTTCAGGTAATAAATTCTTAGTATGGCAAGCAGCACCAAGACCAAAAGTTCCTTTCAATTTAACACAATTTGCAGTAACATTGAATGGAGTTGATCAAAATTTACAAAAATGGTTAGCACCAACAGATACGAGATTAAGACCAGATCAAAGAGATATGGAAGAAGGTAGATACGATAAAGCAGCTGATGAAAAACATAGAGTTGAAGTTAAACAAAGACAAGCAAGAAAACAAAGAGAAGAAAGCGGACAAACTTATCAACCTAATTGGTTCATCAAGAAGAAACATCCAGTTACTGGTGATATGTATTGGGAATATAATGGAAAATATTGGCCAAGTAGAAAACAACACCAATTAGCTGGATGTGGAGATATTTTTTAGATTTTTAAACTACATACTTAACAAAGTTACATCAATTAAACAATTTGTACTATTAAAAATGTAATTTGACAGTTTTTTCAACTTGAGTGTATACGGTTTTGAACTTCTATCTGTGACTTTCGATTTATTGATACAAAATCGTGCCTTGAAAAACGTTAGACATACAAACCAAGAAATAGCTCTGTGTAGAAAATTTGAAACGATTTAAACTAATTTTTACTAGATCATTAAAGGAACCGAGTTCTTATAATATACTTTGCTAGCATATTTCCAAGTATAGCAATTTACAAAAGCCAACTATGATTTTGAAGTATGTAAATTTATGTTATTGAAAAATGAAAAAATATAACATGCATAACTTCTAAAAATGAAACAAGTATAATAAATTATTATTTCTCGATTCTTGAAACAATATTTAAATAATAATTCAACTAGAATTTAATCATGAAACAAATTACAATAGACTACAACTGGCAACATGTTAAGTCTAGCTAAGATATATAAAGCAGCTGATTATCCATTCAATGTTGTAATGGCGTGACCAGCATAAACTTACATTTGAGAACGTTTTAGTTCTAGGGTTTAACTACTTCAAACATATACTTACTTAATCTCACAATTAAATCAGAATTAGGACCTACAATAATGATAATTAATTATAAGAAGATTTCATCTTTCTTCGAAAATAATCATTTAACAAGTTCATCTGGGATGGATAATTTTCAGTTTCATTTACCTTCATCATTAATTCATTATAACAATATAGGTGCTATAATTAATCCTCGTTTTAATACAAAAGAAATGATAAATAAGACTAATATTGAAGAGATTGAACAATTTAATACAGATCAAAAGGTTGCCGATTATTTGAGACCAAAATTGAAAGTTAAAACTGGATATGTTGACGATGAAACTCACTCAAGCGGAGCTAAAGATGATTTGAGAAAGGCTCATTTTTCGATAGGTACAAGAGAACGAGAAAGTATATTCGCAGCAGAATTGGACAAGTTCTTTAAGGAAGAAGATGGTGAACCATTTAATGAAGATGTGAATAACAATACTCTTCAACAACCAAAACAATCATTATTCAGAAAAATTAAATCATGTAGTGATATAAGGGAAATTGAAAAAGAAAGAGAAATTCTAGGTCATTTTTTGAACTACAATAAACGTTGTCATAGTGAAATATTTCAAGAATCTGTTCATGAAAAAGAAACTCCTAAATCTAGTTTTATCAAAAATCATCAAATTATAGGACTCAATCAAAATCAAATTCCAAATCATAATGCTATCCATCTAATTCCTAGTTCCTGTTTTGGTACTCCAAGAATGTCAATGAAGACTATAATCTCAGCAAGCGAAGGAAAATATCACAATGAAAAAATTTGGAAACCAGAACAAATTTTGGAAAATAATAACGATTCATTATCAATTCAAGAAGTTTCAATAAGAGATAAGATTTTGCAAAAATGTTCAACTAAAAAATTAAGAGTTTGTAACCATGCAAGTGGTGACTTCTCAAATTCAGAAACTGATTATGAAGAATCTCATTATAATTTTACTACTAGTGAATATGATAATGAAGAAACTCATTTTGATATTGTTGGTGTTAAGTCGGTTACACTGAGCAGTAAGAAACGAAGATTTACTGAGTCTCCCAATCAACCACAAATCAGTCCGCAACATAAGTTAATTCAATTCCACAAATCTGGTGTTAATCGTAATAATTCCAACAATTCCAACCAGCAATCAATTGCACATCGTCACTCGTATGATGATGATATTGTGTCATTTGTTATTGCAAAGAATAAATTACTTGCTGAAGATGGTGGTACAGATATTGATTTATCAAAAATTGGATCCTTGAATATGGATCAAAATGTTGGTAAAAATAAAAGAGAAAAACATCATTCAGCCAAATTTCTGGGATTATTCAGACATTTCATAAATAATGATGTTGATTCAAATTTCGCAATTAGTTTACCAACTTCTATAACATCATCACCAAGATCTACTCAATCATCCAAAAATTTTGATAACTCAGTTTCGACTTATAATGATAAAGATCAATTCAGTTCCATAACATCACTAAAAGCTCATGATACTCCAATTAGTAAAAATCAAGAAACTTTTCACAATACTTCACCTCATCAAAATTTAAATATTCGGACCTCAATCAATTTGAAAGAAACAGGAGTAAGATCACCATTTCAAAAACAAATGAGTAAATTTATTAAAAAATCATCAATCTTGTTAAAAGGTATAACTGATTCAGGAGTTACAAAAGATGATATACATTTTAATTTTGGACCAATTTTAAAACCTGAATTAATTCATAAAAATGAATTTCAAGAAACTCCTAGATCAATGAAAGCATTTTGTGATTATTCACCAGAAGAATTACTGAATCATCCACTTGAATTAAATTCTACTTTAGATATGGACAAAAATCATTTTTTTAAAAATAGAATTAATAGGAAAAACAGTTTTGATAGCTTTTTAAATTCTCATACGGCTACTGATACAGTTAAATTTTTTAAAGAGTATATAGATACAGTACTATGAGTAGCGATTAAAGTTAAGTTTATGCATTTTTATTTGAGATTATTACTATGTATTCCAAATATCATTCCAAGTAACTTCTTTTCTTACAGCATTTGAATAACCTTCTTTGAAATTAACCCAAATTCTTGGAATAGTCTCTTTTATACTAGCATCATTTCCTTTTTCAGAACTTCCTTTTAAATTTGATTTTACTGAATCATATTGAGTTTTGAAAAAATGCAGATCTTTCTCCATTAGTTTTTTCTTTTTTAGTATTCTTTCTTCTGATTCTGTTGGTTTTGTAGAAACTGTTGCTAGTGGACGCTTTAAAGCTTGGGCTTGATTAGTTCTAAAATTTATTTCTGAGGTAACTAATGGGAAAATGTTTTGACGTTTTAATTGCACTTGCTTTTGATCTAACGTACAGCTTTTATTAGCTAAAAAGTTCTCATAGACTGATAACTGATCCCAATCTGGTGAATATAATAATTGTTGTAGACCTGATTCCAATGCTTTTTGAAATTCAAGTGTTATATTAAAGTTTTGAATTATAGTTGTGATTTTTTCCAACCAATGCAATTCTGTTTGGTTCAAATTAGATTTCTGTTTTGATGTGAAAGTTGGATTTATAATTTTAGTAATACATGGAAGAAAATAAGTTGCAACATCGTCAACATTGACACCGCCGATTGCTAATTGAGTTTGTATAGGTAAGTTCTGAACAACACATTTAGTTACATGACGGTTTTCTCTTAATGCTTCAATCATCTCAAAAGCTTGTGAGCTAGCATTGGGTATCAATTGATTCCCTTCTTTCTGTTGTCTTATTTCACTCAATAGTAAATATGATTTTAATGCAAAGATTGAATTATATTGACATGTGTCATTAAAATTTTTGGAAAATTGATCAGTGTAGCTCATCCAGTCACTTAGTTCACATGGCTTATTTAGTGAATCATCTTGAGTATGTATTACATCAAGATACTTATTGAATATACCATTCGTAAATTTATCAAATAAATCTGAATTTGTGCTAATCACTTTACCATTACCATTTGTATATCTGTCTAAAAGTCTTGCAAAATGTTCTTCTTTCTTCAATTGAGGATCTCTTCTTAGCATGTCATTGACCATCGTGAACCAAGATACGTTTTTGTCCAGATGTGAGGATTTTTTAGTCACCCCACTGTTTGATGATTTTCTACCATTAAATTGCATTTGATTCAAACATGCTCTCAAATCACCATCACCAACTTCACAAATTTCACCAATATCTTTATAATCTAAATCTAGACCTTCTTTTTCGTTAATCTTCATTAGGTAATCTTTTATTGATTTCATTGCATTCCCACTAATTTTAACACCGGTCATTTTCTGAGCAGTAGCTGGTTTTTTAAATGCAATTATTTCCGAAATTGCTCGTATTCGTTCTAGTGGATTGGGGCCATATCTTCCTGCTGGTCGTGAATATATATCATTGGCTATACAAATGATTGGTCTATTTAGTATCTGATTTTTTTTCTTATTTCTCTTTGAATCATCTTTTTGATTATTATTATGGTAATATGATTTATTAGTAGCTCTTTGATCTGATATTATTACATCGTTTAAAACTTTCATAACATCATTTAAATTTGCTAGTGAGTCAATTTCGTCTATTAACAAACAGAATGGTTTTTCATTTTTGGAAACGGAATTGGACGTTAATGTATTTTGAATCTTCAACCTTAATGCACTAGCGGCATTTGAAGTTGCATTTGAATTACCGCTGTTATTGCTTTGTGGAAATGTATCCAAACTGTTTAATGCATTTAATTCTTGAACATTATAGCCCAATTGACGGGCTAGTATATGAGTTGCAACGGTTTTACCAACACCTGGTGGTCCATGAATTAACAATATTTTCTTAAAAGGTCTACCTAATGAATCAACGCCTTCTAACTCTTGATTTTTTTTTTCTCCCAATACAACGGATGACCATTTATTCAACCATTTCATAATTAATCTATACTGTTTTTCATTACCGGCTGGACATAACAGTAGTAAATTCTGTGGTTTATATTTTTCTGTAAATAATTGTGTTGATTGTTTTGATTTTTGTTTAGTTTCGTTAGACAATTTTTTGTTGTTGTCTTTTATTCTATTCTTCAACTCGGCTTTGGCGAATAACAGATCCATATCAAGGTATGAGTAGCTTTCTTTTAATGATGTCTCTGGTCTGCTGGTTGGTCCTCTTTTTCTTATTTTGACGCATTCTCCGTTGAATAATTTCACTGTTATGTTATCTTGTAGATCAATTTCCATCTTATCCAGTTTCAGCAAATCTTCTTCTTCATTGTACTGTAATAAACCCTCAGAAACTTGTCTATCCAGGATTTCATCTTCTAATTCAGCAGTGTCACTACTTGATTGATCATTTTGTTCATTTGAATTTGTTGATGCAAAAAGATATGATTGAGTTAGGTTGATATCACTTGGTTCATTAACTTCAACCTCATTCATATTATCTTGTTCATTTGTTTATAGTGATATATTGGTTAGTGTTGCCTTATCAAATTGAAAATGTAAATAAAACACGTCTGAAATTTTACGCAACACGCGTATAACAAATCTCTAAGTACGCGCGTTATTGGGGTTTATTTATTGACCCTACAATTTATGTAAAACTCATGATCTATTCATTTATATACTTGAATATCTATACAAAAGTTCTCAACTCAATTTCAGGCACAACATCAATTTGTTGATTGTTATTTGTTTTTAATTTCATTAATTTTTCAGTATCTTCTCTTTGTGATTTAGTCAAATAATTATTAACAACTTCCTTAAAAACATTTGAATTTAATTTAACTAAATACATTAATTTTTGGGAAATGAAATCTCTGTCAACATCTGTTTCATTTTTAGACAAAACCGGAACCAATATTGAATAAATTGCTGTTGATTTTGATTCATCATCTTTAATTACTTTTGTATACATAATTAATATCTCAATAGATAGTTTTTCATCAACTTGTAATTCATCTTCAAAACCACTAATGCCTTTTATGATAGTGGATAATAAATTATTTAAAACTTGTCCAACATTCAGGCCATTATATTGAATTAAAGTCTTTATGCATTGTAAGCTTAATGGAGCGGTATTTTCTGTTTGCAATAGGTTCAACAACGCATCACTCAATTTTTTGGAATCTTCTGTGTCTAAACTCATACCACCATAAGCAAGTAAGACGACTGTTGTTATTATTGAGTAGTTATTTCTTGGACTGATCTCATAATACTTAGATATAACATTGTAGAAATTTTCTATTGAGTTTCCGTCAAACTCATTAATGCCAATCAAAATTTGTTTTAAATGAGAAAGTATAACTGAAATTAAATACACTTTTTTACTTTCATAAATTTTTGCAAAAATGTAAAGCAAACAAGAATACAAATCCATTTTGACAACATCAGGAAACAATGAGATCATTTCGACTAAATTTTCAAATGCCTTTTTCAAAACTAATAAATTGGCTGCACTTTCAGCATGTTTAAGTAAATGCTCATGAGCTACTTCATCAGTTGTATCATAATCAGATTTTAAAAATGGTAATATCCTAAATAATGGAAGCATGGTAACTCTAATCAACTCAAATAATTTGTCAAATCCTGATTCTAAATTTGTTGGATGTGAAGATATAAAAGTTTGGAATAAAATGTTGACGTTATCTATTAGCAAGCATTGGACTTCTGTATTATCGTCCACCAATATTAATCTATCAAAAATATCAATAATTTCAATAAATATTTGATCACTAAAAATCAAATCCACTAAATAATTTATTTGCAATAGTTTTTTTGTAGAATGAAGAACCTGAACCACATCTTTGTTTTTCACAAGTGATTCCATACATTGACTAAACAAAATGAAAAAGAAGTTTTGACCATCCCCTGAAAGTAGAGTATTGACCAATTTATCATTTTTTTCGGATTCCAAACTTAAAACATTGACTAAATTTATCCAATATGTACCATAAATTTCCAATTCCCTACTGGATGATTCACTATACTTGATAACTGAATATTCTCTTAATGACATGATCCACAAAGAAACTAATAACTCAGAATATTTTTCCAAAATTTCATTAAAGTCAGAGTCTGTAGAAGTATCATTTTCACTTGATTCGATTCTTAAAACTGCCCAACAATTGAGAATTGCTAATTGAATACTTTTTTTACCAAATTCTGACATATCCTCTAAAAATCCAAATTTCAAAAATTTGTTTGATGAAATCTCCTCCAATAAATGTATTAATGTTTTCAAAATTCTTTGTTTGGAATAAAATTTGATTTTTGGTAAATTCATAAAATTCGAAGATACACCAATTGCATGAACAATTACTCGAAAATCATTTCCTGGTGTAAAACAAGGAATTAACGCACTGATTATTTGAGCTTGTTGTTGTTCCAATATTGAAACCGATGGATAAAGTGGATCTTCAAATTCTCCAAATAATTCTAATGCTGAATTTAATAAATCAAGACCACGTATTTTCAAATCTGTTATTGTTGAAGTAGAACCAAGGAAAGATAGCTTTACAATATCTGGAATTTTATTCTTCAATTTTTCAGTCAATTGAGGATTATTGTAAGCCAATCTTAGTAAATCATTCAATGAATCATATATGAATAATTTAAACTTCCAAGATATAGGTTCGTTTTTTTCCAAACTTGATTCATCACCTGCGACTATACCTTCGTTTTCTTCATCTTTAAAGTCAACAGCATTGTCTCTTTTGTTTTTCTTTTGTCTTTGTGATAAAGGTAATAATTTTTGTTGATAGTTAGATTCTAGGAATGGTCCGACTAATTTCTTCATACTAGATTTGAATAAAGTATTTAAGGTGTTAAACCAATTTTTGTCCAAACTAGATTCCAACCACAATTTAATGAGACGCTCTAATTCAGGACAAGGTTTTATATTCATTGAAACCCACAACAAATATTCAGTTTCTGGCGTTATAATTGAAACGCCGTATATTTTCAATAACTCATAGTAGCATGTATAAGCACTTGAATATAAATCAAAACTTGTACTGAAAGGAAAAATAGTATCAGAATTTAATGATGTAGGTGATACACTAGCAATTGCGATCTTGATATTTTTGGATATAATTAAATTCAATAATTTTGCAAATACTTCAACCTCTCCTTCAATTAAATTAGGATCGAAAATAATAAGCTCTTGGAATAATTCTATTAATTGTTGATAAACTTGTAAATAATCTTCAAGAGTTTCTAACCCAATTCCATAACTTAATGAGACTATAAGATTTCTCAAAATCGCTTTATGTTTTGTTGACCAATCTCTTAATGCGGGACCTAAATTAGTAACAAATAATTGTAATAATTGTGCAACTGGGCCAGCAGAAGCATATTTAGTTTTTAGATTAATCAAAGCCTTATTATCCAAGTCATAACTAAATGAATTATTCAAATAATTGTTTGATAGTTTCTCCAAAAGGTCTGGAATCAATGATAATTTATCAGTATTAGATTCAAAAATTTTTATAAATGATTCAATGGTATAATAGTACATTATAGGATTTGGATCATTAACTAATTGTGAAAGAATGTTATAAGTATCTCCAAAACCAATTTTACTATTTGCATATATTTGTGACAAACTTAAAACTGCGGACCCCCTTCGATATGGGGAGTTGTTGGTGACAATATCATTAATTAAATTAGTCACGAGACCATGAGCTTCATCTGAATTTATCAACTTTGAGCAAAGACCGATAGTCAGTGAGTCCAACGTGGTAGACTGCTTACTTTTAGATCCATGATTTTTTATTACATCAATCATTGTTAATACAACATCTTTCTCCAAAAATAAATTGTGTTCTACTGCATTTAAAACAACACCATGTATAGCAATTGATACATTTTGTTGAATAGCTTGGAGTCTATATTCATCAATAGGTTTTGCAGTCAAAGAGTTTCTCATCTGTTCCAATAATGAGAATTGAATTTTACTAGTTAAGTAGGGGAACAGTTGTTGAAATAATTCTATTGATAAGTCTATGAGTGAGGTCATTAAACTTGGTGATATATTATTGGTTGATGACGAGTCTTGCGACAATAAAATACTAGGATCATAATTAATTGATTTTGCAGTTGAAGCTAATGCAATCTTGTCAAATACGTCAAACCAATAAGAAGTTTCCCTAGAACCGTGCAATGTGAATACACTATTAGCATTGGATACATCATCAAAAGTCTCTTTTTTCTTTCTATGATCTGGGTCGAATTGCGCAAGAGTACCACTTGTAAGCCCAAAATTATGATTATAGTCGTCGTTTAAATATGTTACCTGATTGTCAGTTAAAATTGATGATTTTAATTGTTTTGCTTTAGCTTTTGAGGTTTTGTCAATGTCTACTGTAGTTTCTCTAGCAAAGATTCTATGATCACTGAAAATCTTAATAAGGAATATAACAATATTTGAGTTGATCTCACTTTTCAAAGATTTTGTTAACTTTATATAACTTTGAAATATAATTTTTTTACTGCAAAATATTAAACTTATAATCATTTTTTCTGAAGTTAGTTGGCTATTAAATGAATAATTTGAATATAAAATATTGTTTAAAATATTTGGATCATGATCATAATTGTTGAAGGAAGAGTGATTTAAGGTTGTAATTGCACTCACACTCTCGATGCTACTTTCGAGATGGGACAAATAATTATAAGACTTTGATAAAAGAAACAGCACCTGCTTTAAGGTCTCTGGGGTTAAATCGACTGAATTCAAAAAGCTTAACATACAACCTAAGGCAAATGTTCTTAATTTCAAATTGGAAATAATTTCACCATCGTTTGTTTTATCTGTGCTATTAATATTCCCAATAAATTGTGAAGTAAGTAGATTTTTCCAAAAGACCAAAAATTGGGATGAATTTAATTTAACATATTCTGAAAAATTATATAATGGAATCAATGAAGATAATATTATCCAACAACTTGAATTTTTGTTATATGAATTACCACTATGTTTTAAACTTTGGGTACAAAAACTCAAAATTTTAACAATTACTGAGTTCTGAAGTAAGGCTGGATCAGTTTGTCTAATGAGTGACAGCAAGGTTAAGGAGTAACTCAATAATCTGACTGAAGATATACCACAAATATTTTGATCACCTCTAATTGATTCTTTCTCCGAATAATTTTGTTCTTGATCAACAAGTTTAAATATACGTAAGATTAATTGATTAATTATTGCTTGATTGCACTTAGCATAAGCAACAAATGTTTGAATTGCATAATTTCGTATATAATAATTGTCGTTCACAATCAACGTCAATAAAGCATTTTCTAAAAATGAAGAACCTTTACTTTCTGAGACTTTTGCAATTTCAAAATCTTCATCTTCATTTTCTAGGACTTCAGTGCTTCTTTCCTCACTAGCAGTTGATTCATTGACTGAGTCAATGTTGATACCAGTTGGCAAAACTATTTGAATTGTAAGCAAAACCAAATATGCTTGATATGGATTCGAGTAAATATTGATTCTTTTTCCTGACTCCCTCTTTTTGGAAGATCTATTTGATTTGAAGCCAAATATTTTTGATTCTTTCTTCTTTTCTCTATTCAATGAACCCGGGTCTGAAAAATCGTCTTTTAAATCATCCAGATTTCGATCTTGTCCCAAATCAAATTTTGAATAAAGAAATTCACTTATTAAATCATTAGATGCTGAACCAGTTTCTGAAATTAAATAATCTATTAAAGTACCCCAATTGCTTAATGTTTTATTCCAATTAGTATCTTGCACGTGAAATGTACCCGGTATACTACAATCCATCTCGCTAAATTTCAATAGTATCAATCTTAAAATGTGAGTTAAATTTGATGATAAAAATTCGGGATTTTGAAAATGTTCCATTTGTATATAAAAGATTATTGTGGACATCACGCTTGATTGAGCTAAATTAAGTTCTAAGGAAGAATTTAAAATTGTTGTACTATCATGACCAAGTAAATTGTTATTCTCCTTTCGACTTTCAATAATTGGCTCATTATCAGCATCAAGTTTATATCTTAAACTCAGATCCCAAAAGTTTGGATCAGGTAAAGGGTATAGTTTAATCAAATATTCTATTGGGATAAAGCCACCAGTGGGAATAAAATTTATTAGTAAATTTGCAATCATATCAGTTGTAGCTACTCTTACTTCTTTCAGAATATTAGAAAGACAATAGTCGAATAATCTTTCATTTGTTTTTAATAGGGTGCTTTGAAATTGATGTTGTTGATTCATTATAGCTTCTGGTTTTAATTTTGCTCCTGCTTGATTTGAACTTGCTGAAGCTTCCAAAAGAGTTTCATAATGACTTGATATACTTAATGTAAATAAATTTTTGAGGCATAAAATATAATTCTTCTTTAATAGTATGGTGGATGTACTTTTTTCATCATTTAAATCAAATGATATAACGTCTTGTGTAATTACTTTTGTACAAATTTTTATTAATTTTGCATTCAATTTATCATCTATATCTAATTTAGTTGCATTTTTAGAAATTGAATATAGTAAGTATATTAAATTACTTCCAACGTTTGGATCTTTTTTCAATATTTTGTGAATTTGGGAAATACTAAAACTTATCAATGACCCTAATTGACCAGGAAAATGATCAAATAAATCAATTAAAAAGATTATTGAAGTTTTGGTTACTATACTTAACTCGTTTTGATCATCCAATTGTAAATCATTTAAAAATTGATTAGTTATATCGTAAGTTTTTGACGATAATGTTTGAAGTATAATTATGAGATTTTTCGAGGCTAATTTGAAAACATTATATGATGTTGGAGTTTTTACTTCATTTGGGACATTTTGTTCTGCTTTTTTCTTCTTGGAGGTTTGTGGAGGATTTAATTCTCTTTGTTTATCAACTAATTGTATCAATTGACTTAAATATATTTGATTATCTGATTCATTTATTTTCTCTTCTTTAGTTAATTCTCTATTCATATCAATGAGGTAAGTAAACACCTCATTATTATCAAATTTATGAACAACATCAGCAAAGCTCTTCATAATCTTAATGATCTGTTATATAAAGGTAAGTGATTTTGTTGAAAATTGAATAAAAATAAATAAAGAATTGAAAAAGATCACAAAATTATTTACAACACGAAAATTACAACCATAAGAATTAAAAATATTTTCAATCATCAAGTCATTTCAATTTAGCTACAATTAATCTATGTACATACTTCTCACCTAACTCTTTTTATAGATGTTGGACTACCACTGATTGAAGGTAAATCTGAAAATCTTTTACTTAACGATATTCGTTTACTGCTATTAATACTATATCTTTTTTGATCAGTAGTATTACCAATTAATTCAGATGATCCGTTATTAATCTTTGTTATATGAGTAGTGGATGGTGATTTATATAATGCAATTCTTTCATTAGATGAATGATCATTATTATGTACCTGTCTGTTGAAGTTTCCTAAAAACATTTCGATATCTCTTGTTAGACTTTTAAGTTTTTGTAAACTATCTGATTTTTTCAATTTTGATCTTTGAGATTGTTGTTGTTGTAGTTCCTTGAGTTTATTTGGTGGTGGAGTTGATTTTAGCATATCTTCCATGGTTACAAACAGTACATCTCCATTGTATTCATTAACTTTATTATCATTAGTGTCAACAGTCTCAATATCTTTTATCTTCGATTCCAAGTTCTCAATTTTTGAGTTCAATTCTTTAATTTGGGATTGATAGTTGGTAATATATAATTGTTTTTCAAAATTTTGTTTCCTTGACCTGTCAATTTCATCCTCTAGTATAGCAATTTTTTCCAAAAGATCATTATTAAAATTTTTTTGTAAATTAAGTGCATTTTGAATAATTCTATCTTGATTTTCCATTGAATCATTTGTTATTTCAATTTTAACTATTTGTTGTCTTAACGTGTGAATTTCTTCTGATTTATTTCTTAATATTTCTTGTAAATTATCTATTTGTTTTCCATTCTCTGAATTGGTTTGTATTATTGAATTATTTTGATTTTTGAGATTTCGATTTTGGGTTTGTAGGTTTTGATTTGATAATTCTAAATCTTGTAGTTCTTGTTCCAACGCTTTTTCCAATTCTTTACTCGATTCTTGAAACTCGTTTAATATTGTTTCCGATTCTAGAATTTTTTCGATCAATTCATCTTTTGTGAGGTCCTGTAGTCTAGAAGGTAACCGGTCCATGATATATTGTGATGGAAAAAAGGCAGTTTTTAAAGATTCAATGCAAGTATGATCCTTAGATTCTCGTGATGATTTATGATTAAGGTGTTGCAAGTTTGATAAGATCAAATAAATTAAAAAGGTAAAAATGTAAACAAAAACACTGGTAGCATTTAAATTTTTTAAGAGGCTTTTAGAGGTAATTGATTATCGAAAGTCGACTACAAATATTTGAATTAATTAGAATTAGTATTAAATGCCTTTGTAAACAATTATGCGCGAGTAATTTGTGAAACTCTAACTTTCACAAAATTAATTATTGTTGTTTCTTATCTTCTTCTTCATGGGAACCAACTTCGCCTTCATCTTCATCATCACTTCTTTCATCTTTTTTGTCACCTGAGAATATATATCTTGATAAGATTCTTAAAATCAAAAATAACCAATAAGCATTAACTAATTGTAAAGCAAAAATCAAAGCAAAAGTAATTGGTTGTGATATCCAACATTTATATTGTTGAGTATCCCAATTTAATTCCCATTCACCAACAGTCTTAAATTCAGTTAATACAGACCATAAAATTTTCAAATTTATATAATGTCTTAGATATACCCAAACTCCAATAAAAAATACAAAGAATGGTCCAGTCAATTGAGAATCCAAATAATTTAATGTCTTGGAAAGTGCTAAAAAGAAATCAGATACATCCATTGTGATAAAAACTTCAATACCAATCCATGTAAAATGAAATCTATAAGAACACCAAATTAAAGCAATTGTAATAATATGATGTAAAACTAATTCTTTAAAATCTTTTCTAGGTTTTTCTAATTGTAAAATTAATACAACAGATTGTTGTACCCAAAATGCTGCTTGTCCCAAATAAAATACTTTAAAATAAATTTCATGAGATTTATGAGGATAATCAAGATACATTGGTGTAGTTTTGAACCACCATAATGGAGTTCTTGACATAATCCATAAACCAATTGGACCACTTAATCCATAATAAAACATTGCATAAGTTTGTTCTAAAAATCTTTTTTGTTTTGCTTCCTTTTTAATACCAAATAATATACTAAGTGGTCTTAATACACAACACATCATAAATTCTCTTAAAAATGTGAAAAATAATGCATAAAATCCAACAAATTTAAAATCATTAACTCCTTTACCATATTGATCAGTTCCTGGTATATGATAAGATGGTACAATCATATCTTTTAAAAATTGATGAATTTGACCAGATGGACTTGAAAGATAAAAAGTTGAATAAGCAATTATTAATGAAATTAATGGTAAAATCCAAGTTTGTCTATAAGTTAATTCTCTAAATCCAATAATTAATTTTTTAGCAATTGCAAAATCCGAAGTTGATTTTTTTTGTAATTCAATTAATCTTGCATTTGATTTTCTTCTTGCTGATGGTGAAGTATCCATTGTTGATAATGAAGGAGATGTATCACCAACATTTATTTGACCAACTGATGATGTTGCACGATGACGTTGATGATATTTTGGAGATAGATTATGATCTTTGCCAGATGAGGTAGTAGAAGCTGATGAACTCATTTCCCCCTATATCAAATTAATGATTTTTGATTGTTGTTATGAAAAAGAGCTTCAAAAAAAAAAAATTATTTACAAAAATCAAAAAAATATTTTTATTTCAAAACAAGTTTAATCTTCGTTTACAAAGAGCCTTATTACAACAATATTTTGATCAGAATTTCTTAATTATTATTATTTAATTGTAATAATGAATTATAATATTTTAATATATGCTTTATAATAAATTGGTATATATACTTTATACTATAAGAAACTTTCAATAGAGACTTATTGATACAAAAATTTCAAAAACTGCAATTGCTAAAACTGAAACGAAAAAAGTTAAAGTCATAATAAACGAAGATCAAATTTGTCCATCCATCAGAAGTATTGGATTTTGATAAGCTTTAGAAATTGTTATCTTTAATTCTGATAATTAAAATAAATTTTTGTGCATCTTTTACAAACTTTATAGGATGGACTGAAGTGATGAATTGATCGAACGTAAAATGATTTGATCTGTGATCTCTAATCAACAACTCGTCTTGATATTTGCTTAAATTTCGTTCGAGACTCAAATGACATCACACTGATTTTTTTCTTGGTAGCTTAATTTCTCCACAAAATCAAAGAAGATTTCATTAAAGGCTTGGTTGATAATTTATGAAACGAAGATAAGGCTAAAGAGATATATTGCTTTATTATAATATGCGAAGATCTAGAAGATATAAGTTGGTTCATAAAAAGGAATCATAATGGTTTCAATGCTAGAAAGTCTGACTTATCAGCTAATTATGGGATATTCTGTTAGCTTTGAATCATAAATAATGTTTCAATTAAAATGCGTATAAATGAGATCTTACGTGGTCAAAAGTATATTGTAGATAAATTAAACATTATTGATGTAGTTCTGTCTGTGCCTCTTCCTCTATTATCATAAATTAGAATATAAATTTAAATTTTGGTTGCAAACTTATGATAATAAGAATTGTACTGTATATAAATTATTTATTTTATCTTATCCAAATATTCCATATTATTACTGAACTATTTTAATATACAATTTGAATCATTCATAAGTGGCAATCATTTGAATTTCAAATATTTATACCACTTTTTATTACAATATAACTATTAAAGATGGCTCCATTAGATACATTGATTAATAAAGCCACTGATCCAACTTTAACTACAGATAATTGGCAATATATACTTGATGTTTGTGATAAAATATCATCAGATCCTGAATTAGAAACTACAAGAGCTATAAATTTAATAAAAGCGAAAATATCATCAACAAAAGATGCAAATATTATATTAAGATCATTATCATTAATAACTTCAATTGCAGAAAATTGTGGTTCAAGAATGAAACAAGAAATTGCAACTAAATCATTTTTACAAGATTGTTTAATTAAAAAATTACAAGATAAAAAATTACATATTACTGTTAAATATAAAATTATTGAAGTACTTGAACAATTAAATAAAAGTTTCAAAAATGATCCATCTTTAAAACCAATGAATGATGCTTATAATAAAGCAAAATATGAATATCCTCAATATTTTAAAGCTCAACATGGACCTAGTAAACCAGCAAAACAAGAAAGAACTCAACAAGATAAAAATAAAGAAGATGAAGAATTACAAAGAGTATTAAAAATGTCATTACAAGAATATGAGGATGAACAAAATTTGAAAAAGCAATATTTAAATAATAAACCATTACCTGAAGCTAATAATAATCAATCAATTCCTCCTTCATCTCCAGATAGTTCAAATGAAACTCAAACTGTGGCAACTGTCTCAAAAGTAAGAGCATTATATGATCTAATATCTTATGAAGAAGATGAATTATCATTTAGGAAAGGGGATGTAATAACAGTAATCGAATCGGTTTATAGAGATTGGTGGAGAGGTTCCTTACCAAATGGTAAAATTGGTATATTTCCATTAAATTATGTTACACCAATAGTAAATAAAACTCCACAAGAACTTGCAAAAGAAGCAGAAATTGAAAATCAACTATTAAATGTTGAACAAAGAAAGATTGAGAGATTATTAGCATTATTATCAACAAATGATATATCACAAGTTAATGAAGATGAAGTTACTGATTTATATAATAGTGTTATATCTTCGAGAATCCAATTAGGAAATTTAATAGATAAATATAGCGTACGTCAAGAAGAATTAACGGTTTTAAATACTCAATTAACTACAGAAGCAAAATCATATAATCAATTATTAGATAAACTGATAACAAATCGATCAAAATTCAATGGACCAAATTATAATTCATATAGTTCACTTCCATATCCTGCTGTTTCACTGTCAGTACCTCAATTAGTCCAACAACAAACTTCATCTCAACAACATATACCACAATCTAGACAATCAAGCTCAACACATAATAACTTCCCATCTTTACAACAACCTCAACAACAATATCAAACATCACAACCTCATTATTCTCAACCAGACTTCAGTCAACCGCAACATACTCAAACTCAACATACACAAGCGCAACCAAGTCAACATACCCAATCTCAACATACTCAAACTGAGTATTCACAACCTCAATATACTCAACCTCAATATACTCAATCACAATACACTCAACCTCAATATACTCAACCTCAATTTACTCAACCTCAGTTTACTCAACCTCAAAGTTCTACACCACAATACGGTCAATCTCAGTATGCTCAACCCAATTATGCTCAACAACAACAACAGAGATTGCAAGAACAAAACACTAGTGCAGGTTTTGGAAACGGTGGATACTAAATATTTAAATAGATACTATTTTATTGTAATGAGTGAATTCTTTAAGAGTGAATTCTTTTTTGACGTATTATAAACTCAATCTCTGTAATCAACCTTACACAAAATAGTCCAATTATTATATGTGCGTAATAACATTGAGACTTTCAACATACTTTACCGTATCAAACTAATCTCAAAACTTCAAACAACCCAATCAATTGAAACGATGTCAGTTCAATTAGAAGATATAGTCACATCATTAATTTCAAGTGCACCACCAACAGAATTACCAGAAGTCATTAAGAATCTAAAAGTATTATCAAAAGATATAACTAACTCCACAATTGAAAATTCAATAAATGAATATTTGAAAACTCATTCAATTATAATTGACGACTACATCATTAACTCACAAAATAAAGATTCAAATTCTTCAAAATATATTGATTATATAAGAAATGAAAAATTTAACTTTGATTTAGTGAATGAGAAAATTATAGATGTTGAATCATATGATCATGATATTTCAATTCCAAAAGATTTAATTATTAAATTAGAAAAATACGGAAACGATTATTACGTCGATTTTAACTTTACAATAATTCCAACAGATGAAAACAATTATAAAATAATCATTATAGGTGAAAAACAAAATCAAGAAAATTTTTATACTGGATCATGGCAAAGCGAATATTCAATCTCAAACAACAGAATAACAGGTAAAATCAACTTAGACATACATTATTTTGAAGAAGGAAACGTAAGATTAAAATTCACCGAATCCTTGAGTGATTCAATCAATTCATCAACCACTAGTAATGTTATAAATTTTATAAATAATTCGGAAAATGAAATTGAAGAAAAAATTATACAAAATTTTACAAATTTAAATCAAAATTCTTTTAAAAATTTAAGAAGATTATTGCCTGTTACTAGATCTAAATTGAATTGGGGTTCTGCTATTGGGAATTATAGATTGGGTTCTGATGTTGTTAATAAAAAGTAAATTTAATTTTAGAAAGTGAAGTAGTTGCTAAAATATACAAGATATATATTAAATTGAATATCTTATTCTCTAATTAGTTCATCAAATCGTCTCATTAAAGTATGGAGCATAAAACCGGAAATCTCTAAACATAGACCTAGTACAAATATTACTATCGCATAATGTATATGACATTCAAGTTGTCGCTTGTATTAATTAATTTGTAAACGAACTGTAGTCTTGACTTCCTATATAACAACGACTTTCGTCTCCTCCTTGCCTCTCCTCTTTGCAATCCATTCTCAAAAATAATCATAGCAATTTAAATAACATCCAAATAACAAAAAATCCCGCCAAAATCAATCCAACAATCCTAGTTAAACTTTGATTTCTATTCATAACAGTTCTTAAATTTCCAGATGTTCTCCCCACTGATGACATTAAATTTGAGAAATTTTCATTTAATTGATTTAATAATCCAGATTCTTGTTGTATTGATTCATTTATATCATTATTTATTGTTTGTTTAAATTGATTTAATGTTTGTGCTAATTGTTCGAATTTTTGATTGTTTTGTTCTTCTCTATGGGAATATAGATTACTCATTATGTGGGTTTATGGATTATAGATATTAAAGTATTGGAGGTTGAAATATATGTGGTAAATTAATTGGCAATATTTTGATGCAATTTTTAACTTTTGTACTTGTGATCTTATAACTTTTTGTTACACAAGAATTTTGGTACAAACGTATTTATGAATTTTAATTACAAATAGAGTAATTTTCATGATTATATAGATTTATTAGTTCATTATAAACTACTATTAAAAAACTATGCAATAACTTTAAAAGCAAACTATGATAATAAGAAAGCACCAGCACCTTCTTTAACAGCTTGTAATAATTTTTCTTTCATTATTTCTTTAGTTGAATAATTTGGAATTTTTAAATAATTAGCACAAGTCATAACACTTGGTAAATAATCATCATCTTTTAAATCATCTTCTGCTCTTTTTCTAACAACTGTTAATTCAGGTCTTAATGCTTTAAACCCACCAATTGGTAATTTTGGAGATCCTGTTAAAAATTGTAAAAATTCTCTTTTTTCAATTTCATTAAATTCAATTAATATCAAGATTAAATCTTTTATAGTTTGAGATTCCCTTGTATATCCATGATTCGCAATTATGGCTGATGACAAAGTATCATAAGACCAATCTTCTTCACAATTTCCAAATAATTGAACTAATTCATTAGGGGAGAAAATGACTAATGAATTTATTGGGAAAACTTTTGAAAACCCTTCCATAAACGCTTTTGTTTGATGAATAATACCTGAGTATAATGTTGATTCTAATACTTTATTTATATAACTTTCTAAATTCTTAGCTTCAATTAAAATATTTGAACCATTCGGTATTAATTCATATTTTGGATATCCAGGTAATTCAAAATAAAGTCCTAAATCTTTTATTGTTGCTCCATCAATTTCAATGAAATTACATTCTTCTTCAGTCATATTGGGTTTAAATAAACTCAAATATTTATTTAAATGTTTTAAAGATTTTGCTAATTGTGGATCAACTAATTTTAAATTCGATAAAGTTGCAATTTTTTTGATAAATTTTTGATTAATATGAGAATGTGGTGATTTATGATTTAATAATTGAACTAATTTGAGAAAAATTGGATTAAAATTAAAATCAATGATTCTTGAATCTAATAATGCTCTTGCAATAAATTTTCCTAACGATGCAAAAAAGTAAATTATTTTCTTACCATTTTCTGAATTAAATTGTGATTTATCCATTGGTAATGGGAATAAACCATTTGAATTTTCAATATATTTATCATTTTCCAAATCAATTGATTCTGTATTAGTTGTTACATGATTATCTCTCCATAACTTCATTTTACGTTTTGAAAATTCTTTTGAGACAGTTGAGTAAAATTCTAAAGTAGGACCTAGTCCTGAACCAACTTCATCAAAATATTCAATTTCTAAAATACCTGGTGTTGCTCCATAAAGTCCTAAAACTTTTAATGCACTTTGTAACATCATAGATCTTGTGATTCTTACTTTATGTCTTGTTGGTCTACCTAATTGAGGTCTTTGATTATATGATCCATTAGAATTATGACTATTATTATTATGATTATTATGATCATTTTCATAATTTTGATTGGCTCTTAATTGCCATTGATGAATTAAACGAGAATAACCAAATGATGTTGATTGTAAAAAGAAAATTCTAGTTTCTAATGGGAAAATAAATGGAAACTGTTTTGTTAAATGAATACTCCATCCTGGTAATGTACCACTTGCAACAACCAAAGGCTCCTCCAATTGACGATTTAATTTAACCGTTAATTTCCAATTGGTGAAATCTTTTACTGGTATGTTTTTCTTCCCACTGTTGCCCACATACACGTTCATTTTAAATAAAACTTTTAATAATTTCAAAATGTTTATAGTAGTCTTATCGTAAACATCCAATTCATGTTCATTAAAGCTAAAATTGTAGTTGTTGTATGAATTCTCACGATTGACTTCACTACTAACTTTTCTGAATGTAACATTATGTACTGTTGACCAGATTTTACTTGGTTCAACAACTTCATCTGGTTTAGTTTGAATTGATCTATAAACAGCTCCATAAATAGTAGTTTCAAGTGGGATTACTTCTCCATTAATTAAAAATTCAATATTTAAATCATTTTTCTTGTCATCATTCTCAGTTTTAGTTATACCAATACCTCCAATAGTTTCCATGAATCTGAATCTTTGTTTTAAATAAGATAATATTGATTTAAAAGTTGCTATAGCATGAACTGATAATGACATATTTTTCATAGTTGATGGCAAATTTAAATCTCCCATGTCACCTTCAGCTGTTAATTTTAATTTGATTTGATTTGCCATTAAAGTCGTTTGACTTTGAGTACGTGAAACAACTGAGTTATTGTTACCAATTGAAACAATATCAAAAGATTCGGATCTAGTTAATGTTTCAAGTAATTTATGTACCAAGGATTTAGCATCTTCACAATTGTTATTAAAAAAACAATCAATAAATGAACCATAACAAACATTGCTTTCATTATGATAATCCAAATCATCTGAAGTAAATAGATCAGTTAGCAATTCAATTAACCCAGAAGAAATTAATTCAAAACTTGACACGTGTGAATTATCAGATGCTCCATTTAATGCATATTTCAACTGTGTCCATAAGTCAGTCCACTGATCATACGAATAAAATTTTGTTTCTTTTGGATCCGACAACACTTCTTTAATATTTTGTAAAATTAACATATGTTCTGAAACATCGTTTTGTTCATATAGCTTAACACCTTGATATTTTTTATTAATATCCAAACCAACTTTTTCAATATTGTAATAAGTACCAATAAGTGAGGTTCTATATTCATAGTCTTTAGAAAATTCTGAGTCAATAAATTTATTGGCAAATGAGGAACCCACGGAATTATCAAAAGTAGACACTGGTCCAGTACTTAACTTCTTATGTGGTTTAAATTCTTGAATAATCGATTTAACATCATTAATTAATCCTTCTCTTTCAAAAGCTTGTAGATAAAAAGTTGGTGCTTTGTTAAACAATGCATTCATAATTTTCAATGCACTTAATATTAACAAAGTGGCATTCAATTTGTTTAAATCTTTCGGTCCATTCCTAATAGTTGAACGTATTTCCTCCTCTTCCTCTTCATCGTCATCGTCATCTTCTTCATCTATATCATCTACTCCATCGAAATAAATATCTGAATTTTCATTGTCATCACTGTCATCACTATCATCCATTATAAAATCATCATCATTATGCTTTTCATTAACAGGTTTATTATCATTAGAATTATCATCATTATTATCATCATCAATGTCACTAGTTAGCATTTCGACATCGTCATTATCTTTGCTCTTTTTATCCTTCTTATTGTGTTTTTTAGTTTCAAAATATTGTTTCAAATCTTGTAACAACATTGGCTGATATTGGTTCACAACTGATGCAAGCAATACAGCAACTCTATCGGCATCTTTAATTGACGTTATGTCTTGTTCATTAATTGAACTAATAATACGATAGAAATCAACAAATCCAGATCTTCTTATTTCGAAATCCATGGTTGCTTGGAAACTTAATATTAATAAAGACCATATTTCATTAACAAAGTTTTTGAAATCATCAGGAATTATATCACGACATAATGCAATTCTATCTTTGTTGATTGTTTTTCTTTCTTCAAATTCTTCAAAATTTAGTCTCAAATACAATGAATCAGATGCAGGATAATTGATTGGTAAAAGATATCCAATCAATGTTAAAAAATGTAAAATCAAGTCTTTTGGAGCTGCCATTAATGATTCTATAGTAATATTATCAGCTTCATTGCTTGTTGAGGAGGAATTTCCATCTTTTGATCTACCAAATTTATTTAAAGATTTAACTATAACTAAACCAATATCACAATCACCTAATAATATTTTAGAAACTTCAATACTGACACTACTTAGTATAATCAAAGATTTAATTAATCCAGTACAAGTTGCATATGATACTGCAATTTTTTCAGATTCTGTACTGGTATTCAGTGATTTATTACAACTAATAAGGATAACATTGGTTAATTCTTTGAAAAATAATTCTTTACCAATAAACAATTCATTCAAATATTCTGGTTTGTTTTTAAAACATGTAATGATTCTTGAAATTGTAATCCAAGCATTTTCTACAACATTTTGATCATTATGAGTTTTTACAACATCTGCAATACTATTGAAAGCTTCTTTCACTTTAGAATAATTTGACATAGTAATGTTTGTACAAGAATTTGAAACTATACTCAAGCATTTCCTCTGTGCATGAACTGTTAAAAAATCAAGATATTGGAGACAAGCAGTTAATCCATTATTTGATATAATACTAGAATGAGAAATTGGATCTTTTGATATCATTTCTAAAGTTTGTAATGCTTGTTCAGTTAAATCAATATATTTGATTTCTAATAATTTGTTACATAGTGCAGGTATGGCATTATTATTTAATGCATCATGAATAAAATCTTGATTAACTTCCAAAAAGTTGTATAAACAACGACATGCTACTAAAAGTAATTCTAATTCTTCTGCTAATTTTGGATCTTCCATAAGATTAACTAAGCTTCTTGCCAATTTATTAGCTGGTATTAATCTTTCAGCAGTTAATCCATTCATCATTAATAATCTTTCTGATAATTCATTTAATGATTCGAGTACAATGTACGTATCCTTACGTTGATCCAAATTATTGATTAATGCTTCAATTTCTCCATGATCTCCTGAATTACCTCCAAACATAACTCCTCCACCCCTTAATCTTTGCATAACATCAACAAATCCTGCTCCACCTGCGCCTCCATTTGGTCCTGATGTAATATTTGAATTGACTCCTCTAGTACCAGAAAGTGCACCAATTGCACGTAAAAATTCAGCACGAGGATCATCTGGATCGATATCTTCCATATCATCATCTTCTTCATCCTCTGCTAATCTTTCGTGTCTATTAGTTGTAGTATTTGATTGATTTTCACCTCCTGTATTTGAATATTCATCTCTTGTAGCTGAATCATCACTGGGAATAACATCAGTTCTACCTCTAGCTTGCATTAAATGACGTAAAAAATCAGCAGTTTCAAGCATTTCTAATTCTTCTGCATTGATTTCATCATCTTCATCTTCATCTTCATTGTCTTCATCACCTAATTCGTCTTCATCTTCAATACTATGATCATGATCACTGATATGTTCATTATCTTCACTATCTTCTTCTTCTTCAACAATTAAATCACTATGGAATTCCACATTATCTATATTTTCTTCACTTTCATTATTATGATCTGCATCAATTAATATACCAGGTTCATGAAAATCATGAGATTGTTGACTTAATTTTCTATGTTGTGCTTGTTGTGAGAGTCTATTTAATGAATCTTCCTCATCGTCTTCATCTTGTGAATTATTGGAATTATTAATTAGATCATTATAACTTGTATTTGTATTTGATTTATTTTCTTCAAGTGATGATTTTCGGGATTTATTTTGATCTTTAGCCATCCTTTTTAATTGATTTATACTCTAACTTGCTTAATTGTAAGATTCTTACTACAAGTACAACTCTAACTTTCTAACTTATGACTTTATTACTTAATATTATTAGTAATTGTTAATTACGAAATAAGGATATAAAATTAAAATTAAATGAGATATAAATGTAAAAAATATGAAAAATGTGACTTTATGTGACTTTATATATTGATTGAATGATTGGTGGTTGAATGGGTTGGTCAAAATATTGAATTTGAGTAATTAAGATGATTTTGGTTAATTATCAAGTTGTAAAAAAATTGGGTTGCAAATATTTTATAAATTTAAATGTATATTATAAATAATATTTATTAGACTGTTTAATAAATAACTATTATATTAGTAGTTAATACTTAGTAATAAAATAATATAATAATAGTTAAATAAAGATAAGATTTTTTTTATGTGGCAAAATATTGGTTGGTGTCGCGACATTCAAATTTAGACACATTTTTAAATTATTGTAAAAGGTTTTTGTGGTAAAGACACGAAACAAGTGATTTGTGATTATTATATTACGAATGCTTAAAACTTTTTAAACCTATTGTGAATTTTTTTGCATCAAACTTGGAAACAAAAATTGAAATTGATGAACGAGATTATGACAAAATTACATATTCTTTTATACTTCAAAAATTTATTGGAGTAAAGGAGCAATTAGTAACAAACTCAATAACAAAAAGCTATTCTACACTATTTATGAGTATAAAAAGAAATATATAAGTTGTGATATTTCAGTGAGTCCAGACTCGTAGTTCTTTGTATATCTTCAATTTAAATCAATTTGTGTAAGTTAATTTAATTGTCAAGTTCAAAAAATTAAACTTCTTTGATTAAAATAACTAAAACTGAAAAGGGTTTTAATTTATAAATGAAATTATTATAATTAGAAATACCAAATTCAAATACTGTAAACAAGACCTAACTTTAAATTCAATCATGTTTCAAATATAAATGTTAAATAATATTTTTCCTATAACTTATACGTAGCCACTCTAATTACCATAACCATAAATTGTAATTTTCTACATTACATTAGTTAAATACACAAAAACTACAATAATAATTGACAACGATTTACTAGATAAATAATACGATGTAAAATTACATACTTTGCTTGAAATTATTCTAAATTCAGAAACCTTTTTTTTTCGACCCAAAAAAATGCGAAATTGAGCAAAAAATTAAAAAAAAAGGTCGATTGTAAGTTGTAAATTTGTCGCAGTACGGACGGGTGATAATAAATAATAAATAAATAAATAATCACAATAATAATCATAATAATATTTTAACAAGAAAAAAAAAAAAAAAAAAAAAAACAGAGAATTCAAAATAAAAAATAAATAAAATAAAAAATAAAAAAATAAAAACTATCAACATTAAATATCATTATTATATTGACTATTTACTTTGTTAGAACATGAATAATTCTGAGACCTATATCTGCATTAAACAGTTTAATGCTAGATTAGGTGATGAGTTGACTTTAAAAATTGGGGATAAAATTCAAGTATTAGCTGATGATCATGAATATAACGATGGTTGGTTTATGGGCAAGAATATGTTAACTGGTGAAGTTGGCTTATATCCCAAATCATTTACTGAACTTTTGACAAGAAACACTGAGGATAAAACTTTATTACGTTCAAGATCAAGAAGAGTAATGACACCCAAACAAAATGAAATTTTGAATGATACTCAAAATATTTCTACAAATTCAACTGTTCAATCAAAATCAAATAATGCACCATCAATATCAAGTAATTTAAATCCAAATATAAATAATAATTCCAATTCTAATGATTCAACTAGTCATATCAACAATGAAATAGATAAAGCGTTAGAAGAAATTCAAGGTAACAACAACTCCAATAACAATAACAATAACAACAACTATAAACAATCAAATGTTACAGCAAATAATAATTACAATAAACAACATATAAGAACTACATCTGCACAATCTTTAACTGATGATTTAAATCCATTACAAGCTAATAATTGGACTCCAAAACAAGTATCATCATATTTTCATTTAGTATTAGGTTATGACAAGGAAATTGCAAGTAAATTTTCAAAACATAGAATTTCTGGTCCAATATTATTTGAATTAGATTTGGGATACCTAAAAGAATTAGAAATTGATTCATTTGGAACAAGATTTGAAATTAATAAAGAAATTGAAAAATTAAAACAAATGAATTTAAGATCTCAAAAATTGAAACAACAATCAAGAACAAATTCACAATCAACTGGATCAACTTCCAACAAAATTGATACTACATCATCTACTGTAAATTCTTCACCTACTGAATTAACAACTTTTCAAGAGAATGAACATGATAAAGAATCGAATCATCAACAACAACAAAACATTTTACATAGTGTTAGATCTAATCAAAATGAGTTAATGCCATCAGCTGTTATTGGAAATAATACTGGTGCATCTTTAAAGCATCAAAGAAAAAGATCTCAATCCATGGACAATTTATCTCAGCATTTTGATTCATCTTTTATCTCACCAAGAAAACCACCACAACCTCCTTTGGGAGAAAGTCCTATGGATACTAATTATAAATTTGGATCTGGTAGTCAAGCTCTTAGTAATGAAGAACCAATTCAAGGACTATATGTAACAAGAACAAATGCATCAAATCATGGTGTAGGTAATTCAAGACCAGCATCTTCAGTTTATGATCAAGCATCAAATCACAACAGACAAATTTCACAAACTTCAAATTATCGTCAACACCATAAAAAGACATCATCAACAGCAAACCATAAAAGACATTCGTCATTATTTTCATTCCTTTCTGGTAATGAAGATGATTCAAACAAACCAAAATATCAGAGTAAAAATATACAAAAAGATGATTACCGTAATGAAAATGAAAAATTAATAAGTCCTGCACAAATCAAAAGAGATAACAATATTACAACATCAGTTGGAGGAACTCCAAAAAGAAAATCTCAATTATATGATTATTCAAATTCGCCAGTTGATATTGATGATGCAAATATGTCACCCAAAAAACTGAATTCAATGAAATCAAAATCAATTGATGCATTAAAAGATGATAGAAGAGTTGCAAGTGAACCACAATCAAATTTAACAAATTCTCGTCCACAAGCATCGAGATTGAAAAGTTTTAGAACTGTATCAACTCAAAATTTCCGGAATATGACAGGATCGAAAAAACTGAAAACATCAGCATTCACTGAAGGTATAAGAGAAGTTACACCGGATGAAGCTATTAAAACTGCAAATCATAGTGGATATATGTCAAAACGATCAAGTAATACATTAGGTTGGAGACAAAGATATTTTACATTACATGGTACAAGATTATCTTATTTTACCTCATTAAAAGATAAAAGAGAAAAAGGTTTAATTGATATTACTGCTCACAAGGTTATACCCATTAATAGTGAAGCTGATGATTTAGATAAAGCAGATAAATATGCTGCAATGTATGCATCAACAACATTAGCTGGAAGTTTTTGTTTTAAAATTGTACCTCCAGCTCCAGGTTTTAAAAAAGGTTTAACTTTCACTCAACCCAAAACCCATTATTTTGCAGTTGAATCTGAAGAAGATATGAGAGGCTGGATTAAAGCTTTAATGACAGCGACTATTGATATTGATGATTCTGTACCAGTTGTAAGTAGTTGTTCAACACCAACTGTATCATTAAGTAAAGCTCAAGAAATGTTGGCAAAAACAAGAGAAGAAAATAAATTAAAAGATGAAGAATTGAGAGCAAAAGGGTATATAAGAGGTGATGAAGATTTTTCAAATGATACATCCTTTCAGTCTTCAATGTATTCCACATCAACTTTAGCAGGTAGTCATGGTGGTGAAAAACATACATTACCAAAATTAACAATCAACACTCAAAATAACAGACACAGTAATTTAGAAGCGCCACCATTAACTCCAAACTTACAAACAAAATCATCAAATGCTGGTCCTTCAAGTGGTGGCTTTGCATCACCGTATCTTTTAGCTTCAGGATATTTATCACCAAAATCAGGTACTACTTCATCACCTAATGAAACTCCAACCACAACAAATTCAGGATATTTTGGAGATCCGCATCAAACATTAGGAAATTTCAAACCACCATCACGTCAAAATTCTCAGAATCACACTAATGTTAATACTACTTCGGCAAGCACACCAAACGTAAATAATCCATATACTACAATCAATACCAATAGATTTAGTAGTAATATTTCATCAACACCTTATTCAACAGCATCATCAAATAATTCACAACTGAATGTGATAAACCCGGTGACTCATATAAATGGAAATGGTGATGCCTCAAGTCCAAAAGATATTTCAAACAATACTACCTCATCAATAAATTCAACTCCATCGTCAAATAATAAAGCTATATTTGCAAATTCAACAGGGAAATTATTGAGTGGTGTGCGAAAAAAAGAAAAAATGATGGCTTTTAGTTCAGATGGATCTGGTAATCATACATTTGTTATAAAATCAAAAAAATAATTAAAAATAATAATGATATTGATGAATAAAAAATGATTTTTAAAATTTTATTTTGCTTTTCTATACAATTATAGTTGAGTTATGACTTTTCTTTTGCTTTTTAAAATTTATGTTACTTTGTATTTTACTTTTAATAATTTAATAAAAATAATAATTAATGTAATTGTACTTATTCTAATTCAAATGTCTTTTGCTTTTGTCATTATCAATTAATTAATACATCAAAAGATTTAATTTCATGATCTCACAAAAACACAAAAGCAAAAAAAATAAACAAACTAAAAAAAATTAATACGACTTGATTATCAATATAACTTAACCACAAGAAAGGTAATCATAATTAAATAAATGCAGAAACTGCAAGATATACCCAACAATGAAACCCAACCAGAATCAAATCATCAATTCAATGAAACCTATTTAAGATCAATAATAATAAATTCATTAGATAATTTAAATTATTCTAATGCAGAATTTGCCAGTGAAAGATTATTATCATTAGATTTACAATTTCAAAATCGACAACAAATTGGAAACCACCAAATCCAAGTGAATTTAGATTCTATTTATTTGTATTGTGTGACTTTGTACAGACAAGATAAGGTTAAATCATGTTATCGAAAATTAATTGACATTATTAATGGGAATAATTCACAAAATTTTGAAAATAATGATGGTGGTGATTTAAATATAGATACAAATAATTTAGTGTCTGAAGGTAATTTAAATCATTTGGGTTGTTTATTTTTATTTGGGAAATGTTGTTTAAAACTAGAAAATAAATGCAAAGATGCAATAATTCAATTCATTAAATATAAACACTTGTACGAATTCAATGATACAATATCTACTTCATTAGATTCAAAATTTAATTATGAAAAAAATCGATCAATATTACCAGATTACGCATCAGTTTATCATTTATTAGGTGATTTATATTATGAAATAAATGATATGAAATTAAGTTGTTTTAATTATTTAAAATGTTTAAAATTAAATCAATTTGATTTTGAAGCTTTTCAAAAATTGAGTAAAATGGGGGTTGATATAAGAATTAAGAATATTTATAAATTTCAAAGAAATTTCAGTGGGATTCATCAACAACAACAGCAACAACAATTAGAGCAATTTGGTCAATCACAACAGTACCAGTATCAACAACAACAACAACAACAACAACAACATTTTAAAACCCCTCAAACTTTGGGAAATTACGAAGTACCTGATTTAACCAACCCATTTGCAGATAAACAACAACACCAACAACAGCAACAACAACAATCACAAGATCCTAGTAATCCACTAAGAACTCCAACGATACATGTAGATGATTTTAATTTTTCAACACCAAGAATAAAAAGTGCTTCAATCCCCGATGCTCCTTTACGTAAATCTAATTTGAACACTGCAGGGATACATCAACCACAAAATTCTAATTTTAACCAAAATAATCAAGATTTAACAAATACTTCCATTACCAATAATACTTTTGAGTTTGCAAAACCAAATTTTCCAGAAAATAAGAAAAGAAATAGTGCAACAAATATCAAAAATAATTATTCTAAAATCACATCAAGATTAATTTCTCAACCTTTGAATAGTCAACAACAACAAACATCATCTACATCTAATTTGGAAACTCCTAATAAGAAGAACCTAAAGAGAAATAATTCAATCATATTGGAAAATACAACTAATACAAACCACAATAATTCAACAAATCTAAAAAATGTGAACCAGTCATCAATAAATTCAGCACCAATAATTCAACAAGTATCCAATATAACCACAAACACAACAACAAATTCATCAATAATGTATTTCAAGGAAATTGAAAAATCTGAAATTTATTTACTTCATAAATACCTGATTTTTGCAAGAGCATTTAAAAAATTATGTAAATATGATTGTTATAAGGCTATCAAAATTTTAGAAAGTCAATTATCAATGGAAGAAAAAAATACACCATGGGTATTAAGTAAATTAGGTAAATTATATTATGAAATAATGAACTATAAAAAATCAGAAAGTTATTTTAAAAAGTTAAGAGAAATAGATAGAACCCGTATTGAAGATATGGAAATTTTCTCAACATTATTATGGCATTTACACAAGAAAATAGATTTAACATATTTAGCTAATGAGATTTATGATATAAATCCAAACCATCCAATAACTTGGTGTATTATAGGTAATTTATTTTCATTAAATCATGAACCAGATGAAGCTATACGATGTTTTAATAAATCCATAAAGTTAAATTCAAAATTCATATACGCTTACACTTTAAAAGGTCATGAATATTTTAGTAATGATAATTATGAGATGTCATTAGAAAATTTTAGAATAAGTTTATTACTTGATTCAAGACATTTCAATGCTTTATATGGTATTGGAATGATTTATATGAATTTAGGAGATTATTCAAAATCAGATTATTATTTTAGAAAAGCAATTTCAATTAATCCAATAAATATAATTTTAATATGTTGTTGTGGAATGATTCTTGAAAAATTAAATAAAAAACAACAAGCATTAAAACAATATGAACTTGCGTGTAAATTACAACCAAAAAATCCATTACCATTATTTAAAAAATCACAATTATTATTTAGTCTTACAAATTATACAGCAGCTATAAGGAATTTTGAAATTTTAAAAAATTTAGCTCCTGATGAAGCAAGTGTTCATTTTTTATTAGGTCAATTATATAACTTAACAAATGAAAAATCAAAAGCTATTAAAGAATTTACAACAGCTTTAACGTTGGATCCAAAGGGTAATTATTTGATAAAAGAAGCAATGGAATCATTAAATAATTAGTAGTTTTTTATATAGATTTATATAATGAGTTTTAAATGAATGTTTTACGAGAAAAGTCTTTTATTTGTATTCTTAAACTTTTATAATGGTTCGTAGATTTTAATGTAATTATATGCAATATTTCAATTTAAATTGGACCCTTGATTTTTTAATACGTAAATTTACGAACTTACACTACTTTTTTTAAGAAAGTATAATAATCAAAAATAATATATTCAAATTATATATCATTTTGAAAGTCATTCAACTTAAAATGATAAATCACAGTCCTTAATGAATTCTAATTATTTAGATCCATTTTTTTAAAATACCTAAAATAGATAGACTAAAAAGTAATAGTTATAATACAAATTTAATTAGATTTAAAAATTAGATTTAAAAATTAACAAGTAGCACATGTTATTTTAAAAAAAAAACATAAACAAAGAGAAATTAGACCCAAAATCTCTTTTTTTCACTAAATTTTTCTACCAACTATTTGGATTAGATATAACAATCAATACTATCAATTTTTCTTCTTCAATCAAAATCACTTTCATTCATCACGTCACAGTTTATTTTTTTCAATTAAAGAAACAATAGTGGATTTTGTCAATTTTGTAATTCCGTTTTTAGACCAATTTTTAGAAATTCATCATTTCCTCATTCGTTTTTATAACTATAACCTTAAATTATTAAATTAATATTGTGAAAATAAGAAAAGTTTAAGACTAAATAACTAACCATCATTAAAATCATAGCTATCTATTCATGATATAATAATTACTATTCATTACTTTTTAACAAGGCCAATTAAAAGATCAAAAACATAAGTATAGAGAAATATGATACTTCTAAATAATTTTCTACTCATTCAACTACTATTTCTCAACTTAGTTTTAGGTCATTTAAATTTTTTAGGATTGGAAGAACCAAACTATTTCAAAAAGGGAGATGCAGTTGATTTATTAGTGAATAAAATAGAATCAGATAAAACTCAATTACCTTATGGATATTATAGTTTACCATTTGTATGTCCTCCAATGAATGACGCAAAACCTTTACATTTATCATTAGGTGAAATATTGAAAGGAGATAGAATTTGGAAAAGTGGTTACAAGTTGGAATTTTTAAAAGATGAAAATTGTTTAAGGTTATGTGATTTAAGAGCAAGTGCAAATGGGATAAGAAGAGCTTCAAATTTAATTAAAGAAGGGTACGTGGTGCATTGGTCAATTGATGATTTACCAGGTGCTACGACTTTTCAAACATCTCATCATAATTCAAAATATTATGCCTCGGGTTTTCCTTTGGGTTTCGTTGAAAATGATATAAGTTATATATATAATCATGTTATGTTAGTTATAAGGTATCACAAACTAAGTAAAGATAAACATGTTATAGTTGGATTTGAGGTATACCCGAGATCAGTTATAAATGAAGAATGTCCAGGATCTAGTAAAGATTATGAAAATTTTGCATTAAAATATCAATATGATGCTGAGGGGAACTTAGTACAAGAACGGACTTTGATACCTTATACTTATTCAGTATATTGGAGAGAAGACAATTCAATAGATTATGAATCAAGATGGGATTTATATTATGAACATGAATTACAAAATAATAAAAAAAAAATTCATTGGTTTTCTTTTATTAATTCAATTGTTTTGATTTTTTTGGTGTCATTAATTGTTATGATTGTATTTTATAAAATACTAAAGAGAGATTTACAAAATTTGCAACCAAATTTACCTGTGACTGAAAAAGATTTAGATCACTCACTTACTAGTGGAAATAACTGGAGAAATTTAGTAAATGAAGTTAACACAACCCCTCAATATGAATTGTTATTAACTACATTAGTTTCAGGTGGTATTCAAATGTTGATAGTAATAGTTGGAGTAATAATTTTATTGACATTAGACTCAATATCATTTTTTGCAAAACATTCATTTATAAATAATCATAAAGGTGCATTTTTTTCATTATCAATATTTTGTTTTATGGGATCAGGATTAATTAGTTCTTTCATGGGAGTGATACTACATAAATATTTCAAAAATGAAAATCTCAATAAGTCATATCCTTTTTTCAATAATTTTATATTGTCATTATTATTTAGTGCTGTATTACCTTTATTTTTATTCTTGTTGATGCTTGTGCTAAATTTTTTTGTATGGGCTGAAGAATCATCAACTGCATTACCTTTTGGTACCATTATCATATTTGTACTACTGTTTATTTTAATACAGTGTCCTTTGGGAGTCATTGGTGGATATTATGGTAATCATTTTAAATTTAGTAACTACAAATATATTACAACTACTCCATCAGTACCTAGCTCACCAAACAATGATTATTACCTACCTAAAAAGTCAATTTTAAGAACTTTATTTAAATCATTTTCAATCATATCGTATTTTAAAAATGTATTAGTATTTGGAGCAATACCGTTTGCTGTTGTATTTGTTGAATTGTTCTTCATTTTCAATTCAGTTTGGTTGGAGAAGACTACCTTTTATTACATGTATGGATTTTTATTTTTAACAATAATTATGTTGTCAATAATAATTATAGAGCAAACAATAATTTCAATATACTTATCATTAACTTTCTACAATTACCCAAATTGGTCATGGTTATCATTTCAAAATGGTTCAAGTGTTGGGTGGTGTATATACGTTTACTCCATTTATTACTACTTCAAATTTTTAAATATTGATGATTTTATAAGTTCATTATTATTTTTCAGTTATATGGGTTTAGCTTGTTTTATAATTGGTATTGCATGTGGTTCAATTGGTGTACTAACTGGTTTAGTATTTATTAATAAGATTTATAGAGCTGTTAAACTAGAATAAAAGTAAAGTTGTATAAAAAGTAACGATGTAATAAATAAAAACAAAACAGAGTGTTACATTGTAGATTCAAACCTCAAATCTTATACTTTAATGTTTTAAATTTTTTATTTTTTTTATGGACAATCAAAAAATAATCTATTCCAATGATGAAGCACCAGTAATAATATCAACTAATTCATTAGTAATAACAGCTTGTCTAGTTCTATTATATAAAATAGAATAAGAATTAATCATATCACCAGCATTTTTAGATGCATTATCCATAGCATTTCTTCTTGCTGAAATTTCTGATGCATAACCTTCAGCCATTGCAGTTAATAAATTATTAGCTAAAGAAAATTCACTTAAAGTTTGAACTGGATCTTCACCTTCTAATTCATATTTATTTATACCTGGAGAATTTGCAATAATATCAGCTGCATAAATATTAAAAGTTGAAGGTTCAAATGAAACACCAGAAACAAATTTATTATATATAATTTCAACATTATCATAATGACCTAATTTTGCAATTTCATCAGCAATTAAAGCAACTTCTGTAAAATTTGGTTCTTGTTTTCCAACACCATTAAAAGCTAATACTATATCATTTGGATTTGATCTATGTAATTGAGCACGAACTTTATCACCAATGGCAACAATATCAACATTACCATTTAATTCTGCAATTCTTTTTCTTGAAGCTTTTGCTAATTGTGAATGAATTGATCCACATAATCCTTTATCTGATGAAACAACAATTAAAAGAGTTTTTTCTGGTTTAGCATTTTCTTTAGTTTCTTCTTTTTCAAATGCTTGTTCTGCTTCTTTTGGATCAGTATTTTCATTAAAATCAGCTTCTGATTCATTGAAAACTCTTGATGCTTGCATTGCTCTTTGAGCTTTATTTAATCTTGTTGATGCAACAATTTTCATTGTATTTGTAATTTTTTCAATATTTTTAATTGATTTCAATCTATCTTCAATTTCACGTAAAGTTGCATAGTTTCTATTGGAATTGAAGTTAGTATAACAGTTTTTAGTCGTAATTACAATTGATCCAATGAATATCTAGTTGTCGTTGTATGACTATGATCCCCCTTCTTATATGAATCAATTGTTGATATTTCAAGGACAAAATTGAACATACCTTACACGTGGAGCTGAACGAGCAGCTTGTCTAACAGCTAAACGAAACATTGATGTGAATATATATTGAAATGAATCTTTTTCAAGCTTAGTATTTGAACAACTGATTGAATTTTTTTTTTCACTATTAAAACAGTTTTCACTAACTAAAAAAAATTCGCACCTAATAAAAATTCGGTTACTTAATTTAATTGGGTGAATAAAAATTACCATCATTGCACTACCTAAAAATACCCCTTAAACCAGAAAAATTACCTCTTAAATATTTACTATTATTGTTAGGTATGATTAGATTTACAAGGATTAGTTAAGACCCGAAGTATATTATTTCGAGAGTAAGTTGTTGTATTTAACATTACTACGATCCCACTGATAGCACAAGAAATCGACCCAGAGAGATATGCTTGAAAATTAAAAAGCGAAACTTCGAAAGATTAAGTTTTCAGTTTGAAGCTTACACAATGCTTCAGAAACTTCATTTGTCCATTAAATCCCATTAAAAGTAACTTGGACCGTCTACTCCAATAACGGTTCTAATTCAATTTTTTTTTTAAATAATGCAATTATTATTCATTACTAATATACAAAAACCAAGAGTCTATAATATTTTTCCCCAAATTTCAAATTAACTTACTTAGATATATCATTCTTTTGATAAAATTGATAACCAGTATCTTTTTGAAACTCAAGCATTAATTTATATTTTTCAGCTAAACTTTTACATAATCTTAATTTATCTTCGTTATGATATCCTGCACATTTTTGTAAAGCTTCATGAGCTACTCTTCTTTCATAAGTTCTTATATATTCTTCCTTCAACCATGATTTTCTTGCTGCTGTGACTTCTTTTAAATTATTATAACTTATATCATCAAATGATACTAATTCTGGCCTCTGATGATTTGCATAATTATCTAATTTTCCCATTGTTTATGATTGTGTGTATATATGTGAGTTATGAATATGTAATAAGTGAGATTATTTTAAGGTAAAAAAGTAAAAGAATGTAATGCTAAGGATGGTAGGTTTGTAATTGATGTAATTGATGTGAATTAGAATTAAGTAATCTTTGATTAATCAAGTTGTATTATTTATTTTTCGTAATGGTGAAAAACTAAAATTTTATTGGATTAATTTCGCACTTAAAAAATTATTCCATGTCGTGGAAAATTATTGATTTGTGACATGACAATTTTTCAAAACATTGATTATGTTCACAAATTATTTGATACTGGTGAGGATGATATTTTGTTTTTTTAAGAGCTTGCAAACAAGCCTTCAAAACTCAAATCAATTAGCTGCATTTACGTTAAGTAATTTTTATTCCTATTTTATGTTTATAAATAGAAAAATATTGAGTCTGGGGTAAAATTCATATACAATTCTGGCTACCAAATTTTTACTAAAAAAATACATCAAAATAATTAATTGGACTAATATTTGATAATATCATCTAAATTTAATCTTATCGCCAAAGGATCAAGTTTATTCATTTCAAACAAGGTTGGGCCAATTGATACCTTTGAAAGAGCCATTATAAACAACCGGAACAATTCAAAAAATTAAACAGCGAAACAAACGACAAATTAATCATTAAATCATGTCTGAAAAACTAATTACACCTGAATCATCAAAAGCAGTAATAACATTTAATGCAAAATATATATCATATAGTCATACATTATTTGCAAGTCTATCTTTTTTAGCAGCATTAGCCGTTGGGTCATATTTACATTATCACAAGATTGTTGAAAATTCATCATTTGGATACCCTGATGAATGGTTCCCTAGTGTTTCAGCAACAATTGGTGATAGATATCCTGAAAGATCAGTATTTCAAATCATTATAGCATTAACCGCAGGTCCAAGATTTCTTTTGTTAATTTTTGATTTCATAAGTTTATTCAGACCAAATTCTTCATTACCATATATTGCATTAATCTCAGGAGTTTTAAGAACTTTCTGTGCAGGTGGTTGGATGTATATAACTTCAACTGATGATCATGATGCTCATGATGTATTTATGATTGGATATATTTTTTTGACTATACCTTGGGATGTCTGTAATATTTTGTTATCACCAAAGGGTTCATTTCAAAGACGTGCTCGTTTTTATTCATGTATAAGCTTTTTTGGAACGATTGTTCCTTTGATTTATTGGTTCATTCAACATAAAGTACATGTTAGACCTGGCGCTTATTCAGTTTATGCATATTTTGAATGGGGATTAATTGGATTAGATATTTTATTCGATTCTTGGTCATTTATTGATTTCAAAGATATTGAAATTTCTATATCTGGTGAGGGTATTAAATTGATTACCGGGCAAAAAAAAAAGAGCGTTCAAAATACATTGGCAAAATCTGTTGATTCTGAGCCATCAACACCTACAACAATAATCGCTCCGTTGGAGTTCACGAATTTAGAAGTTATTTTTAATCTTATAAATTCTTACATATATTGGACAGTTGTTACATCTTTATTTTTATGTGTCTGGTATTTTCCGTTATGGCATATGGGTCTTTCAGGATTTGAGGCAGTTATAATTTCATTATTTTTAGCACCATTATTATTAATTCCTGAACCAATTAGAGTATATCTTGCTCAAAATCCACAGTTTACAAGATCTTTGACGGTTATACTAGGTATTGGTGCTTATAAAGTTGAAGATCCAGAACAAAGATTATTGACCATAACAGCAGGCACTGTCTTTGCTGTTGTCTCAGTGGTAAATGAATTTTGGGCATTAAACAATCAACCAAAAAAATTAAATTCATATATTACTACTTTTTCATTAGGTTTATTAACTACCTCAGTTTTTAAATTTTTATGTTATTCAAATAATCCAATTTGGCCAATTATGCATAAAGAAAATGGGGGATATAATGCAATTGGTATTTTTTTGGGTTTACTTGCATCATTTTTTACACCAGCTTTAACTACAAAAGTTGTACCAAAATCAAATCCTAGTGGTTCATTTTTATTAGGATCTATTGGTTTTGGAGGTTATTATTTTGCATCACAAGCATTCTTATCAGATTCTGGAACATTGACTTTATTTACATGGGAAGGTTATCCAATAAAAGGTCCAACTCCAATAACAGGTGCTTTTCCACATCTTTTGGTTTTTGCAATTGCAATTTTGGTCACTTTGAAAGTACATCCGAATACATTTAGTAGTTGGAGTTATAATTTAGTTGTTGGTGGGGGAAGCACTATTGGTTTATACTTACTCAAAAATTGGTTAGGATTTCTTGCTACTTTGATTTACGTTTTTTATTTGGTTTCAATTGGACCAATTATTTGGCAATCTATAAGTGGATATAATCCAGGTGCTGCTTTCTTTGTTGGTTATTTTTTAAATATAGTCATATCATTAGCAAGTGTTTGGATTGTTGCATATGCTTTTGTTCCGGGTGGACCATTATTGAGGGAAAGAACTGATATTATATTGGGAGTTGCATTGATACTGATTTACGCTGGTATTGCGAACTACAAATTTAGAATTAATGATATAACCAAAATTAATTTTTACAGTAAAAGAACTTACAAACAAATTTCAACCATCATAACAATACTTCTTGCATTATCATTAGCAACCACAATAAAAAGATATCCATCATCAACTCCAAAACCTTATAATGAAGAATCAAAAACTTTCACAACCGGTATATGGTGTGTTCATTTCGGGTTAGATAATGATATGTGGTCATCAGAGACAAGAATGTTGAACCTTATACGCGAAGCAGAAGTTGATATCATTGGTTTACTAGAAACTGATACTCAAAGATTAATTGGTGGTGATAGAGATTTCACACAGAAAATTGCAGAAGAATTAGGAATGTATGTTGATTATGGACCAGGACCAAACAAACATACTTGGGGAGCTGCATTATTATCAAAATTCCCTATAATCAAGTCAACTCATCATTTATTGCCATCACCAGTTGGAGAATTAGCACCAGCTATTCATGCAACATTAGATATTTATGGAGAAATGATAGATATAATAGTATTTCATTCAGGACAAGAAGAAGATATTGAAGATCGTAGATTACAAAGCTTGGGGATTGAAGAAATCATGTCACAATCTACAAATCCAATGGTTTTAATTGGCTACTTGGTGACTGATCCATTAGTTGGTAATTATAATAATTATGTATCTGAAAAATCAAGAATGTTAGATATTGATTCAAGTGACTGGGATAGATGGTGTGAATATATTTTATATAGAGATCTAAAGAAAATTGCATATGCAAGAATATCAAGAAGTACAATAACAGATACTGAATTACAAATTGCAAAATTCAAATTATTTGAAGAAAATGAATCAACAATACAAGATTATACAATTGTAGGTGAAGATGAAGTTGATGACAACTTAAAAATGCCACAATTATTTAGAGGTGATGGAGTTAGAGGTCATAGATATCATGTTTTTGATGAACCTAGATATTTTTCCCAAAATATATAAAAAATAATTTAATGCATAATAATTTTTTTTCTATGTACAATTTTATTTTAACCCCTATTGCAATAAACCTTGAGATTCAGCTTGAGCTTCAATATTTTCTTGTTGAATTTGATTCATAGTATCTAAACTTTGACTATTTCTTAATTCATAAAGCTTAATCTTTTTCTTGATTCTATTCAATTGCCATTTTATTGGTATAAATGGTAATACTCCAGTTTTTTCTTCATATAATCTTAAATTAAGCCATATGATAACAAATAACCAGTAACAAAAATATGTAATAACACTTCCATAAGTAGCACTATTTGTCCAACCAACTAATGCGTTTAAAACCATCCACCATCCATCTTTTAATCCATTACAACAATTTACATGCCACACACTGGTTGAAATATCATAAGAACCAGGTCCACTACCTGTCTCACTAACATCTAATCCACCACATTTTCTTACGTATGATTCCAACTCCAAAAACCAAACCCCTCGACTCATTAATCCTGCACTTACTATATATAAAAAGCAAGTTGAAAAAATTAAAAAATATTGTAATGATAATTTGTTACCTCCTTTATATAATAAATATCCAATAAATGAACCTAATGATATTCCACATATGATTGATAGTGGGATAGATGAAGGTGGAGATGACATTCCAATGCCTCCAATAAATACAACTGCTTCTAAACCCTCTCTTAATGTAGTAACTAATGGTAATATTGCTAAAAAATATTTTTTGGTAAACCCCTTTTTCTTTTGACCAATGGTGGTTGATGATCTTCTCGATAATGATTTCGAGTTTGATCTCCCATTTGACGAAGTTAATGGGACACTTTCAGATTCTGAACTTGATCTAGTACCTCCATAACTATTATTATCACCATTTACTAATTCATCATTTGGTAAACTTTCATCATCTTCAATAGGTTCCAAAACATTTTCTTCTGCAACTTTAGCAATTTCATATTCTCCTTCCTCATTTAATATTTCTTCTTGTTCATTATTTTGATTATTTGTATTGTATGCATCACCTAATTTGATCCACCACTTTAATTTCATAACTTTATTTATACGTAATAATCCTATCCCCATTACTGTTATTATGATACTTGATAAAATGGAAAAAACACCTTCCCATACTCTTTCAGTATATGACCAATAATCTTTTCCAATGAAATAAAATGCTAATATGAAAATTAGGCCAATTATGAAACATATGACTAGTCCCAATATAGCGCCAATCCAAACTTGTAATTTTAATTTTTTTTGGACTTGACAATAACTACTATTTGTATTAGTAGTCGGTGGACCTATACTAGTTTGTAAATTTGCTTCATTTTGTTCTGAATCATGTTTATGGGATCTTTGATTTATAAATGATAATAATACAGATATTATAATGGCAGTTTCTAAAGTCTCTCGTAGTATTATAAAGAATATTTGTACAGAAAATAATTCTTGAAATTCAAGCATCTTTCTGGTCGGGGTTAGTGAAATACTAAATGGTTGAGTAAAGTGATGAGATTGATCAAATAGATAAAAATCAATGTGAAAAAAAATGTCCGATTTAATTTATACTAATAAATTATCTTGAAGATCTATGACGTAAATAAATGTATGGAAAGACACAAAATTATAGAATCTGACAACCATAGAAAGACAAAGAGAATTTATGAAAACGCTATCTAAATGTTAATATTATTCATTATACTAATTAATACTTTTTTTGTTTAATTTTAAAATCTAAATGAAGTATAACTGAAATGTAATCATGTATCAAACGTAAAAAAAATGGTGAAATATAAAAAGTTAAAAATGTCAATGTTTTTACTTCTTTATTTTTTATATGGAAATTCAATTGTTGCAGATAAACAAGTAATAAATTCATCATCTTTTGTAAAAGCTCTTGCATTAACAATATATTTCCCAGGTGGAACTTCATCTGGAATTTCAACAATTTTTTTAATAATTTGTTCACCTTTTTCAATTGGGCATTCTAAATCTATTTTAGTTATTTCTTCACAAATATCATAAGTTTGATGAATTAATTTTATGAATCCATATCTTACATCAACTTCAACATATGCACCATCAACTATTGTCTTATCAATATTACCTTTTGCTGTAAATGTTAAATTTGCACCTGTTTGTGGAGGATTTGGTGATATAATAACTTCTTTTAAATCTAATAATTGTGGTAAAGCAATATCACAAACTTCAATTGGTGATCCACCTGGTACTGGTTTAGTATTTATACCTTGATTATTGATTAATGATTCTTCTGAATTTTCTGACTCTTGTTTATTGATATGAAAAAAATGTGGCAATTGTTTTTCAGTTTGATGAAATACTGCAATTGCTCTATCAATATAATTATTAACAATTGATACTGAATGAACTGATGAAATTAAAGAAATTGCTAATATAGTAATTTTGGTGAATGAAACCATATTAATTGTTATAACCCTATGATTAATTTGGTTTATGAGTTGATAACAATTGATAAGATAATTAATATACTAAAAAAATATTAATATATAATAATTTAATTAGCCTCTCCTCATATATAAAATTATTAGTTATTGCGAAATATAGTAATTAGATAATGTGGAAAAGTATAGTAGTGTAATCAGTTCAAATATTTACAATGTTACTTTCCAATTCCGAATTTGGACTTATTAATTACTTAAATAGAATAGTAACAGTCTAATATAATATTTAAATTACATTTATAATTATACGAATATAAATTAAAGACTATATCATTCAATATACGACAAAAACAAGATCTAAATCATTTTAATAGTAATAAAATTTGACCTAGACACAAGCATTAGTTAATACGTAATGTGAAGTATTTTTGAAAAATACTATTTCTTTCCTTGTCAATTCTTTTGTCAGAACAAGTCTAGTTTTTTATTATTTTTACATGTACAATTGCAAGTTCAACTTTTCACCTCTAATTTAGGAATGAAAGAAGGTATTTGTTTCTTGACTAAATCACTGGTAATTAAGAAAACGAGAAATAAAAACTATTACAGGTATAGAATTAAATCTGTTCTCACGAAGTCTAATATTATTTGTTTAAAATTTGGTTGCAAATCAAATACAAAATTGGCAACAATTACTTAAACACAATTTTTTGTAACATTGAAGTTATTTTTCCAATGATTAAAATAATTTAACCAAAAAAAGGCTTGTAGAATTCTTCAATTTGGTAAGTTGAACAATTGGAGTAATAAGTCTTACAATTTTACCCTTACATAGAAGCAGAACTAGTTAGGAATAAAATTCTAACTAATCAGCAAATTACCTGAAACATCCTAATTCCTAGTTTACAAACTCTTATTAAGGTTACAAATTTACGATAAGATCTTGAAACGTTTTAGCCAGAATTCCATCACTACAATATACTAATATCATATTAACGAGACTCTTTTGGCTAATGAAAAAAAAAAAAGAAACATTCTGAAATAATATACACAAAATCAAATGTAAACAAACATTAAAGTATAAACAAACATTTTCAAACATGTAATATCTCTTCGAATAATTCAACTACATAAGTCAAAATGGCAATTGGAAAGTCAACAAAAACCATAAAAACCAGAACTTCAAAAAAATATACAGAACAAGATATTGTGAAAGCATTAGCCCTCTTGAAAGAAGACAGTAGTATTTCTGTAAATTCGGTTGCAAAAAGGTTCCACATTCCTCAACGTACTCTTCAAAATAGAGTAAGTGGTACCAGATCTCGTCAAGAAAGTCACCAAAAGCAACAAATATTAACTCCAAGACAAGAATATCAACTTGCAACTTATTTGGTTGCATGTAATGACAAGCATCAAGGTTTATCACGTGCTGAAGTTGTTGAAGAAGCTCAAGCTATTTTAAAAGCAGATGGTCAAGATATTAAAATTGGTAAACATTGGTGTGCTAGATTTATGGTCCGCCATGATGTTTTGAAACTGATGAGAGCTGCTATTTTTGAAGATTCCAAAGCATTGAGTTGTGATAAAGACGAATAACTTTAAATTTGTATCATATTCGGTTAAATTATTATTATATATGTGATGAGAATTAAAATTTAATTAACAATATTAAGATGTCAATCATATTAATACTTTAATTTTGTAAAAAAAGCAATAGTAATGTTCAACATATCAACGTTTCTATGTTTGAATAATTTTGAAAAGCAGTTCAACTAAATATTTGGTCCAAATAATAATAAAAAATATGATTACCACGTGTAAACCTTAAAATTTATATTTTTGTGTAATTAATAAATTACTAATAACAAAAATGATTAATTTTTTTACAACCAAATTTATTCAAAATTCAAATAACTTTTTGTATATTGATCAAATTGATTGTATGATTAGAAGACTTGTTAAGCTGATGTGTTACTTAAACTATTTATTCAAAAATCCTTGATTCTTTATGACTAGTTTATTATCATTTGATAGATGAAATACATAGACAATTGACATTATCACAAAATCCTAAAATAGACATGTAAGCGGCTTTATGTGCAGCTAATTTAAATTTACAAACCAAAATTTTATATAATAAAAATAGAATTAAAAATTAGAAAAATTCTATAAATTTTCAATATTAATTTCTTCATAGATTTTTGAATTTATTTATTATTACATTCTGATTTTAAAATTAACCAACCAAATCAATTTTAAATAGAATCAAAATTCGTAGAATTAAATTTAAAATTATTTCATTCAAAAAATCTTGAAATTTATTAATTAATAAAAAAAGAGACCAAAAAGAAAGAATAAAATACTAATACGTTAATTAAAAAACTTTAAAAATATAATATTATTAACAAGATTAATATTTTCAACAAGTTTTAAGGTTACATTTTTCAAAATCTTATTTAAATCTTTTGAAAATTATACTTGGATTTCAAAATAGATCTCAAATATCAAGTATTAACCAATTGAAGCTTTAATTTGAATTGAAACATCATTAATTATCAGTCAATTATACAGTTATTCCAATAATTATCTTATCAAAAAATTTGAATTATCATTAAAGCTAAATTTTCGTAATTTTTGAATCATCAATTGAGTTTTCAAAAGATTTTTATTGAGAAAATAAGTTACAAAAAAACTTTAATAATTAAATTAACACATTTTTAATTATTACTACTTTATAAATAATATTGATATAAAATTCCTTTTATAAATCTTAGAATTATTTTCTAATTTTTAGTTTTCAATTTTTTCAACAACTTTATTTTTAAATTTAATTATTTAATTTTAAAGGTAGTAAAATTAGTAGTAATTTTACAATCATAGTAATTGGATTAAGGATTAATAGTCATATCATCATCAAGAATAAACTCAACTTTCATCAATTTATTTGAAAAAAGTAATTGTTTCAAAAAAATATATTTTTGCGTTATCAGTAAGGAGATTAATTTTTTTTTAATTGAAAAAAAAAAAGTAGTACAATTACAGTGTAGCAAATAAACTTACAACGAACCAAAAATCAATTTTTCAAAATCCTTAATCTTATAATTACTTAATAACAACCTATATATCAATTTCAAGTTATGTCAGCAAGTGAAGATCCGAAATCAACAATTAGTGAACAAAAATCTACTCAACCTCAATCGAGTCAAGGTCAATCCAAGATGTTATTTGGAACTAAATTAGAACATGAAACTTATGCACCATGGAAAGATTATTATATAAATTATAATCAATTAAAAAAATTATTAAAAGAAGGAGTTATATTAAAAAATAATTGGACTGATAAAGATGAACAAAATTTTGTTAGTGCTTTAGATGAAAATTTAGAAAAAGTATTTGGATTTCAGCATAATAAATTTGATGAATTAAATGATGAATTAAATAAATTACAACAACAAATTGAAGTTGCTGATATTTTTAATGTTGAAAGTTTTTCTAAAAAATTAGATAATTTATTAAATGAGGCACAAAATTTGGAACATTTTCAAAGATTAAATTATACTGGATTTATAAAAATTGTTAAAAAACATGATAGATTACATCCAGATTATTCTGTAAAACCTTTATTAAACGTTAGATTAAAAAAATTACCATTTCATTCAGAAGATTATTCTCCTTTGTTATATAAAGTTGGTATATTATTTCAATTTTTAAGAGAAAATTATGAAGTTGATCAATCTTTGAGTAAATTATCATCTTTTAACGATGGTGCATTAAGTGGCGAATTTCAATCTTTCAAATTTTGGGTTCATCCTGATAATTTAATGGAAGTTAAAACTACTATTTTAAGACATTTACCTGTGTTGATTTATAACTCCAAAAACGATGATGATGATGATGACGATGACGATGATGAAGAGGAACCAAATAATTCAGGTAATCACAAGGTAACTCAAACTGATCAAACAGTCAATTGTTTATATTTTGATAACGAAGATTTTGATTTATATAATCATAAATTAACAAAATTAAATAATTCAGCAACTTTAAGAATTCGATGGATTGGTAAATTAAGTGATAAACCAAAAATTACGATGGAAAAAAAACAATTTGATATTAATTCAAATTTTCATGTTGATGATAAAATTGAATTAAGACAAAAATATATTAATCAATTTGTTATTCAAAATTCAATACCATCAAAGATTTTAAAACTAAATGATGAAGCAGCTGTAAAGAATTTATCAAAATTTATTGATGAAAATCATTTACAACCAATTTTAAGAACCACGTATAACCGTACAGCTTTTCAAATTCCAGGTGATGACAAAATTAGAATTATAATTGATTCTAATTTAACTTTTATTAGAGAAGATTCATTTGATTCAAGATTACCAATTAGAGATCCAAATCAATGGCATCGTTTAGATTTAGATAATAGTAAAAATTCACAACAATTTTTAAGAAAAGGTGAATATAATAAATTTCCTTTTTCAACTATGGAAATTAAAATCAAGAAATCATCAGTAAAAAACTTTAAAAAATTACAATGGATTAATGAATTAATCAATAGTTCTTATTTAGTTAAAGAAATTCCAAATTTTTCCAAATTCATTCATGGTGTTGCTTCATTATTTTTAGAAGATGATAAATTAGATAATATTCCAATGTGGTTTAATGAATTAGAAGGTGATATAAATGATGATTTACCAATTATACCATCTAAAGTTAATAATGATGGTATTACTGAATTAAGTAATGATGATAATTTATCTAAATTTAAATCAATGATTTTGAAAAACAACAATAATTTCCAACCAAGATCTGCTTCATTTTCAGGTAGTTTATTATATAAAGATGAAATTGATGAAGTAAATGGTGATCAAAACAAGATAGTTACAATTGATGAAGAATTATCAACAACTGATAAATTACAAACTAATCAACAAGTTAATTTAACAACTGATGATCAATCATCAGATTTCGATGATGATGAGGATGAAGATGATGAAGAAACTTCTTCAAAACCAAGTAGTATATCAAGAATTACAAGTCAATTTTCAAGATTAATTGATGTTGATTCAGAAGATGAAGAAATTGAATTACCTGTAGGAGTTATTAAACCAGAACAATGGATTAAAAATATGGGACCATTAAAAATAGAACCAAAAGTTTGGTTAGCTAATGAAAGAACTTTTAATAGATGGTTACATGTAACAACTTTATTAATGTCAGTTACTTTTATAATTTATTCATCTACTTTAAGATCAAATTTTGCTGAATTAAGTACTTATTTAGCTTATTTTTATTTTGGATTAACTGTATTTAGTTGTCTTTGGGGTTATTATATTTTTATGGAAAGAAGAAAAATTATTATGGAAAGATCAGATAAACATTTAGATAATTCTGTGGGACCTTTAATTATTGCATTTGGTTTAATATTTGCATTAATTGTTAATTTTATATTTGGTTGGAAAAGTTTAGATTTAGATTATGAAAATAATCAATTTTATCAAAATAATCCAATGCATAAAAAAATCCATCAATTTGTTGCAGAAATGTTTTAATGATGAGTGTATAAAAGTTAATAATAAATATAATATATTAGTTTGAATAAGAAATTGTTGTAGTGTAAAAGTTATAGTACTTTTGGTGGTGAGTTGTAATTGAAAGTTTAGTGTACAATTTGGTAGCTATAAATTTTTCATTTCACACGGTGTAATAGATATTTTTCAACAACAACAAAATATTTCACTAACTCAATCAAATCAATCTAAAATTCCAAACCCACCACCACCCCAAAATGTCATTGAACATATCATTATACACAGTTTCAGCATTACTAATATTAGACAACGAAGGAAATAGATTATACGCGAAATATTATACATCAACATTAGATGAAACACAACCAATTAAGGAAATAAAATCACAACAACAGCAACAACCAAAATCAACAAAATCTCAAGCACAAATTAAATTTGAAAAAAAATTATTTAACAAAATCAACAAGATAAATCAAGATATTATATTATTTGATAATCAAATTATAGTTTATAAACAAATAAATGATGTTACAATTATATTAGTATCACCAATATCAGAAAATGAATGTTTAGCATATACAACATTATCAAATTTAATAGAAGCAATAACTATATTATTAAATAATTCAATTGATCAATCTACAATTGTAACAAATTATGATTTAGTAAGTTTAGCAATTGATGAAACTATAGATGATGGAATTATTATTGAATATGATCCTGCTACTATTGTAAGTAGAGTTACTAATGCCCCGGTTGTTTCAACTGTTGATTTAAAAAATATAGATATTAGTGAAAAAGGGTTATTTAATGCTTTAAGTTTTGCTGGTAAGAAGTTACAAGAGAGATTGAATCAAGGTTTATAAAAATTAGAATCAAGACTTTTAATGCATATTTAATGTTCAATAAGTAATTTAGTTTTCATCTTTCAAGCATTCGTTCAACGTGTTTTGTTTCATAAAGACAAAAGAGCAATCAACTTCCCATTGCACTTAAATTAAATTTTATGTAGATGTAATTGTAAATTTGATGACCAATGTATGATTGTACAAACATCAGTCAATTTTGAGTACTGACAAAGCAAATTTTTGTACAAGGGTTGAGTCAAATTTTGACCAATTTCTGCGTAAACCAATGGCCATCATTGCTCTATATTGACTTTATATTCGTTATAATGTTGGACCAAAATTGAGATATATAATTCCAAAAAGTTTTGTCTCGAAACACAAAATCAAGACACGACAAATTTTCAAACTTGTATTTACGTTAAAACAACTTTTGAAAAATCTATACAACCAAATTCAGTAATCATTACATCATCATAAACCCACAAATGGAAGATTCATTTAATTTCAATCTACTAAGAATATCGATAGCCCAAATACTAAAATCTCAAGGATTTGATAAATGTAAACCATCAATACTAAATATAGTTACAGATTTATATATAAATTTTTTTAATAAACTAGTGACAGAATCAATAAAATGTAGTCAATATAGAACTCAAACTAATGAACCAGAAGTACAAGATGTTATGCAAAGTATGATTAATTTAGGATTAATAAAAGCTACGAATCATTTACAATTACATGATGATATGTTTGAAGAATCAAAATATAATACAAAATCTGTAAATTCATTTAAATTATGGGTTTTAAAAAGTTATGGATTCAACTTGCTAGTAAAATTGAATAAATTCCCAATAAATCTAGTGGAAAACTTAATTGAAAAAAGAAAAATAGTAGATGATGATATAGAAACAGAATTAGAAAAAAAGAGAAAAAAACATAAAGAAAGACAAGAATTTTATAATCAATTAAAATTAAATGATAATGAAATTCAACAACAACAAACTCGGGAAGATATAGAACTTGAAATTCAACAACAACAACAAAATTTAAATTTACAAAAATCAATTGCAAAAATGAAATGGATTAATTATTTATTAGAAAAAAATTTAAAATTAGGTCACAACTTAAAATTTTTAGCATCGAATGAATTTATAGTTGAAGAATTTTTAAAATTACAATCTGATGATAATTTCCATCCAAGTAATCAACAACAAAATATAAATGAAATCATAACGAAAATGGATCAAAATCAATATCAAATTTTAAAATTAGAAGAAATTGAAACCACGAGTAGCATAGAGAAGGAGAAATTAGAAGAACATTCAAAGTTATTACAAAAACAAGATGAATTGAAACAATATCTACCATATAATATAAATTATAATGAAGATAAGTCTATAGATTCTTAATTAAATATATAAAATAAAAATAAAACTTTATACTCTTAAAAAAAAAAACGCTGAAGCATTATCAAATTTATTTGATATTGCCTGTAAACATTTCCTATTCTAAAGTTCCACCTTCATTGAATGATCCATCAGAATTAAACGTGTACTAAGTGTTCCCAACCGCCAGCAAGTCAAGCACAAGAGCGACCCAAATTAACCTAATTAATTTACGTGGTGCAGGCCACAACCTTTCGACAATTTAACCTCTAACTTCACATTAAAATCATTAAACCATCAAGGTGATTAAAATCAGCTTGGGGATGTTTGACCAATGTTTGTTTTATAGTGGAAACTAGCCATAAGAAATTTTGGTACAGGGAGGGCCTTTCACAACCTCCACCTGTAGTTAAATTCTGTATTGCCAAGTTGTATTTATTACTTTTAAATCCCAAGTTGTATTTATAATTTTTAAAACCCCAAATTGTATTAATAATTTTTAAAACCCCAAATTGTTTTCATTGTTGTCGAATCCCCGATTGCCGTTTGTTAAACCCCAACTTGATATTTTATATCTATGAAAAAGGTAGTTCATTGAATTTGAATTTTTTTTATGTATAATATGAAAAGAAAATAGTGATATAAAAAAGTAACATTTTTTTTTTGTCTCACATTCAAATTTGGGTCTCACATTCAAATTAGGCCTTCATGTCAGACTATTACATTTTTAATTATATAGACTAACATAGATGAAATTGGGAATTTAATTTCTCAATATTTAGTTGTTCAAGTTGGGGAAGGAATTCAACTTCAAAATCTTCGTACTTAGTTCTTATTTAAGGTATTACTATTATAAATTATTTATACAAATTACGAGATAAATGTTCTAAATTATAGCTTAAAACAGAAGAAAAAAATATAAATTTACATGAAGTTACTAAATTGTGACTATAAATTCGAGAAAATGTTCTAAATTTAGTTCCCAATCGGTGGAGAAAAATATAAATTTAAATGAAATTACTAAACTGTGATTTTATAGCTGGTTAAAATTAAAGTGCACAAGATGTTAAAAAAAGGAAAATAATTTCATAACCATATAGAAATTAGACTAAATAAATATCTACCCTTGAAAAATTCACAATACATGTAACTTATTTTCTCGAAGAAAATTAAGTTTTTTAAATTTGCATATACTTATTCTTTGCATCTGGATCCTTCAATTTATTTAAGAATTCTTGGTCATCAATTAATTCATCATTTTTTCATCAATCTCGTAATTGAAGAGTGTTATTTGAGTTCATTATTTATAGAGTTTATCTAATTTTTTTCTGTACTTTCAAAATTTACTTTAATTTTTAATTTTTGAAAAGTATTATAAATAAGGGTCAATCTTCGAATATGACGTTAATTGACAATAAATATGAATTATCGCTTAATTGAGCTTATCTTTTGATATATAAAGCAAGTTTTGTTAACTTTAAAAACTTCTGTATCTTATTTAATCTTCGTATTAGTTTGCAAATTATTAATTTAACTTAAAAGAGAATAAATTAAATAATAAGAAATCTTAAATTAGTTAAATTCACAAAACCACGTTATAATAATAGTTATTATAATCAATCTTTATTGATTTAAATAATAATTATCAATCATAAAGAACAATAAAATCAATTGTTTATTGAATTGGACTTGTTCAAATGCAATATACAAGTAAATCTTTTTTTATTGATTGCTCTTGGTAGTTAGTATTATGCAAGATACTATCGAGTCAATTACTTAATCAATAATTTGTAATATTTAAAAAAATTTCCCCTTATTATAGACAATGAAAGAGTACCAACAAATGATTAGATACAATTCAGCAAAGCCTAAACGAGAACCAAAGTTCCAATTTTATTAAGTATGTACTTACCAAGGCTCTTGAAGTACTAAAATCAATTTCTGAAATTCTTAGTAAGATACAAACAATAATATCTATACAAAGTAGGTCACAGTGTTTTAAATTTCCAGTCAGTCCGATTTATCCAATTCTAATATCAAAAAAAGTAATGACATGTTTAGAATTGAAATAATAATTTGATAAATTCATTCTTATTATTTGATGTATTATATTTTATTCAATATTTTAATTATATACGCGTTTAATAATTTTATTATAATTGTTATAATTCTACTATATAGAAAGATTGAATTTTGTACTATAAAGAATATATTTGAATTCTCTCCCCTTTCAAGAAATTATTAAACGGTTTACAAAAGTAAAATATCAGTTTAAATATATTTAAGAATTAATTTAAATGACTTTGAAATATTTTAACAAGCATTTCAAAAGGTATTTGACCGTTCAAACCGAATACTAATAAATTAGTTGGTTGTAAATATGTTGGAATCTTTCATAATAAAATTTACTAACCAAAATTTATCATAGAAAAAGACGCGTCTTAAATTTAAAAATTCTCAACATTATATTAATTTAAGTAATTGTGAATAAAAAATTAAATTTAAATTTAAATCTTAAACTTTTATAAGAAAGTTAAAATGTGAAAAATTAAATCATTTTACATTTCACTTGAAGTCAAGTCTAATTTAATTTTAACTACATTGCATTTACTTTTTGATTGAATATCAAATTTAAGAAATCTTAATCGATTGTTCATTGACAATTGCTTTTTAATTAATTCATATTTATTAAATAAAAATTATTTATAAATATAAATTTAATTTTCTACAAAAAAAATTAAACTTTTTTTTCACAAATATTTTATAATTATTATTATAATAATTATAACAAAAACTTTAATAAAATTAATTAATTAATTAACAACTTGAAATTTTCAATACATATAATTTTATATTATTATTATATAGTTCAATTATTATAAGAACTTAATATTATAATATATAAAGATTAAAGTGATAATTATCATACAGGGTCATTTAAATTTTAAGAATATATATATATCACTTATATTGAATTAGTTTCATTTGGAGAAATTAACATACTTATTATATCATAAGAGATTAAGAAATTTCTTTAGCATTTAATTAAGACTGAAAAAGCTTTTTTAAGAACCAAAGATACAACTATCATAATATCAATTTCTTAAACACTATTCAATTCACGTGGATTAAATCAACGTATTTATATCAAAACAATTAATAATTCCACTAGGTTAAATTAACAAAACAGATTTTATATTCAAAAAGAACACTTGTATTTATTCTATTGCATTTTCATTCTCATACTTTCACATTTCAGAACTCATATACTATAGCATATTTTATAATGATTAATAAAAATTTAAATCTACATTTACAACTTAATAAATTAGAATTTAATCCAAATAATTCTATTTCACAACCATTTACTCCAATTGATCAAACTTTAAAAACTCCAATGGAAGCACCTGCAAATCCTTTAGTTCCTCCACCATTACATCATCAAAATTCATATAATAATCAAAATCATCAAGGATTTTATCAAAATCCTCAATATAATGAAAGTGATGATATTTTAACAGATATTGATGAACCAAATAATAATCATCAAAATAATATACAAAAAAAGAATCCATATTTAACATCATCATCAAATGGGTTAAAAAATTCATCAATATCTAATTTATCACTTAGTGAAATGAATATAATGAATTATAATCAACAACAACAATTACAAACTCAAAATGGAGGATCACAATGTAATTCATCAATAAGATCAAGATCATCACTGATAAATTTAAGAAAACAATCATTAACAAGAAACAATTCAAATAACTGGTTACACATTGGTAATATGAATCAAATAAGAGCAAACCATAATAATATTAACAACAACAATAACCTAAATAATTTTGATTTTAATAGAAGTACTGATTCATTAATGGATTATGTACCTTCATCAATTATAGCTAAAACTTCTGCACCAATACAACAACAACATTTAAACTCACAAACTCCACCACCTTTACAACATCAAATTAGTGATTCAGATATTCCAATATTTACAAGAAGTAGAAGTTCAACAAATACAAATTTAAGAAATAATTTATCAATAGATACAAATTTTAGAAATGGTTGTTATAATAATAATAACAATTATGGTAACTTCCCAAATTCAGGATTTGCATTAGATTCTCCATTTTTATCAACAATAACTCCAAATGATGAATATTTTAATTATAATAATTTTCAACAACCACAACCAAATCAACAACAACAACAACAACTTTCACAGCCTACTACTCCAATACTAGAACAACCATCAATGGAAGAAATTAATGTACCTAATCATGTATCATTAAGTGAGAAGAAAAGAGATTCATTGAAATTAAAAAGAGGTATTCATTAAGTGCGTTTGTTGTTTTATTCATTTATTTTTATTTCTGTGATATTTATACTGTATTTATTTTTTGCATTCACCTTAAATGGACCGATTTTATATACATTTTTAGCATTGGTATAGTTTATTTTAAAATATCTATTTCATTTTTAACATTCAATTAACTGTAATTCTCTAACATTTTTATGTGTAGTTACAACCAAAAAAAAAAAAGATTTGGTTGCAAATGGTTGCAAAATTAAGCAACTCAAAATTTTAGTGGTAGCAACGCGTAATCACGTATAAATAAAAGAAGATGATACTCCACAAATTTATTTCACTTATTCATTACATGCTTATCATTACCTAAATTTTTTTTGAAGAAATAATAAGTATTTTATTATCCAAATGTCATGAGATATATTATTTCAAGATCTCTACGGAGATTCCCTCAAAAAAATTACAGATGTTTTCACTCGACTACCTATTCGTATCAATTAATGAATGATAAATTACAACCAAATAAGTCAGATAATGATATTATAGCAAATACAACAATCATTGGTGAAAATAACCTAAAAATAACAAAAATCGAACCTGAAACAACTGAACCACGTTATCAACCATTAACAGAATTGAAGAACGCGTCAAATGAAGAAATTTCACAATTAAGTAATCACATTGAATCATTAAATATACAAATAAAACAAGAAGAAGAATCAAAATTACCACCACCACCAAAAAAGAAAAGAGGTCGTAAAAAGAAACACCAAGATCCAAATAAACTTAAAAACCAAAATTTAGAACAAATTTTCGAAAATTGGAAATTACCACATACTCAAGATTTACCAACTATAAATCCCACAAATATTTCACCTTATAAGTTTTATACAACTACAAATTCAGATGAATCAATAATAAGATCTCCAAGATTATCAGTCACCAAATTATTAGTAAATACATGGTGTCAACTTCGAGATTATTATCAAATTTATGCTGGGTCAAATAGATTAAAAGGTGTAAATGTTAAAGCTGGTCATACTTATCATTCAAAATTAGAATTAGAAACTCATGAATTTGAGAATATTGAACAAGATATGTCACTCATAAATTTAAATGTAGAAAATTTAAAATCACAAACTATCAATAAAGAAGAATTGGCAGTACTTGAAAAATTAAGTGAATTTAATATTAATGATCAATTAGCTAATGATTGGTGTGATAAAATCATATCTAGATTATTTAATTTAGTTGTTAACTCAGAGGCTAGAGAAGTTTTAGTACATGGTTATGTAAATTTAAATGAAGAAAAATTAATAACTTCAGAAAATTTTGATGGTTTTAATGATTCAGTATTAATTAGTGGAGTTATTGATTTACTCAAATTTATAAATACAAATGATCCAACAAATTTAGATTTCTTTGTTGAAATTCAAAATATGATTGATTTAAAATTTAGCACCAAGAATTCAACAAGAATAGATTTAACTTCATTTTTTAAAGAAATTTCTGAAATATTAACAAATTATAATAAACAAGAATTAAATGTTAATATAATGGAATTAAAATCAAGATCTTGGAATCAATTACCAAATTATGATTCAGTTTTGAAAAGTGCAAAATATCAAACTTATTATTATAAAAATATGTTTACTAATTTATCTCAAGATTCTAAGTTTACTTATTATTCACTTTTGAGAAATGCAGAAATAAGAGGTTGTAATGTTGATGAACCATTAAATCAAATCTTGGTACTTAAATTAATAAGATTATATTCTGATTTTTTATATGATGATTTTTTAAAGTTATGTAATGGTGAACCAATTGGATTTGAACTTTTTGATAATCACATCCTAAAGAATAAAGAACCTTATAACTTTGGTTTATTATTTCAGGATAACTCATTTTCTTTAAATGATTCATCAACTTCACAATTTTTACAAGATTTAGATGAACAAGAAAATTCAAATTTCAATTATTCAGAATTATTAAAACCTTTGTTAAAACCATGGAAAACACCACCAACATTACGTTATTTAGCATCAAGATCATCACAATTTTATACCATTTTCCAAAATTTTATAAATGAAGAATATACTTATGTAGAATATCATAATTCCAAAACTGAAAAAAATTTTAAAACTATAAAATATAAATATAATCCAGTAATTTTTCAACAACAACTCAAACAAGCTTGTGAATTTTGGAAAGGAACAACAAAACCTGAATTTGTTGATAATTTAAATAAATGTAAATATTGTGATTTTGCTACTCGATGTATGGTTGCAAAGAATGAAATTAATGAAAATTTAAATGAATTTAATGATACAGTAAATGGAAATTCCAACTAAATAGAAAAAGTTTACGAAAATATACATATTTATTACTTAAAATAAATGTAAGACATCTTCAAAAAAATTAATACATTATAATATGTTAAAAAAAAACACGATATTAATCTCTCTGTAAATGCCTTAATTCAATATTTGGGATTCGTTTACCGAGTACATCTTTATATGGCATGCAACCGGTGATAATTCCCAACAAAATAAAGTTTGATCAAGTCAAAAGTTTAAAAAAAATTTGATATCTTATCAAAGTTCTTTTTACTTTTGACTTTTGATAAGTTATTCTTGTATGGTAACGTATTTGGTTTAAAGTTTTGTGAAGTTCTCTGAATATTTATTGAATTAAAAGTACGACTACTAATATTACTTGTATAAGCAACTTTCTGTAAATGAAAAAATTTATGATGAAGTGGTTGAAATGTGGAAAAAAAAATAGTTAAATGTGTCAAGAGAAGAAATAAAAAAAATTACTTCAAAATTTGAAATTTACGAGATCTGGATCTGCTATATGCAGGTTGTGACTTGTGAAGAATATCGTTATAGTGAACATTCACTTGAAACGACAAAGTTGTTCATAATTCTGCAATTCAAATGGCCCGTTCCTTAGCCAACTTTTGCTCTAATTGACAAAAAAGAACATTTCTTTTCAAGCAGGAAAAGGAGAGGGCGATTAAAAGAGGGGAGGAAAGACTGATACATGCAGTAAGTTTATATTGAAAGAATCAATTCTATTGAGCTCAGCCTGTGATACTATTAAATTTTTGTACAAAAATTATGGCTCATTTGATTTTGAAAAGTTGAAAAAGTTGAACTGACTGTCTTTAAATACATCACTGGTTTCCTGTTTCCACAAATTGAAGAGTTTTCGAAGCTTAAGATCTGTAAATAAGATGTTTGATTTTTGATTGTAAACTACCACTTACAAACCATTTGGAATTAATCTTCTATTGGATTTATTCAATTGTTGAACCATATTACCGATATTTTTTATCGTTGCAGTATGCATATTCGTTTCAGAATTTTGGTTGTAAATTTTAAACTTTTTTTCGCATCAAATTGGTTGCAAAATAATTTATATTATTAGCATTCAACTCAATCATATTGTTGATTTGAACTTGATAACTAATTTGCCAGAAATCATTGAAATTATTAATTGAACTTTGAAAAGCATTAATATAGTCATATAACGTCTTGATGTATGCCAATGAGTTTTTTGCAATTTTAGTCACAACGGGAAGCACTAAAATACTAGAAATTGAAAGACGTCAAAAAAGTGATTGAACTACAGGTTTATCAGGTTTTGATCCTTACCCAAAAAGTTTGAAACAAAACAAAAACAATGTTTTTTACGTACTGTCCAATTGGGAGCATGATACGACCTTAGACTCTAATTTGAACACGAAACGGTACCATTCATTTAGAGACTAAATCTTACTAAATCTTTAAAAATTTGAAAAATTAAAGCTCTTATTTAATAGCAAAAACATTTTAACAATTTTAACAAGTCCGAAGATCTACAATTGAAGAAAGATGATCAATCATACCATTAATTAAAGGTTTTGATTTAAATATTTATAAAAACCGTTTGAAGCTCTTTTAGTTAGATCATCCCCACAAAAATATTCATGTATAATCTAAATTTAAATTAATAAAAATTTAAAAATAAAATAAAACTCCGAAGTAATGTAATTATGTCGAAGTAGTTCGATATAATAAATAATGACTTTTCATCATACTTAAATAAGTTATAATATTCACAAACTCATGTATTATGTAACTTAAAGTTCACATGATGCCATTGAAAATATCTCATTTACGTATGTTAAACTCATATAATATTATATTATAATTGGTATTAGATATGGTAAAAATTTTTTTGATCATGCAAGTTCATGTATGACCAATAGTAGTATAGTAATAGTAGTAAAGTGAAAAATTTGGTTTAGTATGAATCAAGAAAATCATCAGAATTATTATTACAAATTTTTCAGTTAATTATTAAGTTGTAAAAATGATTAACGTAAAACTCCCGGTTCATACCAGTGTTGGTATGAATATTTTAATAGTCAATTTCATGATCAAATAGCTGGGTATTTGAAAAGTAATTAGTATTATGCTTTAAGTATAAATCAATTATTAATATTCTTAGTTTATATTAGATCAAATAATTGTAAATTAAAGACGGTTATATATTTTGTATTAATACACAAAAATCTTTAATTTATACTAAAAATAATAAATCCTCGGCAATTTCCAAAAAGTCCGAAAATCTGGGGAAACTATGAAAATTTTTGAATAATGACATCAAATTATTTATATCAGAAATATTTGGTTAGAGTTGACACAATTCAATAAATTGCATGAAATTTAAATTCAACGAACTTAGTTAATCAATTAGATCGTCAAATGATTAAATAATAATTAATCAACCACTATTCGTAATTGAAGTTATTAAAACAATTAAAGCTCAATTTATTAAAATGCATATGCTACTTAAATTTGCTTATTATTTTTTTTTAAAAAAAAAGGTTCAACGACGTTACACAAAATATATTGATTAATGAAAATTAAAAAAATTAAAATAGAGAATGAAACAATTTATAAAAATTTCATAATCATTAAGTTTAAAATATCAACCAATTAAATTGCTTAAATCATAAGTTATATATAGAATTTGTAAATAACTAAAACATAGTTCTTCTATTAAACATTTTTAAAATGTGGAGGTGAATATATGTTATAAAATGTTAGAATATTCATGAATTATTTGAATAAGTTACCCATAAGGTACAATGCATAACAAAAATAATTAGGAAATCTTACAACTTTTAAACTAGTTATATAAAAGAAATGAAAATGTACTTGAATATAAAGTTAGATAATTTGAATTTACTATACAAATCTATACATTGTTATACTGTTTTGATATCTTACCGATGAATAAATATTGAAAATTAAAAAATCTATGACTTCATTTTTGTGAAAAAGTATAGAGAAATTTAATAATACATTTTTTAATTTATAATACACGACATTTTAATATCAACCAATTAATTTATTCTAAATAAAAACTACAACCGAGTAACGAAAGTATAACTAATTAGTTAAACAATTAGGATTTTAAACTTTACATACTTTGTTCAATTGAATACTTGTAATATCTTTTATTCAGTGATCTCAACCACAATTTGGTTTATCCATTTAAATTAATTCAAAAATTTTCGGATATTTATCTCCTTCTTAGTTGTCTGTTTTATCTTTTATTAAACTATTAAGAAAAAAGTCGTGTCTAACAAATCAGAACTAAAAAATATAAAATAATTTTAACAAAAATAAAAAAATTAAATAATTAAAAATTAATTTAACAAAAAATATAAAAAATTTCCAAAATCCCTAAGTATTTATTTAACAATTGATTTATATTTTTTTATTTAATTTGTATATCAATTAAACCAAAATCAAAAAATGTCTGCTTTAAGATCATTTCAACGTTCTTCAAACTTAGCTAAGTCAAGTATCTATAGATCAATTAGAACTTATGCTACTGCTGAACCAACTTTAAAACAAAGATTAGAAGAAATTTTACCAGAAAAAGCTGAAGAAATTAAACAATTGAAAAAAGAACATGGTAAAACTGTTATTGGTGAATTATTATTAGAACAAGCTTATGGTGGTATGAGAGGTGTTAAAGGTTTAGTATGGGAAGGTTCAGTTTTAGATCCAATTGAAGGTATAAGATTTAGAAATAAAACAATTCCAGATATTCAAAAAGAATTACCAAAAGCTCCAGGTGGTAATGAACCTTTACCAGAAGCTTTATTTTGGTTATTATTAACTGGTGAAGTTCCAACTGAAGCTCAAACTAAAGCATTTTCTGAAGAATTGGCTGCAAGAGCTGAATTACCAAAACATGTTGAAGATTTATTAGATAGATGTCCAACTTCATTACATCCAATGGCTCAATTTTCAATTGCTATTAATGCTTTGGAATCAGAGTCAGAATTTGCTAAAGCTTATGCTAAAGGTGTAAATAAAAAGGATTATTGGAGATATACTTTTGATGATTCAATTAATTTATTAGCTAAATTACCTGCAATTGCTGCTAAAATTTATAGAAATGTTTTCCATGATGGTAAATTACCAGCTTCAATTGATCCAAAATTAGATTATGGTGCTAATTTAGCTGCTTTATTAGGTTTTGGTGATAATAAAGAATTTTTAGAATTAATGAGATTATATTTAACTATTCATTCAGATCATGAAGGTGGTAATGTTTCAGCTCATACTACCCATTTAGTTGGTTCAGCCTTATCATCACCAATGTTATCATTAGCCGCTGGTTTAAATGGTTTAGCTGGTCCATTACATGGTAGAGCAAATCAAGAAGTTTTAGAATGGTTATTTAAATTAAGAGATGAATTAAATGGTGATTATTCAAAAGAAGCTATTGAAAAATATCTTTGGGAAACTTTAAATGCTGGTAGAGTTGTTCCAGGTTATGGTCATGCTGTTTTAAGAAAAACTGATCCAAGATATACTGCTCAAAGAGAATTTGCTTTAAAACATATGCCAGATTATGATTTATTCAAATTAGTTTCAAATATTTATGAAGTTGCTCCAGGTGTATTGACAAAACATGGAAAAACAAAGAATCCGTATGTAAAAATTTTAAGATTGGAAAATTTTTGAATTGAAAATGATTCAAACTTTTTCTTTGATGTTTTAATCATCAACAATCAAGGAGAAAAATACTAACTATAACTTTTTTAGATGGCCAAATGTAGACAGTCATTGTATGTACCCTTTACCGGTGTATTCGAGGTGATCTAACGATCTTGTGGTGATTTGATGATGTTCTCACATCAGTTCAACCATTCCTCAAAACTTTGTTTTATTTACCAAAAAACATTTTTACTAACAAAATTAATTTTAGCCGGTGTCTTATTACAATACTACGGACTTACTGAAGAATCATTTTACACAGTCTTATTCGGTGTTTCCAGAGCTTTTGGTGTCTTACCACAATTAATTATTGATAGAGCTGTTGGTATGCCAATTGAAAGACCAAAATCATTTTCAACTGAAAAATACATTGAATTAGTTAAAAACATCCAAGCAGGAAAAAACTAGTATAACTAGGTAACATAGTATCAACTTTAAATATATTTATATAATTATTCTGTTTCAAAATTGGTTAAAAATTGCGCGTATATGATTGATAAAGTCTAATTTCTTAGTCCAAGAGTTGATAATCCCTTTTCTATTACCATGCAAGTGTTGAAAGTATCAAGCTAGCCATTGGTAGACTTGTAGGAAGATTATTTAAGTTAAGCGGGAATTATAATCTTACTCAGCATTATTAACGATATGCTCAATCATCTTTTTAAGCTATAGCCATAGTAAACCATTTGGTTGCAAATTATGTGATAATAGAATACATTACAAAGTGAATTGAATAATCATGTTGCTTCGATGAACATCGCAAAATGGGTGAAAAATGGCGAGTTGAAGAAATCACGGATTTACCAAATATACCACGACATACAGAAACAGAGGATGGGTTATAGTCCTCATATGATGGAAGTGACTTCTATGTCGACAATAAATAATTACTGGGTAAGTAGCTTAATTCAGTCTTATCAGTAGAAAATTGATGATAGTTGTACAGAAAATAAATTGGTGAAGAAAACAAAGAATTTTGAAGGAAAGAAAACGTAGAATCTTTCTATGTTGGTGGTGAAGATGCTAATATTAGGTGTCATTTATGTCTAGTAGTTTATATTTCAATTTATAAATTTTTAGTTAAAATTACTTGCTAACCAAATTCTCTGGATTGATGTTTAAGTTCGCAAACTTTTCGAAGTATTTAGTTAATACTAAACATTGAATTGTTTTCTAAATTTGGTACGGAGATTGCACAATGTATCGATTGTGTTCTAGTCATATTTCAAATTGTTAAATACAGTTGAACTCGTAAATTTGATTTTTTTTTGCAACAAAAATATTTTTATACAAATCTAGTACTATATCAATGGTCAAAAGGTTTCTACGAAGGTTTAGTGCCAAAACTCAACTATTAAATAAACCAAACTATTCAAAAACATTAAATTTACCTCAAACTAATTTTGGTCCAAAACTACCTCGTGATGAAAGAAGGAATCAATTAATACAACAAACTGGAGTTGATTTATATAATTGGCAACAAGAAAATAATACATGTAAAGAACCATTTATACTACATGATGGACCACCGTATGCAAATGGAGATCTACATATAGGACATGCGCTTAATAAAATATGTAAAGATATAATCAATAGATTCGAATTGATATATAATAATAAATTAATAAAATATCAACCAGGATGGGATTGTCATGGTTTACCAATAGAATTAAAAGTTGAAAATCAATTAACAAATAAAGAATTTAAAGATCCTATGGAAATTAGAAAAGCATGTAAAGAATGGGCTCAACAAATGATTGAAAATCAAAAATCACAATTTAGAGCTTTGGGGATAATGACAGATTTTAATAAACCATATATTACAATGAATAATGAATATGAAATTAAACAATTACAAGTGTTTAAGAAATTGATAGAGAATGGATTATTGAGTCAACAATTGAAACCTGTTTGGTGGGGGTGTGAGACTCAAACTGCATTAGCTGAAGCTGAATTAGAATATAATGATAATCATAAGTCTGTTGCAATATATGTAAAATTTCCAGTAGTTGGGGAAAAGATTAAAAACTTTGTAGGAGATAAACTCAAGGATAAAACAGTAAATTTATTAATATGGACTAGTACACCATGGACAATACCTGCAAATAAAGCAATTTGTGTTAATGAAGATTTTACCTATTCACTTATAGAAAAAGATAATGAAGTTTTGGTAGTAGCTAAGTCATTAGTTGAAAATATATTAAAGTTGGATCCTGATTTCACTAACATTGATATTGATATACCAGGTAGTATTCTAATTGGTGAACAATATATTAATCCGGCAGCTGAAGATGATGTCAAAAAACCAGTATTACATGGAGATCATGTTGTAGCAACTACAGGAACAGGAATGGTTCATACTGCGCCAGCTCATGGACGTGATGACTATTTAGTTGCTAAACATAACAACATCAATATAGAAGCTTCATTTATTGATAATTTGGGAAAATACATAGTTGATCAATTACCAAAAGGATTTCAAAAATTAGGCCCTCTTAAAGTTAATGAAATTAAAACCAACATGTTATGCGTTGAATTGTTAAAGCAACACGATATGATTTTTCATTTAAATAAAAAATTCACACATTCTTATCCGTATGATTGGAGATCAAAAACACCAGTTATTCAAAGAGCTACTCCTCAATGGTTTGTGAATGTTGAAAAAATTAAACCAGATGCGTTGAAAGCTTTAAATGAAGCTAAATTCTATCCAAGTTCTGGTTATAATAGATTAAGTTCATTCATTGAAAACCGCAGTGAGTGGTGTATTTCAAGACAGAGATGTTGGGGAGTTCCGTTACCTATAGTATATAAAAAGGAAAATGATGAACCAATAATGGATTTGGAAGTAATTGATTACGTTATTAAACAAATTGAGAAATTAGGTACTGATGAATGGTTTACAAAAGAAGAAGATGTTGGTAGATGGTTACCAAACAACTTAAAGGGTTCAGAATATTATAAAGGACAGGATACAATGGATGTTTGGTTTGATTCTGGTACTTCATGGACATCATTGCGTGACAAAATCGAAGAATGTAATGAATCTACAACTCCATTAGCTGATGTATATTTGGAAGGCAGTGATCAACATAGAGGTTGGTTTCAATCTTCATTACTTAACAAGATCATATATTCTGGTGAAAATGGAAATACTTTTAAATCTGTACCGCCTTTTAAAAATGTCATAACTCATGGTTTCATAACCGATGGTAAAGGTCAAAAAATGTCAAAATCAAAAGGTAATATTTTCTCACCACAACAAGCCATGGAAGGTAATAAAAAACCATTGACCCCATATTTGGGAACTGATGGGTTAAGATTATGGGTTGCATCCTCAAATTATAAACAAGATGTTAGTTTCAACCCTGAAGTTTTAACTAGAGTTAGTGACATTCACAAAAAATATAGACTTACATTTAAATATTTATTGGGTAATTTGAATAATTTCCAAGGTCCAATTGAGTACAACCAATTATCAAGTTTGGACGGATTTATTTTAAACAGTTTGTATGATTTACAAGAATCATGTGTTGAAAATTATAAAGAATTTAATTTTTCAAGAGTTGTAAGTTCAATGAATTCACATGTTAATTCAGTCCTTAGTGCAATCTATTTCGATGTTTGTAAAGATTGTTTATACACAGATTCAACCAACTCAATTAGACGTAAATCAATTCAAACTGTTCTAAATGAGATTTTAAAAACATATATTGGAATATTGGCACCAATTCAACCATTATTAGTTCAAGAAGTATGGGATGAGTATAAAACAATTAGAAAAAGTGACATTGACTCACCATTTAAATTACCATGGGAGTTTTTTGAGCTTCCAGTTACATACAAAACAGAAATGGATCAATTTAATTCATTTTTTAAATTAAGAGATGAAATTTATAAAGATATAGAGTTGCTAAAACAAAACAATTTTTTCAAAAATAAACTAGAGTTGGAAATTCAATTGTCAGACCCTTCTGGTGATTCACAATTATATAAATTTTTAAAAGATAATGAATCAATATTAGATGATTTATTTTTGGTATCAAAAGTTTCTTTAGGAGGTGATACAACTCAAACTTTTTTAGTGAAAGGTGAAGAAATTGGAGTAACTATCAAAAAATCAGACGATCATAAATGTGGACGTTGTTGGAAATTCACAGCCAATGATCCAGAATCATTATGTAACAAATGTGAAACTGTTGTAAATAGTATGTAAATAGATAGAGATAAAATAAATATTTATTATCACGAGAGAAAAAAATAAACACGCTTTTGTAAACAACCATCTTATCTATAACCACAACCAAAATGTCATCACAAAGAAAGATAAAAAATTACATGGATCGTAAAGATCTCCTAATAAGTAACTATAAAGAATTGAAAGACTCATTTAAAGAAGAAGCAGAAAGAGAAGCATATGAAAATTTATTTTACATATTATTAAAATTAGATGAATTTGTTTATGAATATAATGTAATAAAATCATATTTACAATCAAAAGGTGAAGATTCCACTGAAAAAAACAAGAAATTATTAGAAGAAGTACAAACCAAGATAGATGATATTGAAAAAGTTATATATTTAAATGATTTATTTGAAGTTGAACCAAAATTTACTATTTATAGAAAAAATTTAAATGATAATGCTCAAGAAGGTGGTAAAATTATTTATGGTTTTGAACATCAAAATAAAAAATTAGCTTGGAAATTTCTAGATGATAGAATATTTGAATTAAGAAAACAAGTAAGTTAGAACTAAGTAAAAAAAATAAATTGTATTATTATTATATTATGTATATTACAGATGATTTCTATTTTTTACTCATTAACTGTGTTAATAATTGTGATGATGGACGTTGTGAGTTTATAGGAATGTCATTTGACATTGCTGGTGTTTTATTAAAGAGTCCTGGTGGTGGTGGAGTTGATGTAGCAGCACGATCTACTGATTTAACCATATTCAATTGTTGCTGTTGCTGTTGTTGAATCTGTTGTTGACGTAATTGATTTAATAATGCTTGTTGTTCTTCTGATTTTTGTAATTGAGCTACTGGGATTATAGGAGTTTGTTGTTGGTGAACTTGTTGAGCTTGTTGTTGACGTTGTAATAATGATTGTTGTTGCATTATAGGATGATTTTGATAAGCTAAATGATAATTTTTAACTGGTCTAATTAAAAATTTTTCAATAACTTGACGTGCCAACATTTTTTCATCTTCCGGTTTTGTTTCTGTGGTAAAATTTCCCTTAAAGGAAAATAAAGGTAATCCTGGTTCTAATTTTTTGAACTTGATGTGTTTTATATCATCTAATGATTTCAATTCTGCTGTAATCAGTTCAATGAAAGGTATTGGTGAATTATCATCTATATCTATATCTTCTGGTAAAACATGACTTGGAACTTTTGTGATTTTAACACTTGATACTCTTGTTTTTAATTCTTTTCTTTGTTGTTGCTTGTGATCTCTTGCTATTTCCCCTAATGTTGGGAATGCTGCTGAATTTGCTAATGGTATATTATTTATGGTGTTGGTTGTGGGGTTTGTAGTGGTTGGGGCTGTTGATTGAAGATTGGCCCAATGAGCTGTGGCTGGTAAGTGTTCTTTACTACCTTCCTGTTGTGGCGGAGGAGGTGGTTGTTGTACTTGTGATTGTGCATGTTGTTGATTAAAATTATGTACATCTTCATCTGTCATTTCATTAAGTTGGTGATTTGGTATATATGAACTTTCTCCAAATGATGTTGTATGTTGTCTTGAAGTCATTCCCATTTTAATACCTTGTTGAGTTGATAAATCTTTTCTTGTAAAAGAATCTGCTTCTTCTCCTGGTTCATGTAAAAACATACAATTTGGATTTGGACAAGGATGACCTCTTAAATATGAAGAACAATATTTTGTAGTACCATGAGCTGCTCTTAACACTCTTCCATCACATAATGAACCATCCAATTCTGTTATACAATTTAATGCATCTTCTTTTCTTGCAAATGTCACATAAACAACCAAACCAGAATTTTGATGATGATGATGAGTTGCAGTTGCAGGATTAGGTGTTTTCTTGTTGATAACTATTTTTGAAATTTTACCATATTGTCCAAAATATTTATCTGATCTTAAGATTGAATGTAATTCTTCTGGATTACATGGAGGATTTAATCCTGTTACATAAACTAAATTTTTTTGAACCACTCTTAATCCGGCTAAATGTTTTTTATTTGCCATATCCAGTTCTTTCTTTTCTTTTTCTCTTTGTTTCTTTTCACGTTCTCTTTTCTCTTTCTTTGAATGTAATACCTTATATTCTTCTGCAGAAACTGTTTTATACTCAACACTTTCATCATCATATAATCTTCTACACCCTGGACATCTTCCATTTAATTCTGGATTTTGACGAATATTATTATAACAGAATTGACAAATTTGATAACCACATGGACATGGTTTAAAGTTTTTATCTGAGATATCCATTTCTTCAACACATAATGGGCTAAAAGATTAAAAAAGTTAGTATTGCATTCAACTGTAATATTTATTCGATAAAGATTTAATTACATACCAATATTCTTCTTCATCATCACTTATAAATGAATCATCTGGTATTATCATTGTAGTCATTTTACATGTATTATTTGATTATTATATTGATCTATTAATTGTATAATTATTAATATTGTTCCAAAACTTGTTGTAAAAAATTATTACATAATTTGAATTTTTTATTAAGAGATCAATTTGATTAAAAGTACACGATAATATTTCTATTGACTAGGTAATTTATAATATGATAATACTTTGGTTCTTTATGATAAAGATATTTAAGTAGAGTTTAGTTTAATACAGTATTTTGCAAAAGGAAGAACATTCTGGAATTTCAAAGGAAAGGTTGGGTTATGTTGGTGCTTAATTTTTGTTTTGAAAGTTAATCGCCATCAAAAAATTGTATCGTAAAACTACGATCAAAAGAACCATTGAGCGTAATTTTGGTCAGAAGGAATTTAAGATGGTAAATCAAAAGATATAGCTCATAAACTCGATACAATATGATATTGCAAGAAGATACTTATGTTGTCCAACTCTAATCTTTTAAAAATGTGTTAAAGAAATTGGTTGTAAAATAATTTTTATGCGAAATAAAAAATTATTCAACTTGTTTATCTATTTAATCAACCTACTATTAAAAATGGTATTTATAGTTGAGTTATGGGAGTCTATATTCACTCCAGGAACTACACCAGCATTGATAACAGCAACTCATGCATCATTTATACTTTTAATTATATCATTGATAACATTCTACTTCTTAACTAAATCAATACATTTTTTAAATTTATTTGTTATTGCATTATTACTTTATGGAACAGTTATTTGGTTTATAAATGAATTAAAAGCAGTCAAATTAAAAGATAATGAAGAATTAACCAAAAAAGAGGAGAAACCAGAAGTTACTATAAAACACGTTGAAACTTATGAGACTAAACCAAGAAAGAGAAAAGTCTGATATAAATAGTATTGACTATATAGATTTAATAGAGAATAAATTTAATTTTTTTGCAAGTAAATAAAAATCATGTAAATCAGACTACTAAAACACTTAATTAATGAGTTTCAAGAATGCATTTCAACCAATTATTAATAATCCAGAAAAGCATGATTCAGTACTATATTATGACGAAAATGTAATTATTATTAAAGATATGTTTCCTAAATCTGTTAGACATTTATTGGTCATTCCGCGTCATCAACAAGTAACTAAAAAACATCCTTTAGATGTATTTAACGCATTTTATAATGATTTTACAGGAGAAGAATTATATGAAATGATTGAAAAATATGTTGAACAAGCTAAAGATTTAATTATTGACAACCTTAAGGAGAAATTAGACATGAAAGATGAAATTATTTTACAAGATTTTAAAACAAATTTCATAAAAGCTGGGGTACATTCAATACCATCATTAGATAATTTTCATATTCATGTCATTACACAAGATTTTAATTCACCAAGAATGAAAAATAAAAAACATTATAATTCATTTACTACAAAATTCTTTGTACCATTTGATCAATTAAATCCTTTATATAATGAAAAATATTATCAATTAACCAACAAAGATAATGAAAGTTATGATTCACAATCTGACGTTTCTTCATCATCTTCGGAAACTGAAAAACCAGATTTTATAAGACTTATTAGATCCAAACCAGTGCTAGAAAATTTAATTAAATCAACATCATTTAAATGCACAAGTTGTAATAAAACGTTTGGCAATTCCGTTATTAAATTGAAAGATCATTTAAATGAAGAATTTGAAAAGAAATTTAGTACGTTGGGAGACACTAAATTGATTAAAATTAATGATATATAATTAGGTTGGGAAATAATTTAGTACGTTCTGAGACACTAATTTTTAACTATTTACAATTAATGAGATGCAGAGAGAAATTAAACTTAAATTTATCACGCCGTGGCTACTTAACCACGAAATCATCTGTCAAAAATTAGAGTTTAGTTCTACGATAGTACGAGATCTCAAATTTTAAACATTTTGGAATATATCCAAGCATGTTTGAGAGACTGCCAAGTAGTCCATGCCACCAAAATTTGCCTCTAGGGAGTAATCGCCTTGTGTAATATTAGTCAATGATCACCCAATTTAAATAGATCTAAAATTTATCATTTATTTTTCGTATAGTTTTAATTAGCATTGCTTATTTGCTAACCCCACAAGATTATTGTGAAATACAAGAAGTATTACCCAATAGATTGAATTCAAACGTTTCGCAAAAACTCTTTGTATTACGAGAAAAATTTTCATATTGCAGTATTCGGAAGAATTTAACAAATCTTATGTAGCTTGAGTTAAATATTTCAATCGTTGAATTTGGGGGAGACTTTTGTGTAAAAAGCTTGACTTTAGTTAAATGCAAACTCGTCCCGAAGTTACTATACAATAAAGAATAAAATTACGAGTCCCCAACCATTATCAGATGAAAGTCTTTGGTGCTAAAAATTTTAATTTGCATTAAAAGGTTATATTTTTTTTTTAGCGGATTAATTTTACATGTGTCTAATTTTAAAAATAAAGTTCAAAACTCACACAAAACCGGATTTTTCTGAAATCTTATTTTTTTTAAGAATTTGTACTTCTATTTGCAGCCAAAAAAAAGTTATTTTTTCGTTTTTTTTTTCAACTACAAGAACAATAGGAATAGTATTGCGAACAGGATTTAATCCGAATTGTTTGGGGAAAAGTTTGGAGTAATTAACCTGCTCAATAACAACAATAGAGATCTCGTGATTGTGAAATTTTTTCAACTAACAACTTTACTACAAAATTTAATCAATTGTACATTTTTTTCATCCCCACCTTCTACCTAAAAAGAACAATAGACTTAAAAGCAAAACTTTAAATTTTATTATAAATAGAACAAGATTTCTTTAATTTTTTCATTAGTCTTTATTACTATATCAAACTACTATTGCCAAAAATGTTTACAACTGATTCGAATGAAAAAAGTTCTGAATTAAGAGAAGAAAAAGTTCAATTTGAACATGATGAAGGTTCATCCGTAGAATTAGGTGCTAACTTCGATGTTGATACTGAATTCAAAAAATATCAAGAAATGGGAGCAGAACAAAAACAACAAGGAAGTTTTTTAACAAATTTAAAAAGAATGGAGTTCCCATTAGATTTTGAAAACAAAATGATTATGGTTTGGTTATTAGGTGGTTTTGCTGCAGCTGGTGGTATTTTATCTGGTGTTGACCAATCTATTATTAGTTCAGCCGCATTAGGTTTGACAGATGATCTTCATCCATCTACTTCAGAGAATTCGTTAATTAGTGCTTTGGTTCCACTTGGTGCAGTTGCCGGTTCACTTTCAATAACTCCAATTTCAAAATTTGGTAGAAAAACTTTATTAATGATTTCTTGTTTAATTTATACTGTTGCTGGTTTAGTTTGTGGTTTAGCTCCAAATATCGGTGCTTTATACGCTGGTAGGTTCTTATTAGGGTTAGCCATTGGTCAAGAAGGAGGTGGTGTTGGTGTTTACATTGCTGAATCAGTTCCATCAAGGTTCCGTGGATCGGTCGTTGGAGCCTACCAGTTCTTCATTGCTTTCGGTGAAGTATTAGGATTCGCAATAGGTGCTATGTTCATTGACGTACATGATGGTTGGAGGTATATGCTTGGTTCATCTTTAGTTTTTTCAACAATTTTATTAATTGGATTATTTTTTTTACCTGAATCACCAAGATTCTTAGCAGTTAATGGTAAATTTGGAGAAGCTTATAATGTTTTCTGTAGATTAAGAGATGTTAGTTTAAGAGAATACAAGATAGAGTTCATTCAATTAGTACAAGCAGCTGAAAGAGAAAGAGAAGTAAGATTAACTCACAGTAAATCAAAAGCATGGATTGAACTTTTCACAGTTCCAAGAAATAGAAGAGCATTAGTTTATGGTGTCATTATGATTTCATTAGGTCAATTAACTGGTATTAATGCTGTTATGTATTATCTCAGTAATTTAATGGGTCAAATTGGATTTTCACCAAAAAATTCAGTATTCATGTCTTTAGTTGGAGGTGCAGCATTAATGTTTGGTACTATTCCAGGTGTCTTATATATGGATCGTTTTGGTCGTCGAGTTTGGGGTTATAATTTAGTTGGTTTCTTCATTGGTTTAGTCTTAGTTGGTGTTGGTTATTTAATCCCATTAGATACCCATCTTGCTGCGGCTGAAGGTGTTTACTTAACCGGTCTCATCTTATATATGGGATTCTTTGGATCTTATGCATGTTTGACTTGGGTTGTTCCATCAGAATCTTTCAGTATCGGTACAAGATCACAAGGTATGACTATATGTTCAGCGTTATTATATTTATGGGCTTTTGTTGTTACTTATAATTTCAACCGTATGAAAGTTGCAATGACTTATACCGGACTTACTATTGGATTTTATGGTGGTATTGCATTTTTAGGTTTCTTTTATCAATTGTTTTTCATGTATGAAACTCGTAATAAGACTTTAGAAGAAATCGATGAACTTTTTGAAAAACCAACCATGGAACATGCTAAAGATAACATTCGTGGTGTTTTAAGATTTTGGCATTTAAAAAAATAGACAATTTCGAATTTAAAAGACTAAATAGTGTATTCAATTCTTCAAATTTATTTAATATATAATGATTTAAATTTGCTTGTCGTCTTGTAGATATCGCATTTTCTTTGTTTAATATATTAGCAACCAGAATCCTCAATTGTATATCACTAGCATTTTTTTCCATCAATTCACTTAATCACTAGTTTCTTGTCTAATTGTTTTTACAATCAATCTGTTGATAGTTTGGTTGCAAAAATTAGTTGGTATTTCAAAGCCGCACCTCAAAATACATAATATTATAAAACGAAATTAAAAAAAAAAAAAAAAACCCAACTTACTTTAAACAAAAGCAAGCTAAACTTTCTACCACATATCATTCCTAATATTTCCGTTGCTGAAAGTGAACTACATAGTATATAGAGAATCTAAGTATACAAGAAAAAAACGTAATTCAGTTTGATCACAAGACTTTGATTTTGATGAAATATTAAACTATATGAGAATGGATATCGCAAAATTATATGCAGAACATGAGAAATTATACAGAAAAGATGGAAAAATTTCCAAGCAAGTAGAAAAAGAAAAGGATTAAGAAATAGACATAAGAAGATACTAGTATATAACATTCAAAATAAGCATATACAGAAAATCTGAATTGAAGTAACTAAAGTATTCCTGTATCTGAAACATTTAGCAGTTGTATTATTAAAATTTCATCAGACTTAAAAAAAAAATCAATGTGAGGGTTCCAATTCACCAACACCAAAACCAACAATCCCAAATCAAAGTAGATTCTAGCAATACAGATTCATTAATAAAGTCATATTATTTTCTAAAACTCATATTATCTAGTTACCCTCTTGATTACTGCTATTAAATTTCTGTCCATAATAACAGAAAACGGGATAAAAAATTAAACATAATCCAGCTATAGTGAATGCTGCACAGCAAGCAGTTAAAAATACTCTGCACAATTCATAAATGATGTAGACTCTTTTCCTTCTTTTTTTAATTATTTCTTCCTCATTATTTTGTTCGCTATTGAGATATTTTGCTCGATAGAAATTTCTAAACGAGTAAAATATTGGCAACAAACAAATTGCCAAAAAGTCGATTGCTAGTACAACTTCAGCTCTAATGATCAATTCTGGCGTATACTTTATTGTATTTTCCGATTGATCAGTTACTGTTGCCTCCATTTTCTGGATATAATTAAAGGAGTCATTTTCACTATTTGGATAAATTTGCAAATTCTTCTTTATTTTGACATGATCTTAAAACCCAAAAGATTGAGCTTAGTGGCAAGTTTATATATTGGATCTGAAAGTTATTATTTTGGCATAACGAAGAAAACTTACCAGATACAGATATTCAATACTACACAAAAAAGAGTGTTTTGTAAATAGTCACAAAATTGTGCGAGTGACAAGCTTCCTGTCAATACCATCAAAACCTTAATTCACCCTAGATGTGAACTTCCATTTCAACACCCATTATCCCATAAATCCCATATAGAAAGTATGGTAAATTAATACCTCGGAGCTACGACATATAATGATTTTAATGGTGAAAAAAAAAACAAATATGCTAGTAAAATTCTTCTTGTTATTTACTAAAATTTATTAATTCAGGATATGGCGAAATCTGAAGTTGTACTATAATCTAAAAACTTTGTCCACAGGTTACAATTGGGAAAAATTGTCTATCCCCAAAGTGCTGGAAGTTCAGTTATAATATTATAATGGACTCAGAATCAACACCACCTAGTTATACTTCTTTGGAGTACGAAAATAATTTGAATACCAATGCTCAATATCAACAAGATCAACAAGAACAAAACAATCAAAATTCCGAGTTTGTACCTCAGTTAATTAAAATACCTAACTCCGTGCTGTTAATTCAACTCATTGACGATGATATAATTGAATTAAAGGCTATCACACCACACGTTGAATGCAATGAATCAACCATGTGTTTCACAAAAAAGGCAGAGACACACACTCACGATTTTATAGTATATACAGGCCTACATTTTGCTTGTGGTGTTTTGCTCGTTATCTATTCCGGACTAGTAATCATGATTGGTTCTCTTTTCTGGCTTGATGATTATGAGAAACTTCAAACTCAAAACTAAATACAGAAATCAGTCCTACCTGAGTTTAAATTTGCAGAAAAACTCAAATTAATTAGGAAAATAGATTGTATACTTCAGCTCTTTAATTTGAAATTAACATGAATTTCTTATTATTTCACTTCTTGTTGGTTAACAAAATCTTTACAATCATTTTCTACATCTCGTGTGCAATTCATTTAATCGAAAACCAGCTGTTGTTCCAAAAATGGACTTGGTAATTTTACCTCCTAATCTCATAGCCAGATAATCCGATTAATATTCAATGAAGAGGAAGGGAAAATCAAAATTCAAATCAAGATTAAGATCAAACTTGAGAAATTCACAATTTTTTGGACAAAGTCTTTGAAACTATCATGTCAATTAAGTTAGAATTTAAAAAATGAATTTGTTATAAATGATACTTGTAAAAACAGTTAAAAATCGATCATGTATCTCACGGCAACACCTAAAAGAAAAAATGGTATTCCGACTTTCATATATGAATTAACAGAGAGTAGTGAAGTTCATCATGTAGGTACTGAAGTATTGATTAAATGCTCAGGTATTATTCATATTTTTGGCGGGGTATTTAGCCCAGTATATCAAGCCAAGCTAAATGAATAATTATTATTTCATAGTAAAGTCGTAATAAACGACGCACTTACACTGAAATTATGTATTTAACTTTATAATTATACTTCAACGGCTTTTGTTAGTCAAACCTGTTTTACTATATTGTAATTTGGTGGTAATGACACACACTCAAACACTTAAATAAAATTGTCTCATAGATATTCTTGTAAATGGTTCAAGAACATGGAATGTGTCCCCTTCTCTTATTCTTTACTAAAAATTTCGTCAAAATATTGAGAGATCTTTGAATCAAAAATGTATAAAAAGTTCCATCTTCTACAATTTTACATTGATTTCTCCTTAATGGACTAAACGATCTTAAAGCTTAGCAAACAATTGCAACATGGAGTTGGACAATCTACCCCCTTATCATGAGTCCAGAGAGACTGATTCAAATTCAGCACAAGAAGAATTTAATAATCAAGATCAACTTCAAGAAGGTAGAATTTTAGAAATTCCTGAAACAGTGGATTATATAAAGTTGATGAGTGAAGATATTATTTATGATAAACTTGTTACCAATAATGCAAAAAAATTAATGATGGTTTTAAGATTGAAATCCAATAGAAAACCGGTTCGTAAACCACTAAGATATTTTCAGTTTATTAAAAAACATCCTTTTGCTTTTATCTTTTTTATATTTGGCTGTTGTGCTTTTCTAGGATCAATTATTGTTAACGATGTTATGATTAAAAAAACTGATGAAGAAATGAAAAAGTTCAAAGCTCAAAGACAAATTTATCATAACTCAAGTACTATTATACAAGCAAGACATGATGGGACTAAAGAAACAGGAACTTGAGTAACAAAAAAAAGAAGAACATAGAGAATTTAAAACCCCCTCTAAACAAACCTAAAAATCCCATGAAAAACTAGGTGTTAACAATTTCTTCCGATATAATGGAGACCATACGCGTCAACATAGGAAAAATGATACAAAATCGTTTGATAAAGGAAAGCAAGATCGATTAAAAGGTTGAAAAACAAGAATATAAAGTATTCCTTAGGAGGTGGAGCAATAAACAAATAAAGAATAAATGTGTAAAATTTTCAGTCTTATGATTTTGTCTCTAAGCATATTCTAAGAAAGACCTTGCCCAAAAAGCTTCGTGAAAGATTCAAGTGTACTCTTTATTCTGCTCTATAAAGTTTTTAATCCGAACAGATATGAGCATAATTCATAATGATTAGGCTACACTTTGATTACTTAATATGTTTCATTTATTTCTGATTGCCGACATTTTTGACTCCAATATTTTGTAAAAATTTCACTTAACAATAAGAGATTGGATAGAAGTCACAAATACTAGTTTTACTAGCTAAAGAGTTAGCCAAAGAGCTACTAATAGCGAGTTTTTACCATATATCCGTAAAGATGTTACTTTATAATGAAATAGTGTTGACAAATTCTGAAGAAATTTTTTGTTCTACGTCAGAAAGCTGGAAAATTTAATTATCACAGAGGAAGAATACTAATTTGGAGTGAGACTTTTTATAGGATATCAGAACGACAATTCGATATTCGATGGTGTTAAAAATAATTTATGTCGGAGAACAATAATTACTGAAACATCTGCATCAGGTATGATTTATAGAATACTAAATAACATTTATCTATCATCAGTAGAGCCAATAAATAATGAAGAGGATTTAAAAAAAGAATATGGGATAACTCATATACTATCAGTTCTACCTGGAAAAGTTCAAGAGATTTCATATCTTTCTAATTATCAATGGAAACAAATTGAAGTAACTGATGAGGAAACTACAAATTTGATACCGTATTTTAATGAGTCCTTTGAATTTATAGAGCTGGCCAATGGTGGAAATATTTTGATACATTGTTCACAGGGAGTGTCAAGATCAGTCTCAGTAATAATAGCATATTTAATGAAGAAACATAAACTACATTTGGAACAAGCTATTTATGCTGTTAAAAGGAAATTCCCTGAAGCTGAACCCAACCCTGCATTTAGGGAGCAACTCAAATTATACGAGAAAATGAATTATGAAGAAGATCAACTAAATTCTGAATACAAGTCATACCTTAAAGAATTGTCACTAAAGATAGATCCACTGGGACTGAACTTAAGAGAATTAATAATGGAAAAAGAGACTACCATAGAGGAAAAGAGACCAGATACTTATGATTTGAGGTGCAAGAAATGTAGTAAAGTACTAGCAAATAACAATAACATTGAAGAGCATGAAACACCCGGTTCCGATTCTAGACAATCACAATTTGTCAAAACAGCTCCAAACTCAAGAAGAATAATATCTGTGCATCAAGCGAGTGATCAATGCTCACATTACTTTTTTGAAAAACCCGTTCCATGGATGAGAGATGAATTGGAAAGATCAGAACTAGAAGGTAAATTTCAATGTCCTAAATGTTCCTCGAAGATAGGAGGTTATAGTTGGAAAGGTTCAAGATGTTCTTGCGGTAAATGGATGGTGCCTGCTATACATTTACAAGATGCTAAAGTAGATTGTATAAAGAAATAAATAGCCTATTCTGTGCGTTAATCAACAACCATATCTTGTTCCGAATATTCATTTTCATCAACATAACGCTCTTCCACCGTACGTAAAGAAGGAGCAGTTGTTGGATTAGTAGTAGATGTTCTTTGTGTTATCAAACCGGTTGTAACTCCACTATTCATTAAAATATTTGTATTTGTTTCTGAGTTTAAACTATGATCATCTTGATATTCGACGTCTGCTGCCATAAATCCTTCATCATCTAATTGTTGATGCTGTTGTAGTTGTGGTGGTCCTGGTACTAAAAAACCAGGTCCATCAGAAAATGAATCTTCATCATCTTCAAAATCCTCTGAATTTATTGTTTCATCAGCATTTAATATTTGAGCATCTAAATCTTGTTGTAATGGTAAAGTATCTAATTCTTCTTCATTTGTATTTTCTGCAGCTTCAATTATATGATCATTTAATTCATCATCAATTGAACTTGTAGTTTGTTGTTTCATATAATCAATTTCTTCCATGGTCTTACCTATACCTATGGGCCTAATAGTTGAGTAGCCTGTATTTCTAATTTTATCAAGTTGTTCTTGCTTAATTTTAATTAATATTGATAAATCATTTGATCTATTAAGTTTCAAAGGATCAGGTCCCGGAAATTCTGCAGTATATGAAGCTAATGGTGGTGCAAACTGTTTTGGTTCTTTTGGCGATTGATCTTGAGTCCATAGATGATGTAGACCTCGAGGATAGAGATCAGTTGATGCATACATGAATAAATATCATTTATTGATATACTATGAACATTAATTAGAGAAAATACAACAAAATAATATTTTAATATTATACTTTGATTTTGTGTAATCTGAATATATACTATTTTTAATCTTCTTCATTATCAGTTAAAACAAATTCATCAATTATTTTACTAGTGGAATTATCATATTTAAGATTAATTGAGGGTTGTATTGGCCAGACAAAATCATTGGTACCATTTAAAGTTGTAATACATCCATAACATAAATCAATATTTTCTCCGTCAAATTTATGTTTTTGGTCTTTATTTGAGAAATACATCTTTACGTATTCTTCTTCTTCCTCAGTTGCAATTGGAGCTGGATCATTCACGGTTATTGTTTTTAACCAGGTTTTAGGATCATGATATATCTCTGAACCACATATTTTACATATAATTTTAAGTTCATTTGATTGTGGTGATGTTAGCTTTTGACCAATTTTCATGACTGTTGACGCAGTTGATGCATAGCCTGTTTGATTTAAGTTTGTAAAGTAGTTGGAAACAAGATCCTTTATCGTTAAATTTTTGGATACCCTCGATTTGGATATTGTTGAGTCTACAATATAGTTTTGCAATTCAGATAATTTTGCATATTCAACAATCTCATCGAACAAAACATCTCTTAGTGGGTAGATTATATTTATTTCTTTACCTTCATAAATCTCCTTTCTATCTGATATTGACTTGTGTATCGTTGAACCACGTCCTTTAACAGTTAATGCTATTATTTCATTTGCAATTCTAGTCATCGAATGTGCGTAGACTACAGTATTACATTTTTCTTCAACTGCAACTTTCAACAATAATTGATCTAGTAATATTGATAGTAAGTCTTCGGCTGATGATTTATTTGCACAGCTTTCGAGTAAATTCATCATAGTTGTATCAGCTTGAATTGAATTTGCAAAGATGGTAAATTCATGGTCCAATGATATGGCATATAAATTTTTTTTATTCACGTACGAGTCTAATGACAAAATTTTGACTTGTATATCCACATTATATCTTTTTAATAATTCAGGTAGTATTGTCTCAATTCTTGCAGATAGTGATTTATATTCGTATTCATTTAAATTAACAATGACCAAGTCAAATCCCCGTAATCCATTATGTGCTTCTATTTGTTCAACAATTAAGTTAGCTAGCACGTCTAATAGAACTAATGACGAAACACCTCCTGAAAATGCTAATAATACTTTTTCACTAGTAGTTTTTTTATAATTGATTTTGTATTTTTCATCTGACATTTGTTTTCTTTGTTTTCCACGAATAAGTCTAAGGAAACAATCTTTGCAGTATAATTCATTTCTGGCTTTCAAGATAGTTTGATTCTTCTTACATTTTTGACAAACTTCTTCTGTGCTGAGATATTCTATTGCTTTCATGATATTTGGTTGGTGATAAAGATGTGAAATTCAAAAATAGATCTCATCTTGAGCCGCACATCTAATATACAAAAAAATCATCGTAAATTTAGTTTTTACATTAATAATAGTTGTGTTCCACCAAAATATGGCTTTGTTCATATGGAGTCCAGTCGTTGATCCTCGCCGCACAGTGACTTGAAGCACTCCGGATCGCAGAGCCCGTCTATAGTCTTACATGGGAAGATCTTTATTAGACTACTTGTATATTAAACTATTTACAATAATTTAGATTCTGATTCAATTAAATTAAGTAAAAATTCAATTTCAAGCCTTTTTCTACTTTCAATAACCCAATCATTAGCTAATCTTCTACTCCAACCCTTTAAATTTGTAGCTTCTTCAACAGCAACATCTAATTGACCTCTTGCTAAACTATATTCAACTCTTCCGATAACTGATTCAATATCTTTCCCATCTTCTTTGACACCTTTAACTGGTAATAACAATTTTGAAAATATAAGTGATGATAAATGACCTAATAAACCTGCATTTGGTGGTAATAAAGAACTTGATCTTAAATCTGGAGCTAATTGTTCCCAACGAGTCAATAATTGTGAATTACTTAATATAGAATGAGTAGATTCATTTGATATTAATGGGATCAAATCCTTTACTGCCAAATTTAATACTTCATCATCTGTTGAGATTTGACTTAACACATCAACATATGGCCCTATACTTTTTGGTGTTGTATTTTCTGATTGTGAGAATAATAATAATGATTTTAATTTATTGATTGATTGTTGAATTAAGGTTTTCTTATGGGTGTTGACAATTTGTTTTTCAAATCCTTCTGCAAACTTTTCTAAATCGTTAATTTTGTCATTTAATTTATCTAAATTGGCCAATCTACCTTGTCTTTCTTCATTTAATTTTTCAGTTACTAATTTTTCAAAATTTTTGGTTTGTTCAATTCTGACCATTGAAACTGCATTAGTTGCAGCTTGACTAATAGCCTGTCTCGCAGCTTTTACTTCCTGTTCTAAACGTTGATTTAACTTTTTTTCTAATTGAGCTTTTTCTTGATTAAACTGATAGATTAAATTTTCAGTTAACTCTAATTCCTTTTTAGTAAATGAACTGAATAATTCAGTTTGAGAAACTTTTAATTTATTTTGGACTTCGTTATCAAAACTGGTACTTAATGTATTCAATTTAGTGGCTAATTGATTTATGCTAGTATCAATTGTTTTAATTAAATTTGAATTCGAACCTTCCAATGTGTTTGCGTCAATTGATTGAACAAAATTGTTGAATGACGATATGATTTGTTTAACTGAGGAATCAACAGAATTAGCAACATCTGCATTTAACTCAATTAATGGTAAACGTGCAACATCTCTAGTAAGACTTTCAACTTCAACTGGTTTTTGTAATTGTTCAACTGGTGTTAAGTCTGTACCTTTTCTAACTTCTTTTTTGCTAGATAATTTCTTTTTAGTTTCCTTGAGAAAATCTTCACCTTTATGTTCTATCTTGGTTGTTAATTGTTCGATATCATTTTTGGATGGTAATTTGACATCAGTAAATTTACTTTGAATGTTATACCAAAGTTCTTCGAAATCTTCTTTTGAAAGGTTTTCAAAAAAGTCAATTAATTCTTCATTGTATGGTAATTCATTATCAAGTACAAAATCTAACACTTTATTATTTTTGGTTGCAAGATACATTGTACCACCGTAAAGAAAAACAGCAAGTAATGATGTTTTGAATAAAAACCCAGTAAATGAAAATTTCTTCTTTTTAGGAGTTGGTGGAGGAGGTGGTGGAGGAATTTTATTTTCAACTGGAATTGGATTAATACTTGGTGGGGTTGCTACGATAAACTCAGTAGTTTTAACTTCAGGTAAAGGTGGTGGTGGATCGATCTTTTTAGCATTGAGTCTAATTGAAGTAGTTGATATACCACGAAGACCAATTAAGGAATTTCTTGATGTAGCAAGTCTAATCATATTTGTTTGGCGTTGTTTTGAAAATGGTTGTAAAGTTTCAAATTCTCTTTTATTTTTTTTTACTTTTGTTCGACTCAAATTTACCCAATCATAATCAGATTAACCATCAATTGAATATACCAAATGTCAATAAAACCAATTGCAATTGCTGCACCTCAGCCAACAACTCAGAGGGGTCAGGCATCACATCTATCATATGATCCAGTAAATAACCGATTGGCCTATGTCAATGGTAAATCAGTTATAATAAAACCAGTCGATTTTAATTCAAACTCTCCAGTAATTGTATTTTCAAAACATATTCACCCAACTACAGCAGTAAAGTTTTCACCATCTGGGTTTTATATAGCATCCGGTGATGAATCAGGCCAAATAAAAATATGGGACGCATCACCTAAAAAAGGAGAGGAAATTTTTGAAACTCCAGTTATCAAAAGTGAATTTCAAATAATGTCAGGTCCTATAAAATCAATTGCTTGGGATGCTGATAATTCAAGAATAATTGCAGTTGGTCAAGGTAAAGAAAAATTTGGACATGCCTTCTCCTGGGATTCCGGTAATTCAATTGGTGATATACAAGGTCATAGTTCAACAATAAATGCAGTAGATATAAAACCTCAAAGACCTTACCGAGCTGCCACAGTAGGTGATGATTTTGCTATGGTATTCTTTCAAGGTCCACCTTTCAAGTTTGAAAAAAGCTTAAGAGGAAATCATTCTAATGTTGTAAGAGATGTTAAGTTTAGTCCAAATGGTGATTACATAGTATCAGTTGGATCAGATAGAGCTATATGTTTATATCAAGGTAAAAGTGGTGAGTTTATTAAGAAGATGGAAAAAACTCATGAAGGTGGTATATTTGCTGTAGCATGGACTCCAGATTCAAACTATTTTATAACTGCTTCTGCAGATGGGACCTTGAAAAAATGGTCAATTGATAATGAATCGGCAGAAACAACATACAGAATTAGTGATAAGCCATCAATTGATAGTCAACAAGTTGGTTTAGCTAAAACTAAAGATTATATTATTTCATTAAGTTCAAATGGAGATTTGAATTATTTTAAAGATGATGGTGTATTAGTGCAAGTTGTGAAAGGAAATCAAGCACCAATTACTAAATTATTATTGGTAGATAATGAACTATACAGTGGTAGTTCTGATGGTAAATTATTCAAATATGAAGTTGATAAAACTGGAACAAAATCACTTCCTAAATTACAAGGTACTAAAGAAGAAGAGCATTCAAATTATGTTGTTGATATATTATCTGACAAATCAGCAATATATACAATAGGTTGGGATGATGAACTAAAACGTTGGAAAGATGGAAAAGTTATCAATTCAGTGAAATTACCATCACAGCCAAAGCAATTAACCAAGATAAATTCCTCAATCGTTGTACTTTTTGAATCAGAAATTCAATTATATGACGAAACATTAGCATTATTGTCCGAGTGTAATTTCAACTTTAATAGTACAAGTGTGGCAGCATTATCAACTTCGAAATTATTAGTCACAAATGTTTCTACCAACACTATTGTTGAATTTGATATTTCAAACAACAAAATCTCACAATCATCGAACGAATTCCCAAAATTAAGATCACCACCTACATTAATCAAAGTTTCACCTAATGGTGAATATATTGCAGTTGCCGATTCTACTGGTAAATACACATTATACAAATCTGATGGTTCAGTTGTGACGACTAGATGGGCATTTCATACAGCCAAAGTTTATGATGCACAATGGACAAAAGATTCAAAATATTTATTAAGTGGAGGATTAGATACTGGGTTATACGTATACTCTGTTGAAAAACCATCAAAAGTTTTAAAATTCCCATTAGCTCATTCAGCTGCGGTAACTAGTTTAGCATGGATTGATTTTGATGGTGAAAATAAAATTGGTGAATTTATTAGTTCTGGTTTAGATGGAACAATTAGAACTTGGAAAATTACAAATTAGTAGATTAAACTTCTTATAGAGAATAAAGAATTAGATTTTGGTACAATTTTTGGCACTAAAAGATGGTTATTTATTGTAGATATCAATTTTTGTGTACTCTTTCAGTATTTTTTTATTTAAATTTGAAACATTTGAAACACGTAAAATTTCATTATGTATAACGTGTATCGATAATTTTACAACTCTACTCATTCCTATGTTTGTTTATTAACGACGATGTCGAATAAAGAATATACCACTATAGTGATTGATGCATCCAAATCAATGGAAATCAAATCAATTCCAAATCAATCTGAAACTGATTTCCAACTAGCACTTAAATTTTCAATAAATTATTTAAATAAACAATTATTAAAAAACCGTAAACTGGATAGATACGCATTTGTTATTTTCAATTCCACTGATTCAAGGTTCTTATATAATGATGGTCCAATATCTTTAAGCTACGTCAAAGAATTTTACGATACTGCTTCTAATTTACATCAACAAGATACAGGAAATGGAACTGAAACAGACGTAGTTAAATCATATTCAGAAGCATTACAACATCAAATTGCAAATAAATTTATTAGAAATATTTTCATAGTCACAAATGGTCTTTTACCAACTCAACAACCAAGACATTATGATCAATTTCAATATATTCTAAACTCATACACCATTAACACAACATGTTTAGTTATTAATAATGATAACAATAATGAGTCCAAAACAATCATTGAGAACGTTTCTGAAGCCATGGGAGATGATTTTGCAGTTTATGATTTTGATGATTATATGAATGCAGGACCACCAATGAAATTGATAGGTCCTCGTTGTGTCAGTGATACATATTTATCTTTTGCTCAATTGGGAGGCGATGAGAACGATGAACTGGGTATAAATTTGAAAATACAACTTTATCCAGCAATTAGATGTCAAAATCAATTACATGGTCATGAATATTTTGTAAACCCTTCACTGAAAGAAGTATCAAAAATTAAAAGAGATACTAAATACTATATCAAGAAAAATGCAAGTATTGAAGATGAAGTATTTGATCATATTTCTTTAAATGCACAAGATTCCAATTCAAAAGACGAAAATGAAGATGATGAAAAAATTTATTTGAATCGTGGAGATTTTAGTTCTGGTTTTAAATATTCACAACAAGATATTTTACCTGTATCCACAGAATTGGATCAAGCTGCTACTTTGGGAACTACTCCTGGTGTTAATATTCTTGGTTTTATTTCTAGAAAAGATTTACCAATTGCATATCTAACAGAGGAGTCAAATTATGTTATACCAGACATGAAATTATATAGTGACAATGCAATAGCTTTCAATTCAATGGTTCAAGCATTAATAGACCTAGATCATGTTGCAATAATGCGTTATGTACAAAAGCAAGATGACGAGGTTCAAGTATGTGCCGGATATCCGCAGCGAGTTAAAATCGATGATGAACATGAAGGATTTATTTTAATGATGAATAGATTGGCAATGAAAGAAGATGAAAAAATTGGTAAATTTTCAGATTTGAAAAAAATGCAAGAAAATTCAATAGATTCTGCAATGGAAGATTTCATCAAAAGTAAAAAATTGAGAAATGATCAAACTAAATCAAATCTCCTTAATAATAGAAAAGCTAGTCTTACTCAATCGGTATCTTTTACACCACCAATAACATCAGAAACTACATTGGAAAATATTTTATTATCTTCAAGTCCTCATGTGAAAAGGTTCAATCATTACGTGAATAAAATGTTGTATAAATCATTTGGTCAAGTAAAACCTTTAAATGAATTTATTGGTGAAAAGGATTTCATTGAAAATACACTTACAAATGATGAGGAAAGTACATTACTTAACCTTGATGATATCCTTGATACAAAAGAAGCAAATTTTTATGCTGATTATGACGTGCCAAAAGCTAATGAAATTGAAGATAAACTTAAAAATCTTTTGGATGTTAAATTTAAAATTCCAAAAAAAACTACAAAAAAGAAAAGAAATTACGAAAGTACTTTTGATTTTGAAGCTAACGATGGTTTTGATGAATACTTTGATATTGATGATATTTTAGCTGGCTAAATATACAGAACCAATCAAAGTTTGAACAATCTGTTTTTCATATCTGCTTCTCTATCTTTTGCTGTTCTTTTTCTATTAAAGTTTTTAGAAGTACCATCGTTTCCAAAACTGTCAACTAATTTTTGATTTACTTTACTTAATCCAACTCTTTCTCTTTCTAAATTATTTATTTCGCTCCATTTTTCTTCATTAACATCTTGTATTGCAGCCAAGTCAAAAAGACCTTTATATTTTTTAGATTTACCTTGTTTCCATAAATTAATCCAATGAGTTGCAACACCTAATTCATCATATGATCCGTTTGGTTTTAAAGTATTTCTTGATTTTGCTATATTAAACATTAATTCATAAATATCATTAGTAGGATGAGACATATAGTCTGAGTATAACTTACCCGTTGGATTTTGTAGATTTAACAAAAATAATAAATAGTCAGCTAATATAACTGGATCAATAAATGAATCATGTATACAACCAACTAATCCTAATGTTAACATAGTATCCGCGTTTTTAACAGTTGGTAAAAAAATTCCAGGAGTATCATAAACCATTACTTCTGGGTCTTTAGATAACCTTATTATTTCACTTGTGGATCGAGTAACTCCTGGTTGACCACCTGTTTTAGCAACTTTTTTAACTTTTGTAGAAACAGAGGTGGTGTCATTACCTAGCCCAACTTGTCTCATTGTATTTACCAATGTAGATTTTCCAACATTGGGCATTCCTATAATCATTAATCTCATTCCTAAAGGAGGTTTGGACTCTAAATCTTCATAAATTTTTTGGATAGCGGTTATTATTTTTTTGCAATCTGTTCTATTCCTACAATCAATGAACATGTAACTTTCATTTTTAGAGCTATGCCATTTGTTTAGTAGGTTTGGTTTTAGTATTGATAAGTCCTTTTTACTATATAGTATTAGTTTCCTCTTTGTAGATAATAATTTATCAAATAAAACATTTGTGGTTGCAATTGGAGCTCGACAATCTCGTACTTCTAATATCAAATCTAGTTGTGGAGAAAGATGTCCGAGTTTTGATAATGCTTTTTGATGATGGCCCTTAAAGTTAGATAGTGGAATGTTATAGTTGGGAAACGTTGATCTGGGTATGAATTTTGACATGGTTGTAAGTTGTTGCAAAATCAAAAAGATTGCAAAAGTTTATTTTTTTTTTTCACATCATAATTCCCATCAAATTTCCAACCAATATGCCATTAATCATAATTTCTGGCTATCCCAGTTCTGGTAAAACTAAATGGGCTAAACTCCTAGCTAATGAACTTGAGAAAAAGATAACGAAAGCCGGGGAAAGTTCAGACTCACAATTAGGGCATAATTATAAAGTCATATATCATTCAGATGATTTATTTGGTATAAAACATGATACATATGAAGATTCAAATAAGGAAAAATTAGCCAGAGGTTCACAAATATCAGCAGTCAAAAGAGACATTTCAAAAACAAATATAGTAATACTAGATTCAATGGCATATATAAAGGGATTTCGTTATCAATTATATTGTGAATCAAAAGGTACTGCAACACCTCATTGCATAGTTCACGTTATCGCTCCAATAAATCAATGTCTTGAATGGAATGATCAAAAAAGCGAAGGTGAAAAATGGAAGCCTGAATTGATTAAACAATTGGAAATGAGATATGAAGAACCAAACAGTGATACAAGATGGGATTCACCTTTATTTCAAATAATATCAAACGATCCAAATGAAAAAATACCAATTGATGAAATATGGAATGCCTTGGTATTGAAAAAAGCACCTACTCCAAATGCTGCAACTACGTTACAATCAACTTCAGATAATTCATTTTTACAGGAACTAGATAGGAAAACTCATGAAATCATCTCCGCCATATTACAACAACAACAAATAACTTCAGGAAATGTTCAGATTGGGGATTATATAATAAATATACCGATGGGCGTCGTAAGTACTGCACAACTACAAAGAATAAGACGATCATTTATAAGTTTGAATAGGATGAGAACTATAGATAAAGATAGAATAACTCCTTTATTTATTGACTACCTCAATGGAAGTTTAAATAATGAAGACTAACTTTAGTTAATGCATGTATAATTGCTACTTACCTTTTCCTTTCATTTTTCCATTTGAAATGAGTTTTACCATCATTACTTACTACTTTCTTCTTACTACCATTTTTCATTTTCTCCAAATTTAAACTCATTATTTGTTCAACATCTCGTATTTCTTTCTCCTTGTTTATTCTTCTCTGTAATCTTTTGTATTCTTTCAATTTTTTTTCATCTAGTTTATCTTTTTGCTTTGAATCTAAATCATTTGACTTTATTACTCCCGAGTTAGAATGTAATTGATCTAATCGAAGTCTATTTTGTCTATTATCTAATAACGATTCATCTGTATTGAAAAACTCTTCAGGATTGAAACTTTTTTGTTCTTCATTAGAGTCAACAAATACTGTATGTCTACCCGATCCTTCAAATAATTTCCCTTCTTTTTCTTTTTGTATTTTATTTAATTCATTTAATCTCATCGTTCGTATATAATTTATATCTTGAGTTTTTAATAATTTAACTTGATCAACACTTAGCACTTCACTATCTCTATCTGATATCAATATCCCTCTATCATCTGTTTTTTTCCTGGTCATAGCATGATAATATTCATCTGGATTATGCGTTTTGATCTTTTCTTTCAACGCTTTTAATGCTGCTTGTTTTTTATGATAATCTGCTGCTCTTAATCTATAGTCTTTCTTTTTCTCTAGCAAGCCATATCTGGCTCTGCTATCCTTTTGAGACCTTTCCTTATGCTGTTTCTTTTGAACATTGTGTACTAATCTTGCCATGATTGTTGGTTGTTTAATTTATGGTTGCAAATTAAGATGAGACTTTATGATAAATTATTAATTTTATTTTTTAGTTTTTTGTGTGAAAAATTATACCAAAGATCAAATCAACTAAAGTCAGAGTTAATGAGAAGGACGATAGTACAACTACCTTATAAGCGTTCACTCGCGTCATCGTCCTCATATATATCTTCAAAACCAATACTACTATGTACCAGAAATATAACTACAACTTCAATCAATCATAATTCATCATCACTCGATAGTAATTCCACGCCTTGGTATTTGAGAGAAGAAAATACTTCAAAAGTAGAACAAATTAATCAAAATGAAATTATAGTGTTCCCGGAAAGTATGTCTCAATCACTCAGAGATTTTGTTCAATTACTAAGTGAAAAATACGGGTTAACAGATTTCAAAATTTTAGATCTTTCATTACTTCCATCAGATCATCCAAAAAGTATAAAAAGCCAATCAGATGAAAAATATATAATATTCACCTCAGGTAAATCTGAAAAACACATTTACAAGGCATCATATGACTTAAAACAATATATAAAACATGAATTTGGACATTTACCTCGTATAGATGGAATGGTTTCAAATTCTGTAAGTGCAAGAACTCGTAATAGATTAGCCAAAAGAGCTAGACAAGGTCCACCCGCCACACATAATACTTACGGGATAGGTCCTAACACTTGGGTCAGATGTGAAGTTGGGTTCGATGGAGCTGTTTTACATATGTTGAGTCCCGAGAGAAGATCAGAATTAAATTTGGAACAAATATATGGTGAAGAAGTTGAAGGTGAAAGTATGATTGAAATTGCTCCAGTAGTTAAAAATAATTATAATGAAAATAAAGATAGTGTATTTTATGGTTTACAAAGAAGTTTCCATACAAGCACAAGGTTGAACAATAACAATGAAGCATTAGAATCAATAGTTAATAATTTTATTGGAAGTAGTTCCATCAATGAGCATGAGCAATTTAAGTCTCAATTTGACGGTAAATTTACAGGGACGTCAGTAGAGGAATACAATAACAAATTCAATTTTTACAAAGTCTTATCATTAGTGGATCCTAATTATTCAATGGAAGATGTTGAAACTATTTTGTTGGATAAGCATTCGTCGATTGCACTTTCGACTGAGAAAATTGACTGGAATCAAGAAATAGTAAATGATGTTATAAAGTATATGGAGTTACTATTAGATACTTCAAGAGGATTAAGTGCCACTGAAAAACTATCTAAACTATCAGACTTTATTTCCAAAATTACTGCGTTTTCATCTGATGAACTTCATTTTTTTGCAATTGATAAATTTCAAACTTTATTATGGTCATTAAGTTGTGATAATTATATACCAATCGATGGTTCAGAAATAAACTCAATAATTCAATCAAGAGGTGAAGGAATTGAAATATCCACACCAACTTCTGTTCAAGATGCAAGATCAGCTCAAAATATGAGAGAAATGTTTAGACAAATAAATTTTTCAAAAAGAGGTCACATGCCACTTTGGTTAAGAGAACATATGTTATATACTTATGGGAATTGTAGAAATTGGGTATATTTTTGGAAAGAATGGAGTGCAATAATACAATCATTAGTTGAACCTCAAGAATTTCTACATATGTTCACCAAAGCTATTATATTTTTAACAATCATTAATGATAAAATTGCATTAAGAGACTTTTTCAACAGATATTGGAACAACAATAATGGGCCATCTTTTATTACAGAACTAGCTAAAAATGACAATCAATTCAATTCTGCGAATGAAGAACAAGCTTTAAAAAAAGCTTTGTTGGTTCTTAATGATAAATTTGGTGCAAGTAAATGGTATGAAAAAGTTGGCGAGTTTGCTACCAAATGAAGACGTGACGTTTTTTTTTTTTGAATTTTGTGTAATTAAAAATGTAAATAGTTTAAGCATTAATTTATATACGCGATTTGTATTATCTGTAGTATATTACATCAATATATTTTGAAGAACCTATAAATCAACCAACTAACTTTAATCTACTTATATTATGAATGACATTGATGTGCTGAAAATTAGGCATCAAATTAAGGATTGGGAGCACAGCTTTCAAAAAGTAAATAATAGACAACCTACAAAAGCTGATATAAATGGGAATACTGAAATCAAGAATTTATATTCACAATATAAATCAAAAAAACAAGGTAAAAATCATCATCATAACTCCAAGAAAGCTACAAAAGACCATGAAAGCCAACTAGAGACCACAAATGTCGATAAGGAAAATTTTCCACCAACTCCACAAGGTGAACTAGGTCCAACTCCACAAGCAAATGGTAGAGTGCTATCAATATTCGATTATAAACTAACTCCACCAGAGTCATCACCATTAAAAGATAAATCAACTACATTCGCCACAAATATAGCTGATACTCCAATTCGTCACATTCTCAAAACTCCGGTCAAAACAAATCGAAGGTTATCATTCACAACTCCAAATAAATCATCCCCATTAGCATCAACTTCGACAGAAACACCACCAATTTCATTGATTCAAAAGTTAAAACAAACTATAAATAATGAAACTCCAAGATATTTGAAATCAAATTTTCAAACTCCAACTTTCAATAGAACTTTAAGTCTAACTGAATTTCTGACATCTCCGTCACCTTTTAAACCTCATAGATCAATTAGCTTTAAAATATCAGAAGTATATAATAGGTCTTTGAAAGAAGCTGAGGAGTTGAAAGAGATGGAAGGAATGTTTGTGAACGAAGAAATTGAAGATCAAGTAGTAGATGAAGAGGAAACTTCCACTGCAGATCCTAAAGGTAATATTAAGAAAAGAAGAACTCAAAAAAGACAAACTAGAAGAGTTAAAATGGCACCACGTCCTGTATTAGAAAGCGAAGTCTTGGATAATGTCAATTTACAAGAAAAAGTACATGAATTAGAGGAGAAAGAAATTTCAAATATAAATGCCTATATAAATTCAGAAGATGAAGAAAGTGATGATGATTCCCAACAATTAGTCAACCAAGTAAGTCCTTCAAAAAGAACTAGAAAACCAGTTACGGAGAATTACAAGAGAATGAAAATTAATGATCCAAGGTCAAAACGTTTCAAACAACGAATGAGAAGGTAATACAAAAAATATACACCTGGAAATGTATTTATTATTTTAAATTATTGTTGCTATCAACTCTGAAGTATCTTTATTTACGTCAAATTGTATTCTTGATTTTATAGCTTTATTTTCTAGTTCCTGGTTTTCATCTCTTCCATTGTTTTCTGAAAAATATACTGGTTTTCCCCATTTCTTCTTATCTTCATCATAATCCCAAGTCAGTTCATTGTTTGTAAATTGTTGCTTTTTAGAAGTTTTAACATCTTGCATTAATTTAATTTCTTCATTGGAAACTTGCTCTTTAATTGGTTTGTATTTTTCCACCATTGTAACTTTCCCATCTTTGATCACCATTTCTACTTGTTTTTCACCTTTTTTATGACGTTCAGATTCTGCTTTATTATCTTTCGACATTCTTTGTTGCTTTTTCAAATTTAGTGCTCTTTCTTCTGGTGATAACCAAATAGATTGAGTAGGTAATTCAAAGTCAGCTGCATTATCAATGATCCTTGTTCTCTCTTCACCTGTTTCCTGAAAATTTAATAATGTTTCTAGTTTTTCCTGAGCTTTAACTAAATCCTGATCAGTATTGGCTAGTTTGTAATTATTTTTTGTATCAATAGCTTGTAGTTCTTGTTGTTCTAATTGTTCCTTTTTCGCTATTTCTTCATTTTTCATTTCTTGCTCTGCTAGTTTAAATGCTCTATCTTGTGCTTCCCAAAATTTCTCACCTGGATTCATCTTCACTACGATCTTCTTTCTAGGTTTATTAGTTGGTGTCGTCGATTCTTGTTTATTATTTGCATTGAGTAATTCAGTCCTTTCTTTCTCCAAAAGCTTTATGATTGCATCTTTTTCTTTTGACGGTATAATATCATTCCCACAAAATGAACAAGGTTGTAATCCTTCTTTTGTACATATTATTTTACCGCAGTTTAAACAATTAGGTGCAATTTCAAATAATGGATGTCTTCTTGCCATACAATTACAAATTCGTTTTACTTCATTATTTGCTAATGTGTCATGTTTGATTTCTAATTCATTTAGCACGGACTCTATATCATTTAGATTTGTTAAATTTTTTTTATTTATCTTTTTATCATCTTTCTTATTAGTGTTGGTGTTCGTTTTTAGCAATTCTGACGTAGTTGTTGATTTTTGTTTTGACATGATTGATAACCTTCGTTTAGTTCAAATGAGTTGCCAAATCTGAAACAAATTACGAGAAATTCCTGTCATAATAAATTTTTGTTGAATAAGGCAACCAAAAAAAAAAAAAATTATAATACACATTTACTACAACCACAAAATTTGTATCACTTTCTACAACCACATCATCAATCATAGTTATGTCTCAAAATCAAGTAGACTCTGCTGAAGTCAGGGCCATGTATAAAGAGATAGCCACTTTGAAAAAAATTATACATGAAAAACAAATGAAGCAAAAGGGTAAGCAAAGAATTCAAGACTTTAGAATATCGAAATTCCATGGTCATTCATCTTTCAACAGGAGAATACCAGAGAGAAGAACATTTCCAAATATGACTTTGGTGATGAATAACGTTTTGCCTAACTCCCATCTTCCATTAGAAGGTGTTGAGATTGGCTCTTCTACTACTATTCTGTCATCACAAGCTCATATAAATCAACAACAACAACAACCACAACAACAACAACAATATGTTACAATTCAGTCTAGAAATGGAATGACTCTCTTCAACATGAGTATATTTAGACAAGAAAATGGAAGATTAAGACAAACAGCAATATTAAGACAAAATGCATTAGATGAAATTAAACAACAAAAGATAAAAGAACATACAAAATCTAAAATAGCCAAAAATAAATCTTTAAGTGACTTTTGTGATAGAATATATCTTAACGGAACTAAATATGCTGTTGCAAAAAATGGAAGAGTTTTATTGCCCATTATATCGATTCCTTCAAATGCTCCTGATCAAATTGTTTGGAATAATGAATTTTATATAAAACAAAATAGTGGAAGTTATAAAATACAAAATTCAAGAGAAAAGTATGTTTCTAATTATAAGTTCAAATTGCAAAATACTAACAATTTTTTGTAGCAAAGTAAAAGATATATGTCGATACTTCACAAGAACAGGTAAGTTAAAAATAAATACAAATTTTATCAAGTTATCAGTCTACATAATACTAACAAAAGGTTTCTTTTCATTATGAACCTTTGAAAATTATAGGTACTTGTCATAAAGGTTCAAGTTGTAAATATGATCATGATGTTGCAAAAATTAGAATTTGTCCTCATTACCTTAATGGTGTATGTTCAGATCCAAATTGTATTTTAAGTCATAATTCAAATGATCATAATGCTCCATTATGTCGATATAAATTGGAGAATAAATGTCATAATTCACAATGTAATTATAGTCACAATATGCCTGAATACTATAATGATCCAAATTATGAAATATGGGTATGTAGACAATTTTCAATAGGTTCATGGTGTCCAAGAGGGAAAAATTGTCCATTTTTACATGTCTGGAATTGTCCTGATTATGAGGAAGATCAATATTGTTCAAGAGGAGATGATTGTGCTTTAAATCATCAATTTACAAGAAGAATGCAAAGTCATATTAGTACAAGATCAAATACATATATTAGAGAAGAAGAAGTTTTAATAAAGGAAGAAACTGATACCAATATCTTGACACCTGAAAAAATGATAATTAGTAGTTATACGGTTGCTCCTGATGCATTATTCGCTACAGATGATTTAGGTAATTATCAACATTTTATTGATTCACAAAGTGATATTAAACAAGAATTTGAACCAGCTCCATCAACTGACTTTATTATAGAAATATCAGATACTTCCGATGATGATGAAGATGAAGATAAAGAAGATAATAATGAAAATAATAATGATGAAAAGATTGATATAAAATTTGAAAATAATTTTATAGGTCTATAGATTACAAAAGAAATGAATAATTATATACGTAAGTGTATTGAAAAAATTAATCAGGAAGACTTGTAAAGTAAATCTTTGTTATTTTATTGATATATTAAAGAGATGTGAGTATAAGTGGTTTATATTTAATAAAGTCAGTAAACACAAGATCTTTAACTACTATTAATTAATACTATAATTATAATATAGTACAAACAAATAAATATTTAAAATGTGTTGCAAAAATAAATTACCACCAAAATATCAAACTTTTTAAATCATTCAGGATTCAATTACAACAAAATTCATTACCAACTTATAGCGCTGTTTATTTACTATTTTAATTAGTCATTTTTAATTGACTTTAACAAATAGCAACGCGTTAAAGTGGGTTTTATTATGTCAAATGTTAGGTATTTTCCTCCTTATAATGATCCACCCCCAAAAGATGTAACGATTCATTCATATCAACAAAAATATCAACAAATTAGTAATTTAGGTAATGGTAGTTTTGGTACTGTTGAATTAGCCAAAATAAAATTTTCCAAAAATGAATTATTAGATTCTCATATTGATAAAGTTGGTACAATGATGTTTCCATTAGAGGATTCAAAACGTAACAATTCAAATTTTGTTGCCATTAAAACAATGAAAAAAAAATTACCACATTTTCAAGATTATGCAAAAGTTAAAGAATTGTGTTTCATATTAACTGTACCTTCACATCCTTGTTTAGTTCAAATATTTGAAGTTTTCATTGATGATACTAATTTTCAATTACATATTTCAATGGAAGCACTTAATCAAAATTTATATCAATTAATTAAATCGAGAAGAAATGATCATTTTAGTTCAACTACTTTAAAAAGTATATTAACTCAATTATTGTGTGCAATTAAACATATTCATAAACATCATTATTATCATCGAGATCTTAAACCAGAAAATATTTTGATAATTCCAACTTTACATTATTATGGTTCAAAAGATTCAGTACCTTCTTATAGAAAACATGATAATTTTATTGTTAAACTAGGCGATTATGGATTAGCAAGACATGCATCAAATTTAAATTCTTATACAGCTTATGTTTCAACTAGATGGTATAGATCTCCTGAAATTTTGTTAAGACAACATTGGTATTCTTTTCCAATCGATATTTGGGCATTTGGTGCTGTTGCAGCAGAAATTGTAAATTTTACTCCATTATTTCCAGGTGCAAATGAATTAGATCAAATTTGGAAAATCTTAAGAGTTATTGGATCACCAATGATTCCTGATTCTTATCAACTAGATTCAAATTACGTTGTACCAATTGGTGGAATTTGGGAAGAATCAACAAATTTAGCTTCAAAATTAGGTATATTATTACCAATGGAACCTGGTTTTAAAATTAATGAAATAGTACAATATGATTCCAACCCATTGTTATATGAAGTTATTAGATCATGTTTATTATGGGACCCAAATGCAAGACCAGATGTTTTTGATTTAGGTGAAATGTCATATTTTAAAGAATCTTTAAAATTATTGGAAAAAAGTTATGCAAAAGAATCAAATACAAATATTAAATTTAATGGAATATCTAATTCTCCATCACTGAGAAAATCTGCAACTACTAATGTTGTTAATACTGAAGATGATAACAAAACTAATGATTACTTTATTGATGGTAATGATAATAATATTAAGATAAACAAAAATAATACTGAATTTGAAAATCACTTTTCCGAATATTTATCACCTGACTTGAATTATAATTCGGAATTTTTAGATGAAGTTTATTATGAATGGTATAATACTAACAAAGTAGGAGGTATTGGATCAGATTCTATTCCTAGAAGTACTGTTAATGAAGGAAACTCTAAAAAAAATACTAATCAAATTAGTGATATGACATCTAGTGATCCTTCTTCAAATGACATTACTTCAAAATCTATTGTCAAAGTGTTTGAAAAAAAACGTAGAAGATAGAACAGAAAGAGTCAGAAAAATTGGGTACAGGTGTAATTTTTTTTGTAATTTTATTGTTATAATATGTTTGAATAGCTATTGTATGAATCTTGTATATTTTACTAATGAAAGAAATAATTAATAATTTGATGATGATTCGAAAAGCATTACTTTTGTAATTTCTTTGAATTTTGCAGCCAATTTTTGTACGAAAAATTATCAATATTACAAGAATGACTTGCATTTTGTTGAACATAAAATTGGTTGATTTTAATGATTATAATGTATTATTCATCTCAACAATTTATAAAAATAGAACCATTTGTTTCAAATTATTTTTTCAAACCCTTTATAATATTTATTCCATCATCTCTGGATGATCAATTATAATAAATTTAATTTTTCAATTTATATAAATTGAATGATTTAGTGTCGGAGATTTCCCCAGAAAAAAGAAAATCCGTAAAGATCTAAATTTTTAAAAATTTCTTAAATGATTTTAAAATTAAAACACAAATTTAATATAAATTTATACTCATTAAATCAATTTAGAATGTGTATATCAATAGCAACAACAAGTCATCCAGATTATCCACTAATACTATGTTCAAATAGAGATGAATATTTTAAAAGACCAACAAATCCTGCACAATTTAGACGATTAAATGATTCAGTTCAAATATTAACACCATTAGATTTAGCAAGACCTGAACATGGTACTTGGATTGGAGTTACTACTACTGGTAAAATTGCAGTATTAGTAAATTATAGAGACCTTGATACTGAAAGTATGTAAAAGCTAATCTTAGAGGATCTGCTTTAAATATTCCTCCGCATTTTGCGAATCAGTAATTACTAACTTTTTTTAGTGACATTATGTGAAGTATCAAGAGGTGTACTACCTTTAAGTTATTTGAAATCGAATTTACTGGATGAAGAATGGAGAGAACAATTAATGTCAGAAGTAGAAAACAATGACAATAAAATAGATATCACAAAAATAGGTGGATTTAGTTTATTATATGGTCATTTAAAATTGGATTCTCAAACTCAAAAAATTGAACATTTAAATATCTTGAGTAATAGAGGTAATTATGGTAAGATATTTGAAACTGTTGAAAATGGAAATATAGTTGAATCTGAATATGATGATGACGGTATTTCAGAAAAGACAACTTTTGGATTATCCAACTCGTTGTATAATGAACCTTGGAAAAAAGTTAAAATGGGAGAAAAATTATTGAATTCACTAATAGAAACCTCGATACAAAAGAATTATAATCAAGAAAAATTAGTAGAAGAATGTTTCAAAGTAATGAAAACCGACACATACGATAAAACAATAAATGAAGGTAAAAGTTTCGACACCAAAATTTTGGAATTAAGAAATTCAATATTCATACCACCAATAAAAAGAAATGGACCAGAAAGTAATCTATTATCAATTGGGGATTACTATGGTACAAGAACTCAAACTATTATATTATTAACTAAAACCGGTGAACTAAATTATTATGAAAGAAATTTACATATGGCTGATAAGCCTGAAGTAGAAAAACCTTTAATTACATCTTGTTTTAAATATAATATTTGGGACTAAATTTATGAAAACCTATTTAATGAGAAATGATTGTATACGAAAATAAAAAGTTATTTGATTGTGTTTACTCTTTTAATTTTGTGTATTTTCCTGTTGAGCTCTTCAAGCTTTACCTCGTAAGCTATTCATTTATCAGGGTAGTCTCACAAATGAAATGTGAATTTATGGGGTATAAAATCTACTATAAATTGATCAGAATTTGCAACAATTTTTGTTCAAACTATCACTCAAATATTCTCGCTTAGTGTTGCACATTAATTCGAATCAAACCATAAGAGTTACTCAAAATCATTCCTATATTATACAAGACAAATTCAATTTTCATCTTATACTCAATTCCAAGCCAATTACCAGCAATGAAAGTAATTACGGATCAAGATGTTGTAAATTTTTTAAACAACAACCTAGACAAGTCATCAATACTAAATTTATTCCAACATACATTATACAATAGTTTGAAAACATATTCAACTAATCCAAATAGTATAGTCCCACCAAGAATAGCACAAGCATCAAACAACTCAAACTCAGATACGACTCATGTATATATGCCATGTATATCACCTAATGAAGTGGGAATAAAAGTTATAAGTGGAGGACAAGGTAATAATGAAAAGGGTTTAGGATTTCAAGGTTGTGTATTAATCATGGATGAAATTACTGGTCAATTACAAGCCGTTTTGAATGCTAATACATTGACTGCTTTTAGAACAGCACTTGCATCATCCTTGGGGTTGATTGAAAAAATCAATGTGGATAGTGATAATATTTTACCTGAAATTTCAGTATTTGGAGTGGGGTTGCAGGCTTATTGGCATGTCAAATTAGCATTGCTTTTATATGAAGACAAGATCAAAACGGTGAATATTTTAAATCGTACATTATCAAATGCAAAAAAATTAAAAGACCAATTCACTAAAGAGTTCTCAAATATTGAATTTAATGCATTTCTGTATCTAGAAAATGAAGAAGAATTTTTAAAACACGTACATAATAGTTCAATAATATTTGGATGTACACCAGCTACTACACCAGTCATAAAAAAAGAGTATTTAAATCAAGATCCTCAATACCCGGTATTTATATCATTGATTGGTTCATACAAACCGCACATGATTGAATTAGATTTGGACTTGATGAAAGAGTTGAAATCCAATGGAGTGAAAATAATAGTAGATTCAAAAGAACATACATTACATGAAGCAGGAGAATTAATTCAATCAGAATATAAAGAAGAAGAATTAGTTGAAATTCATGAGGTTTATAAAACTACAAACCCCGAAATTTTAAATGATGTAAGTTATAAAAACCTAAATTTAACAGTCCAAAAAATCGTTGGATTATCTATTATGGATTTATCAATTGGCAAACTTATTTATGACAAGATTGGGGATGATACTGTAATTGTAAATAATTTTTAATGGTAATAACTAACTTAAATTTTGCATTAATTTGAAAAAAGCCTCTTAAATTTTGTAAGGAACTTTCTCGAAAAACAAAAACCGCTTAATGATATACTAATATTCTCGAGATTAAAATGTTACATAATCTGAATTGAAATAAGCCTAATTGGACCTGAGTGAATGATTCAAAAAAATCCACAATTACAGATTGCAAATATGATCTCTTCTTTTTATCCAAAACTAGCTATTATAGTAAGTAAAGCTTAATAGACTTCTTAAAGAAGCCTTGATATACATAAAAAATGAATTTTAGATTCAACTCAATTTTCTCAAAATAAGACAATAATTTCAAAAAAAATGTTAGACTAAATAAATAGTTAAAGAAAATAAACTGTAACATACTACTAAAATAATCTTTTAGTAAATCAACAAAGTAAATTTAGACAAACATTATAACAGCTTCACCTCCACTAAAATCCAATCAATAGGCTGGTTTATATTCAAAAACTTTCCTTAACATGTTTGAGAGAGAACCTTTATTGGGTGGAGACAAGTCCATTCATAACAAAAAATCAAAGTCAAATATAAAACAAAATATATCATACATCTTAAATATAACTACAATATTAACAATAATTTTCTTATATTTCCACATATCAAATTTAGATAAATCTAAAAATGAAGAGGAAAAACCATTTGATCCCCAAGGCAAAAAAAATATAATAATGATGGTGACTGATGGAATGGGACCAGCTTCAATGTCAGCAGCAAGATCATTTCGTCAATTTCGAGATGAATTACCAATGAATGATGTATTAACATTAGACCAATATCTTATTGGTACTTCAAGAACAAGATCTTCAAGTTCATTAGTCACTGATTCGGCAGCTGGTGCTACAGCTTTTTCATGTGCTTTAAAATCATATAATGGAGCTATTGGAGTTGATCTGAATAAAAATCCATGTGGTACCATATTAGAAGCTTTAAAATTACGAGGATATTTTACTGGATTAGTCGTAACTACAAGAATAACTGATGCAACCCCAGCAGCTTTTAGTTCTCATGCGGATTATAGATTTCAAGAAGATTTAATTGCACAACATCAAATTGGGGAATATCCATTTGGCAGAGCAGTTGATTTAATATTGGGTGGTGGTAGATGTCATTTTTATCCTTCAACTATTCCAGGAGGTTGTAGAGTAGATAATAGAAATTTAATAAAAGAAACAAAGAGAAAAGGTTGGTCATATGTTGGTAATAGACAAGAGTTTGATGCTTTAAATGGTGGTAAAAATGTTACATTTCCATTATTGGGATTATTAGCTGATACCGATATTCCTTATGATATAGATAGAGATTCAAAAGAGTACCCAAGTTTAGCTGAACAAGTTAAAGTTGCATTAACTGCATTATCTGAAGCTACAAAAGATTCAGATCAAGGTTTTTTTTTGTTGATTGAAGGTTCAAGAATAGATCATGCTGGTCATCATAATGATCCTGCTGCTCAAGTAAGGGAAGTATTAGCTTACGACAAGGCTTTCCAAGAAGTTATCAAATTTATTGATTCAACAGATGTTGAAACTGTTGCTATTTCTACAAGTGATCACGAAACTGGTGGATTGGTTACAGCAAGACAAGTTTCTGAATCTTACCCTGATTATTTATGGTACCCAGAAGTATTGTTAAACTCTACAAAATCTGGAGATTATTTATCTCGACAAATATATCATTTCAAAGATAAAAAATCTAAAAAGTTTGAAACTTTTATCAAAAAAGATATTTTGGAAAAATCAATGGGTATAACTGACTACACCAAAACAGACGTAGAATCAATAATAGAAAACTCAACAAACCCAGAAAAAGTATTATTTATCCTAAACAATATCTTATCAATAAGAGCACAAATAGGTTGGACAACTCATGGACATTCAGCAGTTGATGTAAATATTTACGCACATACAAATTCTCAACAATTATTAAAATTATTGAAATCAAGAAAATCTTATGAAGGTCTTACTGGTAATCATGAGAATATTGAAATTGGTGCATTTATGGAATCAATTACTGGTTCCAATTTGAATCAAATTACTGAAATGATTAAACTGACTGATCATTCTCCAAGTAAGAAAGATTTTGAAGTTGCAAGTGCTAAAGGGTTTGCTAATTTAATTGATAAATTGCATGAAAATGTTGTATAAAAGGAGTAGGTTGCTTTAGCAATTAAGTAGATTATTTATTATTATATAGTATTTATTTCGTTCTGACAAAAAAATTTTTGTATATTCTTGTTTGTATAGAAAATTCAAATAATAATGATATTGATGCCTGCACTGGTTCATGTAGCGATCTGAGACTGAAGTTATCGGAGGTATTCGTCGTTTAAACACAATTCTAACATCTTAGATCGGTCATGCACTATACTTGTTTTGGCTACATTCCGTCACTTCATTGAATTTCTGGTAGTAATGTTTCAAAAGAATAAGTGACATTGTAACAATATCTGATCTGCTGTGACAAAACACGAAGGAAGTGGTTTTAAACAGGACAAGAAAAACAATAATACAAAATAACCTTTTTTGATGTATGTTCAAGGAACTATCAATTTGATGAATTGCTAAAACATGAATAACAAGTGAATTCGAAAATGAAAGCTTTTTTGAGCATTTGATCAATTACTTCACACATATTATTATGATGCTCAATCAATCTTCGACAATCAAAACTTCGAAAAATAGTGTTCAACTCTAAAATCTCCATTTGAATTCAACTAATGGAGATATCTACATTATAGATGCTGATTAGTCGAAATATTTTGTGCTATTCATGATGGTCAGTTTCCGTTGAGGTGAACTAGTTTAGCTGCAAAGGATGAAATTTATACCAAATGTGGCTCGCTATAAAACCTTAAGGTGCACACATTTGAAATTTTACGCCTGACGTTGTTTTGAAAAACTGAATGACTCAAAGTCATTATTAATATCAACAAGTGGTACTTAATTTGGACGAAGCGAAAAAAAATTCAAGAATTTAAACATGTCTTTTAAGACTAAAAATTTTTAAGATTCACTTTTTCAGTATCTTCATTTTCGAGCTTTGCAATGTTATTTCATTTATAAATTTTGATGACGAAACAAAATTGAGATATCTAGGTTTGCATTAATTTTTTTAAGTACATTTTTTTATATCCAGCAAGCTGGATGGACATTAAATAAGCTTATAAAGTATTGAAAAAGAAAATTCGTTTAGAATTATATGGACTGAAGTCTAATATTTTAATATTAAGTTTCAAAAAACTTGCTACCAACTTACAACTATGCTCTTTTTGTAACTTGTTAATATATATTGAAACAGTAAAATACAAAAATAAGGATGACAAATATTGATAAGTGACCGAAAATGTATTGAAATAAGTATGATAACTAAATGTTTGGTTTTATAAATTGAAGGTGGGAATAGAGGAAAAAAATTTGATCTTAATGATATTAAATATATCTCAATATTAATTGTTTCTAATAAAGCCCTATTAATTTCTAATTTGGAAATGTCAGTAAAAATAAATTGTCGTGTGATAACAAAAACTGCAAAATAAAGTTTGTGTTATACGTAATATCTGAAACACTTATGAAAACACATTAATTCAAGGAGTTTAAAATAATTTTTTACATATTTCTTGGTTTGAATTTTTGTATTTATTAAATCTTTATAACATTTCTTTTTACCTACTTCAATATCAGATCACATTCACAAGATTACAATCAACAACTAATCATGCTTCGTCGATCATTGGATAATGACACTGGATTTTCTCACAAAATATCCGTTGTTACACGTACCGGAATTCTCAACTATTCTCAGTTTTTAAATCAAGTTGGTTCAAAAATGGATGTGTTATACAAAAATATTGATGAACCCACTGTCAAATTTATCAGTTCCGATATTTATAGTAAAACATATGACAATGAAAGCATATTAAAGATCCACGCCAACCATTCAAGAAGTTCATTGTCTTATCAAGTTGATTCTAATCTTGAATTTTTAAAAAGACAAATCCCTCAGCTTGATCACAAGAAGCAATTGAAAAAAAAGGATTTTTCATTAGGTACAAATGGGTCAATTATCAAAGTCGAAGCTTCACCAATCAACCCAAAAATTGATTCTAGATTTCAAACCAGCACCAACAGCACTATAATTAACTATAACATAATGAAATTAAAAGATGACTTTAAAGAATTTAATGCCACAGAAGAACTGAAAATTTTGGAATTTTTAGAGTTACTAGGAGCTACTTACAATTGTAGTCTTATTCAAGGAGACAGCATTAGGTACAGATACAACATTGAACATGTCAAATTGTTATGTGAAAAATTTGGTTTGAAGACTGTGTACCATAAAGCAGAAAGAAATAATCATTTGAAAGTAGTTCTGAGAAAGTTTAAAAAATTTGTAGTCAAGTTTTTTGATGTTGACGTTAGACTGTGTGTTGAGACAGTGCAAATCAACGAAGTATGGAAATTACAAAAGAAGCTGCTTAATCCTGAAATTTATCAAATGCCGCTGAATTATTTGGAAGCATTTTTAAAAGGGTGTTGCAATATAAAAAACTTGAATGGTGCTAGAATTAGCACTAGATCCAAAGAGTATCTTCTTAGCTTAGTTCATTTGACAATTATTACTGGATTTTCACCAAAGGTTAAAGTTTCAAATGAATCGTCTTCAACAGGAGTTAATTTAAGATATTTCTTACAAATTTTACTGGAACCAAAATTAACAAACGTAATGGTCTTAGGTGGTATGACTCAAGAAAAATTTTCGGGAGTATTTTACAATTTAGCACCAGATGAAAACGCTATCAACGATCCAACAAATGATGGGTTTGAATTAATGGTTATCATCAACATCGAAGAAAATGAAGAAGGAGATTTAAAACTGGTCTCTTACCCTTTGGTTGTCAGATCCACCTTAATGGATTATTATGAAGATGAAGATGAAAACTTAGAGTTTGCTTGATTGATGTAATTTTGAGGTATTTCGGTGTGCTCATATTTTTTCTATGTAATGGTTATTTACACAGGTTTTCGGTATTATTACTTTATTTCGGTACTATTCTTTTATTTCGTGTCAAGTTATTTTATGAAATTATAAGACTTTATGTCTCTCATAATCTTATTTTAACTAGAGTTTTTAGAATTAGTGTTTCTAGTTAGTTTAATTTAACTTATCTTATATTACATATTTCAACTATATCTACATTAGCAATGTTAGCTATACTAGAGTGTCATAACAGCAGATTCAAAACATATGTTCTGGATAACTAAACGTTATGATACTAAGATAAGCTTACTGTACGGTTTATCAATACAGTTTCCATCAACTCGGGATAACTACACGTCAATTTCAAACATGCAATTTAACTCCTTTATTTCAATGACAAGTTGGAACGCGTTGAATAGAGAGTTTATGAATATCTTCCTTCATTTTTAGTCTAACGCAAATAATGTCTAAATCTATTAATATCTAATTCGAATGTATTTAATCATAATGTATAGTATAATCCTCTTTACACCATTTAGCTCTAAGTCTTGCACCAATTATGTAATAAGTAAACGGAATAAAAGCCATAGCAAGTGATATAAAAGCAAGCAACCAAGAAGCCCATTGAAGACCTAATCTAGAATACATGGCGGTCATAAAAAGTGGAAATGCACCACCTAAACCAGATCTTAAAAATACTTTTGTTGCTAAAGCCAGCGCAGCACGTTTGGCGTAACTATCAAGAATATAGTTATTAAATGAGTAGTAACAAAGACACATTCCATACCCAAATGCGAGACCTGAAGATGCTGGACCGACCCATATTATATGTTTGTATGATGTTGCACCAAGAATGAATAATGCAATACATGGAAATGGAGCACCTATCATTGCACCAATTAATCTATCCTCCGGTACCGGTTTTCTCTTTTTAAGCATTACATTATATTGTTTTTCTAATATATAGGTAGTTCCAACTGCAAAGAAAGCACCAATTAAGACTGGAATGAACATGAGTCCAATTTTATCATCTTTGTAATTATATAATTTACCAAAAATGTATGGATATGCGAAAAAGAAAGCATATAATAAACCATAAATTAAAGCAATGAAAGCACACACTAAGTCCAAGACTGGTTCAGTGAAAACAAATTTCAAAGGTAATACCAAATTAGTATTTACCATTTCTTTAAAAGATAAAGGTTGGGCTTCTTGTTCAGTCATTATATTAGGATTACCAGTTTCTTTTCTTAATTTTTTAGCTCTTGCTTTCAAAATAGTTGGAGCATAAGTTTCAGGAACTAAAGAAATAATAATCCACATAACTCCAGCGAAAGCCATATTAACCCATATTATTAAATCCATTCTTCTTGTATTTACACTAATAAATCCATTCACTAAAACACCCAAAATTGGAGCAGAATAAGGTGAAAAACTGAAAAATGCAATAGCTAAACCTCTTGTTTCTTCTGAATGAATATCAACTAAACTTGCACCGACATTAGTTAATGCACTTGATGCACAAACTCCACATATAAATCTACAAGCTAGTAATCCTCCAATATTTGGTGATAATGCACATGGAATATTAAAAATTGTGTATAATCCAAAACTTATAAAGTAAATGGGTCTTCTACCAATAATTTCTGATCCAGGACCCCAAAGTAAAGGTCCAATACTAAATCCAAAAACCATCAATGAAACAGCTAATGTTGAAACTTCAGTTGATACTCCGTATTTTTCATTTATTGTGAAGAGCCCACCTGATAAACAAGAAGACCCATAGGCAGCAGCAACAACTAACCAAGTTAACAAAAAAGTATAAAACCATTTTTTCCACATTGGCCAATTATGAGGATTTTCAGGATCATTAACTTTAAAAGTGACAAATTCAGTTTGGTCAGTAACACTATGATGAGATCCACTTATTGTTCTACCCAAACTTTCTAAAGTCTTGGCACTTACTAAACCTGTATCAGTCTCTAAATGATATTCTTCTGGGAAAATGGGGTCTTCTATTGGTGGGTCATTGATTTCTGGTGGTGGTTTCTCCTTCGTAACACCTAATTCTTTTAATGATTTTTTAGTTTCTGTTTTTTCTAATTGTAAATATTCTTTTGGCTCGTTGTCATTTGAAATTGTGGATGATGATGATGATATGTTGGAATTGGGTATTGATTGTCTATCTGATAAAAAATCACTATAACTATGTATTTTATCTTCTTCTTCTTTATGATAATTCGACATCTTGTTTTATATTATAGTTGATTTATGTTGTTGATGAACTGTGTTTGTGTATGTTCTAGCAGACCAATCTTACCAAGTTGCTTTTTATTTTGAAGGATTCAATCATCTTATATATTAATTTGCAGCAAGTTTAAACTATACTATGGATATGTGCGTTTTGTGCTCTTTTTGAATAGCCTTACCCGTTAATATAAATAAGTAATGATACATATAAATTAATTAGTGAATTATTTATTCTTTTCCGGTTAATCTTGAGTTTTTATTATAAGGTTTTTCTACTCAAACTACTCATAAAATTCTATATTATTCCATATTCCATATCGTAAATTGAAAAATGCTAAATTGAGATTAATAAAAGCCATTTATTATACTCCCTGAGCCAATTATTTCTACTCAATGACTCCCTTTATTCTCGATATACGAAACTCTAAAGTTTGTTTGGTATTTACTCTTTCGGGTTAATACTATCATCGAGTAAAATAATTATAAAATACTTTTTCGTGATCATATTGAATAAAAGCTTTTGCTTCTATGGTTCATGTCCCACTCAAGGATTCATACGAGAACCAGTTAATATCTGGTTGCAACCATGGTTATTGTTTCATAGTAAATTGAATTTTAGATAATTTATATCCACGGAAACCTATTAATCAATTTGTTTATTTGGTCTTGCACCTTGTTTCAATGGCTAATACAATTTTTATTTTATTAAATCTTTAGTTTAAACTTTTAAATTTCTTTTTTCTTTTCCGTAAAATTCAAGATTTTGTGTAATTTTTTTATATCTTGAATACGCTCGGATAAATTATATTTTGTTTTGATTAATCCAATTTGATAATTTAATATTTGTAATTTTGATCTAATTATAATTCACAAATAAGTTTAAATGAATATGATGTTACATAATGTTACATATATATAATATTTTGATGGGTTAAATTATTCCGATCTACGCAATTTGTATATGTTTTAGAGACTTCGAACTATATAAAATTCTATACCATTTAGATGACAAATAAAAAAAATGGATGTTGCAGTTTCATTAGATTAATTCTTGGACTCAGCTAATACTAAATGAAGCCATTTATCTTTAAATTCTTTTGATTCAATTTTGCTTGAAACAACCTGTATTAATCAGTGGGAGCGTAGAGTTTGTTTTTTCTATTTAGTATTTCTACCGATAAATCAATACTTTGTTTAGGGGAGTTTAAATTTTTAATTAAAAAAACTAAAAAAAACTATAATCAAGCTAAAAAAACTAACTATTAAAAACTAAATTCATCTCAATCAGTATTTGACAGAACATAAGTAGTCGTGGAGTAATTTCCTTTCTCATCTAACGATGTTGCAACGAAGAAACCAGTTGGTGTTTTTATTGAGACTAATTCCAATTCATCCGTGAACTCAAAAGACTCGTTGTAGGAAAAACCTGTGGGAGCACAATTTCCACCACCCAAACAATGCGAGTAAAATAGCAGGTAAACATCGCCTGCATTCTCTAAGTATCGGTAGTATTTGGATTGTTCCTGATCAGAAAGTGCTTCATATTCTGCTTTTTTAATGGGCCTTTGATGTTTTCGGATTTGGTGGTCTTTTGGAGGAATTAACGTGTAATATTCGCCTGGTTTATTTAAATGAATTGTAACACAATGCCCAGCTCTAACTATTAAACTTGCCAACCACATTGCAAATTCTTCTGAACCAGTAAAAATTTCATAACTTCGGTTATGGCGACCATCAGATTGATTCAACCCGTGGAGAAAACTGTCCAACTCACATTGATTAAGCAGCTTGAAAAATTCATCACTAGACATCGGCTTGAACAGCTTTTTGACTTCTGTACCATCAAAATGCATACTTTTCTTGTATTTTTGCCCGTATAAATGTTCAAAAAAAATACGATACTTATCGTTGGTAACAACAAAAACATAATTCATAACATTATCATGAGCGGCAAGGTGTTGGAACTTTCTCCAGTCTTTTCCAAATTGCAAACCTAAAATCAAAAAGGATCTTTCCAAAACCAAAAGGTCATTTAGTTTTCTTTGATGAAAAATGATACCATCCAAATGTAGATAGCGAGTATATAATAAGGTGCCATCACCGGCAAAGAACCCGAGCACATTTAGGAATGTGACCCACTGAATAGGGGTCTTCAAGTCTAAAAATTTCCTAATCTCATTGATAGTATAGCTTTCTTCTCCAACGTAGCCGTTACGGCTCTGATGAACTAATTTAAACATTCGGATGCGTTTATCGTTATCCTCACCTTGTTCATCACCTTGTGCATCACCTTGTGCATCACCTTGTTCATCACCTTGTGCTCCACCTTGTGCATCACCTTGTTCATCACCTTGTGCTCCACCTTGTGCTCCACTTTGTTCATCACCTTGTGCTCCACCTTGTTCATCACCTTGTTTTTCACCTTGTTTTTCACCTTGTTTTTCACCTTGTTTTTCGCCATCTTCTTCAATGCCTTCACTAATTTTGAAAACATGTTTTCCTGCTATCTTAATATCTTTTTTTGGATTCCATTTGGTTGGAGGAATGCACTCTAAAACCTCATCATTATAGGTGCCTTTTCCATTTTTCTTGATTTTGAGAGGGAATTTCTGACAAGTTGAAGCAATCAACCCTTTATAATCTCTAAGATCGTGAAATTCGATGTTTGAAAAAATGACCTTTGTTGCTTTATGAATTTCAATTTCTTTGGTCGTTAAATTTGGACATAATAAATTCTCTTTTGAAAAAACAACATCGCAAATTCTTTTGGGTCCATTCTCTGTAATTACAAAATTATTGGAATCAATCCCAGCAAAGTTGGGTTCAGTGGACTGATCAATATCAACTTCATTTGATTCGTGAACATTACTATCCTCCGCCCTATTGTCGAAAACGGTGAAATTTTGAGGATTTTCCTTATATGTACTGTATGTCATTTCTTCATCACTCAATTCATCAGGGGAAATTGTACCTATTGATTGGAAGGACTCATATAAGTTTGGATTAAAATAATCCCATTGTTTGAAATCTTTATGTGAAAGTGTTCTTGATCCAGCTAAATCAAAATTATACTCGATATTATCGCTGCAAAATTCTCTAGTTTCATTGCTTAGACCCTCGGGGCGTTGCAGTCTGGGAAAATTAAATCTGATGTTAGGATCTATTTCAGGAAATTCAACTGTGGTGGGGGCTGATACCGGCCCTTGAATTTCATTTTCATTGATTAACTTTCCAAGTCTTCTTCTTTTGTGAACAACATTCGTACTAATTTCTTCCATGATTGATAAAAAAATAAAACGTGACTAATAATTGAGAATCAACAAAATTAATTTATTTAAAAGATCTTCAAAACGTGTATCTAACGATAAATTTTGCTCTGGTGTACTTGAAAGATGAGGTTGAATTATTTGAAGTGGTGTTTAAGTATGTGTAACGATGAATATTCAGAAACACAAAAAATCAAAATATATAGATAAAACCTTTGTGGTATTATATCACAATAAATAAATCAAGTGCGAAACAAAAGGAGTAAAAGAAAGAAAAAATTTAAAGAAAAACTAGGTAATAAATCTGGGGAATAGCTGCACAATTTAAAAAGTAAGTGGTGCATAAATAGTAAGTACAATTGTGATAATTAATCTTAGAACTGTCTTACAAAAGGACTGGGCTAGTGTTCAAGATTCAAGTAATTTTATAACGTCCACCGCATAAGTTAGATGCATTTCTATAATAGATATCTCCCCCTATGACTACATTAGAAGTATTAAATTTTTATGAATTTATCTGACTATTTTCTTGCTACCATTTTAGAAGAAGTATCGAAAAGCTACAATTACATTCTTGACAGTTATGCTAAGTATGCAGCAAGTGCTTTGGCAACCAAGGTGTTTTTAAGATCTGGTTTAGGTGGAGCAATGCCTTTATTTGTTACATATATGTATCAAGGTTTGGGATTGCAATGGGCTAGCTGGTTATTGGCGTTTGTTTCTTTAGCTATGATCTTAGTTCCTTATAGTTTTTACTTATACGGTGCTAGACTTAGAGCTAAATGGTGTAAAGAGGATTATACTTTACATTATGATTAAAATTATATAGATAATAGACCTGATAGAAGTAGACATTAATTTTTAAGACTAAAAATATACCTCCCAAAACTTGTAGCTCAGAATACGGTAGAAGTAAATTCTGAAACGCTTTCTTTAAGCTGGTAGGTTGTTGAAACGGTAGGTTAGCATATTTATTGGTATATAGAGTTGTAAATTAATTTGGTGATAATATATGCGCGCGTCATATGGTAGTAAAATGAAACAAATGGTAGCACCAGTAGTATTGTGTAGATCTAAGTATCACGTGAACTATAAATTGTTTATATTATCTTGTCTACCTCTTCCTTCCTCTCTACGTACTATTCCATACTTTTTGTCACGTCTGATTTTTAATAGCAATTTTATACTATAGCACTATTAGTTTAAATATTGCCTTTATGTCACTTAACATATGTTGTGTTCATAAATCAACTCTTCTAATAGTCTATTTTTCTCAAGTATCTCAATCACGTGCCGTGTCACGCTTTCCATATTGTAGTCATATTTAGTTAAATATGTGATTCCTATACATCATTACCTTACATAAGCATTTAAGTTATTAAAGAATATAATCCTACACTTGCAAAAATTTAAATTGATTTAAAAATGTCGATTAAAGCTAGGTATACTATATAGTAATCAAAAAACTTTTCATAAAAAGGCAACGTAAGAAACTTGAATTGAAAATTTGAAAAAAGGATTCAACACTAGCAAAACCTAATGTTCCAATTTAATATCAGCAATTTGTTCAGTTACTTCATCTAAATCAATATCAGCAATAGATTTGATAAAAACACTAAAATCAGTATTTTCATGATATCCAGCTAAACCTGATCTAACATTTTGAACTTTTTGTTGTAAATAATCAGCATTTGAAAAAGCATATAAACCAACATCAACAGAAGTATGATCAGTTGAAGCCCATTTGTTATTAGCTCTTGATGAAGTTAAATTACTTAAAGCAACTGCAATAGCACTTTCTTTACCAATTGTTAAAGTACCATTAGCAACAAATTTAGCAATTCTTGAAACTTCATCATCAGTAATATTATATAAACCTAATCCATTAGTAAAAATTTCTCCTCTAATATATTCATCTAATGCTTGAGTATCGTTTTTATTTGGGAAATCAATTAATTCTTCAGTTAAATATTCAGTAGAATGAGTAGCATTAGCTATTATAGCAAATTGTGATGGTTGAGTTGATTTTAAAACTAATCCACCAGTTTCATGATCTGCAGTAGCAACAACAATAGTATCAACATCAGTTTCTTTAACAAATTTTAAAACTTCAGCAATTGTATCATCATATTCTAAAGTTTCAGCAATATGGGCTGGTGAATCATTTGAATGACCTGCATGATCAATTCTAGATGATTCAATTAATAAGAAAAACCCTTGTTCTGAATCTTTAGTAGCTTCAGCCAAAGCGTTAATTGCAACTCTTGCTTGTTCAACTAAACTTGGATATTCTGAATCTTCTCTATCAATTCTATATGGATAATCTTCTTCAGCAAATAAACCTAATAATGGTAAAGTAACATTTTTACCATCATCTAATGCATCAAATTGTTCTCTGGTGTCAATATAAGTCCATGTACCATTTGTTTGAACCTCATCAATAATACTTCTATTATCTGGTCTCAAACCACCTTCATTTTGACCGTAGAACCAACCTCTACCACCACCAATAATTAACTCAGGAATATGTCCCAAAGGATGAGTTTCACCAACTAATTGTTCAACAAGAATATCTTGATCAGCTCTGTTTTTGGCATGTGAGAACCAAACAGCTGGAGTAGCATCAGCAACTGAAGTTGTAACAACTAAACCAGTAGTATAACCTTTTAATTTCAAAGCTTCACCAACTGCACCAAGAGCTCTGCCATTAACATCAACACTTATACCTCTATTATAAGTCTTTTTACCAGTAGCTAAAGCAGTACCAGCAGCAGCAGAATCAGTAATTAATGAACTATTTGATCTATGACCTTGAGTCCCAATATAATGTTTATCTAATTCTAAATAATCATTATATGGTAATTCTTCACTATATTGTCTATATTGTCTAGCTAATGTAACACCACTTGGACCTAAACCATCACCAACTAAAAATATAATATTTTTCTTTTTTGGAACTGAATTATCGACTGGTGCAGCAATAATTTCTGCAAATAAGTAAAAATAAACAGCTAAAGCTAAAGCAGATAAATTTATAATTTTTGGAAAGATAAAAGCCATTTTTGTAAAATGTTGGAGTGATAACTAATAAAGCTGTTGATGAACTATGTAAATTTAATAAATTGGACCTTGGATATCTTAAGTTACTTATATATGAATATTTTTGCAACCATTAAAGTTCGAAAATTAGGGGTAGTTTTCAAAATTCATGTACCACCTATTGTTAAAAATTTATCCATAAATTCTAAGAATCTTGAATTATAGTTTCATATATTAAATTGTGGTTTGTTATGCAAATAACAATGAGATTTTCAACCACATGGGAATAATTTGGTATGGTTGTGACTTAAAACTTACATAAATTGCAAAAACGTCAAGAATTTTTTATGAAGTTTTACTAATTTTAATTGCCTAATGAAATGCATTAAAGTAAACTAAATTGCTTTAGTCAATTTACTAGGCTTTGAAGCGGCTTTATTGTACAACTTTTGTATTGAATTTTTCGAAAAAGCAAAATTCAAAAAAGTCTAATATATTTTGAATTGGCATTATGAAACTTTGCATTTTAAAATTCGTAAATTTTCTTAGTTATTGTTTCAAAATTAATTAAATTAAATTAAATTCAATAATAATAATAATAATAATAAGAACAAGATTCTTCCTTTCCTTTTTAATATTCTTTAATTTATTTATTAGTGAACTATAACATCTATATTTCAATCTTTGTGTATTGTGACATTAAAAATTGACTAAAATCTTTTAATATGCGTTTTGAAGTATAAAATAATTGTAACATCAATTGTAACATCAAATTAACATCAAAAGACTATGGCTATTTACAAACCACAGATACACATGTGGGCTACCCTTATTATTATATAAAACGTTGAAAGTAATTTAAAATGAATTCTTTTTTTATTGTTCCAAATAATTTCTTGGATTTATTATAATATTATTTTTTTATATCCTTGGCATTTTATATTAATGATGAATTTTATATTTATTTTGAATTAAGGATTTAGAAGATTTCATTATTTATTCAAAACCCTACTAATGAATGATTCAAACGTTTCCGAATATGGAGAACACAGCATAAGTAAAGCACTTTTAAAGGATCGTATACAGTTTGATAAATTTTCGTAACTAAATTTGAGATTCCTTGTAAAAGAATTGAAGAATGATATTTTCTCATGTGCCGAGTCACATGACCATTTTGTACAAAACTATTATATGCAGTATATTATAACTCTGAAACATTACCAAAAATTTGAACCAAATGAACTTAATTAAAAGAAATAAACTAGTATCAGCATTCTAGATTTAAATTTGAAAGAAGTATTCAAGTTACTTAAGTTTGGACTTGTTTATTAATTACATATTCCATACAAAGTTTTTATTATGAATAATTGTTTACTATGTAAAAATGATCAAAATGGTTGAACCACCTGGGACTAAATAATGAGGTGAACAAGATCAAATAAAGTTGGATACTGAAAATTTATTCTGAGTTGGAATATTTGAATAAAGTTGGATAAGAAATTTCATTTTGAGTTGGAGTACTCAAATAGCAAATAACAAATTGATCAATTTCTATAACGGCCAAAAATGAAAATAAATTGAATTTACAACAAAAATGAAATTTCGAGTGATCGTCAAAAGTTAAATTTTATTCCATTGTTTCATATAAGTTGAACGATTTAATTAAGTGTAATAACTATAGTAATTATAATAAGACTATCGATACTTGAAACAATTCTTGAATTAGAATTGGCTTAAATTTCAGTCTCTTATTTAGTGTAGTTAGTATTCTCTGATGGTAATTAGTTCCTCGAAACTTGCATCAATTGAAATTTGAATGATAACACTAGCTTCATTAGCATCAAATTCCTGTATCTCAGATAAGTAGTTTGAACATGTGGGCCGTATTGCTTCCTTGAGTGGGAAAAGTTGTTAATATAACTAACTTTTTTTTATTGTTGTTAACTTTTTTCCCACAGTGCATGCATATTCTTATATATAATATACATACAAGTTGTCTTGGCAAAACCTTGAAATGACATTTTCAGAAATAGATTTATTTTGGAATCATAAGTATGATCTGCTCTAGAATAATGAATAACTTATTATATTGAACATGTATGCTTTGAATTTGAAATTTGCGTTTTTCATATATCCTTTACGGTAAAATGAAATTTTTTGGTTTGACATATTTTTTTTATGTCAAAATAAATGTCTTAAGTTATCACGTGCAGAGCACATGATCAATCCCATAGATCGGCAATCTAAACTTTAAAAGTCTTAACCGATTTATCTAAAAGATCTATTAATAGTGTTTGTAGTTTCTAAAATTATATAATTACTTTTCTAGAACATATAATTTTGAATTCAACTTAATGCTCAAATTGAAACCCATCCACTGAAACAATGTCTGAAGCTAAATACAAAGGTTATTCATCATTAAATTATATAGCTTTTAATTATGCTGGTTTTGCGTGTATTTCAATAGTTGTATTTTTAACAGCAACTCAACCATTCTATATAAAAGAAGTTATTGGAATTGAACCAATATTGGGCCATATTAAAGATTCCAAAATAGGTCATATAATTGGAGGACTAGGCTTTTTTGATGAGTTAATTTCAATGATTAGTGCTCCTTTATTAGGAACTTTAAATGACAAATTGAACACTTTGGGTTATGGTGGATCAAAACTAATTCAAAGCTCAAGTTTATTGGTTTTAGCAATTGCTTTATTTGGTTATGCAATAATCAATTCTCATTTGATACCTGATATGTTTATTTTCAGAGGGATATTTGCCCTAGGAGTAACCGGATGTATGAGTATGATAACTGTTGTATTGAATGAATTATCATATTCTGATTTTACATTTGGAAAATTATTATTTTGGAAACAGTCTGATTATCAAGCAATACTGCTAAATGGTAATGATATAGAAGTAAATGTTAAAAGGAATGGGAAATATTCAGCAATAATGGGAATTGCAACTGGATTAGGTGCCATATTTTCCGTATCAGCATTTGTTACCTTACCAGTAAAATTCCAAGACTGGTATCCTGAAATTGATATGAAATGGAGTTTGAGATATTCATATTTAGTAGTTATGGGATTTGCTATATTGTCTGCTTTATTTTTGTATGCATTTCTCTATCAAGCAGATTCAAAAGTTCAACAAGAAGAATCTAGAGAGGAAAATAAACCTTATTTTGAAATATTAAAAGATGGATTTGAATTTTCCAAAACAAATAAGCAAGCTCAATTAGCTTACGTTGGTGCATTTGCTGCAAGATCAACCACAGTAGCTACTTCAATATTTATTCCATTAATGGTATATGATTGGTATTATAATATTGGTGAATGTGAAAACGGTAGTGGAGATTGGGCTGGTAAAATGACATGTTATGAAGGATATATATTTTCGGCTATTTTGACTGGAGTTGCTCAAACAGTTGCTTTGATTAGTGCACCACTATGGGGTTATTTAATCGACAATTCAAAAATCGGGAAATTTAGAACATTAGCAATATCAAGTTTAGTTGGTGCAGTAGGAAATTTTGGATTAAGTTTAATCAACACAAGTTTCAATCATTACGATCCAAAAACTATAGTTTGTTTCTTATTTGTTAGTATAATTGGATTATCACAAATTGGTTTAATTATTAGTAGTATGAGTATTTTGAGTGGGATATCAAATGCTCATCAAATCATGGGATCGTTAAGTGGATTTTATAGTTTTTGTGGAGGTATTGGTATAATGATGATTACTTTAGTTGGTGGAATATTGGCTGATCATTGGATAGTTGGTCCATTTTTTTTGTTGGGTTTGTTTAATTTGACTTCTTTAGGGGTTTATTTGACTTTCGTCAAGGAAAATAATAAAGTTATATCGATTGGTGATGATTCGGAAGTTGAAAATACTAATGAAACGGCTTGATTTATAGAAATATACAATAAATAACGAATATTATGCAATGACAAGGTTATCACGTTCTGCGTTTGCTTAATAATTTGCAGCTTCTTTTCCCTCCTAAAATCAACAATTTTTCTATATAAACTAATACATATAGAAATGTAGAATATTTAAACCTATGGTATTGAAAGGTAATATAGACTAAATGATGTAAAACTCGCTAATGAATTTATGTCAAATTTCATAGTGTCAAGTATTAGAATTTAGTGAAACTTATGATTAAAAAAATAACATAAGAAAAATAAAAAAAAATCTTTTGTTTTAATAATATTAAATTTTTAATTTTTCATTTTCCAAGTACTTTTTATCAAAATAATTTGCAACCAAAAACTTGCACATTTTAAGTATTATTTGTTAGTCCATTATTTCGATCATTTAACGATGATTGAGGTGCTCATAACTGTGATACCTTCAATCTGTTGGCTACTTTATAGGTTTTATACCATATTAAAAACACCAGTTGAAAAAATTATTGAAGATTTGAATATTGAAATTCCTCATATACCAAATATTTGTATTGATTCAATAAATGATACTTCAGTTGTTATTCATTGGGATATTGAAATAAAAAATGGAGAAAATTTATATTATATAATAGTCATAAATGGTCAAGAAGCAGCAACATTAACTTCAACATCATGTAAATTAAAAAATTTATCATCAAATCAAATTTATTCAATAGAAATTATAGCAAATAATTCAATAACTAATTTCAAGTCCAAGTCAAAACCTGTTATTATTCAAACAATGAATAAAGAGAATATTGAAAAATTTATCAATTTGGAGAATTTGGAAAATCATACTATTAAACCAATTGAAATTAAAGAAGCAGATTTACAGAAAATAGGAGCATTAGAGGAAGAAAATTTAAGTACATTAACTGTTGAACAAATCAAAGACATTGATGATTCAAAATTATTAAACATCTATCTTATCAAAACTCAAAATGAATTAACTAAAGCAAATGTTGAATATAAAAATTTTCAAACTCAAATTCAAACCGAACAGGATAATTTACAAAATGATTTAAATTTTTATAAACATGAATTTGAAGAAGAAACAGATACCAAAAACAAGAAAGATCATGATGTAAAATCTTTGGAGAAGTCAAAAAATAATTTATCTTTTCAAAAATCAAAATTAATCTCACAATTAAATAGCATTAAAAACTCATTAGCATTATATCAAAACAAATTTAAAGAAAACGACTTGAAACTTAAGAAATTAGAAGAAAGAAACTCAAATTTAACAGAGTTAGAGGAGCAAGAAAAAGCGAAGATTGAATTAGAAATTAAACAAATTAAAGAAACTTTGCAAAAAAATAAATCAGAGTATGACAAGATTGATGAAAATATTAAAAGTTTAACTTTAGAAAAGAAAAATTTGACTTCTTTACTCATTCAAATAAAACCATTAATAGAGTTACTTAATCTGTCAAGTAGCAACAACTCCAATAATACTAATAATAATAATAACAACAACAATAACCAAAATAACGAAAATTCTCCATCTCCAAGTCCTGGACCAAATGGATCTTCAACATCTTTATCAGCAACAAATATTCATACTAATTCAAATAATAATAATATATCAATCTTCAATAAAGATGGATCATTAACTAAAAACTCATTTGATGCATTGTTGAGAATATCACAATTAATTCCATCATGGCAAGATGAAATTATGCAAGAAATAAATAATTATCAAGAATTTGAAAATCAATGGAAAACTGCTTTCAAAGCAGAAATTAAAAAATTTGTATCCATACATCAATCTTTGGAAATTGCAAAATTAAGTAGAGATGATAATTATCAACCAGTTAAATTAAGTGAATATCAAGCATCGATTGAATTTGGTGGGTATAGTAATGCCTTACCAAAACCTAAATTTAACAATAATCCAATGAAAAATAATTATTCTATTGATGATTACAAAAGAAATTCTACCACAACAAATGCAAATAATAACTTTCATAATTATTATGGACAAGTTTATGCAAAAGAGGAAGATAATGCTTCACAATCACCTATCCCCACACAACCAATTTTAAATCAACCACAATTATTCTCACAATATCAAACAGATGATCAACAATATATCTCACCAAACCCTACAAACCCAATGCAAACTCAACCTACCTATGATTATTTACCAGATCAATCACAATTTGATAATACCCATCCATATATCAGCTTAGAACAAATAAATGCAGCCCAAACAAGAAACATGGATATAAATATAAACTCACCAATTTTACAAAATAATTTGTTAAATATTGATAATTCGAATTTGATAAACGATTCAACATTTTCAAATTTTAATTTTGATGATCAATATTTAACTCAACAACAACAACAACAACAACAACATCCACCACCAAATGTTTCATCACCATTACCTCAAAATTCAATGTTATATAATAATTTTAGATCAACTCCAACAAATGATTTTAATTCAAGATTATATAATACTGGTTTTAATAATTCGGGTTCATCATTTTCAGAAGTTTGGAATACTCAACTACCAACAGCAACTTCCACAAATCCAAATCAATCAAATTTAAATGAATTTTTGAATCCAACAAATCCATCATCTACACCAGCCAACACAAACAATACAACAACAAATAACAATGTCCCAACATCGAATTTATCAAAAGGGTTTTTAATGACACCATCATCCCAAAGTATTTGGCTAGATGAAAGATCATCAAACGGTCATGCAAGATCTATCTCAAACAATTCACAAATTTGGAGAAATGAATTATTTCCTGTTAATTCATCATTACAGAATTATAACTCAAATAACTCGCAAAATGGTGCTGTAAATACTACAAATAATAATAGTTCAATTTCCCCAAATCCAACTAGAGATTATCATCAGTTTTTTGGTCAAGCTAATAACAATAATAATGAATTTAATGGATTTGCTTCTACTAATGATTCAAATCAAGAAGTAAACAAGGGTAAGTAAATAAGATATGTCAATAAGTGAAATCTGAGTATTGGTTGCGGCTCACGGATCTGTTTTAAGCAAATCGCGCGGAAAAATTATTATTGATGCTACCATTTGACTTTGAAACTTTTTCGGTTAGTAATGGCAAATTTTCAATGTTTCAAAATTAAATAACTAAGAGATACTTTTATAGATTGGTGAATTTATATAACTAGGATCAGGACTTAGTAGGTGAACTATAACAATCGCCAGTATCAATCTCTCAACGATTTGATGTGTTAAAGGTGGTTCAAGTAGCCAATTACATATTTTATTTTGTGAGCTCGCTTTAAATTAACTCAATAATTATTACAAAACAAAAAATGTTTCATACAAAGATCTGACTAATCTAAAAATAGTACTAAAGTGAATTACTCCATTTCAATTATTGTGTAAGTTTTTTAATTTTTACGGCAAAATCTAAGATTCTTTAAAAGTAAGAAAAAAGAAATTTTTAGGTCTAGAAAAAACCGTTGGTATTTTTTTTTTAAATTTTAAAAACCCCTCGAGATGGTCATTTTAAGTTTTTAGAACTTGTATACCACCACAATTAATGTAGTTAGTGCCACCATAGACCGAGAAATTAAATTCCTCAAGCTCAGCCTACGTACTAAAATCCAATCCCCTCAGTCGACTCCCCTCTTAATTTTGTTGAACAGTTGAGTTTTGACACATTTTTTTATTTTTTAATGAGTAAGATTATTATTTACCCGTAAAAAATAAATGCCTATTACTTTATAAAAAAAAAATCTCTTACTTTGCTTTATAATTACTAAGAATTCTTATACGAATATATATTTCTTGTAAATTTAATATGATTCATTTATTTTCATATAAGATTTTCTTTTCAGATATATCAGTATATATATAAAAGTTTCATAATAATCATTTAATTTTGTTTCTTTAAATCTTCAGATTTTCATTCAAATTTACAATACTTATTTTTGCACATTTCCGTACATACTTTTTTTTAAAAAACTCCGAAACATCACGTACGATAATCTAGCATTTCACCTTTATACATAATACAATCAAAATAATATAATACATTATTTATCATTTCGGCTTCATAAACGGTTTAATTTAATATGACAGCCGATGAAGAAGAATTTCCACAAACTTATAATGAATTTAGAAGTGATACATTTACAACTCCAACATATGGAATGATTGAACAAGGATTTACAAATGCAACATTTGGAGATTCAGTATATTGTGAAGATCAAACCACTTTGAAATTAGAAAAAATAATGTGTGAAATAACAGGTAAAGAAGCTGCATTATTTTGTTGCTCAGGTACAATGTCAAATCAAATTGGTATAAGAGCTAATTTATTTCAACCACCATATTCAGTGTTGTGTGATTACAGAGCTCATATATTCCTACATGAGGCGGGTGGATTAGCTACCTCTTTATGCATGGTTCATCCAGTCATACCAACCAATGGGAACTATTTAACTTTTGAAGATATAATAGAAAATGTAACATTAGATGATGGAGATATACATGCAGCACCAACAAAAGTAATAAGTTTAGAAAATACCTTACATGGAATTATAATGCCATTAGAAGAAATACAAAAAATAAGTGAATTTTGTAAATTACAAAATATCAAATTACATTGTGATGGAGCAAGACTTTGGAATGCTTCAATAGCAACGGGAATTTCAATAAAAGAATATTGTTCATATTTTGATTCAGTATCATTATGTTTATCGAAATCATTAGGTGCACCAATGGGATCAATACTAGTTGGTGATTCCACATTTATAAAAAAGGCTAACCATTTTAAAAAACAAAATGGTGGAGGTATAAGGCAAAGTGGAATAATGGCATCAATGGCAATACATGCAATAGAGAATAATTTTAAATTATTAACCAAATCTCACGAGTATGCAAAACAAATTGAACAATTTTGTATACAACACAACATTATACTAGAGTCTCCAGTAGATACAAATTTTGTATTTATTGACTTAAAGAAAAACAAAATGAATGATAAATTATTTATAGAATTAGGAGCTAAAAAATATAATATAAAATTAATGGGTGGTAGAATTGCATGTCATTTTCAATTAAATCAAAAAAGTATAGATAATTTGAAAATGTGTTTGCTTGAATGTTTTGAATATAATCAAATCAATCCACATGTTCCTGATGGTAAAAATAATAAGAAAATGTATAATTTCGATGCTATAAAGAGATAATTGAAGTTAGTCGCTCTTTGTGTCAACTATATGATTGAACAGTTTTGGTTTTGGTTTAGTTTAGTTTAATTTTTAATAAGGTTTGGAGTTAATTAATAGACAAAATTTTGCATGTTAAAGATTCTTATCTCATTATGATTTGTAGATCATCTTGATTTAAAATACATTTTGCAACATGGTACATATATTATTACTATATTTACACGTGCTAATTTTTTTTGACATATTTTTTTATTTTAAATTTTTTTGTTTATATTTTGAAACAAATCATTTAAAAAGTTTAATATTTTCTTAGATATAAATATATATCCCATCTTTTGAACTACAAAAATTTTTGCCATTCATTAACTACCTTTTATTATCACATTCAAATCAATCGCATTTATTAAAACATTTAAACTTGACAACCCCAACAATTTTTACCACTTAACAACCATTTTAATCTTTTAATTCTATTAGCAATCTCATTATAGAAGAATAAAGTAATTAATCACACAAAATTGAAATCAAACAATTTCTACTAAATTAAATATAAATATAAATTTCATATAATTTATTAGTACAATATTATAATCAAAATATAAATATCAACCAATATCTCATTACTGTTATTACTTACAATTAAATATCAATTACATTTGGACATTCATAATACATACATAACACATAGAAATAATGGCGAAAAAAGTGCCTAGTGAACCAATATTACCTGGCTTAACAGAAAAGCCATCCCCACAATTAAACTCAAATATAGATTCAGCCGTTATAGATGATGATGATGATGATAATAACCATAATAAAAGCAATGGCAATGGGAATGAATTTTATACATCATCAAATGCAAGTATATCATCATTTAATCATTCGCCACAATTAATTAGAAGTGATTCAACAGTATCAATCCCATATTTAGATTTATCAAAATTAATGTTTGCAAATGATTTTGATTTTGGTTTAGATTTAAATAATGTAAGTGATTTAACTAAGAAACGATTAAATGTCATGAAAAATAAAACAAAAGAAAGGTTTAATATATATAATAAGAAAGGAAATGTTGAATTAGATAAATTACAAGATATTTTGAATCAAAGATTAGTTAAATTTGATGAAAGAATCCACAAGAATTTAACAAGTTCAAGTACTGAAAAATTATTTTATGCATTGAGTGTTTTTATTATAGCTTGTGCAGGATTTGTTATTGGTAAATACCCCAATTATTTCCCACATTTTCATACTGGATTATTTATTGTTTTGATGCCAATTAGATTTTATACTTATTTTAAACAATCATTTCAATATTATTTAGCTGATTTATGTTATTACGTTAATTTATTGTTGATGTTATTTATATGGGTATTTCCACTGTCCCCTGATTTATTTGTTTCTGTATTTTCATTATCTTTAGGTACTTTATCATGGGCAGTTATAACTTGGAGAAATTCCTTGGTTTTACATTCAGTTGAAAAAACTACATCTTCATTCATACATGTAATGCCACCAATAACAATGTTTGTAATGGTTCATGAATTAAGTCCAGAATATATTAAAGAAAGGTACCCTGGAATAGCAGCCATATCAAATTGGAATTTTGCTACATCATTAATTATAACATCAATATATTATACTATATGGCAAGTAACTTATCATTATTTCATTACAATTAAAAGAAAAGATCAAATTGAAAAAGGTAAAGTAACATCTTTCTCATATTTAAAAAAGAAAAACAAATCAACACGTTTAGGAAAATTCGTAAATGGTTTACCATACTTATGGATGCAAACATTAGCATTCACATTAATTCAATTCGGTTATCAATTATTAACAATGTTACCGTGTCCAATATGGTTCAGATACAAGCATGCATGTGGAGCATTCGTATGTTTTATATTCATATGGGCAAGTTATAATGGAGCTACTTGGTACATAGACGTGTTTGGTAAAAGATTGGAAAAAGAAGTTGATAAACTTAAAAGAGAAGTTGGGAAATTACAACAAGAAAATGAGAAATTACAATTCTCGCCGGTGAATAAACCTGTCAATGGTACTGCTTCAAATGGTGACGAAGATGTGAAGAATTATGATGATTTAAATGGTGGATTGAAGGAGAACGAAGTTGATAAGAGGAAAAATAATGATGGTGAAGTTAAGAAAGATGAAGCAGATATTCTGAAAGGTAAAAATTCTGTTAATGAAGAAAAGATATAGAAATAGGTTATAGGTTTGGTGATTTGCATTTTCATAATTTTTGAATTTTAATTTAGTGACATTTTTGCTGAAATTATACATATAAAAAAGATAAAAAATCGATTTGTAGATTTCATATAGAGATTATGTCTTATTGAGTTTAATGTATTATTTATTGATTAATTAGTTGAAGTAGAGTTGCCCTTACGTTATATAGTACCTTTTGTAAATAGAAGTGTTTCAAGTGTTTTAGTGCGAATACCAATTTACCCAAAAATCGAATTATTTAATTTTTACAACCAAGAATTAGATTTTATACCTACGAACAGTCCCTTCACAATTTCGAGTATTTTTTATATGACTGATTTTTCAACACTTTGAAGAGTTTTTTTTTTATTACAAGGGCTGTTGAGGTCACCCATTATAAGGCAGGGATTAACATCCACTTACCTAACTTGAAACTGGGGTGAAAAAAGTGAAGACTTGTTGTAAGAATCAAACTTATTTGACCTCAAAGCTGGTCTTCATTTCTCATCAAAGTTTAATCTCTGTACTTTTCGGCATGCTCAATGTTTCACATGTGAGATTTATCGATGGGTACGGTTTGACCGTTTAATAAAGATGAGACTGTTTGGGGTAATCTTGAGAGTATCTTTTAAGTGGTATAGTTTGGATATGCTGACTCAGAGAAGTAGTTAGATTTTTTAAAAGATGTTGATTATCTCATATTTAATGTTGAAATACTTCAGTACATCAATCATAAAATTGCTTGGGTTGTGTTTAATAGTTTTACTTACCAAGATATGTAATTTCACACACCATTTTTACATGCTAAAGTTTTACTCGAGAATTTATTATTTGGATATTTAACTGTGTTGTTAATTAATGTCAACTTCAAGTGTTTCAGATATTTTTCATTCTTTATTACTCATTTAGGAGTTTACAATGAAAGGGGCTAATTTTATAATCATGGTATTTATACTCATGAAAATTCCCTATTTTTTTATATATTTTTATAGTCTAATTTTTTAAACATTTATCATTATTATAGAAGTAATATAAGCTTCAACTTATATTAATTTCAAGACAAATAGAGTTGTTTAAATTATCCTTTTCGTTTATCGACTGCTTAACCATATACTTCATTTAAATTAATCAAGATTGATTTCAAATTGTGTTTTTGAATTTGCTTGTAAAGCCACCAGCTCGATTTTTATAGAATCCTTTGGGCCAAATGACTTTGAAAATTTGTATATATATTTTTAGATGATAGTTCTTTGAATTTACATATAATTCAGGACTATACAAAAATTTACTTAACTTCAAACTAGGGTGAAAAAGTGAAGACTTACTGTAAGTATCACACTTGTTTGACCTCAGAGTTGGTCTTCATTTCTCATCAAAGTTTAATCTCTGTACTTTTCGGCATGCTCAATGTTTTACATCTGAGATTTGTCGATGGGTACGGTTTGACCGTTTAATAAAAATGAGATCGTTTAGGGTCATCTTGAACATAAACTTTTAGGTGGTAAATTTTCAAATTGCCCACTTAAAAATTAGAAGTTCTAAAATATGCTGATCATCCCCCTCTAACTTAATGTTGAAATATGTTGAAATACTTGAGTACATCAATCAGACAATAGCTTGGGTTGTGTTTGAGTAATTCTGTTTGTTGAGATCCATAGTTTCACACGCCATTTTTACATTCTAAAGTTTTACACGAGAAATTTTTATTTGAATATTTAATTGTGTTGTTAATTAATGTCAACTACAAGTGTTTCAGATATTTTTCATTCTTTATTACTCAATTAGGAGTTTACAATGAAAGGGGCTAATTTTATATTGATGGTATTTATACTCATGAAAATTCCCTATTTTTTTATGTATTTTTATAGTCCTATAAACTAGCAATCAAGAATTATTGTTATTTTAATATATGCTTCAGCGTATATTTAATTCACAGACGATTATTTAAAATTCGATTTTGTACTTAAATTTAAGGAGTACTAACATATACTACAACCAATTTACCCAAAATCGAATTATTTCCCTCATTTTTTGTAATTTTTGACTTATGGAGTCTGATCTTCTATTTATGAATATTTTATTTTTTATTTTAGTAGAACATATTTGATTCCACATAGGAGTCAAGATTGGCTAAAAATTTACATAACTTCAAAACTAGGGTGTAAAAGTGAAGACTTACTGTAAGTATCACACTTATTTGAACTCAAAGCTGGTCTTCATTTCTCATCAAAGTTTAATCTCTGTACTTTTCGGCATGCTCAATGTTTTACATCTGAGATTTATCGATGGGTACGGTTTGACCGTTTCATAATGATGATAAAGTGTTTGGAGTAATCTTGAAAATAAACTTTCAAGTGGTATAATCTGAATTTGCTCGCTCAGGGAAATACTTAGAATTTCTGATAGATGCTGAATGTTCCAAGTCGAATGTTGAACTACTTCAGTACATCAATCATACAATGCTTGGGATGTGTTTGAGTAGATTTGTTTGACAAGTAAGTGTTTAAATTTTTGAATAATAGTCGCGACAACTAATTTGGTAGATAAACAAAATTGAAAAATTTTTTGATTTATCAAATCTTAATTACTTTTAGTTTTACAACCTAATCAACTCACATAATGTTTAGGTCTACTCTTCGACCTATACAGGCAATTCAGAGATGCATTCATACATCCTCATTGTTACTAAAAGAATCATCAACTTCAAAAATAGACAAACATTTAGAATTTCTTAAAAATTATTACAGTCCCGAACTTTTACAAAGTATAAAAATAGCAGAATCTATAGTTGAACCAAAAGATTATCTTAATTTGCAATTACAAGGACAAAGTGCCAAGTCTAAAATAGCTCCATCTAAATCAGATTTCGATTATTCAACGACAGATCCCGAATGGGAAGAACCAATACTATATCCAAATCAAGGTTTAGGACGTACACCATATCCAGCAATTCCACAGGTTCATGCTCCAGATAGGGGAGACTTAAGGATAAGATTTGCAAATGCACCAAGAGCTCCAAATGATACTGCTCAATCAAATACAGCTATCAAAACACCTCATCAAATTGCAAAAGAATTAAGTCAATTAACTGGCTTAGATGAAAGATATATACGAAATTTATATATTAGACCATTAGTTATGAAAAGAGTATCTTTGAAGACTGCAAAGGGTAATATTGCAAATTTCTTTGTCATGTCAGTTGCAGGTGATAAAAATGGTATGATTGGATTAGGAATTGGGAAATCAAGAGATGGTATACGTACAGCAGCTACAAAAGCTCATTGGAATGCAATCAAAAATTTAACACCAATAAAAAGATATGATAATAGAACTATATTGGGACTGATAGAATTAAAGTATCATGCTACAAATTTAAAATTTAAATCAGCTCCAATTGGGTTTGGATTAAGATGTAATAGAAATATTTTTGAAATTTGTCAAGCTGCTGGTATAAAAGATTTAAGAGGTAAAGTTCATAAATCAAGAAATCCAGTATTAGTTGCTCAAGGTTTTGTAAAAGCTTTAACTCAACAAAAATTAATTGAAGAATTAGCTTTAAATAGAGGTAAAAATGTTGTTGAATTAAGAAAAGCTTATTATTCTAATGATTAAATATTTGTATAATACTTTTGTAAATAGAAAACAAATCTAATGATAATATTTCACATATTTCACGAGGATTAAGTGGTGGTTTAAATCTAGATCATGGATCTTGAAGTGTACTAAATTTTTTGCAACCAGTTGGTAGTGTTGCACATTCGTAGAAATTTTGGTTATCAATAAAATCAAACTGTGATAATTTTTAAGAATTTTAAAAAAGCATATCAAAGTAACAAGCAACAAAGTTTAATATTGCCACCTAATACTACCTACCTTTTTTTTTATCAACCCTAGAATTTTGGATTTTACTACACAATTCATTTTGACTTAGACTTTTCATTTGTAATAATAATCATTTGTACATAAATTAGAATAAATCACTTAATAGAATCATCTAAAACATAATACATTTACAAAAATGGTAGTGGATACAACATATTACGAATTATTAAGTATTGAAACAACTGCAACGTCACTTGAAATCAAAAAGGCATATAGGAAACAAGCAATTAAATTACATCCAGATAAAAATCCAGATGATCCATTAGCAGCGGCAAAATTTCAAGAAGTTGGTCAAGCTTATCAAGTTTTAAGTGATGATCAATTACGTGCAAAATATGATAAATATGGTATACAAGAATCAATACCAAAAGAAGGATTTGAAGATCCTGCTGAATTTTTTAATATGATTTTTGGAGGAGAAGCATTCAAAGATTGGATTGGAGAGTTAAGTTTAATTAGTGAAATCACTAAATCTGCAGAATTATCTGAAGAAAAACCAGCACCAACAGAAGAGAAGGGAAAAGATCACAACAAAGAAGACGAAGCTACATCAACATCAAATTATGAATATCCAAAACAAGACTCACTAAATAAAGATCAAAAATTTTTATCACATGAAGCTCATGATGAAATAACACATAAAGAACAAGAAGATAAAAAAAGGAAAGAAGAATTGGAAAAATTTGAAGAAGAATGTAGATTGAAGAAAATAGAGACTCGAAAAGAATTAGCTAAAAAATTGACTGATAAATTATCATTACTTACTGAAACTGATATGAAAGATGATGTTATAGAATCTTTTAAAGCTAAAATAAGATATGAAGCAGAATCTTTGAAAATGGAAAGTTTTGGATTGGACATTTTACACACAATAGGGTATGTTTATAAAAGTAAATCCAAAATATTTTTAAAAAATCAAACCTTTTTTGGATGGGGTGGATTATGGTGGTCTGTAAAGGAAAAAGGTGGTGTTGTTAAAGATACTTTTAGAACCGTTTCAGCAGCATTGGATGCCCAACGTACAATGGAAGAATATGCCAAAATGCAAGAAGATAATGAATATCATACAAAAAAGGAAGCTGAGGAAGAAAAATCTAAAGCTGAAGCAGAGAAAACTAAATTGGAAGAAGAATTAGAAAAACTTCAAAAGCAAAAAATAAAGATTGAAGAAGAATCAGTTGATAGTACCCTAAATTCAGTCTCACAAGTAAATGATAAAGATAAAATAGTTGAACCAACGAAACATACAGCGGAAGATTTAGCAGAAATGGAAAAGTTTTTGTTGGCAAAAGTATTAGCAGCAGCATGGAATGGATCAAAATTTGAAATTCAAGGAACATTAAGAGCGGTATGTGATCAAGTATTAGAAGATGAAGATATAACGAATGAACAAAGAGTAGCAAGAGCTAAAGCATTAAGACTAATAGGTGAAGTATTTGTATCTGTTACTAGAACTGAAGCAGAAGATGAAGAAGCAAGAATGTTTGAAGAATTAGTAGCTGAAGCAAGTAAGAAAAGAGAGAAAAAGAAGAAACCCTCAACTACTACAACTACTGATAATGTGGAAACCAACTCTGCTACTTAATTGATGAATGTACGGACTAAATGATTGTATTCATTTTTAGAAAATGCGTAATACCGTTGAATTTTGTAAAGTTGTCACAAATGAACATTCCCAACAATTCTCTGAAATAAATAATTTGCCATATAAATTTAAGGCATCATTTGACACAAAAAAAAAATTTTGAAATATAACGTACGAATCGTTTTGATTGTAAGTTCATGTAAAACAGTCTAAAAATTTTAGAAAGAACAATAGGTTGAAGTAAAAAGTATTGATTCGCCGTATGTTTATACATCATTAAATTTGACCTGCATTTTTGAAACAAAAATAAAAAATTATTATCATTTATACTTACTTATAAAAAAAAAGTGTTTCACTTTAAATGTTTTTCCAACCAGATTCAACTACATCTTCAAAATCACTAAATCTCAAAATTAGAATGTCAGTTGATACAACCACCGAGAAATTGATAGAAAAAATCAAAAATAAATCTCATCAACTTGATCCAACAACTCAATCAAATTATACAAATTTTAAAGTAAATAATACTCAATTAACTTTAAATGTTTCATTTGATTCTAAAACTATCAGTGGGAGTGTAAAATATGATTTAACTAATAAAACTGGTAATAATGAACTTACACTTGATACTAAAGCATTAATTATCAAAAAAGTATCCGTTAATGATTCAGAAATTTCATTCAAATTATCGAACTCACATTCAATTTATGGATCATCATTACATATTCCAATCCCAAAAGATTCTTCACTCAAAGTAGAAATTGAATTTGAAACTACAGATAAATGTACAGCTATACAATTCATTCAAGGAGATACTGGTCCATATGTCTTCTCACAATGTCAAGCTATTCATGCAAGAAGTTTATTTCCATGTTTTGATACACCAGGTGTGAAATCTCCGTATAAATTTATAGGTAAATCACCAGCAAAAGTTACAATGTCGGGTAGACCACAACCATCAACTGAACAAAACACTTACCACTTCAATCAACCAATTCCAATTCCTTCATATTTAGTTTCTATAACTTCAGGATATTTACAAAAAGCACCAATTGGTCCAAGATCCGATGTTTATTGTGAAGAACCAAACCTAAAAAAATGTCAATGGGAATTTGAACAAGATATGGAAAATTTTTTACAAATTGCTGAATCCTTAGTATTTGATTATGAATGGGAAAGATTTGATTCTTTAGTTTTACCTTCAAGTTTTCCTTATGGAGGTATGGAAATTCCAAATATGACTCAATTAACTCCAACATTAATATGTGGTGATCGTACACAAGTTACAGTTATGGCTCATGAATTAGCACATTCTTGGTCTGGTAATTTAGTTACTAATTGTTCTTGGGAACATTTTTGGTTAAATGAAGGATGGACTGTTTATTTAGAAAGAAGAATTGTTGGTGCTATTGGAGCTCAAGAAGCTAGAAATTCTGGAAAATCAGATGAAGAAGCTATAAAAATTGGTGAACAATTAAGACATTTTGAAATAATTGGTGGTTGGAGTGCATTAGTTGATACTTGTGAAACTTTTGATTCACAATTTACAAAATTAGTTTGGGACTTAGATGGTAAAGACCCGGATGATGCATTTTCAAGAATTCCATACGAAAAAGGGTTTTTTTTATTGTTTCAATTGGAAAATAAATTAGGTGGTGTTAAAGATTTCGATCCTTTTATTAAGTACTACTTCAAAAAATTTAGATATCAATCATTAAACACTGCACAATTTATTGAAACATTATATGAATTTTATGAACCAAAAGGTAAAAAATCAATATTGGATAATATTAATTGGGATAAAGAATTATTTGAATCTGGATTACCTGAAAAACCAGTATTGGATACTACATTAGCTGATCAAGTTTATTCATATGGTGATAAATGGGTTGAATTTATTAAAAATAATGATAACTATGATAATATACCTTTTACACAAGAAGATATAAAATCATTTAAAGGAGAACAAGATATGTTATTTATAGAATATTTGGTAGAAAAATTTAAATCACAAAAAGTCTCATCAGAATTAATTCAAAAATTCCCATCAATTTATCCAAAATATGCAAATAGTCAAAATGGTGAAATATTATCACCATGGAATGAATTATTAATAATTAATGGTAATTATAAATCAAATGATAAAATTGTACAAGATTTTAGTAAATGGTTAGGTAAAACTGGTAGAATGAAATATGCAAGACCTGGTTATAAGGTTTTGAAAAATGGTATAAGTTTGAAATTTGCAATTGAACAATTTAATAAACATAAAGATTTTTATCATCCAATTTGTAAAAGTATGATTGAAAAAGATTTAGGTTTAATTTAGTTTAATTAGATGTATATATATAGAAAAAGTTAAAAAAGGTTAATAAAAGTAAGGTTTAATAAAATACGATTTGTGGAGATCAAAATATAATATTGATTGATTACACTAAATTAAAATTAAATGAAACTCACTCTAAATCTCGTAGATATAAATTTAATGACCCAACTCGAAAATTGATCTAAACCAATAATAGAAACAAAGAAAATATAATCCCTACTCTTTCTCCCCCCTTTATATAAATTTTAGTCTAAAAACTCTCTTAAATTCTAATATGATCTGTTATGAAATATTATTAATTTTAAGATTGCTATAATATAAAAATTTTTTTAAATTAATTAATATACGATTTTGTAACTCGTTTATAAAGTTATATTTAATTACTGCAAAATCATCTAAACTTTTTACTCCATTTTTTTTTTGCTTCTTTCTTCCTCATCACCTAAATCAATTACTGATCTTTATCAAATTTAGTTGTATTGACAATGGCTTATAATCAAGAACAATTGACTACTTATAAAGCAGTTTCAATAATTGCTTTTATTTTATCAGTATATGGAGGTTTAGTATTTTCAGGAGTAAATGAATCAGAATTAATTCATACACCATATACTGCTAGTACAATTTTATTATATATTTATTGGATAGTTTTATACTTATGGCAATTGATATATATTGTTCAAGTATTTTTCCCAGATGATTTTAGATTATCAATTGTTAGTTTAATTGGATGGCATTTTCCAATTTTTTCAGTTTTAAATTATGTTTGGAGTGAATTATTTATTAATGAACATTATTTCTTAAGTGAAATTGTTTTAATTATTAATTTTTTAAATATTTTAACATTATATTTTGCTCATAAAACTTTTGCATTAAGACCAATTTCAAATTATTTATTAATTCATATGCCATTAGTTGCAATGACTATGGCTTGGTTATTATATGCAATTTTTTGGAATGGTGCAATTTGGTTACATATTCATAAAACATGGGGTAGAATAGTTGCTAATATTTTTATATGGACTTTCTTATTAGTTCCATCATTTTTCTTGCTTTTATTTAATGATTGGGCTACTGGTGTAAGTTTTACATTTTTATTATTTGCATTAGCTTTTGGTCAATTAGCTACTAAAGTATTTGCATTACAATGGATTTTTGCATTTATTATTGCTGGTATTTTAGCTGTTATGACTATTGGTGCTATGGCTGTTGGTGGAATTAGACAACAAAATGGAGAAAATGCTCCTTTATTAGTTGTTGAAGAAGAACAAGTTGGTAATTAAGATTGAAGAGGAAAGACATTGAAAGTTTATCTAAAACTTGAAATAATGAAAAGTTGCACAAAAAAAATTTTATATATTTAATTATATTTTGTTTATTAAAGACAGTTTAGTTTTCCATTTTTGTTTAGTGAATAATTTTAGTAATAAAAACATTCAGTTCTGGTCTTACAATTCTAGTTTGAGTTGATGTAGTAAGTTCTACGTAGTAAAATATTAAGCAGCGTGAAAATCAATCAGTCAATTGACAAGAATCCAACTTAACGTAGTCATCAACTTCCTGGATCGGTTTGAGTTATCTTACTTTTTTAATTACTTTCAATGGAATACGAATCCATCAAGTCTAGGGACCTTCGGAATTTGCATCTAGAATCAAATATAGTAAAATCAAATATAGCTGTTTGAAGTCCCATCATCAAGTTTGTTAAAAATTCCCAATTCAAGTCTTTTTATCATTATACACTGGCTTGATCTTTTTAATCATTTCTTGTTTTACCAAACTTGGATGTTTGTTAAGTACTAACGAATTATAATGTAAAATATAATCATGATGAGCTAATGAACTTATTGTATCATTATGAATTGTTGTTAAAAACTCATCTCTTGTTGTGTTTGAGTTACCTATTCCGTTGTATTTTGCTTTGAGAAGGTTGTACTGGTTTTTCTCTTTTATTTTGTCTGCCATTTGACGAAGCTTTTGATTAGATTGAAGGTTCGTAATTTAGAACTGAGATTTGATTTTTAAATTATTAGGATTTTGTGTCTTGGTCATAAAAGTTGTTTTGACGTCACACAAAATTTGACATTCGGAGTTACACAGATTTTACGAATCATGTCTTTAATGTAACACTACATTTTTCGTTTGCAGTTACTTTATGAAAAAATTTCTATAGACAAGGACCCCTCCAAGATATTCATGTTACATTTCTCAAATCATCTCACTGCTTTATTATCACAAAATTCAAAAAGTCCGAGCCAGCCAAACAGTAAAAGAAGAAGAAGAAAAAAAATCGTACTGTTCCTGAATTTTCGAAAAATGGGGAAAAACTCCATCCATTCAGGGTGTTCGTATATACCAAAATAGAAGATGGAGGGGATTACAAAGGACTTTTATATCCGCGTGATAATGTATTGGAATAAATTTCGTAAATTAGTTATAATATTGAAATGTCAATTTGATATTATATACTGTACTGGCTAATTCTATTAATTCGACCAATAACAAACTTAAATAAGGGAATAATTTAACTTATAAAATAACTTTCTAATTACATTAAATATAACTGAATTAAGAATATTTTACAATTACGAATAACATTTAGAACATAATCTTTCTGAGTATTATTATTTCATGATTTTTGACGAAGTGTTGGTAAAAATGAAAAATTAAATGTCCGTGAGCTACCAAACCGTTTCAAGATTTACAAGATCTCGTTTGAATCTGTACTCTTTTATAAATCAATTAAGCCCTGATACTGCGTTTAACCCTTAAAATAAATTTAAAGTTAATTAAGTACAAAATCAGGAGTTAACAACCCTTTATTAGCCGAGTTAATTTTGTTGGTACCTAAATAAATATTTGGATCTAACATTTTAAAAAATTATACGTTTTTAACCCCTCCATTCACGTTGTATATTTTATTCAGTATTACAGTAGTAAGATCAATCGTTCGACAATTAACCTTATTTTGTACAATACAATCTAAATTGAATTAAATGATAATTAGATTATTTTTCATGAACTAAAATCTAATAGAAAAAAGGCGGGGTATAGATTATGAAAAAAAAAAAAATTTAAAATTGCATTTCCTTACTTTTTCATTTAAATATAATAATGTATAAATAATATACACAAATAAAATATATTATAATTGAAATATAAGCAATTTAAGTAAATTAAGATCTAAGACTAAATTCAATTATACGAAATCGTGTTTGATAGAACGATCAACAAATATTCGAGTAATTTGACAAGTTTAATTAAATTTGGCAAAAGGCTAATTTTGTGATCTTATAAGTAAAAAACGTTATATAAATTAATTGACGCAGAATACACGACAATATGTTTTAGATCTAATTGAGTTTTAAGATTTAAATTCATTACACTAAAAATTTACATACTAATATAATATTTTTATAAAAAGAAGGTTTTGAGTTATAAAACTATCAAATAATATTGGTTCAATTATTACCCCGATTCCTAATTATAGTTGGTTCTCAACAGAGAAATTGGAGGATGCTGGTGCGATCAGCATTGCATTAAGTACATTGTATATTGTATATTGTAACAACTTGACAAACATATGAGCACTGGAGTTTTAATTCTTAATAAAGTAATTAATTTCTTAATGCCCGGCTATACTATTACGTTTTTCTTTACATAAGTATGTAATTCTACATATATTTATTAATAAAATATTTATTATATATTTAACGTTAATCTTTCTTTCTTTGTTATTATTAATTTGTTATTATTCTTTTCTTATTGTTATAAATAATAATATTATTAATTGTTGATTGTTAAAATAATTTTTTTTTCTTATCTTATTGTTTTTTATTTAACAATTAATTTAATTTAATTAACTAAAGTAGAATTTGAATTTTTAACTAAGTAGTAATTAACCACCAATTGAATAATAATGTAAGCAATTAAATGATCATCTTAGACATTAACGATAGTAGATTGAATCAACTATTTAACAGCAAACAAGTTAAAAATGTAGGTTTAACTCTACTTTAACGTTATACTTTCACAGTTAATTATTATATATATAATATTATTTTCAGCTTGTTATAAAATTTATCAAATATAATAATGCGACTAATTATATCAAATTTGAATTGAACCATTTTTAATTAGTCCTCGTAATTAACCCTCTTTTTCAAAAATATATTCAATTAGTCAATTGAATACTATTTCAAAATTTTAAATGATTATTTAAATTGAAATAATAAAATCATAAGTCAATGAATTGTAAAAATAAATAATAGAATAATATCATCAAATATTATTGACACCCACTTTTTAATAAATATATCATAATAATAATAAGTTGTCAAGTAAGTCAATTAAGTTTTGATATTAATTTGATCTTTTGTATAAATTTGATTAATTCCCTTTTTTTTTAAAAATTTAATAATTTTATTTTAAAGACAATCAAAAAAAAAAAAAAAACATTTATAAAAATTATCATCACTTTTATTTTTACTCATAATTTATTCATTACTTTTTTTTTATCTTTACAACCAAATTTTTAGATTTCAATTTCAATTCAATATAAATAAAGTTAAATACATATCTCAATTAAAGTCCCATTAATTGCATATTTCATTAGTCAATATTTTTTAATTCATACTTCACCAGTTTCTTTTTTTTTTGGATTATTATTATTTTAAAATTATTTTTACTCACATAATAAATTCAAAATACAAATTCAAAATAATATTATTTTTGTTTGAAAGAAAAAAATTAAAAACAACGAATTTTTCTCCACTTTTAAACAAAACAACTTTACTTGATTGATTTTACTATTCAACTAAAAGATTTTATATCTTCAAGGGGTTCATTATCTTAACTACGAAGGAAATCATTAACTATTCCATTATCAAATACTTCCAAAAAATTTTACCTTATCTATTCAACCAAGCTATTAATAATTGGCAGTCATAATTGAGTCAATACACTATATTAAAAATATACTTTATCAAAATTAATTAAAACTTTGAACTTTTTAAGAAAAATTAAATGTCAACATTAACTAATCATCCAAGTTTAATATTAGAATCAGCAACAAGTTCTACTTCAACTTCTTATAAAACTTCACCATTATCATCAGAAGATAATAATTATAATCTTAATTATAATAATATTAATAACAATAATAATAATAACACTTTTAATTATAAAATGCAAAATAGTCAACCTAAATTAAAACAACAACAACCTACACAAAATGAAGAGTCATATAATTCAAATTTATTACAAGATCAAGCTCCATCAATCTATGATTTAATATCAGATCATGATAATGCATCAATGGATATTTTCAAAATGTATCAACATAAAAGTTATCTACCTCACAATCAAAGAATTTCAAATATTGCATGGAGAATTCAAAATAAAAAAATATTAACAAATAATGATAATAATAATCAAAATAATAATAGCATAAATTATAATAGTAACAAATTCAATGATTTAAAGTCATTACCAAAAGATAAAATATCGAATGGAGGAGTTATTAAACCTCAAGCAAATAGAAATTCACCACCATTCAAAACAAAATCCATTAATTCAAGTAATGCAACAACATTATCATCATCAAATTCAAAAGATAATAACATCAATAACGTCAACAACAATAACTCATTAACTGATCCAAATTTAGATGATTTTGATTATGTTGCACATATAAGAAGAATAAGTCAAGAAGAATATAAACTGGATTTAAATGATTCACAAATAAATCAAGATCAAATTAATAATAATATAAGTAATGATAATACAAATTTATTATCATCATATATAAGTAATTTAGAATCGAATTTTAAACAACCACAATTCAAACCATCTTTTAATAATCAATCAACTACATCAGTTTCAATATCAAATAAAAAACCATCAATAAGTGGATCATCAACAACCAATACTTCAACAAACTCATCAGCTAAAAAAATATTGCAATGTACAAATTGTGAAACTAAAACTACACCATTATGGAGAAAATCAAATAATGGAGATTTATTATGTAATGCATGTGGATTATTTTTTAAATTACATGGTGTTTTAAGACCACTAAATAATTCAGCTGACAAAAATAACAGTAATAAGAAAAAAGTCAAAAATGATAAAATGATTGGTAATACAAATATCAATTTATTATCAAATGATTATACTAATAATCAAACCAAAGGTCAACAGCAACAATTACAGCGTCAACAAGCTCAACAACATCAACATCAGCAAATGCCACAACATCAACAAACTCCACAATCAATACAACATCCTCAATTTTCTCCTCAACATCAACAACCACACCCACCTCAACAACAACAACAACATAATACTAATAATAATCAAGAATCTCAAAATCAAGATGAAATAGATAAATTATTAAATTTGAATTTATTTCAATCAGATTTTACATCAAATGGTAACTCAAATGAAATCTTGTTTCAAGAATATTCACCAAATAATTTTTTATCAATGGAATCACAACAACAAAATAGTTTTACACCAAATAATCAAATGATGTTTCATCATCAATCTCCTCATCATCTCCAACAACAACATCATATTCATAATCATCATAATCAACATCAACATCATGATGAAATGGATTTATTAGATCCAAATGGTTTACCACCATCTTCAAATTTAACAGTTGGTGATTCAATGCATAACTCCACAAATAGTAACACGAATGATAATTGGAATTGGTTACAATTTTAGAATATCAGAGCATTATTTTACATGGTTCTGTGATTACTAGATTAGCATCCAAGTGATTAATTACAAGGAGTTTACTATAATTTTATTTCTTCAAAAATTTTAATGTTATTTATTCTGCCATTTTTTAATTAAATATTTAATACAATTTTATGAAATGTGATGAATTATTAAAGTTGTAGAGTATGTTACTTTATGGAGTATTATCAATAATATTACTATTTCTTATTGCCCGAGAAGAGAAGAATAATAAACCTATTTTAGGCGGTGCTCGGACCATTAATAAAGGGTTTATTTAATTCGATATTAAATTTTCTTAGCTATTTTTTTTAAATTTTTTGGTGACAATTTTTTAATTGAATTTTGTTATGTTACATTTTTCAATTTCTTGTTTCAATTTTGAAGTTTTGGTTGTTGAATTTCTTTTTAAAGATAAGAATAACTTTAGATTTTGACAGATTTTTGCAAAATATATAAATTAATGGTAATTTCTTAATTTTTTTATCCTCTGTATATCTCTACAAACTCTATAAAAAAGAGTAAAGAAAGTAATGCAATTTGAAACAATAACATCATTAGATTTTAAAACTATTATTAAAGATATATCACATCAACAAAAACAATTTTTGAAAAATTTGTTAAATGTACAACATTTAATTAATGAAAATGATAATGAAAATGATGAAAGTGATTTTGAATATGATGAAGAAGAAAAAGATCAATTAGAATTATTAGATTCTAATAAAATTGAATCAAGTATTCAATCAGAAGAAATAAACTCCACTACCAACATAGTCAAAACTGGTGAACTGTCAAAGAAAGTGACATCACAAACTGATATACAAACATCACCAAATTCCAATTTAAATCATGAAACAATGATTAAAAAATATTTAAAATTACAAAAATTAAGAACTAATCATTTATTACAAATTAAACAATTAAATAATTCAATTGAATCTTTAAATGATTTACAAAATTATTTAGAATCTTGAGTCATTGATTAGATGAAGTAATCACCAAGTTTCCACGATTGAGGCTAGTTATAGAAAAGAACACTCAATTAATTAGAAATTTAAAATAAAATCATATACTTGTTTTGTTTTAATATGCATGATAAAGCAAAATTGATAACATGCATTTAAATAATTGATAAGAATAAGCAAAATACTTTTAGTCAATCTTTATTAGATTCAAAGTTATTGAAAATATAAGAAGATGACTTAAGTAACTTTTAAGTAATATCTAGATTTAATTTATCCGAACGATGTAATAATTAATTAATATAAAATACGTTATAAATGTTACATTATTTTAAAAATTTAGGCTGCGAAAAAAAAGAAATTAAATTTTATTATATTTTAGTTAGTTATTATTATAATTCAAGTTATGAAACATTTCTATAACCTTTTATAATTTTAATTGAATATATAATTTATAGTTATATAAATAATTTGTAAATCTGAAACAATTCTATTCAGTTATTATGTAGATCCACTTCTGATTGGTTGATCAAGATTTTCAATTTAATTTAAACTTTTAAATTAATTAATTAATTCTAAATCCCCACAAAATTTATTATATATAATATAATTTTGTACACATAATAAATCCTGTATATTGAAACTAATAAAAATATAAAACACATATAAAAACATATAAAGTGAAAAGTAATTAATATATTAAATTAATTAAGTTAATTGAGTTATTTTATTATTAACTTAAATTTTTCATCCCTTTTAATTAAAAATTTTTCAATTTTTTACAACACTTTTTTTTTCATTTTCCTTCAACTTAACTTTCAATCTCAATTCATAATTCAAAAAATTAATAAATATATATCTATATAATCAATCAATTTGTTATTAAAAATTATATATATAACAACTAATTCAAAATAACAATATTTTACAGAAAAATTATCCCTTAAATTTAATAAAATTATCTATAATGTCAAAAACTTCAGAAATGTCAATCAATAAAGAATCAGTCAATGGTAATCAACAACAATCAACAGAAAAAAATGGTGATGTTTCAGATTTAATTACTAGTAATACTAATTCAAATGGGTTAGAAACTGGTGATAATTTTTTTGATAAAAAACATCAAGATCAACAACATCATCAAAATAATAATATTGAAGATAAAAATCAATTTAAAAAAATTCATAAAGATCATCATAATAAACATCATCATAATAATAAAAGAAAAAAACAAATTTCAAATATTACTGTTGCTTTTAATAAAAATAATGAAAAAGAAAAAGAAAAAGATGAAACAAATAATTCAAAAATTGAATTGAACAACATAAATAAAGAAAAAAGTAAACATCAACAATATTCAAATAATCAAGAAGAACAAAATGATCATCAAATGAATAATCACCACCATTCTATTGAAGATGATGAAAAAATGTTAAATGATGCTAAAAAAATGGTATTAAATTTAATTGATGATGATAAAACCAATAATAATAATCACAATGAAAAAGAAATTTTAGAATTTAATGGTGAAATTTTAGAAAAATTTGAAAATAATATTGAAATGAATATGATTAATAATGATGAAGATACTTTATCATCACCACCTCCTCCGCCATCAGAAATTGATTATGAAGATAATGAAATTGAAAATTCTAATAAAATTGAAGAATTTAAATTAGATGATACAACTAATCTTTTTTTACAAAAATTAGAATTTTTTAATAAAATTACTACAATGCTTTATCAAATTGCTTTAAAAGTTAATAAAATTAGTAAAGATTTAATTAAACAACCACAAACTGATTCTAAAGAAATTACTCAAGAATTAGAAAATTTAAAAAATTTACAAAATTTAGATAATTTAGATGAGTATGAAACTTCATCAAACGCAAAATCATCATCAATTAGTTCATTATTTACATCAACTAATTCATCAAAATTTTTAGATATGCCATTAGTTATTACATCACCATTTTTAAATTTATTAAAAAACAAATTTAGTGAATTAAATTTACAAAATAAAATTGATGAAATATTTCAAAAATTAAATTCAATTGATTTAAATTTTAGAAATTTTATAATTGAAATGTTTATAAATGAAAGTGATTGGGAAATTAAAGAAAAATATATTAAAAATCCACAAACTCAAGAAATTGATAATTCAATTTTAAAAATTTGGTTGGATTTTTTAACTATTGGATTTGTTTTTTTACAAGTTTCTTTACAATTTTCAATTGTTTTATTTATTGCTTTTATTAGATTATATATATATTGTGGTAAATGTTTATTTAGAATTGGTAAACAACATTTACATATTGATTAATTAAAATTTTTTAATTGTTGATGTAAATATTTTAGTTCATAAATTCAGCTGGTACTGATATATTTTAAAGGGGGGTTTTAAGTTTTAGGGTTTTTAAAAATAAGGGGGTTTAAGTTTAAATTAAATAAAACTAAGATTATGAAATATAAAGCTTAATATGATGATAACTATGGTTATATGAATTGATGAATTTGATGGGTGATGGTGAAATTGGGTTTTTGGAGTGATAAATTTGGAGATGAAATTATGATGGTTTTGTTGGTTCTTTTTTTATTATTAATTTCTTACTTTCTTTTTATATCTTATATATTATATTTATAAAAAATACAAAAAAATTACTATATTAACATAATGGTAATCTATTCAATTTTTATATAATTCTAATTATCCTAATTGAATCTAGTAACTCATTAATTTATTTGTAAAATAAAACTTGTTTACCATTACTTTTAGTATTAACAACACCCCTCAATAAACTTTTTGTAATATCATCATTATCACTAACCCATAACTTCTCATACCCAACATCACTAATCTTTTTTTGTTCATAAAGCTCAATAAGTTTATATATAGTTTCTTTTTTAAATTCAGGATTCTTGTATGTGTTAGCAGTCAACCAAAATGCTTTAGTTGATAAATTTTTAAATAATTGTAATCTAGCATCATATTTTATTTCTGTATTTCCTATAACTCCATAAGTTACTAATGTTCCATTTGGAGATAATGATTTTACTAAGGATGAAGTAGAAGTACTTGTTCCATTTAATGCTAATCTTACATTTGCCCCCGAGGTATATTTTGTGATATCGAAATTTTCATTATCAAATTCAGATTCAAATATAACTTCTTTTGCTCCTAAGTTTTTTAAATTCTCAATTTCTTGTTGGGATTTACCATCTCTTATAATTGAAATAACATTTATATCGTAAATTTTAGAAAGTTGAGTAATATATTTAGATACTTGAGAATTCCCACCATTTTGTACTATATAATCTCCCTTTTCCCAATTGTCAACAAATTGATGTAAAATTTGATAAGCAGTACTTGGATTAATTGAAATTGTAGCTGCTTGTTCTATAGTTAATCCATTTACTTTAATTAAATCTTTTTCCTGTGCAATTGCATAGTTTCTCCAAGTTCCAAATTTAGGTAACAATGGAATTACTAAATCATCTATTGAAAAATTCGAAACATTTGATCCAATTGCTAATATTTTAAAAACTCCTTCATTTCCACCAACATTAGTTGGATCATTTTGGCTGATATTACCTAAATTAGTAATTGGTTCTTTATCATTATACCCACCTCCTATTTGTCCTATATCTGCTGGATTTATTGGTGATGCTACTGTTTTTAATAATAATTGATTTGGTTCAAGTTTTGATGAATCTATTTCGTAAGTTGTTGTGTGGAGAAGATTTTGGAGATCTTTACCGTACTTCTCGAATGTTACTGCTTGGCCTTTATAGATTGTCATTTTTGATTGAAGTGAAAGTTAAGTTGGGCTAATGTTGGAATATTGTTTTCAAACTTGGGAAATTGAGTTATATTTATTAACTTGATTTAAAATCTTAAAACTTGTGAGTGATTTGAAGGTGTATTTATTTGCAAACGGATTCTTATTCTGACGGATTAATTGTAAGTATTGACTTAATTTTCAAAACTTACGGATGATATGAGATTGTATTTGTATATACAAACGGAATCTTCTATATTGACGGATTAATTGAACTGTGGTAACTGTCAGGTATAGTTTTAAATAAAATAGCAAACCGGATAATAAATGATGAAATATTTGAAAATATTATCTAAAATTATATTAGTAATCGGAATTAACTCCTTGAATAATTCTTTTTAGTACTTTCTTTTACATTACTTTGATTCTCCATGTAAACAGTTTCAATGCTCAATAGCCAGTATTAAACTCAGGTCTTAGTTTATTGTAGAATTCTCAGTTATTCTTGTATGTTAAAAAGGATGTTCAATCAAAATTGTTATAATTTATTTAAATCCGAAAATTATGGATTTGGTTCTATTTCCGAAAAGTATTCGCTACCCATAATTCATTAACAAATTTGAGTGTCACCGAAACATGATGTCTTGTTGACTTCAAGTAGGAGGTTACATGTTCTAGTTCTTCCAAACATTGGTATAAAACTTGTATTAGATTATGCAGAGAATAATGTATCAAATCCTCCGGATATCGGTAAAAAAACTCGTACTAGACTATGTAGATAAAAACTCATTTTAAATTGAATTTGCATCAAAACAAATGCAAAAATTTTTGAATTACCCATAAAACTTTGTATAAGGTGTAATGTTTTGAACCTATAACATGTTTCATAAATTACAAACTTGTAGTTTAATCTAAAAGAGTAAGAAAATGTTCGGCTATATGTACGTAATCAAATCTAAAGTTTTGATCCGACTTTGGCTTAAAAAATTTAAGATCTGAGATCTGGAATCAATACCGTAATTTGAAGAGTTTGAATTCAGCTGTTGAATGTACCTGTATAGTTTAAAAATGTGCAATATATCTCTCGAACTAACTCGTGGTGCTTGTAAAAAATTGACTCAATCTTCGTAAATCATCTAAATATAAATCTACTTAAATGTACAACTTATTATATATTCAATTGAGTATACTATATTTAGAATTAATGTTTACAATTCATCCTAATTAAGTAATTTGGATGCAAAAATATTTTTAGTGAGAAATTCAATATACAAAATAAATCTCTAGAAATACTAACAACTTAAATTTAACCGATCATTGAGGTCTAAATATGTAGGCAGAGTAGTAATTGTTCTGAGTATAATTAAGCTAACTAACATAAAGGATTTAGTTTGCTAATTAGGGTTTTTAATGATGACCCTTTAATTATGATGTTTAAAAATTGAACTTCCCCTGATTCCACAAAAGTTTAAATAAAACTAAAGTAAAAAGTTTTAACCGTATAAAAGCTATTACTGGAAGAGGTAAAGTATCATTAATTTAAGAGATTAATAGGCTTGCTTATATTACTATTATTATTATATTGTCAAATTACATCATTTAATTATAAAATTTTGTCTTGCATAAATTTAATTTTTAACATTTTGATTTTTTATTTTTTATTTTTACGAAACAAAAAATAAAATAAAAACTTTAATTTAACAACTTTTTTCTTTTTATTTTTAGTTACTTATAATTTTACAACAACAAATAAATAAATAATATCAACTCCTTTCAATTTTCAGTTACAGCTAGTCAAGTCATTTATATATATTATCAAGAAAGTCGATTATAGCTGAATTGAGTTTGAAATAATTAATCAATTCAAGGCATATGATAAATAATTAACAATTGATGCAGTTATTCTCAAATATAAGACATGGTGGAAATCATCAATCCAAACCTAAACCACCAACTCAACTTCAATTTAGTAGTTCAAATTTAATTGCAGATCAATATCATAGAAGATGTGGAACGAAACAATCTTATAGTGATAGTGAATTCTCAAACTCTGGTTCAACTTCTTCATATACTTCAAGTGATTCATATAATCCTATAGATTTAAAACATAATGTATCACCAAATCATAATAAAAAAATCCCAGTTGCATTGAGACCAAATATTAATATGATTTCAAATACAAATTCACCAAATAATCAAGGCTATTCAGATTCAAAGAATTATTCTTATCAAAATCCATCTGAAGTTAATACTCCAAATCATCAAAGTACTAGAGAAAGCTCAGTGTCTCCAATTAAATTACAATCACCTACATTAAATGAACCTTATGTACCACTTACTAATGATAATACTCCCATTAAATCAGTTAATAAAAATTTGACGGATGAATTACCAATAAATGGATCAGATACTTCAATTAAACCTCAGCAAACAGAATATTCTCAACCTATTGAAAATGGTCACTCATCAGAAGCTAAATCATTATCACAAATTGCATCTCCGAAAGAATCAACTCCATCACCAACTAACAAAAAAAGTTCTAAACAAAACACACCAATTGCATCTTCAAAAACTAATCAATACTATAAGCAAAATCCAGGCTCAAGACAAAGTATAAATTCAGACGCATATAATCAACAATTGTATTTTGGATATCAAAAACCGCCACCACAATTAGCACATAATTACAATCACCAACAATCAAATAATCAACCACTTAATAATGATCAAGAACAAGATGCAGATACAGAATCAGATGATGAAAAAACTACAAGTTCTGGATCTTATCAACCAACTCAGCATCCTTATTATGAGCAATGGAAAATGTACTATCAAGCATTAGCATTTCAACAACAACAACAGCAACAACAAATGAGGCAGTCAATGTATTACCCGAATCAAAATAATATGCAACAACAACAACAAAATCCAATGATGCCATACGGGTATCAACAAATGATGCAAATGCCTTATATGTACAATAATATGAACCCATATATGATGCAGCAACAACAACAACAACAACAACAATTCCAGCAAATGCAACAACAGTATCAGCAACAGCAGCAGCAACCACAACACAAGCTGAAAAGTAGACTATCATCAAATGTCAATTCTCATGCACAGTCACTACAAAACGTCTCAAATCAATCTACCAATGAAGCTCAACTAACTGCACCAGAAGTACCTGCTAAATCAAGACTACCAACAAGTAACTCAGAACCAAACCTCCCACAACAAACTCAAGATCAATCACAAATTTACTTAAACGCTTATCAAAAATCAAGAAAATTTAAAAATGATCAATCCACAGATACAAATGAATTAATACAAAATTCAAGAAGAAGTACAGTTAAATCAAATAGATATGCTTCTGAGCCACAACATTTTGTACCCAAACCAACTGCCCATCATCAACGTGTTGCTTCATTAGAAGTGAATTTTAAACCAAAAGTTTTTAATTCATATAAAGACAATGAAGATTACGATGAAGAAGAAGAAGAAGAAGAAGAAGTTGAAAAAGGTGAAACACCAGAAATAAGCGAAATAAAATCTAGAGTTGCTTCTGTTGCTCATTCATTATCTAATTTGGGATTAGAAGATAAAAATAACATGAAAAGACAAATTTCGGATTATAACAAATTTTTATTTGATGATGATGAAAGCGATAAAGAAGATGAGAATGAAGAAGTTACAAATAACGCTTCAGAAGAAGCTGTTGAAGAAAAACAAAATGAAGATGATTTTGATAAAACTATTGTAATTGAAAAAACAGCGTCACCGTCACCACAAATTGATCAATTACCATCACCAATAGATAGTTTGAATCGAAAAGATACTACATCATCAGAAGGTTCGTATAACTCCATACAAAGTGAAGATAGATTCCAAGTAGCAAGTATCAGAAGAACTTCAAAACAATCAACATTAAATGAATCAAGAACTTCAAGACCAAACCAACAACCAAAACAAAAACAAAGATCACCAACTATATCTCCACCACCTTCATTACCACCTCATAATTATCCAATGCCACCAATGCCAGATATGAATATGATGCAAACAAATCCAGTGTTACAAATGCAAATGCAAATGCAAATGAATCAAATGAATCAAATGAATTCAATGGGTATGAATCCTATGGGCATAAACCCATTTGGTATGAATATGGGTATGAATCCAATGCTTTATCAAAATACTGAATATATGGGAGATTTCAACAACAACAACAGTAAACGTCAAAGTATGATGGCACCAGATTCAAAAAGAATGTCAATGATGCAAGATTATCAAAACAAGAGAAACAGTATGCCAACATTTAATCAACAACAAATGATGAGTCAACAACCGCAATCACAAATAAATCATAAAACTTTAGATCCAATAATTTTGAAAAAAATAGAAGAATTTAAAAACCTAAGAGCAGAAATTTCACAAGGTAATAAATCAATGGAATATAGATTATTATGGGCTAAAATGTTAATAAACTCAACAAATTTCAAACTATACAATTACATTAATATCAAAGGAGAATATTTACACACAACTCAATCATCATCATCAAACAAAGCCATATTTATAAAATCATCAGTTACTCACATTTCCAAGATCATAAAAGAAATAGAAACAACAAATCAAGATTTAAAAACAAGTTTAAAATGTAAAGCCTATTTTATAATGGCTTGTTTATTAAAGAATGACTTTGTTGATGCATATGGTCAAGATTTTGGTATACCTAAAAACATCAATCAAAGTATAAAATTCTTTAATAAAGTATTGGAATTAAATAGTAAAGATTCAAGAGTTTTGTACAAATTAGGTGAAATTTATGAATATGAAGTACCTAATTCAACTGATTTAGCTATTGAATATTATTCAAATAGCTCTCAATTTGGTTATGGTAAAGCTACTGATAAATTGGCTAAGTTTGGAATTTCTATAGAATCTATATAATTTGGATAAAATTTAGATTTTTATAGAAAGTTTAATAAATTAATAATGACTAATTTAACAATGTAGAAATCTCTCAATTGTTGTTCTTCTTAAAGTACTAAGCTGCAAATTGTTACTTACTATTATTATGTAATAGAATCTGTAAAATCTGTAACATTACGCTACCAAACCAGATTTAAAGTTTTGATTAATTTCTTTTTTTCTACGTAGATTATTTTTATTATTATTGTTTTTATCAAAGACCGTTTTTGATTTACAATTAGAGTTAAAATTAGCCCTAAAAGCATCATACATTAACTATTCCAACTTAAGTTTAACAAATGATCTAAGAGAATTTAGAATTATAGTAATGACAAAACCAAAGGATATCAAAAACAATGATCCTTCAACTAAAGCGAATAATGAGCGTAGAAGATCAATTGCATTATTAACAAGATCACCAATTAGTGGATCACCATATAATAATAATCCAAATTCATCACCACGAGGTTCACAACCAAATTCATATGTTTCAAATACTCAGTTCTTAAGAGAAAATACACCTATACCATTACTCAAAACCAACTACTTTGGTACAAATGATAATGAATCAGCTATAGTAGATTCTAATGAGAATTTAAACAAAAAATCTAAGAATGATTATGATAAGATAGATTTAAGTGAAGGTTTAAATGATCCTAAAGTGATTTCAAAAATTTCAAAACATTTATCAAAAGATTCATCAAACTTAATGAATGAAGGCGGAGATATAACAAGAGATCTTTATAAAATACAACAAGATTTAGAAAATAAACCTTTCCTCAAAAGGTCAAAAAGTTATAATGAACTAGATGATGGTTCTGATAGCTCTTCGATAAAATCAAGAGCTGGTTCTTTTAATGTACCTGGTGGATTCAGGAGAGAGTTTTTAATTCAACAACATAACCAACAACATAATCAACAACATAATCAACAACATAATCAACAACATAATCAACATCATAATCAACAACATAATCAACAAGACAATGAAACCAATAATGAATATCAGAGCTTTAATAACGACCACTACAACAACTACCACAATGATATAGAAAACGGACCAATCTATAAACCAGTAACACCAAATTTTTTAACAAAAAACTTTATAGAATTTTTAAGCATTTATGGACATTTCGCAGGTGAAGATTTAGAAGATGATGAAAGTTCATCAGAGGTATCATCTTTAAGAAAACAAAGACAATTTTATCCACAACATTCTGAAGATATACCATTATTACAAACATCAGATAATTTTAACCCTAAGGGAACTGCAACTGACAAAAAGGCATATTTTTTGTTATTAAAGGCATTTGTTGGAACTGGTGTTTTGTTTTTACCAAAGGCTTTTGCTAATGGTGGATTGTTTTTTTCCATTGGGTTGTTGATGTTTTTTGCATTATTATCATGGTGGTGTTATTTAATTTTAGTAATTGCTAAAAATAAAACAAAAGTTTCAGGATTTGCTGAAATTGGATTGAAATTATATGGACCATGGTTACAAAAACTTATTTTATTTTCAATTGTGATTTCTCAAATTGGGTTTGTTGCTGCTTATATTGTATTTACCTCGGAGAATTTAAGAGCATTTTTGATTAATATTTTAAATTTGATGAATTTTAAACAATTTGATTCAAATTATCAGTTTCCTATGTACTGGTTCATATTATTACAAGTCATAATAATTATCCCAATGAGTTTAATTCGAGATATTACTAAATTATCCATATCAGCAGTACTTGCGAATTTTTTCATAATGTTAGGATTAATGATTATAATATACTTCATCAACTATGAATTTTTAGTGATGAATGATTTACAATTTGGTCCAAATGTTGAATTTTGGTTTAATAAAGCTGATTTTTCTTTATTCATTGGTACAGCAATTTTTGCATTTGAAGGAATAGGATTAATCATACCTATTCAAGAGTCAATGATATATCCACAAAATTTTCCCAAAGTTTTAACAAAAGTCATTATCTCAATTACGTTTATTTTCATATTAGTCGGAACATTAGGTTATTTAACTTTTGGATCAAATGTACAAACAGTAATATTATTAAATTTACCCCAGAATTCAATTTTTATAATAATGACACAATTTTTTTATTCTTTAGCAATATTATTGTCAACACCATTACAATTATTCCCCGCTATAAGATTAATAGAAAGTAAATTATTTAGTTTAAAAAGTGGTAAAATTTCACAAAAAATAAAATGGTTTAAAAATTTATTTCGTTCAAGTTTTGTTTGTCTTATTGCATATATTGCATTAATTGGTGGACAAAATTTAAATAAATTTGTTTCAATTGTTGGATGTTTTTGTATATCATTGATTTATATTTTCCCTCCAATTTTACACCTTAAAAGTTGTTGTCATACAAATTATGGATTGAATGAAAAAGAAAAAACAAAGATGTTTTGGTTGGGAAAATTGGATTATTTATTGGTTGTTATTGGATCTATTGCTATGGTTTATACAACTTATCAGATTTTATTTACTTAAAGGGATAATTTCTTTTCTTACATATACTTAACATTATTCATGAAACATTATCCTTTAACATTACTCATTAACATTTCACAACAATATTTATTAACATTATTTATCATGACTATTACAATTTTATTTATTCATAATTAAAGATAGAAAAATCTAGACAATTTAATAAACATAATGCATTAATTTAACTTTAATTCTATAAAACATCTAATAATAACAACTTAAGAAAATTTCTTTTCAATTTCTTGTCTAAACCAAGAAACATTTTTTATAACATCATCATTAACTCTAACTCTTGTAGCTTCAAATTCATCACTCCATCTCCCCAAAGCATGTCCTGCTTCAATTCTTCTGTGGTGGAAATCAGGTACGTATTTACGTTCAATATCAACATAATCTTTTGCTAGGTTGTTATAAGTTTTTGGCATAGTATAAGCAGTTGCAATATTTCCAAAAATTAGTGGTGTTACAAATCTTAATCCCAAATTTCTTTTACGTACTAATATTGAACCTGTTAATGTGAATGTTAAAATATATATTAAATTAGGTAAAATTGGTTCTTTAACAGTTTTGTTGTATGATGATTGTAAATTTCTAAATTCATTTTTAAAAGCATGATTTAAATTTTTTAATTCATATTCAAAAATTTGAAATTTGTTAATAAATGAATTACGTAAATTATTATTTAAACGTTCTAATGTTGGAGTAGATCTTATAATCATTCCATCAACTTCTTCAAATTCACCATGTGAACTTTCTTCTGATTTTAATTTTGGAGAAATTGGTAAAATTGTACCTGGTTTTGGTTGAATTGATTCATAATTTTCTTCATAAAAGGATCTTGATGGCATAGTCTATAGAATTGAGTTGTGTCAAATTTTTGGATTCGGAGAAGTAAGTCTTTGTATATTAGTGAATGTATGGTCTATTAATTATTGTTTTGGATATTTTTCAATTTTTACTTTAATTATATTTTTGTTACTCAAAATCTTACCCAATCAATTTTTTAAAATGGTTGCGAAATTATCAAGAGGTAAAATAAATCAATAGCTTTACTTCTAAAGTATTAAGAGTGAAAGATTCAAAGAATTTATGACATATTAAGTTACGAATAAATATTAAGATTTATAATATTAAAATTTATAAAATATTATACTAATTTTCTTAATTCGATTACAATCAACAATTTTACATTATATTAAATTAATTATTCAACAAACTTCAAACTTTCAAAAATTCAGACGATATGATATATATGGTTTTTAATTCAACATTCTCTTAAATCTTTTGTTTTTGTCTCATTATGTTCAGTGAAGTCTAACCCCTACCAAAGAATTTTTTTTTCTTCTTTTTTTCAACATTAGCAGTATTAGATTCAGCAATTCCACCTAAAGGTTGAGCAGCCAATTGACCATTATTATTAACACTGTTATTATTATTATTATTGTTGTTAAATGGAACTTGTAAATGTTCATCACTTTCATGTATCTGAGTGGTTGGAGTATCATTTGTATTAGTTGAAGACAGTGAACTATTCATATTTGGAGGTTGTAAATAACTTGAATTTGAATTTGAATTTGAATTTGAATTTGAATTTGAATTCGAATGAGTATTTGTTGTTGATGATGGATTTTCATTTAATTGTAAATTTTGCTGTGATTGTTGATGTTGAAGAATTTGTGGTGGTAATTGTTGTTGTGGTAAATTCAATTGTATTGGATTACTAGATGATCTTCTTGGTTGCGGTGGTGAATTTAATTGTTGAGATACATTCATTGATTTTCTTGTACCTGGTTGTGGCATACCACCTCTACCTCCAACATCAAACCCATCTAAGTTACCAGATAATATGGGCATTTGAGATCTACGATTTGATTTTTTAGGATTTGATTTAAATCTGCCTTCTAAAAATGGATCAATTGGTGCTGCATTATTAAAACTTGAATGATTTGATTGTTGATATTGTTGTTGAGGATTTTGTTGTTGTTGTAATTGCATATTATAATGTTGTTGTTGTTGATAATCATGGAAACTATTGACTCCACCTGGCATTGAACTTAATCTTCTTGGTTGTTGATGTGGTGGTTGCTGTTGATATTGTGGCTGATTATAACTTCCATTCATTTGTGGTTGATATTGATTATATTTATTCATATTTGTCATTGATCCATTTTGTTTTAATGGTGGTGGGAATTGATTTTGTGGTAATCCACCTGAAGGTAAACCATGAGGTGGTTGTTGATCTGAATACATTGCATTAGGTGGTGGACCATATTGTTGTTGTTGTGGTTGATTATATGGTCTTTGTTGTTGTGGATTGTACGGTTGTTGTGGTTGTTGATTATAATTATATGGTTGTTGCTGTGGTTGGTATTGTTGAGGTGGTTGAGAATATCCTCCATTACTACTTCTTCTTTCTCTTGATCTTAAAGCTTCTTCTCTTCTTCTTAATTCCATTTCTTTTTGTATTATATGTGGAGGTAATTCACCATTTGTAGTATCAACAAATACTTCTGAATTATTATCACTTGGTATTTTCGATAATCCTGGTGGTTGAATTGGTGGTTGTAATTGTTGTTGAGAAGATTCACCATTTAATGTAGCACCATATTGAACAATATGTTTCAAATCAGCTAAACCATCTTGTGTCATTATTGAATCTCTATAATTGTTGGTGTTTTGTTGAGTTTGAGCTGGTGGTGGTGTTTGTTGAACAGGAACCAGTAAATCTCCATTATGTAACTTTTGTTTTTGGAAATTTGATTCCAAATCTTTCAATTTTTGATTGTATTCTACATTTAATTGTTTAAATTTTGATTCATGTTCAAATTCTAAAGATTTTGATTTTTTTTCAAATTCATAATTTATATTTGATAATTTTGATTCGACATCTATAATTTTTTGTTGAATTGATTTTAAATTAATTTCTTGAATTCTTAAATCATTATCTTGTTTTAATCTTTTTTTATCATTATCTTGCAATATAGCATCTAATTGTTTTTCTTTATCTAGTTTTATTTTAATTTCTTCATCTAAATTTGTGAGTTGTAATAATTTATTTTGATCAGGTTCATTCAAAACTTTTCTTTTGAAAAAAATTGCAGAGTCTTGATTTATATTATTATATTGACACATCATTGAATAAAGGTTTTCTAAATATGGAGTTCTTATGCCATTATCGTCACCTAATAATATTGGTTGTAATAATAACAAATCAAGATCAAGATTATATGAATGATAAAAATTATAAAATAATATTGGTGAATTTATATAGTTTTCATTTGATTTAGTTACAGGATAAATGTTACACCAACTTTTTAATAAATTTGCTTCATTTTCAAACCCTTTAACTAATTTACAATCCATTTTCTTAATTAATTTGAATAATTCATTTATTAACCCCGTGATTAATGGTTTTGATAATATTTGATTCTTTAGTAATTCTGGGAATTTAATTTCAAATAATACCATTATAGGATTTAAAACTATTCTAGGTATTGCTAGTTTCCATTGATATGTCATAAATTCTTTAGAGTTACTACTTTTTAATAAAGTTATTGCATTATTACTTTGTTCTTGAATATTTTGTAAAATCTTGTAAAATTTCTGATAATTAAAATTTGAATTTAATTTTCCAGTTGATGTTGTTGTACCAAAATATATTCTTGTATCATTGTTTCTAATTTGATGACGATATTTGTTGGTGGATATTTTACGTGTATCACTTTCATTCATTATTGACATTACACAAACTGATGAATTTTTAGATAAATTCATTGATATAAATGGTTCTAAATTTATATAACCTGTAGATTCAACTATGATAACTGATTTTTCATCTAATAAATTATTAATTTGACTACATATCACTTGAAAATCTTGTAATGTATTACAACTTAATAATATTACATCAAACTTTTTATTTGTAGGTATATTTTGAATAGATTTATATAAAAATTGAGGTTTTAATTGTGATGAACCTAACAGTGATGATTGAAACTGTATTGGGAATGATGAATCAATTTCTGGATTTATAATAGATAATTCAATAGAATCTAATTGATTTAATCTCCATGAATAAAATGATAAATTTGGATTTGAACCAACTATAAGAGTTGTTGTTAGTAAAATATAATCAGATTTAAATGATGATGGCATATTGAAATGTGAAAAAAAGTGTCAGAAATCAACAATAGATTATGATAGCTATCTTTGATTGAAATATCCGATGATAATGATTAGGATATCAATGCAATAATTAAATTTTTCTTAATTGTCGATAACTTGAAGTTTCTTTAGTGAATATTATTATTGTAATAATACAACTTGATTTAATCAGTTTTATAATTTTTTTTATAATTTAACCCAAGAATTTCAATTCCAAATGAAATTTGTATATAATATATGAATGTAATATTTTTCTTTAATAGCCTTTATTATAAATTATTCTAAATATTAAAATATAATAATTTTAATTAAATTTTTTTAATTTAGTTCGTAAAATTATATTGAATAATAAATTTCTTAAATTTAATAATAATAAGAATAAAATAATTTATTTTCAATACACGATGTAGTTATGGAAATATAAAATATTTGACACTTTCAATTGAAATTGATCTCCTTAATTGATTAACAATAGTAGTCTTTTAAAAATTATTTCCAGTTTCGAATTTTATAAATGATGATGTTGAAAGTTTTTTATTTATTGAATGTAAATTAATGTAATATTCTGACACTTTTTCACTTTTTTCTCCATAATTATTCAATTGATATAAAGAAAGAAAAAAAACATACTTGAAATTATTTTTAAATGTTGTGACATAATGAAAATTAGCTAAAATTGATAGAGGATATGCAAAAATTAAAATGATTGAAATAGCTAAATTCAAGTACTAATCTATCTTTAATTATAAGTGAATGAATAAATAAGTTAGAAATATATAAAAATGTTGTAATTGATTAATTCATGAAGAAAAAGTGTTGTAAAAAATTTAGAATTATAAATTAATTTTTTTGTATAATAATAATAATAATAATTAAGCAATCAATATTAAAAAATTTCTCGAGAAAACTAATAATAAATATTTTAATATTTATGTTTTAATGTTAATTGTATTAAAATAAAACATTCATTAATAAAAGAATTTATTATTATACTAAGTTCTATAGCATTAATACTTTAAGTAAATATAATTCATTTCATAATCTAATATTAATGAGATCAAAGTTGAATTGAATCAAAAAGTAACACTACAAATCTGATTAATTTAAATATTGATTTTAAGTAATTCAAGTCAATTAATCTAATTGTAGCAAAATCAAATTTATTGTAAAAATAAATTCTTTTTTAATGTTAATAAAAAAGAATCAAAAGCACAAAGTCAATGAAGTAAAATATATAATATTTATTTATTGAATAATTTACTAAAAAGTAAAAGATTAATACCTCATTATGGTTTATTGTAAAGCCCTTTTTTATGATGATAAAAAGACCCAATTCAAACAAGTACAATCAAGGAAAGATATAGCTTAATAAGAATATCAGATATTAATCCCGAATTTATACGGTCGAATTATTTATAATTGAAACTTTCCCACCGTAATTTCCGTTGTCCCAAAATTTGTTACTTACAATATTATTGATTATAATTTTTATGCTCTTATTTATATCGCCATAACGTATAGTAATAGATCAATGATCTTAGAAATCTCGAATTTTATAAAGATTGAAAAGTAAATATTTAGCAATTATTATTTGGAAAGATTCAAGAGATGACAATTTGTATATTGTATAAATCTAATCTATGTAAAAATTTAATTTCAAATGATAGAATTTAAATATTATAAAAGCAATAACAACTAATAAAAATTACAATAAAATAAATAACATCTACAAATAATAATACTAGTAGTCACCTCGAAATCTAGTTCTATTGTAGTAGGTTGTTTATATAATTGTTACGTACATTGAGGAATATGAAATACTGCAATATTAATATTATATACTACCATATCAATTTACGAACTTTATGCTTGTAATAAAATCAATAAAAAACGAACATTTCTAAATTAAGAAACAAATTTAAGATAGAATCGGTAAGTAAAATCTAATTTTTACTCAGAAACCATTTAAAATCTGCACTCCAGAAAATTTTAGTGAAACAACAACAGTCGGTTAATATTAACTTTTGTCTACTCCGCCTATTTAATACTGCTTTGATTGAGAGAGAAAAAAAAGCAAACAGTTATTCAGATCAAAGACTATTCTTCTCTTTCAATTATACTTCAATTGTTTTTTTGTCATGTATGTACATTGGTTTAAATAAAAATTTGAAATTATTCTTTGTTATTTATTATTTATTTATTATTGTGTTTCAAAATTTAAATATTCTTTTTTTTTTTCAAAGGGTTTTGATTTTTTTTTTTTCTACTGTACTGAACGTTTTTTCTATTACTACTGTTCTAAATAAATCAATTAATTAACCATATAAAGTAATAATAATTACCTAATTAAAAGATTAAAGGTTAGCTTTTTAATTTATGTTATTTTGGATCTATATCAAATTATAAGTTTTTAAATCACTATAAAAGTTTAATTAGTGATGAAATCAATTTATAAATAGATATTCTGTTAATAAAGCCGTTGTAGATCGGCTATAAAATTCAATGAATAAATATTTTTCTGTTCTTTGTATTACTTTGTTTATTAATTAATAAGTAAACTTGAATATTAAAGATCTTGTGACTTTTAAATACCTAAAGTTTTTCTCTCGCTTTAAAATTCGTTTTAGCTTTGAAGTCAAATTAGGTCGAAGTACACGTCTCTCTAGTTGTTAAGTATGTATAGCTTTAATAAACAACGAGAAAAAAATTATTTACAACCATCTCCTTTATATTTCTTCTTTTTTATTCAAACCAATCCATCTCAATGGCGTCGTTTTTCAACTGTAAATTTGATGAACTTGATAGCCGTTGACAAATATAAAATTCTATCGTTGTAATTTTTTTTTTGAAGTTACAGGAAGACATTGCGCTCTTTTAGATATGAATTTGAGACATGATGGTTATTGGAGAATAAAATTGAAAAAAAGGGTGTATCTCCGGTTGATGAGTTAAACTTTGATTCTCTCGGTCATAATCCCTTTTATATTTATCATTATTATTGATTAAATGTCTATTGTTGAGAGTAATGTATTGATTATTTGATTATTTGATTATTTGTTTGTTTCATATTTCCATTGCTTTTATTCTAGAATAAACTTTTAATTTCATCTTTCTCTCTTACTTAAACGCGTTTAATTTGGTCTAAATATTATTCTTATAAGTTCATCAATATTACCAACCAAAATATCAATCAATACATTGGCATATCCATATAATAATTACAATATACAATGCCAAGAGGTCAATTAATACTAATAGAAGGATTAGATAGAACTGGTAAATCAACTCAATGTTCAGAATTACGTAAAAAATTCCCTAAATCAAAATTAATTAAATTTCCAGAAAGATCAACTAAAATAGGACAATTAATAAATGAATACTTAACAAATCCAGATTTTAAATTAAATGATCAATCAGCTCATTTATTATTTTCAGCAAATAGATGGGAATTAAATGAAGAAATTGAAAAGTTATTAAATGATGAATATTTTGTTATATTAGATCGATATATTTATTCAGGATTAGCATATACATTAGCTAAAAATAATACAGACCAAAAAACTAATGAAAATAAAATATCAGATAGTAATTCCAAAATAAATTTATCAAATATTGAATGGTTATTAACACCAGATAAAGGTTTACCAAAACCTGATTTAACTTTATTTTTAACTTTAAATCCAGAAGAAATTGCTAAAAGAAAAGGTTTTGGTAATGAAAGATATGAACAAGAACAATTTCAACAAGATGTTAAAAAGGCATTTCTTAAAGTATTAAATGATGAAATTTTAAAAGGTGATGATTCAATAAAAATTATAGATGTTAATAATATGAATATTGAAACTGTTACTAATTTAATTTGGGAAATGATTGAAGATATTAATGGTAATAAATTAACAAATAATCCAATAAAACGTATAGAATAATTACAAATACAAAATTTATCAACGTAAATTTCCAACTCCCATTTATACATATATATATTCAAGATTCTAACATATCTAATTTCTCTAATCTATTTAAAATTTTAGATTTCAGTATATCTTGAATTTCTCCACCTAAATAAATTTCATCTAAAATATAATATAATTTATAAAAATTAAAAATTAAATCAACTTCACAAACATTATTAAAATAAGTATCCAAGATTTCAACAAAAAAATGTAAACTTTCTAAATAAACTAGATCATTTTCTTCTAAATCTATTGCTATAATAAAATAAAGTCCAGCATATCTTCTATAACATAACTTATATGATTGTTGTTGATTTTTTTGTGATTGATTAAATAATACAAAATTTGATTGATGTTTTGAATCTCTACTTGATATTAATCTGTGAATATCTATTATATTTTGTTGCTTTTGTTGAATTGTTATTGAATTATTAAACCATTTAACTAATCTAGATTTTCCTTGTCTATTTAATACTAATATGAATTGAATTGACATTTTCTTATGGTAGCTGTTATATATACATTTATGAAGGAAGTATTTGATTTTAGAATGAATTTGTTGTAGATGTTATTATTAATTTAAGGTTTGAAATTGATCTGATAAACTGATTTGATTTTAACGCAATAAACGGATAAATATTTACAACCAAGATATTATATTTTTTGCAGGCTTTGATTTAACGCAGATCAAGGATTTCACGCACATGGGTATATAATTTGCAACCAACAATACTGTTGGAGGGTGTTAGGTAAACTATAGGGTCTGTTAATCTATATATTCATCTGGAGCATAAACTAGATGGTTTAAGTATCTGCTTTGAGAAAAGTCAAATTTGATTTGAGATATATGATATAAGGAATGGGTTGTTATTTCCTTAGAGTTTGGTACCAAATTAGCAACCAATTTTTGAAAATATAAATTTAAATCCGAAAAATTGAAACCAGCCCTTTATTCTCAGAATGAAAGACATAGCAAAAAGCAAGTTAGTATTTTTTGTATATGCAATTGATACAATTGAAAAGTTTTCGATTTTTCAGCTTTTCTTTCTGGGTGTATTTGTATTTTTACAATCAAAATGTGGAGAGGTGAATTAAGTTGACTAGAAAAAGTGAGATTAAAGGGTTTTTGGCAGAGCAGTTTTACAAGTTCTTTAACCTTTCAGCACTACATTCAAGCCATACTAGTCTTCCAATTCATTGTTTTAATATTGATGAAAGAGTGTTTGAAGTTTGTTAGTATGATCTCAAAAACTACACAAAATGAAATACCATTTATAAATAAAACAAAACTTTAAAACTATGTAGTTTAAAATATCTGATACACGTCTTAATTTTATTTACAACCACATTCAACTTGAAGTCAATATGAGTTCATCATATCATCATTTTAATGATGATGACGATGATGATGATCCAAACAACAGAGAGCAATATAAACAAATTGAAATTCGTGAAGCAATAACTTTTTTAATTGATATTACACCAAATTTATTAAAACCTCAAAATGAATTAAATCAAACATCACAATTAAAAGAAATTTTAACAAGTATTAATGAATTAATGCAAGAATTAATTATAAATTCAAGAAATACTGGAATTGGAATTTATTTTTATAATTGTGCAACCATTAAGCCATTAAAAAATTTGGGTTTACCTACTTTCAATTCATTATTTGGATTAAATGTTTTAAATTTAACAAATATGATTAGATTAAATGATTTATTAGTTAATAATGAAGATTTATCAACAATATTTAAATATAAACCAATGGAAGAAGAATCTGAATTAAATTCAATATTAAGTAAAATGATTAATCAATTTACAGGTAAGAAAGAATTTAACAAGAGAAGAATGATTTGGATTACGAATAATGATCAACCATTTAAAAAAGAATCTACTTTAGAGAATTTAAAAAGATCAATTGATGATTTTGATGGATTTGGTTTTAAAATTGATCCAATTTTTATAAGTTATGATCCTTCATCACCATTTAAATTTGATAAATTTATTGATATTTTTTCAAATACTAATTTTTTAAAAGTTGATGAATATAAAGAAGATAAGAAAATAAAATTAGAACCATCAAATGGTACTAATGGATTTGATTCAACCACTTCAAGTAAAACTAGGAATTCAATGTACCAACAACCTATATTAAGTAATCAAATTAAAAAAAGGATTTTAAATATTCAAAATATCAAAAGAGTTCAATTTTCATGTAGTTTGATTTTAAGTGATAATGGATCAATTGGTGGTAATTTAGGCTGTAATATAAAAGGTTATACTTTATATTCACATGAAAAAATTAAAAAATCTGAAATTCAATTATATACTAAAAATGAAGAAATTAAAAAAGTTTATATTGATTCAGATTTAATTGATGCTAATAATCAAACAAAAATTGAAATGAAAAAAGATAGAAATTTATCATTATCTGAAAGAAAACAAGAATCTGGGATTATGAAAGGATTTGAATTAGGTGGTGATAATGATGTATTATTATTAAATCAAGAACAACTTGAATTTATTAGAAATTTCACATTTGATCATAGATTGAAAAATGACGATACCAAAAAAGTTAAAAAAGAAGATGAAATTGAATTTCCAGATGATATAGAAAATGAAGATGATGATAATACAATCTCATTATCTTATTCAAAAGCACCATATTTAAAAGTTATTGGTTTCAGAGATTTAGAACATTTCAATCCTTCATATATATGTTCAACTCCAGTATTTATAAGTGCTGATTTATATAATGGGTTTAATACAACAATATCATCAAAACAAGGTGGTTTTACAAATTCATTAAAAACTTTTGCATCATTATATAGATCAACTTTGAAATTAAAACAATATATTGTTGTTGTTGGATGTATTAGATCAAATTCAAAACCTCATTTATATGCAATGTATCCTACACAAACTTTTGGATCAAATAGATTAAAAGAAGAAATTAATTTACCTCAAGGGTTTTTATTATGTAAATTACCATGGGTAGATGATTTTAGATCATTACCTTCTAATTATATTCAATATGTTAATAAAGAAGAACCAAAAATAAATCAACCATTAGTTGAAGATTTTAAAAATCTAATCAAAAATTTTGAAATTGATTCATATGATCCAAAAAATTATCCAAATCCATCATTAAATTATTATTATAAAGTTATAAAACATGAATTATTACAATTACCATTTTTACCAACTAATAGATTGTTAGCTAAAAATGATGAAACTTTTAAACAATTAATTTCAATAAAAAAAAATCTAACTCCAGAAAATCATCAATTAATAAAAGAAATTTTATCAAAAATTCAAAAATTAACAGAAGATATAACATCACAAGAAAAAGAATCACATATACCACCACCACCTAAAACCAAAAAATTTATAAAAGAAATAACAATTGAAGAAGTATTAATAGCATGGAAAAATAATAATTTAAATAATTTTAATATGGATCAATTAAAACAATTTCGTAAAAATCATTATCCTGATATTAAACCTGCTGTTAAAAAAATTGATATGATTAATAATATATCTGAATATTTGGAATCTAATGTTAAAAATTAATAAAAAAGGAGTAGTTTTAGAAGTTGGTAATGGTTAATTTAATGGTTTTGGTGTTTCAATTCTACATAATATGTAAAGTGTCTTGATGATACTTGTTTCTTAATATAAAAGGTTACAATAAAATTAAATAGCATAGTTTCTATATAAATAATTCCAATTCAGTAATCTCTTCTAATAAAACTATTTGAATTTGTAATAAAAAGTTTAGCAATTCTTGAAAATGAGGCAAATTAAAGAGTGGAGTTAAACTTTTACTTTTAACATAAATTTGAATAAAAAGTAAAAATTAAAATTGTAAATCTGTGAAAAATTTTAAAATTACTGTATATAATAAGAATATTTTTATAAGGTACAAATTTAAGGGGAACATTTTTATACATTACTCAAAGATGAAGAAATTAGATAGTCTAAATTCTAAAATTTCTATTTTTAGATTTAAATGAATACATATTCTCTGACAATTCGATCGAATTTTTAAATATCAAATTAGTTGATTTGGATTGATGTTGGACAGTATTGATTTTACCTAGTTACTAAAAATTGATGCCATGTTAAGAATTACATCAATTTAAAAGTATCGGACATAAACAAATTTACGTTTATTGTTGCAATTTAAGAAAAACAAAAGGAGGAAATAATGTATGATTAATTAAATATTTCATTAGAAGTTATTGTTTTAATCATTTTGTTTCATAGTAATAACTTAACTCAAGGAAAAAAGCAATTTTTGAAAATTTATCACAAGTAAAATTTAATATTTTTAAATTTTGACGTTTTAAATTAGAATGTTTAATTTGACTGAAAAATTCATGAAGCTGTAAGACATTGATATGAATTATGTCATTATTTGTCCTTACTTATTTTTTTAGGTCTTGCCTTTTTATAATTAAGGCAAAGTAAGTAAGTAAGTTTGAAGAATTTTTTTTACTTATCATTTCCTCGATCTTTTTTACTTCATCATTTTCATTTAAACAATTATTTTTACCGCCCTGTACACGTAATGGGTCCTACATTCTTCCTTGTTAAAAATTTCAAATTGATACGAAAGTATGCTTAGAGTAACAGATGAATTATAATATTATCAGACTATGAGCACTTTTATTGTTTTACTCAACTAGTTTTTATTATTGTATATTTTAATGTATTTCCATTAAATTAAATCTTATTATTCTTTGATTGTGTTTGATAATTACTGAAATTCGTTTAAAATTAACAAAGTTTTACTTTACAATTTTCATCTTGTTTAATTTATTATACATTTTCTCAAGTTTTACTTTACAACTTACTTGTTACTGAATTAATTATTAATATTATTAAATATTAAATCTTGCCCTTTCTTCAATAATAGAATTTTGAAAATTATTTTATATTATTACTTTTTTTCTAAATTTGTAATTTATTCCATCCTTATTTATTGTCAGTTAAACTGCACTGATACGACTACTCATCATTAATTCTTTCATAAGGTTGTTAATTAATCTTACATGTTTGATTGAAACATCTTAATTTAATTAAATATTTGTTTAAAACACGTAAAAACTAATTTAATTTAATTCTAATTTAATTTAATAATTATTTGTGTAATAATTAAAAAAAAAATTAATTAATTACTAAAAATAAAAATAAATTTTGATTTTTGATTAAAACTATTTTTATCATTCATCAAGAGGGTTATTGTATCTTTACAACAACATAATAATAATAACAAAATCATTGAAAAAGTGTTAATATATAATAGAACAATAATAAGGTTTAAATATCAAACACTATTTCAACCATTTCTTCATATCAGATAAAAAGTTTGGATCAAATTTTTAACAACGTTTATTTTTAATTACAACCAAAATTATAGATCAATAGTTTAAAAAGTCTTCAAATAGTTATTTTTCTTTAATTTTAATCATCATTTATGTCAAATATTATATATTGTACTACACCAACAACAACAACAACAACAAACAATTATAGATCAAAAACTAATAAATTATCTAATAATTATAAAACTCATAAAACTAATACCAAAAAGATAAATTCACCACTAAATAATTCAAAATACTATGGAAATATGACTCAGAATATAAATTTAATAAATAAAGATGATACTCTATATAAAAATAATAATCAAATATATTTAAATCATCAACGACAGTTCAGTTTTGAAACTTCATCAAATAATGATTCAAATTTAAGATCACCTTCTTCATCACCAGTAAAAAATTTAAACACCCAAACCAAAATAACGCCTTCTAAAGTTAATCATCAACCAAATTCTTCAAATGATTATCAAATGTCAGAAGTAGATCTTCAAAATGGAAATCACCCTGAAATTCATAATCATATAGATTCTTCAATTCAACAACATCAAGATTCATTAATATCAGATTCATCTTATTCTTTACAAAAACCACCAACTAATGTATTATCACATGGTTATCAATCATCTATATCTTCTGTATCTTCAAATGGTTCAATACCTTCATCACCTGGATTAATCAATTATTCACCAAAACATTCAAGAAAATTAAATTCATTACATCAGAATAGAAATATGAAAAATTTATCATTAAATTTAAATGATTCAAATGGTTCATCAACACCAAATAACTCTACAACAAAATCACAACAACAACAAAATAACCAAAAATCAAATTTATTATCCAAAAGAAATAAACTTTCAATGTCAGAATCTATTGATTCACCTACAAGATCACAATCTATAAATTTTATACAACCACCACCACAATTGACTTCACATTTAGTATATAGTGAAGGAGCTTTAAATACCCCCGAAGTTACTCATACTCCAATTCAGCCACCAAAAATTCATCAACAAGAACATTTAAATAACTCACAGCCTTCTTCAATTGAACAATCACAACCTTCAAATGAAAATTATAAATTTCCACCATTGGCTTATACCAATAATAACAATAATAACCTTGCAGAATATGATTCAATTTCATCAATAAGTGATATGAAGGAAACAGATCATAATGATATATTGAATGAAAGAATAATACCTCCAGTACAACCACCTTTTGCTATAGGAGCATCAAAATTACTGCCATTGTCAACACCACCAAGATTACAAAGTCCAATAATTTCAAATACTCAATTACATAATGTTTCAACACCAACTACAAAATTATCGAGAAATATTAAGAAAATGTCAATAGAATCACCTTTGGAAACAAGTTTCAATAAAGATGAAGTAAATAATAAATCAAGTAATGATCAAGTTATAAGTGAAAATTCCTTCAGTAATGATCAAAGTACATCACAAAATATTACATATAACTCCAACAAATTCAATATGCCAGAAGAATTACAAGAATCAACATCGATCAATGCATACCCAAATGGTCCACGAAATGTATTGAACAATTTAATATTTTTGTATTCAGATCCCAAAAATAAAATAGATATAAATGAATACAACCTAATAATAAATGTTGCAAAAGAATGTACAAACTTGTCACATTTATTACATAATCAAAAACCAAATTACAAAGAATACATTCAAATAGATTGGTCACATACATCATCAATATCCAAGGATTTAAACTACTTAATTGAAAAAATCGATTCCTTTTACAACAAAAACTTAAAAATCTTAGTTCATTGTCAATGTGGAGTATCAAGATCAGCATGTGTAGTAGTAGGTTATTTCATGAAAAAATTCGATTTAGGAGTTAATGAAGCTTATGAAATGCTTAAAAATGGTACAACAACAGCCCCAGGTGTAGTGATTGAGAAATGTGATAGGATTTGTCCTAATATGTCATTGATATTTGAATTAATGGAATTTGGTGATAAGTTGAATAATAAATCTGAATTTACTACTAATCAGATTTTGAATCAATCTCCTCCTTCTCTGATTGGAATTTAAAAAAGTTATTAGGCTGGTTATCTTCTAAATGTTATTGTTTGTGTACTTTTTATTTTTATATTTTTAGTTCTATTGTTTTGTTTAATATACTAGTTATGATAGTTATGAGATCTTTAAAAAATTGTAAACTCTACGTAAAGCTCACTTTTTCTTATTCTGTATGGTTGCAAAAATGTGCTTGTTATAGGATTTACAAATTGACCACTTTACACGACTTATATAATTTGAACAAAAAATGAATATCTATCAAGAATTAGGCAACCATCTATATTACAAATTAATTATTACTGTTCATAAACCTACAACATTACATTGAAAAGCCATCAAAGTTGATTAGTTGGATGATACAAATTAGCGTTTAATATTGATTGTCCACACTTCACTCAATAAAAACATACGTCAAAATAAAAAGTAAATTAAAATAATACAAAACTAGTCATACCAAATAACTTTGCATAACTTACAACAACTACTATATTATATATTCCAAATAATCACCAAACGGTTCATTAATATATCAAGAAATGTCATATGATGGAAACAAATCTCATTATACTCCAAGATATAACTCATCAAATTCATCAAGAAAATTACACGAACAACTGAAAAACGACTCAAAGTCTACATCATCATCTACAACTCAACCACAGTATCAAACCACTTCTGCATCAAATACAGCCCCTAGTACAGGTGGAAGAAGAGATGTATACATTGGATCTGGTTATAAGTCTCGATATAATGATTCATATACTTCGAAAACTTCAAATCCAATAAAATCAAATAGTGGAAGTTCGTATTATAGCTCCAACATTAACCCTACAAATGGAGGAAATGGAATACGATCAACTTCAAATTCATATTATACCTCAAGTTTATCAGGAAATACCCCAATAAGTGCAAATAGTATAAGAAGAAGAAATGATAAATATTCACCAACAACAACAACTTCATCATCAACAAAATATCCAGATCCAACAAAAAACGACAAATTTATATCAAGAACTGGATTAGCCACTAGCTCAACATCTTACGGAAATTATAGAAAAGATTATTCGTTTAAACGACAAGCATCACCAGATTCATCATCTTCATACATTAAAGAACGATCACCAGCAACTGATCCTCTTTCATCATTCAAAGACGAAAGACGAATGTCAAACCCATTAGAAAAACCAACAACCACCACATCTAGTTATATTTCAAAATCAAGAAAATCAAGTTGGGAAACAACCACCAAAAATCCATCATCACTTGCATCATCAAGAAAATCAAGTCTAGATAAACCTATAAAAGAAAAATTCGAGTCCAAAAGATCATCACTATCTAGTATTAGTAGTTTAAAACAGTCGGAGTCAAAGAGAAATAGTTCTGTGGATAGTATTGGCTCAAATTATGGAGGTGAACTATCTAATTTTGATAAAGAATTAGCTAGGAAAGCTTCTATTGGTGATAAATCCGTTAAAAAAGAAGAGCCTAAAAAATCGTTCTTGATACCGAGAGGCAAATCTGATTCTACTACACCAAAAATCGAAAGTGAAGATAATAAATTTATTCCCAACAAATTGTCAATCAAACCAGAATCAGATATTGAAAAAGATTCTTCCAACTTACAAAAAAAATCGACAATACCTAAATCCACACAGCTAGTACAAAAAGATTCAAAATCAGAAAACAAACCTAGTAAAGATCTACAACCAATTAAGAAAACAATAATTGATCAAACCTCAACGGATTCAACAGATTCAAACATATCATCTACAAAATCATCTAATGCATCACGTTCACCATCTGGAATTAAAAAGACATCATTCAATGATTATTTAAAATTATCAAAAGAGAAAAAGAAAATTGATGAAGAGAAGACTACTAAAAATCCAGACCTAATCGAAGAGAATTCATCAGTAATTACGAAAGCAGAAAAGGCAGATGATGACAAAGCAATACAAAATGATGAGACGAAAGATGTTGAAATGAAAGATGAAACAAAGTCAGAGTTTAAAGAAACCAAAAATGAAGATAAATCATCAGTTGAATCTACAGTCAATACAACACAAGATGAAGAGTCTAAACCAGAACATGTATCTGATGAACATATTGTTGAGGAGAAAGATGAAGATGCGATGGAAATAGATTCAAAAAAGGAAATGACAGAACCCAAACTAAATATGAACAAAAAAGATATTGACAAAGAAGCAGAATTAGGGTCGAATAAAAAAGCAGATAGTAGTGATAACATGGAGCAAGTTCATATAGATGAAGTAAAGGAAGAATCTGCAATAATGGAGAAAGATCAAAAAACTATTGAGGATACGCCAAATGAAATTGCATTAGAGAAAAGACCAGTTTTAGTCGAGCAAGATAAAGAAGAAAATGATGAAGTAAATACCAAGCAGAATAAGCAACAAGATACAAAATCTGAAGACGACATTGATATGGATGAACTTAAAGATGCCACACCTCCTGATGCTCCACTCAAAACTAATTTGAATATGACTCCTCATACTACATTAAAAATTGAAGACTCATTTAATGATTCTTCAATACTATCTCCCATCAATGATTCAAAAATCAAAAGAAATTTTAGTTTAAAAGATATTGGTTTAAGTTCAGATAAGGATAAATCATTAATTAACGACGAAATAGAGGAAGAGGACAAGAACAATGATGAAGAAGTGAATTTTTCTGAAACTGAAACCTTAATCGGTACACCTCCAAGATTGAATCATGGTAGAAACTTAATCAAAAAGAGTCCTGTTGATGATAATCGTCATAAATTGAAGAAAAAAAGAGCAGTTGTTGAATCATCAGATGAAGAGATGGATACTACGAATAACAACGACCAGGAAGAAAATTTAGTTTTTGCAAGTAAAACTGAGTATAAACCAAAACCAGAAAAAAAATTGATTCCAGGAAAATCAATGAAAAAAGCTCCCTACAAAATTAAACGTGATTCAAGTGGTAGATCATTACTACAAAGAGCATGTAAGAAGGGAAGTTTTGAAGATGTCAAAGAATTTTTAAGTCGTGGGGCAAATGCAAATGAAAAAGATTTTTGTGGTTTTACTTGTTTACACGAAGCTGCTTTAGAAGGTCACTCTGAAATTGTACAATATTTAATTGATCATGGTGCAAATGTTAATGCAAAAGCTGATGAAGCAGGTGATTCAGAAACTCCGTTAATTGATGCTGCAGAAAATAAACATCTTGAAACTGTTAAAGTGTTACTCAAAAATGATGCCGATCCTACAATTTTCAATATTGATGGTTTTACTGCATTAACTAAAATTTATAATGAACATGCTGATGAAGATGGTTATGATGAAATTATTAAAGCTTTAGAAGCTGCAAACAATAAAATTACAAATAGACAAATTTCAAAAGCTCAATCAAAAGGTGCTTCTCCAGATTCTAGATTTGTTGTAATTGATGATCCAAATGAAAATTATTTTGCTGACCTAATTAAAAGAAAAGGAATTTTTAAATGGGCAGCTGAAAATCATAAAGAAGTTGTTGCAAATTTTTTCGTCTCCGGTAATAGTTTAGAAGATAAACCAGATATTTTGATAATTGCTGCAAGGAATGGTCATTCTGAATTAATTGATATTATTTTAGGTTTAAATCCAACTCAATATAATATTGACACCGAGAGTCCGTGTGGAGTTACTGCATTATTAGCAAGTGTTGGTCGTGGTCAATTAGAAGTTGTTAGATCTTTGTTGCAAAAGGGTGCTGATCCTTTCAAGATGAGAAAAAAAGATGGATTAAATGCATTACAAATTGCTGAACATTCATCAAGATTTAATTCAAAAGAAGTTGAATTGATTCAAGAATCAATGGAGAAAAAAAGCGGTACTAAAATTATATCTGCTGTTCCTTCAAGAGTTGCTTCTAGAGTCACATCTAAACCACTGTCAAGAGCTCCATCTGTACCAGTATCTGATGAATCAGAGGAAGAGGAGATGGTACAAAACAATTCATCAATGAGAAATGAAGATGAAATGAATATAGATAAGGAAGAGGAAAGGACTAAAGATGAAGACACCAAATCGACAAAAGCAAACGAAGATATTCCAAAAAATAAAGATGTTGATGCAACTATCGAAAATTTGGAGGTTAAAAAAGTTAGGGGCAACCAAAATAAACCTGATATCAAAAAGATCAAAAGCAACGAAGATAAAAGAATTACCAATGATAGTAAGTTAGAGATGAAGAAAGTCAAAAGTAATGATGATGGAAAGAAAAGAAAACAAGATGATTTAAATGATGATGATCAACATATTTTAAAGAAGTCAAAATCAAGTTCAAGTATCTCAAAATTAAAATTTAATTCATCCACAAAAGAGAATGAAGACAAGATGGATATTGACGCTTCTGCAAGAATCGACAAACCTATACCAGCAATCAAACAATCAGTTGTGAAATTTGATACCTCAGAATCTCCTACTACGTCACCTTCAATATCAACACCAACATCAACAGTACCAGCGGTATTTGAAAAAGCTAAATCGCCACCACCATTAACTCCAGCTCAAGAAGAACAGAAATTTAAGAGTGCAGAGGAAGCAAGAATTAGACAGGAAAAAGCAGAAGCTAAAAAGAAAGCTAGAAAAGAAATGTTTTTGAAAATTGAAAAAGAGAAAGAGATGAAGAAAAGAGAAGAAGAAGAAAAGAAAGCTGAAGCTAAAAAGAAGGAGGAAGAGAAGAAAGCTGAAGAGGAGAAGAAAGAGGTTGAAGAAGAACCAAAAATAGCTGAAGCTGAACCTAAACAGGCTGACGAGAAAATCATAGAAGTTAATGTCGAATCTACTGCATCATTACAAGCAGATGAAGTCAATGAAGAAGTTGAAGAAAAAGATGAAGTTAAAGATATTCCCAAAAATCCAACAACCAACAACTCAACCAAGAATCAAGAAGACAAAGAAAATAAATCCAGAACCTATCAATTTTACCCTACTGGATTACGTAAAATTAAATTCAATTCAAAACCAACTGTTTCAACAATATCAAAATATTCACCACTTTATGTGTTCATAATTGATGATGAAAAATATGTATTAGATCTTCAAATTTCATTACTTACCTTATCACCAATTTCTAATTTTGAAAGCTCAATAAATTCATCAAATTCAATAGTTGTTGAAAATGATATAAAATTAAAAATTTGGAAATTATTTTACAAATTCATTGGAATAAACAACAACGACAAGAATTTGTTCTTAAACTTGTTCATTAAATTCATCAAATACGAAGATGCTTTACAACTATTCAAAGATAAATACCCATTTGTATATACTCACTTACAACAATCTCAATCAATAGAATTATTACTTGACAACTTAACAGGATTTGATGACTTAAGAAAGAACTCAATAAGCTTAACTGATGACTCAAAAACTAGTAAATTTGATGATATAGATATTATTAAATTCATCCCACCACATTTAAGTTACAGAAAAGATATTGTTCGAACTATAAAAAGTACAAATAATCCATTATGGTGAAACCTTGTGTTTATGTTTACGATTTCAATTTTAATTTTTTAATGCTGTATAATTATTTATATTTTAATGATTACATTTTTTATTTATTCTTATTAATCTATTGATCACTTTGTAGAAATTGCAAATCTTTGGTTGATTTTTTGGTTGCAAATACATAAAGGATTTGAAAAAAACTGGTAGCTTGTTCCCATCGAAATATCAAAAACAATTATTCAGAACCAACTTTTTGATAACAGAACTTATTAAAGATAATCAATATAATAAATGGGGGAGAAGAAGTATGTACTTTAAAGCTTAGAATGCTATTCATGATAAAATACTAACGTTAAATTATTAGGACGAGTAGGCTAACGCTATGTAATTCAGATTCAGATATAGAAACTGATGAAAATGATCAATATGTTCCACCATCTTTAGATTTTGAATTTATAGAAGTAGATCACAAAGATACCCCACAAGAAGACTTAGCAAAAGTAGAAGAAGAAGAGGAAGAATTTGCATTCCCATTATTTTCATCATTAGCACCTTCAAAACCAAATACCTCTAAAGAATCAGAAGAAAGAGGTAGATCAACATCACAACCATTTACAATACAAAAAATTTCATTAAGAGAACATTCAGAAGAAAGAATCAATAATGAAAGACCAACATCTTATTATTTCGCATCGTATAGTCCTTTACAAAAATCACAGTTTGAACAAATTGCAACTACAAGCGACGATATATATTCACAATCAAATTTTATAACATCAACTAAAGGCAAAGTGATAAATTTAAATGAACATAATAGAAAAATAGAAGAGATACTAGCGAAAGCTAAATCCAAATCGAAAAAAAGACCAGGTAAGAAAAAAAGAGAAAGTAAAATATATTGTAGAGAAAGAAGACTAGAGAGAGCTAAAATTGCCAAACAAGAAGAAAAAGAGAAGAGAGCCAAAGCCAAACAGGAGAAGTATGGAAAATTCAATAAATTCAAGAGTGGTGGTGGTGGTAGTGGTAGAGTTAATAAGAAATCTTTTAAAAATGACAAACTTACTAAGAACGATAAACAGTTTAAGAATAACAAATCCAATGGAGGTACTGCTAATAAAAACAATCAAAGTAGTCAGAAACCGAAGTATAGAACTGAGTAATGTACATAATGACAACGATTGTAAAATTTTCTTTTAGTAATTTTCGATTTGGTCTTGTACCTCTGATTTATAGTAAGAAAAAACATACACTAAATCGAGAATATCAATTTACACTTATAAAGTCATAAAAACAACCAAAAAAAATCAATCAATGGTACTACCGAACTCAAACCTAAACAATGAACTAGAAGATTTTGAAGCATACCTAGAACCAGACTTTAATTCAACAAACTTTGCAAATTCGCTATTGATAGCATCAAATGGGAATGAAAATCAAGAATTAGACTTACAAACCCCAATTAAAAAATTGAAATATGATTTAATTGAATTAGATAAAAGGATAAAAAACATATCATCTACAAATTACGAAGCTTTGGTCAAAAATTTCGTACAGATTAATCAGTACCAGAGTATTCAAGAACAACAAATTAACCCAAACTTAACAACGATAAATAAGCAATTTGATAAGATTAAAAAAGAAGTAATTGAACCATACGATGAAGCTCAAAAATTAACGAACGCTTTGAAGAAATTACATCAAACTTTGGAATTGTTGAGAAATGCATCTTTTTTCATATTCATAATTCAACAATTGGAAGATTTACCAATAATAAGTAATGATAATAATGATAAAGATTTAGTTAAAGCAAGTAAATTATATATTCAATTATCAAAACTTTATGACAATCTGAAAAGGGATTTAAGAGAGAATAATATAATGTCAATAAAATTAATCAGAGATTACGAAGCAACTGCAACCACTAGAAAGCAAAGTCTTATCTCAAATTGTTGTATAACGATCTCCAACGAGTTTGGTAGAGTAGTAAATATAAATTATAAAAACCAAAAATTGTTTAACAACCTCCAAGCATTGTATATATTGAACAAATCTGAATTTTTCACCAACTTTGATAAATCAACTATACAAAAACAATTAAGTATAAGTAATAATCAATTATCTAAAGCATTACAAAGTCCAAGAAATTTCACATCAATCATAAATGAGATTAAACAAAATAATGATACTTATTTTCAAAACTTGGATGAGATATTACAAAAATGGCAATTTAACACCACGGAGGACCAAAATGAAAAATTGATAACAATAATATCAAACTACTATGATTGTGAATCACTAACGTTAATGTTTTGGCAAAAATTGTCTAACTTGTTCAAGAGAAATATAGTTGCAACAATGGCAAGAGGGGGTCCAACAGCTAAAAATTTAAAAGTTTATAGCCAAGGTTTGAAAAATTCAGTTACTGAACTGTTTAAAGATAATAATGATGTAAAAGAATTGTTTTTGGAAGCATTGTCAATGATAGATTATAAATAAACAAAAGCATTTCCTAACTTTTTAAATTCGTGACTTTTTCTAATTATATATTAACTTTATACATTAAACCTTCCGTAGCTAATTCTAGTAAGAACTTAGCAAAAATTCTTCTTATCTTTTTTAAAAATTAAATTCATCATTTTCTTCTTCTTCATTACTGAAAAACCAAATAAAAATTATAATATCTCCATAAACAATTAATCCACCAGAAACACTCATAATTAAAGATCCAATTTCAATTAATCCACAATGATAAAAACTTAAAGGTAAAGCAATCCCACTAATAATTAAAAAACCCGTCAAAAATTTAGAAAATTCTTGCAAGGGGGAACTATTTCCTTCATTTGAATTACCATAATCATTAAATGTTAAAAAATTATAATCTCTTGAATTTTCAATCGAATTGGCTATTATATTAGGTAATGGAGCTATTAAAAAGATTAATATGACCCACATTGGTCTGTAATTATTGAATAATGCACATGATAATAGAATTAAAAGAAATCCTGAAGCTAGAAATGCTGATAAGAATATTATTTTATTTAATGGATTCATTTTTTTTTATTCTGTTGTGATTGAGTTGATGATGAATGTAATTTTGTTGTATTCTTCAAATGTTTCTTTAATATGGTCTTGAATCAAGTCAAAATATGGTAATGGATTTCAATGAATGTCTTCTCGTATTTTGTTATTTTTGATCTGGTTGCCGATTGATATGTAGTTGATTAATATAATTTGTATGAGAAAAAACAACGTTTTAGTGACAAATTTAATTCAAAAGAGAAATTTAATTTTAAGAGGTAATTTTAAAGATAAAATCAATTTACAATAAATTTAAAACATTTGATTAATACCGATAACTATATACAGATTAAATAAAGATATAGTTGAAAAGTATATAAGACTATACAAATCAACATTTAGAATTAAACATAAACTTACCAAGTTGCCACCCCACCAAAATATGAGCTTTTTCAGACAAAATATTAACAATTTGATTCATTTCCAAAACCAACCTTTATTATTTTGACCATTACTTAAACCATTGACACCATTATCATTTGAAGATACATTTGTATTAGAATTTTCAACATGTTCTTCAACATTTACCCAATCTCTACTACCAATAGGTTTTGATTTTGTAATTTTGGTGAAAATACAATTACCATCATTATAACATTCTTTCTTATTTTCAATTAATTTAATTTCATTTGTTTCTGAATCAGTGAACATGTTTGATTTTATTGAAGATGAAGTTATAAATTTTGAAACTATTGAATTATCTTTGGTGGTATTTTTATTTTGTAATTGCTTTTGTTGTGATTCCTCGATTAATTTTGCTCTAGCTTGTCTGGCTTCTTCTTGCTTGATTTGCTTTTTCTTTTTATATTCAACGAATTGATCTTTTTTCCAATCTAAATAATCTTCATATTTGTTAAAAAATTTACCATTTGATTTTAAATCAATAACTGAATTTTTTTCATTTTCTCCTAATTTTTGCATTTCATTCATAAAGTCTTCTTTTGTAATAATGGAATCTTTAAAATAATTACTTTTAAATTTTAATAAATCTACTGGAACGGTTGATTCTGGAAATAAACATCTCCAATAACCTTGATCATCCCAAACTGTTTTACCTTGTTTATCTAAACAATCATGATATTGACGAATTGATGGACCTTTGTATGAACGATAACCAAATGGAGTTGCACCAAATTTTAAATGAGCATTTTGAAGAAATGGTGAATTTTCAAAGAATTCTTTAAATGATGAACCTATTGATGAATTTTTGTCAAATCCTGAATCTCTAGTTTGATAAAATGGTGGGAATTTATAATTTTGTTTCTTTTGATCATCCTTATTGTATTCATAAACATCATTGTAAGCTTCATTAATAAAGTTTTCAAATTCATCTTTTGAGTTATTATTGGTGTTATTATTAAATAACCAGTTATATGACCATTGTTTAGCTTTATCATTTAATTCTCTACCTGCATCCATTGATACATCAACTATAGCATTTGTAATTGATCCAATATTTGATAATACTTTATCAAAACTTTCAACATATTTATCTAATTCATCATTTGGAAAAGGATAATTATTATTATTACTATTATTTTGTGGCTGTTGTAATTGAGAATCTATAGAATCGCTATTATTTCTTCTTCCACACATAATCGAAATTAATAGATATTGAGATATAAGTTATAAGGTAACAATTATTGAATATAAATATAAAGAAGTTGTTTATCAAAGTTATAAACAAAGTAATGGTATTAATGTGTTTAATTAAATTCAATGGCAAAAAATTTACGGAATTCTAAAAAAAATTGAATTTTACTCCCTATAATAATGATTATGAATATCTATATTCGTTCTTTAAATACAAAACAGAAGGAACCTTTTTAAATGCACCTTATAATTAAATTGATTATGCAATATTGATAGACCTATTAAATAATACAAATCTCTTAACTTTGTTTATTGTTGACGTTATCAATTGACCTAATCTCGTTAGAGTGTGTCCAAAAATTGACACTCAATCTTTAATTAAGGTTCGTCTAAAAGATGCGGAAAAGCAGAACTTTTCATATAAATTAACTTTAAATGTAGACATGCTAAGAAATAGAGATCATTCTAAAATAATGAGCTTAGTACAACTCAAATAAGAGACCATAGTGTTACAAATTGATGAATTTATTCTAACTTTTAAAACTATCAGCTCTTTTATTTTAATTCAGAAATTTATAAATTATTATTAAACATACCTTACATTTTTTTTTTGAGTCTATCCCTTTATTTTATAGCCAAATACCTCTTTTTTATTACCAAATGCTTCAAGGTACAATTCATAATTATTATATAGCGTCATCTTAAGGAACTTCTTCAGAATGTTAACTACAAATGTCTTGTTATCGTTACTAAATTGAATAAAAAAAAAAAACATATTTTGGATCAAAAATTTGAAATCGTCGGAATCAGTATAATTATCCAGTGAGCATTAAATAAGTTTGTCAAAGACAATTTTTTAATACAAACTAAGCTTCAACAATGAAGGTAATACTATGTCAACATCGAAGTTTAAGTAAAAATTTGAAACCCTTAACGATTTTAGGAAATATAAAATAAATTACCCCTTAACCTTTTAGTAAATATACAGGATCAATATTTGAAAAATTAATTAAAATATTATTCAAAATATCATTTTTAACATAAAACTTTGAATTTTCAATATTAGAAGTACTTTATATGAAAGCAGGGATCAAAAATGTGTCAATAATACGGCATAGCAGAACATTGCTCAATTACAGATATCAGTCTACGAACTCGACTACTATAAACAATTCTTCACAAATAAATGATGATCCATACAATATAAACATAAAAACCAAGAATTCCATTCATCCTACAACCCCTGCACGAACCAGGTTCGCACCATCTCCAACTGGATATTTACATTTGGGATCATTAAGAACAGCACTATATAATTATCTACTAGCTAAAAACACGGGAGGTTCGTTTATTTTAAGAATTGAAGATACTGATCAATCCAGATTAATTAAAGATGCAGAAAAAAATATTTTTGATACTTTAAAATGGTGTAATTTATCAATTGATGAAAGTTCACAAGATGGTGGGAAACACGGGCCATATAGACAATCCGAGAGGAAAGAAATTTATTCAAAATATGCACAAATCTTGTTAGATAAAGGATTAGCTTATAAATGTTATTGTTCAAAAGAAAGGTTAATTGAATTAAGAGAATCAGCTAAATTATTAAAACCCCCAACTAATGTAACATACGATAGGAAATGTTTTAATGAAAAACATCAACCTCAGGAAAAACCATATGTAATAAGATTTAAATCACCACATAAATATCCCGAATTTAAAGATTTGTTGCATGGAGAATTAAATTTACAACCACAATATAATTCAAAAGATCAAAGATTCGATGACTTCATAATTATAAAAAATGATGGTATGCCAACATATCATTTTGCTAATATTGTAGATGATCATCTTATGGGAATTACTCATGTTATAAGAGGTGAAGAATGGTTAGCATCAACTCCAAAACACATGGCATTATATAAAGCATTTGAGTGGTCACCACCTCAATTTATACATATACCGTTGTTAACTTCTTTAGAGGATAAAAAATTATCAAAACGGAAAGGAGATTTTAATATTTTCGAATTAAAAAATCAAGGAATTATACCACAAGCTTTAATTAATTTTGTAGCATTATTTGGTTGGTCACCTGCTAGAGAATTAAATGAAAAGACAAGTGAAGTAATGACGCTAGAGGAGTTGGTTGAAAATTTCTCATTAGATCATCTAACTAAAGGTAATGCAAAAGTAAATCAACTGAAATTATTCTACTTCCAAAAAGAGCACTTTGCAAATATTATTGAAGAAAATGGTGAAGAATTCACAAATCTCATACATGATTATTATCCTGAATTTACTAAATTTAGTAATGGTAGAGATGAACAATATTTAAGTGAAATTACGAAGGTATTAGCCCCGAATATTACAAAAATGTCAGATATTGAACAACATAAATATTTGATTGGTGATATTGATTACTCGAACTCAAAATCACCAAAAGACGTTCATTTAACTAACAAAATACTCAATCAGGTAATTGAAAATTATGAAAATTCTTCTTCTTTGGACGAGGTAATTGACAATATACTAAAAAGTGGAGACTTTAAGAAAAAAGACGTATTTATCACATTGCGGACTTGTTTGAGTGGTGGACAAAGTGGATTACCAATTCCTGAATTAATCAATTTATTAGGAGATGAAGAATGTATAAATAGAATGAAAAAATATAGAGATACAATAAATTTGTAAATAATTATTATTAATACACATGTATATAAAAACTAAATAAGCAACTGAAATTTATAAACTAAACTGTAACTAATTTTTGAACAAAATCTAAAAATCCAGTATTCGATTTATCATCATTTTCTTCAATTAATGGACCTGTAAATATACAATGTACAACCATATCTGGATGATAATATAATCCTGTTAATAATTTTGGAGTAACCAAAAAATATTGAGATTTATTATTTTCACAAGCAGTATGAACTAAATATCTATGAGCCATTTGTTCATTCTTAGGATCCATACCTTGATTAATTTCATCAACTATTCTGAAAGGTGCATCAGATAATCCTTGTAATGCCATTATATAAAAAATAGTTGAAACCGCTCTTTCACCACCAGATTGAGATTGATTATCTAAAATTTTTAATTCAGATTCTTGTCTGAATTTAACCAATATTTGTAATTTATAATCTTTAAATCTTTCACTTTTAGCTAATTCGACTCTACCTTCACTTGCAACTTTTGAAAATCTTTTACTAAAAGACAATGAAATTTGATGAATAAATTCTTCAAGCTCGGTTTCCCATTGTGTTGAAATAGTTTTAATGCGTTCATCTAAGTTATGTTTATCGTTTTCGAATCTTGGCAAATCAGTTTCTGCTTTTTCAATATCTTGTAATTTGGATCTTAATGACTGTATGGAGCCTCTATCGGCAGTTGATAATAATGATAGTTCATCCTCTAAATGTGAAATTTTAATTCTTATAGTTTTCTCAGTAAAGTTTCCAGCTTCCATAAATGGAGTTGCTAAATCTTTTAATAATTCTTTGTCTTCTTCGCTTAAGGAATCATTTTTTTCTTTAAACTCTCTATATTCAGCAGAATCTTTTATTCTATCATACTCTGCTTTATACTTTTTATAATCTTCTTTTAAATCATTTTCAATGCTTCTTAATTCTTTCACTAATGTTTCAGCGGATAATTTTCTATTTTTGATTGTGATAGTTTCAAAATCCACAAATTTAGATTCTATTTGACTTGTTGAATATTCTACGAATAATTCACCCAATTCATTTGATGTTGTTGAATAATTATTATACTCTTCAGCTATTTTTTGTTCGTACTGTTTAATTCTTGAACTATAATCTTTATTTGACTCTCTTTCTAATTTATCAATTTTTTCTTTTCTTGAACTGATTTTGGCATCTAAGGCAGTAACGGTTTTAATAATTTCTTGTAATCGAAGTTGATGATCTTTAATCGCACTCATCTCGATTTTAAGTTCTTGTCTTGAATTTAATAATTTGTTGGCTTCACTTTTATGACCTTGATACTCTTCTCTTTTACTTTCCATTGTAGATTTATATTCGTTAATTTTGTTGCTTAATCTTAATTTTTCTTCTTCTGAAATACCAGATACAGTGAAAAATTGGGCTCTTCCAACATGTTCAGTTACAAGACTGATTTGCCTTGAACCATAATTGGATTGCTTAACACTAAATAATGTATCCCCTGCGATAAATTTCTTGAAATGAATTCTTCCATCTGGCGGTGATTTTATTCTATTTATTTGATCTGTACTTAAGGGTTTTCTGCTAATGGGTATTTGATGAAGTTTGGTATTGTTATAAAGCATACACAACACTTCATTTGGACCGGTTATGTAATCTGACAAATAACCTTCAAAACCATAATTTTGTAATACATCTTTGCCCTTATCAGATCTTGGTAATACAGTATTTTTTTGTTCTCTAGTTGGAAAATTTATATTTATACTTTTAGCAAATTTATTCATCATTTTCGAATCGTCTCCATTGGTAACAGTTATTGCAAAAAGGGTGTTATTATCTATAACTTTTTCTATTGCAGGAGCCATTGATTTATCCTTCACATTACAGGATATAACCGGTGCTTCAAAATAGTGACCATCAAACTGTTCCGATGTTCTTAATTTCTGGTGTGTTCTATATGAATCATCACGAAGTCTATAAGGTCTACCATTACGTGCGGATGATTGTAATAATTCCAATTTATCAGTTCCATGTAAACTATGTTCAAGCCTTTTAACTTTGTGGTCTAATTCACCCAAATCAGATTTTAAATCAGACATTTTGTCATTGAGGCCCAGTAATGACTCTTCTAATTGTCTTGACTCATTTCTTTTTTCATGATATTTATCATTTAATTGTTCAAGTTGAGAATTATCAATTTCTTCAGTACTTTCACGTTGACTCTTTAAAAGTTCATATTCTTCCTTGACTAAATCTAACTCTTTCTTCTTTTGTTCTGCTTTATTTTTATATCCTTCAACTTGTGATAAGAGCTTTACAATTTCACCTTGTTTAGCAGTCAATTCAGCAGATAATTTTTGAATTTTGGATTTAATTGTGTCACGTTCTCGATTAATACTACTTTGTTTTTCAAATTGTTTATCCAATACAATGTCCAAAGTAGATAAATCTTTTCTTAAAGGATCAAAATTTTTATCAAATGATTGTAATCTAGCTCTTGCTTGATCTCTTTGTTCTTTTAAATGAGTTCTTTGATTTCTTAAATCATAAAATTTAGCAAATGGAACTAATAATCTATGATTTTCAATTTCTGCTGCTTTTCTTTCATATTCTTCTAATTTCCTAGCTTCTTCTTCTAATTTTTCTTTATCACTATGTAATTGTATTAATTTTTGTTTTAATTCACTAACTTTTACACCCAAATTCTGAGATTTTTCATCTTTATCAATTAAGTCTTCGTGTAATGTTTTCAAATGACCATCTTTTAAGGTTCTTTCAGTTTCCATTAATAATTTTTCTGGTGATAAACCCGCAAATTCTGCAACTCTTTCTTGAGGTAAAAAATGACAAAGATTATCTAATTGAATATTAAGTTTTGCTCTTAATTCTTTTACTGCAGTCTCAGTACATTTTCTATTATTCATTGTCCATAAACTATCTTTTGCTGAAAAATCTCTCTTAATTGTAATTGGCGGTGAACCTTCAAAATTCTCAATTGTTATTTCAATTACTGCTCTATCGTGACCTGTTTTTATCATTGATTTTAGGTTTTTACGTTTAATTAAATTAATATTACCTGCTAAACCAAGACATATAGCTGCAACTAAAGTTGATTTACCACTACCATTTGGTCCAATGATCATATTAAGTGTTGGTGATAAAACAAATTCTGTGTATGAATAAGTTGTAAAATTCCATACTTTAATTGTTCTTAAAAACCCAGGTTGAAACGGAACTTTCTCCTTAATTCTTCTTCTCTTCAGAACATGCTGATCCGAATCACTCATTCTCAACACAAATTGATGATACTATCGATTGAAATTTATGAATAAGTATGTAGTATGTAATAAGATCAAATTTGTGTTGTCTCAAAAAAATTAATAAAAAAGATAAAAAAAATAAATCAATACGCGTATCATTTAATATTTATTAAGAGAAGTTTTGATATACAAGGTTATAATCTGACTTAAGTAGAACAGCAACGGAAGACCCACCAATTGTATATACAATTATTTACTATTTACTGATATGACCTAGCTAAATCTAAAGAACAAGTTCGTACTCCTGATCACAGAGTTTCTTCTTTTTAGCAGCTCTAATTGCCAAAAACTTATAAATCACCAATAAGCAAATTCTTAAGTAATATTTGATAGTAATTTTATCCGCTTATCGCTATTCTATTGTGGTGAGATAAACTCTACTTATTAATAGTCTATTCCAGCTTGATGATTTTAATAGTATGAAACACTATAAATAGTTGGTAAATGTGAATGATCTTTTTGCCATTCAGTAATTATACTCATCATTTGATCTTCTAATATAACATCACTCTCATCTTCAATATCATTACTTTCTTTTAATTTTTTTCTTTTAAAATCATGAATCATATTAACTAATTTTAATATACCTTTACCACCAATTATTGCATTTTCATTATCATCTTTAATTTCAACATTTATTATATGAACAACTTGTTTTAAATCAGTTGGTTGATTTTTATTATACATTCTAAACATTAAATCTTCAATAACACTATCAAAGCATCTTTCTTCACATGTTATAACTAAATCAAATTTTCCTGATTTTTCATTTTGATGCCATTTTTCTGGAGCTAATTTAACTTGTTTATTTCTTTCCAACATATGTATTACACCATTTTGTTCATATAATTTTCCTTGATTTTGACCTATTAAATCTTTATACATAGTTGAATATGGTGTGCCAAATGCATAAACATTTGGTTTATCTATGCTAGGACCTGGTAATCTTACCGCTGAACCTGTTCCAAATGAATGTACATCATATCCAGCATCCATTAGCTGTTTATGAGATTCCATTGATCTATTATTATTTGATGCACATACTGTACATATTTTTAGACTATCTTCAATCATTATGTGAAAAAGAAATGCAAATGCTTATGTTGTTTATGAGTTTGATGAGAGTGCAAAATCTATATTGTGAGTAACTGGGTAAAGTGTGGTACTTTGATTGATTAAAATGTAAAAGATCTGAAATAAAATGGTGATTATTGATGATGTTCCAGATGATGATTCTGTATAATTCTTAAAGTCATTAACTCTAATTTAATAAAAAATTAATAATATACTAACAAATTATTATGTATAAATACTTTGTGCGATTTTTTGTAAACCACCGAAATTTTAAGACATACTTTTTTAGATTTATAAAATTCATGCCCTACTATCTCTACCGTCAAAACTATAAGTAAGAGTTTATTTGAAGAATGGGACCTTACAAGATGAAAAGTCTGATCAAATCCGTAAATGTAATTAAATTTGGGAGTTTTTTCCATTGACTTGAGTGGCACAAAATTAAAGTTTGGACTAGATTATTGTTCAAATTGGCTTATAAATTTGTACGATTCAAACTGAATTTTGATTTCGTTACTCTATCGTTTTGCTCAATCAAGTGAGACATTTATTGGGGCCATTTTAATAAAAATCATTACAATTCAAGATAAAATATATACTACTGAGCTCCCATTCGATTTCATTATGAACTTATTACACATTCATTTTCATCCACCGTACAATTGGTTTCCACATTTTCAGTTAGATGGACATGAATCTTTAGAAGATGAATTACAAAAAGGTACAATTACAAGGCATGTAAGACCGAAAAAAGGCACCGAGTATTTGAAGTACAAGGATTGTCCCGTATGTCAAGGCAATACTAAATGGTTCAACTTTTTGAAGAATTGATTTCCACAAACGAATGCTTGTTAAATACCTAAAATTTTTGAGGTTATATACTGAATCTTTGTCGCAACAACTTTGTCTCAAAACTAGTCAACGAATTATTGTTTTTTGACAATTACGTAAACAATTTTGAAAATTTAAAGTTTCGATTGCTGCAAATTAATTTACTCCACAAAATTGTAACAGTTATTAAAATCATCATTAATAAAGCAACATATCAGACCAAATAAATATAAATGAGTTAAATTTCTCGATCTTTAAAAAATTACATTTTTCCATTGAATCTCACAAACCCTATCCATTATTGAAATATGTTTAATATATTACAATCAATATTATACACATTTATAACATTTCAAATCTTGTTCACCCAAACTGTAAAATCAGATGAAATAATAAATAATGTATTATACACTCATTCAGGACTTGATTCAAAAGTTATAATTAGAGAAGTTCATGAAGGAAAATTACCATATGAAATAAAATTGGATGAAAAATTTCAAAAGGGAGATAAAGATTTTAATTTAATTGTAAACTTAGATGCTATTAATCATATTCAAAATATTCATGATTCCTCAAAAGGTAAAACTATTGACGATTCTGAATTAATTAAATTGGCACAAGCTTATTATGTTCCTACTACAAAAGTTGTATCTTCTTCAATTTTACACAACTTTTTTGCCAGTATTGCAAATTCATTTATCAACAATTTTGGATCTAGTATTAAATATATATATGACACTTTTATTTTCAGAATTTTCAAATATTCATATTATTGGGCTTACACTTTCACTAAATACACAGTTAAACTAACAGGGTGGTATTATGGAACATCAACATTACCAATAAAATGTTACATAGGATTAGACTACATCAAAACTTTAACCCATGGAGAATTTATAATTGGATGGGAAACATACACATTAAATGACAATTGTGAAGAAACTGTCAACTTAGAAAACATTGAAAAAATCTTATCACATTCTAGATTAATTGCATCTGAAATAAAAGATAATGATATAAATTATAGTTGTCAATTTTACAAATCTGATTCAACTTTACATTCAGGTCAATGGTTTGCTAAAATTAGAATATTTGATGTTAATAAAGAAAATTTACAAATTAATGAAAATATCTGGAATATTGATTGTGAAGATAATGAATACTCCAAACCTAGTAAAAGAGAATCTATTTTTGCTAGTATTATGAAATTCTTCAATACTATTACATAAATAAGAATTAAAAAAGGAAGAGGTTGAAATTATATAGCAGATATCAAGTAGTAGTATGACATTTTTTAATACAAAATACATTTATTTGGTACCTAAATCTATAAATTCCTCTTCGTTCTTACTAACATTCAAATTTACAAAATCATCCTCTTCATTAACTTCTTCCCAAGATTGATTAATAGAAGATAAGTTTTCATTAATAACATTTGGATGGAAATGTATAATCTTACTATTTGAATCAATACATTGTTTTTTGAACTTCTTGTAATCATCCATGCTATTAATCAATATACCGATCATCATGGAAGGATCAAGAAATTTTATGTTTAGCTTGTTATATGAGGTTGAATGATAGCTTTTAATATTGATTGGAGTTTCAATAATTTGAGGCAAATGAGGATCAAAATATATTAATTCATTTTCATTTTCATATCCGAAAAAGTAAAAACTTGATGATGGTTTACCACCTGCTATACCTACTGAATATTTGGCATTTAATAAGTTTAATAAACTATTGTAGTAATAATGATTTATTTGATCAATTCCTAACCTCACTGGAAATAACAATAATATTGAATTTTGTTGCTTTATGAAGATTTCATTAATTTCATCATCATATAAATCACAGTTCTCACTTATGTAAACATACGGAATTTTAATTTGAGAACTTTCAAGTAGTAGCAATTTGTCTTTGTTTTCTATGATTTCGTCAGTTAGTTTTTTGATTGAAAATGAAGCTGCATTTGGACCAAACCATTGACCTGGTTTTATTTGCAATGAGGAATTACTTGAAACTCTTATAAAATTATGTATAGAATATAATGAGTTTAAGTTGTCTTGAAATAAATCCAAAATTTGTAACTCGTTCTCATTACTCTCTGTTACATCATTAAGTTTCAATAAAGCATTAGCAAGTAAGTTTTGTGAAGTTCTAATCATACAACCCCAACCTGAGTCGCTTGTAAAATTATCTTTATCAAATAAAAACTTCAAACTGTTTAGATTTGTCAATATCGATTTATTGAATATAATAGATGGAAAAAATTGAATTGGTTGTGGACCATTCTCTGATTTAGGAATAGGTTCAAATCCACATCTATATGAGAGCCAAAGTAAGTTTGATTGTATGTGATCATCTGCTTTTGAGTGGGTGGTGAATTCTTGTCCTAGTACTACTATTGGTGATGTTAATTGTTCTTCAATGTTTACTATTGAATCTTGAGTTGTGGAAACTGTAGAGGGTGATAATGAATTTGAACTTGAGTTTGCCTCTTCATTGTTACTTGTATCTAAACTTAAACCAGTTACGTCACGTAAAAATGTTGAAAATTTGCCCATATTTCTACCTATTATAGACTCCATATTTTCTTGTTGTGGTTGAACTTCTTCATTATTCTCTTGTGACTCCTGTATTATATTAGTTGAATCATTGCTAGTTTTCATTGTATCTTGTTGGATTGGGGTCTGTATGTTAACAATATCTTCATTATCAGTTGTATTAGATGTTGATGAGTCCATTGTCTAAACGGATTAGTTAGGAAATAAGTGAGCTAATTATTTAATAGATAAATTGATAGTGTAAGTTGATATTAATTATATTTCTTATTGAACCCTTTGTTGTAAAGTATGATACTCTAATATAATAATTCTTTATCTTATCGTATAAGATTAATTTATAACAACTAATAAAAAGTAGCACAAAATTCATAATATCGTAGTAAAGTTAATGCGGAGTTGAGTCTAAGAGTTGACTCAAAAAGAAATTACTATGACACAATTGAATAAATAAACACACAAACAAAAAAGCCGCATGAGATCTAGAATTTATTAAATTGATGAGATTGCCATCATTAAATATATTGAATTTGCTTCTTCATTATATAAGTATAACATTTAATGCCCAAGAGAGGAAATAGAAGAACAAGAGGCTCATCAAGAGGTGGAAGAGGTGGAAGTAGAGGTGGATCATCAACAAGAAAAATAAGAGGAAACAAGGGAAGATCACCGAATAATAATACAAGATCATATAATAATTCCTCATCATCACAATATCAAGAATTATTTGGAGATGATTCAATATATATACCTGGTAAAAGAGGTGATGGTTCAATGGCATCAATGGCTCAAAATATAGGAAGAAGAAAGTATAGTCATTTTGATGAAGAAATAAATTATACAGAAGATAATAGAGTTAATCTAATGTCAAAAAAGTTTAGAGATCGACCTATTGAATTTATAAAAGCTAAAGAAGTTTATGATCCAAATATTGTATTACATAAATTATCTGAACAAAACAAAACGGAATTTTTTAGTAAGAACGAATTTGGTGATATTATTGATGAAGATTTTAAAAGTATTTCATTAGATGATTCTGGAGAAGAATTAGAGGAAGAAGAAGGTGAAGATGATGAGTTTGAAGATTTTGAAGAGCTTGAAGAATTTGAAGAATTTGAAGAAGGTGAATACGAGGGTGAGGATTTGGATAACGAAGTACATGACTATGACTCAACTTTCGAGAATGAGAATGACATCAATAACGATTCTGATGAAATTGAAGTTGAAGTGATACCGAAGTCTATGGTTAAAGAAGAAGAAGAAGAAGAAGAAGAAGAAGAGAAATACAGTTTGGACGAACAAGAAACGAATAAACCTAAAGCTAATTTGCGATTGCTGGAAGAACAAGTCGATGAGAGTATGAAAGAAAACAATATTGGGTTTATACGGAAAAACCTTGAGCAGGAGCCTGAAAATTTGGAAAAGGTTATGCTGAACGACGAGGTCAAAATTGAAGAAGAAATTGAAGAGGCAGCTGAAGTCGCACGAGAAGAAATTGAAGAGGCAGCTGAGGTCGCACAAAGAGAAGTTGAAACAAGTATTCAAACAACAGCTGAAGAAAAACCAGTAGCCGAACCTTTAGAAGAGACTCAGGATAACAACAAAAAAGATAATAATAGTGATGAGGAATTCGAAATTTTCATTGATGATCCAAAATATGAAACAAAATCAATAATAGATATTCTGACTCAACCAACTACAGTAGACGAAGGTGAAGAAAATGAGATTGTGGAGTCAGATCCAGAATATGGATACCTTGAAGACGATTATGAGTTTGATGTATCCAAGATTGAAGTAAATAATGTAAGATTTGGTATCCAGAATCAATACCACGTAAAATGTTTCGATTTGACTGGATTTGAAGATGAATTTTGTTGGGTTGATGAAGATGATGTTATACAATTTGTTTTATTCAAGGGTGTAAAAGAAAAAAGATTAGGCAAATTCTTATCATATATCACAAAGGGAATGATAGACCAAGAGGAGCCGGAGGAACCAGAAGATGATGTATATATTTCAGATAGTTCACTGGAAGAAGAAGATAGTGAAGTTGAATTTGACAAGCATCAAGATGATTATCCTTATGATTCAGATGAACAACCAGATGATGATAATTTGGAAGATCTTATAGCGTATTCAAAAATAAGTAGTCAAGGATTAGTATCGATGTTAGATCACGATTTTTCCCAAAATATACCGGCCAAAAAGAGATCAAAGTTTGATTCATTAGATATTGATCCAGATATGCAGGAAATTTTGACTAGACAATTAAACAACTACAACAGGAACAAAAAACTTAAAAAACATGATAAAAAGCAACAAGATTTGGAAGAAGCGATACTAAAAAACGATATGCTTATTAAATACCCAGTCAAAATAACAATAAAAGAAGTAAATAAAGAATTCGATTCACTTTTAAAAGATGAATCAAGAACAACTTTAAGTTTTCCCACACTTGATTCTCATGCACATAAAATTATAACCAAAATGGCTCAATGTTATAATATGAAAGTAGATAAATGTGGACGTAAAAACATTCGTCACTACTTAAAGATCTCCAAAACCAAAACAACATATAAATATTTCCCAAATTATGATAAAATTCAAATACTTTTACGAGGAAGACCATTTTTCAATAGAATAGATATAAATAAACCTAAAAAGGAGAAAATCACCAAGAGTGGTGGTGGTAATGATTCTAAAGCGAAATTTAAAGAAGGTGATATTGTTGGTGCAGAAGCTCCTGAAATTGATACCACCAACTTGGGTAGACAAATGTTGGAGAAATTAGGATGGAGTGCTGGTCAAGGTTTAGGTGTTGGTAATTCGGGGATTAATGAACCTATTGTTGCTAAAGTTAAAATGTCCAAAACTGGTATTCGTTAAATATTTATTTATTAATAGATCATTAAATTATCATTATTCATTAAATTATTCTATAAAATATTAGTCTGGTTTATCTTATCTTTTCTTACTCTTTTTCTTTTTACTACCATTTGATTCAGGTGGTGCAGCATGATTAAGCTCTTTAACATGATTAAAAAGTTGATTTCTTGATTCAAATTTTAATCCACAAACTGAACATTTTTCAGTTCCACTACTACTAGTTTCAGTTATGGGAGTTGATTCTTTTGATTGTTGTTGTGAAGGTATTATTTTAGTAGTGGGTTTCTTTTTGGGTTTTTTTTGATTCTTTTTAGGAGTTTTCCAATCATCATCTGAATCTAATGTTGATGAATCTAATAGGGTTGATAATTCTTGTTCTAATTTGTTATCTTCAGTGACGTTCGAATTTTCTTCTTTCTTCTTTGGTTTTGCTTCTTCCTTTGGTTGTATTGATTTTTTTCTTGTTTCCGGTAATTTTTCTTCATTTTCTTCTTTTAATTCTTCTTCTATTTCATTTTGTCCATTTTCATCTCCATTTAATACAGCATCTAATTCATCATCACTTAAATTCTCCAAATCATTTTCAAGATCAGAGCTGAACTCACTTTCAGCAGTTTCAAATTCTTCATCTTCTTCGTCTTCATCATCAATTCCTAAATCTATTCCTTCTTGTTTCATTTCCCATTTCATTTGTCTTACTGCCTTTTTATGTTTTTTAGATTCTTCATGTATTTCAAATTGTTGTTTATTTTTCATAATCTTATTACATACAATACATTCAAATTCGTGAATTTCTTCTTGTTCTAAATCAGATTCATATTCAGAATCTGTTTTTTGAGTGGTGGTTGTGTCATTAATTTCATGATATTCTTGTTGAATCATATTTTCCATTTCTTCAATTTCTTCTAAAGTTAATTTTTGCCAATCTTGTTCTTTATAATCTTGATTTTGTTGTTGTTGAATTTTTTGTAATTTTTGATTTTTAAGTTGTTGTTCAATCTCTTTTGTCTTTTTGAGCTGTTGTTGTTTTTCAAATTCTTGTTGTGCTGTTTTAACACGAGGATCTCTTTTCTTAATGAAGTTTACAAATTTTCTAATAGTTTCATTATATTCCTTTTTAGCAAAATCTGATAATTTTTTATTTTCTTTTTCCATTAATCTACGAGTTCTTCTATCTTCTGCTGTTGAATATCTATATTGATATTTCCAATTGAATGTTTTTATTGTAGTGAATGATGTCCATACGTTATAAAATTGTTTGATTGATAAATAATCCAAATGAGAGTTTCCAAATAATGGATATTTTAAATATGTTGGATCGATTGTGTATACATTATTTTCATCATCTTTTAACCCCATAAATTCTTGAAGATTTTGGTATTTACCATGTTGAATTTCTTCTCTTGCTAATCTTTCAAATAATCGAGATACAGTTGAATAAAAACCAGATATAGAATCATTATAATTTTGATATAAATTTGAATTAAAATATTTTAATATTTCATCAGTTGATATACTAGGAATATGAGATTCTCCACCATCATCTTCATATACATCTTCATCATTTAATATACTTTGTTTATGAGAATCATACCATGCTCTTTCTTGAGGATCTATTAATACTTCATAAGCTGATCTAACTAATGAAAATCGAAGGTTTGCTTCTTCTACATTATCAGGGTTTTTGTCTGGATGTAGTTGTAGTGCTTTTTTTCTGTATGCTTTCTTAAGTTCGGATTCTGTTGCGTCTGTGGAGACATCTAGTAGTTCATAGTAGCATGTTTTCATTATTTGGAGAATGTGGTTGTAAATGTTTGATGTTTGATAAGAATTTGCATCAATTTTTTTTCTCTCGTAAATTATTTTGTTGCAAAAAAAATTAAGAGTTCGATTTAATCACCAATTTAGTGTTATCAAAAAGAATTAAAGAAATCGATCTACGGTGAGTATGAGTTTAACCAATTATTTGCAAAATTTTATTAACTAATATTTAAACTTTTTAAACCTATACAAAGTCGTAGCTTAATATTTTAAATCTACTAATAAATTAAATTTCTAAAGAACTGAAAATTTTTAAAACCTTTTCTTTTGCTTCACCAACCTTTAGAATGATAATCATCAAATACTTCTTCATCAACTAGATGTTCATCGTTGAACTTTAAATTTTTAACTAAGGATTTATCTGGCATTGCAACTTTACCTAATTTATTATCAATAATTAAAGATTCCTTAATAGATTTACTTAATTCTTCATTTGATGTGAATTTGGTTTCTAAATCTGTATCTGTGGTTGTAATCTTTGGGATAGTTGGTATGAAACTTGGATTATTATCTTGATCGAATTTTATTGGTGGTGGTGGAGTGTTTGAATTTTTGGAACAATTGATTAGTATTGATGATGATGAAGCTAATGAACTTGGTGATTGTTTCAGGATTGAATCTGATGATGTTGGTTGTAATGATGGTACTGAATTCTCTTTTTTATCTTGATAGTTATTATTGTAATTATTAGGTATTTTGTTTTCTTGTTTTGATTCGTTATTTTCTGATGAGTTTTGATTTTGATCTTTTGTATCTAGTCTTAATTTATTTTTTGACGTAATGTATAATCTACTTAAATTGATTGATGATTTTGATAATAAATTAATCAATGAATGGTGTGATACAGATTTTGATAGTTTATTTAAACTTGATGATAATAATTCATGTTCTTCATCAGTTGTTGCTGGATTTTTGGGGACTTTTGATACATTGATATCTGATATACCAACTATACTTCCTTGTTTTTTAATAGGTGTTGATGAAGATGAATCATCTGAATCTTTGTCAATTATTAATTCTGATGAAGTTGCAATTGTGTTTGTTTTTGCCACTGATAGATTTGATCTTTTGGCAATTTGTGGTATATCAGTTAATGACGGGTACTTTCTTGTGAAAATAATAGACGGTCTTTTATATTCTTGATCTATTGTCATTACACCAGTTGTACTAGATCTTAATAATTTTGGTTTTGTACCGTTCATATGAGTTGATGATAAAGAACCATCATTTGTAAATAATCCAGATAATAATGATTTTGGTTTACTTAATGAAGGAGATGGATTGATGTTTTCTCTTTTTTTATCTAATGATGATAAAGTTTCAGTTGATGCTTCAAATGTTGGTGGTTCAACTTTTGTGAAGTTTAATGGTTGTTGTTTTGGAATACTTTTACCAGATGCGGCTGTTGAATTAACAGAACTTGAATAAACTGACATCCATTCACTTTCATTATCTTCCCTAACTGAGTCAGTTGATGTATTTTTAGGTTCCGAACTATGTTTGATTTCTAAACAGTCTTGTTCTTCTTCTTCATCTTCTTCTAATTCTTCATCAGATTCACCCACTTCTGAAATATCAGTTGAAGTATATCCTTCATCATCGTCCTCTACGACATGATTATTATCATTGGATACAATTTGTACTTCTTCTGCCAGGGAGTTTGTTTCATCGACAGTTTCATATGAAGGTTTTCTTGACGATTTAGTGATTGACTCCTTCAGTTTGTTATCAATTGTATTTCCCGAGTTGAAATTACTAAATAATGAGTTTTGTCTTTGTATTGGTGGTTGTGGAGTAACAATTTGATCATTGGAACAATCTGATGGTGATTTAGATACAGTTTGTGGCTTATTCGTGGCTTGTGGTTGTTGGTCTTTACTTTCAAACATTGACAAATTTGAACCTTTATGATCAACATTTTTGGGTGAAATTTTATCGTTGACTGACAAATTACGTGAAGTTATGCAAATATTTTTGTTGTTTATAGTAATACTATCAACTTTATCATTTATATTATCTTCTGATCCTTCTTCTTCTTTTTCTTCTTTTTCTACTTCTTCTTCATTATCAGATATTTCCGGAATATCTGACATATCAGATTCATCAATATCTTCATCAGAGCTATTATCCAAAATTATTTGTTTTTGATTGTCATCATTTAATTTTTCATTTGTAGTTATTGCTGGCATTGAATCTAGACTTGTCAGTGTACTCTTTTTTCTTGTATATAGACTTAAATTCGATGAATGACTAAATAATGACGGCCTATTGGACATAAATTGGGAAGTTTTAGGTTTGAGGTTTGTGATATTATCATTATAAAGATCATTTAATTCATCTATATTGTAAAGATCACATATTTTCTCATTATCTCTTAAACAATTATTAGAACTTTTATATGCTGAGGTATTTGATTTCAAAATTCTTTGATTCATTAATCTCCATGATCTATTATTTAATCTTTCAGTTGATGATATTTTCGAACAATTTATATACAGTAAATCATTTGTTAATTTCCATAATTTAAATAATGATTTATTTGAATTTTGATCATAATTAAAATTTAAGGATATTGTTGATGATGACGCCTCCATGTCACTAGAACCTCAACTTCTTATAATGTAAAGAATTATGTAATATATTTAAACTGGGAATCGCGTCTCGTGTGGTTGTTAGTAATGATTTATGTGAAAATTGTGAAATTTTGAAGTGATACTTTTAATTAAAACAGTATTTTTAATAAATGTTGTAATTGTTTCTTCTAGCTCTAACTTGTAAGAGCCCCCAATGTATAAGTTAAATATATGTACAAAATAATCTTCAACCTGTTTCTTTAATATTTATACAAATTAATTTAAATCAAATAATTTGACATATAAGTACGATTATATTTTAAAAATTAAGTTATTGATGAAAATTTGGTGATACAAGACAAGTAGTATAATTATTGTTAATTTATAGTAATCTTGAAGTGTAATGATAAACCTTTAAATTTTAATACGATTAGTTTATAGTTGGTGGTAAAAGGTAATATAAAATAATATTAATTAATTTACAAGTTTTAATGAATTTAAAAATCAAAATGAAACGATATGACTAAAGTTAATATTAAATGAAAAAGACAAATGAAATACAACAATCCCTAGATTTTGTTGATATTGGTTGATGATAATGTGATTAAGATTAATATATTTTTATGATTTTGGTTGTAAAAAAAAAATTATTAAAATAAATCTGAAAAAATATTTTGTTGATTGTTTTTTTTTTTTTTCATAGTAAGAATTAAGAGAGAGAGACAGTACATTAAAAAATCTCAAATTAAAAAAAAAAAAAAATGAATGATTAAGTTTTTAATATATAAAAAACACACAAAAATTAAATCAATTTTAATAGAAAAAAAAACCACTTAAGATTTTGAATATCATCATCTATTCAAATTTATCTTATCTAATTAATTAATCTAATTATAAAATAAAGTTCTTAATAGTCTGTTTCAACAAATACCTTCTAATGTCATTTACTTTTAATATGAAGATAATTAATCAATTCATTATTACTTATATGAAATTTGTCATAAGATTATGAGGCTTCAAAAAAAAAAATTTTTGGACTATAATTTCTATTTCTTTTTTTTTTTTCAATAATAATAATAATAGAGGATTAAGAAGATAATGAAAAATTTAAAATGAGGTGAAATAAATGAATTTTTTTATCTCAAATTAAATTGGAATAAATAGACTAAAAATTATTCGAAAGGATTAGAAGATTATTATATTTAACTATCAATTTTATATTGACTTGTTAGATTAAATACAGACAGGATATTTTTAGATTTTAATGAAGTAATAAAGGATAGAATATTAAAATAATAAGATTACTTGACCTATAGTATTATGTTTGTTTAAATAGATAAGATATTGTAAATGAGTATATAAATAAATATAATATGTATTATTTATTAAATTGATGAAAATCTAGATTAATTAAGTTAATATAGTGAATATTAAAAGAATGTCAAAAATTTAAATTAAAGATTAAAAATTTGACATGATCACGTTTCTTAATAAATTTATCCTTATATAATGTATAAATAAATAAAAAATTCAATATAATACAAATTTAATCATAATAGAACTTAAAAAAGGGATAAATAAAAATTACCATAATTTTAAAATTCAAGGAGAATATAATTTTGTAAATTAAATATTGAAAATTTTAAAATGGTTATATAAATTATCCTTCTCTTATTTATTTTATCTATTACTTAATTAATAAATAGTTAATGAAACAATTGGAAAGTAATAAGTGAATAATAAAATATAAAGTCATTCTAAATTTATTACTAAATCTCCTATTTTTTTTTTTTTTATTTAATTGTTTTTTTGTGTATTTTATTTTGTGCTACCAAATATCTGTTTATTGGAGTATAAAAATTGGCTGCAAAATCTAAATAATCTTGATTAGGACAAATTTACGAGTCTAAAATAATATAATATATGTATTATGACTTTTTGTTTCTCTTCTATTGTTCTATTCAAAACAAGTTTAAGGCTAAGCCGTTCAAACATCTAATCAACAACCATTTACCACCTGTATATGGCAATCCGGAATAAATTCGGTTCATACAATAGTACATAATTATGAGACTGAAAATACTAATAGATGTACCAAAATTCAACAGTGGTCAGCAAAATAGTTCCTTTAATACAGATGAAAACGTCAATCTATTAGCATAGTTGGCAACTACAATAAACAACAAGATAAATAATAAGAGAAAAGATGTGAGCAAAATAATAACCATCGTTTATGAATTAATTAATTGTGTAAAGCAAATGTAGAGTTTAATTTATAAATCAATATTTTCCTCTCCTTGAATATTTCAAAATTTGTTTATACAATTATTAAATCTTCATTTTACGATTGAAGAAAAATCTTTATTGTAAATCTATTTGAAACTAGGTAGTACAATAAACTTACAAATTAAAAACAATTTTTTCATTAGAAACTCCTTTTTCAGATAATTTTAAACCTTCTTCAACTACTTCAAATTGTTCTTTCCCATTTAAAATTTTTAAATTTCCATGTTTTATTTCACTTATATATTCAGGTAAAACATTAAACCAAAATTCATCATAATAACCATGTAATTCATCTGGAGCTTTTAAAATTTTATCTACTAATTTTCTTTCTTTGATTATTACTAATGATGCTGATGTTTTACCCCAATGAATTAAGTTATTGTTTCTATTTGGATTTAAATTAATTGAATCTTTAGTTAAATAAAGTAAATTATCAAGATATATATCACTTTTTGTATCTTCTGTTGAATCATATAATTTTTGAAAAGTTTCAGATTCAGCAACTGTATCTAATGCAAATTTTAATTCACCTTTAGTAACTTCTTTTATTTTAGTAACTACTTCAGAATCATTATAATCAAATATATAATCAGCACCTAATTCTTTTAAAGCTTGATGATTTTTAGGTGAAGCAGTAGTAATCACAGTCAAATCATATATTAATTTTGCTAACTGTATAGCTATTTTCCCAGTAGCTGTTGCACCACCCCAAATTAATAAAAAATCTTTTGGTTTTGAATTTGATTTTAAATTCAAATAATAACTAAATGATGAACTAACAGTAACTAAACCTAAAGTTATACTAGCAGCATCAATGAAAGTTTTTATAGTATCAGGTTTTAAACTTTGATCTTTTGGATTATCACTTAAATGATTGTATTTAATACTACCTCTTGGATCAACAGCTACATATTCAGCAAATGCACCATTAGTAGTAGAAATACTACCAACAATATAAGAACTTATAAAATCTCCTTTGTTAAAATTTTTAACGTTTGAACCAATTTTTTCAACAATTCCACTTACATCACTACCTACAATAACATCTTTTTTTCCAGGATTCCATAAAAGGGATTTCCAATCTGTTGGATTAATTGCAAATGCTTTTGTTTTAATTAATATTTGATTCTCATTTATTTGAGGAATTGGTATATTGGTTTTTATAACTGTTGAAAACCCTTTTCCTGTTGATAATACTGCCTTCATTTTCTTCTGATTTTTTTGTTTTTTAGTCCTCAAATAATTCGTTTTTATCAAGACTTTGAATTTCTATTTATACACAAAATATTTATTTAATTTGTCAATTAAATGTTAAAAGCTAAATTAGTAAGCAATTGTTAGATGATCAATGTCTTGAAGCCACATAAGTGATAAAAATTTGAATTACTTTATCAATCAGTATATTTGCAATAAACTTTGTTGATATTAAACTAAAATTGGATCGTCAGAAAAGTTGAACATGTTTGCATTAGTAAGCGGATTTAGTTTTGTTTCGGATTGGATCACAAAATCGTCAAAAAAATAAAAATCCACACATTAAGACTACTTAAACAGAGAACGGAGGTAATAAAGTATTGAAATTGGAGTTTTACTCTATATTGATGAAACTAAATACCTAACAGGATTCTTTTAATGTAAAACTCCGTTCTTAAGTAAATTTAATTTTTCAAGCTTAGTTTTCAATTTTCTCTTTCAAGATTCATAGTTATTGACTTTTGAAATAAGTAAAGTAATGAGGCAAGGTGAATTTTCCCTTCGATGTCTTTAGTTTCATCATAAAATGCTTTAGAGGTTGAGGTCGACATACTGTAATTAATCCAAGCCTTAATAATCTTGATTTTTCTTTAATTTCATTAAAAACATTTAAATTATTGTATTCAAACGCTTGATTTCCACCTTATGATTTCAATCACCTATTTCAACATCTGTACCACTGACATCACTACTTAATATATAATCTGATAAATTTTCTTATGTTCTATATGTTTTCAATCGGTAATATTTATTGCAATTAAATGGTCTTTGATTAATTTTTAGACTTTTAAAGTTTGTGGAATTTGAAAATTGTCTTTTACAACACTTAATGCAGATAATACTGCTGCTTTTGTTTAAATTAAAAAATAAAATGTACTTTTATATTTTGAACTTCATCTCTTGTTCAAATTTATGTAAATATTGAATGTTATAAATCAGACGTTTTGAAATGCATCACAAAACCTGAAAATAAATACTTAGAGTTTTCTACGTGTCCAAGTAATTAACAAAAAAATTACCAGGTTATTTAACCAATCCAGAGAAATCCAAAGCTTTTACAGCTGTATTGAAGAGCCAAAATTTCAAAGATAAACTTAATTCAAAACACAAGCATTTATTAAAGCTCATCTATAAAAATCTCTAAACATTAAAAACAATTTTTTCATTAGAAACCCCCTTATGAATTAATTTTAACCCTTCATCAGCACTTGCTAAACCATCTTTCAATATTTTTAAATTACCATTTTTCAATTGTGCAATATATTTAGGTAAGACATCAAACCACCAGGGATTATAATATTTAAATAAATCTTCAGGTCTTGGGATAGCAGCACCTAAATTTTTAACTTCATCTATAACTAAGAATGATAATGTTGTACCCCAATGTAAGTTTGAGTTATTTCTGTTGTTATCTAAATTTATATCATCTTGTTGTGCTAATAATACATTATCAATATAAACATCACCTTTGACATCAGCAGTAGCGTCGTATATCTTTTGTAAAGTATCAGCTGTTCCAACAACATCTAATGAGAATCTCAATTTGCCCTTTGTAAGATCTTTAATTTTGGAAACTATATCTGAATCATTATAATTGAAAACATAATCCGCTCCTAATGATTTTAAATAGTCAAAGTTTTTTGGTGATGCAGTAGTAATAACATTTAATCCATATATCAATTTAGCTAACTGAATAGCTAAAATACCAGTAGCTGTTGAACCACCCCAAATTAAAATGAAATCACCATCTTGCTTATTTTCAGGAATTTCTAAAGAATAAGCGAATGAAATACCAACTGTAACTAAACCTAAAGTTACACTTGCAGCACCATCAAATGTTTTTATGAGACCACTTTTTATATCAACTTCATCAATTAATTGTTCATATTTAACAGTAGCTTGAGGTTCAACAGCAACATACTCAGCAAAAGCACCATTGGTTTTAGCAACATCTCCACTAACAAATGAACTTATGAAGTCACCTTTTTTAAAACCTTTAACATTTGACCCAACTTTTTCAACAATACCACTAACATCGTCACCTAATATATCCCCCTTCTGAGCAATTCCAAACTCTATATGTTTATAATCAATTGGATTTATTGCAAATGAATGTGCTTTTAACAAAATTTGATCATCATTGATTTCTGGGATTGGGTAGTTGTCAACGACGGTACTTAACTGATCTGTTTCTCCTGTTGCTACGGCTGCTTTCATTTTGTTTTGTATGTGTTATGTTACTTGTTTTTAACTTTGAATTAATTTAATTCTTATTGTTTATCTCGAATACAATTTTATGATCTCCAGGATTTGGTTCTCTATATATAATTGAGAAACATTGTTGAATTAATAATCAAAAACTTGTTAATTAATAATCATTTGAAAGTTCGGTATTAACGAAACCAATACCTGTTTTGATCTATCATAAGAATTGTTAATTGTAGAAATGTAAAGAAATTATAACATGTGGAGAATTAGTAAGCTATTAAACCACAATTTTTCTACAAAGCTCTAATACAATAAATATCAAATTTCAGAACGGACTACGTTTACTATTTCAAGAAATTTCGGGATCTAAAATATTTTGCAAAAGTGTATTTAAAAATAATTTTTGGGTTACGGAAATATGTTTTAGCCAAATAAACTTTACTTGATATTTTGTTACATAATAATGGAAATCTGTCATATTTCCACGGCTGTTAATTTAATATTTTGTGCATATATAATATTTCAAATTTACATAGTTAAGATAATAAATTAAGGTTTTATAAATCTGTTTTAAAAAGTAAAATTTGAAACAATTAGACTTTTAATCAATTTACTTACCAAAATACAAAACTAAAACCAATCAAAGTTCTGAAGGAGTCTATAACTCAAATTTTTGAAAGCTTTGACACTATCCTTGTTGTCTAAATAACTTAATATTTAAAGTAGGGATGAATAAGGCGCTATTTAGTGACATCATCACTTACATTTCCGCAATTTCTCATAGTAAAATGAACTTCATATTGCTGTTTTTTATTTTGTGCTTACTATTTGAAGTCTAAAATCTTATAACAAGTAGGAGTTAAGGGAGATAGCAGAAGATCTGTCTTGTTTTATATAAGCAAATACATCAAGATAAGAGGAGCAACAGTATTTCTCGAAAACAACTTCTCTACAACATTTTTCAATATTTATTTGCATTTCCGATAGTTTACAACAAGTTTGGATAAGTACTGTTTTAGATTTTTTTAACCAAGGATATGCTACGTTTTGTGGAATCATGTTGAAATGATGTGTTATTTTATGTAATATTTTTAAACTTTTTTAATTTTATTTAGATTATAAATTATAATTTTTACATATATAGATGTTTTGATTTTTCTATATTTGCTTCATATGGTCTCTCCAACTCTAATTTTTTTACTTTCTAATCGTCTTCTATCAGAGCAAATATAAATTAAATTTATTACAAAATCAGTAATGTCTTTAATGAAAGCAGCAGTGATATCAGGAGTTGAAAATCCATTAAGTAAAATTAAAGAAATTCCAATCCCTGAAATTAACAATGATCAAATATTAATAAAATCTCATTCTTTTGCAGTTAATCCAACTGATTGGAAACATGTTGATTACAAGATTGGTCAAAAGGGAGATGTTTTAGGGAGTGATGTAAGTGGGGTAGTTGAGAAAGTTGGATCTAATGTTAAACATTTGAAAAAGGGAGATTATGTTGGATCATTCGTAAGTGGTAATATTTCGAAAACTAATGGTGCATATGCTGAATATGTAGCTTCTAGTCCTAATTCTACTGCAAAATATGAACATTTAAGTAGCGATGCTGATGGTAAACCAGGTCCAATAAAGACCTTTGATGGTGCAGCAAGTGTAACTTTAGGTTTAGTTACTGTTGGTATTTCTTTCAGTTATTATTTAAATTTACCAAAAAATAAAAAAGATGGAGACTTCATTTTAATTTGGGGTGGTTCAACTGCAACTGGTATATTGGCTATTCAATTAGCTAAATTAATTTACGGGTTAAATGTAATAGCTACAGCTTCACCAAAAAATCATGAATTTTTAAAATCTTTGGGAGCTGATTATGTCTTAGATTATAATGATTCACAAGTATCTCAAGAAATAAAAGAAGTTGCAAAAGATAAATTAAAATTCGCATTAGATACAATTGCACAACCAGAAACTTTTCAAAAAGTATACGATGCTACATCAGATACAAAGGGAGATATATATTTAGACTCCTTGTTATTATTAAAAGGAGATTCAATACAATTAGATTCTTCAAGAGATAACGACAAAATCCATTACGGTCAAACATTAGCTTATCTCGTGGTTGATGAAGAGAAACAAATGGGTGCTACTATAAAAAGACCTCATGATTTATTAGATCATTATTTACCTTGGTGGAATGATGTTTTGCCTAAATATTTGAAAGATGTAAAACATGGTAATTTGAAGATTTTAAAAGATGGATTGAAAAGTGTTGATGAAGGGTTTAAATTATCTAAACAAGGTGTTTCTAATGAAAAAATTGTTTTTAGTTTGTGATTTTCTTGAAGAAATATGTCCAATGTTTATGTAATAAATTTAATATGAGTAAAATATAAATTTCCTATTCCATAAATTGTGTAAAACGCGTTGAAATTTGTTTATTTTTGATTAATTTATTAAAAAATTAAATTTTTTTTGCTGCAAAATATCTTGAAAAAAGAAATGAATAAAAACATACATGAAACACTCTATAACGACAACTTGAAACACCATGTACCGACAATCGAAAGCTGAGTTGCTGCCAATTAGAGTTCTGGGAAAATATGGAAAATAGATAAACTGAAAAAAAAAACCCATTTTTAATTTTAAATTACTAAAATCTCATTAAATTTATTATTCTATACTGTATTTATGTTGTTCTGTTACAAATTTTAAGTGACAAATGCCTAGTCTAATTACAATTCTATCTATTTCTTTTGTCTAATTCTATCTTTTAAGAAATGACAAACAGCTGATGCAATAATACTAACACCCAACATTAATACCAACATCATATTTGAATTACGATATAATCTCTTTTTATCAGCTGGCCAACCACTATATAAAGCATAAGTAGCGGTAACTGATCCAAGATTACCCAATCCACTGACAACTGCAGAACTAACAGCACAACCAACATCACCATATCTTGGACCAAAGATTTCAGCTGACCATGACATACAAATTGGAACTGTTGGACCTAATCCAAATCCTGCAATTAATAAACCACCATATTTATTCCATGATCCATGAGCAAAAGTAGTTACAACCATACCAACTATGATTATAACACAAGCAAAACTAAAAATTAAAGCTCTGAATCTTTTGAATTTATCAGCAAATGGTGTCATGATTAATATACCACCTAAATCAAATAACCAAATTGGTGCATATAATAAAGAAACCTGAATTGATGATAAACTTGGATCATTTGTTCTTATAATAGTTGATCCAAATACAGCTAAACCAAATCCAGTACCAACTACTCCAAAATACATAATTACTAAAGGATAAATTCTTAAATCTGTCATTATAGCGACTAAATCTTTCCAAGTCCATTTCAATAATTTATATCTATGCTCCAAATCTTTTCTATGTAATTCTTTTTCCCAATCATTTAATGGAGTAACTGGTGTGAAAAATTTTCTATATATTTTCATAATTTTAGAATCTGATTCTTTCAAAATTTTAAAAGGTCTATCCGGTAACCACCACAACAAAGATATACCAACAGCAATGGTAATAACTCCATAAATCATATACATCCATTGCCATCCATAATAACCATGAACACCATCCATTTTTTGGAAACCAGCACTTACTAAACCTGCAACAGCAGCTGAAATTTGTGCAGCAGTAAAATAATAACCTATTCTTCTTGTTGATCTTTCATTAGGGTACCATAACGAGATATAATAACTCATACCTGGCCAAGTTCCAGCACCTACCATACCACTAATAAATCTTATAGCAATTAATGCACCAGCTGCATGTAAAGCAGAATAACATGTGTATACTAAACCCACAGTAATAACAATTCTAGCTAACCAAGATTGAGGACTTACTTTAGTCATCACCAAATTCATAGGTACATCAAATATAATATATCCAACATAATATAAAGCAGAAGCAGTAGCAGTATGATGAGAAGTTAATTTTAAACTTTGAATTAATGAATGACCCTTTTCCGCATTCATAGTTAATGTTAATCCATAACAACTTGATCCAAATGAAGTTAAGAAATATAAACACCATAAAGCAGGTATAATTCTAAAGTCTAATTTTCTATAAATTCTATCCAAATCCTTTTTATTTGGTTCTATTGATTCATGATTTGAATTATCTATTACATATTCTTCAGCCTCTATTGATTTTATATCCCTTATTTCTGATTCTCCTGATTGTTGCTCTTCTGGAAATTGACCCATCTTTATTCAATCAATGTTTAACTAAATGTAAAAAACAAGAATCAATAAATTGTAAAGAATTAGTTGAGTTTATATATTATTAAAGTTTTAAAATTGTTGGGATATTTCAATTTTTTGCAATCAAATAATTTATAGATCTAGTACAAAAAAAACCAAATAATAATTTTTTATTAATCTCTTCTAATAATTAAATATGATTCAAAGTCATACATGAGTACTTTATTAAGTATGTATGTTTGGATTTACTTTTATATTTAACTAAAATAATTACACAAAGCAAGTCAACAAAATATTTTTGTTTTAGAAGATCAGTAAAATACCGCCTTCAATTGTATCGAAAGTTCGGTGACTGAGCTCAACCCTATTTATACCTTCAATTTAATAGTTAAACTTTTGAATACTACATATTGTATAGTGCTATTGTTGTTGAAATTTTAAAAAAGACCCTACCCAGATTTTTTGGTAGCTTACTTGTATGATTTAGGTATGATTCTAATCGGACCATTTATGCACTACTATCATATCAAATAAAACAACCAGATCTGTAAAACGATACGATAAATTTACGATTAAATTAAGTAGGTTTACTGTTTTGAATCAATCTACTCGGCTCTTTCCGATCCTTGTCCAATTTGTTTGATTTGCTTAAAAACTTAACTAAAGGCCAATAAAAGTTTTGCTGAGTATTAAATTGACTTTGACTATATCTTAACTATTTTGTTGAAAAATATGATGTCAAACCAGAATCCAACAATAAGTTAAGATTGCAGGACTAGACCGCACCTGAGGATGATTCACTTGATTCATTCAAGCTATATTTCGAAAATTTTTATTTTGTGTTTGTAATTAAAAAAAGTTGACTTTATTGTGTAATATCTGCAACAGCTTTAGTCTTTTGCAAAAAGAGTAGTCATTAAGAGTTTATAAAATTTGAGTCACTTGTAAAGTTTGTAGTCAAAGTTTATTTATAGTCTATCTTTACTTTATACAAAAGGTTTTAATCTATCAATAGTAATATCAGCAAATTCTTTACTTTGATTTAAAACAAAAGCATGCTTAATTGGATTATTTAAATTTTTACAAATTTCCATTAAATTCTTACCTGAATCAGAATACCTTGAAATCAAAAAATCTCTGGTTTTTGTGCTAACCCAATGATCACTTTGTGCAAAAAAACACCAATTATATACACCAGAATTGAAAAACAATTCATCATTCACGGTATTTGATTTATCAACAACAATCATTTCATCTTTTGCCATATTTAAACATTGATTTATTGAACATGGAGAGTTTATGAAATCTATTGTAGCTTCTAATGAATTCTCCAAACCGAGATTGTGATGATCTTTTGTAATTACTTGTTTTGGAGGTTTCCAATTATTCGTCAAAATGTATTTCACAACTGGTTGTGGAATATAATTGAGTACTAAACTTAATGTCATTGCTAATCCAACAAATGGTATGTTCCAGCTAATCATTCTGGTTAAAATTGTGCCAGATTCAGAATTTGCTATATCATATACTGTGGGAGTTATCATTCCATTGAATTTTATTTTGTGGCTATGAAGTGATTCATCTTGTTGTAATTTCAAAATTACTCTTTCAGTTATAAAACTTCCTAATGAATGAGATAAGAAGAATAAATTGACTGGTTGGGAATTTTCTTTCAAGATTTTTTTGATAATGTTGAATTTATGAGTTACTTGATCATCAACTGAATAAATTACTTGATTTCCCTTAGAATCTTTTTGAAGTTTTGTAGATAAGAAGCCCAAGTATTCTATGCAAAAAATTTCAAATTGTGGTAATTTTTCTTGAATATAATCTAGGTAAGTTACATAATAATTTATTAGTCCTGGATTTCCTGGTATCAAAATTAGATAATCATTCTTTTCAGTCTTTGATTGTTTATGGTACATTCTTGTTCTCGGTATATGATCCGCTTCTATGTATTCTATCGACATTTTCGATTTGAGGATAATTACTTGATTTGAATAGTTGGTCTTTCAGAATTGAACAATTATAGAATATCAAATAATTCAATCATTGCTTTAAAAAGCAGCCAGATATTTACACAAAAAGGAAATTTTTGCTTTATATCCGAGACGAACACTAGACTGAGAGATCTACTAATTCTACCATTGACCAACTAGTATATATTAACAAGAAACTATATAGATCATGTATTGAACTCTAAAATTTTGTTTAAACTATCAAACTCTTTAAATTGACTTGTGAAAGCATCTTTAATATATTCTATACGATATAAAGCCAATTCTTCCAATAATGAATTAAATTGATCATTATCTTTGCTATAAGTGACTAAGTATTTCTCCAAATCATTTATTAATGCATATGATGATTTCCTTGAATTCTCATCATTAATCGATGAGCTGATATTGTAAAGTTTATATTTCATGGATATTCTCTTTAAATCTGATATTTGTGCTGGTAGATTGTTAGATTGAGCTATCTTCAAAAATAATATTTGCAATTTGTTCAAGTTGGTGTGATGTTGTAAAATTTGTGAAGATACTTGTTTTATATGATTATAGGTTGATGATTCCCAGATCAAAAAACTCGTTTTAATATTATTTAGATTTTCAATATAATATTCTTCATTAAATTGTTTTAAATATTCAAATACAAATCTCCATATTATTCTTTCATAAAATGGTGATAATTTTTGTTGTTCAATTAATGGTAAGTAAATTTTATTGAAATTTGATTTAAGGTTTCTTATTACGTTAATTGGATGTTTTAAATCATGATGCTTTTTCAATAATATTATTTGAAGTTTTATCATATCTTCTGAATTTAACCCATGAATTGGGGTCATTGACTCTAAATTTATCGGTAAAGCTTTCAAATTCAACACGCTCTTGTTCAATAAGATGTCAGTCAAGAATCTGATATTTACTTTGGAATGATTAATAAATAACTGAGTAATTTCTAATAAATGATGTTCGTCTTTAACATTTTTAATATACTTTGATAAATCATTAGTGTTCAATTTAAGTAATGCAGAATGATTCAAATTTTTCGAAGAATCTAATTTTGATGATTTTAATCCAAATATTAAATTATTTACAAACATGTCATTAATATGTTGATGCTTATCAGATTTATAATCAAATTTTGTTATATTGTCAGTATTAAATTGTTCAGAAATAGATCCTTTAGTTAATGATTTATATAATGACGGTTTATACTTTTGATTATAAGAGTATTGCTTATTTTTGCTAGTTGTTGTTGATGATGGTTTGATCAATAAATTTAAAGCATCAGCTAATACTTCATTCTCTGGTGGTTGATCTCTTTTTGTTGTTTTTAACGTGTTATTATCATTCCATATAAATCTTGTTACAAAGCTTAATGTTGATTTTGATACAGGTATATTTTTGGAAGCTTTCGTAGTCAACATTTTAATACTGGTTGTTGGATTATTGTGGTTGCTTAATAAGTTAACTAATAATTAGTGAGGAGAAAATGATGGAAACACTTATTTATAAAAATAATATATGAGAAATTGTAGACTTCCAAATTAAGTAGTCAATGAGAACTTCAACAAGTCAAGTATATTTTTTCTGCATATAACAGCATTTTATGTCGTTAATATTTGACTGAGAACATAACTTTTAGAAACGAGGCAAATTCCGTCTCTAATTAGGAATCCCGCTTTTATCTTCTATAGAAGAAGAAAAAAAACTCACATTAAAAATAATAAACTTTTAAAATTAAATGTTCAATACTACATGAATTAAATTAGGTTTATAACTTTTAAGGATAGGTTGATAATTTTAAAATCATAACCTGTTTGATGTGGTTGACAGAATAGAAAAATTAAATTAAGGATACGTTTTAATACGGCATCAAAATGAAACAATAAATATATATTTGTTTTGATTCTTTTTCAATTAGGGAGATTGAGAAAAAATTGAACTTCCATTATGATATCTTATCTAAAATAATGTCAAATTTCTTTTAGTTATTTTTTTGAGACTTAGCTTCTCCGTAAATCAAAATTTATTATATTAGAAAGTAAAGCCACTTAAATATAAAATTCATTATGCACAATAATCTATTTGATCTTTGATATATAGCAAACTAGATCAATTATATTTATAATCAAAGAATTTTAATCAAAAATTTTCATCAAAATTTATGATTTATTAGACTTTTTTTATCTATTCAAGTACTAGTTTATTTCAGATCTACTAGAATAAATACCAGATCTGTAATATCACAGTCAATTTATAATAATGACTACAAATTCACACACGGCATCATCTTCAAAACAACAAAACATAACACAATCAACAGAAATAGATCCATTATTACCTTCAAATAATAAACAAGACATAGACCACTCATCAGATCCCAGAATATATCCACCAAATTCTCCAATTTTAGCAAAAGATCAAGCTATAGCAAATTTAGAAACTGCGGCAAATGATGTTTATGAAGCAATAATAGAAAATGATGAAGAATATGATGAAGATCAACATAATGAAGATGTTATATGGTTAAGAGAACAACGATTATTAAACAAGAGTATTCATTGGTTGAAAAGACCAAGTGTGCTTATGGTTTCATCAATAACTTTTTTATTAGCTTTCGCTTCTTCAAGTGCTGAATCAACAAGACAAATTATAACTTTAAAATTAGCTTGTAATGCATTGGGTACCAATAAATGTACCAAGGATTCTGCTCAAGTTTTAATGTCTGATTTACAATTGGGGTATACAATAACTGGTGCAATTATAATGTTGATATCTTCAGGTAAAGTAGCACCATTAAGTGATTTATATGGTCGAAGAATATTTATAATTGCAACTTTAAGTTGTTTCTTTTTGGGGAAATGTGGTAAATTTTTATTGATGTATAATTTTGATACTTTACAATTTTATCCAATGATTGGTACCGAAGTATTAACTAATTTATGTGGTGGGTTAATGGCCATAATAGCATTAAGTAATTGTTATATATCTGATTGTGTTGAACCACATCAAAGAATATATTCTTTAGGGATAAGTATAGCTGCAATGTTTGTTGGGTTAAGTATTGGTCCTTTGGTGGGCAATCTTGTTATTTCTTTAACTACAAAATATGCTTCAAATATTGATATTCCAAGTACTGAATTTATACCTTTAAAAATTGAACTTGTTATAATTTTTGTTGATGTTTTATTAGCATTATTTATATTACCTGAATCTAGATCTGAAAAGGCAAGAAAAAAATCAAGATCTTTATCTAGATCATCAAGCCAAATTAATTTACAAATTCAGCAACAACAAGAAGAAAAACCACTGAAGATTTCCACATTTATAAATCAAATCAATTTTTTAAAACCAGTAAAATTATTATATTTACCAAGAGATTTAGTAAATGAACAAAATAGACATCGTATAAATAGAGATAGATTTGCTATATTTGTTTTAGTTTTCATTGATTGTACATTAACTACATTAGCTATGTCATTTGGAGAGATTTATATGTTATATGGAATATATAATTATAATTGGAATCAAAGTAACATTGGACAATTATTAGCTATTGCTTGTGCAAGTAAAGCCATAGTATTAATTATATTATCACCAATGATAAATCACAAGATATTCCAACATGGATTTGGATTTAAAGTATTTAAGAAACAAATAGATATGGTTGATTTTTCAATGTGTTTATTAGGTTTATGTTGTGAAGTTATAGGATTCTTTGGGTATAGTATTGCACCAACAACTTTTATTTTCTTTGTTTTCACTATATTTTGTGGATTTGGTACATTAATTAGTCCAGCAGTGAATTCATCAATAGTAAAATTTTATCCAGAATCAAAAATTGGTGAATTATTTGGTGCTTTGTCGTTGGTTAAAAACTTATTTGCCTTAGTATCTCCCATATTTTATTTATCAATTTATAAATACTCAGTAAGTACTTTGCATAAACCTGGTTTAGTGTTTGTTGTTGCTGGTACTGTATTGTTCATTTGTACTTTGATGTTAATTACAGTGAAACATGTTTTAAAATTGGATAAAAACACTCAGGCTTTTGTACCATTATCAAGAAGTAATTCATTTGTTGGGATAGATCAACAATCAATGTCTTCACCAAAACCTGATCAACATAGAGGTAGTTTTAGTGATTTACACAAGAAAAGTAGTTTTCTTCAAAAAGAAAGAACTGGGTCAGTAAGTGGATGAAGCCAAGGATATAGAACTACAGTAGAGTAAAATTGTCTCTTCTGTAAAACTTTGTAAGATAATTAGATGCATTTATTCCATAGAAGTAAGTATTTGATCTCTTTATCCCATTACTCGTAAAGCTAATTCAACACTTGCAAAAGTACCTGCACTACAAGGAACAGCTCTTAATAAACAAGGAGTTAAACCTCTCCAGAATCCATAAAATCCATGCTGTTGATAAATATATCTAGTTGCTTTTAAAATACTTCCATTAAATTTACTTGCCGAATCAAATCCATCACTTTGTATATTTGATTTTATAACATCTAGTGGGTAAGAACTTAACCATAATGCATTCCCAGCTAATGCACCACTTGCTAATAATTCTGGAGTTGATATTTGATCTCGTGATTTAAAATTATGATATTTAATAATATTTTGTATTAATGTTTCATATGTCAAAAACCAAACTCCATAAGCTTGAAATTCTCTCAACAACGTTATATTAAAACCCCTATATATCCCACCCAAACCTTGAGTATTATATATTCTTTTTATAGTATTCAACATTGATATAGACTCACCAGATGAAGATTGACTCAAGATTCTTAATTGTTCTACAGGTGAAGCCACGGGAGTATTAACAACACCAGCCATAGCACCAGCAATATAAGTCTGAGGCCAAAGATTGAGCTTGTTCTGACCCGTGTATTGTAATATTTGTCTTTTAGTTTCATGAAATCCATAAAATTGTAATGAAACACATATACCTACTCCCACAAGAGGTGGTAATGTACCTTTATAAAATGCTAATAATCCTTCATTTTTGATAACGTCTTTAATAACCTGCACTGAAGAAGTTGCTTGTGTTGTTTGTAGTCTTATTTTAACTAAATCTGCTGGTTGACCTATAAGTACTTGAACTCCTCCACCTATGAAACCTGCTATTATATCTTTTATTTTTCTTGATAGACTGTTATCTATGGTTCCTTTTAGATCTGCTTGTTCATATTCTGCTATTTCTGCAACATCTGACATTGCTGGTTCTTCAATTGACTAATTAATATATATTTTGATAGCTTCGAAGTACTCAATTAATGGTTGTTAGACGCTGGCATTTCAATTTTTGATATCAATATAATTTGATGAATAACATTGATTTTGCAATAATAGTATATACGTCACATGATCATAAGTCACCTGACCAATATATATGGTAGCATTTTTTTGTTGCAATAAAATTTGACCACGTAAAAAAATTGAAAAATATTGAAAGCGATAATCAACAACAAGTAAAATACAAAAATAACATTTCATCAATTTAATCAATTGAATTAATTCAATCTAAGTCCCTTATTAATTATACAATATGTCGGGTAGAAGAAGGGCATATCCACAACCACAATATAGTGCTGGGGCTACTCCTGGCGTTCCAGGTCCGATTGGTCAACAACCTCAACAACCAATTGGTGGTCAACCACAAGCATCAACTTATGGACCTGAACAAATAACTCAGCAGTTTCAGGGAATGTATGTCCATCAACAAGCTCCATCAGCTTCACAATATCAACAACCACAACAACAATATCCACAACAACAATCGAATCAACAACAAGGAGGATTAAGTTATGATCCATATCAAGCACAACCTGGAGCAGGCTCTGTTTATGGACAAGGAATGGGTGGTATTCCACCAGCTCCAGCAAGTCAAGGAGGATTACCACAACAAGCAGCTGGTGGATCTGGATATGCGGGGTATGGTCAACCAAATAATATTGCATCTGGTATACAATTTAATGCATTATATACAACTGATTTATCACGAGATTTACCACCACCAATTGCAGAATTATCATTTCAACCACCCCCAATTACTATACCGGAAAGTGCTACATTGATACCAGGATCTAAAACTGCAAATGGTAAACCAGAATATTTTAGATCTACTTTAAATGTTGTACCAAATAATTCATCATTATTGAAAAAATCAAAATTACCATTAGCTTTAGTTGTAAAACCGTATAATGCATTAAGAATTGATGATGAAAATGTTCCTGTCACTTGTGATACTACAATAAGTAGATGTCGTCGTTGTCGTGGTTATATTAATCCTTTCATTACATTGGCAGAAAATGGTAGACGTTGGAGATGTAATTTTTGTAATTTATTAAATGATATACCAAGTGCTTTTGAATATGATGAAATTAGTGGACAAGTTAAAAATAAATTTGATAGAGTAGAATTAAATCATTCAGTTGTTGAATTTATTGCACCAAAAGAATATATGGCAAGAGCTCCTCAACCAATTGTATATGTTTTCATTATTGATGTTTCAGTTCATGCTGTTCAAAGTGGATTAACTGGTACTATAACAAGAACTATATTGGAAAGTTTAGATAGAATCCCAAATGCGAATAAAACTGCAAGAGTTGCTTTTATCGGTGTTGATTCAACTTTACATTATTTCAGATTTAATGAAGGTTTAGAAGGTACTGAAATAATGGTTGTTGCAGATATCGATGAACCATTTTTACCGTCACCAGGTGGGTTATTAGTTAATTTGGATGAAAATAGAGAAGCAATTGAAAAATTATTATTAGATTTCCCTACTTTCTTTGAAGGAAATGCAAATCAAGGCTTTGCTTTGGGTCCTGCATTAAAAGCAGGTCATAAATTGATAAGTAATGTTGGTGGTAAGTTAGTATGTTTTACTGCTTCTTTACCAAATATTGGTGAAGGTAAATTAAGTGTAAGAGATGAAGCAAGTGTTGCCGGTAAAGCAAAAGAAGCAAAAGCGTTATTGACATCTGCTGATAGTTTTTATAAATCATTTGCAGTTAATTGTAATTCATCACAAGTTACAGTTGATTTATTTTTAACTTCTGCTGCTTATCAAGATGTTGCAACATTATCAAATTTACCAAGATATACTGCTGGTCAAACTCATTATTACCCATCTTGGACAAGCAATAGAGATGAAGATATTGCTAAATTATCTAAAGAAGTTAGTGATCATTTATCTCAAGATATTGCATTAGAAGCTGTTTTAAGAGTAAGAGGTTCAACTGGTTTTAGAATGTCTTCCTTTTATGGTAATTTTTTTAATAGATCATCAGATTTATGTTCATTTCCAACTTTCCCAAGAGATCAATCATATCTTATTGAAATGTCTATAGAGGAAACTATAACTAAACCAGTTGTTTATTTCCAAGCAGCTGTATTACATTCAACATCATTTGGAGAAAGAAGAATTAGAGTTATGAATTTAGCTTTACCTGTATCATCAAAATTAGTAGACATTTACGCATCTGCTGATCAATTAGCAATAACTGATTTTTTCACACATAAAGCTATTGAAAAAGCATTATCTTCTTCATTACCAGAAGCAAGAGATTATTTGATTGCAAGAGTTGTTGATATTTTGAATATTTATAGAAAAGAATTAGTTGCTGGAAATGTTTCAGGTGCCTCACCATTACAAATATCAACTAACCTAAGAATGTTGCCATTATTGTTGTTCTGTTTAACTAAACATCTTGGTTTCAGAAGTGATAGAGTACCATCAGATCATAGAGCTGCTGCATTAAATAATTTAGGTTCAATGCCAATCCCACAATTAATAAAATCTATATATCCAACAGTATATTCATTACATGATATGCCAGATGGATGTGGTTTACCTGGAATAAAACAAGACGAAGAAGATCAAGAACAAGAAGATAATACTGAAATAGATGTTGTATTACCAGAACCAATCAACGACTCAAAAACAAGTTGGGAAGGTTATGGATTATATTTAATAGATAATGGCAGTGAATTATTCCTTTGGGTTTCAGGAAATGTAGTACCTGGATTAATTCAAGATGTATTTGGTACAGAAAATCTTTACGAAATCCCAACAGGTAAAACAGAATTACCAGAATATTCAATTGAAGAAAGTGAATTCAATTATAGAGTTCGTCAAATCATTGGTAAAATAAGGGAACAAAATGATTCAATAATATGGAAAAATCTTTATGTTGTTGTTGGAGCTTCTTCAAATGAACCTATAGAAATTTCTCAACAAAGAGATTTAATGGCTTTAAGAATGTGGGCTTCAAGTTGTTTAGTTGAAGATAAAATTGGTAGTGAACCAACTTATAGAGATTTCTTAACTTCAATAAAATCAAAAGTTAGTCAATAGATTTAATTTTATATAGTTACAAAATCAAAAGTATTTTGTGAATATTAATGAAACAAAAAGAAAAATTGATGTAAAGAAACTTTGTATATTATAATCTATAGTAAGTAAATGCACTTTCTAATTTAGTTCAGCCTAACTTCGATAAGCTTATTACATCTATGATCAGTTTAAAACGATCAACAAAAGTATCAATATAATAGTCAAAATTATAATTGTCACCAAACTTCCATTTTCTCTAGCTAATCGTCTAAATTCATTAATTCTAGAAGTAGCTCTAGCCAATCTGAAACTTGATCCATCAACTCCCTGTTCCAAATCATTCAATATTATAACATGATCATCTAACTCATGATTAATATCATGGCTCATTAAATTTTGTTTTGAAATCAGTTGATGTAAAACATCTAAATCTTGATCTTGTCTCATCATTGTTTGTTGATGCTGTGCAAACACTTGATGATTTGTTAAATCTTTATATGGTTCTTCCTGTGGTAGTTCTTCTTCGTCATCTTTATATGGTTTGAATTGAGATATACCTGTTTGTGATTCTTGTAACTCTTGTTCATCTGGTAAATCTTTAAATCGTACTGTTTTAGTTATACTGTTTCCGTTTATATTATTGAATATTGGTTTTTCATATTTATATTCTGATACATCAATTGTTGAATCTGACTGTAGATTATCATAAATTTCATTATATTGGGTGAATAATTCTTCGAATTGATTAGTGAGGTCGTCGTTTCTTTTATTGTTTATTAGATCTTCATTTAATAGTTTAAAGTATTCCGTAGTTTTGGTAAAAATGGTTATTAAATCGAAGTTATCATTAGTTGATGGTTCTAAATTTAGATTTTTTAGGTTGGTTCTTTCTTCTATTAATTCATTTATTTCTTCTATATTTAGTTTTATTTTATATAATAAAGATTTAGCTTCTTTCAACTTTATTGATGACATTTTGGTTTGGTGATATTGGATAATAATTAAGTAATGCTGAGTTCAAGATTCTTGAGCCTCCGTATTACTAGTTGATTTATGATTAAATAGATAACGCCAACTTTTTTGTCATAATTTTGTGGAGTGTCACAATTATTTATTTGAAGACAACCGACCACTTTATCATTTTTCTTTGATTCGATTTTACGACCAAATAGTTTACCAAGTGTTAATTATATTATAATATTGGGGTATAGCTCAGTTAACTTATCCTTAAGTCAGTCTGTACGAAAAGAATATACAAGCAGTCAATTGATTTACAGTTGAACTGAAAACACAACTAAAACAATTTCATGTTCTCCAAAATAAGGAACTTTTCAGAGGATGTTGCAAAAAGTTTAAATGATTTAAATTCATCAGATCAACAATTACAACAACAAAAACCGGATCCTTTGGTACAATTACAAAAAAACTCCAAAATTTTAATGACTGATACTCCAGATTCTAATCAATTAATCCAACCAACTAATGAAGATTCAGAAATTCCTTCAAGAATTACAACACCGGCCCCAACACCAATAAATCAATCTAGTTCTAATATTTCAAAAGTTTCATCAATAAATTCTACCAACTCGACACCACCCCCAAATCAACAAAACTCAGAGAATATAGATAATCTACCGCCGATTATTAAATCAAAATTAAAGAAATTTGCAAAATATGAAGAGAAATATCCTATTTTATTAGAGGCTTACAAAATTGAAAAACGTAAAACTGAATTAATCAAAATATTTGAAAATGTACTAAAAGAAAATACTCCAATATCGTCAATATCTGATGCAAAAATATTAATAGAATACCTAAATGGTTTAAATGATAAGAATAAATTACAAAATAATGAAATTAGAAAATTAACAAAAGAAAACTCAGTATTAACTTTTAAAATTGCAAAATATGAAGAAGATGGAGAAGATAGTTTATTTAAAAAGATTGAAGATTTGAAAAAAGAGAATGAGGGATTACAAAGTCAGATATTGATAAGTGGGAAAGAGGTAGATGAAAATAAAAGTAAATTTGAATCACAACTTAAAGAAAAGGATGAAAATCTAGATAAATTGAGGAGGGAGATCGAGGAGAGCAAAAGTCAGAAGGATGAGTCTATAACCACGAACGATAATGAAACTGTAAAGAGTAATGGAGATGTTTCACAAGTTTCGAATATGAAGAAGGAACTCGCAGTTAGAGAGAAAGAATATGATGAATTATCACAAAAATTAAAGGATACCAATAAACTCATATCGGAGAAAAATGATGAGATTGAAGACTTAAGAGATCTGTTGAAAGATATTGGAAATGATTTGGTATCAGCGAGAGATGAAATTAAAGGTTTGAGAGCTGAAACAGATAATGACGTTTCAAACGGTTCAAATGGATCCCATGAAAAAGAAACTGAAGAACATAGCACAACTACACAACTAGCCAATTTGAAGAACGATTTAAACACTTGGAAAGACAAACACAATAGCAAAGTGAAAGAAATAAAAGAATTAAATAATAAAGTCTCATCATTAGAGGATGAAAATCATAAGAATAATTTATCAAGTAAACAATCAGAGAGCAATTTAAGGAAGGAAATCCAAACTTTGAAAACTCAAATCAAAGATCTAGAGACAAAAGCTACCACCACTGAAATGGAATTAACTGATCATAAAACCGAAAGAACAAAATTGGAAGATAGAATATCTGAATTATCAAAATTTAAAAGTAATGACACGTCGTTTAAATTAGAAATCTCATCGCTACAATCATCAATTAAGCATAAAGATGAACAAATAAAGCTTATCAAATTAAAATTAGATGAGCTAACAGAAGAAAACAAATCACTTCAACAAAAAATTGATAAATTAACTGCATCAAATAATGACTTACAATCAAATTCAATGGATTACCTAAAATCAAAGAATGAATTATTGACAAAGCAAGAATTGTTTATTGAAAATGAGAAAAATTTAGGATCACAAATAAATAAATTGCAACAAGAGAAACAACTGATAAAAAATGAATTAGAAAAAACTAAGAATAGATTAGACTCTATAATAAGTGAAAAATCAAGTGCAAATAATGATATATTAACATACAAGAAACAATATGATGAACTATCAATGAAATCAAAGGAATACAACTTGAGAATTGAGAGTTTAGAAGATGATATATCTGAATCAAGAACTTTATTACAAGAGAAAAACAGAGAATCTAGTAGTTTAAGAAGATTGTTAATTGATGCAGAAGAAGTAATGAAACAAAAGGAATCTAATCATAAGTTGGAGCTCAATAGGATACAAGACGAAAAAATGGAATTTGAAAGATCAACGAATCAATTAATCAAGAGAAAACAAAAGGATGTTGATGAAATGAAAAAACAGTTAGAAGAGTCTGAATCAAATTTGAAAAAAATTGAGAAAAAGCTAGAAGAGATAGAAAAATCAACATCAACAATCACTAGTACTTTGGTAACCCATAACGGGGAAGATCAAATAAACTCAGACCTACAATCTCAAATTAATACCTTGAGAGCTGCATTAACTTCTTCTACCAACAAAATAAAGGAATACGAAAAATTGAATGGTAATTTGAAGAAACTAAATGAAGATAACATTTTAAAGTTTGAGAGATTATCAAAAAACTATAAATTATTAACTCAACAATATAGAATAATGAAGGATAATCAGCATGAGCTGAGTCAAAGTAGTAGAAAATCATCAATCAATGGAAGTGTGATAGATGGAGATTTGGATTTTAGAGAAAATGAAATGCAAAAACAAGAAAATGCTAATGTTGCATATTTGAAAAATGTTTTACTTGGTTATTTTGAACATAGAGAACAAAGAGACCAATTGCTACCTGTTTTAAAAACAATATTTCAATTTAGTAAAGATGATGAAAATAAGTTTTTATTAGCCTTGAAATAAACGAACGAGGAAGTAGATAAAATTGTAGATTGTCAACTCTATCATATTTTTTTGCAACTAATATATGAAACATTTGGTCCAATATCGCATCCAAAAAAACGCAAGAATTTTTATGCACCTAACTTTATTTACAATCGTCAGTGATCAACCCATACAATATGCAAGATCCATTTCTACAAAAGAAACAAAATATACTAAAAGAAATATCTCAAAACAGTGATGACAATCTAGACGCATCACCAAAGGGAACAATAGATGAACATTGTATTCCAATAATAAATTTAATAAATACTCATCCAAAGATGGTAACTACATCATCATGTTCAGGAAGAGTTTCAGTTTATTTGGAAGGTGTTCAGAATAACAAAATTATTTCAAAAGGAAACGAAGGGAAATGGATCTTTGTCACGCATGATACTTCAAACTTGGATAACTGGTACCAAAACATTAATTTCAAATATGATATAACTAAATTTCCCACAAGCGAAAATTTAAGAAGTATACTATATAAGTTTGAAGCATTGATCTTGCACGTAAAATGCAAAGATATAAGCACGGCTAACAAGCTATATCAAATAGCAATGAATTGTGGATTTAGAGAAAGTGGAATTGGTAGTAATTATAATGTTGCGATTAGAATATCGATAAAATTAGACATACCCATTGGATTCATGGATGAATCACAATATAACGAAGATGGGGAAGAATCGTACAATTGCTTTGTTAGTAAGGAGTATTTGAAGTACATCACTAAAGTTTCATTTGATAGATTTAAAGAAAATTTAAAAAAATTGAATCAGCTACACGAAGCTATCGATAAATTTATAAAGGAAGATAATGATGGTAACGATGAATTTATAGAGAGAATAGAAAGCGTAAATATAAAAGAAGGTTGGGAAAGTAAAGAAGAAAGAAGAGCTAGAATGATTAAAGAAGGTTTGGAACGAAAAGAAAAAATGAGACGAACTAAGTTAGAAGAAGCTATAAGGAATGATGATGGTAACATACAATCATTAGTGTAATTAATGTAGTATAAATTGTAATATAATTGGTACAGCTTTGACTCATAGAATATAGATGTGTTTCAAAAAAACAATTGATGTCATTTTACAAAGAATATTAATTTTTTCTCTCTTAAATTTTCAAATTTTTCAATTAATACTCCAAACAGTCAACTTCTACACACAATAATTCAAGATGTCAGCTTCTGAAAAATTAGGAGAGTTATCAATTAATGAGAAACCAACTGAAAGTCCAGTTGAACAAACTTCAGCATCACAAGAAGAAGTTGTATTAGGAGAAGATGGACAACCATTATCTAAAAAAGCTTTAAAAAAATTACAAAAAGAAAAAGAAAAACAAGCTAAAAAAGCAGAAAGAGAAGCTCAGTTAGCTAAAGAAAAACAAGCAAAAGAACAAGAAGCAGCAAATGATCCAGCAAAATCAAATTATGGGAAATTACCATTAATTAATTCGTCAACTAAAACTAACACCAAAAGAATTCAAATTTCAGATTTATCAGCTGCAAATGATGGAGAAACTGTTGTATTTAGAGCAAGAATTCACAAGACTAGACAACAAGGTGCAACAATGGTTTTTTTAACATTAAGACAACAAACCAATTTAATACAAGCACTTTTGAAAACCAATAAGGAAACTGATTCAAACGCCATATCAAAACAAATGGTAAAATGGGCAGGTAGTATTAGTTTGGAAAGTATTGTATTAGTTGAAGGAAAAGTATCAAAAGTTGAAGAATTAGTCAAATCAGCAACTGTTCAAGATGCTGAAATTCATATTACAAAAATATTCACAATACAAGAAACTCCTGAACAATTACCATTATTAATTGAAGATGCTTCAAGAACTGAACAAGAAGCTGAGGAATTAGGTTTACCAGTTGTTAATTTAGATACAAGATTAGATTCAAGAGTCATTGATTTAAGAACTCCAACAAATCAAGCCATTTTTAAAATTCAATCAGGAGTTTGTCAATTATTTAGAGAATTTTTAAACAAGAAGGGATTCGTTGAAATACATACTCCAAAAATTATTGGTGCTGCATCAGAAGGTGGATCAAATGTTTTTGAAATTAATTATTTTAAAGGTTCTGCCTTTTTAGCTCAATCACCACAATTATATAAGCAACAATTAATTGCAGGAGATTTTGAGAAAGTATTTGAAATTGCTCCAGTTTTCAGAGCTGAAAATTCAAATACTCATCGTCATATGACTGAATTTACTGGGTTGGATTTAGAAATGGCATTTGAAGAACATTATGATGAAGTATTAGAAGTATTAGAAGAATTATTTGTATTTATTTTTACAGAATTGAAAAATAGATATGGAAAAGAAATCGAAACTGTAAGAAGACAATTCCCGGTTGAAGAATTTAAAATTCCAAAAGATGGTAAGATGGTCAAATTACATTTTAAAGAAGGTATTGAAATGTTAAGACAAGCAGGTAAAGAAGTTGATGATTTTGAAGATTTATCTACAGAAAATGAAAAATTATTAGGTTCATTAGTTCGTGAAAAATATGATACTGATTTTTATATTTTGGATAAATTCCCATTATCAGTAAGACCATTTTATACAATGCCAGATGCTGAAAATCCAAAATATTCTAACTCATATGACTTCTTTATGAGAGGTGAAGAAATTTTGTCTGGTGCTCAACGTATTCATGATCCAGAATTATTAAAAGAAAGAATGAGAACACATGAAGTTGATCCTAACGTTCCTGGTTTAAACGATTATGTTGATGCTTTTATTTATGGTTGTCCTCCTCATGCTGGTGGTGGTATTGGATTAGAAAGAGTTGTTATGTTCTTTTTAGATTTAAAAAATATTCGTCGTGCTTCTTTATTCCCAAGAGATCCAAGAAGGTTAAGACCATAAGTTTAGTGAATATAGTTTTAATGAAATATCTTACTTTGTAAATAGTGTTTAACATGTTGATCTATCATTGATATACTTAACTTTTTACTGGTAAAATGCTACCAAAATTTTGTTAGACGGTTTTTTTAAAATAGCCGACCAAATTTGGCCAAGACTGCAACAACTGTTTACATAATCATCACATCACAACCAAACTAAATTCATACCTACAACCACAACGTAAAAAATGGAAGCAGCAATTATACCGAATCCAAAAAGTAAAGATTCAAATGCACAAATCTTATTAATGGGATTAAGAAGAGGAGGAAAATCATCAATATGTAAAGTTGTATTTCATAATATGCAACCATTAGATACATTATATTTAGAAAGTACAACAAAACCTACAAATGAACAATTTTCTTCGTTAATAGATTTATCAGTAATGGAACTACCTGGGCAGCTTAATTATTTCGAGCCTAATTATGATTCAGAAAGATTATTTTCATCAGTAGGAGCATTAGTTTATGTTATTGATTCTCAAGATGAATATCTTAATGCATTAACTAATTTATCTATGATAATTGATTTTGCTTATAGAGTCAACCCAAAGATAAATATTGAAGTATTAATTCATAAAGTTGATGGATTAAGTGAAGATTATAGAATGGATGCTCAACAAGATATAATGCAAAGAACTGGTGATGAATTACTAGATTTAGGTTTAGAAGGTGTACTGGTTAGTTTTTATTTAACTTCCATATTTGATCATTCAATATATGAAGCATTTTCAAGGATAGTTCAAAGATTGATACCTGATTTACCTTCATTAGAACATATGTTGGATAATTTAGTTCAACATTCAAATATAGATAAAGTTTTCTTGTTTGATGTAAATTCTAAAATATATGTTGCAACAGATTCATCACCAGTTGATATACAAACTTATGAAGTATGTGCAGAATTCATTGATATAACAATTGATTTAGATGATTTATATATTGAAAATGAGAAAAAAAACCCAAACAAAAAAAATGGAAGAGTAGTTGAAGATAATAACGATGAAACAAAAGAATTAAAATCAATAAGTCATTTATCAAATGGTTCAACATTGTATTTAAAACAAATGATTAGAGGATTAGCTTTAGTTGCTTTGATACGGAATGAAACTTTTGATAATGAATATATTGATCATTCACAAGATTCAAATGACAACATAGCAAATACTACTATTTCAGATAGTGAAAAATCATTAACTATTATTGATTATAATGTTAATTTATTCAAAGAATCATTAATGAAGATGTGGAGTAGTTATAAATATAGTAATAATATATGAATATAGTTGTAAAAGAGTCACTGATATCCTACAATTGTATTTAAATTTCTTCTTCTCCATAAAAACCTATATTGAATTTATCTATTTATTTATATACCAAACCATAATCCAATCAAATGAAGTTAACCCCAAATTTGAATGAAAATGATAAAATATATTAAATTTTATAATAAAAATAATAATAAAAATGAAATCAAAAATTAAAAGATCCACACTCTCTGATCCATCAGCCTGTCACAACAAGAACAATCCAAATCTCACACAACCCAAGTGAATCATGATCAATTGAATCATTCATAAATCACAACAAAAAACAAATGAACCATTAATGAAAGTTGGCATTCCTCAATTCATAACGTTCTTATTTCTAAAATATTAAGGGCAAGTCATAGTCAAAAGACTAATTCTTGAAACCCTTCTATTTTTAAAAATAATGTGCAATGTAAATGAATCTAATAAATGATTATAAGACTACTTGATCTCTTATAATATCTCTAGGTAAGTATGAAGAAAAGAAAAAAAGAAGGGGAAAAAAGTTTAGAAAAAATTATGAGAATTTTAATTCTTTTTATACTTCGAGAAATTTTATTAGTTGAGCACACGACTATTTAGATTTAATTTATGTTCATGTTTCAGATTTGTTTGATATGGAATTATAGACAATCCTAGAGTTTATCATTTCTTTTGAGAAATTACGAAAAGATAGTATTAAATTTTAGGTATTTATAAATTCGTATGAACAAGGATATAATTTAGATTTGCCAGGGTTTCTTACCCAAACTTTTCCTCTTGGAGTATCTAATTGCATATCTTCAGGAAATATATGTCCAATACCAGTACATTTACCTTCATTTAAATTCATACCACCGGTAGTCACAAATCCAACAGTAAAAGAATCTCCATAATCTGGAACTGAATAAATTCTTGCATTATTTTCAATAACCCCTGCTTCCAAGATTTTTAATTGTATCGTAAGTAATGGTAATTGTTGATTCACAATATTTTGCATTGTTGTTGGATTTAATTTATGATTATCCAGAAAATTTTTACTATATTGTGCTTGATTTACTGATGGTGTTGAAATTAATTTTTGTTCTTTTTCTAATAATTTGACTTTGTATATTATGTCATCTTCATCATTTGGTATATAAATTTCTCTACCTCTTATAGTTGTTCTATAATTATGCATTAATTTAGATAAATATAACATATTTCTTAAAGTAAACCAATCACATTTATATGCATTGAAAATTAATGAATAATTAGATTCTGATTGTTGTAGTGTTATTTGGCTTTTGGATTTTTTGGAGTCTAATTCTGCTGCTTTTTCACCAACTAGATTATTATAATTATAACCTTCAGTTGTTGAAGGATAATCTACTGGAAATGATGGTTGATTATTTTCAAAATTAAACTGATAAATTTGTTTTAAACCACCTGGTCTTATATCTGGGATTTTGACTAATTGAATCCAAATTGGTAAAACCCAAAACCAAGGACATATTAATTTCCATTTTGTGGAATCTATTTTAGTTAATAAAATTGGAATATTACTATGATTTACTTTATCTAGTGTAGTTTTTTGATTATGTATCTTACCTAATTCTTTGATTGATAATTGGTTTTTATATGAATCTAATCTACCTTGTTTAGAAAATAGCTTTTTTGTAACTTCATAATCTACTTTGTGAGATGAATTTAAGTATATTATTGTATCGTAAATATCCTGAGTTGGTTTTATTGGATAATCAACTGGTCTGTTCCATAGTCTTGGATCATATATATTGAATGAAAACGTTGTACCTATTGGCACTAACGAACTATCTTTATTTGATGTTATTGTTGCCCAAGTTTGTTTAAATTCTTCTGATTCGTCTCTTAAATGTAAAACTTTACTTAAACATCGTAACCCCAAAGGACCAGAAACTTCCATACTTCCTAATGCATACCTACAATCAGTCACATTATAATCTTCCCCAAAATTTTCCTTGAAATCATTAAATTGATTTTCAAAATTACTCAAAGATTGAAATTGTATTAAGAGTATACAATTAGTTGAATCAAAATAAGTTAAAGCTTTATTGTCTCTGACTGAATTGGATAATCTAATCATTCCAAAATATGAATTTTTCCCATCGAGTACTGATTTATCCAGTGAATCTATTATTAGGTCATATAATTGAAGTAATCCGCCTTTAACTAGTTTATCATCCTTTTCTTTTGGACTTATTATAATAATTGGACTATATGAAGTATCAAAACAAACAGCTTTATGTTTATTTTGTCTACTCATAAATTTAAAACATTTTTGTGTTGGTGTATAAGGAATTTGAAACCCGTATTTTTTACTCATTTGAAACCTTTTTGCATGCCATATGTGTGTCGGAATCCAAGCAAATTTTTGTTGTCTTTTACCATATTTAACACTAAGTGAAGGTGGACTAGCTAGTTCATTTTCAACTGAAAGTTCAATTGACCCAACTGAATTATTTAATTTGGGGTTTGGTTCATTATCCAATTTTTTCAATTCTTTTCCAATTTCTTTAATGTGTTTACGAACATTACCATTTTTTAAAATGTCATCTAGATTGTGTCCATCATTTTTTAGTTTTGATGCTGCTTTTAGTATTCTTTGCTTTTGCATCAACTTATATAATTTTCTCCCCTTTGGTACATGTTTTGCAGGTAATGAAGCACCTTGCATTTCTCTAATAGCTTTTGCCCTCAATCTTTTAGGAATTCTTGAGACATTATGAGACGCAGCTCTTCTTCTCATTACTCTTGGTAGATTTTGAAAACATCTGGAGTTCAAAGCTTGTTTACTTTTTAGTTGTGATAGTTCCAATGAATTTATTTCATATTTTCGAGATGATAAAAAATCAGGTACGTTTAATTTATTTTCTTTCTTGGAGTATGATGAATCATTATTTTGAATTTTTATAGTTCTGCTATTGTATAATTTTGTTTTCTTCTTATTAAGATTTTTCTTATCATTATTGCCTCCTTTATTGTTATAGTTGTTCATCAAAATTGAATGATGATTCAAAGATGTTTTGTTGTAAATATTAATTTTTAAATTTGTGAAACACGAAAATAAAAAATGCTAAGAACAATCTTACAAAAAGAGATTCGCAAGCACATGCAAAATTTAGATCATAAAGGTTAAGAAGGTTGTTCTCTCTGGGCTCCAACGTGAGTGATTGTCATCTATCCTCTTCAACTACAAGAATAGAAAAATATATAGAATGATACGAAAAAATTAAAAAAAAATTATTCAATTACTCACATTGCTCTCAGCAGGATTCGAACCTACGATCTCCTCATTACACTGAAGATTTAAACTGTATACTAGTGAGGTGCCTTACCAACTTGGCCATAAGAGCAATTTCAAGTCAAAAAATTTTGTGGTTTAATGAGTCACGCAGTAATTGGAATAATTCCCCTTTCTGCTTGACGGAGCTAAGATACCTTCACAATTAATACGAATGAAGTGAAAGAAGGAAATCAAATTTACTAATTATTCTTGATCAGATCTTAAGAAGATGGAAGATGGGCGTTTAATCGAATTTTGGTCGCTTTTGATGATTTTTTGATGTTCCTCCCCTTTTGGACCGAACAGTGCAACCTCTAATAATGAAGCTGTTATCATATTCATGTTTCATCTCAACCTACCATGCTAGTTTTATTTCTCAATGCTCACTCCTTGAACAAAAATTCAGAAACGACCACTTGTACTTAAGAAGCAGCACGCCTAAATTTGAACTTTCAACGTCGGTGTAATCTCCATACTTCTCTTATCAAAGTTTTCAAATTTTTATATCTTTAGCTCAAAGCAGCCAGCTAGTACCCAACTTTTGCCTAAGGTCTCGCTTCAAAATTAAAAATACCCTTCATCGACCTTATTAGTGCTACTCAACTGCATGATTTCATCTTACCATTTAATTACTTGGTAGATGTCAGTTTTTTGCCTGACTGCGATTGTTATTTTTTCTTTTTATACTTCATATTATTAAGTGTCCATCTAGCTTGCTAAATATAAGAAATTAAACTAAATCGGAGAGGGGGAAAAGTTATGTATATACTTCACTTCATTTTTCATAGGTTTTTATAACCAGAACCCATTGTTAATATGTTTGTTTTTGTTCTGTTTGTTGTTCTGTTTTTGTAATGGACTATGATCATTACGTACTTGTATGCATTATTCTAATATTAGTTTGAATTTTTGATTTCGGTCGCTAGAAGGATTGACGATGGTAAGGTTATTTTATTTATAAAAGTAAATAAATTGGTTGCAAATTGGGTATGAAATTCATTTTTATTTTACTGAATTCTTGGTTGTAATAAGCATTTAAATTTACATAAATTTTACGCAAAAACAATGCGGTTTAATAACAGTCAAATGCCTAGCTCTCAGAATTATTTTCAAGTTTGTGAACAAGATATAAACTTGATTGATTTGCAACCTAAAATTCAGACAGAATTATGATATATTTTGGTAGCACCGTTGTATCAAAATTTAATAGAGACAAACAAACAAAAAAAAAATAAAATTTGAATGTTCACAAGAATATTAATTAAAATCCTTTAATTTTCTTTAATTATCTTTTAATTAATATAATTCATGGACGATTCAGTCAGGTCTTTAATTAGATTTGTTAGTAGAGGATTTTATACTACTCCATTTATATTAATTTTAGATGCAGTTTTAAGACATTCAGTATTATCAGAAGATGATTTAATCCATTTACTTGGTATTAAAAGAAAAGAATTAAGATCATTATGTAATAAATTAGTTGATGATAGATTATTAGTTAATCATATACAAAGAGAAGATAATGGTCAACAAAAATATGTTACTAGAACTTATTTTTATATTCATATAACTGAAGCAATAGATTCTATCAAATGGAAAGTTCATTCAATTGTAAATCTGTTAAAACAAGAAATGTCAACTTTTGGTAATCCTCAAGGTTATGTTTGTCCTCGATGTGGAAGAAAAGTGTCACAATTAGATGCAATATCATTATTAAGTGAAGATAAAACTGAGTTTATATGTGATGTATGTCAAGGTGTATTAATTGAAGATGATTCATCACAACAAGCAGTTATAAAACAAGAAAAATTAGAAGAATTAATGTTACAAATTGATCCAATTATAAAATTTTTAAAAATTATTGATGATTCTCAAATTCAAGATAATGATTTTGAAAGTGCTTTGTTACAAGCCATACCAGCACAATCAGCAACATCAGCACAATATACATTATCTAATAAGATTAGTAATAAATCAAGATCAAATGCTCAAGCATTACAAGCAGCAGCAGCAAGATCTCAAGCTACTTTACATGTTTCTATAACTGCAAATGATGAAAATTATGAAAAAGAACAAGAAGAAAAAGAAAGAAGAAGACAAAAATTAGAACAAAATGCATTACCTTCTTGGCATTCAAACAGTACTGTAGGAAACAAACAAATTGTAGATTATATTAAAGAAGAAGAAGATAATAATAATGATATAGAAGACTCATTAAGTAAAGATGGTAATACTCCAGAAATTAAAGAAGAAAAAATAAAAACAGAAGAAATTGAAGATGATGGAATTACAACTGATATATCTTCTGAATTACCAACTCCTGAACCAACTTCTTTGGGTGGAAACTCAGCTAACAATACACAATCATTCAATAATAATAATAACAATAATAATAATAATAATAACTCAGATCTAAAAGATAAAGAAGCTCAAGATGCATTAGCTGCTTATTATGCTCAATTAGCTGAACAAGATGAAGATGAAGATGAAGATGATGACGACGATGATGATGATGATGAATTTGATGACATACTTTAATCACAAATATTAATAACTTTAACTAATTTTACTCTGTAATATTTGTATAAAATAATAAAATTAATAGACGATATATATTATTTTCTCCCATCAACCTTAAACTACATTAACATTGATGTGTAAGCTTGAAATCTCATCATCATTTATACTTCCATAAAATCAGTTGAATATTAATATCTTTAATAATAAAATGCACATGGAATTAAATTGATTAAATCCACCCCCTGTTTTATCCGGTAATTAAATTTAATTAAAGTGAGAGAAAAAAAATCATTACATTTTATAAATTTAAACTACAGTTAGAGAAACATTCACACAACCGTTTAAGTCCAAATAAATTTATTAAATTTATAAATTGTATTTAGTTAACTACTTTACAACCAATTTTTAAATTAATTTGAAATCAGGTTTCATTTAGTTTTAATAATACACGAGGGTTTATACAATTATATATATCTATTTCACCTAATTTTCGATAGATCAATAAAAATAATCAATTATATAATACGTCAATTCAATATAATATAATGACAAATTCAGGACTAGTTACTCCACATTCTAGACCAGGAACACCTTCTGGTTTAATAAATAGTCCACCACCACAACTAAATACTTCTACATCAATAAATTCAACTCATTTACAATTACCAATAAATTCAAACATATCAACTCAACCAACTTCAACAACTTCAACTCCATCAAATAAACAAAAAGAACAACAACAACAACAACATGTACCATCATATGAAAAATCTATATATGAACAATTATTTTCCATTTATAAAACATTATTAGATTTGAAAAATAATAGAAATAAATATATAAATTCAAAACAAATTTATTCAATATATGATTTATTTTTAAATATAATAAATGATTTAAAATTAACAAGAAAAGATGAAGAATTAAAAGGTATAACTTTAAATTTACCAAATGGTAATGATTTAATAATTGATGATATTTTTCAATTATTAAGTTTATGTTTTGTTACTTGTGGATTAATTAAATTTGCACCTGCAACATATTCAAGTTTAAGTGCAGTAATGAAATTATTAACTCATTTAAAAGAATGTAAAGTTTATACTATGGATGATTTAAAACCTGTTGGATCAAGATTACAAGAAATTAAAGATATTTTAATAAGTACAAGAGATAAATATGATAATGATGATGATGATGATGAAGAACATAAATTATCAAAAAATCATCAAATGGAAGAAACTCTTTTGAGAAATAAATTAAATAAATGTGAAAGTCTTTATGATCAATTAGTTGATAATTTTAAAAATATTCCTTCAGATTTAGAACCAATATATCATGAATTAATTAATATTAGAGCTAATCTTTTAAATTTTGTAACACAAGGTGATAGTATAAATAATAGTCAAGTATCAATTGATGATTTAAATTCCAAAATAAGTAAATATAAGAACCAACTAAAAAATATAGAGAAATTAAGAGATGAATCAGATGGGAAATTTCATAGTGAAGAATTATTAGATGAAAATAAATTAGATTCAATACAAGCAATATTAAATGGATTAATTGATGATTGTAATAATTTAATTGCAGATTTACTAATACATGATGAAGAAATTTCGTTGGAGAATCTCAAATTAAGTAATGATTATTCTTCTAATGTAGTATCACAAGAAAATTCATCAGATTTAAAATTACAATATGATTATATTTACAAAACTTTACAAAATTTAAAAACCACTTTGGATAACTTGTTGTTAACAAGAAGGTGGACATTAAGAGAAACTGATTTATATACTTATCAAAAGACATTAAAATCAATAGATGAACAAAGACTCAAGATAGTTGAACAAACTCCCAAAGGTACTTTTAAAAAATATCAAACCTTAATTTTATATTTATTAAGAAGATGTTATTCAATAATTTATAAATTATTAGAAAGTAGTGAACCAGTAAGTGAAAGTTTAACACCAATACATAATCAATTACAAACAGTTAAAAGATGTCTTTTAGAATTGAAAAGAGTTGATGGTGTAAATAACTTAAGAGAATTATATCCTTTCCAATTCAAATTAGCATCAATTGATAATTTAAAAAAAGATGGGAAATTTATTATAGATAGAAATGTACCTGAAGGTCAAGGAGCATTATGTGCTTTATTAAGTGAATGTTTTGATATAATTCAAGAAATGAAAATAGAATTAGAAGAAAAAGAAATAGAAGAAGATGAAGAACCTGAAGAAGAAGAAAACACAACAACCAAAAATTATAATGGTTCTGGTAGTCTTGCATCTCATATAGCTCATGGTGGAAGTTTCACAAATTCAAAAGATGTAACAGATGGTTCAAGTGGAATTGAAGATGATGTTGAAATAAAAAGGAATAGATTTCAAGAATTTAATGAAGCTGATTATGATTTGGAAAGTGAATCTGCTTTTGATGATGATGATGATGATGATGATTTAAGTATTAGTGAAAGTGAATATGAAGGTAATGATTATTATTAAAGTTGGGAATGAAAAATTAAAAGGAAAAGAAAAAGGGAAGAGGTAATTAATTTAAGTATAATTATTTATTCGAAATGTATAAAGTTTTTTCCTTTATTGAAGAACTTGCTTATGTAAATTCTTACTCTCATTCGTTTAACTTTGACATGTTCATTAGTTTAACGTATTTTGATATTCGAAATATGAAACTTGAAAGTACTTATAAAATCGCTACCAAATATTCATTTAATAAAAAGAAATTTATTTCCTTCTTTTTTATTTTCTCTCTCACTCTTCAAAATTTTTAACTTGTTATTAATAAATTTATACAACATTAACTAAACAATTGTGTTTACAAAGTACATATAGACCAACAACATCAATTAAACTTTGGCATAGCATATCATTCTTTTAATTCACATAAACTTTTTATTTCATTCAATTCATTACAAAGAGACTTTTATTTTAAACGAGGACAATAAAAAAAACAATTAGCATATTAAAATTTTTAATCAAGGGCAAAGCAAATTTTACATCAAACAACTAGTCAGAAATGATGTCAGCAGGATTTCAATGGGGAGTCAACAATAACAATCTACATAACAAAACAACCCCTTCTCAAAATTCATCATTGCATAATAATTTTCATTCATTAAATCAAATACCAAGATCAGTTTCAGAATCTATTCTATCTAATCAAAAAAAGAAAAGAAGATTAGACGAAGAAGAAGAAATCATTCAACCAACTCAACACCAACAATACAATTTTCCATCAACCACCAACTTTCATGCATTAAATACTATTAATAACATTAAAAAGACCAAAACTTCTAAAATTATAGGTCAACCACTCCCAACAACAAGAATAATAGAAACTTTAAATCAAACACAACTACAAGATTTAATCAATAAATTAGTTGATTTACATCCAGAATTACATACCACAATTAAAAAAATATCAAATCAACCATCAATGAAATCACTTACTCAAATATTAGAAAAAAAATTTGAAGAAATTATAAATCATCTTCCCTATAAAGGAAATATAGAAAATGATTATTCATATTTAAGAATTAAACCTTATCTTATTGAATTTTTAAATTGTTTAGAAGATTATATATTATCAATATTACCACCAATACAACAACAATATGAAGAAAATAAAATTTCAGTATTAGAATTTTTAAATGATTCTACTAAATTAATTCATAAATTACCTAATTTTAAAAGTTCTGAATTTCAATATAAGAAACAAATAATTTATGAAAATCTTATAAATATTTGGTTTTTAGTATTAACTAATTTAAATGATGAATTTTATCAATTTATTGTTGAATTTAAATTAATTGAAGTTTTGGAGTGTCATTGTAAATTTAATAAAAATTTTGGTAAATTAATTGAATTTATAAATGATAAGTTAAAAGAAATTGGTAATTTAGAAATTAATGTTGATAATAATCAAGTTAATTCAAATGGAAATTCAAGTGGAGCTGGTAATTCACTTAATGATTTAATTACTATTGATTATTCTCAATATTCTATATAGATGATTATTGTTTTGCATATATTTGGTTCATAGTAATTAAAGAATAAAATTTAAAAGAATTCATTAATAATTTTTAAACATCTCCCATCAATTTTAACTTCTTGCAGTGTGACTAAATTTTAAAATCTATTAATAGATATTTAAAACAACTATATTATTATAATAATTATTTCAATTAAAGTCATTCTTTCCAAGAAGCTTCAAATTCATTATTAATTAATCAATTAAACTCTACTTAAGTAAGGCGCAAGATTCGTAAATTTATTAGTACCAGAGCTACCAATCACTCCACTGTATAAAAGAATCTAAAAGAGTGTAACACGTAAAAAAATAAAAAAAAATAAAATTTCAAATTTTTATCAACACAATCAAAATATTTAGATTTAAAGAGAATAATTAATTAAATTTATATTTTATATACATTTATTTATAACATTTCCAAGACTATTGAATTTTCAGGAATTCATTAATAATTAAACAAGACACTAAAAAAGAACACTATTATACAAAATGGCAAATCTTATTAACTTATCAGTATGTTTCAATACAAACAATGAACTTCTGTAATTTTAATCAAATTATATATTTTCAAACTCAAGTACTAACAAACTTCCCTTTAAAAGCAATTTTCAAATTTATCAGATCGTTTAAATATCGATAGATTAAAATCAGATTTTTCATCAATACAACAAGCATTATCAAAATTAAGACCACCACAAGAATTTTTTGATTTTAGAAGAATTTCAAAACCTTCAAATTTTGGTGAAATTCAACAAAGAATAAGTTATAATTTAGGTTATTTTTCATCAAATTATTTAGCTATAGTTTTATGTTTATCTATATATGCATTAGTTACAAATTTATTATTACTTTTTGTATTGGGATTTGTTATTTTGGGAGTATTTGGTATAAATAAATTAGGTGGTGAAGATTTAGTTACTCCTTTTGGTAGATTAAATACTAGTCAATTATATACTGGATTATTAATTGTTGCTATACCTTTAGGATTTTTAGCAAGTCCAGTAAGTACTTTAATGTGGTTGATTGGTTCTAGTATTGTTGGTGTTGGTGCTCATTCTGCTTTAATGGAAAAACCTATTGAAACTGTATTTGAAGAAGAAGTATAAGGTTTTTTGAAGTAGGTTTTGTGGGTTTTTAAGGTAAAGAATAGAAACAATTTCATGGGTATGGTAGTTTTAAAGAGAAAAGTTCTTTTAAGAAATTTTGTAATCAATTTCTTTTTCAAGGTGTATATTACATGTTAATAAATTAATTTTAAATAAAAAGGAATAGGACGTAAAATTATTTGAGCTAGATAATATTTGTCTCAATATCTTGTACATGATCAGTGAAAGAGTTCAATTTCAGATAAAAGAGTTCAATTTCATTCTGGAGCAAGAAAGTTAAGAGCTGCTAAAACATTTCGGCTTTTTAGTCTAACAGTAGTTGGGGATTCGACTGCTTAGGTCTATTAATGTCAACTAGTAATTTGAGCCACTTTAAGTGAGGATAAACACTCAACATCTCTCTACAGTTCCTTATTTGACTATTTCTAAGATGCTTTAATAAAAAAATAATATATTAAAAAGATTGTAAATAAATTTATATGCACCCACTTAACAAATGATCCTGGATCAAAAAGAACACCAATTCGTATTAAAAAGTAAAACTTTAATAATGATGAATATATAAATTGACACCCATAAAAATGGAAAGCATAAAAACCAATAAAAAATCCCTCTTTAAAATTACTTCTTTCGCTTTTTTAATATTTTATAATAATGAGATTAGAAATTTTTTGGCGTAAAAAACATGATATATAATAATGAAAATGACTTGATTTGATGAATGGGTACAGGTAAACAGAAAACTTAGATACCTAATTTAGTTCTTCTCCAATGTCTTCTTTTAGCATTGTATCTAATTTTATTATCAGTTCTTAATCTAATCCATTGTGGTAATGGTCTATTTTGTTTTTGAGCCTTAGCTAATTTTTGTTTGGTTCTAAATGATTTTTGAGACTATAAAATATTTTTGTTAGTATTTACTATACTTCGACTAATTGATCAAAAATTCATCTTGTTTAGCTCTTTCATTTGAAGTTGTTGAATTCTCTATCAAATAGTGATCTTTACTTCTCTTGAAATCAAAATTTGCCATTGTCTATTAAATCAAATTCATTTCCCATCTTTATTAACTAAAATTTCTATATGGTGTCCTTTAACATTTCAATGATATATTGAGCTATTCAAATAAATGATCATTCTATACCAATAAATAGTGTTTATATTGTACATACAGGCATCTTTAATTCAATGATACTATTAGATGATTGGTAAAAGATTATAAAAAAATTTTAATAAATTGAAAAATTAAGAAAAGAAAAGAGAAAGAGAGTGAAAAATTTACTTAGTTAAAAAAAATCATTGGTAGCTCACTTTACTCTTAGTATACAGTATTTTGTATGTACAACAATTGGTAATTCAAGTGAAAAAAAAAAATCAATAGAGAGAGAGATTCTTTGAGTATAGTGAAAAATTACAACTTTTTTTTTCAATTATCATTTTCAATCTAGTTTAAAAGAAATCATCCATCCATCACATAACTCAATAAGATGACCAGAACTTCAGTTTTAGCAGATGCTTTAAATGCCATCAACAACGCCGAGAAAACCGGTAAAAGACAAGTTTTAATTAGACCATCATCAAAAGTTATTATAAGATTTTTAACAGTTATGCAAAAACATGGATATATTGGAGAATTTGAATATATTGATGATCATAGATCAGGTAAAATTGTTGTACAATTAAATGGTAGATTAAATAAATGTGGTGTTATTTCTCCAAGATTTAATGTTAAAATTAATGATATTGAAAGATGGACTGATAATTTATTACCTGCTAGACAATTTGGTTATGTTATTTTAACTACTTCTGCTGGTATTATGGATCATGAAGAAGCTAAAAGAAAACATGTTGCTGGTAAAATCTTAGGTTTTGTCTACTAAATTCATTCACCCAAACTTAACCTTCATACAGAAATATATTATCAACAAACTACGACTAAATATATATAAACTTATGTATTATAGATCAAAATCAAATCAATTAATATAGCATATCACAAACTTTCCCCTTTAGAATACCTCACAATTGTAGATAGATATTTTGAAACACTCTTTGACTAGCATTAACTATGATAATATTTGTGGAGCTCAAATTTATAGGGTTTCAACCCTCAAAAAATTTACGCACGTGATACACAATTCAAGTACAAAACTACCAAGTGCGTACATAGTTAAGAAGTATAATGTATGTGAACGAAAACTACCAAATGCTTTTGTATGAAAAAATTGATTAAACCAAAAAAAAATTACAACTGAAAATTCATTTGAAGAGATACTAATACATCTAACACATATAACACATCAAATAAACCAATATGTCAGCTGGTATGTTTCAATGAAATATAGATTATACATTTGGAGAACGAGTGAAATAGGGGATAAAATAAACAAGGATTGGAGAACACAGATACGGAGAGTTATACAGAATTTTGTAAATCAATTTTGAGAGGAAGTAATCATCAATGGAAAGAACTATAAAAATCTACTACATTGCATTAAATTATAGATATCAAGTTATCAACAATTTATAGAATTTTCACAAGAATTTGATTGGACCTCATCAGGAGATAAAGAACCTTTAAACGGGATGTTATGAAGTAAAATATCAAATTTTCAATGAAACACTAAAATGAATCGAACCTAGGTTCAAAGAATTAATCAACCAAATGCATACTAAATCAATTAAATTGTCCGCAGCCCGTTTTCATTTCACATTTCAACCTCGTTTTTACAAATTAAATAATTACACTCAATTTGATACAATTATACTAACAAATTTATTTCTTTTAGATCGTTCACAAGTTTTTGGTGTCGCAAGAATCTTTGCTTCATTTAACGATACATTCGTCCATGTTACTGATTTATCAGGTAAAGAAACCATAGCCAGAGTTACTGGTGGTATGAAAGTTAAAGCTGATAGAGATGAATCATCTCCTTATGCTGCTATGTTGGCTGCTCAAGATGTTGCTGCTAAATGTAAAGAAGTTGGAATCACTGCTGTTCATATTAAATTAAGAGCTACTGGTGGTACTAAAACTAAAACTCCTGGTCCAGGTGGTCAATCAGCTTTAAGAGCTTTAGCTAGATCAGGATTAAGAATTGGTAGAATTGAAGATGTTACTCCTGTTCCATCTGATTCTACTAGAAGAAAAGGTGGTAGAAGAGGTAGAAGATTATAATCTTGTTTACATTACTTCATTTTTTACAATCTATATATTAATATTATCATCAAGCTTCATTTACAATTTACAACAGCTTTTTAAGAGTTATCAATGTTTTTTCATCAACATATATCATATAAATCATCATTAACGGGTTTGGGTGTCATTATAATTACATAACACAACAACGACAACTTTTGTATTTTAATTAATTATTATAAAATATACATATCATAAAATAGTCAAAAATCTTGATTAGTATCATCAACTTTGTAGCTCATTTATTTTCACTTCATTCTCTCTTAAAAGTCTCAAATGTAGTCGGAAATAGAGATTGCGAAGAAAAAGGATTTTAAATTGCAGTATAAATCGGTTAATTTTTTATCATGTGTACCGCCAAAGATAAGTTATTCTTCCAAAGTAATGATCTATTAAAAAGAACCAAAGCATTGAATTATGCCTAAGGAAAGGGGTTAGGATACATAACATTTCGATTAGAAAAGATTAGTGAAAGGAATTTGGACTTATGATGTATTTTTATGGAAAATAGACTAAAATTTTGGATGTATTATGAACAGTTTTTCAAGGTCAACAAAATCAAATTTTTAAATAAAATGACATCAGAGTTAAATATTCTGATTCAATTAGAATCATATCAGTCAAGAAATTTAGGGGTAAAAAGAAGATTTGGAATATGGGGTTTAATTATATAAGAACTTGATTAAGGAAATGTTAAAAAAATAGATGATTTAAAAATTTCAATTAAAGAGTAGTGTAAAATAATATTTTTACCAATTTAGGTTTCAAATTCCAGTGTGTTTTAAAATTGTTGCAAAAAATTATCTATATTTGTGTAACTTTATGTATATTCAAAGTTTATCTATTAGATAAGATTATAATACAATTAAGATTATCATTTATACCCCAATTGTTTTACTTATTTCGAACATTTAATCCATTTAATTTAACTTAAAGATTTATTTATTAATTTCAAATGGATTTTAATATATATAAACAACTAGATTTCTTTAAAAAAATATTTTGATACATTTGATTTTCGATTTTTTAGATTAAAACTTTAAACTAACATCAAGACCAATAAAACAAGATGCCAACATTAATAGAAGCAGGTATATTCCTGACTTGTATACTTTTAATAATATATTTATCTAAGAATCAAATATGTGCCTTTTTATCAACAAACAAGAAACAATTAAGTGATAAAGAAAGATCACCATCATATTCAGAAAAATCTAAACCACAACCACCACCAAACACAATTCCAAAATCAAAAACTGTATATGGATCAAATGAAAGTATGCCTGTACCAACACCTTTAATGATAAGACCAGAAGAAGTTCAAAATTATGATGATAGACCATGGAGACCTTTTAGATGGCCATATCATCAAACAATGTCAATTTTTAAATTAGATATAAATCATTGGTTAGATATGGATAAATATTATCATCATTTTATTACTGAAAAAAATAGAATTAGAATTAAATATGGTAAACAAAATTTTGATATGTTACCTGAAGGTGTTGAAGCATGTACTGAATTAATGGAAATGGTTGTTGATCATATGTTAATTAGATATCCTTTATTATTTACAATTATAAAAGATGGTTCTTGGCAAAAAGAAGGTAAAATTATAAGAAATGAAGTTACTAAAGAAGTTATTGATATGACATTACCATTAAAAGAAGCACCTTTAATTTATGTATCTAAATTTGCAAAAGAAGATTTTTATGTTGTTTTAAAAAATGAGAAAGATGGTTTACATTATTTAGTTGGTGGAGCTGTTCCTTTCTCGGGTGGTAGTTTTAGTGTTAGTGATAAAATGGGTCAACATATTGATGCAATACATGAAGATGTACCATATTATAAAACAAGTTTAAAAAAATCAATGGAAAGATGGTTTAGTAAAATGAGACCAGAAGATCCAGTTGAAAGAGCAAGTTATTATATAACATGGGATACAAAATTAAAATGGAATAATGTTTTTCAATTAGAAAAATTTTTCCCAAATTTATACAAGGATTTAGATGAAAGTGATCCAAAACAATTTAATGTAAGAGTTGAAAGACAAACATTAAGAAGATTACCTAAAACTCAAGCAATAATTTTTACAAATCATCCAGTATTTTATTCAATTGAAGAAATGAAAGATGAACCAATGATTCCATCATTAATTAAAAAAATCCTTTATGAAGGTCCAGAAGATATTTTAAAATATAAAAATTTTGAAATGATAAGAGATAAATTATCTCCTTATTTAGATTCATTAATTGAAAGACAAATTTCAATGGGTATTATAACTAATGAAACTCCTTTAAAAACTCAACCAAATTATCCTTTTGCTTATTGGGTAAAAGATAATAAAACTCAATCTGAATTTGAAGGTTGGAATAATCCAAGTCCTGCTTATAATAAAAAACATATGAAAACTGAAGGGTTTGATGCATCAAAATTAAATGATAATGAATAAAATTTAAAAGAAAAAATAGTAAAACAAAAATAAGTTGATTTTGTACTATTGATCTACTTATTATAAAAGTTAGATATAGTTTTATGTATGTAATTATATTGAATAATATATTATATTTATTATGTATACTATGATTATAAGTTTTGCTCCTACTAATTATTTTTATACATTATGTTGCTAGCGTAGAATTTAACTTAGCCTTGTACTTTAGAAATTTATGACAAATTTGGTACAAAAATCCAGAAAAAATTTTATGTTTTGAGTTATGAACCATTTGTTTAAAAATGAAATTGAGCACTATACGATCAATGCCTATAACATGACTGTTGATGGCTATGTCATTAATGTTCACTACTCAAATCAGGAATACATACGTTATGTATTTATTTAACTAATTTACTACCAGCAAAGTTTTAAGCATAAAATAGATTGGTCTTTGTGATTAAGTTAATTACCCTTAACTTCCCTAAAACATTTTAGTTAAGGTACAAGATACACAAGAATTCTAAAATTTATTACACTAATTTGACTGAACAATAAACAATACAATAACTGAAATATGTATAAAATCTTATGATAATTCAATCTTACAAATCTTGACTTCATTTTGTGTTGTTATGCTTATCCTTAATGATTATATTATAAATCTTCTTGAAATCTCGTGAACTTTAATATCTATTAAGTTCGTATCTTGTAAACTTATTTTCTAGTATTAACTCTATTTCATCAAAATAATTTTTAAAAGAATAGCAAAAATAATTCCTCGAGGAAATTATTAATAATATTTATTTTATAATTTTAATATTCTAAAGTAAATTATTTTTACAACCAACCATTATTGAAAATCAACAATCAATACATAATAGTTAAATATTATATTTTAATGAATCATATATATATAATATAAATATAATCAATGGTTAATCTATTATTAAATAATAATATAATACCACCAATTTCGATTAAAACTTTAATAATATGTTTAATTTGGTATTTTATATCATCAATAACTTCACAATTAACTAAAATTATATTAACAAAATTTACTTATCCATTATTTTTATCACAATGTCAATTTTTAATTGGTGCAATATTAGCTTATTTATTTATTTATTTAACTAGATCAAATCCAAAATTTATAAATTATTTTCCAAAGGGAAGTATACCATCAATTGAAACTCATAAACAACCAATATTATCAATTTCCATATTATTAAAAATTTTCCCATTAGGATTATTTCAATTTTTAGGGAAATATTTTTCATTAAGTGCTACTTCATTAATTCCTTTACCTACTATATCAAGTATTAAAGCATTAAGTCCTTTATTAATTGTTCTAGGTTATAGAATTATTTATAAAGTTATTTTCCCTTTAATTACTTATTTATCATTAGCACCACTTTTAATTGGAGTTATATTAATAATAACATCAGATTCTATAAAAAATCCAAATTCAAAAACTAATTTATTAACTAATGAAGTAAATGAAATTGATCAAAAACAAATTAATGGTATATTATTATGTTTAATAAGTACTATTATATTTGCAGGTCAAAATATTTATGGTAAACAATTAATTACATGGGATAATAATGATGAAGAAATTCATAATCCTGCTTCATTAGTTTTAAATACTGATTTAACAAGACCTTCAACTCCATTAGTACCAAATTTTAAAATTGAAGATCAAAATTATTTTCAACAACAAATATTTCAACAAAAACAACAAGTACCAATAGAATTAGATAATTCAAGTAATGATGAAAAAACTAGTTTGAATGGAAGTCAACATTCAAATAATAATTCTCCTAATGATTCAAATGGTAATGGTAGGAAATTTTTACATGTAAGACAAAGAACAAATTCATTAAAATTACCATATTCAACATCAGATCTATCATTAGATCAAATGAAAGAAAATCATTTATTAACTCCACCATCTCATAATAATCCAACAAAATCTTCTTTATATCAAAGTACAGTGTTGAAAAATAATATAAATATAAACAATCCATTTGGTTATATAATTGAAAAATTTGAACTCAATAAAATATCAAAACCTGATAAATTAACAATTATACTATATTGTTCATTAATTGGTTCTTCATTTTCCATATCAGGGTTCTTAATGAATGAATTACCATCAATGTATAAACAACTAACTTCAACTATTACGTCAGACCCAACAATTACAACTACTACATCATCAGATTTTTTACAAATAATGATATTAATAATACTAGATAGTATATCTCATTTCTTACAAACATTATTAGCATTCCATTTATTAGGTTCAATACCAGCATTATCTTATTCCATAGCATCAATGTTAAAAAGAATAGTACTAATAACAGTATCAATAATACTAACTTTTAATTTTTCAACAACATCAAATGATTCCCTTTTAGTATCTTCAAAATTAAATAATTTAACTTTTGAACAATGTTTGGGTTTAGTGCTTATTGGTATTGGTTTGTATTGTTATGATAGGTGGGGTTCTAGAAGTTTAAAACCTAAATAGATAATTTTGCTTTCAATAAATAATTAATATATAATAGAGTATAATTTCACCAACTCGTTAATAATTTTAATCCGATTGCATCGACTGTTCACAAATGATGAACTGGAACTAATAATAAATACTCTGAATTTGAATAATATTGAAATATATTTTCATAAAATGTTTGGAGGCTAGAATGCTCAGTTGAAACAAATTTTTTTTCAAAGAAAAAAAACCTCAACCACGCCCGTAAGTTCCTTGACTAATCCTAAAAAACTAGTATCACTATAGTATGCGTTGTAGAGAGCAGCAATCGTTGAAACTAAATAAATAAAGAATTGTCGCCCTACAATAATACACATACATGTACAATAATGAGAAAAAGAAGAAAAGAAAGAAGGTGCTTTGATTTTGAAATTTTTTTGGTGATGGATTTTTTATATTAAAAGAGGTTGCTACCATATTATAAGTACTTGATTTAGAATAACGTGCGGCTTCCTAATATTTTTTATTTTTATTTTATTTTATTTTCCAACTATAATTCAATCTGACTTAATCAGTTAGGCAACACCAATTTCATTCTCATTCAATTGTATAAATTTCAACTCAGTTTTATATATCACCATCTCGTTTAATCAAAAATCACTATACCAACTAATTAGAGATAAAGAGTGTTTAAAGATTTTTGCAAAATGAACAAATTCATAATACTATTATCATTACTATATTCATTAGTATTCATACAGGCAATAGATTTAAAAGTGAAAATCCAAAATTTTCCCACAGAAATAGATCAATTATCACAAATTTTTAAATCCAAAATCCCAAATTTAGGTAATTCAAATAGAATAAAAGCTCAATTATATAAATTACCTAAAAATACAAATAAATTTAAAAATATAAATTTCCACCCAATTGATCAACCAGTAATAGATAAAAATTATCAATTTAATTTAAAAAATTTACAAAATGATGAAAATTATCAATTAATTATAGATTCATATGATTTTGAATTTGAGATAAATAGATTTAAATTAAATGTTTCAAATGATGAAGTACAAGTATATGAAGATAAATTAGGTTCATTAACCCCAAATAAAACTTCACTAGTATCAGTTAATGAACCATTAATTATATCAATTAAATCATCAATAAATTATTACGAAAATTCAAATAATGCAATTGTGGACATGATAATGAATAGTCCATTTGGTTTCATTTTCAGAAATAAGACATATACTATAATTTTTATATTTTGTTTATGTTTAATGTTAGCTCCTTATATTGCAGAATGGATAAGTCCTGAATTTGCAGCTCAATTTAAAGATGTACCTATTCAAGATGCTTTTAAGACTTTGGAACAACGTCAAGATGCAAAAAAACTGAAAGAAGTTAATAAAAGTGGTGATGATATTGATAGGTTTTTAAGTGGTGGTGGTGTTGAGTCTGTTGTTGATGAAAAAAATGTTGTTGTTACTGGTAGAAAAACTGGAAATAAATCTGGTGTTAGAAAGAGATAAGCTTCCGATATTTGGTTCCAGTTACAAAGTAAATATAGAAGATATCAAAATTAATAGAAAAATCATATAATTGTTACAAAACTTATTTCATTAATGTAAAGTATAAACTTTCCCCAAAGAATCACCAATAACTAATTTAAAAAATCCTCTAATTAATTTATCATCATGATCAACTTCAGAACATTTAAATAATTGTAAAGAAGTAATATTACCTTGAATCTTGGTTGATAAATCTATTTTTTGTATAGATTTGAGTTCCCAATTTGAACTAATACAAGTTAATTCAAATTTTCCTATTTTTTTTGATGTTGATATTGCAAGGTAATCGTTTGACCAATAGACGTGATTGTAGTGATTTGAATATTTTGAATCGAGTGTTGGTAAATCTGTTAGTCCAAATGCTATTGTTGTTATGTTTTCATAATTATTGAATTGATTTGTCTTTAAAATTTCGTCACCATTAATGGTATAGATTTTAAGTAAATTATTTTCTTTGCCTTCATATAAAATTGCAAAATTCCCAGTATTATTTGAGATTGAAACTAAGTTGGTTGTTATTTCAAACTTTAAGTTTGATGGAGGTACAATTTTTCTAATAAATTTAAACCTTGTTAAATCCCAGATTATCAACAATCCACTAGTATCAATTGAAATTCCAATTTTAAAACTTTTACTATAAACCATACTAGTAATACAATTAAAGTGACCTCTTAAAGTAGCAATATATTCCAACGAGATTTTAGGTTTTAATTTACATTTCCAAACATTAATTAATCCATCTTCTCCACAAGTTATAAAAAATTTAGATCCAATTTGTAAAATAAATGAAATATCACAACAATGTAAATTTTCAAAAATTTTATCATTTATTAATAAAGATCCACTTGAAAATTTAGATTTTTTAGATTTTCGAATTAATAAATTATCTTCACTTGATATACAGTTTTGTCTACCTACCCAACGATTTGAATTTATTGAACTTATTTCTAATTTAACTATTGGTGATTTCAATTTAGATTCAAATTCTAATTTTGGTGCTGAATTCGAATCAATTAAACTCATATAAAAATCTGGAATATTTAAAACTTCTTTCATAATATGCGGTTTTTGAAATACTTTTATTGGAGTTTGGCCAAAATTATTTATCATACCAATAACAGCTCTTTTCTCTACTTCATCATGTATATGATCTAAATTTATAGCTCCATTATACGAATAATGATGGAAAACATTTAATGCATCAATAGCTTCTTCACCATTTTGTTTATACCCAAACACTAAATCAATCCATGAATGTAAATTTGCAGAAACAAAAGGACTTTCTAAAGCTTCTCTATTTTTAGCTATAAAGATTTTAGGATCACCATGAGCCCATGGAGGTAATTCAACATCATTTGCTGATTCACCATTTTGTAATTTACCAAATTCAAATTTATTTGTATTTACCAAAAAATCAGGTAAGTAAAAAAATTCAGGAATTAATTCTCTAACATCTGTTGTATTATCTTTTGATGCTGAGCTCCAAGCTTTTTCAACCGAATTAAACAATCTATCTGCATGATCAAATTTACCGCCTTGTAATAATAAATATGACTGAACATATGGTTTTAATCTAATTAAAAAAGAACTAACAATCATTGCTGATGAATAATGAGTACCATAATGGAAAGCAGGAGCATCTTTATCATCTAAGCTATGTAACGCTTCAAATCTCTCTTTAAATTGATTAGCTCTTGCTTCAGTTTGGGCACCCATTGGCTTTGACAAATCTCTAAATGTTTTGGGATTTGATAAATCCAAATTTTCACTTGTATAATCAGCAATAACCCATGGAAAAACAGGATATTGAGTTAAATCATTAAATGTTCTACCAGCTAAAGTATTGATGATCATAAGGTAATAAAAATTTGAAATTTCACCCATTTTCCATTTTTGAGTAGCTGACAAAGTAAGTAAATTATTTAATGAAGTACTTGAAAAAGCTGAAACTAATTTTGATGAAAAACTTCCATTGGTATCTGAATTTGAATTAAACAGTAATGCTTGTGATAATTCATAATCAATACCCTTATTTGTAGTAAGGTTTTGTAATTTATTATGAATTGCGTTTCTTTCTTTTGTTGTTAAACAAGTTATTAAAATTCCTGCACCATCACTGAAAAACATTTCTAAGGCATTATCTCTTAGTAAGAATTGACGTTTTGAAATTGAACTCAATTTATCTAAACTCCAATTGGTCGATCTATGGGTTTTATAATTTGATTTATCAAGTTTTTTGGATTGTGAATTAACTAACTGTAAAATTGGATCTCTTTGTTCTTCTGGTGCATCGTCCACATCAATTATATTTCCATCGTCTCCATGAAAATAATTTTCAATTAAATATAAATGACTAACCCCTAATATCATTAAACTTTCAACAGGTACCAATGCATTGATTCTACTGATATTCCAAAGTGCCATTATTTTATCTCCAACATATAAGCTTCTACTAACTCTTCTATTCTTATCATCAAATTCTTTGGATGCTTCTTCATCAATATCTCTTGCATCTATTTCATCTGGTCGATCATCTAATTCTATTCCATTGCTATTATCATCTTTTGATAAACTCATAGTATCAATTTCACTAGATATTAATGCAAAATCATATTCATTTGATTCATCATAATCATCAACTTGTTTTAAAGGTATATCAAACGTATATCCAAATTTTTCAGAATGTGGTACTTGCTCTTCTTCAATTAATCTCGTTCTCATTCGATCGACATTCTCAATATAATCTAGGGTGTATCCACCTTTTACTTTACTATCACCTAAGATTCTTCTTGTTTCAGTTTTCTGTGAATGATATATCTGGAAATAATGGTCAGTGTTCTCTTTTAAATCTTGAACTGTACGGTTATATTTCGTCAGTTCATTGTTCATAGTTGATTTTTTGATTTGTTCACAATCTTTTTGAAAACTCTTGATGTATATGCTGTTCATTTGGCCAAGTTTACCACCGTTGTGAAGACTAACACTAATCATATTGGATACTTTCATAAATTCTTTCTTAGCAAAACAATGTTTCAAAGTTTGTGATTCTTTGATGATACTTTTAACAAATGGCGGGTATTTTCTGAGTTTACTCAATGTTTCATCATCATTTTTCAGTACTAAATTTTCAAAAAACTCAGACATTAATGCTTTATCACAATTTAATTGTCCTATAATATCATGAAATTCTTCCTGTCTTAGCAAATAAGTAGTTCTTAAAAAGTTGAATGGTATTTCTGGATTGACACTCTCATTTCCGGATAAAACAATACCTAATATCAATTTTATTGCAACAGCAATTTGTTCATTAGTCAAAACAGTTCTATTTAATATGGTAATTTGTCTGTATAATAACTCCTTCAAAAATTTGGTTAAACTATTGAAACTTGATTTAAAAATAATATCAACATCACAAGATATTTTCAAAAGGTTTAATAAAATGCTTTCACTCAAGATATTTTTAAGTCTGTATGTTTCATTCCCAACTCCATAATCAATGACCGCTATGATGCAAATAATAAAAGTAGTCAAATCATCAAAAGAAATGAAGTATTTTTTATACACTAATTCTTGCTCATAAATAATTAAAAACTGAGCAACATTATTAAACAAGTAGTTTTCATTGTGGACAAAATTCGATATTGATATGAATTCATTAACATGATTGAAAATTTGTGGGAAAATTAAATCTAATAATACAATTTTGGAAAAATCACTTAAATTTTTAAACCCATTTGCAAAATTTGGACTACTTAGGTTAGATATATAAAACTCTGCAATAAAATCCACCAAGTTTTTATATGTCTTTTTCAAATTTTCTCGTATTGCATCATTTTCATACCAACTTGTACTTAATTTGAGATAGCCTAGTAATTCAACAAGTCCCTCCATAAAATCCTTTGATTTTTTCATTTCAGACAATACGTTGAACTTTTTCAACCAATCTAAATATCTATTAATCAGATGAATCACATCAAAAATCAAACTAGTATTTTCGGCGGATCCAGGTTGTACTGGTGTAGAAGGGGTACTTCCCATTAGTTTACCTGTACTTAGACTCATGGTGTACATTGCGTTTAATTCCATGTTGTTTAATAAAATTAAAAATTCTGGCATTTCAATATGATTTAGTGAATCGGATTTAAAATTGTTTATTGTTGGTGATGTTTCAGTAAAAATTGAATAAGATGCTAAGAATATCGTACTTAGAATACTCTCATTTTTCCACCACGATTTGAGTGACAGTGTTAATACATCTAAACCCCGATTAATTACAAAGAATTGTTTCATAACATGACCACCCAATAACTTTAACAATCTTACCAATAATCTAATTCCACATTTTACAACAATCTCTGATTCAAAATTAAATAACAATAGGATCCAATGAACAGTGATGGATCTTGAGAATTTTTTGAGTATCTTGATTGAGGTAGTTGGATCACATAGACAATCTGTTAATGCTTGCAATGCTATAGTACCACAAAGTGTTGAACTTTCAGAATTATAAAGGGCATGAATTATATATGAAGATACTGTCATTATTGCTTCTGCAGAAGAGTCCAAGGTTAGTATGATTTTTAATATCTGCAATAATTGTTCCTTAGTTTGATCTTGAAATTCAACATCTTTCAACCTCAGACTTTGCATAAAAAATAGTAGCCTTTTTAATATTTTTGCTCTTTTGAGTTCTATTAAATTATGTGATTTGTAATTCGAAGTTGTAATTAGACTTTGAATATGGTATAATAAAAATCCAAAGGAATCTGTTTCATAGAACAATTCAAAATTCAATACTAGTATTCTGTAACACTCGTGATCAACTATAGCAGAATCAGCAGGATTTTCAAAATCAAATCCACAATAAGATAATAAGACGTTTAATAAGTTCATACCACGACATCCAGATAATTCTGCAATTCTTTCATCAATAAAACCATAAAGATCAAAATCTAGATTTTCATTTACAAGTTTGTATTTGATAAATAGGAGCTGCAATAAGTCAAATCCATTGTTCAATTGAAACTCTTTGTACAACCTCCAATTATTAGAGATTGCTTTGAATATTATGTTTAATGAGATGTAAAATGTTGAATCTCTCAATTTTGGATCCGTTAGATCCAATGAATTTTCTAGAGTTTGTAACAATGTTGATAAAAAATTGGATACATGAAAGTTCTGATAAACGTTGTTGGAGTTATAAAACTGTAGCTTTGAATCAGATTTGCTCTGTTTAAAATTTATGTCTGTGAAAAAATCATTTGAATCATATAGCACTTGTTCTTCCGTGAGCTTATTCAATGAAGTTGTGATGGACTCTTTATTTGTATGAGATTGAGCTTCTTTAGTATTGCTTTCTCTAGTTAATGATGTAAGTTTACTAATTGATGACTTTCTGGTTCTTTTATTATTGGATTGTGACTGGTTTTTTTCGAACAATTTAGTATTGTAATTGAATAATGATCTATAACTTAATTGATGAGTCAAATTCCGTATAGATTCTACATCTTGACTTTTGAAAATCCAGTTGTACCCAATTCCCAAGCCATACAAAAATTGAATCCACTCTATGCTTAAATTTGTGTTTAGTAGGGTAAAATTTCTAAATAAAAGTTCAGTGTTATCTTTCATGTTGTCATCACCAATTGAGATTTTGTTCCATTTTACACAATCATTGTGGATTGCTGGACAAGGTATGCTTTCACTATATTCTCCGTTTAAGTAGAGACTTAAATTGGTATTTTCATTGTATGTCAATACAACTTGCGAAAAATCTGGAGATTCATTTAGTATTTGATTAAACATGATTTGAGTTCTTGACTTGTTTATTATATTATTTAAATCCACCATAAATTGATTCCCATTTATTATTTGGAACTTTAGTATTAAATTACTTTGTGTACTCACAGGGTCTGAGCTTGATAATGTGAAAATTGTGATAGGATCATTATTTTCTCTAAATTTTTCTAGTTTGAGCCATGAATAAAAGGTAAAAGATTTACTTATTGATTTGTCGAATGGGAAGTTTATTTGTTGAGTTGTTAACATGAATGGGAAATATGCTGGATATTTTTCGCAAATTTGATCCAATAAATCTAAAATATGAAATTTGGTTGTCGGATTAGATGTTGAAGTTAATAATGCTGTGATATTCCTGAAAGTTGATATTTTACATCCAAATTCCATCATTGTTATTATAATTTTAGTATAATGATAAATATAACTTGCATTGTTTGTTACCAGTTCCGCTTGCTTCAATTGTTCTAGATATGAATTGATAATTTGTTGCAAATATTTATGGAATTTTATCTTATAATTATAGTTGAATGATATAACAAAATGAATAATCCCTAACACAATTGATCCGAATCCCCCATCAACTTTATCTTCGTTTTCCAAATTTCGTAGTACTAACTCCAAACTATCGCCATTTATCAGCCCTTCTTTTTCAGGTGAATAATTTACAATTTGAGGAACAACTTCAGAAACTCCATATTTATTACTTTTTTTCAGTAAAACATCTTGCCAAAACATCAATGAGTCTTTATCAATTTCAAATTGAGGACATATCTCTTTTAAATTTTCCATAATTATCATGTACTGGTCTTTTTCATCTTCATTGTCTAGATTGTCTGAACTCATGACAAAATCACTTTCTTATTGCATTTATATGTAATTCACTCTCCTTTTAAAAGGACTAATTGACAATTGATATCGTTAAAGCTTTGATCTTATGTTGGTTGTATTTATTATAATTGTAAACCATAAATAATAAATTTGCAGTATAATAAATTTCTTATCGTGGGGTATTTGGTAGCACCCGAGACACGAATTGATTTATACCAAATTAACATCAAGAGTTTCAGAAAACGATAAATTGCAATCCATTCTACGCATGAAATGTAATTTTATTAATCATTAAATCATTAAAAAAATAAACTACAATTAGCTCTGAGCTCATTATAAAATCACTTGAATTTCAAAATCATCTTCTAACTCTGTATCACCAACAACTTCATCTAAATTCATTTCTTCATCATCAAAAATTAACTTAGCATTTGATAAATTTACTTCAGATTCTTTCAAACCCTTTTTATCTAAATAGAATTTTAATAAGTTTCTTAACTTGGTATCTGGTGTAACTTTGCATAGAATCTTCTTATTATCTTTACCTTTTAATCCAATTGAAAAAACTCCATCGCCAACTTCAATTGTTTCACTATTTGTTGGATCAGCGGTCTTATCTTCAACAACCAAGTCTTCTTCATCACTACTTGATTCATCTTCCTCTTCCTTTTCATGAGTTTCAGCTATAGCAGCTATCTGTTTATCATTTTCTATTTCATTATTATTTTTTAGTTCAGGGAAAACATGCATAAAATTCCCACTATTCATTTTCGATATGAGAAAAACCAGTATCAATGTTGGATCCATTGATTCAACTTTGTCTACTAATGAGTTAAATTGGTTTCCTGGTGGGGGTATTCTTAAGGTTTTTGGAGTATAAAATGAATGAATTAAAATCTTACCTTCTACCCAAACTAGACTACTTAAACTATGGTCATATCGAGTAAGGTAAATTTCTGGTAAATGAGTTTCATAAGTCTTTTTGAAAAAATCAACTGAAGATTTTAAAATTTTATCAAATGATTTTAAACCTTTACATCCTAAATCAACTTGAGCAGTTATATTTTGTGGTGTTGGTAATTTTGTGGTAACTCTTATAATGTACTTTCTTTTCTTTTCATTTTCTTCAGTAAATTTGTATGATGTTGAATTTTCGTCAACATTTGATGATGTAGTTGTTAGTGTAACTGAAGGTGATCTTTTTGGTAGTAGAACCAGTTCATCATCTGAATCGTCTGATTCATCTAGTAGTGGGGTTGATGATTGTTTTGTGTTTTTCTTGAGATTAATTTGTAGTTCAATTTCTCTTCTCATTTTTTCTTTATCTAGTACTGGTGGTGTACTTGATCCTTCAAGTTTGGTTGGTGATTCTTTGGATTCGGTAAAACTTGATTTTGGAGTTATAAAATCTTCAGATTTATCTTCATTTTTTACCAAAGTTGGATCTTCTGATCTGATAGGTATGGGGTTACTAAATTCTGATGATATTGGTGAGCTTGAACCCGGTAATGGCTTACTCTTTGTTTTCTTTTTCTTTCTTGAACCTAATAATCCACCACTTAATGAAAAAAAGTCATCTTCTAATAATCCTTTTCTTTTATTTTGTTTTTGAGTTGCATCTACCGATGAGGGAGCTGTAACATTATCGTTATCTGTACTGGCCATATTTAACACTTATTCATTCTTCTTGCTTCTTGTTATGTAGTTGTTGTAATTAAAAACTAACTTGGCTCTTGAGATTAAAAATCTTGAAATCAAAATAATGCGGCTTACGATAATTTTTTTATTTCATTTGTTTATGTTTTATAATGTAGTGGAAAGTAACAACTTCAATTACACTAAATGCTTTCAATATAGTCTCCAAATCAATTGTTAAATGAGTTTAAGAGCTAGATTTGTTACCGAGATTGGTTACAATCTAGAATATTACGAATATCTTAAAGATTATAAAGACATTTGGGGAAACCAGTTATTTACATTGGATGAATCAAAAGTTAAAGCGCTTATACCAAAAGCTCAAAAATATGATTATATTTCGAATGAAGATTTGAATCTATCTCAATTGGAACTAAGAGAAGTGGATAAACAATATTTTCAATACAGATTCAACACAAACGTGAAGCTAAACATTATACATGATAAAATTGAACAAGAAATTCAATTAGAAAATGAAGTACCGTATAAATTAAATGACATTACCGAAAGAAACGCAAAATTAATAGCAGTTGGAGGTCACATCACATCGATGCAATGGTTACCTCAAGATTTAATGGGCGAAGTGAAACCCAAAGTAAGTTATTTAGCAATAGGAGTAGTAATTGGCGAAGATCGTGACTTAAAAGATGTTAACCCAACTAATGCTGAACTAAACATTTTCAATAACACTAGAGAAAAAAATTTGAACTCATCAATACAAATTTGGCAGTATAATACCGAAAATAATGAATTTGAACTTTATAAAGTTTTCATAACGTCTGCGTTTGGTGCTGTATCGGAATTACAATGGGCTCCAATATATACTGATGACCCAATATTGGGAGTGTTAACATGTGTTTTTAAAGATGGTAAAGTTCATTTGTTGAAAATAGAAACATCTGCACCAAATTATAGCATAATTGAAAAATCATCTTTTAGTTATTCATCAGAATCAAAGAAAAATAAAAATTCACATTTTACATGCTTCAGCTACAGTGGACCTCATAGGATTTTAGCTGGTAATACAGAAGGATATATAACCGAGTTTCAAACACCTTTTTATTACAAAGGTGACGATCTAGCAAAACCTAATTACAAAACATTCATGTCGAATGGACCAATTTCAAATATCACTTGTGTCAAAAATCCCGATAATCCGAACGATTATATAAATGTAGTTAATGGTCAAGGACATAAAGGAGTTGCATTTACATCTCGAAATCCTGTTTCAGAAGTATTTTCACCATTAGTAGAAAAATCTAACATTAAACCAACTTACAATCATACATTGCAAAATATTCTATTAGCTTATAATTTAGAATATAGTAACGTTGCCAGCTTCAGATCATTACAAGATTCAGAAATGACTATGTTTAAATTTGATAGTCATATAACAAGTGCCAAAATGTCTGAAATTTTAGGTCATCCATTTATGTTAACGGGTACAACAAATGGTGAAATAATATTAATTAATTATACAAGAAAATTCTTAACAGCTAGAGGTAGAAATAAAATGTTGAATCCTTTGATTATGTGGAAATTTTTGTTAAATCCATCGAGAGATAAAAAAGGTAAGAATTCTAAGGACGAGCTCTCGTTAATAACAACTTTCCTGAAAACTGAAATGGAAAGTAACTTAACGACTACTTTTTCAGATAAAGAAATTATGATCTCATCGCTAGCTTGGAATGAAAATGCCATTGGTGCTTCCATTTATGCTGCTGGTACAGCATCTGGGGTTTTAATAGTTGAAAGATTAGATCCAAACTTTGCATAAGCAAATTATATATTATAATACATGAAGTCTAGAATTAAAATTAATATTTTGGAATTGTAGGATCTATTTCATCTGTCCATTTATTTAAACCTCCTTTTAATTCTTTAACGTTTTTGTAGCCCATATCTATGAGTTTTTTGGCAGCTAATTGTGAGTCATTCCCAAATCTGCATACTAGGTAAATCTCACTTGTTTTGTCTGTATTGTCGATGTAGTCATCTAACGACTCTAGTTTTCTAAATGCTGGATCCCATTCGATGTTGATAGAGTTTGGTAAATTCGTAATGTTAAATTGTTCTTTCGGTCTCACATCAATTAATGTATGATCATAGTTATCTTCTATTAGTTCATAATAATCTGTAACTGATATTCTATATTTATCATCAATGGGCTCTTGTACAACTTTACCACAAAATTCAACATAATTGATATCACCATTTTCAATCTGTTCCTTAGTTATGGATCTATGTTCACCACATACCAAACAGTTCCTTTGTCTAGGTCTCATCTTGAAAGTACGTATTTGTTGATTAGGGTAAGCAGAATATGAAGCTAAAAAAGGTTGAAAGTTGTCTTTCTTATAGTATCCAGTCAAAATTTTAATTGTTTCCATAGCCATTGAAACACCAACTAATCCAATAGCTGGTCCTATAACACCACCATCTGAACACGAAGTTACTGAGGATGGACTTGGTGGTTGTGGATAAAAACATCTATAACATGGCCCGAAGTTTTCAAAATTTAATACAGTGAACTGACCATCAGCTTTTAAACCTGATCCACTGACTATTGTTTTACCTAGTATTACACATACATCATTTATTAAGTATCTTATTGCTGGATGATCTGTGCAATCTAATACTAAATCATAATTACCAACTATTTCAAAAGCATTTTCATTGGTTAATTTAGTTGGGCATGTATATACTCTAACATGAGGATTCAATTTTTTTATAAAGTCCTTAGCAGAATCACATTTATATTGTCCAACCATCGCAGTGTTGTGAATTATTTGACGATGTAAATTACTTGTATCAACTTTATCATCATCTATTATGCCAATAATTCCTACCCCAGCAGCTGCTAAATATTGTAATGCAGGTGAGCCCAATCCCCCGGCTCCAACTACTAATATCTTGGATTTCGATAACTTCATTTGGGAATCTAATGAACCAAATTGTGGTACTATCATTTGTCTACCATATCTTTTATACTCATCTAAACTAAACTTATCGTCTATCTTGGAGAATTCTTGATTTTTAAGTTGACTATTATCATTTTTTAATTTTTCATTTTCTATTTCTAATTCTTTAATTTTTCGTAGTAGCTCTACTTCTTGTGAAGTACTAGTCATTGATTCTATCGTAGTTTATATAAGTTTTTGCAACAATCTTTTTTTTTTTCAAGTTACAAAATCCGGTGCTATATTTATAAACTGATATATACAAAAAAACAGAGTTGAAAAGTTCGAAGCTTACAACTTTAATAGAATCATAGTAAACTCGTTATAACCACAGCCAGTTCATTATACTTTTAATATTAACTTTATACAATTTTTTGTTTAACAAAAAATGATTTTAAATGACGTAATTGATAAACACAAGTACCAACTAAAACAAACAATTGAACAATTGACCATTTAACAACTCTTGAGTTAGTACTTTCACTTTGGTCTCTGAAAACAGCTTCTCTTTGTCTCATATATTCTTGTTCCCAATGAATTTTATCTAATTGTTCATATAATGAATTAACTCTTTTGGTTAAATCATCAATCAGTTTGGTTGATTTTGAGTCAACATAATCATGAGTTGAACCTTGAGCTACATCAAAAAAGATTCTATGGATTTTATTGTGAGTGTTGTCTGTGTATATTGGAGTTAAACAAAATTTATGTTCTCCTAAATCCATTGATGTAAATGTAAACTCTCCATCTGGTGATGATTTTTGATCAAAGACTCTATGATTACTATCAAAAGTTTCCTGCAAGTCAAAAGTTAGTACAAATCTTTTAAAGCGAGGTATAGGCTTAACCTCAATCGCAAATTACTAAATGTAATTAATAATTTTTCAATTGATCAAAATTTTACATACATCAATTGTAATTTGTACTCTCAATTTATTATTTTTAAAATATTCATTTGAATAATCATTTTTTTCATAAGCATCAATTTTACCAACAACTAAAGTTTCATCTTGTAATTCTTCAAAAAAGCATTTAGTTTCTCCTGTCTTGACATAAAAATGTAATGCATTTGTTAATTGAATTGATGCTATAAAAACGGCAAAAATTATTTGACTTATATGATTCAACATCTTGCTTGATCTGTAATGTGAATTGAATATGAGATGAATTAAATGTTGATGTCAAGTTGGTTGAAGTTAGATCAATATTCTATGGTGAAAAAAAATAAATTTGAAAATTTCTAATAATAAAAAATTTAGACACGTAAAGGAACTAAGGCTACCAAATGGATGTAAATTTTTAGACGTGTTTCATTAAGTATAACGAATGGACTTATACAAACAAAGTAACGAATGGGGTTTATTATATTCGAAGTAAAGTAACTGAGGTCAGAGGTACTCAAAGTGAAAATGATAAATGAGGTATATTTCTATTTACCAGTTTTTCTCTTATTTATTATTTTCTTCTTAATATGTTTCTTCATTTTTGTTTTTCTTTTCTCTTGTTTTGCTAATTTTGCAGCTTCTTTCCTTGCCTTTTTAGATTCTTTATCTTCGAATTTTTTACCTTTTGGTGTCAGTTGCTCTCTTTCATCATCGCTACTATCTTCATCTTCATCTGAATCTTCTTCGTCATCATCTTCTTCACTGTCAACATCACCCTCTTCATCGATTATATTCTCTTTTTCTACTCCTTCTACTGCTTCGTTTTCCCCGTTCTGATCCCCATTATTATTCCCTGTAGAAGTTGGAGCCACCAATTCTTTCATTGTATCAACTTGACCTTCAGAAAACTTCTTAAAATCTCTTTCGTCCAAATGATTCAATGACCTTACTAAGTGTAATGATCTGAATATTTCATCTTCAATTTCTTGGTCTTTTGTTAGTTTCAATGGTAAATTATCCAAATATGTTCTCATTTCTTTGGTATCTTCATCTTCATCATTGTCAGTTTTAGCTTCGCTAATTTCGATGTTTGTATCCTTCTCACCGTCGTCTGTAATTTCCTGATCCTCCTCAAAAGATTTAAGCTCAGTTTTATTCTCAGCATTGTTCCATTTTGCTGTAAAACCTAACTGATTGTCTTTATCAGTAATAAATTTAAAAATTGATTTTTCAGGATATACATTAATACCCAGTCTACTAAAAAAATCATTAACATTTTTAATGTCCATCCTCAAGAAATCCAAGGCCATTGGGTGATCAGGTTCAACACTTTGAGAAACATCAATAATGAACAATTTATTATCATGAACTATGGAATTATATTCACTTAAATCTGCATGAACTAATTTACAATCTTGAAATAATCTTCTCATACATATTAACATTTGATAGTAGTACTTTATTATATCGTCTGTGTTTTTAAATTTATAATCTTTTAATTTTGGTGATGGTTGATTTGAACCTTTTGTTAAATATTCCATTACTAAAACATGAGATTTTAAGATGATTGGTTTAGGACATGGTATTTTACTCTGGTAGTAAATTCTATTTAAATTCCTAAATTCCTTTTCTGCCCATATCTTAACCATCTTTCTTGGATTTCCTTGATCTTTTGTATTTCTTAATCTGAAATCTCCATCAACATATCTTTTCCTATCTTTAAATACTAAAATTGAAGTCTTGTATATTTTAACTGCATATTCTGGACTATTTGGTATTGAATCATTTGTTCCATGATATATATTTGCTTCTTTACCAGTGCTTATACACCCATTAATTCTTGAGATTATATTTGAATTGAAAATTTTACCTAAAAATCTAATAGTTCTTGGATCTAATACTTGTTCAACTGTTGCTCTATTTGCTCGATCTTTATTTACTTGTGGACCTTTCTTGAATGGTTCTGTCTTTATTTTATCTGCATATTTTGTAACGATATCTTCTTTTTCTAGTGGCTTCGAAATTTTGTTGCCGTTAGTTGGGCTGGCCGTATTTGAGGTTGAATTATTACCTTCGTCAAAATCACTGTCGTCTGAAGAGTCTGAATATGCTTCAACGTCTTCATATTCACTATTATTGTCTAGTTGAACGTTCTCTAGCCTTTCAATTACCTCGTTTTTTTCTGCGCTAGTACTCATTCTAATGATCCTGGTTATCTACAGTATTTTAAATTGATGTTATTTACGATGATCTTCTCAAAATAAGGCTATTTTCTATATCACGCAGCGATAAATTTCTTCCAATTTTTTCCAATCAAATTTAATTCTTTTTTTACAAGACTTAAGCATAGATTGGTTCCTCCCAATTCTCAAGACTTTTTTTAGATAGAAATGCAAATGAAGCTTGTTGTAAAAGTGCAATTTCAGAATGATGAAAGTAATGCAGCAGTTGTTCAATTTACCAAAAACTCGCTACCAGATCGACCCATCTGCCTCAATATTCTTGCACCACGACTATTTGTGTGTAAATGTTGTTAGTCTGATCGTATGCTAGATTTGAGATAGTACCCTATTAAAAATAGTGGATTAAAGTAACATCATATACTTATTCACTGCTTATCTACATAGTGTTTAAGAATAAAAATATAAATCGGATAGCTGTAAATAATTTTTTACCGAGAAATCATTGTAAAATATTTCAAACCATCAACACAATACCACAAGTACCAAATAAAAAGATACATAAAATGGCTATTCCTGCTCAATTGCAAGGACTTCTACCACAAGTATGTATAAATACTTTACTCATATTAGTCTATAATCAACTCGAATACTAACTTTTTATTGATAGAAATTTTTTGGTTATATTCCATTATTTATTGGAGTTGAAATAATATTGGGTATAACAATTTTGAATAAAGCAGGAGGATTATATGGTATATTATCATTATTTACAGGTCATCCAATAAATTTTTGGCAATGGTTGTATAATTCATTAGCATTAATAATGTTACCCATTTATGCAAATGCATTAATAAATTTAACAAATAAACAAAATAACTTGAGGAAAATTTCATTAGCAAGTGTTTGTTATTTGCTCGATAGTTTAATTGGAATATTCTATACTGTTTATTTCATGCTATTTTGGTTTTATTCAGAAGAAGAAAGTGGTACTGATGTTGGTGGAAATGGTTTAAGATTTTTAAAAAGAGCAATGGATGAAACTGATGCCGAAGCCGATTTATCCAAACAATCTGCATCTGCTCATAGAGAATTGTTCTTTATATTTAGTACTACGTTAATAATGACAGTTATTAGAGTTTATTTTACGTTGGTGTTGATAAGTTTCAACAAGAATTTATTAAAACAACAAATGTTAAGAGATTATAATAGTAGTAGTCAAGCAAATAGTTCTAACAATCAAAATGATGAAGAAGAACAAGAAATATTAAATTCAAAAGGTATTTATGGTGAATTTAGAAAAGTTGTATTTGATATTGAAATTAGAGCTAAAGAGTTACTAAGCGAATATTTACTATAATGTTATAGATCTGAAATGTAAAATAAAATATAGAATTAATAAAGGATTGTTGTTATTCAACTGACGTGGTCAATATGAAGATTTGGATTCTTTCTTTCTCATCTTATACTTTCTCAAGATCTTGCAAATTATCAATGATGTAAATTTTATTATAATTCGTATATTTCTTACACAAAACTTATTATATAAGTTTGATATTTTTAGAATCTTACATACGTTTTGAACTGATTTTAAATGATCAAGTTATACCGTTACTTTACTACCTAAATAAAGTTTAAATGGGACAATCTACTAGCTCAAGCAATGATAATAATAGTATTGATAATAAGAAAGAACAAAATATAAAGGTTAAATTAACTAAAACTGAATTATATGACTTATTCTATACAAGATGTTTACAATTATTAAAACCGATTGAAATATCAATTATAAAATCAAAACTAATTGAAAATAATAAATCTTTCAAGAGCTTTACTAATAATGATGAATCTGCTGAACAAGAAGAGAAAGAATTGCTAAATAATCATAACATATCCAAATCTTACTTGGGCCAGTGGATCCTTAGCAATAATAATGATTTAACTTCAACAATTGATGAACATTATTACAGCTCGGACTTCAACAAGTTTTTGGATTTATTCTTTAAGTCTATGAAAAGAATAGGACAGCTGCCATTTTTGAATAATAAAGTTGATGAAAAAGTTGAGACTCTAGATTTGAAGGAATTCATCATATCATCTATTTTTTTATTAGGTAGATTTAAAAAGTTATTCGGTGCAAATGAATACGATGAAGATGGCTTAAACTTTATAAAGTTATGGTATATATCGATCAATTATGGGAATGGAAAAGCAAATGATATACAAAAAGTGGAGCAGTCCCTGGAGGAAGATAAAGTCTCGGTTTACTTGGTTCAATCTTTTGAAGAAACAGACTCAATTGAAATTAAGTCAAAAAAGGTCAATTGGAAGAGGCTTGAAATATTCAGAAATTATGACGATATAAACTATGCCGGATTCCCATTCAAAATTGATGACTTAAAATACATACTAACATTCGATTTGATATTGAATGCAATACCATTACAAAATCATCAAAGTATGGACAAGTTGCTAATAAGCTATTTAAATAGATGGAAGGAGTTTGAAATATATTCTAACTACATCATTAAATATTTGGACATCCTGGATGATAGAACTGAAATTACATTTGATCAATTTTATACGGGTATAAGGTTGATTCTACCTTATTTCATTTCACAGTCGTCTGCAAAATTAATGAGTAACTGGATACTAAGCACAAACAATAAGTTACCACAACAACAGCAGCTACAACAAAAACTCAAGGCAAAAGAGTCAGAAATTGAAAATGACAATAAAGTTCAAAAACCCTCATCTAAATTCACGGAATCAAAATTGGTGACAATTCCATTCATATCATATATATCAGCAATTTTAAGAGGCATAGGGAGTAAGATAGAAATAACAAATGAGAACATGTTTAAATTATATTCAGGTTCGGAGTCCGGGTTTTCAATTAGGTCCTTAGAAACTAAAATTTTTAAATGGCAATCACCTACATTATTTATAGTAAGTGGTAAACGAATAAAACAAAAGACTATAGAAACAAACAAAAGATATGAAAAATTTGATAATATATTCCCCAACTACTTTTTGAAACTGGAATCCAAACTAAAAGATTGGCAAGCTTCAAATGATAGAGTCACGTATTGTGTACTAGTGAATCATCCATGGGTAAATTCAAACAAGAAAAATTTCGGTGATGATAAGTCAATAATTTTAAGTATATCACCACATCTAGATTATTATAAGAGTATATCAAATGAAGTATTACAAGGTAAACTGATTTACTTCAACAATTTAGGAATGGGATTAGGTTTTGGTAACTCACAACCATTAAACAAGAACAACTTACAAAAATACTATCCAGGTGATGTATCATTAACTATCGAATCCAACTTAGAATTCGCAATCTTCAGACATTTAGTTGGTCATTCTACATCACAAGCAACTACATATTTCCAAACTTCCAAACAAGCACAACTTTCCAATGAAAATTTCGAAGATAGGTTTACGATAATAGATTTAGAAGTTTGGGGAATTGGATCTGTCAAAAATTTAGAAGAACAGAAGAAGCAATGGGAATGGGAGGAGAAAATTGCCAATGAGCGACAAAATGTCAACTTGAAAAATATGGGTGAGGAGAGGGCGTTTTTGGAGATGGTTGGATTGGTTGGGAATCATGGTGGTAATGGTGGATCCGTTTAAAATATTAAAACGTTGGTGATGATTACTATTTTAGTTCCTGTACTTTACAGCTCACTTTTAATTGTTGTTAGACGTAATTCATATATGTGAGATGATTGTAATATTTCTCTTTTTGCTTACTTCTTTTCACTTTGTAAGTGTGTTTCACATTCTTAATATAAATTTTCAATTTTGTGTAACTAAAAGTTTAACGTATTTCTTCAGTAAGAGATGAGAGTTTATTATTAATTTCATACATTCTATATCAAATCTTCTACTTAAAAGCAAAACGTCAGCACTTTACCAAGGATGGCAAAAGATAAGAAAGATCAAAAGAAGAATCAAAAACCAAACAAAGAGATCAAGCCAATTACCCAAGATAGTCGATTTAAACAAGTTCATAATGATCCAAGATTTAAATTTCCAAGTTTTAAGAATTTGAAAATTAAAGTTGATGATAGATTTAATAAAAAGGAACTAGAAAAATTGAACCATAATAATAATGTTAAGATAGATAGATACGGTAGGAAATTGAATAAAAATGATTCTCGAAATAATGTCATAAACAAATTTATCGAACATGAAGATGAAGATGAAGATGACGAAGAAGAAGAAAAATCAGAGGAGGAAAGTGAAGAGGAATCAGAAGACGATGAGTCAGAAGACGAAGAGGACGATGAAGTTTCAAAATTAGCTCAAAAAATACGAAAAGAGGAGTCAGAATTAGACAGAGCAAGAGGAGAAGGAATGGATGATAAATCATCGTCATCATCATCTGAGGAAGAAGAAGAAGAAGAATCATCTGATGAAAGTGATGTATCACTAGAAGATTTAGAAAGTGAAGAAGAATCAGAAGTTGAAATTGAAGAAAGTAAACCACAAGATGCAGATCCAACAAAATCATTTGCAGTTGTAAATATGGATTGGGATAATTTAAGAGCTGAAGATTTAATGGCTACTTTTATATCGTTTGTACCGAAAGGTGGATCAATAAAATCTGTTAAAATATATCCATCTGAATTTGGGAAAGAGAGAATGCAAAAAGAAGAAATTGAAGGTCCTTCAAGAGACATATTCAAAAGTTCAAAAAAACTGAAAAAAAAATCAACCCAAGATTCTGATGATGATTCCGATTCAGATATTGATTCAGATATTGATATAAATGATGCAAAAGAATTGGAAAGAGTCACCAAAAAACTTTATGAACAAGATGATGGTAAAGAGGATTATGATAGTAAAGCATTAAGAAAGTATCAATTACAAAGATTAAGATATTTCTATGCAGTAGTAGAATGTGATTCCATAAATACTTCACAAAACATCTACAAAAATGTTGATGGCACAGAATATGAATCCACAGCAAATATATTCGATTTAAGGTATATACCAGATGATATGATATTTGATGAATTAGACGTTAAAGATGAATGTTTCAAAATTTCAAAAAATTATAGACCAGACTCAAAATTTGTAACTGATGCATTACAACATTCAAAAGTTAAATTGACATGGGATGAAACCCCAAAAGAAAGATTAACATTATCATCAAGACCATTATCACAAAGAGAGATTGAAGATAATGATTTTAAAGCATATTTAGCAAGTGATTCAGAAGACGATAAAGACGAAAAAGATGAAGACAGTAATGATTTAAAAACCAAATATCAATCTTTATTGGGTAACACATTTCAAACGGTTGGTAAAGAAGATAAAGACGAAGAAGAAGACGACGTTGATATGGAAATAACATTTGATCCAGGATTAAAAGATGGTAAAAATGAAAGTGATGAAGATAAAGAAGAAACAACAATAGATGCATACAAGAGAAAAGAAAAAGAAAGACGTCAAAGAAGATTGAATAAATACAAAGAAAGTAAGGAAGTAGAAGAAGACGAAGAAGAAGAGAACTACCAAAAAAACAAATCCAAGCATAAGAAACACAACAAAAAATCAAAAGACCAAACCAACTTAACAGATAAACAAAAAGCAGAATTAGAATTAGTACTAATGGACAACGAAGCAACCCAACAAGATCATTTCAATATGAAAGACGTTTTGAAGAACGAAAAGAACCTAAAAAATAAGAAAAAAAATAAAAAAGTAGATTCAGAAATGACACAAGATAATTTCAATATCAATTTACAAGATTCAAGATTTAATGAAATCTTTGAAAATCATGAATATGCTATTGATCCAAGTAATAGTGAATTTAAAAAATCTAGTGTTATGAATAGAATTTTGAAGGAAAGATCAGCTAGGAATAATAAATCTAGTAAGAATGGCTTTGATAGATCGAAGAAACGAAAATTTGAGAAAAGTAATAGTAATAGTTATGATGATGTTAAACAATTGGCTAAGAAGTTGAAGAATAGAAAGTAATGGTTAACAGGTTTGTATAGATAAGTAATGAGTAAATGAAATGAACTAATTGTAAAATTTGGTTTGTAAAAAAGTCTTTAAAACTAATTTTCAAAAAGATTTTGTAAAATTTTGCATCAAAACTTGAAAAAAACCCACTAAAGTGTACCTACGGACTTTAACTTTGATTCCAAGTCGTTGTTTATTGATACTAGCAATTTCTATCATAGACTACAATTATAAGTGGCGTGACAAAGTGAGCAAATAAAAAAAATATACATAACCTTTTGCTATATAACAAATTTAAGTTTTATTGATTTTACACAAAGTTAATCTAAAAGATCAATATTATCTTTTTAATCTTTTTTTCCTTAATAAATTTGAGTTCACCAAGTAGTTATAAAGCAGATTGATTTTTTAATTGATCAACTTTCATGGCCACATTTGGGCTTTCATGATATTCGTGAGCAATGCTGAGATCTCTTTTTCTATTGAAATCTACTGAATTTTCTGTTTCGCGATATCGTTTGTGTGAAATTAAGTTACTTTCCAAGTAACCTTAAATTCTCAAACTTTTTTATTAACTTTTCAAATTCAAAAAATTATTTAACCCTTTGCTAAGAAAAAGAACTTTAATTTACCAAGATCATCTTAGAATTTAGAAATTTAATTTATAATTGGTTTCATTGTTGTATTTCATTATAGACTTTGTTAATTACCGATAAATTCAATTTTACATAGTTAAGAAAAAAAAAAAAAGAATATCAAAAAATTGAGTAAATATTAAAACCAATTTTTTAGATTAAAACAAGAACTAACATAATGCATCAATCAATTAGCCAAGTTAAACCCAGTGGAACTAGTTAAGATTGAATGAATCAATTCCGAAAATAGAAAAGTTGGTTGTCGGCTCAATATTAAATTTGATTTTTTTACTACAACAGACCCTTAATTTCTTTCATTTGAAATGTTTGAATTAATGAGAAAAAATAATCACAATATTCTGTCTCAAAATCAATTACGAGATTGATTGTTAAAGATATTCTGTCAAATTTGAAGTCGATGTATTATTATTACTATAACTAAATTCACAAAATGTGAAGTTACATTAAATTTTCAAAAGAATCACCGATATATTCTCCAATGCAATTTTAGTATTTTCGTATTTGTGTTTTAGTAAAACTTACATTTTGTTACAAACACTAAATTGAAAATATATACAATTACTCAATTGTTTACCGATGTTCTCAAAAACCGATCCATTTACAATAATAATTATGGTTTCGTATTTAATTCAAAATGGACCAAAATGGTTAAATTTCATACTCCGCTATAGTTTTATCAAAATTAGTGTTTTACATGTAAACAAACAGAAGATGAATCCTGGAAATAAAGCCAAACTTTACTTGGCAAAAAGAATGTCCAGACTCTGAATTTTTCTATTATGAAATTGTAATAAGCTTAATTAGAATAGGGTTTGGCTAAAGTATATCGGTATGAACAGGTTTAAGTTTTTATCGTGGGCCATACCATTTGAGGAGTTTACGAGTTTTATTCACGACGATCAATTTCAAACTAGAGTAAATACATATTGCATCTGGTATTTACTACAGGATACTGGGAACTATTCTGTAAAATACGAAATTTTTTCCCGTTTTACTCGACTTATTGATAATTTTGACTGCAAGTTGTTATACATGTCGTATTTTGGTTCCAAATTACACAACTTACAGAAGTGATACGGTTAGGCTATTTTTATTGTACTTCATAAATTATTTTGCATGTCATAGATTTATTGTTCCGATTGGATAAAAAGTATTGTTCCAAAAATTCTAAACAATCGGTATACGTTTGATTTAGATTCATTACACAAAACTCAGATGTTTTTGATGCAAAATTTAAAAGTCAAAAACTAAGAACTAACTCGCGATTAATTGAATAGTCCTTTATTCATCTTACAGTTTTGGTATGGAGTAAAAATTTTGATTATACTTAAAAGAATGACGACGTCCTATTTTCAAGTCCATACATGTCATTTTAGAATTTTAAATTTTCATTTTTTTTACTATTATTCAAATTCATAATATCATACCAACTACAAGGAAGTTATTATTAACTAATCCAAAAACAAAATGAGATACTCATTATTTGTTAATTCACTCGTTTTTGCTTCCTTTGTCTTTGCAGACGATGATGATAGTTCAACATCAACAACTGATACCTCATTAATTACAACAGCACCAGAAACAACAGCAGATAGTCCTTGGGCTACATACCCTACTGTAGCCAAAACAGCATCAATTAATGGTTTTGCTGATAAAATTTATGATCAATTACCAGAATGTGCTAAACCGTGTATGTTTCAAAACACAGGAATAACCCCTTGTCCATATTGGGATACAGGATGTTTATGTATTATGCCAATGTTTCAGGATTTAATTGGATCATGTATAGCAGACAATTGTTATGGTTCAGATGTTTTAGATGCTAGATCATTAGCTACCTCGATTTGTTCAAGTGCAGGTGTTTGGGAACCTTATTGGATGCCACCAGCAAGTGTTAGTTCTGCTTTAGAAGTCGCTGCTACAGCTATACCAACCGTTGAATCAAGTAACACAATCTTAGAGACTCCATCAAGCTCAAGCTTAGCAGAAACTATTGAAGAGACAAGCTCATCAGAAATTATTGAAGAAACCAGTACATCAGAGGTCATTGAAACTACTACTTCATCCACATCAGAAATTGTTGAAGAAAGTAGTACATCAGAAAGTATTGAAGAAACAAGTTCATCATCAGAAATTGTCGAAGAAACAACCTCATCCACATCGTCCACTGATACTTCAAGCTCATTAATAACTACAGCACCGGATACTACGACAACAGCAGATAATCCATATGCCACTTACCCAAGTGTACCAAGAACAGCATCAATCAATGGTTTTGCTGACAGAATTTATGATCAATTACCAGAATGTGCAAAACCATGTATGTTCCAAAACACAGGTATAACACCATGTCCATATTGGGATACAGGTTGTTTATGTATCATGCCATCATTCCAAGGATTGGTCGGATCATGTATTGCAGAAAATTGTTTTGGTAGTGATGTATTAGATGCTAGGTCATTAGCTACTTCGATTTGTTCTAGTGCTGGAGTTTGGGATCCGTATTGGATGCCACCAGCTAGTGTTAGTTCAGCTTTAGAAATTGCTGCAACTGCTATACCAACCATTGAATCAAGTAGCACAATTTTAGAGACTCCGTCAAGCTCAAGTTTATCAGAAACTATTGAAGAGACAAGCTCATCGGAAATTATTGAAGAAACCAGTACATCAGAGGTCATTGAAACTACTACTTCATCCACATCAGAAATTGTTGAAGAAACAGACTCATCCACATCATCTACAGATACTTCAAGTTCATTAATAACTACAGCACCAGATACTACAACTACAGCAGATAATCCATACGCTACTTACCCTAGTGTACCAAGAACAGCATCAATCAATGGTTTTGCTGATAGAATATATGATCAATTACCAGAATGTGCAAAACCATGTATGTTCCAAAACACAGGAATAACCCCATGTCCATATTGGGATACAGGATGTTTGTGTATTATGCCATCATTCCAAGGATTGGTCGGATCATGTATTGCTGAAAATTGTTTTGGTAGTGATGTATTAGATGCTAGGTCATTGGCTACGTCGATTTGTTCAAGTGCTGGTGTTTGGGAACCTTATTGGATGCCACCAGCAAGTGTTAGTTCAGCTTTAAGTGTGGCCGCTACAGCTATTCCAACCACAGAGATAATTTCTATAGGTTTATCAAGTTCAAGTGTAGCAGAAGAAACTTTTTCTTCAGAAATCACGATTAGTGAAACATCCATTGAAGAATCATCAACTAGTACTACCGAAATAGAAAGCACAACCTCATTAACTGCTTTACCAACTTCACCAGTCAATCCGGATGAGCCTTTCACCATTGCAGCTTCATTACAAGGTATTGTCTCATTTTTCACCACTAATGGCACATCAATTAAATTATTTAGTGGTTCAGTTGTTAATTTCACTATTGAAGATGGATTCCTTAAAGTATCGGAGACTGAATATATTCAAGTAACTCCAGAAGGAGCATTAGTTATTGTTAATGATAGAGAAGAAGCTACATCAGGTTGGGGCATGAATGAAAATCAATTAACTTTAACAGCTACTGAAGAAACTAGATCATTATTTAAACGTGAAGATGTTCAATTTCAATCTTGTCCTGCTGAAGAAGGTAGTGATGTTCATATAGGTGATAACAATGAAGGATGTACTCCAATTCAAGCTGCTGCCGAGAATGTCGATGATCAAAGCTCAACAGAAGAATCTACTACGACTGATAATACAAGCTCAACTGATAATGCATCATCTACTCAAGAAACTGCATCGGTTGAAACTACAACTCAAGATACAGCAAGTCAAGAAACTTCCAACACTAGTCAGGAAACTTACAGTCAATATACCACAAGTCTAGAAACTACAAGTGAAGAAACTACTAGTCAAGAAACTACAAGTGAAGAAACTTCATCTACAAATACTTCAACTCAAGAAGCAACTTCAGAGGAAAACTCAACTGAAGATAATAATACCACCGATATTACACCTGTCACTACAACTACATCAACAAGCGACTCTTCATTAATCACAACAGCACCAGAAACAACAACAGCAGATAACCCATATGCTACTTACCCTAGTGTAGCAAGAACAGCATCAATCAATGGTTTCGCTGACAGAATTTATGATCAATTACCAGAATGTGCTAAACCATGTATGTTTCAAAACACAGGAATAACTCCCTGTCCATATTGGGACACAGGATGTTTGTGTATCATGCCATCGTTCCAAGGATTGGTTGGATCATGTATTGCTGAGAATTGTTATGGCTCTGAAGTTTTAGATGCTAGGTCATTAGCTACGTCAATTTGTTCAAGTGCAGGTGTTTGGGAACCTTATTGGATGCCACCAGCTAGTGTCAGTTCATTATTAGAAATTGCTGCTACTGCTATCCCAACTACAGATATTAGTACTACAGAATCACCAAGTGACATTTCATCCAGTTTAAGCTCATCTGAAATTATTGAAGAGACTGGCTCGTCAGAAAACGCTGAAGAGACCAGCACATCAGAGATAGTTGAAGAATCTACATCTAGCTCAGGCTCATCCCAAATTGTTGAAGAAACTACAACAAGTTCATCTGAAGGTACTGAAGAGACTAACGCATCAGATATTAGTGAAGAAACAAGTTCTACCTCATTAGAAAACGTTGGCGAAACTTCATCAACATCTACATCCACAGATGATCCAAGCTCATTAATTACCACAGCTCCAACAACAACTGAAGATAACCCATACGCCACTTATCCTAGTGTAGCAAGAACAACCTCAATCAATGGTTTCGCTGATAGAATATATGATCAATTACCAGAATGTGCTAAACCATGTATGTTTCAAAACACAGGAATAACACCATGTCCATATTGGGATACTGGTTGTTTATGCATAATGCCATCATTCCAAGGATTGGTTGGTTCATGTATTGCAGAAAACTGTTTTGGTAGTGATGTATTAGATGCTAGATCATTAGCTACTTCGATTTGTTCAAGTGCTGGTGTTTGGGAACCTTATTGGATGCCACCAGCTAGTGTCAGTTCATTATTAGATGTTGCTGCTACAGCTATCCCAACTACAGATGTTAGTACTACAGAATCACCAAGTGACATTTCATCAAGTTTAAGTTCATCTGAAATTATTGAAGAGACTGGTTCATCAGAAAACGTTGAACAGACTAACTCATCAAATATCAGTGAAAATATAAGCTCAACTTCATTAGAAAACGTTGGAACCTCATCTTCTACTCCATCTACAGATATTTCAAGCTCATTAATAACTACAGCACCAGATACTACAACCACAGCAGATAATCCATACGCCACTTATCCAAGCGTTGCAAGAACAGCCTCAATCAATGGGTTTGCTGATAGAATTTATGATCAATTACCAGAATGTGCTAAACCATGTATGTTTCAAAACACAGGTATAACACCATGTCCATATTGGGATACTGGTTGTTTATGTATAATGCCATCATTCCAAGGATTGGTTGGATCATGTATAGCAGAAAATTGTTTTGGTAGTGATGTTTTAGATGCTAGATCATTAGCTACTTCGATTTGTTCAAGTGCTGGAGTTTGGGAACCTTATTGGATGCCACCAGCCAGTGTTAGTTCATTATTAGATGTTGCTGCAACTGCTGTTCCAACTACTGGTGTAAGTACCACACTTCAATCAAGCTCGGGTCTGCCATCAAGCTTTGAAAGCTCATCAGATATTGTTGAGGAGACAAATTCATCAACGACATCAAATACTGTAGAGGAGACCAGCCCATCAACATCAAACATTGTCCGAGAAACAGCTATTTCATCATCTAGTACTACTGAAAGTGTAAGCTCTGAAACTGAAAGCTCATTGCCAACTGAACCAGTAAATCCTGGTGAATCATTTACTTTATCTGTATTATTTAACAATGAAATTACAAGATTTGAAACAAATGGTACTCATATAAAATTATTTGATGGTTCGTTGGCCGAATTTGCAATTGAAGATGGCTTATTACATGTAATTAATTCTGGTTACATTCAAGTTGGATCATTAGGTGAATTAATTGTTGGGGATATAGAGAATTCTACTAGAGGTTGGGGTATTGAAAATAATAAATTAACTTTTGAAATTCCATTTGCTAAATTAAAGAAACGTCAAGAAGAAGTTCAATTTTATGTTTGTCCTGCTGAAACTGGGTATGATGTACGTGTGATCAATAGTGATGAATGTATTTTGGTTGAAGTGTCTGCTGGTAATATTAATGTTACAGAACCAACAACTAGTGATACAAGCTCATCATCAATTGCAAATGTAAGTACTGAATTAAGTTCAACTATTATTTTGAGCAGTGTATTAGCTTCAGAAACTGGTTTAACTGCTTCATCTCAATTATTTACCAACACAACGACTGCTTCAGAAACTACGTATCCAGAATCAACAATAATCACATCAACTGGAACATCAACAGACGCTGAAGGAAATGAATCAGTTTTTACAACCACTCAAACTATCACTGAAGTAAGTGTATATTGTGAAGTATCATCAGCAAGTTCAGTTCAGAGTGAAGCTCATCAAATTCAAACTAGTGCAGCTGCTGTCCAATCAACATTAATTGAACACCAACAAAGCGTAGTTACAGTCATTGTATCATGTGAATCAGCTATATCATCATTAGAATCAGTCAAATCATTGGCTCAGATAGTAACCAAAACAGAAATTATTGCAAGTTGTGAAAGTGAAATTAAATCATTATCATCAGTAGAAGAAGGTGCTAAACAAACTTTAGAATCAATAGTTAGCCAACATGAATCAGCAGTACAAAAATCTGCAGCCTCAAAACAACAATCAGCTGCATCAGTACAATTAAGTGCAGCCAATATACAACAATCAACTGAAATTTTAGCTAATGCTCAATCAGCCGTAGCTCAAGCTTCTCAAGCTAGTGTTGAAGCATCTCAAGCTCAAAGTATAGAATCAGTTGTTTTGGAAACTGCTACAGCTTATATTACAATCACTACCACTGCTACTCGATCTCATCAAACTCAATCTGTTGCAGCTCAAAATCAATCTGCTCAAAGTGCTGGTTCTTTACAAAGTGAAAGTCAACAACAAGGACAACAGCAACAAGAAGCAAGTCAAACAAGTGGTCAACAAACAGTAGCAGATAAAGGTAGACCAGCTGAATCATCATTGATCTCAAGTTCAGGCTCACAAAATTCAGTTGCTGGTTCAGCATCAACTTCAGCATCAGCTAGCGCCTCCCCACAACAATCAACTGTATCCGAATTCAATAATTCTGGTTCAAAATCATCTGGATTCCATCTCAGTTTAGTGATTTCAATAATTACAATATTCGTTGGGTTCATTTAGTTTACCCACTGAGTGATTTTTTTTTTTTTTCATTTCATTCTTTTTAGGTTGATATTTCATCAATTAGTTGTGTTAATTTCGGTCATTTTTGTTAAAAACTTGTTTTCAAAAGTTTCAAATTTTTCTGTTGTATATTTTAAATAACATATAAGAATTTTGTATCAAAATTTCAGAAACGTCGTAGAGATTAAATAATGTAGTTTCAAAGTAGGAAGTGAATCGTAAATTCATTAAAACTATAAAACGTAAATCATTAAAAAAAAGTCTATAACTAAGTATTTAAATGATGAATATCTTGAGGTTTCAAATTTGTTAAGTTTGTGGATACAGTCATTAATGATAAATTATCAGTAGATTGTCTTGCGTAATTCGCTAGTGATGCTGATGATTTGTTTTGATAACGAGTTGGATTATTGTAATTTGTTGAGGTTGTTCTTATTGAATCACTAGAAATGTTTTTTAGAAGGGGAAGTCTTTGAGCAAATTTGATTTCTTGAGTTATTAAGTCTTCATTTTCTTCTTCTTCGTCATCTTCGTCTTCCTTTTCTTCTCCCTCATCGTCTTCATCCTCAAAATCTTCTTCACCTTCTAGAGCTTTCTCATTTTGTTGATTGTCTATCGAAATGTTTGATTGATCATTTGTAATTTGATTTGCTGACTGAGAAAATTCAGGTTGATAATTATTTATTATAAGATTCTCATCAGATGATTCATTAATAACTTTTGCAGTTAGTCCATTTGAGGGGATATTACTATCTTCCTCTTCATCATCATCATCATCCAATATAGCCTCTTCATTATCATAATCATTATAATCATTGCTGAATTCTAATGGATTAACTTCATTTATTGCAGCTTCTTCAGTTTCAACTTCATCACTTATTGAACTTAATGAACTAGTTGAGTCAGGTATAGTTGAAGAAGGAGGAGTTACACCAACTGTTCCATTTTGGTTTAGTATTAATGATGAAGATGAACTTGATTGAATACTTCTGTTATCGTCACTTGAATTTGGGGAACTTGCTGGTTCGTTTCTTTGATGGTTGTGACGATGATGAAATGGTGAATTGTTTGAAAAACTATTTGGTTGTGAATTATTTGGACGAAATGATTGTGACAAACTTTCTTTTATACTTGATTGTCTTCTTTCTAATCCAGTTGCAGATGGTGGTTGTGTGATTTCTTCAGTTACTATTTCATCTATGTTTAAAGAACTAACTGAATCTCTCGTAGTGTTCATAGCTGAAGTAGATGGAGGTGTAGGCGTTGGAGATACTGAAGTAAATTGATCTTCTTGATCTTCATAAGCTGGTGCTGGTTCGTTTGGTAAAATCAATGGTATTGAAGGGATTCTACTTAATGGATCTTCTGGGTATGATAATGATCTTGTTAATGGTGAGTTAGGAGTTGATGTTGCTTCTTCGAAGGATGGAAGTTGTTCTGTACTAGATGATGTTGAAAGATTCTCTTCTGAATTAGGAATCCATGGTTTTATCGAGACTCCATTTGTTGATTTATAATTTGGAGTATTGAAAGAAATTGAATCTTCTGAAGTTACTGAGTTTAATACTTCTATTTCATTATAACGAGGAAGTTGAATAGATACGTCATTACATTTTGAACTTAATAAGATTAAAGGAGTATCAACCACAACTTCATAATGATGCATTTTAAAATCATCTTTTGGATCAGGTTTTGAAATTCTAAAACAAATTTGTAATCTATGATTTATTTGAATATGTCTAAAATTTGAATCTGGATATAATGCTCTTGATACTAGTGTATATCCGTTTTTGATATTTTCTGGTGGGGTATGTTTTGACGAAAGATCATCTGATAAGTAAGCTGATGTTGGGTGTTTTTGTGATTCATGTAACCCTACCTCGTCTACGTTTGATAAGTTTGTTTCTAGTGATCCAATAATGGGAGAACTTGGGGGATTTCGAGTTGTTGATTCTATAATGGATGCTTTTCTTGATGTTGTTGGAGTATTTGTTGATGAAAATGGTGAGTATTCATCTTCACTTGATGAACCAGTCATCATATACTTATCTGTTTTTGTAGTAAGAAATGGCAATGCAATGTTTATGTCTATAGGTGAAGCAATCATTGTTTTATCCTTTTGATGGTTTTTCTTTTTCGAGGCTGGGGTATTATCAAATTCATTTTCTGGCTCATAACATGAAAATAATAAGTTGTTATCGGGACATTTTATAACTTCTTCTTTGTATGGATCACCAAATGCATTTGATGATTGTTTATGTTTTGTCTTGAGTTCACATAATGATACTACTCTTTCTCTGATTTTGTTCTCCTTTGATAATGGATGTAAAAAATTTGGATCTTCACTATCATAATCATATTCTTTTGATAAATCTTTACAAACGTAGGTAATTCTTTCTAGTACGTTGAATTTGATTCGTTTAAGGACAACATCTTTAACTAATGGTACTAATTTAACGTTAATAACATGTTCTGAACCTAATGAAATATATTTTTTGGGAAATGTAATCATATAATGAACTGAATCATTCCATACTCTATTTACATAAATTGGTTTATCAGCTATTGAATTTGCAAAATTGGGTGGGGTCCTAACCATTGGAATAGCATAAGCAGCGTTGACTTTTAATTTCCTATTAAGTTTATCACTTATTTTGTTAAAATTAACCAGTAGCGTGTGGCTTAATGTACCGTTTATTGAAACTATTGTCGCTGGGATATGTTCTGGTAATAGTATAGGTAATAAAAATACATAAAGACCAGCTTTATGTTCTGAATTGAATTGTGGTGTAGATGATTCTTCGGTGGTGGATGTTGATGACGGTGGTGGAGAATCTTCAGTTGAAAATTCATCTCTCGGATTGTTGTTTGTAGTTTTTGATATATCAACTAGTTTATATTCTCTTGATCTTTTAGCTAAATCATCAGGTTTTATATTTTTAAATTTATATTCACTGGAATTTGAAGCATTTATATAGTAATCTGCATTATTAAAATTTGTTGACCATTCCATTGTTCCAATACGAAATTTTTCTTTTAATTGGGAACGGTTATATGGATCACCTGTTGGCCATAAAATTTGAGTTGATGATTGGAATTTGAATACAAGATCTTTTATGGTTGACACATCCTTTGTTAATTCTATTATTACTGCAAATGTATGAGGTATAGGGAGGTCTGAATCTATTTTAGAACATAAGTAATTGGGACTATGAAATGATTTCATTCTTTGATATATTGAGTTAGAGGTGGTAGTTTCATTCAATGTACTCGGAGTTGATGTTGAAGATCTACGACTTAGATCTGCTGGAAATTGATCATCATTTTCTTGTTGATTATATATCGAAGACCTAGGAGAATTCATATCATTATTTGGTACAGTTCCACCATTTTCAACATCTTCATAAGTAAAACTAGTTGATGCAGCTGGTGGTAAATATATACAATCATTTGAATTTGATATGTAAATTTTACAAGTTTTTGAGATGGAACCTGAAGTTGTTGTTTTTAATGATATTGGTTGTTGTAATCCTAAATCTTGTAACATTTGAATAAGCTTTTTAGATAATACATTTGAAGTTTCTTGTTTAATTAAATCTTTTGTTTTATTAGATTTAAAAATATTTGATGGTGATAAAGTTTGTGAATGATGTGTAATAGATTTAGATCTTGTTCTAGATCGGGATCTTTCCTTTGGAGAATCATGATGAAAAGATAATGAAGTTGATCTTATTCTTGACGATGTTGATAAATTTTCTCTTGGAGGTGTATCACTCTTATGGAAATAACTATGATGATTTGATTGAGAATTATTTTTATTGTTGGGTGACGAATTAGTTGAGTTATCTAGACTATGGCTTCTGTTATGTATTTCTAAATTTGAGTCTGTTGAATGTCTATGGACTACCTTATTTTTTAGCTTATCAAAACTAAAACTTCGTGGATGATGCATAGTAGTCTGATAGTAAATGATGATTAATTTGTGGAATCTTGGTATTCAAATTTTGTGGGGTTGGATAATGGAATATGATATAATAAGTAAATAATATTGTATGTAAATTATGTAAAATAAATTTATGACAATGATATTTGGATTGTATTATAATATTCTGCAAGTAAAAGCTTGTAAAATTTGAATTATATAATGATATTGTATGAATGATTAAAATTAAAATTTTGTAATGTAAGGAAGCTGGTATTTGATACTTTATTATATTATTATATTATAGAACTTGTCTTATAAATATTATATTTCCCTGTGTTGATAAATATAATAATTTATTTGACCAAGCTTTGGTTTGAATTAATTCTTCCCTAAGTCGAAGTAAAAAATAAATAATGATTTACAAATTAAATTAAAATATTCACAATTGGAACTAATAATATAGTTTTTTAGTTATGAGTTAGTTTAGCTTCAACTTGTTTGAATTAAAAAAAAAAGCCCCCCCGACTTTCACTTTTAGATTGGGATATATTTTATTCCAACTTGGTTGAATTATAATAAATTAATGTAGGATAAATTTTATATTATATATTTTTCAACTTCTATTTCAATAATTAAGAAAATAAATTTTGAATGAAGAAGTTGAAATAAAAATAATTAATTATATTTTCAAATTACATAATTTTAAAGAGAACATAATTATCTAGAAGTTAATAAATGAAAATTATGTTTAATAAATCTTACGTTATCGTAATAATTTTAGAAGAACAAATTTCTTTTGTGAATCAATATAATTTTCCATGGATTTGTGTATTGCTTTTAAAGCCGATTCAATGAGATATAAATAATCTAGAATAATTTAGAGATATTTAGAATGAAATTCTGGGTGTAGTTAAGTTAAGTAATAATTGAACTAAAATCAAATCTAATGAAGGAGCACGATGTGATTTAGCTTAGCCTTATGAATAGATAAATGATATAAAAGAAGATTTTTAACTTTTTCTTCAAAGTTATACTAGTTAAATTAAATAATACTAAGGAATAAGTAAGTAAGTAAGTAAGTAAGTGTAATTATGAGCCAAACCATTTTAATCTAATTTGAAGTCAAGAAAATATAATAATTTATTTTATAGATAAGTTCACTTAGTTGAAAAAAAATAACAACCAGTCCCCCACATTTCGAAAAGACATTGGTGATACATGTCAACTAAATGATATCAAAGTTTGTTATAAAACAAGTCAAGTTAATTCTATGAAAAGAATATATGTCCTTGTCATTCACTAAAAAGAAATCATTTAATTGTTAAGTGGAGATATTTTGAAAAGAAATCTTCAAAATTAGTTATAGTTATGTATCTTTTTACTAGAGTGAAATTTAACAATTTTAACCGTTCATTCCATTATTTTCAACTATAACAACTAGTACTATTCTCTCAGGAATTATTTAATAATAAATCCGACCATTAATTACCGTTTAGTGAAGTATGGCTGATGTCTTGGTAATTAAATATCAAAAGCTATGTTTTGTTAAATTTTGAATCCAATCAAGGGATCAATTTTAGTAAAAGATAAAAGTCAAAATAGGATGTACTTATCATTTTAAAACATGATCTGATTTGATTATATAATAAAAAATTTTAAAATTTTACAAACTACGTCATTTAAAAAAAAATTATCAATCTCTTTTTATAAATTTTATTCTGTTTCGTAAAATTTAAATTAGGTCCCATGTCGAGACAGGTTTTGACGCAAGAATTAGATGTGACTTATATCATATTTTGCAACTATTATGTATTTAATTAAAAATATATCTTTAATATATTACAATTATTCATTATTATAATCTATTAATCTACTTTGGAAAATACATTTCTACTTTATATCTATTCAACATCATCATTATTATGTTCAATTTCATCATCACCAATTTTTTTCAATATTATTTCACCATAATCATTTAATTTAATACTATTACTAATATCTAAATCAAATATAGATTTTCCACTACTTCCACCATAAGATTTAGGTAATTCATTTGAAGGTAAAAATTCAGTAAGATTCCCATTATTTAAAACTTGAAATTTTTTTAAAGTTTCTTCATTTATAATTCTAATAGTTTTGAAAAAAGTAAAAACCCAACCCATAATTAACGGTACATTTATAAAAAATTTAGTACTTAAAAGTTCAGGATAATTTGATCCGAATATTTCTATAATTTCCTTTGTAGATTGTTTTTGTCCAGGATCAATTTTAAACATTGATATATTATTATAATCATGAATTTGTCCAATCTTATTATTTTTTGGATCAGTGAAATCAACCAACTGGAGTGATTTTTCCATTAATCCTATTCTCCACCTCAAGAACTGACTTCCTGGTAATTCTTTAATTGAGTTACCACCGAATTTTTCAAATATTTTCTTGGGATTTTTGAGATTACCATAAAGATTCCAAGTAATGATTTTTAAATTTGCCCCAGTATTGTTAAAGTTAGTAATTACACCCAACTCATTTAATTCTGAATCAAATTTTTCTTCAAATGCTGCATGTAATGGTTGAAATTTATTTCTCCAATTTAAACAGTTGATAATTCTCTTTTTAGCTAATTCTAAATCATATTTATCAGCTGCTAGATATTTTAGTAATATTTCATTTCTTACTGGGACGTTCACGTGTGGTTTTTCATTAGTGTTGATTCTGTACCCGAATATTTCATCGTAGTCTGGATTATTTAATTCTGATAAAATTTGTGGTAATAATTCAATTAAGATTAATAACTTTTCAGCATTTTCTTTTGATAACTTTTGGGATTTTATTGAGTCAATTACTGATTCTACTGTAGCTGATTCTGTTGGTTCAGTAGTCATTTAGTATAACGAATGGACAAACGATTTAAGTTGTTTTGATTAAGACTGGTAAAGATCTTGTTAAGTTTTTTTTTAAAGTGTTGTTTTTTATTCCTTATTCGGTTTTATCGAACGACATTTGCGGCTTTCATTTTTCTTTATCTAAAAGATCTACTTAATGAAGGAGTACTTACCTCAATTTAGCAAGAACTTATTAGTATGAAAGTTCAGCCCAATAGTTCAATGACTGGACATTAAGACTTGTAATATATTAAGTATTATTTATTATCACTCTTGTATTTAAATTACTCACATTCAACTAAATTCATCACCAGGTCAACCGGATTTAAACTACTTTTAAATCTTCAACTAATTCAACTAATTCAGCACCACCAACAATCAAAACACTCTCCCTCAAATCACCCTTCAACCCTCTCTCAGCAAAATCAATAGCAATCTTACCAACATCACTAGCATCAATAGCTCTGGTTAAAGGTGAAAACCAAGTACCTTTAGTCCATCTTCCCACAGTCATAGCTAACGAATTTCCAAACCCATGATTATCTTTCCTATCACCAATTAATACACCAGGTCTTAATATAATAGTATATTGGAAATCAAGAGCCTTAATAGCATCTTCAAGTTCTCCTTTTGTTTTCATATATAAAAATGGAGATTTAGCATCTGCTCCCATTGCACTTACTAAAACACAAGTAGTTGCACCATTAGATTTAGCAGCTTTTGCACATTCATAATTTATACCATAATCGATTTTTTTAAAATTTTCAGCACTACCAGCTTTTGCTCTAGTTGTACCAAATGAAGAAATATATGCTTTGGGATGTTCTGGTAATTTTTCAATAACTGAACCCCATTCTTCTGTGGTTTTATTGACTATTGAATCTAATTTGGGAGAATTTTCTGGAGTGGCGAAATCTGGAACTGATCTAGTTAATGTAACCACTTTATTAAAATGTTTTGATAAAAGGGCGTATTTGGTGACTTGTGTTCCAACTAGACCTGTTGAACCTAGGATAAATAATGACTGTGGATGCATTTCACTCATTGTTGAAATTGAAAGAAAAGTAGTAGGTAAATGTTGAAATTGAAGTGAAAGCGGATAAAGGTTAATATAAAGTTGAAATTCTGGTGAGGCTGATAAATTGAAATATTGCTCTTGTGCCACTTGTTAACACGCGCGCTTTTAAGAGATTGTACCCCTTAAGTTTTGAGTAGTTACACAAAAAAGAGGACATATAGTCTTTTAATTTCTTGATCTTTCCATGATTAACATCAGTTAAGAAGACATATTAAATTTCAATAAAGGCTACATATGTTCATTTTTAGTATAGTGTAAATTATAATTAATGAGCAACCATACCTTGAGTAACTCTCTCATATCTCTCCCTAGTCCAACGTCTACATGCCTTTCCATACTTAATCATAACCAAATAAGAACCATTGATAAATATAGATAATCCAAACATAACCCAAGTAGTTTTAAAAATTCCTTGTTCATCAATCCATGGTCCAATACCAAAAGTAAAAGCCATCCCAATCATATTTCTAATAAATAACATCAATACAATCGATTCACTAGCTAATTTTTCATAACTATCGACTGCATAAACAACACATATCGTACCTGAAGAAGTCATTGCAAATCCCATGAATCCCATTCCAATGATTATACTGACCCAGTAAGATGCTCCGTAATGAGCACTTAATCCGAATGCTAATATTCCAGCAGCATTTAAAACTGTTGGTACAAGCATAGCTTGTAATCTATGTTCTGGTTCTAATATACCATGATTTCTAGTAGCTAATTTGATACTTAACCAATCAACAAAAGTTCCACCATAAAACATACCAACAACGTTTCCAACAAATATACCTAAACTCGTCAATCCAACAACTCCATCACTGAAATTATAAGGTGGTTTGGAATAGATACTCGATGATAAATTTATCAAAAGGGAAAGCCAACACATTTGTCCTCCATAGATTAATCCACTCCATACTACTGCTGGGAATGTAATAAGATAAAATGGTCTTATGAAGATTTGTATCCAGCTTCTCACATCGTTATATTCTGTATGGATCCAATTACGTTTTTGCAAGTATGTCTTTTTTGGAATGTCTTCCCCACTGTTGGATACTGATTGTACGTCTATCTCTTCTGAATCTGTTGGTTTCTTCTCATCAGTTTCAATTCTTGAGTTAATTCTTTGTTCTTGTATAGTTTCATAAGACTTAATTTGGTTTAATATGCCTTCTTCCAATTCAGCTTCAGCCTGGTTACCACGTCTGAAAGTAGTATCCTCCATGAAAAACAATTGAACCAAAAACAACCCACCATAAATAAAAATTTGAATATAATAACACCAAGTCCAAGGTAATGAATCAGCAACATACCCAGCAGCAACAGGAAACAAATCAGTACCACCATATAAAGCCATTAATAACCACGAGATAGCAGTTGATCGTTCATGTTGGAAGAAAATATCAGTAGAACTAACTTCAACTAATGAATCACATGGTGCAGCAGCAATACCAATCAATGCCTTGTACGCATATATGTAACTTATATTACTAGTCTTAGACCCAAATCCACATGATATTATAGCAATAACAGTACAACAATTATATACAAATTGTTTACCTAATTTCAACCCCGTTGGTTGAACTAAAGTAACACCAACTCCCAAAAATAAATACCCTAAAGCGGACGAAATCAATAATTGATTCAAAGTTATACCATAACTAGATATCCAACTTGAATATAATGGTGTCATAAAATTTAAAGAACCAGCTACCATAAACCCCCAAAACCAAATTATACCAAATTGAAAAGTACGTTTACGTGTTGACCAATTTAATGGATCATTGGGGTTTGATGTTGGTTGTGGATGTAATATAATGTCCCCATCACCGTCGTTTCCATTTTTTCTGACATTAAGGGAGTGTGTAACATCTACTAAGTGAACTGTTCCTGGAAGGAATTCGTAGTTGTCTATTGAGAAATTATCTTCTTTGTCTTTACCAAACATTGTTGTAGATTCGATGAATAATGAAAAAATTATGGAATTTTGAGGTACATTCTGAAACAATAAGGGAACTTGCTAATTTTTATATAGATCAACATGACCATGAAGTATTGGTTATCAGTATCATGATTAATCAATTTGTAATTAGACCGTTAGTTTGGAACAATAGAAATTGAAAAATTCCATTTTTATTTTTATGCAGTTCTCTTCTTATCTTATCAAAAGTTTTAATTAAATCAGGCTAATTTTGTGATAACAAATAAACTAATAGACATTTCAAAACCCATATGGTAAGTAGCGATCGGTTTATCTTTTAAGCTTTACTAGATTCTAAAAAGTATAAAATTGCATTGCATAAAATTTGATTTTATCCTGAAGTATTTTTAGAGTTGAAGCAGATAGGTTCAAAAGTTTATCGTGAGATAAAGACAATTTAGCGGCTAGAGAGTCCTTTTTTGTGATTTAGTTTCAAAAACATTCCGTATCATTACTATATTAGTTTATTAATCTACTATGTAGCAAGAAATCTCTGAAATTCTGTAATCATTATTTATCAATGGTTATGAAAAACATGTCTATCAGTCTATTTAATTCCTACTACCAGGTACTAATTTGAACGATAGTATATCATTTTTATTCTTATCAACAGTATCTTCTTCACTTACTTTTATACCACCAACAGTTTCAATATGAGCGATAGTAACATCACCCATGATTTTTCTTGCAACATTTATAACAGGAGTTCCTCTTTTAACCAATATACAATCTCTGAACACTTGATCCCCCGTACTACCTGTAAAATTATTTATATTTCTTACGGGATAAACTGGTATTAGTTGTAATAAATCAGCTGCAGCTTGTAATAATTGAACTACTCCAGTTGATCCAAATCTATATAGAACTAGATCTCTTATGTTTTCTATTCTATTTGCTAATTTCTCATCTAAATCTCGTAAATCAGGATCATTTGGTAAATCTTCTTTTGTATCTACAAATTCAGTACCTGGATCATATTTTATATAATTTTGTGCCACTAGTTTTCTCAAAAATACTTCAGTTATTGATGATGTTAATATAGCTTTAGATTTTGGATATTTTAGTATTATTTTTGATACATTTTTATCAGCATCTGGATGATCCATTTTGTTCAATGATAGTACTGTGGGGAATTTAATTTCCATAAATGCCCAAACTACTTTTTCCAACATTTCATCATCCCAATCTTGCAATGGTGGTAAATTTGGTATTAAATCCAAAGCATTAGCAATTAATTGTTTATTTGCAACGTACCCACCTAATTGTTGTCTTAAAGTTTCTAATGTAGTTGATTTTGTTGCAATATGTCTTCTTTTAACAGAACCCCATTTTTCTTTTAGGTTTCCCAAAATCCATTGAAAAATCTCATTTTGTAACCATTCTATATCATTTAATGGATCGTATCCTCTTGTTGCTTTACCTTCAGAATCAGTTGATCCACTTGCATCAACTATGTGGATCAAACAATCAGCTTCAGTTAAATCACTTAAAAATTTATTTCCTAAACCTCTACCTAAATGAGCATTGGGTACTAAACCAGCAACATCTAATAACATTATAGGTACTCCTCTTTTTCCTTGTCTACAATATCCATAATTCGGTTTACATTTATCTTGCTTGTTAAATCTTTTACATGCACATTCTATTTCTAAATATCCTGTTGCTTTATTTGGATCTATTGTTGTGAATGGAAATGCTCCTACTTTTGCATTGGCATCTGTTAATGAATTTAATGTTGTGGATTTACCACTTGAAGGTTTTCCTACTAATCCTATCACTATCTCTCTCCCCATTGATTTGAAAATAAAAGTGAGTAGCTAATTTTAAAGGTTGTTACTTGATTGATTGTGTACTTCATATTTGAGTCTCAATTTTTCACATAATGATGCAAAATCATCAAGACCAGTTTGGTAGCTCGATGGTATCAGATTTTAATATTTGGACATGGTCTTGTAATAAGACCAAGCCTTGGAAACCAACGATATTAGACTTCATTTAACCCTTTAAATGAGTCAATATTGTATAAAATCTGCACTATACTATTCTTGTCTCTGAATTTGTAAAATTAATGCCCAAAAAAAGTATAATATAGTATTGATTGAATAGAATAACAAATTTACGTTTAGCTCGATTTTAAGGAGTCAAGAAGTAACTATCAAAACGTAAGATTTGGTCATACACATTGAGCAACTATCATCAACGTCAATGTTGCAAAAATGATGTATTAGTATTGCAATAACTAAAACCTCGTTTATGATTATGTTTAGTAAATCCTGTATATAATCCTATATATAGCCCAAAATAAAACAAAACAAAAACTAGGAGCTTTTCGAAACACAAGAAAATTACAATTAAAATTAAGTAATTTATAACAATTACTTAAATTAATTCATAATATATCAAGGATTCCTAACTCCATAATCAATTAATTGATACAAACAGAATAACCAGCAAAAATGGCTCTTGGGGAATCTATTATGAGTAATATATTTGGAGGACTTTCCAACGACTTCAAAAAAAAGAATTTTTCACTTTATGGTCAATGGATTAGTATTTTAACAATATTTTTATGTTTAGCATTGGGTATTGCTAATATATTTCATTTCAATTTAGTCATTATTTTCTCAATTATATGTTTAGTTCAAGGATTAATTGTTATATTTGTTGAAATTCCATTCTTATTAAGAATATGTCCATTAACAGATACTTTTACCAACTTTATTCGTAAATTTGATGGTAATTTACCAAGATGTGGATTCTATTTATTAAATGCAACTATTCAATATTTAAGTTTAGTTTTACAAGCAACAAGTTTATTAGTTGTTGCTATATTTTTCACAATATCAAGTGGTTGTTATGCTTTAGCTCATTTTAAAAATCAAGAATACTTGAAATCTTCAATTGATGTTAGTGGTACCGGTCAAGGTGGTGCTTTAGAAGCTCAAGTTGGTGAACATGTTGTAAGAAATGTTTTGTAGAAGTGATTGTTCAAATTAATAAGTTTTAATGTACGTTTTGTTAGTTAGTTTTACAACTAGAAGATAGTTTGGAATGAGAGTGACTTTAAATAATCATTGATGTGAACATTACTCAAAAGGGTGTTATCTCTTTAATGAAGTTAATCATAGTTTATAATTTCTTGTATATTCTGTGTTATGCTTGTCGTATTTGGTAAGAGAGAGATTCTATAAAAAAAAAAGTTAATAAAATATTTGAAACAAAATGTATAATAAAATCACATAATTAAAAAGAATTTAAGAACCACAAACCGAATCCTAAAAAATGTCAGGTCTTTTGCCTTTCATAGAAGATAACAATGGTGAAAAACTTAAACGTCATAAAGTTGAAGCAGCACTGGTAGAATCGATAATACAAGAACAACAACCAATTAAAAAACTAGATACATCATTTCGAAAATCAGAACCCATCACATCATTTGCATATGAAGATGTCAACAATGATGCAGAAGAATTAATATCATTAAGAGGAGAAGGAAGATATTTTGGAGTAACGGATCCAGATGATGCTAAATCATTAGGTCCAATATGTGATAATTGTCACAAACGAGGTCATAAAAGAGCAAATTGTAAAATTGTAATATGTCATAAATGTGGTAAAATAGATGATCATTATGAATCTCAATGTCCAACAACAGTAGTTTGTCTTAGGTGTGGAGAAAAAGGTCATTATATGCTGGATTGTAAATCTAAAATTAGAAAAAGAAAATATTGTAGAAATTGTGATTCTTTCAAACATGGAGATGAAGATTGTCCAAGTATATGGAGATCTTACTTAACCAAGAGACAAACAACAAATGAAGAAAGTTCAGTATTACCAGTGATATATTGTTATAATTGTGGAGAAGATAATCATTATGGTGATGAATGTAAGGATCAAAGATCTTCAAGAATTCCAAATTTAGGAAGTGCTTTTAGTGGGAATAATTTACCAAGAAGTATACGTCCAATATATTTTTTGAATTTGAAAAATAACGAAATGAATGAAGATTATAGACCTGAGAAACTAGGAAGAGATTATAAATCTGAATATGATGTGATACGGAATGATAATTACTCTAATAATAATAATAACAATTACAATACTTCAAATATGAATAGGTATAATGGAAACAACTATAATAATAATAACAACTATAACAATAATGGAAACTACAACAGAAACACCAACAGTGCTGGCTACAACAACAACAACAACAACTACAACAATAACGGATATAATAATAATTTCAACAATTATCAAGATCAACAATTACCTTCCAGATCAGGATTTATACCCATGAATAACAACAGTAAAAGCACCCATAAAAAATTCAATTTCAACAACGATTTCCGAAATGTACTTAAAACACCAATGAATTTTGGCTCTAACAATAGCAATCCACCTTCAAGGTCTGGTGTTAACGGTAGTTCAAGTAGAGTTTCAAAACCATCAAGGTCAGGATTGATTGATAGCTCTAAAAATAGGAAAAAGGGTAAACATTTACGATATTAGAGAATATATATTAATGATAGATGAGCGTTTTAAACTGTTTGTTTTTGTAGTATCAATTCTCAAAGTAGATCAAATGATCATTAACTTGACAATTCGACCAAACTCTAAAAAATAGGTACTGTGAATCACAGTAAAAATTATTGTAACTTACCAACAATCAATACGATTGAATGCTAGATTACAAGATAAAGAATCAACAACTGATTCCGTCGCATCTAATCCAATAACTTCAAAAACTAGTAATTGAAGTTTTCAAAAAGTAAGCGACTACCATACTCCAAAATTTCAAATTCTGGAATATTTAGTAAATACCTATACGTTTCCAGAACTTGGAGCGGAAGAGCAAACATATTTTGTCAACAACCTGTCACAAGATTTAATAAGTCATGTTGGACAAACCTTTCAACTTTAAATGATTTATTATTTTGACAGTCTAAGCACCACCGATCAAAACATAAAAATTATGAACAAGTTAGCATTATTAATTGAACTACACAAAAATATTTGAACTATGAGAAATCAAAATTAGATGTTATAACTGAACAATTTCAAACAAGAAATAGGTTGTTTTAACGAACGAAATAAAAGGAAATCAGACACTTGATAAGTCGCAACTTTTGCATTGATTGATTTATTGACATAATTATGGGGGTAATCATTTTAGTATCAAATTTAATCAAAATCTTATGTGGACCATTAATTCAAGTTATTTATATGGAATTATTCTATAAATATTATATAATTAAAATAAGTCGTCTAATTATTAATAAGAAATTTCAGACACGAAAAATATTGCGACTTTGTTTGCAAATTCAATCTTTCTAAGAGCAATTCTTCCTGCCAATTCAAGCGAGGAGTTAATAGAAAATTGAGCTTTAGTTACTTACAAGGCTTAGCATGATAATATTTCCGTTCAAAGAAATTGATTAAAGTTAGTTGATAAATAAAATCATTTGACTTAAGTAATAGTTAGATCTTTTTTCGCAATCATTTAAATACATAGGTTTGGACAGTATTAACAGCATGACATAGTAAACTAAAAGATCTACCTACTCATATTTCAACTCGAGTGAAAGTCACATGATTGGTTGGTCTCACTGGTAATTGTTAACTTAATCACTCTTATTCAATTCGAATTAAGAGAAAAAATTTCATATTTTGACAATTTGAAGGTACAATTCTATAACAAAGATACTTGAAAGTGCCATTTTAATGATAGCGAATAATTGCATGTGGTATGTATTTCGTCTCTGTTGGTCTATTTACAAAATTTGTAGTTATAATTGAAGTCAAAATACTTGTAATCAATAGTTCGATGAACCAACAAAAGTTCAAGTCTTACTCATAAGCCCCTTCGTATTTGCCTAGTTCTGATCATTTTGTTTCAGTTTATTTTACTCTTTGTCCTTAAGAAGCTCATTATTCTCTTTTCAATTATGAGTGACATGTGTCTTTTTTATCTATTTGATCTATTATCTATTAATAAATAAATAATTCTTAAACTTAGTTGTCCCAATTAAGAATTAAATCCGTTTATACGTGTGTACTGTATATAAAGAAAAACAATTAGAAGCAAAGAAAAATAAAAAAAAATTTTATCTATTTAATCTACTAACTTCTTTAACTTACACAAAATCATATATGGAAATAAAGATTTGGAGGAGGTGGAATTTTATTTTAACCTTGTCACTTTTAAAGTTGAAGAAAAGGGGCCTTGTTATTCATTGGCAACATTAATTCTGTTTTGAACGTGCTAACATATTCATTGCTCATTTATCATTTAAAGTTTATTATCACCTTAAAAAACATTTGAACAATTTTAATTTTATTTTTCAACGTTTCATCACATAAAAATATCATCAGATTTTCATACCTATTCGAAGGTGAACTAAATTTATTCCCGTAGTGAATTATCATAATGAACTCCACAAATGATTCAACGTGGTCAACATATTTTCACTTTCCCAAGGGTAAAACAAAAGAATATTCAGACCTACGAAATTATACAACATATAAATATGGACAAATAACAACTTTCCTACTAATAATATATATCCTTGCAATACCCGTATATAATTATATAAAGATTCATAATTATAGATCAAAATTTCATTACTTAAAGACTTTTTATTCAAAATTAAATTATTATATAATTCATGATTATCAACCAAATTGTTCAAATGCATCACTCAAGGAAAAAATAGTGACAAATTTAGCAATCACCATAAAAGCTATAGCTTTCAAAATATTATTACATTATTCAACTATCATTCAATTAACTTTTTGGATATTCTTCTTAAGTACTTTATCATTAGTTGATATTTATCATGGAGATTTAATATTTTTAGCTAAAAGATTGGGAAGAGTTTGTGCAAATTGTTTACCAACTGTTTTATTTTTAACTTTAAAACCTTCTCCATTACCTAATACTTTATATTTAACTTTAATTCCAATACATAAATGGTTAAGTAGATTAATTATTATACAAGCAGTGATTCATACAATAATATATTTATTTTATTTTAATTTTACTGATACTTGGTTTAAAATGTGGAAAATGGAAAATGTATTTGGTTGGATTGCATTATTAGGATTTTTAATAATTATTATCACTTCATTATCAAATTTTAGAGCAAAATTCTACAGAGTGTTTTATTTTTTACATTATTCTTGTACTTGGATTATAGTTGGGACATTACAAATTCATATTAGACCAGATCCATATACATTTTATACAATAGCTAATTGTTCAATTTTATTTGCTCAAATATTATATAGATTACACTTAACAAGAGTTTCTACTAAATCAGAAGTTAAAGTTATTGATGTATCTCCCAACTTATCATTAATTGAATTTCCCAACAGCTTAATTGCTAAACCGGCAATTGCCCCTGGTGCTCATATAAGAATTACAAACTATAGTTCAAGTATTTTTGTTAGGATTTGGAAACAATTAATACCAAATTATCATCCATATACATTAGTTTCATTACCACAAGATAGAGATCAAAAATTAATTATTAGAAAGAGTAATTTTCAAATTTATAATAATCATAGATACTTAATCACGGGGAGTTTTGATCCTCATTTATTATTCATAAACTACAAACAACCTAAGAATTCAAACAATAAGAAATTTTCATTATCTAAATTACACGTTGAAGCTAAAAGAGTATTGATTGTTGTGGGGGGATCTGCTATATCATTTGCATTACCCATATTAAGAGTCATGAATTATCATGGAGTACCTACAAAAGTAGTTTGGGTTATTAAAGATTTTAGAGATGTACTAATATTAAAATATTTTGATGGATATATTCATGGTGATGATTTTGAAATTTTCATAACTGGTAATGAAACATTCCAACAAGATAAACTACAAAGAAAACCGATTTCAAATTTATATACTTCAATACCAAAAAAATCATCATTACCATCATTACATTATGATTTGGAAAATGAAACTACACCACTACTCAACCAATCGAATGATCAAATCACATCATTAAACAAAGAAAATCAAATTGAAAATGTGGATATAGGTGTAAATTCAGATGACGAAAATGATGATAATTCAGATTGTACTCAGAATAATGAGACTTTTTGTTCAAGACAAACATATAATGAACTAGATGATATATTAGATGATGATATAAATTCATTAGATCATGAATCTACAACTAATGATCAAAACGAAATAGATATTAACGCAATAGAAGACGGAGATGATGAAGATCAAAATGAACTACCAAATCAACCCCATCATTCGAGAAAATCATCAATGAACGAACCATTTAACCCAACATACGGAACAAACTCAACAGATCAAATCAAATCATGGATCCATCAATTCAAAGACTTGACAACTAACCTCAAACTAAACAAAAAGATCTACAAAGGTCGCCCTAAATTAAATTATAGATATTATAATTGGTGTATTAACGAAGGATTCACTCAATGTTCTGGACCAGTAGAAGATGAAAATCATAATCTTGTATGTTGTAGAGATTTACCAAGAAATAAAATTGTTCAAGAAGATATAAATTGTGAAAAGATTTGGGTTATTGGTGCTGGTCCATTGAAATTAGTTGAGAATGTTAAATTATGGAGCTCGGAGAATGGATTAAAGTTTCATGAAGAAGCTTTTTATGCTTAAAATGTTCATGTAGATGATATTTAGACAATACATTGACATTCTCTGTCTTATCAACAATCCATTTATCTATGCAATTCCGTAATATTCAGTATCCAGTACTTTATACTTAATAGAGCCCTTTCTTCTTCACCGTTTTAATGTTTCTTCCCATTATATTCATTCTCCAAAATTTTATTCCTCTTAATTTCATCTTCCAAAGCAGCTTGTCGACTAATTTTCATTTTAGCAATATCAGTAGTAAAAGAAACACTAACAACATTCCAACCAACGAACCACCATACTTTATAAACATTTCTAAAATATTGGGAATTTATTCCATGATTATATTTATAACTTAATGCATAACCTGTCACTAGAGCAATTAAAGTCCCTCGAATTATTCCTGTTGCACCGGCTTGATATAATTGGGTTTTAAACCTTTCATTTCTTTGGGTTATGGTTTCTGTTAGTAGTGAGTCGGGGGTGGGATTTGATTTTGACATTTTTAAATAAGATTGTAAACATAAAAGGGTTCTAATATATTAAATCTGAAAAAATATAAAAATCAAAATATAAAAGATCCTTAATTTTATTTGCAACCAATAATCACAACAGTAAATATTCAACTATAATGTTTCAACTCAACAGAATGTTGTTGATGGGTAAACCAACATCCACACTACTACGAATTACAAGATCGGTTAAAACATCAACAATAGATTGGAAACCAATAAAATCAGTCCCAGGAAATTTAAGAACAATATCACATCAAAAAAAAATGCCTATCTTTAGAAGAGTAATATTGGGATTAATGTACGCAATGCCTATAATAACTTTTGGGTTGGGATGTTGGCAAGTACATAGATTAAATTGGAAAAATGAATTAATTACAAAATGTGAATCAAATTTAGCAGCTCCTGTTATTGAAGAATTACCTAAAAATCTTGATCCTAATGTAATTGGAGAATTTGAATATAGAAGATTTAAATGTCGGGGAAAATTTGATTATGATCAAGAAATGTTCTTGGGGCCAAGAATGAAAGATGGCGTATTGGGATATCTTGTTGTCACACCTTTTATAAGATCAGATGGTGGGAAACCTATTTTAATAGAAAGAGGCTGGATTCATAAAGATAAAGTTGTTCCTTCAAAAAGAAATAAAGGTTATCTATCACATTTAGCTTTTCCTCAAGGTGAAATTGAAATTGAAGCATTATTTAGATGTATGCCACCAAAATCTTATTTGCAATTTGATCATGAACCTGGTGCTAAATTATTTAATATACCTGATGTACCAGCAATGGCTAAACAGAGTGGTTCATTACCTGTTTATTGTCAAATGATTTATGATTTAAGTGATCATTTAGATTACAAGACTGAAAAATTACTTGAGGAAAAAGGTCAATCTACATCACCATCATTGTGGAATAAAATCTTCTTCACTACCAAAACCAAGGAAAACAAAAAAGAATATATACAAGATTTATCTGATGATTCCATGTATTTCCAAGAATTTGAATTTATAAATCAAGGAGTCCCCATTGCAGCAAAACCAACTATAAAATTCTCAAATAATCATTTACAATATTTAATAACTTGGTTCGGTGTTTGTATTGCAAGCACTGGGCTTTTAATTTATATGAGTTGGAAAACAAAACAATTTTCAAGTGCTGATAGAATAATTGAAGCTAAAAGAAAAGAAATGAAGAAATTATTGTAAAATTTTGTAAATAGTTAAATTAATGATATATTTATTTTCTTAATTTTGAAAACTAAGTAATCCAAACAACACAATAACCAAGGATAAATCTCCAAAAAATATACCCAACAACTCTTTGTATCCTAATAAACGAGCAATTAATGGTTTATAAACTTGTAAATTGGGGACAAACATAGATACCATACTTATACCTTGTAATATAAAATTTTTTTGATTTGAAGCATGAAATAATCCTAATGATTCAAATATAGTATAATAACTTGCAATAATTAAAATCTCTATTGAAAAAAACCAAGTTATGAATCCCTTTAATGGATATATCACTTCAAGATCACGTACATATGCATGATTTGATGAAACAAATGATGGAATGTTTATATAATGATATGCGAAATTTGCAATAGTTGCTATAATTCTAACAATTAAAAATCTAAATTTCCATAAGTTTTGTTGATACGCATAGTAGTTGTTTAAATCTTGTTGATATTTAATTTGTTCAGGATTTGCCAGTTGTGGGAAATCGAAATTTTCATTAGATGTATTGTTTCCAGCATCTCCAAACATCTTGAATAAATCATCCATGGGGTTATGTCCCGAACCAGCATCTCCATGATGATGTTGTTGTTGTAAAATTTTTTGAAACATATCATCAAAATCTGGATTTTGTTCTGCTATTGGTTTGTAAGGAGTAGCAACATCAGAAATATCTTGAATATCTGGATCATCATCGTGAGATACTATAGCTGTAGATTTGGCTGTTGGTTGAGTAGTTTCTGTTGGTTGTGGTTTATCTAATACTGATTTAACTGATGATGCTTTTACTGAAGTCCCTTGAGTCAATATATCATTTAATCTTGATGTAGCATTGCCCTTTGCCATTTTATTTTGTCTTCTTTCTCGAAGTATTCTTCTCTTCTCCTCCTCTGATAATTGAGGTTTAACATCTGGTTCTGACATATCTGTTATTAATGTAATTGACTTTTGCTAATTAATTGTAGGTGTATTCGGAAATGAAAGAAAAATTAAATGTTTGTGCAATTTTTCAAATATCTAGTCATCAACTCACACTTTTAATGGAACCAACCACTAAGCAAGGACAAGATTCTATACCTAGAAATGAACATGAGAGAAAGAGAAGAACCAGGATTATGAATTCTATGGAAAATATGGATTATTTAATGATGATTGCTTCCCAACAAAAGAAATCTGTTCAACAAGTTATTTATGAATTGAAGTTGGAATTAATTCATGGTGCTTAGATTATTGACATAATTATTATCAGAATTAAATGCTTACAAAAGGTTACAGTTATAGTGAATGATTATTAACTATATTTAACAAATATGTGTTTTACATTATCTAAATCGAGGTCTTTGACTTACTGTACTAGGTTTGGCAGATCTAGGTATATTCAGTGGTGACAGATTTGAATTTTCATTAAATAATCCTCTCATATATCTTGGAGGTTGATTTAGATTTGGAGTTCTTTTACCCAGTGGTTGTGATGGGATTTGATTTGATTGAATAGGTTGTGGGATTCTTGACGGTATCTGTTGTTGTTTTCTTATACCTCCATGATTTTCATTTTCATTATTAAATTTTATTCTCTTGGTGCTGTTTAATTGAATAGTATTATTTTGTTGAGATCTTGGTCTTGTAAATGATTTAGTTTCCTCAGCTAGTTTATTCTTCAACTCTAAATTTAATTTTTCAGCTTGAGCTAATTTCAATTTCAATTCTTCAATTTTTTCTTTCTTTCTTTTACGTAATTGTAATCTTTGCCATGCTCTTTTTGATGGACATTTAGGTAATGAAACACACCACATAGTTAATGATAATCCATATAAAAAGCTAGCAAATGATTCATTAAATTGTCCTGATATTGCATTATGTATATGATTTAAATCTTTCATATTGACACATAAATCATCCATTGAATCTGCTATCTTGGTGAATTTTGTCAAGATGTCTGTGGAATCTGTTGGTAAATTATCTGGATCTATGGGGAAATGTCTTGGTGATTGGGATGGTAAAGCTATGCCCGAGGATCTTCTCAGGTATCTCCCACTTCTTCTTCTGTCTCCTATTGGAGTTGTAGGTCTAGATGGTGCCATATGAAATGGTTTAAGTTTTGTATCAAAGATCTTTTGTATCTTGATAGTATTGGTTGTAAGATTTTGTTTACATTTTCTGACTTGATAAACACGAGTTTTTGTAACTCAAACTATTTGGTAGTGCTTCCCCGCTTAAAAAATTATTACAACTTTAATTAAACAGACTATTTATTTTCATTAACTATTTGTTGCCATGTTTTACCTTCTTTTCTTAATTCTGAAGCTAATTCGTCTCTTATTTTTGCAACTAATCCTGGACCTTTATAAGCAAATGCAGTATATAATTCAATAAATGTAGCTCCAGCTTTTGCAAATTCTAAAGCATCTTTACCATTTGAAATCCCGCCACAACCAACTAGAACCAAACCTGATCCTTTCGTGTACTTATTCAACAATGTTAATGCTTTTAAGGATAACGGTTTTAGTGGTTTACCTGAAAGACCCCCAGTTTGGTTAATTAATGATTTATCCGATGTCAATAAGTCTTTCTCAGGTCTTTGGATAGTTGTATTAGATATGATAATACCATCAACTTTAGCCTGTTTAGCTGAGTTTGCAATTGATTCAATTTCAGGTTCTGTTAAATCTGGTGCAACTTTGACTAAAATGGGAGGTTTTGAACCTAATAAGTTTTTACCTAAAACATTTCTTTCCTTCACGACTGTTGTTAATAAATTTGTTAATTTTGTTTCACTTTGTAAATCTCTCAAACCTGGAGTATTTGGTGATGAAACATTTATAACTAGAACATCAGCATATGGACCTAACCTTGATACACCTTTTACGTAATCTTCAACTTCATCTCCGGTTTTATTTTTACCCAAGTTTATACCTAATAATTTACCTTGTTGAAATGCATTTGAAAAAGGTTTTTCTTCTGGGGTATGATTTCTTTCAAATTTGCTTAATAGTTTATGAAACCTGATCTTTAAAGTGGCTAGTACGTTGAAATGACCAGTAGAATTAAAACCATATCTATTGATAACAGCATCATCTCTTGGTAACCTGAAAAATCTTGGTTCTGGATTACCAGGTTGTGGTTCAGGAGTAATTGATCCAATTTCAACGTAAGAAAACCCACAATTGAACAATGAATCAATAGCATCACCATCTTTATCCAATCCAGCAGCTAAACCAATTGGATTTTTTAATTTTTTACCAAAAACATCTACCCCTAATACGTCACTTTGATCATTTATACCTTCATCTAATAGTTTTGGTGCAATACCATATTTCATTAAAAATATACCTAATTTATGACCTTGCTCGGCAGTAGTAAAAGTTCTTATGAGTGGACATATAACATATTCATGAATGGAGGAACGTGAATCATAAAGATAATAACCTCCAATTCCTGCTAAAGCAACTCCAGTAATAAATTTCAAAGATGTTGGGAGAATACTTGATTTTAAAACTTGACGATTACCATTGACAAAATTTGTTTTTGGTTTCGCTATATATTTCAATGATGTAATATTTAGGCGTCTGCCCAACATATTTTAACAATAGTTCTTGACTTAAATTAAAGAAAGTTGAAGCTAATGAAAATGCTATGATTCGAAATAGTCTATTTCAGTGCGGTTCATGCTGCAGTGAGAATTAAAAATTGTGCATAATTTTTTGGTAGCACCACTTCCAATATATTTTTTAAAACTGATTTAACTATACGGAGATGATCTTCTCTAACTAACCTAAAAATATACCATTATCAAAACACTTACAAATACTCAATTAAAATGAGCACTAACTCCAATCCCAAGCCACAGGGTAACAAAAATGGTGGTAAAAATAAAGGACCAAGACGACAACAATATTCAAAAGATAAGAAACTAAATACGAAATTACAAAGACTAGACGATCAATATAAAGATGCAATAAAATCAAAAGCAGGTACAGATTACCTTCTTCAAGAAGAAGCAGGTTTCTTGGAAGCCGATGGGCCCATGGAAAAGACTTTTAAATTCAAACAAGATGAAATAGTGAAAGAGGTAGATTCAACCATGGCAAACAAGAAGTTTGAATTAAAATTACCAGAATTTGGACCATATCAAATAGACTTTTCAAGAAATGGTAGAGATTTATTACTTGGAGGTAAGAAAGGTCATGTGGCATCAATAGATTGGAGAACAGGGAATTTGGCATGTGAATTACACCTTAATGAAACTGTTAACGCAATAAAATATTTACATAATGATCAATATTTTGCAGTAGCTCAAAAGAAATATACATTCATATATGACAAAGAAGGGACAGAACTTCATAGACTAAAACAACATATAGAAGCAACATTATTGGATTTCTTACCATATCATTTTTTATTAGTGAGTGCAGGTAAAACTGGATTTTTAAAATATCATGATGTATCAACAGGTGAATTAGTGAGTGAAATAAGGACAAAACTAGGTCCAACATTGGCAATGAAACAAAACCCATGGAATGCAATAATGCATTTAGGTCATGGAAATGGTCAAGTTACTCTTTGGGCTCCAAATTCACCAGAACCATTAGTTAAATTACAATCATCAAGGGGTCCAATACGAGATTTAGCAATTGATAGAGAAGGTAAATATATGGCAGTAAGTGGTGCTGATAAAACACTAAAAATATGGGATATACGAAAGTTTAAAGAAGTTGATCATTATTATACACAAACTCCGGCTACATCATTAGATATATCAGATACTGGATTATTATCAGTTGGTTGGGGACCTCATGTCACTATATGGAAAGATATGTTTAAAGGAAATCATCAAGCTGATCCATATATGAATCATTTAATACCCGGTTCAAAAGTTGATAAAGTAAAATTTGCACCCTTTGAAGATATTTTAGGTGTGGGACATCAACAAGGTTATAATTCAATAATTGTACCAGGAGCAGGTGAGGCCAATTATGATGCATTAGAAATAAATCCTTATGAAACAGTTAAACAAAGACAACAACAAGAAGTTAGATCATTACTTAATAAATTACCTTCGGATTCTATTGCAATAGACCCAAATATTATTGGTACTGTTGATAAACGTGCTAAGTCAATACGGTTAAAACCTGGTGAAATTAATACATTGGGAGAACAAGAAAAAGATAGTAAGATGGAAATTAGACCTGAAGTTAAAGCTAAAAACTCATCAATACGAAGACATTTGAGAAGGAAAAGAGAAAACGTCATAGATCAAAGAAAATTAAGAATAGAGAAGAATTTAAAGAATGAAAAAGAAGCAAGATTAAGACGAGCTAAATTAGCACAAGGTATACCAGAAGAAACAGATGTCATAGACTCAGCATTATCTAGATTTAAGTAACATCCCTAGTTATCAGTTCTTTTTTCCATAGCAATAGCATGAATTACTTCTTGTAACATATTTGATTCCCATTTAATAGCATTGTAATTCATTTCACAGTCACATGAACTACATTCAGTAGCTGATGATTTTGCCTCAACAACATTGTTATTTTGAATATCTCTAACTCTAAATGAATCATTACCAGACAAGACATTAAATTTTTTCATAATATATTGATCTTCTTCGCTTAAAAATTCAACAAAGGATTGACCTCTCGAAGCTAATCGTGAAGTGTAAGTTCCAATAACGTGTAAAATTTGACAAATAAAAAATACCTCATACATATCATCAAATATAATTAGTTTATGGAAATTTACTTTTGGTAATTGAGTTAAATATGAAAATTTATCAAAGTGTTTACTCAAAATTCCATCAATTGTTTCAATCTGCTCATCTAAGTATCTAGTTAAAACAATCGTATCATCATTCTTTTCCAAAACCTGTTTTTGTTCAAATATACAATCATATGATAAACCTTCTTTACTCAATAAGCATTTAATCAAGAAGTATAACTTTGTTGGATCAGTGAAAACATCAAACTCAGAATCTGACTCAATTGGCGAATCTGGAAACTCAGATAGCCAATGGATCATTGCAGTAACATAATCTTGAATATTTTGCTCTGTTGTATGGTTTGAATTAATTGTCATATTTTTGGTATGCTAATGTGTATAAATTGGTTGCGGAATGGTTGCAAAATGTTGCAAGAACATTTAAAATTTAAATATTATGATTTTCTGCTAAAATGATCTAACATTTATTTGCCACTACTCTTTTTGGAGTATTCTTTCTTCTAGTTATACTCCTTCCAATAGGTCACTCAAATTAAAGATTATTACCTAAGCACGGTGTTGGTAAATCAAAGGATGTAATTTAATAAAGCTTCATGATATAAATGAAGCATACTTCGAAGTATTGAACACACCTCACATTAATTTTTTGATATGCTAGGCAACACTTCGAAACTTGCTTGCAAAACAACACAGCTAGAGTTGGAGTGATTTTCTCTTCTTGCTTTGCTCAGTAAACAAATAAGTCAAGATTAAGCATAAATAAGTATTCGAAAGAAGTTCTGCATTAAATAGTTGCACAAAAGAAATTGGTTCTGGTAAAAATCAAAAGACATCAAATTCATTCAATTACCACATATATCAAATAGACATCAGTTTTATCTCACTTAGTTCAATTTTACCTCGCTGCTCAATAAATGTCAAGTGTGAAGAGTCTATTGAAATTAGCCAAAACAGCATTAGAGCAAAATGATCCAGAGGCTGCATTAAATCATGCAAAATCAGTTATAGAATTAGATCCAACTTCATATTATGCATTTGTATTTAGAGGAAAAGCATATCAATTATTAAATGATTTACCAAAAGCTATAACTTCTTTCAAGAGGGCCACTGACATTGAACCAAATAATATACTAGCTTGGAAAGGATATTTTCAAATTGTCAAAAATCAAGATGATTATGAATTATTTTTTGAGGTTTTAACTACATTATGTGAAATATTGATTGATCAAGGAATATCTATTGCCGACGCACTTAAAGATTTAAGGTCGTATGTGGATAAAGAAAGACATAAAAATAATGATAAATTTTATGAATATTATTTAAGGTCAATTTTACCAGGTACAAAATTAGGTGAATTAATTGGATCATCAATTGAAAATCCAGACTTTACATATAAAAAGCTTTTAGACTTTAAACAATCTAAGCTTGAAAAAGAAGTTGTCGGTAGAGTGGCAAAAGAAAGAGTAAAATTTGGTAGAGTCTTAACATTGGATCAAAAAAATCAGCTAGATTCAATAGCTTGGCTGTATCATGAAGATGGTGATATAATGAATCTTTATGAAAACTTCCTAAATGTTTGTGACGATGAAGGGTTAAGGAGAAAATATGAAGAAAAATTTTTAAAATTCAAATATGAATTATTGAAAATAATACCGGAAAAGGAACCATTAATTGAGAATATCAAACAACAAGTTGATGATATGATACTATTGAAAACGACAAGTTTATTCTGCTGGAATTTATATTTTGATTGGAATGATGATAAAACAGTTAATGAAATAAATGAAACTAGAATAATTGAGTATTTACAACTATTTCAAAATGAAGGTTTGGGATTGATATTATTTGCATTTGTAATGAGTGATATATCTCCGTATGACAAAGAAAAGATTGTCAGAGGATTGTCTGGTAAGGGAGAAAAGAATTATACCGTATCCGGAAACGAACCAGAGGAATTGGTTGATGAAGTTGATCATTCACAATATTACTTACCACAAGATGAAGTTTTGGGAGTTATGTTAGAAGGATACACCAAAGCAAAAGGTTCAGTACTTGCGAACAGAATAATAGTGAATTTTTATATACATTTAAGAGAATATCAAGTAGCTTCAGAAAGATGTCGGGAAGGTATTAAAATATTGGCAGATATTCAAAGATCATTTGGATTAGATTTGCAAAACACAAAAGAAGACTTTTTATGTTCATTAGCAATTGTTTATACTTATTACGAAGCCCCTAAAAATTACAATCGTGCTATTCAGTTATATGATAAAATTCTTGAAAGTAATTCAGAAAATGTAAAAGCAAAAGTTGGTAAAGGATTAATTTATGTTGAAAGAGGTGAACTAGTAGAAGCTAAAACTTTACTAGGTGATATAGTTAAAGATTATCCAGATAATCTTGAAGCAGAATCAGAATATTATTGGTGTTTGGTTAAACTTGGTGAATTTGAAGAAGGTCAAACAGGTTTACAGAATTTTGTAGCTAAGATTACAGGTGGAGATTTACATAGTCGTGAAGTCAGAGCAGTTGCTAAATGGAGAATTGCCAAAAGTTTTTACGACGGGGGTGACATCAATGAATGTTATAAATACTTAATTGACTCATTGAAAGATTCCGATCTTTATGCACCATCATATACTTTATTAGGTATATTATTCCAAGAACATTATTCTGATACAGAAAGAGCACAAAAATGTTTTTATAAAGCTTTTGACTTAGATTCAAATGAAATTATAGCAGCCAGATATTTAGTTGAACAAGCAACCGCCAAGAATGAATGGGAGGTTGCAAAAGTTTTAGCAAATAGAGTTGTGACAAATGAAACTTCAAGAAGGTTAATTATGAGAGGCGATACACAGGATCCTTCATGGGCGTATAGAGTATTGGGCTGTGGTGCATTAAACATTCAAGATGATGCAAAGGCAGTAGAGTGGTTTCAAAATGCATTACGTATCAATTCTGGAGATTATGAATGTTGGGTTGGATTAGGTGAAGCATATTTCAATTGTGGTAGATTTGATGCAGCAGCAAAAGTGTTTCAGCATGCACTAACAATGAAAGAAGAACAAGATTGGACTGTGTTGTACATGTTGGGAGTTGTAACTTGTGAAATGAAAGAGTTTAATGAAGGTTTAACTTATTTATATTCAGCTTTAGAATCAAGACCAAATGAGGAATGTATTATTAGTGCAATTTATGAAGCTAACATTGATAATGCTAATAAGTTTATGCAAACTGGATTTTATGGTAGAGCTATTAATGCAATTTCAAAAGCCTTGAGGTTTATTAAACAAGCTGTTGTTTTGAACATGAAATCTCAAAAAGTTTGGAAAGCTCTTGGTGATAGTCTAAAGATGTTTTTGAAAATTCAACATTATATTGATAAAGTACCATTTGACGACATATTTGCAATTTTTGACGAAATAAATTTTGAACATTTTGAGTATCAATTGGCTGATTCAATATCATTGGAAAATGCAAAAACTTATTTGAAAGAGAATAAGAAAGTTGAAACTTTGACATTACTTGTAATTTTATCATTTGCAGCAGCTTTAAACAACTTATCAACAAAAGCAAACAAATCATTAAAAGCAACAGCATTTTACAATTTTGGATTGTCGTTATTAGAAGCCGGTCAATCACTAGACATACCTGAATATCGTGAACTTTCAATTCAATATTTAAAACGTGCCATAAAAATAGAAAATAACAATGCAAATTATTGGATTGCTTTAGGTAATGCATATTTCACCACCAGCCCACAAATTTCACAACATTGTTATATAAAAGCCATAACATTGGAAGTGAAAGATTCAGAAATTTGGGTCAATCTTGCATCTTTATATTTAAAATATGGTGATACTCCATTATCTCAAGAAACATTTTTAAGAGCTCAATCAGTTGCTCCACAAGATGCTCAATCTTGGTTGGGCAATGCGTTAGTTGCTGATATTATAGGAGATGATGAGAAAGCTTCAAATCAATATATTCATGCTTTTACTCTATCAAAGGGAAAATTAGCATTAGCACAATTTTTGTATGGATTATCAGTTGCAAATAGAAGTCAAGGTAGGGATGTAAAAGACATTGAAACAGCACAAGAATTTAGTATAAGTAATCAAGCAATGCAACAATATTTGAAATATTATCCTGATGATGAAACTGCATTAAGTATTGGATTAGTTATTACCGAAAGATGTAAAGATTTTGAAACTGCGTTGGTGATTGGTGAAAAATTGTGTTCATTATATGAAAGAAAATATGAAGAATCAGAAAGTGAAACCATATTAGAAAAATTTGCATTAACTAAAAGTCAATTGGCTAGATTATATCTTGCATTAGGACAATATGATAAAGCAGTAGAAGAAGCTCAAACAGCAATGGAATTAGATCCAGAATCGGAAACTATAGAATTATCAACTAGAATAACTTTAGGGTTGTGTTATTTCTTCCAAAATAAATTTGAAGAATCCATAGATCAATTGAAGATCATATTACAAAAATATTCAGAATCATCAATTATAATAACATTAATTTCTCAAATATTATATTCTCATAATACACCAGAATCAAAACAAGCATCAATTGATCAATTATTTTCTCACATTGAAAAGAACGGGTCGTCTTTATTAATAGTATTAACATTAGGTGCAATATCATTAGTTGATAATTTACCAGAATATTATGAAGCAATAAAGGAAGAACTATTAGGATTAGACCTTAATGAAATAATAGGAGATTCATCAAGACAAATACCCCACTTAATTGAAGAAATTAACAAGAGGATAGGAACTGAAGATTCTCAAATATGGAGTAGATATGCTTTTATGTTCCCCTTTAGTTTTAATATTTGGAAAAATATCAACACTGAAATGTCAATCCAAGTTTTGAACTTAGCTGATAACAAATTAACTGGTGATGAATATTCCACGGCAATGTTTAAAACTGGTAAATTAAGAAATATTCAACGTAGTTTATTATTAAATCCAAATTTTGAGAATTGGTCAAAAGTATTTACATAATTGAATAAAGAACTAGAATTATAGAAATCGGTTTCCGTTATTGTAGATTATTTCTTTATTTTTACTCTAGTTTGACTCTTGTTCAGTTAAGCAAATTATTTTTGATGAGTTCTTGCTTCAAAAATATGTCAAAGTTTTTCAAATAAGAAAATAAAGTTGCGCTATTTTTTGAAAGCGAATTTATCAATTGTTTTTTTTAGTTATGATTACCCCTTAATTTTTTTATATTACCACCTAACTATATTTTTAATTTATTTCATCGAATGGCAACCAAATCGAACTGGCAATTATATCTTCAAATTACCACAATACAAACAATTCTTGTCATATCATCATATAAAACATTGTATTAGAGTTAATTAGACGGTATATGCTTTAAAGTTACATTTATCATAGAATTTATAGATCAATCGTACAATCAGAATGGGATTGTTTTCAAAAAAGAAATCAACTTCTCCACAGTTACCAACTAATAATAATATACAACAAGAGTTAAAACTAACAAGATCAAACGACTCCGTAAAATCAGGATCATCAATCACAAGTGGCGAAAAAGTTAAAAATTTATTCAAGAGTAATAAATCCAAAAATAATGATGTTAATAATATAACTTCAGATTTACAAAGTACTAGTCTAAACCCACATGCTCAAAGTTCGTCATCATTAACCATTGACCATAGTGATGATGGAAATATACCCAATCGGTTCAAAAAAAGAGTAAGCACAATAATAGAAAATGAAGACAACACAACAGACGATGACGAAAATTCAACAGATGATGAAAATCACCAAGAATCAACAACAAGTGAATCAGAAGTAGATCTAGAAGAAGAATATGAAGAAGATCATTTACATCCAATAAAACCCAAGTATGATTCAACACATCATGATTTAGCTCAACAATTATCAACAATAATGGATTATTGTGGTCTTAAGACAAATTCCAATCATTTAACTGAAGAAGCAAATAAAGAAAGTCAAAAAACTTATCTGTTATTAGATTCTGAAAATAAAATTATGAAATTACCTAAAAATTTTAAAAATTATGAATCAGTTATTGGTCAATATCAAATTCAACTAATTAAAAATTTAAGTACCAAAATTGAGAATTTAGTTGAAACTAAGAATTTTTCAATTATAACTTGTAATAAATCATTGTATCAAAGGTACGGAGTTATTAGAAACGTTGTTGGAAAGGGAGCTTATGGGTTAATCAAAATTATAAATCCAGATGTAAATGATAAAACCAAGTTATCAAATTTACCAACTTCATTAGGCAAAACATTATATGTTGTAAAAGAACTTTCAAGAAGAAAAGATGAAAAGTCAAATCAATACATAGAAAGAATTTTAAGTGAATTTGTAATATCATCAACATTAAATAATCGAAATATCATAGAAACAGTTGATTTAATGGGGACTTTCGTAGATTCAAATTTAAGATTAAGTCAAGTTATGCAATGTAGCCAAGGTGGTGATTTATTTTCTTACTTATTAACTGGTTATAATATAAACAATAAGGCTGTTGATTTTATGTCATTATATGAAGTTGATTGTTTCCTAAAGCAAATTTCAAGAGGATTAAAATATATGCATAATCATGGAGTTTCACATTGTGATTTAAAACTAGAGAATATTTTATTAACTTATGAACCACAACCTCAAGCTGATTGTAAAACTAAGATAACGTTGAAATTAAGTGATTTTGGAAAATCTTTTGTGTTTAGGACAGCTTATGATGATAAAGAACAACTTATCAATGGTAATCAAGGTCTAATTGGTTCAGGACCATATATACCCCCAGAAGAATATGTATGTGTGAAAAATAAGACAGATTATTCATCATTACAAAAAGATTATTGGGCTTTAGGAATAATAGCATTAGTTTTGTTAAATTTAAGAAGACATTATTATTCAGGTATTAAAAATGGAGCATATAGATCTGGGAATAAATTAATTGGTGGTAGTGATACTTATGGTTATAGTACTGGATATTTATGGGAGACAACTGAATTAAAAAGTAGTAAATCATATAAAGATAAAGTATTTAATGAATATGCTCAAAAAAGAATGATGGCTGATTATGATAGTAAAACAAAAGAATGGTTAATACAGAAAAAAGGAACATTTACACCTATAAATAATATATGTTTACCTATAAAAAGAGTAAATAAGAATAATGAAAGTGATGATAATTCAAGCTCGAGTGTTGATGAAACAGTAAATGAAGAACAACTGGAAGAGATTGAAGAAGGTAGTGAATTAAACGAGCTAAGAGTTATGTGTATTTATAAATTACTTGATATAAATCCTTCAACTAGATTATCAGTTGATGAGTTTTTGAAAAGTGATTGGATGACTTCTACAGAAGCTTGTGTATAGACTGATTAGAGTGTAAAGATACAATTTATATATCATTAGTTATACATTAATAATTAAGAGCTTTTAATTAACAAAGGTTTATATGTATATATATTAAAAATCTTCAAACAGTTCATGATAAGGATCATCCACTCCAGAAATACCATAATCTAAATCTTTATCTTCAGGGTATCTATCAAATTGTGAAGTATCTCCTACTCCAGAAGTAATTGGAGGTTCATAAGGAGTTTCAATATCCCTACTTAATAATCTTTCCCATATAACTTCTTTAAACCATTGATGATTTTTAACATCATTTGAACCACCTTGTAAATTTCCTAATCTTTGAGTTAAATCTTTTACTATTAATTTTTGTAATAAATCCAAAATATCTGGTGGTAAATAATCAGGATATGTTATTGTACCATTTAAAATGTTTTCATAAGTTTTCATTGGTGTTGGATCATAAAATGGGGTATAACCAGTTAACATTTCAAATATTAATATACCAAATGACCACCAATCAACTGATTTATTATATGGTTTTGTTGCAACAACTTCAGGAGCTATATAATCAGGTGTACCACACAATGTAAAAGTAACATCACTTACTTCTTTAGCAAATCCAAAATCAGTTAATTTAATATGACCATTTTTATCCAACAAGATATTTTCAGGTTTTAAATCTCTATATATAATATCTAAATTATGTAAATATTCAATAGCTAAAAATGCTTCTGCTGCATAAAATTTAGCTACTGGAGTTGGAAATCTTTGAGATTTTCTAAGTAATGAAAATAATTCACCACCTTCTATATAATCCATAATCATAAATAAATTATGACAATCTTGAAATGTACCCCACATTCGTATTATAAATGGATGTTGTGCTAATTTCAACATACGACGTTCATCATTTGTATGTTCTACTTGTTTCATATTTACTACTCTTTCCTTTTTTAAAACTTTCATGGCATAAAAACGTCCATTATGAATTGATCTAGTTAGATGAACTCTTCCAAATGATCCTGTTCCTAAAGTTCTTAATATTTGAAAATCATTTAAATTGTATTTTCCCTTTGTGGTTGTGTCTTTGTGTGCATGTCTTGATATTTTTTTGGTTAATGAAGTAGTTGAATTGTTATGAGAATACTGTTGTTGAGTAGGTATATTATTATTATTTAATGACGTGTTCGTACTGTTATATTGTTGTTGTGTTATTCCATTCTGATTATAGTTATTGTTGTAGTTGTTGTTATTATCTAGTGAAGGTGAGGTTGACGCATATATATTTTGTTGTTGTTGTTGTTGTTTATTAGTTAGTTCATTTATATTCATTTCATTTAGTGGCTTTGAAGTTGACTCTTGTTGTGACATAATGTAGTGAATTTTGTTTGAAAATTAGTGTTTATAATGATCTTTGATTTATTGACTCTAGTTTTGACGATATTGAATGATTTCTTTGACGAAGTTCTTATTTGAATTTTTTGAAAAATTTAGAAATGTATTAATTATTATTATATTTTTCCGTGGGGTCTTATTTACAAGTGAAAATTTATAAGTTGGCGGTCTGTTATTGATAATTATACTATTTATTGTCTGTAATGCTAATATTGATTGAATAGTTCTTTAAGATATATTTGACTGTTCTATTTAATATATTAATTGATTATCTTCAAAATAACTAAAACTTGATGTTGAAATAAATTATTTTGTTCTTTTTGTATAACTTTTTTTTAAATAAAAAAAGACGTTTAAAATTTTATAGTAATATTAATTTTTTATATTATGTATGTATCAATACTTAATAATAATTAATATTAATAATTGTTTAAAAAGAGAAATATTTTGTATTATGAGTTTTGTATTGTATTCTACATAATAATAAGCTCATGTAACTTACCTAAATACAAGTATATACAAAAGAATATATGCATAATTCGAAGCTATATATTAAAATCTTTAATCGTCAATTACCGAAGCTTTCTCATAATTAGTTCATAAAATATTTAATAATAATTATTTGGGTCTATGCGGCACAAACAAAAAATAATAATTTAAAAAAGCATTCCGCCAGCAAAAGATTATAATTAAAACTAAAAAAATTTTCAGATAAATTGAACAAGAGATTAGGAAGACTTTTAATAAACTTAAGTTAAACATTAGACAATAGCTCTAAACTTTTTAGATTTATTAACTAAATTTAAAAGTACTAAAAGTTTAACTAAATTCTTTAAATATTATTATTATTATTATTAAAGGTAGTGTAAATTGTACCAATTTATTTGTGTCTCAAAAATTTATAAAAATAATTTCTAATACAAAAAAAGAAATTTATAACAAATAAATAATTATCATACTTTTAGAATGTCAAAATACTTGAGAAAATCAAGAAACTCTTAAATGTTAGCTTCAAATTATCGATTTGATTTGAAGCAATTATAGGTATCACAAATCTATGGATATCTAATTGTTTGACCATAATTAAATGGACTTAACACTGATTCACTTTTCCGCAAAATTTCTTTTTTCCTATATACTTTATTAGTTATGTAATGTATTCAATTATACGTCATTGAAAAAAAATTGATGGTGAAGTAGTACGTTATTGATACGTTTCTTGTTTCACGAGTCCCGAGAGAATTATTCAAGATTTTGGCGAAGTATTACAGAGAACTAGTACATTTACTCAAAAGACAATTTTATGATTCAAAATTTATTTCACTGACAAGTTGTTGGATATAAAATAAACTTATTTCTCATCATGCAAATGTTAAGATATTTTTCGATATTGTGTCGTGTTGTTAATTGAAGTGATGTATTGAAAAAAAGAAAAAGCAATTTTAGATTTTGATACAATTATCATATTAATTTCGTTAAGGGGTAATCAGTTTAATTTTTATTTTTTTGCAGTTCAATAGATATTAGTTGGTCATTAAAAAACTCATGACTTGTTAGGAAAGTAGTTTTGTCTAGACTTAATTATTGTCATAGAATAGAGGTGGCAAAATTAATTCCAGACACATTTCAAAAGGACGCATATCAATTGCATTTTGCATTCGAAAAGGAAGCTAATTTGGAATCACAGCCACTAAAATAATATGAAAAAGTTAAAAAAATTCCTGTGAGCGCTTGAACGCTTGATGAACATCATCACCTACCAGTGCCGTCGTAAGACGCTTTTCATAACTAATTTCAGGTCGTATATGTATACTAATATAGCAAATCAATTTAGTTATCAATTTTTTTTTGTGTCTTCATACAGATTTTAAAGTTTTTTCTTATAATTTTGTTTTGTGTATATGCATATAAATAGTTCACTAATGCAAAAAGAAATTCAATTGTTAAAAGTTTTTCCGAGACATATAACCAACTTTAATCTATATTTAAATTCCTCAAAAGTTTATCGGTAATTCTAAATGCATCATTGAGTACTTATGCGTCTCAGTGAAATTCAATTAAATCTATTTCCGTTGTCTTTTAAAATCGCGTGATCTTTAAAAGTTATGTTTCAAAATTTGAGATCTAATTAAAGGGCTCAAATTAGTGCGAACAGAAATTGCTCGATGAAAACTGGGACTGTTATTTACTGTCTTTTTTGGTGGATAATCATTAGGAACAAAATACTTAAGTCATACAGGTATATTCTCAAGTATCTTCTTATATAGATTTACTTTGTTCTGCTATTTCCAGAATTTTTTGTATAAGTACACGAAAATTTCAACACTATTTATATGCAGTAATTATGTCACATACTTTACCTTTTATTTACAAATTTAGAGTTTATCTTCTTGTAAGTAATTTATATTAATAGAAAAATTTAAAAGAAAATTTAAGTTAGAGAGGATCTATTTAAAAAGTCTAGAACTAAATTCAAATCCCAAAAAATACAAAATGCCATGTCTATTAAAATGACCACTCGAAACTATAAAATCTATGTAAATATAGAAACAAAATTTGTTAAAATCACTTGAAAAAGTGACCGAAATAAGTTTAATACAGAATTAAAAAATGATGAATAAATATCTTGAAATTTAAATGACTGAGTTTTTCTACTTTTACTTAGTTTAAAAAAAGAAACTTATTATTGTGAAAACACCAGCAAAAATTGAAACTAATCCAACATTATTATATGAAGCATCACCAGCATAAGTTGAAACTTGAGCGGCAATAGCACCACTAGATTCAGCAGCAACAATAACTGGAGAACCTGATGCAGCAGCTTGAGCAACTACGTTAGTAGTTTGAGTTAATGGACAATAAGTAGTATAAGAAGTTCCTTCTGATTCAATAACAGTTAATCCAGTAGTATAAGTGACTTGTTCATAATTACCTGCATTGTAAGTTGATGTAACTAAAACAGTTTGAGCAATAGCTTCTTCTGAAGTTAATGGACAATATGTGGTATAAATAGTTTCTCCTTCTGTTATTGTGGTTAATCCAGTAGCATATGAAGAAACTGGAGTACAATGACCTTCATGACATGATGTTATGGTAATAATTGTAGTTCCAACGGCTTCAGCATTATGTTCAGTAGTTAATGGACAATAAGTTGTATAAGTAGTATCAACTTCGGTGATTGTTTTAATACCAGTTGGGTAAGATGAAACTGGTGAACATTTACCTTCATGACATGAAGTTATAGTTACAATTGTAGTACCTATTTCTTCAATAGTACTTTCTCCAGCAGCAGTTAATGGACAATAAGTTGTATAAGTAGTATCGATTTCAGTAATTGTTGTTACTCCAGTGACAAAAGTTGAAGCAGCTGTACAAACACCTCCTTTACATGATGAGATTGTTACTGTTGTTTTTTCGATAGCTGTTTCGGTTGATAATTCATTTGAACCTGAACCTGATCCTTCGCCATTTGATCCATTACCGTTTGAACCTGATCCTTCACCATTTGATCCTTCACCATTTGAACCTGACCCTTCACCAGTTGAGCCTTTACCACCATTTGATCCATTTCCATTTGATCCATTACCATTTGATCCTGAGCCATTTGAACCTGAACCGTTTGAACCTGAGCCTTCATTTGAACCTGAAGGAATAGATGAAGTAATAGCAATAGGATAAGTAGTAGTAACAGGTCCAGTAGTAATTGGTCCACTACCTGGAGTTGTAATAATAGGACCACTATCAGATTTACCACCACCATTAGTTAATGAAGCTTCACCAGTAGCTATAGATTCACCATTTATTATAGAATTAGCAGGAGTTGATGATGAAGCTGAAGAATTACTCCATACAAATTTTGATGAAGGTAATACTGCAACACTTGAAGAATTTGAAAAATCAAATGATCCAATAGCTAATGCTACTGAAGTGAATAATGTAATCGATAATGATTTCATTTTTGTAATTTATTTTATTATATTAAACGAGTGAATAAAATAGTTGGTTTGAGTTTATTTAAAGGAGTGACTGGATATTGTAAAAACTAAACTTGAAAAGAAATTGAAAGGATATTGAGATATATATATTATTTCCAAATTCATATTATGATCAAAAGCAGAATAACAAAGCCCATTCGTAAATGAATTTGTAGGCGTCTAACGCCAATATCAATTATTGTCCATCTGTATATGTACAAAAAGATATGGTGTTTTACAATTCATGTATTGTAGATCTATTATTATAATGTTTAATTTTGTGTTTCAAAATGACATATTATATTTTTCATTTTTTATTATGTGAAGTTCGTAAAATCGTAAAATCGTGAAATATTTTATTATACTTACTAATTTTTTTTTTTTTAAGTTAAGATTTTTAATTTTATTCTATTTTTTTTAATTTTCCACTTTTTGTACTCTCCCCCCTTTGAAAGTTTAAAAATTTAGCCTAAATTTTAATAATTTAACCTAATTTGGATACTATTGTATAATGTCCCCCTTAATTACCAAGAAAATTGAATTCAAATTCATCGTTAGATCTGAAATCTAGAATTTAGAGCCAATTTATTGATATGATCTTTAGTGTTTAGAGTTTTTAGATCTTTTGTTTTGATCAGAAGACTAGTTTGCAATTATCTGTCAGTTTGTTATGAATTCGTACAACTTACATTTAATTATGCATGAACCAAGTTTGCTATTTGGTTCAATTTCTTATTAAAAATGTTTTCATTCTATCAAACTTGAGAATTATTAGATACGAATTACTTGATATATATAATGAATTTCCAAATTTGTAATAATTCGTAATTATGAGAATTGATTGACGTGAATCTTTCAACGATCTAGGTGGATGATCTAGGCCTCTATGATTTTGTGAATAATAAAATTAAAGTCCTTATTGTTGACATAAAATCAATTTGTTAATGCAGATTGTATTAAGTATAAATTTAAAAAACACGTTAAATTTTAATTTAGTTTCAGAATTAAACTTAATTTAGAAATTACGAAAAAAATGTTTAATTGATTAAGAGGCTTTTATATTCCTGTGTCGCGTGAAATTTTGTAGTATTGAAATTGATTTCAATATCCAATAGAATAAATTTTTGAGTAAAATTAATTTGATTCAAGTGACTCACTGAATATAATATAAAATAGTAATTCTAATTTTGAAAAAATGAGTATTCGGTTAATATTAGGTGTCCTGTAGTTATTAAAAAAAAAATTATTATTAATATTAATGTTAATATTTTTTGTTTTTTGATATTGAGATTTAGGGAGTAGTTTTAGTTGTATTTGATAGTAAACAATGTAGACAATTTTTAGTTTCGTACATTTAGGTACGGGACAAGGATTACTGAGAATAAAGTATCGATGGAGAGCTCCAGAAAATGACATATTAAAGTCAGTATAAAATTAAGAAGAATGTAGATCGAATAAAGCTATACGAACTAGTCAAACTATAAATTGAGATTTATGAAAAAGATAAACGAATTTAAATTAAATCGAGATAATTGAGAACAAGTAACAGGTAATTGATGAAATAAACCGAAATGAAAACATTGTAAAAAAATTGAAACCTTCGTAACAAACAATCTCGAGAAAAGAAGATTTTTTTTAAAAGTTCAATAGCATTAAATAAAAGCACCAAATATAGCAAATAATCCAGCAAGTATTGAAACAACAAAAGTAGATCCAGAACCTTCTTGAACTGTAACAGCACCAGACGCATGGGATCCAACTATGGTTGATTCTGATATTGATGGAGCAGCAACTGTTGGTGCTGGTGTCCAAGAAACATATGAAGTATATCCAGTAGCAGATTTAGTAACAACAGACCAACCAGTTGTAAAAGTATGAGCTTCACCGCCTGCAGCTGTTGATTTAATAACTGTAGTTGGGACTTCAGTAGGACAATACGTTGTATATGTTTTTGCTCCTTCAGTAACAATGCTGTAACCAGTAGTGTATGTATGAACAATACCTCCTTCGGTAGATTCAATAATAGTATTTGGAACACTTAATGGGCAATAAGTAGTGTAGATTGTTTCTGCTTCTGAAATATATTTATAACCTGAAGTATGAACGTATGTTGAACCTTCTGAAACACTAGTAATATAGGTTATTTCATATTCACTTGATAATGGACAATAAGTTGTATATGTTGTAAAATCATTTGAGATTGTTGTTAAACCAGTAGTAAGAGTTGAAATTGGAGTACAATGACCTTCAGAACATGACGTAATTGTAACGACAGTTTTTGATGCAGCCTCGATGGTTTCTTTATCAGTTGATAATGGGCAATAAGTTGTATAAGTAGTTTCGGCTTCAGTAATTGTAGTTAATCCTGTTGTAAGAGTTGCAGCAGCTGAACAACGACCTTCACTACATGATGTGATTGTGAGTGTTACTTCTTTTGGACTTGAACCTGATCCACTTCCTGATCCACTTCCTGAACCACTGCCTGATCCACTACCTGATCCACTACCTGATCCACTTCCTGATCCACTTCCTGATCCACTACCTGATCCACTACCTGATCCACTACCTGATCCTGTGCTTGGACCAGTTGAGTTTGACCATGCAAAACCTGAAGAACTAGCTGGTAAGACTGGAACACTTGATGAAATTGGGCCAACACTGATTGAAGAAATTGAAGCTGGTTTAGCAGAAGAAATAGGAGCTATAACATCAGATGGTTTAGGTGATTGAACAATTACACTTGATAAACCTGATGAAATTGGTGGTGGTTGAATAACTTCACTTGAAAAGCCCGGAACTGAAATGACTATAGCACTTGATGGTGCGCCTGGTGCAATTGAAATTGCAACGTTTGAAGCTGGTGGAGCTGGAGCAACATTTGATGAAGCTGGTGGAGCTGGTGCTACGTTTGAAGAAGCTGGTGGAGCTGGAGCAACGTTTGATGAAGCTGGTGGAGCTGGTGCTACGTTTGAAGAAGCTGGTGGAGCTGGAGCAACATTTGATGAAGCTGGTGGAGCTGGTGCAACATTTGATGAGGATGGTGGAGCTGGAACAACATTTGATGAAGCTGGTGGAGCTGGAACAACATTTGATGAAGCTGGTGGAGCTGGAGCAACATTTGAAGAAGCTGGTGGAGCTGGAGCAACATTTGATGAAGCTGGTGGAGCTGGAGCAACAATTGAAGATGCTGGTGGGTTTGGTTGATTTGGAGGCTTTGGAGTAACGTTAATACAAAAATAAGCTGCAAATTGTTCGGGAGTTAAAAATGCAACATCTTCACCACATTCAGAAAAACATTTTTGATTTAATGTATAATAATCACTAGTTACATCTAAACTACAGGTACATTCTGCTGTAACAGTTTCTGATCCACAATAATTTTGAGCAAATACAATAGCTTGTTTACAATTGTCATTTTGTTTAGTACAATCATCAATTGAATCTCTTTTATCAAAAACTGAGTTTGATTTTGGAAATGATGGAATAGCTAAAGCAATTGATATGAAATAAGTAGTTGAAAGTAATTTCATTTTAGTTGAAAAGCGAGTGAATAATGATTTGTGGATATGTTAATTGTAAAAATAGAATACTTCAACTTTATAAAGTCATGAATTTAAAGAATATTTATGTTATATTAATAGCTGGATCTGTCATATAAAGTTTATGAATGGGGAAGGCATTTTGAAACATTATAGCTTGCGTTTCATTGATAAGAACCTCACCTTTACAACTCAAATAAGGCTAACTATTGATCAATCAATGCAATAAATATATTAATATATTGATTGATTTACGAAATTCCATAGCAAGCACTAATCAATTGAAATTGAAATTTTGAGACAAAACTCAATATGCATGTGCATATTTTGTTATAACTTTGAAAAACTTCGGAATTGAGTTTGTCTATCAAAATAGAAATCTTGCGTAATATTATCACCCGCTTCAATAGTCTTTTTTGATGTTTTTCATTAAAGTTTACCATGCATGAATCAATCAATTTCAAGTTTTACGAATTAGTTCGGAAAATATGATTGAAAAATGAAAACCATACTTTTTCTTCTCTGACATTTTTGATTGAATTTTTCAACAAAAAAATTATTTTAGCAAACCAAACAAGTATTAGATACTTTCTTAAGTTAATTTGCAAGTATTATATAACAATATGGTGTTTGTAAAAAGACTTATTAATGATTGAAATACGATAAGACTAAAAAATTTGCAATAATAAGCCAATTCTAATTTTAGTCTAAATTTACGAGAAAGTTTTGTTTATTCAATCAAAAATTAGGGGGGTTTTAAGTTTCGAGTATATTGTTATAAGTTAAAAGGCAAAAAGAATAAAAAGTAATTAAGTAATTGAAATAGATGTAATGTCAAAATGTAAACATTCACTAATCTGTTGATTAAAACTCTTTTTATAGAAAGTTTCACTATCAAAAATCAAAAACACTCCACAAAAAAGCGCAATTGAAAAGATTATTTTAAATGACTTATGTGAGGGTTCTCTTGTACAAACCCTTTTTTGTTTATCAATTATATTAGCCTGAGTAATAAACAAGTAAAGGATTAAGGCTAATAGAAGGTAAAATAGACATTTAAACTGTTGTATGATTTTTCGTAACTAATATCCAAATTTGGAGGAAAAAAATAGTGCATAATCTTTATAAATAGTTAATAATCTTGGTGAATCTTCCAAAAAGCCAAATTCTGCACAGGTTATTTGTGATGTAAATTAAAACTGTTAGACTGTTTTGACTTGTGTTTTCAAAGTAATTAAATCATAGATCACTAGTGCAATTTCTTTAATTGTTTCCATCAAATATATCTTTTAACTTCTTATTTCTCAAACGTGCAGTGTAGCTTTTTAAATCCATGAGAACGATCATTTTTATGGAATTACAGTAAATTGATTCGTATTCTTAGTCCTATTAAATTTATTGTGTCAAATCTTTACAAAAAAAATGCTGCCACGAGCTTCGGTTGTGCTCGTATTATTCTCACTAACCTAAACTTCTGTACCACAATATTTAAAAAAAAATCGTGTCTTTACCAAAAGGTCAAACCATTTCAGACAAGATTTACTAGAAGTTATCAAAACATTAATTTGTTATCGACACTGATAAGCCTTTCCTGATTTAATCTTATATTAAATTGAGTTTAGTTTGGTAATAGAACGAGTTTGAGCTAAAGCTTATTAGTTTTTCTGCAGGAGCCTTGTGAGCGTGTCGAGAGATTTGAAACCTACTTTGAGAGAATGCAGAGTATTGATTCCGCAAACTGAGATAGTTTAAAAACTGTTTCTTGTTAGTAGTATCATTGACCTCCAAGCTTACATGAAAATTTTTGACGTAAGTTGTAGGCAATAGATATTTTAGAATAATTTTTACGAGCAAGAAGCCAAATTTTGCAAATTACAAACAACTTAGCTGCAAATTTTTGTAAATAAATGGTTTTGGAACATTAATCCTCAATTATTAGAGATGAGACCTTGTCAATAAATAATATCTACTATATGAATCAACTAACTTTTACTTATAAACTATATTTCAACAACTGCAACAACAGGACGATGATCACTACATAAACACCCATCACACGTTTGATCGATAGTAGTATGAAATAAAATAGGAACATTTGAACTAGTCCAAATAAAATCTATAATTGATTCACCATCACCAGTAAAACCAGTACATGTTCTTCTTTCACCTTGAATATTTTGCGCTTGAGTTCCTGATTCTTTTAAATAATTTGATAATGTCTTATAACCTTCAGCATTTGGATCACTATTTAAATCACCAGTCAAGACATTTTTACCTACTGGAGCTTCATTCATTAATTTAACTATAAGTAATGATGATTGTTCTCTTGCTTTTGAACCTTTATGATCGAAATGAGTATTGAAAAAATTTATTGATTTACCAGGAACTTTTTTATTTTTCAAAATTACATTTGATACTATACGATTCATTGCTGCATCCCAACTTTTACTTGGCTTACTTGGAGTTTCACTTAACCAAAAAGTTTTTGTGAAAATAGGTTCCCAATCTTGTTTATTATATAATATAGGAGAAAATTCACCACTTGTACTTCCATCATTTCTACCAACTCCAAAATAAGTCCAATCTGGACCTAAACCTTGAACAATATCATCTAATTGATTTTTTAAAACTTCTTGTAATCCAATAATTGAAGGTAAATTTGGATTTGAAGTTGCTTGTTTTATTAAATCAATAACTCCGTTTCTTCTAATTGACCATGGTTTTTCTCCATCAACTAAATTTTTTTGATCAAATCTTATATTGTGAGAATATATTTGAACTTGTAATGGTTGTTCTGATTCTCCTTGAGTTGCTTGTGCAATTGCGTTTTTATCTTTATCGGTGTATGTTTTTGTACCTGTATGTTTCTTGGCTTCGTGATTGACCAATTGACCAATTTGTTTTGCTGCATTAAAGTAGTTCATTTTGAATTTGATTGTAGGGCTAAAAAATTACTTTTAATTAGAATTGATAATTTATAGAATTCGTTTTCAATTTAACATCCTTTAAGTATTCAAAAGTGAAAGCAATTAAAATAGAACCTATATACAAAGAATAAATTTAATACTAGCTTATTATGTTTAAGCTTGCCAAATAATCATGGGAAAATAATATTTAGCAATTTCCGTTATCAAGAAAATTTCATCTTATTTATATAATATGTCAAAATTTATATAATAATTAAAAAAATTATGATGAAATGATTAAAAAAATTAATTATGAAACAAATAGCAAAATTAAGTATTCGTCTTACGATAGTAACTTTTTGTGATAAGAATAAAGTCTCTGCAGCTTGTATACGAAATAGTCTAGATTTATATAGCAAAATATATTTTAAAATTAATTCTGAAACAAAAACTGTCTCTTCATACCATTTAGATACCTTCGTTACCATCCAGAAAACTGAACAATAAAACAATACTGTTTCATTTTTAATTTGATGTAAGTTTTATGACACAAGATCCAATATATCTTAATACAAAATTTTAAGTTAATTATTAGACTAACAATAATCAACTCAGTAGAATTGTTTTGACTAATGAATTAATGATTGATAGATCAAAAATACATTAGAATCATCAGTTGTTTGATAATACGCGTATTGATAAATTTTAATTGGCAATAGGGTTCATAACTAAATATTTTTTAGGTGATAATTATAATTATAATTATACGTGTTTGTAATTCCTTAATACTTTCCTCAAATTTATAACCGAATAATCCTTTTAATGAACTAAAATTACTTAAAACAATATATAAACTAAAATTAAGATTATATTTAACTATTATAATTCGATGTAGGGGTAATATTTTGATAAATAAATCAAATTTATCGGCTTATGAAGTTATAGTCGTCTAAAAAGTAATTGGTGTAAATCATTTCATTTTCCACCATGTTATTGATAAGTTAAAGAGTTTCACATTGTAGAACTAAATCTAGGTAAATGAACCAACATTCAGTTATAACAAACTTTATTTTAATTGCAATAGATCTCTAATACTAGCTAGTATTAGTTTTAGTTCAGAAATATGTAAATGCTGTCTCCAATTTTTATTACTGTAAATCCCTTTTAGCTTTCTTTTTCTTAATTAATTAGAATACTTTAATTTACTTTATCTTTAGAACAATAATAAATAATATATTATTATTTTTATCAACTTTTAACTATCTAATTCATTTCATTTAAGTTTGAACATCATTAAGAGTTTAATCAAATATTCAATCGATAGTCTAGATCACTTAGACAATTTCTTCTTCTACATCACCCAAAATAAACTTTAATGTTTATTACTTTTCTACTACAACCAATATATATTCTAAAAAAAACGATATTTTATTCAATAACATCAATATATTCATTAATAGACAATAAGATGTCAAACAAGAAAGTAATAAATGATTCAACAATTTTAAATAAAAAATTATCTTCTGAAACTTTATTATATCAAAGAAAAGATTTAATTCAAGTTACATTATCATCTCAAGGATTAGTTATTACAAATAATAGAATTAGTCAACAATCAAGTTCATCAAGTCAAGATAGTGATTCTTATGAAGATGATATACCAAATACAAGTTATTTTGGTAAATTTTTCAAAAATTGTTTTGGATTTGAATCACCACATATAACAACTGTACCAAAATTTATATCTTTTAAAAATATTCTTTATATTGAACCAATTAATCAAGAAGAACAGGATTCAAATGAATTAAAATTAACTTATGTCATACCAAATAGTGATGATATTTTGAAAAAAGCAACAAATTTATCTATTCACAATATAAATATTCAAATTCAAAATTATAATAACCACTCCAACCCAAATGAATCAATATCTCAATACGTAATGAATAAATCATATCCATCCAAAATATTACAAACTCCTTCCATATTAGTAATTATAAATCCACATGGAGGTCAAGGAAAAGCAATATCAATATATAATGACCAAATAAAACCAATTTTAGTAGCAGCACATTGTAAAATAACATTTATGGAAACTAAATATTCACAACATGCAATAGATATAGCAAAAAATTTAAATCCTAAAGAATTTGATCTCATATTATGTTGTTCAGGTGATGGAATACCTCATGAAATTATTAATGGTTTATATCAACGTCCAAATCATGGGATAGATGCTTTCAAAAAATTAATTATAACTCAATTACCTTGTGGTTCAGGTAATGCTTTTAGTTTATCTACTCTTGGTGGATCTAAATCAACAGAAATAACAACTTGGTTAATGCTTAAATCACAACCAAAACCATTGGATTTAATGGCCATTACTCAAACTACAGATTCACAAGATGTTAAAGTAAGTTTAAGTTTTCTTTCACAATGTTTTGGAATTATAGCTGATGCAGATTGTGGAACTGAACATTTAAGATGGTTAGGATCTATTAGATTTGAAATTGGAATTGCTCAACGATTATTTGGTAATTCTAAATATCCATGTGATTTATATGTTGATGTAGTTACTAAAGATCAAACAGAAATTAAAAATCATGTTAAAGATCATTTAGAAAATGATAAACACCCAAAGGAATTAGAATTAAAAGATTTGGAATTGGAGAATACAGTGATTGATGAAGTTCCTTCTAATTGGCATAAAATATCTAATGAAATAACAGATAATTTAAATATTTTATATGTTGGAAAAATGCCTTATGTATCATCAGATGCTCAATTTTTTCCCGCAGCATTACCAAATGATGGATATATGGATATGATAATTACTAATCAAAAAACATCAATAATTGATTTAACTTCAATTTTATTAAGTGTTGAAAAAGGTACACATATTGAATTTGATGAATCAAAAATTATACATGCTAAAATTAAAAAATATAGATTAGTACCTAAAATGAATAATAATGGTGGTAAACATTTTATATCAATTGATGGTGAACTGTTTCCATTTAAATCATTTCAAGTTGAAATTATTTCTGGTATGATGAATGGATTATTATTAGATGGGAAATTTACAGAATCAAGTTTAACTAAATATTAAAAAATATTAAAGTTTTTTATCTATGTAAAAAATATATACGAATTAATATTTTTTAATTAACGATATTTATCATGATGTAATTTTGAAACTTTTTTCAATTCATTTAATCTTTCTTTTAAAATTGGAATATCTCTTAATTTTTTTTCTAATTCAATTCTTTCATTTTCTAAATTTAATCTTTTTTCAGCATCTAATTTACCAAAATAATAACCACCTTTACCATCAAATTTTAACAAGTACTTATGAAAATGCCATAATGCAGGTCGATGACATACTGAAATTAAAGTTATACCTAAATTTTGTGCATATTCATACATAAATTGTTCCATATCTGGTGATACTGCTGATGTACATTCATCTAATACTGCAAATTTTGGTTCATGATAATATAATCTTGCCATTGCTAATCTTTGTTGTGCACCTGTTGATAATTCTTCATTCCAATTTTGAATTGAATTTAATTGTGGTATAAAATCTTGTAATTTTAAAACTTTTAAAATTTCACATAATTTTTCATCTGATTTTTTTTGTTGTTTTATTGAATGTGGATATATAATTTGTTCTTTTAATGAAGAATCAGATACTAAATAAGCACGTTGTGGTAAATAAAACATATTTTCTGATGTTGGGATTGTGATTGTACCTTGTTTTACTGGCCATAATCCTCCTAACATTCTAAAAAGTGATGATTTACCTGAACCATTTGGACCTGAAATTAATAAATGATCACCCTTTGTAATTTTAAAATTTAAATTTTCAATTAATGTTACATTTGCTGGTGTTAATAATTTAACATCTTTAAAACATATTTCATTATTATCATATTTTACATTTGAATGAATTTTTAATTTATTTTTTTGAACTTCATGTAAACTATCTTCTAATTCAGCTACTCTATTTGAATGACCAACAATTTGTAAAAGATACCTTCTTGCAAAAATTAAACGATCTAATGAATCAGAAGCACTTAATAATAATGATCTATTTGTAATAAAATTACTTGCTGCATTATTATCTGGATCTTCTCCAATATATTTATTTATAAAAATTGGTGCTGAACAAAGTACAAGACCAGCAGCACCCCAAAAATATTTAACAATAAAAGTTTGTGCAATTTCATGAATTGCTTTTTTCCAATATTCTCCCTTTAAGAAACGTTCTAAAGTATAATAACAATAATCAATATAATCTAATTCTCTATAATGACCTTTTAAAAATGCAATTTCTTCATTATTTGAAACTATTTTAGAATGAGCTGATCTTAATTGTCCTTCAAGATTTGCTCTTTCAGAAGCTAATTTAGCAAAAGGTGGTGAAAAAAATCTTATAATCATTGTTGAAAAATGAGCTAATATTCCTAAAGCTAAAGTACCTTCACCATTACCTACACCCAGTTGACTTAACTTACGAGCACACAATACTAAATCTAAAGTAGGTTTTAATAATTGTCCAGGTAATGCACTTAAAGCTTGGGCTAATCTTGTTACATCAGTTGTTATTCTTTGATTTGGATCTTTTATCTTGTTATTATTAAGATGAATTAATGAATAATAATTAGCATCTAAATTATCAGGTAAATAATCTTTTATTATTGATTTATTTAAATTTTCTCGAATACTTTTACTTAAATTTGATTTTGTCCAACTTAATAATGCATTTGTTAAAGATGCTGGTATACCTAACAAGAGCCAAACTAATAAAAACCTACTAAATAATTTTAATCTTTTTGAAACTAATGCACCAACTAGTTGACCATCTAATGTAGCTACTTTAATAGTCAATAATGCTCTTATAACCAATAACACTATGTGACTTAATAAATAAAATACAGTTTTATCATAATAATGAGGTACTATAGCTTTTACTAATCTATCAATAGTTTGTTTACTTAATTTAGGTGATTTTTTAGAATCTTTAGTAGAATCAACTGATTTATCTGATTTATCTATTCTTTTTGATGAAGCGGATGATCCAGTACTTGCTGCTCCCGTAAATGCAGCTGTTATTAAAACTATATATGAAGTATTTAATACTAATGATCTATTGGATCTATATAGTTTTAATAATGATAATGCTATTGAATTATCTTTTACTTTTGATGCCATTGTTAAGTTGTGTAGGTGGATTGATTGATGTTTGAATTATAATATGTTGTCGTAAGTTTCCCCACAATTTTGTTAAGGAAGATAAGGATAACTTTTGTAATTTAATAAAGAACTGAAATTAATTGATGAATTTAGTATATATGAAGTTATATTGATAAGTATTGAATTTGAGATGAAAGAAAAATATGAATTTGAGATTGATTAATGATTTGTGGTCTTTAAGATGATTGAGAACGGTTAATAATAATTAAGTCAAACGTTGATGAATTTTCTTGAAATCAAGACACACATTTTTTTGAATTTATTAAATATGTTACAATCTGCTAAGAAAAAAAAATGACATTGCCGTAGAAGTTATTGTCGTATTCGATAGTTTGATGACATTAATTTTTTCAACTTTGTCAATACAATAAAAATAAATTATTAGTTATAACATCAAAAGAAACAAGCTATCTTATTGTTTTCTTAGTTTCTTTTTCAAAAGTTTATGAAATATAATTTAAAAAGATATACGTAATTGAAATTTTAGAGATTGATATGAAAGGAGAATGAATTATGAAAATCATCGGAGTTATATTAATTTAAAATACTTTAGCGATTATTATATCATTTACGAAAAGTACGATAGGGAAATTAATAAATAATTTTCGCAAAACAATACATGTAAGTTGTAATTTTATAATTGTTAATTTCCTAGGTAACTGTGTAATTGTAGTAAAGTAGTACTGTAGTTGAGAAGACAAGGTTTACATTTTCATAAAATCATTTTTTTCCTTTCGTTAAAATTGCTAATGTATATATATATTTTTCAAAACTTGAGTTAGTGCTGGTTCATATGAAACTCAAGGTGTTCCAATACATTTTTATGAGTGAGGTAATTGGTGAATTATTTATCTTGAGAAACAAGAATAATCAAAAATTCAAATTATAAAATCTAATAAAATTGCTATTATAATTACAGAAGTGTTTCAAAGATAAAAAAAATAGTATAATAATACAATTTAAAAGCTTGTAGTTTAATATATAAATTTTAGGTTATGATACATAATCTATACGAATTAAAATAATATATTATTTACATTTACATTGTTCTGATAAATTTTTCCTCGAGGAAGTTAAGGAAGTAAAATAAGGAAATATTATTAAAGTTCAAAACTTTTAGAACTCTTGTTAATTAACCAAGTTAAATTTCTTTCATCTTTTGAATTCTACAAACGTTTATGAATATTTAAGATAATCAACTTTAACGAATTATTCAACTTTAAATGAATAATCAAATTTGAAAATTCAAAACGTTAAAATAAAATTTCAAAACGGAATTAAAACTTTTTTCTTCTTTTTCTCAAAATTAATGCAGAATGACTTAAATTTTTTTCATTCTACTGTGTGAAAAAATTGAACAAAATTTTATGCAAAACAGTCAATCAGAATTTTTCGAAATTGATGAACAAAGGATAATAAAAAATTTCAACAACGTAACGTCAAGAACGGATGTGTTTTGTTATTTGCAAAAGAATTAGAGAGAAGATGGTAGATTTGTATCCTTGATTCATTTTCCAATTATAGTCAATGATATATCTATTTAAGAAATTGGTAAACAAAACTAATAATGAAAATCCCAATCTCCCTCAAATAAATTTCAGATTTCTCAGGGATAAGAAACTAAAAAAGGTAAAACATATGAAAATGTAAATAATAAGAAAATGAAAATCTTCAATAGATTAGCCATGTGTAACTAATAAAATTTAGTTAAATACAAGAAGTAAACTATGAAAAAAAGAAAGGAAAGCAAAATGAAAAAAAAAGAAATTGCGTAAGGCTAACTACAAACAATCAACAATTATAAAATTTTGCAATAATTTTTAATAAAATTTAGTTTCCTAATCATATATTGTGTAAGTAAAACAACAATCAAAAATTTATTAACCACAGGTAAGTAATTAAATATTTGTTCTCTAATACTATTACAATAAAGTAATTTACGTCAAAAAAGGTACGCATTACTTCTTATAATATTTACAACAACAAAGGGATTTCAAATTTTCAACTTTAATTTTCTTTACATTTGCTATCAATTTCAAAAATTAATTTTCCTTCACACTTATACCATTAATATATATGTTTTGAACCAAAGCAAAAACTTATTTAAATATGTTTTATAATTTCTCAATTAAATTTTGAAACAATTTTTAGATTTTTTTCTCTATTTATCTCTAATTTTACTCAACTACTACAATTCAATTCATCGAGACCATTTTTTCAATTCATTTTTTATAATAGAAGTTTTTTATAATTAACTATTAGATTTCATTTCATTTCATATTTTCAAATCCGTTTCATATTTTTATTATTATTATAAAGTTTCAATTTTGTTACTTGAACTCAAAATTTTATACTTTTCGGATTAAAAATTTTTTAATTGTAATATTACACAAAATTAAAAGTACAAGAAGAAGAGGAAGTAACTATAAGTAAAAATCACTATTTGTATTTTCATAATTTATTGATCTTTTTGAAACTGTTACAATTGTCAAGAAATAATTCAGTTGTTTTGAAGATCATTTTGATAATTGATTTATTCAATAAATTAAATCTTAAATAAAGTCATTTGGTATCATAGTAATACTTAAGTTAAATTTTTAAATTTAAAAGGGTGAGATCAAAGATACAAGAAAAGTTTGATTTTGTGTAATTTTGGAATAATTAACTTTGTGTGTTCGTAAATTTTGTAATATTAAATACTCAATTGGTAGTTCTTGTTTATTGAGATCTTCATAATACAAATCTATTTTTAGTTTGAGAGATTCAGATAGAGATATACCAATTATAATAATTAATTTGAAACATCATTATATTTTCAGGTTCATAATACATTAAATTACATAAAATTATTAATTAGATTGACATATTATTACTGATTTAATTAATAAATTATAATTATAATAATAATAATAATAATAATAATAATTAATAATCTATTTTTAGATAAAAGAAAAGAAACTATAACAATATTTACTAAGAAAAAAAGAAAAAGTCAATAATAATAATAATAATACTCGAAGGGAAATGAAATTTTAAACTCGAAGGGTTTTTTAATTGCGGCAAGTTCAAATCAAAGTTAATCAAAGTTTTCAGTGTAATAATAATAGTAATAATAGTAGCAATAATAAGCATTAGTTGAAAACTGAAATCAAACTAATACACAAAATTAGATCTACAACATAAAGAGTTTTTTCAACCCTTAAAATACTAAATTCAATTAATTTAGTAATTGATACATTAAAATAGTGTACACTTTACATACACACACAACAATTATTAACAATTAACACACACACACATACTTAATAATAACAATTAATTAAACAATAAAAATTAAATTTTAAGTAATGATAAATTTTAAATTATTAAATATTAATAATAAAGAAGAAGATGAAGAAATTAAAATTAATAAAATAAATAATAAATATTTTCCAATTTTAAAAAGAAGAGATTCAAATTCAACAATTTCTTCTTCAACTGAAGAATTAACATCAACAAGTAATACTCCAACAATTACTCAATCACTACTGACTACTTCATCAAATAATAATAACCGAAACTCACTAAATAATAATAATTTACAATCACAATCACAAACTCAAACTGAAAATAATAATTTAATTTCTTCTACAACATCACTGCATATAAATCAAGATTTAACTACTAATAAAATTTCATCAATTTCAAATTCATTAAATAGTTTTTTTACTTCTTCTACTACTCCTTCTTTTTTATCATCATCATCAACAACAGTGTCGTCTATTACTTCAACTAATCAACCAACCTCAACCTCAACAACCCAACCAACGACACAATCTCAACAACAACAATCATCTTCAACTATTGATGATAATTCTGAAAGTTCTATTACTTCAAATACATCTTTAGCAAATCCTTCAACTACATCTATAAATTCAAATTCTAATACAGATACTTCAACAAGTAGTAGTAATACAAATCCTACAACTACCACTACTTCCAGTTCTAACTCAAGTTCAAGTTCATCTAATACTCCTACAACTACTTCACAATCTACAACTTCATCATCTAACACTTCACAAACTACAACTTCATCATCTAGTACATCAGAATCTGATACAATGTCAAATACTACTACTTCATTAATTGAACCAACAAGTACTCAATTATCACAATCACAATCTTCAAGTATTGGTACTACCACTCAATCAACAAGTTCTTCAAGTTCTTTACCTTCTTCATCTTCATCATCATTATCAGGAACTTCATTATCATCAATTAGTAGTGAAAGTTTGAGTTCAAGTTCAAGTTTTCCTGATAGTTCTTCTACTATACCATCTTCTTCATCTTTAATTACAACTTCAAGTTCTAGTTCTTCATTTATTGCACAAAGTAGTTCAATTAGTTCATTTATCGATTCATCATCTTCATCAAGTTTTGATTCATCTTCAAGTAGTGGCGTTGCAAGTTCATCTTCTAGTAATGTACCTTCATCTACGGAAAGTTCAAGTTCATTAGTTTCTCCATCATCAACAACAAGTGATTCATCAATTTCTAGCTCATCAACAGTATCATCTAGTTCAGAATCCAGTTCACAATCATCATCATCTCAATCTTCAAGTTCAGTAGCTGCATTAACCACATCTTCAAGCTCTTCTAGAGCTTCTTCTAGTTCATCAACAAGATCTTCATCACAACCATCTTCAACATCTAGCGCATCCTCATCAAGGGATTCATCATCATCATCAAGTACAACAGATGCTCCTTCTTCTACTACTTCAAATAAACATAGTTCGATTTCATCATTTACTTCATCATATACATCTGTTATAACTAATCCAGATACTACCATTACAACAGTTGTAGCTATTCCAACATCAACTATAGTATCAGCTAATAATAATTCTACATCAGAAAGAAATTCAAAATTAATTGGAGGATTAGTTGGTTCAATTGGTGGTACAATAGTTATAGCTATTTTAGTTGTTTTGTTTCTTTTTTTCAAAAAGAGAAGAAGAAATAATGTTACAAATCAATCACCAGATTTTGTAGGTGGAGGATCAGGTCCAAATAGAGGTAATGTAGATGATGAAGAAGAAGAAGATACTAGTTTAGATGATAAAAATGATCAAATTTATCATGATTCACCCAATGGTGATATGCAACAATCTAAAATGGGATGGATTAAAAGTATGTTTAATAGAGGTGGTAATGGTGGTGAAATTAATTCTTCACATCTGAATTTATTGCCTGGTTCAGGAGGTGGAGGTGGAAGTGGAGGTGGTGCATATTCTGGTACTAATTCAGGTACTGGTGCTGGTGCAACAACTTTGGGTGCAGGTTTAGCAGGTGCTGGAGCATTAAATAAATTTAGATCGTTTAGAAATCCTCAAAAGCAAGAAGACTTGGAAAATCAAAATGGTTATGGATCAATATTAATGAACCACCATCAAATTCAAAAAGAAGATATAAATGATGGATATGCTTATCGTGGAGTAACAAATTCAAATAATTTAGATTCAGTATTTAGATCATCACAACCAACAACAAGTTCAACAGCTCATAATTCATCTATATACCCTAAAAATTCAACTAGAGGTTCTTCTATTTCTGGTTATGGTGGTGGATCATCGTCAGTTAGTGGTAGTGATACTTTTGGAGGAAGTGGAACTATAGTTAATTCAGATAATGGATTTAATAATGGTAATGGTGATAAAAATCAATTACCTACTAGAATGAATTCTTATGGACATCCATTAGCTAGTCCTAATGATTTTAATTTCCAAGAACATCCTTACGTTGCAACTGGAGCTGGTGGATTAACATCTAATCAAAATCAAAATCAACAACAACAACTAGATTCTAAAAAATCAGATCCATCATCAAATTACGACACAGATAATGAACAACATCATGAAGCATCAAGTAGTTCGGATGAAGATGATTTCCATCCATCTGATTATGATGATGAATCATTTATATTACCTAATGATTCTACTCATTATACAAGATTATCATCACATCAAAATCAACCTAAAGAAAATAGAGAAACTGCTAGAAGTGGTGGTGGTCAATTACAAGGTCAAGAATTTGTTGAAAGACCATCTATTCATAATGTATTTGAAAATGATGGATTTGGATCTAATAATTCATTATCTAGATTTCATGAAGATATATCTTAAGATAAATTTGAGATCTTAGAATTACAGCTTCTAGTTTTTATAAAAGTGGGTTTAAGGTGTTTTTGAAAGTGGGGCGGTTTAAAAAATAGCATTAAATTTTAAATTTTAAATTTTTTTTTATTATCATTTTTTTTATTAGTTTGTTTAGGTTTTTTTTTTATTCTTTATTTCGTTAATTTAATTTAAAGTTTATTATTATTTTTGAAAAATATTTTATTATCTTGTAATTTTCAAATTCATCTAAATTATTGATTTTATTACGAGTGAATTGAAACAACCGTATAAGATATAAAAACTAAGCTAGTTAATACCAATTTTTTTTACTTAACTCTAAAAGCAGCCTTTATTTATATTGGTCGTCGAAATACTTAATGAATTGACGATGATTTTGAAAAAATTTTTACAACGGAACTCAACTAGATCAATTCCGTACGGACTTCGTATGGAAATCTAAATTCTTTGAAACGCTCATGGGCGCTTAAAAAAATATTTTAGATTAGGTTTGCAAAAAATGTGTTTCATATTCTTCTCTCGCTTAAAATTTTAAATTATGCTTATTTTAAATTGTTTCAGATTTGTTTATATACTTACATTTTCATATATTTCATAGGTTTCGACATATTAATAGATTTGAATGTGTAGAAGTTTAGCTAAATTTTTTTTTTGTTTAACTGAGTCGTAAATTCAAGGTTGTAAAGAAATCTGAAATTTGTCAAAAAAAGCCGCTTAATTTGAGATTTATGAATTTAACTTTAAAGTTACACCTAAACATCAAGATCCTAAAAGTTTATTTTTTAACTTTTATAAATCGTAGATTATTAACTTTTATAGATCAAACATACAAAACTTTAAGTAAAAAACAAATTAGTATATTCATTAAATCAAAATATATAGAAGAAAGTATTTTTAAAAATAATCTAAAACATCACAAGAAAACTAAGAATTGAATAAAAAGCAGCATATAAAAAACATATAAAAAAAATAATAAATTAGTTAAGCAACAACAAAATCATTAATCATCATTGTTTTGACCACCTACACTAGTCACTGTATTTGTAGCGCCACTTGAATTGGTTGGATTAGTTGAGTTCCATTTTTGCTGTGGTTGTTGTTGATGTTGATGTAATTGATGCATGTTATAATAAGATTGTTGTTGTTGTTGTTGAGGATAAGAACCATGAATATATTGTTGATTATTTGTTGTGTTGTTATTTGGACCAATAGTTGGAATTATTGAAGCACTTGAAGAATTTGAATTTGGTTCATATTCATTATTCTGGGAATTAATTGAAGTTATTGAATTTTGCTGTTGGGGTGGTGGCGGTGGTGGTTGATTTTCATTATTATTATTGTTATTTATCCATTGTTGTTGATTGTTATTTTTAGTAGACTTTGTTGTTGGTAATTTTCCTGAACTCAATGAATTTGTTGCGCTAGTATTACCTGTAATTTGACTTAAATTTCTTGAATTATTAGAAGATATACTTGAATTTGTAGTTGGAATACTTGATAAACTTGTTTGATTAGATGATGGAATAGAATTAGATGATGGTATAGAATTATGATATATTGAATTATTATTGTAGTTTGAATATGGATCATTACTATTGTTGTATGGATAATTTGAGTATTGTGGTGGTTGTGGTAAGCCTACATTTGAAGGAGTTGAATTTGCTTGTTGTTGATGATTATTATATTGTTGTGGACTCATATTATGATAATGTGATGGATATAACTCTTGTGGGTTGGAATTTAATTGATTTTGTTGTTGTGGTTGCGGTTGTTGCTGTACGTATGAATTATATTGTGGAATATGATTGAAAGGTTGATCTAATGAAGGTTGATTTTTTGATTTTGGTTGTTGATTATTATAGTTATTTACATATCCAACAGTAGGTACTTGATGTTGTGAACCACTGAAAGGATTTAAAAATGTAGTTTCTCCATTATTATTATTTTGTTCTTCTTCTCTTTTATGATGATCTGATATTGGCATATATTGTTGTTGTATTGGAGCACCATTATTATATTTTGGATATCCTAATCTTTCTTGTACTTGTTGTTGTTGAGGAGATTGTAATGAATGTTGTTGAACTTGATGATTTAATGGTGGATGTTGATTAGCTTGTTGTTGTTGTTGTTGTAAATGTGACATATTTTGTAATTGATAATTACCATCAAGAAAATAAAATGCTTCATCTTCATTTGGAATTTTCCCACCTAAAGAACTATCTTTTACTGCATTCCATAAATTTTGAGAAAGATTTATATTAATTAAATCATATTCTGAAGGTCTTTGTAATTTACCATTCATTACTTCTTGTGCATTATAATAACTTATTAAATGTATAGTTTGTTGTTCATTTAGCTTATTAAGGTGTAAATCTCTTGTTTTTGTAGTTAATGATAAAGTTTTTTTAATTAATCCTTGATCTTTAAAAACATATGATGTAACTAATGGACCACTTAATAAACCTTTGTTATAATCAGAACTACTATAACTATTTGATGCTGGAATTGTATTTGGTGGTATTATTCCTAAAGTTTGATTTTGGTTGTGATTTGAATATTGTTGTTGTTGATGTTGTGGTGGTGGTGGTTGCAAATTATTAGTATTTTCATCATTATAATTATTATTGTTACTTATTTTTCTTTTTTTCTTCTTTTTATCATCTTTATCATCTAATGAATTTTTATCTAATTCTCTATAAACCAAAAATCTTCCCAAGATTCTAGAAGGTGACCAAGCTGTACCATCAGTCCATCTTTTTATACCTGATTGTTCTTCAATAAATACAAAAACATTTCCTGATTTTATTAATTCTTGTCGTTCTCTTTCATGAGGTCTTCTAGAAACTAATTCTAATTTTTTATCTAATGCTTCTTGAATAATTAATAATGCATCTTTAGTTGATCCAACATATCCATGATAAGTTGGATTTATTTTTGCAGCTGACATACTTTTGTAAAATTATACTTTTTTAAATTCTAATTTTATTTTTTTCTTTTTTGTCACAATATTATAATTTATATTTTATTATTACCCTAAAAATTAAAAAGTACTTAAATTTTTAAAACACTGAAATCACTACCAAATATGTTTTGAATAATTAAAGTAGTTGGTAATGCAAGTTGATTAAATTAATGAAAATTGTAGTAGGAACTAAGATTCTGATTTTTAAATAGGAGTAAAATTTCAGAAATTTTAACTTTTTCAATATATTTATATAATTGTGAAATTTTAAATTTATAAATTTTTTAAATTCTTAAAAATTAATTTCAAAACAACCCTTAATAAAAAATTATTATTTATTTACTTTTGAAAATTAAATATTATTTTAAAGTTATCAATTGACGGATTATTTCCCCGAATTGTTATACCAAGATAAATATGTTAATAATTATAATTGTATATAATTGAATAATTTAAATTTTACTAATTTTGTAAATAAAAAATTATATTATAAATTTATTTTTTCTTTATTTTGACATATATTTTTTCAAAAATTATTATATTTCACTCTAAAACAAAATCAATTTGGTATCTGATGAATGTGATAATTTTTGATTAATGAGAGTAAAATGAAATAATATTTTTTAAAAACAATAATGGATATGTGAAGTATATGAGGTGTTCTGGAACAATTGAATTATAATTATTTGAACTGAATTTTCTTAATTAATGACCCTAAATGATATTATCTCTATAATAATCAATTTTGAATAGTACTATTAGTAAAATAATTTGTAGAAAATATATGCAAATAAGCCCTACTAAGAATGAATTGATACGATGATAATGACTCCTTTAATTTAAAGAAAACTTTTGTTATTAAAATTTGTTGTTGATACTTTTCTTTGCTTTGTATTGATAAAATAAGACAAAAAAAAACTTTAATTATGTATGAATAAATTGATGGTTTGATAATTAATAAAATTCAACAACGAAAACTTAATTGATAAAATAAGGTGATTTAAACTTTATCAGTAAATGTATGATAATTGGTAAATTTAATAATGAATTGTGAATACGTTTTATAAATATGATAAATTGATTTGATTGATAAAATGATAATAGTATAAATTAATTTACTTGAATCAAATTTTTATTAGTGGATCATAATAATAATAATAATAATAAATGATAATATAATATTACAATTACGTGAATAAATAAATTATTAAAATAATGAACTTTGATTCTTGGTATTATTACTTAATGATGTTGTTGATAATTTATATATATTCTGAAGTATGATTGAATTATTCTATAAATTGAATTTTTGGTTGTAAAACTTTTATATACACTGTACTATATTTATAATTACTATGATTTACTTTATTAAATAATTTTAAATGATAGTATTGATTTATTTGATTAACTTGTTTATTATAATATTATAACTAAGTTTAAAAAAGTATTGATATAAGGTACAATTGTAATTGATATTTTAAAACAATTCAAAATTAAAGTTGTTGATGTTGATTTTTCTATAAATATTGTTGATAATAATAATAGAAAACTTGAAGATAGAAAATTTTTTGAAAAAAAGAAGAAAAATTAAAGTTTTTTTATAAATTAACTTTTGAAATTAAAGTTTGTTAAAAAGTTAATATTCTTACAGTTAATTAAAAAAGTTTAAAGTTTAAATTTCAAAAGTTTAAAAGTTTAAATGTTTATTTAACAAAAACTTTCAATCTGTTTCTATTATTCTAATTATTAAAATTATATCGATTTTAACATGATACCGATTGGAAATATATGTAATAAATGTTAAAAAAAATGGAAATATAAATTTTTCAAGGATATGTAAATCAGATCGAGTAAGACATAAGTATGTATAATATATGTAGTTTTAATTAATCTCTCACAAACTACAACTGAAATTTTAATATATACAAATAATTAATAATAAGTCATACAAAATCGAAATAAAAATAAAAAATAAATTCTGTTTGTGTAACATCGACTAAGAATTTAAAGTTTTTTAAAATTACAAAAACATTTAAAAAACTTTAAAGTTTAAAGTAAAAGTAAAATGAAAAAAATTTTTAAGTAATTCTGAAATTCATCTTAACGAATATCTTTTAATCTTGCTAATAATAAATTAAATTATTTGTTGATTACTAATTTAAAATTTAAAAAAAAAAGAGGAGTAATTTAATTATCAGTTTATTATTAGAAGTGATAAATTAAATTTGTTCAAGGGAGTATTAGGTTTATAAAAAAAGTGACACCATTCGGATTTATGCAAATGATTCAAAAAATTTAAATATAAATCCTTAGATGTATCTTACATAAAATTTTAGAATAAGTTATAAAACCAAAAGTATATACTTTGTTTCACTTATTTTGATATATTTATGATGTTTTAAAAATGGGGGTGTAATTTTGATAATTTTTATTTAAAAAAATAGAAGCAATGGTGTAAAAAATTAAATCAAAATTAGTCATTTTGTGTAATAGTAATTGTGTGCAGTACGCTTACAACTACTATTAACTGAAAATAGTAATTAATACATTTACGAAACTAACTAAAATTAAAATTTTAAAAACTTAATTTTAACTTAAAAAAGTATATATATTTTTTTTTTAATTTCTATCAACCTACCAATTTCAATTAATTTTGAGTTAAAAGCTAACAAAGTTTTTTGATTCGAGAAAATTTAAAATGTATAAGGTTTTATAATTGATGATAAGTCCTTAATAATTTATTGATTTTTAGCCCTATATTTGAGCGTAAAATTAAGCTATAAACTAATAAATTACGATACTTTAAATTTTAACATATGCAAAAATATAGTCACAGATCTAAATTTATAGATCTTTCATAAATAATTGTTGCATAAGATACGTATAAACTGTTAGTAAATATTGAAGAATCTATGACAGATTTTCTTCTAGTACTTTTATTGGTAAGACCAAATGAAGAAAATACTATAAAGTACATTGTAATAAAAAAAAAATAATGTCTTAAATTTGGAAGGCAAAAAATGCTGAAAGATAAAAATTAAATTTGACAGTATAAAAAATTAGAATCACAAAATTAAATCCCTTTTAAATTTAAAGTTTAATAAGTAAAATAAATTAAAAAATAAAACGTTTATTTTACTCCAATTTTTTTTTCTACTATCTAAATTATTGTAAATTTAATAATGCATATGATTTTGTATTTTTATTCATCAATAAATCAAATAAAATAGTTTATCAATACCTAGCAACATAAGAAATTAGAAAACTTGTTTTAAATATTGGGCCTTTAAAACTTAATCAAATGTGAGTTCGGTAATAAGAGTATGTATTAACAAATGAAAAGTCTATTACAAACAAAAAAAAAATTGATGTTCTACATGTATAACTCGATTTATTTAATTTTCAAAAGAATTCAAAACCTAAAAGTTAAGAATCAATCTTTAACTTTCTTCGGAACTATGTTTTTTTTGATGTATGTTTCTCACTGCCCAAAAATATTAAGTACTCTTACAGGGGTTTTTCTTCGAGAAAAAAAAAATAAATTGTAAACGAATTATCCTTCACAAATTTATTCTCACTTTTTCTTTGGTTCTTTGATGTTCGAAATTTTGGATGATTCATGCACCGCCACAAAATTTAGAGTCTCGATGTTCTAAAATCGGTCTTTCAAAAGTTTAAAGTGTAACTTGGTTCCAAGTTAGTATAGAATGGCAGGAACTATTTGCCATCTTTATGCTTATAATAAACTACATTTTATAGCCGATGTCTTGAATGGGCTTATACAACAAAACTAAAATATGAACATTAATTTCATACATATTGATATAAGAGCTATGATTGTAAGTAATCTCTAAATGCATAATCAATCACTATGAACAATAAGATAATTACAATAAGATATTTAATTTTATGCAAGAGTTAGTTGATCAAAACTAATCGTATTCTATTCATCTACTTATGCAAGTGATATGTTCTCTACATGAATTATTATTTCCAAAATATTAATTCAAACTAGTGCAACTAGTGATATATCAACAATTAAGCTTTAAACTTTTAACTTTTTAAGAAAATTTTAAGGTTATATAAAAATTCTAAATTTTGGATTTAATTTTAAAGTTTCTATAAAAAAATACAAACTTTTAACACAGAAACTTTAAAAATGAGTATATCAGCTGATTTGGAAAGGTTATTTTAGTTGGTCTTTTATAAAGTTTAAATTTAATTAAGGGGTATGCTTTACATGATCTGGTGTTTTTAGTTTTGTTGTGATGATATTGGTTTTTAGTTTTCATTGTTGGTTTGTTATCGTATATTAAATTTAACTTTTTAGTTTGAAACAATAAATTTTGACGTATTTTTTTTAATAAAGTTTAGATTCAAAGTTTTGAGCCAGTATGGCATATTAACAATTTGGAGTATTTAATCTCATTGGACTTGATGTCTCAATATGAACATAAAATATAGTAATTCTAATTTCACTAAACTGTAAGTTACTTGTTTACATAATTATTTTGCAACATAGTCACAAAACCCTAATTAAAAACGTAAAGGCGATACTTTACTTGGCTCAAGAATTGCAAGGTTGTATTGAATAAAAAATATAAACAAGTCATCTTTAATTTTCGCGTTTATTACAACATAGAGTTATAATTTTTCAATAACACGAGTTCTATGAAGAACGATCTAAACTCTAAGGCATATCGTATCAGGTTGAAAATAGATTATGATACGAGTGGTACGAAGCTCTCAAACAAATGCAAAATACGACAACATCTGCCTAGTTTTTTAAGTAAGTGTGACCTCAGCAGTTCATGAGCCAGCAAGCTTTTACTTAGCGCTAAACTTCAATTATGGCTCAAATTGTAAATTTATTTATTCAAAGAAATACCTGACAATTTGTGATGAATACATTAATTTCTACTGAAGCGATAATCAGCAACCGTAGTACAATAAATCTTTTAATCAGGTTGCAAGATTTAATTTTACGAAATTTTTGATTTAGCAATTAATATCTCCAATGTGGCTAAACTTTCACTGTCTTTGTAGATTTTTAGATTTTCAACTTCAAGCGAGGTCTCTTAAAAGAAAGTTTATCAGATTTATTTCAATATACTTTTAAGGGGAATTTAAAGTAGATGACATGTTTCAGGTACTAATCTTAACTTTATACCTTGATTTGGTAAATTTAGAATTAAGTTATATTTTGATATTATTTTTGCAAGTAAACTTTTTGTTACAGTTTCTAATTTTAATTTTTGTTACAACCAAACATGGTACAAAGAGAAAAAATAAGAACTAGAACTGAAAATTGAGAGCTCTGAAAAAAGGTAAATTCTTCTAAATTTGCTAATTTAATAATAATTTAAGTTTGTTTAAAGGTTTTTATTAGTTTTTCCAAACTTCGATAATATGCCATTTGTAGTTAATCTTCAAAAAACTTAAACTGATGCTTTATACTTCCCTTAAGAGGTAAAAAATGAATTCAGCCCCCTTAAACTTAAATTTTTTAAGGTACCAAAAAAATTTTTTTTTAGCAGCTAAACATTAACATAAGCGGATTTGCAATATATTAGATTTTGACGTCACCAGATATGCTATGTGTCAAAAGAACAAAGATGTTGCAATTATAATTCAATGAGTTTGACGTATTGAGTTACAAAGCTGCTAATCAGAAAACTGTTAGATCTATTTCGAATTTTTGTGGGTAATTTTTTTTTTTTTTTTTTTTTTGTAACAGTAAGTATGGATATACAGTTTCAAACCAGAACAAGCAAATTACACACATTTACTTGCACTCGAGGGCTTTGAGTTTTGTAAAACTTTTAAGTAAGCACCTACATTTACTCAAAATGGTACCACAATGATATTATCAATCCACTTACTAAAAATCAAATCAAAGAGATAATGAATACAATACACAAACAATTTAAAGGTATAAGTCTACAAACACTTACTGCATTAAAACATCAAGGAGGATTTGGACTCTTAGATTTAAATCACCAATTAATTGGAGCCAGAGCAAAAGTAATAGGACAGTTATTATTAGATAACACCAATTGGAACTACATTATATGGAGGAACAAAATTCAAAAAGTAGTGGAAGAAACATGGACTACAAATTACAATCACGAATCACAAGAGTATACAGGACCATTATGGTATGATTTCTTAACTTCAGACCTAGAACTAGATCCAACAACAAACATCAAAAAAATAATTAATGATTCTCAACATTTAAATGATTATGAAAAGACATGCCTTCACTCATGGTTTCACCTAACGAAAAAGATAAGAAAAGGAGAAATTACTACCACAACTTACACACAAGAAGAAGCTCAAAAACTAATTAATGAAGGTCGACCACCCACTCAAATAGATTTAGATTTATTAGACAAGACCTTTTTTCAACAACAATCTCGGAAACATCAACTTACAAGTAGATCATGCCTCATACCAAAGGGATGGAGTAGAGAATTACATTACCAAGAAGACCAATGGAAAACATTTTTTAAGAAATTAAATGAAGCTAAAAATGAATACCCCTACGACTTAGATTTTTATCACAAATTTAACCTCGGTTTATTCAGATACCATACAAGAGAAAGAATAAAATGTACTCAATGTGGTCAATTATTACCTGCAAGAGCCTATAACACACATCAAACTTTCAAATGTCGCTATTCAAATATTATTTGGCTGATAGCAGGAGCACGAGAACTTCGACTTAGACTGAACCATTTAATATGCAACTCCGACCTAACACCAATTCAAATGATTAAATCAAACAAGTACCTAAAAATATTATTTAAAGTATCCGCATATCGACGATCGAGGCCGGAAAGTGATGAACTTTCCGACGAAGAATTTAAAAAAATGGTACTTAAANGTTACAGACAAAAGCTGCCTTACAACAATGATATAAAGCTGAAATTTTCAATGATGAATCAAACGACTTAAGCGCATTAAGGTAACAAATTGATACTTGATCGTTAAGATAAAGCCGGTAGAGCCGTTACTGGTGCTTTTTTATCAAAAGATTCTCTTGAAAGCTAGATCGATATGTGAATCGAGGTTTTATTTTTAAAACAAAAATTTTTAATGGACATGGTATCCGTTGCGTTGCTTACTTCGTTTTTTTGAAATTCATTGAAGTCAGTGCGAGTTGGTTTTATACTAATCAATGACTAATTTTGAGTGTAATTTGTATATGGAACTTGAGGTCTAGTTTATTATTTTTTGGTTGAATAACTGAAGTAAGATTACTTTTATGATGTTGGTTTTTCAAAAACTCTACAACGCGAATTAATTACTAATATGCTCCATAGAATAGTTCAATTGCCATATTTCGAAGTAGGAAAATGTGAATTGAGTTTTGCTCAAGCTGATGTGCTGTTTCAAAAGTTTTTTATTTTGATCTGTCTTTTTCAGAGAGTAAACTAGTGAACTAACTTACGGATTGAAACAATTGAACAAAACAAGAAAGATCAGTTTAATTCTACGCGCATTTGATTATTATGTCAGTTTTGCACCAATTTCCTAAAATTCTGTAACGCGATATATTTTTATCTGACACAGATTTGTTATCAGTATAAATTTTATGTAGTACATAAAAAAAGATGCAAATAAAATTCAAATTTTGAACTTTAAATAAGGTTTAATTAATTAATTGTACTCACCAATTTTTGGTGTTTAAAACACCATACTACTCAATAATGTCAAAACCAGATAAACCATTATTAGTAACAATTGAAGATTTAACACAATTAAGAGCCAACATATCACAATTTCAAGCAACTTTTAAATCAATATGTGAGAAAGCACCAACTGTTGAATTATATGAATATTATTTAAAACTAGCGAACACACCAGGGGTTACAAATGAAGCAGTTAGTACAATAGATAGATTGAAAGGAGTGATTGAAACACCTCAAATCAAAGTAGCAGTCAGAATTCGTCAATTAGCAGAAGCTAAAAAATTAATATTTTTATCTGGATTAGTTGATGTTAACTTTAAAGCAGCAGCAGGTACTGATCAATCATTAGAGAAATTTTTAGATATTATTCCTGACGTTGATGATGAAACTAAAAAACTATTGAAATTCGATCAAAACAAAACAAAATTATCAACTGATTATTATTCATATCCACCAACTTTACCATTAATTACAAATGAAATATTATTAGTTAGAATAAGTACAGATAAATCGTATAGAAGAATAAGTGATTTTGTTGAATCATCGTCTTCTAAATACAATAATTCACATAATGGGAAATTAGCAAATAAAGGTAGATCAATTATGGATTTTTTGTTATTAGAAATATTAGAAGAAAAATTACCAAATTTATATGAAACTGATTTAGTCGTTATAAGAAACAGACTAATGTCACCTGAACAGTTGGCAAAATTTGCATTTGGATATAACTTAGTTGACTCAATGAAGTATAATTTATCATCAGATGCTAATCTTGAAGAAAAAATGGTGGTTTGTGGGAATATATTCTTGTCTTATATAGCTGGTTTATACATGGAAAATTATGATCTAAAAGAGATTAACTTGTGGTTGAAAAAATTATATGAACCATTGGTTGTTGATTTGAAAGCAACAACAACTCCAGTTTCAAAAATTGCATTAACTGAATTAGAAAATTTGTTTAAATCAATAACAAATTTAACAAAATTACCATTTGATAATGTTAAATATGAGATAATTGAAGTCCAACCAGATCCTCATGTTGTTCACGTTTTAATTAATGAAGAAGTATTAGGAGTAGGAGCATCAAGTGTAACTTTTGAAGATGCAAAAGATCGTGCAGTTCTAGATGTTATGGATAATCAAAAGAATATTAATAGAATTTTTTCAATAATGAAAGAATGTTATATGAAGAATAGAGGTGAATTAACTACAATTGATCATACTACACAAACTCCATCGGCTGAAGAACTACATGATAACTATCCTAATCAACATCAATATCGTTCAAATAGCTTTAGTGACGCTAATTCAACTCCAATTCAATCATATGCATATGCACATCCTCAACAGCAACAACAACAACAACAACAACAACAGCACATGTATCAACAAGACCTAAGATATTCACTACAACAATTGCCTCCTCAAAATATGGGATATCAAAGAACTTCACCACCATCAATGCCAAGATATGGTCAACAACCTGCATACCATCAACCTTCACCACCACAGCAACACCAACAACAACAATATCAAATGCCAAGAACCTCACCTCCAAATTCGTATCAACAAATGAATACTCCAATGAATAATTTCGGAGTACCAGAAGTGAATGCGTTTAATAAACCAATAACTTGCCCCAAAGTTCCATTATCAGTAAAAGATATAGATATGCAAGCAAGAAATGATTTATATGCAAAATTGGGACCATTACAACTAAAAGCTGATTATGAAGTAAATCAAATTGGTTTTGAATATCATACATTATGTTCATGTAAAGGAATACAATTAGGATTTGGAGTTGATACAAGTAAACAAAAATCTGGTCAAAAATCAGCTATGGGTGCATTAATGAATCATGCTGCTTTACATGAGTTAGGAGTTTCGATTCATTAAGTTTAATATTCAATACGGCTATATAATAATGGAATATTTAACGAAAGCATTAATTACATACTAAATATTAATGGTGGCATGTGTCTTAAATTTTTTACACAAAAACGTCATGACTTTTTTTTTTTCAATAAATTATTTAACCAATCAAAATATTTAAAATTTATTATATAAAGGGTCAAATTTATTATTAATAAAAGTTAAGTGTTTCAAGTTTTTTATATTAGAATTTTGCTATTATTTTTGTTGCAAATGATTATGAAATGATCATTTAATACCCAGTATTTGAACGATAAGATAATCACACTTTCTCGGGGTTATTTTGATGTATTATTATCTTATGCCCTAAGGTATTATAATAAATTGATCCAACGTTTCTTGATTAAAAATACTACTAGTTTTTCTTTTTTTCTTTCTTTTTTATTATGATAATTCTATATAGTTAAAATTAAAGAGTATTCAGTGTTTGTACTATTGTACTATTTATATTAATATTAAAAATTATAATAAATTATTTTGATTAATAAAAAAAAAGATTACTTGAAAATTTTTATCAACCAATTAATTTTTTTATACAGATCTTTCTTTTTTCTTTTTACAACTTGATCTAATAATTCATTATTAATCACAATTAATACATATATATATTCATAGATAGATAAGATGTCTGCCAAACAAACTACCAATTATAAATTACCAGAATATACTTTAAAAGATTATGCTTCATTTGCTTTAGCAGGTGCAATTGGTTGTGGTGTAACTCATGGTGCTATGACACCAATTGATGTTGTTAAAACCAGAATCCAATTAGAACCACAAGTTTATAACAAAGGTATGCTTGGTACTTTCAAACAAGTTATTCAAACTGAAGGTGCTGGAGCTTTATTAACTGGTTTTGGTCCAACTGTTTTAGGTTATTCATTACAAGGTGCTTTTAAATTTGGTGGTTACGAATTCTTTAAAAAACAATTTATTGAATATTTAGGATATGATACTGCTAAAAAATACAAAAATTCCATTTTCATTGGTTCATCAGCTTTAGCTGAATTTTTTGCTGATATTGCTTTATGTCCATTAGAAGCTACAAGAATTAGATTAGTTTCTCAACCATCATTTGCAAATGGTTTAGTTGGTGCTTTTTCAAAAATTTTAAAAGAGGAAGGTGTTTCATCATTCTATAATGGTTTCACTCCAATTTTATTCAAACAAATTCCATATAATATTGCTAAATTCTTAGTTTTCGAAAGAGCTGCTGAAGCTATTTATGGTGCTATCCCAACTCCAAAATCTCAATTATCAAATGGTGCAAACACTGCTGTTAACTTAGGTGCAGGTGTTATCGCTGGTTGTGCTGCTGCTATTGTTTCTCAACCAGCTGATACTTTATTATCAAAAGTTAACAAAACTAAAAAAGCTCCAGGTCAATCAACTGTCGGTTTATTAATTCAATTAGCTAAACAATTAGGTATTAAAGGTTCATTTGCTGGTTTACCAACAAGATTGGTTATGGTTGGTACCTTAACTTCATTACAATTCACCATTTATGGTACTTTGAAAAAAGCTTTACATTGTCCACCAGGTGTCGAATTATAAGTTTAATTACAATTACTACAAATAGAATATAAAAACTTCCAATTTATAATTTGATAGAAAACAATAATCAACTATTCTTCTATTTAATTACTTTTTACTTGTGTTTATTATATAGATATTTTTACTTTTTAAAGAATTAAATAAATTTTAAATTTGTACATTAACATTTACATTTGATGTAGGGCATAAACGTTTTGATAATAATTTTGATGTGAAAAATTGATAATGATTTCTCGGCCGATCAGCTGAAAAAAAAAATAGGTCTCGGAAAAATTAGGATCAAAAAGTCATGTGACTATACACGTGTTTTGATTTCACATTATGATGTCATATCGAAAAATTAAATTAGCGATTTTCTATTTTAAATTTAGTCATCTTTAGACCATTCAAAATGGCTAAAATCAAGGCAAAAAGCTCATCAACGATCAATAAAAATTGAGCCCAATAACTAGAAACAAATTACTTATTATGCTTTCAATTTGCACTTTAGCTGCCTGTCATAATATTCGTAAATCCTTATCAATGAAGTAGATAATCAAAGTAAAGCCAATGAGTTACCAAAAAGATGCAAACTCATTAATTGACCGTTTTACGAGATATACATTGGAATATTAATGAATTATTGTGAAGGTGAGATAGACAAGAAAAATTAAACGTTTGAATGAAATTGCAAAATTTAATTTAACAGAATTCAACAGAAATCAAATTTTAAGATGAATTGCTCATCTCTTTATAATTTACAATTTACTCTAAGGCTAATTTTATCATTTTTAATTCGAATTTAAAAGATAACCAAAAATAACCTTCTTGTAAGAGTGGGGTGACGCTTTGTTGTGCTAAGTTTCGGGCTCAGTAGTTTGATTGATGATTCTGAATAATTGCTAATCGCTAAATGTCTTTAAAATTTTGTTCGATCGGTTATAAATAAATTCCAGGGAATATAATTTTCGTGTTGATGAGATCTAGACATTTGAATCTAAGGTCTTTAAAGGTGTTCCATAGTATTAGAGAATATTTAAATTTAGCAATTAATTATCCAAAAAGAGGAAGAATCGGAATAAGAGAATGTATTCATTAGTGTGGAAAGTATACAAAATATAATTTAGTAGTGAGACATTAAAAACATTCGTATAGAAAATTTTCATACATTATCAATTTTTTCACATTTTATAATTGCGTACGTTTTTATTATTCAAATTAAATTTCATACATGAATAAATTACCATTTTTGTAAGAATTATCAACTATTTAGATTTGATTTGGATCCGATTTGTATAATAACAATACACAATATCAATGTAGATTCGGTTAAAATTAATTTCGATTCATTCTTTATGGTTTGCTTTCAGATTACAAATAACTATCATGAGTTAAGAAACAATAAAGATTTTTGGGTCCAACATTTCTCTCGATTTACCACTTAGCCACTTCTTCAACGTTAATTTACATAATTTGAATTGGTTTAAGAAATATTAATTAAAATTCTGACGAGACATCCGAAATCTGACTAATTGTATCTTGTTAGATCTCATTCAGTTCTTCTCCGTTTTGAGCATAGAATCTTAAAGTTTTGGATAGTTTTAGAAGGCTATGGTTTAGATGAAACGACAACTTTTTCACATATTTAACAAAAAATCAATTTTGTATTCCTAAATTGCCTTGATTGCTTTAAATTTTATTGACTTTTTAATTTTTATTTTTTCTTTATTTTTCTTTTATTTTTATTGCAAAAAAAACCCCTATAGTAAAGTTTTAAAACTAAAATAGTATGACATTTATATACACAAACTTTAAAAAGCTATACATTTTTAATTAAGTTTAGTAATTATGTATATTGGTTATGTTTCGATTACTTTATTTTTTTGATAGATGACCTAAATGATTGCAATGATTATAAATATACTGAAAAATTCCCAGTATTTCCCAGTATATGACTTTCTCGAAATTTTTTCTTTCTCTAGTATTTCAAGAAACAACGGACTTTCAATTCATTAATTTACAATGCAATTCTTCACTACTTTATTAGTCACTGTTTACTGTTTAATCTTACAAGTTTCAGCTGCTCCAGTTGAAAAAAGATGGCTTTCACCATCATCACCAACCTTTTCCTTAATTGCCATTCATAAAGGTTCAAAATTTTCATCAAACTTAGTTAAATTTAATGGAACTGCAGTTAAATTAGGTTCTGATGATAAAGCTTTCTTTGGTACCATTGAAGCTGACAAAGGTTATATTTTAAACTTACCATTAACTAACGGTTCAAATTCATCATCACCAATTGACGTTGTTGTTTCAAACAGTTCTCATTTAGTTTCAACTACTACCAAAAACGGATCAGCAAGTGAACATTTCGGTATTAAAGATGGTTGGTTATCTTTCTTAAACTCAACTCAATTTTTAGCATGTCCAGAAATTGCTAGTTCAAATAAAACTTCAAACTCATCATCAAATTCAACTGGTGAATATGATTTATATTCTAATCCATTAAACAAAACTAAATGTCCTTCTGGAAAAGGTTATGATGTTAAATTATTAGTTCAATTATCAATTCCAATTTCTTTCTCACCAGAAGATAATTCATCTGGTTTTTTCAAAAGAAACAACATCTTTAAATCATTAGCTCAAAAATTATTTTAAGTTTGAGATATTATATTAGATACTATGTGCTAATATAATAAAAGACTATAGTTTCCTTTACTAAAATTTCAATTTCGTCACGTTGTTAAAATTTATAATTTAATCTTAATTATTATTCTTAATTTTAATTTTTAATTTTTTGATACCAATTTATAAAATGCTTTTAATTTTTTCTTTTAATAGTTTGAATATACAGAGTTTAAAAAGTGTTTAGTTTATCATTGTTCGTGGATTTGAGCATTCTTTCCGTAAATAAGAGTTCGTGTTGGTTGAAAGTTGTAATTTGCTTGATGCTCTTTTAATTATTTCAAAATTCTATTTATTTTGCAACACTTTTGACACAAGTTTAATTATATGCACTCCAAAACTTTTTTCTACATATTTTGTAACTCTTCTCATAAGTGAAAGTAAAGTCAGATAAGTTCACCAATAGCAAATAGCATTAACAATGGCTAGACCCGCTCATAAGTCAGAGGAATACGTAAATGATTCTGATCTTGATGACTCAGTGTCAGATGAAGAACCACAAGAATATCAACCACCAAAAAATTACAATAAAATATCTACATCGTCATCTACAAAAAATTTATCAAAATTAAAAGATAAAGAAATATGGTTAATAAAAACTCCTAAAAATTTCCCATTGGAGAAATTGAAAACTTTACCAATCACATTCACAAGAAATAGAGCTTCCGAAACTTTTAACATAAACGGATCATCCTACCAATTTGATGAAGAATTAATTTCAACTAACGATAAAACTAAAATCATACCAGAAGAAATAAACAACAAGCATAAAATATTCATAAATAAGAAAGATAATTACAAACCTATAGATTCAGATTTTGCACGTTTCTACAATCTAAAAGAAGTAGTATCAATACCTCAAATTGACTTCGATAAAGTAAGAATACCAAGAAAAGATGTTCCCAAGTTAAAAAAATTAAGAATGAGACATTACCCAACAGGTTACGACCAAAAAGACTTTGACGTGTATGACTCATCATCATCAGATGGAGAAGGTGCAGCAATAGATAGAATTATAGATGAAAATGATGAAACTGTTGATAAAACTTTGAAAAAAGCAAAAGTTGATGTGGAGGGGAAACATAAAGATACCGCTAAGACCAATGAAGCAACTGAACATCACCATCATAAACAGAAGAAGGATAAAAAGGATAAAAAGGATAAGAAAGATAAAAAAAAATCAAAAAAGGATAAAAGTTGATAGAATAAATAGATACTTATAGTAATCTAAAACGATTGATGCATCTCAACTAAGCTTCTAAGACTTGAATCTCTACATTATTATTCTCTTGAGATATTTAACGGTTACTTTTCATATATCATCGTCTTGGTAGGTAATCTTATTTGAATCTACAAATACGCAAAACTTTAAAGTATGAGTAGAATTAGAGCGCAATAAAAAAGTCACTAGTTCCAGAATCACCTTGATCTAGCACATCATTCGAAAATATGGGCTCATCAGCTTCTAAACAAAGTGGGAGAAAGCTAGCAAAAACAGTTACTGAAAATGCCACTAATTCCATAAAGAGAAGTAATGTCAACCCCTTGCAAAACGTGCAGCAGAATCAACAACAACCTCACCAGCCAACACAAACTGAAAATCTAAACCATCATCTTAATACTCAATCAAATACATCAATACCGATGAATAATGCTACAAGTACTCCAGATGAAAGCTTGAATCAAAATGAGACTGCGTTCAGAGCCAATACTTCTGCATCATTTGATCCTAAATTTTTGCATAAGAAACTAAAAAATCAGCATCACAATTTACAACTGCAGCAACAACAAATACAACAACAACCAAGTCAGTCCGATCCGGAAGGAAAAGACGGTGGTGATCCTCATGAATTAGGAACTTCGACTTACGATAAAACTTTCGTCAATTCAATAAATCAATTAGGTAAACAAATCAAAACGATAGAATACAATCCAACAAATGATCAAAATGCATTAGTGTTAAAACAACTACGATCAAGAAGAAAATTGTTTGAATTAGGAGAGGAAGAAAATAGAAAGCAAATGGAACAAGAACCGAATTCAGAATCACTTCAAAAAACAATGGTGAATCCTCAGACCTTAACATCAATTTTAAAAGATTTAAAAGATCCAAGAGTTGATAATAACACTATACTACAAGATTATCAATTAGAACCTAACTTTTTGTCAGGGTTAGAAATATTCCAAGTCCCTACAAATGTAGTTGAATTTGAAGAAGACACCAAGGAAGATGAAATGGGTCATAAACCAAAATCTTCGATTTCTAAGACGAGAAAAATGGATTATGAAGTTGAAGATGAGAATGAAAATGAGATTGTTGATAATTCAACTTACAGAAAATTAAAAAAGAGAATCAGTATAGATGATTAATTAATTAAGAACCATTATTTGTTCTCCTTTTGTTTCATCTTTGTTTTAGCATACTTGACAACCACCACTAAAAATTTGTATATAGACGTAGCTTTTAATTTACAATCATTATTTATTCGAATGTTTCCACTTTATCTTATTCTCTGTAATATGAATATCAAAAATCAACTTCTACATAATAATGAATAAGACCAAATTGATAAATAAAAATCTGGGGTCCAAACAATTAAACACAAAACCAATTTTATATTCAATACTAATTTTATATTTAATTTCAGTATTTGCATTACATTTTTATAATAAATTTATATTAGAATTAGAAGCATTAGAACCAATGCCACCACCAATTACAAAGAAATTAACAACAAAAGAAGTTGTACAAATCTTATCTAAATACACTCCTTGTGACGTATCAGACTCATTAAATCAACATGGTATAAAAAATGGTGGTTTCATACCAAATTTAGTTAACCGATCACCGGTATTAACAAGTCATTCAAAACAATCAGCCGTAGGTAAAGCTTATACTGTATTATATGCACTAAAATCAGATCCAAGACCAGCTGTTAAAGAATCATATATTGATCAAGTGCCAGAAGATTCCATAATTTTAATTGGTCTACCATTAGATTTACAATTAACAAACGCACCGTATCAAAAAGTAAATAACGCTTTATATGGAGGTCTAATGTCAACAAGAGCTCAGTATAGAAAAGCAAATGGGTCCGTTATTTTAGGTAGAATAAGAGATTTGGATGAACATAATGATTTAAAGTATCCAGTCTGGTCTTATGGAGTAGGTACAAGTGCTCCTGGTCCGTTATTAAAAGTTGTTGGTATAAATGTTCCAATTGAAATTAAAATTAATTCAATTGATCCACATAAAAAAGAAGATCTTTTGGTTGTAAACCCCGGTGATTATTTGATTTGTGATAAGAATGGAATTGTTAAATTGGAAGATAATGAACAATTAAATGAAATTTTAGATTATATACCAAAAAGAGTTGATGCTGATTTAAAGGTTAGTGAAGATATTAGAAATGGTAAACCTGCAACAGATTCTCAAAAATTTTGGCGTGGAAAAATATAGTCTACAATTCATATATCAATGGCCTTACGCTCTCTATACTAATATAACACTAATACAAGTACATCTAATCACCGAGAACTCTTGTGGTTGTAATGTAACTTATTCTTGTTGTAAATTGCTTTATTTATCTCTCTTATCGGAATTATCTTTAAATAATAGTAATATCATAATTTAAAATATATCACAAACTTAACAAAACACATTTTTATATTTTTTTACAACCAAATTATTATTATTATAATTGTAACATTTCAATCAACAATTACAAGCAAAAGAACTATTACAACTCAAAAATATTTTATAAAAAAATGCCATTAAATCTAATACATACGGTGGATAAAGAAGAGCCATATAATTATAATCAACTACGTTATGAAATTATTGGTAATAAAGATCTTAAGTTTAAATTATTTAATGATGTAATATTTATAAATACTATAGTTAATGATTTTAAAGAACTTGTTGAGAATTTATTAAAGACTGATAAAGTAGAGGAAAAACTATTGGGGAACCTAGAAGAATTAGCGGTCATTTTGAATATCCTAACGTCATTTGCTTTAGAGGTGGTAAGTTTGAATAATGAAGAAATAACAAAATCTATTCAAATATTGGAACAAATATTAAATCCCTTATGTTTATTATTAAATCATTTTGTTGAAAAAATTATACGCGAAATCCAGGAACTGAACATTAGTTACAATTTCAAAGTAGAAGCAATAATAAGGTATAGTCTCGATATGATAGTAGGATTATCAAATTTAGGTCATTCGCAAATTGATTCAACTATATTATGGAGGTATATTAATTTACTAATAATTTATATTAATGAAGACCAAGTTAGTAATATAATCAAATCATCACTAGTGGTGAAACTGTTAAGATTGATACCCATTTTATTATCATCAAAAAATGTACAATTGAGTCAAGATTATATAATAACTTTATTATTAAATTTATTTGGTAAGCTAGAATATTATTGCATGACGATAGTTTGTCTACATTTGGATATAGGAGAAGAGAAGCTACATCGGTTAGCATATGAAAGTGACCGTTTGCCCAATATTGATTTAAAAGTTAATCAAATTGTTGATTTAAAAATAATGATTGAATTAATTACTTGCATTTCGCAAATCTTGAGTTTTATCAAGACAAAAGATTATCATGATCCATTAACTTTTCAATATTATTCACAAGAATTGATACTATTAACCACTTCAGATTCTTCTCCAGCAATATCGATAACAGAAATATTTGTGACATTATTAATACTATTAAAAGTAAGTTCAAAAAAAGTGGGAGTTTCAATAATCAATTTGTTGACTTTATTACTAGAACATTTAAGTATGGATCAAATATTGGATGAACCACTATTGCACAGAAATTATGAAAAATTATTCCCCAAACTAGTAAATTTATTGGATTTAGATGTTGATTATGATGGAAATATTGAAGAGAAAAATTCACCCTCCAAAACCCAGAAAACCACTCACAAAAGATATTTTGATGATACATTAACTTTCAATGCTCCCATATATTTGAAATCAGCAGCAAGGATATTGGCAGATTTATGTACTCAATATCCAGTCATTACACAACAAATAAGTGACACAAATATTGATAATAAACTACTCGTCAAATTAAGTCATTGTTTTAAAAGTAGTACTTTGATAAAAAAGTTGAAAGCTTTAAAACTTAAATCTAAACATGGAACTGTTTTAGTTGATTTTACTTCAGTGAAAGTCAATAATGCTTGTGATTTAGAAATTGCTGATTTACTTTTATTATTAAGTGTATACACGAGTGATAGTGAAGAATCAAGACATAGATTATTAAATAGTACACAATCATTTGATATTGATTTACCAGAAATTATATTTGAAATCATTGATAATTATCATTTCCTTTGTAATCAAGTTCAATTAACATACAAAATAATATCACCAAGGAATAAAAAGGAATTTTCAAGACAACATCTATCATGGTTTGGTAAAAATTTAGGCGTTATTTGTGCATTAGAAGATTCACCAATATACACAAATTGTTTTTATTTCATTAGATCAAATTCAAGATCAGTTGCTGCATTGAGAACATTTTTTGTTGAATGTAATGAATTTAAGAGCTTTTTACTGAAAACAAATAGAGAAGGGCTTTCTGTAACTACTTCTGATTTAGCAACTATATTATCACCAGAACAACCAACTATGAGACCAAGAATAGATTTAGATTCAAATGCTGCAACAACTTCAGATGCTTTACTGGGTTCATCACCAGGAGGATTTGTAACTAATATTTTGGAAATAATCAGGCTTTATGAAAGTCTTGATCAGAAATTAAATTTTTTCTTTCAATTAAATAATAATGATGCACTTGAAGTTAGATTATTTAAAAAGAATTTTATGACAAATAAAGCAATATGTATTAGTCTATTAGCAAATTTTATCCTTGATTTTAGTTCATTCAGGTACAAGATTGTTAGTTATGAGAACTTTTTATCAAGTTTGTCTACAATTTATCAAAGATCGTCTGAAATATCTGGTAAGCAAGTCACAGCAGAAGAAATCTTTGAAAATAATGTTATTCAGTTGAAAATTTTACAAGTCATCAAAAACTTTATGTTTAATGAAGCTTCAGAAAACAAAAAAGAAGTTTTGAATTACTTTCCAGTTAGTTTTATATTCCAAAAAGCAAATCATGGAATTGTACATGAAAATATTAAGAAATCAAATATTGAAATTGATCTGTTAAAGGTCAATCAGAAAATCGTTGCATTTGAAATTTTAAGAAACTTTACTGCTGGTTCACCTTCTTTCACTCAAATTTTAAGAGAAGCTTATGTAACTGATTATTGGGAAAATGAGAAGTATGATTCGAAAACAGATATACCAATAAATTGGCCAGAATTTATTTTGTCAAATCTTACAAACGTAAGTATATTCTTACCAAAAGGTTATAAAGATGAAAGTATTTTTAATGATCAAACTTTAGTTACATTGTTGGGAAATGAAGAATTTGTAAGATTGATAAGGTCGATCAACTTTACTGAAGATCATACTTTCACTGCGATTGATAAGTTGAAGAAAGATTTATTTCCAAATGATCAAATATTAAATGTATGGCTTAGATATTTATCTTTTGAAATTCCTGACTCGGTTGACTCCAATATCAAAGATGCACTAGTTGACAACTTAAATTTAATTAAACTTTCAATAGCTTGGTTATTAGTAAACTTAACATGGAACTCTACAGTATTTGGATACGACATTCAAAATTATACTGATTATGAAGTTTATCAAACAGTTGATACATCTATGAGAGTCAAAAAGAATGGACTTTCAAAGTATGATTTAGATAATCCAATTGAGGAAGAGTCAGGTAATGATGATGAATTAACAGTATATGATAGAGCAAGAAGATTAGATGATTTTGGTTTCACTAAAGCCATTTATGAAGTATTACAAAATGTTGTTAAGAATTCATTTAAACCTGAAAATAAAATTGTTAATACCAAAGTGAAAACAAGTAATGAACATGATGTTTTTGAAAAATTAAAATCAGCATTACATCAAATTAATTATCTAACTAAAAAGAGAAACATTAATGAAGATGGATTTAATATTCCTTCTCAAAATGCTGATGCGAAAAGTTCAAAAAATTTGAGTCCCAATCATAATGAAATTGATATAATCAATGCCTTAAATACTAATTCAGACAATAATATTCCTATAAATAATGAAGATGACGAAGAAAAAAACGTTTCTGATGATGAATTAAGATATGAAAGATCAAGAAGAAGAGACGCTATTGATTCAGAGGATGATTCACAATCTAGAAATACAAGTAGTCATGTAGATGAAGAAGGTGATGAGGCAATGTTAGATAGGTCAAATGAAGTGATTGATGATGATGATATGGAAGAAGATGAAGAAGAAGAAGACGATGATGATGATGATGAAGATGCTGAAGAGGAGGGTTTAACTCATTCGCCAGCTAATGATAGTGATGGGTCTGATGATGATGATTTACCACATGAATATTGGGTTATGTAAATGTATAATTTTATAAATTTTAATGATGAATGAACTATTAATATTTATTTCTCGCTGTTTTTATTTTGGCTGCAAAATTTTTAGTGCATAACAATCTACATATCAATGCTAGTAAAAATTAATGAAATGTATTTTAATTCTATACTTATTTTCCTTAATCCAATCAATCAAAGTCAATCCTTTCTACAATAAAGAAAAGTTAAATTTAGCTAAAAGATTCTCAACGTTAAATATTGTACATCATACAAGAAATGATTATAAAGATTTAGTGCAAGACTCACTTCAACCATACACTGTTACTCACATACTATCTTCAAACTCAATCATATTTAACGAAAACATACTAAATCAAGAAGAAACCCACTTTATAGAACTATCATACTCAGAACTTCATTTTAGAAAACTCCCACCACTACAGGAAACGGTAATAAACGAAGTATACAAATGGTATCCCCTAGGTGATTGTGTAACAAACAACGCAGGAGATAAAGCAAGTTATAGACAAGGATGGTCAATTGAAGTTGATTTTGGTATAGATTATAGATTAAATTATGGTGGATATTTTTTAAATTTTGGACCGGGAATAAAATCTGAATTCATATGGGCAAAGGGGGTAGGTGGTGATTTTAGTTGTGATTTAAATCCTGGAAATACTTTACAATTTGCTATATTGTTTACTAAATATGAAGTTGATGGAATAAGATATAGAAGTGTTGGATGGGGGAAATGGAGGAAAAAAGTTAAGTTTGGGGATTGGAAACGGTTTGATAAATTTGAGACTGTTGGGAAGAATGATATTCAAATTGCTTGTTTTACTGATCCACGATTTTTGAGGTGTAACAGAGTAAAAGAAAATAAAGATGAGTTTTGAATCGGATTTTTACATTTTTGAGTTATATATAAATATATTATTCTACTTCTTCGTCATCATCTTCTTCTTCTAATGTGAAAGGTTCGGGTAATGGAGCTTCACTAATATTTAATTGTCTAACAGTTTTGATGAGCTCTATAGGTTCTGTTGGTTTAGAATCTTTTAATACAATTATACTACCTTTATATTTTCTAACTGGTAAAAATCTATCATCTTTAAAAGAAATGTAATTTATTTGTGATGGTAATACTCTTGATAAATTATCAATCTTGTAAGGAGTTTTGGTGTAACGTGGTTGTGATTGTGGTTGAGTTTTAGTAGTTTCTTTTGAGTCTTTGAAATCTTTGGAGTCTTCTGTCTTGCTTTTTTCTGTTGTGGTGGTTGGTTTTTTAACTTCTTCTTTTTTAGAATCTATATCCATTTTAACTGGTTCATCTTCATTTTTAGTTGATTGTTTTCTTTTAGCTCTTGTTTTGGCTTTAGCTGTAGTTGATAATACCGCGGTAGTTAATTTATCTGGTTTTTCTTCTTTTGTTTCCTCAACTTTTTCAGGATAATTCCAATATTCAGGATTTGAATGACAATTTATTTCAAATTTTGGTATTTTTAAATCTTCACCTCTTACTCCTATTATAGCTGTTGGAGCAAATGATAATGAAAGAAAATGAGCTAATGGATACCAATACCATGATTGTGCAAAAATAGCTAATCCTACGATAGCTTTGGTGTTTAATGTATTTGTTTGAGAATTCTCTAAATTTATTGTAACATTACGACCACCTGCATCAATTATACCTTGTGATAAAGTTGCACCAAATTTAGCTAATGCATCTTCATGTTTATTTTTAATAGTATCGGCATATTGTTTTGTAAATTCTTTAACTTTTGGAAATAAGAATTCATTTTGTTGTATCAATATCATTGCCGTTGCCATTAATGCACCTTGTCTTACAAAATCAACTGGATCTTTGGTTAATGGTTCTAATACTTCAATAGCTGGTGCATAAGCTCTACCAGCACATGAAATACCTAATGCTAATGCAGTACCATATCTTACATGAGGATTATGAGATTGTGATAATAATTTAACTAATTGTGGTGCTGCAGTATAATCACGAATTAAAACAAAACCTAAACTTAATACTGATGCTCTTCTAACATCATCACTTGGATCAGAAACTGCATAATGTAATAATTTCTTAATAGCTTCACTATTTCCAGTACCAGCATAAGCTAACCCAATATTAAAAGCACCACCATATCTTAAAATTGAAGATTCTTGTTTCATTAAATCATTTATAATATAATCTGCTTTATCTTCACGTCCATAATGTAATAATGCTAAACCAATGGCTAAACCTCTTATAATGTTTTCATGTTGAGTTTCCAAAGCATAAGTTAACATATCGTTAGTTGCAATTTCATCACCTGAACCTAATTTAATTAATCCCATACCATAAGCAGCTGCTTGTGATGATATAGCAGAATCTGAATAAAGTACAACTTTTAATGATTCATATAATTCTTCTGATTTTAATCCCATACCTGCTACACCAGCACCCAATGAAGCTCCATGTAATTGAACATCAATTTCATTTGAACCTGCTGCATTACCATTTTCATCAATAAAATTTTTAAGGTATCCGATAACTTCTCTACCATGACCAGCAAAGATTAAACCTAATGCAAATAATGAACCACCTTTAGTATGAGCAGCACTTGTTGAACCAGGTAAATAAGGTTTCAAAATTGTACGACCTTGTGATAAGTTACCTTTATGTATTACACCCAAAGCAGCAGTTGCTGAAAATTTTGACCAATTAGTTGCTTTACCTAACCATTCTAAATTTTTTCTAAAAAATGAATCATCAGTTGTACCTGCATGCATATAAGCATTTGCAAAAGTAACAGCTGAATGAAATACAGAACTTCTTCCATCTAATAAATTCTTTGTCTTATTTAATATCGTTATGTCAGTGTTGTTATTTTTGTAAAGGAAAGTATTATCAAAATCACAAGTTGGTACTCCTGATAAAATATTTAAAACTTTTTTGGTTATTAAATTTTCTGAATCATCTGATAATGAAGTTATGACATTATCTAATAAATCTTGTGATGCAGTATTTACTAAATCAAAAGCTGCTTGATATGCAATTAATTGTTCTTCTTGATTAATTAATTCTTGGAAAATTTTAGTTGCCAAAGTTGAATCACTTAATTGTACTATAATTTTAATAATTGTGAAAAAATCTTGATTCTTTTTCAATGATAATAATAATGAAATTAATTTATTTAATATTAAATTTCTAAAATTTTGATCACTTATTGTGGAATTTGTACACACCAAAACGTAATTGATTAAATTTAATCCGTTTTCTTCATTTTCTTTGATTTGTTCATTTAATATTGATTCAATTAAATCTAATCTATATGATTCTAATGCAATTCCCAAAGTTAATTTAATTTCTCCAGATTTTAAACATTTTGATAACATTTTTTCATAAATTATTTTCAATCTTGGATCAATTTTAACATTTTCATCTTGAAATTTTTTTCTTGATAATGAATTATATAAATTAATACATTGACTTACAATTGTTTCCATATATTGAGATTGTTCTTCAATATTAAATTCATCTCCAGCACATAATGAATATTTCACAGAAGTATCAAAATCACCTAAATTATAGTAAACTTTTGATATAATTAATGCTGCTAATGATCTCTTGGTGAAATTTTCATCTTCATATAAATCTTCTAATTCTGTTATATTATTTGCAATTTCTGCCCATAATTGATCTACTATATCATTTAATGATGTTAATGCATATGATTTTAAACTATTATCTGGTTCTCCAAGTAATGCCAAATATGGAGCAGCTGATACTAATGCCATATTTGAGGAACTGTCTTGAATTGGTGAATTGATAGAATTAGAAACTAGTTGGTTGTAAAATGGTTGTAAAATTGGTTGAAAATTGAATATTGATTTTTCTCTGTTGCCACTCTAAAAAAATATATCTTGTATGTGTATTACATAATCATTACCTACATTTATTACGTAATAGTATTTTTTTGCAACTAAATTTGCAATATAAATAGTTTCAATTCATTACAAGATAACTAAGATTAAGAACGATAATTAGTAGTTGCAGTATTAAAATATTTTTATATAACATTAAAAGAAGTACTATTAAACAAAACTATCCTCGAAAAATCAAATACAATTTTCCCTTTTTTTCTAATATAATAATCTTGTTGCAATTTTATAAGGAGTTTGCTCTAATTGTTCATATAATGATTTAATATCACTAATATCAACATCAGAAATATCAGCCATCAAATATGCAATATCACCTTGAGAATCAGAAAATTGTTTTTCAATATTATGATTTGATAAAATATTATTAACAGTTTTTAAAACACCTGGAACATTATGATGAATATATAATACTCTAACAACATTTTGTTGATCTAAATCTAATGGTCTTAAAGAAACTTCTGGGAAATTTACTGCACCTTGTGAAGTACCATCGTTAACATACTTTGTTAATGCATTAGCTACTTCAACACCAATTGCTGATTGAGCTTCTTCTGTTGATCCACCAATATGAGGAGTTAAAATGACATTTCTTAAAGAAACTAATTCACTTGACCAATTATTTAAATCATCACTAAATAAACCTTCACCATTTTTAGCTGGTTCATGTGGATAAACATCTAATGCAGCACCTGCAATTTTACCAGCTTTCATTGCTTGAACTAATGCAGGAATATCAATAACAGTACCTCTTGAAGCATTTATAACATATGAACCATCTTTCATTGCTGCGAATTGTGGAGCACTTAATAAATTTTTAGTTTCTGAAGTAGCTGGAACATGTAATGTAACAAAATCTGCTTTTTTCAATAATTCATCTAATGATTCAACTTGTTTTGAATTACCTAAACTCATAATAGTTGTAACATCATAATATATAACATTCATACCCATTGCTTCTGCTAAAACAGATAATTGAGATCCAATATGACCATATCCTACAATACCTAAAGTTTTACCTCTAATTTCCCAACATTTTGAACTAACTTTATTCCAAGTACCAGTATGCATTTCAATTGATCTATCACCTAATTGTCTTGCTAAAGTAATAATTTCAGCTATAACTAATTCAGCAACTGATCTTGAATTTGAAAAAGGTGAATTAAATACAGCAATACCAGATTTTGCAGCAAAATTTAAATCAACTTGATTTGTACCAATACAAAAACATCCAATAACAACTAAATTTTTAGCATTTTTAATAATTTTTTCAGTTAATTTAGTTTTAGATCTAATACCAATTGCATGAACATCTTTAATTTTTTCAATTAATTCTTCTTCTGGTAATGAAGATTTATAAAATTCAACTTGATAACCTTGATTTTTGAAAATATTAATGGCTGTTTGATTTACATTTTCTAATAATAGTATCTTAATATCACCAGTTGAAAAAGGTTTTAAAGCTTTAGTTGGTTTTGTAGGTACATATTGACTTAAATATGATTGAGTTGGTGATGTTGATACTGCATTATGAGGTGAAGTTGATGAAATATTTAATGCTTTTTGAAAAGTATCTGCTATTTTTTGAGGAGCTGACATCTTGTGAAAATTGATTATTCAATTGAATAAGTGGTATATTGGTTAAAAAATTGATAAGAATTGAAAATTAATTTGACAAAAAGAAAAGTTTAGTCTTGAATAATAAATCTTACAATTATTTTACAATCATTTGACTAATTTTAGTGTAATTTTTCATCTCATATTTATTAGTTTATTATGTAGAGTTATAAATTTTTTTTTTCTTATCCGGTTTTTGTTTCTTGTGACTCAAATTGATATCCGGTATAGGATAAAGTTAGTAGTCACATGATTTAAGAAATATTATATTTAAAATGATGTTATTAATCGTAATTAATAGATGGTGAATCAGAGTTAAGAAAATAATTTATTAAGTTTACTAATCATCTCTTTGCAAAAAGATCTATAGTTATATTACAATATGAAAATAAGAAATGATATTCTATTCCTAGTTTGACTGATAATTTTCATAGAACTCGAAGTGATAAATGGTAACTGTTCTACAAAAAAACGTTGAGTTTCATAATAATATTGTAACCACATTTGATTTTTCGGAAAAACCCTTAAATAAAGCTCAATTTCGCAACTTCTGATTGGCGTCATTCCATCTCTTGACACTTGACTGGTATTTGATCTTTTCAGCATAATAAATCATTTACTCATTCGTAAGATGTGTAGCTTCTGAAAATGATTGATCCTTTCATTAAGTGAGCTCAAAACTTGGCGCATTTATTGCGCAATTAAGTGAGACAGGATAATTGATTTGATCAAATTTCAAGATTTTTACATTGTTTGCGTCAAAATCAACCAAAATGTATTCAGCCTGATCCGTACTACGACGAATTTGCCTAGCTTTGAAGAGGGATCTAGCTAGTGTTATGTGTTATTTCTCTTTAATCAATTTTAATAGACTCAGTAAAATCAAAGACTTAAAAACAAAAAGTACTCTTACAGATCGAATCTATAAAAATCCGCACAAGTTTTACAACCACCATTTTTTTTTGCAACCAAAATACGAATAATCCATATCAGATAAGACCACATCGATAAACTCATTTCAAAATGTTTTTGTTTTACTTGATAGCACTTTTTAAAACACTACTATTGGTTTCAGCTCAAAGTAAGGAGGTACATAACATAAAAGTTGTTGACTCAGAGGAAATCCATATATGGAATTTTACAAATGAACATCATTTTCAGTCTTCAAATTTATGGAAATTGCTTTTAAAAACAGGAAATCAAAGCTTTAGTCAAACCATTATTAATCTAGATGAGCAAAATCAGACTTTATTTTTATCATCAACTGATCCCTTAACGTTCTATGAATTTCAATCTGGTGGCTCAATTACTGATTTTACAACGATCGTTCCAGTAAGTGGATATTTACATATGGAAAATGATACATCTTCAATATCACATATTGAATCTCTTGGATTTGGTTTTTTCCCACCTCCTGGGTTTTTCTTTGGTGGTGGTGTATTATTAGTTAATTTAGCCCAAGAATTTGGATTAGATGGTCTTGGATTTAAAGCTTTAATAAGTGGTACAGTAATATGTAGAGCATCAAGGGATCAGACTATACAAATTCAAAAACGTTTAAAATTTAAATCGTTACCATTAGCTAAAATAAAAAAATTAGTTTGGTTGCCAAAAGATAAATTAAAAAATAAGTTTTCTAAAGGGAGAATATTCCATAAATTAAAAGATTTTAAAAAGCATAAACAACAAATTATTAAAGATGAAATATTTGAAATTGAATCATTTGGTAATTCAGGATATTGGATAAAAGGTAAATGGGAAGATTTGTATACTTTTTTCAGATATAAAAAATTAGGATTATTATTTTTTAATATTGATGAAATAAAAGCTCAGAAACCATTTTGTGAAAGTAGACCTGAGTATTTACAATGTCAAGTTTTAAATCGATGAATAAAATAAGATCTAAATATCAGCAAATATTGTTATGCAATTGTTTGAAATATATTATAAAGTATAGATCCATGTCAAATGTAAAAAAAAATGGGTAACTGAAAGCTCCTTATTCCAAACAATGCTTTTGATTTATCGATTAATTTGGTTTGAGTTCATATTGTCAATCGTCTTGGCAGAATCATTTGCACCAGAAGTACATAATATCCATGATATAGATTCAGATGAAATTCATGCTTGGTATTTTCAAAATAAAGAACACCTAACATCATCATCATTATGGAAAGAAATGCAATTATATGATAAAAGTAATTTTAGTCAATTTAATCAAACTTTAGTACATTTCAATGAGTCAAATCAAACTTTAATATTAACCGCGTTACAACCCGCAACTTTTTATGAACTCGAACTAGAACTTATTGGAGTTTTACCATATGACTTACCTGAATTAGAGGAGATTATACTGGTGAATAGTACTGAAGCAATAAGAATGATTGGTCAAGATCTAGAAAAGAATACAATATCAGCACCATCACCAGTTAGTGCAAGTATTGTAATTGCTTGTATATTAGTTCAATATGGAATAGATGATTTTACAATTGATTTTATTAAAGAAAACAGTGATAACAAAACAATGAGAGTAGAATATCCAAGCATACCAGAGGATGTTGAAGTAGAGACTCAAGCAAAAAAGAAATTGATGTTTCTATGTGCTTTATTTGTAAAGTTGCCATTAAAGATTCTTAAAAAGATATTAATGATTATAAAATTGCTTATCTGTCTTCCATTCATAATTTTAAAAATCATCATATTTTTCCCATTGATTATTTTGAAGAAGATATTAATGCTAATAAAGAAGAAAATACTTATGATAATTAAATACAAAATTATAGAGATTGTTCTAAAAGTGAAAGACACAGTGTATGGAATAATTGATAAAGTTATTGATATAACAATTGTTGTGATTGTACTGGTTAAAAAAGTTGTTTATATTACTGTTGAAGAAATTGAAAAGGGGAAATTTAAAACGGAAGAGACAATTATTAAAGCGGCAGATTTGATTATGGATACTACAAAGGATACAATAGTTAAAGTCATAGAAGATAAAAAGAAATTTGATGATAAAGCAACTGAAGCAATGGAGAAAGCTTTATGGAAATCTAAGCAAGCTAAGAAAAAAGTATTGAATAAAGAATTTGGAGAAAAAGTTAAAGAAAAATTTGGTGTTAAGAGTCCTTATGGTTTGGTTGATTGAAAAAAGTTTGCTGATAATTTGGAAAGTACAAATAAGTTATAAATTCCCTATTAGGTTTTGTCATGTTATAAGTCAAAGATCCAGATTTAAAGTCACAAACTCAAAGAAAGATCTAGTTATGCTTAATTATTTTGAACTTCCTACACCGAGATTTAATGTTCAACTTTCCATTAATCAGGATTATGTTATGCTACAGATCAATTAACTAAAAGCTTTTCAAAATATATTTAGATCAGACAAAGATCCTAGTGAGATGAAAATCAAATAATATTCAGATTTTGCAAAATTTCATACAAAAGTAAGAAGAAACACAAATGTATTTACAGTTGCTTGTACTATGGATAGTTTATCTATCTAGATACGTTTCATGTGAAATGGCTTATTCAGTTATAGATGAAAATGAATTCAATCTAGCAACATTACCAAAAGAAGATCATTTAATTCATGAATTTGGACCTGAAGAAGAAATTCATTCATGGTATTTTGCAAATGCTGAACAATTGCAATCTTCACAATTATATAATGATATGGAGTCAGCTGAAAATGATTTCAATAATACCGTTATACATTTAAATGAAACTGGTAATACATTAATATTAGCTGGTGTTAATCCTGTTAGATTTGTTGAATTTGAAGTTGGATCAGTTAAAGGTTTTAAACCAGATTTTATAAATGATGAAAATGAACAAATATTTAATAAATCATCAAATGTTTTCCAGTTTGATACAATATCTGAATTTATAAAAAACAAGCGACACTTACCAAATTTATCAAGAAATTTATTTATGGTTGGAATATACATGGAATCAGGTATGGAAGGGATAGAAGATTTATTTTTAAAAGAAGAAACTATTTTTATAACTCCAAAATATGATTCAACTATGAATCCAAATAATCCAGAAGAAGATACGGAGGTTGTATTTGAAGCTCAAGGTTTATTAAGTTTAATTTGTATTCCATTGATCAAATTGAAAAGACTTATATGGTTAATTGAAGTTAAAACTATACAATTGATAAAAAATGCTATTGAGATAACCAAGAGAATATTACAAAAGATTAAAATGATTATAATTGTAATTGTAATAAAGACAAAAATAATAACTATTAAAACAATATTATTGATAAAATACAAATTACAAAAAATCAAAACAGCAACATTACTAGCGTTGATGATTCTAAAGGAAAAGATACGATTTAAAGTTTTGAAAACTAAATATGTTTTGTTGAAAATAAAAGATTTAATTGAAATGAAGATTAAATTGTCAATTTTAAAAGCAAAAGCAGCTATAGCAAAAGCTAAACTAGCGGGTAAGAAAGTAAAAGATAAGAAACCATCAGTGACAAAGGGAAGTGATAGTGATAGTGGTAGTGATAGTGATTGGTGACATTTGAAAAGAATGATTGGTGAATTTTTCAACATTTCACAACATTTGTATATTATTTATATGGTTTGATTCTTAATATAACTTCTATTAATATTAACAAGAGATTTGTAGAGTCAACTTACTTGAAAAGACTAAATGTTTTATTAAAAAATTAATTACTTCGAATGCATAATTAAAGACAAGAAATATAAAAAGTTCAAATTACACATCTAGGCGGGACAAACAGCAGTGTGTAAAACAACTAATTCTAAAACAGCAGTTGAACCATCAGCTAAAGTAGTTTCAGTAGTTAAAGTTGAAGTTGAATAATCACCTGGTGGAACATCTACTGATACAGTTGTAATTGAACCTGCACCAGCAGCAACGGCACTACTTAAAGCTTCTTCTGATGATGAACTTGAAACTGCTGGTGCTGCAGTAGCTGGTGGAGCTTCACTTGATGTTGTTAACGTAGTTGTTGTTGATTCAACTGATGATGAAACTGCTCCTGATGATACAGCTTCTGATGATGGTGATGATGATGAGGATTCAGATGTTGGAGCTGAAGTAACTTCAGGTTGTGCAACTTCTTCAGTTGATGTAGCTGTAAAAACAGTTGTTGTAGTTAATTGACCAGAATCATCAGTATAAATATATACAACACCTTCTACACCAACTTGTTGTGCTACTGTTGTTGTTTGAGTTACTTCTGGAGTTGTGGTAACGGTGGTTGTACCTTCATATGAAGTTGTGTCATCTTGTGCTTTTGAAAAAGTGAGGAATGATGATAATAACAATAATGTACTTAATTTAAATGAATGCATTACTTGTGTTTTAGTATAATTATGTCAATGTTGTAGATGTTAATTTGAAAAATAGCTGGAGTAAGTGCTGTTGGTCCGATACTTTGATAATTGGTTTAAGTTTGAAGTAAATTAGCTAGTTGGTAGGTAATTGTAAGTGAATGAATAATGAACTAAAAACGAATGAAGTTGCAAAAAACAGTAATTATATAAATTAGAATGCGATAATTGAATATAAAAAACAATAGAAATTAAACAGAATTTTATAAAAAAATAATAAATACGTTATATTATTAAATATATATATATTTAGATCTTGATGTATAGAATTTAAAAAAAGAATTATTTTCAATTGTCCATAAGGGGTATAATAACCAGTAAAAATAAATTTTGAATGATAGAAATTGGTGCAAAGAAAATTAAAAATATCGTAAATAATTACACAAAATGCAAAATTACTAAAAAAGTTAAATTGAGTTACAAAAATATAATACAATACAACATCAACACCAAAAATCAAAGTCGAGAAGAGAATGAGAGTTTAAGCTATAAAGTTAACCTTTTATTTTTGGCTTTGGTGTCTCAAAACTCAAATTTTGAATCAATCGCAAGCATGCTTATGTTTATATAATGCCATCAATAATTCTAATTCCGCTAGTTATCATAATATATCATAACAAAATAATATAAAATAAATCTGATGTTAAGTACTGCATCTAAATACGTTTCTCTCGTATTTAATGTATCATTTATTACGTAACTTTAAAAATTACACAAAAGTTTATTTATAATGTAAATTTTAACCAGCACAATAAAATAATAAAATATTTTTTATTATTTGTTTTACTTAATTTATACAAAGTTACGCCATTTTTGAAACTTATTTATTATAAATGACAAAAAAAGCATCACAATATATTTTTGTGTGTATGCATGGTTATGGACTTATATTTAATGAATAATAAATCAATGTTGCGTTTAATTTTAAACGAATTTTTCCATACATATTTTTATAATTTCAAGATTTTTATATGGTGATGGAGTACAGTATACATTTAATGATGAGATTTACATTGCATTTTGGTATAAAGATTATCTCAATTAATTATTTACATTGATCTCTAACCGTTGATTGTACTTTAAACTTTTAGTAATCATCGATCAGCGATCAAACACTAATTGATTCTCTCAAAATTTTAAACCACAAGCTGAATCATTATACTTTGGTAAATTACTCAATTCGAGGGTGTTTACATCTTGTACGCCAGATAAAGTTACAGTGTAACAAGATCAATAAAAGCTTAAAAGTTTATACGGTAGACGAATTTAATAGCTGGGCCAAATAAGAATTCAACCTACGATATATGCGGCGTAAAACGTTTTATTTTCACAAATTTTACTAGGCTGAGAATGCAACTTAGTTCTTAACATTCTTTAATAAAAAGTTAAAATATTGTAACATTACTATTATGATGCCAACCTGAATCTTCTTGTTCAATAGTTATGCTGATTTTTTGTTGTCGCGTTAAACAGAAGATAAATAGAATGAATTGAGGTATGGTCTAAAATCTGAATGCTTAGTAAAAAAGCTTCTTTAAATATTTGGGGTTGGTTATTAGAATTTAAAACTTAAATTTAAATTCGATCTAATTGAGAAATTAATCATCTTTTTTAAGTAATTCCACCACTTTGAACTTTTTTTTTATTATTTATTATATTTTTTATTTTTAGTAATTTATACGTTTGTATTACATTCTATACTTAAAGTAAACCAACCACAACGCCAAATGAAAAACTTTATTCTAATTAAGCTTATTTTCAGTTTTATTTGTAGGGTTTTTTAAAGGGCTACACCACGTTTCAACTTGAGTAAGGTTTCAAGAATTTGTTTAATGTAAGGTTTTAAATCTTAAATTCGATCAGAATGAGCTATTGGGGTAATTTCCAATTAGTAATAAACTTTGTTTTATTTATAAAGTACATAACCATACACTAGTTTCAACAATTCAACAAAAGTTGCCACTTTTACTAAATATAACCCTAAGTTTAACTACAAAGAACTACGTTGATTTGTTTTCAAAAATAATGTTACTAAAATAACGCGAAATTAGTTTGTTTACTTCAACATTGAAAATTCAATATTTAGCTCATCTAGCATTTAGCTTCATTGATTTAATTTTTTTTCAGAGAAAGTGAAAAATTCAGTTCAATTAAAAATGATTTACATTATTATTTAGATCTTAAATTTTTTATAATTACGAGCCGAATTCGACATATATTCTTAGAATTTTTCATCGCATTTTATTGTGCCATGCAACGTAGATCTCTTCGATTTAAAATAAATCTGGCGTTGTATTGTAAATCTTTTGTAAATCATTTATAAACCAAAAACGGTTAAATTATTAACCTAATCATGATAATTTGGTAGCTTGGAGCTTCATATGTATAAGCTCACTAGATTATATAAATAAAGACAATTATCGATCAAAATGACCTAGATTTGAATTTAATTCGACATAATTTTGTCAATCTCAGTGTTTTGGCTGTATTTTGCTTTACAATTATTTAAATTTCCGAAGTTTCATCTTAATTACTCTATTTTGACGTATTTTAAACTAAAACGATGTTAGTCAAAGCCAGCCACTTTTATGAAACATAGA